TGTACTCAACACTCCACAGCGAATCCCACACCACGGATCTCTTACTGGGACTCCCCGTCGATTCCTGTCGATGAAGCCTTCTACGCCGCTGCCCCTGCCCGTGACGCCCACCATCAGCATCTTGACTCAGGGCCCGAAGAGCGTATCGACTTGGCGTACCTCTGATGGTTTGGCGTTCTCATTGTCACCGGGGGCTGTCGCCTTCCCCTTGGCCCTGCTGGATCCAGCCAGGTCCCTGTCCGTCGCCGGCGGGCGTGCGCTGAGTGGGCTGCCGGGCTGTGTGGGACTGGTCGCGGACGGTGTTTCTGGTGCAGCGGCACGGAGAGAGTTGGTCTCGCTGACGACAGCCCCGGGCTTGAGCAGTGCTTGTGCGCCAGCGCTGGTAAAAGGCAGAGCTCTCTTGGAGCTCGAGCTGCTTCTGCGGCTTTCCAGGCTCTTTGACAACGTCTTCTCGAGGCCGGCCGCACTGTCCTTCGATTTGCCTTTGTTGATGACCGCGTGGGTATGGATGTTCGCCGTGGCCTCGACGGTGTTAGCGGCGACTGTCGACTTGCCCATACCCGGCGTGGACGGCGCGCCGGGCTTGTCCTCCTGCGCGTCAATGAGGTACCAGCGCAGTCCGTCGGACAGCTGGAAGGGATTCTCGTTTTCGTCGTTGATCGACTCTTCGTCGTTCCCCGACTGCATGCTCCTGGACAGGTCGACCACCCGCTCTTGTATACGCGTGATCCGCGCCACGAGCCACTCGCGATGACGCAGACGATGCGCGTCCTGCTCTCGCAGAAAGTAATGAGGTGCGCCGACGTTGAACGCAGCCCATGCCCCGGCTTGCTGATTCCTGGTCGGCAGAAAGAGCGCCAGATCGCCCTCCTTGAAGTTCTTAAAGGCCAGCTTGTTGTGTGCGTCCTTGTGCTCGGCGTGTGCGCGATCTCGGTACGACTTGGCCTCCTTCTGCCATTTGCGTGCCTTGTGCTCCACCTCCTTGATCTTGTAGTAGACGGTGTCCGAGAACTGATCCACGTCAAAGTCCCCAAGTTTGCTCACAAACGCGTTGTACCTGTCGTCCTCACCATCGAGATCGTGGCTGTTGGCCCAGTTGAGGAGATCGAGGTCGGCACTTTCGTGCAGTGCCTTGGCACCAAGCATGCCTGGCTTGAACACACTCGACTTTCGCAGGGACGATCCCGGGTCAGAAGAGTCGTTCGGGTTTTGCGTGGCCCGCTCCGCACGAGGGACTTTCGTAATCGTGATGGACCCGTCACTACGAGAGACCGCATAGCCTAGGCGCTCGAGGAGATGACACATACGGTCATTCTGCGAATACAGCCGCTGCGTAAGGTCTTTGGATCGTTCGTCGCGGCTTTCGAAGCGTCGCTGGAGCTCGGATAGCTTGACTTGCGAGTCCTCCGCCTTCTCCTTGTACATGTGCGCCTCTTCCTCTAGGCTACCGACTCGCGATTGGCGAGCCGCAAGCTGCTCGGTCAGGTTGACGACCTTCTTCTCTTCGTCTTCCAGCTGCTTCTGCAGTGTCCCCGAGCCACTCTCGCCATCGGTCAGACGCGCCCGCAGCTTGCGCAATTCTTCCATGGCGCCTGCGAGTTCCGTCTCAAGGGCCTCCACCTTGGCGGACTCCTCGGCAATTTTATTGTGCGCCTTGAGTGAGGCCGCCTCCTCAGAAGCGAGCCTCTTCTCAGTGGCAGTCAGCTCGTCACGGAGAGTCTTTCCAGCGCTTCGGGTTTCCTCGAGGTCGTTGCGCAAGATATCCGCATCACTTTGCAAACCTTGCAGCCTAGAGAGCAGCTTGGTGGCTGCTTCTTGCAGTACATCGCCCAGGTCAGCGTCCTCGGGCATCGAGTCCTGAGGGCCAATGTATCCGTGAAGGGTCTTGAGACTCCCCAGGTAGCCATCAGCTACTACTCCGAGCTCCTCAAGCTGCTTCGCAACGTGCCTGCTAGTTTCCCTGACACTTTCGAGCTCGCGCTCTTGTGTCTCACGCCGGTCATGCTGCATTCGGGCGTCGTTCCGGAGAAACTCCACCTGGCCTTGCGCCTTTTGCGACTCATCGCGATGCTGCTCGGTCAGACGTTCTAGCTCTGCTTGCAGCTGCTCGATCTTGGTCTCGTGTGAAGTTCGGGCTCTCTCTTTCGAGTCGCCCAGGTGCTCCATCTCGTCCTCAGTGTTCTCTAGGCGCGCGTGAAGATCGCGAATCTCATCTTCCAGAGACTTTCTTTCCTCAAGGAACTCGCGTTTGAATGCCTCCATGTTCTCTAGCAGGTCCTTCTTTGTCGTGTTTGCCTCGGTGAACTGATCCTTCATGTTGCCATATTGGACCGCATTGGCTGCGAGTTCGCTCTGCATGCGCGCCGAGCTTTGCTTCTCCTCCCTCAGCTCATGTTCGAGCTCAGCGATACGCCGGGCCAGTGCATCTGTCCCGTTCGTCACGGACTGCTGGCCATCGGGCCGGGATGATTTGATAGACGACATGGATCCGTTTCTTTCGTGGCCAGGTTGGAAGAGATTCCCTGGTCGACTCGCCTGAGACTGCCTGTGCAAAAGGTCCTCCAGGCGACGGACCCTGCTTTCTGCCGTTTTGAGCTTGCTGTCTAATTTCATCTTATCCTCCTGAAGCGAGCGGAGTAGATCATCATCCCCTCGAATCATGAGGCCGCTGCGACCAAGGCCAGCTTCGTGAACGCTGCCATTCTTGAAAGCCTTGACTCGCTTGGACTGTTGTTTTGTGGGACTGTTCAGCTCCTGGATCAGCTGGGCTATGTCCTCCAAAATGGCCTCCTCGGTTGCCAGCCCGCGCAGAGTGTCGTAGTACGACTCCAGCTCTTGCTTGCTCATCGGTGGCCACGAAGTGTCGTCGCCCATTACGCCAACTTCGAGTCCCATGACATTGGTGTCCAGTCCGGGCCCATAGGTGCTACCGACCATCTTCTGCCACCTGCGCCGGCGTTTCGATTCCTCGTCCTGGAACAGCGCCATTTCGTTGGCAAGTGTTGTTGAATCGGCCTTGACCTTGTCATTCCATTCGTGACGCCGCACCGCTTCTGCCAAGAACGACGCATACATGTATGGCAGTTGCTGTATCAGCCGGAGGTAATCAAAGGTTGTCAGGTCGTCTTCGGACTGATTCAGTAAGTTGATCTGGTCCTTCACGTTCCCTCGAAGCGACGTGACTTCTGTAATGGCCCTCATGAAGCTCACCGCATCTGCGGCGATGGTATTTCGGGCTTCTGTCGCATACCGCATAAGCTCTGCCATCCCCTGCGTCCTCTTCTGCAAGTTGGGTATCAAACGCTCTGTGTGCATGGACGCTGTTTTCGAAGCCTGAGCAACGTCTTTCTGAGCGTTACTGTAGGTCAAGGCTGTCTTGTAGTCCGATTCGAGTTGTTTCGAGACAGGCTCAATGTCCTGGGTGATTTGCGACGATTCGTCATGGCGTGCCAAGACAGAGCGGTTTGTGAGGGCATCAAAGTCTCCGATCAACTTTTGCAAGTCCTCGTACATTCTGTTCGTGGTCCTGTCTAATTCCGTAGCCTTTTCGCTGAATCTTCGATTGGCCGTGGCGGCAAGTTTACCCGCTTTCTTAGCTGTCTCAGGCTCAATGAGGTCCTCGAGCGTGTGTGCGCCCTTGGAGACCGCGCCTCTCGTCATGAACTTGACCATGGCGGGTGCGACAGGGACGTTGCTCGCAAGCTCCAGGTACTGCTGCCATGAAGACGCCAGGCGAGAGTGTTCCTCTAGCGCAGGCGTTACCCATTTCTTCAGCTCGGTGTACTTGGGTTCGATCTGTTTGACGCTGATCTCGAGATTGATGATAGCTGCATCAAGGCACTTGATCATCACGTCGATCTCATCAAACCGCGCGCGGATGGTGTTGTCCATCTGACCGCAATCGTCTGCCACTCTCGCAGCCCAAGTGCGCCGACTCTCGCAAAGCTTTTGCCATGATCCGATGGCTTTCACATCTTCTATCATGTTGGGAGCGGCCGGAATCGCTGGCGGCTTCGGAGAGGGTAGTTTAGATACGATGGTCGGCGACCCTTGCGACTGGCGCTGAGTCGTGCGCGCATCGTACACGAATATGTCTTTCTAGTTGTTGTCAGTATGGCGTACCTCAGAGCCGTAGACGTCCGTACCTCGTTCCACAAGCCCGTTGGTTTGATGGCTCGGCCCTGTGGCGTCAAGGCGACAAAGTGTTGGATAGGAACTGCGCCATTCTTGCTGACCCAGGCTTTGAATTCATCTAGACTTACAAAGGCATTAGAACGAGATGGAAGCCATGGTCTTGCATGTAATACTTACTTGGAGAACTGCGCCGTGTCTACTTCAAGGCGCCGGCCCGTGTGGGCGATCAAGACTTGAGTAGCCATCCCGAGACATTGCCTAGATGCGTAGAGCGATAGCTCCTCTCAAGACGGAGGCTGGAGGAAGAGGTAACAATAATTGAGTGGAGAACAAGACGACGAAATATGCTGCAACGCTCTTCAAAGTGACCTCCCGGCCACGACGCTCGCGTGACTGACCCGGTGTTCTTTCAAGCGGATGGTGTTGCTCAGATGGTCAAGTCACCAGCACAGATAAAGTGCATCTGCCTGGGCACGCCGGACAAGCGAGTGGCTGTTGGGCCCGTCATTTGTGGCGCAAACCGTCATGCTCGTGGCTGGAGACCACCAGCCCCACCAGCACAGCGGACGGATCCATTTAAACCGATCCGAGTCGAGTCCGTCCGAGTCCGTCAGGGGCCCCGCCGGCCCGACCCCATCCATCGATTTGAGCATGAGTCACTCCGACTCACTCTGAACAAGTGCTCCAAACGCATATTATCACTCCGCTCACTGACCAGGGACCATTATTATGCAGACGAACGCGTCTGCCAATGGTCCACGTATCAATCCAGGTGACAGTCGGGGAGATGGCTTATATCAACGTGATTTGCCAAAGCCAGCTTGAGCTCGAGTATTTATAGGGTGATGCATTGAGTCCAGAAGTCCTCGTCGTTCCCGCCCGGTACCAACACCCCTCCATTCACGCTGTTCCAAGGCGCGGTACTTCAGATCAACAACATATCCTCGGGCGCAACAATGGTCAATCTGGATTATCCGATGCCCAACGGGCTCTACGTGATCCCTGACGATCAACTTGACCTCCGTCCAGATGCTCAGGTCGACCAAGACCTGCTGCATCCGAGACCAGTATCAGGTCTGAAGAACGTCTGGTTTTTCTGGCATTCTGGATTCTTGAACATGCATCCATATACGCAGCGCAACGTCCGGGCTTGGCATCGCCGTTTTTCGAAGCACGGCTGGACGATTCGTGTACTCGACCGCGAGGAAGACTCCCCTCTCAACATCGCCAAGTACCTGGATGTGAAGGACCCCAATGTATTCCCCAAATCATTCATTGAGGGTGCTATTGGAGGGAGCTATGGCCTGCAACATACCTCCGATCTGGTTCGATGGCCACTCCTGAACAAGTACGGCGGTGTTTACGCCGACGTTGGCATGATGCAGATAGGCGATCTTGACAGGCTCTGGAACAAGACTTTGGGAGATCCTGATTCACCTTATGAGATCCTCAGCTACGATGGAGGCGAGAAGGACGGCAGGAATTTGACGAACTACTTCCTGTGCTCCCGACCCAACAATCCGCTCTTCACGCGCTGCCACAAACTGCTCCTGAAACTCTGGAACGAAGACGGTGGGAGGACGTCCACGGATGGCATGCATGCCAATCCCCTGCTCAAGGAGATCCCGCACTTGGGCTACGCTGCAAATGTCTCCATTGAGCTGGACGGTGCAACGTATGGTCCTGAAGAGGTGGCCAAGATGCTCACGGATTACATTATTCAGGGCCAGGTGATCAGGCAAGTCATGGGTCTGCAAGACGACGAGGATGGTTGGAACGGCCCCGAGTACTGCGCGAAGCATATTTATGCCATCGAATTCATGGCTGGGTCACAGCTCATCAACGAGTACACGACATGGAACGGCGTTCGTGCTTTCGAGCTTATGTCGCTCTCGCTGCCCAAAGATGCGGAAGAGGAGACGCCAGACCAGAAGTGCGCGAGAGAAATCGTCGAAGGATGCTTGACGAGAAGTTGGGGATTCAAATTGGCGCATGGTCTCATTCTCAAGATCTTGGGACCAACCCTCGGATCGCTCTGGCGGCAGCATCCTGGATCTGATGCTGTACCAGGCACGTATGCCGACTGGCTGCGCAAGGCAATGGTGTACTGGAATCAGAAGGAGGACCCTGAGGCGATCCCCTTCAAGAAGATGCCGCCTACGAAGATAGGACCTCTCCTTCGCGAATCCTGATTCATTTAAAGGAATTTAGGCAGAGTTTCTGTAGCTTGTTCCCGACTAGTTGGCGCAAAAAAATAGATCGTCGTTGTTCGCTCATCTCTGGTTGCTTCAAGAACATACCGGTACCTTACCTTGCGCATCCAAAAAAATTCGTGAATTTCATGTTTGGTGAGAAGGGGAACCACCTCCACGCCACCAGACGCGCACTGCAACAAAATCTCATCAACACCCGAGCCGCAAATCGCCCGATCAATCAAGCATGGAAGCATCTCAAGATCAACCGATGCAGGAGGCGCCTGAAGAAGTCTCCTCCACATTACCTGTGTCCGTCGATGAGCAACGCGCTCTGGACCTCTACGACAAGCTGCAAGAACTTCGTCTGGAAATTGCTATCATCAACGCGCAAAAGTCGCTACAAGGAGGTAAATCACGCGTTTTCATTGATGGATTTGACTTGCTGAACGGCGTCCAGCAGTAGACGAAGATGTTTACACCGAAGAGGCTGCCGCGACCGCGCGCAATGAGCTCTCAGACGCGCGCGCCCGCTACCTGCTGCGCAACCAAATTGTAGATTCTGTGTTATCGACAAACCCGATCCTGAAGGCCGTACACAACGGCACAGAAGCCTCACCCGTTGAAAGGTCAGCTTATGTGTGATTGTTCTCTACTGCGAATGAAAGCCCCTAACAAACTTGACAGGGATCTGCTGCCGTACGTCCAGCAGCGTGACGAGATGGCCATCGCAGTGGCCAATCTGGCCACCTCACGAGGCAGGACGCGAGAGGAGACTACAACGATACAAACAGAAGAGCTTCGGGCTTCAAACCAGAACGTGGCACTCGCTGCACAAGTGCTACAACTCGCCGCCAAGCTGGAGCAGAAACGTTCGGCCTACTTGGAGGACGACGACGCACAACAGGCCATACGTGAGATTGGCAATGGCCTCAAGGAAAGCCGAAAACGCTGGAGAATGATCAAGGGAGTTACAGCAGGCGTAGTTGCTGGCAGTGGCGTAGATTGGGCGCGAGATGAGGTACTTGGTGAGCTGGTCTTGGACCCAGAAGACGATATGTGAGCGTCTTGAGCTTCTCAACATTCGGCTCGCGTCATTAGGGACCTTTCAACTACAATACCAAAGACGGACACGCGGATGAGTTGCATGTTCCCCTTTGCATCGATGGATAAAGCGCGTTGGCTCCCCCCGGAATGCCTCCCTTCATTCGGCAGCGAAGTGTGGCTGACCAGCAGCTCTTGCTATGAAGGGAACAAAACCGTAAGATATGCTCCACCTAATTGCTGCCGACGAGCAAGGTCGCTATTGTCAGCCTTGGATGTCCATGATTGGAACAAGTGAAACGGTGATAGTGTCTAACAAGTCCACGTAGTGAGTGATTCAAGAATCATGGGCGGCTCGAATGACTTCCAGTGTTAAGCTATATAGACGCTATCAACAAGACGCTCATAATGCTTACAATGTTCATGTTTCTCTCTTGGAATGAGTTGTGATTAACGAACACACACGCAAGAGAGACGGACTCGGATGAGCCAAGGTGGGCGCCATGGCCGGGGTACTCGAGGGCAAGTACCAGTACTTACTAAGGAGTGTATGACGGTACACGTCGTCATGTGTTGGATGAAGTACCCCGCTTCTGAGCGACCGGAGCGCATCACCATCAGCCACGGCCGATGGCAGCACCGGTTCGCCCATCTGACTTGGAGGCTGAGCGCCTTGGTACAGGTAAGCATGTACGTACTATAAATTAGGGGTTCACACGATGCTCCAAGCAATTCATCAAAGGCTTGACGATCTTGGTGGGTAGAAATGATACGCCGTCCACAAGAAATCGCTGTGGCAAGAGTCTGGTGGCATTCGCAGGTGAACGTTAAACGCGTGTAGGTTTGATGTCAAACCAACTTGTTCATCGATGAGTCCATCTAAATATACGATATTAACGTGATCTTCGCCATGTCAACTCCACATGCCCAGTGCTCAGGAGGAATTCAACCGACAATCATTGAATCCTGCCTTCGTTGAGGTACGGACGTAGATTGCGCCCGGCTTGGTCGCGTTATTATTAGTCTCACCGCCGATCAGCAAGCACTAGAGCGGCGCCCATCAAGCACCAACTCGGGCATTGGCGCGAAACATAGGCGCAATGAGCTACCAGCTGGCGAGCAAGCGACACACTCACTGTAGTCTCTGGGCTCGAAAGACCATGTCAACCATAGCAGTTTTACTGAGATGATAAATCCTGTCCGAATGCCCTTTGGAACACATTTACGCAGGTGAACAACAAATGTCCGCAAGGGAGGCCACAAGTCCCGCGACAGGTATAAGCGAACCAGCCGCCGATGTCGAGGCTTGCTGGACGGATAAGGACATGCAAGTATACAGTGCGCCAATTGATCTCGGCCAGCCCAGTACAACAAGGGCGAGTTGGTGTGATGGCCCCTCCTTCACAAGGCGGCATGCGCACCAGTACAGTGTTGATTGATGCGCAGGTCTCGAGCAGGCGAAGCAGCGCGCGCGCGTGTGAAGATGGCATGGTCCCGGTCGGTGAAGGTCGCGAGTGCACCTCCCGATTTCCCGTACTCCGGCTGTTATTGGTAAGATGTGCCTGGATAGGATCTTGCGTCTCGATTGCCACGGCGCCAAGAGCCAGCGATATAGGTATAATCGTACAAGAGAAACCGCACGACGAGAACTGCAAGGCACTTGCGGTATGGCAAAGGATAAAGTATGGATAGGACCAAAAGAGTGTATGGTCAAGCTCAATATGTTAGTACTTATTACCCGAGTACTTGGTATCTTAATAAGGTGATATGCTCATTCATCGCAGAAAGGGAGAAAGTACCGGTAGCCCAGTGTCCGCCCTGTATGCGGCAGGCGCAGGGCAGCGTCGCTCTTGTTGTCCAGCGCGGACAGTGCAAGCGGTACACGACAACAAGGGGAATAACAACCAACAACAAGTCCAGTCCCGATCATCCCAATCCAATATTGGCTGTCGCGCCTGCTGGGCGGAATCCGGCCCCAGAGCCAATGAGAAGGCTCAGATGCTGGACAGCTAGGCAGGTTAGCAAGTGCTGTAGGGGGCACTGAGCAGCACTACAGGATGCCCACGCGCTGTAATAGAGGTTCCAGGCTGGGCTGGCTCTCCGGTGTCTCGAACTGGAGTGTGTGGAAGCGCGTTCCTTCTCTGAGTCCACCTGAGCCGTGGTCTGGTGCGGACTCTCAGCTTGAACCAGCGCTGCTCTCACAATCACTCGCCCCCACAGTAAAAAGGCTGCTTGGCCGCCTCCCCCCAAGTGCCCGCCTCTCTCTGCCTCCCTCTCTCCCTCTCTCTTCGACTCCCATACAATCGCGTCTCTCACAACACTGAGCTTCACCCGCAAACAGGTGAGTACCTCTGTTTTGCTGCGCATCACCACCAAACATAAGTCACTTTCATCAACTATCGTCGGCTGGCCTTTTTACAGCTCTCGCGATTCTTCCAATACCTTTTTTGCGTCAAACATCCCTCTGCAGCTTATTTTGGGAGCTGCCGGGTGCGATTGCAACACGCGAACGTCAACCATCCTCCCCTCCTTCGTCTTTCACCTCACGCGCATCTTGTTCTGATACGCGCATTTGGATGCCATAGAACTAACACGACTGCGCCTAGATACAGCAGCTCAACGACGACAACACCACGCCATTTACCACCCTCAAATCACTTCAAGGTATGGACACCCATTCAATCCGCGGTTTGCCAACCTATCACGAACTGCATTGGCCCTGTGACACGCGCAATGGCATTGCGCCGCGACTTGGCCAGGAGCTTCACAGAGCTCCATCGCAACGGCTTCAACCGCCAGTTTCCCAGCGCTCCACATTAACGCGCCCGCCGTGTCTACGTCCTGTACGCGCCAGCGTGTGCGCCTTTCGTGACACTTCCAACGCTACCATTGCCACCATTCAATTCAATTCCCTGCGCATAACTGCACTCGCCGGCACATTCAATTTATGTGCAATGCGCTAACGAAGCACGCAGAAACCGTCATCATGCCTAAGGCTGCTGCTTCTCGCTCCGGCAAGCCCATCAAGCGCCGCACCAAGAAGGGTAAGGAGCATGATACTTAGCTGTGCTTGAATATCAGCTAATTTCTCAAAGACCCCAACGCTCCCAAGCGCGGCCTCTCTGCCTACATGTTCTTCGCCAACGAGCAGCGCGAGAATGTCCGCGAGGAGAACCCCGGTATCACCTTCGGTCAGGTCGGCAAGCTTCTCGGTGAGCGCTGGAAGGCCCTGAACGAAAAGCAGCGTGCGCCCTACGAGTCCAAGGCCGCTGCAGACAAGAAGCGCTACGAGGACGAGAAGGCTGCTTATAACGTACGTACCGCCATTGCGCCTCTGGCTTTGCTTGAAACTGACACATCACTAGGCTCAGGAGGAGGAAGAGTCTTCCTAAGCTACCAACGGGCGAGGCGTTCGAAAGGTAGCGGATGTACGAAGCGAAGGGTATGGCCTTCATTCCGTATCGGATCCTGTGAATGGGTCATCTTCTTTGTATTTTGGGCAAGGCGTGATGTATGATGGCAAAGGATAGGATGCACGCCTTTCATTATTTTTTCGGTTTGCAGGCTACATCAATGACTACAGGATGATGAATACTCATACGGAAATCAAGTGGCTTGAGCAGCAACTGTGGCTTGGGGAGCTTTGGGGCTTGAGGCTAATTAGCAATTGACAAACGACAATGCCGACATGTCCGGCCTCACAGCTTCATGACAGAACGATCAATATGTGTCCATCCATGGCGTAAGACGCGTCCGCGGCGAGGCTCTCGAGGATTGCAAGTCCTGCGCCAATGTCGCAGATCATGTGATTGGCCAATGCCTTGAGGTACGTGCTTGCTTATTAGTGACCCCTGGAAACGTCCGCACGGGTCAGACTAAGTATGATCGACCAGATCTTCTTACACATGTTCCCCAGACTCAACCATCCCCGCCAAACATGATCGCGGGCCAACCTGCCCCAGGTCAGGCGGCCGGGGTGCGAGCAAGCCCAGCTGCCACGCAAACCCGCTCATCTGCTGCCACGACGGCCTGCTGGCCATCTTATGTCGGGGTTATGGGACTCTGCATGAGCCCGGCATGCAAGTCAATCAAAACAACCCTATCAGTGGCTTCTGGCTCCAGCAAAGGAACAGCGGAGTGGTCATTTGGGGTGCTCTGCTCTGGATGCCATGCTCGTCCGCCATTATATCTCACCTCCTCTTGGTGAGGTCACCGACAGGAGATGGTCGCAGTGTCACCCTGCATGATGAACTGGTGTGCGAGCTATGATTGTTTGCCTCCATGCCTCCCACGCAAGTCTTTGCGAGATTATCTTGGGCGGACACAGCTGACAAGCACTGCAGACGGGTTTGCTTGCTTCTACCTCCTGTCCCCCCATTGCACCCATCGGTGCCCAACCTACATGTGCTGGGCGCTGCTCCCACCTCTCTCTGCTTTTGCTCTGCCATGGCTGTTTGATGGATTGAGCTCGCCAGCACCCGCTGCCTCGTGCCATCCGACTGGACCTCGTGACTGACTGGTGTTGACACGAAAGCCCCCCAATCTCTAGGGAACACTTGCACATACGGCCACCACATTCGCTTGCAGATAACTCATTGCCTGCTCGCTAGCTCCGCTGCTGTCCCTTTTGTTGTTTGACAGTGACCTCGCTATCTGGACACAACATAACACACTGGTGCTTCCCTCCTGACCATGCCGCTGACGCCAGGCAGTTCGCTCGGGTGCCCGCGCTGCTTGTGAGGGGCTTGCAAGCGATTTACATATGATTCCACCAGCAGTCTAATTACCCTCCATCCGCTCTCACTCGGTCCTTACGAGGGACAAAGAACCGACAAACTCGTTGCTTGTCTTTGACACACAGCAACACCAATTCAGTCAGCGTCAAGCTTAAAGTAGGCCACACCTGCTCGGCTATGAGGCCGCGAGGTCTCCCTTCATGATGGAACTCATCCCTAGATCCTCAATGGAGATCGTCGGTCCGATAGAGCATCATCTGTTTGGTGGCTGTTGCCTGGAAGCCCATCGATGCGACGCGGTATGGCTACAGCTCGAAGGCCTCCGTAACTATCTTCTCGACGCAAGCGTTGGGCACCTCAGCAACATCATCGACGAGATTCGACTCACAGCATGCCGTCTGCGGGAGCTGGCGGACCTGTCCCAAGTTCATCAGGACAGGATCCCCGTCATCTTGAACCATCTCAACATCTTACTTCCGTGTCTGTCGCGGACGCTGAGGGATATCGCCAGTTACTACGAAGACACCACCATGTCCAAGATCAACCGGTGGAGGAACATGTACCACTGCATGAGGGATGAAGGAGACGGCATGTCCCTCGGCGGGCGATTCATGCTTTACAACTACTTTCTGGGGTCTCTCCGTGACGTTCTGCTAAGGTAGGTTTGTTGACCGATCGAGCTCATTGGCATGCAACTGACATGCTGTAGGTCTCCCAACTTTGACCTCAATGGTCTCGAGACGGCGCGCGTCAAAGTCATGCAGCTTCGAGAGAATAGAAACATCCGTAGGCATCCTACGTCGAGCTGATACCTCCGTATCTCACTAATGACTTCAGCTCCGCCACCTGCCCAGGTCGGCCCACGTATGCGCTCTACGATCTTCGCCTTTGAGAACGACCCAGTAAGTCTGTTTAGCGCGATTCCCCTCCTCCCAGCTAACAAAGAAGGATCTCCATTGGGCACAGCAGATATTCTCCATGCCACTACCATCGCGTACTGCATTGAAGAATCAGATTCAGTGGGTGAACAAACACGTTGCCCCTGTCTACCGGCTGACACGAGACAAGGTCTGTTGCAACAGGTCCGCATCAGAAATGGGGTCATCTCAAAATCCCTGACGAGTCGCGGATACTCTTTCGGCGGTGGGTCGAGACTTCAAGTCCCATGGGCTTCGCCGGCTGACATCGTGTAGCCCCTTTAACGACGACAAGATCTGTCTCATCGCCTACGAGAACGGCCGTGACTTGTGCCCGTACCTCCTCCTCCGCATGATCAATCCCGAAACAGGGCAAGCTTGGTTCTCGTTACGAGGGACCCAGGAATTGTGCATCGACAGAGACGGTTGTGTCCTGCGGTTGAAACGATGGAGCACGAAGTCGGCATGCTCTAGGCTCTGGGCTGCCCTCAGCTTCCAGACCTGGGAAGGTCAGTCCCAAATTTGGCGTGGATAATTTGGCGTGCTAATATGTGTCTTTACCAGAGCTCGTTCTGATGTATTCCTCCTTCCTCGCCCTGAAGGCGCGTAACCCAAAAGTTGTCAACGTGGCGCCCGATGAATACTTGCCAAAAGGGGAACGGAAGCTCTTCCAAGCGTGGGTGTTCTCCTTTCCCGTGTCTCGCGAAATTGAACTGATCGTAGCAAGGCGAATTTCCGACGATGGCTTCTGGCACGCCCTGGCCGTCTACAAAGACATTGCAACCGGAGGTATCCGGCTCCTGGCATCGGCCTGCGAGGGGCCACTCAAGCAGTGTCCAATATGGACGGCTTTCGGTCAGTCGTATCATGGCCATGTACCCGGTATATGTATACTGATATCGCCGTCTACAGTCACCCAACAGTCCGCCTCCCCGACGACGTGGATCAAGCGCGTGTCAAAGCACAGGATCCGCCTCACGGACGTTCAGCTGTACGTGTTCTGCCAAGATTACCGACAGAACAGGCAGCGGAAGGGAAGCTCAGGATATTTCGAGATCAACTTTCACCAACAGAAAGGGTGCGACCGCTTCATTGACCTCTTCCCAGTCCTACCGAAACGAGCAAAGACGCCACAACTCGCAGGACGATAGACGGGGTCATTTGCATGGCCGCCGCCCCTATGTGCAGGCGAACCGATGAATACTCTCGCCAAGCCGAGAGGGCCTAATTTGACGACCTGACGAATTCCTAATTAATGAGATTTATGACTTTACGATTACTTGACTAGCTAAAATGGACGCGACTACTCGACGACGGATATCCCCGCGATTGGGAATTAGGGGGGTTTACGAATGAACGACACGGATGAACGAATCTCGGAATTTTGTACGATATTTTTCGGACTGTTTTGAACCACTGAATCAAGAACGCTTATCATGTTTGTTATCGCAATTTGTTCCCCATCATGTCTCCTTCATTAACATCAATCATAACTTATGTCTTGACATCAGGCTCGTCACGGCCGACGTGCTCCTTGAACTTGAGCAACTCAGTCGCAAACTTGACCTCGGCCTTGAGGAAGTCCTGCGCATCCTGCTCGTAGGTCGCGGGGTCACTGCTGTGCTGCTCAATGTACAACCGGATAGTAGCGCCTGATGAGCCAGTGCCGGAGAGGCGGACAACGATACGGCTGCCCGAGGAGAAGCGGGCGTACAGTCCCTGGTTGGAGGAGACGGAGCCGTCGAGATCGGTGTACGAGAAGTTGCCAGCATCCGTGACAGTGCGTTCGCCGATCTTGCTGCCGACAAAGTTGGGGTCGGCAACGCGGTTCTGGAGTTCACCGACAACCTTGTTGGCGCCATCCGAGTCGACGTTCTCGTAATCGTAGCGTGTGAAGAAGGTGCGGCCGTACTTGGTCCAGAATTCCTTCTGGATCTCCTTAATGGAAGGGGTCACATCGGGCTTCTCGACACCGATACCGGCAATAATGTTGAGCCAGGCAATGACAGCCCAAAGACCATCCTTCTCACGGATGTGGTCGCTGCCAGTGCCGAAACTCTCCTCGCCACAGATGGAGAGCTTCTTGGCATCAAACAGGGCACAGAAGAACTTCCAGCCAGTGGGGACCTCGTAGACGTCCAGTCCCTGGGCCTTTCCGACAAGGTCGACAGCGCCGGAAGTAGGCATGGAGCGCGCAAGACCGTTGACACCGTTCTTCTTGAAGTAAGGGATCAGGTGGGCGTAGTGGGCAATGATGGCCAGTGAGTCACCAGGCGAGACAAAGGCATTGGCGCCGTAAATCATGTTGCGGTCGCCATCACCATCCGAAGCAGCACCGAAGGGGATGTTGTTCTTGTCCACGACCTCGACAAGTGAGTGAGCGTAGACGAGGTTGGGATCGGGGTGGCCGCCGTTGAAGTCGGGGCTGGGCTCGCAGTTCTGGGTAGCTCCAGCGAGTCCGAGCTCCTTGTCGAAGATGGCTTTGCCATAAGGGCCAGTCACACCGTGCAGACCATCGAAGAGGACCTTGAAGTCGGGGTGGGTGGAAAAGAACTTCTTGATCAGATCAAAGTCGAAAATGTCCTTGAGCATGGCAACGTAATCGGCGGTGCTGTCGATGATTTCGACCTCGAGGTCACCGTAGGTCTGCGTACCGATGGTGGAGATGTCGATGTCGGGGATAGAGGCGATCTTGTACGAATTGAGGGTCTTGGAGGTTTCGTAGATCTTGTTGGTGACCGACTCGGGGGCGGGACCACCGTTGGCCAAGTTGTATTTGATGCCAAAGTCTTCCTTGGGACCTGTAATTGATCTTAGCATATTGTCCGTTTCAACATAACCAATGTGATTCCATACCTCCAGGGTTGTGGCTGGCAGTCAGCAGGATACCACCGGTGGCTTTGCGAAGACGGATGACATGTGAAGCGGCCGGGGTTGAGAGGATACCATTCTGGCCGACGAGAAGCTTCTTGACGCCATATGCAGCGCCAATCTTGGCAATCAGCTGGACGACCTCGGGGTTCCAATAGCGACCATCGCCTCCAATGACAAGGAACGAGCCTGTTGACGTTTATTAGCCTTGTACTCTCGCAGAATCCGTACTTGCATACCCTTAACACCCTCGGGAATTGAAAGCAGAATGCTTGCCACAAAGGCCTCGCTGTAGTTCGGCTGCTGGAAGACTGTGACCTTCTTGCGAAGACCCGACCTGTGGTTGCCTGCATTAGCACCGTGGTCCTTGTTCTCGTTCTGGGGGGGGTCATGAAGATGGCCTGGTGTAGAACGTACGTGCCGGGCTTCTGGTCCTGGAAAGGCTTGAACTCTACGGTCTTGATCTCAGCCATGGTTTCGTTGCTCAAAATGTCAAGGAATTGAGATTTGTTGACCGTGGAGCAAGATGATGGAAGGAAATTGATTATGAGGGGCGACGAAGATTGGCACAATATGACGTGAGGGGCAAGGCGGAGGAGGGAAGGTCAACAAGGGGAGCTCCAGTCCCCAAGGTTCAAGTCGGGTGGGGGGGATGGAGGGGTAACAGTGCACGCCTAGAGACACACTGTCCAGTCTGCCGACACGCTCGCCTTGAACACAGTGCGATTGTGGTCCTGGCGAGACTTGGCAGCTGCAGACTAGGCCAACGGCTTGATGATCTTGCTGCACATGGGACAATATTTTCTGCATGGCGCCCAATGAATGCTTTCCAGAGTTTTCTGTTGGTCTCTGCTTTGATACCGCTGCCAATTATTCCAAGGTACGCCCGAAAATGACATTGCGGTAGTATTTCGCCTCTTCGATGCTCTCGAGGATGTCGTCTCTAGCTTTGTGCGTGCCCTTCTTGCTGGGGACCTTCTTGGAGACCTTGGGCGCCGCCCACCGCCGTGCCGCCTCCTTGATGGTTGTCACGTCGAGCAACCGATAGTGCAGGTGGTCCAACGCCTTGTCATACGGTGCCTTGCGCAGAAAAGTGCGATCCGCGTGGATGCTGTTCCCGGCGAGGAGGCCCTTGCGTTGCTCCGGAATATACTTGGCAATGTACTCGTACAGTCCATCGGCAGCCTGCTGTGGCGTTGTTGTCGAGTTCAGCACTGCTTCAGTGAGGCCAGAATTTCCGTGGGTTTTCGTGCACCACTCATCCATCTGGTCGAGGCGTGACTTGGGAAAGTGCACGATTGCATGATAGCCTTCTTCATCCAGGAGCTCGAGGTTGCCCGTCGTTATCAGACAATAAATTTCAATGATTTCCTCGGTATCGGGGTTCAACCCGGTCATCTAAAGATTCAAATCAACATACGAATCTTGTGGCACCTATCCCAGCACAACTTACTTCACAATCAATCCAAACAAGCGGATCGTCTGTTACGCCGCGTTTGGGCTGGACCGGGGTTTTTGTATCTTGAGATGCCATAGTTAATGCACAGGATATCATGCGTCAAGTGATGAAGCTGGACTTATTATTGACGAGAGGGCAGAAAAGCATCGATTTTTGTCTGACACGGGTAGGTAAATACACCTGTTAGTGTCGGTATGTGCTTCCGCCCGACACACTAACAGGCCGCTGGATGGCTAATTGCAAGCCCCTGATTGGTGCAGCGACAACAACACACAGCATCAATCAACGACACTTGGGGACTGAGACAACGAAGGCCGAACACCTACTGCCCATGTGTCCACGTGTACTAGTCTCTGATTCATCAAGTCTCTTTCCATGTCCTTTTATGTCAAAGTGTGTTTCTCCACTGTAGTCGCTCGTCGTGCCTCAGTCACCTCCTTTCTACAGGTGCAGGTTCACTCCCCTTTTCACGCTTCTTACGACATCGCACGTTGTTTGTCTACATCGAGCCCCTGAAGCCACCGCAGTAAACCATGGCGGCACTAAACCAAGGCATGTCTTCGTTGGGCGGCAAGGACGCGCCGCTCTCTGAAGCCAAATCAATGGCAAAGTCCCCAAGCGCCCCCAGATTCATCATCATTGGAGCAGGGTCCCGAGGGCAGAAGTACGCGGACGCAACGTGTTCAGCCACCGGCGGCATCATCAGCGCAGTAGCAGAGCCTATTGAATCGAAAAGGAATCGACTGGGCCGCAAACATATCTGGGGAGCTGAAGGCCCACAAGAAGGCCAGGCGTTCTCCCACTGGAGAGAGTTTCGAGACTACGAGGTCAAAAGAAGGGAGCGCGAGGCTGCAGGAGAGAAGAACGTACCCAAGGGTGTTGATGGAGTCTTCATCTGTGTGTTGGATGAGCTGCACAAGGAGGTGGTCGTTGCATTGGCACCGTTGGACCTGCACATCATGTGCGAGAAGCCCCTAGCTTGCTCCCTCGATGACTGCCTGGCCATATACCGCGCGCTCAAAGGCCACGACAAGAAGATCTTTCACATCGGACACGTACTTAGATACAGCCCGCACAATGTGCTTCTACGTCGGCTGCTACTAGAGGAGAGGGCCATCGGTGACATCAACAGCGTTGTGCACACCGAGCCGGTGGGATGGTGGCACTACACGCACTCATACGTTCGGGGCAACTGGCGCAACTCTGAGACGACGGGGCCATCGCTTCTCACCAAGAGCTGCCACGACATTGATTTGCTGCTTTGGCTGCTGTGCTCGCCAACAAAATCCGGCCAAGGCGAGAACCATCTCCCTTCATACGTCCAATCCACGGGGGGTCTACAGTACTTCAAAAAGAGCCGCAAACCCGCAAAGGCGGGCGATGCAACCAATTGCATGAAATGCCCCTTGGGGGACGAAGGCTGCAAGTACTCTGCCAAGAATGTGTACCTCAGCGATCGATACCAGGGGCTAGGGACCGGGAATCTGGACTGGCCCGTCCACATTGTTGCCCATGACATTGAGGATTTTGGCACTCGCCAAGAACAAGAGGATGCACTGACAAGAGTCTTGGAAGAAGACTACGACAAGTCTACCCCCCGGAATGTTGTCCAGTCACGGAATTGGTTCGGCCGTTGCGTGTTCGAGTCGGACAACAACGTCTGTGACGACGAATTCGTGACGATTACTTGGGACGAACAGGGAGACAAGCCCGCAAAACGCGTGGCCTTCCACATGGTGGCACAGACAGAGAAGCAGTGCGATCGCCACGCCACGTACTACGGCGAGCACGGCGAGATCCATGCCGATTCCAAGTGCATCACCGTGACTGACTTTGAAACCAAGAACGTCAAGTCGTACAACCCAAAGGTGGAGGACATTGGTCATGGAGGAGGGGATGTCGGCCTGACGAGGCAATTCGTGCTCGCGTGTGAGCGAGTCAAGAACGACGGCTGGCAGGCGGAGAGAGCGCAGCACGAGATCCTTGGCTGTACACTGGAAGACACGTTAAGATCACATGCCATGGTCTTTGCCGCCGAAGAAGCCAGGCTGCAGCGCAAGGTAGTTGACTGGGCTGATTTCTGGGAGCGTGAGGTACTTGAGGGGGTCAACGCATGAGGTTCATGGAGATGGCAACGATGTGCCGCCACAAGTAATAGAAGATCTTCAGCTAATGCACTATTCTTTCCATAGTAGGGGGGGTTTTGCTTGGTTCCACATTCTCATTGCCGTATTGCGTACCGTTCTGATTATTCCCCAACCTGCAAGTAAACCATTACCTCCCCCTGTGATCGTTGCTGTCATGGCCCTGATCACTTGCAAACCGTTCGTATGAGGTCTCAACATTAAGCCTCGGCCCTGTGAACAGATGACGCTTAGCAGTCTGTGTCGAAAATGGGCTCAGGCAAGTCGAAACGCGGCCTCAACAGAGCCATAGCCGCCTGTAGATCTTGGTCATGGTCAAGAAGTCCATGGCGCCGAAGGAAATCCACCGTCACCAGCCCACAGTTCGGCTTCCACATACCCTCTGCAAGGGAAGCTTTGATCTGCTGCACACTGAGCCAACATATACCATTGCTAGAGTTGTCCTCTGCGTTGGGCTCCGGCGTCACGTCATTGTCGAGCTTCAGGTCGAAGCAAAACCGAATGCCCGGCTCAATGTGGCCAGTCTCGGCAGCACCCGCTTCATCGTCCTTCTTCGTGCAGAAGTATATTGTGCTGGTGAGGTCGGCGGTGCCCAGCGCCTCCACAGGGATGAGAAATCCCGGGATCCCTGCGCCACGCCAGACAATCTTGCTGTCGCTCTGGCAGATGAACTTGGTTTCCTCTGCAGCCTCGCGACGGAATGTAAACCAAGGGCATTCGAAATCCTCCGGATCCATCCCTCCTGCAATGATCTGATCATACTTTCCACCATAAGTCTTTTCCTTGAGACGTTCAGAGACCCACAGGCCAGTGACGGCCCCTTCATCGTCGGTCGTGTAAGCGTTGACATGGATGCCTGCGGTGAGTACACCGAGAATTCCTCGAATGGGGGACGGAACCTTCAACCCTGGTGGACCACGCGGAGGCAGCATGATGGGGTGATAGTCTGCCGTGGATCCCCCTTCACGTTCTTTGCTTTCAAGCCACTTCGCCAACCCGGCTTTGAATCCATCTGTGTATCTCATCAGAGAACAGAAATAGTCAAGTAGCTGGTTAGCTTGAGCAACTCTCTCGAACTCGCAAGGGCCAGGGTCTGCCTGCAAGTGCATAGTCTTGGCTCCTTCGTCCACATCGAACACAGCCTCCCAGATGTCCCGATACAGATTCAGATCAACAAACCGGCAAGGGATAAATCCGATAGGATGGGGATAGTCAAGAACCATGAGCTGCCAGCCTTGCTCATACTCCTCCACGCTGAGGTTGTCCCATTGCTTGATGATAGGGGCCAACGTGTCGCTTTGGTCCGTTGACATGATGTCTCCTGCTTCTGGGTCTTCTCTGGAATTGATGTTGGATAGCGTCGTCAGGTTTGGTATGCTCAATGAAACACATTGATCTTGAGCGGTCTCGAGACGTCTGCGTGAGCCTTCGCTCCAGATATACCTGGATTCGATCATTGACTCAAGTACGTCCATTGCTCAGGCTATCAAGGCAATCCCTATGTCTTTTCGGTATACCGGTTTCAACCCACGGGAATGATGTGTTCATTGATTCAAGTGCCATCCAAAAAAAGGCCTGTGAGTCTGGATGATACCATTACCGTATCGCCAGATTCAACTCGTAGCAACCCAACGCAGTGCGTCTGGCCCGCGACGGAAGTTGGGGTTGAGCAATTCAATGAGGATGAACGATGGTGGCAGCCACGATTCGCGGCCATGAAAGTTTTGAAAGGAGCACAGCCAACGTTCAGCGTCGTGTCAAGGTTGGTGGCAAGGGACTAAGATCAAACTTGTACCTCAAGTTGGGAACCTTGACTTGAAGCCTTTGATCCTACCAGAGCACGTCTGGTTTTCTAGGATCGGTGTTTAATATCCTGCCGCACGCACCATGCACGGCTGGGGTGTAACGGTGGGACAAGCAGCGTGATGAACTTGATCAAATTGATAGCGTAAGTGCCGAGAGCTGCCTCGTAGTGATTCCTGAAGTAATGAATCGTTCTACAGCTCTGCTTTCTCTCTGACGCGTTGGCTGCACGAAAGGTGCGAGCCTGATGCAAACTAAAGCCAATGTCAATCACAACGCTCGCTGCATCGTCATCATGCAGTGTCCATGCTAATGAAAAGGTGCCCAACCTTTGCTTCAGGGCGAACCCCCTCATGCAAGCTACCATCTTAATGGTGGCTCCATGTGCCGTTTCCCATGAATAACAGTAGGCCCGCACAGATTCTTAGACAAGAACCCATGCGACGCTAATACCTACATGCACAATAAGATATCCTCTTCTCAGCGGTCATAGGCTGAATTCGCTTGGCGCGCTGCTGCTTGAGCTTTGCCTCCTTCTTTTATTGTCAAGGGTAAAGGGGCTGGGGAATGTTTCTCGATCAACGCCTCCCTGAGTCGACATCGTCGCCGGGCTCGTGTTCAAGTTCGGGGTCGGGGAACATGCAGCGATGCACAATGAACATATGAGCTCCAACGGTTCGGCACTGAGTCGATACGTCGGCGTCGTGCATATTCGTGAACAGGCGTCGAAATCGATTACTGTCTCTCCCATCTTACAGCCGCAGACCTCACACACCTTCTCGGCCACAATTCGATGGCACATGGCGACGACAGACTGATTGAGCGGGTCCTGGCAGCTTCACCAAGTACTGCGCTGTACGAAAGCGGCGGCAGCAGGTGAATGAACACTGTGATATCTTCCGACTGACGACTTGTGATTCGAAATGTCGATAAGTTCGGAGTCAGCAACTTGAGTCTTGGTCTGGGTTAGACAAATGCGGAACTTGCGAGCCTGCCTGGTATATTATACCTGGGGGGTTATGAGACCACTTCTCCTTTCGCTGCTCATAGCTGCCCAACTAGTTCACAGCCCGTGCCCGACCCTGAAAGCCTGGAATGGCCGATGCGCCTCAAATGCGATGTTGTTATTCGCTGTCACCTGATCATCAAGTGGCCTGTGACTCTTCACTGACGACATTTGCGGTCAACACCTTGCAGCGACTGGGACCTAGTTGACACAATGACATGACATGAGCCAGAACTGTATATCAACAACTAGGCAAGCTCTGGAGCTCTGGACCTCTGGAGCAGTGCCTGCCAGAACCCATCTTCCGGTTCCACTTGGTGAGGATGAGTGGGTGGGAGGATACCTGGTAGACTTCCCGAATACAGGGAACTCGTCCGTGGCTCAGCTGCGGCTTCCGGCTATCCGTCGAATGGAAACACGACGCAACCTCGCCGAGGGTACATGTGGTTCGCCCTGCAGTCAGCAGCATTGGTGTGGCGAGACAAGTGAGAGTGTGCGTGCTGAGGATGCATTGCGTCCGAGAGTGCACCAAGGGTCTAACTCTCGCGTGTCAATCCACTGCTGTGACCTACCGATCCTTCGGGAGTCCCCAAGGGATGGAGCGAATGATGCCTCTACATGGCAGCCCCTTTCGACATTATTACCGAGTTGCAGCTAAACAGGCACACTAGATGTGCAGCCAAACAAGCCAAGCTCAAGCCTTTCACGTTTTCCCGACAGCCAACAGGACCCTGGATGAACTCACCTCCCGTTAGCGCCAAGGCTTAAATCAGGTTGTGGAGAGGTTTCACTGAGAGCGAGGCAAGTTTCGATTCGTGGATAGCCTTGCCCCGTCAGTCGGAGGTACTATGACAGATGTGCCACAGTAAAGTGTTGAGTCGTGGGATGTCATCGCTGCGCTATCATCGGGATGTGCGTCTGTATGGCTGTCCAACTGAAGCGGAAGGTCGGCAAGAACATAGTTCAAGCTAATTGAAAATCGCCTGACGGACCAACGTACGGTAGGTAGGTTCCCTGTTATGTGATGGCCGTGGCTCCCATTCCAAGGCTTGGGATGCCGGGAAACAAGGTAAAGAAATAAGCCATCAGATCTTGCCAGGCTTTTGATGTAACAATGGCCATTTCAGGCTATCTTGAGCAGGCACAACAGGTACATGGTGTTTGAAGCAGAGTAAGAAGCACTCAATGGTGTCGTGGGTCACGTTGCGCCAGCCGCGACTTTGGTGGTGGGAACGTAGCCAAGTCCTCCGTGTGAGGGCCTTGACCAAGACTGAGGCTTGAAAAACCAATGCCTATTAGTCAAGTAGAGCGATGTGTCGATGGGGCCCAAGTCGACGTCTATTTTTGCTCACGCGTGTCGGTGCACCGATAGCTAAATAAGTACCTTACGTAGGTAGATGAACTAAGACAACGTTATTGGATAAAACAGCTTACATAATAAAGCGGGTCCAACCCGGCGACTGCACTGCATTGCCGACGACATTGCAATTGAGCATCTTAGACGACGAACAAGCCTCAATTGACGACCCAAGCTGCTCAAAATGTTCGCCGCACGACAGAGAGCGAGCTGTTTGGCTCGTCGATTGCCGCGAAGCACGCGCTCATATGCCAGCGACTCTCACCACAAGGCCGCCGAGGTCAACGAATCTTTCGGAGTACGCTCGCACCCGACCCCCAACACGCTTTGTTGATGCCCGCAAGCAAGTCACTGACGCATGTGATTCACAGACAGGGTCTATGTTGGCGGTTGGTTCCTTCTTCTTCGGTATCCTCGTCTACCAGATGACACCCCGGCAAGGCGAGGATTCGAGCATCACCCGGATGATGAACAAGTACTTGTCGCGGAGCGAGGACTGGGAGGAGATCAATGCGACCCACGTCAAGGCTGCCCGACAGGCTGGATTCGACCGCGCTCTATTCGAAAATGAGGTTCCCAAGGAGCGCTGGGTCGATGTGTCATATCCTGAGTATGTGAACGACAGGTGATTCGGATCGAATAAACGAAACTAACGCTGCCCCAGGGCCCTCCAATCCCACGCTCAAAGGAACAACCGCGCCGGACACATGATGAACTTGGACTCGGTCGTGGAGCACTACAGGAAGGAACATGTCAAGGACCAGGAGCTCAAGATGAAGCGGCTCGAGAAGGAATAGGAGTGTACAATACGCGACACGGATATTAGAGGTACCAGCCAATACATTCCGAGAGGGGAATTCCCTATGTGCATCACTATTGCCTGGAACTTATCTGGGTCTTCCGTTTCGAATCGATTCAGTTGATCCTCAGCCGGGTTCGTACTGACCCCTTACCTACGAAACTTCCGCAAGTGAAGGTGCCTCAACATTTACACCGACGTGGACGTTTTCTCGGTGGCTCCCGTCACTTGCGGCTGCTGCTGTGCAAATTTCCAGGGTCGGCAATAGTGAAGGGAAGGAGCTAGTGTGAATCAGGCTCGCGTTGTTGATCTATCAGGTAAGGCACCTTATGTACTTGGGTAAGTTACTGAGGCCTCGACATGACCACAGAATCCACGTTCACCTGTCATCAAAAGCCGGTGATTATCTAGCCCTGTTGTTGATACAAAGACATAGCCTCCCACATTGATAACCGCAACGATATAACAAATATCTGGCCGACCAAGCATGGCTAAACGCCTCCCATCGGTTAACGAAGTTTGTAAGTAAGCCTTGCTCTGTCGCTGATACAGCAACGTTTCGTGCAGTGTTGCGTCCTCTCGTGCCATTAGCGAAAGGTTCTTTCGACTGTCATCAGCTGAAACCTCCCAGGGGATAGCAATATTGGTGTTCTGCAATGTTCCCACAGTCCCGCCGGGAAAGCGACAATTATTAGCAGACCCTGGACAGCTCCGGTGGCTGCTCGCTTGGGCGCAGTGACGCTTCTCAATACGAATGCGCGGCGAGGAAGAGGAGTGTTCTTGAACGAGGACTCTCCTCGGCAACACCCCGTATATCTCGAAGAACCTTGTATCTCGGCGGCCGTTCTGAAACTCCCCAGACGTCCAAATCACACGGTATGGCGAGCTTGGAATGCTCTCAGTCAACACAGGCGTGCTCAGTTAAGGACCATGTTCGCTCAGTGGCTCGAATACTTGCCAGATAAGGTCGTCAAGCGCTAAGATAGGAAGAGACTGGATAAATTCGTGGCTGAGAACGGAATCCTCGACAGGCAACCCACTCAACATGTTCACGTCTTCTTTCTCACCTCTCACATCAACCACGCTTGTCCAGATTGCGCCAATTGTACCATTGCAATTGACTCGGCACATCCGCATTTGGTCACTGTCAGGCTGTGCAAAGATGTCAGAGCAGGCCAAGAGCTGTTCATTAGCTACAACAAGCAAGTTCCATACCCGTGTGCTGCTTGCAAGTCGAGCATGTGGCAGATCCTGGTCATATTCACGAGATACCATGCCAGCAGACTGGCCAAGGCCCTGTTCATGCGTCGTTAATTCATGAGCGGCCGATGGGTAGAAGCCGGTTAGCACGCGTGTGCTGTTGCAACAATCGTACCCCCAAGGAACATGTCAACAGGAACGTGCGGGCCCCAGGAAATGGTGCATGCAACACAGTAGAGCCAATATGATTTGATGAGGTTTTTTGATTGTACTCTCGTGGTAATCATTGTCATCACCATAAGGTAGAGCATTCTACCAGAACCAGCCCTTTTCGCCCTTGAAAGTCCATGAATGCAAACACCACCCAAGCCACCGCACCTTTCCTTACTTGAGAGGAATGAAACGAGAAGAGTTTGTAGCACCAATACCGGGACGGCCGTGCTTGACAGGCTTGCTGTGGTCTCGTTAGTACACAGGGTACAGAGCATTTCGCGATAGAGTGAACGTACTATGAGATGGAGAACTCGGCGAGGTAGTGGCCAACCATCTCAGGCTTGATCTCGACCTGGTTGAACTCCTTGCCGGAGTAGATGGCAATGACGGAGCCAATCATCTCGGGGACGACAATCATGTCGCGGAGATGGGTCTTGACGGGGTCGGGCTTCTCGTTGGGCTTGGCCTCCTGCTTAGCCTTGCGGAGCTTCTTGATCAAGCCCATGGGCCTGCGCTTGAGACCGCGGTTGATCCTGCGGCGGGCACGGGCGTGGACGACATCACGGAGCTGGTCGGAGCTGAGGTCCAGAAGGCTGCGTGCGCGTTAGCATAGGCTCTTGAGTCTGTTTCGTTCGACGGGGCAGTGGTGGTTCGGGCGGGTCGCTGGTCGTCGGTAGGGTGATGAACGTACTTGTCGAGGTCGATTCCACGGTAAGAGAACTTGCGGAATGCTCTTCTCTTCTTGATCTCGGCAGCCTGCTCGGCGTCCTGCAGCATCGAAAGTTAGTTAAGCGTGTCCCAATGGCCAAAATCACCACCGCGTGTGCTGGCCATCCAAAGCATCGACATCATCGATTTGAACAGTCGTCGCATCGCTGTCGTCGGCAGGAATGAAGTGCAGGCGAGGGAACAGGATAGCACGTACGTATTCGTCAGCCATGATTGCGGTGTTGTTGGTTGATGATCCGTCGCAAATCGATTCGCAGGGTGTCGATTCGCGAGACTTTTGGCCGTGCTGGAGTCGTAGTAGGTCGTGCAACTCAGGCTGTATGGAGCCAAAATTTCGAGACTCTGTAGGGTTTCTGCCCTTCGCCCCTCACTTGTGTGGCCTGGCACACGGGACCCGCTGCAACTCGTGCGCACTACGCGCCCCAACTATCTGGCCGGCGAAAAGCCGGCCCGAAGCTGGCTGCTGACACATCAAACCGCCAAGCAAAGCAAATGGAAGCGAACTTCCGGGAATGATATTCAATCTGGTGCCGAGGACCGGCCAAGTCATTGCCAAGAAGATGAATTCCCAAGTCTACCTGAAGGTAAGATTTGTCGAAGACTCGCATGACTTCATAGAGCCTGCAGCCGGCAATTGCTTCGCTAATACGTATACGTAGCAATGGGCTGCGAGACATGGAGAAATTTGTGCTCGTCCTCAATCCCATGTTGACCGGCCTCAGAGCTAGCTCAACATGCAAGACGCAACTGTCCGTCACCTCATTGATCTCTAAGCTGCAAAGAAACTCATCATCCACGCAGCTACAACATCATTTCATCATACTGAAGTCCAAGATATTCTCAAGGCATCACAAGGGCGATGCCAATGTTCTGCTAAGAGTTGTGGTGCACTAGGCACTGAGGCAGGGCCACTCCGTCTCTCATTTCTCGTCTTGGCGCGCGGTGATAAGATCCGCCAAGACTGGCCCAAGAGAACAAAACGACCCTTTGCGGGCAAGGCAAGACGGGGGTTTGAAAACACCAAGAAATGAACGACCGCTTCTCCTGCTCCGCTTGTCATTGCCTGACCATCGAGATTTCTGCCACTTGGTTTGTATAACTTCTCTACGCCGCCCGTCCGCCGCAACCTGCTCACCACAGCAAGGTGCATACCGACCTAGTCGCCTCGACCCTCTCAGACAACGGGAAGCCTGCACGCGCCACTCTTGCGCTTGACCTGTTCCACCCCAGACTCCCGGTGCAGCGGTGGAGTTGATCGGCGATCAGCTCGCCTTTTGGGGGTGCCTCATCAAGTCTTCCAGTCCTCCATTTTTTGGATGCGCTGCCCATAATTAATACCTCGAGCGAGCATCTTGCACCATCCGACGACCGCGCCGGTCTGGTGTATGGAACGACGCGAGATGGCGTCCCCATCAGAGTCAGACACTGGTGGCGGCGCAGCAGAGTCAAGCGCGCCGACGTTGACAGCTTCGCCAGCAACAGCCGTAGCGAGCTCCACGCCGATCCTCACCACGACGATCCACGATAAACGGCCAACCAGTTACCCACCGATGACAACGCACTGGAGCACACCTGACAGCTGCACCTGGACGTATGATATCAACCAGACCTTCAACATTGGAACCACCGGTCCTATTGCATGGTTAGATCTGGAGCCAGATGTTGATGCGAGCACCTTGTCATGCTATCCCGATGGAATGTTCTACGGTGGACGTACGGGAACCTTCAGCCCGGGTACCTGCCCCAACGGCTGGACGACTGTGTCTGTACGAAGAAACACCAATGAGCCTAAGTCGCTGGCGACGACCACGGCCGTGTGCTGCTCATCGTAAGTGGACAACCTTGGAATGCGACGGCGCCGTGCTAACTTGCCGTGCTAGCGAGTACTCGCTTGACGGGAGCATTTGCAAGCGCGAGATACCCACCGCGCTTGCTGTGCCTATTGTGTATAATACGACGGCCGGTACACACGACGTCCTGACCAAGGAGACGTTGACTCTGACGAGCGCTACCTTGGCTGTCTGGACAATCAATGCGCTCTTCCAGGAAGTTGACAAGGACCTGCTAGGGCTAACCGACGAGGACGAAATTCGAACCGTCGACCAGTCTGATAATGGGGGGCTGTCACTGGGCGCCCGGATTGGCATTGGCATTGGCGCGACCATTGGTGGGTTTCTAGCCCTTGGCGTGGCCCTTTGGTTATTGTGCAGGAGGAGAAAGCGCTCAAGCAGGGAGCGATCTCAAGCAGCAATGGCTGAAGATGCCCGCCTGTCTGCGATTAGGCAAAGAGGTCAAGGACCTGAACCCTCTGCGCCTGCCTACGGGCTTGAAGAGAGGGCATCCATTGAAGGAACAGGTGGTGGCAGGGACTCGGATGGGGAGATTGATGCACTCAAGGCGCAAAAGGAAGCGATTCAGCGCCGCATCGAGGAACTGGAGAGGAACGACTAAGCTCCAACACAACAGGGGCGCGATGAGCATGACTACCTGGCCGGTAGCCCGTGGGGTTTTGCGCAGCGGTGCTTATTCATACGATACCATTTTGTTTTCTATCATAGCGGGCCGATAGGGAATGGCCGGAGCATTTGAGAGCAATCTGGCTCTAGTCTAGGGGTCATGTGATGAATTCATGACTGTTTCAACTTGTCCCCCGCCACTCTTCTAAATACGCGAGAACACATTGAGGCTCGACAGTGCCTTGCCTGGCCACGCAAACATGGTGTTGGAATTGCAGGAAGAACCCAAGGCTTGGTTGTCCACCCAAGCTGGCTCCCAGTAGAACAACCCAACACCGCCGTTGACGCCAGCCACAACGTCAGCTACCTTTTTCACAAACTCGCTCTGTCCCTCGGGCGTGAATGGGATGCTGGACACATCGCTCGGGAAGGGGTATTGGGGCGAAGGGCAAGAAGTTGGCCAGTTCGTTTCAACGACCAGAAGCTCCTTGCCAAATGTGCTCGCCATGTTCTTCAATGTCGACGCCAGGTTGCTCAGAGTCGCGTCTTGGCCGTAAAAGGGGTAGAACGAGACGCCCATCTGGTCAAAGTCACTCGACAGCAGCGGGCCCTGGCTGAGCACAGTACTGTAGAACCACTCTTGGACGCCCCAGTCCCAGCCATTGTCGAGGTGAAGCATGATTTTTGGCGGCGGGCTGATGTTCGAGTCTCGAACGCCATAGCATCCAGAATGCAGGAGCTGGGCGATGTTGTAAGGGTTGTCGTAGTGGCCAACAGGCCACAAGAGGCCACCCCTGATCTCATTACCGACGGAGATGATGGATGGGTTGACACCGGCAGCTGCAAAAGCGTTTGATACCTCGAGAGTATAGTTGTAGAGTTGCCACGATAGAGTGTCAATGTCACTACTCCAACCAGAGGGGATCGCCTGGTGAGCCGGGTCGGCCCAGGTGTCACTCAGGTGCAAATCCACATAGATGTCGAGTCCAGCAGCTTGAGCGCGCTTGGCGATTTCCAGGTTATAGTCGAGATTGTAGTCGCCATTGGAAGGGTTCACCCAGACGCGTTGGCGGACAGTGTTGACTCCAGCGTCGGCAAGGATATTCTCGAGTGGCCGAGAGGCGCCAGACGAAGAGGTGTAGGATATACCGGCAGCCTCTTCCACTAGGACGGATGACCAGTCTACACCGACGTACTGGAGCGCCGAAGAGGTGGCGACTAGCGACAGCAGTATGGCTTGCGCTGTATAACCCATCGTGACTGTTCTACGCAAAGATGCCGAGATCGAAGCATCCTGAGAGCAGAACTGATGAGGGCGCCATTTCAATTCTCCTCTTTATATGTGATTTGTCCGTTCCTGGTCGTCCACGCGGATTGGCGGAAACAATTGCCGGCATCGTTTCATGCCGGTGTTGTAGGTTTCAAGATTGGAGCACTGGAGCTCTACGGTCCGAGATACCATACTAGGATATCATACTCATTAGCCTACAAATCATAGGGTTCACACTTCGATGAACCCCGCATGCATTCCTTTTCCGCCGCCATCAAGTTGCATTTACGATCGGCACATGCCTTGAGATACTACATGTAGTCAGTGGTTGACACTGACACGTGTTACCGCGCCGGCAGAGATCAAATAGGCCTATGCTGATCTCATGAAGTTAACTGTTGCGGCTACTTGAACCGTCTAGGATTGAATTACACTGTCAAGGACAGCGGGTAGACAAACCTTTGCAACTTTCCAAAGTGGTACGCCTTGGAGATCCCTCCTTGTACCTCTAACTTCCAATTGTTCGCATGATTGTAGCTAAAAATGACATGACCGGCCACCTTTTGTGCAGATGTGCAGGCACCAGTGGTGGCCTCAAGTAACATTGCTGCAACTGGGTTTGACTGCAGTGTAAGACATTGGCTATTGATGCCTACAGAGATTCGACGTGTGGGATCTCAAAGAGAAGAGAGGACGCATCTGCTCGTGTGCGCGTTTGACGTGACAAGGTGGACTACAGCACGGACCTGCACAATCTACCAGTAACATTGAAGGTCCAAAGAATAAGGATATGTCTCACGGACAATCTTCGCACTGATGGTTACGAGCCTGAGGTCTGACGTCGTTTGAAGTTAGCTTCGGTAGCGCCCGTTACCCCGACTTGTGCCTGGATCGCGAATTGGCCAGCTCTGTGGGGGAGACAGGCCGCACAATTACGGATTAATGCATTGTGAGGTTCGATGCGTGTTTGTCTGGAAAAACGTACCGATACAAGGCCAGCCTTCCAGTTTGTCCTTGACGAGGAACGACATCAAATGCGACGAAGTCATCACCACGAACATGAACTTCAACATGGTGGTGGGACTTGCCAATCGCGCTAAATCGATGTGCCGCCAGCTCAGGGGTAAGACCAGGCAGTGGACTTTCTTCTCCAGCAAAGCCAGAAGGATTGAATGCCGCCGTCATGAGGTTCCAAATGCGCTGATAGCTCAATGGTATGTCACGCGATTATCGCATCTTCCTTGCATAGCATCGTAGGTGTTTCAATGTTGTTGCGCTATCAAAGGCTGGATGGAGGCTTGGCTGGTAGACGCGACTGATGGAGCCAACAGCTTGAGGCAAGCCATTTGGTGGCCCCCTGGGGGTCTCCATCGTCAGGGGTTCGTCGGCAGATGTAGTGGAACCTTGTCTATGGTATAATTTCATTGACGAAGCATGTACTGCTACCCTCACCGCTCACCGCTAGCTCCATCTGACCCCGCCAAGTGAGCCCACAACAGAAATCACGTCCATCTCAACCACTTCTCCTCTTCCTTTCTCCTCTGAACCTCCGACATCCGTTGTCGCTCGCAGTATCCTCTCGGCTTCTCCTCGAAAGGTCTCGTGGTATTATAACCCATCATGAAGGGCGAGGTATGTTGCCGATCAGGCTCTCTTCGAGTCTCGAGATTTGGACTTGCTCCTGTGATATCTTGGCGCCACTCGCCCCCTGAAAGACATCTGGATGGAATATAGAAGGAACCAGGACTGATGCTTTTATTTGCAGATTCTTCACCTCCACGTCGGCCAGGCCGGTACCCAGCTGGGTAACTCTGCCTGGGAGCTGTACGTCTGACCTCAACTTCGGCACCGCGACGAACGACCAAGCGCTAACCAGCTATTGACAGCTACCTCCTCGAGCATGGCCTCGGCGCTGATGGTCGTCCCGACCCCAACCTCAAGGATGTCGGCGACCCAGGTTCCTTCGAGACCTTCTTCACAGAGACGAGCAATGGAAAGCATGTCCCCCGCGCCCTCTTCGTCGACCTGGACCCTTCGCCTATCGACGAGATCCGCACGGGCGACTACCGCCAGCTCTTCCACCCCGACATGTTGATGAGCGGCAAGGAGGATGCTGCCAACAACTACGCTCGTGGTCACTACACCATTGGCAAGGAGATGGTGGACAGCGTTGTCGACCGCATCCGTCGCATTGCCGGTCAGTAGCGCGCGTTGGTACCAAGGATGACCCGGGTCACTAATGTATCCACAGACAACTGCGGCTCCCTCCAGGGTTTCTTGATCTTCCAGTCTTTTGGTGGTGGCACTGGTTCTGGTTTCGGTGCTCTCCTCCTGGAGCGTCTGTCCACCGAGTACGGCAAGAAGACCAAGCTCGAGTTCTCCGTCTACCCTTCGCCCCGCGTCTCGACCGCCATTGTTGAGCCTTACAACGCTGTTCTCTCGACGCACAGCACCATTGAGAACTCCGACTGCACATTCCTCGTTGACAACGAGGCTGTCTACGACATCTGCCGCCGAAACCTCGACATCCCCCGCCCTTCCTACGACCACCTCAACCGCCTGATCGCCCAGGTCGTTTCCTCCATCACCTCGTCCCTGCGCTTTGACGGTGCCCTCAACGTCGACCTGAACGAGTTCCAGACCAACTTGGTCCCCTACCCCCGTATCCACTACCCCCTCATCTCCTACGCTCCTGTGGTGTCCTCTGCCAAGAGCCAGCACGAGAGCTTCAAGGTCTCCGACCTCACCTTCCAGTGTAAGTATCCACACAACTCCTTGACCGCGAGAGCCAGGCTGACAACTCCCAGGCTTCGAGCCCAACAACCAGATGGTCGTCTGCGATCCCCGCAACGGCAAGTACATGGCTGTCGCTCTGCTGTACCGCGGTGATGTTGTCACCCGCGACTGCAACTCTGCTATCGCTGCTCTCAAGGCCAAGGCCTCCTTCAACCTTGTCGAGTGGTGCCCCACTGGCTTCAAGCTCGGCATCAACTACCAGAAGCCCATGGCCGTGCCCGCTGCTCCCGAGGATGGCGGTCTGGCCTCTGTCGACCGCTCCGTCTCCATGTTGTCCAACACCACCGCCATTGCCGAGGCCTGGTCGCGTCTGGACCGCAAGTTTGACCTCATGCACAGCAAGCGCGCCTTCGTTCACTGGTATGTTGGTGAGGGTATGGAGGAGGGTGAGTTCACCGAGGCCCGTGAGGATCTCGCTGCTCTCGAGAAGGATTACGAGGAGGTCGCTGCCGACAGCCTCGAGGCCGAGGAGGATGTTGAGTATTAAGCGCGCCCCCAGAAGTAATTCCGACACCGTCCAATGCCTGTCTCAGAGCTCAGAGCTGTCTGACAGGTGGCATGGCTCGGCTGCTCGGAATCTTGAGCGAGGCGGGCGGACATGGCATGGTAGATTCCATTTGTCGTTAACCCTCTGAACGAAAATCTGCTTTGAGTAGGAGAGTCTTTGGCGCCCAGTGGAATAGATCGGACTGTCACCTTACTACTTATCCTCTTGTGTTTCTTTTCTTCAAGCAAGCAGGTTCAGATCAATGTTGATATCCATTTGATAATTCGAACATACTTTCGCAAGCGGCCATTCATACTTTGGAGGCTTTGGCAGTGCTGTTGACCACAATGATTGGCAATCCGTTTGAATCTTACCAAGTCTAGGTTCTACTTTGACGTCTGGTATACTCCATCGGGGTTGTGAGAGACTCAATGTGCGCAATTGTACACTATGACTAATAGTAAGTGCGGACTCAGTCCTTCTTCTTGCTTCTCCACTCCGCAGCCCTGCGCGTGCCTCGGCCTGCGGGCTTATGGTTCTTCGCCTTCTTCTTCTTCCCAAACTTCAGGTCCTTTGGTTTGCCAAACTTAACCGAAGCCCTGGTTCCTTCAAGGACGATTTGTTCTGGGGTCTTCATGCCTTCGGTGACGTCGACCTGAGGGCGCGATGTGGCACGGTCTTTGCCAGATATCCGCCTCATCTCCTGCGCGGCACCGGAGCGACCAAGCAGTTTGCCAGCACGACCAGCCTGCGAAAGTTCCTCTGGCGTGAGCTTCTTCTTATACTTAGTATCCTTGCCAGCGGACCGGACATTGCTGAACTTCTCGCGTTCACGCTCCTGGGCGAGCGCCGTCTTGCGAGGATCCTTGGCTCTGGTGACTCGCAACAAACGAGGAAGCATGGGAGGAAACTTCTTGCCGTCGAGCAAGAGGGCCGACTCCACGCTGTTGCCGTCCTGAAGATGAGTGTCAGTTAGGGCTTTCGCGCACATAGAATGGTGAACAATACGTACGTAGAACTGGACGTAAGCGAATCCCTTGCCTACACGGGTCTTGGGATCGCGCACGACGCGGACATTCTCGACCCTACCAGATTTGCTGAATGTCCGCCAGAGGCCCTCCTCAACATCCGCAGGCACCTTGTTGCGCTTCTTCTTGACCGTTTCACCGTCTTCAGTCGTGTTGAGGACCGACTCGTCATCCATGAAGCCCAGGTTGCCCACAAAGACACAGCGTCGATGCGCAGTAGGCGTGGGATGCGATACGCTATCCACCCGGATGTGCCTGCCCAGGACTTCCGAGCCGTTCAGCTGCTTGATCGCCTTGTTGGCCGCGGCGACACTTGAAAAGACAGCATACGCATTGGTAGATTTTGTAGTGGCCTCCATAAGTTGCTTCGTAATAAAGGCAGCTCGCTTAGGCATGGATCCGGCAGAGAAGGCCGTCGAGCGGAAACGAATTGACTCGACCTTCTCGCCAGCATCGGCATCAAGAACCGAAGCCAGATGGGCAAGTAGTGTCTTCTTCTCCGCTTTCGAGTTGATGACAGCCGAGGCAACATTGGCGAGAAAGACCGTGCGATCGGCCTTCTCAAGCTCGGATGATTTGGTATCCTTGGCCAAGGACTCGTGCTGGGGGATTTTGTCGTCCTCGTCGTCGTCCTCGTCAACGACCTTGTGGCGTTTCTCGGCGGGCTGGTCGTCTTTCGTGAGCTTCGTCAGGTATTTGTCCTCCAGGTCATCGTGCTCGTCCTTTCGCTTCCGCTTCCGCTCTTTAGGAGCTTGAGCAGCATCGGCTGAGCTCGACGCAGGCTGTTCAGCGTGCTGCTCGGAATCTGACATCGCTGCCTCGTCTGCATCTTCCGCGCTTTCTTCGTCCTCCTCCTCCTCTTCATCTTCTTCATCCTCGTCGTCATCGTCGTCGTACTCTAGCTCGCCGCTGGCCTCGGACAGGTCTTCATCGTCGAGCATCTCCTCATCCTTCTCCTCATCCTCGTCCTCGTCTCGAGGGGCTCCATTGGTCTCGATATGGGCGATTTTCTCTTCAGTCTTCGGCTGACGGACTTTCGACGGGGCCTGAACCGGTCCAGCCTGTACTTCTTTTAGTCATCATCTCGTAAATCCTCCCTCTGGTAGCTTACGCTGCTTGCGAAAAGAGCGTCGAGTGTGGGGTCGATCGCCTTGGAGGAAGCTCCAAGCTTTCCCGTTCTGGGGCGCAATTGATTAGAATTCCTCAAAGAAGTTGATGGCAGGATTGAAATACCTTTTCCCCATTGTGTAAGTCGCGTAGGAACGAAGCAGTCCTAAAGTTCGTTCACCTGCACTGCGCGGCTGTGTGTACTTGCTCGGTATCCAAGTTTGCATCGAGAAAAGACAAATTTAGGTGGGACTTATCGATAAGAGAGTAGGCTCTTTCCATTGGCTGGGAACGGTCGCAGCGCCAAATCCCGTCCCCACTGAGGTCAGCGGCGGGTGTGGATGGCAGACTGCGCAAATCGGTCTGCTCTGGCAAGGCAAAGGTCGTGTTCCGTGCCTCCAAGTCCGTTCCCCAAGCCAGTCAGTCAGTTCCTCGGTCACATCACCTGCCTACCTCCATTCCACCTCCCCCACCGCATCTTCCACCCTACGGACAAGAAGCAGCGAAACGTCCATATTGCAGCAAACGGTCATTACAACATTTGCTCCCCAGACCTCGCTGTCTATCGCTCACCACGACCAACAACGTTGTCGCGAACGAAGCTCGCGCAGGCCCGAGCGCGGTGGCTGTCCAGCTCAGTTAGATTGAACTCCACGACTCTGCGCCGCTTTTCTCTCCCCTCCGGCCGATTATACAAAAGAAGATAGCTATTACAAACATCTTGTAATGGCGACGCCTGTCTCAGCGCCGCCCGGTCTGTCCCCTCCTAGAGGGGATGGGGTGGAGCCTGAGGATAGTAATATTTCGAGCCCTTTGAGCGATGTCGCAAACGATGAAGATATGGATACGCCAATGGCAGCTGGCGATGACGACAGCGAAGACGCCAATTCCCTCTCGGGGGAAATGGCCGACGCAGCAATGGCTTCCGAAGACGAGAGCGCGCTCTCAGACGCTCGATCGGTCGGTCAGTCTGAGGGCAACGACACGGAGGCTGAGACGGAGCGACTCTACGACACACCACAGCATCAGAGATCACGAGACGTGGTAGTCGACCAATTCAACGAAGACCATGTCTATGAGCATACGCCAAGCAAGCTACGCCGCGAGGCTCTGGCCCAAGACGAGGAGCCGGCTGACGACCAGTCCTCAGCAGAGGATGACGCGTATAGCGGGGGTGACAAGAGTGAGACCGAGGCATCGCCTAGTAAGGTTGCGACGACAAAGGATACAAGCGTCGATGACGAACACCAGCAAGACTCGCAAGAGCGGAAGAGGAAGCGGTCATTGGCGACCGATGGATCGGATCCAGATCAACCACTTCGAAAACGAGCCGTCTCCGTCGCCCCCGCCAAAGACAAAGACGAATATATACCAGAAGAGACTGTTGCTGGCGGCGAAATTGAGTTGGACAATGAGCGCAGTGGCCCGCCTTCTGTTGCGGACGAAGTCCCCTCTCCTGAGAAGACTGATCTTGAGGAGACCACGGCCGAATTGAAATCTGCGGTAAGGAGGAAGACTACGCGTAGCACCTCGCGGCGCAAAGACAGTGACGACGATGCTGGCGGCGCCGCTGCCGACCCTCAGGTAGAGCGGGACACGGAAGCTGAAGCAGAGACCCTACAAGAGCCATTGGATGCCGAAGCAGAGGAAGAAGCCGACATTGCTGCCAAAAACGCCGAAGAGGGTGAGTTACGTCAATAACTGCCCAGAACGAAGTACTGATTTTGCAGCAGCAGAGCGGAAGGCGGCAGCTTTCAGAGATTGGTCGAAGATAGAAGAAATGTTTGGTGTCTTCAGAGATAAGTCCGTCGAACCATGGTCGCGATCAGCAAGGCGAGCTGTTGACAAGTATCTAGGATCTACAAGACACGATTGCAAAAACTCGAGAACGAAGAGCAGTCTCTGCTTGCAGACGAACCGACACATCAAGATTTCGTCGACATGAGGAAGTGTCTCGATGACCGTCTGGAGCAGAAGTTGAAAGAAATCGAAAAGGAGCACGAGTACCGGATCAAAGCCAACGAAAGGAAGTTTGTGGCAATTCGCGCCCAGGTCTGGGGGCAATTCGTGCAGGGCGTCCGAGAAAGGCGAGAGTCAGCTCTAGAGTCTCTGAACAAGGATTGGTACGATGTCCAACTCGCTAGGCGCAACGCTCACAGCCTACCGGACTACGGCGTCATCTTCCCCAAGGATCCAACACAACGCATCAGGAATGCGGTCGCCTACAATACCGAGGTGTCCACGCTTGCTGGCATTGCCAAGTACGAAGGATTTCCTGCGAGGCCAGACATCAGAGGCGCATCATTGTCAGAAATCCAAGATGATTTTGCTGCAATGGAGGTAAGCAATGTTAGACCTGGCAGTGTCCGTGGTCTCCGCTAACAGAAAATCAGGCGCGACGCTCGCGGCAGAGGACCGTATATGCTACGCGCGACGACTACCAGACTCCGTCGTTCAACCGTTTAGGCCCTGCTGGGGAGCAATTTTTGAAGGAGACACCGTGGGCAAACCCCAACCACTCCGCCCATAGAATACAGGAACACCAGCAACAACAACCACAGCAACACCGATTGCAGTCGATTCAAGCCGATGGCAAAGCCGAGCAGCAGACGCTGAACGTGGGTTCGCTATCTACCGCAGCCATCGCTGGGAATGATGCGCCTGTGTCACAACAACGATCGCTCGCAAACTCAACGCGACCCCAAGAGACACCGGAAACAAGCAGAACACCTCTGAAGACCTCGAACCCCATGAAACGCACAGCACTGCCAGGACCATCGCGAGAGTCGAAAACCGCGGCGGCGTGACCGCGGCGGCGTGACCGGGTGGCTCACGCGATGACTAGCCATATGGATGGTGTACAGCGGTTGGTGGTTTCTTCTGCATACTAAACTTTTGATACCCGGCGAAAACTGGATGGTTGGACTTGACAACATTAAATGAGCATTCCGCATATTGGCAGGCAAATGGAACAGGCCTGGACGGACGACTTTTGGGCGCACATGGGTTTTTTGGGGGCATATACAAGAGGCAGTAAGCGATGCATATGGTTCCGGCACCGCATTGGTTATTTGTACATTTCTTTTTCTATTCGTACATTCCTCGGTGGTGGTCGCTTTCCACGCAGTGTACATGAGTAACTAGTTGTGTATCAGGTGGCCGATAGGAGCATCCGCGGGCAAGCTTAGTTCCTACTTCAGCATGAGTAGGATTACTCGCTGATTATCCCGACCGGCTCAATGTTACAATTAATCTCATGCATGTCGTTTCATTTGGGAGCAGCAGGTGCGCGGGGTGTATCGGGAACCTTGACGTCCTCGAAGTCGTCTTGACCGACTTGCTTCAGTGTATATCCGTCTGTGACATGTTAGCCCGTAGGTCAGTATCTAAGTGATTCCAAGACATACAAATTACCCCAACAACAGTCAGCAAGCCCAGACCAACGACGGCATTCTTGACGATGTATGGCCTTCTTGCGCGCTGGAGCGCGGCTCCTTGGCGGAATTTACGGTCGTAGTATGTGGACTGAGGGCTGAGAACTGTGTAAGCAGCATTTTTCACCAGTTGAATCATAGAGAAACTTACACGGCCATTTCGCTGTTCGCTCAGTGCAGGACTGACGATGCGACAGAAATCCATTTCCTGATGCTGAATGGGATGACACTTAGTTGCTAGGCCGGATTTCAGTGCTGACTAACAAAGGCAGACAGAAGTCACGCTACAGCTTCGGGGCCTAGGCCGTTGGAGCGTCCGATTGTTTCTGTCACCCACATCCTCTAAATGTACAAGGGTACCCACCGCGTCTTCAATCGCAACTCAATTCTTGAGGTCTAGGACCCAGACCGAGCAACCTTTTGTTGCAGCTCACGGTTTAGCATCAGCAATTGACGAAGTTTCGAGTCATCGAGTGCGACAGGAAATCCGAACGACGGCACTCAACACCTGACGACTATAATAGAGTATGCGCGGGCGACGGAAACTTCTCTCACCCAGTCGCGTGCGCTGAGAAGCGCAACATATCGCCGAAAGAGGCATACAGCTACCACAAGCTAGACACGAACCTTGTTCCATCGATTCAGAGCTCAGCACGTGTGTTCGCCAGCTCTTGCGACGCAAACGATCACGCACAATGTCCGCTACAGCGCTATCCATACCCGAGCAAATTCACCAGCTGAACGACGCGCGCAAGTTGGTTCTCAGCGATGTCAAGCACTACCCCAATGTTGTTCGCGGAATAGTGCCAGTGATCAAAGGCACCTCAGCTCTCGAACTGCGACGATGGGGTGCCGACTTTTTGGCGGAAGCCTTCGCGACTCCCGCGCTTCCAACTGGCGAGAAGGAGACAATGCAGCCCTACGTCATGGAGTGGTTGGAATCGATACTGAACAACGAAAAAGAAGACATTCAAGTGTTGAGGAGCGTTATACAGACAGCCGCCAGTATTTACCCGCTGGCCATGCGGTGGACGTAGGTGATCTTGGGCTGGGACGAATTGCGCCTTGTGCTAACTCGCGATGCAGGATCAATAACTCGTACGACAAAACCACGTGGGACAGGATGATGGCAATCAAACAACGTATACTACAAATTTGGGACACCTCTGGAGCCAGTGTCAAGATCTGCTGCGTCAAGTTCGCGCAACGGGTGGTGTTAGCGCAAAGCGTCACCTCTGGCCACGAAGCACGGGTACGGCAACAATTGCAGAAACAGGCGCGACTTTTCACTAACAGTGTGCAACAGTATGGCGGCACGCTTGATGTATCGCTTGACAAAGTGCCTCCCAATCATCAGCTCTTGAGCACCCCGAGCCTCGAAGCAGAAGGTATGGGTCTTTTGGACCGTATGCTTGGTGTATTGCATGAAAGCAGGTAAGAAATGTGGCCTAGGCATGGCGAAAACGATACTAATGTAGCGAAGTGACGCCCTCGTCGTTGACGCGACAATCAATTGCTTATCCATCCTCATTCGCACACGCCCTGGCACCTCCTCACGCATATTGAATGCCCTCTTGAGCTTTGATCCCTTGAAACTAGCTGATGGCCCCATGACATCGAAACAGAAGGTCATGGTCAGGTCAATGGAGAAGACAACTCGCATGCTCCTCATCCATCTCAGCAAGCGCGACCCCCATAATCCAATGGTGCCACGTATACAGCAGCATGTTGAGCGTATGATGCGGGCCGTTGTTGACGCATTCGATGGGACGGGCAAGAAGAGGCAGCTCGAGGCCCCGGTTGGAGAGGCCCAAGGTGTGAAGAGACAACGGCTGATACCAGCCGAGGTGACAATTCCTCCACTTGGCCCAGGACCACACAGTCTCGCAGACGTCTATGCCCTCACAGATGCTGCCGGGCTCAAATCCTTCGACATCTCGCAAGTGCCTTCGCCATTAATAGCCAAGCTTGCCGTGAGCACGCTAGCCAGGATAGACCCTCAGCTACTGGACAAATCGATAGCTGCTGTGCGAGATCGTCTACAAGCATTGGCTGCCGCCCCGGCCCCTGAAATCAACGCGAACACGGCGCCATTGGGCGTAGATGATGATGACGACGACTACGAGCCCGACTTCTTCCAGGCAGAGGACGCTGAGCAGATCCTCAACAAGCTTGATGGCGCTCCAGCAGGTTCGCACGAGCAGGCTGCCGTGGAGGGTGCACTGGGCCTGAAGACATTCAATCTTCCACAACCTCCTCAATTGTCACCAGAGTTGGCCCTCACTTCGGGCAACGACATTGTAACTAGGGTTCTGGACATGACCAAGACAATGGACGAACCTGGGTCGAAGAAGGGCAAGGCAGGATTCGCTCGACTTGCGGCCAGTTCTGGAATCCGAGAGTCGTGGTTGACGATAGTCACACGACTTGCCACGCGATCATCAGGGGGTCTAGAGGGCCCTTTGATCAAGGGCGAGGACGACCCAAGCCACACACCATCACTGAGCGAAAACATCCGGGATGTACTGTACAGTTACATCATGGAGGACTTTCGAAAACACATTGACATCTCTGTCTCCTGGCTTACAGAGGAATGGTACAACGACAAGATGCAGAGCAAAACTGGCGGCGATCAGCCTATGCACTACGAAGAATGCGCACTTCGACTCATAGATGGGTTTTTGCCATTCGTCCACCCCCAAGACAAGGTCCTGACGCGTTTTCTGAGCGAGCTGCCCGAACTGAACGATACTATCCTAGCACGAGTCAAGTCGCTCTGCAAGGATCCTAGTATCGTTCAATTGGCCTTGACCAGTCTGTTGTATCTGGTCATGATGCGGCCACCTATCAAAGAACTAGCCCTAGACACCGTGCAAGACATCTGGACAGAATGTAAGTCGTCGAGGCTACAGTAGATCGACTCAGCTAATCATGAATCCAGACGAGGAAGCGCGACCGATCGCAACGAAATACTTGACAAAGTATAGACCAGCCTTCATCCAGGCAGCGAACGAGGGCACGGACAATACGACGGCTGTTGCGACTTGAAGCCCGGGTTGAGTCACGTCAACCACGAGACCGACTCGCGCGGTTCAAGATCGGAGGTGTTAGTATTAGCTGTAGATTTGTACCAGGGACTATCACGAGCATTGGGAGGCGTTGTTGGGCCATTCAGGATCTGAGACCGTTTCAGGGGATCATGCAGCCTCAAATACACTGCGAAAATGACTTTTTTTCTGTTTACATTGGACGAAGAACCGTAACATGGTGAAGGTTTATTCACTTGACCTGCCTAAGATACCCATTAGGAATCCCAAGTTATCAAGAGGCGATTGACAGCGGTGGTAAGTCGAGAAATGCTGGACTTTGTGTCACGATGTATTAGCTTGAGGGCCGTCAGAAGACGGCATGTCTTATTCGAGCGCCTACTTAGAAACAAGGTCTCACCTGACTTTCACTTGTCTGTGACCACTGACCGACCGATATCGTCAATACTTGAGCCAATGTTCCCGAACATCCTGGCCTCGAGCTCCTGATGTCTTTAATTGACAGTAATGTCAGATCAAAGTGTGAAAGACAGCCTTGTTTGAATACAAATCAGTCGGTCAGCCTATGTACTGGCAGGCATCGCTGCGGTGCGTCGGCGGTTGCTGGGCCATTGAGCGGTGCGATGCGGTGCGGCGTCGAGCAGGTACATGGATCTGCGTAAGGGTCGGTCGGCAACGGCAGGTTTGATTATACGTACATGCGGCCCAGGACAAAAGCTTTGTTGACCTGAATTTGCTCTTTTTGTTGTCTCTACTGGTATTTTGAAAATCAACGCTCTTGCTCGTCGCACGAACCTGAAAGTCTGTGCTTTGTAACAGCTTCACCCGCCATCTTCAGAAACCTCGTCTGCCTGTCTTCCTCGCGATAAACAACCCACGTCACGAGTTAGACGTCACGAAAAAAAAAACGGTCCAAGCCTTCTATCAGCTCCCCAGGGCCAACGTGCGCGACACCACCAAGACTCCAAACACCTGCGTCTATACCTTTATATCACGAGTCTCCCAGGGCCGGCCTGACCCGTCCCTGTGTAGCCAGCCCAATTACCTGGACACAGTCGTTCGTTCCGTCACGTTTTCTAGGACGAGATCGCTACTCCCTCCGATACCCTCAGCCCCGACATGCGCCATAACCGTCTCTTCAGAAGGGCTTTCGACATACATCACGACGCTGCAGCGCAAAGTAAGTGCGGAACAAACAAACGCGCGAAGTGGCTGGCCCAATTGGTGCATCTACCTCGCTACAACTGTCCTAGGCCAAGCAGTCGCACGCCTTTTTGTACCTAGGTATTGAGAAACATTGCTAATCCAACTCTCGACGCAGGCGCAACTCATACCTCCACCGACACTGATTTGAATGAACCCACGCCGGGACCGCTCTCTACTGCCTCTCCTGGCTCGGTCAATAGCATGAAGAGTCCCGTTACAACCGCTCCCAAAGCCGCGTCCGTTGCGCGGTCATCGACCATTCGCAGCGTTCGAAGTCGCGATTTCGATTCTAGTCCCCAAAGCAAAGAAAGCGTTCTATCAAGTAGTGTTCAAAGTCACGGTACAAACGCGTCAGAGATGGCCGCGCCACAAATAGACAGATCATCGCCGAGCGTCAGGTTAAAACACGAAGGCCCCCCAGAGCCGGCCTCGAGGTGGAACAGCCACGCTGGCAACGTGAGAGTGGTCGACGCGCCGACGCCGGGAGCAGGAGACTCGTCCATGCTGTCAGAGGGAGTTGATGGAGGCGACGCCCAATGGGACTCGACTGTTGGCAAGGCCGGGTTAGGGAAGACAGGCCGGGTCATCAACAAGCTTGTTAGCGACAACGATGCGCTGAAGCGCGATATCAACATCGAGCGACTACGGGCGGAGGAGTCCAAGCAAGCAGCTAAACTTCTCGAGGACAAAATGGATCGTATGGTGCAGGACTACGAAAGTCGACTGTTGGAAGCCAATGTCACAAAGACTTTGTTAGCGCGCAAGGAACGACAAGTGGAAAGTTTACAGGCAGCTGTCGAGCTCGAGAAGAACAAGACACAAGCTGCACTAACGCGTGAGCGAGGCTGGCGGGACGAGCTGGAGAAGGTGCAGAAGGACTCGACGACGCAGGTTGAGGAGGCCACGACACATGCTGCGCTCATGGAAGGACGCTACAATGCTATTTCGTCACATTGGAGAGACCAGGGAGAGGAAGTCAAACGCGCAGTAGCCAAGCTCCGGGCTGAGATTAGCAGTCTGGTCAAGGAGCGGCAGGTTGACGACACCAAAATCCAGACTCTGCGTGACCTTTGCGAGCAGCAGGACAGCAACATCAACGAACTACGGCGAGAGAAGGAGCAGATTGCACGCAAATTTGAAGAGTACAAGAAGACGCAAGATGATGATCTGAAGAGCATCAAGGTCAATGCGCGTGAAACAGAAGCAGAGCAACAGAGGATATTGAACGAGGCGGGAGAGACACTGAATAAGCTACGGTGGGCTCTGAACGTCAAGAAGAATGTCAAGGGTGCTCGATAAGTTGCGGGAGCGCACCTCCACTGCTCGGGATCCTTGGGGGTCCAACTGATGGACCCCAATGTCGACACCTGTCTCGATCTATCTTTCGCCGATATTGCTTGGCGAGGATCTTACACTTCACAACTTCTCCTCGCCTGGTGTCACTGACATCCTACTCACTTTTTCCCATGGATATACGCACATACTCTCGGCGTTCGGCAAGGCTCCCAATTTTGATATGGACCTCTTTGCCATACCCTTTTTGGGTTATGGCTCAGTATAATGAATACCTAGAATTATGGAACACAAAGACTGCCTCGCATAGTGGCGGTCAGCATCATTTGGATTTCGATAATGACAGCGCACGAACGAACTCATTTTGGTCTTTGGAAATTACGAAGTATGCCCCTTTTCTGTGTCACAATGCTCTTTGCTCAGTCTCCCGCGTTTGCCCATCTGATAGATCTCTCATCAGTTATACAAAACGATACATGTGCTATCAGTGTTTGCCTTGCTCAGGTTTAGTTTGGTCCAAAGCCTCTCGGGATTCTTTTGGATGTCCTGATTCCCTAAGTCTTCCCTTCACGCAGGGTTAGCTTGGAGGCTCCGATGCACCGACATATCTGAAAAGTACCTTAGTGATTCTCTTTGGACTTCGATCTGCCCTGTATCACTCTGACAAGACACACGCCAACGGTTCTCGCGAGTCCTTCTGTCTCATACCCTAAAGCATTCACCAAATGCCCCAAGCACGTAATATTGAACACTCTCAGAGTTGTCCCGCTCCAGTGCAGTCCCATCTCTCGTCTGGACTTTGACCGCGTGCCAATAAATCCGGCCGACCTCCAGCCTCCCTTGCTCAGAAGGTGGTTCCATGTGTTTCCTTCCTCCTGCCCCCGTACTTTCCCTTCCTCCTTCTCTCTGCCCTTCCCCCTCTGTTTGTTTCTCCTCTCTCTCTCTCTCTTTCTCTTTCTTTCTCTTTCTTCATCCCCGCACAAACACCCCGACAAGGCCTTGAGCACACAAGTATCACCCGGGCAATCCTAACGTCCGTGAGATCGGCTTCCCACCAGGAACTCCAACCCTGGTCAGACTCTCGAACTCGCTTGGCGGTTGGGAGTGCTTGATTACTTCCATCTATTCGCCCTCCTCCCCGTTTTCTTCCTCCTCTCCCTCCTATCCCTCCTCTTCCTTCGCATCAGCTGTTCGTTACACAATCATGGCTGCCTCCGGCGAACTCGGTACGAACCTTGAAGAGACATTTGTGTATCTGAACCCGCCACTATCTCCTTCTGGTGCACAGAGAGTGATACATTTCACTAAGTCCACCCTCGAGGTAAGCTGCCAACTAATACATTGCTTCTTCTTGGATCTAATTCTCTCCTTAGGACGTCGTGGTAGACATTGTGTTCGAACCAGCGTCGAATTGCTTGAGAATACATGCCTATCCATGCGGTCTCCACAACATACGCAGCCAGCTCGCGTTGCTCATGACAACCCTTCATCGAGAAGATGTCTCTGATCTGGATGACGGCCTTGACAGCTCTTCAACCGGCGCAGGCCCAGCAGCCTCTGAGACCACGATAGACAGTCCTTTTGTCGAATGGAGCGCCTACCAACCTCAAATTTGCCCAGCTCTTTACGGAGACCTGTTGTACCCTGAATCTCTTCATAAGCACAGCTTCAAAGTCGTGTGGTACGGTGCGGAAAGATTGAGGACGACCGTCAGTCAATTGCTTGAAGATGGTCGGGAGACTTGGCTTCGCCCTTTTGTACCACGATCCCTGGAGTCGCTAGAAAGCAAATGGAAGTGCGAAATAACATGGAACGTCCCCGAGACTATTCTATATCTAGGTGGTGAGAAAGATACAGTGACGCTGGTTGTCCAAAAGCTAGACCTCCTGGTCCAGATCACTGTACGCACCCTCCTCCAACCCGATTTCATCGCTAACACTCCGCAGCATCCATCCAATCCAATCCAGCGGCACTTGGTCGCTGCAAGACAAAAAGCTCACCTTGGGTGCAAGAGCTTGAAACTATTGTGTCTCGACCGGAAGACTCTTGTCGTAAACGGTCTGGGCCAACCTTCCAACAAGGCTCCCAGCGGGGCGTCATTGCGCCTGGCAGAGTTCGACCGCCAGAAAAACTCATGGATCAAAGACACTACCAAGTACCAAGACTGCCACGCAGGCTCAAAAGCTGTAGTAGCGCAGAAGTCGATTCGTCAAGACGCGACCGAAAGCCCGCTCAAGTATCTAGATGCTCTCAAGGCATGCTTGAGTGCTTTATCGGGTTTCCTGCATCGAGTACCGGGTCTTGTTCACCTTGAGCTGACATTTGGCCGAGTGTGGTTAACAAATGTCGAGTCACGCGAACTTAGTTTGGAGGATAGGGCGAACCCGACGTGGACAGCAAAGCAAATGGAGCAGGATCTCAACGATCCGACGATGGGCTACAAGGACGACTTCTCGCCTATTTTGACCACTTGTTGCGATGATATCCGCTTGCTTCCCAATGCCACGGCTCGCGGCGAAACACACTGGCGAAAAGAGCCCGAGACTGCGACGACATATGTCATTAGGTGTGCCACCAATGACGAAGATCCATTCCAGATCCATGTAAGTGAGGACAGGAAGTTCATCCGTTTCTTATCGATGCGTAAAGAGCTTGCTGCCACCACTGTCCACTGTCCTCAGGCGGCGTGGGATATGAAGCTTCGAGCGATTCGACAAGAGCCATTGAATATGAGCAAAGGCGGGCGCGCTCAGAAGATAGCCGACGGAATGGAGACATTGTAAGTCGGCTTGTTTTCTTCATACTGTGTTTCGGTTTGCTAAACAATTAACAGACAACAAGAGGGAGGTGCGCTGACGATGACCTTTCCGAAAGGGCTGGGCTGGTGCATTGAGTCTGTATTTGTGGTTCACATGAAGTGTTATCACAGCAGACAAAACAACAGTAGCCTTCTCAAGGTTAAAACTACTCGACGGCTGCGGCCCTTTTTTGAGGATCGGAGTCAGTGGTGCAGCTCTGCGGTTGCTCAGGTCTCAGATGTCTCTGCAGCGCCGACAGAGTGGATCGAGGCATCTATCACTTCCTCTATATTGGAGTGCTCTCTTGAAGAGAACGTTCAATTGGAGTTTGGCCAGGCGCCGGCGTGGTCCGTCACGAATTTGGAGACAGCAGGGGCCTTTGATGATATTTGTCGTCCAGCTTTGGGCATGATTGCCCGTATGGATCATGTCGGCCAACGTAACATCTATTCGGAGAGTGCTTCCCGAGGCTCTCTGAGCACGGCGAGACAAGGAGACAATGCCGAGCGGGAGGGCTATGCGTACTGGTAGCTGGGCAACTGAACGCGGAGACGACAAAGAAAGGGGAGAGCGGGCTGGGCATGAATGATTTCATGTGGCCAAGGCAAATTTCGCTATATGCTCATTCCTGAGGAGGACTTGGTCATGACGCGTGGTTTGTGCTTGCTCGCGAACCAGATGGACGAACGCTGGAGGCTTGCTACGGCACAAGTAGAGATAGAACAATAGAAGCGACATGTCGTAACGCGTTGTTGCTCTTCTCAGGTGATGCAGTTCTCATCTATAATCAACATACGTGATGTGTGGCTGGTCATGGTGAAGAGCACTGTAGTATCGAGTGGCTCAGTCCTAACGAGTTATGCAGTGTTGAGGCTCACCACTGCGAGTAATGTAGCACTGTTGTTGAACCTCAATCAGGGCTCACATGCCCAATTTTGCTGAGCTTACAACTGACCCATCGATTGCCTGCCGTCTGGCTGGCCAACTCGTTAAAAAGGGGTACACGTTTGTTTACTTCCCCGCCGCCACTAAGCTTCGGCCTCTGCTCTCCGCCAACAACACGAACGCAGTCGATAGGAAGCACTTGTCTTGAGCCTGCACATACCAAAGGACCAACTTGATAGTGGTGTTGATAGGTAGGTTGCTGCGAGCCTTTACACCTTCAGGATCACACACCGTGTTGGTGGCTGAAGTCCGTTGATGTGGGATACCCCCCAAGATACTCAAAATATCCCGCCCGCCACCTTGACATTGTCTTGCTACAGACATGTGACCAGGGAAACAAATGGTCTACACTCGCAAGATAGTTCACTGCCAGAGATCGCCGCGATTGTCACCTCATGAAGGTAATGGATAATTGGATACTGCGCGGGGTGAATTTTCAGGGTCTTATGAGGCATTAGTGATTGGCTGCAGGTTAAAAGAGGATGCAAGAACGCGTCTGTCCGCCGTTTGAGAATTGCAGATCAGATCATCAGTCTGGCCGGCTACGGAGCTCATGTTAGCCACTCAACCATGGTTTCCAAGTTGAAGTCTACTAAGATGCTGCAACTGCGTGCGTATCAATCAGCGCAAACTGGATGTGTAGAAAGGTGTCGGGTAGGCAGGCGGAAGAAATGAAGTCTAGCTTGCCTTATGCTTGCTGCAGGGTCCGCTACGATCGTACTTTGTACGTACGTAGCGTCGTGGCCCGACGCCGCCACCACCTGACGCGTTTTAGCGGCGGCATCGCCGTGCTAGCCTGGCGCTTCAGCGGATCTGGATCCTAAGCTCAGGCCTGAAGTGGACACCGAGTGGGCGCGTCTCCCTGACAGGAAGATGAAACCCCCTGCTATCGCTTACACAAGTGACAAATGTTGGGCGGTTGGGCTTTGGCCATGCTCACCGAAGGAGTGGCGTAGGGTCGCAACGCCCCAAGAGAGAAATCCGCGCTGGTTTGCACGGTTGAAGCAGCGCGGGCCAACGCAGTCGCCCAGAATGTCGCGATAATGCCTCGACCGGCATCCGTCTGCGCCCGAGTAATGTCAAAGTCAAACTGCTGAGCGAGAGTCGAACAACAAAAGTGTCCGAGTCAGGACCGGCGCTCCGTCACCCCGCACTAGCGTGCCGACTGGATTCTGCAGCAGCGCAGCGCCCCCCGCCCGCCCGATTCGTCGCCTGGACGTGCCCTGAAAGCCGCATTTACAGGCCGCTGTCACTTTATCGATTTTCGCACAGAGTGCCTAAATCTGGGGACACCCTTTTCAGCCCTTCACATTCCAATCCTTCCAGTCTTCCCGGCGAGACTGAAACTTACAGGTGACTACCTTACGTACTGACTTCTGACTTGTTGTGTTTGCAATTTGCAATTTTGCACGCAGGCACGTGAATCGACTGGAGCAGTGTCGGTCGGGCAGCGGGCTAAGAGGTTCGCTTGGTCGCCTGAAGCTTGGCGTTTATCTGAGACCAGTCCAGTCTGCTGATTCAGTCGAGTCCAGTCAGCTTTCTATCGACTTTCTGTTAATCATTTCGTCCTGGTTCGTCGCGAGTCGGTCTAGACTTGGACTTTTCGTCAACTTTTCAAGTTTCCGTATCGTTCCTTCCCTGTGTGGTCGCCTCTCGCGGACCACATTCCCCGTCGTCTTGACGGCCTCGCGTACCTCGAAACCATCTTCCTCGGTCAATCTCGCCCCAGGTCCTCCCTCATCGCCGTTCTCCTCTGCTTTGCAAAGCATCTTGGCGATCCGAAACTCCCAGGGCGCGCTTGACTCGCCCTTTCCTAATCAACCTCCTCCGCTCAGCCACCAGTTCTCTGCAGGGAAGAACCATTGAACCCGATCTTCAACCAACGGCAGCAGCGAGCCGTGCTTTTGGCGCACCACGCCCTAGGGCAGGTGATTCGAAATCTCATCACCGAATGGTGGTGGCTACGCATTATTGATTCTTTGACCGTCACAGTCACACTTGGGGCTGCTACTGCGAGTGACGCTCCAATCGGGAGGCAAATCTCGGTCGTTTGTTGGAGGACCGGCACTTGACAGTCCCAAAGAATCCCTCAGGTCTTCAGTGGACCACTCCAACTCATCACACCAACATCCAATCCTCGACTTCCGGCGGCCACCCCACCATCCTTCAGAGACTTGGCTTTCGCTGACAGCACCCGATCACCACCCGTCAGATCAGGTGCCACTCTCAGGCCGCCTGCATCTGTGCGTTCGCGAAAAGCCTCAATCTTCTTCCCAAACCACATGTCGCCTGGAGCGATTCAACATGGAGCCCGTTCCTGAGACGGAGCGCATGGAGGAGTTCAGGTCGTCTCCTGTGCCTTCGCTGCGGCTGAACCCTCCGAGCACCATTCCACGACTTGATCTCGACACTCCGTCACACATACAGTTACACCAGAAGCCACCGAATTACCGTCGAAGCACCGACCCGAGTCCTACCTCACCGAGCACCTCGAGCTGGTCAGCCGCGGCCGGCCTTCCCTATCGACCACGAACGACATCGCCACTCTCTGGCGTACATATGCACTCGCGATCACGGTCGGCCGCTAGTCTCGCGCCGCCCATGTCGCGAACACAGTCTATGCCGGGCATTATTACCAGCAGTTCCGGCCAGTTCCTGCTGTCGCCTCAGATGCAGCGTCCACAAAGCCCTGTAGGGTCTCCCAGCAGATCAAGGGCACCCCGCAAGCCGCTCGACGAGGCCTTCCCTCCATCTTCGCCAGTGCGAACCTCTGTGCTGGATTCGAGCCGTGGGCATAGGGATAGGAGCAGCTCTCCTAGTCTTGGGTCGTCAGCCAACATTGGGACTCGAATCCGAAGACCAGTTTCACCACTGCGAAGCTTTGGACAGTCTAGCGCGAGCTCTGTACTTCCACCACCATCTACGCCTTCGTCCATATCGTCGTCTCCATCACATCGCCCGTATGACACCCTGACGAGCGGCTATGGAGGGAGTCTCTCTTCGATCCCATCGACCCCGACATCGGCGAGATCACGCAGCCCGAGTATTTCCAGTCTCGAAACAATACCCGACTCACCAGACGCCGAAGAAGCAGCGCTTGAGGCCGAGCGCGTGGCTCAGCTGAAAGCGGCCGCTGAAGCTGCGGAAGGCGGCGACTCTGCGGATGGCAAGAGTCGTGGTGCCCTTGACGTTCCGGCGAGAGGCCGCACCATGACATTTGGGTCCCGGGACAAGCGCAAGAGGTGGAGCGTCTGCGGTGCCGAGCGTCGCGGCGATATTGATTTGGAGACGATCTGGGAGGATTGAAACCAACCCACACTGAACGATGCACACAGAACGGAGTTTGGAGGTTTTTCGCAGCCTTGGTTCATTTCTCTACCATCGCTTTTCCCCTTTCTTTCACGGCTACTTGCCTCAGCATTACTTATACCAGGCATTGTGGCGTTATGTATCCTTGTTTTGATACCCTCTTTCTTTTACAATCCACCACGTATCGTGCGTCTAGGAGGACAGGCGCAGTGGAATCATTTGCATCGTACTTTCGACAGCGGAAATTATCACCCGCGGGTCTCACTCAATGGAACACGGGAAATTCTACGCAATGATCTCATGAACTGTTCATCTTTGCATGTATCTGCTCAAGTATCTTATTTTCCGGTCGAGGGCGAGCTTATAGAGTAGTAGGAGCCCTCTTCTCAATGTCTCACTGTGCACCACAGCCCTTCAACGCAGTCCAATGCGGCTCTGTGTCTCAGGTTTATATGGCTGATATCCCTCAACTGATATATGCCCTTTGGGTTCCCTTTCTAGGAGCAAATATTGGACTCGACTGCCCAAGGGTAGACTTCGCCAGCGCAACATGAACGACCTCGAGCATAGTATATATAAGAAGGCTTGTCGGCAGGATGAGGTTTCCCAGCAAGCTCTTCCATTCTCTGCAGCTCCAACCCATCTACTCCATCCTTCTCTCGAGTCTCTTCTTCTCCCCGTTCCTCGCCTCAGCTCTTCATCATGCGCTTGTCCACAGCATTGTTGGCTGCAAGCTTCGCTGCATCAGCAGTTGATGCTGCACCAGGAGCCAAAGGGTTCAGCAAGGTATGACAGTCGCTCCTCCTCTCAAGAAGATGTACTTATCAAGTGACAGTGGTGGCAACGGCAAGGCGCCAGCAAATCCCACGTTGAGCGCGAAGCCCTTCGCTACAATGAGCAGCGCAAGGAGCACGAGCTGCACCGCCACATGCTAAATGCTACCAATGCGACGTCCAGCACCGAGGGCCCTCGGGAGTCTGCCACCAAACCAGCGGTGATCAAGTTACCTCACGATGTTGCGTCGGTCAGTCACGAGGTCGTGACCATCGACTGCCCTCTGCCCCCTGTTGTCATCTCTGTCACCACGGTCGACGTTACCGTGACTGTCACTGCCGAGCCCAGCATCGGGCCAGATGTGCCAGGCCCTGTTGCCGACAAGACGGTCGTTGTGGATGAATCAACCACGTACACAACCGACTGCGAGGAGGAAACCATGGCTCGAATGACGGACGAGGTGGTCGTCGACTCCACCAGATACACGCCCACCACAGTCCTTCTCACCACCACCACCCTCGACGAGAACATGTCCGCCACTACTATCATCATCACCGCTACTACGATTGTTCCCTGCGAGTCGGAGACAGAGACGTCGACGCCCGGCGAAGGCGAGGAGCTGACAACCCAGCTTACGACCGTGACGCCCACCAAGCCGATCCTAGACCTGACAACGTCTGCCAACTCCACCTTTGTGGTCTCGTCGACGCCGACTCCCTTTGTCTCGTCAGTTGTCTCGACTATCGCAAACTCGTCCAGCATCGAGTCTACCCCTGAACCATCGCTGACCGAGAGTACGATTGTGCTTTCCCCGTCTGCCACCCCGTCGTCTTCCGTGATCACACTCTCGCTCACGACGGCCACTCCCACGCCCATGACCTCGGAGCAACTGACCACGACCGAGCCTCCGCGTACGACGGGCTACCCGCTCATCTGCATCGACACCTGGGTGACCCCCGTGACCACCGCCAAGATGTCCGTGACACCGGCTCCTCTGCCCGAGCCCACCCGCACCGCCTGCGCCGACGACCACGAGACTGGCGCGCCCGAGGAGGCCGTCCTGTACTGCGGCATCCACGGTAAGCCTGCCGGCGTTTATTTCCTCGCCGAGTTCATCGAGGAGAAGTCGGGCGTCCCCGTCACGGAGGAAGGGTGCTTCCAGTTCTGCGACAGCGTGATGGAGGCCACAGAGGGCTGCCAGTCATACCGCTTCTACCACAACGAGCTTGGTGCGCCCCGCTGCGCTCTGTACGGCATGCCTGTCGCTGCCGTCGTCGATGATCTCGATGAAAGCCAGGACGACGTGTGGTACGACTTGAAGTGTGGCTCGCCTACCGAGGAGGGCTGGCAAGACGAGACCAAGACCCAGACGAGCGAGTCCGTCACGACAAGCACAGCCAGTACTCCCGAGGTCCTAGAGTCGGTCAGCTCCAGCAATGTTGTCGAGCCCACAAAGACTGCCAGTGACGCGATCGAGGCTACCACAACCGCCCTCGCTGAGGTCGACCCGACTACCGCGGAGATCATCGCTTCCGAGACCACCTCGTCAACATCTACCATGATGACCCCGACCATGGCCAACAGCACCAACTCTGGCAACGAGACCAACGACAACGCCAACAGCGGTGATGCTGCCGTCGACGACGGCAATGTCAACTCGGGCAACGCAGGCAACAATGTGGTAGGGGACAACAACTCGGGCAACAACCAGCAGGGCAGCCCGGGCGCAAACCTCATCGACATTGACATTAACAACTCCAACGGGCTGCTGTGACCGGGGGCAGCAAACTCGAGCGCACATTTCTCAGATTCGGTATAACTGAGTACATAACTTGGCATATAATAATAAGTAGGTAATACAAGATGGGGCAGGAGGAAGGGTTTCATTCCGGGGATTTTGGGTACCGGTATTTTATCATAGATAATGCTACAATAATACGTCTTCCATTGTTTCAAGCACCGCGCGCGCCTTTCACTCCTCGAGTACATGCTTTCATAACTACTAGAAGACCTCCTCACAGGCCAGCACCCTGAGCTCCCGCTTCCCCAGGCTGTGGTAGCTGGTCGGGACCAAAGGACATGGGCAGAAGCTGCTCGTGTCAGTCTGTCTCCTCCAAGTAGGCGGCTAGTAGAGTAGCTCACCTGCTCCAGCTTGAGGACGACATAGTTCCCGTCCTTGTCAAACATGAATATCGGACACTCTAAGGGCACAAACTCCCTCATGCTACAGTCCGCTAGTCAGTCAAACGATGAACATTCCCTTTTCTCTCCTGGGGCAAGGGCTCACAACTGCCGGCACATGCCGCACGGACTCGCCGGCGGGCTAATGTCGGTACTCACGCCCACGGCCCGGAAGCCCTCGGTGTGTCCCTCGACGACGGCCTTGGCGAGAGCCACGCGCTCCGCGCACGTGCCGACGGGGTACGAGGCATTCTCCACGTTGGCGCCCTCGATAAAGTCGGAGGAGGAGGTCAGGAAGGTGGCGCCGACGCGGAAGCGCGAGTAGGGGCAGTAGGCGAGCGCCTTGGCCTGGGTGGCGGATGTGCGCAGCGTCGTGAACTCGGTGGGGGAGAGGCCAAAGTCGGAGGCGGGCGAGGAGTCGTTGGACGGGTAGATCTTGGGCTGGGCCATTGTGGATAGGAGAGGTATTAATCACACACAGATAGAAAGCTTATAGAAGGCTCATAGAAGAGAGTACTTATGTAGATGAAGGAAGATGGCTTATCGTGAGGTATGCATTTCATCACACAAGATGCTGACTTGGTTTGACTTACCCTACGGCAGACAGGCGGAATGCGGCGTCGCCCGTCCATCCGTCTCTGCCGACTCCCACACACAACGCCAGTGCACTCCGGATGCGTCCAATGTTCGTTCGTTGCTATTATATGTATATATGTATCTTCCCGCATGGTGTATCGTCATATACGGCGCGTCTTCTGCCATGCATGCAGGTAGGTATGTATTCTCATGACGCACGTGCCCAACGCCAACAAACTCCCGATATCAACGAACGCCATGCTGATGGATGATGTGCTATGCAGGCCCTGGCAGAGACCACGCGCTACTGGTTGCTCCAGTCCAATGCTGACAAAGAAAAAGAAAAGAAGACGATAGACACATAGAGGCGGGCGTATGTATGCCATCTCTGCATGTATCGTATATACCCCGATCATGGTCATGATCATCAGGGGATCGTTTCATTCGGCTGTGCGGCGTGCTGCAGCGGCGGCCTCGACGTCCCGTAGGCTCCATGTCGCCAGGAGCGAGGAGCGGTACAGCGATTTCGTCTTCTAGTAAAACCCGTCCGCGCCCGCGCTGCTCCTGCTCGACGACGTGATGGGCGTCGACTGCATCGAGCTGCTGCCGTCGCTCGGCGTGGCGGGCTCGACCACCTGGTTGCGGATGGTCATGATCCACTCGTGCTGGAGCAGCTCCCTGGCCGACGACCGTCGCTTGGGATCCCGCGCAAAGCACCTCTTGAGGAAGTCGATACCTGACCCGCTGAGATGCTCCGGCGACGGGAGCTGCGGCGGGTTGCCCTGCGCAATGTTGTACATAATGGCCCACTCGTTGTCGAGGTTGGCCCACGGTCGGCGCCCCGTCGCCATCTCCAGGATCACGCAGCCCAGAGACCAGATGTCGACCGCCCCGGCCCGTCCGGGGTTCTCGCCCTTGATCACCTCGGGCGACATGTACATGGGCGTGCCCGTCATCGACTTGTTCGGCTTCGTCGCCGTCACGTCGGCGGCAAGGGTGCGCCCCTGCCGGGCAATAACCTTGGCAGCGCCAAAGTCCACGTACTTGATGATGCCGTTGTGGTCCAGCAGGATATCTAGCGACAGCGTTAGCGACGACGGATACTCTCTCTCGATGGACATATCCTTGGGGGAACTCACTCTCCGGCTTAATATCCCGATGGGCAATGCCGCTCTCATGCAGATACACGAGACCTTCCAGCAGCTGTAGCGCGTACACCATGATGACCTGCTCGTCCTCGATGCGGCCATGCTCGAGCAGATTGGCCAACGAGCCACCCGAGCAGAACTCCATAAAGATGTAGACGCGGTCGCGGTGCACCTCGATGCCGTAGTAGGATACCACATTGGGATGGTCCAGCACTTCAAGGACACCCATCTCCTCGCGAATCTGCTCCGCAACGGTCGGGATGAGCTTGGGGTCCTGCAGTCGGATCTCTTTGACTGCCATCAGATGGCCAGAGTCGAGGTTCATAGCCGCGTACACATTGCCAAATGTCCCCCCGCCCACAAAGTGGCCCTGCTGCCAGCGCATCGTAATGTTGGTGGCCGAGGACGACAGGTACGCGAGCGAGCGATCAGCCTCCGTGTTCGTCTCGAGCACCCGGCCCAGCGCCTGCCGCTCCGCCTCCTTCTCGCGCCGGAAGCTGTCCAGCCTCTCCAGCTCCTCGAGCCGCGCCTCGGTGATGCACCTGGACGCCTCCTCGTCGTCCAGCATCCTGTTCTTATCCAGCCGTCTGAACTGCCCGACGAGGGCCTCGATCCTGTCCTTCTCCGCCTGCGCCGCCAGGTTCGAGCGCGCCCCCATAATGTCAAAGTGCGAGATGAGGAGCGACATGCAGCCGGCCACGCGGTCACGCAGCAACGCATACTCAGGGTCGCCGAGCGCGAGAATGTGCCGCCCGTGGGTCATGCCCATGGCAAACTCGAGCGCCTGCACGGCCCATCGAAAGGTCTTGCGGTCCGACGCGATGCAGTCGTCGCAGATGAAGCTGACCCAGTCGAGCGCCAGCTTGGTGAGCTTCAGGTTGTTCATCTGCCGCCGGTTGCTGTCCATGGCCACCAGCGACCGACGCCCAAACTCGGTCGCAAACAGGAAGCACGTCTGCACCAGCTCCTGGCAGCCCTTGCCCTGGACCTGCCGGCGGATGGCCTCCACACTGTCCATGAACGTGTTGGACAGCCTGTACATGACCCTGCGGATCTCCATGAGCTTCGTGTGGACCTTTTGAATGGTGGGCCTGGACTCTTGGACCAGATCCACGTGCATGTCCACGGCCTCGAGGAAGGCCTTGCGCGCGTTGGGCAGCGCCTTGGAGGAGACGGCGCAGAGGCGGGCCTGGCCTACCTTAATGTCCAGGCTCTGCCACTGCAGCGGCACTGTCACCGTCTCGCTGAACCAGTTGAACGTGTCCTCCGGCCGCAGGATTAGGAGGTAGTGCTCCTCAAACTCCTCGGGGAACCGCTCCATGTTCGTGACGGCCATCATCTCCGGTATGTCGTCCAGCCGGTCGCGCAGCTCGGGCGAGGCCACGACGAACAGCCCGTCCGCCTCAAAGAGGTTCGTGTTGACGTGGAAGTGCCCCGTCGCCGCCAGCTGGTCATAGAACTTACGCATGCGCTCGGGCGAGAAGGAGATGCTCCAGTCGGACGCATTCTCGTAGTTGTTGCTCAGCGTCTTGGTAAACCGCTGCAGCATACGCTGTCGGATGCGCACCGAGTCCAGGCACGCCTTGTAGCGCTTGCTCATCTCCGCCGGGCTCTCCTTGGGCTTGACCTGCAGCTCCTTCTCAAAGGTCTGGCTCAGACGGTTCAGGGCCTTGAAGGTCAGCGAACTAAACTGCTCCGCCACCTCGATGTTGCCCCGGTGCAGGTGGTTGCCAATGTCGTTGGCAAAATCCCACTCCTGGAACAGCAGCTCGGCCTCCTTGAACGTGTTCTTGTTGCCGCTCAGCTTCCAGTTCAGCATCTTGAAGTAGTACTTGAGTGCGTCCAGCACAACTTGGTCCAGCGACTCGTCGATGAACGGGGGCAGGTCCCATCCAGGCTCGGGCTGTGCGATCGCCAGAAACTCGCCCTTGATACGGATCGCGAATTTGAGGAGGAGCTGGAACTGCGCAATCATCTGCCCTTGCATCAACGGGTTCTGCTGGGCGGTCTCCTTCACCCGTCTCGCGTACGCCAGCCGTGTCTTGGTGATCTCCTCAATGAGGCGGGACGGGAAGCTGATGAGGGTCAAGAGGTCCTCCAGGTACGGAGGCAGGTGGCGCTTCGAGAATGTAGCCGAGTTGCTGATGAGGGTCTCCTTGGCTTTCTGGATGATAGCCGAGATGGGCCGGAGCATGCCCTGCTGCGTAGAGCCTTCTGTGTCGTTGTAGAGCGACTGGAGGCCATCCTCCTTCATGAGCCTATCGACGAACGAGGTCTCGTCGCTGCTGATGCCGTTCACCGCGGGCGAGCGCTGCTTGGTCAGGTGGAAGTCAAGGTCGTCGTTGCCGACCCATTTCTTCAGGATCGCCAGCTCCGTGTTGATCATTTCGTTCGTGTTGTACCAAGCCAGGATGGTGTCGTATGCCTCGTGGAAGAGGGGCGAGTCGGCAGCCTTGTGACGGGTGGCGAGCAGTCGCCACGATGGGTAGAGGCTCTCGCACTTCTCAATTTTCTTGACAATGTCCTTGACCTGCTCGTGGGGGGGCTTCCCGACTTCGCTCTGCCCCTTGACCGAAAAGTTGATAATCTCGTCAATGGTGCGGTCCATGGCGCCGCGTGCCTCCTCCACCATGCGCCTCTGCACCGGCAGGTGACGCCCACACACCTTGGACCGGATGCCGAGCCACATCTCCCAGACCTGGGCCGTCTTGCTCGCCGCTTCGTCGGAGGAGCCGTGGAGGCGCTTCTTCTCCTGCCGCACCACGTCGCCCGTCAACACAGCCTCCAGCATGCCGTGCCACTCCAAGCGCTCCCGTGACTCGGCATCCTGCAAATCCTCCTCGGAGGGTTGCAGGTCGTCGTTTCCATAGAACATGATGGTTTCTTGCTCGTAGGGGTCGTCGAATGGGCCCTCTGTCGAGGGCGTGTCTCCCTCGGAATCCGAATCGTTGCCTGTCGCCATATTTTGGTAGGACGATGTCGAGAAGTATTCCCCGCCATTGTCTTGCCTGAGCTTTTGCACGTAGGCCCGCTCCTGCGCGCGGAATCGGCTCTCGCTCTGTCTGGGCCGGGTTTTTGATGTCGATCGCATCGTCTCGACAAAGGACGGTGTCGTCGGTGGCATCCCAGGCTTTCGGGACGTCGCAGGATTGTATGTATTAGAAGGTGTCCTGGTCGGTCCCATTGGCCGCTGGGGACGAGCGGCGTTGCCGTGAGACGAAGGAGCATCGTCGCCTCCACCGCTGCTGCGCTGACTCTTGCTTATGCCATTAACAATAGTGCCCGGCGGCAACGACGCCACCGGGCCGTTGCCCGGGTCCGAGTAGTAGCCCAGCTCTCCGACCTCATCGTCGAGTTCACCGGCGTGGAGCTCCTCGCCGTTCTGCGACTCGGGAGGCGAGTCTGCGGACTCTGTGGGCACCACCGTCGGTAGGGGGTTCTTAAGATCGTCACCGTTCGGCTCGGCCTCGCCGCTGGAAAAGCGTACACCACGCGAAGAGAGATTCGACATGTCTGCCTGTCGTTTCCGCTCGAGGACTGAATGTTCGTTCGGGCTGGCTGCCAGTCGTGGTGGTGGTGACAGGCCCTCGCTGGCGGCGCGCGTCCGCGATTGGGCTCAAGAGAGTGAGGAGAATTATCTGGGACGGGTCATCGGTTCGATCTGTTGGGGATGCTGCTCCAAGAGGTCGTGGGATGAACACGGTGTGCTCTTGGGTTTCTCGACGCTCCTAACCACAGATAAAGACTGCCCAGGAAGGGAGGGATCCCAGGTGTTTGCGAGGTGCCTGGCCGTGATGGACAGACAGGACGAACGACGATGGGATGCCCGTGCCGCGTGTCAGCCACTTTTGCCTGTGATAGAATCAGGATTGATTGAGTTCGGGACCTTGACAAGATGTGGCTTAGCCGGCTCTCTGCGCAGCTGTGATTGGCCACTCCTGATTAGTCATTGCATCTGTGGCGCAACCTTCGCTGTTCGCGCCGTTTCAGTCCTTTTGCTAGTGCTACCAGGTAGGGTAAGCTCGATCCAAGCTTCAAGCCATCACAGATCTCGATCGCCTTCTCATTTCTTCGCCTAGCAACTAATTAACCGAACGTTAGTTAAGTATCTACCTAACCTACTCGACTTCTCGCTCGAAATTCGCAGTCATCAATTACGACCTCGCAATTGCCATCAGCCAACGAGCGAGCTGAACGACCAGCTGCAGCTACCTTACTAACTAACCTTAGCCCAGCAGGTCTAGCTTCTTTTCTCGTCAGCCCCAACGCAACGGCAGCATGTGCTTGCAGCTTCGACCTGTGATTCTCCCGAGATCACTAGCTGTACGACGGTGGGGCTTTTCGTGATCTGCGATTCAGTGTTACTTCTTCACCGGGGAGCTCATGCGGCATGCTGTGCACTAACTAACTTGAGAGATAAGTTATTAACGTGCAGGAGGCCTAAGTTAGGCTCTAGCATCGCTCGCCGAACGACTGGCACGCGTCGTTGCCATCCATTATCATCATCTTGGCTTCTCAACCCGGCCTACATTCTGAGAGCACCCATGCGGGACCATTCACCTTCGTACTCCGTACTGTGGAATGCATCATCCAGAGAGGGGCAGCATTGCCCTCACAGATGGCCAGTCTGGTATGAGGGGCGAGCTCCCCATGCCACCGTTACACACGGACTCGAGTTGCTTCGCGAGGGGTAATTAATGCTCGTGAGATCTTGGGTTACGTATCAGAAGACCATCTGTGTCTATATGGCAGCGGAAGGGAGAAAAAAATGGTGTCGTCTCTGTCCCGACTCCCGATGTCCAGGTTCGCATCCTAGCCTTTCGATCATGACGATTCTCCCGTCAATTGCATCGGGCCTCCCTGCGTATGATCCCCTGCTTTGACGTCCTTTTTTTTTCTCTCTGGCCCGAGAGGAAAACCCCCATTCTGGATCCTGCATGCGGATAGCGACCAAGCTAACAGACCCCCCCTGTGCTAATCAGTAGTCAAAGCGCACCGCCCTCACCTCAGGCCGCTCCGAGCCATTGGCAACCTGAGTCGTGGGTGGCACGGGACTGGCTGCCTGACTTATTGACCTGCGTGGCTACGCGATGCTTGAGTGCCTGGGCATCTAGTCTGGATTCGAGCCCAAGCGCCAGACAACACGCTCGCTGCGCATGGGTCTCAAAACGACTCGATGACCCTGTCCAAGTGCTAGTCCTCCTTGGAGACGCTTGAATGAGTGCTCGTGCATCCGCCCGCCTCTGTGCGCCAGGGCCCAGCAGTCGCCGACCCGAACAGACTGGAACTCGTCAGAGGGACGACGGCGGGCCAAGGAATCCCGGTCAAGAACCACTCTTGACAGGTTGTACCCCACGGAAGCACGGTCCTCCGGGCGGATCTTGAGTTCCAGTCGCGGCGATCACCCCACATGGTCTCTCCTTGCCGTGTAGCGATGCTCGCTCCGATTCCTTTGTGTAAGACAACAGTCCCTCGACCCTGGCTAGGGGCCGATTGGGCCTGACGCCAACAAAAGCGTAATGTAGATACGTGCATGATAGGCCCCGTCCCGATGGTGGCCCAACTATCCCCGAGTTACTGAGCCAGATGCATGCCTTAGTTGTTGGAGTCTCAAAAGACAAAACGTATATAAGTACCTTACATATGGTTGACTGCCACACATGCTTGGACCCCTCTGGTCCTCCTCACCCATGATCACCTCCTCTTACGCACCACGAGCCAAGAGACTCACTACCATCCCACCATCTCCTCACACTCAGCAACACATCGCAGTCTAGTCTGATAGTGTGTACGCGAGCGCGAGCGCCAGAGATCACACAATGTGCAACAACGCCACCAACTACTACATCTACTCGTACTGCTCGGACCCGAGCTTACACTACTTCAAGACCGACATTGACACAGACTACGTCAATGAGCCATGCGCCGAGGCTCACGAGCGTTACATCATCGAGCTCATACCGTGCCCGCTGTGCGCGCTCGATCCCAACTCACCGCAAGAGGTCCCGTTGCTGTGAACAGAAAGACACGGACCAGCAGTCATTTATTAGCTGGCTCTGATCGACGGACTGAATGACTTATTGACGGACACTTTGCTGTGCGTTTTCTGCAAGGCGTTCTTGCGTGGATCTTTCGGAAGGACAGGCGTCCGGTATGCATGATTATTCTAGCGTCTGGGACTGGGTTTTGCGGTTGCGATTACTTCTCGGGGCGTTCTTTCAACGATACCCTCATTGCTCTCCACAGGGGTCTGAGTCTGATGAATGGAGCAAGCAAGGGTCTTTGGTAGGGAGGGTATGATGAATGAAACCTCATCTGATGATCTGATTAAACAATCTGGCTCGTTGTGTCTCGGTTGTTCTCTGATGGCATGTGTCGGTCGGCTCACATGACGTGCATCTGTGGCTTCGCCCCCAAATGTGTCGGCACTCCGCCAACCGGTATGCCGCACAACGAATGTTCTGAGTGCCCAATAACCGCACCAAACTCCGGCGATCTGCAAGACGAGACAAGGACAAGACCTTGCATTCTTGCGGTCGGCCCCAGAGGAGAGGCAAAGTCTGCCGTGGGTTGGTTGATATCTTGCTTGCCAAATTGAAAAACCGACGTGCCCTGCTCTGCCTCTTCCGACAAAGTGGAGGATGGGTTTGCCCATGCCCCGTAGAGCCTGCATGGCTAACAAGTCTCGTGAAAAAGGGGGTCTGAGAGCTGTTTCCTACGGGTCGGGCCTTTGAGATCTGAGTCAAGCAAGCGGGTCTTTGCCGACGCAGTTTGGGATCCTTGGGTTTGCCTACCGAGATGGAGGTCCGATTAGTGAGCTCTCTGAAGCTTGGGTGCATGAGTCGTGGCTTCGAGCATGTCACCATGCGCCATCGGCGTCGTCGAACGAGTCAAGGCATTTTAGCTGCTGAATAGCCAATACGCTAGGGTGAGGCTTGAGCGGCATGTAACGTCGAAAGTTAAGTTAGAAACCCGCCCGATGTCGTCCATGGTCCACCAAGACACCAACAGTGGCTCGGCATGGCACTAACCTCGAGGGACTACCGTAATGTTAGCGTGTCTGGTGTGCGGCCACGCTTCTCACTAACAGTCCATCCCACCCCGGACCCCAGGCTTCACCGTCCGGTCCGGGCTGACGTTGGAGCAGGGCCCAGGGGACCCACTCGAGACCGAGGCTCAACTCCTAACAAACAACAGGTGTCTTGCCGACCATGAGAATTCGATTTCGCAACTGATCTCTTCCCTATTCCCAAAGTTGAAGTCTGTTGGTTGCTAATTAGCTCCGCACGCCAAAATGCCAATGAACGAGTCTGAATATCTGAGCCCCGTGTGGAGGGACGGTATTTTCAGTAAGCCTGCAGCCGCGGAACGTTGATGGGTATGGGCATGATGCTAACTTGCTCCCAGAGGGCCGGGTCGTCTTTGTGACCGGCGGTGCTGGCACTATCTGCAGTGTTCAGACAAGAGCGCTCGTTCGCTTGGGTGCCAACGCATGCATCTTGGGTCGCAATGTCGAGAAGACGGAGAAGGCCGCCGAGGACATTGCGACAGCTCGCCCTGGGGCCAAGGTGATTGGCATCGGAGGCTGCGATGTGCGCAAGGTGAGTCGCCCATGGCCACCATGGCTTGCATGTTGCGTACTGACAATGTATTCCAGCCCGAAGCTTTGCAGGCCGCCGCAGATCGCTGCGTAAAGGAGCTCGGTGGGATCGACTTTGTGATGTGAGTCCAGCCGCCATTTCCCGCGTTCACGACTGACAGTCTCAGTGCTGGCGCAGCAGGCAACTTCATCGTGCCCATTTCGGGCATGAGCTCCAACGCCTTCAAGTCCGTCATGGACATTGATGTCCTCGGCACCTTCAACACCATCAAGGCCACGATGCCACACCTGCTGCGTAGCTCATCCCCTCGCATCATCTATGTGTCCGCCACTTTCCACTACACCGGCGTCCCGCTCCAAGCCCACGTGTCGGCGGCCAAGGCGGCCATCGACTCGCTGGCGGCGTCGGTCGCTCTCGAGTACGGTCCTCGTGGCGTTCAGAGTAATGTCATTGCGCCAGGCGGCATTGAGGGCACGGAGGGTCTCGCGCGGTTGGGCAGCGACAGGCCGGAGGACGTGAAGGCGTACATGAAGCACATCCCATCAGGCAGGATAGGGACTGTTCGTGACATTGCAGACGCGACCGTCTTCCTGTTCAGCGACGCGGGCACCTACATCAACGGTCAGATCATCCCCGTGGATGGCGCGGCGTGGAGACGACAGGGTGATGTGCATGTCGGTGTCGATGGGACGATGCAATATCCCGACTTCCTGCTGACTGGTGAGATTTCCAAAAATCTCAGGGATCCTAGGAAGGACAAGTCGAAGCTGTGAGGGGAAGATGCTGGCACGTGCTGCCTGGTGCAACCAAGGCTGCGCCTGCTCACAATGTCTCCTGCCCTTTTTCGAGCTCTCATCTCTGAGTACTACCTCACCTACTGCCTTACCTTACATTAGCATGTACAGCAAATGAATTCCTAAACCTGACGTTAGTAAGCAAGCATTTGGTGTGTGCATACACACTTATATTGCAGTATGCATTATGCCTTTTAACGCGACGTCCACTAATTTCCGTCTGCATTATCACCAAGTATCAACAACCCGTTATCGAATCCCCTCCTCACTATCGGCTCTCCACAAAGTATCATCATCAATCTCAGCATCGCTCATCGTTGGCGCTTCTTCAGAGTCGGCTCGTTGCGTGCGTCGCGAGCAGTCAATGCGTCGCGTTGCTTCTTTGGCCCTGTTGGCTATCATCACTCCCGCCCTCTGCGAACATGTCCTCGCCTCATACATCTATCACACCCCTTGCGAAAGCGTCCCGGAGCTCATTGGTACACCTGCATTGACGTTCGCTGGCAGGATGGACTGTAGAGACTCGGCTGAGTTCTACAGAGACCGATACATGACACCACGCTCACCATACTACATCCAGGCTCTCGACAAGTCGCCGCCGATGCTGTCGTTTGGGGCGCCCGACGATGAAATTATGGCAGGCTCATTGAGTATATTCAAGAACGCGTTGTTGGCCAAGCTCAATAACGCCAAGTGGACCGACAATAATACATTGAATCAAAGCTTCCCTGTCATCGATACTCAGTTGTAGAGCAATGAAACGCGCGCAAACGTCTCTGGAGACACCGGCTGGCTACAAGCTGGGGAGCAGTGTCACGCTGCATATCACACATCAAACAAGCCGGAGCAGAGAGCACGGGACACGTGGCTGGAGGAATTGACGTGGAATCAGGTCATGCAAGAAAAGCTTTCCTACACAATGAGGTATATCATACCGCAGGCAAACCTAACGTGGAACAGATCAACAGCTGGTAAGCATCCCAGAAATACCTTGTTGGGATTGCGCTGACACTCACACAAAGCCCTCGACTTCGTGAACTATGCCGAACGAAACAACCCTAAACTAATCGATCCGACCTATCTTGACGACCACATGCAACATTTCCTCGAGTCTCTTGCCGGAATGTACGAGACAGAATGGGCCTATCGTTCGGAGTATCCTGTGCAGGCTGTCGAGGGGGCCGTTCTGGGCGGACACATCATCAACAGCCTTGATGGTGTCATCAACGCAACCATGAATGGGAGTAGCGGTGCTCCTCTCGTCAGTGTTTTCTTCGGCGAGCGCGGCCCGCTCATCTCTCTGTTTGGGCTCATGGGGAAATTCGCATCCTGGATGGACTACGAGCTAGTCCCACGACCGGGCGCATCCATGGCTATCGAATTGGTCGACCTAGGTACTCCTAGCTTGCTCAGCACAGGCAATATGGCCGTGCGCCTTTATTATGCCCCCAGAGTGGCCAACGTCGAATCTCTCAGGCCATTGTACACCCCCATGAGCAAAAGTAGTCGCCCCCGCGCCTTTTCTGCGGGTAACCGAGCCCACCTAACCGAGGATCCCCGGCCTGACGATGATGCCATTCCATACAAGGCTTTCAAAGACAGTACTAAGCGGTTCGCATTCCAAGATCGCAAGGCCATGGAGGCCAGCTGCAAGCGTTCTGGCTTGGGGACGGGCCCCGGGAGTCGGCGAGAGCGTATACGAGGATGTTTGCGGACCCTTTTCCGGTATCCGGCTGTCTTCGCCATGGGCGGCATCGCTGGAATCGTGGTTTCCTCGGCTGGCCTCGCTGCCGCCATGGCATTTGGCGGATACTCCATGACCAAGGGGGCAGTGGAAGAGGAATGGGCAGAAACCAGCGAGGAGCCGACGCAAGAAACGACAGTGTAGCCGGAGCTGAGCCATGGAGATGCAGATATCAATGACCTAATATCGTAATTATTGTTAAAACAGCAGTTTGTCCCCAGTAACGCCATTCGTCTCGACAGAACCGATTTACGCTGTAATACGTCAAGGGAACGCCTAATAAATCCAGTACTCATCGAAGACCTGTCAAGGCCAAAAGGTCATGCTTGTGGTAAAAAGCCCGAACACGCTTGCCGAAAACATCTAAGGCGAGATAAGCGTCAGATACACGACTCAGAATGACAGCTTGACGGGATGTACTTACACATGGGAACGCTGGTAAGGCAGATGACAACCTGCACAATGGCAATTGGTAGCATCGTCTGCTTGACACCACCAGCCACGAACCAGTCATATGCACTGGCAGTCAGGCCAAAGCTCAGAATGTTCTTGAAGATGATCATGACTGTGAAACCTTCAATGGTGAGGTCGCCTGCGGATTTTGTCAGTGACACGTGGTACAGGACAGGACGAGCTTGTACGTACGGTATGCGTCGACAATATAAAGCGAGCTTGCGACGGCGCCAATGACCATACCAGCCACCTCGAAACCAAAGAACACCAACGGTGGCATGTAGGTGTATTTCCTCGAGATGACTTCGCCGGCCGTCAGTGCGAAGCCAAACAAGCCAATGCCACCGACGATGAGCATGGGGATCACGAGGAGGATGCGGAACTCGGGCTCGTACACGCCGCCGTTGCGCTTGGTGAGCCATTTGACAGACGTGTCCGCCAACAGACCCGATATGACGAAGCCCGCCAGGGCACCGACAAAGGCGCCCGTGTAGGCGTAGCCTGCCTCGACCTCGGACCAGAGGTAAGGCGGTCCGATGAAGAGCGCGGCCACAATGACGCCAATGAAGACAGTCCAGCCGATCATGGTGCCCTGGATGAGACAGCCCCAGATGAAGGCTGGGTTGGCGAGGATGGGGAATGGGCGCAGCAGGAGCACCCAATACCGCTCATCCGTCTTGCGTCCGTCAAAAAGGGAGATGGATTCGATAAAGGACTTTGGCGGTGTCGAGGCGTCGCCAATGGGCTGGAGAGCGTTGGACGTGGGGAAAAAGACAAAGCCTCCCCGACGAGGGACCGCCTGCTGGGTGGGCGAGACGGGCTGCGCACTGTTCGCCGCGGATGCCTTGGGGACCTCCTGGGTGACCTTTGCCTCGCGGGTGGCCCCCACGGTATCGGTATTGAGGCGGTCTTCGCGTCGGTAGGCCGTCTCGGGACAGAAGAAGAAGACGAGGGGGAAGACGAGGGCGGAGAAGCAGGCGACAAAGTAGAACGTCCACGGCCAACCGAGTCGCCTAGTGATGATGCCCGTGACAATGGGCGTGAAGAAGGCGCCACCAAAGACGGCGAGGTTGGTAAAGGCCATGCGCGTGCCGCGCTGATGGACAAAGTACAGGTCGCCGACGGCCGCGTTGAGCAGACTCTCAAAGGGGGCGGCGCCTATGCCCTGAATGGCCCTCGCCGCGGCGAGGCTGCCGTAGTTTGTGCCCGCGCCACCGGCCCATGCGCTCGAGAAGATGATGAAGACGATGCCGATGAGGAAGAGATGTCGCTTGCCCCAGATGCGGCCAGAGGGGACGAAGAAGATGGCCGCCGCGCCGGCGCCGAGGAGGAAGTAACCCGTCAAGAGGGCGACGCGGGTGAGGGTCTCGCCAAAGAGACCGGCGATGGTGAGGGTGTTGGCGGCGAGGATGGGCCCGAGGGCTGTCGCGAGGATGGCGGCGAAGCAGAGGACAAATGTGATGAGGTCGCGCCGCCAGAGGGGCCAGTTGAGAGGGTCGTTCGGATCATCGGATGGCTGGGGGTTCTGGGAGGGTCAGTCGGGTCAGCTTGTCCTAACTTGAGGTTCGCTTCGAGCTGGGGCAGGCCATATGTACGAGGATGATGGGGTCTTTGCCGCTCTTGTCAACTTTGAGGCCGATGGTGTCGTCGGTTGCGTATTGGGGTCGTGATGGATCGTCATAGTATCGCGTGGTGCCTGTGTGGGAGGCAGGTCAGTATATGGAGCGATGAGGCTTGCGACGCGTGTTTCTCGTCGATGGTTGGGCGTTACCTGGGACGTGTTCGGCGCCCTTGGGCTCGAGGATTCCAAGGGGCATTTTTCGTTCTCAGCTGGTTGAGTCAAGGTCCAAGGAGGGGATAGACATTTGAAATGGGCGCAGGGACGTCGAGGTCGCCCGTCAATATGGCAGACATCGTGGATATCACGGCTTCGGATGGCGGTTTTCGGCAGCAGGGGCCCCGAGGGGCGCAGGGACTCTCGTAGGTGACTTAATGATTTGTTGAATCCTGGCGCTAAATAGAAAGGACATCCACATTGCATATTTTGTCCACTGTCAGCCCCAGTGGAGACTAGATCGGCTCTTCGCAGTGGCCCGAGTCCGAATTCCCGGCCAACGTCGTGTCGTGTCTTCGCACTTCATCAACAAACCCCTTTTTCTGTTTGGTCAAGTATCCTCAACCTTGACTCTGTGCCAACGCCTTTGAGCTCATATGGATGCTTTCTCTCTTGAAGCATCGGAACATCGCTGGTCTCCATATCTTAGTCGTATTTGACTTCGACGTCCTTGGTACCCACTGCCTTGCCATTGTACTTGACAGTCCAGCCCATGATACCATCTTTGCACTGCATCATGACCTCCAATTCCAGTTGACGGTACGTCTTTCCCACTGGGTTCTTCCACTTTCGGAGCGAGTGCAATGGAATATCCTTGTTCCATTTGATCGTGCACAGAGGCTGGACCGTCTCACTGTCGCGGGTGGGGATCGAGTCTGAAAAACAGACGTATATATCTTCTGATAGATCGCCGGTCGACCTTTCCTTGCCGATGGCCTCGTAAACTGTGTAGAATTCTTGAGACACTACCCGGTCATCGGTCACCTCTTCACCCTAACACCCTTGTTAGTACAGCTAATAATGCACACTTGTTGTCTCATTATCACGCAAACCTTTCGCAAGAACCACTTCATTTGCTCTTTGGCCATATAAGCGCACTCCTCATCAGACCATATCTTGTCTGCGCTGGAGTGTCTCTTCTCATCGAAATATGGCTGGTACACAACACCATAGCTCGCTCGCGCGATTCGCGCGCGGACGGTAAATGTCATATCCGCCGAGATATTGCTGATGCTCAGCCCGTGGAAGACCGCGCCACGCGCAATCGCGCTCCATCTGATGCCCGTCTGTTAGTGACTTGCGTGGGTTACATCTACGGTGACTCACGGTTTACTGCCCCTCGACTGCAGAACCTCGGCGTCGTAGTCGTTCGCAAGCTGCTTGACTCGATCGAATAGATAGCGACAACGGCCAAAGCCTCCGACAAGAACAATGTACTGCGGATCGTCAGCAGAGTACGCTCTATAAAAGCCTTTGGATAGCCTGACGGTGGGTGTTGTGCTCATCTTTGTCTTGATAGCGTCGCCTTGGGCCTTGATGAGCTCGATGATTCTGTCTATGCAAGGATCGAACATGGCCAGGATCTCCTCACTGCAAATCCCCAGGGTCATGTCAGCGACATTGCCAATCTTCAGAAGAACATGGAAGGCAGATCCAGATAACGTGAGCTTTCATATGACTTACGATGTGAACTCTGTAGTCCGGGTGCGCTTGCCCCGTGGGTTTGCGGCTGAGTTGCACATGTCAGGGACGTCGACTCTCCAAGTCTTGCCAGGCTGGTTAGCAAATTGCGGCTTAATGCCACGCTCCCAGTTGTCGTTGATGAACTGCTTCTTGTCGCCATGGCTTGCGCTTGCCCAGTTCAAAATACCCCATTTTGCCTCTACAGCTGCGATGAATCGATCGTCCACAAAGACGCCACCGCACAAACCGCCTAGTGACTATCAGTATTGCATCAATTGAGTGTAGAGCTGACACTTACCGTCGCCTTTGACGCATTCTTTTACGACGAACGGCTCCATGCTGTCAATCTGATAGCTTATCAAATCCTGGAGACCCACGTATGAGAGTTGGTCAATCGTCGTTTGGGGCTGCACCTACCACTGTGCCACCGCCGGCATCGCACACTATCATAGTGTCGCCAGCCTTCTTTGTCAGTTACAACTCTCCTGAGACACATCTTCAACGGTAGTTACCTTGACGGACGAGCGTGTCGATAGATCTTTGAGTGTGGCAAGTGCGGCAGCCTCTGGCTCTGAGATGAAGCTGAGAATGGTCTCACCAGCTTGTCGCTTGGCAAGTATACCCGAGTCTCTGGCCGCGGTCATCATTTTCTGCTGGGAATAAGCAGGCCAGATCGCTGGCAGAGTGATCACAACCCGAAATTTGCACAGCTGCACGAGCGTCGCGCCGACCGAGCGCTCAATGGCTTCCAAGGAGTGCCTCCAGATGAAACCCAGGTACAATGCCACAAGCTCTGTAGCTGTCTTCTTGTGCTTATCACCCATGGATTTCGCTAGTTGGTACTGTGCTGAGTCCTTGACCTCGCTGGGTACATCTCTGTCCTCGAGCAGCAGCAGTTTGAACCACCGCACACAGTCCTCGTCTAGGGGGATGCCATACCCCCAAGACGGTACTTCTGAGCCATCGCCAAATCCCAGCTGAGTAGGCGCCTTCTCTTTGTCTGAGCAATCGTGCAGGTCTGTGTCCCAGCTCGTGATCATTTCAATTTCGACGTTATCCGTCGTATCGCACTCTGCCCACGCAACTCCAGAATACCTGGCGTTGTCAGTCAATATCTCGATCAGTTCTCGAGGTACGCTGATCCGAATGCATAACGTACGTTGTTCCAAAGTCTATACCAACGACAATGAAATCCTTAGCTACGTCCGGAGCCATGGTAGCGATCGACTTGCTTGAGACGGCGAGTGAGTTGAAAGGGGGTTCGAAAAAGCTTGGTATGATGAAGGAGGGAAAGTCTCACGGCAGGCTGAAGACACCCCAAGTAAGGGTTGAAAGCAGAGGGTATACGTGTGAAGTATAGGGCGCCTCGAGGCGCGCTCACGCAAATTTGAGATTGTTGTGAGCGAAGGTTGATAAGACGAAACATCCACCTCGATTTCTGTTTCCTTGAGAATCTGACTCCTCAACAGAGAGTCTTCTATCTTACCTAAGGTACAGTTATTTTTCCCACAGCCATACCCGTCTGTTCTGTGCCTAATCATCTGAACCCTCATTCACGCCATGCTCGCCTTGGCATAAATCTCTGCTCCCACTCTGATCATGTTCCTCGCATTTGTGCTGTAATTTCTCTTGTTTTTATCTTCTCACCTTTTGTTCTCTTCTTCAAAGTCCGCGCTCTGACCTATAGTAAACTTCTTCTCAAACAACCAACCCCTTCACATGCTCTGCAACTGCTACCGCGCCTACCCCAACAATGACGAAGCAATCCCCTGATCTGTACCACTTCCATTCTGATGAGGATATCAAACCTTCACCGGCGCTATATCCTTCAGTTTCTGCGTTCAGAAAAAATGCACCGAAAGAACCCGACGAGCTCGCTAGAGACCCTGAGGTTGCCAACATGCCGGAGAGCAGTGACCGAAAGCACACGAGCTCTGGACACGGAGCAAATGTCGGCATGTCTGAGATTCCAGCGCCCCCAGTTCCCGAGTTCAATCGTCAAGTACATGAGCTCAGTCACAGACACTTCACCAGAGAACGTGGCCGCAAGCAGTCACTCAACCACCAGAGCGCCCAGCGTAGAGAACACTCTCATTATCCACAGTCTCCCATCCGAAACAGACGCATTCAAGAAGCACCTCTTGCATCACCGGCCCCCCTGCGACGCGCCGAGTCTAGTGGACGAGATCTGAAGTCTTCAAATGAGATAATTGACGTGGACGCAGAGGAGGATGAAAAGATCGCCACAATGAGCGCAATCTACAGTATTGTCACCGACATGAGGAATATGATGATCACAGATAGGCAACATTCGCCCGAAAACCTCGCCGAGCTTGAGCAGAAGCTTCTGAGGGCAAATCAGGAACGTGACAGGGCTGTCGAGCACGCCACATCCGGAGACGAACGCAACTACAAACTTCAGCGCGAGCTGCTCGCGCAGATAGAGGCATATGAGGAGGCTAGGGCTGGGCAGACCACAGCGCCACGGGCGCTATCCCGGCTCAACCGCCTCGGCAACTCGCTCAAGAGTTCTGACTCCGCTATACAAGAAGCATGGGGTCAGCTATCCTATGCAATCACGAACCTAGCGTGCTGTCTCGCCAAAGGCAAGCCTGACATGGCTCAAATGGAGGATGTTAGGTTGACCCTCCGCCATGTACTCCTGAATGAGCCAAGAGAGATGGATAACGAAGGAGGGCGCCAGCGCATGATAAAAATGTTTCTTTGGCGGGTTGCGCGCAAGTGGTGGCCTTGTGGTGGAAAGCCTTCCGGAACCAAGACTGCCAAAACATGGAAATCTCTCCGAGCCGGGATGCTGGGTAAGTTACGCAAGATTAAAGAGTTTGTTAGAGGAACCTATCAGTAGACTAACCTTACCAATGGCATGTCAGCGGGACGAGGAGCGCGCGAAAAGCGTGCTTCAATGGTTCGCCAAGGGCTAGGGGCTCGTGGAGGACCCCGTGTCGCATCCCCAACATGTGCAGGATTTCGTCAAGACTTTACAAAGTCAGCTGAGACCCTTCCTCGGCCACCTTGAGGATGATACGCGATCCCAGAGGCGTCTGGAAGGGGATCTCATCGACCTGTTCGATATGCTGAAGCAGCTAGAAAGCATATTCTTCGGCGCAAAGTGCATTTACCAGCCCGTCTTGCGGTTTGTACCATTGGAAGAACCACATCTTTACGACGAGGAGTTCATGGAAGCAGCTGTCACCACCAAGACGCCATCGCCAGCGTCGAAGGTGAAGGTGAAGTATGTGCTGTCGCCCGGTCTGATAAAACATGGGAGAGCGGATGGCACCGAGTTGGGAAACAGGACCGTCGTGGTCAAGGCCGAGGTGGTCCTCGAGTGAAAGCCCTGGCCTTCTTGAAGGCTAAGGATCCTTGGGGAAGGTAGCCAACAGCGGCGTGCTGGGGGGGAAGATTTTCGAGGGTTTCATGCAGCCATTGACTTAAGCAGCAATAGTGCCAAACGGTGGGCTTGGGAGTGATGGCCAAGAGAATGAGTTTGCTATACCACGAAGTCTTCAGATGTTGACGGTTTGGTGCGGTGAACAAAGCAACATGTTGCTGAGGAGGACGGGTCCTCAGCAGATAATAAGGTAGCCTTCAGAGTTTGCCCTGCAAAATACATTCGTTTAAGTGAATACAAGCAAGAATGCTTTAACGGTGGCTGAAGGATTCTCAAGTGATGCCCCCAAGTCAGACAAGAGCAATTCAAACTTACGAAATTTGGCTCTGTAACCCATAAATAACTGTGATTTTGGTCTTTGTTCATGAGTAAAACGCCCCCTCAAAAACAGCGCTTCGAACTGATCGTGGTATCATTGTCTCATATCCGCAGTGGCACCGCCCCAGATCTCAAGCGCCCTCCATCTTGACATCCTCGGACCGGATAGGCAGCTGCGAAACATGCTTCACGTCCTCTGCCGTAAAGGGACCGGCATGATCATGTCCCGACGTCCCGTTGACGACACCCTTCTCGACCCTCTTGTGCCTGTACACGCGTATGGTCTTGTCCTGGCCCGCGCTGACCATGAGATCCTCGCAAATGTCGACCCAGAAGCATACACCCTGGTGGCCCTTGACCTTTTGCAGGATAGCCTTGCTCTTCACGTCCCACAGTACGATGCCACCGTCCTCGCTTGCCGAGGCCACAAAAGGCAAATGATCGAGTGCGCCAAAACACGCGCCGATGGAGAATTTCTCATTGCGATGCCCTTGGTACGTTTTCTTGACGCTGCCTGCGACGTAGTCCCAGAGTCGAATGCAATTGTCCAGGCTCGAGGCCAGGACGAATCTGCCGTTGGGGGAGAAGCAGACGCTCGCCACTGCAGGATTGTCTTCGTGGACCAGAGTCCGTAGACATTGTCCAGTCTGCGTGTCCCATATACGACTGTAGTTGTTAGCGCGATTCGGGATAACCTGAGGGGATACGAGTCTTACATGAGCCCATCTGTGGAACAGCTGGCCACCAGCGTACCGTCGCAGCAAAAGTCAATACCACTAACGGGATCACTGTGGGCGGGCAAGCTTCGCATCAGCCGCCCGGCTCTCACGTCCCACAAGAAGACAGCTTCGTCGTAGGAGCCGCTGGCTAGGATGTTCCCCTTGGGCGAGAAGGCCAAGCAGTGCAGGTAATTGTGGTGTCCTCTCAGGGGCGGCATCTCTTGACCCGTCGCCGACTTCTTGTTCGACATCTTAGGCCTCCCCGTGACCCTGTCCCAGAGCCGGATCGCCTTGTCGTCCGAGCCGCTGGCGAGGGTGTTGCTGTCTGGACTCCAGGCCACGCAACCCACACCGGCCATGTGTCCGACTAGCGTGTCCATGTGACTGCCCGTCTCCGCGTTCCAGATCTTGACTGTGCCGTCCGCTGACGACGAGGCAATGAAGCTGCCATTGGGCGATATGCGAACCTGCGACACTGGTCCCTCGTGGCCACGCAGGATCAGCCGTGGTCGGTAGTCTGGTTTCGGCTGTTTCTGGGTGGGTACATAGGCGTCATCCTCGTCGTCGTCATCCTCTCCGCGAGAAGGCCGTCTCGATCTCGACTGTTCCGGTGTCACAGAGCGCGGTCTTGTGCGTGACCTAGAGCGCGACCTCGAGTCATACGGCGAAGGGGACCGCGTCGCGCCGCCCGACCGTGACCTTGAGCGCTGCCGTCGCCTGGAGGCTGATCCTGACCGTGATCTTGAAAGGCTGGGCTCTCGGCTGCCGAATGCCTTTCGTGATCTACGCTCGCTTCGCGGGCGGCTAGGGTCGCGGCTGTCGCGTGCTCTGTCCCTGGGTCTCTCGTCGCCCTCGCTTTCCCGCGCTGCGCCATCCGACACGCCATTTCTTGCTGGGGATTCGCTGTCTGTTCTTCGACGTTTCAGCGGCGGAGTATCATCGCGTAACTCGTCGGGCGGCGCCATGGTGGTGGATGTTGCAAAAGTTGAGTGTATGGATGGTGTCGCGCGTATCCGTACAGTGGGATGTTGTACCTGTAGCTTGCAATTGAGTAGGAAAATAAATAGTGGGGCCATCAGCTACGTAGTACAGTGTCGTGCTCTGGTTGGTGTGAATCACTGAATGTAAGGTCTCGGGCAATGGAGCATCGGGGTGTCCTGCGATGTGCTCAGAATCTCTCGTAGCTAGTCAATGCTCCATTAGCAGGACAATATCGGCTCAGGCTGCTTCTAATGCCCTTGAGGCTCAGACATGAGGTCTTAGTTGCGTTACTAAATGCGGGCTGTAGATGCATCTCCGAATAACATGGTAAGGTCGGACATGGGAGGTGTGTAAGTGACGCAAACTCCAAATGGTGTTAGCTGGCGCAAAAAACCTAGTATGCTTGGTTTATGAATTATGAAGTCAATCAACTACATCAGAAAGGTAGCAATTTACCGTGACGCAGCAAGGAGCACTGGGACACCAGTGTCTGTCTAGGGTAGCTCGTTTCAAAAGTGCGACTAGAACGTCGGGGCCGTATTGTTCACAACGGTACCTTCATTTTAGGTACGAGTGATTTGCACACATTTGTTATTAGTTTACGACAGTACCTATAATATTAGACGGCCGGACGCATGACTTTTGCAAGGACAAGGTATCGGTCATGCTGTTTCGTGTGAAAATAAGTAATAATACTACGGGCTTATAAAGGTCCACATACAAGATGCCACAGTTCCAATTCCAGTCTCCAACCGACCGACGAGAAGAAGCACGGAGCAAAGTGGCACCTCTCAAAACTTGCAATTTATTAACATCGGCGATGCCGCTGATGCGAATGGCAGCCGGGCCAAGATGGCGACAACCGAGCGTCGATTACTTTTTCGACTGGTAATAATAAGAGCGCGGCCCCTGCATCCGCACTCCACAGGTCCGTTGGTCCTAAGGTACGCTATGGATAATGGACCTGATCCAATCGTTAGTCTGGAAGAATAATTAGCAGCCACAAATTCTATTATTGCACGCAATGTCTCGGATGAATTTGATTCTTACCATGTGTTATTTGGCGGTGATTCGCACAGCGGCCAAGAAGCAGCTGTCTAAACACAAGACGCACAGAGCGGCTGTCAATGTTTCGGAACCACAGTAGGGCTGACGGATGCTGTGCCACCTGTGACAGTGTGACCTATTAATTATTTATTACTGCAGAGACTGCCAACAGTGCGAAGGTGGGTGGATTATCTTCCGACTTGTTTCCCTCGATAGCTTCTGGAATCCCTCTAGAGAAGGATCAGACCTGAAAACCGGTGGTTTGCAACCGGCCAGGCACACTGTTCTTAACTCTCCACGCCTTTAGCAAACGAGTGTGCATAGGCGTACGATGATAGTCGCATCTCAAAGAGCAACCCGACCACCCGGACGATATGTCTGCACCCGCTTCAATATTCGGGCATTTCTTCATCCATCCGGGCACGAGACACTAGCCCCAGCGCGCATTCTTGGCACGTCAGCACTCAGCTCCATGCTAATAATAATTAGAGGGGCGGGCGACCTATCGAGCCATGGCCCGTTCACAAAACTGGCGGCGTGAAATGAAAAAGGACGAAAACCGGACCAGTTCCCATTGGACTACCCCGATGATTTTGATTTGAGGGACGTGTCGAGTTCTTTTGTTAGCACGCATCCGCAAATCATGCTCGGATGGCGGCCGAAGGGTTGACGGCAACTGGGGGGCGCGACGTTTCCGTTTGGAGAAGGTGTGCCTGGTGATCTTTCCTGTCAGTCGTCACTAGACAGTCCAGTCTCTGTCGCACAGGAATTGATCGGCTTTCCTCTCTGCAGACTGCAGACTGCAGACTGCAGACACGCAACGACGGGGCGACGACTGGAGTACAGATCGACAGAGCATCCAACAAGACAGCGACCCAAGCACAATGACGGCGTCGGTATTATTCTGTGCCTGGCAACTCCATGTCGCGCAACGCATTGAGCAAATTCCGAATCTTGGCGGGTTCGGCGGCACGCTCTAACACAAAAGAACAGTCACAACAGCCAGCAACCGGGAACCTGTTTGCTTCATGCTGCTTGGCCATGTTGGTTGTGCACTGGTGCCTGTGCCTGGAGCTTCGCGCGTGGCATTGGGCTGCGATTGGATGTTGCTCAGCCTCCGTGGGTGCGCGCCAATCGCTACGACTGGTTCGGATGGTCAATTGATTGCATTGCATGCCCCTGACAAGGCGCGTCCAGTCCCCACCGACGATTAATGGGTCAGCCTGGGCAGGGAACAGTCAACAGACTGGACTATCCACAGTCAAAAGGGCCGGCCATCTGACTGTCTGACATGAATGGAGCCCAGACGCCAGACGCTCACGTGTGTCGCGGTCAGATGGACATATTCCTGGTCTTTGGAAGCCACAATTAGAGCGCTGACAGAATAATGTCAGCGGTCGGTGAAATTGCCTAGCTTGATGCGCATCCCAGGCTGAACAGCGCACCGTCAGCACCGTCAGCATCGACAGCGCCACGAGCAAGATTGCTGGACCAATGGCGCGGAGTCCGTGCCTTGCATCGTGACAGGGATGTCTGGCCCACGGAGGCCTGCCTTGGCCCGGATAGGCTAAGCGACATGGGCCTGGACGGAATGGACGGCCCTCAAAACCACCTGGCCCTGCTCCTCTGTCTCTGTCCCCTCTCTCTTCCTCTCACCAACCTCACGTCAAGCACATACCAGTCGGTTGTCATCGTCACTCTCTACCAGGCTTAGCCTACCACGCTCTTTTAACAGCACCAACTCTCGTCTTCACTCTTTTCGACTCCTCCTCGCACCACCGACTACTCTTGTCGCTCCATCCGCTCTCACGCAAAGCAACACAGATACTCACAATGCGCTTCTCCGCCTCCGCCGTCCTGGCCTTTGCTGCCTCCGTCCTTGCCCAGACCCCTGGCTTTGACCCCATCTACACTCCCGGCCTCAACCAGGAGGTCCCCGCCGGCAAGACCTTTGAGATCACCTGGCAGGCCACAGACCCCTACAAGGATGCCAACATCAAGATCAGCCTGATCGGTGGCGCCAGCCAGGGCACCCAGCAGCCCATCAAGGACATCGCCTGTGAGTAACCATGTCAAGACGCGGGAGCCGTCGCATTCGACAATCATACTGACAACACGTTTTTGCAGCCGGCGTCAAGAACTCTGCTCAGAGCTTCAGCTGGGCTGTCGACGCCTCTCTCGGCGCCGACGCCGTCTACGGTCTCATCATCTCTCTCGCGGACAACTCCGACGTCTTCCAGTACTCTACCCCCTTCCAGATCACCCAGGCTGAGGCCGACAACACCGAGGCGGCCAGCACCGAGGCGAGCCAGTCCACCGTCGTCAAGACCACCGCTGAGGGCATCAAGACCATCTCCCTGACCTCGTGCCCGCCTGCCGAGCCCACCGTGCCCACCATGGCTCCCATCGTCACCCCCTCCAGCTTCCCCCACGCCAACACCACCTCCATCTGGGTCACCTCCACCGTCAAGTGCACTGCCTGCGAGCACGTCCCCAGCCAGCCTCCCGCCGTTCCCACCACCGAGGTCTACGTGCCCGAGCCCATCCCGGAGCCTTCCTACTCGGGCATCAACCCCTCTCCCGTCCCCGAGGAGCCTACCACCACTCCTGTCCCCGTCCCTGGCGCTGCCAACGCCATGGTCGCCGGCCCTCTCGCCATCTTCGGTGGTCTCGCTGTCGCCATGCTCGCTCTGTAAGCGGGTTGACCCTCTCCTAACCTCGACAACTCTTCACACCAAGGCGTTTTTTTGTTCTGGCATATTCGTGGGAGGAAGTTTGGATGGGTCTCACTATCATGAGCTTTTCTTGCACATAGCTTTTTGGATCTATGCGCGAGCGGTCTGCCAAGCAGGTTGCTTCCGAGAGTACGAATACACTTTGGCCCTTTGATATGACTTGCTACCCATGCAGTAATGAAATGCTATGACTCTTGCGTGTTCATCTTGCTTGTCTCATCTCTGGTATGACGTCTCAAAAGTATTGTCTCTTGATGAGGAAATATCGAATTCAACCTCGTCTCCTTTCGTATCACTGCGAGGACCCTGGTGACCATGGTGCTTGCACGTGCTTAAGGTACTACACAAGCTTCGCTACTTCTAAATCTTAAACTCTAGCCAGGTGTTATTTACCAACTTACTTAAATAACGTACCGTGTACTTTATAACATGAACTTGATTCGCTTTTATTCTCCTTTATCACCTATCCTGAGTACCTTATGATTGGCATCACCAAGTCAATACCATGGACAGACCAGCAACGGCTCGCGAACTCCACGAGCTCTATGAAGCTCTAATGGCAGACGACTCATATACATCGACGATCGAAAGGGCTATACGCGGCTTCCAACCATCGACTAGGCATTACATTGCGGTCGTCCTGAACGCCATCATTCGATTCTGCCAGTAACCATACCCGAGCAAGGATACTGCGTGAAGCAGCTACAAGCGGCCGTGTGCATGTACCATGCCGAGACGACGATAGTAATACAAGCTTGGGCAGCTGTAAGTGAATTACTAATTACGCACTCTTTCTCTTCGTGTTCTCGCGCTAATAGCTTTAGGCGACTGCCATCATAACGATGGTATTGCTCACTGTACTCATGTGCTTGCGCTACACTCGCGAGCTGCTGTTAGCGAAAAGTATCAGCGGATTCTTGTATTACGACGATGGACAAAACAAGCGAGATATGCATTAAACGTGATCGATTCGGTCAGAAACATTCAAAGAGACGTGACCGTAACCACTCGCGGTGGTTGTTTTCCTCCCTCCTCGCCGACGCAAGGCATGAAGATCGCGACACGTTGTGGAATGCAAGACGTGCATATTGACGGGCAACTGCGTCGGATTGTCTTGTCATGAGGCACAGCGTCTCGGATGGATCGTTCCGGGCTCCCTTGTCTTGCATCCAATCTTCAAGCTTGCCGAGCTCGTGTCGAGTGAGACAAAACCCCCGAATGTTCGTCATCAGCACAAGTGGCAGGTTCTGGAAGAAGTGCGTCTTCCATGTGGCAGTCAGTTGAGCGTCTACGTTTGCCTTTGTATTCGTGCTTGAAACGCCCATTCAATCAAAAGCCCATTCAATGTAACAAGGTATCTAATATTATCCGTCCACAATGCGCTCCAACAAGTCAACGCCGCCTGCTTTCCATATCTAATCATCATAACTTAACTTCACCGTCCACCCACTTGCCCACTGGGAATAGGCGGGATCCAGCAGACCGCCAGGTTGAGCGCGACCTGGATGATGCCAATTACCCAGAGCCCCATGGCGTAATCCGAGCCCTTGTGCATGAAGCGGAAGATGATGGCAAAGACGACACCACCGAGGTTGCCTCCTCCACCGGTCGCGCCAGACAGGATCCCGTTGGCGTGAGGGTGGACGTGCGGCACGAGCGCAAAGTTGGCGCCGTTGCCTGCCTCCAGAAAGATGGCCATGAGGGAGATGAGCCCGACCATGAGGCCGATGCTGCTTCCGTTGGCCTCAGAGGGATCGACCTGTCCAATCAAGATGAGAAGCCCGCCGGTCAGGAGACCGCACATCGTGATCCAGCCCTTCTTGAGCCACAGATTGCGACCGAAACGGGTGTAGAGAACGTCGGCGATGATGCCGCCCAGCGGGCGGGTGACAAAGTTGAGGAACCCAAAGATGGAGGCGTAGTTGCCAGCGAGGGTTTGGTCGAAGTGGGGAAAGTTCTTCTTGTAATAGGAGCTGAGGATGGAGTTGATGGCAAGCTCACCACCGAAAGAACAGGCATAGGTAGTTAGATGGAAGAGCGTTTGCAGGGAGCAGAGGACGGCCATCATCTCCTTGAAAGATGGCTTCACAACAACCTCAGCCTGGGCCGTCGCCTGTGCCTCCTCCTTTGAAAAGCTGCCATTCCTTGTCAGAGTCTGGATATCGCGGCTCGACATGTCGCCCTTTTCTTCGTCTTTGGGCGATGATGACGATACCAAAGACGGAGATGGGCGGTCGGTAATGTGGCCGGGGACATCAACCACCGAGGCGTCGGATAGGTCAAAGGCTGCGAGATTTTCCTGCACTCTCTGTGCACGCTCGTTCCACCTGCCAAGGGGCGTCTCCGGACAGAGTAGGAACATGGAAACACCACAGGCGATGAGGCAGATGAGAGGCACCACAAAGGTGACGCGCCATGCCTTGTGCTCGCTCATCCCGTGAGTATGGACCAAGGCGTCAAAGACGGCGGGCATAATGACATAGGTCAAGCCACCTCCGGCATTGCCAAAGCTAGAGTCATGTCAGCATGCACAATCGCTAGTGATCGAGTTTAGATATAGGACACTAACCCTCCAGCGAATGCATTGGCTGTGCCGACCACGTTCTTGTCAAAGAATCCCGTGCACCAGACTTGACAGGGGACAAATGTCGCTCCAAGTACGCCGATGAAGAAGCGGGACACGTAGAGACCAGTCGCGTCCTTGACGAGGGGTGCGAGTCCGATCGGCAGGCAGCCCAAGAGGAGCAGTGAGGCGTACACGTTCCTCGACCCGAACTGATCGCACAGCGGCCCGGCCACGAACCGGAGGAAGAAGGTTGATACAAGTGACACAATGTTTGAGTTGGCCACCTGCACGGGCGTGAGGTCCAGGTCTTTCGCGATCGTCTCTGTGAGAAGCGGAGGGAAAGTGTACCTGTAATAAGGGGTCAGTCACGGTTCAACCATGTCTCTTGAAGTGGTCTGAACTGACCAGGCCCAAAAGGCAATCATGAAACCCAACCATGAGAAGAGAAAGACTCGGCCATAGACATTGAACGGATTGAGTACTGGTACGCTCTTTGCTTTCTTGTTGATTGGGTTAAGCTCAGGGGCTTTCCACAATACTCTGATGTCGAACATCGTAGTGGGACTAGTCCTGCGGAATGGGCGCTTTGAGAAGACAAAGTTCTTGATCAGAAGATGTCAAGCAAGTGGCAGTGAAAAGGCTTTTGACCCCTTTAGTCGAGCCTGTGGCCTGCCACGTTGATATAATAGCTGCCCGGTTCTGATTATCGTATAAGCCAGTGATTCAGATCGGACTCTGCATCTCCGGCCTGGCGAGAGTCTATGCCCACGAGAACCTATCAGGCTTTAGATGTATCTGTACCCTCTCATACGGGGCCGATAACCCCCAGATTGACCGGGCAAGGTAGTTTGATGGGTCCTCTGCGCCGGGAATATCTGGGCCAGTCGGCAGGCTTGGTGGCCCGATAAGGCCCAGGACTAGGCAATGCCTGAGGAAGTATCAATGTTGACGGCCTGTGGTCATTGTCTTGGCTTTCAACCTCAGAGACTCGCGATGATTGCCAGAGCTGGCAAATTCATCAAGGCGACGTGTAAGGTCTTGTTACTATGTTGATAGAAGCCGAATGATGTTTCCTGGTAGCGCTCCTGGCTTCGCGGAATCGTGAGATGCTAGCAGAGGAACAATAGCTTTGCGGCCTAATGAGTCTCTCGAGACAGCCCCAATAATTTGCTCGGTATACTTCAGCGGCTTCCTGACGTCGCAGCTGCATGCGAGTGGGAGACCGATTCGTTCAGAGATGCCGGCGACATCCCGCGGACTTGATGAATCTACGACCTTTCCTGGGTATGGCGGCGCCGAGTAAGTATATTGAATCCGGTGGATGTAACTTGATGCAAGATAAGAGCTGTCTCCGTGCTCTGCCCGGTTGGAAACTCACACGCTTCTAGGTGGTAGTGTCAGCGCAACAGAGATCTGTCCGACTGGACCAGGAGTTTCAAGGGCCTGTAAGCAGCAATAGACACCATCTGATGGGCGCGTAACATTGAGGTGGCACGTCTGAGTATGGAGAAATGTCAGTGCCGTCGCCTTATCATGGAGCTGCGCCCGGGGGAGGGACTAGCCCGCGGCAGGGACCCGCCAGGACAGAGATAAGCATTGTGAGGGCGACTGGCTAGTGGTTACTGACCTGCGATGAGGATCTCCGCGGGGATTTCTTTTCAATGATAATCGATAGGCACCCAAAGTCAGGAGAAAGGCGAAACTGACGTCGTTGCTTGCTTCATGGGCATTGACAAGGCTGCGCTGCGCTGCGAAAGAGCCAGTACGATGGCCTCCTGCGGCACTACAGCTATTCGGCCGGAGGTCTTGTTATTTCTTCTTGAGAAGAATTGAGTGCTCTCAGTAAGATACGAAAAATCACTGAATGAAACCAGCGATTGCGGTTGAGGAACGAAGGCTTTCTTCGTCTGAGGGCCTGGCTTGGAGAAAGATCTCGACTCCGCGCGAACATGTGGTGAGTAACAAGCGCCGAAAGATGCAGACGCCAGTGTGCGCAACGCGCTCGTACTTCACGGATCTCCCGGGTCTTCACCAGTCTGTCTCCCTGGATATGGGGCAGTGCGTGAGCAGATCTGTCCTGGAAGTATTGAGTACCATGCCACAGCGACGCCAATCTCATCTTGTTCAACATCATTGCTCGTCGCGATAGTCTCAGCTGACTTGACTCTGGAGTTATCATCTGCGTGGGGGTCATCTGAGGGGCTGAAAGTTGAACCGAACCTGGGGGTCCTATTCATTGAGCTCTCGTGACGATAACCTACTATACTTCATTAAAGCCATGGCGTCGCCGCTACGCTCCAGCAATGGCTCGTCGCGTCTCGTTCGTCGCCAGTTCGCCCAAAGGCTGACGACGTCAGGATTCTGAGCGTGTCTGGGGGTAACATTGCTGGACTAAGTCGTGCCCAGCGCTGAGGGACTTGCGGCTGCCCAAGTATCTAGTAAGGTCATGCCTGCACATTGCACGCTGTCAATAGGAGCGGCAGGTCTTTCGACAATTCATGAATACCATCAGGTCTTGTGATGCTAACAAACAGGCACAAGTACAGAGATGGAGCTAGATGCACTTGTCCCAATGCAGTAAGCGCGATTTGTCGCCGGTCGACGGAGGGAAGGCACACTTGAGTTTTTTTTCGCTCCGACTCAGAGGGCCATCTCAGCCAATGACTGAGTCGCAATGGCATGCGTCGCGAATTGGAGCGTGTTCATTATTCCACCTCACTTGAACCTTGATGGAAATTTGTGACTCTTGAGCATTACCTCCTACGTATTGCTCAAAGTCCCAAGTTCATAACGTCCATTTGTCCTCCCGCCCTTTCTTGACTGCCAAACGTGCATTCGAGATTCGCGTACCGCTAGGATTGCACCACACACGTCACAGAGTGGGGTAGCTCAGGGTCTCGAAGAGGGAGAAAAAAAAAAGTACTCTTCTCAGTGTGAGTATGCATTGTCACGGTCAAGGAAACAGACCTCGCGTTAACGTAGTGAAATAGTTCAGCGTAGCACAGAATCCAAAATGGCGTCGCAAGATACTGTCAAGACCTGCCGTGTGCTCACGGCGGAGACCATTGCCAAAAACCTCTTGAACGAGGTCCGTGATACCCTGGCCAAGATCCAGGAGACTGGGAGCGGGCAGCCGATGCTCGCAGCTTTCCTGGCCAACGGCGACCCTCACGCCGAGAAGTACGCCGAGTGGTCAAAAAAGACATGCGAGGACAAGTGAGCCTTTGGATCGTGCAGCGTATCCAGCTCGTCGCTAACATGGCAACAGCGGCTTCAAGTTTGACCTCCGCAATGTGGAGAAGGAGGCTCTCGAGGAGGAGATCATGAAGGCCAATGAGGAGGAGGAAGTTGACGGCATCATTGTCTACTACCCCATCTTCCCCAAGAACCCCAGCCACGACAAGTACGTACAGGAGACAGTCGACCTCGGAAAGGACGTGGAGGGGATGCGTCACCAGCACCTTCACAACATGTATCTCAACATCCGCTACCTGGACCCGCCCGAGAACCGCAAGAAGTCCATCTTGCCCTGCACCCCGCTGGCTGTCGTCAAGATCCTCGAGTACCTCCAGATCTACAACCCCGTCCTGGCGGCTGGCAACCGTCTCTACGGCAAGACCATCACCGTCATCAACCGCTCCGAGGTGAATGGCCGTCCGCTGGCGGCTCTCCTGGCGAACGACGGCGCCACAGTCTACTCCGTGGACATTACCGGCGTGCAGCTGTTCACGCGCGGTCAGGGTATCAAGAAGGTGCGCCACCAGGTCGAGGACAAGGAGGGCTGGGGCCTGGAGCAATGCCTCCCCATCAGCGACGTTGTCATCTCTGGCGTGCCGACCGAGTCGTACAAGGTCCCCACGGAGCTCATCCGCGACGGCGCCGCGTGCATCAACTTCTCCTCGTACAAGAACTTTGATGGCCCGGCTATCAAGGAGAAGGCGGCTCTGTACGTGCCGTCGGTTGGCAAGGTCACCATTGCCGTCCTGCTGCGCAATCTTGTGGTGAGTGTGATGACTGGCTGCTACTCGCAGTGCGATGCAACAAAATGGGTGCTAACAGAGAATCAGCGATTGATCGCCAACCGTCCCGCGAAGAAGCCCGCCGATTCGGGCGACATTGCCCAGGCACGCAACGAGGCCTTTGCGGATGACTAGTGCTCGGACACAGATTCGACACCAACGTATTTGAATTTGCGGCGCATCAAGGAGTTTCCACTACAATTTCAACACTAGACAAAATGCATGATAGATGATGACGATGCCGGGCTGAGCAGGGCTTGCCTGCGGGAGACCACATGGGATGGCGGCAAACAAAAACGAAAGGTGGCCTGTTTGCGTGAGACACTGAAGAGAATGAAAGAATCATTGTTGACGACCAGCGAGCGTTGTCATGCCAAATCACGATCAACGGCGTACAAGCCCCTGGATATGACCAGTTGTTGCCTGCTATAGATGCTGCCCTGGCCGCTGGCTGCGTGCTGCGCGCAAACAAAATTGCCAGCAGCAGGGGGCCAGGGGCCAGCAGTGATAGAATCCGACACAATTGGCCAATCAACCATCGCTCCAGGTGGGCGACCGACCCTTTCAAAAATTCAAAGTTCGAACATGTTTCGATTCCAGCAGGAGAAGGACGTTTCCTCGACTTCCAAGTTCAAACAAATGAGATCAGACAGACGCCTTGACGCACAACGTACCCACTAGCTATAATCAGTCTAAGCATCCACGGCGACACTGAGACCTGGAGTCCCCGGGTTTCCGAGGTAGACCTTTGAAAGTGTGCCTACTAATAGATGTAGCCATAGAAGCAAAAGTTCATGCCGACATTTCGAGGCGATTGCCCCAGAGTCCAGACAAATGCCATCTTCGGGAGGTGCCAGTCCGGTCCGACGCCTTGCCTGGCCAGGATTAGCCCCTGAGCCAGCTTTTGTGCAGGCGGGTCGACTGATCCTTGACCGTGGGTATCCAGGGAAAATGAAGAAAGAGGAGCCGTGCCTATCGAGGTCGCGCGGCAGTTCAATCAATCCCTCCTTGGGGTGCGCGTGTTGCGGCGTCACAGTCTTTCCTGTTCTTTATCCTGTGCAAAATACTCTCTTTGCCTCCAGCTCAGCTCAGCAACGGCGTAGGCGTGGGCGCAACGTCTGTGATACCACCACTCTTTAGTGTCCAGTCCTTGCATCCGACCTTCTGTCCTTCCTTCCTTCCTTCCTTCTTCTTTGGTGTCTTGGACCTTCCCTCCGACACAAAGGCGCGGGACGATTGTCTCGCCGCCAGCCAGCCACTCGCTCACTCACCCACCCACGCACGGGGGACCTTGACCACAGCAAAGTCCCAACGAACAAGCGCAACGCCTCCTGAGACACTGTCTCTGCCGTCTCGAAGCAGCAGTCGTCATTAATCTTCACCGACTTGCCGATATTGAATCTCTGCCGCGACTTTCTACTGAAGCACGGCACTCTATACCCACTCCAGGGCACCATTTCAGACCACTCTTCCCACGATCACCCCAGAGCCAAGGCGCCTTCACGAATCGCGTACCGTCCCATCTCGGTTCACGCTCCGGACTATAGCGGCTTCACGACGGCCCGCCCACGACACGACTCGTCTACGCACCAGCGTCTGCATTTTATCGAAGCCCCCTCTACCTTTGTGGCCGCCATGGCGACCACTGCTTCTCACAATGGTCGCCAACAGCACATGCCTTCTGCGTCGCACGGCCCCGTACCGGGCTCGCCCACTCTGACGAACCCCGACATGATCTTGCCCGACTACGAGATGCCAGACTCTCCCGAGGCGCTGCCACAATCCGTGATCACATCATGGAGGGACCCGAACCTTGATCAGCTGGACTTTCAACTACAATCGCAAAACAATTTCGGGTCTATCCCAACTACGACCCCCATCATCTACGGCAATGGAACAATGCTATCAGATATTGGCGAGGTCACCGAGGTGGAAAGCAACGCCGGTACAGGGCCAAGGAGGGCCTCGTCACGATACTCTGCATACACCGACGCCGAGACTTTTGGTGGCTCGCCCACACTGCTGAACAAGGGATTTCAGCGCAGATCAACTATGGATCGGGAACGAAGGTCTTCGGTGGACTCAACAAGCACAGTCACCACGCAGCGAAATGCGTTCGGTGACTTTGACGACTCCATGAGCGTCGGAGATAGCTGTTTCCAAGGCGATGACGAGGAAAGTATGGCATCCGAGTTTGTCGAGGGCACAAATCCGAATCAGACACGCATAAGACCACAGCACAAAAGAGAGGGAGACGCCAAGTACGCCACGACGGATATAGGCCAAAGGGCAGAGCAAATTCTGGCCAATGCCAAGCGCAGGTTGACGGTAGGCTCGATCCTCCACCAGTGACGACTTGTAATAGCTAACGCGAAGATCAGGCAATGGAAGGCAATCTGTCCCGTGCGAGGAGCTCGTTGGGTTACTCGGATGGATCAACGCCGTCCCCCCAGTTGGGCCGTTCTGCTAGTGCGATACGAGACGGAGCTGCTGCGACATCACTCAGCCACTCCAGGATCAAGAGTGAAGATGGCATTGGTGACTTGAAGCAGATGCCAGCTTTGGCGCAAAGGTCGGCCAGTGCCATGGGCGCCGCTGGGGGTTACCGGCAGCCGTCGCTGCGCACGAAGCAAGCAGAGACTGAGCTTCCTCCATCGCGACTTGCGTACGGCATTTCTCAACATCCCTTGGATACCACACTGGAGCCGCTGAGCGAGGACGACGACGAGCAGCAAAGCACGGGACCAACCAACAGTGCGCGCAATAGTATGCGTGACAGTCACTTGATTCCGTTCCTGCTCAGTCCAACTTTTGGTGCGGACCCTGATCGAGGATTGACCAGGTCGGCTTCTGTGGCGCAGATGAGGGACATTCAGGATCAGATGCAGGGCCTCCGCGGAAAGATCTCGACGCTGAAACAGCAAGCAAGGGCTGATAGCCTCAAGCGACGGAGTCTTCAGAGTCTCCGGACTCCAAGCCCGTTCACCCACGCTCGGTGGGATGGCGGCTATGTTGGCACGCGCTCGCTTCGGTCGAGCAGTTCATCTCGTGAGGGAACGCCGACAGGGTTGCGTACGACTGAGACCCAGTCCCCCATACAAGAAATGGAAGGGCCCGAAAGGGATGAGCCTGCTGTGGGCGATGTGCAGCCTGGTGATGAGATGGAACCTTCGCCAGAAGAAGCGACAGTACCTCAACATCAACCAGCTTCTGTATCACCTGCGGCAGCACCGTCGCAGAACGACGACGAATCTCGTCCGCATGACTTCACCAATGATAGCAATGATGATATGCGCACAGAAAATGGCGATTCCGATGGCTCGAACGAGGAGGAGGAAGCCTTCGATGACGCCCGAGCGGAGGCATCAGATTGGGGGAGTGAGAGTGGGGAGTCGACGTATCACGACACTTTCCAGCACCAAGTCTCGCATGAGGATCGCGAAGATGCTTTCGACTACGAGCATTTCTTCCTCCACTCGGCTCTTGGCAGTATCAGCCGCCAGCACAGGGAGAGCGACTCTGAAAGCGATGTTTCGGACGACTCTGTCGAAACGACGCGGGGGCCCATTCCCACCCCGTCGAGCATGTCTTTCCGCTCAGCCATGTCACGGAAGAGACAGAGCGTGGATACTACAGCTTCGGACGACACCTTTGCCACGGCGACCGAGGGTCGCGCTAGCCGCAGCTCAACCTTCAAGACTGAGCTGGGCTTAGGCATAGACAGCTATGACGAGCTGCCGCCTCTGGAAGAGGAACGCAGCAACGCCGGTGACGACGCTCAGATGAATGAGATGCCCAAAAACAGGCAGAGGCAGAACTCGGTGCTCTACCGTCCGACCAGCGCTGCGCAGGCCGATCGCCTGCACCGGCCCTCCATCTCCTCCTTCGAGTCCACGGGAACGAATCGCAGCTTCCCCCTTGTGAACAAGGCCAAGCTCAACGGCGGTGTCCTTACGCCAGGCGGGTCTCCAGATCCCATGTTTACCAAGATGTCAGAGGCTCTCATGAACGACACCACCCGTGCCCTTGGCAACGGCGACTCAGCAACAGCCTTGCGGAGTCTCCACAAGGATGACCAGTTCATGGTTGAGCGACTGGTGGCCAGCATTGGGAAATGTGCCCTTGGGCTAAGTGAAGCCTCGATGGCCAGTACCGAGGCACGTGTCTTGCGGCGCAGGATGGACGCGGCCCGCCGCATATTGGAAGGCTTGGATGACCCTTGATGCATAGCAGCGCAGACAACGCCAAGTCGTGCTTTTACAGCGTTTGTATACTTTATGGCGGGAGGTGGCCTGTATATTTTGCCTGGGTCTGTTTTTTCATTTCTTGTACATGGCTTTGCGGATTCTCGATACCCCTTGTTCTTTGCTCCACTACTAGATGGGGCCTCACCAGGCGCGTCCATTATGAGACGCGAGCACTTCCAGCGGTCCTATGATCGTCATGACAATAAGAATAATGTTTATCGCTTCTTGTGCCCTGCCAAACATCGCCCAAACTCACCCAGACCAGGTAGTTTGCTAGTTTGGGACTAGTGCCTCGCAATTAGTGACTGACCATTGTGACCAACGCCTGACGATCCCGCGACAGAAGCCCCACCAAGGCTTCACCGTGACAAGGTCTAGTCCCAATTGCCTTTGATCCTTCCCACACCGCCAAAAGACCCTTGAAAACGCGACAGCACGACGCGATAATCAGAAAATCTTGGCTTTGGCTCCCTCATCGAGCTAAGCTGAATTGTTCTGAGAACAGCAGTCTGTCATCGAGAGGCAGAGCACGTCTACCCTGCCACGACCCAGCCGCGCCGCATCAACAGCGACCACGATACAGACAGCGCGAGCGAGTCCACAAACACACGCGCCACTGGGCATGGACTTCCTCACCCACCAGGCGCTCTCGCGCATCCTCCCGCCCGACGCCTACGCCTTCGTCCAGACCAACATCCTCCACCCGCAGTCGCAGTTCCAACTGCTGCTCAAGCAGAGCACCGTGGTCGCGACCAACGCCGTCTCCGCGGCCCTCCCGTACCTCGACCCGCTGATCGAGCGCGTGTCCGATGCGCTGCACGACAACTCGGGCGCCGTGGGCGTCGTCGTGGCGCTGGGCGTCATCACGGCCGTGGTCATGATTATGAACTGGATCCGGCGGCTGATGATGTGGTGGGCGCGCTTCACCATGGTCCTGGCCTTTTACGCCGCCATCGTCGTCGTGCTCGCCATTGCATGGGAGAGGGGGCCCGCGCGGTCGCTGCGGGACGTCGTGGTGGTCGCGTCCAAGATTGTGGGCTACCTGGCGTCGTTGCGGGAGGTCTGGGTGCAGGAGTACGACCGCTACGAGAGCCAGGGCAACCCGAGGACGAGGAGGTAGTAACCAGGGAAAGGGGGAAGCTGTCTTTATTCTTATTTTTGGTGAAGGGAGGGCGTTGGACGTTGTTTACTGGGACGTGGCTCCAAGAGACGCTGTGTTGAAGGAGGAAACACCGCAGGTGGGAAACTTGGGTACAACATGCCGGGGTAACAGCACTGCATTGTGATCATGATAACGACAAACGCGACAATGAAGGATATGATGTTTTATCAACGTACATGAAGAAGTCGTTCTTTTGGGTGATATTTGATCCATTAACTCTCGACCAGACAGACCATGCCCAGACGCCGCGCTATGCAAGAAAGACAAAAAAAAGCTCAAGAAAAGAGCCCACCCAGCACATGGGTCGAAGGCAAAAACTACTCCTCATCCCCCTCCTCAAAGTCCTCGTCCTTGGGCTCCTTTGGATCCTGCGCCTCGTGGAACTGGATGCAGTCATCGATGTAGCTCAAGATGGCCGCCACGCTGTCCTCGTTGGTCACATCCAGTTTGAGGTAATTCACCATGCTAAAGTTCTCAATCAACCCGGCCACGGCGCGGTTCAACTTCCGGAAGGACGTGCCCTTCATGACCTGGTCCTTGTCGTCGGGTCGCTTGAACTCGTCGTCGGCGTCCTCCTCGCCCGCGCGGAGCCTGCGCTCGTGCTCGACGGGGTCGTCGTCGATGAGCGCCGTGTCGGGCGTGAGGAACTTTTTCATGTCCTTCTTCTTGACCTGCCCCTTGACGAGGTCCATCTTGCTCAGGACGTTGATGTGGGGCACCTCGAGCATGAGCATGGCGCTCATGGCGCTCAGGGTGCCGGCGAAGAACTTGGCCCTGTCGACGACAAAGGTCGCCTCGAGGAGGTACACGGCCGCCATGCGCACGTCCAGGCTGCCCGGTTGGCTCAGGAAGCGCATGAGGGTCGGCAGGATGGGGATGTGGGTGTAGAGCTCGATCTGGCCGGGCATGTCGAAGATGATGAGGTAGTCCTCTGTCAGCCCGTCTAGGCTCTCCGTCAGCCAGTCGAGGTTCTCCATGAGGAACTCGAAGCAGTAGATCAGGCCGCCGTTCGGCCCGAGGCCGACCTCTTCCATCGCGTCGTGCAGGGAGATGAGGTCCTTGATGTCGAGATCAGGCTGGTGCTCAAAGGACTCGGCGGCCGGGTCGAGGTTGACGTAGAAGGAGGAGCGGCGGTTGAGGTTGAGATGGGTGATGAGGGCGGCGCAGAACGTGGACTGTCGCGGAACTTCATGTTAGCAACGCTGCGCGCAAGAGAGGGTGTCGAACACTGGGGGGGGTTGTCTGTACCTTTCCCGCGCCTGCGGGCCCCATGACCATGGTGCCGAACTTGCTCATTGTGGGATCTGTGGCTGCGCGCGTGGGCAAATGGGTGCGAGGGAGAGGCTGCGCTGGTCGCAAAGAGCGGGATGGTTGTCAAAAGAATTGTCGACGGAGTTGGGCTGCTGGAGTCGTTCGTGGTGGGGGCCCCGCAGGTGTATAGGGTAGCCGGGAGCTCCGGGATGGACTGGGCTGTCAAGTGTCCGGTCCAGACACTTGACTCAACAGATGCAGGCCAGGGAGATATTTTTCGTGGACATTTTCCGAAGAAAGACAGAGAAAACATATTTGTAGATCCCTCGTCACGAGGAAGACAAATAGTTGCACTGGCCCGAACACATCATCTCTGGCAGAAGCGTACCTGTTGTACACGGCAGATCGATCCAGAATTTGATGCGAGCCCAGAGATACCTCGCATACATAACTTGGTAATTACAGTTTAAGAAAACAAGCTATATTTTAACGAACTTTCGTGATCAGAGAAGGTATTGGTTCGCACTGAGAAAGCTCTGGCGACCATGTCCTCGACGTTTGCGGCTGGACGAGAATTTCATGAGTATTAGTTCCCCCCCCCAAAGGTCTGACAAATAAACACACGGGAGCTTACCCAAGCCCTGTGCGTGGGGTGCTTGGGGCTAATATATGGCAAGTGTCTAGACATGCTTGGCAGAAAGGTAAGCTCTGGAAAAGCAGCCACGATAGTTTGCAGGTCGATTCCCGCACGGCAGAGGGGGGGAGAGGATCTCGGGGGGGGGGCACGGGTGAATGAATTAACGTGCATGTCCTGTTACCGGCAGATAATATTCATTCAATCAATGAAAGCGAGTATGACTTGCGATTCAGGCAGGGAGGTGCATAGTGCCGCTGCAGACCCAAGTCATCGAACAATGGGTTGGGGGCAGACGCCAGCGTGGTGGAGGATAGCAGATGCAGGACAAGAAGAGTGGACGAATTATGCCATCCACACGATGTGATTGGTTTCAGGAATTTGACAATAGTCCTATTCTTTCCTGGGTGACTTACGAGTGCGCTGTTTCGAGCGGCGTTACATCATGTGTCAAGTTACCCGCGGTCCGTCGAGGCAGAGCCAAGTCCCTGGCGTCCTCGATCGGCGCACTGGCGGGATGGATGACGGCTGTGGCATGGGTATGTGACATTTCGCGCCTCCTGCTCATGGCTGTGTTTTTAGACTCTCATTCCGAGCGCGGCACTTTGCTGCCGTGAATCTGGGAATGGCGGCCGCCCGTTGAAGGTTGTGAATGTGTGTACGGGTTGCGACCTTGAAGCCGTCGGGTCATGCCCGGTGGGCTATGTGCTTGGCTTGTTTGGGACAAGGTTTGCAAACTACCCACGCATGTGGTATTTGTCAAATACCCATGATACGTATGTACGTATGTGGATGGCGATGTCTGACCCCGTCGCGATCAATGGGCTCATTCAGTACCGGATTTTACCATTGTTGGGCGGATCGATCATGCCGCGCCAAGATCGCAACGCTGGGTCCGTCATGACAAATACTTGACAGCACAAGCGAAAACGCCATTTTGCCAAGTGTATAACGCTGTAGAAGCGAGGAAGAAGGATCGCAGCTTCGCAGCCTATGGTGGGACCGCGGGAGGTGGCTCGGCGCAGGTCTAGGCAAGCGAGATGCAGTGACCGCCAGGGAAACCGGAAGATCCTCCTTGAAACGGCAGCTTGTTGAAGAAATGTAAATGGGTGTCCGACAAATGACAACTGTCACAATCAGCCTGTCATGCAGCTGCTACTCCAGAGTCCAGGCAGGGCCGCAGGCGCGAGCGAGTAAGCGTAGAGGTGTGCTCGTGTGCTCTCCGCCTTCGAAGTATCCTGTAGGAAGACAAGAGGGGCCGCGGATCGATATGGGCCTGATCGAGGTCATCAATGGGGTCTTGAATGGTTTCACGGACTGACGCAGTGCAACTCCGTGATGGAGAGACGAGGTTGATTGTCGTCGGGCGTGGTGGTACAAGCCCCGCTTTCGGAACGAGATGGCCAATGGGCGCTCGACGGGATCGCCTGCTAGTGCTGCTAGCGGGGAATCCTCGTGGGGTCTAGGGACGGGCGCTAGTCCTCTTTTGGTTGTCAATAGGCCAGCCGCCAGCCCCTTTTCGACAACAATATCAAGCTCGTCAGCGCACAATAGCAACATGAAGCAAGGCCCATTTCCCCATCAGAGCTTGTCTGCCTGCTTGATCGACCTCCGTCTCGGCGTCTCGGAGCAGGGATGGGATCTCATCTCGCCCATCGTACATGCACACGCACGCTCAGACTCTACGTGTCATGGACGCTCAGTCACGCTCTACTGAACTGGCGAGCAAGGCCTTGGCGACTGTTCAGTGTTGGCAGCCGCCCGCCCGGCACCCGAATTAGCACACGCTCTCTTGGAGAAGGACAGACAATGCTTAGACATGGCATTCGAAGCCGGTGAGCAGCACGCCAACGGGCGGTAAAGGCGTCCTCTCCATAGGCGCTACTGTAGCTGATTCATATTCTCGGGTCCATGGAGGGTGTGCTGGCCACACACCATCGGGCCCCACGAACGCCTGCCACGAGCACAGATACGTAGCCCAGCCCTGCTCATGCGTCCGCCTTCATTTGCTGGCCTAGGCTGAATACAGGTCCCGCCTGTGTCAATGACATTCGCGCGCGGCGGGACCCGTCTCGCTGCCAGATCAGAGGTCGCGAGCGGGATCTATACTTTTTTTTCCCGCGAGCGCACGAGCCCTCAATGTGAGCACGGAGCGCGCATGAATCGTTGTTGCGCGCCGTGCGTTTGGGAACGACAACTCAGTCTACTCTTCCCATACGTGCTTGCCCTCGGTCAAATGGATTATCTGCTGTGCGTTTGGTATTCAATAGGGACAGACGTGTTTGTGAGGGAAAAATTCTCCTGCAAACCGAGAACAGGGGACAATGGATCATCCTATTGTCAAGCGAGACGGGCGTGGGCCGCTCATATTCTGCTCCGAACCGCCCACGTCTGTCTCACTGCATCCATTCCACCAGACCTGCTTGGCCTCATGATGGACCGCAAGCCTTTTCGCATATTATAAGCCGTCCCTCCTCTACAACCTCTACCGTTTCCTTCATCGCACCCACCACTCGGATTCCAGTACAAAGTTCTTTCTTGGTCCTTCCGCTTCCTAATTCGTCTACCTCTGGCACACTTGGTCCTCACATCCGAGCCCTGGAGTCTAGCGCCTGTCTTGATCCGATCTACACACGTACCGTGCGGTCTCGAGTTTGACAAGCTGTGGCGCCATACCTCACATCGCACTACGCCATCCCGGCCGACTACTGCTATTGCCGCAAGTGAACCGCTCTGTCGGCACCGTATCCGTCACACTCTGACAGACGGTTCCGTTACTCAAGGCCCCTCAGGCTGGCCGGCAGTGTCTTGGGATATCGACTGGACAAAACTTTTCCCCCATACCTCCCAACCGGGTCTGAGATTTTAACTCTTGCAACCCTCTCGTCTCGCTCAAGAGTGCTTCGTCAGGACATTGACGACGACAAAGTCATCGTGGGGATCACTTACCACAACCCAAACTCGACTTCACACCCAAGGTCACAGACACAATGAATACCTCCGATCACAACCAGTCAAGCATCCCACACCTCATTCTACCCAAAGACTCCTCATATAACATCATGTCCCCCGAGAACGTCTCACCGCCACCATACAACACACGACCTCCACAGGTGAGCTTCTACACGAGGCCTCTCACAACAACCGCGCTCGAGGGCGATGAGCTGGACGACAGCGCCATCTCACCACTCACACTCCGCATCAACACCTCCATCAACATCCTCAAAAACAACAACCTCATCTGCCTGAGCGATTCGCCCGCCAACCACGCCACCGCCATCGCCGACGCTGTCACACAGGCCATCCAGAAGCACAGCTCTGGCAACTGCGGCATCCCCATGATCGACGGCAACGGCAACCCTCGCCCCGTGCGGATCGAGATCGATGCCGGTATGGTCACAGACGGTGTGGGCAACGTCGTCGGCTCCGAGAGGATTGTGCAAGAGGTGCTACGGCAACGGAGCGAGATGAAGCGGCAGCGGGAAAGTCCAACCGCCCCTTCGCTCTTTGTAGGCGAGAGCTCAAAGAGGAGGCGGTCACATTCGTAAAGCACTTTGAATTCTTTGTTGGACATTCTAGTTTGTCTTGTTACATAATTTGAGCACAGCATTAAGCCGATGGTGAGGGCAGAGGTTGCGTTATTCTTTCTCTTGGGGGTTATCTACATACGGGTACACGACTGATGAAATAAAATAAATCGAGTTTCCATTTTGTAAGCCTAGATTTTACGGTCAGATCTTTGTTGAACTCAGGAGATTATACTCTGATGACAGACGCAACTGTCAACCCAAGGCGTTGGGTCGTCCGTCCCTCCTTTCCTTCGACTCGGGTCCATCTCCATCATGTCGCGTGGTCTGGCTTCCGTGATGGAGCTGCCACACACACACAGCTGGCCAAAGGTCAGCTGGCTGATATTAGCGTGCATGTACTAACTAACGTTAGATTGTGGCGGCAGGCTTCGACGCTCATGTACTTCGGACACAATCAGGACGGCGATCGGACTTAACATTGAATGTGATCACACAAGGTCATCGTTCCGCTTCAGAAGAAATACGAAATGGGATGCAAGTAGTTTTGTCGCCTATTCACAATTGGTGGCTGTAGTCACTACAACAAACCCTCGGAAGCGGATAGCTGAATGGAAATCATGGGGACACTCGTTGTCAGCCTCAGCCAAGCTGGGCTCTTGGCTTGAAAATATCAAGGAAACAACATGTCGACATGACTGCTACCGATCCCTACTCCAAAGCGCCAATATCCACATTTCCCCTCACGATAATACCTTCCAGGACGTCACCACGTCCTGCAACGTGTTGAAGGGGAGACTGGGCGAATATAGGCTAAATCGTCCGTCTATACTTGAGACCATGAGCTGAGAATCGCCAAAAACTTCTGCCTCCAACAAATCACGCCTCGTCCACGGACAGTAGGCACCAATCGCGACATGCCCGAACTTCCCAACATACGTTGGGGCATCATCGCCACCGGCCTCATCTCCTCCTGGTTCGTCGAGGACATCGTCCGAACCGATCGACCAGAACCCCAGGCCACGCACACCATCCAAGCCATTGGCTCCTCCTCGCTCCAGAAGGGCAAAGACTTTGTCGCCAAGCACATTCCTCAGACGTCACCCGCCATCTACGGCTCTTACGAGGAAGTGTACAACGATCCCAACGTCGACGTGATCTACATTGGCACGCCGCACGCCTTCCACAAGAAGAACTGCCTCGATGCCATCTCTGCGGGCAAGCACGTCCTCTGCGAGAAGGCCTTCACGCTGACTGCCAAAGAAACCAGGGAGGTCTTTGAGACTGCACAGGCCAAGGGCGTCTATGTGATGGAGGCCATGTGGACACGGCACTTTCCCCTCATCAAGGCCATGCAGAAAGTCTTGCACGAGGAAAAGGTCATTGGCGAGGTGAGGCGGGCATTTTGCGACTTTGCCATCTTTCAAGACATTGCCTCCAAAGGACCCGAGTCGCGGCTAAAGAATCCAGCTCTGGGGGCTGGCAGTCTGCTGGATATCGGTATCTACAGCTTGACCCTGACCATTCTGGGCTTGGAGCCGGCGTTGGGAGAGAAGAAGGGGGCAGCAGAGACGCCGGCTGTGAGGGCCATCCAGTCGCTCTCTGATGGCGTGGACGTCAGCACCGCGGTGCTGTTACTCTACAAGGACGGGAGACAGGGCATTGCCACCTCGCACAGCGACCTCAAGACAGGCGACGACTTCTGCCGCGTTGAGGGCAGCGAGGGCACATTGATCGTCCATGGGCCCGCTGCGTCGGTGCCCAGCTCGTTCACCGTCGTGAAGAGGGGCGGCGGGGAGAAGACGTACGAGTTTGAGAGGCCGGGAAGGGGCTTCTACTGGGAGGCTGATGCTGTGGCGGTGGATATTCAGCAGGGGCGGACAGAGAGTCCTGTGATGCCGTGGAGTGAGACCATTCGGTTTATGGAGATTATGGATGAGGTGAGGAGGCAGGGTGGTGCCAGGTTTCCCCAAGACGAGCGGTAGCTGTACGCAAGTAGTTATATGCGCGGAAGCGTGGGAAGTTGGGAACTGCCTGGTCAGGTATTGTCGACCCTGTACAGTGCCTGTATAGTATGTGCACAGTGCATGAACGGTACGTGGGAACCTGGAACCAGAGGGCCAGACGAGCCTTGAGCAAAGCCTTTCATCTCTCACCTCTCGTTCGTTTCCCCTCTCTGGAGTCTGGAACACCGCACTATCTCGACGAAGCATCGGCACCCCCATGATAGCGTCCAAGGAACCAAGACGATGAGATCCGCATTGGCTTAGCCCCTGGTGGCTCCTTCCATCTTCACCAATAGCATCACTCAATTCCACCCACGGCACCCACTCCTCAGCTCGGAGCTCCAAAGCTTGAACCGTGACCCTTCCATGATGGAACTCGACCTGGCCACCCCACCGAGGTGCGTGTCCCGCACCGTCGTATAATGTACCTGAAGAACTGTCGTCCGTCCGCTTCTTGTCCAAGACGGCTGTCACCTCGCCAATTGATTGTTTGTCGCCAGTCGAACCCGTCAGAAGCCGCCCCTTGTGACTTCTGTACGGAGTAGCTAGACTAGCTCGCCAACATGGCCAACCTCTCCGTCCGCAATCTGACCATCCATCCCCTCGAGCTCCTCACCATCGACCGCTTCGAGGGGTCCAAGGAGCAGACTGGCGATCTTCTGACCAACACCCTGGGCACCGTCAACTCCTTCCTCAACGCTACCGAGTTCAAGACCACGCGCACTGTTGCCAAGGGCGAGCCTCACAAGCAAGACAAGGTCAATGTCACCATTGACCCCTTCAAGACCAAGGAAACCAATGAGCGGACGGCAGACCCCAAGAAGGAGGTGATCCGGCTGGTGTTCAAGACGGACGGCCACAAGTACGAGGTCGACGTGCCCAGCGCCGACACCAAGAGCACGGTCATGAAGAAGCTGGACGGCGGCAAGCTGGAGCTCACAGCCGTCTACGTGCCCACCGGCGCCCTCCTCGCCGTCTTCTCCTCGACCAAGCTCGATGCCTGGATGAAGGAGCTCGACAACGACTGGCCGCTGCAGACGCTGTCCATTCCCGGCACCCACAACTCGCCGACGTGCTACAAGGCCCTGCCCTCCGTGCGCTGCCAGGCCATTGGCGTGCCGGAGCAGCTGCGCAACGGCGTGCGCTTCCTGGACGTTCGCGTGTCCGCCGAGCCCGAGGACCAGAACCTCGCCCTCGTCCACAGCGCCTTCCCCATCTCCCTCACGGGGACCAAGTGGTTTGGCGACCTGTGCGACGACATTTACGACTTTCTGCAAAAGCACCCGAGCGAGACGGTCATTATGAGCGTGAAGCGCGAGGGCACCGGCAAAGGCACGGACCAGCAGATGGGCAACCACTTGAAGAAGAACTACGTCGATAAGAAGCGTGACTTTTGGTGGACAGAGCCAAAGGTGCCACGCCTGGGCGAGGCGCGCGGCCGCATCATCATCATGCGTCGCTTCGGGCTGAGCGAGGAGCTCAAAAAGTGCTGGGATGGTCGTGGCTTCGGCATCGACGCCGCGGCCTGGCCGGACAATTGCGAGGACGGCCGGATTGGCGACGGCCATATCCGCGTGCAGGACTTTTACGAAATCTCGGAGACGCAGAACGTGCAGAAGAAGATTGACTTTGCGCGTGGTCAGCTGGAGCGTGCGGCGGAGCAGACCTTTTCCCTCCAGCACAAGGACAAGAGCCCCCCGTTCTTTGTCAACTTTCTGAGTGCCAGCAACTTCTTCAGCGCGAGCTGCTGGCCGGAGAGGATCGCCGCCAAGGTCAATCCGTCGGTTGTCGAGTATCTATGCATCAGGCATGGGGAGGACGGCAAGGGGCCCAAGAAACTCAAGGTCGGCACGGGTGGCACTGGTATCGTGGTCACTGACTGGGTGGGCGCGAACGGCGACTGGGACTTGATTCGCTGCGTTGTTGGCATGAATGCACGACTACAGATGAAACGATAGACACGGCACATGATGTAGAAACGAAGCGATGCATAGACGTAAATATGATATTGAGTGCAATAGTATCTGGCTAATTGGTGACTGTGCAGCGAGTTAGCGACCATCTCTTGACTGCAATGTATAACAAAATCGTTGAAAGGAGCTTTCATATCAGTTCTCCAAGGTGAAAAAGTGTTCGTCACGATGAACTCAGATAGAGCTAATAATAGGATCATCATGAAAGCGAGGGGCTGTAGAAAGAAAAAGGTGTTGAAACGTACCATTGAATCGAGCCTGGTTGGCTGGACAAGTCGAGCTGTCTTCTTACCTGGTAGCAGGGTTAGCGACCATTTCGACATGTTCATCGTAGCAAAATGTGCAAGACTGCTATAGTCGAACTGGCCATCGTTAGCAGTGTCCCAAGAAGCGCCGAGGTGGCGAGACATACTGACTATCAGAAGGTGATAAAGTATGTTCATTTCCACCAGTTCAAGACTGGTGATCAAACAGTGTGAATACGTTTCAGCTCATCACGGTAGCAGCGTGAAAACTAGAAGGAATCGTGTTGGTATTGTATTACCTAGGCGACAGCAGGTTAGCTACAGTCCCTCCGATAACTGGTACTCAAAAGTCCACAATAGGTTGTCACAATCAGGTGACGAAGTATCATCAATAGCTCACGCCAGTCCCCCACCACAAGGTTTGTACGCCTTGCTTTCTAGGGCGAGAGGTGACGTGGCTCGATTATGTCCGCCCGTTCGTTCAATTTATCGTCATTTGGTGTGTGATGGGATGTTTTGCTGAGATGGATTGAAAATTACCTGTCGATTTTCTGGTCAGCATTCGTATTTGACGAAAAAAGTGGCAGAAAGGACAGTAATGGTAGGTCTCTGGTCAGACAAGGCTGAAACTAAAAAGCACAAACTCCACATGATATTTTAAGAATGAGGAATCCCTGTGTGTCAAAATCTTCATCATACAGAGGAAGTAACAAGCAGTGTACGCAAACAGAAAGCACCAACCTTTTGAAGTTTGTCAAGCAAGCATCCAAGTGATCTCCAGCTTGGTAAGATCGGGAAAAAAAACTAGGCAGTCTGTTAGCAGCAGGTCTTGAAGAGCTTGAGCTGTAGAATGCGGTAGGGTTCGATTCGCTCAGACTAATTCTAGAGATAATTGAGTCCCCATGGTTTTGTAGGATTTGGATTGTTCGTGGAAAAGTATTCATCAAGGAATTGGTGAAAGGTAATAGAGTGTCTGTACTTACATATGATAGTCGCTCTCTGTATGCCACAGCGCATCGGCGAACACACTTGTGTTGCCTCTGCAGTGGGCGCTGAGAGCGGGAGCTGTTGGGAGAGAAGAGAAAGAGGTTGCAAGAATCCGAAAAAATTCCTGGTGATGAGAAAAGGTACGCGATTCGCGCTAGATCAAATCAAGTAAAGCGCCCTACAGCCCCGCAGTGTGTGGCTGCGTGGCTGTGCAGACCGGATTGGCAGCTGCTGATGTGGCGAATCCGATTATCGCCGCAGCGGCGGTTGATAAAGCGCCATTTCCCCAAGGGTCTCTCCTCGCTTTCCCTCCATCAAGCAACCGGTTCCTCATCCTTGAGAGAATACCCAAACCAACTTCATCAACATGGCGTCCGTAGGGGCGATGTGGGGTCCGACGACCCTACGTCTCCTACGTGTCGCAGTGTCCAGAACCGCTGCCGCGGTTCGGACCGCCACGAGACCTCTCCAGGGTCAAGTCGAGCACGTTACTCTCCGCACAAGAAACCAACCGATCCATCCTGCCGCTCTGCTGAAACAGCAAAAGCGAGGCGCTCGATGGTTCTCGTCAAACACCGCCAGGAACGTCAACCGCGTCGTCCGGCGATACTTTACGTCCGAAGCCGGTGGCGTCCCACGACTCGATCGATCCAAGCTTCCGTCGTCAAATACCTCTCGTCGAGTAGCGCAGTTCTCCGGGCGAGCTCCGTTTGCGAACACCCTTCGACCAAACCTCACAGGCGGGGCGTTGCCCCGTACGGCTGGCGGGTATAGCTTGGGCGGAGGTGCGCGGTACTTTTCGCATGGGCCAGCTGCACCGGCGCAGGTCGTTCAGAATGTGTCCCAGGCGATGCGGGCGATCTTCGTCTCCGGCCAGAAGTTGCGGTACGATGGCATGAACGCGCGTGGCGATCGCCAATATCGCAGCGTGTCCGACGCGGAGGACCGAGCCATGCGCAAGTTTGCGGGCGTTCCATTCCAGGCCGCCGGCGCCTACGTCGACTTCCAGACCACCCCCGAGGTCACCGCCCTCAGCCCCCTGGCCGCTGCCATTGCCAACAATGGCGGCTTCCAGGCAGAGGCTATTGCTACCGAGACCACCTTGGAGACGGACGGCTTCCTCGACACACTCTCTGCCGATTTCGGTCGCACGTTGAAGAACCTGACGGCCATACACGCCGATCTTGCAAGACTCAAAGCATTCGGCGGCATGCCTGTAACGCTGGAAGGCCATGGCGTGATCCGGGTGCGCTTTCCTGGTGTTGACGCCGATACAGTCGAAGCATTATGCGCGGAAGCTGGCATTCAACGCGGCGTTGTTGGGGAAGATGCCAACTTTGGTCGCGTGCCAGATGCTCCTATCTCGCTCCAGTTTCCGTATGCCCCGGGCGAAGACAGAACCGTCTCCTCGCCGGGAGGGTCTACACGCGCCCTGGACGATTACGAATTCGAAGATAGTCTTTCATCTCTCAGTGACGACTCGTTCATTCGTCAAGCGTTCGTCGAGGAAGTGGATGACAACCCTTGGCTCTCGGACTCGGATTCAGACGGATACAAATCGATGTCCCCGCCGTTGAGTTCAGGACAGCATGTCTCGACGGACTTTGAGGGCTTGGAGGGCATATATCGGTTCATCGAGGAGTGCGATCGAGGGCGGGACCAATTTCGTTGACGAGAAGAAGAAGCATTGTACGTTTTGATACCACGGATAGCGTCGTTCGAAGATCTACACTCCCTCAGGCGCGGTGACAGACCGGCGTCTCCTTTCCTACTAGTTTATTTAGTCAATATCATGGTCAAGAAAGATTGATCGAGACAATTACCTTTATTGTGCATGTTTCTCGTGTTGCGCTGCGTGTCCAGGGTTGTGCGCCTTGGGGGCGTTCGCTTTCGGGGTGAGCAGCTGTGTGTTGGTTGCGAGATATTGAAGACGCATGCCGAACAGGATCAATGATGCGCAGAGGCGATCGCATTGGTCTTGTTGGGTCATGGCGACGATTATAACTGTGCACAGAAGAAGGGAAGCGGGACATGACGGTACAAGCGTCGAGACCAAATCGTGGGGCGGGCAAACCTCGGAATGTTCATTACTTGAGTCTGGGACGCTACTTTTCGTCCCAGTGCACGCGCTTCCAATTTTTGTTCATCTTACTTCAACATCAGAACCTCGCGAGACATGTTGACACTGAAAACGCAGCTTGTCTCTCTATGCCTAGGCACATGGTAAGTCGTCACTTTTCTAGCTCATAGCCTTCATATGATGTCATTCTTTTTAAGAATTCTGCAATGCCCAATCGCCCTTTATGGCCGGTGTGTGGACAACTTCCAGCTGATCCTCCATGAACCCTTTCCATCGTACCAGTTGATCACTTCTGCAATCATCGCATGCTGACCAATTCGTCTGTACAGATCGCCCGCTTTAGATCTCGATAGGCATGCCGGGGGGGTATCGGCCGCCCTTGACCTCGAAGTTTGCCAACAGCTTCTCGATCGCCTGGAGATCGTCTTCCTCGAGCTCCACGATCGTGCTGTTCTCCTTCACTCGGGACGCTGTTGTCGACCCAGGAATCGGGATGACGTGTGGCATGCCATCTCTTTTGCCGATACTTCGCACCCAAGCAAGCGCCAGCTGTGCAGGCGTGCAGCCCTTTTTGTCGGCCAAGGCTTGTACCTGATCGACAAGCTTCAGGTTGTGCGCCATGGCGTCGTCTTGGAAACGCGGGAGTGACCCGATCATCCCCAGATGCTTGGCGTCTTCTGCGCTCCTGAAGCGGCCGGTAAGGATCTAATGCGATGTTAGCTAGCTGTTTTGAGGTTTTTTGATATGCAAAGTAGAAGACGTACACCGCGCCCAATGGGTGAGTATGCCATTAGAAGGATGTCGTACTGCGCACATGCTGCCGCGACACCGTTGTGCAGGGTGTCCTGGGAGAACATGCTGAGCTCGACCTCGGCCATGGCAATCTTGCAGGTCTTGCTGGCTTCGTGGATGGTCTCAGCGCTGCACTCGGACAAGGCGATGCCCCTAATCTTGCCGGTGTCGACGTACTCCTCCTGAAGGACGCGCAGCGTAGTGGCAAGCGGCACCCTCTTGTCCCTCCTGGCCAGCCCGAACACGTCGAGCTTCTTCTTGCCACCAAGCTGCGCGAGGATGTTGTCGACTGACTTGCGTATGAACTCGGGCGACCCGTCAGGGACAAGGGTCTTGACGTCCACGCCGCCCTTGATGACGAGTGTCACCTTGTCCGCGTCCTCGGGATATTGTGTAAAGTACCTGTTGAGCAGGGTCATGGAGTTGTACTCGGGCGTGCCGTAGAATTCTCCGCCATTCCACAAGTTGTCGCCTGACTCGAGAGCTTGCTTCATGGCTTCAATCGCCTGCGAAACGGGCACTGGGTCGGGACGCCATGTGAGGCCTGTTTCGTTAGCATGGGAACAGCTGTTGTGACAAGAGGCGAGATGTTACCCATGAGGCCATACCCGATGGGGCCGAGGGACCTGTGGGAGACTTGAGACATTTTGCAGTGGGATTGGAAGTTGTCGCTACGGTGAGGATAGCTATGTGTTTTTGAAAGGTCGAAACGCACTGGTCCAGGCGAATTACTGAATACTAGATTCCCAGGGCGACATATATAGTACTAGCGCAACGGACTCCTGTCTGGGTTAATGATATCATGTCCTCGGAGTTAGCGTCATGAGTGGGCGACTATGCTGGATGCTACTACGTATTACTGGCTGGCCACTCTGTATCGGAAATACATCCATCTTCAAGTGAGCATTTCCGAGCGCACGGAGCGGAGTTAATGTTCATCTGCAATCGCATCTATCATCATAATAAAGGCAGGTAAACTTTCGTTCACAACTCTATTAATAGTTCTTCCTCCTGGATTGACGATGATGTTGCTGGCGCTGCAGCCGTGTCCTTCTCTCCAGGTTCTTCTTGGGCCAGTGGCGCTCTATTCTCATCCTGTGCCTGTATAGTAGGGGTGGGAGCAGGCTTCATTTCTGATGTCTTGCTTTCAGCGCTGGACTGGCTTCGCAAGAATCTGGGGTTCCCTGTAGAACCCTCCCTTGCCTCCTCAATTCTGTCGCCGCCTACTGCCGTGGTGATCCTAGCATCGGGCTCGTTCCCATTGTGCTCGAAGGGTAGACCTTCAACTTCTGATGCCTGCACCATGTGCCTCCGATGAGAATGATCCTCCAGCCCAAGAGCAGAAGAGGTCTGCTGATTGGGGGGCGGTGGAATATCACAGGCTTTGTATTCGTGTACTTCCCCCGTGGGCGTAGCAGACGGCGTCGCTTGCAGTACTTGCTCACCGGCGCTTGTTTCTCGCTTGGCCACGGACGCCATGCGCGCTCGGCGACCCCTGATGTTGTGAGTACGTATCGCTTCGAAACGGGAGGCTTGTTACTTGTGTATTGGCTTTCTTCTACTCTTCCTCCTCTTCGAAGTAGAACTTGCTGTTCCTGACTTTGTTTGATCGAGGTGCGCATCCGCCTCCAGCTCTGCCACAAGTCCCTGCGTACTGCAGCCCTCGTCCGGCGCATGGGGGTTCTGATCAGAGGCGCAACTCCTGCCAGAAGAATCGTTGAGAAGATCTCGGATATCTTTTCCGAGAGAATCCGCGCGCGACAGCGGGTGCATCTTGTGTCCGTCGCTTGGGTCTTCGGGCATAATGCAAAGTTGCAAATTCGGTTGCGCTCCGCCATCCCACGAATCCACGACCCCGAGATCGACCGTGCCAATCATCTCCTGGGGCGTCAGAGAGCGCGGGTACCCTCCAACTATGATGCCCTCGGGGAGAAGATCCGCTGGTATAAGGGGCACGACCCGGCCCGTCTGAGGGCGGGTGATGGTGAAAAGCGGCCGCGAAAATGCCATGGCGTACTTTAGGAGATCTCGTCTGTTGTGAAGTTGCTCGACTGATCAGGGTCGTCTCGTCCCTGGCGGGACATGAAGCTGTGGTCGAGCTACTCGCCATGCCTGTAGAGCCCGGGCCTCATGCACACGCACGTCGGTGTGTTTGCAGACAGCAACAACAACAACGCCTCAAACACGTTCCACACGTATCACAGCATCCAGTCCATCAACACAATAACCCAGCTGCCGGGGCCCGTCCTTGAGCTCCACCTCGCGTCTGACCCATCGCCCTGGCCTTTCGCCGTCGCCGCCATCTTCTGCTTTGTCTTCTGCATCATCTGCGTTATCCTCTTCATCGCTGCTGTCGCCAGCCACGTCTTCGTACCCAGCCACGGGATCCCACTCGCCAGTTTCCCACACAAGTTTCATGTCCAAGGGTGGCAAACCGAGCAGTTTGCCGGCAATGCCCTTGAGGCGGTAAATGTCAAACGATTTGGGCACGCGTGTCTCTTTTTCCACGTTTGCCCCTCGAAACACAATGTTGACAAGACGTGCCTCTAGGAAGGCGGGATTGACTTCGTTCCGACGAACAATGTCCGGCTCCCCATATTGCTCGCAGAGCGACGTCCACCGTGGATGACTCTTCTTGATGTCCGCCTCTTCACTTTCCGGTGCGGCGCCGAGCTGGCGCGCTATGCGGGACAGGTAAAACATCTCTGCGTTGGCCCGGTCGCTTGCCGAGACGGCCGTATAGTTCAAACTTTTCAGGTCGGCCATGCGTGCAATGGTGAACATGTATGCATCTTCTGGCGACCCTGTCGCGTCCTTGGCGTCTGGGTCGGGCATTTCGTAGATGGGGTTGTGCGCGATTCGGAGGGCAGACAAGGAAGGGAAGTGCCTTGGGAGACTGTCGACGAATGACCATGAGCTGATCTGATTGTAGGAGACGTCGAGGTACTGGATCGACACGGGAAAGACAGGGCCAGATGAGATTTTGGATAGGTTGTTGCCTTTGAGGTGCAAGCTTCGCAGGTTGGTAAGTCCCTGTAGACTGGATAAGTCTTCCAACGACGTGAAGTCGTTGTATTCGAGGTTAAGATTGGAGAGCGTCGAGGCGAGGGATGCGTAGTCCACCAACGGGAGGGACGAAAGTTGGTTTGAGCCGGCATTGAGTGAGCCCAGAGACGTGAATGCTGTGGCCATTCGGGTGATCTCGTGCCAGTCCAGCAGCGTATCTTCCAGAGCCAGCTCTGTGATCCGGTCAAAGGCTTCGGAGCAATCGTCCAGGGATTTGTCCTCCAGCACGCCTTGAAGACGGTTGCCACTATTAACCACCATTAGTGTCCTGTCGCGACAAATAGATTGTGAGTAGCTACACACCTGAGGCTGAGCTCTCTTAGCGCTCCCAGCTCGTGGCAGATGTGGACGACGTCTTCCACCTTCTCGAGCAGGTTCCGACTGAGGTCCAGTTGCATGATACTCGGACACGTCTGTCCGATTTTCCCCTCCTCCTCGCGTATCCCCGCCACCTTCATGCTGTCCAGGATTACAATCTTCAGATCTTCCAGCTTGGCGAGCTGCCGTTGAATTTTGTCAAAGCCCATTTCCTGGGCCACCTTTGTCCCAAAGATGACAATCTGTCGGTCCGGGTGGTTTGGGTTCTCGCCGTCGGCATCAGGGGCGTACTTCTCCCGGAGCGCAGAGATAAACGACTGCGGCTGATCTGCGCGGCGCGTCGGACGGATGAAGGAGGCGGCTAGAGCCGATTTTGACGTTGTGGTGAAGTAGCGATGGCCCTTGTGAGAGCCATCGTGTTTCCCGCGGGTGTGGTCATCCCACTCGACGCCCAGCCAGAGGCCTGTGGTGCCTGCGACTTGGCCAATGTAGCGAACGGTGCAGAGCGCACCGTCGTAGGAGAGGCGCTGGCCGACGTACGGTGAGTCTGGCATGTTGTTTTAATGAATGAGAACGAGAGTTGCGGGCGGACACTGAAATGAGGTGTGAGATGCTGGCCAGGCAGAAGCGGGTGGGGCAGCAAAGATACAGGCAGACATGGTGACAGACCGACGCCCACTGATCAATTCACTAATTACAACGAGAATGACAACACGCGAGAATAGCAACAGTTTCATCAATAGCATGCTCTCAATTCAGTAGATTAAAGCAACATGGAAACATATTTGCGTCGCTCAACAGCCTACAGCTTGCTCTTGGACTCCGCAACGACTCTAATCAGCGCGCGTCCGTTCGTCAAACATGCCTTGCCCCCCTCGACCTGCGTCACAAACCGAATCTCCTCAAAGTCCCCCTTCTTCTCGCCTGTCCTCCAGACCTGCGTCACGAGCTTGTCGCCCGGCTTGACGGGGCTCGCGAAACGAGCCTGGTACTCCTTGATGTTGGACGGGTCACCGGCGCCAAACTTCTTGAGCAGCAAGTGCGACGTCGTGTTCCACGAGTAGAGACCGTGCATAATGGCACCACCAAAGCCCATCTTCTTCCCTGGCTCGGGGGTGGCGTGGAGCGGGTTGTAGTCGCCATTGAGACGGTACAGCAGCGCCGACTCGGGCGTTGTCTGGTGCTCCAGGGTCGCGTCCGGGGCCTTGCCCTTGGGTGGCGGGAAGTTCTCGGTGGCAGGGCCCTTGGGGCCGCCCCAGTTGCCTTGGGCGATGAAGAAGGCCGAGCCGATCATGCGGGAGTAGACCTCGCCACTCTGGACGTCCACGAGATCTGTCTGTGTCTCGACGACGGAGCCGGGACGGCCCTTGTCGTAGACGCCGAGCACCTTTGTGCGGATCTCAAACTTGCGGTTCTCCGAGGTGACGGGGAGGGGCTTCAGGAACTCCATCTTGCGCTGCCCGTCCACCACGCGCCGAGAGTCAAAGTCGGGCACATTCGGGATCTTGACGGCTTTCTGGGCGGCATAGAAGTCGACGACCTCGCTGGAGTCCTTCTTGAAAGCTGTCGGTGTTAATACCAACAGGTTGGGTTGAATGCTGGGGAGCATGACGTACGGAGGATGATTGGGTAGGTCGGGAAGACGGCAAAGTCGGGGTGAAGTTCCTACGGGAGTCAGTGTGAGATGGGTCACTGTCAGGAAGAAAGACTTACGTAGAGGAAGTGAAGCTCATCGGCCGTCGCGCCAATGGTGTTGGCGAAGAGTAGGACGTCTCTCTTGAGCCATGTCACCTCGACGGGCGGGTACTCGAAGCCAACTCCAGGATCAGGCATGTTTGCTGCGGTAGGGGCTATTGTTGTTGGCGTGATTTAATTGAATTGAGGTGGAGGAGCAGAGGTCGACGATGAGACGAGGACGAGGCGGCTAATTAAGTATCACATATTAATGAATGGCACGTTGCCGAAGGCAGCGAGGTCGGGCCAACAGCTTGTTGGAGCTGTCAAGCCGAGGTTGAAGTGTGGGGAAGGCTGGACTGGCCTACAGAACAGGAACAGCTGCCGGCATGCCCATCTGGGGAGCGCTACAGGGGGTGCGCTTTGCTTTACCCGGTACCATCCTGCTTAGCCACACTTGGATGATAACGACAATGTTTGAAGGCCTAATTAACGACTTGGGTGACCATTGGCATACAGACCCATCAGCTAGGAAACGGTATCGATGCCGGGCTTTTATACCCATTCTTGCCCACGGACCGGACGCCAAAGATGACATTGTCAATCGACAGCTCCACCGTCGTCTCCGCCACATCCCCCACAAACACAGCGTGCGTCCACTGAGGCGCGCTCGTCGGACGCCAGACGACCTCGTACCCTTCCACCTCCTCGTCGTCCAGCTTCGCCCACGACAGGCGACTGTCATTGTCCAGGCTGGCCGTGTCAATGGTCACGTTCTGTACTTGACCAGGCGCGTTCGCGAGGGACCACATGGCCGCCAGGTCCACCCTGGCCACACGCGCAATGAAGTCGTAGTCGAGAAATTCCTCCAGGTCACCGTACTGGACACCGTCCTCGACGCGCGTGTCCTGGTGCTGGTGATTAAAGTCCTCGTTGGGCTCCGTGAAGCGCACCGCTGCATCATACCCTGCCTCCAGGAACGACCGATGGTCGCCACCGCGGAGGAAGCGATCCAGACGGTAGATCATGGCCACCTTCATGTCCGTGTACTTGTTGGTGGCCACCTCGGCGATGAAGCGTCCGAGATTGCGCGCAGGCGAGTCGTTCTCGCCACCAATCGACAGCCTTGTACTCATCTGGTCGTCGGATTCCGTGAGCGGGGGACCCTGGCAGAACATGCGGATTGTGTGAGGCTCCTTCTCACCCCGCGAGCCGACTGAGCTACCTACGAGGTCGACGTTGAGGACGCCCTCAATGTTCGTGCTCTCGTTGCGGTATGTCTGCGCCATGAAGCCAGAGCCGAGAAGTCCCTGCTCCTCGCCAGCGACAGCAGCGAAGACAAGCGAGGCACGGTGCTTGTGCTTGGCCATGACGCGCGCCAGTTCCATGGCGACTGTACGGGTCAGCATCATTCTTTAAGTTCTCTCGCCCTGGTGGGTTCGACATACCAGCTACACCAGATGCATCGTCGTTCGCGCCAGGCTGGTCATCCCACCAGTTCAGCACATCAGACACTCGCGTGTCGTAGTGGCCCATGGTGAGATAGAACCGGGTCGGGTCCTCGGTTCCCTCCAGGGTGGCCTGCACATTACTGATCTTGACGGGTTCAGGGACCCGTGTGGTAGGTTGCTGGATGTATCCGTTTGTCTCTACCGTCAGTCTGCCGTCCGACTCCTCAGCATAGCGCTCGAATTCCGCGGCGATCCAATTCCTAGCTGCGCCAATGCCGCGGGTGGTGTCATTCTGTGGGGAGAGGGTGTGGCGTGTGCCGAAGCTGACCAGCTTGGAGATGGTCTCCTTGATGCGCTCAGCGGACACCTCGGCCAGGGCGGCTTGGAGTTCCTTGTCCGGACGCTGAGGCTCGAGCAAGGAGCCCGTGTTGCTCCCTGGTCCAGGTGGCGGCCAGTTGGCGTTGGCGCACGAGATGTAGTTCTTGTCATATGTGGCCACCAGAGGAGGGAAGACCGGAGTCGTCCCCTCGCACGGCTTGGCACTGGCGAGGGGGAGGGCTAGAGTGCCGAGTGCAAAAAGATTGGCTCGCATGGTGTCCGATTTACAAGTGATAGGGATCCGTGATTTAGGAGAAGAATCGTGTCTGGGTTCATCACCGGCTATATACTTGATGGCGTCTACAAGCGAACATGCCAACCCCTCTGCCTATTGGTAATCAGGGGCGAGGAGATCTTCTACTTACCCCAAGATCCTGGTAAAGCCATCGAGCAAGCTTATAATAACCTATCCGGCAGTCTCCCGATATCAACAGCCGGCCTCCAACCTCCTGCCCGATATGGCAGGTCGGCGCCTCAGATCTGTCGATGAGTTGGAGTCGCGGACAGAAGTTCATGATATCATCTTCATGGACGGCATCGAGCTATCGGTAGTTTCATGCGGGGTGGCCAAGGAGAGAGGCAAATTGCTCATGCACCATGGGTAGTCAATGGGACGAGGATGGAGGGAACTTTGTGGACGAGAGGTCATGGAATGTGTCCAAGCGCTTGTGGTGTTTCTGCCTACCCTGACTCCTTCGATGTGGCTGCTCTCTGCAAAGCACTACCAAAGCAATTCAAAATTATTGGCAGCATAACTTCTACTGCCGTCTTGATTCAATCCAATGGCTTACACAGCTGTAGACGCATGTCCAGGAGTTGTATTGTCCACTCTAAGCGTTGGGGGTATAGTAAAAACAACGCCGTCTACCAGCCTTGTACAAGTATGAGAATCGCAGAAGCCAGCCACCCTGTCGCCCAGGGCAGCGCAGCGCTGCTCTCCTCTACACAACCATGGCTCCATTGAGGCCGTGGGCATCCACCCGGTTCACTAGCTTCTTCACGTTTGTCCAGTCCTCATGCTTGAGTCCCTCCTTGCCACCGAGCCCGCTCGCCACGTCAAACACAGTCACACACCCGTCGATGCCGCCCGTGGCCAGTCGCTTGCCGTCGTTCTGCTCCCAGGCCACCTTGTTCAAGCTCCTCGTCCTGCCCTCCTGGCGGGTCGTTGGGAGGATCCTGGCCACCGGCTCCTCGGTCTCGACCGCAATGTCCCACAGCTCCAGCCACCCGGCGCCGTCCACCAGGGCAAAGACGCTCGGCTTGATGGGCGACCAGCGTGCGTCGTAAACCACGTCCTCTCGCACAAAGTCCATCAGGGGCGAGACGATGCCGTCGCCTGTCCCCGTCGACGTGGCGGCGGGAGCACGTACCTTCCAGAGCTTGGCACTCCAGTCCAGTGACGAGGAGAGGACCAGATCACCAAGGTCCACGGGTCCTTTGGCGGGGTGGAAGTCTACTGACATGACGGGCGCCGTGTGGCCCTTGTACGCAATCTTCCTGTCGACGCCTGCCTTGGCGCCAGCACGATCGTACCGGTGGCAGGGAAAGATGGTGCCCTCTTCGCTTCCACTGAGGAAGAATGTAGGGTCCGTCTGAGGGAACGAGATGCAGGTCGGGCTGACGTCCTCGACGGCAACTTTGGCCTGGCTGGGGTTCTTCAGCTCCAGAACCTCCTGAGGCTGGGCAAACACGTCCATGCTCCAGCCGCAGACCACACCATCTGTGGAGCACGAGATGATGTTGTTGGCGTTCTGTGTGCCCACGATATCAACCGCATAGATGGGATGCGCGTGTCCGTTGCCGGTCAGAGGCGTCTTCTGCACAGGGGCAGCCTTGGCTCTCGTATCCCACAGCAAGACCTGCCCGCTGTATGAACCGCCGACGATCAGGTTCGGGTGATATGGCGAGAACTTGGCGGTGAGAATGTCCGACTGCGCCGTGAAGACGTACTCGGGCCTGTCTTGCATGTGCATGTTCCAGACCTGTACCAGGCCGTCCGGCTCGTGGGGGGCGGTCGGGTTCTTGGTGTAGGATGCCAGGAGGAGCTCGCTGAACTTGGGGGAGAAGTCGATTCCGCTGACCATCCGCATCTTAGACCAACGCTCGTCAAAGAACTGCGCGACCTCTTTCACCCTGTGCTTGCCTCTCCCGCCAGTGTTGCCCGTCTCGTCATCGTCCTCCTCCACATCTTGCCCGTGCAGTGCGTAGTCCGTGAGGATGTCATATGTGTCCTGGTCAAAGGCGCGCTCAATGACCTTTGTCGATTGCTCGAGAAAGTCGTAAAAGTCGTCCGATTGTACCACAGCTGACAGTTCCTCCTGCGTGAGATCGCGGGAAGGGAAATTCGCCGAGGCCGATGGCGCGCCCACCGTGCCCTCTGTGATGTACTCCTTGGCAGCCCTGAGCTCTTCCTCGATCTCCTCCTTGATCTTCTGGCGCAGCTCTTCCTCCCGGTCACGCTCCCGCCTACTGAGCCGCTTGTTAGGGGTGGTCGTGGTACCAGGGATGTCGTCTATGTCCGACACGCCCGAGTGAGCCCTTGGCCGATCGGGACCTATCCATTCCTCGGTGGTCTGGACACCCTTGCTGTAGGTGAACACCTCCTTCACAGGCGACGGCGGGCATTCGTATACGGTCGTTAGGGCGACAGTCGTCAGGGTGGGCGGAGGCTGCGCCGGCGCCGGCGCTGGCGTCGGAATGGGTGCTGGTGTCGATGGACCTGGCGTGCCCGGTACCAGAGGGCCTTCTGAGTAGGCGTTGCTGAGCTCGCCAGCACTGAGCACGCTGCTGGGTCGGCTGCCCCGACCTGCTGGCGAGCCAGCCCCCCCAGTCGATGATCCGGATGCCTTCTCGCCAAGAATGTCATTGATCAGGCTCTCGACAGCGCGCCGATCGGTGCCTAGCTTGAGCTGCTGTAGTTAGCTCTTGAGCCGCGAGCTTGTTGGGGGAACGCACATCGACCGCGCCCCCGATGCTTGCGCGACCCGCATTCGATTGCTGGGCGCGCAGCTGTCTCTGCCGTTTCAGCTCTGCAAGCTTCGCCTGCTTTGCAACGAGTTCATCTTTGCGTTGTTGCATCTTTGAGAGCTCAAGACCCCATATCGGGGGGTGCGAGTTGGCGACAGAGCTTTGGTGGAAAGGGGCTGGAATATGGCAGTCGTAGGTCCCCAGAAATATAGGAGGTAATGGAGGGATTGACGACGGGCGGAGCGCGGCCTTGCTAATGTCGCGAAATCCAGTTCACGAAACAAGTCCTGGCGTGCGTGGCTGGGACAACGATCAGTTATTACTGCCAGTGGTGTCTGACGCGACACGGGGGAGTTCGGTGAGGCGAGGTTGTTCAAGCACTGTCAAAGGAAAATGCTATTTAAGCTGTACTTGCACCCAATCACATCACTCCGGTCCATTAGTGTAGTGGTTAGCACGAAAGATTTTGATGCCTCTTCAAAACATTTCTTTAGTCCCCGGTTCGAACCCGGGATGGACCTACAAGCCTTTCCTTTTGCATTTTTGGGTGATTAGGCAGAAGTCAATGTCTTTTTGCATTCCAAAAAGTATATACTGCTTTGTGGCCATACTATGAAGCAGCTTTTCATCCTGTGAGGAATAGGTCTGTCTGCTGAGGGTCATTGCGGTGCGTAGCTTGTCCATGTGTCCCTGTTCAGCTCCATGCGTTCACGTCTATCCATCCGTACGGGTATAAGTATAGTGTCATACAGCGAACATGCGCAGCAGAATGAAGTAATGACCACCTATCTTTGATTCATTTGCAATACGAATAAATTACCCCTACATGTAGTCTACAACATCCGTACTTCGTAAAGGCTCTTTACGTACTTCTAAGGTGGACTGTCGACTAGGTGACACCAGCCAATGGCCAGACCACAATGGCTGATTCATCGACCCACCTCTAGCGGCGGCGCTGCCGCCCAGCGACTGAACCCGCGCTGGCAGTGGACATGGACAGAACGGTCGGTTGACGCCTCAGGTAAAATCTGCGACTTCTCCCGACCGAACACCGAACTTGAATTCTTTTGAGTCCGCAGCGCAACCTCGCCTTCCACCACAAAGTCAAGTACCGTGGTGCCACCTTGAAGCACCTATCGTCAACTTGGGCTCGCACTCTTTCCACGCAAAGTCCGCCACTCGATTCATCCCCGAACCGCAATCATGGTCTCGACCGGTGTCAACGTGCGTGCTTTCCCTTCGACTCCCACCCAGCGATCTCCATCGACGCCGATCACGATTGCGCATCCTCCAACGAACTTGACAACGTGCTGCGATGGACAATTGAGCTAATTGACCTCCCAAACAGGTTTTCCGGTGGTCCGCCCTGGCCTTCGGTGTCTTCTACGGCTTCTCGCACCAGCGGGCGATAACCGCCAACCAGAAGGCCATCCACGACAAGCACGAGTGGGAGCAGAAGCAAAAGGTGATAGACCAGGCCAAGGCCGAGTACCAGAAGAAGAAGAACCCTGCCCCCGCCTCGAGCGACGATGGTATGTTGATCACTGGCCCGTTGCGCGATTCTCGCGCACGGCGACGGGACGCGGCCGCATGTCTGCGGCTGGCCTTGGAGAGGACAATGGCTGACCATGAACCAGTTGTGATGGACCCTGCCGACCCCAAATTCGATCTCGAGAAGCTATTGCTCAAGGTGTCCGAGGAGAAGGCCTAAGAAGCTTTGGAACAGAGGTGGACGAGAAGCCATGCCATGTCGGATTTCCCCAGAACGAGGGCCGGCTACGGCAAAGACGCGCGGAGAGGATGGACTTGCAGCCATCGGATGACGGACGGCGAGCTCAATGTATCATCGCAACTGACAGTGGTGGCACTGCATAGAATTTCCTTGGGTTCTCTTGTGCTTTTTGTACAGGTGTAAAATACAACAATTAGACCACAATGGATATGCGCGCGTGTACATTCAGACCACTTGGTCTGCAGAGTTACTGTGATGTGGGAGTGGGAGTCGTCGATATCAGACATGATGGTGTCTTGCCACCCAGTCTACCCGCCAAACGTAATACGACAGCTTCCTCCGAGGAGACTAATAAGCGAGGCAACTCTACATGGCGTTACTGACCCCATATCGTGCCATTGATGTTGCGTCCAGCCTCCAGGGCGCTGGGTAATACCCGGGAGATGGGGTGGTCGTCCTACAGCGAAGAGCCAGACGGGGCCCCTGGAACTGGAATAGCCCCACAAATTACGACGTCGTAGCTCCAAGCTGTCCTTACTGTGATGCCCGCGACGCCTCAGCTTTCCAACATCAACTCTGACAATCTCTTCGACTCACCCACAGCGTTCCGTCAATCAATCGTCCATCATGGCGGTTGCGCAGCAGAACGCTCTCTTGGGGCCTCCCTCGCAGAGCTCGAGGACCCTCTTGCGGGTCGTCATTCTTCTCTTCATTGCTGGCGCGGCCATTGCCAGTCGACTCTTCTCCGTTATTCGTAAGGACTACCGCAGCATTTGTGTACCATTGCGCTAATCGTTCAATCCTACAGGTTTCGAGAGTATTATTCACGAATGTCAGCTCACCTCACATCTGTAGAGTCAATCGCCCCGTACTGACGCTTTCCTAGTCGATCCGTGGTTCAACTTCCGCGCCACCAAGTACCTCGTCGCGAACGGTTTCTACAAGTTCTGGGATTGGTTCGATGACCGAACATGGCATCCCCTGGGACGTGTCACGGGAGGCACGCTCTATCCCGGCCTCATGGTCACCAGCGGTGTCATCTACCACATCCTCCAAGCCCTCACGATCCCCATCGACATTCGAAACATTTGCGTGCTGCTCGCCCCGGCCTTCTCCGGCCTGACGGCCTTTGCCGCCTATCTCCTCACGAATGAGATGACCACTTCGCCATCCGCTGGTCTTCTCGCTGCGGCTTTCATGGGCATTGCCCCCGGCTACATCTCGAGGTCCGTCGCCGGCAGCTACGACAACGAGGCCATCGCCATTTTCCTTCTCGTATTCACCTTTTACCTCTGGATCAAGGCCCTCAAGCTCGGGTCGATGCTGTGGGGTGCTCTCTGCGCGCTCTTCTATGGATACATGGTGGCGTCCTGGGGAGGTTACGCCTTTATCACCTGTATCCTGCCTCTGCACGCATTCGTGCTCATCTGCATGGGCCGCTACAGCAGACGTCTCTATGTCAGCTACACCACGTGGTATGCTCTGGGTACGTTGGCCAGCATGCAGATTCCCTTTGTCGGATTCTTGCCCGTCAAGACCAGCGAGCACATGCCAGCTCTGGGCATTTTTGGCTTCCTCCAGCTGGTGGGGTTCATCGACTACGTGCGCTCTGCCATCTCGGGCCGCCAGTTCCAGGCTTTCCTCATCACCGTGTTGGTCGCCACATTCGGCATCGGCCTCGCTGGGCTGGTGGCACTGACCTCGCTCGGCTACATTGCGCCCTGGGGCGGTCGTTTCTACTCCCTGTGGGACACGGGCTACGCCAAGGTTCACATCCCCATCATCGCCTCCGTGTCCGAGCACCAGCCCACTGCCTGGCCGGCCTTCTTCTTTGACCTCAACATTCTGGTCTGGCTGCTGCCCGCTGGCATTTGGCTTTTGTACAAGGAGCTGCGCGATGAGCATGTGTTCGTCATCACATACGCCCTGTGTGGCAGCTACTTTGCTGGCGTCATGGTCCGTCTCATGCTGACATTGACACCGATTGTGTGTGTGGCGGCTGCCATCGCTGCCTCGAAGCTGCTCGACACCTACCTTGTCAAGTCGCCGAGCCAGACGTCGACGAGCGAGGCTGGAGAGAAGAAGGCTCCCAAGAGCGCTGACAAGACGGCATCTCCCCTGGGAGTCTCCTCCATGGTATCCAAGCTCACCATCGTCGGAGCCATGATCGTCTACCTGTTGATGTTCGTCAGCCACTGCACCTGGGTTACTTCCAACGCCTACTCATCGCCCTCTGTTGTTCTCGCCAGCCGCATGCCGGACGGCAGCCAGCACATCATTGACGACTACCGTGAGGCCTACCAGTGGCTTCGCCAGAACACAAAGGAGGACGCCAAGATCATGTCGTGGTGGGACTACGGCTACCAGATTGGCGGCATGGCGGACCGACCCACCCTCGTCGACAACAACACCTGGAACAATACGCACATTGCCACTGTCGGCAAGGCGATGAGCTCCCGAGAGGAAGTCAGCTATCCTATCATGCGGCAGCACGAGGTGGACTACGTGCTTATTGTCTTTGGTGGACTGCTGGGCTACTCCGGTGACGACATCAACAAGTTCCTCTGGATGGTCCGCATTGCCGAGGGCATCTGGCCTGAGGAGGTCAAGGAGCGCGACTTTTTCACTGCTCGCGGCGAGTACCGCGTCGACGATGGCGCGACCGATACCATGAAGAACAGCTTGATGTAAGTGCTTGCTTGACGTTCGTGACGGGGCCCCTCATGCTAATGCCTCGATAGGTACAAGATGTCGTACCACAACTACCAGTCCATGTTCCCGCCTGGCAAGGCTGCTGACAGAGTCCGTGGCGTTCAACTGCCGTCCGAAGGACCCGTTCTCAACACCATCGAGGAGGCGTACACCACCGAGAACTGGATCATTCGTATCTACAAGGTCAAGGATCTGGACAATGTTGGTCGCGACCACTTTTCTGCTGCCGCTTTCGACCGCGGACAGAAGAAGAAGGCGACCAAGAAGCGTGGCCCGCGGGTGCTGCGCGTCGATTAGGTGGGAGGGAGATAGCAAGTAAATCTGGCCAAGATAAAACATGAACGGATAGAGAGATGGCTGGCCACACGGTCTATCTTGGGGAGATAGAGCTCCCTAATGTACACCATTGATTGAACTCGGTGCGCAGACTGCCTTGATGTCATGAAGCTGTGGTGGGTGCCATGCGACGTCCAGATATGGGCAGCGACTGGCTCGTGAGTCGTCCCAATAGTACGAGGCTGCCTGACGAGATCAGTCACTGATTTCCTTTGGAGCACGTTAGCAGATGTATGGAATGGAGCATTCACGAGGGCGTGCGAGTGACACCCGCATGCTTGGATGTTATCGCTGCCTGAGATATCGTCTTGTAGCCCCTCCGACCCCTATTGTTTACATTGCTTGCCAGGTACACGGACTTGGACCTTTCCACTGCACACTCACTTCGCCTCAGACTCTTTTCTCCGATCTGCTAGGCCTTGACTCACCCAAGGCTGAGTGAGGAACAGCGTCTGGTCTCTGCGCACAGCCACGCAGTGAGCTTGCCCTGATTTTCAACTCAATCTACGCTCACCACGCACACAACTTGAGATGGCCAGCGAAAAATTTTCCATCTCACCTCGACACTCTCCGTTGCTTTGATCTCAAACCTCTACATATCCTCACTTCCTCCCTTTTCTATCGAGCGACACGAATACATTGCGACAACTGCGCTCATTGTTGTTCCTCTGGCTCCCTGTACGCTCAATGATGGGACTGCTCGCTGGCCGCAAGGTCAAGCGTCGTGGATCTCCCGAAGTTGACTTGCTCTTGACTGCCTTCAACATTCCGACGCGTCGGCAGTTGGTGAAGAAGAACGAGGCGAGATCGCAAGGCACTGGAGCGCCATCGGCTGTGGTAGCTTGCCACAACAAACAGACAAACGCGGGACAGCCGCCCTTCGTGGCTAAGCCGCCAAAAGCTGCCATTGCAAAGACGAGTTCAAATTGCACAGCGAAGCATTGCAAGACACCCAAGTGCCAAACTTCATCAGAGTCTGGTCTTGATTCTACATCGAATACGGACAGTGTCGCTTCAGACACTGGCTCCTCGCCTAAGAGACAATCACGCAAGCACAGGAAGAAGACATCGAAACGAACGCAGAGGGGCTCCAAGGCTCGCCAATGTCTGAAGAAGAATGCACAGCACGAGGACGAGGACAATGAAGAGGACGAGGAGCCGGATAGCTCATTTGACTCTGACGTACAGCTATTGCCCACCTCTCGCCGTCCAGAGAGGAAGAGCTCGAACAAAGGCAGACGCGTCGCGAATGTCGTACCGCGCTCGCTCATGAAGACTGATGCAACTGCGCTGCACAACACGCGAACCTCGATGCCCAAGAATGTCAATCATGCCCGCCATGCCAAGCAGTTCTCACCGACACCTCACAGTTCAGACAACAGTGCCTGGATGCCCTGGGCTGTTCCTCATCAGTACTACCCAACGTCTACCTATCTGACCCGATCCCCTGAGAGCGGCTCATCAAAACTGGCCCCGGCCTACCATCAGTGGAACGACATCGGTCTTTCCACAGTTTTGGGTAACTCTGCACTCCATCAAAATCCGCTGCGCCAGTCACCAGCTCAGAATCTGCATCATCAGCAACGCAGTCTTGACGCGGCCCTCGCCGCCCTCGCGGCGCGCCCAGACGACCCGCAGCTCAAAGCACAAGTAAACGTTCTGCAGGGGCAGTTGAATTCCACGCTGGATTAGGCATCTGGTCAGAATCAGCAGCAAGGACAGAAGCCACTTGACGGTGATCATCACGCGAGCGTCCGCAACGACCACGATCCTGCCGTTCTCAAGAGTTCTGCGCCCATCATTGCCGAGCAGTCTGGCAAAAGACCCGAAGACCGGGCTGTACTCCAGGACAAGGGTCTCTTGCACGCTTGTGCTGGGTGTGGATGCATCCGCTCGCGCAAATATCACGAGAAGCATGTGATCGCACCTGGAAAGACCAAGCAGCCCAGCCTCTGCGAGAATTGTCGTGCAAAACTACACAAGACTGGGGTCATCGGAAAGCTCAAGCGACATGTTTGCTTCGGCTGCGGTATCTACCGCTCTCGCTCGTTCAACAATGAACATCCAGGCAGGCCTGAGGACAAACTGCTTGTCAACTACTGCGTTCGGTGCGAGAATGAGATGGGCACGAGCCCGAGCGACAACAGTCACGAAGAGTCTGGAAGCAACACCCCCCAAGACGCTCTCGAGGAATCACATGACGCCGCATCTCGACTGCTAGAGTCACCAGAGCTCAAGCATCGCAGCCCATTGTCAGCCAGTCCCATCCTCGACGGATCCTCTACACCAGCCTATCTCCCAAAGCGAGATCATGGGGCATCTAGACGCAGAGAGGGACGAGAGCCTATTTTGGAGACAGCGTTCAGCAACAGCTACGAGCAGGAGCAGTCACGTTCCCAATACCGGCCACCATTCATGGAGGACGTGACTACGCCACTGCTTGCCCGTCCGAGTAGCACTTTCATTCATAACGAAACGAGCCAAGAGGTATCTTCTCCCTATACTCCCAGCGTCGTCTCCAATGGTACCAGAAATACAAGATTGTCCTCTATACTGAGATGCAAGACCTTTGTACAGGATGGAGGACTGGGCATGGATTCCTCGTCACCCACAAAGTCAACGACCAGTTCGGATTTGTCAGAAGTCGGCAGTGGATCTGTTGCATCGAGCAGCAAGACGGTCAAGTTCAAAAACTTGGTCGGCGTCAGGCGTTCACGATCGCCCTCCGAAAGTGGTTTCGCTTCTAATGAAGAAACAGAGGAGGCCATCAAGCCTGACGACAACACACAGCCCAGCCGCATTGGCACCTACGGATGCAATCCCCTGATGGACGAATGTGGGAGGCCTCTGTCCACGTCTGAGCGCCTGGGCTCTTTCTCCAGCAATGCTTCTCATCCAGAGGCATACGATGAGTATGATGACGGGATGCCCCGGGGCCTCGAGGACCGCTACTCTCAATCGACTCGGGACCATACACGAGGCGCCTTCAGTGGCTATGGTGGTGCTTTCAGCTCGGATGCTGGCTTCAAGACCAAAGCTTGGGATTGGAGTGACATCAACGGTCATTCCTCGCCATGCACGCCCAAGGAACCTCCCGAATGGTACGGAGAACGGTCCCATAGTGTTTCCAACACTGAAGCTGGCGACTCGTTCTCGATGCCGCATTCTCAACGAAGCGACTTCAGCTCCTACTTTAACGACGCAGCGGACAAATACGAGGGGATGCCCAGCAGCCCACCGCCATGTCCTCATGCGGATGGCCCTGTTGATCAGCAGCCCTCGGAGACTGTTCGTAATGACTAGGAGAATTCCGGCCCTCACCACCAGACCAACGATCACTCGAGCCCTCTATCATTTGCCTCTAATTCGGGGGCTTTTGCATTTTTCAGCACCCCAGGAAGTTCCGCTAGAGGAGCGTCGGACTTTTACTCTTCCACGACGAAGCAGCACGCGTCACACTTCCACTCTGCTGCGCATGACACCATCTACGATTCAGAGCCCATCATTGAGGAGGCAGACTCCACTACCAGCTCTCCTGTCAGGAAACCCCTTTTGCTCGGTAAGGACCAGTTCTCGCCTGACTCTCAAGTGAATGTAACTAACACTTCCAGAATACGGACTTGACGCTATCCCCGTCCTAGATCTGGACGGCAAGACCATCGTCAACGAGAGCCCCGAGTCTGAGGACACCAGCTCTGACGAAGACTCTGGCCGTGACTTTGATGTTCCGTGTCTGCTGTCAACATTGGTCACGGACAAGAGCACTTGCTGAGCCGCCACCATGGCTGTAACAACAACATGACCGACTACGACACACGAACACGAAATCATCGCGTCAACAACCAGGCACTGTACTTGCCCACTACTACACATGTACCCTGCTTTTACCGAGCGCTTTACCATCACCTTGTTACATCGATACGCACCAACCAACCCCTGTTTGGGAGGGAGGCAGCAACAGAGCCGCACCCCCCCTTTTTACACTTGTCATATCTGTTACTGGACTGCAAAGGCTATATCACCTCGTCAACTCTTGTGGAGCTACTTTTTTACTTTGGTTTCTTTCTTTCCTTTCTTGATTTCTTCTTTTTCTCTTCCATCCTCCTTGTTTACGAGGACTGAAGAGTCTGCGCTTTTGTCTACTTCTCTTGGCTCGATACGAGACACACACAAAAAAGAAAATGTTCCCCTGATCTTGGCTTAGCCGGGAGACACTGGGAAGATTAGAGTTGGACAAACAAAACGAACGCTAGACTGAGAGCGGAGAGCAGGCAGATATACACCTTGCATCTTCACTAGAGCAACCAACAATTGGGGGGACACGCACGATACATGAAGCGATGGGCAGTCCTTTCGTCTCTGTCTTTGGTGGAAGAATGGAGAGGCCACTAGATGGCCAGAAGCTACTGTGTTTGTTTCTGTTTGTTTCTGTCCTTTTTTTCCTTTCGGTCCCGTGTCTGCAGGAAGACTTGGTATGGCACCAACGGCTAAAAGTAGTCATTGCTCTCCGTGTTCATTCGAGTATTTCTCGATACCAAAAGAAAAGCCACTTGTCAAGATGATTGTTTTCAGTCCTCTACATGTCTATTGATATCAAAGTGTATGTATATGATGTGCCACTTCACTGTGGCCAACCCCCAAAGTTACTCGACGCGGGCGGCGCGCTGGCCGGGGACTCGTTTCTCGACAAACGCCCAAACTGCTGCTGCTGCTGCTGCTGCTGCTGCGTCGCCTTACTCCGCAGGAACGCAATAGCCTCTTGTCGTTTCATTTCAAAGGCCCGACTCCTCTCCCGCTCCCGCTCAATGTTCTGCTCTCGTCTGGCGAGATCCTCGTTGGCGCTCGTCCAGAGCCGCTTGCTCTCCAGGTCGTCGCGCACACGCTTCTCGACTTTGGGATAGGCCACGTCGAGCTTCTCGGCGATATCGGGCGGGGCCATGACGGGGGGCTTGGTCGCGTCCTGACGGGCGTGAGACGATCCGCCCCAGAAACAACGGAAAGACAACACGGTCTGGGCCTTGGCTTCGGGCGAACCCCATATGCCAAGACTGTCGCCGTCCTGTAGCTGCATCCAGTTCCTCGCTGGTCCGCGTGGGTTCTTTGGATCGTCCGATGGGAGCAAGTGTCCGTTGACGTGGATGCCGAGTGTTGCCTTTGTGGAGATCCAAAAAGTGTAGGCGTCCTCGTCGCCCGTTGACGGCGGCTGTACCCATGGGTAGGGGTTCCTCGTCGTGTGATGTTTGTGTGGATCGTATCCTTCTTTCCAGAGCACAATCTTGAACGCGAATTTGGGAACCCGCGACTCGGTCAGGGGTTGGAATACTTGGATGTTGTCGTCGTGCCGACCAAACGAGGTAAAGGGGGTCATGATGGGAAACGAGATGCCGCCCACATACGAGTTGGCCTGTGACTCGATGAGCCCTATGGCACGCTGGTTGTGCTCGTCTGGCAAGGGAACGACCAGCTGCTGGCCCGGCGGCTGCGTGTCCGGCAGATGTGGCTCCGAGGGCACGGCAGTAGGCGGGAAGTACTGGGGGTTGCCACTGGCCCTGCGCTCATCACGCTTCAGAGCACCGATGTGTGTCTGTGCTAAGCTCTGTGGTGATGGCGATAGCGGTCCGTTGGTCGTCGCTGTCGAGGGGAAGTACTGCATCGCAAGCCACCATAGAGGCGACTTGCCGGGTGATATCTCCTCGCCTCGCTGTCTAGCCGCTTCCTTGAAAGCAGCAAATTGAAGGTGTGTCATCTCGGGATAGTCAAGATGCCACGTCGACCTGTCTTTGGTCCACCATTCAGTCTTGGTCACAGCCCGGTCGATTTGACGGCCTGATTGCAGTCTGCTTATCTGCGGCACACAAGCGAGCAGTTCAGCCTCGCTGAAACTATCCTCCAGAAGGCCCTCGATATTGCCCTCGGACTTGAGTCGTTTCATGAGCGGCTTGTCCAAGGATACATGCTCGCTGTCCATGCTATCATTGGCTTCCTGGGATGGAGGTTTCCGCTTGCTGCCGATAAAGTCCAGGGATTGAAAGTGAGACACATTCGTCTCCAGCTTGGCCGTCTCGTGCCCGTTTAGGCTCTGGGAGGCGACAAACTCGACCAGACTCTGCAGTTGATCAGCCGACTGGTTTTGCCCGACAGAGCCCGCGACTTGGCGGTCGTCGCGTTGATATGTCCGGGTCGCCGCAGGTGTCCCTGAGGCTCCATGGTCGTAGCCGCTGTCATTGTACGAGTTGAACGCCTCGTCATCGCGCTGACTCACGGGCAGGTTCAAAAAGTCATCTGGTATGACACCAGAACTTCCAACGGCGGACACACCGACCTCGCCAAACAAACGGCGTGGTTGGCCTAGCCCTGCGTTTTCCTTTTCGGACTCCTCGCCCCCGGAATCGCTGACCCGCTCCTCTTCTCGCCAATCTTGCTGAGGCGGCTGCTGCTGCTGCTGCTGCGAATACGTGGCCAAGTCCTCATCGTCTGTAATCTCGTCGTACGATTGAGACGCATCTATGATGGAGCCGTCGCCGCCCAGCCACGCGTGTGTGTCGAGCTCCAACACCGTCGCGCGGTTCTCAGGCCGTCTCTGCAGCATACGCGACAAGAAGTCGATGCCGCGCTCCGACACCCCTTCCCTCTGCAGGGGGACAGTGTTCAGCCGCGTAGTCATGATCTTATGCAATAGCTCCGAGTAGCTGACGCCGTTCTGCACGGGATACGGTGGCGATTTGGTCAGTACGAAGAACAAGACGCCCCCCAAGGACCAAATGTCCACGGCGTGGTTGTAACGCTGGCCGGGCATCCGGCGAACCTTAGTGCCACGGATCCGGAAGCCATTGTCATCATACTCTGCGTACTCGGTGTAGACCTCGGGGGCGCAGTACAGCAGGGTGCCACAAAACGTCCGCAGGCCGGTCTGCTCGCCTTCCACCATCTTGGAGAGGCCAAAGTCGGTCAGCTTGACGTCTAGGGGGTCGAGGCTGTTGAGGAGGATATTGTCCGGCTTGACATCGCGGTGGGTAATGTTGTTCTTGTGCAGGTACTCGAGGGCGCCGAGCAGCTGCTTCGCTATTGTCTGCGCCATGTCTTCGGAAAAGGGCCCGTTGGCTTGGTCGGCAAGGTACTTGCCCAGGTCGCCACCGGGCACGTACTCCATGATGATGATCAGGAGTCGGTCGTCCCAGTCAAAGTTCTCAATGTATCGTACAATATTCGGCTGTTTGCACAGATCAGTGAGTGACGACGCAAGGTGGGCACGCAAACAGGAAGGGGACACTAACATGCTGAATTCTCTTCATGATATTCATCTCATTCTCCACCTTCTGATCCAACACGCCGTCTTTGATGAAACGCCTCTTCTCTAGCTCTTTGGCGGCGTACGGAATGCCGTTGTACTTGGACGTGACCTTGTAGACAATGGCAAAGGCCCCCTTGCCTATTTTCCCAATCTTGTTGTACGTGCCAGACCCAGTCCACTCCCTGCGCATCGGATTCTGAATCTCCCTCCGCTTGGACGGAGACCTTGTCGCCACATCGGCAGCCTGCGCTCGCGGGTGCGCGCGAGGATTGGAGGCAGGCCTGGGAGGTCCCTTGAAGATGTCTGGGGGTCCGTCCGCCGGTGGCGCAGGCCGGGGCGCCGGAACGGGAACTGCAGCAGCACCTCCGTCCTCTTGGAGTCCATGCCGCGTAAAGTGCTCGGCCACCTTGTCGGTGTAGGCCTGGTCGTACTCGTCGTCGCGTCGGGGGATGCGCACCCGAAAGGTCAGGTCGGAGACCGTGTTGTGCAGGTAGATCATGATGATGGTACCTGAGCTCAGGACCCATCGCGTCACGGGCGGTCCTCCATTCTTAGGTCGAGAGGTGAGAAGGTGACGGTCGACAAAGGTCCCGTTGGTGGACTGGTCCTCGATCATGACGTTTCCGTATTCGTTTACGTAGATGCGAAAGTGCACATTGCTGACACGTTTCAAGGGATCGTTGGCGAAGACGAGGTCGCATCGGGCCGGGTTCCTGCCAAAGGCAAATCCAGCAAGGGGGTTCTTGACCTGGGCAGACAGACGGAGTATGATGGCGTAATTGCCATGGTTGGCGGGCGCTGACTCAAAACGACTGGCATGGTCCTCGAGCTCGTAGTCTGGCTCGACGCCGTCCGCCTCGTCCTTACCGATGATGTACGGCGAGTCCTCCTGAGCCAAGCGCGCGACCTCTTCTTTGGCCGAGTCCGAGTGCGGGTACAGCACGCATATTATGTCCGACACATCCTCGTCTGAGAAACCCGAGTTCTGCTTGCCTACACGGCGGGGATCGAGGACATTTTGGGTTGCTGGTACGTGGTGATCAGCCTGGGAAGCTCCGTCGCGTTGGGAGAGGGTGGGAGGTTAGTTACCTTGCGTGGGCTCTTCGCCGTCCATTGGGAGAAGAAGCCCGTTCCGACTTCTGGGGCTCGACCGGGCAGCGCAATGATAGAGTCGCACCAGGATCCGCCTAGTGCTTCGGTGCGGTCAAGTGTTCGCGGGTCGTTCGTGCCACCGTTGGGGCGTAAAGTAGACGTCTAGTTGTTGCAATATCAGGTCGCTGTTCGCTCGGATTCGCATGGAGGTCGAGGCATAGATTCGCTTGGTGGTTGGCAGGGTGATTGAGGACAGAAGATGGATGCAGCATACGTAGAAGAATGACGAATACAACAAGCGCGAACGCGTGAGCAGATCCGAGTCCTGTCCGAGGAGGTATGCTCGACTAGGGGAGCAGGGGAAAGGAAAAACAAAGAATAACAGAATTGATTGGACGAGCTTGCAATGACAGGCAGGCCAACGGGCTGGACTGTGGTGAATGGATGGATTGGTGGTGGATGGAAGTGGGTGGGTGATAGGGTCACGACAGCTGCTGCTGCGGCTTTGGGTACTTTGGCGGGGGTTGGACGGCAGCCTGCCGTCCAGCAGTCCAAGTCTCTAGGTACTCAGGTACTACTTGAACGCCTCTGCATTCTTCAACAATGAACCAATACGTTTATGCTGGCTGCACTGGTACTCTACAATGTTATAATGCCCGTATCCCTCGCCCCAAGCCAAGTGAGCCAAGGCAGACTAGAGATCTCGCGTCCCAGTCCCCGCCTCACGTGGCGTAGTCACTCGTCGCCATCCTGTGCGAACGACAAGAGGAACTAAGTAGCACATCATTCACCGCGTGACTCAGATACGTGACTTTGATATTTGTTTGACAGATATATCCAGCTAGCACATCCCGGCTCGTCCTAGTTGTTGATGCATGACATGAGAGAAACCATACCCATGGTGGAAATGTAGTGACACCCGTCCTGTCCGTTATTGTTGCCTGTGCCTCTTGAATGCATACAAGTGAAAAAAGTCTGCAAGAAGGATGAAAAAGAAAAATCACACAGCATGGCTGTGGTTGTAAAACGCCTATATGTTTGCTTGCGGGGCACACGCATAGTATGCTTCGTCGTCGTCGTCGTCGAGTTCTTTCTGTTCTTGGAGCCGGAATTTAAAGACGCACCAATATCCATGCACGGTAGAATCCGGCCTGCTTCTGTCCTTTCTTTGCACAATGCCGCCGCAAATCCTGTCCTTGTTGGTTGTACCATGCGCACGCGCGCTTCTAGAACGCCTGTCCTTGGTAATGGGGGTGGACGTTTGGTTGTCCAGGCGACGGAGCTCCGTACTGTCCCGGTGGTGGCATGTGGCGAGTATCAGTGGGCGGGACACCCGGTTGCAGAGGCCGCGAGAAGCTGTTGGGCTGGCCAGGAGGACCGCCCGGACCAGGACTGGGGGCAGCACCTCTGTTGCCATAAGGATGAGGCCCCCCCGGGCCTGGGGATCCCGGGGGCGCTTGCCAATTCATGTTGCGCTGCTGAGGCTGGTCGGGCCTCATACCCCCCCGGCCAGATGGAGGCGCAGGTGAGTTCCTACCAGCCGTGCCTGGACGTGAACCGCCCGGAGAGTATGGACGCTGAGGCTGGGCAAAAAGAGCAGGCGGCCCTTGGTGAGGGGGCGCGAAGCCCCGCGGTCCGTGAGCAGGGCCAGGCCCAGCACCAGGTGGTCCGTAGCCGCCATCTGGGAAGCCATAGTCAGACCGAGCGGCGCCGGGCTCATGGTTACTGCCCGTAGACCGCATCGTGCCGGCACGAGACCGCGCCTCATCCGGGTAGCCACCATCGTCCTGGTAAGGGTTGGAGCCAGCCGGGGCGTAGCTGTCGGCATAGTCCATGGGAGTCGGGGGGCCACGGCGTGGATCGGGTCCAGGCCCGTCCGCGAACCCGTAGCCTGGGCCAGGCGCGCCACGGCTAGGAGGCGGACGCCCATACTGATCGCGTGGCGGGCCACGCTCCGTTGTGTACGACTCGATGATCTCGTCGGCGGTGGTGCTCCCGTGCTTATTCAAGCTTGCGGATCTCTCCGGAAGCACCATCCGCTGGGCGTGGCCTGGAGGCCCATAACCACCGCGGCCGCCTTGGCCTGGAGGAGGCCCGCCTCGGCCGCGGCCAAAGTAGTCGGAAGGGGGGCCATTCTGTGGTGGTCGCATGTTGGGCGGCGGACGCCCACGGCCTGGTGGGGGCTGGCCTGGTGCACCCTGAGGGGCGCCCTGAGGTGGTGGGCGAGGCGATCGAGGCGCGCCGGCGACGCCCATCTGGCTCCCGGGGGTACCTGGCTGCCCTGGCGGGTAAGGCGAACGGCGACCGTCTGACGTACTCGGTCGAGATGAGTTGGGCCCAGCGCCATAGGGACTCGGCGGGCCATACGGGGACTCTGATCGGTTCGGCGGAAGGTTGAGCGGCGCTGGCATGTGCGACGGGTTTTGACCTGGAGGTCTCAGAGCTTCACGAGAACGGTTGTCGTTAGCAGATGCTCCCATGGGGTTGGCGTGGTGATGTACCGAAGGCCCTGCAATGGCTCCATCCTCCATCGCCCTCCTATCCTGTGGCATTCCAGTGTTCTGGTCGTTGACCTCGAGTCCGCCGGCCTTGGCCAGTTGCGCGAGCGTGGTGGCAGAGAGGCGGCTGTTAGCCCTACGCAGTTCCGGTGAGTGGTAGGCCCTGCTGATAGGACGGCCCTGGTGCTGCTTGGCTCCGAATTCAGGGGGTCGCGAGACAGGCTCGGGTGTGTTCAGGCTACGCATGTTGCTCAGGTCGCGCACCGGCGGCGTGCCGTGGTGGTTGTCGTAGGGATTGGCGCCTGGCGAGCTTGGGTCCGAATTGTTGCGCACATGGCCACGTGCCATTTGCTCCTGACCGGGATTAGGTGCGCCGGGTGTGCCATGTCCAGGTGGAGCGTTGGGACCGTTGAGAGAGAAGGATCGCGAGCCCCTGACCTGCTCACCTGCAAAGCCCACCTTGGGCCTGCCGGTATCTTGACCAAACGACACCTTGTTACCACTGCTCCGGCTTGCACTGCGCGAGTGAGACTTGGGTGACCTGGTGCCATCCTCAATAGCGTTCATGCGCGTGCCTGTAGCCTCCTTGAGGCGCCTTCGCCACTCCTGCTCGGTCCAAGTACCGCTGGAGCCTTCGTTGATCAGGTTGGTCACATCCAAGGGTTCCAGGTACCCGTAGCGCTTGTGCTTGGGCATGGCGAACATGAGGGATCTCGAATCAAGAATGCTGGCGACGAGCTTTCCGGGACGACCGTACAAGGCAAACGTGTCCCAGGTCGGGAACAGGAAACGCAGGAGCATCTCAAAGCCACTGACCATGGGACGCACCTCGGGCATGATGAAGACGAAGCCCTCGGACGAGGTGGGGGGTTCCGTGTGGACAGTCACATTGCCTTCAATCTTCAGCAGGGTGGATGCGTCGATGAGCGCCTTTGCTTGAGGGTAGATGGCATATGCCGAGTAGGCGTCGGTGATGGTCGCAATGGGCTGCAATTTCTTCTGCTTCTTGCCGTCGGCCTTTTGGTCGTAGAATTTGATGTCACCTTTGAGATTGGGTATGTGAGAACGATCGTACGGCGATCGTTTCCGCATCTCCTTCTGCTGCTTGGCGTACTCCTTCTCGTTGGGAGGCGTAATCACGCACCAGCAGCGTCTCCAGGGGACGCCGGCACCAAAGCGGACTCGCACCCACTCCTCTGTGTTGAAGCGGGAGCGCTCCATGATCACGTTGATGTTGTTCACAGACCTGGCTTTGCCTGCGATCAGAGCGCCGGTGTACGCCTCCTGCAAGGTGTTGTGTTCATAGATGGCGAGGCGGATGGCTGCTGTCCACTGCACAAGAGAGTGGTGCGAGTTGAAGTGCAGCAAGTAGCGATTACGACCGGCCGTGGAGACACTGAGGATGTTCTGGAGAGGCTGTTCGTCGGTAGAGCGCGTGGGCAGCGACTCGATCTGACACCGTGGTCAGTTTGGCTGGCAATGGCCGGATCGCAGGGCATGACCTACCATTTTGACGGAAGCGTCTGTCAGATTGAGAAACTTGGGGAGCACCTCCCCGTCCTCGCCCGCGGCGTCAAGCTCAGCAGCGTCCCATAGCGAGAGGACGGTGCCCACGAGTTGCGCGAAGCATTCGGTCCATGTCCGATCGGGATTGGGTTTGCCCTCTGTGGTGAAGCCAGTGTCAGCGCGGAACTCTCACGCAATGGAGGGGCAAGGTGGCATCCGTGGCTGCTGTGGAAGCCGACTTGGCAACTTACGGCTGTTTTGATCGTCCAGCTTGAGGAAATAACCCTCATGGTAGAGCTTGTTGGAATGGCTGTTTAAGAACGAGAAGACGGGCTGAAGCTCTGGGATGGTATCTTCGTTGACGTCCATCTTGGGCGGTGACCAGGCGTGTACGATGGAGAGCGGTCGAGAGTTGGAGCGCTTGTGACGATGTACGCTATTACCTGGAGAGGATGCTTTGTTTAGAGGGGACCCCTGCCCGTGATAGTCCCCATCCGTCGGCGGCGTTAAAGGGCGGGAGGGAACACGCTGGTGCCCACGTTGCTGAACAAAGGTGTCTTTCTTCGCGGCGGCGACACTGTCCTCGCTGGTAAGAGGGGAGTCGTTTGGGGGAGAGGAAGATGGTGACGGCGCTTTTGACCCGGCCGAAAACTGGGACATGAACGAGAGGACTGTACACGAGAGGTAGTCAGCAAATGATGTGGTAAATTCAGCAATAATGTTGCGTGGAATGGCCTGGGATGAGTCTGGCTGGCCGCGATCCAACTCCTGGCGGGAGGGGGCGTCCAGGCGTCCAGGTGTGCAGGTGTGCCGTCGTGCAGTGGTGGTACGGTGGTCCCTAAGCCTGGATGGACGCTAGAAGGTCCAGAGGCGGGGCGGGGACTGGACTAGAGGGGGTCCAGTCACGGAGGCGCCTGGAGGGTACGTGTTGCTTCAGGAATCAGGGCCAAGACAGTCTGGTCCCTCTATTTTCCTCGGGGTTGCGGTGAGCCCTGAGTCCACTGACACTGGCCTGGCAGCGCTTGGTGTGGGCCCCGCTCATTCGTTGGGCGACGCAACCACTGGAAATGCCCAGGTCCGGCCAACCGGGTTGGGCGGCATCACCGCCTGAGAATGCCCAGCTGCCCAGAGCCTGGCAAATGTCGCGCGCGCGTGTCCAATCCAGTCCCCTGCCTGGCACATCAGTTGGCGCGCAGCCTTTGGCGGGCTTACACGTCAGTGATTGACGTAGGGTCCGCCTTGTACCCCGGGTCCGGTCGATGATGATGATCCCTTGAGCTTGCCTCTCCAGTCTCATGTCTCTTCTGATGGAAATGATGAGGCAATCCATGTGCGACGAGTCAGGGCATGATGCTGCAAGCCTGTAATGGCGGATTGACATGCGTGCATTGCCAATGCACGCCAGGAATCAACGATGCAGAGACTGGCCGGCCAAAACAGCACCCTGGTCCCCCGATTCGGACTTTTCGGAACGGGCAGTGGAATGAAGTGAAATGAGCCAAAGGGGATACGAGAAAGCGACGAACCTCTATTGCGACCCATTTTGTCGACTGCGCCTCGTGGAGGACTTGACGGTTCGCTGAGACAGCAAGCAAAGGCCTGAAACCTCAAGTGTCCTAAATTCGTAGTGTCTGTTGCAGATAGACAACAAAGGTCGAGTGTGTAGTCAGCGAAATACTGCTCGTGTGGATGCGGATCGGACAGTCTGCGTGTGAGATGTGAGATGCGCTGCGCACAAAACGGTGCAAGGTGGCAGGACCAAGATCCGAGAGCTCAAGGTCGGGTATCGGAAACAAAAGATGTGAAGAAGAAAAGAATCAAGGTCAGGCGCAGGTGAAACAGGTGTGTGCGAAGCGTTGATATGCTGCGTGATCTCAGGCGAGGATTTGCCCAAGGTACTTGCCCGAGAGACAAAGGTGGAAATAACAAGCCAAGTTGAGTCAAGACTTTGGCGATGTAAGGTGGCTGACCCGGAAACTGAGGTGAAGCTCGATTCGATGTTGGGCACTGCGTTGTGTGTAAGTTTCTAGGTGTCTGCCCAAGCGCAATCTTGTATTTATCCTTCCGGCCAGGTGTTGCCAAACAAGTGAGTACAGAGTGAGAGGTCTGGAAGGAGGGGATGCCAGCGTCCTGGTAAGGTATTAAAATAAACCAGCAAGCAATGATAAAAGCTCCCTCCCTACCTCTCTCCTCGTGCTTGCGGGATAATAAAAGAATGGGGAGCGGCGGTCAGGCTGGGCAGTTGTTGGTCTCGGCATTCGCCAGGGCACTGCACTCCAGCCTTGCCGGAGAGCCAGAACTGGCTGCTTCAAAGCAAGATGCAATGCCCCAGAACGGATGCCAACAACCCATCGATCAATCGACAATCGGCCAAGGACAAGGAACCCCCTCTCCCCTTCCCCCAGACCACGGTCTGTGGTCACGAGCGGCTGCTTCGGTGTTTGGAGGTTGCACTCACACTTGGCTTGGAGATAGTATCCGGAAGTCCGCACTTGGCAGCAGCTGCTGGCGTTGATAACGGCTCGTCTGTACTGGCTGTCGAAGCGACGATGCACAGGTAGCCTCCAAGATATACGGTGAAGTGATATAATACTTTGTTCAAACGTCAGATTATTATGGCATCTTTGCTTCGAGGGAACAAGTCAATCTCGCTGTGCTTGCGGCATGACATCTTCCACGTGTATGGGCGTCGACTAGGGTGCAGCGGTGGCTTGAGTTGACGTTGTTGGGAAGGTACGTACCTCGATCGGGGTATAGGCGACGGACACGGTACACCACCACAGGCGCAAGCAATTCGTACAATGATGGATGTATGATGGGAAACAAGGAGAGCAGCTGACAGCACAGAGGCCTTGATTATATTCCAGTGTGCCTCAATCACTCGTGCCCAGTAAAGATGAAATCATACATAACATACGTCCGAGCTGCCGTCCGCGTAGCGCCCACGCCGGGATCATGAAATCCAGTCTGCTCGTCCAGTCAACTTTCCCAGCCATTGAATTGAGCTCAGCTACGCTTTGGGTCTAGCCGCGCACTGCTCCACACGGTGCGCGTCTACATGCACTATCAAATCGATGCGCATCAACTAATAATTGCATTATTGCCGAGAAATGGATCCCGACCTGCCAGCTCAGAGCTGTTAGAGGCTCAAAGCCACCTACGTTATTTTCTACTACGACCGCCGCCGTCACCGCTCATACAGTTCTCCGCGCATACGTACTTGTATAGTCGCTCTGGGCCAGCGTCGCCGTTCTCGCTGCTTCGCCCTGCCTCACCATCTTCAAATGCGCCGCTTAACGCGCTGCGTGTCAGGGACAGGTGGTGTTTGTGGTTGGTGAGAGGACAGCAAGCGCCGGCTTCAGCGCCTAATCACTACGGAGTACATGTACTTGCACTGATCCACCACAGCAGCTCAAAGCCTCACGGCTTGCTCACGTCCACTCCAGTCTCGTCACGGTGTCGCTCAGAGCATTACGTGGTTACGTACGTACGCACGTACTCCACATACAAACCGAGCCCTGATGGGTCTTCACGAATCTAGAAGCTGCAATGACTTCCAATCCTGGCTGGCGTTTCGCGGGATGCTTCTAGAGAGGGTGCATCGTAATAATCCGTGATGCGTGGTGCGTGGTGTTGCATTGCATCTCACGCTCGTCCGCCGCATGCAGGTACTGCCCAGTGCCCGCGAAGCCGAGATCGACCAGCTGAACATTGTCGTCTTGTTGTTCCCGAATCTAGCTTCATTTGTTGTGCCTACTAACTTAGATAAGGAATGGGATTCCACATTCACCTGCTCTCGGAAAGGAGAAGCGCATTTTGGGGATTTCTCGATGATGCAGCGTCCCATGTGTCCCGCACCATCACATTCCAGTGCCCTCGTGATTTATATGTTTGTCGCGCTGGCCCGGTTTGTCCTAATGGCTCTCATTGAGTCATTCATACAACTGATTTGCTGGGAAAAGCAACTGATGGCGCGCCGTGCCATCCCCGCATGTGCTTCAAGCCTCCTCGTACGCTATTATCATACACTGCTTCGAAGGACAACTCCGTACAGTCAGTGCATGTGTTTTGTTTCTCAAAGGACCGACAGCTACTCATCTCCTTTGATTGAGCAGCGCTAGTAAGGCACATGTGATCGAGCCCGGCTGTGAAATTGGGAATACCGCCGTTGCAAACTGCCGCTTGCCCAACAGACACTCTTGTTACTCCTCGCCTTGGCATCATGGCTTAGATCCTAGGGACGCAGATTTTGGGATGTACGTGCAGTGACTTGGCATAAACTAGGTGGTGGTTGGTTGGCCAGAGACATTTCACCCTGAGACAGACTCTGGGCACCGTACGGATGACGCGCTCTCTTGGGGGGGGGGGGGTAATTACAGCGGAATTGCGGATGCAGACTTTACTTCACAGCCCAGTCGGTGAGTGTTACGCAATCAATGATCCTCGCTTTACTTGTACATCCATTGGGCTTTGGTTCCTCCTTGTTTGACTGTTGCACTTGTCGCTGGGACTTGCAAGCTGCGGTGATAATACTGATAGACCAACCCCCGAATTGCAATTTCTTGTGGGACTTGGCTGGGTGATCACTGATAGCGATCTGTCACTTTCCAGTCGGTTGATTTGCATCCGGATCGATCCCACGGACCCTGTACGGAGATACCTACGTCATTATTGAAAGCACAGTCCTCAACCGCTGCCAAACCCGGACTGTCGGATATCACCATCCCCGCGATGACTTTAAAGCTTATATACAGTGGGCGGTTTCTACAGAGCGCACAGTGAATATTGCTCCTCGTGCTTCTGGTGTGCGTCATGCTGTTGAAATTATGCGGTTGCCAAACAGCTTGCCTTGACGCTGCCGCGTTTGTCATATCTTGACATATTCTACCCGTCGCGATTTGGAGATATACTACCGTAATCACTACTGCAGAGTTACTCTGTGGAGTACGTAGTATAAAAGTATTATAACGTAGTCGTTTTATCAACAGTTGCTGCTTCTCGTGCGTGGACTCCAGTTATAACGATGACCTTTATCAAACTGTGGCATATATGCACATAGTGTCAGACACACCATTTCTTGCAAATAAGAGCAGGCAATGATGCCCTTATGACCACCCGGTCTATTTAATTTGCTGCAAGCATTCATAAGCCGCGTCAAGTGGTGATGGACTTTAGCAGTGCCTAGCATGCGCAGGGTAGCTCAACTGTGGACGTCGGGTCGTGGTGTCGGACAGCCAACACACACGTAAGGTAAGTACCTTAGCCACCCAGTCTGGTCACCATATTCCATTGGATGTTTCCCGTTATACGCGATACGAACCAAAGTCAAAAGAGGTCAATCGCAGGGGGAGCAAGAAGAAACCAGGAGTGAGGCGATCTTCTGCAGTAGTTGTGAAGGTGCCTGTAGAAGATGGCGGTGTCTCAAAGTATCGGGAGTTATCACGTGGCGGTCGCCCAAAATGCGGCCTTAGCTGGGTGACCACGGATTCCCACGTCAACACCATGCCCCTGCTGCGTCGAAGCTTCACTTTCCCACCAATGCAAGTATCGAACCCATCGACCGCGGCCTCGTAACCCGCGGGATATCCACGCGCGTTGAGGGGCATCCATTCGCTTCGGCGCCCATCTGGGTTGGAATGCGCCCGTCACATCCACCACGCTTCACGCTCGCGACACGACGACCGCGAGCATTGGTACCATGGCGGGGCTGCCGCTGCCGCGACGATAACGGGCACAGACGAACCATCGCGACACGGACAGGACACCCTCCAACACGGCTCCCCTTTCGGTTCGACACTGGTGTTGCCTTGTTCGCAAAGAGGACACCGAGGCCGTTTCCGCCGCCGTTCAACTCGCCGCCGTCTGCCTCTTTCTCAGATCCCCTCAGCACGCACAACCTGAGCCGCGATCGGCGCGCCTACGTCGAGGGGGAGCTGATCCGCGGACAGACGAATGGCGATGATGCCGTGTACGAGAGCGACTACTTCATCTGCGCCAACGACGGCGTTGGCGCCTGGGCAGCGCGCCCTCGTGGTCACGCTGGGTGAGTTGGCTACCAATCAGCTACAGGGCTTCGCCTAACAAATGTGCAGACTGTGGTCGCGTTTGATCATACACTACTGGGCTATGCTCGTGGATGGGGCTATTGCGCACGACGACCTCTCGGGTGAGCCTCCAGTCCCAGACCCCGTGTCTGCCCTCCAACGAGCCTTCGAGCAAACGACCGAAGCGACCGGAAAACACGACTGGCAAGGAACTACGACAGCCTGCGGGGCTCAGTTGCATTACACGTTGCCCGAGACATCAAACGGACAGGGCCCTTCTCCGACACTCTATGTAACCAACCTCGGGGATTGCCAGGTTATGGTCCTGCGGCCAAAGGACCAAGAGGTCGTTTACAAGACTAAAGAGCAATGGCACTGGTTTGATTGCCCCCGCCAGCTGGGCACAAACAGCCCCGACTCGCCAAAGGAGAATGCCGTCATGGATCAGGTCGATCTTGAAGTAGGCGATGTGGTGCTTGCCATGTCCGACGGCGTCATTGACAACTTGTGGGAACACGAGATTGTTGATACCGTGTTGACGTCCATCAGGAAGTGGGAGTCTGATCCCATCTCCAAGGACAAGCGCGATCGGACAGGCGGGAGGAACGGCGGCATGCGCGCAGCTGCACGGGAGCTCGTCGCTGCGGCCAAAACCATTGCGCTTGATCCTTATGCTGAGAGCCCTTTTATGGAACATGCGATCGACGAGGGCTTGGCCAGTGAAGGAGGTGAGTCTGAACAACCCGGGCCAGCGTTGCGAGATGGGATGTTTATGCTCACGATTACTAGGCAAACTAGACGATATCAGCGTCGTGGCGGCGTTGTGTATCAAAAACGATGACTAAATAGAGAGTCTTCTCTCAAACAGATAGAATAGCACTTGCAGATCTAGGTGCATAATGTTATAGCATGAATTAATTACAGTCAACATCACCCTGTCGTACTACGTATACAGCAATGCAAGGTGTGTCGTCTTGCTGGCCTCGTCAAGCATCAGGAGTAAGGTAACCGCTTGGTAAAGTGACAAGCCAAGTCCATATGCGTCTACCGCGTGAAGACGTACACCTAGATACCCCGAGAACTAACAATATGCTAAGCAGCAGTACGTACTCTGCAAAAGCCATTGTCTGCTTGAAGTGTCCGTAGTACGTCAGGTACTAATAACTGAAGGTAAGGCGAGGTAATTAAGGCCCAAGGTAAGGTAAGGTAACTGTCCGTAAGGAGGCTGGGGTCACATTGACAACGGGGTCCCCACTGTTGCCCGCGCTGGCGGCGGCCACTGCGGCGGCGGCTTATCGGAAGTGGAGCGGGACGATAAGAAAATAATTTCCACCTCCCGCGAACCGACAATCATGAAGCATCATTGTCACGATTCACTAAGCACAGATTGCCCATCGTCGCCATTGTGCAACCATCCAGCTCCCGTACACCTGATACTACTCTCTGAAGACAGCATCCAATCGCGACCATGAGAGGAAAGCGGGCGAAGCAGTACCGCAAGCTCATGGAGCAGTACTCGCAGACCTTTGGGTTTCGCGAGCCATACCAGGTCATTGGTACGCCCACCGTCTATCGCATTGCTCTCTGTGTGTACTAACGGTTCCCAGTGGATGCAGGGATGATCAAAGATACATGTCGCTTCAAGATGGAGCTCAACCCAGCTCTCGAGAGGACGGTCCGAGGAAAAGTCAAGCCTAGTACGTGCGCCGCTCTTTTCCCATCCAATCTTGGTTACTGATTAAATGAAAGTGATCACACAATGCGAAATCCGCAAACTATATGCGCAATCAAAAGAACCCGGGATGAGCGAAGCGATTGAAGTCGCCAAAACCCTCGAACGACGTCGTTGCGGGCACCACCCGGACGAGTACCCCGAACCGTTACCCACAGACGAGTGTCTGATCAGCATTGTCGATCCAAAGAGCTCGGGCGTGAACAAGCATCGCTACGTTGTGGCTTCGCAAGACGAAGGTGTGCGACAATTACTGCGGACAGTCAAGGGCACGCCACAAATCTACGTCAACCGAAGTGTCATGATCCTGGAACCCATGCCGCCCGAGAGTGCGCAGCTGCGATCAAAGGAGGAGATTCAGAAATTACGAGCAGGTCTCGCGCAACGGAACCAGAACAAGAGGAAAAGGGAAGAGGGCGACGACGAGGAGGACAAGAACACCAATGGTGATGCCAAGGAGGCCAAGGCAGAGAAGACCGGGAAGCAGGCAGCCCCACAAGCGAAGAAGAGCAAGAAGAATCACGGCAAAGGCGTGAAAGGTGCGAATCCGCTGGCCATGCAGAAGAAGAGGCCGCGAAAGGACCCCGCAATGCAGAATAAGAAGCCCAAGGCTGCGGCGAGCAAGCCCGAAAAGACAGGCGGGTCTGCACTCGACTCTGAAACTCCCAGAGCGCCCAAGACAGGGGCAGCGGAATCACTGGGGCAAGACACACGCGACGCAGATGTCTGACGGAAGCGATGGGACCACATGAGCTGGCGGATTGGATGTCGGAATCTCTGGAATTTGGCAGGCTCTCACTTACCCAATTAATTGGTGACTCTAAGACCCTCAGGCTGCTTCTGGTGTGGAGGAGGAGGGGGCCAAACACGGCTGGACATTATCGAAATACCCTTTGGAATGTATGGAAGCAGCCCAGACTGGCAGTCGAGTATCGTGGACTGAGCACGCGACTGTCTCGGACCAGCAAAGTGCGCAGTTATCTGCGCGCTCAGGGAATTAGATATAGCGGTTTGATGAGTTCTCAGCTCAGCTCAGCTCAGCTCAGCTCAGCTCGGATGAGCAGTCTTGTTGCAAGCCTGTGTAGTTGGCTCCAGGTTGTCTTCGCTTCGCTCGCTGATCCTCGAGGCTTCGTTCATACAGTTACTCGTAGTACTTTAGGTGGTTTCCTTGGCTGGGCGCCCACGCAAAGTTTAATTCCATAGTAGATCGCAATCCTCAAGGTACCTCAGCGAACCCGGTCGTTTGTTGAATCTGTCATTATCAAACGAGTCTAAAGCCCATTCATCTCTCGCATGCATGATCGCAAGTAAATGCATCCTCGCATCCAAAGGTGATTCGGATCATCAGTCGCCAAGAGGCCAATTGCTGCAGGGGTTCGAGCTGCTGGTGGTGCCTGTCATTTAGCGGCATACCCCCCACCTGGTTGCCCCTGTCGCCCATCGTCCTTTTTTCTGTGTTGCTTCATTGCGGCTGCTGGCGAGACGGCGCCACCTCCATCATCAACCTATCTACTGCTTCTATACCCCCGGTCACGTCCCATCCTAAGTAAGTTACACCTGCACTGGATGGGGACATGAACTCTGCTCCAGCTCTTGTGTAATTCTATGGTTACATAATACTGGGCATCACATGATGGCGGGGAAAGAAGATGGGCAACAGGCCGCGCCAGCCGTTGTGCGTGAGACGGACGACTTTGGACTACCGATTCGAAAATACTCTACGCCCGTGTCAACGCCTATGGAAACAAAAGAGGGCGAGAATGGACCAGTGGACGAATCCAAAGATGTCTCGAGTAACGGGCAAGGGACCGTCACAGAGGCAGCATCGCACGAAGACCAGCCCGAAGATTCCAACAGTACCTCCACAGGGGAAGATGCTGCCGGCAAGGGGAAACAACCGGCGACAAGCCCCTCGAGCGATGATGATCAACAGACTGCGCCTATCGAAGCGCCTGCCCAACAACACGACCAAAGGAAAGATGCTGCCACGCTGAAGCCGAAATCGGAGCACGCGGAAGAAACGCCAGCGACCACGAGCGACGCCGTAGTGAAAGAAAGGGGTTCTTCAGAAGACAAAACCGATTTGCAAGATGACGGGCCAGCGTCAATGGCTAGCCGAAAAGAGCCTACTGCTCCAACAAAGAAGAAGACTGGGCATGCCCATCAGCACAGCATCGCTAGCTTGGCAAGTGTGAGCAGCGCACCCAACGACCCCGGGGTGTCCGAATTCTCGCATCAGCAAGTGACCACGCAAGTCGAGGACAAGAAGGACGAAGACGAAGGCTGGCAAACCATGCCCTCGTATGCGCCATACGATATCTACGACGATGACAATCGGCTTGTTGCGCAGGAACACGAGGACTCGGAGGATGAGAAGGTTGTCTACGGTGGACTTGGTGGCGCAGGAAAGGGTTACACGAGGGTGCAGATGGACGACGACGTGCAATCAGCGAATAGCATGGACGACAACACAAACTACCTGTTCAAGGACGGTGGCTACAAGGGCACGACGATGGCGGAGGACGAGGACGACGATGCGCGGGACGCCGTGGGGCAGATGCAGGCCACAAAGGATCTCCTGACCGAGGGCCAGCGTGTAGCGTACGTGGGCGTCGTCCGTTTGGAGATCGCCCAGCTAGTCAAGGAGAGCGAGCAGCTCGAGTCGACGCGCAAGATCAAGAAGGAAGTCAGCATGTCGGCTGAAAACACCAAGATGTGGGCGCAAAAGATGATGATTCGCCTATACGCGCACATGGACATTAGCGAGGCGGAACAGATCATGATCGAGCAGCTCGCTGAGCATGGCGTCGTTCCGGCGGATCTGGTGCCGGCGTTGCATGCCAATGCCCGCGTCAAGAACCCCATGGCTGAGCAGGAGGCCGACGAGAAGGGGGAGCAGAAGACAGAAAAGGATGAAAGCGATTCTTCTAAAGATGGAGCCGCCGAAGAGGACCAGAAGCAAGAAAGCGCTGGAAAAGAGACCCTGCCTCGGCAAGGCGAAGGCACCAACATACCCACAGAACAGAGCGCCAGGAGCGACGACGAATCTGACGAGAAACGGTCATCCAAGCGACCGATGACACCGACGGACGAACCGGTCGCTGAGCCTCCACCGCCCTACGAAGCTCATGAGCAGGACGAGGTGCCTGAAGTCCAATCACCTTCACAGCTCCCCACTACTAGTAAGATCGATATTGATCTGCGATGGACCGTGCTTTGTGATCTGTTCCTCATCCTCATTGCCGACTCGGTCTACGACGCGCGGTCCAGGGTTCTCCTCGAGCGCGTGGGCAAGAGCTTGGAGATCCCGTGGCTGGACATTTGCCGTTTCGAAAAGCGCATCACGGATGCCCTGGAACTGCAGCAAGCAGCCGAAAAGGAGAACTGGAACGAGGAGGAGCACATGGAGTCTCGCAGGAAGAAAGCCCTCAAACGACGATACATGATGATGGGTCTGGCGACAGTCGGCGGCGGCATCGTCATCGGTCTGTCGGCGGGCCTCGCAGCACCTCTGATCGGCGCAGGTCTTGCCGCTGGGCTTACTACCATTGGTGTCGGCGGTACTGCGCCCTTCCTCGGCGGATTGGGCGGTGCTGCCATCATTACATCCGCCGCTTCTGCTTCTGGTAGCGTCATTGGTGCGAAGGCGGCGCATCGGCGAACAGGTGCGGTGCGTACCTTTGAGTATCGTCCTCTGCACAACAACAAGCGCGTCAACCTGATTGTGTCCGTATCGGGCTGGTTGACGGGCAAGGTGGATGACGTGCGACTACCGTTCAGTACAGTGGACGCCACGATGGGCGACATCTATTCGGTGCTGTGGGAGCCGGATATGCTGAGGAGCGTCGGTGACACTATCCAAATTCTGGCCACCGAGGTTAGTACACTCAAGCTCCTGCTCATGTTTTCTGGTTGACTAACATTGGCAGGCTCTCACATCAAGTATCCAGCAAATTCTCGGCAGCACCCTGCTCACGGGTCTCATGGGCGCGTTGCAGATCCCCATCATCCTCACCAAGCTCGCGTACTTGATCGACAACCCGTGGACAGTGTCCTGCGACCGTGCCATAGCTGCTGGCAAAATTCTCGCCGACTCCCTGATCGACCGCAATCTGGGTACGAGACCGGTCACCTTGGTCGGATACTCGCTAGGATCCAGGGTCATCTTCTCATGCTTGCAGGAGCTCGCAAAGAGGGGTGCTTACGGTTTGATTCAGAACGTGTACCTTTTCGGATCTCCAATTGTGTACCAAAAGGAGGAGTATCTCCGCGCACGCACCGTCGTACCCGGTCGATTTGTGAATGGGTACAACCGCACAGACTGGGTGCTCGGCTACCTGTTCCGAGTGACGAGCGGCGGCATCCGTCGCGTGGCCGGACTGGCTGCTATCGAGGACCTGCCGTGGATTGAGAATATTGATGTGACGGAGCATGTGGCGGGTCACATGGCCTACCGAACAGCCATGCCTATTTTGCTGAAGGAGTGTGGTTGGATGGTAGAGAGTGAGGTGTTCAGTGAGATTGAGGATCCGGACCCCGACAATCACACCGAGCGTCAGAGAGAGCTCATTAACGAGATTGAGGAGGCACGCAAGAAGTTGGAAGAGGAGGGCAGGACTGGCAGCAAGTCGCGCTTCTCCATCTTTGGCCGCAAGAAGAGAGCGGAGAAGGCCGAGTGGGAGCTATATGACGACAAGCAGGCCAAACCCAAGGCGGGACCAGAGCAAGATCCAGACGCAGCGTACCGTGGGGCGCTCTTTGACGTCGACACGATCCGCGAAGAACTGGCCAAAGACATGCGCGGCGAGCGCGAGCCAGAGGAAGAGGAGCTGCAGATCCGAGAGATCAAGTCGACGCTCCCGCCGATGAAGCTTGACTTGACAGCTGCCGCTTCGTCGTCAGCATCGACCCCCGTCGCACCGGCCAACCCTTACAATACCCTCAGGGAGACCCGAAGCGCCGATCATGTGCCAACATATCAGCTACCGCCGGAGGACGAGATACAGATGACCTTTGACACGTCGTTCAACGACACTACCACGCAGTCTCGAAACCTGTACGGGGACAGTCTAAGGCCGTCTCGCGAGGAAACAACGACCACTAGTCGACCTGACCTCAAGTCATCGAACACGACACCGAATGTCAGCATGAACAATCCCTGGGGAGATCCAGATGACGACGACTTTGGGAAAGAGAAGGAGATTTCCATGACGTTTGCGTAGAGAAGGGTTTGTGGTCAGCAATATTCTATGGCGTCCAGGGTGTCTGCATTGTGCTTTGCAATTCGGGTCTCGAGGGACCTTTGGCGTTTTCAGCATCAACAAGACAGCGGGTACGAAGGGCGGAAGATAGACGTGGCATATAATGTGTTGTAATCCCAGAGGGCGAAGCAAGAAGAGAGCATGCCTCCCTCTATGTGAGGCCATTGGTGTCAGGTGGACGCATTGTTTGAAGTATTCGTAAACCCACTCAGGTGCTTCCATAAATATCTCCAACACTAGCGAGCCCGAGGAGGCTAGGATGCCTTGCCGCTTGCGACTTGAGATCCTGGGCCCTGTAGTGGTTTGGGGGTACTTCTGCACAGACGTCAGTACATGTAAGCGAGGTAAGATTGACGAATGGGACCAGCATCATTGAACAATGAGAAGGCATCGAACGTAACCGCACGTCCATTGTGTCCTGGAGCGGTCGGACAGCGCTTCGCTGCGTACGCACTGCAGAATCAAACGTCGTGGCCCGATGCGCGCGCTTCCGCTACGTTTCGGATCTCGCTCGGCGGGCGCATATCATGCAAGAGGGCATTGCACTCATCGCTGAGGGACTGGATGATGCTTTGAGAAGATGTACTCGTGCGCAGAGCACAACATACTGATAACTGACTTTCCCATGCTTTACAAAACTCTGAAAGTGCGTGACTCAAGGACATATTTGTCTACTCTCAAGCATGACAAGGCTGAGAGGGAAGAAAACTGGTGCTGCAGCTGTCAGACGCTAATGCGGGTCAGCCGCTCTTCCTACTGTAGTGGCTTGACCAGCGCCCCGTTTGATACCTAGACGGATTGTGGTCCAAAGACTCCAAACACCAGCCTTCAGAAGCGAGGCTTTCTAGCCCAGCGTCAGATGCTTTCGTCAGCCCCATGTCGCATGCACCTGAATGGGTTCTGGAGGGCTTTTGCTGGAAAGTAGCAGCACAGGTAAGGTACCGCTGACTTGGCGACTATAAGTGTCAAATTCATCAAGAAGGCACAGCCCGGGAAATGCCAGCCCCTCATTGGCTCTCTCCCGGACCCTGAAGCTTGGTGCCTCCTGTCTATTTTCATACGGGTGGGGCCAACCAACAGTGTACAATCATGAGGTCTGGTACCTCGTGAGTTTCTCACAATCTGGTCGTGATCGTTCATCACTCCAGTGAAGAGCAAAAGTCGAGCGCCTATGGCCTGGGCGGATGCGAACATTCCTCAAGCGCCTCAATAAACCCTTCCACCTGCCAATGGACCAAGACTGCGGCCATGCTGGTGATAGCATGGTGAGCTAGACCTAAAAAGGTACTTTGTACACACATGGCTGGACCCCTGTGCTTGCCCGCTCCTCCACCAACTAAATCTCAAGTGGCTGCATTGCTAGTGTCCCAGCTTAGGCTTACAGGTCATCTTACTTCCGATGGGACAGGACGTCTTTGCCTGCTTCATGTTCATTCACGACTGTCCCTCTTGCCCTCAAACCTCTCCTACTCTTCTTTCAATTCAGGCCCCGCGGCTTTGACCTCCCAGCACCGTGTGAGCCACCGAGCACATGGGCGACGGTTGGGTACGCATGAACGAGCGACACGATGAACAAGGACAATTGGGCGCGACAAGGCGGCGATGATGCAAACCCCGGGCAAAATACCCAGACCGGCAGTGACCAAACAGAGCAGAACACTACATCTCGAGGTCGACAGCCTGCCTCGACCGCTACACAGTCCACGGAACCCACGCAGGTTGCTGCTGACAATGGCAACCCGACCGTGCCTAAGCAGGGAAGCGCCAGCGCCAGCGCCAGCGATGGGGTATCCGCAATCGACGACGATGACGCAGAGCGAGTATTGAATTTCACAGAGGACAAGGACTTTGACGCGGACAGGGTGTTCGACGGCGGCGCAGACTCCCAGACGAGACGGCAGTCCTTCACATGGTCGCTGGACGATGACAAGGCCCAGGTCAAGCTCATCTATCTCGTACAGGTCGCAGACGCACCGGGAGAGATAGGAGGGCCGTATGAGCCCAAGGAGACGCCGGTCGCCCTCCGGACAGTCGATCTATCGGGAGACGTCGACATCCTCGTCAACGCCTCACCGACAGGCGTCGATCTTGACTTTACAAAGTTCACACCAGAGAACAAGGGTCTCGAGTACGGAGGGGCGTACGCCGTCAAGGTCCATTGGGAACGCGAGGACGGGCTGGGCAAGGGCTCGGTATCGGGATACTTCTCCGTGCTGGACCCGGACGACGATGACGAGGACATGCAGAAGAAGGTGCAGGACAGTCTCTCCAAGCTTGACTACTACGAAAATGGCTTCGAGTCGTCTGGCGACGCTATCCCTAGTGCCGCGCCGACTTCCAAAGGTCCCGCCACTGCGGCAGAAAGCAGCGACAACCCGAGCAGCGAGACTGCCAGCAGCAACGCCGCCTCAGGTTCTGGGGATAACAGCGATAGCAGTGCAGAGAGGGGTGGCGGCGGCGGCCTTGCCCCTGGGACCATTGCTGGCATTGTCGTCGGCGTCGTCGGCGGCCTAGCCCTGATTGGCGCCCTGGTCTTTTTTCTCCTTCGTCGTCGTCGCCGGCACAAGACCAAGCAACATCATGGACACGTGGTTTCCCAGCACGAGGCCGACATGTCATCTTATGCTCTCGACAAGGTGGACGGCAACGCCGCACATTCACCGTACTCGGACGACGGGCATGGCGTGGCCGCCACCGGCTTTCCTGCCCATGATGCCGCTGCGGCGCCTCATACCACAGCAGCATCGCATGAGCCTGTCAGGGGAGACCCTGATGCAGCGGACACACCGAGCCGACAGCGGGATTACTCGCATCTAGTGGAAGACGGCATGACGGAGGACGATATCCGGAGGCTGGAGGAGGAAGAAAGGCAGCTGGATGATGAGATTGCGCGCGCGAGGAGGAGAAGATGAGCTTTCTGGGACAGGAAATCTGTTTTCACTTTTTGTCAACACGTGACTTGTCTGTCTGTCGGTCCTAAGGGAGTTGGGCATAATGGCGTTCCTTTTTTGAGTCTGAGCATGTATGGATGTATTCGATTTTTGCGACAGCTGTTCGGGACAAGCCGAAATCCTCATTTCCGTCATGATGGTACGTTCTTTTGATGCCACATCAGGGCTCGCAGTGTCCGCCGTAGAGTATCGTACAACAGCCGAGGCGCCATAGCCTCCGTAAACGCCCAGCAAGCAAGTTTGTGCATAACCCATCGCTAAATAGCGCCCAACGCGAAATGTGCACACAGACAGGCAGCCGTGCGCCCTGGCGGTCCTGCCACTCAACCCCTTGAGAAAAAGCGCCCGACCATGTTGCTCGCAATGTTACCCGCCAAGTTGGTGCTTCCAAAGGCGCTGCCCGCAAAGTTCGACGCCTGACTGAACTTGTCGCATCGCGAGAATGCCAGAGTGTTCATGACCGTCAACACCAACGCAATGACTGTGCGCCTCGTTAGCGAAAGGGGCCCTTTATCATTCCTTCTTTCTCTGAAAGCCCCTCCCTTATTCAGGGGCACCTGAATGGAATGTACTCACTGACAAGAGGCAGCCAGAGAAACTGCAGCCTCACGAGGGCCAGGATCGCCATGGCCACCCACAGCACGGGCTGCACGTAGAGCGCCATCCAGAAGAAGCGCGAGTCTGTCGCGTTGACCGTCTTGGTCGCGGGATCGCTGCTCTCAAAGACCCATTTCGACTCGCCCGTCGAGGGGTCGACCTCGTTCCACCAGCGGAGACCGACGAGTCGACGGCCGGCAATGTTCTTGAGGTAGTAGAAGTCGGCGGCGAGCAGGAGAATGGTGACGATGAAGATCATGATCCTGGCCGCATTGGGTCAGGCACAGTTGAAAAAAAAAAGAGGGGGAGGACCATGGTTTGCTTACATGCTCTTGATGATCCATAGTCCAAGGAAGTAGATCAAGACACTCGCTGCGCAACCTCGTTAGTTCTGCGTGGTCCACGAGTGGTCGCAATCGTCCGCATACATATCCTGAACCCCAAAAAGGTCAACAGTGTGATGGGATGCGAACTAAGCCGCCAGCTCAGCGAGCCAGCCTCGGGCTGAGGCTGAGCCTGTGGTTGCGGTTGCGTCGCGTCCATGGTCGGTCGGCGGAGGGTCGATAGTCAGTCAATCGTTGCGTTGCGTCAAGGGTGCTGCTGCAAAGGAGTGTCGTTTGTCGAATGCAGCGTCGTGCGCGCGTGGCTCAATGGGGTCTCGCAGGTGAAGCTGTCGCGAACTGGGCTGGCTTGGCGTGGCTGCTTAAAAGGCATTGAAGCTACGTAGCCCCAGAGCTCAATAGGAGACACGATGATGCGGCATCGCAGACACGGACGCGAGGCTCATTCAGCAGGCGGTGGACGGCGGCAGAACGCTCAGGTACCAGCTGTGGAGTCAAGGTACGTACCGTTCCTCCAACCTCCCAGTCCCATCTCGGCAACTTCATCTTCCCCAGTCCATGATATAGCCGATTTATAGTCCGTAGACCAGCATAACAATCGCTCTTGGAACACATTCTGGACAATTGCCTTGACCTTCACGTATACAGCACACATTGTTCAAGTATTGCAGATCTTGCTCTCACTCCATCTCACCACCTCCTCAACCATGGCAGCTGCCGCCAAATCGTCGGCGATCATACGCCGTTCATTGCTCTATGGTAACTTCTATATTGCATCCATAATACTGCATTGCTGACGTTTCAGTGCCATCGTCTTCCCAAAAGATGTTAACCAAGTCCGTTGGATTCAATTCGGATAATGTCACGTACGACCTCGAGGACTCTGTCACCCCGTCCATGAAGCCTACAGCCAGAGACCAACTCAAGTCTCACTTGAGTGGCATCTCATCACGCCCCAAAGGCATCGGCGAGCTGGCCGTCCGTATCAACGCGGTCTCGACTCCATTTGCGCTCCAGGATCTCTCATCTCTAGGCTCGGTCTCAGCCGTAGACGCCGTCGTCGTGCCCAAAGTCGAATCTGCCGCCGACTTGAGCTTCGTAACCGATGTTCTGCGACACGTAGCTCCAGAGCGCCATGAAAAAGATTCCAAGAACCCTATCAAAATCATATCACTGATCGAATCTGCTAAAGCTATCATGGATCTGGGCTCAATCTGCAGAGCCTGCCCGTACTTGAGTGGCTTGATCTTCGCAGCCGAAGACTTTGCGCTTGACCTGTCCATCACACGCACACCATCGTTGACGGAGTTCTTGTATGCCAGATCAGCCATCGTCACCGCAGCGCGCGCAGCAGAACTCCCAAGCGCCATCGACCTAGTATGTACTTCTTTCAAGGGCGAGGAAGGAATAAGGAGATTGGAAGAAGAATGCCGTGGCGGTAATGCCATGGGGTTCAACGGAAAGCAATGCATTCACCCTAGCCAAGTGGAGACTGTCCAAAAATTCTATGCGCCATCCAAAGAGGAAGTCGAGTGGGCAGTAAGGATATCGATCGCGGACGGAAAGGCTGTCAAGTCGGGCCGAGGCGCCTGGACACTCGACGGGAAGATGATCGATGCTCCTGTAGTCGGTAAAGCTCACGCCGTTGTGGCGAAAGCTGAGAGGTGCGGATTCGACGTACAAGAGCTCAAGTCGAAATGGCAAGACCAGGAACCAGAGTGAGTGGTGCCAAGGTCTGTGGCAACAACGGCCTACTCAAGATACCGATGTCAGATGAACGGGTTCGGTCTCCAGAAAGCCTTCATTTCCTTTTCGTCGATATACGTAAATCGTGGCGCTTCGTGAAGTTGTCGGGAAGACATCTGTGGTATTTGGTCAAAATGGGTCGAAACCATATTGGGCAGAGTGTCCTGGGGGAAGTCAATCACGTCCAGCGGGTCAGCCAGGTGTACGTCAGGCATTGCCGTGGCCTCGATTCGGGAGATATACTCTTCGATTGTCTCGGAGAGGCTGTCGAAATCCCTGATTCTGGGCTTAATATCGGGCACTGGCACATCCTCGCATCGACCAAAGGTGTGAGGTAAATACGCAGGCAGCTCGACGTACTTGTCCTGTCTCCCATGCTGAACGATGCTCGTGTGATACGGCAGGTTTCCTGAGGCATCAGCCATTGCGGGCATGGATGGAGGCAGCTGCGGCCAAGCAACGGGGGCACAGCGATCGTAGAACCTTTCTTGACGCGCGCTTCTAGTGCCTGGACGCTGACCAACAGCTTGCTGATATCCCTGGTCTATGCCTTCGGGAACAACTGCATTGCCGTCGCCGTCGTCAGGAACTGCGCCGACCGGAACTCTGGCGTAGTCAAAGACTCCTGTTGCAATGAGTGCTTTGAGAGCATCGATCCCGGAGCACTTGTATGCTTCATCCGCAGTGTAGCTGTTGATACCCTTATCCTTGTCTTTCCCGGGGGGCATCGCAGATGCTTGATCTCGGGTTGGTGATTTTCGCCTTGTTGAGTACTGCTTCTTTGTGTCGGATAGAACCTTTGGCGGTCTGGTGACATGCTCTGGGACGTCCTCTGGGGTGTTTTCTGACTCGGTGTACCCTTCTGATGTCCCATTTTCCTCGGGTTCGGAGTCAGATTGGGAAGTGTCTTGGTCCAACAATTCGCTCCTCTTGTTGGCCTTCGGCTGCAGACGTTTCGATCTTGGCTCTGGTGGCGAAGAGACCGAGTTTCTGCGTTGGTGTGGCTGCTCTGGGGTCATCTCGTGGCGTTGCTGGTCTCGTCCTTTGGTCTTGGCTGCCTTTCGCCGAGATCCCTGGTTTCTATTGCCCGCGTCGTCGTGTGGCCGTTGAAAGATGCCCAATTCATGAAAGTCAAGATCTGCTACTGCCATCTTCAGCCTTGAGGAATCAGTGAACGGAGCCCAGGGGCTTACTGTGTCCCCGGCCCACGCCTCGACCATTTGAGAAGAGTCCGGCAGTGAAATTGGGCTTCGTCTACGCCGCGTGTCAGTGTAATTGAAGTTGCACAATGGGCTGGCTAGCTATGTACTTACTATGACGGGTCCAGGTCCCAAGACGTCCGATTCGAAGTTTTCCATGACTTCTTTGCTGGCTCGCAAGGTTTTGTTTATCTTCTTCCTAGACCTGACTCTCGTCGCCTGAGATGGCCTCCGGACACGCCGAGCTGCATGGTTCGGTTCATACTTGTCTGCCTTTGTCTTCCTTCGCGGACGTTTGGCATACATGTCTGGCGATGTGGCAGCCGACGGTGACTCTTCGTATGTGCGCTGGCGCAGCTTTCGCTCCCGAGCACCATGGCCACGGCCATCAGGAGGCATATCATCGAGGCCTGAAGTCGATTCGATAACGGAATCATGTTGACGCTGCCTCGACGGCTCTGGAACATCCATGTCGATGGCCACTGGTGATCCTTGTTCAACCTCGGCGACCCAGGCCTGGACAAATGCCAGGTCGTCGCAGCGAGCTGAATTTGGGACAGACTGTTGGCCATACGGTGGCTGCTGACGGCTACCCGGCGCAGGCATGTCAGTAGAGAGCTTTCTGATCGATGCGAGCTGCGGTGGGTTCGGCACAGACTGCCTCAAGAGATCCTTGCTCTGCCTACATCGTACATGGCTTGGGGATGGCCCTTGATCTTTTTCTCTACCAGGACAATTCCTGTCTCTTCCTGCCTGGAGTAGCGCTGAGAGCCATGTCAGAAGCTGCCACCCGACTTGGTAAATAAACATGAAGGCTTCGTGGGGTAGCGGACCTTCCTTCGACACGGTGCAAGAGAGCTACTTGCCTGATTTGGCAGTGCTCGATAGATCGTGGCGGCCGCCAGGCCCATATGGCGGATCCCTGCATGGCACTTGCAGCTGCGCCTGCGCGCCCCGGTGAGAAGCCAGCCATGTGGCGCCCATCGTGGCGCACTATCGATAGATAAGGTCCCCTGGTAAGTGCATACCGTAATGAGCCTCATTTTCTTTACAATGAAGGCTTTTCTGGGATCAGCGCATGAGCTTTGCTCAGTCTGTATACTATCGGGAGTGACGGGACTGATCGGCTGCTCAGCAAGGCATGATATGCTGTGCCTTCTCGCTGTGCTGCTACCTACGTAGCAGTGAGCCCAGTGTGTTATGCTTAAAATTCAGCTCCAGTCGGACCAGTCTCCTCATGCCGACACTCCCGTCCGGGTCGGGCTTAAGGTTGTGAACCCCCCCAACCATAAATATTAAGGAGCAAGAATTCTTTGAGAAGAACCGAAAGCTGTGCCGGTTCGACGGATCCTTGCTTTTCCGACCTACACTAACTTAATAGAGGGGTGCTTGCTTGCTGGTACTGTAAGTGTGTTCTTAGAGTTACCAGGTAGACAACAGGCCAGCCCAAAGCCTACCCCGCACGCACGACTTCATGTTCTTGAGGACATGGAGGCAACAAGACTGGGCCCAACGCAGCCATTTTGGCCCATGATGGTGTCGGTCAGATTAGCATTTCTGTGCCTCTGTGTCAACGCGCAGTCCTGATAGTTGAAAAGCATCCATGAGCACGCCCGCCTCAAGCGTGTTGCGTACAGAGACACCGTTCAAGAGATGACCGTGACACCGTCGCGAAATAGCCATTCGGGATGTGGGAACCGGGAGGGTGTGTCCCGCACGCCACATTCGACTCGAAATTGTCCCGCAGTGGGCAAGATTGTCCAGTCTCCTCCGCGGAACGCGACTGGAGACCTGGAGGATAGGGTGACTTTCGGCGGACGCTGTGAATGAAGCATTGCGATCGACCAGAAGCACGGCTTGCGCCCGCTGCGTGATGGTTCCGTGAGTCTCTGCCGGTGGGTCGAACGGCTTTGCAGTCGGTGCTTGCGTTGGCACTTGCGTCTCCCGAGGGGCTGTGAGTTTGGAAGGGCCTGGCGCGATGTGAAGAGGTTGCAACCTCTGATCGAACGCGACACAGGCGACGGACTGACACTTGACGCCTGCGGATTTCTCAATCGTCCAGGCTTCAGTCGTCACTAGTGGTGAATCTTTCTCTGGTTCATGAATTACTACTTTAAAACAGTAGATATTGCAATAAGCATAAGATTCCCTCGGGAAACTGCGGTGCGAAATGCGGATTCTGCGATGCCCATGTCCAGTCCCCGCGATCCGCGCTAGCGTGCATGCGTCGCCGCCCCTCCAGTAGGACAGTGCTGTAGGATCATCTCAGTTTGGGCTCACTATGGCTTCAATGGACATGCGAGTGCTACACAAGTAAGCGCTGTGGCCAGAGTACTTTTAGAATGTTGTATCTACTACGTAGTCGTCTGGACTGCAGTACAGTCCAGTCACTCTAGGCTGACGCGGTCGTCACGGTTCCGGTGCCTGAACAGTGACTGGCATCACTGTAACTGCAAGCCCGTAGGGTCCAGCGCAGGGTTGCCCGCCCCCTGGAACCACTCCGGTGCAGCACGCGGCGAAAGCTTGGCTTGTTGAGCACATTGATGGCCAGGCCACACTGCCACAGCACCCAGTAATGATACGGTGGACTGCCTTGTGAGTTGTGACTGGCTGATATGCGACCATTGGCTCCCGGCAGCTGGGAGGCAGCCAACGGCTGGGCCCAAGGCCCCAAACGCACTGTGAGCCAGTCCCGCGACCATGAGCTTCGTCTGCTGGCGGCTCCAGTCCGGTCTCTAATATGCCCCGGGGGTCCAGTCACTGACGTCCTGTCCTGACCTGGCTTTGTGTTTTCTCATCCCTCAAGAAGCAATCTCGCCTGTCCTTTCCACTACATCGCTGCCTGCCTGTGTGTGTGCGTGTGTGCGTGTGCGTCTCTCTCTCTCTTGCATTCTTTGTTCTGAGCTTCAGTTCACCTACCGTTCTCGCTACTACTTTTGCGTCGCATCCGTCGCCGAACCAGTCCCAAGCTCAACAAAACACCCACCTACCTTACCTTACCTTTCTTGCCTATTCGCAAAGCTCAGCCATCATGTCTAAGCTCTTTATTGGGTAAGGCGCTCGCTCCGAACATGGCGCTGTGGTTCAATATGCTGACTCTACTTCCCCCGACAACAGAGGCCTTGCCTGGCACACCGAGGAGGCTACCCTCCGCCAGAAGTTTGAGGAGTTCGGTCCTGTTGAGGAAGCTGTACGTACACACCCGGCGCGAATCGAGCCGCCTGCCATTCCCCCAGTCGACATCTCCTTCTGGTGTCGCTTTGATTGATGCTTCCATCGACCGTACCTTCGCCTTCATTCCCCGACAGCGCGCGCCAAGAATACAACTGACTCTGTTCTGCCGTCTAGGTCGTCGTGAAGGATCGGGATACCGGGCGCAGCCGTGGCTTTGGCTTCGTGCGCTACACCCAAGAGGCTGATGCCGAGCAAGCCATCAGCGCCATGAACAACGTCGAGTATGACCCGCCCTCCCCTGGCCAGTTGACCCAAGACTAACCCGGCGCACAGCTTCGATGGACGTGCTATTCGAGTCGACAAGGCTTCCGACAACGGTCCCCGCGGCGGCCGTGGCGGCTTCGGAGGAGGCTTCGGTGGCCGTGGCGGCGGCGGCTTCAACGGCGGACCCATGCAGTATGGCGGACCTCCCCAGGGCGGATATCCCATGAACGGCGGTGGCCCCAACATGTACCAGCAGCAGCCCATGCAGTACGGTCGCGGTGGCTATCCCCAGCCTGGTTACGGCGCCGCTCCCCCTCCCCAAGGTACGTGAGATTCGTTTGCGGGACGACGAGAGAGAGATCCGCTGCTGACCATCAAAGGCTATGCGCCCCCTCAGTACGGCTATGATCCCTCGCAGCAGCAGCAGATGCCTCACCAGGGCGGCCCCCCAGCCCCTCCCCAGTCCGGGCGTGGTTTCTAAGTCGCGCATAGTCTCTGGTTCATTTCGTTTCTTCTGATTACATTGCACTGCAGCAAGGGTTTCTGATACTCAGCAACCAAGGCCACAGGTCAACGCGGACCTGGCTTGAGGCCTGACCAACGTAGCGGCCCCTGCGTCGCATTCTGTCATCGTGAAGGGGGGTCGCCGGTCGTTCTAGGGAAAATCTCGGTGCCCGAGGTTGAGGGACATGTTTGACGGCCGTTCAATTTGATGACGATGATGAAGTGATGATGACCACGGCCGGATAGTTCAGGATCGGACAATTGGCAAATTGTCCCGTCAGAGAGACCATGGATGGGAAAAAATCGGGAGCGGATTCCGGGGATGTGTATTATTTGGACAGCACCCAATATAACTGATCCCTCTCCCTTTCCAAGCCATCGGCCTCATCACGCCGTCTTTTCGAATTCTTCTGCTTCCCGCGTGCTGGTGCTGCGGTGGAACGAGGGCGACCTTGGGTCCGCGTGTGAGGGGCCATCCAGCGCTCTGACACGATCTGCCAGATCATGAATGTGACTATCCGCCTCGGCGTCGAGCTCACAGAGGGCCTTGTCCAGGTTGAGCAGATATTCCTTGTTCAATCCACTGGGCCCTTCGCTCTTGTGGATGTGCTCTGCCAGTTTCTGGGGGTCCTGCACTCCGACAAACTGCTCATTGTCTGGCGTCCCGATATACACCAGAGCCCTGATCTCAGCTGATGCGTCGGCCGGCTGGAAGGGCGCAAAGTGGATGGAATACCCATTGATCTCGCGGATATCAAGGTTCTTCTTGACCTCTGCTACCTTTTCGGGCTTGATATGATATGCGACGCCCCAGACGCTCTTGGGAGCATCGTGGTGGTTATCTCCCAATGTCTCCCAGTGTGAACGCTCGATCAAGGTGACGACGCGCCCAGGCGCCTCTGGCGTGCCACGGTGGTCCTCACTGTACAGTGTTAACAGGAAAATTCCGAGCCAGTGGAGATGTCAGCCATAGCGAACCTGGCTTGCCAGAATCGTCGAACATAGCCGTCGACCCAGCCGGGGATTCTCTTGTCTGTCGGGGTCCCGTCAGTGCACTGATCCGATCCGTCGCTCCATGCTGCGTGGTACCAAAGTGTGGCGGGGGCTTCCAGATGAGGCTCCTGCGATAGGGCTGAGTGTCAGCTGTTTGTGTCCGTTACGTCGAGCATGGTTGGACAGCATGCGCACCCGTAGCCAAAGAGCCAAAAGTTCTCGTCGTGATCGTCAACGGTTGGGCCCATCTTGATGGTTGGGCAGGTAGCGAGTTGGCGTTGAAGTTGACGCCTCGAACACCTCAGAAGTCACGGTCTCTACGTGCTGAGGAGGGAAATCACGGGCATTCAAGTGTCGCTCTCAAATCTTTTTATAACAGAGGTGCTCGGCAGAAGTAAAGACCTTGATGTGGGGAGAAATCCGATGCCGCAAACTTCAAGCTCCAGCGATGACCCATTGATCGCTGATTCCGCATCGATGCCTCCTTCCCTTTCGCAGTAACTGCCGGAACGTTTTGTCCTGTCATTTGATCCCACGACCCAAATATCAGAAAACCCCCCTATTGTGCCTGTTCGTTACATGTGCACCGAGCATCGATGGGATCCGAGAAGGCGAGATAGTAAGCGAGGCGGATCAGTTTTTATCGCCAATGGTGCCCACCGCGCGCATTTCATTGCTTCGCGACATTATTGCCCCGCGTTGGAGCCCCTCAACAAGGATCCTGGGCTGAGCATTATGCCTACGCAATCGGGCATGTCGCGGCATTGATCAGCTCGACTTCCCCCAGGCTTTTCGACACTTCCACGTCGACATCATCGTCGACGGCACGTTTTCAAGCTCGGCTACCCTAAAAAGTATTCACAATGGCGTACAACAGACCCTACGACCCCGACGCCCTTCCCAGGTATTCTTACAAGCTCCAGCGCCTGACCCCCCCTCACACGCGACAGGGCTAACCTATCTGTGGACAGATTCGCCGAGCCAGATGTGCGTGCACAAGTTGTCGAACGCAGCTACCGAAGCGACTGACAATGTCTCCAGAGACCTGGCTCGACCCCGAGTGCAGCCAACGCGGCCCCCGCGCCGCGGTACGACAAGCCAGCGCCGCCGCTGCCCTCTCAGACACGACAGAGCTCATCTCACTACGGGCTCTCCTCGCCGCCAGCGCAGGCCTCAGGGCACCGACCTCCTCCAAGTCACAATCAACCGCCGACGAGCTCGCGTCCGCCTGCATCGCCTAGTGCGGACGGTTCAGCATCGGATCCCACACTCCTGCCCCTCTTCAGGGCTGTCGACAAGGATGGTAAGGCATCGCCAAGGCAAGGTGGGAAGCCCACAAGACTGACATTGCCAGGCACCGGCCAGCTCTCGGAAAAGGAGCTTTCTGCGGCTCTGGTGAACGGCGACTGGACCTCTTTCGACCCCCAGACCGTGAGGATGATGATCCGCATGTTTGACACGGACCGCAGCGGCACCATTGGATTTGACGAGTTTTGCGGCCTGTGGTCCTTCCTCGCCTCCTGGCGCACCTTGTTCGACCGCTTTGACGTCGACCGCAGCGGCAACATCTCGCTGAGCGAGTTCACGGACGCCCTGGTGGCCTTCCGCTACCGTCTCAGCCCGCAGTTCGTCGAGTTGTTGTTCAGGACCTACGACAAGCGCCGGGAGGGGGTGATGAGCTTCGACCTGTTTGTGCAGGCGTGTATCTCTCTGAAGCGCATGACCGACGTGTTCAAGAAGTACGATGACGACAGAGACGGCTACATCACACTAAGCTTTGAAGACTTCCTCAGCGAGATCTTGAAGCAGATGAAGTGAGCTGGTGGTAGTTTTCCAGCCCTGTGGAATTGAGGATACCTAGAGCGATTGTCGCCTTTCAAAATACCATTCTGTTGAAATCGTGGTGATTATTATGCTACATATGGAATCGTAAGGCTGTGAGTCACTTCGTGATAATCCTGTCTGCTAATGAATAGCTGAGCCAAGTGTCGTCCCACATGTGAGACAGAAAAGCAATGGCGTTCTCGACTTTTACTGGAGGTGCCTTGGCCCTGTCTAATCAATATTTCAGAGCCTCAATACGCAGAGACGTGCTCCAACCTTGCCCCCCGAGTATATCGAGTGGATTCTTCAATACATATTCCGGTTCTTCTTCCCAAATGCCTTCGCTGGTGAGGGCAACGTCTTCGCCAATCTCTAATGCAAGGGCACGGGTGGATTTCTGGGCTGACATTGTCGTTTCTAAAGATAAATGCGATTGTTCAAGTGCTTGCCGAACATCGCGGACGCTATGGGTGCGTCGATGCAGGCCGCGGTGCATAATGCCCTTGGTGATTCTCTCCCCGTCACGAGTGCTGATCCAAGCCTTGGCACATGTCGTCCTCGCCGTTTCCAGGCCGGAAGCCATGCCCTTGATATTCAATGATCGACTGAGCCACCATGGGCTACGAACATCGTCGAAAGGATGGAGGAGGGCAGTCAGGGGTAATGCCGCCTCGGCAACCAGGTGAGTCCTCACGAACGCCTCCAAGGCAGAGTATTCTATACCATGAGAGGCATAGATGACTGAGACAGTTCGATCTCGGTACTGCGGCGTGAGGGACGCGGTCGACAGTTTTGACTGAAGCGATGGAGATGCCGGCGGCGTAGGGGGCAACGGAAACACCTGGCGGATGATCGGCGGTGAGAGGCGCTGTTGATTCATGGGTACTGACGACTTGGAGTTGGAGTCTGGCGTCGTCGGTGGGATGTGGCCAATCTGATTCAATTTCCTCACGCGTGATGGAGGTGGACGATACGTGATGCCAAACGCTGGATGCTGGTTGCGGACATCGTGATGCCCACGAACGAGCGCTATGGTGACCTCGCCGGGGTCACCGCCCGGGGTAGAGGACGGCACATCGATACGTATGGACGGGTATTGTCCGCTTCTGTGGTGATCTTCCCATTGGGTCACCGCAATGACATTCTCTGGGTCGAAATGTCGCCAGCTTTTGATCTTTCTGGCTGCGGACGGCTCAGCCAGGACAATCGTCTTGGTTCCAGTCTCTGGGAATTGCAGTAGAGTCCTCTTGTTACAGTGGTCAGAACCGGTTCTGGCTGATAATGATGACATCTGGGGGCGGAAGTTGATGAACAGAGGGAAAGAGTTCCGAATGGCACTGTGTCGTGGTTGACAACCGTCTATGGAAGTCCTCAGTGGCACTAGATAGCCATGGATCGACTAGGATGTGAAACGAATGATGAGGGTGAGAAGGCACCGCATCGTCCGGCACGATTGGCTCGAACGATAGTAGAAAAGAGGCATCGCCGTTCAGCTGCTTGACTGTCAGTGCCATGCTGAAGTATGTAAAGACTTGGCAGCAGAGGAGGATATCCCCCGTCCATGGTGTGGCCCTGACTTCTTAAGGGCACTGATCGATCTGAGACCCTCGACGTCAACTTTATATGCGATGAAACCCTGGGGATGAATGGGGTGAAAGGATCAGACCTTATGCCTTTGCGAGCCCAAGGATCGTCACACCGGAACTCAAGATGGGCTGGGTGATTGAGGCGTTCCCCAAGATGAAGTACTGCGTAAGGTATGACGGAGAGAAAGAAGGGCGGATTTGAGACATAGGCGCTGCCCGACACACTGAGGCTGGCTGCGATATTCTGGGAGGAGCCAAGCCTTTGTTTGGAAAAGGGGCACGCCTCAACGTCAGGCTTTCTGCGCTCGGGTGAAATATAGAACGGTGCTAGTACACGTGCTCTGGTAGTGATCTAGTACAGAGGCATATCTCGTCTCCTCAAGGGCTATCTTTCTTTCTTTCTTTCTTTCTTTCTTTCTTTCTTTCTTTCTTTCTTTCTTTCTTTCTTTCTTTCTTTCTTTCTTTCTTTCTTATGATGTATATGAGTACGTAGTGGCGAATGGTCGGCATTGTCTCACATCACAGCCTTGAGACATTCTGGATGTGGCTCACGCATTACGAGCACTGGCCCAAGTGCCTTTCGCCGCTTGCAGAGCTACAAGTCGAGATTCGAATGACGAAGAACGGACAAACACACTCCCAAAGGCTAGACTAGAGCGTATATCGATCTCTCTTGTTGGCAAGCAAGGATCTTTTGTTTTGATGATGGGGGTCAAATCTTCACAAAAAGGCAGGCTCCGCATCCACCATAAATCGCGAGGATCATCGAGCAGGCATCCGTTTAGACAGCGTTGACTTAGACAGGCGAATTCTAAGTAAGCAGCGGCATCGTGAGCAGCGTGCATGATGGAATCAGGCCGTGTCGTTGGCGCATGTTGAGGCGAGTACGCGCGCGTCCGTCTCAGCGCTTGCTGGGGAGGAAACCAGCCGTACCGCAGTGCCAACGTACACATGGGCGTGTTGCATTGTACGTAGTACGGAAATGTCAGCAGGAACCTGGTGAGGGTGGCATACGCGAGTCAAAGTCCAAGGCGGCGCGCGGAAAGGCGTGGGGTCGCCGCCTTTCTAGATGCGTAGATAAAGCCGGACGAATTCATGCAATCCACTCCTGGTCGCTCGGCGTCCACAGCGGAAGGAGGGGTGGCTGGCCCTCGGCCTCTGCCCGATAGCTCAAGCCTTTTCAGTGTGAGTCAATCATCAATGAGGACGGCAAGAAAATGACAATGACATTCCACTGAGGTATGGGTGCCGGGGACACGGCGAGCAGCATTGTCTGTTATTCTTGCTATGGCTGTCTTGGGCAACTCTCGTACAATACCTGATCATGTTGTGGCCTATAATACCGGTGCTAGTAAGCTTCTCAGTCTCCGACTGAAGATGTGATGTCACCGGCTCACTGCACTGAAGCTCGGCACAGAGCTCCAGACTCCAGTCCCTCTGAAAGCTTATTATGCAGGACATGGGCGCGCCACTTGCAGAGGACAGGAGCACATGGTCACCGACATGGAGTTGCATCATCGCGGGATATCAAAGTCAGGTAAGTAGTGCAGGGAGCATCGCTAGAGTCTCATTAGCCCTTGTCTTTTTTTTTTTTCTTTTTTTTTTCTCGTCTCGTGAGGGCCTCGAAGAACATGCAGACTTTCACATGCAGCTCTCGGCGACTGAGAGTCAGAAGTCGCCGGAAAAGCTGTAGGACATTCGTTTCAAGCCGGATGGGCCGACGGCACTTGGAGATGAATCAACGCCATCAAATTTGATAGATTTTGCTCAGCTCGATGTTGGCGCGTCGACGTCAGGCTGAACGCTTCGAGCTTTCGGGGCTGCCGATTTGAACATGTACAAGTACAAAGCAATGACCGGATTGGGCGAGGTGAAGTACAGTGCAAGGCATACCCGTGCACCGCCAAGCCAAGACGAGGACTGGTTGGTCCACTCAGAAGCCACTCTTCACAGGGAATAGGCGTGTTAACACTGAGGTAATGGTTGCCGGGCTAATTGCTGTCGGCAATGTTGACTGCAGAGTTTTTTTTTGTTTTTTTTTACGCTTCGCTTTCTCTTCTTGCCCAAGTTTGGGCCTGGGAGGGCCAAAGTTTGGTGCGCCATTTGAGGTGCATTGGCTTTGGAGGGGCGCCCGTTAGAAAATGCAGCGTTGTGGAGCGAGGAAAGACCCTGAACTCTCAGAAGAAATGCTACTGCTGCCTCATTCGGTACTAGTAGGTACCTTCCTCTGGTACGTACCTTCGACAGCGGCAGGAGTGCACCTGACCTGTTCCGTGTCCGGCAGCTCTTGCTCCATCTGAGCCTCCTCATCACCTTGCAGCAGCTGTTACGAGCTACCTGACGTAGATGCTTCGTGAGGAACGCCTACTAGTAGTATCTAGTGCTTTGTTAATCTACAAACGACCATCGATGGCGCTCCTGAGCAGAATACCACATTGTAGCCGAGGATCTTCACCGAGCTTCAGTTCAAAGTCTGCAGTATCAACGGCAGGAACTCGAGTCTTTGACGGGTGCCGCTACATTGGTAGCCCCAGAAGCCGCTACAGTTGCCCAAACGCCGCCCGGCCCCGCCTCCAAATGGGTCCGTCAACCTGCAAGTCTTTTCTGCAGAGTCAGTCAAGCAGCCTCAAGCTATAAAAATCAGAGAGCTCTGACAGAGGAAGCACACTTCCAGACTTTCGTCGCTCTTGTTCGCCACGCCGTCAACCTCGAGTCAGTTGTTGGCTCGGTGTATGGCGCCAGCAGCATTCCATCGCTTCGGTAGCTCTTGGGATCGTCTGCTTTCGAATGGGAATATTGCTGCGTTCGGCCGGCTCAAGTCCATGTCGACTTGATTAGTTCGAGTCGAGGCTGTCCCAGCCCAGCTCCAGCCTGAGATCCAAAGCTGTCCCCGTGACGCCTCCAAGCTCCATCCATGACACGGCGCCAGGGGTCCGGCACCCCCCAATTCGCTATTTTGCCTCTTGGAGCTTTGCTGCAGTACCGTTCGTGACAAATGGAGTTTGGCAGCGCGACAGAGCTCATTCCCGAGCTCGCCATTGGCCAGCCGAGCAGGTCTGGAGCTGATCATCAGGTGTGGTGTCTCCTCTCACTCTCTATCTCTTGGTACAGTCTCCTCGCATCCATCCATCCTTTTGTCCTTTGCTCCCGAATCGTTCCCGTTGCTGCTATTGCTGCCTCTGGGGAAATCTTTTGTCATTCTCGTGCTTGATTCCTCATCATCATTCATTCTTCCTCCCATCATCCTTCAACCATACATACATCCCTCCACCCATTGTCATTCGCCACGATACTCCAATCCATTGAGGTTGCGCCCCGATCAGTGAAACTCGTGAGCACCGTTGACATTACCATCAATTTCTGAACGAAATCTATTTTCGATCCGCTGAAGAAAGTTGCTGCAGCTTCAGAGTTCCGAGAGCTTTGTCCAGAGGATCAGAGCCGGCAAAGCACTTGGAAATCTGCCATGCTCCAATAACTTTCTAGCCAGCTGGTTTATACATTTTCCAAGAGACCTCCAAGGACGCTTCATTTGCTATTATAACACTTTTTTTTGATATATCCTTAGATTTTCTGCCGTGGTCAACCGTCCGCTGCTCTCACTTGATCTAGACATTCCTACTTTGCTTCATTCATCCTTTACCCACATTGCACAATTTCCCACAAAGGGAACTCCGATCACAACATGCCTCCTCGCTCGTCGTTAACATCGTCTTTTGCCTTGAATGACACCAAGGAAGAGGTTCACTGCCCCCTCGACAACCAAGATGGCTCAAAGTGTCGTAAGAGATGTACTGGTGTAAGTTGGCTTCTTTTGGTCAGTCTGCGAGAAACGTCAATTGACAATTCGTCAGGAAAAACGATATCGCTCCATGCAAGAGCATATTCGTCGTGCCCATCAGGAGCACTACATTCCCAAGCTTCCTGCTACAGAGGAGAGCTTCTTACTGATGATCAACACACCACCATCAGAATCGCGCAACAACAATTCCAGCTCATCCAGCGGCCAGGGCTTCTACGACAACTCGGCATATGCTTTTGACGAATTGAGCAATAATCCAGCGACACCACGCAATTGGGACGACATTGCTCGCCTTGAAGGTACCGCCAGTGCCGCTGCTGCACTTGCAGGCCTGGGGGGCTCATATGACAGGGACTCTGCCGACGGTGTAAGTCAAGACTATCGATAAGCACACGCATATCATCATCCATTGACACTTGCCAGGATCATTATTCGCACATTGACAGCAGTGCCAATCGGCCCAGAACCAGTGTCGAGCATCCGACTAGGCTACCGGGCATCGAGCACATTGGCGACATTCGAAGTGATCCGTTTTCGAACCAAGCCCGAAGACCCATTTCAAGCATTCTCAACCACTCGCCACCGAACCGCAGCTCGACCCTCCCCCCATCAAACGGGCCTCTCGGTCCTAACCGTGGACGAAAGTCGTCGGTCAGCAAGAAGTCACAACATCGCAAGAAGCTGTCGCGAGAAATCGCTCACGACTGGCTGCACAGGGTGCAGAACGAGGACAGGCCTTTTGGATACGATGGCCGCCCTTACTCTGCGGAACCCACTGCCCTCGATCCCTCGCGTATGCGTGGACAATCGAGAATCCACGAACTGCTCGAGGCAGCGTCAATGAGTGGTGATTTAGATGATAGAACATCGGTACGTCATCTAGGACACCAGCTATTCGCCGCATGTGGCTAACAAGATTCAGGTCCCAAGGTCACCAATTTCGAACGACAACCGCGGTTCGTTGCCTCCACTGGCGGCCTACCCACAGCTCTCGTCCAACAACTACCAGGCATCGCCTCTGCAACAGGCCCTGACGCCGCCGTCCAACACACATGATATCATGCCCTTCCCCTCCGTCGAGGACAGCGACCCTTATATCGGTGGCTCAGCGCTGTCGGACTCTTCGCCGACCTTGACAGCTCGCAAGCCATGCTTGTACTGCAGCGCCTGCCACAGCGCTGCCGACGTCAACAAATCCTATGCCTGCACAGAATGCATCAGTGGCTTCTGCAGTGCTTGTGTCGAGGTGCTCACAAAGGAGCACGGAGAGCGAAGGCAATGTCCCCGCTGCAACACCATCGGCGGGATGTTCAAGCCCATTCAACTCGAGATCAAGATGAGGTAGATGAACCAGGCCGGAACAAATGACCGACTCCCCGGCTCGCGCAAGGCACTCATCGTTCTATGGCGCTTGGGGGACCTTTTGATACTTTTTTTCTGATTGCTCATGTTTGCATGTTGCTGTTTCTGGCGCTATTGTTTTCTGACTCTGTCTGGGTAGGGTTTTTGTACTGTACTCACATTGTTCTTCAGCGTTCATGGGGGCGGCGTTTGATACTTCATATTGGACATAGGGAAGCGAGCAGCGACTTGGCTCAGGCCATAGCACTACCACGCCCGGAAAGCGCTTCATTGGGCGTCGCTTACAAGCTCGCATGTTGTTGTTAATGAATATAGTAGGACATTAGAATCACACTTGCTTTGCATATTTATATTCCGTCGCGTTTGATATGTCCACGCTGAGCTGATCATTTCTTTCCTTCCTTCTCCTTCCGCAGGAGCATGTCCCTCACTGCCGATCTGGCGTTTCTACTACCACCTAGTTTTGGCCCCTTTAATACTTCTTCCGCACCGGCAGCAGCAGCCTGGCCCTGTTGTCCCGCTGCGACGGGTTTCTTCTTCTTCGCTTGCTTTCTCGCCATGTCCTCCATGTACTGCTGCTGGAACTGGGCCGCGAGGCGTTCATCTGCGTCGCCTTCTTCCCCTTCTGATGCTGCAGCTGCCTCGGACGTCGGCATGCTGTACACGTCCACTATCCGCATTAGTCCCGCTGTTGAGGTTCACAGAGGCATCAAGGAAACTTACGTCTGTTCTCGTGGAGAAGCTCCTCGACAAGTTTGTCTCGCGCTATATCATCGCTTCCTCGCCTCTTCCTTCTCCCTCCCCGCCATGGTTTTCCGTCCGGCCCCAGCTTGACCTTCTCGGGTCGCTCGGCTGGTTGCGTGCGAGATGGGATCTCGGGTATCGTGGGGATGTCGACTTCTTGGACTTCGGAGGAAATGTGCACCTGTCGCGCGGCGCTTGCTTGCGACGCCACTTCAGCGGTGGCAGTAGGCTCGGGGGGCGAGGCAGGCTTGGGACTTGTATTGCGATTGGCGAGGCGAGACTCTATGAAGTTATTCCTTTATGATTAGCCCAAAATCAGTTCCAAAACAATCGCCGGACACGGATGAGGGGGGAACAAACAGGTGCCTATCATCGAGAGCCTGTGTCAGGCCTGTCTGGCGCGTGAAGCGGTCTGCGATGCCCGCCACGGGAACGACGTCTGAGTCCTCTCCACGTAGCACCAGGGCTTGCGATGGCTCGTCGCCCTCGGGTTGGGTTGTCGCGCGAAATTTGACGCCGCGTAGCCGCGCCCTCGCGCGCGCCTTTACGACTCTGTCGGCCTCGTCGGCTTGCCCATCTTGAAAGAAGTCGGCTGCGGAGGCGCGCTGCGTCGGTGGCGCGGGTTGTGTATCGCCGCTGTCGTCTTCGTCTGGCGCACGTTGTCGGTATTTGCGCTTCTTGCTTGGGCGAAAGCGTATCGTTGAAAAAGCTGGTTCTGACATGCTGTGTGCTGAGTTGTGGTCGAGGAAGTTGCTGGTACCAGTCGCGATGACAGTTGCGATGCGAATGCTGCTAGTTGTACCGGTTCGGGATCTCACTCTTGTGAGTAAGGTAAGCTACTACTTGCTGGGATGCGTGCATGTCGCAATGGCATTTGTTCCTAATTTGAATTCTCGAATCTACTCTCCTTATTTGTTCTAAATTAATTTACGTCTTAAACAGTGCACACGTTCATAACATTGCGTTGTAAGCTCACTGACGTCGGTCCTTCTAATATGGGTCAGTGTCTGCGGTTGACGTTAACTTATCTCCCACTTCGCCTTTCAACACCTCTCCAAGACAACACAACCACACAAGCACAGGAGCCCATATGATACGACAGATGGCCAACAATCTAGAACGTGTATGGGGCCATCCAAGATCATACATTTACCAGGGCTGACGAGAATTAGGTAGGCTTCGTGGCCCATGGAGGCAAAGTCCAGGGTATGTGGTATCCCTAGATCTCTCTCAACGTGCGTTGACTGACGTCACGCCAGGTGTTGGATTTCGGTATGTCTAGATGAATCCTTGAAAGCTTCAAGATGTAAAGCATGTTACATTGGTAGGTACTGAGATTTGGGACAGATACTTCACCAGAGAACGCGCTCAGGAATATGGCATCACAGGGTGGTGTAGAAACACCACGGACAACAAGGTATACATCCTCTCTGACGCTTGGCAGCCAGCCCAGGATTTGCTGACAAGACCAGGTGGAAGGTGAAGCTCAGGGCCAGAGGGACACACTCGACAAGTTGCTGAAAGACATCGACCAAGGTCCGCGCGGTGCCAAGGTTGTTGATGTGACGACGGAGAGGAAGGATGTCATTGAGGGAGAATCTGTCTTTGAAGTCCGCCGCTGAACGCCTCGACTCATGCTATGATATCCTGAAAAGAAGCCCACAGAAACACGCAAATAAATAAATAAAGGGACTCTCAAAACCCCCTCCCTCGTCGTTTGATGACAGGTTTCTTCACTGCGCCTTGCGTGACAAACTTCTTGCCATCGCCGCCAATCTTCTTCTTCACGGTGCGCTCTTCCTCAGCATGCTTTCGCTCCTCGTCCCTGCGCTTGTCCTCCGCCATCTTGGCCTCAATCTCCATCTTTCTGTTGAACTCAGTCTCGGTGATGCGCTTGTCCCGTACAGAGTACCCTTTCTCCTTGATGGAGTAGAAGACACCTCCCAAGTCGGCCAGCCAATGCGGGTCGACTGCCGTGACTGTGGAGACGAAGACCTTGGATGTGAGGATGAGTTCGTGGTACACAACATAGTCGGGCGGATGGCCCGCATAGAGGGCACTTGTGGGATGTAGCTGCACGGCCAGGTTGGTGCGGAGATTGATGTACTCACCCGAGCCCTTGTACTTGGCAGCTTGGTGGTAGTATCCCGAGCAGATGGCCTTGCGAATGAGGTCCCAGTCCATGCCGCAGCTGATGAGCTGCATTTTCTGCATCTTGACAATGTCGAGTAGCTGGTCGCGAATCTCCTTGGCTCGCCGCAGCGACTTGGGGTGCAGGAAGTGCTTGACACACCAGTTGTCGGAAAACCCATTGGCTTTCCATGCCGAGTACACCTGCAAGTACGTAAGATGGTCCGACTCGTGCACCCAGAACTTCTCGCGCTGCGCATCTGCCTCGTCCTGACGCTCCTTGGGGCGGTAGAAGACGCTCGGGACCGAGAGCATGGATACGATTGTGATCATCTCTTCACTGCAGCCGTATTGTTCGGCCGTGATCAGGAGCTTGGATAGAGAAGGATCCATTGGGAAAGCACTCATCTTGCGTCCCAAATCGGTCAGCTCACCAAGATTGTCCAACGCACCCAGTGCCCAAAGGTCGAACATGGACGTGAGGATGGTGTCCTGGGGCGGCGGGTCCATAAAGTCAAAGTCCAACAAGTCCTTCACCCCGAGCGACTTGAGCATGAGAACAGTGTTGGATAGGTTCGTTCGCTGAATCTCGGGTATGGTCTGTATGTAGAGCTCCTCCTTGAACGCCTTCTCAGTGTAGAGACGGAAGGCCTTGCCGGGTCCTGTACGTCCTGCACGGCCGGAGCGTTGAGAAGAGTTGGCTTGCGAGATTGGGGTGATCTGGAGGGTATCCATGCCCATCTTGGGGTTATACACCTTGAGCTTGGAGTATCCCGCATCCACCACATACTTGATACCGTCGACTGTCAAACTGGTCTCAGCAATGTTGGTAGCGACGATGCATTTCCGCACACCGGGAGCTGCTCGATCAAAGATCTTGGCCTGGAGATCAGCTGGCATCTGACTGTAGATGGGCAAGATCTCGAGCTTGGGCGGATCATTCAGCGCATCGAGTTTCTTCCGTACTTGTTCGCAAGTGACCTCAATGTCTTCTTGGCCGGTCATGAAGACAAGAATATCGCCTTGATCCATCGACACATGGATAGCCAACACTTGCTGCACGGCTTGCTCAACGTAGTCCTCCACCGGTGACCGATGAAACATCACGTCGACAGGGAACGTTCGCCCTGGGATGGTGAACTCGGGCGCGCCGCCGAAAAAGTCCGAAAACCTCTTTGCGTTCATTGTGGCTGAAGTGACAATGAGTTTGAGATCCCGTCTTCGTCGAAGAATCTTCTTCACCAGACCCATCAGGATATCGGTGTTTAGTGCGCGCTCGTGGGCTTCGTCCATGATGATGCAGGAGTATCTGTCCAGGTCTGGCTCATTGAGCGACTCCCTCAAGAGGACACCATCAGTCATGTACTTTACGACGGTTTCCTTGCTCGTGCAGTCCTCGAAACGGATGGCATATCCAACAGTGCTTCCCAGTGGTACCTCCATCTCCTCGGCCACACGTTTCGCTACACTCATAGCAGCCACACGACGCGGCTGTGTACAGCCAATCATGCCCTTGTCGCCATACCCGTCCTCTTTGAGAAACTGTGTAAGCTGCGTTGTTTTGCCGGAACCCGTCTCGCCAATGACAATGGTGACCTGGTTTTCGCGAATCACCCTCAGCAGATCTTCACGAACGGCGAACGCCGGCAAGAACTCTCGCTGCTCTCGTAGCGACTTTGTTTGACTGAAGTTGCTCGAGCCCTCGCCCTTTTTCATGTGCGTGCTGAATTTATTTCCCTTGCGCTCGCCGCCGGCCTTGTCTGCATCATCTTCGCCGGCCACTGGCAGTGCGCTGTCGCCATCCTCTTCCTTCGCGCCCATGATGTTGCCCAATGTGGTGCCGGCCAAGCTCGTTGCTTGCTGGGCCTGCCGTTGCCGTTCTCGTTGCTGTCGCACCTCCTTGACCAATTTGCTCCCTTTGCGACTGAACACGGCCATGTCGCTTTGGTAGTCCCTGACCGCCGGCACCGGGTCGACTTGCTTTGTGAATACGTGACGACCGTCCAAGAAAGGCGGTTTGAGGTCATGGACCAGCAGATGAATGCGGGTGCCCTCCTCTTCGTTGAAGTCTGAAGCCATGTCCCTCCTTTGCGCCACACCAGAGACCAGCATTCGATTTGTCTCCCAGGCATCGTTCTCTCTGTTCTTCTGCTCCTTCCACGCGTCGTATCGATTGTTCATCTTCTCCGCCTTTGCCTTTTCCGTTTGCTGTCCCTCCCAGGCGGACGACTCGTAGGAGGCGAAGGGGTTGTGAGTGTCGTCGCCGAAAGCATGACCTCCAAATTCATCGCCACCGTACCAGTCGCGGTCGAGGGCCTTTGAGTCTTCGTCGTCGGGTTCAGGGACGTCATTCTCTCGACGAGGCGTGGGCGCGTAGCGAGACTGCGCCCTAGGGGTTGAGCTTCGCGATCCATTCTGGTAGCGGGAGTCGGGGCGCGTATGCTCAACACGCCTCCTTTTCGCGGGGTTATACCCATCGTAGTCGCGCTCGTCACCCATCCTACCGGCGATGAGCTCTTTGGTCGCCTGTGTAAGGAGGGTCGGTAGATGATGCGGCGAGGGAAGCCAACCAACCCAGACAACACGCCGCGAGGTTTTGCCGGCGCAGATCAGCACCGACAAATGCTTATCGATAAACCCCACCATAAAACTTTTGGAGGACTTGGGAATTTTCCAAGAGCGTAACAAACACCACGCTGGCTGTGGACTGACTTTGGCCCAACTCAGCCAACATGACTTCGATGATCACGGCGGCCCAATGGGTCCCCAGGGGATTCGCCGCGCCCTTCCCTACGAAATACACCTTTGACGAGGAGGAGTTTGCGCGCATTGCCGAGTTGGCCAAGCTGAAGCTTGACGATGCAGAGGAGGACCTCGAGGAGGCCCAAGAGAAGGAAGCGGGCAAGAAGGGAGGAAACGACAATGGCGATTCGTCGATGGAAGTTGAAGATGCCAAGAAGGGAAAGCAGGAGCAAGAGAAGGTCAAGTGAGTGCAGCGCATGCCAATATTCCTCAAGGCCAGACTAACGCTGTGCAGCCTCGACGACGATGACCTGAAAGAATACAACCTCGACAACTACGACGATGAGGACGATGCGCCTGGACAAGGCGAGAGCATGGGAATCTTTGGCAACGTCAAGAACCTGGCGTACTACGAATCCAACGCCGAAGACCCCTACATCACCCTCAAGAACGAAGCAGGCGAGGACGACGAGGACGAGGACCGCGAAGACCTCCAGATTCTGGCAACCGATAACCTCATCCTCTCGGCCAAGGTGGAGGACGAGCTCGCACACCTCGAAGTGTACGTCTACGAGGACGCAGCCGACAACCTCTACGTGCACCACGACATCATGCTGCCCGCCATCCCACTCGCGGTCGAGTGGCTCGACATGCCGGTCAACAAGGCCGGTGTCGAGAAGGACGCGCGGGGCAACTTTGTCGCCATTGGCACCATGGACCCCGATATTGAGGTCTGGGACCTGGACACCATCGACTGCATGTACCCGAACGCCATCCTTGGGCAGGGCGGTAACACAGAAGAAGAGCAAAAGGACAAGAAAAAGAAGAAGAAGAAGTCCAAGAAGGCGAACGACGAGTTCCACGTCGATGCCGTGCTCTCCCTGGCGGCGAACCGTCAACACCGCAACTTGCTCGCCTCGGCATCAGCCGACAAGACGGTCAAGCTATGGGACCTCAACACCACAAAGTGCGCCAAGTCGTACTCATACCACACCGACAAGGTGTGCTCCTTGGCATGGCACTCGGCGGAACCCACGGTTCTGCTGAGTGGTAGCTACGACCGCACCGTTGTGGCCGCAGACATGCGTGCGCCCGACGCAAAGGCACCCCGATGGGGCGTCGAGAGCGACGTCGAGAACGTCCGGTGGGATCCCCACGACCAGAACTTCTTCTTCGTCTCCACCGAGAACGGTGCGGTGCACTACCACGACATTCGGAATGCGCCCTCCGACCCCACGGCCACAAAGTCCGTGTGGACTCTGCAAGCGCACGACGAGTCCGTGTCGTCGTTCGACATCAACCCAGTCATCCCCGGCTTCATGGCCACCGGATCGTCAGACAAGACGGTGAAGCTGTGGAACATTGACGCGGCAGGGCCCAAGCTCGTCGTGTCCCGTGATCTGGACGTGGGCAAGGTCTTTGCCACCACATTCGCGCCCGACGCTGAAGTCGGGTTCCGCCTCGCTGTCGCTGGCAGCCACGGGAGCATGCACGTCTGGGACACCAGCACCAACGGCTCTGTGCGCCAGGCTTTCGCGCACAGGGTACCGGAGCAAGGGGAGAAGAAGGAGGACCGCCTGGTCGGTGTGGAAGAGAGTGAAACGGACAGTGACAGCGAGGAAGGGGCCGAGAACGACGAGGAAGAGGATGATGACGACGACTCGATGAGTGACGCTTGAAGCGTACGACCTACCATATAGAAGGGTTTCGATATTCCCCAATGCCGCACAATTTGTCAAGATTCAAGAGCACCTACCAAAACCGGTTGAAATGGCCATCGATATGTGCACTGAGTGATATGTCGACAAGAGAGAGACCCAAGGCACTCGAGCCGGTCTCGCAGCTCCTGTGGTGCCGATGGTGATGCCGCAAGCAGGGGTAGTAATAGGGTATTTCTCCACACTGGGAGAAGCCTTGCAGATAAGCTTAAATGTTTCCCCACAGACGTCGGGGCATGTCCGACGCGAGCATCTGATGGCTTCTTCGTCATGTCGTGGAACACTTGTGTCAGGCAGCGTGATCCTCTCATCAGATCCTCTGCACCCTGCTGTCATGGCTACTCTGTCCTTGAACGCAGGTAAACAGACCTCGTGACGCGGGCTCGACGACGAGTCTCCTCGTATACACCCGTAGTGTTCCTGTAGGCAGGATGCGCTTGTGATCGGACCCAACTTCTGTCTCCGACGTTTACCTCCTCATGATAGGCCCTGTCACTGCCGGCTGCACTGCTATCCACCATTAGAGATAGATGCTGCGCTCCTCCTCACCTCATCCCAGACTCGGCCATGGGCTAGAGATAAGCATGACCCAGATGTTGGACGAGACAAGAAGGTCGCCAGGCGATGAACGTTATCATCAAAGGGACCTGGTGGTATACATGTAGTCTTTGCCGATAGCGGAGTCGGCGGTGAGGTCGTTTGCACGACTCGTCCGTAGAAAGTACTTGTAGGCATTCTGTGCTCCCTTTGAGATCGTCCACATTCACCCAGACGATATCGTACCTATCAACATGACGCCCCAGTCGCTTGTCCTAGCCGCGTTGGCTCTTGGAGCCTCAGCAAAGGGCCTCGTAGCTCGCAACAAGAGCGTGAGTCCCCATTTCGAAGCTGTCTCAGAGTATGTAGACTCGATCGAGGATGATCTCTGGAGGATCAACAAGGAAATCCACGACAATCCTGAACTGGGTTGGGAAGAGGAGCAGGCTCACGAGCTCTTGACTACGTTCATGGAGTCGCAAGATGGATGGAAAGTCGAGAAAGCCGCGTCCAATATCAGCACAGCCTTTGTCGCGGTCTTTGAGGGCGACAGCGATGGTCCAGTCGTGTCGTTCAATGCTGAGTATGGTGAGTGTATCAGCTGGCTGTAAGCCAACTATCGTGAAAGCATCGTCGACTAACAAGAGCAGATGCCCTTCCTGACCTCGGCCACGCTTGTGGGCACAACCTGATTGCAACCGCTTCCCTGGCCGGCGCGCTGGCCACAGCCAAGATTGTGAGAGACGAGAAGCTCCCTGGCAAGGTTATCCTGTTCGGCACACCCGCTGAAGAGAGTCTCGGAGGCAAGATCAAGATGCTCGAGGCAGGCATCTTTGAAGACTATGGTATCGACGTCTCCATCATGGCACATCCTTCAACATCCGACACTCCCTATGCCATCACTTCATCGACGGATCGCTTCGAGGTCGAGTACTATGGCAAGGAGGCCCATGCCAGCGCCGGGCCGTACGAGGGCATCAACGCCCAGGATGCATTGGTGCTTGCGTACAATGCGATTTCCATGCTCCGCCAGCAATCGCTGTCGACGGATCAGATCCACGGCATCATTACCTCTGGAGGCTCGAGGATCAACGTCATTCCTAGCCTGGCGCAGGCCAGCTTCCAAGTCCGCTCGGCCAATGAGGATCAACTGAAGGCGTGGACTGACCGGCTCATGAACTGCTTCGAGGCTGGCGCACTGGCGACCGGTGCAAAGCTCAAAGTCACCATGAGGCCGTATGGCTACGCAAACATGGTGACGAACGATATCATGGCCGGGTCGTACGCTGCCTGGTTTGAGGGTCTTGGGGGCACATTGCCCAACCCCGTGACGGACAAGCTTCGGTCACCTGCTGGCAGTACTGACCAAGGTGACATCTCGCATGCGTTCCCTGCCATCCATCCATTCTTCGCAATTGTGACGGCAAACGGCACTGCGCCGAGCAGCGGAACGCACACGCCTGCATTCGAGGTCGCTGCTGGGAGTCGTCCTGCGTTCTACCGCGCCATCAGGGCCGCCAAAGGTCTAGCTGGTGTTGCGGTCGACATCTTGACCAAGGACGGGATGCTGGACGAGGTCAAGGAGGAGTTTGAGACCATCGAGTTGTCCAAGAGAATGGCGTTGGCTCTGCGTGGATAGGCGGTGAAAGGTAGTTAGCTCTTCAGTCATATGCCCTCACGCCAGCCCTACAGCATCGCAATGCCCGCATCGTATTTCGGAGTTTTACTTTTGACTCTAGCCCCAGCGGGGGATGCGCGAACCCGCACAAGCGATGGGGACTGTTTCTCATCTCAGGCAAGGCGATCGATCCACAGCGAAGACAGTTGAAGAACAGAATCAAGATGCGACCAGAGACGAGGACGTGGCTGCGACGAAGAACAGTGTCTGGTAGCGAAGATTATTTGTTTGTTTTCAAGGCTCTTATGTTTTCACGAGATGCCATTTCGAACGAGGAAGCATCCTTACCATTGACGCAAGAAGACGACTGCTTTGAGATCCCCAACTTATTCTTAGCTGCATCTGCAAACTTCAAACACCTCCAGGAGCCTGAAACAAACATGTTCCCGGTAGTCAGGGGGCGTTGGCACTGCGCGCCAATAGGATCGCTGCATTGTTTCGCCCACCAACCGCACCTTCACTTCACACTTATTCCAATCAATGCAACTGAGAAGCACTCCACGATCTTCGAATGCTGCTAGCTGAGGTATCGGCTGTAAGGATCGGCTCAAATGGAGAGGCATATAGAGGAAGAAGAACCACAACAAAAAAGGGGGTGAGTAGTCTAGAAGACGACAAACTTTGCTCGGCGCGAACCAAGCTCCAGTCGATGGACTGCCCAAACACAAGTGCCACGACGGCAGCTAGTTAGTGCAGGTGACGGCCACCACCATCGATGCACCAACAACTGCGCCGGTTCTGCTGAGCGACTCAGGTGTCTGGCGCATAATGCAGTCGTCGTGACCATGTGCAGTTCCGCGTGACAGCGTGATCTGGCATTGATCTGGTAACGCATGCGCAGAGTAGAGATTTTGCGTGTAGTCTAGTTACACATGTCAATACAGCCTCGCCTCGCCTCAGTGGTTGACCGACGAGCAAACACCAACATGAAGACGAAGTCGTCTTCAAAATTCTAGTTGGTGCCAATCGAGGTGGCGCCCTGTGGTGGTGCGGTGGAAAGGGACCAAAAGTGGAAACTCCAAACAGGCGGCAAACGCTAGCCATTTGGTTTGGCCAATCGCAGAGGCGCCTGCCGACAGGGAAACTCTTCACCACGCTTGTCGCCGCCAGGGGCCGTTGGGCTAACTAAGGCTTTAGTGAAGGCTCCGGCTCAGGCACTCGCACTTTTGGTGCGATCCAATCCATCTTATCAGCCTGGCTTGCCGCTCCTTCCTGTGCAATCCTTCACTTGCTACTCTTGCTCTCCTCCGGAAGGTGCTGCTGGTTCATCAATTGCGCGCAAGTCCGTCCGTCCCTCTTGCCATTTCGATTCTTCCATTTCATTTTTTCTCACGACCGCGGATTCACGCTCTCCCTCCTTCGAACGCGTGGACCACGTCGCCCTTCTCTTCTCTCCGCTTCGAACGCTTTTCACTCATCGCTGGATCGACACGCTCAGTCTCATCAAGACGAGCTAGCAAGCAAGCAGAGTACATCAAACAGCTCATCACAGCAACACAAAGCCTCGTCAAACGCGACGAACGCACTCATTCAGCACAATCCACCGAGAGCGACGTTTGCTCGGTTCGACAAACACACCAAAACGTCACGTCACGCATTGTTTGCACGTGAAGGACCGGATTCCTTCCATTGACGACCCTGATCGGCACGCATTTGCATCATCACCGCCGCACCACGGATTTACTTCTACAGCTGATCCAAAACCAAGTCAACTGCACCTACCACCGCCATCCCTCGATTTTATTCTGTTGGAAGGGCTTGCTAGAGTTTCCCTGGCTACGACAACCCCCCCGCATTTGGGCCGCCTCGGTAGCTACCTTCCGACTTCAGCTTTGGATGCAACGTCGAAGTGGGTTGCGTCCGAAACATCGTCACCACCACGCTACTATATACCACCTTTCGCTTCTGTAACGTTTCCTATTGGGGACGTGAGCGGTTGGTCATACGCCGTCATCCAGACGTTGAATCACCACCTCCGCCTCTTGTCTTTCCTGCCCTCAAGCCAGTGCCGGACACTCACCCTGCACAACACCTCCAGCCAGCATCATGTCGCTCGCGAGAGCCTTCACGACCCGTCGGGCCAACAAGGGCAGCGCCGACTTGGGCGACAGCGTTAAACGTAGTCACACGCTTCACAGGACGTCCTCGCAAAAGGCGCTTCGTAACAAGATCTCGGCGCCAGTCGAGCTGGTTCACACGACTAACATGCTCGCCTACAATGCTCCCGACATCTATCCCCGCCAGCCTTCCAGGAGCAACTCGAATGCGACTAGGTCAACTATAGATGAGTCCGACGCTGCGACCTCAAACACAACGGCCTCAACGCCTCCTTCAAGCCCCGATGGCGAGAACGAGTACAGCCCAGGACCCAAGCCCAACCATCTGTCCTCGTATTTCGTCGCTCCTGGGACAGCTGTCGTCCACGGAACCCCTGCTGATGCGCCTGCTATCCCCAAAAGGTCTCCTTCGCATACCAAAAAGAACTCGATGGATGCCCTGGCCCGCAAGCAGTCTCTTTCGCGCCTGTCAGAGAACTCGAATCCCAGCCTGAGCTTTTCACGCTCATCATCCACATCGACTCGCCTATCAGCTACCTCACACTCCCCAGGGCCTCATCAGATGAGCCAGGCCCCTCCAATGCCTACGCCGCAATTCTCCGCAAAAGCAAATGCAAGCCCCTTTGGTCAAGAACTGGCGCAGGTTACCGAGCTCGCGGAGGATTTTGGTGCCGGTCGCTTGGACGTCATCTATGAGGATGAGCAGTACATCAGGACGCGCGGTCTCGCTCAGATGAGCGCCGACGACTACTTGAACGAGATTCACGAGGTGATGGCCACCTTCTTCCCGGACAACCAGCAAGGCGCACCATCAACACCGATGTGGATATAAGTGCTCGAGATGGCTCGTAAGGAGCAATAGACCCAGGAGGTCTGGCGAGATATGTTCGTCTGTACATATTGACAGCCGTCATTTGGTTCTGGAGAGGTGTAAAAAGGGGAGAGATATTTTCACTCATGACGGCGAAACGCACGAATTTAGCAGACATGCTACGACTCTCATTAAAGCGGATAATTACTTGGAATACCACGATTCTGTATTGCTTTCTTCAGGCGACCTTTGTACGGGTCGCCAGCTCGGCGGAAGGGGCGTTTAGTGGAAACAACAGATACACATAGTAGAATACTGATTTACTGATTGACCTGCATACTACAGTCACCGTCGAGATGAAAATAATGTGATTCGATTTCGGAGTTCCTTCTCTCTGATCCTGCGGAAATCTATGGACTAAATGCTCTATCCCATGCTCAACGCCAATCTGACCATACTCTACAAGGTATCTAATTATTTGACCCAAGAAAAGAATGCTATTTGTCCACTGGTACACAAGTTCAGCGGCCGCCCAGCGGCTCGACAGACTTGACCAAATCTGTAATCGTGACAATTTTATACCCTTGCCTTTTCAACTCGGGCACGACCTGCCGTAACATGGGCGCCGTCCACCGCCGTCGATCGTGGCAGATGATAATCGCTCCCGGATGCACCATGCTTAGTATGTGTCGCGCGTTGACGTCGGGATACGGAATCTGAGGGTCGTGGGGGTACACGCTTCCCAGGACGATTCTGAAGCCGCGGTTGCCCAGAAAGTCGCGCATGCGGTAGTTGAAGAACCCAGACCCGGGACGGAAATAGTTGTTCGGGAGGATTTGGTGCTCGGCTTCGTAGGCGGCGGTCAACTGGGCCTTGACGGCTAGGAGCTGGCTCTCGAGTTCCTCGTTGGAGAGGTTCTTGGAGGGCTCGTCGTGCATGGCGTGGTTGCCCAATTCGTGACCCCGGCTGATCAACTTGCGCAAGATGTGCTCCCGTCCCTCGACCTGGCCGCCTATGACGAAGAAGGTCGCGTGCGCATTGTTCGCCTTGAGGATGTCGAGGATCTCCTCCGTGTGGGCGCTCGGCGCATCGTCCAGCGACAGGGCGATGATCTTCTCACTGGTGTTGACTTCGAACAGGACGTCCGGGTACTTGGTCTTGAGGTAGGAGATGACGTAGGTGGGCGGCCGGTAGACAATGTAGAGGAGATAGAAGGGGGCGATGAGGAGGAGGAAGAGCAGCAGGAGCAGGAGCAGGGTGGCCATGCGGTTGCGACGAACGCGGCGGCGTACTTTGGCGGGGAGACGGAAGAGCGAGAGCCGGGGCATTGTTTGTCGTCGTGGTTCGGGGCGATGGCAATCAGAATCATGGGATCATTGTGGGCGGATCGTTGTGGTTGTGCGACATGCCGCGAGAGACGAGCTGGTTGCTGGCTCCAGAGAAATGCGCTCGCGCGAAACCGAATTGCCTACTCTCTGAAGAAGCGGTGGGCGTCGGGTCGAGATACAATGGCTCCCGCCTTAATTACTTGGGAGTCGCTGAAAAGGGGTGTTTCGATCGCAAAGTTCCGTTGTAATTGGGAATTCCGAAGTGGAAGGGGTCTGTTTGCTCAAGATTCAACACCTTGTTTCGAACTCTCGACTGCCGTCTTTTGGCCCCACATGGTTAGGAGTGGTCAGGGGTAAGAGACGATTGCGATTTGGCCCTTATCCAAGCGATCAGATTGGCGGGACAGCCGCGATGCAGAAAAGGGGGTTCATCTAGGCTTGAAGCATATCATGTCTTGTTTCTCACTCTCTGTTGCGACGGGGAATGGACGAAGGGGTCGAGGATAATAGGGCTCATTCAGATGATTGTGGCTTGACTGTGGCAGGCTTGACCTCCGGTTTCTCGGATTGTGCTAGCCTCAATTTGCTATGAATGCGCAGCTCATGCATGAGTGCCAGTGTTAGTCCTGGTGGGGTAACTTAAGGCAGACAAAATAATTGTAGGAAACAGTTGCGGCGATGCAAGGCGCATTAGAGTCCCACAGAATTTTGTCTGTCAATGGCTGGCTTAAATGCGACCCCCTGGTACTACTTGCGGACCAAATAAAGACAGGATTAATTGTAAAGAAAAGGTGTAGAAATTTGACCACGAGTTTTGTCGCCCTACCTCGGACCCCTAGTCCAACGATACAAAACCTTGGCATAACACCCCTATCGACAACGACGACCCTTCTCACATGCTTGCCATCAATGTCACAACAGGTTGTCACAACCATCGAAACGTACATATCTTCGACCTCGCTCTGTAGCAGCATGGTGCGTCCCAACAGTTACGAGCTCGAGTAGACACTCGTGTCGCCGACTTGCAAGGGCTTCTTGGTTGATCAAGTTTATTTCTTTATCTGTTTTGTTCTAACTCTTATTACAACAAAATGGCATTTCTCTTACTCAACCCCTGAATGCCTCCAGTCCTTGGGTTATGTCCGCCTTGAGGTCCTCAAACCCCTCAACACCAATGCTCACTCTCATCAGCCTCTTGTCCACGTGGGGATCCGACATGGCCCGCCACTCCAGCAGACTTTCCACGCCGCCCAGACTCGTGGCATGCTGGAACAGGTGTAGCTTGCTCGGCAGCGATCGCGCCATGTCCGCATCCTTCATCCAGAGGGCGAAGACGGGGCCCCAGCCACCGGGCATCTGCTTTCGCAGCCAGCCGTTCTCGTCAGACGCCTCAGGCTGCACGCTCGCATGCTGAACCTTCTCAACCGTGGCGGAGACAAGACTGGACGGGTCCCTGAGCTCGGACGCCAGCCACGCGACTAGCTTTGTGGCCGTCTCACTTTGGCGCATGACGCGAAGCTCCAGTGTGCGCAGCGAGCGCAAACCCAGCCAGCCCTCGAGGCTGCCCATGACAGAGCCGAGCATCAGGCGATCGTGCTTCAGGCCCTCAAAGAGCTTTTGCCCCTTCTCGTCGGGTGTGACGGTGACGACACCACATAAAAGGTCAGAGTGACCACCAAAGTACTTTGTCCCACTGTGCATCACTACATCCGCGCCTTGGGCAAAGGGGTCCTGCAGCGGGGGAGGGCCAAAGGTCGCGTCGACGGTTAAGTATGCGCCGACCTTGCGAGCCCTCTCGGCGTAGTACGCCAAGTTCCTCGCCTCGCCCGTGGGGTTGAGGGGCGTCTCGATATGAATCACATCACCCGCCTCGAGCTCCGAGAGGTCGCAGTCCAGTGGCAGTTTCTTGAGGCCACTCAGACGCGAGAGGACGTCGATGACACCATGGCAACCGTGGTACCCCTCGCCAATGGCAATGCGCTTGGGGTTGAGTTGCACAAGCATGGCGTGGAAGGCAGCCAGGCCGGAGGCGTAGGTCACGCTGGGTCCGCCTAGGATAGAGGATAGAACGGCCTCGAGACGGGTCGTATTGGGTGCCGATTCTCGAGAGTAGACATGAGAATCGCGAGGCGCATTGTGCTATTTTATTTAGTCTCGCTTCGAGGGAATGGTCGTTGTTGCTGTAGTGCAGACTTACGTCGAGATTCTCGAATTCGCCAATGCCAACGCCTGACAGCTCATCTGGGTTCTCGCTATAGCGAAAAGTGGTGCTCACATGCATCGCAGGGGCGATAGCTCGATGACTAGCAATGTGACCATCGGCATGGACGGTCCTGGAGGCCAGAGACAAGCCTGGGAGCATCTCGCTGTGTTTTTCGGATTTACCCATTGTAGCTGTGTACTTCAGGAGAACCTTTGGTAGAGTTGACTGAGCCGGCGAGCCTTACACAGAGTTTCAGCGTATCAAGTCATCAACGCGAAAATCAGGACGTGCAATAGTGAGCATGCTCGTACTTAAAAGGTAACCTCCTCGGACTCCGCAACCGGCGCCATGAGGGGCGTTGCGGGGCCATTAGTCCGTACAGACAATTCACTTGCGATACACGTAATAACGTGCTTTGGTAATGTATCCATCATTTGCCTCAGGTGTCTAGCAATTCGCTGGTTTACCCTGGGATCTGGACCTTGCCTCCGTCACTGGCGCGCTCTTTGGAGATGTACATGTAGCATTGTGTCGGAGGTTGTGTGGAAGAGCAGGACCCTGCATGCATCTCTTTGCGATAGCAGTAACAAACAGCTCTCGCCAAACACAGCCAAGCTCGCGCACGTACTGGTCACGAGAAAGGAATTTGTGACCTGTGAATTATCATTATTCATGTGCTGACGCATGACGCATACTCTTATGAGTTATTCATCACTCATCCGAAGCCTTCTCTATCCGAGGCACCAAAAGTCGACTGCCGGTAACGACCGCTGTCTGCCCAATACCCAAAAACGCCGACCGCAAACATATTGCAGCCCAATATCTAAAACGTATATCCGATGAATCCAAGACGAACTGTGTTGTTCTCTGCGAGTCTCAGTCACGAGCGTCCTGTGTGACGAGAACCTTGGGCTGTTCGATGCTCCCGAGCTCGGCACCCTGGCCGCTCTGCCCTCGCTTCCGGCCGGTGTGCAGAAAGCGGGCGACCGGGCCTTGTGCTGTTGCGTCCTTGTCCTGCGTGTCGCCGAATTTCGAGAAGAATCCTCGTTTGCGCGCCTGTTGTGCCTGTGCCTGCTGCTTCTGGTCGTCTAGGCCGACCTCCTCGAAGGATTCTTCCACCATCGACGCTTGCCTCTCCTTCTGGCGATCAATGGCCGACCGCGGCAAGCGTGGGTATCGCGCAGAGTCGAGACTGGAACGGTTGGGCACGTCGTGTGTGATGGGCGACCTGGCAGTCACGTCCTGGGCGGGTCAGATGGGGTCCAATCACCGGAGGTTCCGGCGCAACTCACAAATGATCGCCTGTACGAGTCAAAGGACTCGCGAGAGATAGAGAAGTGCTCAATATCGCCGAAGCTGCTCCTAGTATCGGTCGATTTTCTGGTGGACAGGTACTGCCGAGGCCATTGTCCCTTCTCCTCGGTGGGTGACGGCTGAAGGGATGTCAGAAGGGTTGTTTGATTTCGATAATCAGAAAGGGGTATCGTGGTAACTGACCGGAAGGTAAACGCCGCTGTCATTTACGACTGAAATTCACCATGTTAGCCAATGCTATGCCGATTGAATCCGCTTGCTGACACTGGCGGCCACGTACCGCTCATCTTGTATTCCCCATTGTCCTGGCTCTTCGAACTGCGGACGCTGAGCACCGAAGAAGCCTTTGAGCCATGAGTGTCGATTCGCTCAAATCCCGGGGCTTCAGGCCGTAGGGAGTCATCGTTTGCGGTAACTTGGCCGCGACGTGTGAATGGATTGCGGATAGGCATGGTGTTGTCGTATCGCGTGGGTGTTCAGTCGCTATATCAATGGCGGCAGGATGGCAACAATCGATAAGGTAGGATAGTACGGAGCGATTCGGATTAAAAGTTACGAGTTGGGCGCAGAGCAGATTCAGAATACAGAAGCAGAAGCTAAGATTGGCTTGATACCTGAACGAGGACGAATTGACTTTGAACGGGGAAGCGGGAGAAGTAGAAGGTTATGACTCGGGGCTTCGGTGTGCTTTGAATCGCGGACGACATGGACCTACGGATACAAGCGCAGCGATCGGCAACAGGACCGGATTGGGCTCGCGATGGTGGCAGGGTTCACTTTCCCCACTGCAAAGCCCCCGTCATTGACTGCCAGGTGAAATCATAAGGTAATCGTAAAGTGGCCCTCGCTCTTTGTCTGCCCCCGCTGATTGATGGAGGCACTAACCGCTGAGATTGCTGCTATCGATATAGATACATACAGACACAGCTGGTGCTGACTGGTCTCACTGGAGCAGTGAAGATGGTGTGGGATGAGCGAAGGGTGGGTGGGGCGCAAAGATGGGAGTTGCGACTTACGCCTTCCGCGAATCTCATCTTGGCTCTTTCCCACTTTGACGACGCTTGCCGTCATCCATCTTCCTTCCGGCGATGGGAACCTGCTTCCGGTCCGGTCTGCTTGTGAGAGTGATGATGATGCTGGCTGCTCGACTTTATCCGCTGCCCTGGTTTATATGCCTTTCGATTTTGGGGTCTGAACTGACAACAAGCCGCATCGTCATGCCACTTTGACTTACATTGCTTCCCGAATATATAGCGGGGGAGACTCTTCGAAATCTTCCTGGCTGCGCCTTGAGATCAGCTTTCTTGTCAAGGGGCTGTGACTACGGATGGCTGTAGATCGGCATTCTCTCGATGCACGTGTGCTTGTTGCATGCAAAGCAGATCCGAGGTGATTTCGTCTGTCTTGGCCAAGGTACCCTCCTGTTAGCGCGGGTTGGGTGAGACTGTGCGACAAGACGTCATCGGCGCCTGAGCACATCGTGTGAAAAGCAGGCCAGCGTGCACGGTACACTTGACAGCAGATCATGGGCCTCGGGTCGACTTGGGCATCGATCGCATCAGCGCCCAATTCAGAAATCAGCAAGGGACCTGCAGATGGCGCAGGCTGCTCAGCAAGTGATAATTGCTTAACATGGCCTACTATGCACTATACAGCCACGATCGCTTCAGATTAGGTCGAGCACAAGAGGGACAAATTTGAGCGCTGTTCGAAACAGCTTCTCACAGACACGAACCTCTGAGGTCGTTTGCAATCAGTCTACCGCGCCTCCTCGTCGTTGTGCAACGGAGTAATCACTGCACCAAAGACAAGACCTTGGGCTCAGCAGTGGAAGCGAGCACGTGCTCTCCCTAGGGCGATCACTGTTGCAACTTGCATCATTGAGGATGCCGATAAGCGTCTCGGGACTGCGCGATCCGGCGAGTCCGGGGGCACGGAACAGATCTTTTTTTTGCGGCTAGTTATTGGGCTCCTTTGGCAGCTCATTCGACGACCCTTCGAGCTCGCCCCGTCATTGGGGTGATGGCAATGCCTTTCACCAGAAACTGGACAGTCGTGGACACGCTCCTTGCAGAAATGCTGTGATTGTGGGTGGCCCACAGCTGACGGGAAGCGCACATGTGTCTCAGTGTGAGTGACTGAGCCGAAGACGACTGGGCTTACTTACACACGAACGAACAGTTGTTGTCAAGTGATTCTCAAGACGAATTTTATTGAAAAACGATGTGATATTACTTAGCTGAGGCGCCGCCAAGCAGCCAAAAGCTCAATGGATCTAGGATAGGGGCCCCAGAGCTCGACATCGATACTCGTCGACTGCTCTACTAGCGTTGATATCGCAAGACACTTTGACTAATTACTCCTTGGAGTAATAAACTGGACTGTACCGGCTTCCTGGGTCGCTTCCCGATCGGATGTTGCTTTCAAGTTCTCGGCTGCGCCATGTTTCGTGATGCTGCGGCGATCCGTCGTCCTAATCGTTTGTCTACGCAAGACCATAATATTTTGCGCTCGCCCACTCATCTACCCAGAGCAAAGCGACAGCAGTTTAAGAAAAATAGCATCAAAAGCTGTTTCTCCAAAGGGTGGTCATATGAAGGTTAGCCAGAAACCACAACTGAACTTATGCTCTCCGATCATTGCACCAACTCGACCTTACAATTTTCTCAGAGACACCATGCCGGTCCCGTCAGAACAACTAACAGACGATATGTCACTTGGTGGAGAGTACCAAATGCGCATTACTCCCGTTCACCTGCACCCTACTACAGTTTCTTGAGGGATACGGACCCCAGCTGCTGCCTCCTGTTTGTCAATCTTCAGTTACAAGGCATAGACTGGTAGGTGACAGCGTCAGATTTCATCTCGAAATGAAGCTAATGGAACTTGCCTTAGGAGATGGGCGCCCCGCTGATGTTACTCCTGCCACTCAAGAGATGACAACGCCCACGGATCCTATCGTCACTTTGCTCTCACCTGCTATCCCTTGATGAGTGGCGCTCTCGTATCACAACCATCATCGTTTAATCTCTTGGGGAGGCTGGGACGTAGGTACAGGCCTCAGAAAACTAAAGTAACCCGCGGCATGGCACTACTTGCGGCAGTCCAGACACTCTTCATCATCACAATCTGTCCAGGCGCAATGGCAGACTTCTTCACCGACTGGGATCTTTGGCAACAGATGGCATTTGTGAGAAATTTCTGAACGTTCAGCGGCAACTACTAACAAAATCCAGGTTATGGGATGCTGCATTGCTCTTGTTTTCTGCTTGGGATTGATCCGACTTTGGTGGAAGAATCGCATCACACAACGATCAGAAATACTCGACGCCGAGAAGCGAGCACGGCAATCTGATATATCCTGCTGTGGTATAGAGTCATGGAAGAGCGACGCAATACCCTTCGGTGTCCGGGCGTTGCAAAGTGGCATCGAGGTAGAAGGGATATGGATATCGAGGCCTGACCCTAGCGACACAAGTCTGGTCGCTTCTGCTGCAACTTTCATGGAAGATCAACTTGATCATCTCACGGAGCCAAAAGCACGCACGCGAGATGTATCAGACCTGACTACCGCCCACCATAAAAGAGAGCCTGGCCTTTTCGGCCAGATGGCAGACTTTCCTCCAACGACGGCCGCAAACGGACTCGATGGTTTGACGCGTGAACCTTCCCCCATTAGTAGCAGTGTTCGGTCCTGCGATGGTGCATGCGAACATAATGGCTCGACGGCCCAACGACCACTTCGAGATCCTTCCCGCGGGAGCGCTCGGTATTCGACGGAGATGTAGTACTACGGACCTTACGATCAGTCGAGTGAGGACGTGGGAGCATCTCGTCGTCGATGCGTACAAGAGCCAGAGTGCCACAAAAAGCTGCACAAGAAACCTCCCGTTTCGCAGCTTCGGCAGAAGATGGCAATATAAGGGGCATCTGAGGGACAGGCCGCAGGCACCAACCATCCACATACCGTAATAACGCGCAATGCGTGCCTCCGCTCGTAAACCGATGCGCGGGGAGGAATGGCGGGGTCAGGGTCCAGCTATCATCTCCGATTTACATTGGCTATTTATAAGTGGTGGTGTCCATTATGTTGACAGTGTTAACCCTTGCAACTTGTGAACAATATTGTATGTTTGGCAGTGAATAGATTCAGGCGTCAGGATGGTCATCCACAATTCCGCTGCCGTCGGCTTCTCCAACGCTGGCTCTTACGATGCTCACCGCCCGTCGTACCCTTCTGAGGCTGTCACCAAGCTGCTACAACATCTCGGTCTGGAGGGCAAGAATGGGGCTCGCATCATCGACCTAGCCGCAGGCACGGGCAAGTTGACGGAGCTATTGTGCCATCGTCCAGAGCGGTTTGAAGTCATTGCTGTGGAACCACACGACAAGATGAGGGATACTCTGAATGCGAAGGCTCTGAAAGGCGTCAGCACGCAAAGTGGCACCGCGGACAATATGGGTGTCGAGGACGGCTGGGCTGACGCGGTTGTTGTGGCACAGGTAAGACGGTCTTCCTCGTACAGGGGGGCGTATGCGTGGCTAATAATTTGTAGACTTTCCACTGGTATATATCTCCTTGCAGTTGATACATCACACATAGTGCTGACCATGCCAGGTTCGCCAATCTCGATGCTCTTCGTGAAATTCGCCGCGTGCTCCGGCCCGAGGGCAAATTAGCCGTGATCTGGAACATTGATGAGTGTAAGTGACCCGAGCATTTCACCTTGCGCAGTCGTCAGACTAATGTGCGTAGATAACAAGCCTCGCGCGTGGAAGGCCACGACCGAGTGGGAGAACTCACTGCACGAGCTTGTCATGGACGCTGCCCAGGACGGACAGCCACGTTTCCGGGACTATGTTTGGAAAGACGTCTTCTCGAAGCAACCCGAGCCAGCTCTCTTCTCTGCGTCCTTGGTGGAAAACAAGACCAGCTACAACGTTTGGCTGACCAAGGAGGCCCTGTGGGAGCGGCTCGCGACGTTGAGCCACGTGGCCATGCTGGACGGTGATAAAAAGGAGGCCTTTGTGCAAAGGTTCGACGAGATTCTTGTGGAGGGAAACGACGGGGAATGGAACGACCAGAACGAGATTCTCATGCATGGGGTGACGATTTTCGCGTGGACGACGAAGCTGTAGTTGGAGCAAGAAGCGCAGGCCGATTGGAATCACTGAGACGTGTGCCCTGATGCAACAGGGGTATGAATTGAATTCGTGATTTCTCTATGAATCCGCTGAGATGTACATCACTGCACAATGTCAGCAAGTGTCTGCGAGTAAAACCACGTGGATGGTAATCACCGTTGTTGCCTCGAACGAATGCGTCACCATACTCGCGACGTTTCACGCCATTCACATGCTCCTCCGTCTTCTCCAACGCGATGTTCATGTATCCATCAACAGACTGCAGCTCGCCTGTAGAGGGTCAGTTGGTGTTTACGGTGTTTGCTCGATGAGCGAGAGGCGTCGGATGAGGTGTGGGAGGACTCACCCTTGTAAACGACGCCAGAATTGAGCTTGACCGTGACGTTGTTGCCGATAATGTCGCTCAAGAAGCCGGAAGGGTCCTTGCCGTCGGCTTGAGGTGGGTTGCCGTTCTCCATGGTGATGCTGGGGTGAATGGTGATGAATTATATGAAAGCTGAGTGAGGCTACGCACGTCGTCGTTGTGTCTGGCCGATGAGAATTCCGGTGGAGCTTCACGGACAGTATTCACTGTGCTGCGATACAGTGTCGCACCGTAGCCTCTTGGTTGCAACCGCACTGTAGCCCTGGCGGGGTCTGTTAGCGGATGAACGCGATCTCACCACCCAGTGCACACACACCAGACGCCAAACGCGCGCTGGTCGAGGTCAATGTGCGCCGATGCGCCCGGCCAGGGCTTCGCTTTCACTTTTTCCTGACCCTTCCATTTCAACAACACACGCATTCCATGTGTAGTCCTTGCGTATCGAGCGCAATCTAAGAAGAGCGACACCAGATTTACAACCAACACAATGTCAGATGCGCGACCCTCGAGGAGCCTGCCTTTCAAGGCCACGGCTTTGATGCGCAAGGGTCCAGCCCCAACGCCTTCCGATGCTGGGCCCAGCAGCAACGACGACTACATGAGCATCTTCAGTCGAAGAAAGGAGATGGAAACTGTCATTGAACGAGACCGGAGGAAGCGCTCGCAGAAGAAGGAACGGCGCGAACAGAAGCAAGTTGAGGAGCGTCGGCGGTCTTCAGAGAAACGGTCTGCCAGTGCGGCTCTGGACATTAGTGAGCCTGGCGAGGAAGTGCTCGAAGCAGAGTACGTACAGATCATTTTGGGTTGAGATGGAAATACTCATGGATTAGGAAACCCTCTACACCATCGAAGCGGACAAGGACTGGTCCACCATCCACACCACAAACGAAATCGCCGAGTAGACGACAAAACACTGCTACGCGGGCGAAGCGCGAAGTGCTGCGCTCTGGATCACACAGATCAACGCCGCGGAAACCGGCAGAGGCAGTAGCACAAGAAGCAATGGGGCGCGACGCTGAAGTAATCCCCTTGGATTCGGACGACGGCGACGAGCCATTCAACTCGCCAGTCAAGACGCGCAAAGCCGACCTCGAGGTCACCAAGGAGCCCATTGCCATACTAGACGATTCGGATCACGAGCCGGCACCTCAAGAGGATCCGGCAGAAGAGTTGGACGAGTTTTGCGCCAGCTTTGTCCGCAAAGCACAGGAGGAAGCCAAGGCGCGAGCGCAAGGTGTTCAGCAATCGCCTATAATTGCTGTCTGCATTTCCAGTCCTGTACCCGCCACCAAGGCCATACGAATGAGGATGCGTCTCGATGATCCGCTCAGCAAAGTCCGCAGGGCGTGGGCGACGCGGCAGTACGATAACGACGTTGCTGTCGGCGATGAGCGCGATCTGGTCCTTGTGTGGCGAGGCCACGTGGCCTATGCATCCTCCTCGTTCCGAGCCCTGGGTGTACGGCCGTCGCCCTGGGGCCATGGCTTCACCACAGATCATAATGACCGCGCGGCCCTGACAGAGGACGGGGCGGGCGTCTTTCTGGAGATCTTCACGTCCGATCTGTGGGAGAAGTTCGAGGCGGATAGGAAGAGAGAACAGCTCCGCGATACCGTGGGAGATGACTCGCTGAATCAGTCTGGGCTCGGGGCAGATCATGACGTTAAGCTGGAACCAGAAGTCAAACTCAAGGTCATCTTGAAGGCCAAGGATCTCGAGTCTGTCAAGTTGACGGTACGTCCCGAGACGACCGTGGAGACGTTGATCATTGGCTTCAAGCACGGACGAGATGTCAGTGGACAGGTGACCCTCTGGTTCGATGGCGAGTGTCTCAGTGAGTCGATGACTGTGGAAGATGCCGAGATCGAAGACATGGATTCCATCGAGGTCCATATCCAATGAAACCAGCTGTATGTACGAGGTTTTCTATGGAGGTTGATGTAGCGGCCTTTGTTGTTTTTGATACCTTGCTGCGTTGCACGTCTATATGGCAGTGGTCCAAGAAGCGTGGGTGTTTTTTTGGCAGTTGTTGTGTCGTTTTCACTTTCGGTTTTTTTAGGCTATCACCCGAGCGCGACGATTTCAATCATGACTGACGATTCAGAATCCACGTCTATGTTTCTCAACGACACGTTCACAAGCTATCTATACGTACTGCCAGACTCTAGTGACGATGACCAGCTCCGCAGCCCGTCTCCTTGGGCTCCGGTGGGTACACGATAATCTTGTCCAAATCGGCGCCCTTCACATCGAACCCGTTGTCCAAGCCGCCCACGGAGATGGTATTGGTACCATTCTTCAGAGGAACCTTGATGGCTGTCGACAAGATGATGCCCTTGTGGGTGTCCTTCTGGTAGAGGGTGTGGACGTCCTCCTCGTCATCGTTGACGACGACGCTGCTAACACGGCGTATCTGCCACGTACCATTGATGCGGTCGGGCTGACCCATTGGCTGATCGCCGAATCCCATGTCGTCAATGTCTACAGATTGTCAGCAACGAATGCGCTCGTGGAGGCGTGCTACGTACTCTGGTGGTAGAATGAGATCCATTGGTCTTCGCCGGCACCTTGGACCTCAAAGATGGCCCTGCTGTCGTTGCCATAGATGCCAGTAGCAATTCTGTTGAAGCTCGCAAAGTTCTGTCACGACATCAGTCACCAATTCACTTCATACTCTATGCAGCAAGGGTGGCTTACCGCCTCCTGCAGCCAGGCATCGCCCGTCAGGTTGGCGTCGATGGCATAGTACTCGGTGCCCTCAACGGGCCACCACTCGCCGGTCTTCACGTTGAGGTCGAAAATGTCGTGCCATAGCACCTCGAGGGTGCCTTCCTGGTCGTTGATGTCCATCGGCAGCCACACGTTGCGAGACTCGCCGAGGGAGTTGAGGTCCCACTGGTCGGCCATGTACAGGAACGTGGTCTGCTTTGTGCCGTTGATGCGCCACGAGAAGCCGGACTGCGTGCTGAAGGTACGTGTATAAGCCGGGGCCACCATGAACGGCTGCGACCAGGGGCCTGAGAGGTTATCGGCGCGGAACGCCACCACGTTGTTGGGTCGGTAGCCGGTCTTGTGGCTCATGAGCGCGTAGTAGCTCCGGTCAGTCTGGATGATGGTGGGCGCCTCGAGGTCGAACTTGTCCCAACGGAAGACAACCTCCTCGAGGTCGGTGAGCTCGTCGTTGAAGGAGGTCAGGTACACGTCACGGCCTTCGACACGATCGCCGTTGGAGTACAGGGCGTATGAGCGGCCATCCTTGAAGTCAGTGAAGAGGCCGAAGTCTTGAGACCAGTTGCCGAGAGGCTTCACAGCCTTGTCGTAGATGTAGGGTCCCTCGATATTGTCGGCGGTGGCGTGTCCCTGCAGGAGCAGGGAGTACTTGTCGTCGTCGGCGTGCCACCACATGTGGTACTTCTTGTCTTCGTCGCTGTACTGCACCTTGGGGCGCTGGATGACATTATGAGGCGAGATCATCTCGTGGCCCTCGATCGGCTCTGTCAACGCGTGAGTTTAGGTCCGTCAATGAGAAGGTGCATCGTGGATGTACTGACCAAGCGCTAGACCATGCGACTCCCACGTTGCCAGATCATCGGAGCTGTAGACTGAGATACCGCCGCCTTCGGGCTGCTCTTCGGTCTTGTGCTCTCCGAACCAGAAGTACTTGCCCGAGTCGCGGTCGACGGCTAGCCCACCGGCGTGCGCGTTGAAGAGATTGCCATCTGTGTCGTACCATCTGGCTCCCGGGACAATCCACTTGCAAGAAGCCGTTGCCGCCAGCGAAAGCGCTGCCAACAGGCGAAGAGACATTCTGGCAGCTGTTCAAGACTCGGATACGGGCACTTGTTGGCGGACTCCACGTCAGAGGTGGGACCAGGCTCAGGACGTGGAGAGAGGTTCGGTCTGCCGCAAGGTTATATACCTTTGGCGATCAAGTCTCCGTTGCTGCACCGCACCGTTTGGCACCAAGCTTGGCCATCGTCACTCGGTTAACTACACGGACGAAGCTACAGCGCCTTCCCGCATGGTTAATCAAGAAGCATAAGCAGCCGAGCCAGTGAAAGTGGCTGATACCCCAGCTTTCCCCGCATTGTCCCCATTGAATAAAGAACCGCAAGGCTGGAGCAGCCCCGCATCCGCCCTGGTCCGATGCCGAATTCGCCAACTATTGACCCGAGGCGGACATCTGCCGGTGTAAGCACTCGCCTCGATCTGTGGCCGATGACCTTGGACTGGCAATTCTCGTCCTGGAGATCTGCTACCATTCGGAGTCGGACCCCGACATACGTGTGTCGATCAGATCGTCGTGCACCAATGGACCGATCTCTACATCCTCCAGACACAATTCTCCGCCAATCACTCCTTACTCGAGAATGTACTTGATGTGTTCTTTCCTTTTGCCTGAGCATACGGCTGTTGAGTGCTCAAACGCCCACGAGCAAGGCTGCCCCTCGACGTTTACGAATACCGCAAGGCATGCAGCCAACGTCCTAGTGTGTTGGAATGGCCTGAGTATGTATTCCAAGACCACATTCTTCTGCGGCTGCGAGACGCTTCAGAAAATATGCTTCTCACAACAACCACGTTGTACGACGAGTCGATACTTCACGAAGCAATGATCTGGGCGCGCGATAGAAACTCAGCAGATGGAGGACTTGGAGAGCGAAGTTCCATCGGCCGCCCGATCACGCATGGCTGGTTGCAGGTTACAGACAATGGATGGTCAAGACTCTGCAATGATCCAATGTCAGCCAAGCTTCCGCTATCATTGACGAACGACAAGCTCTCGCCCACGTAACAAAACCGTCTCCTGGTCTGATCAGATAGAATAGACAGTGCAGCTGCCACTCTTTGTACTTACGTATGTTGAATTTGCGAGGCTGACTCGAGGGTTATCCTGAGTGAGTGCTTAGTACGACAATGCACCTGGCTGCGCAGTTGCATCGAGACGTTTTGAGGTGCTTTTTCGAGCTCTTGACTCAACGATCGGCTCAAGTAAGTAACATAAGGCGTGGCCATTGTCAAATGCCGCTTTCTGGCGGCTGCCAGGCAGTGAAAGCGGCAGAAAGGAACCCGACCACTAATATAATATTTCGAATGCTGAACAAAGACGGGTGCTCAGTACGTGTAGAGGGTTTTATCGTCATTGTCACGTGAGAGCCGCAGGCACGAGGCTCAAACCTCCTGCATCAGGCAGCAGGCGGCTCCCTCAGGTGCCTCGTTGGCTCCTTCCCTGCGCAACGAACCTCAAGTTAATTAAGCAACCCCCCTCACATAACAACGGTGTTTATTAATTTTGGTCTTTCATGCCCTTATGATCTCACCAATGCAAGGCCCAGTCTAATAATGCTTGGAACCTTTGACCTTTTGCTTTCAGCAACTCGGCAAACACAGCACAGCCACCGACGATCGCGCACGACGATCTGCGAGCTACAAGCGCCAATACGGGGCAACATGGCCCAAATCCGTGCACACTTTGGGTGGTGAAGGCTCGCGACGATGCCACGAGACGAGACAAGTTCCATGACCGCATACCAGAGCTGCTGCCATCTCATGTCAAGCGACTGGAGGTGGTAGGTAATGGGCATCTGAAAAGTCAAGGCGTCTCTGAAGCGTTTCAGGATGCGCGTGGCCAATGGCGGTGCCTGACGCGGCGCTCTCTAGCTTCAGGGGTCAGCGCCTTCGGCTTCAGGGGTCCAAGACCCTCTTCAGCGGGGCTCCAGCCGCCTGAGGAGAAGCCAGGCCGCTGAGAGCCACTGGTCCATGCCGCACCATCTGCACAGCTCGTCGCTGCCGGACGCCGCACCGCCAATCAGCGTGCACCAGCTCGACGTCGTCTAAGTCGACACCACCGGGTGTCCCTCTTCCAGACCTCGTCGACCAATTTTCCATGTTTCGCATATCTCGACGTTGCTATAGTCCTTGCTTTCTTTCATGGCTGGGTTGCACTTCTCGCGCGTCCTTCCTGTTTCTCTCATTTCATCCTCCGTCTCCGTCATTGCTTCATCGTCAATCTAGTTCTGGTGACACGTTCTTGTGCGCACCTCTTCCTCTTGTTTTCCTTTGTCCTTCTTTCTCTCTACCTGAGCCGCTGCGCTGGCGAAGGCTTTCCGACCCTCTCTTCTTCATCGCCCTGGAGGTTGCGAACAGGTTTTGTTTGTTCGTTCCTACTCGTTCGCTTCTGCAGCCTTGTCGGGTACAGGCACCATTCTGTTCGCTATTACAATCACATCGCTTGGTCGACTTGAAAATACGCTTTTAATACTCGATCAAAGACTATCATTACGAAAATTTATACACAGGCATATATCGACCAACATATATAGCAATCTTTGCAATACGAGGAGTTCGACACCGGAGGCTATTGGAACACGACATACAGAACACCATGGTGCAACAACATCAACGCCCACGCTGGACTCTATGGAAGGCGGTGACAGCAACCTCACTCTTTGCCACGGGAGTTTTGGGTGATAATATACTCAGCACCAGCGGATTTACCAATTGCGTCAGCAATTCGTCCATCGAGGTCGACCGGGTCAATATCCGCTACAACAACGGCAACAAGACAGTCATCTTCGACGTGGCCGGCAACAACCCAAAGGAGCAGAATGTATCGGCGGCCCTCGAGGTCAAGGCTTACGGTCAAACCATTTACGAAAAGTCGTTCAACCCCTGCGACAAGGACACCTTTGTCCAGAAACTCTGCCCTGTGCCCGAGGGTCCCTTTTCCGCCTGGGGCGAGCAGGTCATCCCCAGCCAGTTTGCGGACATGGTCCCAGACATCGCCTTCCAGATTCCCGACATTGCAGCGCAGGCAACGTTGAAACTCAAGAGCGAGGACACGGACGAGGATGTGGCTTGCATCCAGTCGCAGGTCACCAACGGGAAGACGGCCGATGTTCCTGCGGTTCCATATGTGGCAGCAGGTATCGCCGGTATCGCGCTCGCCATGTCTGGCGTGTCGGCGGTCACAGGAGTCATGGCATCGGCCGGTGCTCCGCCAGGAAGCAGCGCAGGAGGGACGGGGACCACGAGCCCGGGCTTCACCGAGATTGGGTGGTTCCAGGGCATCGCCATGAATGGCATGATGTCGGTCAACTACCCGCCTGTCTACCGAAGCTTCACCAAGAACTTTGCCTTTTCAACAGGCCTCATTGCCTACGAGCCGTTCTTGCGACAAATCGACTCTTTCCGAGCGGCAACCGGTGGAAACTTGACGACTGACAGCGTCGAGTTTCTGAGCAATGCGACTCTGATCTTCACGGACGGCACCCCCAACACGGCGGACCAGACGAGCAACAAGGTGAAGCGAGCTTTCGACGCATTCACATATCTCACTCGCCGCCAATTCAACTTTGACCTCCCTGAGGGAGAGCAACCTGCACAGGATGGCTCGGATTTGCAGAAGACTGTGTCTGGATTGCAGGCCTGGGCCAACCAGCTTCGTGTGCCCGAGTCGGACGTGTTCATGACCATCCTCCTTATTGCTGCCATTGTCATCACCGCCATCATCGTCTTCGTCCTCCTGTTCAAGCTCATCCTCGAGCTCTGGGCCCTCTGGGGCACATTCCCCCAGAACCTCACCGGTTTCCGCAAGCACTACTGGGGCTCCATCGCAAGGACAATCACCTCGCTGATCTTTGTTCTCTACGGCATCTGGGTGCTGTACTGCGTCTTCCAATTTACGCGTGGCGACTCATGGGCCGCCACCACCCTCGCTGGCGTGACCCTGGCCATCTTCACAACCGTCTTGCTGTTCTTCTCCTGGAAGATCTGGTCCACTGCCCGCGCTCTCAAAAAGACGGACGGCAACGCCTTTGCACTCTACGAGAGCAAGACAATCTGGGTCAAGTACTCCCTCTTCTACGATGCGTACAGGAAGCAATACTGGTGGCTCTTCCTCCCTCTGATCGTCTACATGGCCGTCAAAGGATGCGTTCTCGCCGCCGCTGATGGGTCTGGCCGCGCGCAGACCATTGCCGTCCTGACCGTGGAGACGGTCATGCTCGCGCTTCTCCTCTGGAGCCGCCCGTTTGAGCGCAAGTCTGGCAACGTGGTCAACATCATGATCCAGGTTACCCGCGTTCTGTCCGTGGCCTGTATCCTCGTCTTCGTCGAGGAGTTTGGCTTCAGGCAGACTACCCAGACTGTTACTGGTGTGGTTCTTATCGCGGTGCAGTCGACCCTGACCGTCGTCCTCGTCGTTCTCATCGCATGGCACGCCTTCGAGGCCTGTTGCCAGGAGAATCCCCACCGCAAGCGCAGAAAGGAGATGGGTAAGTAACACTCTATGACAAACGTCCGACAATTGAGCTAGATTGACCTTGCTAACGCTGATGCAGAGAAACTCCAGAACACCATGGATGACCTCACGCCCCTCGATGCACGGAACTCACTCCTCATGGGCGGCTCTCACCACGGGAAGTCGATCTCTCTGAGCAGCATCAGAAAGCCAAACTCTCTGGACCACCCGGCTGTTCGTGCTGAGACCCCAAGTGACTACGCGGGTGGGAACACGTTCCTGCCGCCCATTGCACCCTCCGGCGGGCCGTTGTACAGACCCATGACCCCGACAAGGGCGACGGATCTTGCGGCGTCACAGATCTATGGTAACAGGCCGCAGCCTACTCTGCCAGACGTGGAACTTGGCGCGGCGCAAGCTTATGGAGCGCCATATAGATACGAAGGGCAGTATAGAGGGGGGGACAATGCCTATGGGCGATATTAAGGTGTCGGGAAGGATTGGAGCATGCATTCGGCTGGCATTATGGCTGTTGCCGTAGTTCAGGGGTATATATATGTATGCATAAATTTGGGAAGGCAACGGGGAACGCAAGGCGTTCCAGGAGGACGGTATGAATGTGAATTGAATGATTCGTCGATTATCAACGCCGCTACGGCTCATCCTGGTATCATGCTCACAAGTTCGCCACTTGGATAATGCAAATAAACGTAGCTCATGAAGACAGAGCAAGGCAAGCATCGACTGCCAGTCCAACCCTGACATTTGTTAGTAAGAAAAAAATACTTGTCTGGATATTCCTCGCTTGAACATACCTTCCCTCTTTCTGGTGCACGACATCACTAATGATATCCTTGTCCAAGTCCGGGAACATGCCTGACAACGTTTCGACGACGTTGGCGTGCTCCGCCCGGCTCAGCCTCTGCGCCTCAGCCGTCTCTGCGCTGGCCTGTCGTGCAGCAGCTTCTTCAGCCGAGAGCGTGTGCCGTGATGACGCTTGCTCGGCAGAGTCACCGCGAGGAGGTGGCGGCAGACCTTGGGAAAGTTGAGGTGTCTCAGATGAGGACGGCCCGCCGCCATCGTCTGTGAACATGCGACCTAACGACGTCAACGGCCGTTGAATCGTCTTGAGGAGTCCGCCTATCGGTAGCGTGTCGTCTGCAGATCCCCCAGTGTTGAGCGACGTGGAGCGAGGTGGATAGTTTGAGCGAGCATTCTCCTGTGAGGTGCGGCTACCTGGAGGCACGTAGCGGCCTTTCTCGTCGAAAACGGGCTCCTGCGGGACGGATGGGGAGTTTGATTGGTGCTTTTCGGCAAAGGCTGAGACTGCGGCTTCCACGCTCTTCTCGAATTCTTCGTCGGTGATAGTCAGGCTTGTGCGATCCATGCTTTCCACAAATTGAACGGCGCCCATCTGTCAACATTAGCTTGATGCATACTAGTAAATGCCTGAGCCTTCTCACCAAGGAGGACAAGTAGTAGCCGGCTTCACCGCCCAGCTTGTCTTGGTTGCGGAACCGCAGGATGTACTGTACGTTGGATACAAGGTGATCAGGGTTCGCTTGCAGCACGACATAGATGAGCATGGGCATGAACGAGTCTGCCGATCCGTCGGACTTGTTGTGCTTGAGTAGGCCTGTTGCCCATTAGTGCACCGCTAGAGTGTCGGGCGCCGAACAACTTACCAAAAATGACCTTGCAACAGTTCAGAACACAGATGATCTTGTCGCGGGGCGCCCTGTACGACTTGATCTTGAGAAGTTCTGCGGCGGTTAGCACTGACTTGGATGCATCAGATGCCTAGGCTCACCTTGCTGTGCTAGCTTGAGGAAGCGCTTGCCACTGTCGCCAATCTGTGGAATGTCTAGATGCTCTTCCTTCACCCAGCCATAGATCTTGATCTTCTGTGCCAGGATGTCATCCCTCTCTACATCTTCCTGATGCTGCCCTCGCCGGCCCGGGCCTAGGGGGGCATCCCCTCCTTTCCTCTTAGGCTTGGCTCCAGGGACAGGTCTTGGTGCAGGTATCGCGGGTGAGAATGTTTGGGCATACAGCCGATTCATGACCAGCTTCTCCATGCCTTCTCGAGCATTGTCAAACTCAGCGTCCGACACGTTGGCCCAGACCTCGCACTGGGCCATCTTGTTCGCGATGAAGGCCAGGAAATCACCAATAATCTTGACCTGCTCGTGTACCATCCACTGCTTCTTCCCAAACTCTTGGAGGAACGACTTGAGGTACCTCGCGACAGGGTCGGCCTTCTTGTTCCGCAGCTGCTCGAGGAACCTGTGAAAGTCAAAGGGCTGCGCTGGCTCGGGCTCGGGCGCGGGTGGTGGCGGCCGGTGAACGGAGGCGTGGGGTGATGATGGCGAGACCTCCTCCTTGCCCCAAGCTGGCGTACCGAATGTGCCATCCTTGGGTGGCACCGGTGGTGGTGGCTCCTCTGAGGCCGCATCATTGGCGCCGTCGGTGGGCTGACCTTCCGCAAGCCGCATGTCTTTCATCTGTCCGGACAGAGTCGAGGATAAAGGCTCCAGGCTTGATTTCCTCGGTGGATGCTGCGGTCTTTGCGAGTGCTGTGCTGGTGGGCTGCCCAGGATAGGCGATGTGAGCTCGAGCCTGGGGCTCATGACCTCTTCCGCACCAGGACCGCCACCTGCCTCGCTGAACTGTTCCATGATGCTTTGAATCTCGGAGCGAGAACCGCCTTCCTGCTCGTCGTCGCTCAAGTATTGCTTCTCGTCATACCCCGCGTCAGAGCCCGCAGGCGACCGGTCGTCTGACACTCGAGGTCTGGCAGCCGTCGAGGGCGTGCGTGAGGGTGGTTGGGAAGTGGTTGGCGTCGCTGGGGTGGGATCGATATATCCCAAAGCTTCGGGTGCGAGGTACTGTGAGCTGTTACTCTCGACCTGCTTGCCCTTGTTGACTGGAGTTGCAGGGCGTGGCTCGGCTTCGCTGGTCGGTTTCGACGAATCTGCCGTTTCGCTCGTAGTGGTCGGGACATCTTTGCCGTCCGCCAGCGTTGCCACGCCTTTGCCATCGTTGTCTCCATCCCGAGCCTGTGCGTTGGGAGGACCACCCTCGTGCTCCTCGGATTTGGTGGATTCTACATCTGGGTCGAGTACCGGCTGGTCCTTCCTGCCGATATGCACAGATTCTAGTACGGGATGCTCCGATGGAGACATACAATGGCGATTCGTGAGGGTGCGGCTCTCGTGTGGATGGATTCGCGAGGTCGTGATAGCTAGCGTTGGTGTGAAGCTGTTGGGCGCCGCGGTGTTGCTGTCGCGGTCACGGTACACTGCAAGCTGCGTGGTGGGGCGGTCGAGCAGGCAGAGAGGAGCTGGCAACGATAGTTTCGGATTTCACTACCCTGCGGCTTCTGGTTTGCGCTGTATTGCTGACGCTGGGGGCAACGTACTCATCGATGGGTTTGTATGATGTTGACACTGAAACCAACGTCGGAGACCAAGTTAGTAGGTCATAACTGTCAAGTGACGACCTGGCGTACTTGCACAGCGACGGTCCTGCCGAGCCCCAACTTTAGGAGGCGCCTACTTGCTTGGTTCAGGTACTTCACGTTGGCGGGGCATTTAGCCTAGGATCAAGTAGCGAATGTTAGCTGGCTGCTGTTGGCGCCGGCACTTGCACGTCGACTGAGGACTGGACTTTTATTTTCGCATGCATTTTGAGTCAATTCTGCATACTTAGCTGTCCGGCGGTGAAAGCCAACGTAATTAGTCCAACTGACGGCTTTTCGCAGTTTACCATCTGCCATGCGATCAATTCCATTTGCAGCCTTCTCTCGCACCGCGTACAGGGTAGTCTGCTTCCCGCTAACAATGACGTAGCAGCGTGGTTTGGATATCGAAATATTATAATTGTAGCAATTAAGTAGACGTTACGTAGCATTAAGTATCTCCCGATTAACCGTTCACGATCGTACCGCCGTTGCAGTGGATTGTCTGGCCACTGATACACGAGCTGTCGGCACTGGCCAAGAAGACCACACAAGTGGCAATCTCAGAAGGCTGAGCAGGCCTGCCCATGGGGCTGGTAAAGTTCTTTTGAGCTTCGTCATCCATGGTCGCGGGGATGAGAGGCGTCCAGACTGGTAACTATTAGCACATGCACCCAGTATAAGAGCAGATCTGTGGACTTACCAGGACCAGGGGCAACGGCATTGACACGAATGCCCTTGGAGACATACTGGTTGCTCAAGCCGCGGGTGAAGGAGACAATCGCACCCTTGGTGGAGGTGTAGTCGAGCAAGTCGGGGCGGCCGATATAGGCGTTGATCGAGGCGTTGTTGATGATGACGGCGCCTCGCTTCATGTGTGCGAGAGAGTATTTTGAGATGTAGAAGAAGGAGTGGATGTTGATGTTGAAGGTGTGCTCCCACTGCTCCTCAGGCAGGTCGGCAATGTCCTTGACGACCATTTGATCTGGTACCGGTTAACACGCGAGAGCTCAGCTGTGGAGATAGTATACTGACACGCAGCGTTGTTGAAGAGAATGTCGATGCCACCCATCTTCTCCACGGCAAAGTCAACGACCTCCTTGCAGTTGCTCTTGCTCGTCAAATCCCGCGAGATCAAGTGGCACTTGGCCCCGAGTTCCTCAATGCGCTTCTTGGTGTTTTGCGCATCCTCTTCCTCCTCAGGCAGATAGACAATGGTCGAGTCGGCACCCTCTCGAGCAAAGAGGATCGCGGAGGCCGCGCCGATACCACTGTCACCTCCAGTGATCAGAGCCCGCTTGCCCTTGAGCTTGTCGGCAGCCTTGTAGGTTGCGTCCTGTCCACCAGCCTCGGGAACTTCCTCAAAGGTAGGCCTGGGGTTGGGCATATCCACATCCTTGCCAGGGAAGCTCTGCTTCGAGATAGGAATCTCCTTCTCTACGTCGTGCGTTAGTGATCAACTCTGCCAGACGCTAGGGACTTGTGGGCTCGTCATACCGCTCTTGAATTGGGCAGCCATTGTGAGATAGATGAGCTGTTGAGTGCTTTTGATGTGTTACAGAGCCAAATGGAATGTGGAAGAGGGTAAAGAGAGCTCTACCTGCTTCTTATAAGTGAGTGAAGTGCTTCCCCTCTTGACAGAACATTGACGTTCGTCGAAAGTGTCACGGCGGACCTTTCAATCCGGCGCGCATCGATGATCGATCGATGACGCCATGCCTCTTGCGGACTCCATTATAATTACGATGGCGGACGCAAAGGTATGTTCTCAAAAGTCGATAGTAACAAAAAAGGGTTTTACAACGAAGCCGGCTCTGACGTAGCAGTATCGTGGTGGGGTCACGACTAGCGAAGTACCTCTGACTTTGCCGCTTAAACTATTGTTCACTCTGATGTTCGCTTACTCGGCCGAGTGATGGATAATTGTTACAACGCACAAGGGTGGTGAAAGTTACTGCCCAAGGTTGCTGGCTGGAGTTATCAGGTGCAAAGCAACAGATTGTGGCGGGTTGATAGCAGCGGGTACTTACTCACTCAGCCAGCATGCGGATACGTAGGAGCTTCATATTAATAGACACGGATAGACGACACGTATTTCCTCAGATACTGTGCACGTAGGGTATAGTATATTCGCAAGAATCAATGCAGCAAGTACTGATACATGTCTGTTGGACGGTGGTGAGAGATGTCAAGGTAGCTTCCCAGTGCCTGGCATAGCCAAACACGATTATCTATCCCTGTAGTCTCGCAGACGGGCCTTCCCCAGGCATGGCTATAGCCCAAAGCTGTCATTGCTCTTCCTGTCTTCGTTTCGCACATGTACGTGGAGAGTCGTATCAACTCATCAGCCAGTTGTAGGGCTGTTTCAATGGCATGGAACTTGTCGCCTGGACACCACGCAGTTAGGCATTAACTAGGCGCTTGCTCTTATGCTTGTCCCATATGCTTCAAATCGTACAACGCGCGCTATCGTCGACCAAGGCCGCCGCCTCCGCATCGGAGCAATCAGAACCCCTCTCCTCTCGAAGTCCATGCCTCCTCCTCTTCTTCAGACAAAGGAACCTGCCACTTGTATGTAATAGCCAAATCAGGACCCAAACGCCGGTAGTCTTTGCAAAACATGCCCCTTCACTTGTCGAGAGGCCCGTGTCGTCTACTGTAGAGCAATCGCGCCCTTTCGGCTCTCGCGAACGTGGAGGAAACCCTGGAAACCGCAGAAAACGAGGAAAACCTGGGCAGTGTCAACAGAAGTCCAGTCTCAAGCCCGTTCACCTAGTAGACTCACAGCATAGACGATGACGGCCGTAAAGATGGTCCCGGCCACAGCCTTGCCGTCCTGAGGATCCTCAATGCCGCCGGTGAACTCCTCATGGCCAGATTTGTACAACCCGGCGATCGCGCTCAGGATGACAATGCCGAACACAGAGACAACGACGCTATCGACGTGTTAGTACCCCAAGTCTCGTTCTTCTGTCGCTGAGGGAATGCGCACCATGACCATGCGTTCGTAGCACTGACGACGGGCTTCATGATGGGTAGTGGTTGGCGCGGGGGCCGGTTCGTGGGAAGTCGTGTGCGTGAAGAAAGTTCGGTCTCAGAGGTTCGTATGGCTGATTCAAAAGTCGAATGCGCGATGCGTCTCGTGGGTGAGTTGATGGTGGTTAATTTAAACGTTGCGACGGAGCTCACCACGCTACGCTACGCCATCGGCCTCATGATTCAAGGCTGGCCCATGCGCCACATTCACCAGCCACAATCAGGGCCCCAGCCACACAACTCTCTGGCGGTTGCAACTTACACCGAGTCCATCTCCTCCGCCTTCTATTTCCTTGATTTCGGACTGCATTGAAGAAGCGCGATGCGTTTCTTCGTTACTTGTACTGAGAACCCATAATGCCACTGACAAGTCTTCTAGGTGACATGCGAGCGTTTTCTTTGAGAATCAAATCTCTTTGAGTATCAACTTGGACGCGGAGTTTGAGGCGCCGCATGACGCGCATCACTAGGCTCAACTGACAAACAACAGCAAGCAATACCTTCATCGATGATTGATGAAGCCCTTCTCATCCGCATAAAAAAAAGTCACGAATTCGAACACAGTCGACTTGTCCGCGGGTTACCACAGGTCTCCTCAAATCTTTCCATGTCCTTTCGTCACACAATCCCGATATTCCATGGACTATTATGGTGCCGCAGCGGCCTCTGTGGCCAGATTTATATTTAGAGACGGGCCATGGCTGAAGAACAAGCAGTGACGCGTGGAGTGACTGAAAGCACGAAACATCGAGTGATGCTTTGTCGCTTTGCCGCCCTTGAAACCATGTTTCCTGCGGATACAAACGGGCAGCCAATCAATTGAGCGTCAAAGCAACTTACCGGCGCATGCCCCTGTCGGTCAATGTGCTTACGCCTGCAGGGGTCATCATCCGGCCCGTCCACGATCTCTGGGGGCGGTGGGGAGCACACGCTACGTATACATACGTATTGAAACAAAGGCTGATGAATCTCACGGCTCGCTACAATGTTACGTGTTCATGCAGCCTGCCTTTGATCACGAAAGCCAGCGTGCGTGTGTGTTTCGTTTCGGAGTTGTCGCATTCCACAGCGTCGATGGCAATGGCAAGCCTTTTTCCAAAGGCTCCAATACCTCCATCCTGTTCAGGAAATCAGGGGGAGAAGGGCGGAGCGCTAAGATCGGCAGTCCCAAGAACGGAGCATGATTGACGCCCATTTAAACACAGGAACCTAAAACAGCCAAGCAGCTTGTTGGTTGCTGCCAGTGGCAGCAGACTGCTAAACCCCCTGCACGAGCCACTGGCGGACAATGGCGGCTCGAGTGTTTGTGGCAAGATCCCTGGCCAGGAGGAAGCTTTGTTGCATCTGAAATCTGGCAGGCTGGTGTCGGCATGTATGCGCGTTGCTGATCGCATGGAACGTCTCACTGGACTGGTTCCTAGTCTAGGGTGGTACGTTTGTATATGAAAAGGGCTGCCTGTCTCGCTCTCCTCACCCCTTCTCCTGCTTTCTTGCTCTTGCATCGCTTCACTTGACGTTGAGCTCGACCTCGTTTCCGACCCTTTCCTATTCGCCCTTTGCTTGTCGTACTTTCGCATCTGACGCTCACTCGCTCTGGTCAGCGAACCGTATTTCAACTACTTTGTCCGTCCACTGTGCCACCAGTTACGATCATCACCATCTACTCCAGTCAACCATGCACGGAAAGACTGCTCTTGCTATCCTCGGCGCGGCGGCCATTGGCCGCGTGTCTGCCGGCGACGCTCCCGAAACCAGCGGCAACCCTCCCGATGCCATCTATCGGGCCACCATTGAGAAGCCTGGCTTCGTGGATGCCGACTTGCCTGGCGAGCTGAAGGGCTCCATCTTTGCCCAGGCTCCCCCCGGCGGCCGAGGTGTGGTTTTCCGCGCCGAGTTCGAGAACCTGCCTCTAGAGGGCGGTCCATTCTGTATGTCCAACCAGGCCCCTTGGACCATGTGCACATTACTGACGTGACAAGCGTACCACATCCACAAGGCGGCTGTCCCCGAGGACGGCAACTGCACTGCCGCCCTCAGTCACCTCGATCCCTACGGAGCGGGCGCCGAGGTCAAGTGCGACGCGTCCAAGCCCGAGACGTGCGAGGTCGGTGACCTGGCTGGCAAGCACGGCGCCATCAAGTCGGCCCCCTTCCGCGCCGAGTACCACGACCTCTATCTCTCTACCAAGGAGGGCGACGAGGCCTACTTTGGCGACCTCTCCTTTGTGCTTCACTATGCCAACAGCACCCGCCTAGCCTGCGCCAACTTCAAGAGGGAGTCGTGCAGCACGCCTTACCCTACTGGCGGCCACCCCAACTCCACGGTCACCCCCACGCACAGTCTTTCCCACAGCTCAACACTCGAGCCAACTGGCGAGCCTACAGAGGAGCCGACGGGCGAGCCCACCGGTACGCCTGGTCCGGAGCCCACGACTCCCGGCTCGGCTGCTGTCCAGATGAGCAAGTGGTCGGTGCCTGCGATGGTCTTCGGTGCTGCGGCTGTTGCGTTTGGTCTGTAAACGGTCTGGCGAGAGGTTGGAGGTACTTCGATTCTGAGAGCGGCAAGTTTGCTGCATACACTTTTGTAGGGTTAATGGGACGCAAGTCGACATACGATGCATTCAATATACCACTGGCGAAGGCCTACTTAAATTGCTGCGCTGCCGGATGGAGTGACATTGCTGCTGTCTTGAGAACAAGTGCCATTGAGTGTGGTGAAGGTAGGATTCCTAGTAATGTAAGAGGTGAGGAGAGGTTGAGGTGCCATCGTGCACGGCGTTGTGTGTGGGTCGCGCTTTCCCCCTATAATACACATCACGTAGTCTACTTTCCTACCAGGTAAGTTTAGCACCTACGGGGGAGGGGGCTGTTTTTGAAAATATAAATAACGCCGGAAAGAGCTCAGGAAAGATGTCACGCAGATAATTGTCCCTCACCAGATCACACTTTCTGTTGAATAGAGCTCAACATATGTTAGCGATATGTTCAAGGACATTTGGCAGTTGGACATATTTTCAAAAACAACCCCTACCGCTAAGGCAGGTAGTAGCTTTGTGCGCCGAACATGTGTTTGGCCAGGCAAACTGGTCAATTAGCATATGAATTATCAAATGTCTTGGCAATTCTTCAACTCAGACTCATATATGGCTCTGAACTGTGCTTGGTTTCTCATCTAATCGCTTACTCACACCTTGAAGTTGGTAGTTGAGTTGCTCACAGTGTAGTGAATGCACTAGCGACCTTCCCTCACGGCACGCATCTCGAAACCCGCCAAGCGATCCATCCGCCTGCATCCAGTCTCACTGGAGATCTACACACCTCACGTTAATTTACGTGCTGCAGCCATCCGTCCCCACAAAGATTTTTGATTGACGGTGCAGGCCCATTCATCATCGCACGCGCATTGCCTGCCCCTCGTACGGCAATTGAGGCTGCAGTCGGCGCTGCGGTCGGGCACTCTCAGCCTGTCTGTCGAATTCTTCTTCTTCCACTGGTTGGTCCCTCCTCAGTCTCACAATGGCCAAGAAGGGAGGCAAGCCAATGGGTGTTGCAGGCAATGCTTTGACAGAGTCTGCGCCGTCGATACCACCCTCGCCCAGATCTGGCAAGAGCAGTTCCTCTTCCAGCAGTCGCCATGCAGCAGACCAGCTGGGCGAGCCGCCACCGCTCATCATCTGTCGCAACAAGTGAGTAACGAATGCCCTACTTTGTTGGTCTGGCTTCGGTCGCCCTCCGTGCGCGCGATAGTTGCAGTTGCTCGAGCAGGCACCAATTGACGTGCACCTCCTTCCAGGCACTGGCGATACATCTCAGCCTTCCACGGACCATGGCTCCAGATGCCCATTGAGATCCTCGAGACAATTGCCAACATCAACTACAATACCCCGCGACCGCGACCCATCGACCCGGCCGTCTTCTTCGACCTTCTCAAGGTGCGCCGACTATGCGATGAAGCCACGAATCTTGCGGTGAGGGCTGCTAGTGACATCGCCTCGCCCGTCTTGACCAACGTGCACGGTGGCTATGACACGCGCCACATGGGCGGCTTCGGAACAAATGGGCCAGGACATGGAGGCAAGCTCAGCAGAGAGCGCAAGTTCCGCATGAGGGAGCAAGCAAGCCAGAAGCTTGCGCGCGCCTATCGTCTGGACGAGATTGCGTGCAGCGTCGCGACGATGCAGGGCTCGTCGCCGCTGGATGACATTGGGAGTCACGTCTTGCAGCGCAATGCGAAGGATCCGGACGCGCGCTATGTGCACTTCTTCCACGAGAAGATTCCGTCCCGCCAGCTGGCTGGGTCCACGAGCCTGCAGCCCTTAACGGAGATTATGGCCGACCGACCAACCGAACCCGAGGCGTGGAGGACGCGGGCAGCCGTACGTGTGTTCAAGGAGGACTACGACGGTGCCGTGCACGATCTGACACAGGCCCTGGCCGTGTGCCGGTTCCATCAGCCTTCACGTTTGGCCGACCACCATGATGCCTCCAAGGTTCTCCCAGATATTCAGCGGTCACGCGGCAGGCGACCGCAGGATATCATCCTGGCGGAGAAGGACCAGCCAGGTAGCTTGGAGGGACAGCTGCTGTTTCAGCGCGCCTCCATCTGGCTCACAATGGCAACGCGACACGTCGAGGACGGTCTGCCCCCGAAGAAGAAGAGCAAAACCACCACCAATGGCCAATCCGAGAAGGAGAACGGAAACCCAGTGCCAGAAAAGGGACCCGACGACAAACGCCAGATGGAGTCTCGCAAAACGGTCAAGATTCTCGCCAGGCGCGCGTTGAAGGACTACGTGGCCTTCATCTCACAGTTTGAGTACTCGCCTGATCTGCCCGTCGCGCATGTGAAAGACTTCAACGACCGTGTCAACATGGCAGTCAAGGGCGTGCGGAATCGTCGTCATTCAGAAGCCACCGCTGATGTGGCCCCGCACACTGTATACTCGCTTGGCGATTTGTTCGCTGCGACTCCTCCGCCCGGCCTTCCGCCCTACCCATCGCAGGACCTCATTCAGGGTGGCAGCCAACCCCCTCCGGACGACAAGTCCTGCGAAGCGACGACCTTTCACCCTCTTCTATCGGACGCGCTGCACTCACTGCTCCTGGCGCACGTGCTCGCGCAGACCTCGCCCAAGGAGATCCAGCGGCATGCCTACATGGTCGCGCGCCTGGCGAGGTTGGAAGACGGGTATCCTGCACTGCAGACTAGCAGGTGCCCATCGCGTTCGGACTGGACGCAGGTCCTCGCCCACGGCAACAATTGGATAGGCCTCAGTGCGAACTGGGAGACCTTGTGCCTTCCCGCGCCTGTCCCCGGCTACGAGGCCTCCCCGGACCACCACAAGAGCAGCAGTGACCACTACGCGGCAGCCGATGCTGCTGCTGCCCTCCTCCACGGTCAGTCATCGGAGGCCATCTCCGAAGACAGGCGGAAGCAGAGTGTCCGTAGACAAGTCATGCTTGATACCCTGGGCGACTTTGAGCAAGCCATTGACGAGGAGACGTTTCGGAAAGCTGTCGGCTTCCGGGAAGAGGAGGTGCTGGACAAGGAGGAGGTCTCTGACAGGAAGCCGGATCATGGCAACATCACTCCACCGCTTTCACCCGGGACGGCTATGAAGCGCTGGGCGAATGACGAGTTCCGCGCCCATCCCAGTCTGTCGGCAAGGGCGGCTGCCATCACACGCTGGGTCCTAGAAGCGCCGGTTGTCACGGGCACGGCCAAAAGGAAGAAGAAGCCAAGGAAGGAAGGGCCCCCGATCAACGATATGATCGCCGGCATGGACACGCTTGACGTTGGCACACCTACCGTGGAGGTTTCATCATGAACAAGTGAGCAAGCAATCATCTCTAGGCGAGAATATAAGATGACCTAAGCTATCCAAACACCTTGCCCCCAAGAAAATGTGCCCGCTCAAAGTGGTATCTAACGTACAAAGCGCCCAGACCCAAATGATGTATAGATGTTCCCTCCCAGAACTCCGACGCAAATAGATAGATGTACATGGCGATGTAGATGGCCCTTCAATACCACGTCCCATCCGATCGCAGCTGCGGCTGCGGCTGCGACTGCTGCTGCATGTTCCCGGCCCGCAAAAACGCATCAATGTCGCCCACGCCCTCCGTCTCGAGCACGTTCATCAGCTCAATCTGCTGAGACTGGGTCAGGCTCCCCTGGCGTCCGGGGCGATCGAACTGCGGCGCGCCATTGGGTCCGCCGCCCTGCAGGCCCAAGCCGCTGTTAGTGAACTCGCCAAAGGTGTCCATGCCCGAGGACAGGTCGTTGTAGAAGCCAGTGCCCATGCCACCAAAGTTGTACGGTGCGATGAAGGCGGCGGCCGAGGGCCCGAACCAGTCGGAGGCTGTGGTGGTGACCACGGGCGGACCCTGAGGTAGGGGCCGCTGCTGCGCCATACCTTGGGTTTGGCGTGCGGGCTGATGCTGCTGCTGCTGGTTGACGTAGGGGGGCATCCGCTGCGAGACCTGGGGTTGCGCTGGGTTGATCTTGGGAGAAGGCGAGACGGTCGCCTGCATGTTCATGGATAGGGCAGGCTGGACTTGGGTGACCTGTGGGGATATGGTCGAGTTGGAAGCCGCGCTGGAGAAGGCATCTGCGCTGTCGGAGGACGCGGACAGTTGAGACGTGAGATTGGGCGGGGACGCAAAGTGTCTGTCGGTGGCTTGACCCCCAGCCCGAGGGTCCTCGGGGGCAGCAGCAAAGTCGTCGAGCTGCGTGAAGTCTGGAGGGAAGTAGGAGAAGCGTCGTCCATGCGTGTCATGGGTCGCCGGGTTCTGAAAGATGGAATTGGACCTGAAGCTTGGCTGAGGTGGTGGGAAGTTGGGGTCCATCACGTAGTTGTTCATGGCCTCTGGTGGTGAGTCGAAGACTTGTCCAAACTGGGGCGGGTTGAACGTCGGTGGTTGCTGCCCAGGTGGCCAGGCTGATGATTCTGGAGACGCGCTCGTATCGGACGCAGCAGGGGGTGTGGTCAAGATGGAGTTTGGGTGGTAACCCTGGGTCTCGTAGCTCTGCAAACAGGCCTTGGAGAATATGGAGTACAGTTCCGAGGAGTTGCTGGTGCCGGGCCAGCGCGCCTCGCAACCGTCGAGCACATCGAGAGCTTTTGCCACCAGAGCCTCCGTGTCCTCCTTGGAGTACGCCTGCCGCACATCTGGATACGACAGGCTCCAGAGCATGGTGTTCAGGGACATGTTGAGAGTGAGCAGGAAGACCCAGGTCATACCGATGGAGCCGTCGTCCAGCTGGAGCTTTGACAGCTCGATAATGAACTTGGCGCTGTCGTAGCAGATCTTGGCAGCTTGGGCTGACGGTTTCGATACCTGTGGTGAGGGGCGATACATGGATATCCGCATCTGGTGATAGCGACTTGTGAACCATGACTGGCACCATGGGGAAGTCTCTGGGCAATTATCACGCCACGCCATGATTTTCTGCTCCATCTGCTGAAACCACGGGCTCGAGTCATTCTGGGGCTCGTCCTTCTTCCGTTCGTACAGTGTTCTTCGAATATCGGCCTGAAGCAACCTCATCTTGATGGCGTGAATGGCAACTACTTTGCGGGGACTCGGTGGTCCTGCCGCGATACCACGTTCGGTAATGTGCTCATCGTCGACCGTCGCGAAGAAGCCAACGTCCAATTGCTCGTCACCGGTTGCGAAGCTGCTGGGCCGACCCAGACTGTGTGCCAGGCCCAACTCCAAGGACGCCACCGTCCAGACCAAGCGTCGTCGGATGTCAATCGTGAGCGGGTCCAGGTTGTACCCGGTCGTGATCGTCTTCTCGTCCACCAGGCCTTCTTGCTGGCATATCTTGGCCGCGAGTCCAATGACGTAGTAGATGGGTACGCGGGTCGGGGTGATCAAGGAGTATTGTCCGATCAAGACGAGGCATTGCAGTGTCTTGAGGTCCTTGGGTCTGAGTATGACCTCGAAATCCTTCATTGCCGATTGGAAGAAGGCATCAGCCAGTCCAGCGTAGGTAATCGACATGCGCTGCAGACCAATGGCCAAGACCATGTGCACCACGAACTTTTGGAAGATATCGCCCTTCCCATCGTAGACGGTCTGCAGATCGGCCTCGAACTGCACTTCGTGGAGTACAGGCCAAAATACCTGACCTGGGGGGGCCATTAGTCTCTTTTCTTGGCATGTCCAAGTCTCGCTAAACGTACCTTTCTGCTTGAAGATCTCTACTATCGATCTCGTCGTGTCAATGTCAGGTAAACGTGCGGCTGGACTCTCGCTGATGGTGGGGTAGCTGTGCTGGTTGGACATTTGTATTGACTGCATGCGATGCTGCCGCCGTGCTTTGAGGTCCGGTATGAGGTCGGCGACTCGGTTGGATTGGGTGAAGCGCTTGGCCTCTTCCATGAGGAGTCTTGTCATCGCGATGCCGCTGCTCGGGCCCAGGTAGCGAGGGGTCTCATCTGCTGCACCGAGTCGAACCATACCACCCGGTCGAACCATGTCCTCGCTGTTGTGGGGATCGTCGCCCTCCTCGTCTACGTATTGGGCCATTTCGGCCTCGAGCGTGCGGACCTTGTCCTGCAGCAGGATGACATAGTTGCGGCTGATCCGTTTGCCCTTTGTAGTATCGAGGTATTCGCAGATGGCGCCCGCTCGTTCGCATGGCAGACACTTGGGGAGCGTTGGATCGCATCGCGTCTTTCTCTATATTTACCACACACCATCAGCTTTGCGAGACAACGAGCGCAAGCGTTCGCGGCATGGAATCACGTCTGGCGCAACAGGACGACGCGGTTGCGAGTGGGGTACTGGGGGAGCGAGCGACGTACCTGACGACAGCGGCAGCAAGCCGTGAGCGTGTGCGCTATACGACCTCCAGAGCCCTCGCCTTGGTCGGAGAGGTCATCGTGGAGGGGAGCTCGCGTTGGGATGTTCAGAGCGCGGTGTTGCTGCTGCTGCTGCTGCTGCTGCTGCTGTTGATGATGCTGATGATGATACTGCTGCTGGCGGGGCGCAACGGTACCCAAGCCCTGGCGAAAGACATGGGCGGGGTTCATATCTCAGTGTCATGGAGGTGCCGAACCCTCTTGACAGCTGTGCGATACTGGTACAATCTTGGAATTAAGGCTGCCCATTCGTCTTGCCGAAATTCAGGGTCGTGTCGGCAGAGTGATGCTGCAGACTGGATCGTGCCCAAACGTCGGAGGGGGGACTAATAGAGGGAGGGGCAGGCTCTGGTTAGCACTGTGAGCCTGCGCTCCAGTCCAGTCCCTCTGGCATGTGAGGGACAGCTCGAGCTTCCCGTCTCGGCATATCCCTTGATGCTTGCGGGCATCCACGTCAGCTGCGGCAGCTGATATCATTGGTACGCGATGTACATCAATTTGTTCATCAAGTATTGGTACAGTACGTGGCTGCCACAACTGGGGTTGCGTCCAATTCGTATCACTCAATAGATGGCTGCCTGCACCTGACTCGACTGGAGTCGAGACGTCAGCAGCCTCCAGTGAACATTGAAGCTGCTGGATGATTCTCACTTACATGGTATAATATACGCAGGTGTAACTACTAGTAGCCTTCTCTTTCAGTATACACCTGGTACTCAGCATCATTATCCAAGTAGCAATTGAGTTTGTCGCACTAGTAGTACTTTCTTTTCCCACTAAGGAGCTAATTCCAGACTTGACTGCCCAAATGATGTTTTCAGCACAGCTAAGCCTGTACTAGTCGTCGCTCGCTGACGTATGGCTTCATAAGCTTGATTGCAAGGCTTGAGGAATCAGTGTCCTGGACAGCCCCGCAGGTCTCTGCCAGCTTGATGCTTGGCGACTCTTGTGACCTGGCAGGTGTCTCGTCCTGCATGTCAACTATCGAGCCACGGATCGTCGAGAAGCTGCTTTGCAGTCTTCCCGTCCTCTGGGCGCCACCGAAGCATCGACCTGACAAACGCCAGTAGCTCCTCCTTGTCTCTTCCTTGAAGATACTCCTCCGACGATTCCAGGGTAATGTTCGGCGATATCGGTACGTCGGCCTTCCATCCTCCTGCAAAGACAATGATTAGCGTGATCAACGACCAAGGGGAAAGGTATCCTTACCGTCTGCCGTGAAAAACTCGGCAGAGCGATTTCCCCGTTGGACAAAGTCCGGCGGCGGCGGTCCTAGCATGCCCACCAGCTCCGCGAGATGCGCACGGGTCGAGTATCCCATCACCGTAGAAAAGATGCTTTCCCTCGAAGAGATCCCAAATCTGTAGAGAGGCGGTTAGTGACATTCCAAGCCGCGAGGCCAGACGTGAGACTGCACTGACCATGACACCAACGTTCCAGATGTCTACCGGATAGCTCCATTCGGCTCTGAGCATCACCTCGGGCGACCGGTACACGTTTGGCTGCGCGTCGTGATTCCTCTTCTGGTCGCCCCGGACAGCAGTGCCAAAGTCGCTCAGCACTGCACCACCAAATTGAGTCGGAAGCCCAAACTGCCGCGACCTGTAGACTGGATGACCCTCGATGAACTCTCGCGGTGACGGCGTCGTCAGTTCTGCCTTGACGAAGTCCTCCAGAAGACGACCCTCCACAATCTCTTGCAAGATGTTGTCGGCTTTGATGTCTGTTCCCATATGTCAGTAGATTCGAATGCTGAGCATGCAAGCCACGCACCCGTGTGGACAAGCTGGCACTCATTGTGGAGGTAGTCCAGCGCGAGCAGTACGTGTCTAAGACCAGCCTTTAGAAGAGGCAAAGAGAATCGCTGAGCAGGGTTCCGTCGCAAAAGGTCTCTCCAGCTGTCCCACATGGGCTTTTGCACCAGGCAGCGGTGATCGCCTCCAGTCCGATGGAGCGAGAAGGTATCAAGGGCTGATCGGACGTGACGGTAGCCGGGGTGGGACGGGTTCGCTTGGGAAAGATGCCCATAGGTTTTGAATTCTTCCCTGCCGCCTCTGTCGCGCGTGTATATCTTCAGAGCCACGTGGAGGTGCTCCCTAGGATACGTAAATCTCTCTCTCCATTTCCTGACCAAGATTCACTCAACTCACTCAAGATTGCGCGCGAGCCACACGGTGGACGTGGTTCCAAAGCCCAGCTTGCCCGTGATCTGACACTTGGACGCGTACACGTCGCCAATATTGACCGGGTAATACTGACCGGCGCGAAACGCGCCAAATTGCTCTTCCTCCACCACGTCTGCGTCGTTGATAATCTCGAAGCCAGCCGCGGGAAATGGCAAAGGGCTAGAGGGGGCTCTGCGCATCAACCCCTTGGCCCATCTTGAGAGACTGGCCATGGCGGGGAGAAGGAAGAGAGAGTGTTTATCAGGATCTCGACGACATTTCCATCAGGCTCAGATTTGCTATTCACATCAGCTAGGCTGATAGGAACAGGTCGATTCATGACGCACCATGGCAACTATGCTGAGTGGAAGATTGATTAATTACGTGCAAGGGTTGGTGATGGTGTGCCATTTGGTTCTTCTTCCTAGCGGATGATGCAGCTGCCCTTCCGCCGGAGAAGATGATAATTCAAGGACACATCATTTGAGGCGGGTGGTCAACTCTTTGGCGTTGGTTCGTGCTCAGCGATTGACTGGATGCGCAAAGGTCAAGTGTAACGCGGACAATATTCTACGCGCCTCAACTGACTTGACGTGGATCCCGTGATTTGCCTGCCGACCTCAACTCCCGTGTCGCAATACCTTACCTTAGGACTGGCGATACCTGGACTCCAACGACATCCATTGCATCATACCTCCATACCCCGGATTCTTACCAAAACTACAAGCCCAGGTCCACTTGAATGAGCTTCTTTTCCACCTAGCACGCGGATCTACTCAAGACTTTTGTGATCTGCTCCCATCGCAGCTGTACTGTCGTCACTGCGTACAGCCCGCCTCACCTCCCACCCCAAAAGAACGAGTCATCGACCACAACCTCAGTCTTCCCCGCCGCAACGCCTCTCCGTCTCACCTCCAGCCTTGCGCCCAGAGGCAGCGGCGACGACTTGTCGCCAACGGCTGCAGCGCTGGCTGCATTGGGTGCTTCGCAGGGCTGACTGACTGGCCTTTCCCAGCAATCATGCCCCGCAGCAGCTTCTCACTCAATCCCTTGCTCAAGGTCTCACGCCCTGTCTCGGCTTGTTCACGGTGTAAGTGCCATCACCTGGCCTCCAGTCCCGAATCGCAGACATAGTAAGCTCACAAACGCACAGGCCGAGCCGCCAAAGTGAAAGTACGGTTCTCTACCAGGGTCGCAGACTCGCATCGGCATTGCCTGGACCATGGTTGACGCTGTTTAGTGCGATGGCAAGTTGCCCGCGTGCACCGCTTGCGAGAAGGCAGGCCGGGAAAGCGAGTGCTCCGCAGCCAACGATCAGTTCGCTCGAGGTAAAGAGCGTAGGTGGGTGCCCTCTGCCGTACGAACACAAAGGATGGTGCTCACGCGGCTGCAGCTACGTCGCAGCCCTGGAGCTACGCATAGAGAAACTTGAGAGGAGACTGCAGTACGCCAAGAACCGCAAGGCCTCACTTGGGTTTCAGGAGCCCGATCTCTCTTCGTTGGCCCAAGATGTCGACCGACGCAATTCCATGGCGCACATACGTGCCGCTATCCACCGCAAGGCAGCGCGGACCCGGGAAAACTCTGATGTCAACTCCTTGATATCCGACTTTGGCTTTCTGTGGGTGAATGCAACGTTCTCGACGGTAAATTGGCTGACTCCGTATCAGGTCTGTCGATGCAAACACGCGGGACTTTGAGCCATCGTCGACCAACATGACCTTTGCTCGTCTCGTGCTGACAGCCGTCACAAACGATGAGCTTCCTGGGCTCAGCGAGGTTGAGCTGCCACCTAGACAAACAGCCCATAGTCTGGTGCAATTTTACATCACGCACATCTACTCCTTTTACCCGTTCTTCCAGGAAGCCGCCTTGTTCAATATCATGAACGACCTCTATCACGATGACGATCGCGTCATCAAGGACTCCGACCTGTGGCTCTTCCACATGGTCCTAGCCATTGGCTCGACGGCGCAGAGTCGGAGGCTCGGTGACGAGCACTACCAAAACGGGCTTGTCTACGCCAGGAAGGCCATCGAGTCGGCCGACCGCGCGCTGGCACCAGGCTACGTTACGCAGATCCAGTCCTTACTATTGCTGACGCAGTACTCCATGCTCGATCCTGCGCATTTTGACAGCTGGCACCTGATAGGAATCACTACTAGGGCCGTTGTCGATCTCGGCCTCCATCAGGACCCGCCGGTCTCCTCGGTAGCAGATAAGTCAGCCTTGGACATGCGACGCAGGATATTCTATTGTGTTTACAGTTTGGACAGGTACGTGTATCCATACATGTCGCGGGCCCCGTCTTGAAAGCTGACGATTGTGCAGAGCTATCAGCATGGTGCACGCGAGATGCTTCTCCTTCACCGACAATGCCATCAACGTCGCCTTCCCCAGCACACCGTCCAAGAAGGCAGTCCATGAGGCGATGCCCGGCCCGCACTCGCCAGACCCTGCTCTGCTCATGTTCCAGCTGCGCCGCGCCCAGTCGTTCTGGTACCAAGAGCTGTACCAATCGCACGCCTCGGCACCGCTGCCGGATCCGAGCGCCTACATCTGGCAAATGTGCTACGAGATGCAAGAATGGGCGGCCTCCTTGCCGCAGAAACTCCCAGCATCCGTGCGCCAACTGTTCGATCAGGAGCTGCGGTACAGCTACGTCTACTGCATAGCCCCCTCGGCGCGCGCCCCCGAGATCACGGACTACAACAGAACTCTCATCTTCGAGTACGCCTTGGCGTATCTGGACACGATGCATGACATTGCCCAGAACGGACTCAACAGTGCCTTTTACACCTATCATGACGCCCTCAAGGTCTACTTTATGGCCAGTCAGCTCCTCGCTGTCCTCTGGGATGCCGAGCAGATGCTCCTGGATGGTCCACCCGTTCCACGACCAATGGTCCGACCGGGAACCGCGCCGCCGCCTCCCAATCCTCGACGCCACATTCAAGGAGTCCCGATGGAGAGTAACGCGAGTCGCAGTCTATCGTGCCTGGAGCGCGTGGACCATACTCTGGGCCGTTTTGGTGAACGGTGGAACGAGTCGGCCATGCTCAAGGTCAGCTTCGAGAGCATGGCACGCGAGACCGTGCAGAGGCTGCGCTCGCGGAAGCAGATGGAGAGCGCGAGCTTGGACTCGCAGCAGCAGCAGCAGCAGCAATACCAGAGTAGAGCAGTGCAGGGGATCCACGCCGTGCCGCCACCTCAGCAACAACAGCCCAGGGAGGTCAGATGGATAGGAGTTGATCCGGGCCAGACGATGCGAGGGGGAGGGCCTGCGCCGCCGTGATGAGATCTGAACACAATTTACATTGGTATTGTCATTCCTGCCATTGAAAAGATTAAATTGTCCCGTCTGGAGCCTCAGCCTCCAAAGGACATCGTGACTAAACATGGAAAAGTTGCTACATGTCAGGCGTGTCTTGCACGTCACATCTCCCAATGCAAGCCAGCCGCACTCTACCCTCGAGCTCTCTAGAACTCCTTTTCCCTCCCCCCAGAACGCCGCAATGTTGATCCTCTGCGCCTTCTCGCAGATCGTCAAGCCAAGATGATGACACCGCAACCAAGTCCGCAAAAACATGTGAGTCCTCAAAGCATGGACTGCTCTCAGCGGTCCAGGAGGTGCAGGTCTCTAGTCTGCCGGGGCAATTTCCTGTCACGCTCGTAGGTCAAGCCGCAGTTGGCACACAGGGACTGTAGAATGTCAGTATAAAATGGTATCGCTGCCGGTGACTGGAGAGAGTGACTTACCCTTGGACCAGCTGGGCCGTCGCGAACTGCCCACACACTCGAACCCCAGATTTTACAATGCGTGCATCGCCACTGCGACCGCTCTGGCTCCGTCAAGGCACCACCACCCCCATAGCCGCCAACGTCGGGTGTCCCGCGGCCTCCTGGTGTTCCTGACCTCCCCTGCGGACTGAGACTGCGGAAACGGCGCTTCTTCTTGGAGCGCTCGCCGCGGCCCATCCGCTCCTCGTCGGCATCCAGAACCGCTGCCGCGGCGCCAAAGGGAGCTCCACCAAGAAGACCAGATGTAGAGCTGAATCTGGCGGTCTCGCGGCGCAGGCGACGGACTTCCCGCCCGCGATCGCCCTCTCGTTTCTCGATCTCTTCCTTGCTCAGAATCTCAATCTTCGGCTCCCAGTCATCGGCGAGATGGTCCGGTTCGTACCGCCACCCTGCCTCTGTGCCATGCACTGCGTCGTTGGGCAGCTCTTGTTGCAGACCGCCCCAACCGGCAACAATGCCTCCAGCCTCGCACGCTTCCTTTTTGAGACGCAGGACAGCTTCGTAGATTGCGTGCGTCATAGCTGGAACCCACTCACCCGTCAAACCAAGATCGGTACAGGTCATCTTGGCGAAAGCCTCGGCCGTACCGGGCGGATGCAGCAATGACCACTCGAATTTGTCGGTGTAGAGGAAGGAGGACAGGTTCAGGTTAATGTTGACAATGCAGCGGTAGGTGTCGTCGGGGTTGTATTCGTCGGAGCCGGGAAGAATAGGGGTTGCCTCGGCGGTGACTTTGGGCTTCTCGTCCGCAGCTGGCGCCGCCGCCGCAGCAGGAGTTTCCACGCCACCAGTCGTCGTTGGACCTGGAGTGTCTGGTTGAGAGGCTGCTGGGTTCGGCGTGGCCGGTGACCCGTCGCGCGTGTTGCCAATGGACAATAGCCTGGGCGTATCGACAGGCTTGGGTGTGTCGTTGGCAGCGCCATTGGTCATTGCGGGCGCAACCGCTTGTGGCTGTGCCGGGGCCTGTGCTTCTGCGTGAAAGAGAGGGTGCAGTGCGACGCCTGAATATTCTTCCAGCTGCGTCCGGATCTGTTTGCTGATTTCCTGGGCCCAGTAGGCTCTGTTCGGTAGATCCAGATCCTGTACCATTGTCATGGCGAACTGATCTGTCGTGATGAGAGTCTCGTGCAGATTCCAGCAGAAAATATCGCGCAGCTTGAATGTCGGCGTTGGCTCCTGTGGGCGGTATTGTGGCATTGACAAGTCGATTGAGTTGTGATTCGGGACCGGGAAAGGTGCTGGCGGCGTGAAGGAGGGGATTTCGATGTCAATCCGAATCGGGATCAGGGTCAATGGCAGATTGGCCTGGGCGGCGAGCTGCTGGTCCGTCCTCACATTACGAGGCTTCCCTATCCAATCTCGCCAAATCCCCTGGACGTCGACGGGCTCCCTTGTCTCTTTGGCCGGTCGATCCCCTAGGTCGGCACGTTGGGTTGTGTCCTCCCTTCGTAGGCTTCTCAGCCCAGTCGGCCGTCTGCGGGGATCATCGCTGTCCTCGTCAATCTCCTCGTAGCCGTCTTCCGCATAGTTGATTATAGTTGTGCCGCGCTTCGTGGTGCGAGACAAGGGCGCGATGGGTTGGCCCGAGGACTGAGCAGGTGTGAGGAGGGAGTTGCTGTACACGCGCAGACGCGGGGCGTAGGTTGTGATGAATGACTGGGGTTTTGAGCGATCCATTGTGAATTATGTGCGCGCTTCAAAGTCGGTGTTGAGGATGCCTCATGCTGGCCGGCGCAAGGGCAGCAGAGGTGGTGGTCTCGGTCGCGTCTTCTGCAGTGCCTCGCAGTGGGAAAGGCTCACGCCAAGCTATAGAGTCGGGCTTGTTTGTTACAGTTTCTTTCTCGATGACAAGCGCGTGTTTTGCCTTGACGGTCGAGGAGATGCGCGATGGCAGGAACGGTGCCGTAGGAGATGGCCTTCAAAGGTTGTCGACACTTGAGGCGCGAGGCTTGAAGGTCTTGCTGGGGTCGGGTCGCGTCGCTGTCGAGGTGGATTGGGCGACAGCTATTGGCCCTCCGCACGGTAAAAGCGGGTCTCTATGCAAGGCACCACGGGTGCTTAGTAAGGCACTTCTACCTTACAAGTGCAATGAAGCCAGTCCCCCCAAGGACCATTATTGGTATCTTTCAAGTTCACCAATATTTGCCTGTGCGATATTTTTGAGCATGGGGAAAGAATTGAATGTTATGATTACCATTTATTTAGTATATCTCGAGACGCATGTCTCACGCAAGTACGAGGACGAGGTTTTGCGTCTGCACAACGAGAAGCAGCACTGATGGAAATGCACACAAGCTTACCAGTTTACCGACTGACTTTCCACGTGTCGAATGGAATACAATTACATATATTCAAATAAAAATCCCGTCATCTGTTACTTTGTAGCTAAGTTATAACCCTCAAAAGATGCGAGAGGAAGACAGTATAGGGTAGGCGTCATGCGCTAAATCCAGGGTCCAGGCGTCCAGTGGTCTTGGTGCACGGACCCGCATGACGTTCCTGCCCCAGATTTCAGATTCTGTCGCGTCTCGACTGGCTTCGCTCGTCTCCGTCGCATTGCATTGCCAACCTTCAAATTTTGTATCTTTCAACTTCAACCGTCTTTCGCCTGATATAATATTTGGACAGTGTCGACACGCAGAAGCGCACCAAGCACTCCATCATGGCCACCAAGATCACACCTTTCTTCACAGCTAGCCTTCGCGCCTTGCGACCGCGCACAACATCTTCGACGACACCATTGAGTCGCTACACCGCTGCATCTTTGCGCTCCCCTCGACACATCACCCCGGCGTCAGTCCGTCTCGCACACTCCATCCCTCGTCCATCGCAGCCAACGCCTCGAGATGCCAACCCGTCGACAGCCAAGTCAGAATCGGCTCGACCTGCACCTCCGCCTGCAAACCGTCCCTCCTACCAGCTCTCCTTCACCTGCGTGCCCTGTGGACATCGGTCGCATCACAACATCTCCAAGCAGGGCTACCACACTGGGTCGACCCTCATCACATGCCCAGAGTGCCGCAACCGACACGTCATCAGCGATCACCTCGGCATCTTTGGGGACACCAAGGGGATGACGGTGGAGGACATTGTGAAGAAGAACGGAGGTCTGGTGAAGAAGGGGAGTCTTGGCGAGGACGGCGATATCGAATTCTGGCCAGATGAGAACGATGATCTCAAAGGCTAGAGGTCACCTGCCTCATGTTCTTCCACCGCTAATTGCATCAGTACGGAGTTTTGAAAAGGATACCATGTGACCACCGAGCCAAGTCACACTCATAGAAGGACATGTACCAGAGAAACGTTGTATTTGTAGCGTACTTATGTATATCATCACTCCTAATCTTCCACGTTAACGCCAAAATTTTAGATACCCAATGCAAGGAACGCCGATCTCAATGCGTGAACCATCTACCAGTTCTTGAAAGCCTGCCTCCTGGCCTTGTTCTCCGATGCCCGCACCTTCTTGCGGTCCCTGTTCTTCTCAAACTTCTTCCGCTTGTCGCGGCCATACTTCTCCGGATTGGCGACCGCCTCGATCTTGCGCTTGCTCGACCTCTCGAGCCTCCTTGCCTTGACCTCCTCGCGGATCAGCATCAGCACACGCGAGTACTCCTCCGTGCCAAACTTCTTTTGCAACGAATCCATGAGGATCTGAGCGCGAGTCTTGATATGCTCGTACTTGGTATTGAACTCCTCGTCCATGGTTTGCGGGGGCCGAATCGTTGGGTCGGTGATGTTTTGGAGGGGGGTGAGGATTGTCTTGAGCGAGGGCGTGAGGCGTTCAACAGTTGTGCGTCGGCAGACCGTTTCGAGAACCTCCATGGCGGTGACCTTTGGACCAATGGACACAGCATTCGGGCTAATCTCCTTGCGTAGAATGTGAGAGATACGCCAGAAGAGATACTGTAGGTCCTTGGGTTTATGTGCATCATCCTTCATGTCGGCGCCCTCGTCATCTTCCGACTCATCTCCATCGTCGCTTTCGGATTCGTCGGCCGTGGCTGATGTTGGCAGCCTGGGGGCCAGGAAGATGAGGATCTGTCCTGCCTCGGCACCCAAGGCCTCGTGTACATTGTAGCCGTTGAGAATGTACAGCGCCAAGTGCACCAAGTTGCCAACCTTTTCATCATCGAGCTGCAACCCGTGAGAGCCAGGGACGGGCTGTTTCGTAGGAGTGCTGCCCATGTTGGGAGCGAAGTCGGACAGGTACAGGCTGATGAGCTTGATTGCCGCCACCTTGACGGGTGGATGCCCGTGCTCCATGCAGCGCCCGACGTGCGCCCAGAGATCCTCGCTCTTCGCAGACAGAACCTTGTCGGCAAAGACCGTGAACCACACATGGATCAAACCAAGCGATGCCTCCAGCAGCACCCCATTGACAGCCTTGATGTCCTCTTGTCCCAGGATGCCCATCACCTTGGTGAACACCAATTTGAAGTCGCTCTGGTTCTTGCGTGCGCTCTCGTTGGACTCAAAGTAGAAAGTCCAGACTTTCAGCGCCAACGTGAGCACGGCCTCGTTGTCGTCCTTGTCCAGCCAGGACCGCAAAAGCGTCAAAAACTTTTGCGTGCGCTCTCTATCAGACTGGCGGAAGATCTCCTTGAGAAGCTCCGCAGCGGACTGGCAGCACTTGTCGCTATCGTCGTTGGCAAGCACAAGGAACAAGGGTAAGAAGCACGTCGCCGCAATCTCCTGGACAAAGTCGTCGGATGACTTCATGAGGAGAAGGTGGACAACCTCCATGACGGATAGACGGCCACCTTCTCGTTCATACTTGAGATTTGCGACGATGAAGTTAAGCTGTTTCGCCCATCGCGATTTCTTCTGAGGGTACTCGCGGATAAATTGGAAGAAAGCACCACGGGCGAGATCACGGGTATCCCTGTCGTCGTTGGTGATCATGACCGTGCCAACGTAGTCCATTGTGTCGTATACTGCCGCCGTCTCGGCATGGCGCTCAAGCACGGAGCGCAAAAAGTTGAAGGTGACATGTCGGTATTGCGGCTCTGTGAGATCGTCCTTGAGCTTGCCGAGCATCATGTCGATGGCGGCATCTTTGACGGCAATGTCCTTCCGGTCACGCAGCACAACGGACAGCATGCGCAGAGCGGCTTGGGAGAGCTCAGTAGTTGTCGACACGGAAGTCGAAACGGCCTTGGTGGCCTCCTTGACTGCGACTTTGTAGAGAGCCGTGCCCTCTTCTTCCTTGAATGGAACCTTTGAAATCACAGCAAGCAGTCTGAACGTGGACACCTTGACCTCGTCCTCGCCATCGATGATGGAGTCACCCAGAATGGGGAGGAACCCAGCCAGATTCTCAGGGGTACGCAGGCTGTCATGCTTCTTGAACACGGACCGCAGGGTGTCAAGCGTGAAGCGCATCAGTTTCGACGTGTTTTGCGTGGTTCGACCAAGGGCCTGCTTCCTAACACCCTTCTGCACGAGATACTTGCGAACTTTGGGGTCGATCTTTTCTTGCACCTGGGGCTCACGAGCCTTGTAAATGTCCTGGATAACCTCGTAGCAAAAGACCAGGGTATCGCGGCTCTCGGCTGCTGGGTTTTGTAGTAGTCCAACAGACACGCGCGAGAGAAGATTGTCGATTTTGCGAACCATCTTCAGATCCACCTTCTGCCTGAGAAGTGATTGCAATGGTCTGATGAGATCGATGAGACGAGTGATCGACGCAGTGCGTGAGATGAGCTCCATAGAGTCCTGACTCTTGCTGCTCTTGATTTCCTTCATCTGAGTTGTGTAGCCTTCCGCATCCTTCTCTTGTCCGATGACGCCAAAGATGTCGTCCATGATGACGGTGATGATGCTCGGCAGGCAGTAGTCCAAATCGCCAGACTCAAAGTCAGGAATGACGGCAACCAGAATAGAGTGCATGGTGTATGACAAGACGTGGAGCTGGTACCCTTTCGTGAGAGCGCCGCGAAGCTCCCTCAGAAGGAACCCAAAGTAGCCTGCTCCAAGTATTTTCGCAATCTGGACGAGGGTGTCTCGGGCCAGATCGCGAGACTCTGTGGCTTTGCTGCGTAAGATGTGGCAAATGTCGGTAAGGACACCAGCGAGCTTCTGATCCATTTGGTTGCTTGGAAGCAGCTTGAGAAGCTTGACAATGGTGACACCGACTGGCACACGATAACTGACTTCCGACTCGTCCTTCTCATGCAAATGCTTCGACAGCATGGGCAAGAAATACTCGACAATGTCTGTTGCCAGTTGTGATTGTTTGGGCATCGTCAACGACAGACGCCGAACGAATGTCGAAGGAGCCTCCGTCGCGTCTACGTCCATGGCGTCTTGAGCCGAGTAAGGCGCTGCCGTGATCAATGCATCGGTGAACTTGCCTAGCAGGCGGATTGTTTGCTTTTGTTGCTCCGGCCTTGAGGCAATGTACCCAATGTATCGTTGGAGAATCGTGCGGTAATGCTTCCAGTGCAAAGATTCGGCGAGACTGCCAATGACCGTAGTAGCCAGCGCACTAAGGCCATGGTCATCGGTCTTCTCCTCCCGACCGAAAATAAAATGCTCAAGGAGGGGAATGAAGAACTGGGCCAGATTCTGACTGGAGATTTCGTGTAATTTGTTCGCCTCCTCCAGTCCTCGCAATGCCTCTTGCTGCCTCGCGACAGCAGGGCTTAGAATGTTGAAGAAGAAAGGAGGCTCGGTCGAGTCCTCAGAGGATTCGTTCAACAAGCCCTTGAGGTCATGCACAGGATCCCATTGGGGCAGCTGGCAAATTATGAACCCAAACACACGCAGAATCTCCCTTCGCGTGGTTTCCGAAGGCTCTCGAATGCCGGCATAAATAGCTGGCAGCAGTGTCTGGCCAAGATGCGTTTTGAGCTTATCCGCAGACTGACCCGAGGTCGAGGTGGCAGTGTCTTGCACAAAACGTCGCAAGCCATCCGCGGAATTTGTGGCTAAGACACCAAATTCTTCGTCGACGTGGATGAAGTAGATGCAATTGTGTAATAGAGGCAGCCACTCCTCCGCTGTCAGTGGAACAGCACGCTCCTTTGATATGGAGGTGAATGCAGATAACCTCTGGTCATAGTCGGGCTCTTCAATCCGACCTTTTTTGAAGGAGTTGAGCTTGGCACAAAGCGCTGCGACTTCAGTCTTGCCAGCGTCACCTGCTGCTACCACACCCAGAGCCCGGCTCAGAGCCTCGCGATTCTCTCTGTCCTTGAAGTAGCTGAAGAGGGAGGACAGAGTCTCGTAGACCTCGTTGCAAAGGTCTCCATGTTCTGATGGCTGGATAAGCGCAACGAAATTTTCTACCACCAAGAGCACGCGTCCCTTCGTCTTTGGGCTGACACGACGAGGCGGTTGCTGGAGGAGGAACGAGCAGATCCGCAGCACAGGCTCAATGCTCCTTGGTTCTTGTAGCACTTGAGCAAGCGAGAGCAAGGCTTCGACACATGCGTCGAGAAGGGCAGTGCTGGTTGCTGGTGCATGGAGAATCCCCGTGATGGTGTTGAGCATGGCTTCGGCATTGGGATCAATGAGCTCCGCCTTGATGAGCTCGTTGAACTCAGACTCCTGAGCAGGAGCTAAAGCCAGACGCACCAGGTTGCAGATCATGTCGAGAATGAAGATCCTCACATCATCCTTAGCCTTTGGAGCTGCCAAGCACTCGATCACGGGGGGCAGAATGCCCTTCGGTAAAGTGTCGCCGTGAGGACCCAGGAACAGAGCTGTCTTGGGTAGGGCTGCCCAAGTGGAGAGAAGTTGTAGGACACCTGACACACCCGAGGTCATTTCTGTCGAGAGGCTGTCCAGACGGGGCATAATGACTTCCTCGATGATGATCCCGCGATAGGGCTCCCACTGATATTCTTGAGCGTTCTGGAACAGCATAATCAAGCACTTGATTCCGGCCGACCTTGCCATCTTCAGAAGCGATTGTGATGTTGCAACCTCATCATCGTCGTCCACCTCGTCGTCCGAGTCTAATGCAGTGCCCTTGAGGTGCCTGGATGCAAAGACCAAGCAGTATAGGACTGCATTTAGCAGCGACTCCATATACTTCGTCACATTGGTGCCAAGCTCGGAAATGAGAGATGAAACCATGTTCAGAAAGCCAACCTGCTTGCGGGGATGCACAAGGGGTTTGTCGAAGAGCTTATGACGAGGGCAAGTTGTGTTGACAACCTTGACATTTCGCAATTTGCCGCTCGCGATGTCCAAGAACTTGCCCATGTCCTCCACGGAGAGGTTGCGCAAGACCGCAAGCCTCGTAGCTTGAAGACCATGTTTGCCACTAGCGACTCCCTTCTTTGAGATGGTACGACCGTACAAAAGCCGCAGTAGCACTGGCATCAACTCGGCGCGGTGCTCAGGTTTGATGACATTATCGCCTTGCAGAAGCACAGTTAGCTCGTTCTTGAAGCGAGCGTCATCGAGAAGATATTCCAAGTTCTCTTGGTATGCTCGGACACCAGCCTGCTTCCACGCAAGTATGGCCTTCAAGGCGAGCTTTTGCACCTCCACGTCACCATTCTCCAACAGCTGCAGCATGCCGTCGTACACCTTTTGGTGGAGATATAGCACTCTTGGGTTGACGAATTGCGCAAAGACGCCGAGCAGTGCCTTCCTATCAGCGAGAGACCAGTATGTTTGATCCATGTCGGCCAGCTCATCTGCTATTGAGGTGTCATCCTCCAAAGCCCAGGGCAGGAAGTGTGGGGTCAACTGCCGCGATCGCCGCTCAGCGATGAAGGGTACGGTGTTGAACACTTTGATTGCCTTGGCGCGAGCATTTGCTGCTAGTGCCGGGGCGGTCTCCTGGCGTTCGTCAAAGGTTTGCAGCATGAGGGCTTCAGGTTGGTGCGCAATCTCGTGCGTCTTGTCGGCTTTTTGATACAAGTACCGAAGGAATGTACAGTCAAAATCGGTGATGACTTGTCGATTACTGCTCAAATTGTCGTTGGATGGTGCGGACCACCTGGGTGAAGGTGTTTCAAGCCAGCTGAAAGCGATGGCGCTGACCACTTCTTCGCCGGCTTTGCTTTGTGAAATTTGCTCCAAAGCCTCACTGGCACTGTCCCACACGGGCGACAGCTTAACGGTCAGCATGCCAAAGATGAAATTGGGCACGCCTTTCTGCAGCCAGCTGGATTCATCCAAGGAGCTGTACTTCTGGCCCAAGTTGCGTAGTAACATCGAAATCGTCCTGGTATGCTCGAGACCTAGCGGCAGCTGTTCGACTTCAATCATGATGTCTACAAAATCGCTCGACCCCTGAAAGTCGTGGAGTTGCTGGAGCAGTTTCAAGGACGCAAGCCGAATCTCGTGGGAGGGTGACCCCAGATTTTCGACGAGGGAAGCAATAACGGGATCTTCCTCTGCAGCAGAGGAGTCGCTGCTTGATTCATCCCTCTTCGAGTGAGTTGGTTCTTGCATCAAATATTCCTCATAAGCCAAGAAAGCTTCCAAGAAGCCCACGGATCGTGCGAATCGCGGTACGGCTGCCCGCAGCAGAGGGCTAAGGGTGAGATCAACAGACTTTGCTGGTTTGCTCATCCGTAGATATGCGTGGAATCCCTGGCTGACGATGAAGTTGACCTCGTCCGACGCAAGTGTAGAGGTTGGTCGCAGCGCGATCTTGAGCTTCCGGAGCAGTAGTTCTGCTACTCGGGCGTTCGTTGAAGGATGCACAACTGCCAAGTCCATGAGTCGCAGGAGAGCCGAGTACTTTGGCAGACAACGGTCGCGCCATTCTTTCGGCGTTTTGTTGTAGGGTCCACGCTCAGGGAACGGCGAAACTTCGAGGTTTTCGAATTTCGAAACAATTTGATCCTGCCAGTCCTGGGGCAATTTGCAGCTCTCTCGCTCGCCTGCCGATGGGAAAGCTCCACGTTCGATCATCTGCGGAATCAGGATACTGAGCATCTGCTGATTGATGCCTTGAGACCAGTGGCATGCGATGAATCTGGGGAAGTTAGCCTTGTTCATTGGACTGGCAGAGGATGAGCTTACTTTTGAAAGTCCGCGCGCAGTAGATTGCCGAACCGCTGCGCGTCCAACTCAGATGCGTGGGCGCAGAATGGTATGAACCAATGTATCAGTGGCCCCCTCGTCAGTGACTTGGAGAAGAGGCCCAGCTTTGGAAGCAAGGAATCGATGGGGGCATGTTTCCAAGTCACCGCTGCTGGTACCAAGACATAGCGCCAAAGTTCATTGCCGTCGCCAGGCACCGTGGCATCTTCGTCCACCTTAGCAATGGTTTCGAGAATGTTGACAAGAGAAGTGACCAGTTCACTCCAACGGTCGACTCTTGAGCCTTTCCTGACTCCGGCGGCCACACCTAGGACGCGTGCCAACGGCATCAGTTGAGTCCAAGCTGACAGGGGGTCTATTTGAGCCCGAATCTTTTCCGACTTGTCCAAGACCGCCTTCATAATCTCGCCAAAGGTACTTTGGGTCGAATGGTGGATAATACTTGTCAACACTCCACATGTAACATCGGTCCAGATAGCGCTGTATGTGGCTTTTTCGTCATCGCTGCGCATGCTCTCAATAAGTTGCGAGATTATGGCAGGACCAGCAGAGTGTACCGTGTGGTCGTTCCCTTTGATGGCTTCGGCAAACATAGTCATAACTCCGTCCTGGTACAATGGGAACTGACGATCCCCTTCCATCTTGACCAAATCATCTTTCACGTGATTCACAAAGACTGGCAGCACGGTCTCCCGATGCGATGGTGCACTTGCTTTCTTGACCAGGAAGCTCAATGCTTCGGCAGCGAATCGAGCGATGTGAGGCGGATGTTTCGATCTCCCCATCAGGGGAGCCACGGTATCATATGTCGGCCGCAGGTTCGGGACAATGTGCTTGGACAGGAATTTGAAGAGGAAAGCCAGCGCGCCGAAAGTCCACTCAATCACATCGGCATCTTGTGGCCTCCCTGCAATGTCGACGATCAGGCCCAAACTTTGAGTGTAGTATCTCTTCTCAAACCTCGTTCCCAAGTCGTGCGCAAAAGCTGTCAATATGTCCAATAGCGGTTCGAGAGATTCTTTTTCCTGCCGCGCAATGCTGTCCGCCAATGCTTTCCATATGTCCTTCTCGTGGTGAAGTATTTGGTGAAGCGTATCGATGTTCTTCACTTTTTGCTTGAACTCGCGGAAGCACTTTGCGACATTGAGCTCGCTCCATTTCTGCAGGGCTGAGAGGAAATACGAGCTGGCCGCCGAGAGATCGTCATCATCGAGGTCATGTCGTCGAACTTTTCGCAACGGCTGTAGAGAGTTGAACTTGGCGACCTTTGCGGTGAAGGTCTCGTATCTGTGGTTCTTGTGATGAGGCGTCGAGTATTTTCGCGCCTTGACGATGCGCCCTGATGATTTAGCGGGCATTGTGAGGGATGTAGGATGCCCTCGTGTGAAGTTGTGGTGATTGTAGTAAATCCCCGCCAAAGTTCACCTCGACGACAAGAAGCGACTGTAGGAAGGAACGAACCTTTCTAAATTTTTGGCATGCCCGCTTATCGATAGCACTCTGGCTGCGGGAAGTGGTGGGGCGGCGACCAATCAACGGCCAAGCGCATTCGCGACTGCAGGGTCCACCTCTTCTTTGACTGTAGTACCTGGAGGTTCTCGCGTGCAGTGAATTATCTGCTGTGGGATGAAAATGGGCATGCTTCGAGGTCGCTTCAAAGATAGCATTTCAATCTTATTTTCGCACAGAGCTGATTATCAGATGATTTGTGATCTTGAAGGAGGAGATATTTGACCAAAGTCTAGCGCCTTCCTTGCTTATAAGTACCTTGCCTTTCCTACACCTCCAACTTCTGCCTCCCATCTCCAACTTGGATAGTTTCAACACCTGCACAATCAACCTTGCACCACACAGGAGTCCCATGATGGCTGCACCGAAGATGTAAGTTACTAGCAGCCGGCTGAGTCAATGGCTGCCATGTTCTTGATTGACGTACTAACTTCTCTTAGCATTGTCCTTGGCAGCCTCAATGGCAATATCGAACCCGCCCTTAAGAAGATAGCCTCTTTGCACGCAAAGAACAGCTTCGCTCTGGCCCTCTTGACCGGCGATGTGTTTGCCCCCGAGACGGACGATACAGTTGTCGATTCTTTGCTCAACGGCTCCATCGACATTCCGCTTCCCACCTACTTTACCGTCGGCACTCACCCTCTTCCGCCACGCATCGCCGCCAAGATTCAGACCGACGAAGACATTTGCCCAAACCTGCACTACCTTGGCAAGCGCAGCACGACCAAGACATCCGATGGACTAAGAATCGTCTCTTTGGGCGGTCAGCTTGACCCGAATCTGGTGGGCGGTCTATCCAAGGAACAGCACCTCCCATTTCACACCAACGATGACGCGAAAACCTTGAGAGGCGCCAACTCGGCCGATATCCTCCTCACGTCCATGTGGCCAGCCAATGTGTGGAAGGGCTCGAATGTAGCCCTCGATCCCACACAGCAAGCCTCTCTTCAGACCAGCGAGGCCATTTCTGAGTTGTGTGCCGCGCTGAAACCTCGGTATCACCTGTCTGCGTCCCCGGGATCCTTCTTCTACGAACGCGAACCCTTTGTCCATCCCAACGAGAGCGACGCAGACCCCATACGGGTGACAAGATTTATATCCATGGCGCCTTTCGGGAACCAGGCCAAGGCCAAGGCCATGTACGCCTTCACACTCAACAAGACCGACACAACAGTACCACAGGGAGTGACGGCCTCGCCGTTCATCGCGAAACAGAAGCGTCAGGCACCAGCAGATAACGTCCGCTACGCCCACTCTGGCCGCGACGGTCACCAAGGCCGGGGTGCTAAGAGGCGTCGCCAGCGTTCACCCCCACCTGGTCCGGACCGGTGCTACTTCTGCCTCTCGAACCCCAATGTTTCTCAGCACATGCTATGCAGCGTTGGCGATGAGACGTATGTCACCGTCGCCAAAGGGCCTCTCCCCACTGCGACGACTTTTGCTGATCAGGGACTCGATTTTCCCGGTCACCTGATCATCATTCCCTTCGCCCACGAACCTACTATTCCTAGTATGGGGGACGTCACAGACCCGGCCGGCCCAGCAGCCGCTGTCTACAACGAGATGACCAGACTTCGCGAGGCAATTCAAGCCATGGTCGCCAACAAGTCGAACCACAAGCTCGGTGTCGTCACGTGGGAAATCAGCCGCGACCGCAATGTCCATCTCATCTGGCAGCTCATGCCCATTGCGGCCGATCTCATCCAACGCGGGCTCGTTGAGGCCGCTTTCAAGGTGGAAGCGGAAAATCAGGCGTTGCCCGCATTCGTTAGCAAGGATATCCCACTGAAGCAACAGGCGTCCTACGGGGACTTCTTTCGCGTCTGGATCTGGGCGGACAATGGCGAGGACAAGATTAAGGGAAAGTCCATCGTCATGCCCCTCGAGTCAGATATGCGGTTTGACTTGCAATTCGGCCGCCGCGTCATGGCGAAGCTCATGGGCCTGGAGAACCGCGTCATTTGGCAGGACTGCGCGCAGACCGAAGATGAGGAGATGGAAGACGTGAAAGCTTTCAGGAAGGCTTTTGAGGAATTCGACTTTACGCTCTAGTTTTGATACCCAGCGTGCCTCGTTTTGGGAACACAAGTCCATTTTAGACGGCGTTATGGCGGCATGGGAGAAGCAACGGGCATGGAGATCAGGAGCATCTAAATTAAAGACAGTTCGAGCACGGGTTAAAACGGCGAAGTTGGGCATCCACATTCGAGCACAGCTTATAATGCATAGAAATCAGACCTTGCGGCGTTGTGACCACCCTATGATGAATTCTTCTTCAGTGCTCGCGGCTGAACGAGGGAGAACAGGGCGTGAACCACCAGGGCCGCGACGCAAATGCGTTCTCCTTCGGGCTGGTGTAGGTACGAGCGGCTTGAGTGGTGTAGCATATAATACTCCGTAGACAAGAGTCACTGCTTCTCTTGCGGGCGAGAACGAACGTAGAGTAACAGGCGACATGGGGCGCAAGCAAGCACCATATGACAATGTTCACCAGATCAAGCCCAAATTCATCAAGTTTTGTGTATTGTAGTATGAACCAGTGACAGAGGAAAGGGTTACAACTCGCCTTCAGGCGTGAAATGTACAAGACCAGCGATTTCCAGCCAGCCTCGCCTGAACTCCGCGGGTTCAACCGCTCCGTAAAGCCAGTTCTACAATGAACAAGCAGCCGCGACTTTCTAAAGTCACAACATCAAGATGAAAGCCCGTATGAATACACGAGCTCCGAGGGGGAGTCTGTCAACCCCTGGAATGATATGAACATGAGAAGAAAGCTAAATGTAAAAAGGAAAAAAAAGCATGCCGTCGTGGGTATATGCGCAGTGGTGGCGGTTGGTTTGTATGTCGGGCCTTAGCTGCAATGTCATGTTGCATGCGAGCCAAGAGCAGTGTGTGAGGAAATGAGAGACCGAGGATTTCACCTCGCGACTTGATTAGTCGTTTGTTCGTGTGATAGTCGGTGCTGCTCGTGCGTGGAGTGATATGTAATCGTGTTATGAACATTGTTTGCGTGTGCCGCACCGTCCACCTCTTTGTGTCCAGAGGTATGAAGACTGTGCTTTGAGGCCACACTCTCGAGGGGTCCTGGACTCCGTGATGATTAGGTAAGAAGCATTAGAAGTCGCAATATGTACCGGTATGTCATCCAGGACCACGAGAGTGTGTACGAGAGGGGGAGGAGGGACCAGCAGTTGGCTCGTGTCCAAGAGCTCGTTTGTCGTGAGTCGTCGTCAACGGCGTCGATGTCCCAGCGGTTAGTTCATATGAACATTAGTATGACGCCATCCGCCGGGCGTGGGTTCGCTCCCCAAAGATAGGCGAATCTTCGCCGAATGACATCGGGGCATGTCGTGAGCTGGGTCTCGCAGGCCCTGTAGGAGAGTCCATCTCGCATGTTTCGCGCTGCCCAAAGGCAAACGTTTGCGCACGACCAAATCCCTTTCGTTGCTTAAGCCTACCCATTTCGCGCTCGCAGGTACGTTGATGCTTCTCATCCGACATTTCGACGTATTCGGGAGGGAAGCACCGGCCACGGTGCTCGGCGAAAAAGGCACTGTAGCCACCATCCAGGAGATAGACGTCTGGATAGTTGAGTCGAGGGTAGAACTCGGCATTCATGGTACGATCCTCAGAACGAACATGGCGAGCCATCATGGGCGCCCGGTGGGCAGAGTACTCGCAGTGGAAGACAAGGAGAGTTCGACCAGCCATGGGAGTGCGCAGAAGTTGCGAGGCGAGAAGCTCCTTGTCATTGTAGTTGACTGCGCCATCTATGTGACCGCCTTCGTACTCGTACTCAAAGCGACAGTCAATGACCATCTTCTGATCAAAGTTATCCGCATACTTGCCATCAAGCACCTCCAGAAGAGTCTCCTTGGTAATGCGAGGAATAGTATCCGCGGGGTCGTCAGAGAGGAAATGAGGTAGCACAGGCTCAGGGACATCGTCGGTATCCATGACAGCTTGTAAACCAGAGGGTCCCGGTTCGTCTCTTTCAAGGTTAGGCTTTGTGACATCGCCTGGGTTCTCGAACATGCTCAAAGAACGTCGAACCTGCTTCCTGCTACGCAAGTAAGGGTTGGAACTGCTACGGCGGCCATGGCAAATAGCCGCGGGCGAGCCAAGACGAGGAGAACCAGTGTTCAACTGGGGTCGGGAGCGCATGAGAGCCAAGGGAGCGCAGAGGCTGTTGGCCGACACTGGGCGGCGCTCTTGGGGTGGCGATGCTGAGTCAAAGCATTCGCTTAATGACAGGTTGGTCGAAGATTGGGACATGCCAGCGCCGAAGCGAAACGATGGCAGCGGATTCTCTGCAACGGCTCGATTGGGGACAGAATTAGTGCTGTGGACTTTGCCTGCTCGAGTGAGGGAAGGTCTTCTGAGAGCAGCGATCTTGCGGCTGTGCGCTGGTTAGCAGATTCAATCGGGACTGGAATGTGCAATCTAACTGACTCAGTGAGTGACACCTTGGACGGTTCCACGGAGGACTGGCGGGGGAGTGGGGGCGGCGAGTCCAGCATCATGCTGTCGTCGTCGTGGGATGGAGTCGCTAAAGGCGTGGGCGAGGTTATTTCGATTTGGGTTGTGAATGGCGGCTTGTGAGGTAGAGGAGACATCTCCATGGTCTCCATGGAATCCATCGTGTCCATAGTAGGAGCAGGAGACGATGATGGCAGCGGCGGTGTTGTACAGAAGCCTGGAACAGAATCAGCATGGCTCAAGTCGACGGCTGCTCCCTTGTACAAACCTCGTGTTTCAACGCCTCCCATCATGTTGGCAGTGAAGAGTGCGCGTCGTGGAGTAGGAAACTGAGGGCTGGCAGAACGTAGAGCGTCAGCGATAGCAAGAACAGGTTTCCTTGCTGACCAACTTACCTAACCTCAGTATCAATGCGAAAGTTCTGAGAAAGATCCGCGGCCAGACTGGCTGCTGGCGAAGAGCCGGGGATCTCTTTGACGTTGAAGTAATCCGTCTTCTGTAATCGTTCTCGCAAGGCTCGACGAGCAACACCCCCTCCATTAGCAAAGGGATTGCGAGGGTGTGACCGAAACATGTCCGGACCGGCACCCCATGAGGGCATGGCCATGGTAGGCTGCATAGCAGCCAACGGTGACGAAGCTTCCATGATACCACACAAAGGCGAGGGCTAGCGTCCGTCAACGACGTAATGCCAGCGTAGGTTCGGCGTGAGCTGGGCTAGAGGCGGCAGCGTGAAGAATCAGAGTCACAGCAATATAATACTGTAACTGACCACAGCATGGGAGTCTGGAACAGTTGCTCGTGTCCGACTTGCTACCAGTGGGTTCGATTCACGGCAAGTTTGCCAATGCCACAGCGAATTCGACGGCAGAGAAGCTCGCTCAAAGATGTCTGTCAAACATCAGAGGCGAGACTTCGAGCGATGTGCCGGGTCGTGGTTTCGTTATCGTGTGTAGTGGGTTCGGAACCGACCCAGTGAGGAATCAATGAAAGGCGTGAACCGGCGAAGTGGTGGGATCGAACAATCCGGTAGCAGGGCAATGAAGCCTTGGAACGACACGGAATCTGTAGCAATGGAGTGTTAATGGTCGTGGTGGCCCTCAATTGCAGTGGATGGCAATGTTGAAACCATAGAGATAGGGCTGCACGTACCTGTTCCTGTTGCTGGGGGGTTGCTCTCTTCGCTTGAAGGTGTCGCTCGAGGTGAGGACTGGTTGGCCGATGCACCAAGCCAATGCTTTGTCCGGTCAAACTACTTCGCAAAGAGAATGACAGTCGCAGCCTTGCCTTCCTTACCTCGAGATCGAAGTCTGGTGATGGGTAAGATCAGGCTGGAGGAGTGAGACGCAGTTTGAAGAGGGGAGCAACGACTTTTGAATGGTGGATGCACGTTGTCGCCCAAACCACAGCAACCACCAGAGCACAGCCGTGCAGGCGATGGCTAGCCGTGCAGCACAATGACAACGCACGAGCGACGCCAAATGCACTAGTCAAACTTGTGCAAGCAAGGCACAAAGCACAAGGCACGGACTCAAGAACGCCAATGTGGAGTCGCTGCTCCAACCAGGATCCCGGTCGCGCACCAGTCCAGCTGAAGACGACAGGAACCCGCGAAGAGTGGAGGCCTGTAGCCGTTGTTAGGGGCGACTGCCCTCTGCGTCGGCGCCAAACCGCTGGAAGTCGACTGGAGCCCCAGTCAATGCGAACCGGAACCTGAACCTTCCAGTCATGTCCCCCCAGCGCTCAGGCTTCGAAGGCCTGGCCCTGGACAGGGCCAGGCACGCATGTCCTTCAGTGGACAGCCCAACCCCTGCTCCGGTCGCCCTGCCTTTACGGCAGTACGTAGTACGTACGTAGTACGCACGTACGTAGCAATTGCCCACCCCAGGCGGCGCTTAACTTATTAGCTGGTGGGGGCCAGCCGAATCCAGTTCGTGCCTGTCACGGTGCCGCCGTCATGTCTTCACCCGACCAAGAATGTTGTGGCCTGTTACATCATCTCCTTTGTCGCCGAAGAGCGGTGAACCTCCCAATAACGGCAGAAGCATAACTGTTTTTCATGGATCGGGATCTCTCGAGGGTCTATCCATGCCTCTTTGAGCCTTTCACGAACATGCTGCATGCACTCATGCAGCTAGCTATGAATTGCTTGAGCGTTTTGGGATGTCTGTTGACGTCGTCAGGAGGGCTGCATCTGGTTGCTACGTGGAACAAAAGCACAAGTTCGGTTTCAAGCCATGAAGCACATCAACACATGCGTGCACGATGTTCAACATCAGATAATGCCTACGGATACGCACACTCGCTACCTATGGAGCCAACATCTTGCTTCTGCCCTTTCATCAAGTATCCTATTTAATAAGCACTCGGGTCCAAGCTTCATGCCCAGTGACCATTGCTTTGCTCTACTTCTCAACAAAGGCTTCTTAGACTAATAGGCATCGTTCATGGCTATTTGGGGGAAGCCTTCTGTTTCTTTTCATGGAACAACCCGTCGTAGAAATCAGCGTATCCATACGCACGGTCGTATTCACCCGCAGCTCGACTATAATGTCATGCATAATAAAGGTTTCACTTGCAGCTTGTGCAGCGCTGTCGTAATTAGCGTCCCGCCATCCCTTGCTGGACCTTCGGTTCCCCTTGAAGCTCCCAAAAGCGGCTAGGGCCAGGATGCATGTCAGAGCTGAGCCCAGGAAGCGCGGGTCATCTTCATTCATTCTTTCGCCAACAGCCCGCTCACTGGGTCTCTGACTCTCTGGTGCTCGTCGGGAATAATATAGGGGCCTATCCCTTGTGAAAAATGGGAGCAGCGAAATGAACAAAATTTCCCTCCCTTCCAGGGAAGAAACCGGACCTGGCGAGCCCTTGCCAAGCCAACAGAGCACGAGACATCTTGGTCCTCGATTACTACTAGCCTCAGTAGATGACCCTCAGTCTTCAGGGTCTCGCAGTCAGACAATGCCTCGACCATCGCTTGGTTGAAGATTATTTGAGTCTCACTTGCTCAATCCGCTCGGCATGTGCGTCTCACAAAGGCAATTAGGTGTTTGCAATGTGCTTGTGTCGACTATAGCCTGGGCCAACCTTGGACAGATATGTCACTGCGCCTATGTGAGACCAGACCTCTGGATCTGAATGGTGTTACTGCGCTTCTGTCCCACGATTCTACCGCGTCAGGTACGCAAACGTGGACCCTAATCTTTGCCAGCTCGTGAAAACAGCAAGCCGGAATGATTCTACTAATCAGGAACCGAGGGTTCCGTACCAGCCAAACAAGCCATTCGAGGCCTGCCAATCAGTAATTGGCTTGTGAAATGGCTGGTTCAACATGTTAGGAGTCTAGAATCATCAGCATCTCATCTACAATAAGGTAATGATAGGCAAGCACAAAACTCCGAGTGCCACAGGCGAAAGGCGAGACATGACTCTTCTTGGTAGAAATTGCACAGAGCCCCCTTGCGCTTGAATTGGGGCGGGCTTGCACATACAACTGCAGAGTGCGTTGCCTCGCGCCCGGCCGACGTGTGCCGATGGTCGAGTGTCCCTTGGGGTCTCGACGCCTTGTCTTCGATCTTCTTTGTCTACGGATAATAAGATCCAGCTTTTCCTGGCTCGGCGGATTTGTGAAAATGGCATGGCGCCAGGTGTGTTCCGAATCGAATTGTCCGAGAGACTGACTCAGCGCTGCAATTTGCATTGGGTTGAGCAATCTTTGGCTTTCTGGTCTCTATCTGGAGGCAGACCAAGATTGACGCACGTTGAGGCGTGTCAATCGTCGATGAAGCGCCCGCGTGTCCGATCGCCCTATAACTGGGGAAGCCCACCATCAGAAGACGTCATGCCTAGTTGCCGCCATGATCGTCGTCGCACGCGCAACAGACGAGCGTCGCAGATATCTTGGCCCTGCGCGTAGGCAATAAATTGACCACCTATGATGCCATTCTCCAGGCTTTGTACGTGTTTCCCGGTTTGCGTTCATGCGCGAAACCCGGATCTCTTCGATCCCGATGAGGTTCGTAGGCACTATCGCACTAGCATACTCGAAAAAGCCCATTCCTCTTTGTTTACCTGCAGAAAACATCGAACAAAGAAGCGCATCGGACCTTTCAAGGAGTTGGTGCGGCTTCGCCGGCATCTCAATGACCTGAGGCTTGTTCAACTCCCTTCCAATCGCTGTTGAGGACGAGGGTTTCCACGAGCGCCGAGACTCGAGACAGTAGCGCCCTGGTCCCTTACTCGTCCACTGGAGGCCCCACCCATGTCAAGCCTCTCAGCGAACGCGTACAGCTGACCTTTTTCCCCCTCATCAAGGCTAAAGTATTTCCCCTCTATTAAATGCTACCGTCATGATGCGACATGCAGGAGCTGAAGAAGTGCAAGGAAGGGGCCTCCTGCATGGAGTATCACCGTGCGGGGTTCTCGGGTCGATTTATCGCTGACTGCAGCTGGTCCCCTTGTTGAAGCTTAGATGCGTACGTGCGGAAAGTAAACAGAGCCTCGCGAAGTAAACATATGCGGCGCGTCATCGGAGCGGGGCAAGGCTGACCACGGCGCGAGATCACGTGCCTTGGAACGAGCACCCCACATCCGCGTTGCGGCCGCAGGCTGGACTTCGGGTCGGATTTGGCGCTGCTCGGATCCGGGGCCCCGTCTTTAATTACTTCGAGTTTCTGTTCAACACCAGCACTTCGTCAAGTATTAAATCGCAGGCGATGGAAAGCATCAGTGTATCGCCCTTGGCTTGTAGTTGTAGAGCAGGCCTTGGATTAATGTCATGTTCTTCTCAACGCTCATACAATGCTGCATGTCCGGTGTTCGAATTCCACAATGGTCGCAAAACCTCATATCCCATTGCACCCTTGACAATGGTAACAGAGCAGCACGGCACAATCATAGCATGTATCTGTTTTCAAAACCGCAATGCTAAATTTTTGAGCTGAAGGAGTAATTGGATATCCTTTCCATAACCCGAGCTGGATTCACCGTTGAAGCCAACGCATATCAGTGAGTAGGCTAGGTCACTACAGGGTAGGTCGCGGGCTGGGTGTAAGCCTATTGTAGCAATGCGTTCACATGATGGCAACGTATGTCGATCCGTTGATACGAAATCACCACGAAATAACTGGGAGAGAGCAAAGAAAGCATGTGGACCAGCCTCATCATCTAGCATTAACTCACATTTGCTCGTCTTTAATGCTTGCACGCTTGACCGTGACTGAATTAGGTAGGCGGTGAAGACAGGACCCCGATACAAGTGGCACCAATGGCGGCAGAATCCGGGATTTTTTGTTCATCTCAGTGTCGGATCAACGATACAAGGTATCCGACTAGCCAGGCTCGATGCATTCTCATTGAGCGCAAAGTTTATCAGTGGTGAAGTCGCTGGCGAATACTTGTACATCAGCTTAAACGCAATATCCTCCTGCACAAGCTTGAACATTGCCGGTATGGCGCTCAAAAGGAAACGACATCAGCCACCGGCAAACCTTGAGCCACAGCCCTTTCCAGAGATACTGCAGCATGCGGACCGACAACGAGAAGCTGGGTTATATGACTTGCTTGGGAGCGAGGATGTCGAGGAGCGCATAGCCGCGGCGAATTGTATTCTCAGGAGCCTGTTTGAAAATGGCGACGGCAACGGAAACCCGTGCTCAGAAACCATCCTCACAAGACATCTCGAACATCGATTATTCCGCGGACTTTCCAGTGGGCGCAACGCCTCGCGTCCAGGGTTCAGCTTAGTTATCACAGAGATTCTCTCGCGACTCTATGGTGACACCGATACTCTGGCAGACCAGCACTACACAGGGCTGCCCTTTGAGAAGGTTTTGAACATTTTCAAAGACAAGACCAAATCCGGAGGCAACGTCTCCGGTCAAGAAGAGCGCGATTCTGCCTTTGGTCGACTCTTTGGTCTTGAATGCTTTGTGAGGTCGAACACACTCTTCCAGGCATCTGAGCGATGGCAGCCTGTTCTGGACATGCTCATGGAGCTGGCAACGCAAAAGGTGTGGCTCCGACCAGCCTGCGGCCTGGTTGTCGCGGACGCAATAAAGCAGATGGATCAAGAAGAGGCAACGGGGACATTGAAGAGATTCGCGGATGCTGGACTTGGGCGCACGCCGGAAGGCGTGGCTCTCTGGCTAGTGGCGCTCTCTCGGTTCCCTGAGATTCACGTGAAACCTTGGACACATCATCCTCTGGCCACGCAGTCGCTGGGTCATCTTGGTCAGGTCCTCAGGGAAAGCTTCAAGAACACCCCCGAAGAAGATGCCGAGGGACAAGTTGGTCTGAAGCAAGCGAACTGGACTGCGCAGTCGCACTTCGTTTGGGACCACATCATCGCTCATTACAAGAGGCCGGAAGTCGGAGTTGAGGATTTCCAGGAGTTCTGTGGTCGAGTTATAGACGGTAAGGGACACCCAGGCGACCTCACAGGCTGAATGCTGACCCTTCCAGACGCATTGTTCTCCAAGAAAGCAACGGACGGTCAAAAGTTCAAGGGCTTCAATGTCTTCTTGAAACTGCTTCATAGCTTTGCAGACCTGCCGGCGAAGCTCGGCTGCCTGTTCGGAAAGAACTTCATGGCATGTCTCATGAACCAGGCAGCTAAGGAGGACAGGTTCCTCCATCGCGCAGCTGTGAAGGCTCTGAAAGCCCTAGAGGATGTCGTCCGATCGCATCCCACTTCTTTACCAACCATTCTTAGTGGCATGATTGGCGAAAATGGTGCTTATAGCTTTGACTCCCGAACAAATACCAAGACTGTTGACAAGCTCCTGCAACATGTCAATACACGGACTGAGGAGGAATGCTTGGCGATCGTCAGGCAACCTCTCGTCAAGCTTGGGAAACTTCCCAAGCCGCAAGGGCAGGCCATCGTTCGGTCGTACATCGACTACCTTGCCAAACTGCTCAACTCATCAGGAGGTGATTCGACAGAGGGCCACGAGACAGGTGCCGCATTGGCTGAACTGGCTACCATTGCCTATTCGCAACCGAGGAATATCCCCACAGAGCTCTTGACAGATTCTATCAAGGAAAACTGCAGATTAAGACTGGAGACGGCCATCAGCAAGCTGATCCGACGAAGCAAGGACTTCACCACGTTCTGCAACGCAGTCCTGTCAATAGACAGTGCGGCCATTGACATGGCGCCCGAGATCCGCACGGCTGTCGATGATGCTTTGGCTCGCATGAAGAAGCTCATGAAACGCAAGACCAAGACCGAAGGGGAGAAGACCTCGGCTCTGAGCCTCGCAATGCTCCACGCCGTCTCCATACTGCGGTTGTACAACGAAGACCCCGATGCAATGGAAACATTGCAAGACCTCGAACAAATCGCCGAGCGGTCCAAAAAGGGCAGGAAAGATGAGGATGACGAGGGCAGCACGGAGATTCTTGTTGAGGTCTTGTTGTCCATGGTTTCACGGCCGTCAAAACTCATGCGTGAAGTCTCGCAGCAGATCTTCGGCGCGTTCACGTCACAGATGACGACGGAAGCACTTGAGCTATTGACTGGACCCTTAACGACCAGTGAAAGTACAAAGGGTCAGAAGGAGCTTTTCGACACAGCTGAGGATGGCGACGAGATCGTGGACGGTTCTGACGAAGAAGAGGATGCCGTCGAGGAGATGCAGGGCATTGAGCTCAACTCGGACGGCGAGATCGATTCGGACGTCGAGTTCGTCGACCTGAAAGCCGATGGGACCGAGGCCGACAGCGACGAGGATGACTCCGATGCTGATGACGACGACGACGAAGACGAAGACAGTGATAAGAAGCAAGGGCCGATGGATATCGATGATTTCGATAAACTCGTGGGTGATATCCTCAAGAGCCACCGACTCGACAAAGATGCGGATGCCGCTTCCTCGGACGACGATCAGGACATGTCCGATTCTGAGATGCTTGCCATGGACGACAAGTTGGGCGAAGTCTTCAAGCAACAAGCGAAGAGCAAGCCCGACTCGAAGCAACAGAAACGGGACGCAAAGGCTGCCGTTGTCAATCTCAAGAACCGAATCTTGGACCTGCTCGAAATCTTCATTAAGAATGAGCCCCTCAACCCTCTGGCATTCTCTGTTCTGGTCCCCCTGCTGAGCCTTATGCGCACAACCGGTGTCAAACCGCTGGCGTCTCGCGCGAGTGCTATTGTCGTTGACTACCAGAAGCGCATGAAGAAGGCTCGCAACAACAAGGAGGTGAAGCAGTCTGGCCTCACCGCCGACGTGATCTTCCCCTATCTGGCAGAGGTTCACGAGGAAGCGCGACAAGGCGGCGATTCACACGAGTACAGCAAGACGGCTAGTGCGGCGAGCTTGCTGTTGGCTGTGACGATGCATGTGCTGGACAAGTCATCCGAAGAGAAGGTCAATGATCTCTATAGCCAGACCTTTGCAGCAAAGAAGGGGCTGCAACTTGCCTTTTTTGCGGACTGGGAGAACTGGAGGAAGAATCGTGCGTAATCTTTTCCATAGCTGCTGCAGAAAAAAAAGGATATAATTTCTCAGACGGCGTTTGCCCGCAGGTAGTAGTAAGTAATTGATGAGCCGCGAAGGCATCATTGTACACCCAGAACACAAGACGTCAGATCCTCATTTCATTCAGTGACTTCATTATTCTATGACGTTGATGGTACAGCTGCCTCCTTGGGGCAGCTACTCCTCCATCTTCTCGTCCTTCTTCTCATCCTCTTCGTCATCTGACTCGTCTTCCGCCCTCGCTAACCGCTCAGCCTCCTCCTTGAGCTCTTGAGGCACCTCCATGTGTCGCCCGCCGGTCGGTCCGTCCACACCGCTGATCCATGACATCTCTAGCTCAAAGTCCTTGTCCTTGTTGTCCTTGTGTGCGTTGTAGATGATCTTGGCAGCCTCCTTGACCGCCTGCTCCAATGTGATGTTGCCGGCAGCGAGGTCCAGCTTCTCGAGCTCCGCCTTGGCTGCCTGTCTCCCCTTTCCGGTCGCAGCACCGTAGTACCCCCAGTACTGGCCACTGGGCTCAATCACGTAGAGGAAGGGGCCTCCGTGCTTCCCATCCACCTTGCCGCCCGCACCGGTGCTCGGCCCCGAGCCGACAACGCCGTCGATAACTTCGTCTCCGGAGCCGTCGACACCACCGACAATCGCTGTGATACCAAACGGTCGCACGGAACCATACATGGTGTAGGCTTGCAAGTAGCTGCCCATGCGCGAGGCGAGCTCCGATGTAGGGATGGGTGTCTTGAGGGTCTGGCGCCATGACTGAGCCTCGTCGCGAGCGCGATCAACAAAGTGACGTCCGTCGGGCACCATGCCTGAGTATACCTAGATACCTGTGAGAAGGAGGCAAGCCATGTAATTTGATGGATCATACCACTCCAGCATGCTCGTCGACCGTCGCAATGCGCTTGTTGGCACCCGGCTTCAGAAGTTTTGACCCGATGATCTTCTCGACAGCGAGGACCACGCCATCTTTGGCGCGGATGCCGATCGAGGTGCCACCATTTTCGACTGCCTTGACAGCATATTCGACCTGGAAGTTTCGGCCATCGGGCGAGAAGATGGAGTTGAGCAAATCGTAACCCGTACCTATGGACGTCTGGTGACGACGGTTATTCAGCTGCTCTCACACCGCGGGCAATGAGGGGTTGCTAGAGGAGAAGAGCTTACCATGGTGAGAGCTGTGCGGTTTGAGTGACTTGTGTAGAGAGCCCAGAGGTGAAGGATGTGAGGGTGGGCAGATCAAAGCTGTATGGTGCTGAAGGTGGGATGTCGAGAGCTTGCTCTTGTACCAGGCAACCTGGAGCTGCGTGTGTTGTCGTTAGACCGGTGGTGCATTAGCCACAGAGTGGAGTTTGAACGAAGTAGCCCGCCCCAAGCCACTTGTGGCGGAAACAGATCGGGATGTGGGAGCAGGTAGCTTCAAGCCTTGATATTCACCCCACATCCCGCTCATAACCAGGCTTGACAGTCGGGTTCGACTCGTGATCTATTGTAATAGGTACCTACCAATAATCATCGGAACTGGGTATTTGCTTCAAAAGAAACCAAGAGCCGAATATTAATTATACAGTCCGCTATTATCGTCAAAGCCAGCTCGCTGAAACTGAACCTAGAAGACAGAACTTGAAGGTGCCTACTTAAAATGGTGGAATGGGGCATCTGCCATCTGCACCGATGATCGCTACTAGGTCGAACTCGTGGAGGTGACCCATTGGATCGTCCTCCGTCAGGCTGGTAGTGGGCGGGTTGTAGGAGAATGCGCATGGTCGAACTGGTGTACAAACGATACACCCTAACGTTAGGTCTCATTAAGAGCGCCTTGGGTTTGGAGCATTTGACGCCTTCTTGTCTAAGGATGACCTCAAAGTCTTTGTGGAAGATGTTGCACGTCAAATCGAGGCCAACTCTGCGTCATGGACCCCTCCATCGCCATTCTTCAACCCTCCATAAACTGTGCGACGTCGTTGTCACCACCAGACCCCTCCCTCCATTGTGCACCACCCTTCAAATGGGCCACGGTTGCATGAGGCTTCATAGCTAATTTGAGTCACGAAGAATTCCTCGCGCCAGTTCTTACACTCACAGACTGAGGCACCATCATTCCCTTGGGGAAAAAGGACCCGTCATAGACGTGCCGAGACTTACCACCCCTTTCCCCCGCCATTGCTTGACAAGTAACAGCTGCTCAAGCCCAAAGAGCCCCGGTCTTGTGACCCAACGAAACCCAACCAGGCCACCGCCTTTGTTCACGTTCTCCTCGACAGAAGATTCTTCGGTTTAAATTCTTTCTTCTTGCGTTTATTAGACTGTCTTCAGACAAACCGTGCTATAGGACAATAGACAAATTTCGCTTTACCTGAGCGCGATACATTTGAAGACGACCCCAACAGCTTTCTGTTGCGCCTTTCCGAAGTCATAAGCATTTGTGTTCAGCATCACATCGCAAAAGCAGGAGTACCTTTTTCGATTTCGCTCTTGAGCCTCGACAAGACCCTGTTCATTTCATCACTTGCTACTGGACGAGTGTGCGTATCCGAAGTAAGGACTCTCAGATAAAACCATATCAAGATGACTGACGTCGGTAGACCATGATGGCTGTACAACCAACTCATGACGAGCTTGCCGCTCTGTTCTCACGGAACCTGACCTTCAACCCTGATTCTCGAACTGCTCAGGATGTCCCACGGCACATGGACCCCATCGCGGCGCCCTCATCGACGCAGCACATTGTTTATTCTATTTCACAGCATTACCATCATTCAACGCCCTTGTCTCCGCCAGAAATGCCCGAGAGACGATCATCAGAACCCGGACCGGGTGACAACCTTTCTTCAGAGACCATGCTTCGCATCCATGGCATCAACCCCAGCACACTGACGCCATCACAAATTCAGCTCTTCCGGGTTGCTGACAAGCCTCAGCAGCGACGGCTGCTTGAGCTATGGAGCATCTGCCCTCCTAACGGTGGCGGTGATATCCCAGCCCTCGCATGGAGCAGCACAACCGTGGAACAGGAGGAGCAGCTGGCCCAGGCCCGATATGAACGGCAGCAGCAGGAGCAGGGGATGAGCCTCGATGGCACCGTGGTCCAAAATCCGAACGGGCAATGGCAGCAACAGCAAGACTGCGAGCCGTACATGACCTCAGGGTACGAGGAACTCATGCGACGCGAGCGGGAGAAGCAACAAGCCTCCCAGGCATACACCCCTGCAACGGACCCCGTCTATATGGGCTCGGACTATGCTAGAGAGCAGCAGCAGATGCAGATGGCATCTCAGTACGGGGCCTTTGAGCACTTCCGCGGCACACCAATGGACGCCATGGATGTGATGTGAGGACTGCAGTAACCTTTCATGACTTGATAATTGAATTGCTGAAATCAGAGTCGGCCAGCGACGAGGGTTTCTGACGAGCAAGAGCATTGTAACGGGCGTTGAAGAGCAGAATACCATAAATACCATTCACAGGATAGTATCGAAATTGATTACAGACAACAGGGTATCGCGTATCCATCGGGCGCATAAGTCTAGCGTATATATTCTATGTTGGCCGTGGCTCATCTCTAGATAGAAGTCTTTTCCAACTTGCTCGCCAATGCATCAACACTACCATCGGCGACCGAGACAGTAGGTTCTTCCTGCGCCTCCTCAGCTTCCTTAACCAGCTTCTCGGCCTTCTCTTCCACGGTAGGCTCCTCTTCCTCCTCTTCCTCTTCCTCTTCCTCACTGTCAATCTCCTCAAGATCACTCAGACTGTCAACACCCCAGTCATCTTCGACGACAACATCACCGGCGTTCTTCTCCTTGCGCTCCTCCAGAAGCTCCTGGAGTGTGAGGATGGACTCATCGTCTTCAGAGAACTTGTTGCCGTTGAGTTCGATACGCTTAAGCGCGGGCAGAGCCTCCTTTGCAGCGGCGGCGAAGTCTTTCACGCCGACGGCGGTGATTTCGTTGTACTGCAGGCGCAGGGTCTCGAGCTTGGCGTTTTTCCCGCTGGCGAGCGCTGCAGCAAGGGCGATACCACCCTTGGCCTTCAACAGAGAGTCGCCAACGCCGAGTTCCTTCAAAGACGACCATCCTGTCACAACCTTGGCGAGTGCCCTGGCGCCCGTGACAGTGAACGTGTTATCCTGCAGATCAAGGACCTCAAGCTGCGGCGCAGTCTTCAGGCCCTCACTGAGTAGGTGGGAGATACCCTCGGGCCGAATACCATTCTGTACCATCTTGATAACCTTGATCTTGTTGTGGAGGCTGTATGCCTTAGCCCAGGCGGTCATGCTGCCATTCTCTAGACGGTTGCGGCCGCAAATAACGGTCTCAAGGTCGGGAACTTCCTTGCCTTCCTTCCTTGCCTCCTCCTTCTTGGCATGGAGCGCAGTGAGCGCATCCGCCACGAGGATACCGGCGTGCGGGCCGAGGCCATTGTTGTTCAGGTACAAGTGCTGCAGAGGCACGTGGGCTGACAAGAATCCCACAACGGGGGCTTGTGTGTTGAGGCCGAAGGCGTTGTCGTTGAGGTTAATTGTGTTTAGTTTCGGAAGGTTGAGGATCGATGTAAGGAGGGAAGAGAGAGCCTCGGGGATCTCGCTGAGAAGTCGGCCAGTGAAGATGTCTGCAAAGTTGGCGACCTGCGGGCGTCTGCGTCAGTCGTTGCTGTCGAAATCGGCCTGAATACATACCTTGAGATTCTTCTTGGTGGCCAGAACCTCTCCAAGAAGTTTGCAAGCCCCGATACCTAGGGTGTTGCCTAGGATTCTGACTTCTTCGACATCTTGTTCACGGAGGCCTGCGATATGAGGCTCGAGATCGGCTTCAGTGGTGAGCTTGAGGCCCTTTCCCTCCAGAGAGAAAATAGTCTTGCTTTCCGACATGTTGAGGACGATATGCGAATGAGGTCTCGCTCCGTGGATCTTTCGAAATGCGAAATGCGAAATGCTCAAGTCGCAGCGGGAAAATGTCCTGGCAAAGAAGGGGTTGTTTGTTATGGTGGGGGCGGGGCAACGACGACGAACACTGCCAAAGCTTGAGTGACCGAGTCAGGCCTAGCCGGGAAAGCAGAGGTGGGTCTTCGAGCCGGACAGTCTGGCCGGCTCAAGGTTCTTCCGAGATCCGGCCTTCGCCTGAATCTCCCGTCGTTGACGACGATGCTCCAGTCCTCACGTGATGATGGCCAATCAGCGTCGGCCCATTTCGGAACGCTGGATTTTCTCTGATGCCAATGAAAGCATGCGTCCATAGGCCTCGCCTGAGCCTTTTCGAACCTCCGACTCCGATCTCAACCTCCATCGCCGTTCTTTCCGATAGCGACCTCCCCTGCTCATCGCAGTCATATTGCCCATGATGTTGGCGAGGTCTTCTTTGCGCTCGACGCGCACCCTCAATGGGCTCCGAAATGGCGCGACCGCTGTCACCAAGGTATGCCACGCACCTAGTCCCGTCCCTTTACCGAGGAGGACAGCAACCACCACATATCCACGCCCGCGATCGCCATCACGACGTTAAACAATTGGAATTGGGCTGGGACCACGAAGAAGGGATGATGCTGACTAGTTATTTCTGCAGCGGACGATCTCGGCTAGCTCTGGTGCCGCGAAGGAAGCTACTCCTACTTCCATGAACATTGCCGCCGTCGCTTCGACTTCTCTAGCTGTTGGCTCCATCGCTTGGTACTACCACATGTATGGACCTGTGGCTCACGCTTCGACACCTGCTGAGGAGGGGTATGTGGACAACGACGCTGCTGGATGGTTCATCGCGGCACTCGACCAATTGTTGAGGAGCTGCGTGATAAACGTTCACGCAAGCCCAACCCACAATTGAGGACTGTGAGCTGACGAGACATGATAGTCTTCACCCCACCAAGTACCCCTGGGTTCATGAGCAGTGGTTCAAGACTTTTGACCACCAGGCGTAAGTATCGGCCTTGCTGTGCAGTCCCGAATAAGCTCGCTAATTACCCGTAGCTTGCGCCGAGGTTTCCAGGTCTACCAGGAGGTGTGCGCCTCGTGCCACTCTCTCAGCCGAATCCCTTACCGCACGCTTGTCGGCACCGTCCTGACCGTCGACGAGGCCAAGGCTCTTGCTGAAGCCAACGAATACGAGGGCGAACCCGATGAGCAGGGCGAGACCACAATGCGCCCCGGAAAGCTCGCCGACTACATCCCCTCTCCTTACAAGAATGAGGAGGCTGCCCGATTTGCCAACAACGGTGCCCTGCCCCCTGATCTGAGCTTGATTGTCAAGGCCCGCCACGGTGGCTGCAACTACATTTTCGACCTCTTGACTGGCTACCCCGAGGAGCCCCCTGCCGGCGCCGTCGTCGCTCCTGGCATGAACTTCAACCCCTACTTCCCCGGCACTGGCATCGCCATGGCCCGTGTTCTCTACGATGGACTTGTCGAGTACGAGGACGGCACCCCTGCCTCGACCTCGCAGATGGCCAAGGATGTTGTCGAATTCCTCAACTGGGCTGCCGAGCCTGAGATGGACGACCGCAAGAAGATGGGCATGAAGGTCCTTGTTGTCACCTCTGTACTATGGGCGATGAGCGTGTGGGTCAAGCGATACAAGTGGGCATGGCTCAAGTCGAGGAAGCTGGCATACGACCCTCCCAAGGAGACCAAGGTCCGTCACTGATCGAGATGCCGTCGGTCGTGTCTGGATTTGTACACTAGTCACCCCCTAGATCAGCTCATTTGTTAGCGAAGGCGGGCGGAACTGGGTTGGGAGATGAAGAGAGTTGGAGAAGGGAGCGGAAGCTAGAGTGTAAATCAGCTAAACGTTTTCAATACTTTTATTTTGTCCTAGCACAGCGTCTATTCCGCGCACTTCATCTATATGTTCTGAACAAGTCAAACAACCTGCCCAGCAAAAGTGTGACCGGAGTAGTAGCAGATGATTCCTAGACTCCGTGCTCCCGATGTGCGATTTAGTTCCGTAAGAAGACCGACCTCGACCGTCTGCTACGCTCCAGTCAATTCAGAGTCTCTGCGTCACCTGCCGGTTATAATGCTGCGAAGGGGCCTAAATGTTGGTCAGGTGGCTGGCGCACCGAATCCCGCTGATGCGAAGACGTTGGCCACTCATGGCCACGATAACCGCTTGTGGTGACCCGCCAACCAGCAGTCACTTAGAGCCTTAGAGAGCCTTAGAGGTACCCATCAAATCAAATCCCGACTGCATGGCAGCAACTGCATGTCCTCTGTCCTGCGTATCTCAACGTCCTTTCCAAGACCGACCGTCTCAAGCATCTTCTGGGGTGTGATGGGAACGTGCAGCCACTTTTTCCTTCGGAATTCGGAATCATCATCTGCTTCGAACATTTGCCGTTGACGGATTCTATCAACGCGCTTCTGTCCCATCGTGCTTCCGTCTGAGGCCGCTGCTTGTCCAGTGCTCTGGCCGCCATCGAGCTTTTCCGCAGACTGCACTTGGTGACTGTCTTCAACAACGCCAGTAACCGCCATGCCCTTTGTTGAACCGCCTCGAAAACGACGTCGAGACGACCAAGGCGAAGAATTCCTCTACAACTTCTTCAGCCCTAAACGGGCTCAGCAAGACCAGCTCAACAGTCCACGGGAATGGCCTCTCCGAAAGGTCATCCCATTAACGAGCAAACGTGCGAGATTCGACTATCGACCCCAAGAACACCTACTGCATGAGAAGCCGTACGATATATACCCCAAGCAAAAATCAAAAGGCACCAACCTGCTACTCACGCCGTGCCATATTTGCGGTGATCACCCTTCGAGGGTATCTCAGCTGGACGCTTTTGCTCATTGCCAAGGTTGTGGCGAGTGGACATGCTACGTTTGTATACGGCAATGTCAGGGCTGGATTGATGAAGAAGAATCCCATGCATCCATGATTCTTGAGCAGGAAGCCTTGTCACGATCATTCGAGATGAGGAACTTTGACGACGGCAACGTATCTCCCAAGACAAGGGTACCGTACGGAGAAGAACCGCAGAAAACAACAGGAGGAGCATCTTGGAAAGCGAAAGGACACCAGAGTATAATATGCCGATGTTGTTGCGTGGAGCCAAAGGAGACGGACGGGGAGGTTGCGTGCCTGGGTTGTTACCATCAATTTGCGGCCGCGATAGGCGTGTAAGGGGGGAACGACAACAATGGCATAGAGATGGTGCACTCTTCACCATATAACGGCACAGCTTTGCATTTCGACACGACGGATACCCATGAACAACACAGTAGAGTGGAACATTTTACTTCTCGACCTAGCATTGCATCTTCTTTCATCAGGGCTTACTGGGACTGGGACTGGGCACGGGCGTCCATGCTTTTGGTTTATATCGTCGGATCATACATAATGAGAAAGTAGTAGACGACACACAAATGCACTGCGGACGGGGCATGTTGAAAAGGGCCATACCTGGTGAAGGTTCACTGTAATGCAACATGGATAAACGCCGTCTATTCATCAATGAATCTAGCTCCGGCGCACCCAGACCCATTTAGTCGTACACCATGATGAACAAGCCCTGACCGGTTACAGAATTCCAAGCGCTTAATTGTATTGCATGTACGTCGCTGTCGAGTTGAACTTGAGGTTACCCTTGATCACCTTGTCGACAGCACTGAGGAAGTCCTTCTCCGACGCTACCTTCCTCCGCGCACGGATGGCGAACATGCCGGCCTCAGTGCACACACTTCGAAGCTCGGCGCCTGTGCTGTTGGGGCAGAGACGCGAGATCAGCTCCCATCGAATGTCGCGCTCGACGGACATGCTCTTGGCGTGGATTCGGAGAATGTTCGCGCGGCCTTCGAGGTCAGGTAGGGAGAACTCGATCTTGCGGTCGATACGACCGGGGCGCATCAAGGCTGGGTCGAGGGTCGAGGGTCTGTTGGTGGCGAACATGACCTTGATGTTTCCTCGTGCATCGAATCCGTCCAGCTGTGTGATGAGCTCCAGCATTGTTCGCTGGACCTCATTGTCTCCTCCGGCGCCGTCGTCGAAACGGGCACCACCGACGGCATCAATCTCGTCGAAGAAGATGATGCAGGCCTTCTTTGTCCGCGCCATCTCGAACAACTCGCGCACCATCCTCGCACCCTCACCAACGTACTTCTGCACGAGCTCAGACCCAATGACTCGGATGAAGGTGGCATCGGTCCTGTTGGCAACGGCTCGCGCGCAAAGAGTCTTGCCTGTTCCTGGAGGGCCGTACAGCAAGGCTCCCTTGGGAGGGTCGATACCCAGATTCACGAATCGCTCTGGCGAGAGCAATGGCATCTCGACAACTTCACGCAGCTTCTCGACCTGTTCTTTGCAGCCACCGACATCGCCATAGGTCACATCCGGCTTCTCCTCGACTGTCATCATGGTAACGCTAGCATCGATCTTGGGCGGTAGCGGCAGCATGATCTGGTACTTGTTGCGGTCGACGCCCACCCGCATGCCTTCTTCGATATCTGTCGGACTGACGCGCTCGCCTAGTTGAACGACGAACTTTGCGATTTGCTTGACGTTGATAACGTATTTGCTCTTCGACTCGTCGCCCTTCTCATCCGCGATGATCTTCGTGCATCGTGCGACCTGAAAAGGCTGTTCCTCTGACATGCGTTGGCGATCGGCAGCGACATCCCATAGATGGGGGGGTGCGAGTCCGGTATCTGATTCCTTGAGTACAGTCAGAACAAAATCTCTGAAACACGGAGCGCATGCTCGCTTACTTTCACGCCAATCTTCTCATTGACGCTTTGCTGCTTGTCTTTGATCTCCTTCTCGAGTTTCTTGAGGGCAGTTCCATATGGAGCGGCGCCATACGTCTTGAGTACTTGGATATCCCTAACACTGGTGAGCGGACGGCGACAGCCTTTGGAATTCGAAATCATACTCGTCGGTAAGAGGTGTGATCTTCTTCTCTTCTACCTCATCGTCGGCAAAGTTCTTCTGGTATTTTTCCCAGCTGGAGCCGGTCGCGGAAGGCTGTTGTTGCAGTCAGCGACATCTGTCATGAGGTGACGTGCGCAGGTCGGACATACCATGTTGGCAATCCGCTTGATCGAGTGATATGTATCGTGGAACCCTCAGTATCTGCAGTGAATATGAGTCTCTGGATGAGGTTGTTGTGGGCTGTTGAGGTGAGAGTCGTGGTCGTGATGCTGGATGGTGATGAAGGGCATGGAAGCCAGAAGCATGCCGTAATCTGCGTTGCCTTGAGCCTCGAGCTGCACGCACGGACCCTCGCAGTGGCAGTTGGAGCTGTGTCGCCCTAGCCCGAATAGAGCTAGTGCGGGACGTAGCTGCACCCGGAAGGGGATCATCTCGGGGTCCGAGCAGCCAAAAATTCTGGGATGCAATGGCGGAGAGAAGGCACATTGCTAGGGCAGAAAGTGGGATATCTGGAGGCTTCCAGCAACAACAGATTCGTGTTTCTCACCGCATCTCGACAAGCACAATCCCTTTTCGAGATCAAAGAAACCGGAGACATCCTTCAACATGGCTACTCAAGCTGCGCCCAGCGGCAACAACAGCAATGCCACTTTCAGAGTACGTCCAGCTTCTTTGAAGCTCCAAATTGCCCCGCTGACCGCGCCCAGGATAAGGAGAAGCCGATGGCGGTGCGGTCTTCCAACATTGTCGCAGCCCGAGGTATGCACACAACTTCGATAAAGACAGCTGAGGTACGCTAATCGCTTCGCAGCCGTCGCAGATGCTGTCCGAACCTCACTCGGTCCCCGCGGCATGGACAAGATGATTCGCAGCGGGAAAGGCGAGACGATTATCACCAACGATGGCCACACGATGCTGAAGAGCATGTCGGTCATGCACCCCACAGCTAAGATGCTGGTCAACTTGGCAGGAGCGCAGGATATCGAAGCCGGCGATGGCACTACATCAGTTGTTGTCATCTGCGGCAGCTTGCTCGGCGCTGCTGAGCGTCTGCTCTCCAAGGGTATTCACCCTTCCGTCATCTCGGATGCCTTCCAGCGTGCAGCTGCCGCCGCCGTCGAAGTCCTCCACGATATGTCGCAGCCAATCTCGCTCAGCGACACTGCGTCCCTTCTCCAAGCCGCCAACACGTCCCTATCTTCGAAGATCGTTTCGCAGTACTCGAACCTCCTGGGCCCCATGGCCGTCAACTCCGTCACCAAGACCATCGACCTCAAGACCGCGGAGAACGTCGACCTAAGGAATATCCGCATCATCAAGAAAGTCGGTGGAACGATCGAGGACAGTGAGCTGGTGGAGGGCCTGGTTCTGACGCAGCCCGTGCTCAAGAACGCCAACGGGCCGGTGAGGATGGAGAAGGCAAAGATTGGCCTGATTCAATTCCAGCTCAGCCCCCCCAAGCCCGACATGGAGAACACAGTTCAGGTCAACGACTACCGCCAAATGGACAAGATTGTCAAGGAGGAGCGTCTTTACCTGCTGAACATGGCCAAGAAGATCAAGAAGGCTGGCTGCAACGTGCTGCTCATCCAGAAGTCCATTCTGCGTGACGCCGTCAACGATCTTTCCCTGCACTTCCTCGCCAAGCTAGGCATTCTCACAGTGAAGGAAATTGAGCGCGACGAGGTTGAGTTCATTTGCAAGTCTACTGGATGCAAGCCTATTGCCGATGTCGACTCTTTCACTGCCGACAAGCTGGGATCTGCTGACCTTGTCGAGGAGGTCCAGTCCAGCGGCAGCCGCATGATCAAGGTCATGGGAGCCAAGGCTACCGGCAAGACCGTGTCGGTGGTGGTTCGTGGCGCCAACAACTTGATCCTTGAGGAGGCTGAGCGCAGTCTCCACGATGCTCTTTGCGTCGTCCGTTGCTTGGTGAAGAAGAAGGCCCTCATTGCTGGTGGAGGTGCTCCCGAGATTGAGATTGCGGCGCAGCTCTCGAAGCAGGCTCGCAGTCTGACCGGAACTGAGGCGATCTGCTGGAAGGCTTTCGCGGATGCCATGGAGGTTATCCCTACCACACTGGCAGAGAACGCGGGATTGAACAGCATCAAGGTCGTCACCGACTTGAGACACCGTCACGAGATGGGAGAGAAGAATGCGGGAGTGAGCATCAAGTCGGGAGGTGTCAACACCAACATCTCCAAGGAGAACGTCTTGCAGCCCCTCCTGGTGAGCACAAGCGCCATTGAGCTCGCCGCAGAGACTGTGAAGATGATTCTGAGGATAGACGACATTGCGTTGACAAGATAGAGAGCATGACACTCCGCCAGGAACCTGTATGATAATACCAAAAGGGGCAACCGCGGACAATGAAGAAATGAAACAACACGTAATGCCTGTGATCACATGTGTATGAATTTGCTAACAGGGCTTTATGGTCTTCCGACTGCTTGTGAACTATAAGGGAAAGCACTACTACGAGGCTCCTGCCTTATGGTCACTGTGGAAGTGAGGCCTGGAATTGACCCGTTGCGACTTCCTTCCGCGCCACTCTTACACAGGACCATGGCATCTGCCCCAGTCCTGAATCAACTCTTGAAGACTTACAATTTCTACGGAAAGCCCACTTCAGCAAGCAGCACTGCATTTCGGAAACACAAGATGCCACCACGCGCCAAGAAGACCCAGCAGTCTGCTGACTACGACTCGGACATTGACGGGATCTTCCAGGCTCAACAGCGAATCCGTGAGGTAAGGTATTCTGCAACTAGGTGAATTGACCATCTTTCCGACGAAGGCTCACCCCGCGTGTAGTTGAAGAAGGAAAAGAACGACGAAATACAGAAAGTCGTGGGCGAGACAGAGGCGCAGCTCGAGAAGCTCCAGAAGCGAATCCACACAACGATTGATAAGAAACACAAGCAAAGGCACGATAAATCCCGAGGCTCTTGACGTCGGCCACTAACAGCTCAACACAGCGCAAAGAACCATGCCGCAGACGTTGCTAAGCTTGCGGAAAGTGTCGAGAGGAGAGCCGAGATTGAGCGAGACATAATCAGCTTGACGAAAGCCATGTCGTCCAAGATGCACGAGCTTGAGACCATGATGCTTGAAGCATATGACCACAGGGTCAAGTCTGCCCAGGAATGCATTGGTCATGATTGAATAGGGTGTGGCCAGACGGTGGTTGTTCAGAGTAAATCGTAGCGCTATTCTGCGCTAGCAACAGGGCGTCGTGAGAAATCCCAGCGTCTATTGCGCCGTCTCTTCTATCGTTTTGCCCGTTGAGTACACTTATAGTACAAATCGTACACAGCTCCGTTGACGAGCTCCGTTCATCGCCTTTGTTTGATGTTACACATTATATCCAAACCCGGCCATGCAGGACTTGTATTGTTCTACCAAGCCCTTGCAGTCGGCAGCAGGATCGTCGGCCTTAGAGAAAAGCATGCACTCGTCGCGCTTCGCCTTCTCATCCTTGCATACGCAGCAGGGCTGGAGGAAATGTCAGCTTACGACTCGATTGTTGCGAAAGGGCGCAGTGGGCTGACCTTGGGCTTGGACACAGCGTCGGCCGCGGCTGTGACTGAGGTGGGAGCACCTGGTTAGATTAGCTACTGCCCGTTGGATCCAACTGTGTCTTCGTACCTGATGTGGCGATTTTGCCTTCCATGGTGTTGGTGTTGACTATCGACTGTTGCGAGCCCATGTTGGAATCTGTTGATGCTGACAATTAATTAATTGGGTGTAAGTTAGATCATGGCGACATCGAAGAAAGATGACCCGGGCCTTATCGATAGCGCCGCCATGATTCATAAGCCAAGGCTAACCAATGAGCGCGCGTCGCAATCTCGAATGCGCCAGCTCTCCAAGTGGTTGTACGATGTGGGATAAGCGTGAATCCGTTTCAACTGCGACAATAAGGCCTATGGGCAATCGCATGTGATGCCGTCGTTATCAGATTGTCCGTACATTAGCAAGAAAATGGCACTCGACGCTATCTCCTCGGCTTAGAAGTCATGCCGGCCCTCAGCTCAAGTGACATTCGAGCAACGGCGAAGTTCTACGAAGACTTGCAGTTTACCATCGGTGGGATACATTCAGTGTCGGATGAGATTGAGCCTACTTGGCTCTTCCATCTTCGCCGGCGACAAGGCAGCCGCCAACATCTACTTCCTGGAGTGAGAGCATAATTACCATCGGGAGAATGTCATCGCCAACAGCCGCCTGTGAGTCAACGCTGCGACTTGCAAAGCCACAAGTCGTCACTAGCCACACCCTGCGGCGGAACTTTCGCCTCCCCCACACCCAAACCAAGGCCACGACCAGCCGCGTGGCGAACCACGTACGCGACTCTCACATTCTAGCCAACACCAGCTTGTTCCACCCCTTCTTCCCCCATCTAATCACTTCCATCCAGGAGAGGCGATATTGCGAATCACCATACTGCCTAGCTGACTGTTGCGTGTCCCTGGCACTGCCTAGCTGGCTCATTCTTGTATATAGTCTTAGGTCTAGCTACTCGTGATACAGCCGTCTCTTTGACATCACTTACCAACCAATTCAATCTCCAAACATTACCATGTCTTCTCAAGCAAACAACAACAACGACAATGCCAACAACGGCATTCGGCCTCCTCGCCCGGAGGACTTCTTCGCCTCCTTCTTCCCGGGTCTGAACCCGCCCACCGGCAGCGGTGTTGATCATCGCGGCAACGACTTCTTTACCCACTTGGCCGGTGCCTTTCACCCTCCTCCTCCTCCGCCGCATGCTGGCCCCTGGGGCGGTCCTACTTTCAGCGGTGACTTTGATGACTGGAACCCTTGGTTGCACCACGGGCCCCCAAGGCATCCTCGTCGTGGGGGCGGCCCTCATCGCCATCGTCAGGGCCACGGCCATGGCCCTGGACCCCGAGGCCATCACGCCAGGGACGAGCAGCAGCAGCCTCGTGATGCGGCCCCTGCCAACGAAGACGTACCCGATCCCGCAGAAGTGACGCCCGACGAGGACTCACCCTCTTCCTCCCCAGGTGGAGCTCGCCAGTGCCCGCGCCGTGAGCAACAATTCAACCCCTGGGCGAATGCTGCGCAGAGGGTGAGCGAGGCTTTGAAGAACCACCTTCAGAACTACAACAATGCTGCCTCCTCCTATACCACGAACAACGGTCCCAAGAATGCCGACAATGATGTCGACTGCTTCACTCCCCCCATGGACCTTTTCGACGCCGTCACGACTTATACCCTGCACATTTCCCTACCCGGTGCAAAGAAGGAAGATGTCGGTATCTCCTTCGACCCCGAGACCGCCAAGCTGTCCATCTCCGGAGTCATCCACCGCCCCGGCGACGAAGAGTTCCAGAAGACGCTTGTAGGCAAGGGCGAGCGTACCGTGGGCATGTTCAAGCGCGAGGTTGAGCTGAAGGATGAGGTGGACGCGGCGGGTATCACCGCCAAGATGGAGGACGGCATCTTGATTGTGACCGTGCCGAAGGTCGAGAAGGGGTGGACTGAGATCCACAAGATCGAAATCGAGTAAGAAGAGATACTCTAGACACTGGTGGACAAGGTGATTAGCGATGTTGCTTGGGTTCTTACTGGAATTTGCAAGATTAGCGTTAGATAATCAGGTTCTGAAATATGCACTTAATCAACAATGAAAGATATGGTAATAATCTTGCCGTGCCAGTCTCGTGGACTTGGAGTGGTGGTAGTGACATGTCGAGCAGCCAGACCAATGTTTAGTAGTGTTTGATAAAGCCTTTCCACGATAATGACTTAGCCACCCACTATTATCTCACAAGGGGACAAGACATCGACGGTCGCAACGTTTTGTCGATCTAGCTCAGGATATCACTAGTCTTTGTAATACAATCAATTTACACGTACATGGTATTATGTGTGCTGTCGAGATTCCAGCGCCCCTCCCACCAGAGTGTCTGTCGTTTGCCTTGTACGCCTCAGGTGCCGTGGGAACGCCTCCAACGTACATGATGAAAAAATATGTCAAATTACAAAATCGCCCTCGATGCCAAAACGCCATGCTGCAAGGCAGATTTACAATATCTTCCACAAGGCTTCCGCGAAAATCAAATGCTGGTAGAGGTCACAATCAACGGCTGCGTTGCACGCTAGCTCGGTGCAGCCAGCAAATGTACACTTAGTGCCTCCATACGGGTTTGTTGTCTTTGGGTGGAGCTTCTTTTCGTCGCATCGCTAAACGAGAAGCTGTCAAGGCCTGGGGGCTGGCTCGCCCGGTACTGCTTTCTCGGCGAGCCGTATTCGTAGGTTTCGCTTGCGGCAGTAGGCTGGTCCTACGCGATGTCGATGCCAGCGAGCTCGCTGGCCGGCTGGGATGGGCCTCCTCCATGGAAGAAAGAGCTCTCGGCGGTTGAAATGAAGCCCTGCGGTTCGAAGAGGTCGATGAACCGGCCGAATCGACCGAGGCGTTTGATCCTTGTACCGCCAAGCGTGGTTGCTGCATTGGCTGGTGTTGCTTGGGGGTTGTCAGGCGTTCGCGGAAAGAAAGTCGAGAGTGCCCAGTTCTAGTGGGAGTTTCATCGACCTTTGGTGATTCCGACGTTGCCCTGCTGAGCGGGCTACGGTACATAGGTAGTTTGGATGTGCTCGTTGACCCAGGTGTAAATGACGACACAGAGCGCTGCGCGTGAGGTGAGTTCTTTGCGTAGGGGCTTGGTGTCGTCAGGCTCAGCGGTTTGAAATGATGCCCAGTGTCAATGGACGAGGTGTTGGTTGACGTGTTCCACCTCGGCCGATAGCCTAGAGTCGAGCTTGGACGCTGAATCTGGCTCGCTGGCCTAGGGGTGGTAGACGATGAACTAGAGACTGTGGCCAGACGCGAGGCGCCACCTCTTTTGGCAGCGTACGCGGGAGCTGGCAGAGATGACTGTCTTCGATATGCGACTCCATCATTGCGAGTGTTCCCCGATCGGCCCTGGGAATGAGGTGCATACGGTTCGACACCCAGGCTGGTCATGATTTCGGACGACGGCGGCGAACTGCCAGGAGTGGCCTGGCTGCTTCCCAGTGGGGACCTGTCGCTCGAAAGCATGGTTGAGACCGAATCGCGAAGCTGCTGGCTCTTTCGCTCAGCGTGGAGCTCCTCGCAAGCAGCATCCATTTCGCGTGTCTGTTCTTTGAGTGACGACCACCGTGCCTCCAAATCAAGGTGCAGACGCAGGATCTCACCATTGACTGTAATGCGATCCTTGACGCCCTTATCAATGATTGACAAAACTCGCTCAATGGCAGGGCCATAGTGTGTCTTTTTGGCCTCATAGCTCTCCAACTTCTTGATCAGCGCCGGACTGGTCATCTGAGGCTCAGCATCCATAGCCTCGCGTAGCTTGGCCAGGGATCTTTCGACTGATTCATGCATCTTCTGAGCCTGTCTTCCCGCCCCGCGGAACACAATGACCCAGCGGTCCTCACCAAGCTCTTTGCGTAGCGATTCGGCATCCTTCTCGAGTTTCTTGTAGCTCGCGTCCAGCCCTGTTCTTCGCATCTCTAGCTCCTCGCACGCAGTCGGGAATGCATGCTCGGCTCGAGTCTGGAATACCGAGAGTCTCATGGGCAGGAAATCAAGCGAAGCTCTCAAAGGCTGCATGCGAGCAAACAACGCCAGAAGACTTGAATCATCCTGCGACAGTGTAGGCGCGCCCGGAGTGTTCGGAGCGCCGGGCGAGCCTGGACTCATCGAGAAAAGAGGAATGCTCAGGCGGTTGTTCGCTTTGCTCTTGGTGATTTGCGGCGGAGTATCCTCGATGATTGTCTCAAGATCACCAATGTCCACGCCGTCGCCTGCCGCTGCCGCTGCGATGCTTTTGTGTCTCCTTTCCTCCATCTCGAAGACTAGGCGGGCCAGTTCGTCCATCTCGCTTTGAATGTCGCCCAAAACGTTGTTCCAGAGCTCTTCCCATTCCATAGCGATTTCCACCTGGCCCCGAACATTATGGAGTGTTGACCGAATGCTGCTCCATTCTCCTACAATGGCTTCCATTTGACTCACAGCGCGTCTCAAATCTTCAGCGGGCACTTCCTGGATATCTTTTCGAGACTGAAGCCTCTCAATGGCGCCGACATAGACGTTGATCAAATCTTCGAACCGAACGATCGCGTTCTCAACCTCAGTCAATCCTTCCCTGCCTCCAGCTGCCGACCATTCCACATCGTCATCGCTGTCCAAGCCAGAAATGACCTCGGATGCCTTTGAGATCCAACTCCGAATCTGGTCGGCGGCGTTGATCAGGGCCTTGGCAGCAACTGTCGCTGTCGGAATCGCCGACACCTTCTCGGATAAAGAGCCAGCATCTGGTAATTGTAGAGAGGTTAATTGTGCAAGTTGGTTGGCGAAAGAGGCACGCGAAAGTGTATATATCGATCCCGGACGGTTGTGGCCAGGTGTGAAGTAGGACCCTAGCCCAGGTGTGAAGTCGTTTGAAGCTGAAGTTGATGGCGGTGTCACTGGCGGTAGAGTTTCTTTCGGGGGCGGTGTTGGAGGTTTATCGGGTTCCTCTCGCGCTACTGGAGGTGGTTGCGTGTCCCGCTCGATGTGCTCTCGACGAACTTCGGGTATCGACTTTGTGCCATTGCCGTTGGCATGGTCAGGCAAACGGTACTTTTGCGTGTCCATGGCCAAGGGCTCCGGCAGCTCAATGTCGGGAAGCTGGGGCTGTGACTGTTCAAGTTGACACGAGGCCCCACCGTCGACAAGCGAGTCTGAAGTATTCTCTTCGAGGTCGGGTTTTCGAGAAAAGATGGTTAACGCACCAGCGCCCTTCCAAGGGCGGCCGCGCCTGACGACCACGGATTTGGTAGAACCTTGTTGCAGTTTCTCGTCGAGTTCGCGGAGCTGATCCTCGTTGAGGCGACCGATGCTATCGAGAGGGGCTGTTGTCGTTGTCGTCGAGGGCTTTTCTCCGGTGCCGAATCCAAGTGCTTTAAGCCGCGCCGCCAGGCCTGGGGATGGTTTTCGGATTGCCGATCGTGAGGTGGATGGGGTTGCGGCAAGTGTTACATTCGGCGTTGACCACAAACTGTCGTGTCGCGTCGTTGAATGCGAAGAGGACGAGCGCGAGGCAGGGCGACGGGACGTATTATTGTGGAGGGTTGGGAGCGAGGAGGAAGCAGTGACTCCAAGGTCAGAAGCGGAGGAATTGAAAGGCAGGTGAGATAAATCGCTAGACACGTCGCTAAAGGTTAGGAGTGTTGCTGCATTATGATCCTGCCGGTGCTTGCTGGCTGCTGCGTCTGTATCTGCATGCGCCGTGGGGTGAAGCTGGGGTTGGGATTGGACGCAGACCTGTCGCTGCTCGCTGACGTCCGTCCGCTGGAGCTCCGTTGGAGCAGCGTTGGCCAACGGATCGGTGTCGCTTGTCAAGCCAGATTCACCACTGTTCTCGTTTCCAATCAACGCATTATCGTAAACACGAGGCTCTTGGAGTGCTTCGTCCAGATCCGAGATACCGGTTTCGCTGTTGGTCATTGAACTGACGAAGCCCAGCCTAGGGTGCTTAGCCCCTGACTAGTACGGAGGGCGAAGGCCAGAAATTGCCAGGCAAGAACGGGGCTGGCAAGGACCACTCAAGCTGAGACACGACACACTCGCCGTGCCCCTCTAGTTCCGTCGACTTTTGGTGATAGTTGGCGCAATGCCCAAAAAAGCCCAAAAAATCGGAAGACGGAGCGGCTGGCTTGCCTTCAACGAAAGCTGTGCGTTGTGTAATCGTGCCTCCTGAGTAGGTGCGAGAGAGTCGATACGTAGTCCTAGTCTTGGTCAGGTTGTTGCGGCACTGACAGTACTGTAACAAGATGGAGAGATCTGTGAATGCTGCGCTATGAGAAGTAAATGCGCTGTCTGAACCGACAGACTTGGGGAATCTAAATGATAGATCGCAATGGGAGCGCGCGTTGGCTTTGTCGGAGATTCTGAGATATAGTGGCGGCAAATGTCGTTCGCGCAGTTTGCGCAAGCACTCCTTGGGTGATGTATGTGAGGGTACAATGGTTTCCAGGTGGTCACCCAAGAGTGAGAAGTTAGGAGAAAGTTGTGGAAAGGAGAGAAAAAATGTAGAGATGTAAAGGCGGCCGAAGCTGATGGTTGAGGAAGGTTGTATGCTGTTTGAGGGAACAAACGGGAAGGTGCAATAGCAGCACCAAACAACCTGGGAAACGAGCGGATTTAGGTGACAATGAAAAGAATGATGAGAGATCTGGAAGGAGGGCAAGTTGGACGACAGGCGAGGGTATGTAGCGCCGGAGGCAAGGGAAACGAAAGTCGCTCGATAATTACATGCGAATCGAAAAGAGAGTCTCAAAGGCTGTCTCAGTGACGAACGAAGCTTGAAAGCTGGGAGGTTCGCGATGATCATTTTAGCTGCCGCAGCTCTTTCGGGACTAGCGCCGAAGCTACCAGGACCAGTTCCAGTCAGGGACTCGGGCAGCTTCATCTCCATGTCATCTTAATATTGCAAATTTCGAATGACAGGGAATCCTGGGTTGCACTACGCGGCTATTTCCTGTCATCCCCATAGCAGACCATGCTCCTAGCCATCTAATTACTACTTGGACTGGCGGGAGGACCGTGGTTCCGAGCTCAACAGACATCGCGTCTACTAACTATTATAGGTCTTAGAAACCTGCACCATCCTGCATGATGCGCTCCAATCCTCGCATCGTCGAAGTGCATATTCTCATACTGTGGTCTAGAGCCAGGCCGGGCACAACATTTATCTGAACACATCTGTCCCGGCCCCAGCTTGTGTAAAACTTTCGACGAACGCCCACGCATTGCGCGCCCAATTGGTATCCCGTCTGTGACATGCTCCTGCGATCATGGATGATCACATATTTCATTACTTCCTCGACGAGTGTCGAGCTGTGAGTGAAGCGACAAGCTATGTGGAGATCTTGAATTATTCGGTATGTGGGCGGCCTGCCGAAGTCTACGAAAGAGCACGGTGCTGACACGGATCACCAGGACCCGAAATGGAACACTTGCGAGCAGCATGCATTGACACTCGATGAATTTGAGAACTTCTTGCATCGGAGGGTTCGTCAGCATTGGAGACCTGTCAATGGCCAGCTACTGATGCGATACAGGGGGCCTTCGCGCCTCCCGAAGGGTTGCCACCTGGTGTGAGACTGCTCAATGCCTTGAGGCTGGTGTAAGTAAAGCTCCATGCCCTCTCGATCTGGCGATGCGACAGTAGCTCACCTCAGCGATCAAGAGTACAAGTCAATGCCAAGCATCCAGACACCTTCGCACCCAAGGTTTTATCCCTCCCCAAGGAAACCTACTCAAACATGGTCAATGCCATGAGGCTGCCGCAAAAGGGCATTGAGACAAGTGCTGTTGTCGGACCATTCTTCTGGAGCTCGCTAGATCATGACGATGACGACCCCCATCTTCGTAGGCCAATGCCCCTTTTGTCATTGGTGTTTCTTCACTGACACCATATCACAGACGTTGTTCACCGCAAGTCTGATGTGCGAAAGAAGGGAAAGACGCGCGGATGGGAGCTTCTCCTCTCGCACTCGTTCAAGACATCCGTGACCAGCGGGTTCATGAAAGGCACACCAACATCGGACGTGCCCCTCGCGCTACGACACATCACCTCAACTCCCTCCGAGACGGGCCACCCTCTTCTCCTTTCCCTCTTCTTTCTATCTCACGACCTGAACCCTGCCAACGACCAGAAGCAACGCGATGCAAGAGACTGGCTGAGGAGGCTAGAGAATGCGGTGAGCATGAGGGACGAGGTCGACGCCAGCGAGACTTACTTCAAGGATGATGGCTTTGTGGAGATTGACGGCCTGAGCAGGGACTTGGTAGAATGCCACGGACATGTCATGTGGAAAAGACCACAGGCTTACGCAGCGCTATGTGGAGAGATCAAGAAGGCGCTGGGACTGTTCGAAACGGAATACAGAAGAAACCTTGGCGATGGTCAAGGAAAGCAAATCCTAAAGACGCACCGGCAGTTCCTGTCAAGGGTCGATTTCTACCTGGCGAAACTCAAGGGGCTGGAGAACTACATCTGGACAACTCTTGAGAGGCTCAAGGTTCAACGAGAAGGGGTAAGCACGCAAGTCGTTTTGGCCATAGGCAAACTGACAGAGACAGCTGTACAATATCCTTTCTCAGCGAGAGGCGAGACTCAACCTCGAGATCGCTGGTGAGCAGAGGAGGATTGCTCACGCGAGCAAGCGGGACAGTACGGCCATGAAGACACTCTCGCTACTTGGCGCCCTCTTCCTGCCAGGGTCCTATCTTGCCTCGGTCTTCGGCATGTCCTTTTTCAATTTCGAAGCTGGTAAGTCCAACACGGGTATGAGTTCTGTGTGGACCACCTCAACTAACATGATCGCGCGAAAGATGCCACTCCCGTCTCGGTTGACTTGTGGATCTATTTCGCTGTCACGGTACCAATTACGGCTTTCATAGTTGTTGCATGGATCTGGTTCGATAGAAGGCGAGAGGCACAGCACAAGAAGGATGATGCAGACTTGGAGCGGAATATCGACCAGATGGAGAAGGACATTATGCGTAATCTACGCAAGAGGACCATGAGCAAAGCGCATACTTGGAATACAGTCACCTCGCCGCCAAAGGCAGGATGAGCGTCAAATACACACATGCTCGTAGAACAAATATACAATGGAATACAAAAAGGCTGTTTGTGTGTCAAGTTCTCCGCAACTCCGGGCCCGTCCATGCAGGGTTGTAGAGGGCCTCCCGCTATTACATGTTGTCCAAAAACAAATACAAGGGAGCAAGTCTTACAGTCTGATTCCGCTATCACCGCCGAACCATCGCCGGATGTCTGAGTTGTTGCGCTCGCCGCCACCTGGTCGCTCTTGTGGCTGTGGGCCACTCTCAGCGTCATCATTACCTCCCATCCACTTGGGTTTCTTGAAATCTTGCATCCACCGGGGGGTGTCGATGGTGTCAATAGTGTTCTTCATGCGATGTCCAATGATTGCAAAGATATTGTCATCTTCCGGTTCTTCGAGACGTGATGTCCTTGAGGATTGGCCCGCGCGCCCGTTGTTGCTATTGCTCGCCAGTGCAGGACGGACTGGCGAGCGAGCCGGCGAGGTGCCTTGTCTTCGCGCCGAAGGGATGGAGAGAACGGGTGCAGAATGACTGGGGTTGCCGGTGGCACTGGCTAGGCGGGTGAAAGCATCCTGCCGACGCCCAGTTGTGTTGCCGCGTAGCTCACGTTCAATGAGGTCCCGACCCTCACGCCATGTTCCCGTACCAAAGGCTGAAAGATTCTCCTCCTCATCTTCGACGACATCGAGCCCAACAAAAATGCGCTTGATTTTTCCGTATACGCCAAACAAAGTGGCAACGACGGGAAGCAAGACGAAAACAGGCAACAGATCGTCGAACCAGCGACCCAATGGCGTCAAGTCGATGGACTCACCAAAGAACTTGTAGAACACTGTTTTTGTGTACACTCTGCGGACCAAAAAGGTCATAAAGTTGTAGGAGATGGGTACTGTAAGCTTCGCAACTTGCAGAGCGTACCAGAAGGCTGACTCGTAGGCCGTGTTGCGCTTCACAAGGGCGCGCCCACGCCAGGTCTTGACCTCGGTCATGGTGATGAGCGCAGCAGCGCACATGTAGCAGATCCAGAACGAGGCGATGCATTGCCCGGCAAAGCCAACCTCGGCTTTGTCCTTGCTCCAATGGTGGATGACGGTAAACCGAATAACGGAAAGCCTTGGGAATGCCACCTTGATGACTTCTGACCAGACGATGCACGCCGACGATGCTGCGAGGAAGAGGCCCAGCAGCACATGAGCGTAGGGCAGCACTTGAAAATGCAACATGTGTCGGGTATACGGTGTCAGGATCCTGGTCCTCTCCCACAGGCCCGCGTGAGGGTCGGCGTCGCCGAAATCCAGCTTCTTCGAGGCTGCAGAATCGATGATAGCCTGTGTCTCTGCGGCTTCTTGGATCATGTGGTTCCACTGGCTGACGTATCGCGAGCGGGTATGTCGGGCACGCATGAGGTTTCGGGTCAGGTCCGCAAGGTACTTTTCGGTGATCACGGTCGGGATGATTCGGTTTGACGTGGGATCGATTGTCGTCGGTGGCGCATGGTGCTCGCCCACGTCGGCCATCTCCTGCAATTCCTCGATCCAGTCCCTGAAGTCGGCAGCGCTGCCCACCTTGCGCCTGCTTAGCTCCGACACTTGATACTCCAGCTCTTCCAGATTGACCAAGGAATCCTGCATACGCTCGTACAATCGTGGTGCCTTGGTTTGTAGACGGCGAAGTCGACCAGTAATGCTGGCGTTGCGAATCAGGCGGCGGGGTATTGACACGAGTCCATGACCCATGAGGTAGATGGCGAGAACCAGGCCGTAGACATAGCCCAATGCCATGACCAGGCCCTTGAGCGAGGCGAAGTTGAAACCATACGAGATGACCACGTAGATGAGGCCGAGCAGACTGGCCAACAGGACCATACCCATGAACTGTGCGTTCGATCGTAAGGAGTATGCCAGCTTGGCGCTTGGTTCACGGTAGCCCGAGTCGGAGTATTCGGCAAGGATGGGGAGAAGAAACCTAGGCCCGTAAGCTGGAGCAGAGAAGACTGGAAGCAGACAATCTTACCATGTCAGGACAAATGTCAGCCAGTACGTGATGCGCCAGGAGACGAGAATGGCTCGCTCGGGAAGCCACATGCCGCGGGAAGCATCATCGTCCGTGATTGCGCTCGATGCCAGGTCGATCGGGACGAGAACTACTACCACTGATGGTAACCATAGTGCAAAGAATATGGGCACGAGGTAGAAGGCAGGGGTCGATCGAAGTGGGAGATAGTGTCGCAAGATGCCAAGGACGACGAGCGATATGACGAGGAGAGCGCAAAGCGCAAATATCGTAGAGCCTATCGGCGAGCTCTTGCTTGTAATTTCCAACATGATAGTGGTACTGATGTCCACGCCATGCGCGCAGGTGTGAAGAAGTTTGATTGATGTAGAAGAAGGATTCGAGGAACCGCATTCTTGTTCTGGCCAGCCAGGGGAATCCTGCACGCGCACTTGCTCAGAAGTCCGACGGCGTTGACGGGAGGATCCACTTTACATCACTCAGGCTCATCCTGCACGGCACTGCACTGCATCCAGTGCAGTGGAATCACTGGACCACTCGCTGAATCGCGGCGCTGACGGTCTGCGTGGGTGCCTAAGCCGCAAGGCACTTCTGCATTCCTTTTCGTCTTCAACCGCGTAAAGTAGGACGCGTCTGGCTTCACGCGAGTTTCTCTAACTAATTCTGAGGGCGTTGTGAGCAAGAGTAAACTTATTCCTGCGCAACTCATCTCAATCGCATAATTTGGACATTGATTTATTTCACAGCTAGACATTCTCGCAATGGCTGACGGAACAGACATGGAGGAGTGTGAGTTACTCTGCGTGATGGAACGCTCATCGTGCTGACTTTACACAGGGATGGTCAGCTCCAACGAGGCGCTCAGCATCTCGCTCGTTGCGCCCACAAAGTCTGGCCTTCAAAACATTACGACTTTCAACCCAAGATTCACATACTCCATATTTGGCGAGGATGAGCAGATCTTCGGCTATAAGGGCCTCAAGATCAGCCTGCGGTATCGCGCAAATGATATGCGCCCACACCTCAAGATCTCGTCAGCCAAGAAGATCAAGCCTTACGGCGACAGCGAAGCGGATGACGTGCTCGCGATTCTGACGGAAGGCAATTATCTACCGAAGAGTGCGCCTCCATAGTCATCACGATGAATGTGGCGGATATGCTGACAGACATAGTTGCCTACTCCAAAGAATCAGACTTCGAGGAAAGTTCAAAGCAGGTTGTAGACGACTTCACACCGCCCGGCGAGCTCCACGATACATTCGATGGCCCTGATGGTCATTACGAAGTGTGGAAGGGGAGTCTCGCGGACCCTGCTGTGAAGCAGCTCAACACGCGGGTGCAGATGCTCGTGCCTCTGTTCATTGAAGGCGGCACTTATATCGGTCAGAACGACGAATCGGAGAGCACAGAAGACGAGATCAGCGATGCGGACCGATGGACATTGTTCTCGTTGTATCGCAAGGATGAATCTGGGTATGTCTTTGTAGGCTACTCGACCATCTACCGATTCTACTGGTTCCAGAACCCTACACCCCCTGCTTCGCCCCGGGATGGCTGGGAACTGCCAGAGGGCAACCTGGATCTTGCCGAGCTGCCCTGTCGCAAGAGGCTATCCCAATTCATCATCCTGCCTCCTTTCCAAGGAAAGGGACACGGCGCGCAATTGTACAAGACGATCTTCGCGCAATACCACAAGCAGCCGCAAACACAAGAATTCACCGTGGAGGACCCGAATGAAGCGTTCGACGACTTGCGAGACATTTGCGACCTGGAATTTCTCAACAGCATACCTGAGTTCAGGGCGCTCAAACTAGACACGAGCGTCGAGCTTCCCGAGAAAGGACCTCTACCAGACCTGATCGTTGGTCAGAAGAATTTGGAAGGCATCCGCCAAAAGGCCAAGATCGCACCGAGGCAGTTCTACCGTGCCGTCGAAATGTACCTCATGTCACAACTGCCCGACTCGGTCCGTCCCACAATGGATCTCGAAGCCGACATTCCCTCCCCCACCAAAGAGGACAAACACCAGGAGTTGCTGTGGCAGCTTGTCGCCAAGCAGCGCCTCTACAGGCACAACAAAGATGCTCTGTCGCAGATGGAGGTTGACGAGCGCAAGGAGAAGCTTGCAGAAGTGCTGATTGGTGTGGAGCTCGGCAACGCGCGTATCCTGGCCGCTTATGAGAAGGCGATGGAACGCTCGAAGGGCACTGCTGATGGCAAGCGGAAGCTCGAGGGTGCCGAGCAGAGTGCGAGTAAGAAGCCCAAAATCTAAGGATCTGATTGTATGATATTTCGATGTGGCATTGATACCAGGCCAGCGGCCTCTGGCGTTTAGGGACAAAGAATATGCGTGCATCATAGCGGACAAAACATCCGCCTCTATCTGTGGATTGGTTCATCATTTTTTAAATACTTTTTCGAGCCATGACCTCTATAACCTTGACTTGTGAGACACGCATGTCTGCGTCTACTCACTGCGGCGGCTGGTTGGAAGCAAATCTTGTGCCATTGACGTTTTGGACTCCTTGCCCCAATTGGCTGGCAACAACCGTCGCCTCGCGCACAGCTCTCGAGATGGTGCCCCTGGCGCGGCCCTCCTCAAGAACCATCAATCCACCAATCGTGCACCCGCCGGGCGTGCAGACCTTCTCTCGCAGGACGGCGGGGTGCTCGCCGCTCTGCACAAGACCGGTAGCGCCTCTCATCGTCTGTGTGGCCATGCGCCTGGCCTCGGCGCGCGGCAAGCCCATCGCCACGGCGCCATCAATCGCAGCCTCGAGCATGAGCAGGAAGAACGCAGGGCCGGATCCGCAAAGGGCTGTCGAAGCGTCCATGTTGCCAGGGGGCAGGTAGACGACATCGCCGATACGCTTGAAGATCCAGGTGACAAGAGCCTGGACATCCGAAGGCAGAGGAGGCGTTGTGGACGCAATGACCGTCATGGACTCGCGGATCAGGGCGGCGGTGTTGCACATGGCGCGGACGATGCGGCAACGGCCGTCCTCGGAAGGATCCTTGGAGGGGACTGCTCCGTGCAGAGCAACCTCCATGTCTTCCACGGTCACACCGGCACAGACACTGATCAAGAGCTTGCCGTGCAGAGCCTTGGCCATTCCTGGCTCGGCAAGGAGACCCTTGACCATGTACGGCTTGCATCCCAGTAGCACAACCTCGGATTGCTGGACGGCGCTGACGTTCTCGTTCTGGACGACCTTGAGGTTTGACGAGTGCTCCCAGAGAGCCGACTTGACGCGCTTAGCGCCCTCGGGGCTGCGGACGCAAGCGATGAATCGAGAGGGCAGACGAGGAGGGACCTCGTCAGCTGGTGCTTCGTTGGGCGTTTGGAGGGGCTTGGGTCCGTTGATCTCGTGGAGCGAGGTGAGGATACCGTTGAGGATTGCGATGCCCATGGTACCTATAGAGTCAGCGCGAGTATAAGGACTTGACAGTGAGGTCCTTACCGCATCCTAGGACGCACATGGTGAAGTCCTGATTCTCATTGCCGGTCTGCGTGATGGAAAGCATCTTGAAAGATTTGTTGCCGGTTTGGCTATGCAGTTGCTATGTGTGTAGGGTATTCTCGAAGTCCGTTGACGAGGAATTGACTAGGTATCTTGAGACCGACGGGCACAAGTTGAAAACAAAGAATTGACCGACGATGCAGGGTACAAAAAGACAAGTGTCTGAATTTTCTGAGTTTCTGAGATGTTATCCTCCAGCAATGACCAGACAGCAACCGCGCGACTTTTCCAAGCCTCCCCCTCCATTGACAGTTGACTTCGGACATCATCGGCCCCGCCATGACGCGGGGGGTGCAGCCGACGGCGTAGAGGTTGGTGGGGTGGGAGACGCCGGAGCTTACCCGAACTGACTTACCTGTACTTTCATGCAGCCAATTAATTATTCAGTGAGTTATGCATATCGAGGCTCACTCAAGACGACTGAGTCCACTCTAACAGATCATCGCAAAAGAACCAACAATTTTTCAAAGCAGGCCACCTGGCTCTCATCCACGATACATAACAAGGACCAGCGAAACTCGTACACCATAAATCTGCTCGAGCTGGTTCACTGGCCTACCGCCCACAATGGCGGACCCTTTTGAGGTCCGCATGAAGTTCACCTCTCAACTGCAGCACCTGAACGCCTCGGTCACATCCGCACAAAAGGCTGCCCAATATGCTTTGCGCCACAAAGAGATGGACGAGGACTTGCACTCGTGCATTTTGGAGCAAGTGGAAAGGGTGAGTCACGGGATTCTAGACCAGCGTGAGCGCGCCCGCTAACCGAACAGAACAACATGAACACCAGAGCAAACATTATGTACTTTATCGAGCACTTCCTGGACTCGGCGCAAAAGGATGGACATCGAGACTATGTGCGCATGATGCAAAGAGACATCATCAGGGTGGTGGATGCCGTTGCGCCAGATGATGGCTCAGGGGCGGCGAACGTTAGGGTCGTCCGAAAGGTACGTCAAACCATCCCTACGTGCGTGAGACTTACTGACGAGCTATCAGGTCTTGCATGCGCTGCAAAACAAGGGCTACATCGAAGTGCAGGCGGTAGACCAGATACATGAGGTCTTACGGGAGCGGGAGACGACGTCGGACGATCTGGGCCTCAATTCACCCAACGGAGATGTCGAAATGACCGACGCTACCCCGTCGCAAACGATGCCCAAGCCTACGCGCCGTGGTGGCGGATCTCAGAAGATGGACAAGCGCCAGATAGAGCAGCGCATAGAAGAGGACCGCGAGAGGCACAAGCGCGAGAGGGAGAATATCTGGGCGATACCGGCCGGGCCTGATGCAGAGATGAACAAAATGTGGGAAGAGACGAGTGACTGGGGAGAGGACGATGATCGGCTTCTGGCTGAGGAAGCGGAGGATTTCCGGAAAGAAATGGAAATGAGAAAATGTCCGCATAGGGACGCGATCAATGGGGAGGCAGGCTAGCCACCAGACTTGGTCTTCTTGATGGATACTGCATATCTCGGCGTTGGACAGCACAGCACACACATCTAGCGGGAATTTATATCAGGCTTGACACATGTAGCTTCATCTTGGCACGCACCGTCCGTCCCTGTTGAATGTTTGTACAAACAAGAGAAATCCTCTTATAGATACTAGTACATGCTGTTTTGTACATTGGGACGATTTTCCCTCTATTGTATAAGACCCAAGACCAACACTCCCCCAAGGCCTGGACCAGTTCACTCCATGACAACCGTCGCGCCGAGCTCCTTCATGGTGGCAATCATCTTCTCCGCGTCCTCCTTTGTCACGTTCTCCTTCATCATCTTGGGCGCGCTCTCGACAAACTTCTTGCTGTCGACCAAGCTGAGACCCAGCAGGCTCTTCACTTCCTTGATCACCTTGGCCTTGGACGCGGTCTCGAACCCTTGCAGCTTCACGGTGAAGAGGTGCTTCTCCTGGGCGGCGGGCGCGGCTTCCTCGGCTTCCTCGACGGGGGCGGCGGCGGGCGCAGCGGCGAAGCCGCCTACGGGCAGGTCAGGGATGTTGAGCTTGGTCTGTTTGCCTTGTCAATGACCCGTTCTGCGATATTTGGTCCGTCGGTGCACATACCTTTAGTGTCGACACGAGATCGGCAGTCTCCAGAAGAGTCAATTGGCTGATTTGGTCGACAATGGTGTTGATCTTGGGGTTGGTCGCGGCCGCCTCAGTCGAGTTCCACCGTCTGCTCGACACAGCTACGCACATCGTCTGGGCTGAAGGGGTGGCGCGCAGCTGGCGGGCGCAGCTGCGGGCGGCGTATCGACATGACATGGCCATTGTGGCTGTGGTGGAGATTTGGCCTCTTCGACGAGCGAGCTGCAGCAGCTGATGGGAGAGTGTCGTGTCGAGAGTCGCGTGCGTATGTTGTCGTGGAATCGATTGAAAGGGATTGGACAGCATCTCCGAAAGTTTTCCAGCTTCGGTGATGAATTGGGGGTATGTGGAGGCTCTGATTGGCCCGGAGTTACGTATGGCCTTTTGCCGGCAATGCTTGAGCATCAACGTCGACGGACATGTTCGCTCAAAGCATGTATTTATCACAGCAAAAGTTTATTGCTTGATGTTAATCCAAATGAGAACTTTTGTTCGCGCAGTCCTGGGTGATGCAATTGCATCAGATTGGGACAACGCGCCTGGTTTATCGCGTCTGGTTCGCAGGATTTGCCCCAGCTACATGGACACGCGTGGTGCATTAAGGTGTGAGCAGTCTATGTGTATGCTCTAATCGAATATTTGGAACGGGCTCTTGTTGTAATTCCTCCTCAGCGTATGTTCTTGAGATCAACAAATGTTCGAGTCTGGATCTGTGACTTTGACCGTGGCGGGAGGACCCTGCAGCTACTGCTGATAGACCCATAAAAAAAAGTTACTGCCGCCGCCAACATGGACGTTCATCTTCGCAAAATCTCAACCTCGCTCACTCTCTTTACACATGAGTACCGGCCTTTCATCGCTTCAATAACGGCGATGGACATCTCTCGGCAGACGAGGTCGCTCCTGAAGGATGCGACTGTTTTGGACCATCTGCCCGCCGAACTACTCGGAATTATCACCAGCCAAGCGGCGAAGCTGGATGCAGTTTCGGAAGCAGCCTTGCTGCCACCGCTCACAGAACGAATTTTCGCTCATTTCGAAGAAGCCTTTCCTGATATTTGCGTGCGATGGATTGTCAACTCCCAATTGAGCGAACAGCGCCGCCTGATCACGTCCTCAGCTCTCGCTAGGATATTGCCTTTCGCTCCATACCTGGCCACTTTTCTGGATCAGCCACAGAATCACACAAGCACTGGTGATGGCCCTTCTCGAATATCCTTGTCACTAGCCGAATTTTCACACCTGGCAAGCTCTTCCGACAACGAGGCCTTATTACAGCACCTCGTCACGGTATGGCGACTGGTGAATTTTGATCTGAGAAGGTTTAGGCATACCTTCTCGCCTGCGCAGGCCCAGAACCTCTTCACACACGATAGCAGAGCTGTTAGGTACCTAGCTATCCGCATCTACTGTCTTCTCCTTCGGGTCGCCGATTACAAACTCGAAGCGCTAGTCAGGCAACACGTTGGTCTGGAAGAGGCTGTCAAGGGCAATCTTGATGGGAAAGTGGTTGATTTAGGATTCTTGACGCTCCACGAACATGCGCGAGTCGAGCGAACCCTCAAGCTGCGAGACGAAGCACGCTCACAGAAGGCGGACGTCACAGATGAACAGCTTTCCCAGACATTGACGCCCTATGTGGTTCCCTATGGCAAGGCACTTTTGCCTAGACCTGGAGGCCCTACCAACGCCCCGTCCAGTACGGTGCCGACGGCGACGACGATAGGGAACCTCGAGCAGCTCGCCCGCCTGTTGCAGGCAGAGGATCCCATCCTGCTGCACGGACTACCTGGATCAGGAAAGACCCTCCTGATTCACGAGGTCGCGAAAGAGCTTGGAATGTACTCAGGGATGGTCACGTTGCATTTGAACGAGCAAACGGATGCCAAGATGCTTGTCGGGCTCTACTCTACTGATTCGAAACCCGGCAGCTTTTCGTGGCGACCAGGCGTGCTGACTACGGCCGTGAAGGAAGGGAGATGGGTATTGGTAGAGGATCTGGACCGGGCACCGACAGAAGTTCTGAGTACCCTCCTACCCCTGATCGAAAGGCGGGAGTTGTTGATTCCCAGTCGCGGCGAAAGAATACGGGCTGCCAGTTCGTTCCGTCTCTTCGCGACTCTCAGGACCTCTCGTGGGATGAACGGCCGGGAGAATTTACCGACCATCGTCGGTATGCGCTTCTGGCAAGCGATGCACACCTCCCCCTTGACGGAACCCGAGATGGAAGAGGTGGTGTTGAAAACATACCCCGTGCTTCACAAGTTCGTTCCCGGAATTCTGGCAGTCTACAGTCGACTTTGTCGATTGAGCCGGTCCTCAGGGAACGGCCTTGCGTTGACGGATCGTCCCATGAACCTGCGAGACTTACTCAAGTGGTGCCGACGATTGCACGAATGCCTCACGGGCGCCGGAACCAAATCAGGCGAGGAGCCCATTACAGAGACCACAAGGGACTGGATGTTTATGGAGGCTCTCGATTGCTTTGCCGGCAGCTGTCCGGATCCAGCCATGAGCGCGAATATCTCGCAAGCCATCGCTGAGGAGATGCATATTGGAAAAGAGAGGGCAGAGCATTACCTCACCGGATACATCCCCTCTCTTGAAGAGAATGAGTCCTCCTTCAACATTGGGCGGACCCGACTGCGAAAGCAGAAGCTAGCCAGCCGTCTGCGGAAGTCAAAGAGGCCATTTGCCAGCACGGCACATGCCAAGAAACTCCTTGAGCAGATTGCCACAGCCGTGAACCTGAGCGAGCCAGTCCTGCTTGTTGGCGAAACTGGCATTGGTAAAACGACAGTGGTACAGCAACTAGCAGATTCTCTGGGCCACAAGCTCAACGCGGTCAACTTGTCGCAGCAGAGTGAAGTGGGAGATCTGCTTGGTGGGTTCAAGCCGGTCAACGTCAGGACTCTGGCTGTGCCTCTCAAAGAGGACTTTGAAGATCTTTTCGCGGCCACCGGTATCTCTGCGTCGAAGAATGAAAGATATCTCGACAGGATAGGCAAGTATTTTGCCAGGGGTGAGTGGGCAAAGGTCTCCAAACTCTGGAAAGAGGCCCCCGTCATGTTTTCGCAGATCTTGAAGCAGCTTGAGAAGGCACAAGCGCAGCAAGACGAGGCTCGAGACACCGACGAGCAGCAACCAGCCAAGCGGCGGAAGACGCAGTCCAAACTCCAGAGCTTGCTGGACTTGCGGCCAAGATGGCAGGCGTTCTCTCAGAAGCTTGAGCAGTTTGATGTCCAGATCTCAGGCGGCGCCGACAGTTTTGCCTTTTCTTTCATGGAGGGCAACCTGGTCAAAGCTGTGCGCAATGGAGACTGGGTCCTCTTGGATGAGATCAATCTGGCCTCTCCCGACACCTTGGAGAGTATCGCCGATCTCTTGACAGGCCCTGCGGAGCGCCCGACCCTCCTTCTTTCAGAAACCGGAGAGATCGAGAAGATTGTGGCACACCCCAACTTCCGCATCTTTGGTGCCATGAATCCTGCCACCGACATTGGGAAGCGCGATTTGCCAACCGGCATCAGGTCGAGGTTCACTGAACTCTACGTTCGCAGCCCGGATACGGATCTGAAGGACCTCCTCACAATCATCAAAACATACCTCGGCAGCAGTAGCTCCAAACATGATGATGCGGCCGTCAGCATTGCGAATCTCTATCTCGATACCAAGAAGATGGCCGACGATCGACGTTTGGTGGACGGTGCGAATGAGGTGCCACACTTCAGTCTACGAACATTGACTCGAGTCTTGAGCTATGTCAACAACATTGCCCCCTTGTACGGCCTGCGGAGGGCCCTGTACGAGGGCTTCTCGATGGGCTTCTTGACTCTGCTAGACCGCAATTCGGAAGATTTGCTTCAGCCCCTGATTCGTCGTCACCTCTTCAGCGACCAGAACAACTTCCAGTCACTCCTGTCTCAGCCGCCCAAGCACCCAGATGACGGAAAGCAGTACGTCAAGTTCAAGAACAAGAAGGGCGACCGTCACTACTGGCTATTTCAGGGCGCCGAGCCGGTGCATGAGAGGAACGACTACATCATCACACCATATGTCGAGCGCAACTTGCTGAATCTCGTGCGCGCAACATCAACGCGCCGATTCCCTATTCTCATTCAAGGCCCGACATCGGCCGGTAAAACCAGTATGATTGAATATCTGGCCAACTACACCGGAAACAAGTTTGTGCGCATCAACAACCACGAGCACACGGACCTCCAAGAGTACTTGGGAACATATGTCTCGGCGGCGGATGGCAAGCTACGGTTCCAAGAAGGTCTGCTGGTGCAGGCCATGAGGCAGGGCCACTGGATCGTACTCGATGAGCTCAACTTGGCGCCTACCGATGTTCTTGAAGCGTTGAACCGACTGCTTGACGACAATCGAGAGCTCCTTATCCCCGAAACCCAGGAAGTCGTAAGGCCGCACGAGAACTTCATTCTTTTTGCTACCCAGAACCCCCCAGGCCTTTACGGTGGACGCAAAGTGCTCTCGCGAGCTTTCCGCAACCGTTTCCTGGAACTTCATTTTGACGATATCCCCGAGGACGAGTTGGAGACTATTCTGAGAGAACGTAGCCGCAACACTTCGCCCCCCGACTGCAAGCGCATTGTCGAAGTGTACCAGAAGCTTTCCAAGTTGCGCCAGACGAATCGACTTTTTGAGCAAAAAGACAGCTTTGCAACTCTACGTGACCTTTTCCGCTGGGCTCTTCGGGAAGGCGACAACCGGCAACAAATCGCAGAGCATGGTTTCATGCTGCTGGCTGAGAGAGTGCGTGATGAGGAAGAAAGACTCGCCGTCAAGAAAGTGATCGAGGAAGTCTTCAAGGCCAAGATCGACCTCGAGCAGATCTACTCTGCCGAGTCAGCACCGGAGTTGAGAGGTCATTCGAGGAAAGACAATAGCCAGGGGGTGGTCTGGACTCACGCTATGCGTCGTTTGTATGTTCTTGTTGCGCGAGCACTCAAGAACAATGAGCCTGTCCTCCTGGTCGGCGAGACTGGCTGTGGAAAGACGACTGTCTGTCAACTTTTAGCCGAAGCCCTTCACAAGGAGCTGCACATTGTCAACGCCCACCAGAACACGGAAACTGGCGATCTGATCGGCTCGCAACGCCCCATTCGCAACCGAGCATCTATTGCGGAAGCATTGGATGTCGACGTTAAACGTGCGTTGCAGCTACTAGGCTGTGATGTAGGCGAATCGCCGGAGGACAGGCTGCAACGATACAAATCCTTCAGCGGTGAGGCGCTCAACGTCGTGCCTCAAGATCTCCAGCAGCAGATCACCATCAATGAGACGCGCAGTAAGGCCTTGTTTGAGTGGTCTGACGGTGCTCTCGTCGAGTCCATGCGACAAGGACAGTTTTTCCTGCTCGACGAGATCTCCCTCGCGGACGACTCGGTGCTGGAGCGTCTTAACTCTGTTCTAGAGCCTCAGCGGACCCTGCTGCTAGCCGAGAAGGGAATCGATAACTCTTTCGTCAAAGCCGCTGAAGGTTTCCAGATGTTTGCCACCATGAATCCGGGAGGTGACTTTGGCAAAAAGGAGTTGTCGCCGGCGTTGCGCAACCGCTTCACGGAGATTTGGGTGCCACCTTTGTCCGACAACGGCGACATCAATGACATTGTGAGGACGAAGCTGCAGGATGGCAGCAAAGATTTGGTCGAGGTTATCGTTGCATTCGCCACGTGGATTGGCGAGAACTTCCGCTCAATGTCTTCTACGCGATTTTCCATCCGAGAGATCCTGGTGTGGGTTCAGTTCGTCAACAACTTTGCATCGAGGAACAAGCTTGCGGCCCTGGTACACGGCGCTGCTACCATCTTTATTGATAGCATTGGCGCCAACCCGTCTGCAATCTTGGCCGGAGATGGTGAAACTGTGCCTCACCAAAGGGCCAAGTGTCTACGCAAGCTCAGTGAACTCACTGGCCAGGATGTCTCTGCAATCTACCAGCTCGAGCCCACGTTGACCATGGACGATCGGTCGCTCACAATCGGCGACTTTTCCGTTTCCAGAACCTCGACTGCGTCCGCGGATCCTGGATTCGCATTCCATGCACCCACGACAAGACTCAATGGCATGCGTGTTCTACGCGCGATGCAAATGCAGAAGCCCATTCTCCTCGAGGGCAACCCAGGCGTTGGCAAGACTACCCTTGTCGCTGCACTGGCGCGCGCTTGCGGGGAGCCTTTGACGAGGATCAATCTTTCGGACCAGACAGATCTGATGGACCTTTTCGGTACAGATGTGCCAGTCGAGGGTGCTGAAGCAGGTAACTTTGCGTGGCGAGATGCTCCGTTCCTGCAAGCTATGCAGAAAGGAGAGTGGGTTCTCCTCGATGAGATGAATCTGGCATCGCAATCAGTCCTCGAGGGGTTGAATGCGTGCTTGGATCACCGTGGAGAGGTCTACATCTCCGAACTGGACCAAGTGTTCAAGAGACACCCCAACTTCCGCCTTTTCGCTGCTCAAAACCCTCATAATCAAGGCGGTGGCCGCAAGGGTCTCCCAAGCTCCTTTGTCAATCGATTTGTGGTTGTCTACGCAGACGTGTTCTCTGACGAGGATCTCCTCCTGATCGCGTCGCACAATTTCCCCAATGTGGCCCCTGAGGTGATCACACATCTGATCCAGTTCATTTCCAGAATGGAACAAGCGACAACAATCGAAAAATCCTTCGGTGCTCAAGGCGGGCCTTGGGAATTCAACTTGCGAGATGTACTGAGGTGGCTGCACCTGCTCAACTCGTCGGACGACATCCTGCAAGGTGCTCGCATTGACGATTTCCTGAATCTCATTGTGCGCCAGCGCTTTCGGTCCGAGCGAGATCGTGACGAGGTCAACAAGCTGTTCTCGCAGGTCACTGGAGTCGAGCCTCGCGGACACAGTCTCTACCACGATGTCAGCTCATTGCACGGCCAGGTCGGCATGGCCCTGTTGCAGAGGAACCTCCATCGCCAGCCTGAACGCCTCCCTGGCATTGATACCAAACCACGCCTGCCGGACCTCGAGACGCTCATGATCTGCGTCAAGAAAAACATTCCATGTATCCTGAGCAGCCCTTCGGGCTATGGCAAAACAGTGCTTCTGGAGCACGTCGCCGCCCTGGCGGGCAGGTCATTAGTCGTGTTCCCAATGAATGCTGACATCGACACCATGGACCTAGTCGGCGGTTTCGAACAAGCCGATCCTTTCCGAGAAGTCAACGCTATGTTTGTTAACCTGAAGGAAATGCTGCAAGAGGCTGCTGCGTCCTGCATCCCAGACGCATTCCCTGACGCTGCCCTTGAGTTGCTGCACCTGTTGGACAACTACGACGGGGACGTGAACAAGGTGCACTCAATCCAATCTTCGATCGAGCAGCTGGCGGCTACGACACCTGAAAAGTCCCAAATCAATCATGTCTTGCGCGTAGCTATCGAGCTATTGAAAGGACCACTCAAGCTAGCCAACCCGCGATTCGAATGGCTCGATGGTGTCATTGTCAAGGCACTGCAGCAAGGACAGTGGCTGGTCCTTGATAATGCCAACATGTGCAACGCCTCCGTCCTCGACAGGCTCAACTCACTGCTGGAGCCTAATGGCTTCCTCAGCATCAACGAACATTGTGAACCTGGCGGTGAGCCCCGCGTGGTCAAGCCGCATCCTGATTTCAGGATCTTCCTGACTGTGGACCCTCGATACGGCGAGCTTTCACGAGCAATGAGGAATCGTGCCGTTGAGATCTATATCCATACCCCACCGCCAGTCGTGGACTCGTGCTTTGACAGGGTGGCTCAAGTCGAGGGTGGATTGCACAGACTGCATCAAGTCGAGAAGACAACACCGGGGGTCAAGACAGTGGCCAGGGATCTCTTGTCAATTGGCGATCTGGCTATGCTCCAGAGGTTTGCCGACGACCAGAACGCTGAAATAAACGGTATCGATCATCCCGAGAAAGACGCGCGCGGGACCGGGACATCGACTCAGGAGAACATCGTCGACATCCTGGAGTATTTGGGTACCGAGACTGGCAACCATGACCTTCAGGCAGCCTCTCGTTTGTACGAGGGTCTGTCCCCAGAGACGGTGTCTGTACTTCGGTTCCACCAACCAATCCATCCCCAGTTGAACATGCCTGTCACTCAACGTGTGCCTGACGTACAGGTGGCAGCTTGGGTGGGTGTGCGTTATGAGTTCAACCAGTGGGTGCACCGCATGTTCAAAGCTCTAGACAACTATAGTCGCTCAGCGCAAGGCGCTAAATTGGCTCACTTGAACCGCCTCGAAAGGTCCCTCCTCAAGGACCGGGTAGCCGCCGTTTCCAAGGACTCGACTGCCAATCTTGCCGACTTTTTGCGCTCTCTTCTCAACGCCCTCGTTGCACACCTTGGCAAAGCCACTACTGTCAGCTCATGGAAGGAAGTTGCCGCACTCCTGCACCTCTTTGAGCGCTACATTCATCGCACAATGGCCTTGTCGACTGCTGCCTTCTTCGATGAAGCGAAATTCCAGGCACATTTGGCGCACGGTGCCGATTTGTTCCAGAGCAGACTAAACCAAGATCACAACGGTGTCGTCTTAGCGTCCTCGGAGGATATCCAGCGAAGGCTCCTGGAGGACGTCTCGGAGAAATTGAATCGTGCGTTCACCACAGGCTTCAAGCTGTCAACTGGCCTGAGTATGGAAGTTCTGTGGCAGTGGCTGCGTCCTACGCCGTTCAGAAATGAGGCGTCGCTGCGCAATGCGGTCGAGCTCTTCAAGCTGGCTGCGAGATTCGACGATATTCGATGGAGGACGAGTGCTTCGGTCGCTGACCTTGCCAACGCCTCAGCGGATCTGGCCAGAGCTTACACCGTCGTGAAGAACTCTGAGGCTTCTACCGACGAGCTTGTTAAAGGCCTCACTGATGTTGTCGAGAAGGAGGAAACCCGTATTGGTGTTGATGCGCTTGAGCTCCAGCCTTACTTCATGAACGAGTTCGAAGCCATCCGACAGATGCTTCTCCTTGAGACTATCAAAGAGAACCGTCCAGGAGCGACACAGGACCGCGAGCTGCTGATCCTCTCCAATGCCTCTTCTCAGTCGGGTATGGTGTTGGCTGATGCTGGTCCTACAAGCTCCTTGTTGCAGACACTTGACTCCTTGGCTACCCAGCAGAAGCACGTCTGGGATGGCAAGTTCACCACTTCGCTCTGGGCGCGCCTCAAGGGCCTTGACAATGTCAATCTCCGCTCTTTGGCGATGCTTGAGGTGGAGATACCGATTCTGGGACACCATCTGACCAGTGCTGACGTTGTATCCGATCCTATCATCGCTTTGAACGATGCTCTTCTAGGGCTTTTGCTTCAAGTCTTTGAGGCCCACGCATCAAATTTCAGAGTTGCCGCCCGACAGATCCATGCTCATCTTGCGACGGCACTTGCACAAGGAAGGGCATCGCCACTTGAGTTACTCTCAGACCCTACCTTGGGCGAATTCCTTGATTCTGTGGAGCCGCCGCACCTGAGAACTATCTCAGCAACCTACCTTGTACCTGCTATGATAGCGACTGTCGTGAGCAACGAATCAAAGACTCGCCGGGCGTACTTCTCAGCCTTGGCTTGGGTGTACTTCAGCGTGGGACTAATTAGCCTCTATGTACCTGATCGTGCTTTTGATCCCCAGATCCGCCCACAAATGGAGAGAGAGTTCTTTGAGGATATGCAGGAAAGCTTGCAACAGAACATCGAAACATTGAAGTCATTCGAGTTGGAATTCACAGGCCAAGACAGCAGTGTGCGCATTGAGAGATTGCACGAGGAGCTTGAGCAGATGGGTCCCCTTCCGCCCGCTGTGCAGCCTGTCTACAGACCAGCCAACCCATCCGAGCTTAACAGAATGCATGCAGAGTTCTCCAACATTCTGAAGGCCGCCGGCAGCCTCGACCTTCCGACTGGCACAGACTCCTTGTCTCTGCCTGAGGACTACTCACTTGCCCCTGACCGCCTGCACCTTGTCCGAGAGAATGTGCAACGGCTCGTTGGGCGATTGGACAGCCGATATGAAGCTTACCAAGATATGACGGTACCTACAGTCAGCTTGTTGAGAAGTCTCCTGGTTGGACTATCACTATGCGAGGCTACCTTGGCACAGACCGCGACAGACGCCACATCCGAATTGCTCCAGGCTTCGCCCTTCTTTGGCAGCGTCGGACAGTCAGGTATCAAAAGGCTTGAGCTAGTCCGTGGGTTTGACTTGCTACACTACATGGGGCTCGTTGTATCCACACAGGGGATTGACAGTCTTGAGTCTGACCAGCGCCAATCAATCTTCGAATGTTTCCATTCGTTCTACGATGAGTGGAGCACGAAGCTGGAAGCCGACAAGAAAGCTGAGGCCGCCAACACGAGTCTGTATCGCTTCCAGGGTGGTCTCGAGGACGAGGAAGAAGTAGACGAGGCTGAATTCCACGACCTTTTCCCTGGGTACGAGGAAGAAGGCGCTCGAGTCACCGTCACCAAGAAGAGCGACCAGGTGCGCGATACCTCGATCAAGGTGGCCAAAGCCCACAGCAAGATTTTCACTGCGCCGGCTCAGCCGCAGGAAGCAATGTCGACCTTGACCGAGTCTGTGGCGCAACGCGTATCGGACGAGATGGCAGAGCATGCTTACGTTGATCGCACCATCAACAGCAAGATGCTTGCCGCCAATCTACTGTTGTTCGACGAGAAGAAGACCAGAGTTGCTGCTCCTCAGGCCGGCTCGTCCTACAATTTCTATACAAGCGAGAACTTGGGCGAGGCGCGACGTTTGGTGTCTCTCGCGCATAAAGTCAAGGCGCGCTTCCGTGATTTGCAGTTTGTCGATGAGATTGGACACATGCAGCCGCTGGCCGATGTCATCATGGCCTGTGACAAGTTGTTAGATGTCACACACACAGAGGCTCTCGCCGCCATCTTGCCCAAGGTTGAGTACCTCCACGCGTTTGTGTACGAGTGGCAATTTGGAGGCTGGGCCAGCAGAACGCACGCCGTGCCCGAGTTGCACGACGCGCTGACAAAGGTCATCATCGACTGGCGCAAGCTCGAATTGTCGACGTGGGCCAAGTTGTTCGACACGGAACAGCAGAAATGCCAAGACGACGCATACGCCTGGTGGTTCGTTGCCTACCAGGTGGTCATCGCTGTGCCGTTGTCGCTCGTCGAATCCCCAACTGAGCTCCGCGAGTATGCCGTGGAGTTGGTCAAGAACCTAGAGTTGTACTTCTCGACTTCTATTGTCGGCCAGTTCGGCGCTCGTCTTGCCTTGTTGCGTCAGCTGTGCAGCCATCTCTGCCAGCTGGTCAAGGACTACCCGTCTTTGGACATTATTCACACTTCTGTGACTAACTTTATCGACTTCTTTGCTCGCTATGAGGCCACTGCTATCGAGGCCATCAAGCAAGGGCGAGCCCCTATCGAGAAGAAGATGAAGGATGTGGTACTGCTGGCGAGTTGGAAAGACACCAACATCAACGCGCTTCGGGAGAGCGCTCGCAAGTCTCACCAGAAACTCTTCCGCCTGGTCAGGAAGTTCCGCGGTGTCCTTGGCCAAGAGATGCGCGCCATCACCTCACGAGGGTTGCCTGACCAAGAAGTGTCAAATGCTCAGGTCCCGACGCCTACGCCAAGTTCAGGGCTGCCCCATGACATCGTCACTGCGCAGCTATCAAAGATCTGTGCGGACTGGATGAACCAGAACAGGCGCGTGGCAAATGCAGCAAAGACAGTATCCATCATGTCGCGGCTGACTTCCAAGGCTGAGATGAGCACAAGCATGCCATCGACGTTGGACAGCTTCGTTTCCAGCCTGAACGACTCCATGGCGGAACTTCGCAAGGAAACGCCCCAGTACCTGAACGACGAGAACAAGAACCAGGTCAAGTACCTCAAGACCCGCAAGAGGAAGTTGTTTGCAGACACTCTAAAGGAGCTGAGGCAGATGGGCATTCGACACAATCTGCCCCAAGATCGCCTAGCAGAACAAGACTCCCTCGCCGTGGCCCTTGCTGGCACCGCGCCGATTTCACAACACCACGCGGGTGTCGCGGATGCCGCGCAATACTACTTCCACAAAGTGCTCGACCAGGCGCCAACAGTGCGAAGCATGCTCCAGACGCATTCCGAGGAGCTGACGCCTGCTGAGATCGCCAGGGGCGTTGGATTTGTCGAAGGCTTCATCCACTTGCTCCTCAATCAACGTCGCAACCTGACCAACTCGGTAGCAGCATTGGGCGAACTTCAGGCTGCATCAAGACAGCTCAAGGCTCTGGGCGACGTCAAGGCCCACCAAGGCTTGAACCGTGTCGGAGCCGGCAGTAACTGGGCTCAACTGCTACCATGGCTGGTTCAAATCATTGACTTTGCCGCACGCTTGATTCAGACGCACGCAAAGCTAGGCCAGACCGAGTACGCGGACATCATCAGGCAGTTCCAGCTGTGGTCGAACAAGTTTGGTGATCGGCTGCGAACGTACGAATCGCTGGGCCCGCTGCCCGAGCTCGTCACTTCCACTGCGCTAGCTGATCTTGAGACGGGCATCGAGGCTGACTTGCAGCTGCTGGGCGATTTCCTCACGCAGGTCACCGACAAATACCCAAGGCTGAGCTTCATTGTGGACCAGGTTCGACAGTGGGCTCAGCTTGAGACATCGCCGTCCACCACATCGGGTGCATCGCTTCGCTATGTCGACTTTGCCAATGGTGCTTCACAGTTATGCGACAAGGTACTCGTGGCCGTGGAGGCTGGTGTCAAGGCCAGCAAGGATACTGTCCAGGAGGAAGACAGTGCTGGCTGGCTGGTCAACCACGACAAGGCGTTCGCGCTCATGATCAAGCAGCTACGCATGAAGCAGGTCACAGCCAACATCCTCGAATGCGTGCGCTCTGTACAAGACGTGGATCTCGAAGCGCCCGAAGCCAGCACGGTGGTCATGGGCGTGGCGAGCCTCGCCGCACCAATTGTTGACCAGTTCACTCTTGCGTGCGAACAGTCCGTCGGCAGGCTTCTTGACATCCACCGAGCCACAGCCCACATGGCCTACAATCTGACCAAGACGTTCTCGCAGATTGCGGCCCAGGGCTTCTGCACGCCCCAGGAAAAGTCCGAAGAGACGTCTGAACAAAGCGGCAAGCTTGAGTCAGGCACTGGTCTCGGAGACGGCCAGGGTGCGGAGGATATCAGCAAGGACATTCAAGACGATGAAGACCTCACGGAGCTCGCGCAAGAGCCAAACAAGGAAGACAACGGAGATATCGAGGACGAGAAGGATGCTGTTGACATGGCTGATGAAGAATTGGAGGGCCAAATGAATGATGCCGAGACGAAAGACGACGAGGAAGGTTCCAACAAGGGCGATGAAGAAGAGGAGGAGAATGACATGGACGAGGAGGCTGGCGAGGTGGACGACCTTGATCAAAACGCAGTGGACGAGAAGACTTGGGACGGCGATGATGAGGACAAGGCCGACAAGGAACAGCAGGGAGAGAAGGCCAAGGGGCAAAAGCAGCAGGATGATCAGCAGTTGGCGAACGAGGACCAAGCAAAGAAGAAGGAGGAGGACCCACAGGATGCAGAGCAAGACGAGCCTGCAGATGAGCCAAATGCCGAGGATGCAGAGGCTGAGCAGGAAGACGTCAAGGCGCAGGACGACCTCAATAAGCAGGACCAGACTGCAGAGGATGCGGATGCCCTTAACATGCCGGACGACATGGATCTCGACTTTGACGACAAGGAAGAGCTCTCGTCCGACAGCGATGATCTGGATGACCTGCCTGATGCTGAGGAGGCAAACGAACCTGAGGAAGAAGGGAAAATGGAGGAGGACGAGGGTGAGGAGGTTGGCGACAACGCTGCAGCGCCACAAGACGCAGCCGAAGACCAGGATGGGGCGGAGAATGAAGAACCGGAAGAGGAGGAAGAAGCGCCCATGGGTGAGGATGAGGTCGATGAAGACGCGAAGCCAGAAGAGCAGGAGAACGAACCAGAGGAGGCTTCCAAGGACGACGCCCCTCCACCTCAAGACACAGCCATGGCGGACAAGGACAATGTTGCGCCAAGCGAGGTCAAGAGCTCAGGACAAGACCAGTCGGGCGACGCGATGGACATGGACGATGAGTTCCAAGACAACGCGGCCAAGCAAGACGATGGCGAGCTCGGACAAGGTGCAGCAGATCAGGAGGCTACGGCTGGCGAGAAGGGCGAAATGTCACGCGCCAACGATCCCAAAGAGAACGAGCGACAGGACCAGAAGGATTCGGACAAGGACGATGCCGCGGCCAGTAACCCGTTCAAGAAGATGGGCGACGATCTCGAGGAATTCCACCGGCAGCAGGACGACATCAAAGCCGCCAAGAGTGAAGAGGAGGCCGAGGCCAAGCAGCAGCCCGACGCTGACCAGAGCCGCCGCGAATTCCAGCACCTCCAGCACGACGACGCAGCTGCCGACGCGCAAGCCATGGGCGCAGCCAACGAGGACGAGGTGCAGCCTATTGACGAGTCCATGGCCATTGACGAGGAAAAGCGAGACCCCGAGAGCCGAGTGATGGAAGAAGACAAGGACAAGGCTGCTCCCGAGGTGCCCGATGAATCTCAGCAGCAGGAGTCGATGCAAGCCCAGGACAAAGAGAAGGACGCCAAGGACCAGGATGATGGTCGCTCCGGCGTCAAGACACACCAGGGCAATTACAACCGGGAGCAGACCTCCGACTCGGACGACGAGGAGGACGTCCACATGGGCGAGGGCGCCAAGGACGAGGATGTGGAGGAAACCTCGACGCAGCTGTCGGCGACGCACATTAGCAGCGACCGGGAGCTGCGCGACTTTGGCGAGTGCATGCAGCAATGGGTCGAGTTCCAGTCGAGGACGCACGCCATGTCACTGTCCCTGACGTCGCAGCTGCGGCTCATCCTGACACCATCGCAATCCACTAAGCTGTCGGGCTCGTTCCGCACGGGCAAGCGGCTCAACATCAAGCGCATCATCCCGTACATCGCCTCAAGCTACAAGCGCGACAAGATCTGGATGCGACGCAGCGTGCCGACGAAGCGCACGTATCAGATCATGCTCTGCGTCGACGACAGCAAGAGCATGGGCGAGGCCGGCTCGGGCACGTTGGCGATGGAGTCCCTGGTCATGGTGTCGCGGTCGCTGACGATGCTCGAGGTCGGCCAGGTGGGCGTCATGGGCTTTGGCGCCGACGTCTTCACGGCGCACGAGCTGACGGACCCGTTTGCGGCGGACGCCGGGGCCCGTGTCCTCCAGAACTTTACCTTTTCGCAGAACAGGACCGACATTGTGCTGCTGATCCGCCAGACAATTGACAAGTTCCGCATCGCGCGGCAGCAGCAGTCCAACGGCGGCTTGTGGCAGCTGGCGCTCATCATCTCGGACGGCCTGGTCGAGTCGTCGACGCACGACGTGATCCGTCGTCTGCTCCGCGAGGCCATGGAGGAGCGCATCATGATGGTGTTCATTGTCATGGATGACCAGGTGCAAAAGGGCTCCAGCGTGCTGGACCTCGGGTCGGCCAAGTTCCAGGATGGCGAGGTGGTGGTGACCAAGTACCTCGACACGTTCCCGTTCCCGTACTTTTTGATTGTGCACAACCTGGAGGAGCTACCGAGCGCTCTGGCGGGTCTCTTGAGGATGTGGTTCGCCGAGGTGGCGTCTTGATTTTGAATTTGGTCAGCATGTAGAGAGGCGTTGGTTGATTCTTGATTTCGATAAGCAACATACTGCACGGCGTTTGGAGGGTATAAAAGTTAGATATATGATAGCACTCGCTACACATTGCACATGAAGTCACTCAATAGATTGGCAGGTTTTAAAACCTTGGTACAGACCCTTTTTGTTCCTGAGATCTAAAGTAGATTCAGGGGTATTCCTTGTGTTGTCTGCGAGGGACGGACCCCCTATTCGCTTAAGCAGAATATGCACGTATCCAACAATCTCCCTACGTCCGAAACCATCCCCTCATCAGTCATCAGTCATCAGTCATCACGAATACTCGGTACAAGCTGGTTCACACTCATGTGTGTCTTATTCAAACGTCTCACTTTATCTCACACTGTCTTAGTTACTCGTCCCTTTTTATAAGAGGGAGAGAACGAAAAAAAGAGATCTCCTTTTCAAGATCGTGCTATTCCTGGCATGTTGCCCAGTACTTATAGAACCCTCCTCCTCCCACGAATCCGACCAACTCTTCTTGCATCATCCTCGACGTCACTCACAAAGCGCCTTGAGCAGGGTCCCTTCAGATCAAACAGAAGCATGGCGACCAATTCGAGCAATGCGCACCAGTTGCGTCTCAGTATGTGCTCTTCGCTATCCTAAACCCCCGACGAACAAGAGGGCTGACCAGTATGCAAAGAAAACCCGACCATCTTGTCAGTATAAGTGAACGCCGTACATGCATGGCCATGCCCGCCCAGTGTGACTTACACGACGTGCAGCATCTGCGACATGCAAGAAAAGTTCCAGGCCGCCATTCACGAATTTGACAAGATGTACGTGCAATCACACCGAGCAGCTCCTCAGCTACTGACACTCCTTGTCAGCGTCCTCACCACACAGAAGCTCCTCGCCTTCTCCAAGGCCTTCTCCATCCCCGTCACAACGACCACCCAGACGGCGGCCAAGCTCGGACCCACCATCTCTGTCCTGGCCGAGCAGCTTCCAAGCGCGCCGCACGACAAGACCAAGTTCTCCATGGCCATACCCAGCGTACTCGACTCCCTGCCCGCCGTGTCGAGCATCGCCCTCGTCGGGATCGAGAGCCACATCTGCATCACTCAGACGGCCCTGGACCTGCGCGACTTGGGCCACAGGGTCTATGTCATCGCCGACGCCGTGAGCAGCTGCAACAAGGGCGAGGTCGTCGTTGCGCTCGACAGGCTCCGGGCGGAGAGGGGCGTCACCGTCACCACCAGCGAGAGCTGGATGTATGAGTGTGTGGGCGATGCGTCCCACGCTGGCTTCAAGGGGCTCATTGGCGTCGTCAAGGGGGCGGCTGGTGATACGCGGACTGCTCTTGGGGCGCTACCCCCCAAGATCTAATAGACTAGGCTAGCCTTCGTCTGGGTCAACTGGGTCTGGTCATAAGCATACACAAGAATAATATCATCAGTTTTGACTGTGGTTTCTTCATTCAAAGAGCGGCGTTCCCGAGCTGCATCTTCTACCGCGATTATTGATGCCATCAGGTGCTTCACAACCGGATTCGTCCTCCTCTAACGTCTAATTGGAATGGCTACCATCTACAATTACGTATCAAAACGTTTCGCAGTGGCATGGTCTTCAAGTTCTCACCGCTCAACGCTACGGGGCTGTGGTTGGGGTCTTGGGTTTACCCGGAGGTGCCATCCATGAGAACGCTGAGGCGCCGCCTACTGGGTTGGCAGAGCGAGGCAGCGCTGGGCCGTTCTTCTCTGCGCGCCCGTCGCGCGAGCTTGCAGACTGCGAAGCCTGGCTGAGGTCCTGGCTAGCAGGCTTGCTGTCGGATCCGTGGCTCGTAGTACGCTTCGCGTTCCAGCGAGTGTTGCTGTGAGCCCCCGGATCAGCCCCCGTCCCAGTCTGCCCTTTTGCTCGCCCTTCGCCAGCCTTGCTTGAGCTGGAAGTCGGCTCGTGGGAAGCACCAGTCCGCGCAGAAGAGGACGATCTGGGAGGCTTAAGAATCTTCATAGGACGCCCGCCTCGGGCCGCCGGCAGGTAACCGCTCAGAGGCCCGCTGTCACGAGCCGATTCGGAGCCGCCGTTCGCCCCGTGTCGCCACGAGCCCCAGATCCCCGTCCCCGATTCCCTCCTGCTCGCCTCCGAGGTCACCGAGCTGTCTCGTTTGGAAGGCCTCTCGCGGCTGTCCCAGACCTTGGTGGACTTGTCGCTACTCGCTCCATTCTCCGATCCGCTTGCCCGACTTGTCACGTTCTGTCCTTCGCGGTGCTTCTGCTCAGTAGGCGAGACAGGATCTTTCTCCCGGTCGTCAACGCGGGTGCCATGCTCGCGAGTACTGTGGGCATTTTCTTGCGTTGGCTCGGCAAAGACAAAGGGCGTCGCGTTTGCGTTCAGCTTTGGTTTCTCAGGCACTACACTGGAAGTCGTAATGTGCTTGAAGACAATGTCATTTTCCGGTCGGACAAAGGGGACCCTGATACGTGAGCGGTCGTCGCCGTACAGGACCATGGTATTCTTCGAGAACAGGATATCGGCAGAATGGGCCCTCAAGGCATCGCTGCCCACGAAGATGCGCATCATCTGGGTATCTGCGGAGCTCGGGGCGTCGACGCCTACCACCTCAAACGAGACCGTCATTGATGGGACGGAGCGTTCTGGGCTGGTGGAGCGGCTGCTGTGTTGGATCACCACCGCCTCTGCAAAATACACGTGGAGTCGGATGCGGTAGGCGCCATCTGCGTCGCGTTGCACCTCGTCCTCAAGGTCAAGCTCCCGGATCAGCGAGTACTCCACCGTCGACTTCTGTGCTCCCGTGCAGATGTCGGCATACAGCAGCGTGGCGTGCGCATAATTGGTGGTGAGCCAGCACCGCACAATCGACGGGACGGTCCCCAGCACGAAAAAAGACGCTGGCGGCCCTGGAATGTCGACAGAAGAGTCATCGTCCTCAACGCCGGCAAAGGTGGTGTCGAGTCCTACACTGCTCGCGCGCCCTGATGCGACCGAGTGGTGTGAGTGGACGGAATGGCCAGCAGAACTATGGCGGCCATCCGACTTGTGCGAGAGGGTTCGCTCCATCATCAGCCCACTACTAGGTCGCGTAGGGCCAAAGTCGCCCGAGTGGCGACTGTGATGGCCACCCCAGCTCGAGCCATGCAGCGCACTCTCGTCGAAACGGACACTGTTCGCCCTCGAAGCAGCGCCCCGTCGCGTTGGCTCCTCCTCCGCAGGACCCAGGTGCAAGGAACCCAGAAGCTGGTCACCAGAATCGTCCAGGTCATCAAAGACTTCGCTCTGCGCGACAGGTCCTACTGCATGTCAGCGTTGGATCGAGGGGGTTGGCAGAGGCTTGAGAAATTGCGTACCATGTTGGGGAGTGCCGCTCAGGACACCGGGGAACGGCGAGTTCCACACAGATTTGAGTGCTGCATCGTCGGCCTGGCGCTTCTCCAGTCGTGATAAACGTTCGGCGTGATTGCTCTGCGCATACTGGACCTGTTTCAGTTCCATCTGCAGAGTGTACAAATCGTCTGGCGAAATCCCGAAACGCGGATCCATGCCCACTGACTTGTCTCAGACCCGCGCCTCCAGTGCGGCCTGCATTCGTTCGCGCCAGGTAAAAGTAATGGGCCGGTAGAGCTGGGCAAGCCAGAGTCTTCTGAAGACGGCCAGCCCAATTTCACGAGGTCTGCCTGCCCCCACGGCGCCACCTTATCAGGAACACGGCGCCCCTTGGCATAAAAGGTTGGTGAATTCTGTGCGAGAGGACCGCGTGAAAGGGCACGTCAACTTGTTCTGTGCTGGAATGACAGGCGTGGTTGGTGATATTTGCAGCTTGGGTGATAGAAACGTATGGTAATCGGCGCCGGGGGTTTCGTGTTGTTCTCTGTGCGTGGATCACACGAATGTATGGGGGCTGGCTAGGTAATGGGTCGAGGTGTTCGAAGGTGAGGCGGTTGGGATCACAGGTCGCGTAAACCTGTTCTGCGCAGGGATGCTGGTCTGGTCTGGTCGAGTCAAGTCAAGCGTTTGTGTGACTCTTCTCCCTCATCGATCTTCAAAGTTGGTCGGTCGGGCGTGGATGACGCGTAGGATCGTCGAGGGCAGCGTGCTTGTACGTTGGCTGCGTTAAGCGTGCGTGGGGTCAGGTCGGCGTGAGGATGTACAGGTTGGGCGACAAGGCCGGTTGACAGTGCGTGGAATGGATTGCAGCGCTTAGGTAGCGAATTGAGCAATTAGCAAGAGGTGTTCAGACGGGGGTTCAGAACTAGACAGACGGCCGGGCCAGAAGTCTCGCAAAGAGTTGTAGAAGGGCGGTTGTTGGTGGATGACCCGTTGAAACGAGAGGAGTTGGAGGTCGAGGGCGACTGGAGCATCACATCACAGCGACAAGGAAGCTGGACTAGGCTGGCACTTGCTGAACTAACATCCATTCTAGGCACCATCGCGAATGTCTGTTAGTGCACAGGTAGCGCTCGCCTCGTCAAGCGTAACAACAGCCATGCTCGTCACTGACTTGTCATTGCTTATTGTGCTGAGTTCAATTAATAAGTCATTGATTTTGATTTGATTTCTTTAAATTCGGCAGGGAAACGTACGGATGCAAAAGTTCAGTCACCCACATAACGTGTTTGTCTCATTCTTCCCACACGTCTTTGATCAATCATCCAAGTCTGCCGAAGAGAATACGATCACTCAGAAATAGAACTACTTCGACTAGCAGTCAGGGAAGGCGACAATATCTTCCGGTAATCCTTTCTAACAGATTGTATTTCGCAGTTTATGTCGATATCTAAGGAGTGGTGCTGACGTTATTCATTTCCTCCCATGTCGGGTAGACAAAACCGGCATTGTCCGGCTGGCCCTCCCAAACCCTCTCGACGTGAGGCCTCAAGGTCTCGTAGAAAATCTGGTATGCCTTTCCGCTGAGGTGGAGGCCGTCTGGGAGAAGCTCGTCCAGACCTCCCGCTTTCCCATTCTCGGGAGTACCGAGCCATGGGCCGCCAGACTGGTAATCGCCTGGCGCGAGCGCAATGGCGGCATGCATTATGGTCTGCCACAAGTCGATCAACACGGTCCCCTCATTCTCGCGAGCGACCTCACGAGCCTTCTCAGAGTATGATGCGCTGATGGCCGAGGTACGGATACTCGAGGACAGGCCCTTTTCTAGGTCAAGCTTCGTGTGTTTAAGCTCGTCCACCGGCGGGGGCGTGATGATAAAGATCTTCGGCTTGTGCTGCTTGACACGAGGGTGGTTGACGATCTTGGTCAAGTTGGACTTGTACTCGTCCAGGTCGACGTGCTGCTTTGTAGGAGCCCCATCAATGACGGCATCGTTAGCTCCGATCAAGATGGCCTAAGGCGCCGGAGTTATCAGCCAAAGTCCTCAGGGATAATCCCTCGGTCGCGGTGCTCTCACAAGGTACTCAATCGCGGGTGTGTCTGCGCCCCTCTCGGGAAAGACCCCCTCCAACACGCTCAGCAGGTTCCTGGTGTTGTATCCCGAGAAACCCCTGTTGATCACGTCAAGCTTTCGACAGCACACTGGGCATAAGGTCAACAGCTATCGCTTTGGCTCTCGGCAGGACAGGGGGCCGCACGGGTTTGAAGAGCAGCTTGGAACGAGAACCCCTCTTGTAACTGCATCGACTGTTGGAACAGAGAGTCCCCCAAGAGGACGAACTGAGGATAAGTGGACTGCCAATTCGAGTTAGTATTGTCCCAAAGCGCCTCCTTGGTACATGAGGCGTCCTACCGCCATGACTGAGTGAGGGCAAACAATGTCCGTTGTAGACTGACGTTGTGTATCTTCTACGTCTTGTCACGACTCACATGTTGATAGTGAGCGGATCTCACAAGGGCGCTAGGCTTGATCAGGGATCGGGCCAGGGGGTGGTCTACGCACGTGATAGAGGTGATAGAGGCTGGAGGGAACCGGAGGGCTGCGCTAAGGAGCACACAGACAGAGTGGGCACAGCGCATTCATAAACCACACATCACCGATTTATTGTGAAGCGCAAATGTGAATGCCTTCATTATTGATTCACCCGACCTATTAACGAGGAGAATACATGCTAACAATGCGTGGTGAGCTGTTCAACAGACTAAGGAACGCGTACGCAAGGCCGCAAGGACCCTAACCGGGGAAGACATTTCTTTTGATCTATGTAATCAATCATCATGGCCCCCGGTAGGTCTTATTAGTGTGCTTAATGATTGAGAGACGCGCTTTGCTAATTCTTTTATAGCTGCTTCACCCCAGTCCACCAGCGCTAAGAAGCTGAAGACAACGCACGCTGCCTCCCCTGGAGGAAATGGTGATGAGCAGGTCGGCGACAGCTTACAGGCAGCTACTCGTAAGGAGAAAGTTGTGAGTTTCGAGTTTTGAATAAAAAACCGTCCTATGCTTATAAGGCAGCGTCATGAGTACAGCGGCACCCCGAGAAGCCCCCGTGCCTACATTGTGTGCGCTCCTGGGTCTCTGGCAAGACTCAAGAAATGGGCTGTTTCGAGCCTAAAGGTGGTCGGGCCCAGCGCTGCCAACGGTGCTCCCATGGGCACGCGTGTTCTCCTCTGTAAGTGCCGGTATGCTATCATTTTCCGCGCTTTGCTCATATATTCACAGCCCCGCCGTCCTCGTACCTTGGGTGCGATACATGGAGTCAAACGACTCTGCGTCTGTAAGTGCGCTTTCGCTTCTGCATAGCAGTGCTCAGTGCTAATTCGAGCACAGCACAAGCGCACCTGTCGCGTGGCAATGCGCCAAGTTTTGGCGATGATGAATGCCCGCCCTCCAATCCTATCCGATGCTGAGCTTGCCCCTTATAGAGAGAATACTCGCCCCGCTCCCCCGGTGCCCACGTCGCGCGCTGAGGCGCATGCTATGATCGCTACGCTTCGTACGTGGTTGGCTGAGCAATGCGAGTGAGCTGTACGCACGGAGTAGCCTGTCGTCGGTGAGCACGAGTGGCCGGCCCAGTGTTACAAAAAGACAACAATCGACTGTTGCATGACCTATCACTACCATATAAGCGGCCACAATATCACTCTACTACTTACTGAATAATACCAACAAGCAAGATAGCCCTGAGGTCATGCATGCAGAGTCGTAGACGATGTGCCTGTGACTCGTGAGGGATCATCAGTGCCAATGTGGGGTATCGGCAGCACTACCGTAGTCACTTATCGATAAGCTTTGACTTGGCAAAAAATTTCCCACTCCAGTGAGTCCAGTCGCTCCTTCTCGTCGAGCAGACGGACGGACAGGCAACATTCAGGCATTCTGGATGGCTCTCATTGACAAACAGACAGAGTGACTGCTGAACCTTGCGACTATCCTCCACCAACCCATTGACCGACGTCAAGGCCGACTCAGCGCCGCCCCGTAAGCGCCAGTCATGGCTTCCTCGCTCGCCGCGCAGTTGGCGCAGGTCGCCGCCAATTCAAAGTCGTCCCTCAACGTCAAGGCTCAGAAGGCTGCCCACTCCAAGTCGCTGATCTGGGAGCCTCGCGTTGCTGCCTCGCAGAGCTACCAGACGCTCTACACGACCTGCCACCAGGGATTCGAGGAGTTGTGCCAGCTCGACAGTCGATTTGCGCACTTCCAGGCCACCATTTTCGGCGAAGACAGCCAGACGCAGGACCGGAACCAGCTGTCACCGGCCGAGAACCAAGAGTTGGATAAGCAGATTGACGCATTCTTGCGTCTGGCCGGTGCACGGCTGCGTCTGATGCCTGCGATCAAGGCCATCGAATGGTTGATCAGAAGATTCCGGTTAGGCTGCCCGCACACCTTGTCCATTTGAAGCATCCATGACTGACAGAAGCCCAGTATCCACGAAGAAAACACAAGCGCGCTAATCAAGACATTCTTGCCGTTCCACTCGATACCTGCCTTCGCCACGCTGCTCTCTATCCTTCCTGCAAAGATACCCGCCGAGTTCCGCTTCCTCGATCCATACGTTCGCTCCCAAACATCACCTCCTCGGTCCGTGCTCGTGCACCAAGCCGTGCACCACCCGGAACTTGTCACGCTGTACTCTGAGTACACTCTCGAATCATGTCGCATGCAGTTCCAGCACCCTGCGCTCATCTCCTTCTGGGCAGGTCTTTTGACTGAAGCAGTCAGCGGCATCCTCGACCGGTCGCGATCCGGCCGCGTGGCGGTGCAGAAGGACAATGACCAGGCTCTCCTCCATCGTCTCGGACCCATCTTCGCCGAAGCTCTGGTTATGAAGAAGGTTCCTGCCCTGCAGATTGCTTCGTACATGGCGCTTGCTGTGTTCGTCGCCAAGGGCAATCTCGAAGATGTCGCTGTGACAGCGTTTATGGAGCAGACTGTGCTCGGATGGACGAATGCGACGGTCCGACCCGCTTTGGTGAGCTTGGTTATCATGGCGCAGCATCGATCAGCCAAGCAGATGAGCAGCAAGGTCACAAAGGCATTGCTCAAGATCTCGGATATTGGGCCGTTGCTGGTGGAGATTGGCCAGGAGAGGCGCGTCGACAAGCTGGCCAACGGACTCTGCCTGGCACTGGTCGAGCGCTTCACCAAAAAGTGCGACTCGCGTGGTCTGCCCACCATCATGGCCATTCTCGAGAGCCGGATCCTCAAGGACAAGCAGATTGCGGTGATCTTCAAGTCGCTGCTGCTCACAGCACTCAAGCTCGACGACGGCAACGACAAGGATGGAGCTTTGCGAAGAGAGCTCGGATCGGCGCTAATCGCTCTCTCGCAAACCACGGGAGAGTCTGGCGAGGTCATCCAGTCGGTCATTAGAGATGTGGACTTTGACATTGAGGAGCTTGAGATGAAGCTCGACCTGTCTTTCCGATCCCGTCATATCCCAGAAGTCGCCGATGCTGAGGCCACCAAGGAGGAAGCCCCACAAGAGACAGTACACGAGAGGATCGATAGGTCTTTCAAGGAAATCGAGTCCAGCAAGAGCGCTCTGTCGCCTTGTCTTCTGCCGCAGAAGAAGGAGATATTTGAAGAGTTCAGCCACCTGTTCTTCTCCATCGTTGCTGAGCAGGCCAAGCATCCTTCGTGGCTTGAAAAGATGGACGAGCAGGCCAAGTTACGTCGTAGGACCGCTCTCAGCGACTGCACGTACTGCAGCTTCTTCACCCGCATCTGGTGTGGACCATACCCGGCCATGGCTCGCGCGGCCGCATTGGACATGGTGAAAACTCGACTACAAGACGACACCGAGACCAAGCCAGATATGCAGGCCCTCATTCCTTACTGCGTGGCTGCGCTCGGCGACCCCTCGAAACGCGTTCGCCAAGCTGCGGCAGGGCTGATGACCGCACTGGCACACACATACTCGTCCCTGAGCTCGGACTCATCGATATGGGGCGATGGCGAGTTGTACGGAAAGGGATCAAAGTTTGTGGCCTTGAGCTCTGAGATGGCCGCCAAGATGCTCCATCTCCAGATCTTGCCTTCACTCGAGGAATGTGTACTGGACCCCGGTCATATCTTCGCCATCATCTCCACGTCCATGGAGACGGGCAAATATCACAAGCGACCAGACCCTGCGATTGAGAAGAAGGATCACATGTCGCAGGCCATGCGGCTGGCGTTGATGGGATTCTTTGCCGTGCATGCTGTCTCGACGCCCATCTTGCTGGTCAAGGATAGACTGCTGCGAGCACTGAACGAGACTCGCGGCGTCTCTGGCACCAGCCGGACCAAGGTTCTACTGCCTGCTCTGCAATGGTGGGCAGAGCTAGGTCAGGAGGAGGCGCAGACGCTCTGCGCCAAGGAGCAGCTGGACCAGGCTACCATTGACTCACGTTTTGTCGACATTCTTGTGCCCAACGAGGTGGATGGCCTCGAGTTCGTCTTCAACTTTCTCAAGAACCCCGACAACAGAGAAAGAGACGGGCTCGTGCAGGCTCTGCTTGCGCGCATCAGGAAGATCTGGCCCGCCCTCAAGGACGATGTCAAGTTCATGGTTGCCGAGCAGCTCCTCGAGATTTCCCAGGAGAATACCGACGAGAACGCTGACAACTTTGTGCCCGGCGAGGCGGCCGACCTGCTGCGCAGTGTCCCCTTGACCACCGACATCCTTTCGTCCTTCCTTGACTCCATCAAGACCGGCACCAAGATGATCACCGAACCACCACCCAACAAGCGACGCCGCAGGAGCTCTGCCGAGAACAACCGCAGTCTGTCCACGCGGGCAAGCTCCGAGATCAGCCTTGCCCTGAGGCGCGTCACCTTTGTCCTGCAGCTCGTGGAGAACTCTGACCCCGTCAACCACCCTGAGCTCCTCGACGGGCTCTTCACTGCTCTCTCTGAGCTGCAGCACTTCAGGACCGTCGTCGGCTCCGAGCTCGGATACTTGCAGAACCTCATTCTTCGCAGCCTGCTTGCCATGATGCCCACCTACAAGGCCGACAAGAACCTCAAGATCAGCACCTCTGGCGGTTACGGCGACCTCCTCGTCAACTGCATCCAAAAGTCGTCGAGCCCCGTCGTCCAAAATGCGGCGCTGCTCCTCATTGCCAGCTTCGCCACCACGGCACCGAACTTGGTCCTGCATAGTGTCATGCCCATCTTCACGTTCATGGGGACGTCTGTGCTTCGCCAGAGCGATGACTACTCGGCGCATGTTGTCGCCCAGACAATCAAGGAGGTTGTGCCGCCCCTCATCGATTCTCTCCGCCACGGGAAGAAGAGCCCCGTCGCCGGCGCCGCCGAAATCCTCGTCAGCTTCACTACGGCCTACGAGCACATTCCATCTCACAGGAGGGAGGACCTTTTCTACGCTCTGGTCGAGACGCTCGGCGCGTCCGAGTTCCTGTACGCTCTGGTCAGCATGCTCGTCGACCGCTACGGCCCCAGCGACGCACTGCTACAGTTCGTCACCAGCCTCCTGAACCGCTTCCCAATCGAGGTGCAGATGGAGACCCTTGTGAAGCACTGGGATCTCATAGCAGACCTCTTCCGGCCCAAGCCCGACATCTCCTTTGCCCTTCTTGGCGTCAGTGAAGACGGCGAGAAGGATGTCGAGCAGATTGCTCTGCGTCAACTATCCGCCTTCCCCACATTCCTGTCCAGCAAGAAGTTGAGGTCGGAGATTTCCAAGTTGGTAGACCAGGACGACATGGAGGCTTCCGAGGTGCGCACCCTGTACTCTGCGCTGCTCGAGAACGTCCTGCTCCTGGCCGACCAGGTCAAGGGCAACAAGGCACTCCACCCTCGCTGCGGCGCCACGCTCGCCAACCTGCTCAACTTGCTGTCCATTGGCGAGTTCATCAAGTCGGTTGAGAACCTGCTCGACCGCCCCAACATGGGTCTGCGTCAAAAGGTCCTGCGCGCGCTCGAGGTCCGCGTCGACAAGGAGAGCAACACGGACGTGTCCTCGCGTACCGTGCTGCTGGCCTTCCTCCCACAGCTCACCGCGGCGATCCGCGAGTCCACCGATATTCGTTACAAGCACACTGCCGTCACCTGCGTCGACAAGATTGCCGAGAAGTACGGCAAGAAGGACATTGAGGCTGTCGTTGCCGCGGCATCTACCATCGCCGGCGAGCACTGTCTCGGACAGGACGACAAGCGCCTGCGTGTCATGGCGCTGCTGTGCCTCACATCGCTAGTCGACGTGCTACAGGACGCGATTGTGCCTGTGCTTCCTCTCGCCGTGCCTCAGGCCGTGCAGTACATGAGCGACAGCCTGCAGGGCGAAGAGCCCGACGAGGATCTACACTCCGCCTGCTACGGCTTCATCAGTTCCCTGGCTGAGCACCTCCCATACATGCTCTCGAACCACATCGGGCGCATCCTCGAGATCTCAAACGCTTCGGCTGAGGCAGAGCTGAGCGACGAGGCAAATGCAGGCCGCGTCAGCTGTCTCGAATTCCTGGCCAAGCGCCTCGAGGCCAAGGAGGTCTTTACCAGCTTCGACAAGAACTGGGACAGCGCCGTGTCGGCCGGCTTCAAAGTGAGTTGTGACATGGTCCCATTGCCCCTTTCTAGCAAAACTAACTCTTCTCCTTTCTTGCAGGCCATGACCGAGTACCTCAATATCCTGGGCAAAGCCCTCGACAAGCACTCCAAGGCCAACATTGCCAAGAGCGCCGCGACACTCACGAGCATCATCACCAAGGGTCTCGACCTCCGCCGCCAGAAGCAGGCCCAGACCCAGGTCCAGGACGGCCGGTCCACCGAGGAGGAGGAGTCCTCCATCACCGCCGTGGAGGCCAACCTCAACGAAAAAGCGCTCAAGATGATCTACAAGCTCAACGACGCCTCCTTCCGCCCCATCTTCATCCAGATTGTCGAGTGGACGACCTCCGGCCTGCCCAAGTCGGACAAGACAGGTCGCGCCCTGCGTCAGTACAGCGTCTACGGCTTCCTGCACACCTTCTTCGCGAACCTCAAGTCCATCGTGACCAACTACTCGACGTACATTGTCGACGACGCGGTGAAGACCCTCCAGACGAGCGCGCCCGGCGGCAAGCACCCGGAGCAGCGGCGGCTCTGGGCCCGCGTCCTCGCCACGCTCAAGCAGAGCTTTGAGCACGACCAGGACGACTTCTGGCAGGCGCCGTCGCATTTTGGCGCTGTGGCCCCTGTGCTTATGGAGCAGTTCCTGCACGCGCCTAACATTGATGTGGAGGCCGACCTGATCCCGGCTGTCGTCGAGCTCGCCGAGAGGGTGGCCTCGCCCGCGGCCCAGAAGGAGCTGAACACGGCGCTGCTGCAGCACCTCAAGTCGGAGCAGCGCGCGGTGCGCCTGGCGGCCGTCAAGTGCGAGCAGCAGCTCATGGACAGACTGGGCGAGGAGTGGCTGACCATGTTGACGGAGATGTTGCCGCGCATCAGCGAGCTGCAGGAAGACGATGATGAGGAGGTCGAGAGGGAGACACACAAGTGGATTGTCAAGATTGAGGCTGTGCTGGGTGAGCCGTTGGATGCCATGTTGCAGTAGATGAAGATGTGTTGTGACGGCCGGTTGTGAGGCCCACAGTTGATATTGTTTGGTATAAGGACGTGGACATCTGTCTAGATATACAAATTAAAGTGTAAGCATGAATCACTTTGTCAAAGTGGAAGCAACATTAGCTGTGTCACAAATAGGCAGTGATTAGCATGGATGGCATAAACAGCATAGCAGGGCATCGACTTGCGCGAGAACATCATTACAGATTACATGATATGTATAATCAGACCTTGTCTGTGTCGTGCATTGCCTGGACGTCAACGGCCTTTTGTTCCTGGATCGTCACATCATGATAGGCGTCGACGACGTAGGAGCCGAACTTGCGCGTGGGCACGCGATCACCAAACATGACATCGAGCTCCTCAAATGTGCGCCCCTTGGTCTCAGCGAGACGGAAGAAAGCCCAGAGGAGGGTTAGAGACGCGGTCCCCATCCAGAAGAAGCCTTGACTCTTTGTTAGTAAATAATCAACGAAGGCATGGGCAAGAATACACACCTGTGAATCTCTTCCAGTTGAGCTCTGTCGGGTTCATAAAGTACGGCTGGATGACATTCGCAATGAGCTGCGCGATATAGTAGGCATTGCGTGCCAGGCATATGTTCTGCGATCGCAGACGCGTCGATGACACCTCGGCAGGGATCGTCCAGCCCACAGGACCGACGGTCAGGGAGAAGCTCAGCAGCCAGCAGATGCAGAGCGCCGACTGTACCCAGCGCAAGCTGGGTATCTTATCGTGGTTGGGCACTTGGAGGACGCCAATGACGCAGAGGGCAGTGATCATGGCCATCATGCCGGCAATGTACAGCTTGCGACGGCCAAACTTGTTCATCAGAAACCAAGAGAAGACGGTCCCGCAGAACGCGATGCCTGTGCCCACCAAGCCGAGGTTGGAGGCCATCTCGGAGGTCATGCCAGCCTGCTCGAAGAAGTAGGTGGCGCTGTAGGCAAACGAGGAGCCGGAGAGGACCTGGCCGGCAAAGACCATGCAGGCGATCTCGGTGCGTCTGGCATTGGGGCCACGGAAGCAGTCCAGATAGGAGCTGCCTTCCACCATATCCTGCTCGATTTGGTTGGTGCGGACCATCATGGCAATCTTATTCTTGGCCTGTTCCTGGGAGACGTTGGAGATGCGAAGCACTGTTCTCTCAGCCTCTTCATACTTGGCGTTGCGGGTGAGCCACCAAGGGGATTCAGGCATGAACCATGCTGCCAGCATGAGTGGTGCGGGCCAGAGCCACTGTATGGCAAAAGGGATGCGGTAGCTCCACTGGTCAGCGTGTCCCACGAGGCCCTTGAGCACGGCGGAACTGAAGAGCTGGCCGATGCAGAAGCAGATATTGGTGTAGGCAGTAAGGTATGGGCGCAGGGCCAGGGGTAGCACCTCAGATGCATAGGCTGGCCCAATGGTCGCAAAGACACCCCAGGGGATTCCACACAAGGCCTGGCCCACCGTCTGGATGAGTACTGTCTTGCCGAGAAACGAGAGAAAGATAAAGGCAATCATAAAGGCCATGGATACCAGGAATGTTGATCGAAAGCCAAACCTGTCGATGAGGAAGCCGTTGAGAAAGGCGCCAATGATGCAGCCAGCCGTGGCTACCGAGTTGAGGGCACTCTGCCACTGACCTTGGAGCTGGAAGACACCAGGCTCGATCTCGACACCAAACTGCTCTTTGAAGGCCGGGTAGGCGAAGAAGTTGCCAATGAGATTGGTGTCGTAGCCCTCCATGATGATGGACATTGAGATGACGAGGGACCACGTGACGGCTTTACGATGTATCTCGAGGCCTGCTCGGATCGTCGTCTCGTGCTCCTCGTCGTTGGCAGCGCGGGCGGCCGTCGCCCTAGACTCAAAGCCGTCCATTGTCGACACAACGGGAATGTGGTCGGCTTTGGCCTCTGTAGCGTCGAGACTGCCATGGCGCTCGGCCTTCTCGCCGACGGTAGCCATTATATGTGACGGCTAGCGACAGCCAGTGGTATATGGACGAAAAAAAGGGGTTGGTTATGAGATCAGGAGAAGTGTGACGGCTGTTGGAACGTTACACTGTCATATACAGCCGGGGCTTGCCAATGACTAAATAGCTTCCATCAGACGGATCAAAGCCATGGCACCGTATACTTACAATGTTTGTTGGCGCATGCTCGCTTACCCCATGGTGTCAGTGGAGTCACAATCCGGGGGTTGAAGTTAAGCTTAGTGTAGGTGACTTCGTCTCTGATCAGGTATCTTGGCTATCCCCAACGCACAAGTAGACGAGCCTCGTAGCGCTGTTCCAACCCCCCCGCAAATGAATTGGAACAGCTTGAATTCATGAACAGGCGCAAGACGAAGTTGTACGATTGAACCGGGTGCGGCAAACGTGCGGCTTTGTATACGGAGCATTGGATCGTGTTGACCAGATGCGTACGCACGGTTCCCCATGGGGCAAAGGACTGGGGCCCATCGCTTGGCACGGGCCTCGCTAAATGACCAGTACGGAAGATCAGCAGGAGCCAAGCGAAGCGGCCTTGGTCAGTGCCCATTGGCGCCATGATACCTAGACTATTGTGCTGGCTACCGCGGTGTACCAAACCGGCTGGGATCAAACCGCAGCAGGCGAGATCCAAGCACGCGCTTAGCTGCATAATTGGGGATCTGGCACTTGACAACGTAAATAGCCGACAGCCACAAACAGAGCCAAGGGCCCGAGGGAGAGCACCGACTTACGGGTCTCGCTTGAATCGGAACTCGTTGGCTGGCAAGCCTCCTGTATTCGAAATGGATATATATTGCCGTTGGACAAAATCAACCGACGGCATTATACGAGATGCCTTTCATGATAGCGCCTGTATGTACCAGTCTTGCAGACTCCTCGCAGAAGCGCCGACCGCCGACTCGGCCCCGCCGATCCACGTCTCCTGAGCGTCTTCCGGCTGAAAGATGAACTTCTCGGGCATCTGGCTCCCATGCTCAAGGATGAACCGCAGCATCCACCGGTCCATGTTGAATGAGTGCTCGATGGAGAAGAGGCACGCGTTGTGGAAGACCTTGAGTCGTGACAAGCATGCATCCAAACTGACCCAATGGAGCTGCAGCTCGGTCAGGATCTCGAAATTGTGCGCGAGCCGTTTGCGTATCTCAGGGGCTTGTTCCTCGGCAAGCCCATTTTCGCTGCTGCTGCAAAGAAGACGGTGCATGTAGACAGTCGACGTGACGACCAGCATGTGGCCGACCATGGCGTATGAGCAGCGGTTGTCCTTGTCTTCGCAGAGATAGAGCAGATCGCAAAATGCCTCCGCGTGGTGGGCACATTTCTCCGCGTACGCTCTCGTCTGCGGCGTGGGATGCCGAAAGCTCTCTGCCATGAAGCGGTAGCACAACACTTCGTAGTAGTAGTGGAACCCCAGATGTAATGCGGCGAATGAATTGCCCACATTGATGCCCATGGCGTTGGCCCGATCCAAATTTTGCTCCGATTCCTGGATGTAGGATGGTAGTTGCTGCTGCCAACCGTCGAGACGCGCAGCTATTGCGTCAATCTCGGCGGCCAGTGCCATGGGCTCGAGATCACCCTCTACTGCCATGTTGTTGAGGTCCTGGACATCAGACCATATCCGGGCGAGCTTGGCCATCTCTCCCCAAATACTCCGCGTTAGCTCTCCTCTGGCTGTACGCACAGGTTCCGTTGGAGGGAGGCCAAGGAAAACAGATTCCTCCGAAGGCAGCTCGACGTCGTCTCGAAACAGAATTTGTCTCGAGAGTTTGAGTCCAGCAGAGACCCACAGGTCAGTCATGTAGAGTGTCCAGTAGACGCGCAAATTTATCTGACGTTCCAGCTCTGTCTGGCACTTTCGTTGTGGAAGGTCCAAAATGAGGCCAAGACGGATAGCTGTGGCAACGTACAAGGTTTCGGTCGCAGCTTTGTTGTCGACAAAGCACATGGTCCCTAGTAATAGGCAGCCTTGGATGGTGACGATGGACAAGTCTCGCATGTCGAGGGCTCGGTAGGCTAGCTCGGCAAAGTGATGATCGCGCCGTTGAGGCGAGGAGGCGAATCTTGGCGATACAAGTCAGAACGAGGGGTCGTTTTGCAGGTGGCAGACAAACCTGATGCCCAAAGAGAGGACCGAGTACAAGATCACATCGGGTATCTGATTATTTCGCAAGTCTCGCTCGAATGTTGGACGGTGAAACAGGCTATGGTGTGTGTCGTGAACCACATCAAAGTAGTGAGAGACCATCTCCTGCTTCCAAACAGGGTCCAACTCCAGAATGGCGGCCCGGTTGGGCTGGTTCAGAGAGCAGTAGGAGGCATTGCTGCTCATGTCTTCAGGCGCTGAAATGGTCCCATCACTGAGCGGGCGGGCCATGGGTGAGACATGATGCTGTGCGCCTGGTGACTGGACCGGTGGCCGCGCTTGAAGCTGCGTTTGGCTCTGGGTCTGGGTGTGAGGGGGCGGTATCGCGCTACCTGTAGGCTTCGACTTGCCCAGGCTGCACGATATTTTCATCCTCTCGCAGCGGAGACATGATGATTTGGGGTCGGTCTTGGACGGACGACATCGTCGCTTTCCTAGCCTGAAACGGGAGGCAAGAGGGTGAGCGTCAGTCCATGCGGCAGGAGCAACAGAAAGATGGTCGGCCTGGAAGGTACTCACCGGCAAGTGTAGCAAGCAGTTGCGGGTCTCATGGTCCAAGGATCCGTCCAGTGGACTGCCAGTGTAACGGTACGATAATCTATTGATGATCAGTGAGATTGATGGAAGACACTGAGCGAGCGGATTTCAGAGGAGCAAAGCCGCACATGAGTCTGATGAATGTGATGGCATCCTGCGGCGCAACCTCCGCTGCCATGGATGGCTAAATGCAGACTAGCTGGCCCCCGGGCCCCTGGGCTGCTGGATGCCCAGATTTTAGAGCCAGAATTAGTGGGTATGACCGGCTAACAGGGGCATCACCCACTGTCGCAAGTCATGATGAGGGGAAATGTGGGACAGCCATGCTTCCAAATTCGATGTTTATGCCCTTCTGCGGACCTGCACTTGAACTGTCGTTCATTCAAACTGCGCGACACTAGTTCACATACAAATTCATAATTCCAGAGGAGTATACGCAATACCTGTGCCCTACCCCATGTTCTTGTCAACTTGAACTTGAGGATGCAATGTATGGATCCTTCAATAGATGCATAATTCGTCTCCCCCTTGGCACCTGCATCCCCAGACTCCAGTCTTCCTTCCCGACGTCGACTTCCCCAACCCACCTCACTCCACACGACCACGAGGCACGTCCACGATCCTCTGCTCCAACTTCTGAGAATGCCGCACTGGTTTCCCGCAGCTGGCAGCGCGAGCTTCGCCACACGCGTGTCATCCATCGCATCGCCCATCATGGCTATTAAACAGGTTCCGCCCAGCTGGGCTGGCCCATGGCCTCTCTACAGCAGCTGCAGCGGCGACAGATGCTCTCCCTTGCTTGATCATGGCCGGCCAGACCCTTCTCCTCGAGAACGATGCCGTGCGCGTCGGCATCAAGATCACCGCTGACGGCACCGCCCACCTCGACTTCCTCCTCCCTGCTGGCCAGGACCCTCAGCCTGCCGTGTCCAAGCACTTCAAGGACGCCTCCCTCCCACTCGTGGAGCTCCAGCTCTCGGGCGAGGGCAACGCAAGCCGGAAAAGTTCCAAGGCACTCATAGGCTCGTACATTGGCTCACGCCTCCAGTACGTCTCGCACAAGGAATCAACCGACAAGGGTAAAAAGTCAAAGACGCTCCATGTCGAGCTGCACGACGAGAAGACCAAAGTCTCCGTCGTCAGCCACCTCACCATCTTTGACAATCTCAGCTTTCTGAGGTCCCAAGTCACCGTGCGCAACGACTCCCCAGCCAACGTCGTCGTCTACCAGGTGCCCTCGGTGGTGAATGGCGCTGTGACCCGCTCCACCGAGTGGTAGAACGACTACGAGTTCGCGTATGCCAACAACACGTGGGTGCGCGAGGCCCAGTGGGTGACGCGCAGCCTTCCTGACATTGGCGTTGACACGTACGGCATTTACGGCATTGATATGCCAGAGGGCATCGATACGCCCCAGGCGTCCCTGTCCAGCCACGCCATCAGCAACCACAGCACATTTAGCACCCAGCGCTACCTGCCCATGGGCATGCTCAAGAAGAAGGATCGCTCCGAGACGTGGCTGTGGCAGGTGGAGAACAATGGCAGCTGGATGTACGAGATTGGCGACTACAGAGACAACATCTACATTGCCGCGTCTGGCCCGACCAACAACGACCATGACTTTAGGGAATGTCTCGCCCCTGGCAAGTCGTTCACGAGCGTGCCCGTTTCCATCTGCCACATCCAGGGTGACGAGCAGGCCGCGTTTGGCGCTCTCACCCAGTACCGCCGTCACACCCGCCGCAAGCACGTCGACAATCGCGACCTCCCTCTCATCTTCAACGAATACATGAACTGCCTCTTTGGCGACAGCTCAGACGAGAAAATCCTCGCGCTCATCGGCCCCGCCGCCAAGGCCGGGGCAGAGTACTTTGTCATTGACTGCGGCTGGTACGCCGATGACAGCAACTGGTGGGACGATGTCGGCGAGTGGCAGCCCTCCAAGCGCCGCTTCCCCATGGGGTTCCAGAACCTGCTCTCCAAGATCCGCGACGCGGGCATGAAGCCCGGCCTGTGGCTCGAGCCCGAGGTGATTGGCGTCCGCAGCGCCATGGCCGACCGTCTGCCGCGCGAGTGCTTCTTTCAGCGCGACGGCAAGCGCATCGTGGAGAAGGGTCGGTACCAGCTCGACTTCCGCCACCCGGACACGCGCAAGCACCTCGACGAGGTGGTCGACCGCTGCGTCAACGAATACGGCGCCGGGTACTTCAAGTTCGACTACAACATCGAGGTCACGCAGGGCACAGACATCGCCACCCACAGCTCGGGGGCAGGCCAGCTCGAGCACAACCGCGCGTACCTCGCGTGGGTGAACACGCTGTTTGATCGCCACCCTGATCTCGTTATTGAGAGCTGCTCAAGCGGCGCACAGCGCATGGATTACGCCCTGCTCAACGTGCATCCCCTGCAGTCGACCAGTGACCAGATGGACCCCGTGCTCTACGCCGCCATATCCACCAACATCCCGACGGCCGTCACACCCGAGCAGGGCGCCACCTGGGCCTACCCGCAGGGCGACTGGTCCGACGAGATCAACGCCTTGACCGTTGTGAACAGTCTGCTCGGCCGCATCCACCTCAGCGGTCGGCTCGACATTATGAAGCAGCCGCAGCTCGACATCATCACAGAGGGCATGGACGTCTACAAGCAGATACGCGCCGACATTCCTGATGCCCTTCCCTTTTGGCCGCTGGGCATGGGCACATGGCACGCCGACTGGCTCTCGCTCGGTCTGAACGCCGGGCCCGGTAAGGGCACGTACTACCTGTCCGTGTGGCGTCGCGGGGGTTCGACCAAGTGTGCGCTGCCGGTAGAAGCACTCAGGGGAAAGAAGGGAGTCGGGGTGCAGGTGCTCTACCCCAAGAGGTTCGAGGCCAAGGTTAGCTGGAACAATGACACGTCGGCGGTGGACGTGGAGCTGCCGAATACAGTGTGCGCACGGCTGATCAAGCTGACGGTCTGATATACATTTTGGGTGAATATATACAGTTAAAAATACATCAGGTCTATACAAGAGGCCCTCAGAACCGCGAAATGTCCCGGCCAAAGACCCACGTAACGAACCAGTACACGGGAATGAGCAGCTTGTTCCGGACGCTCATGCTCTTGGTCAGGTACGCCGTCCTCCACAAGATCCACGCGGCCCTCCCCTTCAGCTCATCGCCCGAGCTCTGGTGGATCGCCCGCCAGCTGCCCAGATACGCCATGGTCCCGAGGTTGCGGAACTTGAAGGGCTTGGCCTCGAGATCGCCCTTGTTGAGGCGACGACCGAGATGGACGGCCTGCTGAGAGGCGACCTGCGCGGTGGCCGGATAGTTGGCGCCCTCGACGACGGCGCAGTCACCCATGGCGAAGACGCCGGGGAGCGTGGTCCTCTTGTGATCGGGGCCCTCCACCTGCACGCGCAGCCGGTCGTCGGTGAGAAACCCACCCGTCTTGGGGTCCTTGACGATCCTGCCGAGGCCAGCGACGTCCTGCTTGTCCACAATCTGCCTCACGAGCGGGTTCTGCGTGAGCCCCGTACTCCAGACGACGATGCCGGCGCCGACCTCGTCCTTCTCCTCCTTGATACGGATAAGTAGATGGTCGCCGACGCAACGGATCCTCTCGAGGTGGTGCTCCGTCTTGACCTGGATGCCCTGGCGCTTGAACATGTCTGTCGCGTAATTGGCGAGGTTCTGGTCGAACATGGGGAGCACCTTGGGGGCAATGTCGTAGATGGTCACGGCAACGTGCTGCATGAGGCCCGGGTACATCTTGCGCAGATCCTCGTGGACGAGGTCGTGCAGCTCGGCGGCGAATTCGATGCCGGTGGGCCCGCCACCGACGACGGCAAAATGCAGCAGCTTCCGCCTCTCGTCGTCCGTCGTGGTCGGCAGGGCGGCCTTTTCAAACGCCTGCAGAATCCGGAGCCGGATGACACGTGCGTCGCCGACGTCGCGCAGGAAGCAGGCGTGCTCCCGGACGCCCTCGATGCCAAACGTCTGGCTGGCGCACCCCACGGCGAGGACGAGCTTGTCGTAGGCGACCTCGAACTCTGTGCTGGGGTCGGCGAGGGCGTCGGGGTCGGAGCGTGTGGTGGCGTCGTCCTTGGTGTTGGCCTGGACCCGGACGACTTTTCTGTCAAAGTCCACGTCGCGTACCTGGCCTTGGTGGAACTCGGCCAGGTTCAGCCGTCGCACGGGCTCGATGGCGGCGCGAAACTCGAGGGTGCCGACGGACGTCGAGGCCAGCAGGGGTGTGAAGACGAAGTGGGAGCGAGGGGAGACGAGGACCTGGGAGGAGGAGGAGGGCGAGAGGGTCCTCGCGAGAGCGTAGCCCGCCCATCCGGAGCCGAGGATGACGATGCGTTCCTTTTTGTCGGCAGGAGTCGAGGTGCTGGCGTAGTGCCTGCGCGTGAGCAGAGGGCTGTGGCGTTGCAATGCCCTCTGCAGGGTCCGACTCGCGATACGCGCGGGCGTATGAGGTTCCATTGTGATGACAATGAGAGGACGGTATAAGCAGAATCCAGGGCGAGGTCGAGTCACGATTGCTAATTTGATGCCGTGAAGTACTTACGAGCCACTGATGTCACGGTCACGACTCACGACGATGTCAGTCATTCACCCCTGCTTCGGACTAAATTCCTCTCTTGATGGGGAACGAAGCCTGACGTGCAAGCTCATGTACAATTTTCAATAGCTTGACTCCTACGAGAATAGATCGGAATGACGTTTAGTGCCTGTCAGGCTGTCTGTCAGACGCAGGCCCGCCCGTCCGCGTCCGTGGGTCCGGGTGGTCCGGGCGGACAGTATCCACTTTTATCGGAGGCTGGAGAGTCCGGGAGTCCGGAGCTGCAGTTGGTGCCCGTGTGGCGTTCTACATGTACGTACTTATCCTCCGTAATGGCTCGAGAATGTCTTTGAGGGATAGACTAATGCTATCTCTGCTTGCAGGCTAGGAGGGCGCACTTGTCGGACCTGGGGTTGCCACTGGCACCGATCTTTCAATGAGTCTGCCTCGGTGTTTGAGAGGCTCATCTCAATCACGAACGCCAGCAATTGCCCAGCTGTATATATCTCAAAATCAAACGACCTGACATTAGCTTGTGACATAAAACAAGGACAGGTGGCCGAGTGGTTAAGGCGCTACACTCAAGATGACATCATCTTAAGTCATACAATGGCTTTGTAGTATCGAAAGATGCATCGGTTCGAGTCCGGTCCTGTTCAGTATCTTTTTGCTTTTTTGACAGATGAACTCTCATTAAATCGCGATATTCTTTTGGACAATTGCCTAAAGCAACACTAGTGAAGTCCTTGTATCTAAATGTTGACATCACCGCGAGGTGTCGCCGATCACGGAGTGTGGGCGACTCCATGTCCCCATGGTCGGTGAAGACGTGCGCGAGTAACAACGAACAGACTTGCGCGATGCAGTAGACTGCAGTGAGGTCCATTGGATTCAGAGTTTAGGTTTAAATCTAGTCTAGGTGCAGGACAAAGGCGGCGATCTAGCCATCAACTGACGCCCACGCCCGCCCACGCCCGTATCCCACTACGAGTGAATTCAACGCACCTCCATCCACCCGGACCTCCATTCACCACTGTCCCCTTTCCAACCCCTGAGCGCGCAATCAAAACAGCAAAATGGCCGCTCCCAAAGTAGACTACAGCGTCTACCTCGTCACAGATTCTACGCCCGCCATCCTTGGCGATGCTGACCTCGCGTCCGTCGTCGAGCAGTCTCTCCAGGGTGGCGTCACGATTGTCCAGTACAGAGACAAGCACTCACCACGCGACCACGTTGTCGCCACCGCGCGCAAACTACACCAGATCACACAAAAGTATAATGTGCCCTTTCTCATCAACGACCACGTCGATGTGGCGGCCGAGATTGGCTGCGAGGGCGTGCACATTGGCCAGGACGACATGGGTAATCACTCACCCAACTTCACATTGTCAATATCAATAGGCAGCTAACCCGACACGCATAGCATTCGAGGAAGCAAAGAGGCTGCTAGGCGAGGGCAAAATCATCGGCATCACGGCATCCTCCAAGGAAGAAGCCCTCAAGGCCGCCTCCCAGGGCGCGACGTACCTGGGCATCGGCACCGTCTACGCCACCAGCACCAAGAAGGACACAAAGTCCATCATCGGCCCCGTGGGCGTGTCCTCCATCCTCGCCGCCCTCGCGGCCGAGGGCCACGGCGCCCTGCCCACCGTATGCATCGGCGGCGTCAACGCCAGCAACGCCCGGGACGTCATGCGCCAGACCGTCTCCCCACGCAAGACCCTCGACGGCGTCGCGGTCGTCAGCGCCATCGTCGCCGCCCGAGACCCTGCCGCCGCCGCGCGCGAGATCCAGGGCGCAGTCATCGGCGCCAAGATCCCCGAGGTCATCCTGTCCATTGCCCGCAAGGGCCCTCTGTCGCACAACATGACCAACCTCGTCGTCCAGAACTTTGCCGCCAACGTCGCCTTGGCCATTGGCGCCTCGCCCATCATGGCCAACTACGCCGAGGAGGCGGCCGACCTGGCCAAATTGGGCGGTGCGCTTGTCGTCAACATGGGCACGGTGACGCCCGATGGGCTGAAGAACTACGTGCAGGCGCTGCAGGCGTACAACGCCGCCAAGCGGCCTGTCGTCTTTGACCCAGTGGGGTGAGTACTTGTATCTACAATGAACCAGGCGGACAGATGCTCATGGACAACAGTGCCGGCGCAACCGCCGTCCGACGCTCGGCCGTCAAGACCCTCCTCGCAAGCGGCCACTTTACCCTCATCAAGGGCAACGAGGGCGAGCTGCAGACCCTGCACGGCGTCTCTGTCACGCAGCACGGCGTGGACTCTACCTCCACCCTCAGCCTGGCCCAAAAGGCCCGTCTCGCGCGCGACCTCGCACGCACCCACGCCGCCGTCGTCCTCCTCACGGGCAAGACCGACATTGTCAGCGACGGCACCCGGACGCTCCGCGTCGACAATGGACATGAGCTCCTGGGCATGATCACTGGTACGGGTTGCACACTCGGCACCACCGTGTCGGCCGCGCTGGCTGCACATGGCCATGTCGACCCCCTGGTGGCTGCGGTGGCCGGCACAGCCATGTTTGGCGTCGCGGCAGAGATGGCCGCGGCGAGGAGCGAGGTCCGTGGGCCCGGCACGTTTGTCCCTGCCTTCCTGGACGAGCTGTATCTGATCCGCAAGGCGTCTGCGGACGGGGACATGCGGTGGCTGACCATGGTCAAGGTGCAGGCCGTCGAGGTGCAAGAAGCGTAGGGGGGTTGTTGCTCTACAGCTCGTACAAACAAAAGGGGTATCTTGATGACTGTATATAGAAAAGACCAACTCAGAAACCCATCTGCAGACCGTCCAACTCCTCCATGTTAGGCATGGCATCCTCCCAAACCGACCCCGACTGCCCCATCATGTCCCTCCAGAACCCATCACCCAACCCCCCAGCCCCCAGCCCGGCGTCGTCCATGGCGATGCTGCCCATCCTGTAGTCCTCGGCCGCGCGCCTCATCTCCTCCCGCACGTGGACGCTCATCCGCTGGCAGAGCCGCAGGAGACCCGTAAACGGATCTGCGCGCCCATCGCTGCGCGCCGCCACGCTGAACACGCCTGACCGCCGCCTCTCCACCACCAGGGAGAGGTGCTCGATCGCGGCGTCCATAATGGCCCCGAACCGCAGCTCCTGCTCAATCTGCTCCAGGTTCCAGCCCGGCAGGCGCAGCGTGCTGAGCCGGATACCCACGATGAGCGCGTACGACACGTCCGAGCCCGAGAGGCAGAGGAATTGCGGGTTGTCGAGGTCGGTCCACTCCTGGACGCGGCCGTCGAACAACTTGCGCAGCGCACGCAGGCAGGTCCACAGGAGGTTGAGCCGGTCCGTCATGGGGGTGGCGAGGTGTACGTCGGAAATGGCCCATTCGGTGAGGAGGATCTGGGCGATGCAGATGTGGGCTTCCAGCATGGCTGTGTACAAGTCAGACAACACCACTAGATCAGGGATCAGGAGGGACACCCACGGAATCTCTCCAGGTCGGCGCCAAAGGACTGTCGAAAGCTGTTGATCTGGTCCTGGAACGACCGCACGACCATGGTCATGGGCAGCTGCATCGGTTGCTGGCCCGGCTCCACAAACACCGTCAGCGAGATGGACTGCGCGAGCTGCTGGATGCGCACGAGCTTGACGAGCAGCCCGTCCGACTCGAACTGATGCGCCTCCTCGAGGATCATGCAGCACTTGTCCAGCTGGCTCGTGTTCATCAGCACCTCGGTCCTCTTGTTGGTCGTAAAGACCCTTTCGTCCAGTCGTCAGCAGGGGAATCGTCACGAGAGTGGAAGCAGCAACCCGCAGACGGACACTTACAGCGTGTTAAGATAGTAGACGCCAGCATAGGCCCGGAGGGCGTCGAGGTCCCTCTCCCCGTCCGCGCCCACCGCCTTGCCGCTCAGCTCCAGCCCGAGCGCCACACTCCTCAGCAGAAACAGCAGGTTGGTCAGTCTCGAGCTACCGAGTGCGTGGTGGAACCAGGCTACCAGAAGCTGCATGCCCCTGAGCAGATCGAGGCTCCTCTCGCCCTCGACCATGGTCCTCCGCCCAATCTCCGCCAGCAGCTCCTCGCCCACACGTCCGTGTCGGACACCATCCATGAACGTGCCCACCATCATGATCGCCTTCCACAGAAAGTGATGCTTCGTCTTGAGCTCCGCCGCGCGCAGGTTGGGTGGGACCTTGACAAAGGGGAAGAGCGGCTCCGCAGTTCTTCGATAGTCGGCCAGGAGACTCTCCGCCTCGGACTCGAGCGGCCATAGTGAGATCCAGGGCTGGTTCGGGCACGGACTGTTGCACAGCGTGTCGTTGGAAGGCCACGGTGTCGTCGACGTGAAGGGCGGGAAGATGTGACTGATGAAGCCTGCGTCCAGACGGTTTGGGGCCTCCTTTTTCGGCTGAACGTCTGTAGCCATAGTTGGGTCTGGCGTTGTATGAGGAGAGTGAGAGTCGCTGGCACCGCTGATGCTGATCATGGGCGTGGCCATGTCCACTTTGGCAACTTTGGAGGATTCCAGCTCCTCGAGGCGCCGTTGTAGATCTTGTATCTGAGACCGCTTGACAACCTTTTTAGGGCGAGGCGGTGCCGGCGTCCTGGATATGCATGTCTTTCGAAGCCTGTCACATCTGTGAAGGGTAATGATTGAGTCCATGTACGTCTCATGCTTCGAGAGGATGACATACCTCTCACATTTCTCACAGTTCTCTTTGACTATACATCGTGCCTTGGCCTTTGCACACACGGTGCAAGCCAAGGGGCGTCGCTCTCCAGGCTTCAACATGACGTACGGAGAAGTTGGTGATGGTGTATAGGGTAGGTCAGGAGTCAGGAGCTGTCAGTACGCGCCGGCTGTACTTGGGAAACCACCGACGTCCCCAGCTGCATGTGAAAGGTTAATAAAAACAGAAAAGGTAATAATTCAGATGCAAAGTGACAGGTTCACGAGAAACTGAATGTGGCCCATTATGACGGACGACCGCCGCGGGCATCAGTCCCAAGATTCGGTGTCCGCGGACCCGGACAAGCAACGCCCTCAGTCGTGCCGTTCCCGTCGGCGTCCCGGAAAATCTATCCTGGCGGAACGATGCCGGCTAGCGTTAATAACGAACAGGCACTGGCGAACTTAATTCAGTAGGATAATCCGGAAGCCGATCTACTCGCCCCCACCCCTCCCTCGAATTCCAGTCACAAGCCGAATGAATGGGCAACCAAAAGGTGATGTAAGGTCGCAATTGCGCCAATCAATAGTGTAAATTGGGCCAAAAGGCACAAGCTATCATAAGAGGGCCAGAAACAGCCCTGGATCGAATGGAATGGTGGTTCGCCACAATTGGGAACCAATGCCAGCGGCACAGTGAGCGAGCGACCAAGTCTTAGGCTGCGGCTGCGACAGAGCGTCCGGCGCCCGCCTCGCGCTCCAGCAGGGTCTCGGTCAGGGATGCCTTGCCAGATTGTCCTCCCGTAGCCATAATCTCCTTGGCCGCCTGCTCAATGCCCAACTGCTTGTCCGTCCAGAGCGGCTGGACCTCCGTGTTGTCCTGCTCACCGACACCAATGAAGCCACCCTCAGCCGCCCAATCAGACGTGCGCTTGATGCCCAGGCGCGTCCAGATCTCGTCCACAGCCTGGACCAGTTCCTCCCGGAGCTCCTTGCCGTGGCCCGGGGTGGGCGTGATGCGCAGGCGCTCCTGGCCGACGGGAACGGTCGGGTAGTTGATGGACTGGACGTAGATCTGGTAGTCGTTGAGGAGCATGTCAGAGGCCGCCTTGGCCAGCTCCGCGTTGCCGACCAGCAGGGGCACAATGTGCGAGGGATTGGGGATGACGGGGATGTCGCGGGCGTTCATCTCCTCCTTGACCGCACGCGTGTGCAGCTGCTGCAGCCTCCGGTCACCGTCGTGCTCCATCTGGTACTCGATCGACGCCCTGGCGCCAGCCATGGTCGCCGGGGGAAGCGAGGTCGTGAAGATGAACCCAGGAGCCAGCGAGCGGATCATGTCGACCAGCTTTTCGCTGCCCGCAATGTAGCCGCCCACACAGCCGTATGCCTTGCCCAGAGTACCCGTGATGATGTCGATGCGATCCATAATGGTGCCCCGGGGCATGCCCTCCTTGTGCGCCTCCCAGTCCAGGTGCTCAGCCACGCCAGCACCGCTCGGCCCGTACATGCCTACGGCATGCACTTCGTCGAGAAAGGTGATGGCGCCGTACTTGTCGGCCAGGTCGCAAATCTCCTCAATCGGCCCAATGGAACCACACATGCTGTAGACGGATTCAAAGGCGATGATCTTGGGCACGTGCAGCGGCAGGGCAGCCAGCTTGGCCTCCAGATCCGCCACATCGTTGTGCTTGAAGACGACCTTCTTGGTGCCAGAGTGTCGGATGCCCTGGATCATGGAGGCGTGGTTCAGGCTATCCGACAAGATGACGCAGTCGGGCATCTTGCTGCCCAGGGTGGCCAGCGTCGCGTCGTTGGCCACGTAGCACGAGCTGAACACCAGCGCCGCGTCCTTGGCGTGGAGCTTGGCCAGCGTGCCCTCCAATTCTACCGCATGCCTGTTGTGTCCAGAGATGTTCCTCGTCCCGCCCGCGCCCGCGCCGTACTCCTCGAGCGTCTCGTGCATCTTGTTGAGCACGCGGCTGTTGCGACCCATGCCGAGGTAGTCATTGGCGCACCAGACGGTGACGCGATCCTCCTTGTTGGACATGTGGGCGCGAGGAAAGTCCTTGGCCAGGCGGTTGATGTTGTTGAAGTAGCGGTACGACTTGTCCTTGTGCTTCTTGTCGAGTTCGGCCGTGTAAAAGGACTCGTAGTTGAACTTGGCGGCCGCACGTGCGTCGGCGAGCGGCTTGTTCGTCTTGTTAGGCGGGTATATGCCAGAGACGTGGCCCTCGACGGCGCGGGCCTCCTGGCCACGGCTGGTGTGCATCTTGGCCTTGCCGTGGGCGCTGGCGGAAGACGTCTTGGCATGGTTGGAGAAGGCACGGAGGCTGGCGGCGGCGCCGTACTTGGACGACTGCACAGCCATGGCCTTGCCCATGACCGGGCAGCGACCGGCGAGGAGCGTCAGCTTGGACATGGTGCCGCCACAGGGCGACGCCTTGGGGCTGGGGCTCGGGGTCGCGGTCGGGCGAGCAGACGTCGAGAGGGCTCGCAGGGTGGCGGGGGAAGCCGTCTTGAGGAACGGGCACATGGCCTTGCTCTGGCGGAGGACGCTATCCATGGCCAGGATAAATGATCGCAGTCGTTGAGGGTGTCTATTCGAGTCGTCGCGGTGGACGTGTTTCTGGAAATGCCTTGTGGAGGAGGGGGAAAGGGAAAGAAGGAAGGAAAGACGGAGGCCCAGTGGATGAGACTACCCAGACGAGGGTGGTCACTGGCCGGGAAGGAGAATCCCGAGCAAGTAGTTCCAATTTTCTAGCCGAATTTGGGATTGTGGAATTCGAGATGCCGCCCTTTCCGCTTCTCGACAATGGCCACTAATCATGGACAAATTATGATCATGTCCGGCAGGCAAAATTGAGCGCATTGATGAATTGATCATTGATTGATTGATGGAATGCCCCTCTGGATCCACCCACCGCCGAGGTCGTCCCCTTCAATATTCTTCTTACCTTTAGCCAGCGTGTGATTGGGCGCTGACGACGCGGCGACCCCGCACTTTTTCTTCCATCGTGCTGGATGAGCAATCAATCAACCCATCATGACTTTTCCACATTGTGATTAGCGACACATGGTTTGTGACCTACGATGGTCATGCTCGTGTTCAACACTTCGAGGTAGCTTGATTGCATTGCAAACGATTCTGGTAGAAAGCGATCCTCCTGCGCATATCATCCCAAGGTGGTCATTGTTTATGTACTATAGTTGCTCCTGAAAAGGCTGAAATGCGAAACCCCAATGCAACATGCACCGAACCATCCTTGGTCAGCCCCATATGGTCGTCAATGCACGTGTCGAACACTCCGTAAAGATGACCACGCCAGCAAATAGGGTATCTCGAATCCTCACGCCCAACGCCGAAATCGCAATGCCATTGTCAATCAACCCCCCTCTTCCTTCATTCCATCGTCTTGATTCTCATCACTCGTCATCTGCCCTGACCGGTGCTGTCGCTGTGCCCGCTCGTGGGACTGGCCCTGGAGCCAACCGACAGCTGTCGTGATGTATGCCGCTCCTGTTCTCTTAGTGATGCGTGCGCCCAGGCGGGCAGTCGTCTATAGCCATCGCCTGTGTTTGACGACTCTTCGACATCTCTGCGAGCACTGCCGAGTCCTCCTTTCTAGCCCTCGACGACGAGGCCCCGGATGTTGAATGGCGTTGTAGTTCCTAGAACACGGTTAGTCGCTGCAACTCCGACAATACCCTGTCAGGGCCATACACACCACTGGATCTTTGTTCTGTGTCTTCAAACTGCACTGCGCCATAAAGGTCTCGGGACTCAGTCGCTCCAGCGAGTCGACACGACTTCGCAACACTTTGCGCCCCGCGCTGGCCACATAATTGGGTGTAAGGAGCCCGTATGCTAATGCAATTGTGAAGCGTTCGTTGTCCAGCAATTCCGTCAGCAACTTCCACTGCACCTTATCCGGCAAGAACCCAGCCCCTCTAGCTTCGAGCACCTGCTGGATCGACCTTGCTAGGGATATTGCACGATGCTGTATGCCGCCATGGGCAAGTGTGATGACCGAGTGCCTAGTTACGCCGGGGATAGCCTCGAGGCGTTCTATCAGTTTCTGTTGGAAAGTGGCGTCAAGCGGCTGTGATTGACTGCTGTTGAAAGTGAACGCTGGCGCCGGCATGCCCATCGGGCTGGTGGGAGGTGGTTGATCTGTGGCTGCTGATGCGCTTGTAGCTGGTCCAGGCGAGTGCGTGCTGCTCATGACCTCCGTCTGCCGACCAAAGTAGGTGTTTGCCCCGACCATGGGCATGGGCGGAGGTGGGACGTTTGGAATCGCAACCGCAGGGGCAGCATCATCGGCACCTGAGGACTGGCATTCATGTTAGAATAGTCTTGTAGCAGGGGGTGGACATGTTGTTTTTGTATTTGAGGGAAACCGGAAAGGGCAATATGGATGGGAACAGAAGGGGAATGGTGGCTCTATACCCTATCGGGCACGCCAGAGTTGGACTCTTGAAGTGCCGGTTCACGACGCTGGCCGTCTGCTGAAGCAGCACCGATGCTGGGTGCCATTGTCGTTGGGCCGTTCAAGTCAGGTATATGATGCGGCGGTCTCGTAGTGCCATGCGGCTGGGTCGGAGGTGGGATTGATGTCATATTTCCACCATTCGGAGTAGATACTGCATGAATTGGATGCTGCCATTGTTGAGCCTGGTGTGCTTGCTGCTCTGCAACCAATTTCGCATGCTCAGTCGGGTCCGTGCGTCGAAGTCGATCAAGCCGGACAGCTTCTTCCGCTTCCTTACGCTCTTCTAAAGTCAAGGTGGCGTCAATGTCTTCCTCTTCAAATGTATCAGTCGAGACGAGTTTCCTGATTTGAAGCTGCTGTGGTTCCGGCCAGACGGTCCTGGGAGGATTTTGGATGAGATCGTCGAGGATCTGGTCTTTGCCTTTGAAGGCTGCTAGATTCGGGGTACGTGCCCCGTCCTTTGGGTGTTGAATGTGCATGAGGTATTTACCATGCCTTTGGCCCCAGGAGATAGGATTCTTCTGGTCGACAACTCGGGTGGCTAGTTGGCCTTTGAAGACGGCCTGGTTGTGGAGCTCCTGCTCAATCGTACCGGCGACCATAAGATAGTAAACAAACACATGCTTCAGCTGCCCAAGACGATACGCTCGTCCAACTGCTTGCTGGTCATCGGCCGGATTCCACTGTGAGTCGAATATCACCACGCGATTGGCTCCTTGTATGTTGAGACCAACACCGCCCGCCCTGGTCGAGATGAGATAGACGTCCTGCTGCCCATCGTTGAACGCTCTTGTTTGATGTTGGCGTTCGTTGATCTTGCTGCCGCCGTCTAGCCGACAAAAGCGACGATCTTGCATTTCCATGATCTTCTGTAGATAGTCTAGTGTAGGGATGCTTTGGCTGAACACTAAGACCTTGTCGCCGACGGCCCGGGAAACGTCTAGAATTCGACACAGGTAAAGCACCTTGGCCGAGTATGAAGGGTCTTGGATCGTCGGGTTGCTGTTTGTTAGGCGATTTGCCTCGTTGATGATCCCTGCAGGGAATGTTGAGGCCTTGTTGTCAGTACCTGTAGCGATTTCTTGCATCACCTTGTAACCGAAACAGGCCGGGTGATTGCACAGAAGCACCAAGTCCCTAGCAGCCGTCAAAGCCGAGCCTTGTCTGCCAACACCGCCGTCGTGAATGGCGTTGATGTATAGCGTATATAGGTCGCACTGTAGCTTAGTGGGAGGCACCGATATAACGAATTCTGACTTTGGAGGCAGGTCGTGGGAGAGCACTTTGATCGTGGCTCGATGCACTTTGGGTGCTACTGTCGTCTTTAAAGCGTGTAGCTTTCTAAGCGCCCGTTTCTTATCGACAGCTAGACTGTCTCGCGCTAGCCCATCCTCGATTTCGCGGACGTAGATATCCTTAAACTCCTCCAAGGGGCCCAGGAAATTCGGTGCAACCCAATGAATCATCGAGTAGTACTCTATCGTGTTGTTGCTCAGCGGCGAGCCAGTCAAGGCGATGCGACCAGAAGTATAGAATTGCGAACAGAGGCTGTTCAACACTCCGCTTTGTGTCTTAAGCTTGTGTGCCTCGTCAGCCACGACGATCCTTGGAGTCTCCAGCAGTAACGCGGCAAGCTCTTCATACTGTAGCCTGCCCTCGTCGTCGCTCTTGTCCTTGCGGAAAAAGGCTTTGAACATGTCGTAACCAAGGACCAGCACTCCGCCGTCAGCTGCCCACTCTCGGATGATGTCTTCACGCATGAAAGACGTAGCCGCTGAGTCCAGTGACACCAGGGGGCCCAAGGAGTCTTTCGGAGCCCATTTGCACAACTCATCCATCCAATTGTTGACAAGTCCTGCAGGACACAGGATCAACGTTTTGGACTTGCGCAAATCCTCTGGTATCTGCGTCGCAGTCTTGGCATCACTAGAAGCTTGAGCAAGGGCTACAAGGAACGTAATCACTTGCATTGTTTTGCCCAGGCCCATTGTGTGCGCTAGGAGGCAGCCTTGGCGGAGCATCGGGGGCAGGACGATTTGGTTCCACAAGAAACGAACACCGTCGATCTGGTGCTCCTTGATCGAACGTGAAATGTCCTTGTCAACATACACCAGCTCTTGCTCCTCGTCTTTGCTTTCGTTTATGATGATACGATTGTCTCCATGAACTAACGAGCCTAGGCCTGCAAGCTGAGCCCGGAGTTTCTGGCGACGAGTCTCTTGCTCTTTGATCCTCTCTTTGGCAACCTGGCGCAGAGTGAGGGCATCCCTGTTCTGCACGACTTCCTTTGTCTGCTTCCGGCGCTTCTGAGGCGAGCCGTACTCTTCAAGTTCCTTGTCAGCCGGGATTTCCTCGTCGCTATCGGGGATATTATCAGGATCATGGCCCCGGTAGATCTGGTCAGCCGTGGGGAATATTGACTCCTTCTCCCGCAGCCATCTACAGAAGAGTGAGAACCCTTCATTATTCGAGCGTATCTTGTGGATGGTCTTTTTTGTCGGCGGCACCAAGCGTTTCTCAGCCTGTACCCTGCATCGAAGGTGCGTAAGAAATAATCGTGCAATGTCGAAACAGAGAAGCTCGTTCTCGGTCCAAGTGCCCACCATCCCATAGTCCTGTGGCGGTTCGTTCAGAAAGACTGTGACGTACATCTTCCATACGTTCAGGGGTGAATATGTCTGCAAGGCGACAAAGACGGCTTTGCGCCGGTTGAAAGTCATATTAGCCATAACCCATAAGACAAGTCTCCAGCGGTCATTTTGATTCGACCAAAACTTGGCATCATGCGCGGTGATTGGACTGAGGCTGCCGAGACTTTTGAGCGATGGCCCGTTGACTGCATCCGTCGTGGAGGCCTCTGTGGGTTGCGAGTCCGGCTCTAACGTCAAATCTATGACCGTGACGGAGTGCTGGGACGGAGGCACCTTGGGGGACTGAGGGTGTCGAGTTCTGACAGGTGTTGTTGGATTCGCTTTCAAACTCTGAGAAGTTTCACCGTCGCTGCCCTGTGCGGCATCTCCATCTCCATTAGCAGCCTCTGGGGCATGGCGAGTTTGTCCGCTGGCGGCGTCGTTGGCAGCGTCGTTGGAGGAGTCAGCTGCTGCATCGGATATATCCATGGGAAGAGGGTCCTCGTCATGAACGATGAAATCAGTGTCATCCTCCTCGTCGCTGCTGGTCAGGACTTCTTCCATCGCCGCAGGCCGCTTCTTCGGAGTCAGCGATGGGCGCGCAGGCTTTAGAGGCCTCTCAGGCTCTACCCTGCATTCTAGAACATTAAGCTTCCAGGCCTGGTAGAGTCTGTCCTCTACACTGGCCTCCAGAATTTGGGCTTGTGCACGCACTTCGCTTTCGACTTGCCACCTCTCGCGAAGAATGCGCCCCGTGTAAGTCGCGATACGTTCGTCGAGAGCGCGGATTTCTGTGCGAGATTGCTCGGACATGATATTGCGCTTCCCTTTGCGTGCTTGATTCCAAAGACTCCATGCCTCTCGCTTGAGTCTTGAGGCCTTGCGGGTTTTCCAGAGTCGTGTGAATGCCTCAATCTCTTCGTCGAGAATCTCCTGGACCTTGTGCTGTGGAATGCCGTCCTCCTGTAGCCTTAACTCTTCAGCCTCGAGCCGTTCGTCCTCTATTTCCTGCCTCGTATCATCGTCTAATTCAGACGGGAGATCGGAAAGAGCCAGGATTCTGTCTTCCTTGTCGATGCCGAATTCTGAGATGACTTCTTCGCCGTCATCGATCCGGACCAAGTTTCGAGCATTCTTGATCAGAAGACGTCGCATCACCATTGCAACTGCCATTCGCCGGCCTGGGGGCATCCATTTCGGCTTTACTGTGAACTCTTCTTCGCTCGACACCTTATCGACATAGTCCAGTACCAAGCTTGTGACGGGTTCCGAATCCGACGTGAGCATCTCCTGGGTTAAGGCCCCGTCACCGATATACGCCCAAGTAGGGGCATGCTCCCACGGAAGGGCTACAATGTGCTCCGTCACCGTTTGTAGGCTGATGTTGGTCGGCTGAACACGGCTTTTCTTGGGCGGTGGTTCGGCAGCATCGGTAGCGCTATCGTCTCCGTGTGTGGCTGGGCGTTTCAGCTCAAAAGGCGTTGACAGGCGACGTTCAACTGCAGATGACTGCGAGCCGCCCAAGATGGGCACTTGCCCAAGTGCCGGTGTCGCCGGACTAGAGACTATGCCATTGATTCGGGCATCTTGACTTCTAGGATATGGTGCTTCCTCAGGCACGTATGACAATCGATCCTCTTCGATATTCCCATCTTCTTCGCTTGCAATGATCCCAGACACTCGTTCTTGTTTCCGGTCAAGCGCGAATCTCCAAGCCACGAAGGAAGGACTCTGTAGTCTCAGGTCGTTGACCTTCTCGTTGAAACGCGACTCATCTCGCAGGGTCTGGAAGCTTAGTCGGTTTAGAAGCCTGTCTAGGGATGTCGTCGATTGATATGTCAAGAGCGTCCTGCCATCCAGTTCTTCTGCCCGAAGCCTGTCTGCGAAGGCGGCCGGATCTTTCGCCCATGGGCAGTTAGCACCGCATAATTCGGCGACGACCTGTTCGACATCCCAAAGAAACGGGTCGTTATCTTCGACTTGTCGCGGTCCAAGCCTCGGCGCCATGATCATTCATCCTCCCAGGGACGTGTTCTTTTGGCGCTAAGGTATGTGTTAGTAGTTGCATCGCGCGCCGGTGGGCTGAAGCAGTAGACGTGCCTCATAGCGAAACCAGAAGAACGCGCGCCCAGGCGATGTTGGTTGATTGCAGCACAAGCAGGCGCAACAGCAGAAGGTGGTCGCGAAATGGTCGCAGAACAAACTTCTCGAGAGCGGCAGGTAGCGAGCTCTAGTCGGCCGGAAATATAAGTGCTTTGGGAGTGAGGTGAAGGCAAGCGTAACGTGGGGTTAGGTTTCAATCTCGCGTGGAAGAGCGCGAACCCTTGAACGGCACTGGCAAAGCGCGTGGTGGAGTGTATTGTAGAAAGCTAAAAGTTAGTGGGGCAGAAACGAACTGACCTCTCTAAATCCAGTCTGTGAGAGCCTTGTGAGCGGGGATGCGTCATAACACGGCCTGATTTCTTACCAACACTGGCCAACTGAGAACAATGTCAGCGCATGGCACTTTTGGTGCCACGGTTCCGGACAGTAAGGTCAGGACGAACAAGGTACATGTATTCTTTCACCCCAGCGAATGCGCAGCGCCACAGTGACTGGAGGCGGAGACCACTCCGCGTCCAGTGAACCCAGTCTGCTCCAGTCGTACCTGCCAACTCAACCTCTTGACCCTGGGCCGGCGCGAATCACCGCCAATCGCACCTGACCTGACCTGGTCCTTCAGGAAGACACGCCAAGATGACATGGATCGTCAAACAGCCTGTCACCTGAGGCGTGGGATCGGGTCGAATCTCTTTGACGAGTAATAGGCCAGCCGATTGCATCACCTCTGCCTGAAGACCTGGAACCACCCGCCTCCAACTCATGTCTCGACACCGCACCTAAGAAGACCTGCACAGTTCATCACCTCACCTCACCTCAGGACTGCATTACATTAATACCATTCAATGCCACAAACACTCGAGCTGTCTTCGCCCCTCCTATCCATCCACATCAGCAATGGCCAAAACTCCTTCTCGCCCGGCCACACGATCGCCGGAAATGTAGTACGCACCAGCCCCATCCTGACCACAAAGACCACCGTCAAGATCACCATTCATGGCCGCGCGAAATCTCATATGGTCGTCCACCGGGTCAACAGCAGCAGCACTTACCGGGGGCGCTTCCGACTCATCGACCACGTCCGCCACGCGCAAACGCTCTATGAAGGACCGGTGCACATCCCGCCAACAGGTGGTCGTGAAGAGTGGCCGTTCCTGATCCGCCTCCCAACTCACGTGGACGACGAAGTCGCATGCCAAAATCAGGACACATTCATCCCACAAAGCAACTCGGCGAGACGCACACATGTCCTCCCACCGACTTACAACGCCACTACTATCAATGATAAGGACAGCTTTGTCGAGTACTACCTCAAGGCCACTTTCAGGGGCTTCGCGCAGGGCCGTTGGCAAATTGATGATGCTATCCTGCCCGTCAGGCTGTGCGCGCGAAGCGAGGGACCCCCTCTTGCCGACTGGGGCCTCACGCGCTACACCACCCGGCGATCTGTAACAACCCAGAAACTAGTACCTGGCATGGAGGACACGCTTCTGTCGACATCGCAGAGACTGCGAAAGTTCTTCCACACATCCTCGGTACCTGCGCTGTGGTTCCGCGCAGAGGTTGACGCACCGACACGAATACAACTGGAGAACCCCAAAACTGTGCCGTTTCGCATACGGGTTGTGCCCGAATGGGACAAGACAAGTGAAATCTTGCAAAACGTGCCGCAAAACATCAGGCTCCTTCGAGCGACGCTGAAAATCAAGCAATTCTGCGAGATCAAGTGCGAGGGCACGCTCAAGACGTATGAGGATAGTTTCTTTGACAAGATCTCCATGGTCCTGAATGACCCCGGATCAGCGAAACTAAGAGAAGTTCCCTTTGGTGAGGAACTATCCAGCCTGGATCTAGGCCAGCTCGCCAATCTTAAAGTCGGGTTCAATGGTCCCATGGGACGCCCCAGGATCAGCACCAGCATCAGCCCCAGCTTCATGACATACAACCTCAAGGTAAGACATTCATTGGGGTGGACTATCGCACTTGAAATTGGCGGCGAAGAGTGCGAGATTCGGAATAGCAGAGACTTTCCTCTCGTAGTTCTACCGCCGAGCGCAAGCAGGTACGATGTAGAACCAGATGGGTCTCCGCCGCGGAGCGACTCGTGGATTCAGCCCCCGACAGGAGAGGCGCCACCACCCTCGTTCGACGAGGTGGTCAAGCAAGACCAGAAAGAGGTCAGGGAGAGCTTAACGCGACTCGAGAATCACGGCGAGGCGTCTGGAACAGGACCGTCTGCACGTTGAGTATGGCCATTTGACCGCACTGCTGTCCCTATAATTTCGAAATACTTCTGTATTTTTGAAGCGGAAAACACCTGATAATTAGAATCCCTATACTCGAGTAATTGATCTTGACCAAAATAATAGCGTGTCTTCTTGACATGGTCTCAAGCATCGGCATGACTTAGCTGATCGCCTTTGTTTACTCAGCTACCGATATAATTACTTAGCCATAAGTAGCCAGAATTACCCACCAATGCTAGCGATGATGTCGAGAAGATGCACGTACGGTACCACGTTGTGAGTCTGGGCACATGATGGCGGCTTACACCATCGCGGCATTATTAAGCGAAGGTGGACTTTCTTCCTCCACCTGCTTGCACGGGCTACCAACTCCGCTAGCTCAAGAAGCATCCATCAATTCTCATCATCGCGGCACTTCTCGCTGTCTCTTCCTTGCTTATCCTACTCCCCTCCAAATACCTCGACACATTGGCCTCGCCAGCAGCAGGAATGTCTTCCCTCACCAGCGGGGTGTACCCCCCACCTCTCTCCAGCCCAGAGCAAACCCACCTCATCACGACAATCAAAGACTGGACCATTGCGAATGGCCTGACCATTCGTCCGCCACCAAACCCCAAAGCAGACCCGAATGCTGTCACCGCTGTCAGCGCGCCGGTCACCCTGTTCCCCAGCCCTTTTCCTCGGGTATGCTTCGAGCAGGGACGGGTCGTGCAGCAAAGCTACAACGAGCTGTATGCCGCTGTGAGCCGAGATGAGAAGTTCATTGAGGACATGGTGAATGAGTGAGTCGCCCGCCTGATGTCACATGCCTTATGTACTGATAAAATCTTCAGAGTCAAGGATGGAGATGATTTCATTGGCCAGCTATGGAACATTCACCTCAAAGTGAAGGAGGAGGGCTACACGCAGCCACTGTCGCTGGGTCTCTTCAGGTCCGACTACATGGTTCACCAAGATTGCACGTCAGAACCCCCGACACTACAAGCAAAGCAAGTCGAGTTCAACACCATAGCCTCCTCTTTTGGAGGTCTGTCGCAGCAGACATCGGGGTTGCACAAGTTTCTGGCCAACACAGAGTACCCCCTCCTCGAGAAGAACATCTCCAGCATCCTACTAGACCTCCCCGAGAACAAGACAACACAAGGACTTGCAGCAGGCATCCAAGCCGCTTACACAGCGTACGGCGACTCGGAACTAGGCCACCCCCGATGTGTTGTCTTCCTGACCCAGGATGGCGAGCGCAACGTGTTTGACCAACGACATTTGGAGTACCAGGTCCTCCAGGCGAAGCCCGCCATTCCCGTCTTCAGGCTACCCTTTTCGGAAGTGCTCCAGCACACCAGCATAGCCGACACACCGAAACGCCAGCTCCTCTATAAGCTCCCTCGCAACCCAGACAAGGTCTACGAGGTAGCCGTCATCTACCTTCGTGCCGGCTACGGCCCCGGTGACTACCCCGACTCCAAGGGCTGGGAGGCAAGGCTGCATCTCGAGCGGTCCCATGCAATCCGATGCCCGACAGTGTTGACGCAGCTAGCTGGCACGAAGAAGGTGCAGCAGGTCCTGGCGACGCCCGACCTGTCCGTCCTCGCAAAATACATCAACAACAAGACGCCCGCAGCGCAGGAACTGTGGAAGACGTTCACCAACATCTACCCCATGGATACCTCGCCCTCGGGTCTCGAAGCCAGGAAGAAGGCCCTGGACCCCCAGGAGGCGGAGAAATATGTGCTCAAGCCCCAGCGTGAAGGCGGCGGCAATAATATCTACCGCGGGTCCATACCGTCCTTCCTCAAGACAGTGCCCGAGGAACACTGGGGTTCCTACATTCTCATGGAGCTCATCACACCTCCGCCCGTCACGAACACCATCCTCCGCAATGGGGCGCTCGAAGCAGGCGGTGTGATCTGCGAGCTGGGCGTCTATGGCACATGTCTCTGGGACCAGAACAGCGGCAAGGCGAAGCACAATGAGCAGGCAGGATACCTGCTCAGGACAAAGGGCGACAAGAGCGAGGAGGGCGGTGTCGCAGCTGGATACGGCTGCATGGATAGCGTAGCGCTTGTCTAGAGATGAAGTATGAAGAAAAGAAGCAGAAGATAATCATGCTCAGAAAAAAAGAAGAATGCTGGGCTGGCAAGCTGATGAAATGGTGTAAAGTCTCAATTATGGTATCAATGCCCCGCTTCCTCCACGCAGTAATAGTACAGCAATCCTACCAACAAAGAGAAAGATGTCTTCCAGAGATAGCGGAGATGTGGTCATTACAAATGTCCTATCATTGTATGTATGCCCATTACTGGGATTCCTCAGGGACCTGGTGAGGGCGCTTGAGCACATCAATAGAGCCTATTCATCTGCGTTAGTCTACTGGCCAACCCGGAGCCGACGTCGTCGTCATTCTCCCCACGATGTGGGACCACACTTACGCTGCAGAATGTTCAGGCTGCTCCTCGTCTTGCCGCTCTCGGCATCCTCGTAGGTGCTCATGCTCGCGTCACCCTCGACAAAGACCATGCTGCCCTTGGGGAGCGCGAGGAGGTAGTCGCGCGAGGGACCCTCGGCAAAGCTCGCCACGCGGAACCACGATGTCTGACGGTTGTTCTTGGATCCCGAGTTGGAGGCGACGGCGTAGCGGATGATCTCACGACCGGAGGACGTCTCCTGTAGCTCGGGGGTGTCGGCCAGGTTGCCAATGATGGAGATCTTGGCGACGGGGCGAGGGGCGGTGGTGCTGAAGGCACGGCGGGCGCCGAGGGCGGCGTTGCGACGGAAGAGAGAGGCAGACATCTCGAATGCGTTGATGGTCTATTGAAAGTCGAAACTCGAAATTGGTGGCGTGTGGTGTTTATTGAAGCTGGTGATGATGGAAAGGAGGGACGTTTGCCTGGCGCGTTTGCGACGCGGTATCCCGCTAAGTAATACGAGCTGGGGGGTCGTGAAAGCAAGGGGTATAATTGGATTATTGGAGAAATTTGATTGGTCTAGAAGGAGAGAGTGGGGGTAGGCTGTCAATGCAGGGACGCTTCAGGTCTGTGCTCTCGGTAGATGCATAGTCGCGTTTCACGCTGCAGGTGCCGGTTATAGAATGGTCTATGCGCCTAAGCGATTACTGGCGTTAGTCCATCGAGGACGACGATGGCCATTGTCATGATCACTCCCAACCGCACATCCCAACCTCTTTGCAGAAGGTACTCTCTGCTAGGACAGGGGGCAGCATGAATCACCACACGAGCAACAAATGACATTTAGCGCGTGATGCCGGCAGACATCCAAGGATGCACCAGCCTGCATCCGCGGGCGTCAACGCGGCTAAGCTGAAGATGTCGTCTCGTCGAAGCCTAGAACTGCCAGCATTATGAACAAGTCAGAAAGCAACTGCATCGGCGTGCGTCCCACGTTACATGCGGCTCACCTCGAAGAGGCGCCGCTGGGGTCCGGGAGTTGAGGCTGATCCACCTGTCATGGCCCGAAGCGGGTGTGAATACCTTCTCTCAATAAGCCAAACAGCCTTCTATAGAGCAAACTATCTCGTCACAATGCTCAATACCCTGAACAGCCATCGCTTTTCATCTATTTCAAGGTCTCCCTTTGCAGGCCGTTCAATCAAATCTTTAGCTCACTTTTCGAGAAGCCCAAATTCCACACTGTTGGTTTCAGGAGTGGCCTATTGACCGGACATCTTCAATAGGCTTGTTCACAGCTCACTCAATAAAATGGAACGCTACAGATCTTGGTCAGAGCTTTCTATAAGACCGCATTGACCCTCCTTCTCATGTTCTCTCACCCATGATTGTCAAAGCTTCCTGCGGTTTGTCTAAATCTTCGGCCAGGCCTGCAGACATCCACCAATCGACTATCACAAGTTGCCTCACTGGCAGACACACACACACAAACACACGTGCACTTCCACGTGTCCCAAGTCCTGGGTATGGACCTTTACCCGCGGGACGATGCGTTGGTCGTCATACAAGGCACTCCCTCCCTACCACCTTACACAACTCCATCTCTGACAGCCAACCTTGTCTGTCGTGTCCTGCTCGGTCTGCTTGGCAGTATCGTGGCCCTTGTTCCTCTCCGTCTCCTCCATCGCAACTCTGAGCTGGCCGCTACCATCTTCATCCTCAATGTCATCCTCAAGAACATCGACACCGTTGTTCTGGCGCTCATATGGCGTAACGATGACATGGAGTCCTGGTGGAAGGGCTACGGACTATGCGATGTCACACCCTACTTTCACAACTTCAGCATCGCCCTCTACGCAACATGCCTCCTAGCCATCATGCGCAATCTGGCTCACCAGGTGGGCCTCTTGACTGCCAATCCTTTAACGGTCAAGGAGAAAAGGAAACGGAACATGATCCAGGCACTCATCATGTTTCCCCTACCAGTTATCCAGCTGGCATTGACCTGGCCCCTAACACGCAATCGTTATGCCATCGGTGCAATTATTGGATGCTCGTGGTCTGCGGATCCAAGCTGGCCCTACCTGGTCTTCTTTGTCATCGCGCCGACGATTGTCTCGACAATCACAGTCTTCTATGCCAGTAAGTCCGTCATATCACATGCCTCCAGACAGGTTACACTAACAAAAAGTGCACAGTCCTGATCTACTGGCGTTTCCGTCAAGTCAGCACCAGCAACGCTTCCATCCTCTCCTCCAACCGTCAGGCCACGCAGCGCGCCAATCGGACCCGTCGCCGTCTCTACCTCATGGTCATCTCTGTCCTCATCCCGGTGTACCCCATGATGCTGCTCATCTTTGTCCTCAACATACTCGACATGGGCCCGGCCACCAGCTACTCCTACGAACGCATCCACGCCGGGATTCCGGGGTTGCCATGGAACAGCATCATTCTCCTCCCGAGCTCCACACTCAACTTTGCGGTCATGAACGTCAGCTGGCTCACCATAATCTCGTGCGGGCCCATCTTCATGTTCTTTAGCTGCACAAAGGATGCCATCAACGACTACCGCATCGTCCTACTCAAGCTGGGCTTAGGCAAGATCTGGCCAAAGTTGCACCAGGAATACGCCCCTGACAGACCAGCAGGCTGGTCTCAGAGCTCATGCAGTCAGGGGACGTCGCGCACCGGGTACGTTTGTCATCGAGTCCCCCCCTTTTCCACCAATGACCTGTCAGAATGGCTGACATCTACAGATCTACCAATCCCAAGGCCGGGACAAGTGTATCATCTCATCCCTTGAGTACATTCTCTTCCTCTTCAAGGGACACAGAACAACCACACACCCAGAGTCTCAACTTCCTCACGTCCACCACTCTCGAGGCAGGCCCCGCCGAGCCCAGCGCTCGTCAGCAGGACGAGGAGCCGACAGGTCGTGAAGCTGTGCACGACGATATCCTGCATCGCAATCCCTTTCTTATGCGCACCAATCTCTCCATTCCCCCACTGTCATTCCTTCAACGCTCCAAGAAGAGGATGCAGTCCCCACAAGATCCATCGTCATCCAACGGTATCTACACAAGCATATGGTCACCCGATGATGAGTCCCGCGGCCCCAACACAGGTGACAACAACGATGGGACCCAGGAGACGCAGGGCGTGCAATCGACGCCACAAACAGACACTGTCCGTGTGAAGACGTCCATCACACGTCACATGCAGCAGCGTTAGGGACAGTTCGAAATGGTGACGAAGGCGACAGACTACACTTCGTCCCAGAACATTTGTTCATCTTGCTTTTTCTTTTTTTCCCTTTGTCCTGCATAGCATAGCATAGCATAGCATGTGGCTGGCGTTGCGGCACAAAAACTGGTCGTAGAAACGAGACTCGCAAGAGCTGGTGGACATATCTCCTCTATGAACGCGGAGTTCATTTGACATTACAGACTATATAGCTTAATTACAGCAGACAGGCCTTGCCAACTCCGAGACCTCTTTTCGCCCTCATGATAGCCCTCCGTCAACCCCCCTTGTTCCTCATAAAAGGCCTGCTCGTCCCTGACCCATTCCCGCATGATGGTATCAATAGTTATTAAGAAATGAAGAAATTTTAAGGATGTCGTCGTCGAGCTCGTAATTATATATTTGCGTGTTCGTGTGCCTGCGTGTTTTTGTTTTGTCCTTGCGTTTGTCGTTTGTCAATCGGATTCGTCAGGCCACCAACCTATTTGGCCCCTGACTGCATCTTTCTCATGGCCTCGCGGTGCGCATCCATCAGCTCCCCGCTTCGCATTGCTTCATCAAATACGCGATCATTCCATTCCTTCTTTTGCCGATGCATCTCCCTTCGCTGTGCTTCCGCCTCTTTCTGCCCCAGAAGCAGATTGCGCTGGAGCTGGATATTGCGCTGCACTTCCGCCTCGCGGCCGGACAAGCCCCCCAGAAGGTTATTAGTCGATGCGAAGGGGGTTTCCCGACCAGGGTTGTTCAGCATTGGCGAGCCGGATCGGAGATCTTGCGCCACCGAGGAGCGGAACTGGGCGAGTTGCGCTTGACGCGCGGCCGGTGTTGGGACGGTTGAGTTTCTCTTTGACTGATGCGAGTCAAAGGGGGCGTTTCCAGTGGAGAGGTCAAATCCTGAGCTTGACCTGTGGACGGATTGAGGTGCCATTGACGCCTGCTGCTGTTGATTCTGATGTGTGCCTGACAGAGTCATCATGCTGCTGTGACGATGCATCATCTGCTTGCGTTGGCTGAGAGGCATGTCATCCGGATCGGCAGCCAGTGCTGCGGCGTACATAGGATAGTTGCTCAATGAGCCGGCGTCACTTGAAGGACGACCCTGGGGCTCTGGGGTTTGAGAAAAAAGGTTGCCTTGCGACTTGCTACGCAGGAACATCTCACGCTGGCCCAGCAGCGTTTGAGGATTCGAGTAGGAGACGACGCCCGGCACCACAGATGCCCTTCGAGACTCGGGAGGTGGACTGGCCGCAAGCGAGCGCGTGTCGGTATTGTCAGAGACCGGTGTGGCCGAATAGTCTTGTGCATTAGGGGGCAAGTCATGCTCCTCCACAATGGGTTCGAAGTTTGTCGATGACTTACGCAGCCCCATTAATGAGGAAGACGCGCGGAGCATGCCGCTCCCTGCGGAATGTTGCGGCGGTGGCATAGGGGGGCTAAAGGTCTGCTCAGGAGTGCCCACTGGCGCACTCAAGCTGGGTGAAATGCCTTGTCGGGAATCCCTGCGGGAGAGTCGCGGATCAGAGCGAACACTCGAGAGGGGTGGAATCCCATCTTCCGTGGCCTGTTGCAGTTCCTCCACATTTACCGGGGCTGGGCGCTCCTTCTTTGATTTGACCTTGGTTAGCTTCACAGCTTCGGTGACGTGGAGTTCATCGGGCTCAGGCGCGTCGGCGTAGCTGAGATGCTTGGCCCACTCGTTGGTGCGGTATGAGAGTGCTACTTTGGACAAGGAGCGAGGCAATCTGTCTTTGGTGAGGCTGTGCCGCGAGGACAGGCCAGACGAAACAGACTTTGCTTTGTCTAGTTGGTCGTTTTGCGAGGATTCTGGTTCATCGATGCGACTGGCAGCGACAGTCGGCGTCTCTCCTCCACCCAGCGCTCTACTCGAAGCTTCCAATGAAGCCCGACCAACTTCAGTAGAAACCGGACGCATGCTCTGTGCCTGTACCTTATCGTCTTCGGACAAGCTGCTTCCTGCTTGGCGGTCGACCTGAGCTTCTGGCCCGGACAGGAGTGCCGTAACCTCGATCTCTGGGCTGGGCTCTGCATCTAGCACCGATCTTCGATGACTATCGTCGAGGCTCTGGTTGTCCAGCGTTGCGGCTATCGAGGAATCGTCGTCGTCCCGGTCGCCATGGGGAATTACCAGATCTTCTGAGCTCTCGCCGTGTTCGGCTGTGGGAGTGTTCCTTTTGTGGGCAGAATGAGTCGACAAGTTCCGCAGCAACTTCGATGATCCCTGGGACAGTCGTTTTGCCAAAGAGGAGTGGCGACGATGGGCCTTGACGTCGACATCTTCCGGCTCATCAGCAAAGGTCGCCACGGACGATCGCTCAGTCCGCGAGTCGCAAGACTTGGAGTCGTCGTTGCCGTCACGATGCTCAGGAACGGTGAAAGGCAAGGGGACAATTGCCGGCGCCGAGCCGACGGTAACTCGAGATTGCCTTTGGAGGTTGGCTCCGGAGGATGAAACCCGGTGAGGGCCCCCTGAAGGTGCAATACTGGGCGACGTTGGTCGACTCTCCGTATCATCATCGGCTCCCTCGGGCTTGTCATCGGCGGCGACTCGAATGATGACCTTCCCATCGGCATCCTTCTCTGTGAGGGGTTCTGGTCCATCTCGACCACGGTCCGATTCCGGCATGTCCCCCATTTCAATAACCTCCACTTCAGATCGGCGCCCATAGCTGCCTGCCAGCTTCTTCTCGCTGCCAGCGTCCCCGGAGATGCGCGATGCCGCAGAACTGCCGAGTTCGCCGTCTCCATGCGCTCTTTCCCATTCCTTTCGCTCGCGTGCGTTGGCTTCCTCGACCTGCCGCCCAACGACTGCTTCTTCCTGTTCGAGTGTGCGTTGGCCCTCGGCCCTCTCAGCAGCTCTCGTCTGTCTCTTATCTCTGACGATGCGCCAGAGCTTGATCTGCGAGATGATACCGACGAGGAAAATGATGATGATGGCGGCTGTTTCGACTCGAATACCCTTGGTGACGGGGTATGTATTCGCGCCTAGCGGGAACAAGTTCTTGTTGAGCTGCCAGATGTAGGCCCAGAACTCCTTGAGGCCTGCTCTACTAAAGCAGTCGATCCCCAGGACCGTCACAGTAGCTCCGCCGAAGGAGATCATGGTGATGAATGCCCAGTCGCGGGTATACCTGCTGAAGTAGAAAGCAAAGCCAACGCATGTGAAGGCGGCGATGAAGATAGCTTTGGCTGGTACTGAGCCGAGCAATCCACCGGGGACCAGGCACATGAGCCACATGCTCACACAGAAACCACCGAGTGCGCAGCCCAGCCCTTCAGTCAACTCTTTGAAGAAGATGGAGGCAACTCCGACAACGCAACCAGAAATGATGACTGCCGCAACGTAGCCACCCTGCAGCGCCACGCTCACGGGAACGTTCATAACGTACACAATGAGCACTGCGATGCCGAGTGCCACGAGGAAAGCCGTGGAGAAGAAGGTATGGATGTATCGATTTCGAATGCCGACCAAGGTGTATATAACACCCGTGATGAGCATGACAGCACCAGCAACGCCCCAACCAGGCGTTATTTTGGGGGTAAGGGGGAGCTCTCCGGCAGGAATATCAACTGCAAACTGTTAGTGGCAGTTGTGACTTGGCCATCAGCGCCTACATACTGTCGTAAAAGGTCGAGTTGTCGAAGGGCTTATCTGAGCCCACGGTCGCTGTCGGGGTCTCTGAAGCATCTGTCGATGTCGATGTAGCTTCATCCTCGCTTCGCGTAGGCGTTTCTGTAGTTCGGTCGTCGGTGCGAGAGTCTTCCTTGTTCGACCCCGTCACCTCTGCTGTTCGCTGGGGCTCAGAGCCTGTCGCTGTGGTTGAGATCTCGCCACCGTCTTGTCGCGCCATGATCCGAACATGGCGAGAAGCCGTGAGCTGCACAACGAGAGCAAGGAACAAAAGCGCCCACAAGCGCCCTGGTCTGATAAACATTTTCGTGTGCGTCGGTCTTCCCGGTCAAGTCCCGTCGTATAAATGAATGAATGAATTGGTCAAGCCGTCGAGATGGTGAATGGAACCCGTGCCTGCCTCGCAGATCAAAGCGAGAACGGCAGCATGCTATGCAGTCGCCCGGCAACAGCAAGGGAGTGAGTAAATGAGTGGCAGCGTGTAAGATTTCGAGTCGCACACGGTACGACAGTGGCACAGGAAAGCCCGAGAAGGTGAGAAAAGAGAGAAGGAGATGCGTCGAGAAGAAAGACGAGGTTGGAAGGTGTGGCTACGGGCTGTCGTGACCAGGTCTTTGAGGTCTTGACTCTTGAGTCCCAAGACACGCGATCAGGTGGTGGGTGGGGAACTGGCTCGGCGTGCAAGTCTTCGACCAGGGATGATCTGGGGCGTAGCGGGACCAAGCTAAAAGTACCCGTGTGTGTGTGTGTATGTGTGTGTGTGTATTTCTGATATAACGACAGGTAATGTTGGATGCTGGCGGCGAGTTGAACAGTGGATGGGCAGAGCAGCACAGCTATACCGAGTGCGTAGGCCGGATCATGTTGCTTCAAGCCCCCCTACATTGACACTCGCGGCAGTAAAAGTAACGTCGGAATGTGCATTTGCCTCGACTTCGACGAATTGCTTGACAGTTTCGGGCTGTGTGTCCTTGCCAGCGGCTGGCTGGCCGGCCGCACGCTGCGTCGACTGGGCATGATGTTCTGACCCTTGAAACCTGCACCGGCTAGTACCAGACCCATGCGCATGATCTCACTTTTCCCGACGCGCTCTGCGGCCGGCCACTTCTTCTCCGGCGGCTGCTTGGCACCTCGAGGATTGCTCAGTGCCTGTGGTGCTGAAATTTTCCTTTCAGGGGTGCGCGCATCGTGCAGGTGCAGCGTGGTGAATGATGATCGCGTCCTGGGATTATGAGTTCGCGGTGAACGATGAAAGCTGATTTGTGAAACAAGGGGCCAGGGGTGCGGCCGCGATGGCATCGGTGGGGCACCTAGATGGAAGGCACCTCCCAATAGGGAACTACCCTCTGTCGGAGGGTGGGAACACTGGGAAGTAGCCGTGTGGGCTGGACGGGTACCTGCCTCAAGCAAGCAGCGCATATTAGTCTCCGCCACATATCCTCAGGTGAGGCGCTTTCTTTCGATACCTTAGGTAAGTTACGTAGTAGCTGCTTGGTATCGGTGAGGAAAGCACACTCCATTCAGTCCAGTCTCCAGCCATTTGCAGCGACAGATGCCGGATACCCCAGGCATCCAACGCAAGGGATCACGGTACATGGACCTTGGCGCAGATCACGTTCCAGTTCAAAGACACTGCATTTTTCATTCTCACCAACAGCGTGTAACCGCCAGAGGTCTCGCCACGGCTGAAATTCTGAAATGCTGAACGAAAGGCTGGGCCAGCCTCCGAGCTTCGCGAAATTAATACCCCTCCACGATCGAGGCTATCGGTCTTGGCGATGCACGCTCTCCCGGCGCACCCCTGAACCGAACTTCTTCCCTGGTAAGACACATACTGACTGACAAGTGACAACTGTTAGGAACTGGAACTCAAGAGCAGTCCGCTCCAGTCGTCGTCAAAGTGATTGGTGTTGCTTCGACTTCATCCAATGGTGGTCTCATACATAAGTTCAGGCCCGAGTGCGCACAACCAAGTGCGAATGCTTTACGAACAATGCATGCCGAGTGACGCTGTGTTACGCCCGCCCGTGCTGCGTTCTCATGAGCCCTGCAAAGTCTAAAAAGGCCTTGCGACAAGCCAATCGCACGTCGAAGCAGATCTCCATGGGCCGAGACTTGCAGCCGCGTTCATGTAAAGTACGTATCGTACGCCGCTACGCTACGAGTACGTGGTAAAACATGAAAGTGCTCCAGTCGGTAGACCGAGTCCTCTCATATACATTCTGACGCCATACGGTTCCCAAGGTAAGCAGTCTTTGTACTCGTGCCATGAGCCCAGGACTCGTGACAGCAGCTTCGATTTCATGCCAACAACATGGCTGCACCAGCGGGCTGCCCATTCTGACCCAGTTCTACTCTTCCCACGGGGATCACCAGTCAGCTCTACCAAACTCCAGACGGCGCCTAGTGCCCAAGTACGTACATGTGTGCAATTAAACTATAAACCCATCGGTCCCACACCCACGCGTTCACTCCGAGTCCGGCTTCCGCGATCTACCAAGCAGACGCCGCATCAGCCGACCTTGGGGGTTTGCGCAAAAGTCTCGCGTTCGCTCTGCACGTAGCAAGCGCCAAGCCTGGCTTCTTGCTGAGCGTTGTCAGCATGTCATGCTGGGTTTCACCGCGAAGAACACATGCGAGACGCCAGTGCCTAATCAGCCTCAGGATTGGTACGGGCTCAAAATCGAAGCCCGCTCGGCGTCATGGCCTCGCACGAGCCGCCTTGGACGAGCAACGATCGGCGCTCTTCACCACGGGCGTCGCGAAATGCCGTGCTTGCTGCATTCATCGGCACTCCGTCGGGCATGCGCCTGTCGTGCTCCCCGGGCCCAAGGCGCTGGAGAATCAATCATCTGTGCCTTGACTCTCACTCAGGTAACGTCTGTCGGAGCTTCCGTTCCAGAACATGGTCGGTCTGTTGGGTTTGGGATCATGAGTATAATTCTTCTGTGTAACAGTGATAGTAACAAACACGGGTATTGGTGTACTAGGAACCATTTTCTGATGAAAAGTAGGTAGAGTCAATTGGCCATCATCGCTTCGCTGCCACCCGTGTTGGCACACGGTCGCCATTATACCTGGTCGGGCCAATGGCTTTCCCACTTCGTCCCTGACGCCCGTATCTCCCTTGCAATGCCTGCTCTCTGTCCCTTTTCCTCCCGTTGACCAAAAATAGCACAGCCTTGAGCGGTAGGAGAAGGACAGTGAGAAGCAGATTCAGAGGAAACAGTGTCAGCGCAGCGATGGTGTCCATCGTGCGTCGCACAAAGCTTCTGTGTGAGGTCGCACTATTCTTCGCCGCTGCGGCCGCCAGTGCAATGGCATTCTCCAACCTGCCGTCCATGGCCGTGAAACGCGACTCGGTCTGCATTTGCAGCAACGTAGCCTTCTTCTCATACCGTCGCACGGCACGGTTGAGCGCATCGAGATCGGGCTGTATGCCGTTACGCACTTGACGGATCATGGCCGCCTCCTGCTTCCAAGTATCTGCTGTCTTCGTTGCGTCTTCCTTTTCGGGTTCTTGGAGAGACGAGCTCTGTGTCTCCAACCGTTCCAGACGCGTCATCAGCTCCGATATGCGGGTGCTTGTTGCTGAGGGTGCAGAGGCGTAGGGCGTCTTTTGGACCACGCGTTGCAGGTGCAATGTCCGCGACTGTACCAGCTTGAACATGTGTGAGAAGGCGCGTACTTCGGACACCATGCAGAAGATGGTCAGGTTGTAGTTGGACACGAGGCCCTCGGAGGGTCGACTGAGCTGGGTGCGAAGAGCGTGAAGGAGATAGGCGGCCAGAAGAGGCATGGCGAAACACGAGAGCAACGCCGAGGTCTCGTAGACGTATAGCTCGCGCAACGCAGACTTTTGCTCCGTGGTCAGGCCTACCGGTTGCGGCAGCTTGTCGTTGCTCGACGGCGACCCCTTCTCATCCCCCTCCTCCGGCACATCCTCGAGGGGCCCCTCGCCCCCTGAGCTGGCGTCCAGGTCGGCATCGCTGTCTTCTACGGCAGCCTCGGCGCTCTGTTCATGCTCCACACGGACCTCTTGAGCAGTATGGTACCACTTCCACGGCTGAGTGACCGACCAGTGTAGGAAGACACCGGACAGCGCCAGCAGCATCAAATCTGTCATGAAAGCACTTCCATCCTTGAAGAGGGCGCCTGCTATCGCCGGCAGAAGCGCAACGGCGATCGATATGGTTGCCAGTGATGAGCTGTCCGACGCAGGCATCTCCCCTTCTCTCGCTTGCGGGTTCAAGATGTCGCGTGCCTCGCCGAGACTGTAATCTGTGAAATTGGAGCTCCGACGCCGCGATCTCGTGGCATCATCGGGGGGCGCATGGAACGACGGCCGCTTGCGAGCCTCGTCGAGAGTGAATGCGCGGCGTAAACCGTGTCCAGAGGGGGCGCTGTTGTAGGACGAGCCCGTGGCTTTGGGCCCCACGGGCGCGTCGTCGTCGGCAAGCGTCGCACTGCCCATGGTGCTCCAGTCCTTGTCGAGGGCAGAATATCAGTGCTTCATCTCCAAAGAAGCCAGGCGAGTATTTTCAAAGTGGACACTGCTTGTCGGCTGGAATGCAAGGGCCATGGTGATGGCAGCGCCCTTGGATGTGGGAGTTGGCGTTGCTGGTGAACGTCACCACTAACAACTTGAAATGGCAAAGGCTCCAGGTGACCTATGTCTCCACTTGTTCCACGTCAGCCACTGGCCACAGGCCACTGCCACTGGAAGTTGGAACTGGCAGTTAAGAAGTTAAGTTTCTGGGGAAGTGGGTGCCCTGCATCAATGATGCATCACTTATCGTGTTGCGAAAGATCCCCTGTGCTGGATTCACGAAAACGCTTCGATGTACTCCGTACGGCTGCATCGCATGATCCGGCAGTGACTGAGTCTTGTACCAATGGGTACGTAGTGGTGTCGTCTCGACAGCACACTTGGTCTCGGGTCGCCAGCATCAAAGATGGAAATCTTCCAGATGGCTGTTGGTCGGGACTTCTGGCGAGGGCTCCATGTCACAAAAAAAAACGGTGCACATCGGGCTCTGGTCGTGGGTCTCAAACACACAAGGCATTGAAGGCATTGGACCGCTGCTGGAGTGATGTTCAAGCCAATTTCCAGGATTCCGGTGAGACCTTGGACTTGGACGTCACTCAGCGGCGGGCCTCTCACCACTGGGCGCTGCTCTGCGTCCTTCGCATACTCCGTGCAGCAAGAAGCAGGGACGAGAAAGCTCAAATAGCTGCTCGCATAGCTGTGAATAATGAAGGTTCAGGTAATATAGGAGTAATATGGGTGCTTCGCATCAATGCGCGAGAAGCTAGGGCGCCTTTCAGGCTTCAGGCTTCAGCAGGCCAGTGCTCACCTTACACAAGCGGCGCCACTGACTGGAGAGGACTGGACCGGACCCCAGACGCTACGCGGCCATCGCCGGAAATCCTCAATGCCTCGTGGCTGGGACTTATCTTATTCAAATACATCTTGCTGCTCCATCTTCTCTGCCAGATCTTTAACCTGTCTGTAGACCTGCCAGCCAGATCGACTCGACGCGCGCTGCACAAATGCCGGCGCCAGCAGTGGTAGACAGTGCCGCTAAGCCCTTCACGGATCACCGTCCCCTGACGCCGACACCCTCCGCCGACACCAATTGCTGGCCAGCCTCAGGGCCAATTTTCGACTCGAGCCAGTCCTCTGCCTCGATTTCACCATTGCCACCGTCCATCAGCGGCACCGCCTTCACGACAACAGGCCACCGCTCCAGAACTCATTCACCTCGGAACAAGGCCATCTACCAATCCCCAGTCCTCAGCGCGGTCGTCCCCTCGACGTCCGTGCCTCACAACCTCTTCCAACGGCTCCCGACGCCCAACAACAGTCCAACCTCGCATCTGCAGCCTCCCTGACGAACCGCATCACGCACGACGCAATCGCTTCACCACCGAACGCCGCTCTCGCTGGCCCGAAGCAGACTCCCCCCGAGCAAAACTATCATCTGCAGCGACCCTTTCGCAGCCTTGCAGCTCGCCGCCGAGATCGCCATCGCCCTCCAGCCGCCTACCTCTGGAACCCAGCCAATTCCACGCCTCGAGACCAGCCACGCAAGACACGACCGCGAAGGCCATCCACACCGCCGGAGCCATCGGTGCGGATCGACCACCCTGACCTTGACGTCGGCAGGCTCACCGAGACGCCACAGGGCGACTATCCGCTCTTATCGCTGCCCCAGGTCTTGCATCTAAGGAACCCAGGCTCGCAACGAAGTAGCCTGCAAGCGGACCGGAGGGCGAGTAAGATCAGTCTCCCCACCTCCGTACGCGCTTCGTATGACGGCAAGAGATCGAGAGACCCAACACCCACGATTGCGGAGTTCGACCCGAGTGTGAAGGATAGCGCGCACGTACCGTATTCCGAGACGAGGCAGGGAAAGTCCATCATGGCAGCAGACACTACAGCGCCCGCTCAGTCCTTCACCGCGGATCTCGAGCGGGGACCGGATGCGACAGACCACCGCCGATCGACAGCGTCGCTGGATGACGGGATAGGATCTGCCATATCATCAGAGGACTCGTCGATCATGGGTGAGGAGTTGGACCCTGATGACGAAGCTTGGGGCCCCCATCACCCTTGCTACCCTCACATCAACCCACATGTGCCCGTGGACTCGCCCGAGCACGCGTCGACGAGGATCATACGGATCAAGCGGGACTGGATGGTGGCGGGCGACCTGGCACCGACCTTTTCAAACCTGTATCCCGAGATCCTGGATCCTGCGGGTATGTCAGAACCCGAGTTCAGACGGGTCATTGACAAGCTCAACGGGGAGCTGGTGCCCATTTTCAAGCCCTACTCGATGCGCAACACCCTCGATGGCGTCTTGGGTGCGCTGACTGGCTGGCTTTGGGATGACCTAGGCTTCACGGGGGCCAAGTCGAGACTGAACAAGCTGGAGAAGTGGATCGAGGACTGGAACAAGCATGCTGAGCGTACTATGGAACCCCACGGTGCGGCACTGGCTCCCAAGCTTATATCCCTGCGGCAAACGGGGTATATGTCGGTACGTGCACTCTCCAGGCTAGGGTGGCATCGAAGGACTTGACTGACTGACAAAAACTGCAGCTCGATATACAAATACCTGATCCAGAAATCGCTGCGGCTCCCAGTACGAGCGGCCCCGGCGACTCACGCTCCGTCATTCGCCTTGACTCTGCGCCGAGGACGGCCACGCCGGCGTAGCGACGCCCAGTCCCTTGAATCTAGTCTCTCATTCTGCTCGGATACCCCGCCTTTTCCTTTTGGTTCCTCGGCTTGCACTCTGCGCGGACGGCAACGGAGTTGCTACGGCCGCACTATACTGTTTCATTGCACGGCGTTTAGAGTTTCATGGAAAGACAGGAAATAGCCATTGCGTTGCCTTGGTGCCCCAGTCCGGGTCGTGCGTACATACTTGCTGGATGAGCGCAATCGTTATATTGGTGTTGAATATAAATGGTCCCCAGTTTGAATCACTGCTACTCTCGAGGATATGGGCACCTTGTCTGTGTGAAGAATGCTTGGCTAACAAAGGGTTTCTGGCTCTCGAGCCTGCGTTGCGACATCGGTCCACCGGGCTACGGAGACTGGGATCATGGAATGGCTCGGCGCCTTCGCCGATCCTATCTATTGCAACACCGACCGATTGCAATTCTTTCCTCACATTTCCACAATGCATTCCCTCTTCCTCGAGCACCGTTCACAACTCCTCGTGGGGACCTAATTGGCGTGCGCTCGCGACTGTCATGAGCCAAGATGGCGTCCTCGACGGAGACGCGCGTATACCGCCCTGACGCTCACGATGAGAAGCCAAAGAAGCCCCTGCCCCGTAAGATCTTGGACATTATCGCCGGACAATGGATCATCATCGGCTTCGGACTGGCAGCCCTGCTGGCGCACTTATTTCCCTGTACGGCTCATGGCTCCCACATCCCATCGTCCCTTGTGCGCTGACAATCACCGTCCCCAGCCGTGGCAGCGCATGGCGGCTACATTCGCTCAGAGTACTCCATCGTCTACGGCGCGGTGGCCTTCATCTTCCTCGTCAGCGGCCTGTCCCTGCCCCCACGAAAGCTCAGGACGAACCTGACCAACTGGCGCCTCCACATCCTCGTGCAGGGCACCAGCTTCATCATCATCCCCGGTATCATGATCGCCATCCTGCACATTGCTCTCGCCGCGGGCGCGCTGGACTCGGGCACGCCGAGTATCCCTGTCATCATCGGCATGCTGGTCACCGGATGCATCCCTACGACGATCGCCTCCAATGTGGTCATGACGCGGTCGTCGGGCGGTGATGAGGCGGCGGCCATTGTCAGCGTCGTGATAGGCAACCTGACCGGTGCTTTTCTTAGTCCTCTGCTCATCTTTGGGTTCATGCCCCGGAGCAGGGCGTTTGATGACTGGCGACCAGCCAGTCCAGCCACGTTGGGCAGCATGTACGCGGGTGTCGCCATGCAACTGGGTCTCAGTGTCGTGCTGCCCCTGGTCGTTGGACAGGTTGTACGTGGGATCTGGGAGAAGAGGACGGCATGGGTGCTGCAGAAGCTGTACCTCAACAAGGTTGCCGGATCGTTCATGATCCTCTTGGTTTGGTAAGGCAAGGGGAGAAATTGGGCTGGACCGTCAGTAGCTAACCCGACTGGCAGGGCTACGTTTTCCGGTGCCTTCAAGACCGGCGCCATCTACGAGATATCCACGCCCAGCATCGTCTTCAACGTCTTTATGAATCTGGCGCTGTACATTGTCTTCACGGGCATATGTTTCTTCCTCGCTCGTCCCCCTGTCCGCCTGGCTGTCACTGTCAATCCCTATCTCGACGCGCCCCGTCTTCCAGCCTGTCTCCGCCGCGCGTTGGCCGTCCAGAGGATGTCTCGCGTGCAGACAATTGCTGTCTGCTTCTGTGGCGCGGCCAAGACCACGAGTCTCGGCATTCCCCTGGTGACCGCCATGTGGAAGGATGCCGATGACCTGACGCGGGCTTATATCCAGATCCCCGTGCTGCTTTATACCGTGGAGCAAGTCTTTCTCGCACAAGCAATGGTGTACTTTTTCAAGTGGTGGCTAGCCAAGTATGGGAAAGAGGATGAGGAGAGTCCAGATGATGAAAGCGACGTTGTTGACGAGGGGCGCCACGATTTGAGAGGTGAGGCGAATGAGGACGTCGAAATCGCGGAGACGAGAACTGTAGATGGGGAGATGGAGAAGAGGTCTTGATTCAAATTCTGCACGGGCAAGATGAGACGTGCACTTCAATACGCCGCTCAGTGCACATTGAATTTGAACACTGCCCCTTCTTTGCCTTCATCCAACGCATCCAGCCTCTCCATGTCTTGCTCACTTATCTCAAAGTCAAACACATCCAAGTTCTCTTTGATTCTGTGCGGAGTCGCGCTCTTCGGCAGGGGCACCCAGCCTTTCTGTATGCTGTATCGTATCAGGACCTGAGCAGGTGTCTTGCCATGGCTCTGTGCAATAGCGAGAAGGGTAGGGTCACCAAGGCGCTGCCCTGTCGCCAGTGGGCTATAGGCCTGTATAGCGATATTGTTGGTCTGGCAATACTTGACCAGTTCCCTCTGCTGGCACCAAGGATGCAACTGTTGTCGCATCAGCTCGATTGCGACCACGGAGGAAGCGCAATATCTACCTCGATCTGGTTGACATGGGGCGGCCACAGGACGGCGTAGCTTTTCATGTCTTCTAAATGCTTGATACCGTAATTGCTGACCCCGATGCGCATTGTCTTTCCTTCCTGTAGCAGCTGCTCCAGCGCTTGCCAAACAAATTCGGCCTGTTGCTTCGGAAAAGGCGTGTGTATAAGGAAGAGGTCAACATATCCACCAAACTTGTCTATGCTAGACAGACACGCGTCGTAAGGTGAGAGGCCTGTTTGGATCTTTTTTATCTTCGTAGTGACTACAAAGTCGGCCCGTGGTACACCAGAAAGCCTTATTGCCTGTCCCAGTTGTTTTTCTGTCTCGTATAATTGAGCGGTGTCGAACAGGCAGTAGCCAGCGGAGATGGCTTCAAGAATGGCTTTTGTACACCGAGGAGCTGCGAGCTTGTAAGTTCCGAATCCTATTTGTGATAATACTTGGCTTCCGGCTGTGTTTTCAGCCCGATGACGGGCGACTGATCCCATCTTGGGAGATGTTGATGAAAGAGTCATTGGGCTCCAGGGTACGTGAGGTGCTCTTGAGGGCATGTTATTGTCATGATTCGGGAGAATGGGCTCTTAAGAGAGGCCCCACATGATCCACATTTCGTTGAGCTGGAGCCGGATGCGTGTCGTCACACCTCGAAAGCTCTTTCCTTTCGTGATAGCTTCCATTGAATTCCAACCTCGTGTGAATTTCCGGGTTTGCATTATTTCACTCACCTTTCCATCTCAAACAGAATAGTACCCCAGGTGTACCAGCACAAAATGACGGAACTACGTCCCCTTCGCGGTGGTTGCCAGTGCGGCCGCAACTGTTACATCATCGCTATCCCTCAGGATGGCTTTGACAGGTGCCAGGTTCACTTCAACACCGAACCAGAGCACCGTACGTGTTCTGTTCATGCCTGTGATTAAAAATGCTGATCAGGCGTAGAGATACCGCTTGCGACGCCCTTGGCCGCCTACATCCGTGTGCCGCTCGAGTGGTACCATTCGACTACAAACTCATTCTTCCCCGATGAGACTCACGCACTTATCCGTCGTGTATACACACACCCAACTCAGAGTCACGCGAAACGCCAATTCTGCGGGTACTGTGGCACGCCTCTAAGCTATTGGTCCGAGAAGCCGTCAACGGAGGCAGACTTTATCAACTTGACCATTGGGAGCTTGCTGAGGGAGGACTTGGGTGATCTGGAGGACATGGGTCTCATCCCAGGGACACCCGAGGAGACGGAGAACCAAGAGGGTAAGAAGACCGAGGACATGACCAGCGACGTCGAGCGACTGGGCACGAGGAGCGTCCTCCGCGAGTCCTATGGCGTGCCGTGGTTCGACAGCCTCGTCGAGGGTACTAGGCTTGGCAACATGCGCACCAACCGAGGCATTGAGCGTTCTCACGATGGCCGAGTCAAAATAGAATGGGAAGTTCGCGAATACCACGACGACGGTGACGAGGACACGGACATGTCCAGCACCGGGGCTTCTGCAGGAGGCGTGCCTTCTAAGAGGAAACACTCGGACGCAGGAGCCGCCGGCACGGGGCCAGCGGCGTGAGACTGACTGGCTTGCGATGACGTTTCAGTGTCGGAGGACGGGCCCGGCGGCGTGTGAACGAGGGACGTGGGAAAAGAAAACAGAGTTGTCTCTGCGGAAGCGCGGAGCGGGCGTTTATTGATGAGGCGATGCTTAATTAAGAGGTCAGGCAGATTCCGACATGCATACGACGACGGGTTACGATCATACGACATAGGGGGACGGCCGGCCATAGAAAGAAAGGATTGACATGAAACGCATCTAGGACAGGCGTCGGAGAAATTGATTGAATTGAATGCATTTCTGAGGCAACGTGACGCCCGGGCGCAGTGATGAGCATATTTTGTTGCGGCTCGGGAAAATGATGATAGCCGTGCTTTTCTCCGTGGGCGCCCTCGTCAGTAAACGACCGACAATCTGACCAGAGATGGGGCAGCAGTTTGCCAGTTTGCACCATGGACCATGACGACAGCGACATTAATTATTACCTAGTGCCAGGCTGCATGTGCGTATGCGTATGCGTTGTTATCGCTCATCGAGTTGCAGTGGGATGGTCTTCGGGAAGAAACATTGCCTCGCATGTATGCTCGATCGGCAGCGCGGCTCGACAAAAAGCCGCGCGTGTTATCGTGCTGCGTGAGATGGAAAAGTCGAGGCGCCAGGACCGGAGAACTGGCAGACATGCACATGCAGAATGGGTCTTTTTGTTGGACCTTGGCGGAATGGGCAGACGGATGTACGTTGGCTGCTGGTGCTTCAAAATGGGGACGAGAATGGGGAAAGCCTTCGGGGAAGCTGGCTTCGGAGAGGCGGGCCGACGTCTCGATTCGGTCGACGGAGCTAGCAGGGATCTGGCGAGAGCTCGCGCGAATGACAGCCTCGCAGTTTTGTCAAGAGATGGGCGCGCCCCCGCCGTGGAGTCGACGATTTGTTGCTGTTCTGGAAATAAACAGCTTAAGGATATACAGGCAGCAGAGTTGTTGGCGTGATTTTGCTGCTGCTGCTGGCGGGAGGTTGACGTCGAGAGTACTGGTTTCTCTCAGGGACTCACGTGATCTAGCTACTAGTACGGATACTGGACGGTGAAGACTGAGGACGTCCTCACTGCTGACCACCAAGATTTGCCATTCTTCGTCAACAACGACGGACTATGCATGAGCCACCCTAAAAACGTTCCCACGACCGTGTCAGCCATGTGCCTCACAAGCTACCTAGCCCTGTAATTGGGCCAGACCAGCCATTTCAGGCAAGGCACCTGGCGCTGCGCGTCTGCGACTGGACCCTTCCCCTCCCTCCCGCGACCCCCCACTCCACCATCCCCAAGTTCACCCAAGTGACCCAACCTCGCACGCAGTCTCCAACAGGCCAAGCCAAGCAAGCGAGCTTGAGGAGCAGCTTCAGCCCCATCGCCAACGTGCTCGTACAGACTCGCTCGGTCGCTACGGTCCGGCGCAGACCCTGGGCAGCACCGCTGTCCTCAACATGACCGGATCAACGGCCTTGGACATCTGCCGATCCCTACGTGCCGTCATGGTATAAATAAAGTCGGTGCCCTGGGCCAGCCAGGCCGCACCTCTCTGTCTCCCTCCTCCTATCCAGTCTTTGTCCGGTTTCTTGACCGTCATATCTCCTCCCCCCTCTCACCCTGACCCTCACGCGACCATGGCTGCTCTTCCCAGTGATTTCGTCTGGGGCTTTGCCACCGCCTCGTAAGTCCAGAGCATCAAATCCCTCCGCGGATACGCGTGCTAATGCAGACTGTAGCTACCAGATTGAGGGCGCCGTGGACAAGGACGGACGTGGCCCCAGCGTCTGGGACACCTTCACGAAGAAGCCCGGCAAGGTCGCCGATGGCTCTTCTGGTGAGACGGCTTGCGACTCGTACAACCGCACCGCCGAGGACATTGCCCTCTTGAAGGACCTCGGCTCGCAGGCGTACCGCTTCTCCCTCTCGTGGACGCGCATCATCCCCAAGGGTGGTCGCAACGACCCCGTCAACCAGGCTGGCATTGACCACTACTCGAAATTCTGCGACGACCTCATCGCCGCCGGCATCACACCCTTCATCACGCTCTCTCACTGGGACGTCCCCGACGAGCTGGACAAGCGCTATGGCGGTCTGCTGAACCGCGAGGAGTTCCCCCTGGACTTTGAGAACTATGCGCGCGTTTGCTTCAAGAGCTTCCCCCAGTGCAAGAACTGGATCACCTTCAACGAGCCCTGGTGCTCCTCCATCCTCGGCTACAGCGTCGGCCAGTTCGCCCCCGGCCGCACATCCAACCGCGACCGCAACCCAGTGGGCGACTCCTCCACCGAGCCCTGGATCGTAGGCCACAACCTGCTCGTTGCCCACGGCCGTGCTGTCAAGGCGTACCGCGACGACTTCAAGGCCACCAACGGCGGCGAGATTGCCATTGTCCTCAACGGCGACGCCACCTACCCCTGGGATCCCACCGACCCCCGTGACGTCGAGGCGGCCGACCGCAAGATCGAGTTTGCCATCTGCTGGTTCGGCGACCCCATCTACCACGGCGAATACCCGGCCTCCATGCGCAAGCAGCTGGGCGACCGCCTCCCCACGTTCACCGACGAGGAGCGCGCACTCGTCCACGGCTCCAACGACTTCTACGGCATGAATCACTACACCGCCGACTACGTCAAGCACAAGGACGGCGAGCCCGCCCCCGAGGACTTTCTCGGCAACCTCGAGACCACCCCCTACAACAAGAACGGCGACGTCATCGGCGTCGAGACCCAGTCGCCCTGGCTGCGACCCTGCGCCCCGGGCTTCCGCGACCTCCTCGTCTGGCTCAGCAAGCGGTACAACTACCCCAAGATCTACGTCACCGAGTCCGGCACCTCCATCAAGGGCGAGAACGATCTGCCCCTCGAGGAGCTGCTCCAGGACGAGGTCCGCTTCCAGTACTACGACGACTACGTCAAGGCCATGGCCGTCGCCAGCCAGCTCAACGGCGTCAACGTGCGCGGCTACTTTGCCTGGTCGCTGCTCGACAACTTTGAGTGGGCCGAGGGCTACGAGACGCGCTTCGGCGTGTGCTACGTCGACTACAACAATGGGCAGAAGAGGTATCCCAAGAAGAGCGCCAAGCACCTCAAGCCCCTGTTTGACAGCTTGATCAAGAAGAAGTAAGTTAGGGAGCGCGCGGCCCGGGCGTAGCATCATAGGCTGTACATAGCACTCGAGAACGCAATGGCTTCAAAGTCGAATGAAAGACGGCCCTGTGCAACACAAAGTGAATGACGAGAGCAGTCGCTTCGCTCTACTCATGACTAGTCATTCTTGCATATTGCTGTACTGCCTTTTGCAAGCTTCTAGAAGAACCCGGGTATCCAATGTGTGTCTCCTTTTTATACCAACTCCCACTTGAGAACATAGCTCCAGGCCATGCCCACCTTCCCCTTCTTCTCAAAGTACTCCTTCGCGCTGACGCCCCTGGCGTCCTTGCCACCAATTGTCGTGACCTGCGCCACCTGCAGTGTCTGTCCAGGGGCACCGAGGTCTCTCGCCTTGACATCCACCCAATGCCAGTATCCGTCTGTCTGCACGGGAACCATATCGTCCTTCCTGCCATCTACGCCATGGATGCTCAGCAGCCACAGCGGCGGCTTGCCCTTGCCGTGCGTTTCGGACCGCCAGTGGCGGCACAGCTTGCTCCATTGGAAGCGGATGACCGCGTCACTCTGGACAGGAATCTGTCGACAGCGCGGCAGTATGCTAGACTCGAGGATGCCCTCGTCGTGGCCGGTCGTATACAGCACAGGTGGTTCGCCGTCCGCAGACCGACCGATGTAGTACTCCTCCCACGACTGCACCCTTCCATCATCGCGAAACTGGTAGCGCGAGTCCTTTGGAAAGTGGGACTCGCTAAAGACATCGTTGCTTGCGATAAAGTGTTTCGGCGAAAAGACCTGCTTGTACTCGTTTGTTGACCCATCGAGGTGGCCGGCACCCCAGCATGCGTCGAGCAGTTTCCATCGGCCGCCGTCGATACGGACGGCGTTCCAAGCGTGTCCGTCTGGTTTCGCTGGCGGAGGTCGCTCGCCGGGTTTCAGGGCGGAGTAGCCGTAGCCTTTGCCGTGACCACCTACGACGATGCATTCCAGCCCGGCCCGGTTGGCAATGGCCTTGTACGTTTCGGCATACCCGGCGCAGACGGCCTTGCCCGTGAGTATGGTGCTGTCTGCCGTCTGCTCCTTGACGCACTTGTTGAAGAAGGCGTACGTGTCATAGTAAATGTTGTAGTGGAACCAAGTGAATATCGCGCGAGCCTTGTCAGTGTACGACGGAAAGGGGTCGCACAAATTACGAGCAAGATAGCCAACGGGGTCTTGTCGCGGGAGTGATTCTCGAGGAAACTTGGAAGCCAGGTTGTCTGGCCCACTCCAATCTCGACAGACCCAGCAATCTTCGTCCACGTTGCCACCCGACAACATTCTCTCATTCGCGGCGTCGATTTGAGATGCTGTCGGCCTGGACGCTGTTGGGATGGGAGGCGGCTCATCATTGGCAGTTTCTGGCGCAGGGGGCGGCTCATCTGTCTTCTGTTGCTGAACCGACGCTCGCGAAGATTTGCCACTGCCGAACCCCATGACAATGTTTTTCCTAGGGGGAGGCGCAGGCTGGGCTGGTTCTGCAGACGCATGGTCTTCTTTTCCATTCGTCAATGATGCCTGCGTAGCAGAGCGAGACGGGAGTCTGGGTGGAAGGCCAGGTTTCGGCCCTGGCTGCGCAGCTGCCGCTGTTTTTAATGACGAGGCTGACTTCTTCCCCGTAAGACCTGTGCGTGCCATAGCTGCACTCAGCGATGATGATGATTTCCTAGGCGCAAGGCCTGGCCTGACAGGCTGGGGGGCAAGCTCTGATTCTCTTCTGGAAGGTGGAAGAGGCGGCAGGCTCGCCTGGTCATAGACGGGTGCCATGCGTCGGCCATCTGAGCCGCGACTGGCGACAGAGATGGCGGACCGTTGTGACGCCTCAGAAGAGGCCGATCCCCGCCTCCCAGGCAGAAGGCCAGCTTGGTTCTGAGGGGTTGTCCGTCTGGGGAGGGCGGGAGGTGTCTGAGCCGAGTTGCTCCTACTGGGCAGCGGGGGCGGAGCGAGCTTGGGCTCATTGATGGGTGATGCGCCCTGCGACGTCTGCGTATCGCGTCTTGGTAGGGGTGGCGGTGCAGCCTTAGAGGGCTTGCTAGGTCTGTTTGGTATGGCTGGCGATTTTCTCTGCTCCTGCACGCCATTTGTTGTTGGTGAATCACGAGGCGGAGGGTCTCTCGCCGGGCGAGGGACAGGAGGTGGCGCTGGTTTGCGCGAGCCATCTGCGTCGTTAAAGTTCTTTTGCTTGTTCAACGCTGCGATTCGTTCCTTGAGCGTGTTGAACTGTGGCTCTTCCGTGTCCGCCATAATGGACCTGAGAGTGAGAGAGAGAGAGTGATGGCGATGAGGGACACGCAAGGCCAAGTAATTAGGTCGTCGTGGCCTCCGTACGACAGCTGTCCTTCCCGAATCCTAGCAATGAAAGCGGAAGACGGCTGGCCAGGCGGAACGAGCAATCAGACGAACGAGTGAATGAATGAGTGCAAGTAAGGCTATTAATTTCACGGGGCAGGCCTCATGAAGGAGGATGGAGAGTGTGGCTGACTGGTCGTGGTTGTTTCGTACCTATCGTGGCACAGTGTGCTCACACAGTGTGTACAGTGCCAAGCTGACGTACGTGGGCTTGGGTCAGCAAAGCAGGGCCGTAGACGCGCATATCGTCGAAATTGCCAGTCATCCTCTCCTGACAACCATGATGCGCAGTGAGTGAGCTTACTCGACGGCGTCTGGCTTCGTAGAGCCTTCATGGTCGGCACGTCAAGTCCACATGCGGTCAGAGCCACGCGGAATGCCTAGTAGTATTCAGGGGGTGGTGACCCGGTTGTTGCATGACTGTGATACGCGGATATGATCCCGAGGCAATGCTTGGCAGTGTGAAATCATCAGCGTACAAGTAAGGACGTCAGTGCATGGGCATCACATGGTCTAGTACTAGAACGTTTCACGTCTCAAGGCAGGATTATAAGTCTATAGTTCATCCAAGATCTATCCTGAGCCGAAGTAGCCATCCATATGGAACCAAAATCAGACCTTAGGCAGACACAGCCGGCATGCTAACGATGTACAGCAATCCAAGGAAAACAGGCATCGCTAATGCAACCTAGAAGAGGGCGAGGGCGCTGAGAGCGGCAAGAGCACCGGCAGCGCTGATCTTGAGGAGTCCAGCGCCGTTGTCACCACTGGGAGTGGCCACGGCGCCCGCACCGTCCGAGGTGTTGCTGGCCTCCGCATCGCTGCTGTTGTCGGAGCCAGAGGTAGATCCGTTGCCAGATCCAGAGCCGGAGCCAGAGCTGTTGCCGGAGCTCTCCTCGGAGTTGTCCGAGCCACCGTTGGTGGCAGTGGCCGAGCTGCTGGTCACCATGCTGGTGTGGTCCGCAGAAGTGTGGGTCTTGGTGGCCTCGGAGGAGGTGCTGGTCTTGCTCTCCTTGTCCTTCTCATCGCCAGAGTCCTTGGGGCAGCTCAGGTCGAAGCGGGGCTCGGTGGACAGCTTGTCGGTGATGGCAAACTTCATCGAGTTGGCGGGGTTGGAGTCGCGGAGAGTGTACCAGAAGGTGGGGGTCTTGTTGAACAGCTTCTTGCAGCCGACTTCCTTCCAGTACTTCTCGGCGTTCTCGACGCTGGCCACGGCCTCGTCCCAGGTCTCACCAACGTAAGGCCAGCCGGTCTCGGTGACCCAGACGGGCTTGTCGCCGGCAGCGGCAAGGGTAGCCTGGTACGCGCTGTCGAAGAGCTTGCCGGCGTTCTCAATGCTGTTGCCCTTGTCGTTCTCGTAGTAGGGGTACTCGTGGACGGAGATGAAGTCGACGGCGTCGATGACGGCCTTGTTGGTGGAGTTGTTCCAGACGTCCCAGGTGTCGGCGTGTCCAACAGGCACGTCAGCAATAGCACTCGACTTGAATGCCTTCCTCCAGTCGTTGATGAAGCTGACAATGGTCTTGGGTGAGGCGCCTACACCCTCGGGGTCGTTCTTGAGACCGGTGACAGAGGTGCGGTAGAGATCCTCGGAGCCAATGTTGACGCCGATGATGAGGTCGGTCAGCTCGGAGCCATACTTCTCGATGGCCTTGTTCAGGGCGCTGATCTCCTTGTCGATGTTGTCAGTGCCTGAGGCCCAGACACCGAGGAGGAGGTGAGTCTTGGTCTCGACAGCGGCATCGAAAGCCTCAATGGGATCCTCCTGAGAGTAGGCCTGGATGTTGGTGTAGAGACGAGCCGAGTTGAACTTGCCGGGGGCACCGTTCAGCTTCGCAGCAGTCTTGAACTCGGCAGCAAAGTCGGCCTTGAACTTGGCAGAGCGGTCGGCGAGGGTGGCACCGCTGTTGAAGCCAAGGTAGTTGCTTCCATCGGCAACCGCCCCAACGGCGGCAATGCCAGCGGCAATGGTGGAAGTGAAACGCATGATGGATTAATGCTCGAGTATCGCAAGTCGATTCGTCGGATTGTAGTAGGGAGCGTGAGTGTGAGAAAGTACAGTTTTCAGTCAAAGATAAAAAGAATGTCGGAATGCAAAAGAGTGCAGCAATCCGTTGGAATGTGGTTGGAGGGAAAAGACAAGAGATACGAGAAGTAGGAAAACAAAGATGTCTTATTATGGCGTCGGTTCGAGGAAGAATGAAGGACATGGACTGGCGTGAGTGGAATGAGCGCTGGCTCAGGGGGGCCGGCGCCAGCTGCTTAGCGCATCGTGGCTTAGCAGACCCGTCTCAGGCACCGAGCGCGTTGGAGTCACGTGTAATCCACATGGTCGTTCCAGAATTGGGAAACTGTGGGCACAGCAGTCCAACCGGCACACGCGGCTCCAGTGACTTCCTTGGTCGCGTTCCCTGCTGAAGCAAGGGGTTTTGACATGGAGATTTCTGTTAATTATTCGTTTCTTTCGGGACGGGAGCAAAGTGTTCGTGGCTCGCACTTTGTGTTTCTCGCCTACGCGAAGCCGTCAGAGACACATGACGCATTACTAGGTAGCTTTCTGCTCTGATCAAGCCATCCAAAGCTGAAATTGCGCAGGAAGGAGTCCAGTCTGCAGCCACTTCAATGTTCGCCAGAATACGAGCATTGTTCGGCTGGGGGGCGCACGGACGGTAGACGGTGGTCCTGCAGTGGAGAAATACGCACTTTGTTAATATGGCCCGAAATAATCTTCCTCGGAAGCCGTAATTGTGCTTTTATTAATAGCCATACGAGATCAACAATGATATCATCCGCTGCCACTGCTACGCCTGAAGACTGAGACACATTTGATTCTCGACTTCTCGTTTGGCTCGAGTACTACGTAGGACGTTGGGAAGACCAACCAAAAGGTGCACATATCTAATATTACAAGTAATCACATGGAATTGAGTTTGATCCGGTTATAATATTCACTGCCAACCATCTAAAAGGTGAAGCAGGGCCCAGCTAAAACTGTGAAAGTTTTGTACAAGTAATTTCTCTATAGGTCCCTGCACTCAAAAGCTTCAAAGAGCATTGAATCAAGAACAGATGCCATTATGGTTGTGACATTTATCACATCAGTCATAAGAATACTGCAAGGCGCACTGCGACTGTTCGTCCACATGTGCAACTCACTCAAACCCGTTTTCTGGTGCTCCATGACCATCGCAACCAACAGCCTGCAGGGTTTGACGTCGCCAACACACATTGACATACATGTAGTCAACGCACGTAGTCCTCTAGCAAATAAGCTACTATTCTTGACGTCGCTCAGCAGCTCCCGAGTTTTCTGCCAGCTTCAAATTACCTTTCTAGCTCCATTCGTTGCTGGCGACGCGTGCGCCTGGAAAGAAGCCACCAGGTCTGGGGTAGCCTGGCGGGTGCCGGCATAAAGCCCCACCTATTGGCGCTAGCACAGCGTAGCAGCCATTCACAGCCAGTCCAGGGTGGCAGCAGCGACCGTCAGCCGCCAACCATCGTCCAACTTCAATCCGCCTTGCATTTGCGCCTTCAAGCTGCTAAACCTTGTTCATCACTTCATATCATTTCCAAACATCAAACATCTCTATTCTCTACTAGATGCCACAGCTCACTTGCTGCTTCCTGATTTTTGTCCCCTTTGTCGCGGAGCAAGCCTGATCACGGCCCGTCGCAGCGCATAAACTTTAACAAACCCCCGCCTACTCCGTACACACGCCATCATCCACTACGGGCCTATACGGCTCCATCGTCCATTGGGGACGCCAAGGAAGCGCATCGCGAACACGCACTGTCGACACTCGATACTTGATCGCTCGCCCGTCTTCCGTCCCATGGCGACAAGTGTGGTCGAATATCAGAAGGCCATGGAACCTACAGAACGCTCGAGCTTAACGTTTCTGGATCTTCCACTGGAAATTCAAAAGGAGATTCTCTTCCAGGTACATAGAATCCCTGCTCCGGCATCGCTCGCGCCAGTAGCTAAACATATCTACAGTGCGCGCAATCCGACCTCATCTGCGTCGCTCTTGCTTCACGACATTTTCGCGACCTCGCCGCTTCGATTCTCTACCGCGAATTCAACATTATCTTTCCTGACGATGAGGAGATCCTGCTGGATAAGCCCATCGACGGGCTCGCCGGTGGCCTCGATACGTTAACAACGAGCGATTACAACTACGCACAGCACCTCAGAGAGATCTCAATGGATACTCTGAGTCTTGGGATGAAGGGGGAAATGTCGTACCAGCCATATCTATACAGAGCTAGCTGCGGAAAGTTCTTCAACACGCTGCTCTATCTGACTTTGAAAAAGGCCCAGAAGTTAGAAACATTCAAATGGAATATCCGGGTCGAGCTGACCCGACAAGTGTACCGGGAGTTGCATCGCATGGGCAGCCTGAAAAACCTCCATCTCCGTATGCAAGCTGGCGAATCGTACTACATGCCCCCTCCTCCCCTACCGGCTGCACCTATACCAACCGCCGCCGAGGTATGGACGCCCGATCACTGGTCCGGCCCGCCGCCCGCGATGCCATCCACGGTGTCGTTGCCCTTGACAGTGAACCTTCCGCCACTGCCCGGGCCGCCTCCTGCTCTGGTACCGCCATCCAAGAAGCTACCGAAGAGTCGGGCTGCTCGAAAGGACAGCTTTTTCAAGGAACCGCCGACTGTGTCTGGCTTCGCGAAACTACAGTCGCTTGCGGTGCTGGACATTGATGATCTTGATATATCCACAGAGCTCGCTGCCTGTGTCAAGAAATCGTCAAGGACGCTGAAGAGGCTCTCGCTGTCCTTCTCGTCCAGCCTCGCCACGGAAGCTCGTAGGCCACCACACGACTCCGACCCTGATGACTCCGATATCGATGAGGAGTTTACTGTCAACGGTCATGGGCATCAGCATCACCACCACAACCACGAGTCGACCAGTGCCGCCAAGGTCTTCCGCGCACAAGAGGAGCGCAAGGTGCAGGAGTCATTCCTGGCACGCATCTTTGAGGTCGAAGCTTCCCCATCATTAGCCGATCTCGCAACGGCCGCGTCAGATGACAAAGGGTCTCCAAGTGGTGCTGCCGATGGACCATCGGACAGCCGAGAGACGCCAGCAACAGACACCGACTCTCGGGAACTAGTTCGACAGTTCCTCCACGCCGTATCGGACAATTTTACGACACTTTCAAGCGGAACGCAAGAACGCACGTCCGCATACCGGACTCTCCTGAATGTGCTTGAAAAAGCTGCCCTCGAATACATGGGAGCTACAGGGCCTGAATCGCTTGGTATTACACCGGAAAATGTGAGCCAAGCCCTGGCAGTGGAAAACGAGGCAATCAGCGATGGGCGAGAGGGGAACGGGGGCGCCTTCGACTCGGAGCAGGGCGGCACGGCCAAGGAAACCACCGACAGTTCAAATTGTGCGGAACCTCTGGAGGCCCAAAGTTCGAACCGAGACGACCCTGTTGCTACTGGATCATCGCCATTACCGAATTCAGGAAACGGCGAAGAGAGATTGCGGTCGAAGCATGGATTCTATGTGCGCCAGATGGAGACACTCAGCAACCGACTGAGTGAGCTACGGATAGAAGGCAATGCTCAGGATGCCAATGAGATCGACAGTCTCGTGGGACTGCTTGCGCAGGCTGAACATGACACGCGGCAGATTGAGCACCAGCTGCAGAGCAAAGTCGCCGACGGTCAAAAGGCTCCATTGGAAACCGGTCATGATGTGCGCGACTACTTGAAAGAAACAAGAGGTCACTCACTTGAGTCTCTGAGCATCTATCTCATTCCTGTCAGAGCGTCCGTGCTGTCGCGTGCGGTCGACCTGCGCTGTCTCAAGCAGCTCACCCTGCTCAACGTTGGGAGTCAAGCTGCGATTTGGGCTGCGCTCACAAAGGAAAACCAGAATTCTCCGTTACCGCTTAGGAGTGTCTTCACAGACCATGTGAGCGACGCGCTCCTGACATGCCTGTCGCAATTACCAGCGCTACACGACTTGTTCATGGTCGAGCAGAGCATCAAGAACAAACCGGAAAGCCTGGCACCGCGCACCACCGTGACGATTGAGCAGATCAAGAAAATGGTTCTGCAGAAGCACATGCGCACCCTTCGGCGCCTGATGATCAAGGACGACGACAGCCACGGATCGAGGAAGTGGGACATTACCGACAAATTGATGAAGCTCATATGCTTTGGGGGAGAGCGGTTGGAAGAGCTGGCGATCTGCCTCAATATATCTGCGGTGGTGAGTGACGATGACAATACCTCGCGACAGGACCGACTGACATATTCTCATAGCATACTATGATCCAGAACATCAGCCAACTGAAGCAGCTACGCGCTTTCCACATACTGCGATTCAAGAACAACGACACCTGCGTGTGGGTGATGCGGGAGATTGTCAAATTCGTGATTGACAGCTTGGCGCATGTTCCGGAATCGAAGCTCGAATACGTTGGCATGGAGGATGACCGTGTCGACCGCATTCTGCGGTTCTCACAGAAAGACATGGATCATTTCAGGGAGGAGAGAAGGAGTGCAAGGAACAAGAAGGGCAAGGCAAAGGCGCCGATTGCGTTCGTGCCCAGTCCACCGTACAATGCGGGCTATTCTTCCACGGATTCAGGGCTGTTGTCTTCAACGAGCGACACGGAGAGTGGCAGCGACGAGGACTTTGACTGCGATCCCAGGTTCAAAGCAGTAGGGCCGCTCCGTTTCAGCGACATCTGGGGCGTCAAGATCTTTGAGAAGGAAGTTCTGGAAGCCCGACTTTAGCGCTGATTTGGAACCCAGATTGTTGTATAAAAAGCGTTGCATTTGTTGACAGAAGTGTAGGTTTAGGTTTAGCTGATACTTTGGGCTGACATTGGAGCGGCCAGCACGTAGTAATGTCGATCACAGACAGTATGGAAATGCTGCCAGCGCATGAGGATGAGGTGCGGCGTAATTCAAGTTAAGCATGCAGCTGCATGACGCACGATGAAGCAGTACAGCGGCGCAGTGATTACGAAGCTGACGATGAAAACTGATGGTTCCGTCTCCTCTCTTCCACCGCTACAATGGCCCATTGTCCACCGTGACGCTGCTAAGAAATAGATTGGTGGCTGCGTGGTCTCTGAAAGGTGATCCGCACGGGAAGGATGCGGGAAGGAATCAGTGCGCAGAGAGCGCTGCTAGGGGCTGGCCATAGAGTCGCATACCTACGGTAGATTCTTCTACCTCAAGTAGGTAGTGAGGCCTTGGTGAAGCCTACAGATTATCCCACTTCATCAAGACCAACTAAGAGTCAACCGTCGATCCCCGATCGAGGGCCTACGTGACAGCAGCAGAAATATCCCACACACCGACCTTGCAAAGACAAACCGACGATCATCGCCTGCTCGAGCTGCCCCCGATGTCAGGCCCTTGGTCGCCGACTCGCCGCGCGGGGCTCAAGGGCTCACAGCTTCGAAAGCCAGAAAGAGCCTCTTTGGGCGTATGCGAATCTTTGCCAGCTTGCTTGGTATTGGCGATTTCAGTCCGGAGGTCATGCATCAGTCCATAGCCACGCATCGGGACAATACTTACGTAGCCCCAAGCTAAGCTATCAGGCTTTAATGACACCCGCCACTTCTGTTTGATAGCAATGGCCAAACTTGGCGCATCACATTCGCAGTTTCTGCCGCGTCCTTATCAGCACCGCCAAACTATCCACAGATAGTAACCTTGCCCTCGATCGGACAAGAAGAGGAGATACATATAGGAAAGCAATGGCGCATGTGTGACAGCCATGAGAGCTGTAGCTTGGATTGGCTGGGACCCCGCCCCCGCACCCTGGTCCTGCCTGGACCCTGAATCTTGGCCCTTGGCTTGACCCTTTGACCTTGGAAAGTTGGGCCTGCTTCTGAATTCTGGCGGCACAATCGGCCTCTTCGGAGGCACTGATGGCAGCACACAGCTTGCGGATGCAGTCACGCGAGTCATCTTGAACGATGGCTAGTGATCATTTGCCATTCGCGCTGTTGAGGGGTCCTCCCACGCAGAAGCTTGGCTGCGATGTGGCCTAGAGGTAATAGGGCCTCGACCCCTGCCAGATCTAATAACTTTTGTTCTTCTGACTTCACCTCATCATTTCTGATACACGTTATTCTCAGTTCAGACTTGCGATGATATTTGATCTCAGTCTCCGCAACGGGGTATTGTTCTGTGACGTTGGCGCGACCCAAAAGATCGACGCCACCTCTGCACACTCGAGCTGCTCTCCGAGGTTTTTGGCGAGACACCATCCGAAGAAGCAATCCTCAACTGAGCCCCTGATCATCCTTGCCTGACTCCCTTGCGTGGGGTCTCGCTATGAACCAGCATTGACTGAGAAGCTCAGTCCAAACAGAAGCTTTCACTTTTCATCAAACCGAAGGATGCTCATCAGGGTCGCACGATAGCCAGCTGCTATCCTCACTCGCCTTGGCTTACACGCATTCAGGCGACTTGACAGTCCACACCACTGGCAACTTATCCAGATCGAACATTTATCATCATCGAGCAACAACGATTGAAGGCTCACGAACATGAGGCATCTTTTTGGTGTTTTCAGCGCAACGTTTGGGTACCAGTATGAGGATGCTGCGCGACTGCTGTTGCAGCCATCCTTCCTAGGCGCGCAACAGCTGCAGCAACCTCCACAAGACTCGACACAGGATCGCACAAGGGTCTTTCATACAAAGCGCAATCCTTCACCGACACCGTCGAAAAGCTCAGATATTCTACATCTCCCTGCGGACTTCTTCTTTCTTCTGTCCGACCATCTCGACACACCATCGGCACACGCACTCTCCTTGACATGCCGCGCATTCTACAATCTTGGTCTTCCCAAGACGCGACAGAAACTCGAAGACCAAGACAAGCGAGCGCTTCTCACCTTGCTGGAGAGGGACAGCCTCGGCGACGACTATTACTACTGTCAAAGATGCAACAAGCTGCACACCTACCGCGACACCTATGGCCCTCACTTGGTCGAGGAACGCATTGACAAGTCGCAAGCCTTCGTCTGTGGCATGCGCGATCGCTTCACGCCCATGGGGAATGCATACGACCTCGGCTATCATCACGCACGACTCGTCATGAACCGACACTTTCACGGCCACGGCGGTATTCCCATCCAGGCCATCTGTCTCCAGCACGAGGCGCGACGCGAGGCCGTCACCATTCGCTGCTCGACAGCCGCCAACATTATCGACGACGAGCTTTATCTGCGACGCTCCTATGACTTTGTCCTCAGCAACGCGGACGTCCCTGCGTTCCGTCGCTGCACTGGGCACCGCGATTTCCGCCTATGCGAGCACACCCCCTTCTTCCGTAACTCGTCCGTCTACCACCAGGCCCTCCCCGAGCTGCAAAGAAGGCCGCGCGCGCCGACGAACAAGGACGAGTTTGTGCCATGCACCAGCTCGCCGGGGTCCTGCGGCCTCTGCCTCCTCGACTACGACGTCTCCATTGTGCGCATCGACAACGGCGCGGCCTGGAAGGTCATGATCGAGGCGTACCACTTGCTTGGCGCCTGCCGGTCCCCTGATGACTGGAAATGGGCGCGCTTCACGGAGAAGACGCGTCCGCACCTGTTCCTGCCCAATCGACCGAATCGACGGGGCAGCGGCTACGGTCCGGGCGTGGTCAAGAAGGCTTGGTTGCAGGCGGGCGTGGCGGGCGTCGTGGACGGCACTGATGTGCAGCTCAAGCGCCATTCTATTTGAGACTTGCAAGGACCAGCGCAAGGAGCTTTTCTCTCGTACATATTTACGACGCATATACCATTTTCCTTTTGCATTTTCAGGCTGGGGAGATCATTGGGCGTTTAGCATGGAGGAGTTGACGTTTCCCTATCAAAGCACAGGTCTTGTCCACACATGTACAACATGGTATCAGGCTTCGAGGCACATCAAATGTTGGATGATTTGAGACATTGAATTCATCTACCGTATTCCTCCATCTCTCTCTCTCCATCTCATGTCAACTTCATAGCGCCGTTATAGCTGGTACACTTTTCCAACATGAGCAAAGACGGCAGGTCCATCAAATAAGGCCGCGTCTTCCCTCTCGCCATGAACTGAAACTATGCACATGGGAACCGCCAAGAAACTAAGAATCAAAGGGATATGCTATGGTGCGCGAGCGCGCGTCGCACTTTGTAGATTGGCGGGCCGCGGAGCCAGGTATAGGTGGTGTTGTGGAATTGGGTTTGTTGTGTGGTTTGTCGGAGGTTGTTGATTGGTTGGTTGTTTGGTCGTCAAGAGGCGTTGTCTGTCTGTCTATTTACAGCCTGGAGATGATGGCGTTGGCGTACTCGTGGGTCTTGGCCTTGCCGCCGAGGTCGCCGGTGAGAGCCTTGCCCTCGGCGAGGGTGTCGAAGATGGCCTTCTCGATGCGGTTGGCGTGCTCGTTCAGAGACATGTGACGCAGCATCATGATGGAGGACAGGAGGAGGGCGGTGGGGTTGGCAAGAGCCTTGCCCTCAATGTCGGGGGCGGAGCCGTGGACGGCCTCGAAGATGGAGCACTCGTCACCAATGTTGCCCGAGGGGGTGAGGCCCAGGCCGCCGATCAGGCCGGCGCACATGTCGGACAGAATGTCACCGTACAGGTTGGGCATGACGAGGACCTTGTCGTTGTAGGGGTTGGGGTCGGTGACCATCTTGAGGCAGGTGTTGTCGAGGAGCTCGGCGTCAAACTCGATGGAGGGGAAGTCCTTGGCGACGCGCTCGGCGGTCTTGAGGAAGAGACCGTCGGACATCTTCATAATGGTGGCCTTGTGGACGACGCGGACCTTCTTGCGGCCAATGGCCTCGGCGTGCTGGAAGGCGAAGCGGAGGACGCGCTCGGACGCCTCGGCGGTGATGAGCTTGATGGACTGGACGACGCCATCGACGACAACGTGCTCGATGCCCGAGTACTCGCCCTCGGTGTTCTCACGGATGAGGACAGTGTCGACGCCGTCGTAGGGGGTCTTGTAGCCGGCAACCGAGCGGCAGGGGCGCAGGTTGGCGAAGAGGTTGAATGTGCGGCGGAGGGTGAGGTTGAGAGAGACGTGGCCCTTGCCGACGGGGGTCTGTCATGGTGTTAGTTGGTCACGGCGCGGCGCGCTGGCCTCGCAAAGCCATGGATGGACGTACAGCCAAAGGTCCCTTGAGGGCGACCTTGTTCCTCTTGATGCTCTCAATGGCAGCATCGGGAATGGCGGTCTTGCCATCCTTCAGGATAGGGGTGACATCGATGGGCTCCCATGACACGGGGGCCTAGGAACATTTGTGTTAGCTGGCACACGACCTGGTGTGTTTTGGATGGGCTCGACGAACCTTGGCGGCAGCGAAGATGTCCTTGACGGAGACGGCGATTTCGGGACCAATGCCGTCACCCTCGATCAAGCTGACGAGGTAGTTGCCCTATAGCGACACAATGTCAATCTCTTGTTCCATGTTGTACGATCCGGTTGCCCGTCCGCGACCCAGAGGCTGTCTGAGTGATTTTCCCCAGACAGCCAAGCCAGCCTCGCGAGTGACGACACAACCAATTGACCTCGGGAAAGATGCACGTACGTTCGAGTCCTTGTTGCCGTTGTACTTGGCGACCTTGTCGTTGGCAGAAGAGTACGAGCGCTGGACCTGCATGCGTGGTTAGCGACGGTAGCTCGTCGGAGACGCACATGTGCATCCATCACGTACCGAGAGAGACCAGGTGGCGGCAGCGCGAGGCGCCGTGCGCAGGCATTGCCTGGGCAGAGGGCTGGCAAAGGCTCGTAGGCTCAACATCTTGACAGCTCAGGTCGTGGGATGGCGAGTACGTGTGGGAAAGGGGGAGGAGGAAGGAAGGGGACTTGGAGAAAAAAAAACACAACCAGAGTGGAAAGCGAAGATAGCGCGCGGAGAAAAAGTGAGGTCTCGGTCGGTCGGCTGGGAGCGGGCGACAAGGACTGGAGCCGGCGATGGGATGCGTGTTTGGCCTGCCCGACACGGATTTGGAGCCTGTTGGAGCAGCTGCTGTGGCTCCGGCTTTGACCTCGCTCGGAGCCGTCGTATTCCGCTCTAATGGCCGAGCGCCAAGACGGTGGCTAGGGTGTGGCTGGTGCAGTCGTTTTCAGCCACATGTAGGGGGGCTGAACCTCTGGAGTGGCTGAGCTACGGTAGCTCTACAGTCGCGACAGCTCGAAGCAGCGCATCGCTGCGACGAATGAACAGTACTCGCAACAAGCGAAGCTTCATTCCAAGGCTCAGATGTCGTAAATCTCAACTACCTCACCCATTGCCCGACAACACCACCAACTCGTCCAGCCGAGAGCATGACATCGACGTGATCGAGCGACCGCGCCATGGCCGAACAAGAGCGAACAGTTCTGGAATTCTACCAGCTCCCGACAGCCTTTCCCTCAGAATGGCCCGCCGAAAAGGACGCAGAGGACTCGTCCGGCGATGAGGATGCACAAGACCCCAAACTCCAGCATCGCAAGTCCCGTTACCAAGCGCTGGAACGGGCCGCCAGCAACCGCAGGAGCAGCCATGTGCCAGGCTCGGAGGGCGGCAACGGCAGCGTGAGCAACCTCGTGCAGAAGGACGAGCCAGATCCGCTTGGCTCCGCGAGCAGTGTGGTGCAGACGTTGAAGGCTATGGGCTACCGCCAGGTCCAGGACGACGCGCGCTACCGTAACCGATTCCTCCTGTCATCGACGAGCTTCTCGCCGGCTCTCTTTCTCTCTCATGTGCACGCCAATGCGGACACGCGGACATTACTCCAAGGTCTAGACTTCCTCTCCCAGTCCATCGACCAAAAGTCCGCATCTCTCAAAGTACTGGTAGAGTCCAACTTTGAGCGCTTCGTCAAGGCCAAGGCAACCATCGACAATGTCTACAAGGAGATGAAGTACCGAGGCGCGGAGTCCCAGCACCTGCACGCTCGACCGCACTCAAGACACGCGAGTCGTAGCAGCTGGCGGCAGAGCATGAATGGCCAGGGGCTGAACAACCCGTTGGCAGCCCCCATGAGCGACCGCCGGCAGAAGAACGCCCTCACAAAAGAGAGCGAGTATGGTGTCAGAGGTATCAAGGCTCCATTGCTGGATGTGTCAGCCAAGGCTGAGGATGTCTGGGGTCCCGCGCTGGGTGGTCGTGAGAAGGAAGAAAATCTAAAGACTGTTTCGGCGCAGCTCGACCGCTATAAAGAGTACATTGAACTCAGTCCGGCGATTGCAGACAGCATCAAGAGGAAGGACTACGAGACACTAGTAGAGGAGTACAACAGAGCGCGGAAGTTTGCCGACTCGGCACGCAGGTTAGCGGAAAGTCTCCAAGGTGACGCCCCAAAGGACGCGCACCTATACCAGATCCTGCTGGCGGGACGAATGTGGCACGACGTGAACTCTCAGATTCATACGTTCAAGAGGGACGTGTGGAAGCGGCTGACTTCACTCCATACACTGTCGAAAGCGGAGGCCGCGCCTGGGCGGGGCCAGGACCATCATCTGGAACTGATCAGCTTGCTGTTGGAGTTGGGCGTCAGCGACAACCCTGTCTGGGTGTGGCTGTTGAGTCGCTACGACTATCTCAAGGGTAAGATCCAGACAACGGTGGAGAGATCCACAGTCGAGATTGAGGTACTGCGACGGAGGCTGGCGAGCGCAGAGAAGCCAACGCCTCACGCGATTGCTGCGCACCTGCGATCGCTGGGCCGACAAGCTACTGAAGAGAAGCCCGCGTCCAGCGACTCGACAGACGTGATTGAACTGTGGGATAAGATGTTGGGATTCTTGTCGAGCCTACTGTCCACATCCGGCATCATCGGTGAGGTGGTCGAGTTCTGGAACACTGTCCAGGGGTTCATTGACGGCAAGGCCCAGAGGAACCTGCCAGCAGGCTATAACGGCGAGTCGCGAATACATCATCAGTTGTCGGACAAGGTCGTTGAGGACCTGAAAAAGGGCGTCATTGAGCTCGTGGAGACGATTCGCGATCATACCTATGAGTTCTTCACTGGACCCCCGCCGGAGGATATCTCGCTGCTCTACTCGCCGCTGCCCCCGACGCCTGGTTCGCCTTCGCCCAGCACGCCTGGCGCGAGCGCACTCACTCCGACTGGGTTGAGAGATCCTCGTTTCAACTTTGACGCCACCAATCCGCCTCCCCCATCGCCAAGAAGAGGCGAGAGCTGGGAAAAGCTTGCCTTCTGGCCACCGTGGTCCAATTCACTAAGCGGTGTCTACTACCTTTCCAAAGCACTGGCCCTGGTCGGGTCAGGGGCCTCTGACCTAGCAGGTCTCCAGCCGGTGGCTGTGGGCGATAGTCAAATCGTGGAACGGCTCAAGTCGCTCGTCGCAGCATCCCGCGAACGTTGTGTGACCGCGCTGTGCGCGGCGTGGAATCGAGATGCCGAGAACATCAAATATGTCGAAGACTGGCAGCGCTCAACCGAACTAGGCGACGTGACACGCATGCCCTCGAGCTTCTCCGCGTTTGAGGGGACGCTCCTCCTGGGCATGCAAAAGATTCTGTACATTTCCGAGGCCATGTCCAAATCAGGGGCCATGGACATTGTACCTCCCCCTCCGACCAAGTTGCTGCAAATGGTGCGCAGCCAGTACGTGTCGACCCTGTACAAGGCGCTGAGCGGTATGGTTGAGAACGCGGAGCGGTCCGTCAAGAAGGCGGACGATGCGTGGGCGGCAGAGAGCGAGTGGTCGACGGCCTCGCCTATTGCTGAAACGCTCCTCAGCAGGAGCACGCTCGACGCGGGCGATCGCGTAAGTCGAATTCCCCCAACCTGGTTGACGGTGTATGACTGACACTAACTTTTTGCGCAGAATATTCGCATGCTGTTGACCCTGAGTAACTTGCAAGCTCTCCGCTCCCAAGTCGTGCCTAGCCTCAACTCGCAATTCGAAAACGCCTTTTCTGTCAAACTGACGGACGAGTCCAAGACCATTCGGGACGTCCTCGGCCAGATTGACGCCCGTCTCTTCCAGTCCTACACGAAAAAGTCCATCGAACAGCTGCGTGTCATCATCTCTGCCGGTCTCAGCCGGGACGACTGGGTGCCTGCGGCAGGGACACGACCGACGGCCGCGAAGCCATACGTCTACGAGACCCTCTTGACGCTGGTGCTCGTCCACTCCCAGGTCTCCACGACAGCATCCTCCCTCACCCCGCAAGTCCTGTCCTTCCTTCTCGAGCAGACATCGTCCCAGCTGCTGGAGGCATTCCGCCGCCGACCGAAATATCCCCTCGAGGCTCTCATGCAAGCCACCCTCGACGTGGAGTTTGTCGCCCAGACACTGAGTCACTACACGACGGACCGCGCGTCGGAGCTGCAGGGTCAAATCTACCAGGAGCTCGACAGCCGCACGGACAATGACGCCCGGGCGCGACTGCAGAGTGAACTCCCGGAAATGAGGAGTGTCCTGAAGAAGTTGAGGGAGGCGAGCAAGAGTGAGTTTGCGTGCTTCAAGAAGCCGAAACGGCCAGGCCAGAATCCGAGCCGGACGAACAGTGGCTTGAGCGGCACGTCAGTGTAATGGTATATGAGTTAGGTTTAGGCAGCGGCTGAGCATTTGATGAGTTTCTCACGATAGAAAGCATGATGAGATATGAACAGGAGCTCACAATTGCCCGTGAGGCCCCAATGTAGCGCGTCAATTAATGTGCTGTGTACCAGTAGTCCCTTCAATCTATTTTCCACAAGGTTCTTCTGCCAATGCCCAGGCGCCGACGCCTCTATCAGGGTCATGCACCATACATCTGTAGATTTGTTGGTGAGGGTGACATCCTGATGTGTCTATTGCCATAAAACGCCACAAAGCCAGTTTCTCGCGTACATCATCAATAGCGTCGTGTGCCCATTTAATCGTTAAAAATGTCTCTTCTGGTGCTGGTATTCAATTAATGTTGGGTAGAAGGAGATGAGAGCAGAAGGTCAACTCCAAGGACCGTGAGTCGAGGGCGGAGAATTGGCTGTCGGTTTGACGAGATGCAACCGTATCATCTGTTACATGTTAGCAGGAAGAAAGGAACAGCTTGAAAAATGCGCTTACGATCGAGATCGAGTGTCTCAAAATAGCGGGCGATCTGAGGCTCCTCACTCATGGTGACGAGCTTGCCGTCGCTGCCACGGGCCGTTGCAGGTAGCGCTTTGCGGATCCCCAGCAGCATCCTCAGAAGACCAGCAAGAATGCTCCCTTGTTGCGTGAACGCGCTAGGATCCCGCTCCAGGGGCCATCCAGGTCTCAGGTGAGCCTGTTCCCAAGCCTTGAACGCCCAGGTTGACTTCTCGACGCAGTTGAGGAAGATCAGTGCGGTGAGGAACATCTTGAAGCCGACACGGTTTTTACTGTCCTGCAGCAGGCGATCCATAAAGCTCAGCAGACCCTTGGAAGTGTTGTTTGCTTTGCGCTCGGCCGCTGCATTGAGCTGCATGCAGATCATCGTGTACGTGTCTGCGTCGTTGTCGCTCTGAATCTCCTTGATGTACCGCGGCTCTTCGCCCTCGGCGCCCGGCTTCTCCAAAAAGGTCCAATGTCGCTCTCGGTCGATGATCTCGACCAGACCCCATAGCTCTATGGCCTTGCGCAACAGCTCGTCTTCCTCCATGTCCAGAACCCCTTGCGCCGTCTGCAGAGTGATGCGCATGAAGCGGGACGACTCATGCTCGATGAAGAGAGGCAGAGCGATACGCATGTACTTCTCAATATGATCCGGGAGATCCTCCATCTCCTGATCAATCATGATGACCTGGTGATGCGGTTCCCCATTTTCTTGATTAGCCTCTTGACCATCGGCGGACTGCAGCGCAGCGACCAAAGTTGGCACAGTAATGTCAATCCCAGTCTCGGGAGAGAAGTGGGACACCTGGATAGTTGTGCCGTTGTTGACGGGTTGAAGCTGGTCCTTCAAGAGATTGATACGATTCTGCGACAACACCACTTGGACGCCGGCAGAGTACAAGTCCAACTGTTCCTGCAAGCGAGTCCGGACGCACCCAGTGCGCCATACGCGTGGCGAAAGAACCTTGCGACATGTATCGCACGGGTCCCCTTTCCCACAGTTTTTGCGCAGTATGCGGCAGCGAATGCATGCCCCAATCTTCCGAATCTGCTGGACTTCCTTGCGTCGGGCTGGGGTGAACCGAGCTCTGGAGTTTTTCGGTCGCCCATTGACGAGAGCATCACTGGTATCCATCCTCGTGCCACCTCTGTGCATCGGCATTGGCGCGATGGATATCTCATTGAGCATCGACGCAGTAGGCGGAGTCGTCAAGTAGGTCATCTCGCCCCACGGCTGGTCCAGGCTCTCGCTCAAAGTCGTGGGAGGCAATGGTAGGTTTTCGGGGGCAGGGGTCGTGGAGATGAGCGTGGAGGGTGATGTCGGGGTAGTAGTCGGGGCAGAGGCAGCAGCGCTCGCCGCAGCTGCCGCCGCGACGGCTGTTGTTGAGTCTGGTTCTTGTTCTTGGAGTTGCGGGTCCAGGAATGGAGGATTAAGGCGAGCCGTCGCCGCAGCGGCCACCGAGAGATTGGATGCTTCGGGAGACGATGACCCCACGGGGAGCAGTGTTTGCAAGCGCTCCTCCGGAGTCATCTCAGTGGACTGTGCGGCGTCTGGAAGCGCAAAGGTGGGTGAGCTTTCGAACAAGTGACTGAAGCCATGGTCCGTCGAGCCCTTCTTGGCACGAGCGTCGTAGGCCGTCGGGGGGTTGTCCAAAGTGAATTGTTCCTCGAGCTCGAAGCGACCAGCCGCGAACTCGGCGCTGTTAGAGGGGTCCAAATTGTGGTTGGGCTGTGGTTCCCCGACTGGGTTCTCTTTAGGCACGCGGTTGTTCTCGTTAAGATCAACTTGTCGCGATGCCTCTGCGAGGGTCTCGAGAGCACTCCAGCCCTGCGGTAGATCCTTCTGCCCCTGCTGGCCAAGCTGCGCATTCCCGTGCCCATTGACGCTGTTCGCTGCATTGCGATTTGCCATGGCTCGAGCGTTCGAGATGCCATGCAGCTCGAGGCAGGCTCGCATACGGTCTGAGTCGGATATCGCGGGGCATCGTTTCGTGATGTGGGCCGTCAGATTATCGATCCTCCCCTTGGGAAAGTACTCGCCGCATTGTTTACACGTATGCGGATACCGGTTGCTGTTGTCGTTGAGCTTCGCTCCGCGCTCGAAGTATAGGGAGATGAGAGGGTTCGGCTTCCGACCCATTGCGCCTGATGGAGCGATGGGCGCGAGGCGCCAGAGCTGGACGCCTCGAGCCGGAAGCGCTCGGTGATATTGCGACGTGCAGAGACACGGAACCGGTCACGGTTGCGCCTTATCGTAGGACGGGATTCGATCAACAATTGATGTAGATTCTGGAGATTCTGCCGAGAATTCTCACACCGCCTGCAGCTAGAAGTCGGGAGGATGGTCGTGGCGGGGCCGGGGTGTGGGAGGGAAGGTCAGGGCTCGGGTAATAGTTTGACCGAAGCGCTCCTAGCTCTTGACTTGCAGGCCTACAGTAGCACGCGGGTGCCCCCATTCTCTGTCTAGCGCAATCCGGCATTGCTTCGTCGGTATCCGTAGATGCTTCAAAAAACGGAGACGAGCAGGCAGCGAACAGACTTCATTGCTGAAAGAGCACAGTCAACCGGATCTATCTTTTTTTTATAGATTAGGCAACCTGTCAAGAATAAGATCCGGCAAACACCGTGTGAGCGCTATCTGCTCCCGTGTAGGGTAACCAAAAAGGTCCGGCTGATAAGGGCTGTCGGCAGTTTAAGGTTATCCGCCGGGGCCAACGTGGGGCATCCCGAGCCAGACTTAGCCAGTCAGTGTGAGTCTTCGGTCCACGCGCAGCTGATATCCAACCTCACGCGCCAGGACACACTTCATCGCATGCTCTTTGCCAGATGTAACCTCGTTCGCACATCCAATTTACAATACGGCTATCGCACCACATAGACCACTTGTGCGGAGAAGGCCAGCAGCACCAAGTCGTCGGATGTGGAAGGTGCGCGCGCAAGCCATGAGTCCATGATCACGTTCCGATTCTTGGTCCGGCGTGTCCTTAGATACATGAAGACACTGTCACAACGAGGAGACCATGGGGTCTAGAAGGTCAGTTTCGTCTTTTCCGCGTGATTGCGGCGGCCGCCGTACGAGCCATGTCGCACTTCGCTCGGCGGCGGGAAACCCTCGATACACGTAGGCCGCAAAGCTCACATCGACCACCTGATAAATCCAGTGCCCGCCTAAACGTCATAAATGACTCTACAAGTCCCCAAGACCCGTCGTGTGATTTATTACAACCCCTCTACCTCGTCTTGCAGCGCAGTTTCCCCTCTCAACTTTTCTTGGCAGTCCCAGGGTGCGCAAGCATTGCCCTCCATGCTACAATGCTGGTGACCAGTCAACGCTAGACCAACTGACACGTTCTCGCTCGAGTTGAATCTCACTTGTCAGAAGAGAGCAGGTTCATCGAATGAGGATGCAGCCTGTGTGTTATGGAAATTTCGGCAGTGCTGTCCATCTGCTTGGTTGCTGAGACTGTCGCCTAGAGCTGCGCTGGATGTCGTACGCGTGGGTAAATACCGTTAAATACCATCCATAAGTATGGCCAATATCTGTGATTGTTCACTCAATGCATCCTTATCCATGAAATTGTCCTTACTTCTGAGAAGAGATGTGGACTCAGAAGATTTTGCTCCCGTTGGCCGTATACGCTGCAGCGTTTGTTGTTGGACAAGAGGACCGTGCTCAATATGCGTTGACAGATGTAAGATGCACATCCTTTAAACTTGATAAAAGGCTGACGATAACTCAGACAGGCTCGACAAATGGAGGCAACACTTTCCCCGGGGTTGCCCGGCCCCTGGGTATGGTCAAGCTGGGCCCTGACCTGTACACCGGCACAGACTCATACTCTGGTTACCAACCCACCGGCAACTTCACAGGCTTCACCATGCTTCATGAAAGTGGAAAAGGTGGCGCTGCCAAGTACGGTGTAGTCTCCCAGATGCCTGTTTATGAAACATTGACAACCCCTTGAGCGACGCTATGAACGACACTAGAGCGTCTGCTGACATATGTGAACTTGGATACTACAAGGCTTCCTTGGGCTCAGGCACAGTCCTCGAAATGAGCGCCGGAAAAAAAGCTGGACTGTACTAGTACACTTTTCCGCAGTCGAACCAAACCAAGAATGTCCTAGTGGACGTCTCGCATGTGCTGGCGTCCTACCGCGGGCAAGGGCTCGAGCAACATTTTCTGGGTGGCAACATCAGTGTTGAGCGAGAAGAAGACTCGGCCAGATTCTTCTATACAGGCTTCGGCACGTATGATAATGTATGGGCACCACGCAGCCGTTATACCATCCGTGACACTAACATACCCAGGGCTGGAACCGGGCCGGGCCGTGGACTGTCTACTTCTGCGGACGATTCAACCAACCATCCACTTACAAGACGTTCCTCGGTGCCGATTTTGTAACCGATGATCTTGTCGAGTTTGGTGAGGAGCCCAGCTATGAGTCCAAGACAGCCAGACTTGGAGCTGTTTTCTCCTTCACAGAATATTCTCTCGTCTCGAGAGTTGGCGTCTCGCTCATGTCGACTGATCAAGCTTGTTCCAACATCGAGGACGAAATTACAGATGACATGACTCTTGAAGACGCGAGAGATGCTACCCGTGCTGCGTGGAACACGGAAGTCTTCAGCAAAGTCAGCACAAGCGAGACCAATGTCACCAAACTCAAACAACTGTACACGGCGATGTACTTCATGCACCTGCTGCCTACGAACAAGACAGGAGAAAATACTCTCCGGGAATCAGACGAGCCCTACTATGATGACATCTTCACCTTTTGGGACATTGTGGGCATCACAGTAGCTTCACTTTCGGTGTGAAAAGACTAACATGCGCAGTACCGATCCCTGACCCCTCTACTTCACATTCTTCAGCCGGAATACTATGAAGAGCTCATCCGATCCATGGTCGATGTCTGGCGCCACGACGGTTGGGTCTCCGACGCTAGGTCTTCCTTGCACAACGGAGCGGTCCAGGGAGGCACGAATGGCGACATTGTGTTTGCTGACGCCTATGTAAAAGGGGTCAGGGGCAAGGTGAACTGGGAAGATGCATTCTCAGCCATGGTTAAGAACGCCGAGGTTGTCCCTGAGAACAACAACGACCCGCGCGATCCCACCGGCTCGACAAAGGAGGGGAGGAGTGCATTGCGAGACTGGCTAGACCTAGGCTTCATCACCCCACGGTTTGGGCGCTCCGTCAGTAGAGCTGTCGAGTAGTAGGTTGTTCTCTCTCGTGGTATAGAGGCGCTGCTTATGCATCTAGCTCGGTCAATGACTTCTCCCTCGCCACAGTTGCTCTCGGCCTCGGTCGACTTGGCCAGTTTCAAACTTACTACAAGCGCTCGCACAACTGGCGCAACCATTGGAACAAAGATATGAGCGCCTTGAATTTCACTGGGTTTCTTGGTCCGCGTGATAGAGACGGTTTCATCGCCCAAGATCCTCTTTCTTGCGGCGGCTGCTATTGGCAGGACTTCTACTACCAGGCCCTTCCCTGGGAGTACTCGTTCAATGCCCACCACGATATCGAAACCATGGTAGAGTTGATCGGTGGCGCGGAGCAATTTGTCGACCGCTTGGAGATGACCTTTACGCCCGGCGTCTCAAGCGGCAATGCGCAGTTTGGCCACACCTTGTTCAACCCCGGCAATGAGCCCAGCTTCCAGACACCATATCTGTATAGCTACGTCAATCGCCAAGATCTCACCGTGCAGCGTAGCCGATTCGTGGCCAAGTCATACTTCCGTCCGACGCCCAATGGCCTCCCCGGTAACAGCGACGCAGGCGCCATGGAGTCATGGCTGCTCTGGAACATGATCGGTCTGTACCCTATGACCGGCCAACCCATCTTCTTCATTGGATCGCCGTGGTTTTCTGACCTGACTATTGACCTGGGCGCTGGCGAGAAGCTCGAGATCACTGCAGAGGGCGTTGGTGAGACGACGTTCTATGTCCAGAGTCTCAAAGTGAATGGCGAGCAGTGGGACAAGACCTGGGTGAGCTGGGACGACATATTCGCCCAAGGCGGAAAGCTGGAATTCGTCCTGGGCAAGGAGCAGACCGAATGGGCAACGGGCGATCGTCAGCCCAGTCCAGGCAGCCACTCAGTTGGCGAGGCCAAGAAGCTGATATCAAGGTATCTGCCTGAAGAGTAGAATATTCGACAAATAGTTGTGGCTGCGATTGTGGGACATTGATGTGCGACCAAGCTTTGCAAAACAGTTAGTCAGAGATCATAGTCTGGACGCATTTGTCAAAGTGCCTGTTCAAAATTCGTGCCATTGAAACTCCACGCTATGCTTCAACCAAATTATGCATGAGAAGCCTCAGAAAGCCAATGGGTATCGGTAAATCTACATCTCAACAAGCCCCCTCACTTGGATGTCTCATCTGTAGCCCAGTGATTCTGGAATTCCTCTGTATCCGGAGCTTGGTATGCTGATAGATAGTCGTGTCGGCTGCCGGCCTCATGGTTGCGATCGCGTGGCTCATCGGACCAAGGTTCTTCTATTCCTGGACTCTGATCATGACCGGGACTGGGTGAATTCTCCAAAGTCTCCGCCACCTGCTGCTTGGGCGGGGAAGCCTCTATGATGGTTGTCTGCAACGCAGCTGCCTGGTTAGGCGGTGGAGGGCCCGCCTCCAGATCAAGCTTTGAAACATCGGGTGCCGGATGGTGATGGACGGCCTTTTTCCCCTTCTTCTTCTTCTTGACTGGAACGACCGCATCGGGACCTGAAGGGCGGTGCGTGCTTTGCGACGTCGTTGAACGGCTTCCTGCTGATGGTCTAGTGGCCCGTGGCTGAGGCGACGGATATTTGGGTGACCGCACACCGAAATTTCCCGCTGAGGAGAGGTATCGCTCTCTCAAAGGCTCGTTCGCCGTAATGACAGGGTACTGTCCAGGTTAGTTGCGTTTCAACCTCACCCATTCGTGATACTTACATTCCAATCACCATACTCCAGATCTCTCGCTGCCTCGAAGAGCCCATCATCCTCGGCGTCCAATTCGGGCTCGTCGAAACCAGCGTGTGCATTCTCATTGATCTGATCGGGTCGGTCTCGGCTGGAGCCCGCAGCCGCGCTGTTGGTCCCCGATCCGAGCAGTGGAGTCGTCGAGTTCACCTCGCCGGGCTTGGGAATCCAATATTTCCCTTTGCCACCTCTCTCATACCGCATGCCCTCGCGAAGTCGCGCAAGACGGGATTTCGAGTCCTCGTGGGCCATAACCTTGTCACCCGAATCGAACACTCTGTAGCCATAGTTGTCGCCCCTGAAGGTCTCCTTCGAGTCCTCGACAAGGTCACGAACACCAAATGCATCCCGGAAGGCGTAACTGATTGGCATCCTTGCGGATGAGATATTGTTGTCGGCAAAGTCGTGCCAGGAAAATGCGTACCAATGCGCAGCAGCAAAAATGGGCATCTCAATGCAAATGAGCGCATCTTGTATGGCGGCAGCTAGATTGTCAGGCGTGTACTCGGGTACATCATCCGGGATAGCCCCGAGGAAGACCAAAATAGAGAGCAGAAACCCCTGCCAGTATGAGGCAAAGATAATGAGCTTGATGCACAAGAACTTTGGTACAGGGCGGAACGGCTGGAGATCATGATGCATGCATACCCAGAACAGCCCCAAGCCGTACAAACTCAGAGTGACGCTGATGTTGTAGATAATGCCACTCCAGAGATAGCCAGAATCGATACCAATGTAACCCTCCTTGTAGGTGCCCGTCGCTTTCATGATTATGGCCGAGACCGCTAGGATCGGTTTCAACCAAGCGTATTGCAGAATAGCTCGCTTGATGGACAGGAAAGTGTGTGGATCGGAGATGTCGACCTTGGGCAACACGTGGTTGAGGGGCCAGAGGTGCTGTACTGGCGCGCGCCCGTGGGTCATGATGATGAGAGATCGCTCGCCGCCCAGGTAGTTGATAAGGAGCTGGAAGAAAGTATAGATGGTGAAAGCTTCGTAGATGTCGCGGACCGGGTCGAGGAAGGAGGCAGCGTTCAGAGACACCATGCTCGTCCAGGATGCAATGGAGTAGATTGGTACCATGAGTAGGATTCGGACGACATATCGCTGCAGCAGAGGTTTTCGATAGTTCTTTGCCTGGAAAATGATCGACCTGTTCCAGTCAGTCCATCACATTATCTACAAGAGTCTGCCAAGCAAGGACTTACACGACCGAAGTCAACGTAGCAGCCAGAGAAGCGACGCCTGCGACGACGGTGATCACATTGGCAAACTTGTTGCCTGTGCCCCCAGCCATGATGATGGCGTCAAATGGATCCAGGTTGCGAACCGGCACGCGACAACGTGTCGTGATGACGGGAGGATTCGCGCAGAGATCGGGGTCACGTTCAAGCTTGAGAATTGGGGTTCAGTCGGAAATCAGGTGTCCTAGCGGGCAACATCCCTATCAGGAGTGGTGCCAATATCGAGCAGCAATTGCAGCCTATAAGCGTTAAAATGCCGAACAAAGAATATCTATATATATACAGAGCCAATAAGAGATTCGTACTTTTACACAGGCGCACATCTATAGCGCTAAGCCATAGGCGGCTAGATTTTACCCACCAGCGCTAGCGACTTTGTCGAGTGAGTACAAGTACGATAGCTTGCAGCAGGAAGGAGCTATCGCCACGCGCTAACACGCAAGTTACCTTCCGTAGGTGCCTAGCTTACTACCAAGTATAGGCAACTGCGCCACCTGGTCGCGAACCCGGTGTGGCTTGACAACCGACGACATCGCGCTTCCAAGGACTGGACGCGGCTTCCCAAGTCGATGCGCCAACGACATTTACATAAATCCAACAACGATTTGCTCGGAAACAATAGCTGTCACCATTGCACTGGATGCGTAATGAGGACGACTCATCTGTTTGAGAGTCCGCCGAGCCGGTGAGCAGCTGCTGTGCATCTCATGGACACGTCCGCGAGCTTGGGGAATGATGGCCAGCTCTTCCCCCCAGCAGCTTTACGCAGCCTGGCAAATGCCACAGTCGACCTCGCAGCTCGAGACCACGAAAAGAGCCCCGATTTCAACTAGTAAGCCTCCAGCAAGCGACTCATCCATTGCAGGCGTGCTGACAGCATGTGTAGCAGGTTTCTGATCTTCCTCATCTTGACCTTTGTGCTATTCACCTTCTTCGTCCTCTACTTCAACCGGCTCTTCGCTTCGATCGTATCCTACGGCATCCGGACATGGACATGGCACAAACATCGAGTCTACCTCGACATCAGCGCTCTGCAAATATCTTTGCTGGGAGGGCGCATATTCTTCACAGGCTTGCGCTACCATGGTTCCAACGAGACGTTCCTGATACAACATGGCTATGTCACCTGGCGATACTGGCTACGGAGGGTTCGCGAAGTCGACATCATCGCTGATAATCCGGCCGAAGGAGCTGCGCCGGGGAAGGAGAAGAATGCAAAGCTTCCATGCCGCGTGACGGTCAACTTGATTGGTGTCGAGTGGTTCGTCTACAATCGTAGCCCGCAATATGACTCCATCCTAGCTGGCCTAAATCGGAACCATTCTCAAAATGCTCAATCCACAGCCACCGCGGACACAGACGAGAAAGAGAGCCTACGCGAACGCAGGACCGGCCACTCAGCAGCTGATGGTGAAGATGGAAACAGGCGCTCCGACCCAGCTAGAGCGCCTGAGGCTGAGAAAGGGGCTCCATCCGACTCATCTTCACCAACGGATCGAAGAACGAGCATTGCGTCTGATAGTCCCAGCGGACACGGTGATCGTATCCAGAAACGATCGGACCTGCCGTTCTTGGTACAATTCTTCCCGATCCACGTTGAATGTGACAGAGCTGCGGTCGTCATTGGCAATGAGAATACCAAGGGCATTCTTACGGCCAAAGCCAAGACTATCTCTGCCGTTGTGGACGCGTCCCGCACGGACACTGTAGACCCCTATCGGCAGGTTTTCAAGATCGATTTTCAGCAACCGGTGGTACAGATCAAAGAGAACGAAGACTACAAGAGCGATCAACCGGCGCGAGCAACTGGAAATACAGGCGTGACCAAAGTAGCCACGAAGGCTAACAGATTTCGTCGTTGGTGGCGAAAGACTCTGGCGCCTCTCCGCCGAATGGTCCCTCGTTGGGCAAGATCAGCCCGGCCTAATCCCTTGGAATCAGATGCTGCATTAGCAGTCGACCCCAGGATACCTGGGTCTGACCAGTGGCAGGGGCTATCACGCTATCTCAACGACCAAGATCAAGATGACAAAGAAAGGTGGTCCTCGGTTGAGTATGCCGCCGAATCCACAGTCCTTGACAGCCCAGCTGCAACGCTTGTTGTTTACTGGGATATTGTGAGTAAAGTGACTGCGCATGCCCGACAACGCCGAAGCACGGACATCCATATCGACATCAACGGAACAACTGCACCCGCGTGGGGCATGGACTTGGCCATCAAGGGTGGTCAAGTTAGCTATGGTCCGTGGACAGATCGTCGGCGCGCTGATTTGCAGAGAGTCTTCTTTCCAACCCTGTGCAAAGATGCGATACCGGCGGAACCACTTGCTGTCGGGGCGTGGCGGGTGCCGACCAAGTTCAATCTGCGCATTGAACTGGAGGAGACTGTCTCTGTCAGAGTGCCGTTCCGCGAGCAGTCGAAGAATTGGCGTTGGCGTGGGAAAGAAACCCAGCTCAAGCTCCAGAATGTGCATACAGGGAAAAAGCGAGGCAATCGTGCAAAGAAAGAAGCGAAAGGCGAAGCTTCACAGCAACGCCCGGCAGCCTGGCTCGAATTCAAAGTATCGCCGGATTCCTCTGTGGCATACCACATGGATATGCTGGCATCTGCGTCTGGATATCAAAGCGGTCTCACAGTAGACCTAACCGGTTCAGAGCTTCGCAGTGCGGTGAATCAGAATATCCTGTGGCGCGGCGGATCCCATCGCATCGAATGCGACCTCTCCACTCCGCTATCGTGGAATTCTCTGCGGCTCTGGAGCTTCAAGGTAGAACTTGATGACCTCGAGCTCTTCCTACTCAGAGACCACATCTTCTTGTTGATCGATCTTATCGACGACTGGTCGACCGGGCCACCGCCCGACTACCTCGTGTTTACACCGTTCCAATACTGCCTAGATCTGAGGCTCCAACGACTTAAACTATACCTAAACGTCAATGAAGGAAACATTATCGACAAGCCGACCTCTCTGGATGACAACGCATATCTGATCCTGTCGACACCCCTTTTGGCTGCCAAGACTAGCATTCCCTTGGACAAGTATCGCCCCGAGCAGAACGCGATACCTTTCGATGTTCGCAGTGACACTCTGGATCTGCTGTTCCACTCCCCCCAGTGGACCACCCAGGCAGCTTTCACTAAGTGCGGTGAACTCGGACGAGTGCATGGGTTGACTGCGAACGGTACATATCACTATAATGCCACGACATCACCCGCAAACACGGACACTTTAGTCTTGAACATTCATGGGAATTCTCCGTATGCGTATCTCCATGGATTTGTCATTCGGTATTTCCTATTGCTGAAAGATAATTATTTTGGAGAACATAATCATTTTCGCACACTCGACGAGTATCAAGAACAACTGCAACCGACAGAGAAGACCCTGGGTCTCCAGACACCTCCTGGTCCTCCTAACAAAAAGTCCAACGATCTGGACGTCATCCTGAACATCAAGACAGATGACCCACGAATTATGCTGCCGACGAACCTCTATTCGTCATCCCAATACGTTCAAGCTGAGCTATCGACTTTGTCCGTTGATCTTCGATTCACAAACTACTACATGGACATGGAGCTTGACATCAGTCCTTTGAACCTTTCATTAACTGGCATGTCATCCGATCCGGAGTCACCAGAAATGGAATCACCAAATACACAGCTGTTTGTTGACGGCATTCGAGTGTTTGGCCATCGACTCTTTGGCCTCCCACCCACGGAACCTACATACCTCTGCAACTGGGATGTTTCCGCAGGAGCGGTATCAGGCGAGTGCACCGCCGAGTTTCTGGCAGCTTTGGCACGTGGTGGTACTGCATTTGCCTTCACGTTCGATGATGTGGAAAATGCTCTGGTTCCCTACTCCTCTTTGGTGTTCGACGATGTGACGTTTGCTAGAGTCGATGTGGAATCAGTGCACCTGTGGCTACATGTGGACGAGGCGGCCATCCTTCTATCGACAGACAGGGTCACTGTCAACTCTAACGACTGGGCGAATTCGCATTACTCCAAGCGAGCTGACATTGACATCCCCAACATACAAGTGTCTTGTGTCGACTCGGAGTCTGCAGCGCGGCATAAGGCAAGGCCGGATCATCCGGTAGACACCATTGCGTATCTGCAAACTAATGTACGCATGGCCTCCATCGGAAGAAAGCTGCACTTTTCTGAGAAGCGCAGCCTGCAACAAGAGCTTGTGCGGCGCGAGGACCAAAGGACTACCCGCACACCGTTTCTCCTGAAACCTGATTACTTGGATGAGTTCTTGCCTGACCCCATAGAACCTCCCGCACAATGCGCCCCAGCTCCACCTCATCCCCTTCATGAGGCCGGGGGTGACGGCCTTTCATTGCACAGTATCTCATCATCGTCGCGAAATTCGCAACGCTTGAGTCGGAAAAGCTCCTTTCTATCCCTGCCCGGGTCTACTGCTAGCAGCTTACGCCGCTCGCACGATCATCGCGGACGTGATGCCAGGACCAAGGCCGGACATGGAGCTTTCCACCGTCCGTCCGCTCACATGGATCGTGCCCTATCTGGAGCCACCGATGACGATCATGGCCACAGCGCCTTTCATCAGCACTCTTCCGTGGCCTTTGCGAGCCAGTACTATGCCCCGTACTTCACCTTGGCAGGCGTTCAGCCGGATGCTTCTGAAGTACCGCTGCCAGCCCAGCACACCGAGCCGCCGGCAGGCGTCAACGACTTCCTTTCCGGTCGTGGTCAAGATCTGCACGACATTGACGCGAGCCAATTTGATGAAGAGCATGCATACACAAGTCTTATGGTTGAGTTTACAACGGCAGTGACTGCCTTCATCAGCCCAGCTGCTATCAAGCATGGCCTGTCGCTTGCCAGCGCACTGCAGCCCACTGAGCCTGATGATATTTTAGATACCTTGCAAACGAGCTCTGTGGGCAAAATTTTCGACGGCAAGAAAGACAAGGAAGCCCGCGGCTCAGTCAATGATCTCCTTGTGAAGCTGCCCCATGCAAGCGTTCGCATTCTGAATTCCTCGACTTTTGGGCTCTCGCAGGAGGTAGAGTCAGAGGAGCGCGACCAGTATGATGTATCAATCACTGAACTCGGTCTGGTTACTCGCACAACTTCCCACCGGGGGGTTGCGGTCGACTCGCTGCAGATGGGTTCCAAAACTTCCCTCCATCTCCGCCTAGGATCTGTTGAGTTGTCAGCTTCCGAGAGATCATCGACACTGGAGGAACCTCAAGCTGCTGTGATGGTTCAAATAGACCAGGTTGTGGTCTCTGTGGGAGCACGCGAGATTACATACTTCGATGCTGATGTTGGCTCAATTGTAGGCAGCACTGCATCGGGAGAAGTGGAATACCTCGCATCTTTGCTACATAGGACTGCGAGCCTCGCAAACGAGCTTGAGGCAATGGTGAAGGCCACTACTCGACATTACAATGACCGGCTGCAATACTTTACATACCGACTGCTGGAAGAGGGACACTCGACACCCGATCCTTCTTTTCTGATACGACCTTCGGCGGTTTTGCGATCCGCAGAGAGTCATCTGCGCACACTCGATTCGTGGAAATTGGTCATGAGACTTCGCCAGATCTGGACCGTAATGACACCTGAAAGCCAACATCAATTCCTCCAGGACAGTGCAACTCCGACTTGGACAGTGCCTCCCGATGCTGCAGAGCTCGTCATAGCTGCGTTTCAGCGCTGGCGGAGTTGGGATCTTGATAACATCAGCAATGCTGTAGTTCTGCGCAAGATCTTTCCAACCCTCAACGAGACTCAACCCCTCGGAGGGGATGGGCTGCCCGTTCTCGGCGCCTGCCGACTTGGCGACATGCACTTTGTGCTCGACCCAGGGCCCAAAGAAAACAAAGTGGGCATTGTCGATGTTTCGGTCAGAGTTCAGAAGAAGATGAAGAGTGACGCGGCAATGCTTCCCGAAACCAACACGCAAAACGCTCCCCTTACAGCGATCAACATCTGCTGCAACGAAGGTGCAATTCACTTCAACTGGGAAATCTGCGAGCTTATTGAGGATGTGCTCCGACTTTACAACCAGAGCCAAGAGCGCGGCAAGGCCGTTGCAAAGTCAGCTCGAAAGCGCCACCGATCTGATCAGTCAGCAGCCAGAACGCCGGCCTTTCATGTGGTGGCGGAAGTCATACAAGGCTCAATTGAGGTAGAGACGGTCAACCTGCGGTCAACGACTGTTACCGAGTCCTTCAAAGTTTCAGCCCTAATGTATGGGGTTGACAATGGAGCACGGTCCCAGAATGTTATCACACATTGCGCCTCAGTCACATCGAGCTTGGAAAGTCACGCGCTATTGCTCAGCGTCTTTCAACTGCGCGACCCCAGCATCTTCGCTTCGCTGGAGCATGAAGAATCCGACGAAGCCTCTACGCAGATCGTCAAGTCTACGGCCAGCAGTAGCAGTCTGAAGTACGTTGTGAAGCAGGACCCCACGACGCTTCTTGAGATCCTTGACCGTCTACTCAAAGATGAGGCTACGCAAATCAACCAGCTGCTGAGGCAAGTAGCTGAGCATCGACAGCCGCAGCCCAAGCATAAAAAAGACACGAACGTGAGACAGCGCCTTTCCACCTTCAGGTTCAACGTTGCTCTGTTCTTGAAGCGTTATATCATCAGCGTGCCTCTGTTACAGACTTTGACGTACAAAATTACCGGCAACGTTGCCAGAACTTCATGTGCAGCCAATTTCGGAAGAGAGATTCTCTTCGACTTTGACGTCAAGGAAAATTCGCATGAGATGCATATCGACGTGCGCGACGAGCCTCGCCGCATATCTCTGATGCAGATCCCCCCAACAAATGGACGCATCAGAAGTCAGTTTGGTCAATCCGAGCATGTGCTTACTGTGTTGTCTTCAGTCGAACTCATGCAGCTGGATGCGTCGGCAGTCTATAGCCTACTCGGTGCACTCAATCGGCCACAAATATCGAGCACCATTGAAGAGATCCAGGAGCAGGTCAAGGTCGTGCAAAGACATTTTGGGGACGTCTTTAGACCTGATAACGAAACACCCCCCGACTCGACAACCAATAAGCCAGACGTCGGTGACAGTGGGAAGCAAAGGCTGATATACGATGTGCATCTGACATTCGCTGGATTGCAGGTGTCGGCCATAACGCCATTAGGCTCGTATCCTAAACCTGTGTCTCAAGTCTTGTTCTCTCTGGACAAGTTGCAATTGCAAGCAGCAAACCGCCTCGACCCACAAGCTCCTATCATGAAGTATCCTGAGGTTCATTTCAATTTGAAGCAAATCGGATTCGACATACGCAAGGGCCAGCGGAATGCTATGAGATCTTGCGGTCGGATAGGGGCTGGTGTCACCATGTCTGCCGGCGCCAAGGAAGGAAGCGACGGCAAGGAAGACTGGGCATTTGATTTCCGAAGCCCTGATCTTGATGTCAATCTCTCCCCCGAAATGATATCGACAAGTCTGGCAGTCCTCGCGTACCTCCGCGACAGGATCAAGGATCTGGACACTTCACGAGAACTGGACTACTTACGGAAGCTGCGAGAGTCGAAGCCGAGGATTACAACCAATGACAGCTCCCTTGAAGACGAAGACGAAGACATTATTGACTCGGTCTTGTCGAGACTGGTCTATCAATTTGAGCTGCAGAATATCAGAGCCTCGTGGAACGTCGAAACAGACAGCGATACCCACTCAGTCAACAAAGAGGACCTAGTGCTGTCCATCAAACTCATCCAATTCGGTACGAGGACCAAAAGATCTGCCCGTCTCACCATAGACAGCCTACAGCTGCAGACGGTACCCCAAGGCCAGGACAAAACCCTGCGGTCCCTTCACTCGGCATTACTACCAGAAGTGATCTTTAATGTAGCATACATTTCTACCCCCAATGCCCGGCGAATGGCCTTCCAAGCAGTCGGCCAGTCATTGGATCTTCGGCTGACATCGGCTTTCATTGTGCCGGCGGCCAACCTGATGGATTCGATCTCCAAATCAATCAACCATGTTCAGGATGCATCTGCTGGTTGGGGCTCGTCGCTCGGTCCGGAAAAGACACCCAAGAAGGATGATCACGATGCGCAGAGTCAGACTCCCGTCAACGGTCCTCGTGCGCCTGATCGACCTTGGAACCTATTTGGCAAGAAACGACTGGAGAGCATGCTCATCGATGCTGATTTTGCTGGTGCTGTGGTGCACGTGTCAAGCAAACGCAACTTCAGCAATGCCGCCAGAGTTTCCAAACTCAACCGCCCATCGCTCGCAGGCAAGTATGGGCAGTTCAACGCCGATGACTCGGGCAGTGGCGCCGTCTTACGCAGTCCCGGTTTGGCCTGGAAGCTTGAATTTTCCGACAATGGTCACGATGACCCAACGGTTTCTGGGGAAATTAAGATCGATGCATCAAGCAACATATTGTATCCTTCTGTGGTACCTCTCGTTTTGGACATTGTGTCAAGCGTACAAGAAGTAGTCGGGAGGGATAAAACCACTGCGAAGAAGCCAGATCCACCACCGCCATCTCTCCAGCCGCAACAGTCGAATGCCGAAGACACTATCCTGACGGCGGATCCAAGCGCTGTGCTTGGACGCACGAAGCTCAACTTGGGTCTTCGCATTTGCAAGCAAGAGTTCTCACTGAGTTGCCAGCCCATTGCCCGCGTGGCAGCGACGACTTGCTTCGAAAGCATCTACTTTACAGCAAACACTGTCACGTCTACTGACCACGGCAACTTCTTCGCTATATCGGGCACGTTTGACAGACTGAAGGCCTCAGTACAACATGTCTATTCCCGGGAATCGACAGGCAGCGTTGAGATCCAAAGCACTACGCTGTCTCTCATGAACAGCAAACACGTCAGTGGTACGAGTGGTGTATCCGCCATTCTTAATTTCAGTCCGATGAAGGTGACGATCAACGCCAAGCAAGTGCAAGACTTCTTACTGTTCCGCGAAATCTGGTACCCGGCCGAGCTCCGTGGCAGGAACACTGCTCCGGTGGCCAAGCTGACGACCGAGAATTCGCAAGGCCATCTCATGCAGCGCTATCAGCAAGTCGCCGCGACTGCTGCCTTCCCCTGGACAGCAACAATTTCCATTGCTGCACTGGATGTGGCTGTTGACTTAGGACAGGCCATTGGCAAATCCGTGTTCTGCATTGCCGACTTTTGGATATCGTCGAAAAAGACATCAGATTGGGAACAGAACCTCTGCCTCGGCTTCCAAAGGATCAGTATTGATTGCTCGGGGCGCCTCAGCGGTTTCATTGCCCTGCAAGACTTCAAGCTGCGCACGTCTATACAATGGCCTAAGCGAGAGCAGGCGCTCAACGAGACGCCACTGGTCCAAGCATCCATTGGCTTCAACGCTCTGCGCATCAAGGCCGCCTTTGACTACCAAGCCTTCCTCGTTGCGGACATAACGAGGCTGGAGCTTCTCATGTACAATGTCCGTGAGGATACGCCTGGACGTGGTGATCGTCTAGTGGCCATTTTCGACGGCGAGGCGGTGCAGATGTTTGGGACGACCACGTCCACTGCACAAGCAGTCGCGCTCTACCAAGCTATCAAGAAGCTCATTCAAGAAAGACAGGACAACTTCCAATCGTCTCTTAGAGAGATTGAGAAATTCATGAAGCGCAAGTCAAGTACCACCGCTCGCTACAGCTCGCAACCCTCGGATCCTCTGAAATCACCAGGGGAGGAGCGTCTAGCCAAGGCCCCCATCTCACTCGATACGGATGTGGTGGTCACTCTGAAGGCGCTGAACCTCGGCGTGTTTCCGAGCACCTTCTCGGATCATCAGGTTTTCAAAATCGAGGCGCTGAATGCTTATGCGCGGTTTGCTGCTAGCTTGGAGGCCGGACGAGTGCACAGCATTTTGAAGCTGACTCTGGGCCAGCTTCGCATAGGGCTGGCGGGAGTCAGGAACGGTGAGGCGCCCAGGGCGCTCAGCGAGATCTCTGTGGACGACGTGGTGCAGCGTGCCACTGGCTCGCGAGGCGGCACCATATTGAAGGTTCCGCAGGTGTCGGCCGTCATGGAAACGTGGCAGACACCTGAAAGCAACCTGATCCACTACATCTTCAAGAGTGCCTTTGAGGGCAAGGTAGAAGTGGGTTGGAACTACTCGCGCATCAGCTTCATACGAGGCATGTGGGCGAATCACTCGAGGTCCGTGGAAACGACATGGGGCAAGGAACTGTTGCCCATGGCGACCGTCAAAATCACCGGTGTGCCGGAGGGTGAAGGGGAGCACAAGGAGGGAGAGCAGCAGAAGATCACGGCCGAGGTCAACGTGCCTCAGTCCAAGTATACCTACGTGGCCCTCGAGCCGCCTGTCATTGAAACGCCGCAGCTTCGAGACATGGGAGAGGCCACGCCACCGTTGGAGTGGATTGGACTGCACCGGGAGAGGCTGCCGAATTTGACGCATCAGATTGTAATAGTCTCCTTGCTGGAACTGGCTGGCGAGGTGGATGATGCCTACTCAAGCATTCTGGGAGCGTCTTGAGCTTTGGGGGCGTCTGGTGGAGGGAATGGCGTTTGGTGTTTGAAGAGAATCTACCTAATCGAATATCTTTATTTTCTTTGCTCTCAGGAACCCTCGAGCTCTGGCGTTGAGGTTTGGGTTCCTTGATTCGAGGTGTTTGTTGTGCGGGCTACAATCATCGCCCGGGCCATCACTGGCAAGCTTTGATAGTCAACATGCTTTGGTGATCGTGAACGAGGTGCAAAGTGGGACGATGTGCAACAGGTGTCGTGGCAGGCTTCATTGATGGGCCACACCCGTTTGGTTGCCAAGGTTGCGCGTCACTTGTCCATTCTGTGGGACGGATCATGATTACGTGCTGTCATACTTCAGAGACCTACTCAATAACCTTTAGACCACCACACGCGTCACAAATAGATTGCACGTCTCATCAACAGATGATTGTGAGCTAGAAGGAGGTATCGATTGCCCGGTACAGGGTAAGGATATGGCCCTGACTTGAGGTCGTGGTGTGGATGACATAGTCACATAGTACTCCGTAGACGCGCTTTTGACATGTGATTGTGGCGGGTCCCGTGTTCATGCATAATTAGGGTCATATGCACTAATCAAGATGTATCTCAAGCGCGTGAGCATACCCCGATAGTGATTGAGACCCCGCTTTAGGCAAGGTCCGCGCACGTAGGCTTGGCAATTTACAAGTACCCCAGGAAGGAGCATTGCCAGGTACAGTAAGTCGTAGGTCATTGGTCCCAGCTGGCAACCACCATGGACACCCACGAATGGTGGGATTCTGCAAAAGCAACATCTTCCTCCAGCTAAGACAGCACCCGAACGACCGACCGGACGAGCCTCGACGACCCGTGTTTGCAGTATTTGTATACTCACTAGTCCATAAACGCACGCGCAGATACGTCCAAATGACCAGCATCGCGCGGAACTAGCCCAGGCGCAAGTTGCAACCTTGATCGAACCCATCCATAACCTTGCATCCCGCACGCGACAAGCAGTATTCCGACAGCACTCTGCCCTTGAACAAAGTGACCCGTTCCCACGACAAACCCGGCGTCTTGATAGCTAGCTGGATAAATCTGGGCTCAGACATACTCCTGTAAGAATCGTCACCAGCGCAGTGGAAGGCTGGCTGGCTGGTTCGTGGCCAAGTGGCTTGCTGTTACGTTGACCCGCACCCACCTCGGCCCATTGTCGATCGTCAGGTACCCGGCGCATGAACCCTCGATCAATACTCCGAGGTGAGCAACATCTCCTGGAACGAAGTCCATGAAACAGCATTGGCCAAAAAAAAAAAGCCCTGTGCTAACATTGCTAGTATCAAGAGGCAAGACACACGGCGACTCCAGCAGTACTACCACGACCATCCGAGCGGACCACTGTCATCCCCACAACGTCACACCTCGTCACAACCCGGCCAACAGCTACCGTACTGTTGACAGTACTGCGTCGGCTTGGACGTCGCAAGGGCTGCACGGGCGCACAGACATACTTTATCGGCAACCCTCATTATATACTTGTTGGATCCTGGGGCCCTCAACTTCGAATCCGCACGAGCCGGCCGAAGTGTCAGCAGTCGATCCAACAAGTCCCGAGCTCCAAATTCCTCATCATCCAAGTCCGACTGAATGGCTGGGCGACGCAAAGACATCTCCTGTTAGCTTCGAGACGAACGAACCGGATCCATGCTTGCTGTACAGCGCGGTCCGAACATGGCTTTCAATAAATCGCCAACGGACTCGGATCCGTTCTTACCTTTTGGGTGTAAGTGGATTGGCAGACGTTACACCGACGGAGCACTTTGAAGGCTGACACTGCCCAACAGATGCGATAGGCGAAGATTCCCAGCCGCCCTCGGATCCTCCGCCCGAACCACCCAGCGGCATGCCCTTGTTGACAGAAGATGATTCCAACCTGCTCAACTCTTTCTTTAGCGCTATGACGAGTGATCAGTATGGGATGCCATCTTTTGGGGAAGGGCTGCAAGGACTCCAATATGGTAGTGGGTGGATGGATGAGCTTCCACCGACCTTTGTGGGCACCACTACGTCGTTCCAGGGACAACACAACCCGCCGTCCGTCGAGCCTTCTTCACTCGGCTTTGAGGGATCGAACACGGCTGGAGCACAGATGATGCCGCCGCCACCGCCGGCCCCTTCTAATCCGTATGGGCAGCACGTGCATATGAATCAGCAACAGGAACATCATTACCAGCTCCACCAACAGCAGCAGCAGTTTCAACACACACAAGTTCCACAACAGTTTCAGCACTATACACAAGCAAACAATCACCAGCAGCAACCGAACCAATCGTACCACCACTCGCAAGATGTGCTGAGTGCCGCAGCGACTCTGATATCCAACAATGCCGGTAAGCCGCCTGCTCGGTCCATGAATGGCTTTGCGCATGGCGGTGGCACGCAACGACCCCCAGCCCCGCCTGTGGGCCACATACGGCATCAGCAGCTGGAGGACTTTAAGGAACAGGGTAGGAGAGACTACGCGCACGAGCAGGTACCAAGAGGGTTTGTGGATTGGATGAGCCCGCAACAGAATCACCAGGGTTCAAGACCCGCGGTGCCGACAGAAATGCGATGGGGCTCAGATACCAATTTCGGTGGCTCACAAGGCTATACCATCGGCGACCAGAAGGAGATGGAGTCTATGGAAAGGCAGCAACAGAAGCTGTTGAGCGCTCTGGAGGTCAGCAAGAGCGCTGCTAGCACACGTCCCAGCAGCCCCTCGCATGCACAGATGCAGAGTGGCTCGCAGCGGAAGCAACAGGCTGGTGTAAGTCACCCGTCAACATCAGCCGCAGACGCCCAGGCGCCACCAAGCAAGAGACGCAAGAGCAGGGTGAATTCCAGTGGGAGGAGCCCCGCGGACGATGGGGTTCCAGGGAGCGCTAGCTCAAAATCGAAAAAGAGGACGGGGGTCGAGCAAAAGGCGACACGCTCCTCGACTCCTACCAGCAAGGTCGCACCGGGAGGTCGCAAACGGAAAGGCGCCCCAGGGGCTGATGCAAAGCCCAGTCGGGAGACTCTGACCGAAGCGGAGAAGAAGGAGAACCACATCAAGAGCGAGCAAAGGCGGCGAGGTCAGATAAAGGAAGGCTTCGAAGATCTAAACAAGCTGGTGCCGGGGCTTCATGGCGGTGGCTTCAGCAAAAGCATTCAGCTGTCGCATGCCGCCGAGTGGCTGCTCACAGTCAGGCAAGAGAATGAGGCGCTCGTCAGGCACTTGGCGTCGCTCGGCAAGTAGCGCATGTGGGTATTAATGAACTTGCTGATCAGGGTGGTCGGCTGTGGGAAGGATCATGAGGTCTGTGAAGGATGAGAATGCTACCCGTGTAGGCAGGCGTCTTCGGAGTTGGGCGTCGATTTTATATATACCCCTTTTGCGACTGCATCATGCAGCGATCGGATGGGCTGGGGCTGGGCTGGGTGGATGGGGATCGGGTCTGGCGAACAGGGATTCAACAGCATCACCGTAATCAGATATTTGATGGATTTATATATATCAACCAGCTCGGTCAGTGGTGGTGGTAGTACTGGTAGCGAGCCGCACACCGCTCGCTCTGTGTCTTAAATTGCGGCAACTCTATTTATTTTTACCCTTGTTGCAAGTTTCCAACATATCACGGGAGAATGAATGTTCAATGAAGCCGGTCAGTTATGTTGTAGATGGCCAGTTCAGGCATAAGTGAACCGTCCATCTGCGCGAGTTTGCGCGCGTTACGAGCTGTCGCATTCCGGCGAATCAAGAAGCATCGATCATGGACACATCTACCACGCCCTGGCTGCGCGTGCCTACATACAATCCATGGCCAAAGGAGTGTTCCGGGCGTTGAGTCTCCGTGGACCATCCTGGCTTACTCCGCTGAAACTCCAAGGGACAATTGGATGTGCGCGCTCATCACTGTAGCGTTGTACGTGATGGACAATGTCTGATGATGATCACTTAGGAATGTTTGAGCTGACTGCCTCTTGCAGCCTGTATGTTCTCTTCTGTGAACTCGCATTTCAAGTCCGCCTGACAGGTCTCTTTTCCCCGTTGCCTGCCTCTCATCGTGTTCTAAGGGAAACGACTGACTGAAGAAATGCAGAAAGACCAGCCAGTGATCAATATGAAGTTCTCTCGCTCAGCCCTGGGCGCTGTCGTTGCGTCCCTCCTTGTGAAGGGCGCCTTTGCGACAGGCCTGCACGCCGACCGTGACGAGTCTGACTGCGCGCCCCCCGATACCATCCCTGACTTGACCGGTGCGGACTTTCGCAACGTTGGCGTGGTCATGTTCAACGGTTTCGACATGGTCGACGTCTACGGCACGCTCGACCCGTTCTACATGCTCGCCCTCATCGAGCAGCGCTTAACGCTGTACCTCATCGCCGAAACCCTTGACAACGTCACGCCTCGCGGCAGCATGAACCCGTACAACTCGAGCTTCTACCCCGAGTTTGTCGTCACCAACACATTCGAGGACGACCTCGACATTGACCTGCTCATCGTGCCCGGTGGCAGCGGCGTGCGAGCCCCGGACACCAGCGCCGCAGAGGCCTACCTCCAGAAGATGTTCCCCAAGGTCAAGGTCTTCATGACCATCTGCACCGGTAGCGGGCTCGCCGCCAAGTCGGGCGTGCTCGACGGCCACATGGCGACCACCAACAAGAAGGCCTGGGCGCAGATGACGGGATGGGGCCCGGATGTGAGGTGGGTTTCGCCCGCTCGCTACGTCGTCGACGGCAAGGTCTGGGCTTCCTCTGGCGTGAGTTGCCCTGTGTGCCTTCCATTGTCGTCCGCGCGAAACTGATGATGTTCTTCTGCAGGTTACCTCGGGCATAGACCTTAGTTTTGCCTTTATCGAGACATACTTTGGCCGCGAGAGGGCAGAGTACATCTGGTCTATGCAGGAACATGAGCCTCGCGAGTGGGACGATGACCCCTTCCACACGTACTTTGGTCTCGAGAATACGGAGACCCAGCCTTGCCCGTGGAGGTGAGTATGTTCGACGTGCACTCATCGGGCGTGTCCAATGGTCTGGTAGCAGTCAGCCGTTGCCGAAGTAATTACGGGATACGTTCTCGAGCCAGATAGCGCCGAATGCACATCCTTTTGCCTCTTGAGCAACCGAGCTTGGCCCTGGTACTTGCCAGCGTGGTCTCGTATCATCACGAGTGCACTCGATTCGTGGTGGCGCCGCTGTCTGCTGGGTATTAATGTAATTCCTACTGAACACCGAGGCTACCTATGTGTACCAATCATAGAGTAGTCTTCTATCGCAACACAAAAAATAAAACACATGGTACAACATGAAATCCAAGGCCCGTGCTTTTTCCCGTTATCTTTAGGTCATGACCGTGTCCACATTCGCGCTTGAACCGGCAGCCGCTCCGTTGTTGCCCAGGAGGTGCTGCTCGAACGAAGCAACAAACTTGGCACTCCGCGCGGGATCGTAGAACAGGGTGAAACTCCGTTGCACGTCCTCGACGCTGACCTGCTTGGCTCTGCGTTTCGCTGCAATCAATTGCGACGTTGTGATCAGGTTGGCAGCATAGCGGAGACCTGTCTCTGAACCGACCTTGGTCAACAAGGCGAGTGCATCTGGCGACAGGTCGACCTCCTCTTCTTGCGCGCGGACACTCAAGATCTGCTTGAGATCCTCCGGGCTGTAGGGGTGGGTCTTGATGATGACCACACGGTCGAGGAAGTCGAATGGCAGGCCGTGCGGGCTGCGGTAATCGGTGCCGCGGACCTTGGCGTTTGCGCGGTTGCTGGCCATGATTACGATGGGCGCCAGCTCATCCTCGAGAGCGCTGTTGAGGAAGGCGAAGGATTCAATGTCCAGCATGTGGACTTCGTCAATGAACAGGACGCCGGGAACGATCTCGGCCTTGCCCTCCTCCTTCCACTCGCCGACCTTGATGTTGATCTGGTCGCGGATTTCGCTGCGAATCTCGCCCGTGTCGCCCGAGAACAATGCCAGGAAACCTTGCGTCCGCGAGTTGATCACGTCAATCTCGTGGAGTGTGACGGTGTGGACTGTCTCCTTGCGCTTCTGCAGCTCGCCATCGGGGCACTGGAGGAACTTGGTGTCGACACCCATTGCGTCGTAGTCGCGCGAGCGTGCGTAGGATCGGCCGAGCTTGGTGATCTTGCCAGACGACTTGTCGATGGAAATGATATCGCCAGCCATGATGCGCTCCTTGGTCATTGCATCAATCATCTTGTTGCCCATGTCGTATACCGCCTCCATATCCGTAGTTTTGATGGTGAGCTTGCCCTGCTTCGCGCTCCCCGTCACACTGCGATCAATCTGAATCTCGACGACCTCGCCCTCCATGATCTCGCTTTCTTCCTTGATCCGGACACCGATGGATTTGCGAAAGGCTTGCTTGAGCGCCTCGGTCTTTGACATTTCGAGAGAGTAGATTTCGGAGGCGGCGAGGGATGTGAAAGGGACGTCTGGGCCGAGAGATTGCGCCATTCCCATGGCGAGGGCTGTCTTTCCGGTGCTGTCACATTGTCAGAGTTTGGTCTCGGATTGGGTGCGTAGAGTATTTCGTCTTGCCTTGGGGGCCCAGCAATGAGCACAGCGCGACCAGCCACATTGCCTTCCTTAATCATCTGCAGCATGACGGCGGCAGACTTGCGCGCCTTTTCCTGTCCAACCAGGCCTTGCGACGCAGCTTTCGGCTCCAACGTCGTCGCGTCAACGCCCAATCCTCGGATGTGCGAGTGCGCCGCAATCATGTTGAGACCGCGAAGGTCCTTGGACTCGGAGGTGGTGATCACAGGCTGTATATCCATCAGTTTCTTCCTTGCCACCAGTGTCATATTTCCAGTCCACTCACGGCAGCCATCTTGAATCAAGGAATCGTCAATGCGTGATGTGTCGTCTACCTCTTGAGCAGCAAGCAGGCGCGTTGCTGAAAGCCGTCTTCGGTGAGAGAATCTGCTTAGTCAGGAGCTGGTTAGTAATCAAGACCGGCAGTGACGCGCGTGGGTCTGAGAAAAAAAGCTACTAAACGCGGTCCAGTCGCGTGACGGAAATCAACTTTGTTTGCCTCGCAGATGGCGACGTTGCGCGGCAGGTGAAGAATTTGGTGGCTTCTAATGACAGTCGCTTCCCTTCAAACCATGCAATGAAAAACAACTTACTCGTGACTTGAATCCATGCAGCAAACCTGGCTGCGTAGCTAATCTGGGCACTTCCTGGCGATTATCAACCCAAGTTCATGTTGTTTCGTCTGGAAACTGCAATCACGCACGCACCCACGCACGTGACGGGCGGCGACAAGTGAAGAAGAACCCCTGAGCCAAAAGAACGGACAACCCAAGCAAACAAACATTTTCACAAACACGCTCACAGACGAGAGACTGAACACACAACGCGGCCCCTAAAAGCTGCTTCCAACGTGGCGTTCGGTTCGGTGAGACATGCACACTCCAATCGACTCATCTGTCTCGCACCAAACGGGAAAGCCCTGCTTCACATCTCAAGTGAGTACTATTACGTTACCTAAGGTAGTAATGATATCGAGCCCTGCGCCGAGCCGACTGACGCGATGCAGCTATCTGAACACTTCTCGCCAGGCAGGAGGTAATAATGAGCAGCTATAGTCATAGAGACTACGCGTACTGCGACAGGCGCGATCACGAGGATTCTAGCAGGTCTCAGCGGCGCGATTATGACAGCTATCACCCCTCAGAGCATCGACGTGAACGCAGTCGGGAACGACAGAGGCCTCCCCTACTTAGACGGCGGGCTTCCTCATCATATTCTCCGAATGCACGAAGTCCAGCCTTGCCCACCACAAACGTAGCAAGTCCTGCACCTATGTCCACATCAGGATCAGATACGGGCAACAACAAAGCTTCTGAATCGTCGGACTTAGCAAGCAGAATCGTGCGCAACCTACGTTCTGCCGAAATCGACAAGGCAAAGCAACGCCTTAGCAAATGCAAACTACAGCATAGCCGTGCTACAGCAGAGCAATACCCTGATCATCCGTCTATCGTAAAACAGGCCAAGTTGGCTTACGCGGATGCTAAAGAGCACCTTAAAAAGACACAAGATGATACTAAGGATCTCGAGGCTTGTTTCGCAGAGATTCTAAAAGCCACAGGTATCAAGGCTACAGATACTATAGAGCAGCAGCCGAAAACCACGACAGATGCCGCCGAAAGGTCCAAGCTCGACGAGCGGCTTGGAGCCATCGCCCGCGAACAAGAGGCGAAGATTAAGAAACTAGAGAGTGACCTCCAAACAAGATTCGACCAGTCTATCACGGACTCGGCGAAACGTATTCAAGAAGACTTCGACAAATCCCTTAACTCAAGGACAGAAGAGATACAAAGTCATTACACAGCAAAGCTCGAGGCAAAGCTCGAGGAGCACGATAAAAGAATACGCGAGCACTATGACACATCCCTGAAGTCAAGGACAGAAGAGATGCGAAGTCAGTACACAGCAATGCTCGAGGAGAACGACAAAAGGATACGCGAACACTACGACGAAAAGCTCAAGACGTATGTGTCCGATATCACTACTCTACGGGAGCAATTCAACAAGTGGCAAGAGGCTATGGACCTCGACAAAATCACGGACAAGCAAGCGTCTATTATGAAATCGCACGATACGCTCGCAGCGAAAGTGCAAGACGCTGCTAGCGAGCAGACACTACTTCAGGGTCACGTTCGAAAGCTAGACGAGCGACTCAGTCTTCCTCCTAAACCAGGCACGGCTGACCGCGCAGTTTCAGAGCTCAAGACCGAACTCCAAAATTTAGAAGACAGGCTCAGCGCCCGAACTGGCGAGATAGAAACGGATGTTGGCAGTCTCAAAAGCAAAGTCGACGTCTTGGAACAGTCCTCGGCTCCGCAGGAGACGGCACTCACCGTCGCAGCTCAACCCAACAGCCAAGGTCTAGACCCTGATCTAGACAAGATACAATACGCAGTTGATCAGATCAAGATGGACCTACACAACTTGAAGAAAAATGTCGTGGATATTTTCCGCTCCCAAAGCCTTATACCCGACCACCTAAAGGACTGGGCATGGATGGCGACTCCAACAAGGCAACAAACCCCGGTACCCCAAGTGCAAGCTACCTCGGAAGCGGACGGATCATTGGCCACTGTAGCGCATGTTGAGACGACTCGCAGGCATCTTGAGGAGCTATACAAGGACAGGGAGTCCTTTGTTGACTCTGTCGTGGCATGCATTGGGCCTCGCGTCAGCGCTGAAATAGCTGAGATTCGGCAAGAGCTAATCAGCAAGGGTGAGTCAATCACCTCCTGCCAGGGCGATATCAACGCCTGCAGAGAACTTGTCCAGATACATTCGGCGCGACTTAACGACGTGATGACCAAGTGCGCCAACGACCGCGACATGCACCGCTCGCTACACGATAAGTTGTCGAAATACTGCAAGGACGTCCACGAGGATCTCGACATGCGATGCCGCAACCTCGATCATTGGCAGCAGAACTTTGAGACGACGGACCTGGTCAACCAGATGACCGAATACATCAAAGCCCTTATGCCGGGCGAGATAAGCCAGATGCGCCACAAGGTCGCGGCGATCGAAACGGAGCTTCGTCGAATACAGGATCACGCGGCCAAGAGACGCAAGGTCTCAGTCCCCAACGGCGGAATACAAGCTGTTCCAATGGCGCCTGTCCATCCTTCCTAGGGGGAGGGACTGCTGATGCATCCACTGCCTGAAAAGCCAGACATAGCAGCGAGATGACGGTCAAGGTCATGAACATGGTCAGGCATATGGAAGGGAGTCGCAGTGACGGTGTAAGTTAGATAGATGGCGGCGCTCATACGTTGCCGCGTTGTTCTGGGTCGAGGTGTGACTTGAAGAGCATGTCTTGTTGATGACTTTCCTTGGAGGAGGTTGTGTCGACAACGAGAAGGGATCCCGTTTACTCATATTGTTCATAATTAATCCACCAACATACCACGCCTTCATGTGCAAAGGGGTGCTATGCGGACTGCGGTTATGTTTCGGGTCGAACACGTAATCAGAATTCAGCTTCGGTCTGAAATCCCACACATATGGAGCAACAAGAGTCAGTCCATTGCCATTGACTCCCGTGCCGGGAATGTCTTGGGTGCCGGGCAGAGCCGTGGAAGGCCGCGACGACGAGTTGGTTGAAGCCGTTGACGAGAGCACGATGATGATGTCTTTGTTTGAATAAACCTGTATGCTGGTAGTATTGTATATCCCTCTTATTAGTAGTAAGACACTCGTTCCCAGACCCCATACCATGAGCTACACTTGGCAGATGCGAAGCCTATCCCCGGCAGTTGTGTGTGTTCCGAGGCCATCGGGGCGTTGCGGAGGACTGGGGTCACGCTTAGGCGAAAACAGGCCCGGTCGAAGCCGTGAAGCCTCGACATCTGCACGACGGACAGGCATGGACGACGTAGCCGGGCGATTACCGTGCCTACGTGGGGAAAACTACCCGATCTGGCATATATCGGGAATTGTCCAAGTCAGTGAGAGTGAAGCCATCACCAACTGTCAACATGGCATTCACAGATGGTTGATGTTTGGCCACGATGAGGGATTTTGGCTCTAGAGAGCTGCGAGGCCGTACACGGAGTGCTTTGCTCTGTCTGTTTGCCTGCCTTGCCGCATTGGGACAGTCCGACTGGCGACCTTTCTCTGAGTAATAGAGATTGGGAATCAATGACTGATAGCGAGCAGCGCTTACGGCGATTGAGCTCCTGCTCCTGGTCGCGAAGGGCGTACCATCCAGCCTCGTGGCATGGGCCTTGCAGTAAAATCCCGCGCGGGCCGATATGGGAAAGCTTTTTCTCCTGTAATCTCATCAAATGACAAAAACCACTGTCTTGTCGCGCGTAGCGCAGTGAGGGGCAAGATCTAGAGCAATCAGAGGTAGAGAGGGCATTTTGTTACCTCATTGAACTGACTTGGTGACAGCTGGCAGTATTTTCATGTAAAGTGAGTGTCTTATCCTCAACCATCCAACAGCCATGTTAAATTCATTACTTGGTACAGGTAGCATGGAGCATCGTGAGGCTTGGACTGGAGCTTGTTGAGCGCTGCGGTGCCACCGTATGAGGGGCGGGGATCAGGGACGGTGGGCTGGACCCCACCCGCGATGCAGCCTGGCAGAGCGCAGGACTTGTTGGTGCGTCCCGTCGACGAAGGCGGCGGAACTAATTAGACGTGAGTGACAACCGCTGTAGGGGCTCGGCTGCGTTTGAGGATGGTTGTTGGATGGGCGGATGGAATGAGTTGGGGGTGGTCCGTTTGCCTCCAGTCGCTGGCTGGCGGGATGTGCCCTTTGGGAGCTCCGTCTGCCATTCGTCATAGCAATGCCATAAGAACGCACCCGGTCCTTCCAGCACTTATTACTTTCCTCTCCCTTCTCTCCTCTCTTTCTTTTTTCCTTCTCCTCCTCTTCATCCTCCATCTTCAATAAACCACTCCCATCCTCCCCAACAACAATCTACATCACTCTGTAAGTCATTGAGTCTTCTCCCCTCCCGACTTGCCGTTGCCTCGAAGCTGCCGCTGCTGCTACTGGTGCTGTGTTGCTGCCAGGCAGCTCCAGCGAGCTGGGAGAGCTGCCCCTCCCCCTCCTCGCGGCTCAAGCGCGCATCACGACTGTTTCCGAGCATGGCTGTCCTCGCCGCGGCTTCTCGAGGCCAGGATAGCAGACCAGTAATGGAGAGAGCTTCTTGTCAAGCTTCTCCGTGCTGTGCCACTCCAGTCCAGCTCCTGTTCTCGCTCGGAGGAGGCCTGGTTGCTGCGGCTGCTGGACAGCTAGCTCCCTCAACGCGCGCCAATCGCCCCCACCATGCAGAAAAAAAGACACAGAAAGGCTGACCAGAGACCCTGCAGATCACAATGGCTCCCGTCAAGGTTGGCATCAACGGTTTCGGCCGCATCGGTCGCATCGTCTTCCGCAACGCCGTCGAGCACCAGGACATCGAGGTCGTCGCTGTCAACGACCCCTTCATTGAGACTCACTACGCTGTAAGTCGATCGGTCCGACTGTGCTGGGCAGCAGCACCAACACCACCTCGCCCCCCTTGCCCCTCCATCAGCTCTTGGGTTGCCCCTCCATGATATCATGCCTCAGAAAACCCGCCGACACCGGGGTAGGCCTCTGATCAATTGGCATTACGACACCCACCAAGACGTCAATCACGTCAACCGCCTCTCATGCCGCATTTTGCATCTGAGTTGAAAGCTGACACTCCTTTTCACAGGCGTACATGCTCAAGTATGACTCGTCTCACGGCATCTTCAAGGGCGACATCGCTCAGGATGGCAACGACCTGAGCGTCAACGGCAAGAAGGTCAAGTTCTACACCGAGCGTGACCCTGCGGCCATCCCCTGGAAGGACACTGGCGCCGAGTACATCATCGAGTCCACCGGTGTCTTCACCACCACCGACAAGGCCGCTGCTCACTTGAAGGGCGGTGCCAAGAAGGTCATCATCTCCGCCCCTTCGGCTGATGCCCCCATGTACGTGATGGGTGTCAACGAGAAGACCTACGACGGCAAGGCCGATGTCATCTCCAACGCCTCTTGCACCACCAACTGCTTGGCCCCTCTCGCCAAGGTCATCCACGACAAGTTTGGCATCGTCGAGGGTCTCATGACCACCGTCCACTCCTACACCGCCACCCAGAAGACCGTCGACGGTCCCTCCTCCAAGGACTGGCGTGGTGGCCGCGGTGCTGCTCAGAACATCATCCCCAGCAGCACTGGTGCCGCCAAGGCTGTCGGCAAGGTCATCCCCGATCTCAACGGCAAGCTCACCGGCATGTCCATGCGTGTGCCCACCGCCAACGTCTCCGTTGTCGACTTGACTGTCCGCCTCGAGAAGGGCGCCAGCTACGACCAGATCAAGGCCGCCCTCAAGGAGGCTTCCGAGGGTCACCTCAAGGGTAAGCGACAGCTCTCTGCCATCCAAGACTGTTGACCATATGACTAACCCATCTCTCGCAGGCATCCTCGCCTACACCGAGGACGATGTTGTCTCCAGCGACATGAACGGCAACACTGCCTCCTCCATCGTCGACGCCAAGGCCGGTATCTCCCTCAACGACAACTTTGTCAAGCTCGTCTCCTGGTACGACAACGAGTGGGGCTACTCCCGCCGTGTGCTCGACCTTGTCTCCCACGTTGCCAAGGTCGACGCTGGCAAATAAATGCTAGCTTGTCCTTACCTCTACGCAAGACTATGAACGGCATGACGATGACTGTCGTTTCTAATGACCTACCAAATTAGTAAAATTGACACTGGGAAAATTGATGCGACATCTGTAGCGAAACTTTGGGTGGACAGATGGGACTCAAAATGAACATACATATTTCCTCGAGATAAAATTTCCCATCAATCGTGCACCAGTCACAGAGCGAGCCAGGAGCCATCGTTGATTGCGTTTCATTCATGCCAGAGTTTTGTTGACGAAGGATGTCGCAGGAAGGCATTTCCTACCTTACTGATAAGGGCGAGTCCACGCTCGTCAACCTCCCTAAACTACTAAAACTCCGGTGCCAATGCCAAGCTGGTGATCGTCCCTTTTCCTAATGAGCCACCACCTCCAGAGCCGCCGATCAAGCCAAAAAGTGCAAAACACAACGCCACATGGTATTTCCTCCCTGGGGACTACGAACAAAAAGATGGGGTATATTGCGAACAAGACGATCGCTTAACAAGTCTGAGAAAAGAAAAGCATGGTACAACACCAGGCAAGCAAAAGGTTCATCCACCGCAAAATGACCATGCATGCCCTACTCTTTGGTGATTCAGCCTAGCCTGTTTTGAGGCGTCGTCAAGTGGTGTTGGCCTTGGCCGTCGTGGAGCCCGTCAAGCTGAGCTCCGCCGTCCAGTCCACATTCTCTTCAGCGCACCACGCACGCAGGACTCGGAGCGTCGCCTCTACGGCATCGTCCACCTGAGGCCACATGTGCGACTCGCGGATGCGGAGCGAAGGATTCTCAATCGACGCGACGACATCGCGGTAGTTGGCGCGGATCTTGAACTGGCTCCGCGTGTGCTGAAAGAGCCTGGCCATGTCGACGCTCTTCTCGTCGCGCGTTGTGTAAGACTCGGTCAGTTTTTCCGTGGCCACGGCTTGCAAGAGCAGGGAGATTGCGTAGACCGGTCCTAGTGAGCGTCTCGAGCTGCCGCGGCGGATGTGGTGCTGGATCACCTCGATGAGCGGCAGGCAGGATTGCCACCCTGTCCCGTCGCACGGCTTGTGGTTCAACGCAGCCAGCTGATCCTGCACCTGAAAGCTCAGCATGAAGGCGCATATGCTCTCGAGCATGAGGGCAAATGCGCGCTTGTGCATGCGCTCCTGCTTCGAAACGCTGCCATTGACGGTGCTGGAGTCGTTGCCCGGACGGAGCATCGGGTCGGCCTTGTGCTTGATGGTCCGCCCGATTTTCTGGTATTCAACCTCCTTGGCTTTCAAGGCCTGTGTTTTTGACTTGTTCACGTCGGAGGAGCGCTCCGCGCCGTCCGGCAACGATGGAGTCGCAACCAAGTCGGCTGGTGTAGGGGCTAGCGAATTGCTGGAGCTCACCCGAGACATTGTGGTGGATTTCTTAGAAGGCGTCGAGGGCTCGGGGTGCTTGAAAGACATGTCCGAAGTTCGCGGTCGTTTCGCTGCTGGACTTGGTGGCTCAGGATCCAGGCTGCTGGCCGGGTACTTCTCAGACGGTCGTACCGGCTTCGCAACACCTTTTCGCGCAACACTGCTCTGCAAAACCTTGGCAAATCGGTCCCTCAGTTTCGATGGTACCTTCAAGCGCACTATCAGGCTCTTCCGTGCGCGTCCGCTCTTGTCTGTGCAAGTCTCGGCCGGCGCCTTGGACTGAATCGCGCCGTCTCTATCCTTCGCCTTCGTTTCGGTTGATATCGCGTCCGTTTTGCCTTTAGAGACCTGCTGCCTGCGCTCTAATGCCTCCTCGACCGCCGCCGGAAGTGTTGGCGATAGCAGTGATGGGATACGAGGGGGGGGTTTGAGTCGCTTAGCTGCAGGTCGTGGCTCCGGCTTTGGAGGTCTCTCTGTCCTGGAGTCAGGACCATCATCGCGGCGTCTCTTCTCAGGCTTGCTCTGCTCCGGCTCCACGCCCACTCGCAGGGGTGACAGGAGAGGTGGCACAATCTTGGGCTTCGCTTCTCCCAGGCCCGACGAGGTTCCTGCGCCGTTGTGTCCCTTTTCTGCAGAGGAGCTTTTGACACCATTGATGGATGTAGTTCGGGGCCGGGCCGCGGGCGATTCTGGTCGGTTCGCGCCTGGTAACGCATTGACCATTGCGCTGCGCCCAATACCCAGCAATGATGAGCTCCTCTCCCTTTGGGCTTGATCGCGCGACGGTGCCGACTCGACTGGCTTCCGCCGTATCGGATCTTCGCTCGACACTGGGGTTCTTGTGTCGGTCGGCTGTCTAATGTCTTCGCGGCTGCTCTCGTTGGTGGTCGGTTTCGGTCGCTTGGGCGGGCGCGCCTCATCTAGATCTGCAGGTCTTTTTCTATCGTGTAGTATACTCTTGGGATGTAATGGCGGGGGCGGTTTAGGCGGCAGGCTACAGTAAGGATCTAATTAGCATTGCGACAGGGAATGCTATTTGCCGACTTACCTCATGTCTACCTCGATTTTCTCTGGCAAGCCCTTGGGCTTAGCCTTGCCCAGGCCCTCAACCGAGGAAACATGCGGGACTGGCTTCATAGTCTCTGGTCTCCGGACGCTATCCGACGGCTTCGCGTCCATACGCGGCCCAGGAAGCCGATCTGGTTTGGGGGTCGAATGCGGCGATGAATTGGCGCTCGCCTTCTTGTTCTGGTAGTCACTCAAGGACAGCGTCTTCTTGGAGCCGCCGGGGCGCGCCAACGTGCTGATTTCTTTGACGACGGGTTTTGGTGGTTCTTCCCTGAACTCGTGGTAGCTGCGCGGCATGAGAATGCCTCGATCACCATGGCTGACCAAGGTCATGTACTGACAGTGCCGTATCCGTTGTTCTTCGAACCCGTGCGCTCTGCTGTCTTCAGGGAAATAGGGTGCCCTGTAGTCGAGGGATGTTGACAACTGATGAGGTCTGTCTGGTAAGGTCTGGCGGGAGAGCTGCCTAATTGTCGCGGCCGCGGCCTCCATGCTGGTGTCTGATGGTGGGCATGCCGCAAGAAGACGGGCAGTGCTAACTACTGGAGAATAGTCGGGTTTTCGTTTGGCGCAAGGTCGCGATTTTGGCTGGCTTGTTTTTCGCGTCTGTCGAGGTCGAGGTGCTTGTCTCGGTGCGAGCGCGACTGTGGGTACAAGGTCTGCTTGAGGAAGCCCTGTTCGATAAAGATTTTTTGAGGTGAGTCCTGACTGAGAGACAGTGTCGAATGGCAGAAGTGTAACGAGAATGGCGCGTGCGAAACGATCGGGTGTCGTTTGGCGGGTGATGCGACAATGGAAGAGACAATGAAGCGGCGCGACGAATATAGACAAGACCCAGTCAGTCGGATCCCAATCAGCTCAGCCTCCGAGCAGGGTGGGCTGCGGTTGCAACAAAACCGCGACTGGACCGAACTGAATGCTTGAATTGCTAATACTTGATTCCGCCGCAGTCGGGAAGGGGATAGTCGAGTCGGATAGGTATTCGTGATCCGTGGTTGAGCGAACAGTGGAGATGATATGATGGTGGAGTTGACTGGAGGTGATCAGGACGAGGTTACCTTACCTGACCTCACTGACCGTCAGGTGCGGGCATCGCCGGGGCGCTGCCACTGGCAAGGCAAAGCTGTGGCTGATGACAATCGACAGCCTGAGAGGCTAGTCTAGGAAGGGTAATGTGTGGATCTACATACGGCGCTTGCGCAAACGCTGTGGGATCACCGGTTTGCAATACCCTGTACTCTTCTTAAGAACCGCGTCCCTGAAATGTGTCGGTGACTAGAAAGCTTTATCCATGACAATTTTGGGGTGAAAATATGAGTCTCAATTGAGTCATTTTGGGCTCGGGCTCTAATGGCTATGATGGGGAGAAATGTCGTTCATATGCACGACATAATGTGTGAATACTTGAGGTGAAAGTATGCGCATTTGCGAACACGACATCGCGCGCCACACAATTGCAGCGTTCGTAATGCAGCACAGCATGAGACTTATTCAAACCGGGCAATTCTTTCTATAGAAGACAGCTGAGTTTGAACAGCGACCCGTTGTATGCCGTGAGTGCACTGTATCTGTAGGTTAGGCGACATTGTTCCCTGCACGTGATCGTTCTGTGATTGAAACATGAGGACCGGACCAGACGTTGGGCTCATCTCCAAGTCTTGCTATGACAGCGTCAGATGGTGCAGGTGAGTGAGTCACTACACGAGGCTCTGCCCAATCGACAACGCCGACGCCGCTCTGTTCCCCATGGACTATAATTCAACGACACTTCAATGAGCTCTCACGTAGCTCCATTCTTGCTCGCAGCGTCTTCTTCTTCTTCTGCCCCTGTTGCAGCCTCTTTCCGCTACCCGTTTACCAACCTCGGCCCACTCTTTCTGCGCACCGCGTCGCGTCTGGCGCTGGTCCGGAACTGGCAATTGCATCCCTGCAAAAAATCCGCCGTCCAGGGTCTCCGTCACTTTGGCTCTACCAATTCTGCCCCTCCAAATTCATCGACTGCCCCTCCATTCACCACCAACGTCAAAGTCGAAGTCACAAACCGCATTCTCAAAGCACCAACCTCTCGGCTGATTCATACCACCCCGGGTGCCTTCGCCATGGCCGAGACAGGGGCCATTGACACGCTCGCGAGCCAGGTCGGCAGCATTTCTCTGTCAGACGCTGCTGCCACCTATCCCAACGCTCATCCTCACACCAACCCTCTCGATCTCTGGAGGATTCACATTGCTGACACTCTCTCTAAGATCTCGGGAGTCGAAAAGTCGATCATCTTCCCGGTGATTGCGTGGACGCAGTCTCTGGACAAGGGTGACTTCATCATCGCTGTGCCTGCTCTGCGCATCAAGGGAGCAAAGCCAGATGCCCTGGCGGTCGAGTGGGCTGAGAAGGTCCGTTGAAGTGTTGCTTCTCTAGTACGCAAGATAGAAAGCTGACAGAATGAATCCCAGTGGCCTGAGGATGACCCCCTCGTCAAGAAGCCCGAGCCTAGCAAGACCTTCCTCTCTTTCTTCATCAAGGGCGCCCCGGCGACGCAAGCTGTTTTGAAAGTAATTCGCGAACAGGGAGCTGACTACGGTATGGAGCTCTGCGCGCGGTTCAGACACCGGATCTAATCAGTCGCGTAGGCAAGGCTGCTTTTGATGGCCTGAGAGATCCCCAAGATCCTTCCAAGGGTCGCAAGAAGATAGTTCGTGCATTGACCCAGTGGTGCACAGGATACCATGCTAACACCACACCAGATTGTCGAGTTCTCTTCTCCCAACGTGGCGAAGCCGTTCCACGCTGGGCACTTGCGTTCCACCATCATCGGTGGCTTCCTGAGCAACCTGTATGAGGCAGCCGGGTGGGATGTGACGCGGATCAACTGTGAGATTCCCACTGGGGGGTCGACTATTTTCAGCAGCTAACGGCCAACAGATCTCGGTGATTGGGGCAAACAGTACGGGCTTCTAGCTTTGGCATACGAGAAGTACGGAGATGACGCAGAGTTGAAGCGCGACCCCATCGATCATCTGTTCAAGCTGTACGTCCAAATCAACAAGGAAATGACAGCAGAGAAGGAGAAGATTGAGGCAGAGAAGAAGGAGGGCAAGGACGTTGCCGAACTTGAGGCCACAAGTCTCGATGAGCAGGCACGTAGATACTTCAAGATGATGGTAAGAAACCCCCCGTATCATTCCGAGAAAGTTACTGATTCTTCAAGGTGGATGGCGACGAAGCCGCGCTCGCCCAGTGGAGGCACTTCCGCGATCTGTCCATCGACAAGTACAAACGTCAGCACAGTCTCCATTCCTTTGACGGCATCCGCTGACTTTGCGTAGAAACGTATGCTCGCCTCAACATTCGTTTTGATGAGTACAGTGGTAAGTGTCGAGTATGCAGTGACGCGACGCTGTAATTGACATCTTCAGGCGAAAGTCAGGTCACAGAAGAGGCCATGGCCAAGACTGGTGGTGAGATGACGGAGCGTGGCATTAGTGAGAACGACAGCGGCTCGGTTCTCGTTGACTTCACAAAGCACGTCAACGGCAAAGAGGGTAAACAGCTCGGCAAGGCTGTTCTTCGGTAAGCTTCTCATCATACGACCCGAGCCCACGGGCGCACTGACATTTGTCCAGGAAGAGGGACGGCACCGCTTTGTACCTGACCCGTGATGTCAGTGAGCTGAAGGGTCGCGTAAGTCCATCCTGTCCGCGGTGCGAACGAGCGCCCCGTTAACCTCTCTTGCAGCATGAAAAGTACAACTTTGACAGGATGTTGTACGTTGTCGCGTCTCAGCAAGAGCTCCACCTCAAGCAACTGTTTAAGATCACGGAGCTCCTCGGTTACGAAGATATCAGGAAAAAATGCCAGCACATCTCTTTCGGCATGGTTCTCGGCATGAGCACACGAAAGGGCACTGTCAAGTTGTGAGTACACGGCACTTTGTGCTGGCACGAGGCGTGACTGACTTGTCCTAGCCTGAACGACATCCTCCGTGATGTTGGCGATCACATGCACGAAGTCATGAAGCGCAACGAGGACAAGTACGCGCAAGTGGAAGAGCCAGAGAAGGTGGCCGATATTCTTGGTATCAGCAGTGTGATGGTGCAAGATATGACCGGAAAGAGGCAAGTTCCAAGCATTCACCTTCACGCAGCCATACTAATGCCATGCTCCAGGATCAACAACTACAACTTCAACATGGAAGCGATGACCTCCTTCGAGGGTGACACCGGCCCTTACCTCCAGTACGCCCACGCTCGCCTGTGCTCCATCCGCCGCAGGGCGGACCTTACCGACGCCGAGATCGCGTCGGCTGATCTCAGCCTCCTGACCGAGGAGCATGCTCTCAACGTCGTTCGCTATCTGTCCCAGTGGCCCGATGTCTTCCAGAACACACTAAAGACCCTCGAACCCACTACTGTCCTCACGTACCTGTTCCGCATGACACACGTCATTAGCAGCAGTTATGACCATCTTCAGGTTGTTGGCAGTGAGCCCGAGCTGAAGAAGGCCCGTATGGCTCTCTACGACGCGGCTAGGATTGTCTTGCACAATGCCATGTCGCTTCTGGGCCTGTCGCCGGTTGAGCGGTAAGTTCTGGAAAGAAAGTCGTCGACATTCAGCAGCGCTAACAGACACTCGCAGTATGTAAATATGGCAGTCAACACATTTCGTTGAAAGTAGCATAGAGCCTACTGGGAATCTCAGAGGCTACGTCGAGCAAGATATAATCTCAGCTAGGGCGTCGTATATCTCGACTAAAAAAAAAGAAAGTCACAAATTGCAGCCTCCTGTTGAAAATGACGTGCCCAAACTCCTTCATCGATGGCAACAGCGAGACATGTTCATATCTGTGAGAGCTTTCCTTGGTATCGTGGTCTCGTATATTATGCAGATTTCGTTCCGCAAATCAGTATGGCTAGAGCTCGTTGAGCTCACGCTGTGCCTGGATGACATTTCCCTCCGTCACAAAGTCGAGCTAGATCGGTCAGCCTTATTTATCTCCCACATCATTTCTAAAGGATTTACCATGACCACGTTCGGATTCCTGCCATGATCCGCCACGCAAATCTCCGTCTGCTGGCGGATGTTCCCCACAGAGTTGGTATCGGCTGCGTGAAGTGGCGCCGGGACCTTGATGCCCGCAATGTCAATGTTCAGATTGTGATTCGCGAAAATCATGCGCTCGTCTACGGGTGTGTCGGCACTGGGGCGGTCGACGTCGCAGTTGAAAAAGTTGTCTTTGGTCGGGCTGAATGGGGTCTCGACGTAGTGGTCGTACTGGGGGATGATGTAGGGCACCTTGGCGAGGTCGGCGTTGTAGTCTTCTCTTGGTCAGCAGAGGCTTCATCAGTCTTCTCAGAGAGAGTGCGAGTTACCCATGAACACAACGAAGCGCTTCCCAAGATCGATCAGCTCCCCCAACGTAGGCCAGTTCCTGGGCCCAAGGTCGCTGCCTGGCTCGAAAACCATGTCTCTGGCACCCGCGGCCTCGAAAGCAGGCTGAAACTCCTCAATCAAGATATTATCATCCCCGTTGCCGATCAGCAGCGTCACTACTTCTCGCGGGTGACTGTCCAGCCAGTTCTTGATGGACACCACAATCTCCGAGAAGGGCCCGACGTCGAGCAGCGCGCAGTCTGTGTGACATTGCCGGATCTCGCCGTCTTCAATGTGGACTTGCGTCGTGAAGTAGCGAATGCCCATGTCCATGCCTGACTCGGGGTATTCGAACTGATTGTGCGAGGGAGAATAGCCAACAAAGGCGGCATTGTGAGAGGCGGCAAAGGTAATGTCGCTGTACTTGCGGGAGCAGAGCTCGGTAAAGCCGTTGCAGGCATCTTGGGCAAAGGTTGACGCTGCCAAAGACAGTAGAAGGGCTGGAAAGATCATGGTGAGCTTTTTCCGAAGACGTTGCTTCTGGTCGGTATGCCACGTTGAGAAAGGAAGGGTGCAGGCTGGGCTATATACCCCGGTGAAGGAGCCCGTGCCAATGCGGCGCCTTCGAGTTTTGTGTTGCAACTCCATCGGCAGTTGAGGTCCTTGGGCCAGCACTTGTTGCTTGACCTTGTCGGGCACGAGGGACGTGTTGCCTGGGGAGGCTGGAGCCACAATTCGAAAGCACCCACAGGGTCATTGTCCTCGTCGTAGGGGTACGAAATTGTCGGTGCGACGGTAGCCGCGATGTCTGCACGGTCAGCTGCCGTGTCCATTTGCGTACGGGACGTGAACGTGTAAGGTATGTGCAGGTGCACATGTGTAAAACAGGCCCTAGATGAGGTACTCAGTACACCCAACAGCGTGCTGCATATCTGGCTCACTCTGCAATCATCAGGTTACCTTGCTGGGCGCAATGTCTTTCGCACCCTCTCAATCCAAAACCTCGACTGATGTGATAAAGATAAAGAAGGTATGTCTAACTACGTGGAGGAGGCTTCGTTAATATCCTCCGCATCCTATTAATCTAGCCTATTGTCTATTTCTTCGCATTACTAAAGCAGCAGTACGTCCAGCTTGAGCACATCCCCCTCGACTGGAGCCACAGCAGGTTGTCGATGTCTGGTCCTCGCCGTCTGGTTGGTATATGTCTCTGATCTCATTAGTACAAGACATTTACAGGCAGCATGGCTGGCCAGATCTGACAATCTATCGCAAGGAGGCTGAACATGCAGACGACTGACTAACAATACTTGCCGTATGAATTTTTTTCAAGTCGTCCCCTTCTATCAGCGCCGAGAAGGATGTGACACCATTTTCTTTTGTTTGCCCAGAGAGACTTGTCGTGGGCCCGTCCGCGGGGGTCCGTCGGGAAGCCAATGTTGTTGTTGTTGCGAACCCCTTTCCTGCCACTACGGCACGCCGATTACAATGTGAAGCTTCTAATGTTGGTCGCTTTCGTTCTTGTCGACCTCCGATACAGAAAGATGAGATGTATAGGAAAAGCATATTGGCATATAGATAGGGGTGCTTGCAATAGATAGGCTGAATCAGCCTTAAAATCAGCCTCAAAATCAGCCCCAACATCAGCCCCAAAATCAGCCTGCACCAGACATCAGCCCTTGAGACGCTCGTGTTCGAACATGGGAGCCTGCTGCCTGGCCACAGATGATGAGGGGTAATGGAACGAAGCAGGATCACGTGTCAAGGCCGACATGAGCTTCAACTTGAACCTGCGTCTCGAGCTCATGATCGTACTTCTTCATCCGCTCACGGCGAGACCTCGCATGCATGTCGCCATCGTCGCACAATGGAGCCGATCGGACTCGGCATTGGCATCATTGGTCTCGCGGGCTTGTTCACAACATGCCTGGACGCCCTTGACAGGGCCAAAGCATATCGGAGCTTCGCGGCTGATGCTGACGTTTTTGATGTCCAGTTCAGCGCCCAAAGATTGCGCTTGGAGCAATGGGGCCACGATGTTGGGTTTGACGGCAAGAATGTCGCCACCGAACATCACCCACGCCTTGACCAGCAGCAAACGAGGGACTCTGTCGCGGACCTCTTCAGGTTGGTCAACAACATGTTTGACCCTAACAGTGGCCTGGCGCCGGGATCAATTGGTAGGAGAAGTGCCCCGCTTAGGGGCTGCAATATTAGTGAGCGTTGCGCTTCGAAGACATCCCGGCTGGGCTGGGCTCTGGGAGGCAAAGGGGCGGCAACCGACCAGTTGAAGCTTCTAGGGGACTTGATTAACCTCTTGTACGGTCTTGTGCCACCTACACAACAAGAGGGAGGGACTTCGGCACCGCCTTCTCCACCATCCCCAGAGTGGCTTGACGAGCTTCGCCAGGTCATTGCTGACCAACAAGGTGATGATATTGTGTAACGCGCACAGACAATGTAAGGTCATACTAACATGCACATCAGCGGAAAAGCGACGCCAAATCATGGCCTGGGTCCTTGGCCAAAATTACCAGAATCGATGGGACGATGGCTTCTGGAACGACAGGATCAGCGGCACCTGCGAATGGATCCTTAGCCGGCAAGCGTTTCGACAATGGGCTGCGGCCGAAAGGACCGATTCTATCTCACAGATCCTCTGGGTTCATGGAAGCCCAGGCTTCGGGAAGACATTCCTGTGTTCACGCATCGTCCAATATCTATCGGAAGAATCTGGGGAGCCTGTCGCCGCATACTTCATGTCATCTGACTACTCAAACCGAGATGATCCCTACACTATCATTCGCTCGTGGATATCACAGCTTTGTTCACACACAAATGTCTTTGATCTTGTCAGTCACCGTTGGCAGGCAACAAGCGACCAGAAAGCCAACCGCTTGACGATTATCGACATCCTGGGCGATATCTTACGGGACCTGCCCAAATGCTTCCTTGTCGTTGATGGTCTTGACGAGTGCTCGGCCTCCGAAGACGGCATCTGTTCCATACCGAGGTTCCTGACCGACGTCAGCACCATTCTGGGGCCATCAAACCGGATGCTCATCGTGAGTCGTGAGTTGTCTGCGATCCGCGAGGCACTTCGCTTTACAGACACTGCCGTGTCCATGAGCGAGTATCGCATATCACCAGAAGACGTCGAAATAGACATTGCAAGGTTCTCTCGGCACATTGTGGACAGAAAGCTGGCGAAGAAATCCGAGGACTTCAGAGCCGACCTTGCCACAAACATGGCCTCGAAATGCCAAGGCCAATTTCAGTGGCTCAAAGTACAAGAGCCGTCTCTAAAGGCGTGGAAGAGCTCAAAACAGCTGCACACCATTCTTGAAAATACGCCGAAAAAGCTAGAAGAAGTTTACGAGAGAGATTGGAAGAAAGTCCTGGAAAGTGATCGCAACGATCGCGCAATCAACCTACTTCGCTGGGCTGCCTTTGCTGCCCGTCCTCTGACGGTGAGCGAAATTGCTGAAGCAGTCTGTATCAATGAGGACTGCGAGGATCTTCGAACAGAAGACATGCCAGAAGAATATATTGAAGAGTATCTTAATGATGAGATCGTCGCGCTTTGTGGTCCTCTTATCGAAGTACGAAACCAGCAAAACGGCCAAGCCGTGGCAGACTGGACAATACACCTGTCCCACTTCACTGTCAAACAGTTTCTCCTGAGCAGACTGCCGGTACCAGATATTGGGATTGAAGAGGCCTTCCGATTCTCCAACGAACAGTTGCAAAATACTTTCCTCGCGAGACATTGTCTTCTCTACATACAGTACCCTCAAATATGGCAGCAAGAAGACGACCAAGCTGCGCAAATACCTGCTCACCTTGCGTTCCGAGTATATTCTTCACTGCTGTGGCCTCTCCACCTTAGTCAAGGAGTTGATCTTAGCCGAGACTCGGGGACAGATGCTCATGTTCTGTCGTTCATGGACGAGGCGCATCCTGCATTCAGACCATGGGCACAATGGCTTGACGGCTGTCTCAATGACGAAATGAATCGTTTTGCTGAGAGAGAAACAGTTCCTCCGATACCCGCGTACTATGCATTGGCAATTGACCTCGATGATGTCGCCATCCGTCTCATTCGCAAGTCCGGTCTTGGAGAGAGAGAACGAGAGCGCATTCGGCACCCTCTGATCGAGTGCTGTTGTGGCGGCGGCAAACCTAAGGCTTTGAGAGCAATCCTCGATAGCGGTGCTGATGTCAACGTACAAGATGCGCGGGGAAGATCTGGCCTATGCTGTGCATCTATGCTAGGCCACACAGAGATTGTCAAAACCTTGCTGGACCGAAAAGCTCATGTCGATGTGGCAGGTCGTGATGGTTGGCGGCCGATTCACCATGCCTCCTTCGGAGGCTCCCTGGATGTGGCCAAATATCTGGTTCAGTCTGGTACCAACTTGGACATTGCCAACAACAAAGGATACACCCCCTTACACTACGCCGCCAAGGAGGGCCACCTGGACTTTGCAAAGTACCTGGTGGAGAATGGCGCCAACTTGAACGCAGTCGGTGGTGGCGACGGACGGTCTCCCTTGCACTTTGTCGTGTGCGCGGGTAGCCTGGATTTGGTTGAATATCTGATAAGCAAGGACGCTGACCTTGGTGCAACAACTCGCCATGGAGTGACACCACTGCACATGGCTGCCCACTTCGGTCACTTCGAGATTGTCCGATCCATGGTGGAAACAGGCAGCAATCTCGAGGCCGTTGACTTGAATGACCGAACACCGTTGTGGTGGGCTGCTCGCCGTGGGCACTCGGACGTGGTCAAGTACTTGGTGATCAAAGGTTCTCAGTTGGGAGCGCCTGGAAGGCCTGCTCTACATGCCGCTGCTTCTGGTGGTCATCCGGACATGTTGGACCTCTTAATGGAACTGGGCGCCAGTTTGAAATCTGTGACCACCTCTGGCACTGACCTGAACATTGTCGATATGCATGGCCGTACACCGTTGCACGCCGCTGCTCGTGCCGGTAAGACGAATGCTCTGGAGCACTTGATGGACTTGGGTGCTTCACTGGAAACATTCGATGTCCACGGCGCGACGCCCTTTGGTTCCGCCATTGGTCATGGTCAACTCAAAATTGTACGACACATGACAGCGGCGAACCCCAGCCTGATAACCGCCTGTGCTTCTGGAGAGCCTCCCTTGAACTACGCCATCCGCAAAAACCAGCTGGAGATTCTGAAGCATTTGACGCAAAGTCGGATTTACATGGAGGCCACTGATAGCAGGGGCCGTACACCTTTGCATGTTGCCGCTAGCCTTGATCGGCTCGCCATGGTCAGACACTTGGTTAAGAAGGGTGCCAACCTTGAAGCCGAGGATGACGCTGGGAGAACCCCCTTACAAAAAGCCGCGGCCCGTGGTTGCTCAGATGTCTTGAAATATTTGGTAGAAAAATGTGCGAATGTCGAGGCCGAGACCGTCTTAGGCACCCCTTTGTTTCTCGCCGCTACTACTGGAGACTTGGACGTTGTCGATCCTTTGGTGGAGAAGGGTGCGAGCCTATTCCATACCAAGAGGCAGGATGCCTGGGCACCCGTGCATGCGACGATAGGCGAAGGTCACACACAGGTGCTGGATTTTGCTGTTGCCATGGGATCTCACGATCAGGTGATGCAGCATCGCGGATCGACTGAGGTCTTTGAGTTGTGAGAAGGGACACACGGAGATGACTAGGTATCTTTGAGATAGGTATGCTCCGACTAGGCGACGTGGTTGACTTCTACGGCAAGTCTCTCATCTTCCACGCGGCTCGTTGCGGCCGGGCCGAGCTGGTCCAGTTTCTCCTGGGTGACAAGACAGTCGACCCGTCTCTTGAGGATTGGTGTCGCTCCACGACTCTATTCGCTGCTGTGGCAAACGGCCACGTCAGTGTGGCTCGCCTCCTCATAGAGCACGGCATGTCCGTGGAGAACCACAACCGGCTCGGCCGGCCCCTGACCTACTGGGCTAGGAAGGCTGGTTCGGCTGAGATGGTAGATGTCCTTAAAAGCCACGGATGCCCCGCTGCCGATGGCGGCGCCGAAGAAGATGGCGTTGACGTGACCAAGGTCGACTTCCAACCGGGCTATAGGTGGTGCCATGGCTGCACGCTCACGATTGCTGGCTCGTATCACTGTTGCAGAGAGTGTGTTGTGTTTCACTTATGCGGACTCTGCTTCTTGGCCGATCTAACTAGGGTGTCCGATAGAAGGCCATGGGAGGGACGGCATGTGCTTGAAAGAACTTGATTGACGGATATACGTCCCCAAGAGACGGGGATGATCCTAATAAGGAAGTGTATATCTCATACTAAACTACTCTACTCCAGTCTCGCCTCCATGACTCGCATATAAAAGTCATTGATCATGAAGGTCGAATAGCTTGCCTTTGTCCAAGGTTTCTCAGGATCAGCGAGTTGGAAATCAAAATTTCGCAGAAGCTACAAACGGTTAGCAGTGAGTTGCGCGTTCCTATCTGTAATGAGCCACAGCCTACCTGGACGAAGATTTTATTCAACTCCATCTGAGCAAGCGTCTTGCCTAGACAGCTGAAGCGACCATGACCAAAGCACAGGTCGACGGTCTTGCGCATGCGCGCCACGGCGTCAGGGTCGCCAAGCGCGAGGAAACGTTCGGGGCGGAAGACATCCACGTCGTCGCCGAAGACGTCGGGATTCCGAAGCATGGCCCCAAAGTTCTGATAGACGTCGGTGCCGGCGGGGAGAAACGTGTCGCAGACGGTATCGCCGCCCGCTGGCACCCGCTTGGGGAAGCCGAGGGTGAGTGGAGGCATCATGCGAGTTCCCTCCCAGAGCAAGGCTTGCATGTACGGAAGCTTTGTAGCTTCGGCGTTTGTGACGGGACTCGAGACGTGCCCGTCACGGACCGCCGTCGCGATCTCCTGCTTTGCCTTCATGTAGATGGTGGGCGACGTCACGAGGAGGAGCAGGATGCCTCGAACAATCGTGATGGACGTCTCGGTCCCAGCGGCCATTTGCGCGGCCAGATCAAGCTGGCATTCCTCAGACGATAGGCCCTGCTTGATCCAACTGCCCTAATCATGTTGTCAGTCTAGATCCGGTTGTAGAAGGGTAGCAACTTTGTGTGCATATACGAACCAGGATGTCGTCTGCTTGGCCTTTGCTCTCTTCCTTTTCTCGGAACCGTTCTGACGCGACTGCCTCTATGAATCTAGTTGGAAGACTAATCAGTTTTCTTTCGGCAAGGAAGAATGCAGGGCCTGGAAAGAAAGTGATTAGAACTCACCCTAGTGATTTACCGAAGCCATCATTGTCCGTTCTCTTGGCTGCAATATTCAGAATCAGCGATCTGACAGAAGTGGTAGCATAGCTCAAAAGTGCACGTACGGCCGAAAAGCTTCAGAAAGAAGGGCGAGCTAAAGATGATCCTCGTAACGGGAGACAAGGAGACGGTATGCAAGAAGGCCAACGATGCGTCTCCCTCTTTGAGATAGTTGAAGTGGTCCGTCTCGTCAGCCAGGTCACCCCATGCCTTGCCGAAGCCGCACGTGGAAATCAAGTCGACCTGGAAGAACTGCAAAAGGCGGCCACCAATGTTCATCGTCGCCTCGCCACGGACGACGCGGGCGCGTAGATGCTGCACGAGATCGGCGAGGCCCGCGTCGATCTTGTTCTCCAGGTCGAGCAAGCCCTTGCCTGCGTAGCCGACGGCTAACTTGGCCCTTCGCCGGTCATGCTTGGCCGTGTCGCATTCGGAGAAGACAGAGTCGCCGCGGGGGTCGAAGCGGAGGGCCGAGTACCAAGGGCCACGCGTGTACGTCGAGCGGGCTGCATTCATGTGCCACAACGCCTCGGCCTCGTAGATACAAACGGCATCGGGTCCCAGGCGCATCACACGCCCGTGCCTCTTCTGTTCCGTCCGCAGCGTTGCGGAGATCCGCCCAGATGTCTTTCCGTTCAGTTGGGGGCTTGGGGCACTGGGGACGCTATGAGAATGTCGGTAGGAGTTTGAGAAGACCGAGTTATGATTTAGAAGCAAGTAAGTCCCTGGGCATGGGACGCATGTTTTAAGCGATGGCATCCAATGGCACGGTCAAGGAGGACAACTTAGCCGCTCCTTGCCCTCAAGCTCCTTGCGCACAAAGCGAGCTATCTCGCAGGGGATAATTCCATCCATGTACGAAAATGATCCGTGAGGGTGTCAGGAATCAGCAGTCAGCACCTCGTCCTCGAGCCTCCTGCATGTGATTAGGCATCCATCTGTACTACCGTAGAGGTAAGCCGCATATCAGCGAGTCCAACATGTACGCATTGAGTCCAAGTACGGATAGCTTCAATGGCACTTTGGCCTGGCTCGATTACGACCTGAAGAAGAAGAGCGTCGTCATCTACGACTCAGGAAACAAGCCGTGGTCCACCACCAATATTGAGACCGCCGCCCCTGTCATCGTCAAGGTGCTGCACAAGCCTGACGAGACCAAGAATAGGGCCGTATTTGTAGCTTCATTCACCGTCTCACAGCGACAGGTACTTGCCGCTCTGGAGGAGGCTACCACGTCCAAGTGGGAGGTCAAGCAAATGACCTCGGCCAAAGCACTGAAAAAGGCTGCAGACATGGGCGATCAGGATCACTCGGAGGGGCTGAAGCTGCTTTGCCTGATGCTCATGTATGCGGAGGATGCGGACAGAGGCTCCAACTTTGAGAAGGATGGAGTATTGGACAATCAGCTGCTTGGGCTGCCCGAGGAGAATCTCAACGAGGTCATCCAACGAGTGGTCAAGAACTGAAGCTATGCGTGGGGTTACGGCCAGAAGGCCAGTTCTTTCAAAAGCAGATATATGCTTACCGCCTGCATTTTGGTACTTCCAATCCCTACGGCGTGTTCCAAAGTCAAGGTTCGGAGCCTTGTTCCTTCATGTTGTCAACGTCGGTGACTCGCTGCGTTTCTTGTCCAAGTTTCGCCTGCAACCGTGTTTGCACCGTGTGGCGCCGTGTCACGAGCGCTGGACGTCCGGGCCGCGTTACTCTATCATTTATTTCCTGCGACCGAGTGACGATGCCGAATTCGTCGACTCAGAGGGGGCGCACTGGACGGGTCGAGGCTGGCTTCATCGGAAGTTTGGTAACTATAGGCTGACGCACGAAGAGCAGGGTCAGACTGCTATAGCAACAGGTGGGAAGGGGTTTCTTGGTCTTTGGGGTACGTGATGGGGCTGGTAATAGTCTCTTTTTGGGTTGAGGATAAGGGGGTTTGCTTTCGTACATAAAGGGGGTCACAGGAGAGCGAATAAGATAGTTGTTCTACCCCGCATAAGACGCTGTAACAGCGACAATACTAACCTTTGAATTGGAAGAACCTTCGCGGCTCAAATCGTCTTTACAGAATCCTTTGTAATATGCTAGGAGGATTTGTATCCCACTGACACTCCAAAGCAAGGCGTTTCGCGCTAGTGCTACATGTAGGGTAGACGATGGATAGGGGTTGCGGGACTGTACATAGCCCACGAAGAGCTGAGTCATTTGGTCTGGTCTTCATGAGGTACCATTGAAGCCAACACAATCACATACGACCATACCCAGTGGAAAATACGGGATCCCGTCCGCTCTCCCATAGTCAAGCCGCTGAGGGGCTGATTAGTAGTTGGGTCGGTGACGACCAGCGAATACCGGCTGCTGTATGTTTTTTGCTCTTTTTGTAGCAAAATCGCCAAGAAATTCAAACCGGAGATTAAAATTTAGGTTGCGAAGTGGGTGGGTGGAGATAGATCACGTGCAGAAACCTTAACTGGCTAATACGTCTTTTTATTGGCTGAAGTTGCCCCGCTAGTACTGAGACCAGGGTCTCAATCTCATTGACGGCTCAGCCATGGAAGAGTTATTCCTATTTCAAATCTGGTCAATCCAGTCTTGGTAGTGTGGTGATCAGACCCAGTTGCCTCTCGAAGATGACAACAACACTACAATCACGAAAGACTAGCTGCCCCGCGACAGTTCCAAGACCGGTCTTTATTTATGGGACGTTATGCGCCAAACCCCTTCTCGCCTGGGCTTTGACAGGTAGCGCCGCTCATGTCGACCAAATCACGGTCCTCATCTCTCCAGCTAAGGCGTTAAATGTCGCCCGCTACTCAGTACACGGCTGTGACTACCCAGCTGCGATCAAAAAGCAAGGTTCATATGTAACTGGATATCTCCTACAGCCACAGACGCTTTCCTAGCGCAAAAAGCTCGACGATTTCGAAGGCGAGACGTACCAAGTCGAAACTATTATAGTTTTAGTATCGGGGGTAGACGTTAAAGCAGATATCTATCTGTGGAATAGTGACCAAGATTCGGTCTCTAGTCGGCAGTGGGATTTAGAATGGTTTATTTAGGAAAGATTGGAAGACTGGATTGATCTATTCGAGGGTATGGAGTTGGTTAGGGATGATAGTCAAGATTCATGACTATCAGACAGACAGAGCAGTCGGTCTTGGCCAATAAGTAGTTATGGAGGCAAGGTCGACGGATCTTAAGTACCTTATGCGGTACGGTGGAGTCAACTAAGGTAATGCTTAAACCGTGACGGCACCCCTGTGGAGGATCACCTAAAAGCCACGTGTCCACCAAATACGGTTAAGCCTGGCCAGGAATACCCATGTTCCAGAGGCCAGATCCGTTCAGTTCTCGGCTTCTTCCGACACCAACCTCCACAGGCGCCACCCACCGGTACTTATACGATTCAGCATCCAAGACACAACATCCCACAACGGGCCTGGCTCACGAGCGCATATCATCACTGTCAAGCTTTTGCGACAATGCCATCTCCTAGAGTGCGCATCTTGCTCCGCGTCCTTGGTCTGCTAGCGTTCCCTTTCGCGCTCTGGAGGATCATTCCCGAGAACTACGACGATGCTGCACGACGCGTGGCAGATGCCGGCCGTGTCGCAGTCGGATTCGATCTAGGCCAGTCTTATGCGTAAGTCCGTCAATCTCTTTTCCGCTTCCTCGCCTGCGGACGCCGAGTCGTGAGAAGACGTTAATCAGTAGAAACCCGTTCTAGAACATCCGTCGCTCACTTCAGCAACGGGACGGTTGTCAGTTTGCCAAAGATCCCTGGCAGCGAAGACTACATTGCGTTCATGGCGCGAATGAACAACCAGCCCCCGTCATTCCTGCCCGATGGCTACGTGAACCAGCGTCCCAGTCGCCCTCAGCTCCTCCAGGATCTGTGGACGCTCTTCATGCGAAGCATTGGCCTACCGCCCAGCAAGGATGCGGCCGTCCTGGTCAGAATGAAGGTCGCCTTGAAAGCCGCGTCAGAGGTTGCGCTCGGCCATGCTATCGATTCCGCCGCTGTCACCGCGCCATGGAGAGCGTCATGGCAACACGAGGTACCGAGCCTTGGTATTGTAAATACCGCGCTTTTGTTGGCGGGCATCACGCCTGTGGCTTTGGAGGACAATGATACGTTATACATGGGCGAGATAAACAGCCTGCTTGCTGCGCACAAGCGCAAACTATGTCCAGCAATTTGGTGCGCTGACCATTTCGGATCTGATGCTGGTGAGCCGCAGCCGATCAACTTTCTGATCAGGTACGTACACATATGGTAAAAGCATTTGCTATCTATACTGATATGGCAAACAGCTTCACCAACCAGTCCTTGCATACCTCGTTCCAGGTAACGCGGTGCTTCTTCCTCGACTCATGGAGTAACGATTTTGGTACAATTGATTCGAGGTACGGGCTCGACAAGCTGATGCACATGGGGCCCGAGCGCCGGGAAGACTTCTGGACCTCGATTCATGACCATCTTGTGGAACGTGTCACCAAATACTTGGGGCGTCACTCCCCGCACCCCCGTGTTCCATTTCTCGCACTCGTTGCTGGGGAGGCTTCCGATACGCCGGAATTCAGGACTGTCCTGCAAGAGGTCACAGAGAGCGTTGCAAGACTTCGCGTGGCCGATGCGCGGTCACAAGGAGAACCTGAAGGCACTGATATACGGCCGATGGAGCTTCTCATTGCGGATGATCCAACATTTGCTGCGGCGAGAGGCGCGGCCTTTTGGATGCGGATGCAGCTCGATTGGTCGTATTGCGAAGACTGCTTCGCCTCTCGCCCGGGAGAGTACGTATCGCAGTACGACATGCTCAGCGAGTCTCATGTGGAGTTATGAGTTGCCGGGATGCCATCCGCAGGTGCCATCAGTCTACCATTTCAGTGGCCACTCTTCATAGTTCAAATCGATACATGAGAATCTCTCTTGGTGTGGCCTCCACGCCTCCGGAGCCATGAGACATAACACCAGCATGTCTGCGTCCGCTCCTACCCCGTCGTACGGGGTCCCGTTGTGCCACATGTCTCCCCAGACACGGGGCACACTCGGATACGTTGCGAGAGACGAGCTCCTTTCCAAGAGAATGCGATCCTTCACCGAAAGTAGCCTATAGCTTGATTCAATATAGACTTGCGACCGATCAGCCGGGTCCACACCCAAGTCCTCCGCGCGCGACCGTAGTGCTGACTGCTGCTCTTCTCTGCTTCTTCCAGGAGGAAATAATTGGGGACTACGCCAGGCAAGACTAGAAGCTCGTCAAAGAGTTCCCTGTAGTCGGCAAAGATGGCGGCGCAAAGGCAGGCTTCTCGCATTCCAGGGACATGATGAGCTAGTGCCTAGTATGTGGTGGCTGCAGCGAGATCAGGGTACCAGATGAGGTACAGCAGACTTTCCTTGTCGTCTTTGTGGGCGAGCAAGCGGGAGATGTTATTGTTCATAATGTGCCGTGCCCCAATGGCCTTTTGGATATGGAATCTGTCTCGCCGGTAAAAGCGTGGGTCTTCAAGGATGTTCGGCTGGCGCGACCACCATAAAGCAAACAGGGGGTGGTGATAGATGCCCCTTATAACGCAGCAGAGCTCCGCTCTCGCCGGTTTCGGCCGCCAAAGACGGGTGTAACGATCAATGTCGCCATAGTAGGCAGCCGTGAGAATGAGTTGATCTTTGTCTTTGGCCGGGAGATAGACAGGTAAAAGGGACGTGAGAAGGTTGAGCATCGGATCGGTAGATAATAATGACGAGGGCCTGTAGTCGTCGTGGGGGACTAATTCAGAGATTCCTTGTTTCTCTGCGATATCATATATCATTTCATCCAAGCCGAGGTAAGGACATATCTCGAAAAATAGACCATCTGGTCCTTCTGGCTTTGTAAACTCCTGCTTCTGACGCTCTATAATCGACAATACGCATGTGTCGCCATTCAGAACGGCAACTTGCCGGGTTTCGGAATAATCGCCCGGTGATAGTCGTCCATGACTTTGTATAGCGCGGGCTGCGACATGATGTGGTTGAAAATGGCGTCGCTGCCCCCATCGCGAGCTTCCTCCGCAACGGCAACTCGGGGAGAACATGCTCCAAATCGAGATACAAGGCCTATGTATCCAGCCACGGCGCACGCACTAGCCACCTGGTACCTCATCTAAGGGTATCTTTTAACGAGTCGCCGATACGTATCTTCCTTAGCGACGTCGGGGTATTAGACACAGTATGGTAGTTCCTGCGGCTGCTTTGCGAGGTCTATGTCCGGGATGAGATCGCTTATGATCGCGCGGGCGTTGAGGGCCTTTGAAAATTCAGGGTGCTCGGGTATGCCGCGGAGAATTGTAGCATCGGCCTCTGCAAAGGGAGCGAAGTGAAGGATACCATGGACGGTGCTTAGCTTGCTTGGGGATAGCCGAAGTGCTCTGGCAGCTTTTCCCCCCGCAGTGCTCCAATGATGTCCGGAAGGTTATATTCGGAGGAAGCAAGACGCTGAGCGATCCTAATCTTTTCTTTCATAATGAATCTGATAACTCAGCCCCGTTGTGTGCTGTCGACATCAAATCGGGATGTGATGTTGCGTGGTGGCAGCAACACGGGACAGGGGCAAGGTCAAATACTAACTTGTCTCTAGGGCGATTTGTAGGCTAGACCGTCCCTCGGTTTCTCCCCTTTTTAAGGACTATTTACTTGCACCATCCCCTCCCGTGCCTAGGAGATTTCCCCTCATAGGTTAGGCAATAGCGAAGATAACCCAAAAACAAGACAAATGGGTCGGATTCAGAGAGTAGAGGGCATGATCACACTCTGTACTTGGTTGCAAACAATCGCTCGCGTACTTTCTGTCTCGGGCGGTACACGCCTCGCGTTAGAGTTGCGCATTCGTCTCTCGACTCGCTATTGTCGGTGTCGCTGGAGTTTGCCTCCCCCTCGTCACTATGATCATCATCATTGAACGGCTGAATAGTAAGCAGCAGCTCTTTAGCAAATGCGGCTGCTGCCAGGGCTGCATAGCATTGCCAGCCCTTTTGCTTGTGAGGGTCTGCGTAGTCGGAGATGCCGCGTATGACGAGACACGAGGATTCGGTGGCGAGTCCTGCCCCCTCCATTTCGAAGCAAAGTACATCCCCGTAGTTATTGAGCTGATTCAGAATTCGTCGCCGGCTCCCGTTGCTCATAATAACACTATTGCCCGAGGCGATCAGCCCGTAGTGGATCTTTGGTATGTCTGGCTTGGCACGGGGCGCACGTCGAACCGCATATCGTGACATGAGGTTCCTGCAATCGCATCCATGGGAGACATGCGGTACATTTGGTAGGAGGAGAACGTCGGTCGAGGCGGGAGGTCTGCCATATTCTCTCCCGTCTTCGTCGTCTCCATCAAGCACAGCGCGTATGTGCTCCGATATTCGGGTTAACATCTCGCGGTCGGTCTGCAATCCGATGATAGCGCTGCGCACGAATTCGGGAGACGGTGCCAGGAATCCCTTGAGCTGGAATCCGCCATCGAGATCGCGGCCTAGGTCGTACTGCACAAGACCGTGATGTCCGTTGGCCGGCATCGCGACGACAACATCGCCCAGGCGCATGTCACGCCGCTGCAGCGTAGCTTCGTCCTCGCCGGCGACGCGTCCTCCCACGCCGACGAGGAGTTGAAGCCGTATATGTTTAAAGGTGCGGGACAAATTCGAAGATACTCGTGCAGCGGCAACCGTGCCCTGTGTGCCCGGAAGAAACGCAAGTATGATGTTGTGACCGTTGATCTCGCCTGCTACATACGAGTTGGGGTCCCCCCTCTGTCGCTTGGGGGTTCGGTGCTCCCTCTCAAGCATGGGCCTGAAGGCTCCCAACTCGAGCCCCATGGCGAAGATCACCGCCACAGCGTACTCATCCCGGGACTTTTGCATTTTTTCGCGACCCATGATGGAATTTCGGATCGAATCGCCACGGTCGTAACTCGTCAGAACACGAAGAGTGATGATCATGGGTATGGGGTGTGAAGAGAGGGAGCTGACGTCGGGCGCTCGAACAGGAAGAGAGCACTCATTTTTGGCGACGGCGGCTGCCGCTTCTTTCGAGCGGGCTGAACGAGCATCTCGTCACGGGGACGCCCTGTGCAGACGGAGGAGGCTCTGCCATTGGGTGCAGCATTTGACGAAGACGAAAGTGCACAAACTTGAAGGCTGAGAGGTGAGGCAATCCAACACTACATGGAAAAGTCTCGACTGCTCGCTTTCGGCCTCCCGAGAAGTGATTGCCGTTGTGTTCTCTCGGTCTTGTTGGCCTAAACATGGGACTTTACGCGCCTCGTCCTGCTGTGGCCGTCAATGTCATTGTCCGGGTCCATGTCAATCGCGTCCAAGATGCATTTCGCCCTCCAGCCAATCATTCAGGTAGCATTGAAGATTAGCCGCCAGAGTGACCAGACCCTTGGATATAGCACTTTGTAGACTTGTAGGTATATTAAGGGGCGGTCACGCCTAACTTAGGCCCGCGACATCGAGACAAGGGTCATGTGCTACGTCACGTGAGGGCCGTTCAGACCGCCCCCTTTACCTCCTTCCTTCTTCAGTCGGTTGCCTTGAACGACCATTATCGCTCGAACAAGGCCTGCCTCTGGATCTAATTACTTAGTCATCGCGCATTTCCTCCAGCACGAGCACGGTCAACTCGAGCCATCTTCTCATGATCCTGCCTCATCTTCTCCGCCACCCGCCATCGCCGTGAGCACTGGCAACGGCTCGAGAGCAGGCTCAGGGCGCGATGAACCGCCAGGCAACGCAGTCCGTCAAACGGTGTCGCATTGGATATGCCGCACACTTCGAAAGCGGAACCGGACGCCCTCACCACCGCGGCCCCTACCGTCGCCACGCCCACGGCCTATCACACCCTCGGGGTCGTCATCTTCGACCTGTCGCAGAGCCCCTCAGCGCCAGAGCCCTTTCTTTCGCCTACCAGCTGAGATCCGTCATGAGATTCTCATGGAGACCTTTGGGAACCGCACCATGCACATGGACCTAACGCTAGATCACCCAATGGCGGCGCCGCGGCAGCAAGCGCACGGCGACAGATCTTCGAGGAGGCAAATCAGACTACCGCGTGTGTGGGAGTGGGGCAGCAGCGACTGCCATCGAAACGCGCCGTGGCTGAAGGATTATCCTAAAGACTTCTGGCGCCAAAATACGCCTCTAGACGTAGATTGGTGCATGAAGGGTCAAGGTAGAATATGCGGTGTTTGGTTCGGTGAGAAACCTTATAAGTGTCGGATCGGTGCTATGGACTGGCTCCTCTCATGTCGTCAGGCGTAAGTTTTCATAGCGCATGCTTTCCCGTTCTAACACCGGCAACAAACAAAGTCTTACTAACGGGTGCGGCTTAGGTACGAAGAAGGCATACATATACTCTACGGCACAAATACGTTCTTTTTATCAAGCGACTTTCTCCTGGCGCATCTGGCCGACTATATCCTACCACAGAGGCTAGCCCAAATGACATCGTTCGAGGTAATCCTAGATCTACCCCTCTACAAGTCACATCAGAGTCTATTTCGACCATCGAGTGCAGCCTTGGTATCCGTCCTCCGAGGCCTTTCGAAAACTGGCATGCGCCAGCTATACCTATGTCTCCACGATCATTGCCTATGGGGAAGTCTTCTCGAAATCGACCCTGTGCACATTCTCGATACCATAGACACGTTTATTCTCTCATCAAGAATGGAATCAGTCGTTCTGGAGATACAGCCACACGCGTTGAAGCGCCTTGAAGCGGAGGCAGTCTCACTACCGGAGGAGACCTCGCGGAACGCACAACCACGCACCACCTATCCACGGCTATGGCGATGCTTAGATGACGACCAGGGGCTTGCAAGAACACAGAGGCGCAAGTGTCTCTACCCACTGGTGCCTGCACCCCCATGAGACCCAGCCGCACCTGAGAAGGGACTGAGTCGCGGTTATTGGATCATCAGCACTATAAACCACATGCCCAGGCCAATGATGTGTGGTTTCCCCTAGGTCAGGAGAGCAACCAGTGGTTAGGGCGGGGGTTGGGCCTAACGAGGCTTCCGCCGGGCTTGCGCGGAGGAAGTATAAAAATCTGGTTCAACTGCACTTCATAGCTATGGCATTCACAAGGTTGGTATCGCATCGCTTCGTCGGTCCATAGTTGCCGCCGGTCCCGACACTCCTACGCAGTAATAGTACCCTGGCCACATATTAGCGCAGCCGTCGCCGACCGCGGGATTCCACGCGTAAAAGTCACTAATCATTAAGTGTTAGCGCATCCTCTTTCGACAAGGCCTCTGGGCTCTTCTCGCCATGCCACGGAAACGACTTACTCGAGAGACACGCCGTTCTTGACGGCCATGTCGTAGCAGAACTCGCCTTCCTGCTGCATGTAAAACTGACGACAGCTCTCGGTCATGCCTTCACGGACGGGCTGCGGCACCGTCACTGGCTCTCATCGGCCGCAGGGGTCGTTGAAGCCACCTCGGTGCTGGTGGGGGGCGAATCATCGCTGCCCCTCTTGAGTGACAGCTCACCAAATGCGTATTCGTTAGCTAGTGGTTAAAGGTTTTCTATAGCTTGGGGGAACGAATCGTCAGACGCGGGTGTGTAGATGGTACGAAAGATAATGAGCCCCTATGAGTATGGGCGATCGTGTGAATGAGACACCTGACTGATTTGTTCTAACTCACGTGGAACAGGCCGGTTAGCTTCTGTGCCGAACTTATTCATGTCGGGGTGGTCTGCGATAAAGAGCTCGGGAGAAAAGAGCCAAAATGATTCAACATAATCCTAACCGGATGGAGGCACGGGTGTTCGCATAGTTGACATGATGCCCTTGTGTGTAGCTGGTAGAGTCTGGGCGCTGGGCGCTGAGGGGGGGGAATACAGAGTTTGTTGTTAACAGGAGAGGCCCGGGGACAGGATGGGTGGAGAGTTACCAGGGCAACTACTGCGAGTATACCTGCTTACCCTAGGCCCCACCCCCTTTTTAACTCGGCTGTTGTAGTGTCCCTATACTAGGTAGGTAACCGTTCATCACCACAAGCCTCATCTTTTTATATTGACCTCTCTATCATCTATTAGTTCGTTCATTCAGTTACGCAAGGCTCTTCTAAGATCTGATCCGTATTTATCAGTACCAGCCCAAACATTCAGATGATTCAGATCTTGTGCAGAATTCGTCTCAATCAGTTGAATGGACGACCTGGATCTGGCCTGGTTGATAGACCCGCTGCACCCGCAACTCTGCACCTGGACCAACAGCTATGTTGTTTTTGATGTTTTGGTTTGCCTTTCCGGACTACAGGAGACTCTTCATAATGATACAATTGTTACTCCCAGGCTCGGCCCGAATCGATGCCACAAGGGCTCTACCGGATAGCTTTCGAGAGCACCTCAACAGGATCCTCATCCTCAAGGCCCAACTTGTTCATCCAGAACTTGGCCTTGTCCTCGAACTGACACCAGTTACCGAGTCCGAAAATGCCCGCCGAGATCATCAGGCCCACGGACAGCAGCAACTTGCCGCCCAATTCTGGGTGCACAGCTGCAGCGCTGATCCCCCCGTCTCTGGTGATCTCGTCATATATCGCACGCCCTTGCTTGCCAACGTCCCCGATACTGTTGGGAACCACGGTCCACGGCGATCCGGTCGTCTTCTCAAAGATCTCGAGGACCTGGTTCTGGGTGAGACGGAAGCTGCGGATGAAAATGTGCTGATTCTTGGTAGCCTCGCGGTTCTCGGGGAGAAGGGTGGCCACAATGGCCTTGCCCACCTGGGCGTGGCTCGACGCATCAAAGGGCGTATTGCCGTCGTCGAACTTGACAAATGTCTTGTTGGAGAGATCCCACCATGGCCATTCCTCCGCGGGGGCGGTGGCCATCTGCCATTCGTGTTAGGCCGTTGACAATCTTGGCAGCCTCAACGGACTGTTGAATAAGAGACTCACCCAATCAACCCAAGGGCCAGTCGAGACGGCCGTCCACTCCACTCTGTTCTCGACCTCTCTTAGCTTGTCGACCGTATCTCGCTTCATGATACAGCATTTGATGAGATCTACGACACGTTCATCACTGGTGTCGAGCGTGAATTCCGTAGGGATGAACTTCTTCACGCCAGCGGCTTCGGCAGCATGGATGAACAGGCGCTGGTTCTCCAGGTTGGCGTTGGCCACCGTGCCAATGGCACAAACAACTGCGTGCTGGGACGTGAATGCGTCAATCAAGGAGGCGAGCGTGTACGCGGTGCGGATGACGGTGACCTCGGGCGCGAATGTAGATGACGACGAGGACCGGGTGAGAGCTGAGACGTTGAAGCCTCCGTGCCGGAGAAACGCATCTGTGATGGCGCGGCCGACATTGCCGGAAGCCTACAGGGGAAGCTTAGAATGTAGGACGTGACGTGGTCAATAGTATAGACTTACTCCAATGATGAGAACATTCTTGATTGAGGAAGACATTGTCTAGAGCTTGGAGATTTGGGGGTGATGGAGACGTCGTGAGCCACTGGGATGAAGATGTCTGTGATGCTTGTTCATCATCTACTCTTCAAGGTCATTTCTTGCTCTTATATACGCTTGTGTGCCTCACCTTTGAGCATTTCTAATCATATACCATGCCCAGATCATTGATCAGCAATGTCACAATCCAAGAATCATCGCAGTCACGAGTCGGTCCCGTCGCCGTTTTCACCCGGTGAAGGGTCAGAGGAGCAACTCGAACGCGAGCTCTTCCGCATCCCAATGCCCGCATTTGGATCACAGTGCTTTAATTATGGCATGGTCATCGGAGCCCGGAGTTTGTCTGTGGAGACCTGGTGTGGGCTGTAAGCCGTGAAGCTTCCGTGGCTGGCGTCAGCAGCCCCTCGGACATTGGACTTTGGAAGAGGTCCCGATCCCTGCAGGCACAGTTCAAGCACGTGTCCGCCCAACTACGATTATCATGCTCACTCACCCTTTGTACATTCAACTAGGTACTGTGTGAACCGCTCGCAGGACCCCGGTCGCTAGAGTGTGTACGAAGTCTGGTTCTTCTGTTCCGACTACCTTTGCTATTGGTGGGTTTATCAAGGGCGATGTCTCATCCAGCAGAAGTTGTTGGTCTACTGGATAATGTAGTAATGACAGGGATACAGTAGTGACGACGGCGGGCCTGGGTCTGTTTCTGGCTTCCAATGCTTTCCAAGTGCTCAGAAGGGCCGACGTTGTTCTGAACCCCAGGAGACTCGATTAATGGGCAAGATGTACCTCGGTACGTGTTTCGAGAGTATGGCTCGAAAATCCAGCCAGAAGGGCGCCACGACCTCCTTTCTGTTGCCGCGAAGGCTGAGTGTGTTGCTGATTGCTCCCGCTCACCCTGAGTAGGGTCTTCCAGAACCCATAGACCTCATCTTCAACCTAGACCCCACTGCAGCTCTATCATGCGGCAAAGGGAGAAACACGAGTCCATGATGCCCCCTCTTCATCGGCGCGAAATTCGACGCCCTCGCCAAAATATCCAGCATCTTGCCAAGCCTTCATGGCACTGCCGTCAAAGGGGCCCTGTGTCGCCCCGTCATCGCGCCCGTCAACCCATCTGAACAACCACTTTCGGTTTGGGTCGGCAGCAGTCTCAGCAGTATCCGCCGCTCGAGGCTCGACCCAGTCTTCTCCAGTTTCCCGACTCCATTCTCGCACAAGAATCTCACGCTCTTGGTCGTAGATTTCCTCGTGGTCGCGACTTAAGAGCTTGTCTGACGCGTCTGTGATGATACGTATCGACTCCTTGATCTTGGCCTGCTCAGGGTTCTCGGCCTCCTGATCGACATCCATGGTGTCTTTCTTCATCTTCTTGAGTTTCCAGCTGGGTATCTTCTTCTTCGGCTTTTGACTCTTCCCTAGGCGTGCAAGAGCCTCCAATGGAGTCTCTGCCTTGTCGAGCTGCAATATCAGGCTTCTCAGCAGATCCGACACGGAGACATTGTCCTCGTCCAGCCTTTGCTGTCGTGCCTCGGCCTCCCGTTTCTGGTGGGCTTCGGCAGCTTTGCGGATGGCCTTCTTGCTTGTTCCCTCCAGCCAGTTGTCATGAACGGCATCGGGATCACCGGCTCTGCGAACGTAGTTTCCCTGCTCATCAAATTTACCCTCCTCCATTTCATTCTGTAGATTGAAGCCTTCGAGCTTCGGCGCGTTGCGTTTCAATCCTCCCGCGCCAACTTCCTCGTCAATACCCTCCTCCTGGACGGCGAGCGCAACATCTTCCTCGTCGTCGCTGCTATCTTGATGATCGAGGTGTGCCGAGCTCACTTGACCCTCGATCTTGTCGGCGTCGAGAAACTTGACGTGCTTTGGCTTGATGCCAGCGGCATCAACGTCTGCTGGACCAACATCGTCCGTATCGGCACCAGCAGCTGCGTCATCGTCTGGTGCGAACATGTCGTCGTCGTCCTCGTTGGCTGCCGTGTCCCTTTGTCCTTCTGGCCCTGTGCCAGACGCATCGTAGTTCCCAAAGGCATTGCCGATATTGACGTCGCCTTTTTTCCTCTTTTGCGCCTTATCGTTGAAGGTGTCATTGTCCGAGTCGCTGTCGTAGCCATCCACGTTCACCGCACCGCGCTTTGTCGCTCTGCCGCCGCCAATCACGTCGGCCTCCAGGATCGCGTCATCCTCGCGAGCTTCCGGCGCTAGGTTGGACGGGTTGCGCACGTCGAATTGTAGATTCGTCGAGTCGTTATTCGAATCGTTGTGCTGTGCACGGGCGTAGACCTCGCCCTCTCGACTAGGTCGCGCAGCCGAAAACCTTGATGCCATATCGTGATGAACCAGCGAACTGTGCAAGCTGGCTTTGAAGCATAGAAACCATAATGGTTCAAAAGAAGAGAGCTTGTGAATCACAATGTCGCAATAGAAAGCGACCCGAGTTTGTAACTTTGACGCCACACCTCGAAAAGCCACAGTGTGGAGTCGAGGGGACCATTGTGCGTCATGCAGGCAGCTGCCTCCGAGCTTCGCCCCACGTCACGACGTTCAGTTCAGTTTCCACCTGTCAACGATCCCGAACCAGCTTCAACCTTCCACATCTTGAATCCAGTTGCTGCAGCTTTGTCCCTTTTCAAGCACAACTAATCGTCTCGATATACCATCCACAACCAAACAGCGAGCGAAACGATTTCGACAGTTAGTTGAGCCCTACTTGTAGCTGTCTAGTCATGGTATGGTATCTTCCGGGAGGTTGTGTCTTTCGGCTCTAACCTAGCTATAGTACTCCAGCTTCGGAGGCGGTCCTGGGATGGACCCAGCGGACTTTCTAAACATGCGCGCCGGCCGCCGACCGATCGTCCAGCGGTTCGATGAATACTATCGATGCTACCCCATCATCATGGCGCCCGGCAACGCTCGACCGGAATTGAACTACGGATCGAAGATCATCCTACCTCCCTCAGCCCTCGACAAAGTGTCCAAGCTCCATGTGCAGTGGCCACTATTGATGGAGCTTATCAACGGAGCCGGACCGAAACAGACGCATGGTGGCGTGCTGGAGTTCATCGCAGAGGAGGGCAGGGCATACATCCCACAATGGGTGGGTAGCCCCTGACACTACGAGAATGCCATACTGACCGAGGCAGATGATGGAAACGCTAGGTATGGACGTTGGTGACATGATCCAGATACGGACAACATCGTTGGAGCTTGCCAAGATGGTGAAGCTGCAACCCCAATCTACGAACTTCCTCGATATCAGCGACCCAAAGGCAGTGCTGGAGCGAGCATTTCGAAATTTTGCGACACTCACAAAAGGCGATGTCTTCAACTTTGAATACAACGACACAGTGTATGACGTGGCGGTGTTGGACGTCAAGCCCGAAACCGACAGGATGGGCGTATGCATGATTGAGACAGACGTATCAGTCGAGTTTGCACCACCAGTGGGCTATGTCGAACCCGAGCGCCAGAGTGGGACGAGCACGCCTCGAAGCGGACGGCCAGGAGTCCCTGCTGGTGGCGTGCTTCACAGCCAAGGTACCATGGCACAGGCCATTAACTACAGCGCTATCGCGCCCTCCGTGACGAGCACTCCGACCAACTTTCTCGGCGAAGGACAAAAGCTTGCCAAGAAGGGCAGTAAAACCGTCACTCCCAAGCCTGCAACGCCGGTCCCAGCTGATGCGGCCGTCCCACCAACACGCCGCGACGGAGCTCCTGCCCCTCTTCGATTGGCACCGAACAAGTTATTCTTTGGATACGACATCAAGCCGGTGAAGACAAAGGAAGAAAAAGAAGAGGAAGCGAAGAACACGAGCAAACCACACTTTGCTGGTCAGGGGCAGTCACTACGTGGCGCTGTCAAGCGTAAGGGCGAGGGCGATGACAAGGGCAAAGCCCCTGAGAAGAAGGGATCTGGTGATGGAAGCCGCCTTGACCGCCGTCCGCGATAAGGTATCGCGTCTGATTTGGGTTGGCGTTTGGGGTCCAGGGCGGCATAGCAATGGCTTTATCTGGGACACACTGTTCACCTATTTAGCGGGCAGAATCATACTCGACGGTGCAAATTATCACAAAGTCCGACTCTGCGGTATCGGTTCTCGCGGATCTGGTGGTCATAGACGCTCAATAGGAGTACGAAGTAATCACTTTCAGGAAGTCAAGTCTGTGTGCACCAACCGAGCTTCCAATACCGAAAATCGCAAATGCACAAAGCCTGAGGCACCCCCCATCCCAAGCTCACTATTCCTGTCTGAGCCTGACTCTTCCCTCAACTGTACGACAAACCAACGAAGCCAGGGTATAGTGTGCGACTATGAAACCGAGCCCACTCCTTTGCACCACTAGGCAGTGAAACCACTGAGCCACTCCTTGAACTTGGCACCGTCCGTGCCCGATGTGAGCCTGCTTAGCTTCTTAGTTGAGCTCAATGTGGACTTTAAAACGAGACACATACCTAAACAAGGAAAGACTTACTCCTCCGCTTCATCAGTGGCTTCGGGGTCCTCAGTCTTCGGCTCTTCGACCTTGACTTGTCGCTTGCGCTTCTTGCTAGGCGTTTCGTCATCCATCGCTTCCTCCTCGTCCTTGATCTTCTTGGTCTTCTTCGCGGAACCCATGCCTGTGCTCTTCCGAGGCGTGTTTGGAGTGGTGGTCTTGACAGGGGTGGATTTGTCCCCGTCGGCGGGCATGCTGCGTCGCTCCTTGAAGGACCTCAAGATTCTCTTGGACCAGTGTTGGCTTTTTGGCACGGTCATTAGCATCATGGATCGCCTCTGGATGACTGGTTGTACATACTTCATGGCGTCCTTGGTGAAGCCATAGCCCCAGTCGCTCATGGACTCGTGAACCTTGTTCCAGTCCGCCTTTATCCTGCCCTCATTCTGGCTGAGAATAATAGCCATGGCAAGATCCTTCTCGGCGGAATCATCCCACTTCTTGTTGTCCTTGCCGTTGGAAGACATGGTTGCCAGGTGCTTCGGAACTATGCGTGATCAGCGAGTTGCAAAGACGAAGATTTAGTAAAACGAGGAGGACCTACCTATCGACTCCTTATTCTTTGCGTTGTTGCGGTGCTGCGGGTGCGAAGGGAGTACAAGTAATCAGGTAGTATACTCGCAAGCAAGTGAAGAAAGCAGGAGGGAGAAGGAGGGAATGAAGAGAAGACAAGACAACAGATAAAAACGTGGACTGATATTTGGGAGCATTCACTCTGCGTGTAAGGCAACAACAAGCATGGCATGGGCGAACCCGCTGGACTGTTTGCTGGGCAGATGAGACGAATGTGAACGGAACATGAGCCACTCACTTGCAAGGCTGCAATTTACTCGCAGCGCATTTTCCCCCGCGACATTAACAGTCAACCTTGACAGGTACGTGGTCTCTGGAGAAACACCGTGCGTTGGCATGTCGTAGATCCTGCGAGTGTAGATGCGGAGAGTGTGGCATCTTCTGCCATCTTCATCAGTGTACGTCTACGAATATACTGAGTCCACTGCATGCCATTTGCATCAACTTCAATATGTAATAAGCGAGGGGATGTCATTCCTTATAGTCATTCAGTCGCCCCATAGGGCAATCTAAGCAACTAGGCAAACCGGAAACTGTCGTAGAAGAAGTGCAGGTAAAGTATCAATGCCGTTCGTGTTTGCCACATGCACAATCCATGCCATCATCAAAGTCAACAAAGCCGTAGACCACCCTGTGCAAGTTGCCAACGAGGTCACTGCAGAAGCCCTCAAGACGCAATGATAGCCATAATTCCATAGTTCCTAAGCTCAGTAGTTCCCTCCATCTCGCACGCTCGGTGCTGTGAAAGCAGTCAGCAAATTGCCGAGCCAGTGGTGCAATGGTAACCTACTTGACGTGATTGGCCATGATCTAGGCAACGGCTTCTGTCTTGATCTTCTTGAGGAGTTGGTCGCCGTCCATGTCATCCTCGGCCTCAAGCTTGGCCATGTGATCTTCGAAACTCTCTTCCTCCTCATCATCACACTGCTCGTCTTCGGCCCCCTTGCCCTTGGCCTTCTTGGTTGGCGTCTTGCGCTTTCGGGGCGTAGAAGCAGCGCTGACAGTCCTCTTGGCGGGCGTGGTAGGTTTGCTTTTGGACTCCTCATTTGCTCCCTCGTTGAGGCGGGACATGTCGCGGCTCTTGCGGAGCTTCTGGATGTGTTGACTGTGGAAGAGCTCGTTAGCAACTGCTTGTCCAGGGAAAGTGGCAAAGCTCGTGTCTCGAAGCGTACTTGATAGCATCGTAGGAGTATGTGTAGCCCTTGGCTCTCATTTGCTCCGCGATATCTGTCACCATTGCCTTGTTGGGCTTGCAGTGGTCGATCAGACAGAGGAGCAGGTCCTCATGGGAGGCCGCGTCCCAGCCACGCTTCATGGTGAGGTGTGAGAAAGAGGGGATGAGATGAGAGATGTAGGTAGGGGAAATGTGATCGGGCCGAGCAGTCAGCCTAGCGGAAGAAGTAAAGTGTAGTGAGGATGAAAAAGGATCAAAGTAGGTAGATCGAAGAAGATTGAAAGTGGGCAGAGGTAGAAATGCAGGTGGGTTGAGGGGCAGGTGAGTGAAGGGGAAGGCAAAGGGAGCCAGAGGCAAGCAGTGATTACCGTAGTGCAGACTCGGAAAAGGTATGTCCCTTGGCGTGAAGACCTTCCATGATCTTTGTGAGATCAGACTGAGGAATTGTGATCGAATGGAAGACCTCGATGAGGATATCCTCATGAGTCTTCTCATCCCACTTGGTCAAGACACGAGACATCTTGGGAAATGTTCTTGTAGCCGTTCAAAGCTAGGAATGAAGGATCTGGTAGTTGATGGATTGTGGATCGTGGGTCTCGCAGGAGAGAGTGTGGTGGTAGATGTGCGGAAGTGAGGCCAACAGTGACTTGATCACAGCTAGGCTTTTTCGAGGTTGCGAGAATGACGAGTTGAGGAGAAGAGAGAAGAAAAGGTCAGAACATACCGCAGAGCGTTCCAGCTCACATCGTGGCCGCGCCCGCCGAGATAGGCAGCAACAGCCTCCTTGAACTCGGGAGTAAGGCCGCCACCGTTGTCGAGACGATTGTAGAAAACAATCGACAACTCGCGGAACACATCGATGTTATCCCATGTGCCGGATTTGGCTTTCTTGACGGGAGTTTCGTTCTCAGATGCCATTTTCGTGGTGATCGCGATCGTGAGCGACGTGGTTCGTGTGGTATGGTGAACTTTGATGCTCGATGAAAGATCAACTCTGGGTGTTGACGAGGCTGCAATGGTGGTTGAGTAAAGCTGATCTGATCATCCTCTCAGGAGGGCCACAAAACTCAGGCCATAGATGTACCCTGGCTGTGTTGTCATCTGGTCTCCCACGCCCACTGATCGCTTTCAGTGCTCGACAAACAAGACTTTTGATTGCTATCTCGTTTCGAAACAAACAACACACCGGCCCCAAGCATCGCTAAATCCATACATTACTCCCAAAAGCCCAAGTTATTTATTATTAGAAGCATATCTCCGACAGATGCCGCTTGCGTTTCGACAAGACAACCCCGGGGGAATGAGGCAAATGTGTCGCCAAAAGCCCAAGGGCTGCTCTCACGTCACTGCCCTCCCAGACGATTTCAGCAAGAAACAAAGGTTTGCCTCTCAAGCTTCGCCATAGTCAAAGCTACTATTGATTAGCCGTGAAGGACTAGCACAACGGAATACGATTGACTTACTCCGGGGGATACTGATCAGTACCGCCATTCCCATTGTTGGCGTCGGCGAGGGCAAGAACCGGATCATCGTCATCCAAAGGCTGATCTTGGCTGATTGCGTCTTGGCTTTCTAAGCGTTGCCGCTTCACAGGAGGGCCATCCTCGCCCTCATCTTGCTCCTCGCCCTGTCCATCCTCCGACCGTATCGACAAGTTCTCAACGCCGGAGCCGTTGTGGCCAACATTCGGCGACGCTGCTGCAGCAGCATTATGGGGCGGGGTGGGTGCCGGCGCTGGCTGGATGGGTTCTTGTTTAGTTGCTTGTGCCGATGGAGGTGGGCCCATGGGCGATTGCATCGCCGGGGTAGGAGGCGTTTGTGTCTGGTTGTGTAGCTGTGTCTGCGCCTGCGCCTGCTGCTGCTGGTCGGGGCCAGGACCATAATGCTGCGTTTGCTGGCCATGCTGTTGCGAGGCGAAGTGATGGGCCGCTTGACTGGGATGTGGGGGCTGTCCTGGCTGGGGCTGCTGGTAATGAGGGTGAGGTTGCTGTGGATGCTGCCCAGGGTGCTGCTGCTCCTGGAACTGCTGGTGCTGCTGCGCTGCTTGTTGCTGATCCTGTGCCTGAGGCATGTTTGAAAAGACCGGAGGAGCTGACTGCAGATTGGGATCCTGATTAGGGGCGAGCTGGCTTGGTCCAGCACCCCCGGGGGATGACTGGCTTCCATCGCCGCTGACAGCCTTTTTTGGCCGTCCTCGACCCGGGCCTGGTCTCCTTGTAATAGGATTCAGTGTTGGATCATTTTTCCGGTACGGGTTGTTTATGATGCCGCCATTGGCCTCAGCCTTGCTCTGGGCTCGTCTCAACCCCTGAAAATGCTGCCTGCAACATTGTCAGCCAATGTGTCTTTTCTAATACACCCAGAACAATGGATGAGCTTGACAATCATGGGGTAGTCTTTCATGTCGACCAGTCGAGTATGAAATCATGCCAGAGGGCCTCCGTCATGGGCAAGAGGGGAGGCCGCTAAACGCGCTACAAGCCATGCGCTTATAAGCCGAGAGACCTCAATTGAAACCATCTCAATGAGGCTCGAAGGGTACCCAGAAACAACTTGCAGTCACAACCCATGAAAAAGGCAGGAAACTCCAGAGAAGGTCGCCAGAAAATAGTTGTACTCACCGGCATCCCTCGTTGGTGAAGCCATATCCCATGGCTCGCAGGGCGTTACCAATGGTGACCCATTCCGAGCCGCTGATGACGCCAATGTTCTTCACAGACAAGATGGTGAAGAACAGGTCCTTGTCGGCGCGATCGTTCCAGTTCTTGCTATTCATATTGAATAAGATTGGAAGGATATCTTGGACTGTAGAGCTACTCCAAGTCGCGTACGATGAGGACGCGATGGGTTCTTAGATGTTCAATGTTAAGTCGAAGACAGATCCACCCGCAGAATTGGTAGTGGCTTGCGTCTCTGCTGCCACATGTAAGGAAGGTTCGGCACAGGAGCGGAAGAACGTGGAGCCGAGAGAGCGCGTCTGGACTCGGCGCCGGTAAACTTGTGCTTGCGCAGCGAACATGGTCGCCGGGAAGACTGATCAAAGCTAGGACATGCTCAAAGACAACCTGCAAGACTTATCAGAGCTATCTCTCAAACTCCAGAGGAGCTTCTATCGCGAGTCTGCCGGTCATACATTGCTGAGATACCTGAACATATCCGAAGCAGCGCCTGAGTTTAACCGACGAGAGCCAAGACTACAGCACTTGCTTGCCTTAGGCAGCCACGACTCGCGTCAGATCGCAGCTCGAGCTTGAGTGGGGCACTTTGCAGCTCACGTGCATTCGTGACAAGCTGGCGTTACGGGGTCGAGATGCCTTGCACAGTGTCCATCGCGTTCCGCGTCTCCCAACGTCCGCATGAACCCCCCCATCTCGTTGCGTCCGGATTACTGCTTTACTTTGACCGTAGAGCTAGTTTAAACTTACCGAAATGCCATTGACTACATGCTGCCGGCGCGCTGCAAATTTTCCCGGCAATCAGACGATGATTGAGCGTTGATTGCTCATGGTTTGCCGTCGACGCGAATCGTTCATGTTTGCGACGTCACTGCCTCGAGCCGAAGGCTTCATCAGCTTCACCAGCACAGGGGCCATTTATTGTGGATTGGACTGCGGCAGTCCCTCACATGGGTGTCACCATAAGAAATGAAAGGTGTCGACTCACTCACGATCCGTAGCAAGCAGGGGTTTTAAGATGCCCTCCACTGTTCAATTCCAGAAGGGCATCACTTGGTCAGTTACGGCGCCGTTCATGCACAAGCATTTGAGAACCTTGCAAGCAAACCCAACGTAAATTGAAGCCTGTGGAAAAAATAGTAGTTGAGCAGTGCCTCTTCTATGCCATGAAAGCACTTTCTTTTGCGCTCCAGTCGTTGTGCTGCATGGGCTTGCGCCCAAATTCCGGCGAGGGGTGAGTCACCGCCTGGAGGGCTGGAACCGTCAGTGGGCGTCAACTCAACATCAACCTTCGAGGCCTAGCAACATGAACACAAACGGCCAGAGAGCTATCCAAGACAAATGCCTCAGAAGGCTCGATTTTTGTGTGTGTTTTTTTTCATGGTCATGCCAATGTCCTCAAGACGAATTGTTTGCTTCCCCCACCTCCCAAGGGGCTTAAGTGGTTGCAGTGGAATTGGCAGGGGTCGCCCCAGCAAACTCAACGCGCAGTGGAGAGTTGGCACTTTGAACTTTGAAGCCAACAGCTCCGAAATGCATGCATCCATTGATTCCGTGTCTTTCTGATGCCGCACATGCACGATAGGACCAGGCTTACCGTTTTGGGTCGACCCTCTAGGCAACAACCACCCCTGCTCGATGCCATCTCAGACATGATTCGCCACAGGTGCTGCACTGTGCAGCTTCGGTTCCTGGAAACCGTGGAGCCTCTCATTCATCCCACCACCAGCTTGCTTATAAGTCCCTGGAGACCCTCGGACTTTAAGGCAAATTCACGGTACCACTCTCGCCTCTTCTTCTCTCCTTCTTCTATCCGATCTCCTAATCAACTTTGCATCGTCTTCGTTCTCGATCAGCAGCATCGCACGACCACTCACTACTCACCAGTCCAGAGTCCATATACCACCCCTTCGAATCCACCATACTACCTCATTGATGTCGCTCGCCTGAGTGCTATTCACGCGCCAGTTGCCTGAAGGCTGTGATAAATCGAGCCCTTCAAAAGCAAATACGTATTAGCAGCCGCTCCGGATTCTATCTCAGTGAGTCACCCAACTTCCCCATTATTCTGTATACTTGGTCTGGTTAGCCATCACGATACTGCCTGAATGCTGCCCTGACTATAAATACCGGTCACTCTTCTTGCCGTACTACTTGGTCGTCTCTAACATGAATAGGGTCACAGCATCGAAACGACCATCCCGCCATGTCTCCTAACAGCGACAATGCCATGGCTCGCTTCTTGTTCGCTATACTGAAGCAGAAGAACCTCAAGGATGTAGGTCTACCGCGGTGACTTCTAGAGATCTTCCATGTTAATCATTCTTCAGATTGACTGGAACCAAGTTGCCGAAGATCCTGTGCTCCTGCAGCCCATTTCGAATGGCCATGCTGCTAGGATGCGCTACTCCCGCTTCAGAGCAACAGTTTCCAACGCTGATGGACGGTCACCCTCCTCATCGACAGGCTCAAAGAGCAAGAGCACGGACAAACACCGAGTGTCAAAGGCGAAGACGAAGAAGGATGGTCCAATCAAGGCAGAACCGGGGCGCGTTGTCAAGCAAGAATTCACACAGCCCTCACTGTCAAACTACTCTCCCGCATCAGGATCAGCACCCTCTCCATACTTATCCGACCACTACGACGACTTCACTACTCGGTTTCTGACACCATGCAGCGATGACATGGGGAACCACAACCTCGCCGTCAATCCCTCTGCGATCGAGCGTCCCCCCGGTCCCCAGACTTTCTCCCCTGCGCTTGACTTCATGCAGGCTGCTGGTGTTCCCAACATCCTATCGCCAAATTTTTCCGCATTCGACGAGGCTGCGTTCGACATAAATACATTCATGACTGCCGACAGTCAGTCTGCTGGTCCCAACTCCTTGGACGAGTGGCACGACCGCCTCCACCACCAATTCTGATACCCCTGCGGAAGACGTTCAGCGTCACTCGCAAGGCGAGATGCCATTATGACCACTATGTAACACAAAAAGAAGAAAAGGGGAACTTCAGAGTATAACTAGATCTGCTCACTTTGGGGGGCTACACTGCTTTACGATTGATGACGATGGGGGTCCGTTCGCCGGCAATTTGGTGCTTTTGGTTTTCCAGCCAAGCTGGCTGGCTTTTTGGCGTATTTGCGAAAGGCGTTTTCTTACACTTTGTCCCCGAGACTGGTGTCTGGTGTTGGTTTTCACAAGACTATTTGATATGCATGATTTGAATAGAGCTACAGTCTTGGTCATCAACGAACATAGGCCTGCGGTGACCGTCTTGCTCGAATACAATAATCCTAAACCATAATCCTAAACGAAGGTCTTTTCTGCACTTGATTCACCAAACTTACAGGCAAGTGAAAGCAGGCACTCAGGAGAACATCTCCAATTGGAATAATGGCGGCGGCTCAGAATGTTCTTGGATTCAAACAATCAGGTTTCCTCTGGTAGCCTGAATGCGCACACACCACTTCTTACCGCCTCGTCTCATTTCGCACCTCCGTCACCCAACCAAGAATTCACTCCTTGTGCAGCCCTCACATGCATCACTTTCACTTCTCATTGATTCAAGTCAGCCTGACCTCTTCCAACAACCATCAACCAATTATAGCCTTTTGCTTCCCTCAACATCTACGCCATCAAAGACTCCCCGAGTGCGTTCATCATCATCCATATTGCTCAGAGGTACCAGCATCCATCCATCCAGAATTCACCATGGCCGAAAAGAACAGCACGAGCGCCGATGACAAGCCCAAGAAGGAGCCCACTCCTCTCGAGGCCATGTTCTTCTTCGCGATCGTCAAGCACACCAAGAACAAGGCTGATATCGACTGGGCTGGAGTTGCTGCCGAGCAAGGCTTCAAGTCCGCCGAAGTGGCCAAGGTAAGTCAACGCTCACTGTTCACTCGTGTACTTCGGTTACTAAAGATTTTGCGCAGGTTCGTTTCGGACAGGTCAAGCGCAAGCTTGGGATCAACGACACGACTACACCAAACCGAAGGGGCGCTATCAGCTCTCCAGCCAATACCCCGACCAAAGTCACAAAGACGCCAACCAAATCTCGGGGTGGGCGCCAGAAGGCACCTGTGAAGAAGGAGGAGTCTGACACGGAGGACGATACCAAAGTCAAGACAGAGGTTAAGTCGGAGAGCCGAGGCAAGAGTGTCAAGCCCGAGCCGGACGAGGAAGACGTTGATCCATCGACTCAGCTGCAGGCCGACATGGACGCGATGCTGAACGAGGACCCTTTCTGAGGGCAGTGTCATGACCGGTGCGGAGCCCTGAAACATAGCGGACAAGACTAGCTTTCGATGGTGGCGGTGGAAGGTATCTTCAGATCAATTGGTTTTGGTAGCAATCAGTTCACGGCAACACACAGGATTTGGGGATGATGGCAAGCATGAGCGTGAAAAAGAGACACACAAACAGGCACTAAGACTCGACGAATGAATTTATACAAAGAAGTATCAAGCGCGGTCTTTTGGAGCGTCTTTGCAATTTGATTGACGTTCTGGTGGTCGAACTCGAACCAAGTGTTCTGTGCTTTCACTCCCTCCCATATGCACATGTATGCTTCAACCACGCCATTCACTGCTGTTGGCGGCACGGCAAGGGTCATGTCTGCAAGTATGTGCTCATCAAAAAGAAACTAGTCGTTGAAGTTCTATGGCAGTCGTTCTTCTGCGCTCGTTCCTCTGCGCAGTGGCTGGCTCTGGGGGAGGTGACGGGAAAATGAACGGATACCCAGTGGCGTGGATTAGGCAGCCTGGCTGTCGCATTTCTCCCTGGAGTTCTCTAGTTTACCAACAGTGAAGCTGCTGGATTTTTCCTATAAGTCTTGCAACTCCAGCGCATACTCGCTTTTCTCTTTCTCCTATGCACCCTCCAACATCATCCACCAACAATCGCTTCGAAGCTGTAGTCTCCTCACAGCAACAACACATCCCTATATTGCACAACGCTCTTGTACAGATCGCTCACTTCCACTTCATCGGTATGCATCTGCATCTTTCAAATTCTGTGTCGCGTCTAACCTCCCCAGAAATGGCCAAGAAAGCCGACTCTGCAGGCGACGAGCCGCTCGCCCTCAGCAACAACGAGCTCAAGTTCATCAAGGCTCTTTTCGACAACATGACCCAGAAGCCGGACGCCAACTGGGATGCTGTGGCCACCAAGCTGTCGCTGAAGGATGCCAAGTGTGCCAAAGAGCGCTGGCGTCAACTGTCCGTTCGTCACGGCTGGCGGGAGGGCGCCGGTTCTGGCACCGCCTCTCCTTCACCGCGCAAGAAGGCTGAGCCTGGTGCTGGCAAGGTCGGCAAGACAATTACTCCTCGCACTCCACGCAAGAAGAAGGCTGCACCTGAGCCAGAGCCTGAGGTTGAAGTCAAGGACGAGGACAAAAAGGAGGAGTCTGAAGAAGGTTACGAGTCTCCTTTCTAATCCAGTCAACGTTCTCCCTGGAAGGTGCATGGTTCATTTCAAATATGCACCTATCTCGAGGATACCAAGTGCATACATCTGCCTCTTCTATACTCTTCGCGATGCGGTTTAGGGCATTAAACTTTGGTGGTTCAGGGTTAGATAGCTCACAAAATTGGGAAGAAACTGCATGACAACTGAAACCCGGCGTCCCTTCAAATGCTTTGCCAACAATCCTCATATGTATTACTTCCGTCTCCGAGAACAGTCTGGTCGAGCAGCCTGAGAGTCCTGCGAGCCAAATGCCACAGGCGACACTGTGGCAGACATATGTCAACTCACGCCATTGATCTCACGCACAGATTATCTCAATTTGAGAAAATACCGCAATGCATTTGAATAAGCGCTTGGACTAGATTCTTACGTCGGCTCTCTGACAATATCTCAGCAACCCAGAAACCGGCCCCCCCTGCGCTGACTGCTTGCACTGTTATACATTGAGTTGAATTCCACAATAGAAAAATCTCAGAGCCCACAGAATGAGGTGATCAAGACAATGTCATATATTTGGACTCGCATTGCTGTTTGTGCTCCCACGTCCATCTGTCCTTGTGGAATTACCCCTGGCGACGACACTAGCAGCCCCTGAGACCCACAGTAAACAAACAACACTCACTGGTGACTGAACAGTGAAGAAGTTGACATAGCCCCCAGAGCGATGCTCGTTCTTTGTCATCCGCAATATGACCTCAAAGGAGCCTTCATAACCTGTTTATCTTTCGTCTTATCGAGTTCGGACCTTTTTATCCTATCTGTCACGATCGGTGTCCTAGGTGTGTGTTTGGCAAGCCCAACTACTCGTCCTGTCAAACACTGAACAGTTTCCAGACAAAAGACAATTCTGATTGATTGTTGGACACCCTGCTTAAGCTACTCAAAGTGCAGCATCAGGCACGATCACTCGACAGTGGTGCGAGCACGCACTACCGGCACAATCTTCAGCAGTACAGGGAACTACTTGGAACGTTGAGGCATTTTCGGGGCACTCTCTGATTTCAGACGGTAGCACAAGATGAAAATCCGTTCATTCACAGCTCTGAGAACAATGAAAGCACTGCCGCGCGTGACGTTCTTGAGGGCTCTCTGCCTGTTCGCGCCTCTAGCCATTCAATTCCATCTTGTTCCGCCCGCTTTTGGCCCTCCCTCGCACCACACCCCATCGTACAGATTTGTGACAATCAATTGTCCTTCAATACTCTGAATTGAATGATGGACCTGCCTCCCAAATTCATTGACAATCTGACAGCCGCCGCAAACGCTCTGCAGAACGTGGCCTCCGACTTGGTACGTTGACCCATATTTGAGAGCTGTCTGGTCTTCCCTCTCATTACCTTCGCCTTCCTACACACCTTCACTCAAGAACCAAGCTCTTCTCTTCAATCACATAATCTAATTCTTCACAGACCACACTCTCCAACACTATTACCACCGCAACTTCATCTTCTCAACCTCCAACAGCTTCTCTCAAGATGGCTGGCAAGACTCAGGATTCCGCCGGACAGGTCAAGTTCCTGGTTTCCTGCATCAAGTTCTCCAGCAATGGCAAGGTACGTCTCGATCATGGAGCTCACCATGAAACACTGTCACTAAATGGAAGCCAGCCTGACTTTGAGCAAGTCGCCAAGGACCGCAACATCGTGTCCAAGGCTGCAGCGTATGCGTCCCATATCCCTCATTGGACTTTGCTGACTCCCATCAGCCAGAAGCGATACGAGCGCATGATCAAGGCTGCCAACGAGGCCGACAGTGACAGCAACAACAAGGAGGAAGAAACACCCAAGAAGGCCACGCCGGCCAAGAAGCGCGCTGCCAAGGCTGCTCCTGCTGATGAGAAGCCGACACCCAAGAAGCGTGGCCGTCCCGCCCGCAAGACCCCCGTCAAGAAGGAGGAGTCCTCCGAGGACCTGACTGAGGAAGAGGAGGAGGAGCAGAAGCCTGTTCCCGATGAAGATGAGGAGGACGTCAAGTCTTCCGTCAAGTCGCCCGTCACGCCCAAGAAGTCCGCTCAGAAGAAGACGTCCAACGGTTTCACCCCGGCCAACCCCAAGCCCGAGGAGAATGAGGACGATGAGGAGACTGCTTTCTGTACGTGTACCGCAGACTTGCATTTGTGCCCTGCTGACATCTCCCAGCTGCCAAGGACAAGGAGGGCTACAAGTCCCCTTTCTAAGCACCTGGCATCGTCCGCGCCCACCTGATGGACAATTCTACTTGGAATCTCTATGGTTTTGGCGATTTTATTTTTCTGGGGAGAGTTACAGGGGCTGCAAGAGAGCATAGGCTTGACGAGCTCGGTCATTGCAGGTTCATCAGGGGAGAGATGCACAGTAGACACAAGATTTCGGATCAAATCGATAACTTTTGATTTCACAATGATATTCTGCCACTGAATGACTTTCCATTAGCCTGACCACAGCATACCCGTAGGACTGTATGCTTTTGCACCCGAGGCATCTCAATATGCCAGGAGCACTTGCGTCTCTCACCTTGCTCCAAATTTCCAAGCCCCTGACAACCTCCTCGCTTTCATTAGGCAGCCCAGCCTCCCGAATTCAGTTCTCAAACCACATCCGCAATCTTCCGTCGCTCACAATAGAGCTTCCCAGCTCATCCAATCTTGAATCGAAAGCTTCTCGCGTCCCACAGTATTGATTGAGTCACACACTACAGCCTTCGTTACTATTGTCGAAGCATTCAATCTCAATGACTCCGCATATTTCAATGGAAGAGACCGTCAACAATAGCTTCAGTAATCCTATTGATGCTCAAAGAAACGCCTCGACGTATATCTGGGCTTCTCCGCTCCAGTCTTCCATCATGACATTCTCTTTCCCATCCAACTCTTTCCTCACGGCTCTCAAAGTCACCAATCCCAGAATCATCATACCTTGACTGTTCATCAGCGAAGGCTTCATTACACCAGAGATTGGCTGAAAACTTCTGTCATGTCTCCAGAATCAGACTACCCTCTTCTCCCTGCCATGGCCTACCAGCGTCCCACGACACCATCCAGCGTGTGCATCACCAATTCAGACACCTCTGTCACCAGTACGCCGGCTCAGAAGGCAGACAAATCTTGCACAATGGCCCCAGGTCGCAACATCGGAACAGCATGGTTCGGTCTCAACACGCCACCTTCTTCCCATCCTTCTCCCTCTCCCTCCATTCGCAGCAGCTCGAGCAATTTGTCCATCACCAGTCTCAATGGCGAACAGCCATGCACCACCGGCCAGCTGCGCATCATGGATAACGAGCTTGTCCGTGCCCGTCAAAACGGCGAGATGCCTCGTACATCAGCCTCTCCGCTAGATACACAGGCCATGATTGAGGACTACGGCTACTTGACTCAACTTCGGGAGATCCGAGGCGACGTCACTGCTCCAGCACCCGATGCATACAAGACGCTCAAGGTTGAAATTGCCAGAAAGATCCAGGAGAGGGACTCGGCCAGCAACGACGAAGGGATGCGACAAGAAGCTGCCCGTCGCGTCAACAGCTACCTCAAGTCAATCGAGAAGGAGAGGGACTTTTTTGATGCCGCCACTGCCTCGACACCCAGGACACCTTTTGCGTCTGGAAGCCATTGCTCGAGATCCTGCAGTTCCACTCGATCATCGCAGGTTGATGCCGAGACCTTTGGCGAGGAGATCTTGTCGATTGTTGGAGAGGTTGCTGACCAGACCATTGATGATGCCACCGAGCCCCTGAGAAGGCAGGCTGAAAAGCTTCAGCAGCTGGCTGTGGCACTGTATGGCAGAAACGATGCGTACGGCAATCACAACGACACGCACAGCACTCACAATGACATCCAGGGCTTCCACAATCTACATCTTGGGCAGCTTGTGGGAGCCTCATCACAAAACCTGGCTCTGCTGTCAGGCATCATCACACAGCTCTCTGACCTGGCCATGAATTTGCCCACCGCAATCAACCAAGTCGTTTCACAGAGCGTCTCTCATCATGTTGAGCAGCACGTCGACGTCGCCCTTGACAACGTCATGAACGCACAGCAACAAGCCATGATGGCACTTGTCGACATGGACAACAAGCAGAAGTCATCGATTGACTACGACCTTCTCGCATCCAAGGTTGCCGATCATCTCTCTGCACAGACAGCTCCGGAGAAGCCCAAACAGCATGACAAGCTTCGACGTCGCCTGAGGAGAGTCTTCAACCGCTCCTAAAGTTTGACGAGAATGAGACAACGGAAATCTGTATGGTTATTTGTGCTTGATTTCGTGGAAAAGAACTCACAGCGGAGCAAAAAAGCGTTGCGCCATACGCGTCGGATTTTGGGTGACCTTCGGCATGGGAGTTTGCGGTCTGTACTTCGAGATACCCCTTCACAGCAGTGCCAGCACAACAGAACATATTCTTTGATCAACCAGTCGCTCCATACTCAATCTTGCAGCCTCGATCATCTTCCATTTCGTGACATGTCGGTCTGCCTCTGCCAACCTGCGTGCGGTCGGTGCCGACCGCAAGTGCCATGGCAACGCCCCTTTTTCGTCCGAATTCAAAGTTCGGATTAACCAGACCAATTCCCTCCCAGCCTCCGCCTATCGTTGTGCTCACAGCACAGCCAGTGGCAAAAGTGATGCTGAAGCCGCTGGAAATGCCTCAGGCCGGGTTTCTCGATCGATCCGTTGGGCCCTCGCGCGTCTCGCTGTGATTGTGTTATGCCCTCTTCACGTCGCCCGGTTGCTGATGCTATGCTGCCTTCGATCTTCTTCCACCCACACCGACTTTGCAGCTCCAGTGTCCTTTGTTATTCGACCTCTTCTTGCGCTGAACTGCACAAAGCGAGTCATTTCTTCCTCTTCAGACATCCTTGTCTACTGTAACGCATCACTCTCCGGTCTCGTGAACTGCCCAACCAAAGCACAACGACCAGACTCCGCATCTTCACCAGAAAGCTGGACATCCACAGTTGTGAGTACCTCATCTTGGGGCCGAGCAATGCAACCAAGAGCTGATGGCCCTCCACCAGGTGACTGGTGACGATGACTTCCGGTACAAGTGCGAAGCGGGCTGCGGCCAAGAACAGCACGCCCGCCAAGACTCGTCGCTCTGCTTCCAAAACTATCAAGAGCGAATCTCCTCTGCCAGCGACGCCCAGCAACCGCAAAACAACTGGCTTCACGTCCAGAATCCCGAGCTCTGAGGACATCCGAAGCAATGGTCGTGTCAACGGTCGCAGCCTGATCGTTTGGAACCGTAAGTGATCCCCCCTACTCACGAGCTACTAGCTCACCACAGACACATACAGGTCCTCGCATGACTGAGAAGCTGTTGCTTCATCTCCACTACGAGTGTATACGCCACAAGATCCAGCTCCCATGGGATGCTGCCGCTCATCGTCTTCGGCCTGGCTCCTCTGGCGCTGCCATCCAGCAGCACATTGGTCGCCTTCGACGTGAACTCGTTGCTGAAGGTCATCTCGTCCCGCCCCTGCCGGTTCGTCCCTCCTCCAAGGAGACTGGACACGATCCCGAGATTCGTGGCTATGTTCGCGGCACGGACGGCGATGACCGAGCCGCCATTCGCCCAGTTCGATTCGACGAGGTCTGCGAGGACCTCAAGATGAGCTTGCCAGACTCTTTCATTAAGGACGAAGAGACTGAAATGGGTGAGACCAAGGACCCCATTCTCGAGACTCCCTCGCGAGACCTGCCCTTTGCGCAGCAATTCCCTCCGTCACTGACTAGCTCCCCTACACCACTGGGTCCTGCCTTTGCGTATGCTCACGCTTATCCTGAGCCCAACGGCCAATTTGTCGCCAATCAGGCGGACCATTTGGAGCCTCGCCTGGCACATGGCTCGTCATTCAATACCGACTCTACATCGGCCAGCAGCTTCTCTGACAACAGCGACAATGTAAGTCTGCGAACTCTGCCACGGGGCGTTCCCAGGTTAACCCACCCCCTGCAGCACTTGATGGCGGACGTGAACATGTTCACAGGGCCTGGCGCGGCGATTCCTGATGGTAGATTTAGTGTCTCCATGAGGGCCATTGAGAACCGACAAGCTGACCAGCCGCGTGCTCAGGTGGCCTCGGAGAGAGTTTTTACGACTTCTGCCCACAACTCCTCCCAGGCGTCGGCAATGGGTTCGGCAGCCACTTCTTTCCAGGCTCAGGACCCCCAAGATCCTTTTCGGGGCCCGCTGCGCCGCCTGGTCTACCAGGGCCCGCCCGATTTTAGGAGGTGTCCCTACCTGAACCAGCCGGGCGAGCAGTACTTCCCCGAGATCAGCCCTGCGTACCAGTACCAGGAAGGCCTCATGATGCAAGCGGCTGGCACGCGGAAGATACAGGAGGCGCGTTTCTTCGCCGCCATGCATGGTGGCCATGGCCTCCAAGTTCGCGACACTGATGTTCAGGAGAATCGATGGGAGGCCGGTGAGCAAGGTAACCCTGTTGTCAAGGAGGAGGTGGCCACTCGTACAAGAACGCTGAGCCCAGAAGGAACTCATCCATGTGTTGATCAAAACATGGACGAGTTTGTCGTGAGTAATCCAGGATTTCTTCAAGATTCATGTCAATATACTGACGAGTAGCAGAAGGCTGAATGTACCGACGACGAAGGAGTTTGGGCCCCCGAGGCTCAGCCCGCCCCTGAACAACTGAACAACTGAATTCGACTTGTCATACTGCGACCATGAACATAAGGTGTTCGGTGTTCGGTGTTTTTTTTTTTTTTTTTTTTTACATACGCAATCTTTCTCCCATGTCATAGCTTCTTTTCTTTCCTTGCTTCTTCTGTCGCTGGCATGCGTTGCCTTCTTTTATATTCTACACATCAGTCGTTCACTGAGAACTCAACCACTCGAGCGACACGGTTGGCTCCTGATCAGGCTCTTCTGCAGGAACAAGCTCTCGCTCAAATGAGTGAGTCCACACCATGCTTTGGCCTCACGACATACATTACCGCAGGGTGGCTGCTTTCATTTGGTATATCTTTGGCTTCCCCCGTTTGGCATACAGGGCCGGCGTCAGTCGGTACGAGGAGTCATAGACAAAAGTCTTTTCGCAGCATAAAGGGAGGATCGGCACTGGCAGATAGACATCTCTTACAAATGACACAGAAAGTACCCGCCATCGTCTCCAGTGGATATGCATTACATTACATCGACGTTGTCGAGTCTGTGATTCTGCGATCCCATCACGGCTTGATATTATTCCGATGCGCTCGGTTGCCGGTAATGTGATCCTTGTCAGAGCTGAGCAGCTTTGGAGTCGTGGACCGAGCCGGGTCTGGATTTGGGGATTCGCCAATCAGACACGCCCATATTATTTTTTCTGGGCCCCAGCGCAAAGCTAAGTTCTATCGTCTTCTTCGTCTTCTTCGGCTTCGTTCCCCCCCCCAAGCCCTCGAACTTCTCCCATCATCACATCCTCCTCTCCCGTTTTCTACCCTCTGTCGCTCTGTCATCTCACCGACTGCTCCTGTTGTGTCGTTTCCAGCCGACAACACAACGCATCTTCTCCTCCTTTCATCTTTGTAATACCACTATACCCCTTGTAATTCCACATACATCATGCAGCGCGCGTTGAGCTCTCGGGTGCGAGCTTCGGCTCTGTCGTCGGCGGCGTCCAAGTACCGCGCCGGTAGCCTTGGTCAGATGCGCTTTGCTCACAAGGTACGTGTAGCTGCAGTGCTCGATTGACAGCCTGGCTCTAACCAGTTCCCAGGAGCTCAAGTTCGGTGTTGAGGGTCGCGCTGCTCTCCTCGCTGGTGCCGACACATTGGCCAAGGCCGTCTCGGCCACCCTCGGCCCCAAGGGTCGCAACGTCCTGATCGAGTCCAGCTTCGGCTCCCCCAAGATCACCAAGGGTACGAATCTCGATGGATCATTTTGTGCTTGGACAATGACTGATTCTCTATTGCAGATGGTGTCACCGTCGCCAGGGCCGTCTCCCTCAAGGACAAGTTCGAGAACCTCGGCGCCCGCTTAATACAGGATGTCGCTTCCAAGACCAACGAGGTCGCTGGCGATGGCACCACGACTGCCACCGTCCTCGCCCGCGCCATCTTCTCCGAGACCGTCAAGAACGTGGCTGCTGGCTGCAACCCCATGGACCTGCGCCGCGGTATCCAGGCAGCCACCGAGGCTGTCGTCGAGTACCTCCAGAAGAACTCGCGTGACATCACCACGAGCGATGAGGTCGCCCAGGTTGCCACCATCTCCGCCAACGGCGACCACCACGTCGGCAAGATGATTGCCAACGCCATGGAGAAGGTCGGCAAAGAGGGTGTCATCACCGTCAAGGAGGGCAAGACCATGAGCGACGAGCTTGAGGTCACCGAGGGCATGCGCTTCGACCGCGGCTTCGTCTCCCCCTACTTCATCACCGACACCAAGACGGCCAAGGCCGAGTTCGAGGACCCCCTCCTCCTGCTCTCCGAGAAGAAGATCTCCGCCGTCCAGGACATCATCCCCTCTCTCGAGCTGGCCACCAAGATGCGCCGCCCCCTCGTCATCATCGCCGAAGACATTGAGGGTGAGGCCCTTGCTGTCCTGATCCTCAACAAGCTCCGTGGTCAGATCCAGGCCGCTGCCATCAAGGCTCCCGGCTTCGGTGACAACCGCAAGTCCATCCTTGGCGACATTGCCGTCCTCACCAACGGCACCGTCTTCAGCGACGAGCTCGACATCAAGCTCGACAAGGTCACCCCCGAGATGCTCGGCAAGACTGGCTCCATCTCCATCACCAAGGAGGACACCATCATCCTCAACGGTGAGGGCACCAAGGACAGCATCTCTCAGCGCTGTGAGCAGATCCGTGGTGTCATTGCCGACCCCACCACCTCCGAGTACGAGAAGGAGAAGCTCCAGGAGCGTCTGGCCAAGCTCTCGGGTGGTGTCGCCGTCATCAGGGTCGGTGGCTCCTCCGAGGTCGAGGTCGGTGAGAAGAAGGATCGCTTCGTCGATGCTCTGAACGCCACCCGTGCTGCCGTGGAGGAGGGTATCCTCCCCGGTGGTGGAACTGCCCTGATCAAAGCTTCCGTCTCTGCTCTCAACAACATCAAGACTGCCAACTTTGACCAGCAGCTCGGTGTCACCATTGTCAAGAACGCCATCACTCGCCCTGCCCGCGCCATTGTCGAGAACGCCGGTCTCGAGGGCTCTGTCATTGTTGGCAAGCTCACCGACGAGCACGGCGCCGACTTCCAGAAGGGCTTCGACAGCTCCAAGGGCGAGTATGTCGACATGATTGAGGCTGGTATCCTGGACCCCCTCAAGGTCGTCCGCACTGGTCTCCTGGACGCCAGTGGTGTCGCTTCTCTCCTGGGTACCACCGAGGTTACCATCGTTGAGGCCCCCGAGGAGAAGGGCGCTGGCGCTCCTCCCATGGGAGGCATGGGTGGAATGGGTGGCATGGGCGGTATGGGTGGCATGATGTAAGTGACGGGAGACGTTGACGATGCATATCTGTTTTGGAAGAAAGAAAAAGTTTCCCGGGCATTAGGGAGCATGGCTTTGGTGTTATCAGGGGCAACTGGCCGCCTTGCGATGGCTGACCTTGGATGCGCGAAACTCCTCCGCTCTTCATCATCTTACCTCGTGCCGCCAATTTGCTGGCTGGACAGGACTGTTTTCATACCTGTTGTATTTGTGGCGAGCTGTCTGTATCATACCATGTACTCTACAATGTAGACTCACCAATCGAAACGATGTAATTTACTGCCTATTCTCGATGCTTGTGTTTGCTGTGAAAACCTGACCTTGGCAGCTGCTGCCTCAAGGCAGCGACTTGACCGTTTCCATCTTACGCCTGTATTTCGTTGGCCGTTGAATCGACATTCTGCTGCCTGTTTGTCTGGCTTCTGATGTCGCTCAGCAAAGTGAGATCACGTGTGGTCCCTGTCTCACCGGCAACCCCACCACGCATCTGCCTACGTCGTTATTTTGGCAGGAGCCTCACAGCCTGGAGGAAGGAGGCACCGCCTACCGGGCTGGCCTGCGGGCTCCACCAGTCGAGTCGCGGCGCTCCCCCTAAAGTCAGCTGTTTCCCCTCTATCTCAGATTGCTGCATCTCCATCCATCCCACGTACGATCGTAGACCAACGAACCTCGATTCCTCAACTTTTCCCGCCTTTTTCCTCCTGCATTTGCACATCTTCGGTCTGCTGCGGGTGCTTCTCTAAACATCCGGTACGTACTTGGTACTCCTTGCGCCTAAAAGAACTACCACCCCGCATTTTCATTACGCCTCAGCGCCGCCCGTCGCAGCATTGATAGCTAACAAAGCTTCCTGCTACATAGTTCCCCTCTCCAAATTTCGTCACAAACAGGACCACCTTGACACACCGCAGCCATGGTAAGTTGGACCGGACAAGCTCTGCATTGATGTGTACTGACCAGCCTTGCAGTCTCAATCCGGGTATGTCACGCATCAAAGCTCTCGCCACGAGCAACCCCGCCTCGCGATCTTTGCCGCATACCACGATAGGATCGCGGGGCTTCCACGAACGACAGCGAATACCGCGCACGAGTTTCTAGAGTAGGAGCGCTAATTCAAATCTTACAGAGCCACCGTGTCCCAGGAGTGCATCACCGCCTTCAACGAGCTGAAGCTTAACAAGAAGTACAAGTACATCATCTACAAGCTGTCGGACGACTTCAAGGAGATTGTGGTCGAGGAGGCTTCCGACGACAAGGAATGGGACAGCTTCCGTGAGAAGCTCATCAACGCCACGACAAAGAACAAGAACGTACGTTTAAACGAATATACTGCGTGAGAGGACCATGCTGATCAGAGCCAGGGTGCCACGGGCAAGGGTCCCCGTTACGCCATCTACGACTTTGAGTACAGCCTCGCTTCGGGCGACGGCATCCGGTATGCGAACAAGTAGCTCCATCCGTGCCAACTACTGGTTCTAACACCCCACAGCAACAAGATCACCTTCCTGGCCTGGTCCCCGGATGATGCCGGCATCCAGCCCAAGATGATCTACGCCTCCTCCAAGGAGGCTCTCAAGCGCTCCCTGACCGGTATCGCCGTCGAGCTCCAGGCCAACGACTCGGACGACATTGAGTACGATTCGATCCTGAAGACGGTCAGCAAGGGTCTTGCCGCTTAAGCGCAGCAGCCATATATCAAAAGTTGCGCGGGTGTCGGTCCTTATGAGCCAAATGAATACAACATGCTTCCCGGAGGCTGCTCCCATCTCCAAAAGCCACATATTTGAATGCAATGGCGTGTTTTACGATATAAACTGTGCTTCACTTTCCTGAGACGCGAGGAACCTACGTTCTTCCCATTTTCTCGTAGTAATATGTAACGTGTAAAGAGCATTCGCAGATGCTCACGGTTTCGATCGACTGCTCTCCCAACTTGACTTGAATAATGCAGACAACTTCTCTGCCTCACTCTCATCCTTCAATCGCTGCATCAAGAATCCCTTGAGATCATCCCAAAACGCTGCCGTCTCGAGGGCCTCTGCACCTGCCATGTCGGCTGTAGGGGCAGCCGGGACGTCAGCTTCAGCAGGCGGGATCGCAGCCGCGCCGCCAATGACCATGACAGCAAACTCCACCACGGACTCCTCCTCCCCAATGACCTCTTTCAGCACCTTGCTATCAGGCACAGGTTTCTTGTTGTACAGTATCCGGATCTTCTCCGTGGGGATCCTAGTCTGCGCAGTGACTTGCGTCTTAATGTCCAGGAGAGACGTCGTGCGCGGTTGCGAGGAGAGCTTGATGTCGAGAGGAGGATTACGGAGGGATTTCAGTGTCACTTTGACAGAGCGCTCTTGGCCAGGTGCGGACCGTTGCGAGGAGGGTTTCGACATGGTTGTGGCCATCCGTGGGAGGATATACTGCGGCTGTCAGTATGAGGGCCCTCGCGATGCGAGGTCCGGTCTGGGTCTAGGACATACGGGAGGGCGAGCAGGGTAACTCTTGGGATTCTCGACATGATCTGCTGATAGTTTGATCGGTCGGCCCTCGAGGCTGGAGAGGAAGGTCTGCGCGAAGGAGGCTTCGGCCATGATGCTGGTACTGGTTTTTGATGGCGCGAATCGCTGGTAACGAGTGTGGCAAGTGGATTCGTCGCTCAATTCTGGTCGACAAGATTTGGACACTTTCGAGAGAGCGCGCCTTTCGGTAGGTTGTCGGGTGACAAGGCTAGATGATGAATAACACTGAGTCTGATACCCCAAATACGTTCAACGTCGTCAAGCTACTCCGCGCATTGGAGTCTTGGACTTGCACTGCAGCGAGCTTGGAGGGGCGGCTATCACGTGGAGCCACATTTCTTATCGGCTTATCGTGCGCCGGGACCCCTGCGCCATTCAAGAAAAAAAGTCAGACTCCAGCGGGGCGGGTCTAGTCACCCAATTCCGCAGTCAAGTCGAACCCAGACTTGTCAGCCAATTCACTCCCACAAACAATCGTCAAGATGGGTGTTGGACGTCGTATGAAGAAGCAGGCGGCGCCTGAGCCCCTGTCCGAAGCGCACTATGCCAAGTTGAAGCGCAAGGCTGGCATCCCGGTCGAGGCTATCGAGGAACCGCAAAAGAAGCGAAAGATGGGCAAGGCATCTGCGACAACGGGCAACTCAACGCCCGTTTCCAAGAGGCGCGAACGAAAGGCGGCTCTCAAGAACGGCAACGGCGTCAAGGGGTCGGACAAGGCCAAGGGCCCCAAGGAACTGCCTGCCCACCGCCAGGGCAAGAAGGCCGCTGCTGCGAAAGCGCCTGTTCTCGAGGGCTCGGACGATGAAGAGATGGACGATGAGTTCGCCAATTCGGATCTTGAGGCCGGCGACTCGGATGAGGCACCCAATGGTGCTCTCGGCGACGACTTCCTCGGTTCCGACAACGATGACGACGACTCGGTGTTTGACTCCGACGAGGAAGGTCGCGCAAGGGCTATTTTCTCGGAGGACGAAGATGAATCAGATGGCGAAGAGAAGCTCACAGCAGCCAACATGGCTGGATTGTCCGCGAAACTAGACAGGCAAATGGAGGAGGAGGCCGCCGCGGACGAGGCCGAGTTGAAGGAGGCGGCGCTGCAGACCAACATTGCGGGAGACAAGCCCAAGGTGTTAGAGGACGACGATGATGACGATGACTTGGCTGCCAAGACGAAGGCCATGCTGGCGCCCGACCTGCAATTACTTCGAACCCGAATCACCGAGAACATCCGTGTGCTGGACGACTTTGCCAACCTGCACCAGGAAGGCAGATCAAGGGCCGAGTACACTGCTCAGCTGTTGAAGGATGTCTGTGCCTACTACGGTTACTCGGACTATCTCGCAGAGAAGCTGTACAACCTGTTCACCCCTCGAGAGGCCTTTGCCTTCTTCGAAGCCAACGAGTCTGCACGTCCCGTCGTCATCCGCACAAACACCCTCCGCACCAACCGTCGAGAGCTCGCCCAGGCGCTGATCAACCGCGGTGTCACCCTCGAGCCCGTGGGCAAGTGGTCCAAGGTCGGGCTTCAAGTCTTCGAGACGAGTGTCCCTCTTGGTGCTACCCCCGAGTACCTTGCAGGCCACTACATCCTGCAAGCGGCCTCCTCTTTCCTGCCCTGCATGGCTCTGGACCCCCAGGAACACGATCGTGTGCTCGATATGGCCGCTGCCCCTGGTGGTAAAACGACCTACCTAGCCGCCATGATGAAGAACACTGGTTTCATCATGGCCAACGATCCCAACCGAGCGCGTTCCAAGGGTCTCATCGGTAACGTCCACCGCCTGGGTGCGAGCAACGTCATTGTCTCCAACTACGACGCTCGTGAGTTCCCCAAGCCCATGGGCGGTTTCGACCGTGTCCTCCTCGACGCTCCCTGCTCCGGAACCGGTGTCATTGCCAAGGATCCCAGCGTCAAGACAAACAAGACCCAGCTCGACTTTATGCAGCTGCCTCACCTACAGAAGCAACTTCTCCTCGCCGCCATTGACTCCGTCTCACACAACAACAAGCCTGGCGGCGGCTACATTGTCTACTCGACCTGTTCCGTCACGGTCGAGGAGAACGAGGAGGTTGTGCAGTACGCTCTCCGAAAGCGGCCCAATGTCAAACTCGTCGACACCACCATCCCCTTTGGCAAGGAGGGCTTCACAAGCTACCGCGGCAAGAAGTTCGACGCGAGCATGAACTTGACACGCAGGTACTACCCCCACACCTACAATGTGGACGGTTTCTTCGTCGCCAAGTTCCACAAGACAGGACCTACACCTGCCAAGGCCCCTGCGGGCTCTCGCGGTGGTAAGCAGGATGAGGATAACGTGATCATTGACAAGACGCCGATCGCTGCCGACGAGGAAGAGGCGACCCAGGATGACTTTGGCGGCTGGGATGAGGACGAGGATGAGGAGATTATGGAGAAGGGTAAGAGGAACGCTATGCGCAGGAGAGGCATCGATCCTCGGAGTACAAGCAAGAAGACAAAGAAGGCGGAGAAATAAATGTTCACGTGTAGTTTTTGATAATCAAGGCGCATCACCCGGTGGGCGGGTTCTTCACGAAATTTCGAGTCAAGTATTCTTTGGTTGACAAAGGAGCAAAATCGTGTATTCATGTCGTCGTGTCGTTATAAGCCTCGTGGAGGCAGGCATCATCACTCTCTTCGCACTCTAACTCTATCGCAGTGCAGCCCAAGAGAGTATGTTTGTATAGATACAGTCGTGTCATAAAGGTCGTCGTCTTGCAGTGAAACAAGAACCAAGAAAGAAAAACTCAGGAACTCCAGAATGCCAGGCCTCCTGCCCGTAGGTTTGCCCTCCCTATCCTTCTTTTCCGTGCCCAAATGCTCATGCAATGCTGTCGTTTCATAAGGTCGTGGCGTTTTCCAAAGATTACAATAGCGATGTGTATAAAAGTGTCGCCGCAAGGGTCCTCGTATCGGAGCCCTGCTGAGAACCAAAATGTTCATCGACGGGGCAAAGCGCGTGTCTGCTCACATGGGCAGGTCGTCGAATTGGGAAACGAGCTCGCGAATGGTCCAGCGCCATGCTTCACGATCCCGCATACCCCGACCGACCCATTTGTCGCACTTCTTGCGCCATCTTTCTTCCTCCTCACGTTGTCGGCGAATAAATTCTGGGCCAACATCAAATTCTTCGCCTACGAGCCACTCGTCGTTGACGTCGCTCACACGGCCCTGGCCGCTCTTCGCATCGTTGGCGTTGTCGTCGAGGTCCGGAATGTCCTTGAAGACGTCGTCCTCGTCCTCAAAGGCATCGAATTTTCCGAATGTATCACTCGTGTCCGAACGCGCAGCCTGTGGGTTGCCAATTTTAAGCCAAGACATGCTCTGAGGGTCAAAGACCATGCCGTTCACGACCTGTACTCCCTTAGTGGCACTGATGTTTGTGATTAGCGCAGGGCGCGGTGTCGTCGTGGCTTTCTCCTGGTTCATTGGCGCTGGTGTAGTAGCTGTGATTGGGGTCGAGACAGGTGCTTCAAAGATGTTGAGTGCATTTTCGTTGCCCTCCCAACGGAATGTGTCGGGGTTGTAAAACATTCCATTAACCACTGCAGCATGGGTCAGTCAAAGCTTCTCCACGGGATAAATTCACGCCCACTTTTTGATTCCTTGTCAGCATTCAGGTTCGAGATTAGATGCGGCTTTTGCTGTGCCGGTCGCTTGGATTTCTTGGCTCGTATCGATGGCGGGTGTTCGAGATGCGGCGTATTCAGGTTGCTTCTGTTTGCCAACGGTGTGCCTCTTTGCGCATGCGTCTGGGCTAGTGGTCCACTGATGCTGACCGTAGACCTATGGGCCAAGGAAGTCTCGCGCGCGATGCGGCTAGCAGTGGTATCACGCGCAAAATGGGGCAGAGGCCTGGGTCCTTGAGGTGTTGTTGGCGTTGGCGTCGACATTCTGTCAAAGGCTTTGTTGCGCAGCGTGGCCTTGCCATTGCCTGATGTCGGCTGTTTCATGAACGGCGTTTCATTTTCTTTGGAGGTTGGTAGGTCATCAAATGCGTCCAATTCATGACCATCACCAAAGTGTCGTCGGTTCTTAGGCTTGCTCAGTCGTTCCCAAGTATCTGCAGCAACCCGGTAGCGCTGCGGACTAGGCGAACGCATGCCGACTCGAGAGAAAGAACGTGACTTGGGTCGGAGCTCGATCAAGTTGTCAGAGTCATGGCGGCGGAATGAACGCAGAGACTTGGAGGCCGCATGGTGAGATCTGTTTTGTGAACCGCCTGCTGGCAGGAAAGGCGCATTGATTTTGCGTGCCTGGGCAGGACTCTCCATTCCCGGAATCCTTGATCGTTCCACAGGCGTTTTGGGGCGGTGGCCGGACAAAGGCCGGCCGTTGTTGTCCCTTGATGGTGGCCTTTCGTAGCGCGAGCTGTGCATCTTGGAAGGTGGGTTGAATGGTCGAATGGCAGGCAGTGATCGCTTTTGCTTAAGAAGCTGAGCATTGGTTGTCGTAGGCTCGTTGCGTAGTGTAGGCGTAGGGACCTTGCTACCCATCTCTCGTCGACTGTTTGGCGTCCCTGGTGATCTTTGAGATGAGGAAGACGATGGCGTTGTTGGAGTGGGTATACTGGTCACTGACGATTGAGCCTGGTGGCCTTGTCCCAGGCGGGACGGTGGACGGCGAGCCCGTTGAAGAATCGGGCCCCCGCTCTCTGAGACGGGCTCTAGCGAGGTTGAGTGTGTCCGCTCGTGGTGCAGTCGGGGAATGCGGGTGGATGTTGAAGGCTTGTTGGTGAATGTGAGAGAAACTGCTGTCTTCGGCCGAGCAGGGCTGCTGCTGGGAGCTTCCTTCAATTTTATGTTGCGATGTAGCGTCAACTTGCCCGAGTTGAACATATCTCCATCTCCAATGTCCAGGCCATCGAGAAATCCAGGCTTGTCTGCCTCGGCTGGAGTCGTAGTCATCGTCTTCGGAGGCGAAGGTTCCTCTGGTATCCGCACAGGAGACTTGCTCTTGCGGCGTTGCTGGAGGCGGTCGTTAAAGTTGACAGGTCCAGTGGGTAGCACCAATCCGTCAAAAGTCTCATCTTCACTCTCGGCAGTGACTGAACTGGCGATGCTGGGACTCAGAGCAGAGGCGGATGAGCTCCTATTTGACCTACCATCCCGTCGCGTACCACCAAACCTAGTCCCCAGGCTGCCCTCGCCCCAATCCAGATCGTCAAATTGTGTGTTCGGGGTTTTGGGAATGTCTCTCCGTTGCGAGAGCTGTAGCGTACCGTCTGAGGGCAGCTCAAGACCTTGCTCGAAGTCGTCTTCCGCGGGGACTTCGGCAGGTTTCTGTGGTGTGGGGGGTGTGATGAGTGAGATAGGCTTCATGACTGGCCGTTTTGCGACCTTGATCGTGGCCAACCCGTCGCCAAAGAAGTCATCCTCGTCATTGTCCTTGAACTGGTCCAGGTTGAGCGGTGCGCCTCGCGAACCAGAATTTGCACGACTGGGGCTCCTCATCATGGTGTCCGATGGGGGTGCTTTACTCCCCGGCAGCTTTGTGGGACTCGCTTGAACTGAGCCGCCACTGACCTGTCGAAGCACTTCAGGAAAGGCCGTGTCGTCCTGCGCTTTGATCTGAAAGCCCTGCGCGGAATCGGGGATTTCAAGGTCGTTGTCCCAATCCTCCTGCGTGATCTTCCGTATCTTTCTACCTCCCAGCCGCTTGATCGTCCCTCCCATGAGTGCGGATGCTGAGATGCCTGTTGGTAGAGGTATGCCCGCATCCTTCGCGGCCGACAGGGCCTCCATTGTAGACTTCTCGTCGTCTCCCGGAATATGGACTTGGTTTTCTTCTTCCTCCGCCCATGACTCAAGTTCCGAGCGCAGCGACATGTGTGAGGAGTTAGAGTCGCGACGGCGTGATGGCGCGGTGGTGGTGGTTGAAGTGCTGCGGAAACCAAAGTCGTCCCCTCCTTCCATCATGAAGTCGCCATCGTCCCAGTTTTCAACCTCCTCCTCCACAGGTAGACGATTCTTCAGTTGTAGGGTATCCATGGTAAGGAGAATCGAGGTGCCTGCGACGAGGGGGCATGTGGCCGATCGAAGCCTCCAATCCTCATGCGCGGGCGGTGCTCAAAACGCAGCGCGGGCTCAAGTATATGTTTTCGCTCTTGTCGTCAATTCGTCTGGGTCGGCAATATCGTGGTTGAGCAATAATTTAGACGGGCAGTAGGTGTCGCTATGTCAAGCTGAGGATGGAGGGTGGCCAGGAAAGTGGGCTTGGAACCCCAAATCTGGTGGAATGTTGAACTTGTTGAAGGCTGGGACACTGCAAGAGGCTGGGAGCAGCCGCCTGTGGGGGCCTCAGGCCTCCTGGTTCACGATGTCCTTCTGGAAATCAGGGCCCCTCTGACTCTGATTTCCCGACTCCACCTGAAAACGGTGAGTTCCCACACGTGATTTTGAGCTTGCAGCTCAATGATTGGCTGTAGCCAAGCACGACGCGCTTTCTGTTCCACTTTCGCGTCACTCAAAGCTACGTACCACGCGTGCAGATGACGGTTGCCAAAGACCTGATGAAGACTTGGAGATGATCATGGCCTGCTTTGATGAAACTTTGAAACACATCTTGTCATCTAATTGATGAGGCGGATGTCTTCTGACAATTGCACAGACGGTGACGAACCTGGCCCCATGTTCGGTGTTATTACAGTGCGGACCCTGATTGAATTAGCTCCAGTAGCAGGGTCCTGTCACCAATTTAACACCAGTAGGCCCGTGCGTGCGATTCACGCCGCACTGTATGAGGTACGTAGTGCAGTCTGCGAGGCATGGCGCAGGTGCCTGCCTGCAACTGCCTAGTAGAATCTGGATGCGCTGAGCTGTAATATCACGAACCACTGGACCCGACCAACCCGAGCAGCGAGTTTTCCTTCATTGCGTGAAACAATGCCATTATATCATAGTAGTGTAAGGCTTTCCCCCCCAACTTTGAAACAGTTATATTTGACTTTACCTTAGTCAAATTGTTGAAACTTGAACGTCGCAATCCTGAGGAGGAGCTGAAGGCTGAAGCCCTCCGATTCACCACTGTGAGGCTTACATCGCCACCTTGGGTTTCGCTCACTGGCTTTGACGCGCATCACATTGCCAATTACATCCAGACTCATCATCCAGTGATTTGAGCTGTAGGCTGCTGAAGTCGCCAAGATGCCGCATAACGAACGAGTGCTCAAGTTCAGTCGCACGGATGATGAGGCCAAGTACATATTGGTCAACGTCAAGGACCGAGGGCCGAAGCCGCTCGATCTCAGACTCGAGGCCACAGAATTTGAAGCTGAGTATGCTTCAAAACGTGAGACTTCCGAGTACCGCACCAGTTACTTCAAGCTAACATACTACGACCTGTAGTGAAACAAAGCGATGTTTCTTCGCTTCGTGCCAAGAATGGCCCAGTAGACGATGGAGAGTGGCACACAATACTCGAGCAATTACTTCGGTATGGCTATATCCCAGATATAGAAGCCACGGCAGTCGTAGCTGAGGGCAAATCGATATCCATCATCGTACGAAAGTCCATCCAGGGCATAAGCGTAAGCCACTCCCATTCACCCACCAGGCCATGCTAACGGATGCAGCAACGTCTAGGGGAGCTAGTAATACCGCAAATCGAGGGTGGCGAGCTCAATGTCCTGGAGTGGTGCGCGACTGCCGTCGACGCAGTAGTGGATTGTGAGAAAAGGGCCGCCGCATCCACGTCGAAGATTTCCCAGCTGGAGAACGAGGTCACCGAGTTGAGGTCTCAGGTTGAGGAGCTTATCCAGGCCAAGCAAGAGGACGAGACTGTTCTCCTCATGAAATTCCGCGACCTGCTCAACGAGAAGAAGGTCAAGATCCGGGAACAACAGAAAGTCATTGCGGCTCTTCCCTCAAGTGCCGGTTCTGCCTCTCAGCAGCCGTCTCAACCATCTCAGCCTACATTACCTCAACGAGGACGCAAGACGCAGACATCACGAGCCACCAAGAGAAAAGCAGCCGCACCAATTGTGGAAGAAGAGTCGGATGATGGCTTTGAGTCGATCGAAATTGACAAAGTCAAAACTGAGCCAACCGAACCTCAGGATCCGGAAGAGACAGAGAAGGATACGGAAAGCGACGCCACAGCCTCTACAGCGAGTGATGGTGAGCCAGCGCCAGGTCCATCCGGGGTGCCTTCGGGCAAGGCGCCCAAAAGTCAGCCTTTGGCAACAGGAGGGTCCAGCGCAGCGGCACAGCAACAGAAGAAAAGTGCACAGCCGCCGCCCAAAAGAAGCTTGCCATTCACTGCGAAGAAACCAACACCCGCAGTACCTGGAGGCGAGGGGAGCGAGACTGCTTCGGACGATGAACTTTGAATACGGAATCCTCGGGTGCGCCAAGGGAGCGTCAACTATCTAGTAGTCGATCGAGTGACCGAGCTTCTGGTCAACAGGGTCGAAATACTTTCTCAAATACCCACGGAAACGCTGTCTCTTCCTGCCCAATGCCGCGATATCGGAAATCTCATCCTCGGTCAGTTTGAAGGTTGGCAGCTTGCGGACAAACCCTTCAAGCCTCTCCTTTCTAGAGCTTGTGGTCACAGCAACACAGCCCTGGTCGAGAACCCATCTCAATCCGATCTCGGATTCCGTCACGTTGTATTTGCGCGCCAACTCGCTCCACAGGCCGTCGACAGGGCCCCCGGGAGCCTTGGTCAATGGCACCAAAGCGCCGTAGCAGGACACTGCGATGTCGTTCGTGCGATGGAACTCGAGGAGGCCGTTTTGCTGAAGATACGGGTGGTACTCGATCTCGTTGATGGCAGGCTTGATTTTGGCCGCGGCGAGAATGACCTCCAGGTGCTCTTGCAAGTAATTGGATACACCAATTGACTTGGCTCTGCCAGATTCCTTGATGGCTTCCATTTCAGCCCACTGCTGCTGCAGCTCTTCTTTGGTCGAAGCCCAGTACGGCATGTGAATCAAATACAAATCCACATAGTCTAGGCCAAGTCTTTCGAGCGAGCCTGCAAAAGCCGTCGTGATGGATGTCCTTGGGTCCGCGCCTGAATACTTGGTGGTGACGAAGATCTTGTCCCTGGGAACCCCAGACGCTCTTATGCCATCGCCTTGTTCCTCCTCGTTGCCGTATACTGTTCTCCACGTCAGTGTGATATCGAACGATGCAGGATTCACTCTCACTTTGGGCGCCATCAACATGTCGATAGCCACAAGAAAGGGCCATCTCGGTCAGCCTCACAAGTGTCTCGTCTCGCGGCTTGCCGGGCCCCCTCTGTCGAGCGCTACCTAGGCCGTAGGCAACCTATCATGTAAGATTGTGGGTTTCACTTATGTTTAAAGCCTTACCACTGGGATGTCGTTGCCATCTGGCATTTTTAGAGTAGGAAACTCAGCGCCGATTGACCCTATCATGATCAGCTTCCTCGTCGTCCTCGTGAGTTTGGATAGGGAACGCTTTGGTTCTTGAGATTCTATGATGCTTCATGAGGATGCTTTTTAATAGCTGTGCTGCCTTCGAATACTCCTAATAGATGCTGATTTGTCCAGCCTCCGCCCACGGTCACGTTCAGTGGCTGGCCAACTAACGACTTCGGGTGCACGGACTTAACATCTTCTATTGTTCTCTTGATCCGCTGTGTACATGACTTGCATTGTCGGCGGTACTTGCGGTACTTCGAGGCAGGTATTCAGCCCTTATCGACACTGAAGCGCGATACGGCAGTGAAGCAGAATAGCAGATGGCAGCTTTGGATGACATGCTCTGCTCTTGAGCCATAGCGGATCCATGACTGGCACAATCCCACATCGAGATCCAGACAAAAGAGTCCGCGGGTTACAGCTAGTTGTTTTCGAGTGACTTGAAATTGTTGACTGAATTCAAACTTACACGCGAGATTATGTTATCTAAGGGGGAAAAGGGCAAACGCTTGCTCCTTGGGATCGACAGTGGATTCGTGCCTGTGGCCATTCGTGGCCTCATCACTTCACCTACCCTGCGTGCATTCGTATCGGTTTAGTGTGCATGTGTGGAGGAGGCGAAACGCGTAGAAGCTATAGGCTTGTAGTTAGGTTTGCGTGTCTATAAAATAAAGACTTGAGTTGTTTTTGAGCATTCACACTCGTAAGGATGACGGTAAGCTTAGTGTGGCGCGTTGTGTTGGTGAGGTGTGCATTGTATTCCCATTGTACTTGTAGTGCCATCTCAACCAAATGTCCCCACGTAATTCCCGGAAATCAATCCCTGTATGACACTGATGGTTATAAACTATTCCAGCGGAGTTCGATTTCACCCGAGATCGAGCTTCTGAACGTCAATTTGATGCTGTTGTGACCCAGATTTCATGATGTCAGATGGACGACCGCACTCTGGACTCCGGACTCCGGACTCCGGAGTGAAAGTACCAGCCCCAACCGAGGTCGCAGACTCGCCACTCAGCAAGCTATTATTAACATACAACAACTCATTTCCTGCTCATGCTCTTCACTGCATAGACCCTAGATCACAACACGCTTGATGCTTTCACGTACTATCTGTCAGAAACGCGTGCTTCTAGCATCAAACACCGCAAGAGCTGGAGTCAGCTTCACAAAGTTTCATTTGCCGAAGCGCGCATCCAGCAGTATGAGCAGCACCGGCGTCTCCCTTCGGGACTTGCCCAAGTCATGGCGCTTCACAGAGGCCCTGCCGCCAGACGCCACTTTCCCTACACCCGCAGACTCACACAAGACTCCGAGAGACCAGATTCGACCTCGGACCGTACAAAAGGCGCTCTACACCTGGGTTCGCCCTGAGGAGCAACAAGATCCCGAGCTACTCTGTGTAAGCCCCGCTGCACTGAAGGATATCGGTATCGATCCCGAGGAGGCAAAGACGGAGGAGTTTCGCCAACTCGTGGCTGGCAACAGACTCTTGGGCTGGGACGAGGAGAAACTGGTGGGGGGCTACCCTTGGGCCCAGTGCTATGGTGGCTTCCAGTTCGGTTCATGGGCCGGTCAACTGGGCGACGGGCGCGCGATCTCCTTGTTCGAAGCGACAAACCCAGAGACGAAGCAGCGTTATGAGCTGCAGCTCAAAGGCGCAGGCATGACGCCATATTCTCGCTTCGCCGATGGCAAGGCTGTGCTGCGGTCCAGTATCCGAGAGTTTGTGGTCTCTGAGAGTCTGAACGCTTTGGGAATCCCGACGACCCGTGCGCTGTCCTTGACACTGTTGCCGCATTCCCAAGTGCTACGCGAAAGGATGGAACCTGGAGCTATCGTACTCCGCTTTGCGCAATCGTGGTTGCGTCTTGGGACCTTCGATATCCTACGAGCGCGTGGCAACAGGGACCTGATCCGGCAACTGTCGACGTATATCGCAGAGGATGTGTTTGGCGGATGGGATACGCTGCCAGCTCGGCTAGACAACCCACCAGAGCCAGTGGACGCGTCGACACCAAAGAGAGGCGTAGAAGCCTCAGAGATCCAAGGGCCCGATGACGCTGCGGAGAACCGATTCACACGACTTTACAGGGAAATCGCCCGTCGCAATGCAGTCACTGTGGCGCACTGGCAAGCGTACGGCTTCATGAACGGAGTCTTGGTAAGTCCCTGCCTCATGGATCCTGACGGAACCTCGCTGACCTGGCACAGAACACAGACAACACGTCGATTTTCGGCCTTTCAATGGACTACGGTCCGTTTGCGTTCATGGATAATTTCGACCCTGCATATACACCAAACCACGATGATCACATGCTTCGATATAGCTACAAGAACCAGCCCACCATTATCTGGTGGAACCTGGTCAGGCTTGGTGAGGCACTCGGCGAGACGCTGGGTATCGGGGCTCAAGTCGACGACCCGACCTTTGTTGAAAAGGGAATCGAGAAGAGCCAGGAAGAAGAAGTCATCGCGAGAGCTGAGAAAATCATTACCCAGGTGGGAGAGGAATTTAAGTCTGTCTTCCTGGCCGAGTACAAGAAGCTTATGACACGACGTCTCGGCCTTTTGAGCTTCAAAACCTCCGACTTTGAGGAGCTCTTCAGCGAGGCTCTGGACACGATGGAAAGTCTCGAACTTGACTTTACGCACTTCTTCCGCCGACTTAGTGCCCTCCGGCTTGAGCAGATTGCAACGCCAGAGGCACGGAAGGAGATTGCTTCCGTGTTCTTCCACCAAGAGGGACCACCCAAATTGGTCACGGAAGACGAGGCACGGGGTCAGATTGCGAAATGGCTACAAGCATGGAGGTCACGCATTGTCGAAGACTGGGGCGAGGGCAGCGACACTGTGCCCGCAGCCAAGGACGAAGAGCGCCGCGCAGCCATGAAGCGTGTCAACCCCAACTTTATCCCGCGAGGATGGATCCTGGACGAGGTCATCCGCAGGGTCGAGAAGGAGGGCGACCGTAAGGTCTTGGATCAACTGATGCACATGGCTTTGAACCCATTCCAAGACCGTTGGTCCGGGGAGGTGCACAATGGCGCTGAGTACCAAGGGAACGAAGAGCAAGAGCAGAGATGGACAGGCGACGTGCCCCGTTTCGAGCGCGCCATGCAATGCAGCTGCAGTTCATAGATAGCACGAATGAATGTCACGACCGGCGGTAAGAGGCATCGCTCATTAAGTTGAAGCTTTCGCATGCTTCCATAATCGGCGTGTGGTCTCTCTTGGGCACAAGATAGAGGAAGACTCGACAGTATCAACCAGAACGAATCCTGGCGATCAAGCTCACCTACAATAAAATGTGCCCGTGTACAATTAATTATTGGAAGAAAGAAGAAGTGAAAGAAGTGGCCTCGACGAGCAGCAATTTTGATGTGGGCAGAGCGGGCCAATCGCGGCCTCAGGCACGAATCGCAGGTATCAGCCAATCACGGCACAGGTAAATAACAACCTTAGTCAGCGCCACCAGAATTCCCCAAACAGCCGGAACTTGTCGACCGACCGCTGGCAAAGAGATCCCTCGATACCAGACGTCAACGACTGAGCCTTTAACCCTCCTCACCCTCGTGCCAACCCTCCCCCTTCCTTTTCTTCTCCGTCAAGGCGACACGATGCTCCGACAGTCTCTGGCACGTTCGGCTTGGCGGGCGGGCCGGCGAACAGCCCAGGTCTCGCGCACCTTTGCGACGACGCAACATCGTCCAGCCGAGGTGGAGTTGACCATTGGTGAGTGGGCAACAAGCCATTGGGATCTGTAGCCTGGCTAACGTGGTGCTAGATGGGAAAAAGGTTTCTGTCGAAGGTATGGGACGACGTATTTGGAGTGCTCCCCGAGGTATACTGACGTCGTCATAGCTGGATCAGCTTTGATCCAAGCTTGCGAAAAGGCTGGAGTGACAGTGCCCAGGTAAGCCCGCACAAGCGTCGTATCCGGAGACACCACTGACGAAATACAGATACTGTTACCATGAGTACGAGATGCCACGATCGAGTCGAGCGAACAGACACTGACCCCGGTGTAGAAAACTTATGATTGCTGGTAACTGCCGTATGTGCTTGGTCGAAGTCGAGAGGGCCCCGAAGCCCGTCGCCTCGTGTGCCTGGCCTGTGCAGCCCGGTATGGTTGTCAAGACGAACTCGGCCCTTACCCACAAGGCCCGCGAGGGCGTGATGGAATTTTTGCTGGCGAACCACCCTCTCGACTGCCCGGTCTGTGACCAAGGTGGCGAGTGTGATCTCCAGGACCAGTCGATGCGATACGGTGCCGACCGCGGACGATTCCACGAAGTTGGCGGCAAGCGTGCCGTTGAGGACAAGAACATTGGCCCACTGATCAAGACCTCCATGAACCGCTGCATTCACTGCACGCGTTGCATCCGTTTCGCCAACGATGTTGCCGGTGCCCCCGAGCTTGGATCGACTGGCCGTGGCAACGACATCCAGATTGGAACTTACCTCGAGCAGAACCTCGACACTGAGCTCTCTGGCAACGTCATTGATCTCTGCCCCGTTGGTGCGCTCACCTCGAAGCCATATGCTTTCCGGGCCCGCCCCTGGGAGCTGAAGCACTCCGAAACCATTGACGTTCTTGACGGTCTGGGTTCCAACATTCGCGTGGACTCCCGAGGCCTCGAGGTTATGCGTGTCCTGCCCCGCCTCAACGACGACGTGAACGAGGAATGGATCAACGACAAGACCCGTTTCGCCTGCGATGGCTTGAAGACCCAGCGTCTGACGATGCCTCTGATCCGCCGCGAGGGCAAGTTCGAGCCCGCTGATTGGGAGGAGGCCCTGTCTCACGTTGCTCGTGCGTACGAGGCCAAGAAGCCCCAGGGCAACGAATTCAAGGTCATTTCTGGTGCTCTGACCGAGGTTGAGTCCCTCGTTGTGGCCAAGGACCTGGCCAACAAGCTCGGCTCCGACAACCTGGCCCTCGATACCCCTACCGGAAGCCAGCCCCTCGCCCACGGTGTTGATGTCCGCTCCAACTACCTCTTCAACTCCCGTATCGCTGGTATTGAGGAGGCCGACGCCATTCTGCTGATCGGCACTAACCCTCGCCACGAGGCTGCCGTGCTCAATGCCCGTATCCGTAAGCAGTGGCTTCGCTCTGATCTCGAGATTGGTGTCGTTGGCGAGACCTGGGATTCGACCTTTGACTTCGAGCACCTCGGCACGGACCACGCTGCTCTCAAGAAGGCTCTTGCGGGACCGTTCGGCAAGAAGCTCCAAGCCGCTAAGCGCCCGATGATCATTGTGGGCTCAGGTGTCACTGACCACGCCGATGCCAAGGCGTTCTACGAGACTGTTGGTACCTACGTCGAGAAGAACGCCACTAACTTCAGGACTGAGGAATGGGACGGCTACAACATCCTGCAGCGCGAGGCTTCGCGCGCTGGTGCTTTCGAAGTGGGCTTCACCACTCCTTCTGCCGCCGTCGCCGAGACGAAGCCCAAGTTCGTCTGGCTGCTCGGCGCTGACGAGTTCAACGAGGCCGACATCCCCAAGGACGCGTTCGTTGTTTACCAAGGACACCACGGTGACCGCGGCGCACAGATTGCCGATATCGTCCTCCCCGGCGCTGCCTACACCGAGAAGGCTGGAACCTACATCAACACGGAGGGCCGCGTGCAGATGACTCGTGCTGCCACCTCGCTTCCCGGAGCGTCCCGCACTGACTGGAAGATCCTCCGCGCCGCTGGCGAGTTCTTGGGTGTCTCGCTGCCTTACGATGACGTGGCCGCTGTTCGCGACCGCATGGTCGAGATCTCTCCCGCTCTCGCTGCGTACGATGTCATTGAGCCCGTTGCTCTCCGCGAGTTGAGCAAGGTGCAATTGGTGGACCAGAACAAGGGATCCAAGGCCACAGGAGAGCCTCTGAAGAAGGTCATTGACAACTTCTACTTCGCAGATGTGATTTCAAGGAGGTGAGTTAAGCAACGCTGTACAAAGTGAGGTTGACAACTGACACGCAATAGTTCACCGACCATGGCTCGCTGCTCCGCTGCCAAGGCGACTGGCGACCCGCGGACCAACCTGATGGCGCCTGGTATTGAGGAGGACAGGCCGATGGGGCAGGTTGAGTATGGCTCGTAGAGAGACTGTACACTTTCGGAGGAGGGCTCCATGTTGCGTTTCTAGATTGTTCGCATCCACTGTACATAAAGGACACTAGAGACGGTATAAAGTGACACTACAGTGCACTTTCCTTTGTAAGCATTTTACAGATCATACTCGCATACTGTGTGTAACAAATTGCTGCGGTCTCTACTCTACGATGCTGTAGCAGGACCCACCCAACGCGCAGCCTGAGGTGATATTCATCCTCCCTGGTTCCTCTGCCCAGTTCAGTCCAGGTCCATTGCGACGCTTTTCTCATCTTCTAACATCTTTGTGTACCTCTCCCTCTGTCCTCGGTTGTGCTCGTCGTACCCACGGAGGTTTACCAGTCCTTGACTGATAGTCCTTTCCATGTCGGTAGTCCACTGTTCCCTCGATCGGCCGCGAATGGAGAAATCTGCCCCAAAGTCGGGCGGCGCCATTCTGCACATGGCAGGCGTACTTGCCCCTCGAAAGTTGGCTGGCGCAGACATGTTGGCGATGGCCTGATTCAGCTCCTCTTCTCTCCGCTGCGGATTGACCGGGTACGCCGTGTCCCTCATGGCGCCCTCCTGCCTGCGTTCATCGATCCGGGCTTCTTGATAGAGTCGCAGACACTCTCGTTTGTACAGGTCCTTCATGTTCTTCTTCACGCGGGCGGCGTGGGGTTCCATGTCCTCGATCTTGTTCTGCAGACGCTCGACCTCGGACGAGGGTGGGTTGAAGGGCGCGATCATGCTGTCGCCCTCGATGGGCATGAAGATGGCCATGGCGTCCGACGCGAGGGGCGGGATGGATGGCCGTTCATCGTCTGGAGGTATTTGCTGCCGTTGCTGTTGCTGTTGGAGGTTCAGCCGTGGATGTGGTTGATTGTGTGCCATGTTGGAGATGTGGTGAGGTGTGCCTGCAACGAGCGAGCTGCCTCTGATCAGGGCGCCTTTAGCATGGCGTGTCTCCGAGCCAATTGGTTTGCACTGGTTCAAGCTGCTTGTGACTGAAATCAGAATTGTTGTTTGAGAGGATGGTGGGGCTAGCGAGAAGCAGTTTGTGAATGGTGGTGATGCGATTGACCAACGGCGTCATGTCAGATGAATTTGTGTTTAGATAGGTACATACTAGGAGTCCAGAACACTCCACTGCTATAAACTCCGACCTGAGGCAGTCACCGACACTACCATCAGTTACTCAGGAAAGGTAAGTAAAGATGTTTACCTGGTAAAGTAGTCAAAGATCCAAGAATGCCTACCTTTGATGACTCTACTTCCAACCTCAGCGGCAGCGAACCTCACGCGGACATTAACTATGATGCTTCGAGGCAAACGATATTTACCATTGCTCTTTCTATGAACAGAATATGGACAGAATAAAAGTGGCAATGTGTCTAACCACACGCTTTTTTTTAAAAACAACCTGAACCTATTGGTTCCAAGGTAAACATATGACGTTGCCGATGTCGGTAGTAGCTATGCTTCCTGCATCAGCTACCTTGCCGGTGGTGATGTTGTGCTCCGAAGAGCGAAGTGCTGATAGGCTGGCCGCGTGAGACCTTGGGATTGCCCATCGCAGTCCGATTCTAGTTGTGTACAAGTAGGCTGAAGTGCCGAGGTTTGTGTACGATACCTGGCCGCAACTGGGCTCACGAAACTGCTGCCGTCATCCTCGTCGAAGGCAGGCGACAGCGAGCACGCGGATCTCACGTCGAAACTGCGAGGGTAGTGTACTCGATCCGTTCACCTAGACGGAAGCACTTTCCTGACGTATTCGCGTGTGAGCTGCAGCGCCGCGCGCACCAGATCCTCCAGCCTCTTGTCCTTGCGTCGGCGCATCCACAGTAGTACGGTACCGAGGATGAAAAAGTCCACGAGCAGGTGCTTCGTCACTGTCCAGACAACCCAACCGAGCCAAGCCGGAAAGCTCTTGTCTTTCTTCGAGCGCCATTCTCTGCCGGCAGTGATCTGCTCTCGGAGCGCGGCAACCTCGGCTGACAGATTCGTAATTGCTCGCTCGACCTTGCGTTGCCACCGTCCACTTCCCTTGTTGGACTGAGTTTCCGCTTCCTCCTCGTCGTCTTCGAGCTCCATTTGTCGTTGAGAACGTAGTTCGGCCTCGTCTTGTTCGCTCATGGGGCTCAGGACCTTCATCGGTCCATCGGAGCCGCTTGCTGGTTGCTGGAAGCGTCGCGACGCGTTGGGTGAAGAGTCGGAGGAGCTATCCGAGTTGCTCTTGATTTGGTTCCACACGAATTCCAGCTCGCTGACAAGTTCCTTTGCATCACTGGGATCTCCTGTTAGCCGTCTGTCCAATCTCTCGTCCGCGCAAGCTACGTACGGGGTGTTTGCGTATCGGTGCATGGTCTCGATAAGTGCCTCAATGTACCTCCTCTTGCTTTCCGTCCGACTCAGGCCCCTTTGCGAGTTCCAGGCATCCCACTTGTCGCGCTCCCGTTGTACTTCGTCCTCTGGCGCGCCGGTGCCGGATGAGGGACGTTCCATGACGCCATCCACATCGCCCTCCATGGCTTGCTTGTATAATCCATAGAGACGTAATCGGTCGGAAGGCGGAGGTCGAGCGGCGCCCGTCTTTGGGACTTTCTTGACGGTGTTCAGGGCGTGGACGAACACCCGATCTGCTCTGGCTTAGCCGGGTTTATATAGGATGATGGTTGCGACAACACTGACCCACAGAGTCCGCCATGGTGGACGGGTGCACTGGGAGCAGCGATGCTCCCGGGTAAAGATGATAGTGAAGCGACTGAAGGCTTGGGTGTTGATGAAGGGGTTCAAGGTTCGGTCAAAGAGACCTCGGGGTCCCTCGTTCACAGTGTAATGAATGTGGGAAAGCTGAGCCGAGATAAGAGACAGGGCCCCCACAGCGCGCACGCGACGTCACCAAAGCGCGTAATGGCTCAGCATCAACGCCGGAAAGTGAACGACAGGAATGATGGAAAAGATGTCTTTCGCAGTGGCAGATATGCCAGACTCGTCGAGCGTGGTGATTGAAGTGTTGGTGAGGCACAGCTTGGGGCAATTGGTCGGCCTCGACAACGACATGATGGCATGGCATGGGCCACATGCATTTACCTCGGCGCAGTCGCAGGTCTCGGGAACCATGCCGCTAATGGGCTACAGTACGCACCTCAACGATCACCTTGAGCCAGACGACGCCGACTAATGCAGAGCGGCACGTCGCAAACGTCCTCTGTATTTAGGACCGTTCCAGTCCAGCGCCCGTCAGCCATGCTGAGCGTTGAATGTACACATCTATATCACACAGTGGCTCCCGTGTCCCTGGGCATGTGTGTGGTTGCTGCAAATGCAGGAACAGGCATGCATGATACACTGTGGGCACTAATAACCCGCGCCTTCATACCAGGTAAGTTACTCCAAATAATTAATAGTCTCCTCAGGAATTGTATCACCACTATTGTATTCCCGGTATCATATGCCGCTGCTCTGCTCAGCATCCTCGGCTTGCTTCTGAGCCTCGACATAGGCCCTCTTCTTCTGCTCGTATGTTTTCAACAGCTTACGGTTCTCGAGCGCCTGAGTCGCAGCCTTTTGCGCAGCTTCCTTCTTCGACTGAGCAGTACCCAAGCCCAGTTCTCTTCCAGTTTCGCCCCAGCCTGTCAGGTAAAGACCTATTGCAAACACTGGCAGCTTCAGGTGCTTGTCCTTCTTATTACACGGCAAGTCTCTGTACTCCAATGTGACACCTGGCACGCGGATGAGGTGTGAAATTCGCTCCTTGGGTGAAAGGTCCTTAACCTCTCCAGTCACTTCGTTCAAGACTCTGACAGTGGTTGGCTTCTCATTCTCGGCTGCGACAATCTGCTCTCGGAGGGTCATCGACCACAAGTCCCGAAGCCAACGAATGCAGGTTGCCAGGCCATTGTCCGGGTCGCTCATGATGATGGCAGCCACGTACGCCTCAAACATGTCGCCTTGGGTCTTTGTGATGTCTTTGTCGTTTGACCTCCCCCTTCCTGCACCAAGTCCATGAAGAACCTCGGGGGGTAATCGTGCCTTGCTTGCAAGACCGTACTCGCGAAAGTAGCGAGACAGAGTGACGTTGCGAATGAGTTGCTCTCGCAGCTGCGAGCAACGCCCTGCCCTAAGCTTCGGAAAAGTTCTTGATATGATGTTCGTCGAGATCAGTTCCAAATAGGCGTCACCTATCCACTCCAGGCGCTCGTAGCTGCCGCCCTCTCCTACCCCGATGTGAAGAAACGCAAGGCGTTCTAGCTCCGGGTCTTTGATCGGCGGCAAAGGTGGAAGCTGCGTCGGTATCTCTGATGAGCGCCATGGCTCGACACTGAATGGTGGAATGGCCAAAGGAGTCCTGGCGTAGATGTTCGAGTCAGATTGTTGACGTATTTTATCTTGGCCATTTTCAGAGGCCAATGACTGTATCGGCCCAAGCATGTTTCTCGCCACGCCTTCCCATCTGGGTACCAAAGAACGAACGGATTCCCCATTACCCTGACGCCATCGCAAAAGCTGCTGTAGGTTGTCGATCACTTCTTGTGCATTGTCGGCGAGCTTGCTCAACGCCTCGATTTTCTCAGCCGTGGAAGCATCAAGCCCAGGCGCATCTGTACTCCTTGGGCGTTTGTTGTCTCGTGGTAGATCAGTCTCAGGTAGACTTGAGAGCTGGCGTTTGCTCATCCTCTTGTGTTTGTTTTCAAGCCGGCGCCGGTTCTGAGAAGTGCCGATTTGATGCTCTTTATTCTTATCGGAATCATTTGAAGAAATGTCCTTTTTCTTAAAGCTCTCAATTAAGCTAAGTTCAGTGATGCATCAATCGGGCTTAGCGCGTGTGCAAGCTGCACGACTGCCCCACTCGCCCTGTGTGACCAATAGCACTGCAGCTACTTGGACGTCGCGACGTTGATTTTGACGTGGACAACGGTTCACAACGAAAAGTTAACCACTGCGACATTCGACTATGCCATCATGAGTGTCCCACGATCACGGATGTTGGACCTGATGAAGGTAGATGGATATGCTTACTTCAAGATGGCGGTAGCTAACTCGCTGTAGGCCCAATGTCAGGTCTTTGCGACAACGTACAATCCCGATGGCCTTCGACTCGGCAACAAGGTCCTGCGCCAGCGACTTCGCGGGCCCGCGCTGGCGTCTTACTACCCGCGAAAGGTGGCAACGGTCAAGATGATGAATCAAATGTTCGGCATGAAGGTCCCTAAGGGTACTGAGGAGAACGAGGAGACCGGCTCGTCAGACCGAAGTTTGGCAACCTGGGACGACGCCGAGGAGGACCGCACAACCTACGTCGAGGAGTACGTCGACCATGGCAGCGCGCCACTGAAGGCGAATTTTGCGCTGACGCAGCTACAGATTGAAGGCGAGAGGCAAGGGGAATCCGAAGAAGAAGAAGGAAGCAGTTGGTGAGTCGTCGCGTCCTTTGTGGATGTTTGTTACTAACAATCAAAAGTCAAAACCAAGGGCTTTGGAAAGAAGAAGAAATAAGGACGACAAGCAGGCTCTGCATTTATGTCTGGCATCACGCCAGACCCGACATTATTGTACAATACCAGGCGGCACGCATAGTTCGACCCGAGTTGACCAGCGGGATTTCAGGCGCATGTATAGACCCTACATTGTACAAATATATACCACTGATGATCAAGCAACTCATTGCGAAAAACATGACAGTGGAATGACCTATTGCGAACATCAAAGGCGGCTGATGAACACTGCTGCCAAGGGCGAGAAGAGGGAATTACATCTTCACTAAACGTATACAACGTAAGTGTATCCCGTGATCTGAAACAATTATCCAAGCGCTGCAACTGAAGCATTTGTTGGTGCCGACATACGGTGACAGTACCGAGCCGTTTAGCTGCTGGATATTGGACGTTAGATCTCCCAGCTATTCTCTGTCACAAACTAAGATCTCCATGTCGCCGTTGCTGTCTCCGATTCCGGGGCTCCTCGCTTGGTGGTACCTACCTGTAAGGTACGTACTACTAAGTACTAGGTAACTGCTTTACCTGACATTGGAGGCAGGCGGTAGCGAAGTGGACTGTGCGGGAGGCGACTACGGCAGACATGCTCTTTCCATGGGCTATGCTGCAGCCCCGTATAGTCTGATCTTTACTTCAAGCACTTCAGTCCCCGCAAACTTCTCATCCTTCTCTTCCTCGCACCTCACACTCTTTTCCACCACAGCCACCTGCCGGTGCTGCCTCACGTTCTTTCCTTTCTAGGCCTCATTCACCATCCGCAGCCTGCTTTCCCTCGATCCGAGAAGGTTGGATCTGGTGCTAATCCGGTGGTGGACTGGTTCCGCCTGCCTGTCACGACGACTACCCACACGACCTTTGCATTTATTATCCGCCCGACTGTTCTTGAGTTGTCTCTTCTGTCTTTCTCACACTCTTGTTTGGCCAGTCTGCCACTGCACCACCGCACTCTTTGATCTAGTGGACTCTTCTTGCGTGGAATTTCAACAATCTACTGTCTTCACCGCCATCTTCTATTGGTTTGATCAACTACTCAACTGTTTGCAGAGCCCTTCCTTGTACTTCGAACACTGCTGCTGCCGCGGCTATACAGCTCTGTCACAATCATCACCGGACAATCCCTGCCAGCACCAAGGCAACGTGCTACGATGAACACGGAGGGCAATCCAATTCTGGGCCGGGGTGATTCCCTGGTAGGTCCAATTTCCACAACCCTATTCACACGTGTTTACTGACTTCTGAATAGCAAGGATTTACCGCTGCTTCGAGCCGGAAGAATGTATCAGCTCTGTCCACTTCGAAGCTTGCCAACCAAGCACCGCCAAAAAAGGTAAGATCGTCACGCCACGTTGCCGTCTGGAAATGACTGGAAATAACACAGAATGAAGCAGGGCTCCGATATGTCCACCGAGACGGAGTCTTACCCCGTGGACAAGCTGCTGGCCAAGCTTTCCGAGCAGAATGCAAACATCCCCCGGCAAAGCGAGACACTGAAGAGGGGAGAAAACGAGCGTGCTGCCGCCGCTCAACATTACTCAAGCAACTCTCTTCATGTTACACCTGCAACTGAAGAGTTTCCATTGAATGCTCCTTCTGCTCGACCTGCCAGTGCAGACGCAGAGGATAATCGTGCTGAGGCGGATGAGCTCATGCGCCTCAAGCTTCAGTTGGCCCAGGCTCACAACCAAATTTCGCACTTGGAGCAGGCCACAAGCCGAGCAGTACAGCCAGATCAGGGCCCTTCTAACACTGAGCAATTCCCGAAGATGGACTCTCCTCGTGATGCATTGTGGGGTCAAACAGAAGACGGCCAGTCTGACAATAGTGACATCCACTCTGGCAACACGTTCAGTCGTGCTCGCGGCTTCTGGAACACTTCGCAAGGGACATTTGCTGGATTTCATGCCCAGGCTCCTGTTGCTGAACATGCTGCCGGAGGATGGCTCGGCGGCCGAGGCTTCAATCATGGCCTCGCAGAATCCACTGCTCCGGTGTTCAATACTGTCCATGAACAGCGCTCTGATCGTCCGGTACCGGACACTGAATATCTCATGCGAGGTATTCGACGTCCTGCTCGATTCGACCACAGCCGCACGACCTCACCCCAGTATGGTGGCCCTTTCAACTTGTACAACCCACCGGCTGGCCAGTACGAAGGAATGCTTCATGCTGGAGTCTCGCCCAATCAGATTGCAGGTGGAACTATGCAAGGTCACTTGGGACTGGGCTCTGCGTCCGCGGGGATGTACACTCACGCGCAGCAGCCCTTCGACCAGCCATTGTCACCATACGCATCCGAATTCACATCAAAGACGCCTTGGAAGACTGAGGTACGAGTGAATCAACCGCACGTTTCTCGAGGTGAAGATCTAACTTCATGAGTAGACAATGTCGACCGAGGGCCCCATGTACTTGCCGACAACTGAGCCGTTGAATTATCGCCGTTTGTTGGACCGAAACGTCAACTGTAATTGGAAGTACATTGTCGACAAGATTGTGTGCAACAATGACCAGCAGGCCTCGATCTTCCTTCAGCAGAAGCTCAAAGTGGGAACGCCGGAGCAGAAGTATGAGATTGTGGAGGCCATTGTCGCCCAAGCTTACCCCTTGATGGTGAATCGGTTCGGCAACTTCCTCGTACAGCGTTGTTTTGAGCATGGCACGCCGGAACAAGTCATCAAGATTGCGGAGGCTATCCGAGGCAACACTCTGAGCCTGTCCATGGATCCCTTTGGATGCCATGTCGTGCAGAAAGCCTTCGACTCGGTGCCCGAAGACTACAAGGCTATCATGGTACATGAGCTCCTTCGACGTATTCCCGAGACTGTCATTCACCGCTACGCCTGCCATGTTTGGCAGAAGCTCTTTGAACTGCGTTGGACAGAAACGCCTCCTCAAATCATGAAGTATGTCAACGAAGCCCTTCGTGGTATGTGGCATGAGGTTGCCCTGGGTGAGACAGGCAGCTTGGTTGTCCAGAACATATTCGAGAATTGTCTTGAGGATGACAAGGTGAGCAACCACTATCATTTCTTTGGACGTCCACAATTAACAATCTTCGCACAGCGTCCATGCATTGAAGAAGTCCTCGCGAACATCGACATTGTTGCCCACGGCCAATTCGGCAACTGGTGCATTCAACACGTCTGTGAGCATGGCGCTCCTCCCGACCGCAGTCGGGCGATTGATCATGTCATCCGCTACGCAGCCGAGTACAGCACGGATCAATTCGCATCCAAGGTAGTAGAGAAGTGCCTCAAGATCGGAGGAGCGGAATTCCTCGGCCGCTACCTTGATCGTGTCTGCGAAGGTCGCCGTGACCGCACTCGGATTCCTCTCATTGACATTGCCAGCGACCAATACGGCAATTACCTGGTGCAATGGATCCTCAACAATGCATCATCTCAGCACCGAGAAGTCGTGGCAGCTCACATTCGCAAGCACATGGTCTCACTCCGCGGCTCAAAGTTCGGCTCTCGCGTTGGCATGCTCTGCACGAACCACGCTGTCACAACTCGGCCTGGACCTGGCGTCGGTCCCGGTATGGGAGGTGGGCGCATGCGACCTGTGGCTCGCTTTGGGGGCAGCAGTGCTTATCGCTAGTCAAACCTGAGATGCCCGCCGATTCATCATGTCGACGAGCTCAAGCTTTGTCGCTCTTATCCTTATCCGTTGATTCAGACCAGCAGACTGGAATCTGTCGATCCTCTCCCACGACAATATCTTCTGGTAACAGGTAATTTACAGATCGCACGTCATGCTACGCTTGGTCGGCCACAGCTTGGCTGGGCGCATTGGACACATCATGATTACGAATTTTGCAATATGGAGGAGCTTGCAGCACCTAATCAAGGATCGAGTCTCCCCGTTCTTAGAGAAATAGTCCGTATCACAACCATGGCGGCATTGCGCATAGGAAGGGGGCTGTTGCTTCCGAGGACACATTGATGATTCTTTACATTGAAAGAGAAGACGTATACCTGCTATTCAGCCACCGGACGACTATGGGAACATTAGATAGAAGACAATGGTGCACACAATTTAGGTATGGCCAAAGTCATTCTCGTCCATTGTGTTGTGTGTGTTGAGTAGTTGAGATACGTGGTAGAATGCACTCCAGAACGCCGGATACTAACATGCCATGAATTAAGTATGTATGTGCATCAGGTTTCAGGACGCCAGTGGCGCTGCATTTGGCTGAGAGCTGGTATCGACTGGCGGGAACTCGGGATCCAGTGCCTGAGTCTGGGCCTCATGGTCTACAGGTGGATTTTCCTGTCTTTCCCAAGGTTTCGGGGGGACTTTTCTTGCACCGACCGGTTTCACTGACTGGTATGGGTAAGTACTTGACGCGTCGATGCTCTGGGGTGCAGCAGCACTTACGGGGTCCCGGACAACAGTGTTGGGGATTTGCCTAATGCCTGGCACGGGCTTCCCCTCCTGTAGCAGTTTAATCATCTCAGCAAAGCCTCCTGGGTACGATGGCTGATCCTCGCCATGGGTCTGGTCGGCCGCTGAGCCTGGTTTCTTGTCCAGGAACAGCTCGGCCTTGGGCGCGGACTTTTGCCAGTCAAGCGCTGGCTGCTGCGGCTGTTGGCGATACTCCTCTGGGAGTACATCCGGAGGAGCGTGGTCTGGATGAGAGGCTAGCCATTCTTTGTAGAGCGAAAAGTCAATTGTGACGCCAATCTTTTGTGCATAGTAGAAGATGCGGGCGTGGGTTGCCATGTCTGTGAAGGATGCTTGAGCGTTATCGGTTGGGCTGCCGAGGATAGCAAGTAGACCCGACTATAAATAGTTTGTCAGACGGAACTACAACTGCAAATCCAGGCCGGAGTCAACTGACCATGAAGTTTGTGTCCTTCACCCACGGATATGAATCGAAGGCGTGGAATATAGCATCATCGTGACTTAGAGAGCGGATTCCGTCTGTGCCTGTGAGAGGCTGCTGTGAAGAGGACATGGCGGGTAAGCTGTCACAGCTTGTGTGTCTTTACATATGACAGATGGTGGTACACGGGTAAGTAGATTTGAAAATGTATGTGATATGAATAATTGGATTCATTGACAGACTTGTTATGACTACGTACCAGGCCCGGGTAACCATAACTGGGGTAGTACCACTATAAATATGGGGCTCAAAGCCTCGGTCGGCGGCACTTTATAGCCCCAGCAAGGCTCACGTGCTCTGCCTCCAGCCATACCTTACCTAAGGTATAGGTTGCAATATCAAGAAGAGGAGGTTTGGGCTAAATCCAAAGTCAACTAGAAATACGTATACTGAATAGTGCTAGTAGTACTGAAATACTGAGGAAGAAAAGAGGACATGGAAGCCCGCTAGAAGTTAGAGCTAAGAACGTGGCCACTACGGATCGACCGTCTATCGTGCACCGACAGTGGCCGACTTGGACTCCACACAAGCAGCAGCGACGGCGCGAACAGCTGCAGCCCGCTCTAATCCCAGCATCGTCAGTCGCTCAACTGCCCGTTCTCAACCTCGACTTCTGTCGAGCCTCTTTGTGTCCCAATGCATCGCACTGCCCTTCGCTCGTACCATACGACTCGCCTGCACCTCTCATCCACCGTTCGACGCACGCTGAGCCGCGCCTCGAGACATCGCCATCTCCCGGTCGCCCACGCCCAGCATCGCGCGATACACTTCACCTCGCATAAACCACCCCGTCCCCTGTCGAGCACGACAGCAAATGACTCGCTGAGATCGTCCATGTACTTTCGCCGCCTCCCCGTCGCCGTGGTCTCGAGCCTGGTGGTAGGTTATGGTGCCTGGTACTCGTACAACGGAACGAGCCCCGCCAGCCCTGCTGCGAGCGTAGCCGCGAGAGGGTATGCGACTACACCCGACTCTGGTGTCGAGCCGACAAGGACTGTCTTGGTTGTCGGAGCCGACGAGCTGAGGCAGGGGACCATTGTGGGCGAAGGACCGATATCGAAGGAGACGAGCAGCGACGGCAGGAAAATTGTCGAGATGCTCACTCCGGAGCAGGCCACGCAGAAGCTGAGGAAGATGGAGCAGTCCTATTCTGTGGGACGTGGCCAGGGCGTCACGCGATACGACTTGGTGCAGCTGCCCAGCAACGATCCCATCGAGGATGACCACGCGGAGAAGATTGTGCAGGTGCCCAGTCGGTCAAAGGATGCCGTTGGCGACGACAGCGACTGGATGTTTTGGGGCGTTTTTGACGGCCACTCGTATGTGAACTGCTCGATCACAGACAGGGAGATGAAGCTAACTAGGAGGACAGGGGCTGGACCACATCAGCTACCCTCCGTGAGAGCCTGATTAACTACGTGGCCACGGAGCTCAACGAGACGTACAAGGCCGCTGCTGCGACTTTGCCGAGCGAGGACGCCATCGACCTAGCCATCAAGACCGGGTTCACTCGCCTGGACGACGAAATTGTTCACAAGAGCGTTGAGAAGGTCTTCAAATCAAGCAATAAGAACGTTGCTGCTGAGCTTCTCCAGCCGGCTCTCTCTGGCTCCTGCGCCCTTCTCTCCTTCTACGACAGCAAGACCAACATGCTGCGCGTTGCGTGCACGGGCGACTCGCGTGCTGTGCTCGGACGGCTCTCGGACACGGGCAAGTGGACAGCCACTGCGCTCTCTGAGGACCAGACGGGCAGCAACCCCAACGAAGCTGCACGCATGCGCAAGGAGCACCCTGGCGAGGACCGAGTCGTGCATAATGGTCGCGTACTCGGTGGGCTTGAGCCCACGCGTGCTTTTGGAGATGCTGTGTACAAATGGAGCCGCGACACCGCCATGAACCTGCGTTCCAAGTTCTTTGGGCGCACCCCGTCGCCGCTGCTCAAGACCCCGCCCTACGTCACGGCCGAGCCTGTGATCACCAAAACCAAGGTGAGCCCGGAAAAGGGCGACTTTTTGGTTCTCGCGACAGACGGGCTGTGGGAGATGCTCACCAACGAAGAAGTCGTCGGGCTCGTGGGCCAGTGGATCCAGAGCCAGGCAGCTGGCCAGGACTCTCATTTCGAGGCGACGTGGTCCAAGATCTTTGGGTCGTCCAAGCACCCCCTGCCGGTAGAGAAGGGCAAGGCGGATGGGCCTGATGGGCAGAAGACCCCGATCCGCGTTCAGCAATGGGGCATTGATCCCCAAGCCAAGGACCGGTTCTCGGTGAAGGACAAGAACGTCGCCACTCACCTGGTTCGCAATGCTCTCGGGGGGTCTAACGACGAGCAAGTGTGCGCCTTGCTCACCCTGCCTGCCCCCTTCTCCAGACGCTATCGGTACGTTTCCCTCTCTTCTGGCTTGGTAGTATAGACTGGTTGGACTAACAGTGTTGCAGGGACGACTTGACCGTTCAGGTCATCTTCTTTGGCAACGCCGAGAAGACAGGCGAGGTCATGATCAACACAGAGGCAACTGCTCCTGATGCGACCCTCAAGGCCAAGTTATAGCCTGCGTGGAGAGCATTGGGTTGTGATTTTTGGGCGTTCAGAGATGCATCGATACCAGATTATGTTTGAGTAGACAACAGGCCGAATTGAAGCTTAGACGATATTGATTGCTAGCAATGTCTCTCTTCAATGGAGTTTCGTAGACAAATCCGAGGCTTTGAGCAACGACAACGTCCAGTGCTGAGTTGCACGTAAGTACCGGTAGTTGAGGGTCTGAGACTAGCCCCACAATGACTTGGAGTTGGCCGCGCCTGCCACCCCGCTATCCAGCGCGGTAACCACGAATTGAGTTAGCACGCGCAACGACTGGACCCTCAACGTCATCAGCATAGATGGCAGATACCTGACCTTGTTCAACGCCAGATATCGTTCCATCTTGGCTTCGCTCACCACCATCGACTGGGCTACTCACATCTTTGGGCCCTGACTGTTCCGCTTCTAACCCGCGACACACGCGACGACAATTACCCCCTCGTGCCTAATTGCCATTGCGCATTGAGTCCACGTGTCCATAGCGGCCTGTCATCACTCTCGGCGCGTTTCCTCTCGCGAGCATGCCACAAGGGCGATAGGCTACCCCCAAATAGCACAATGTCTCTCGCCAATACTCCCGTCACCAGGTTGATGGTTGTGGGCATAGTCTCGACATCGATCCTGGCTAGCGTTCTCGATGTCAAGTACTATTTCTATATCCTCATCGACACGCATCTCTGGCGATATCGTCAGCTATGGCGGTTGCTCGGCTACCAGCTATGCTACACAAACTCTACAGAGGTACTCTTTGGTACCATGACACTGTACAATATGCGCATTGTTGAGCGCATGTGGGGGACGAGAAAGTTTGCTGTTCGTGGTACCCTCGCAGGCGTCTGAGACCACCGTTGATGCTAACAAACGCGCCTAGTCCTTCATCGTCGTTACATATCTCCTGACCTCGATTGTCTGCCCCATGATCTCGACCGTCCTGCGACCTTTGACTTGGGGCTTGACCAACTACGTACCGGCTGGCCCTACCGCCATTATCTTCGCCGTGCTTGCACAGTATCACGCAATGGTGCCACACATGTACAAGTACCGAATAGCGACATCGGCAGCGCCTCCGACCGACGACGAATTTCGAGGCGTCACGTTGTCCGACAAGTCATACCGCTACGCACTTGCGCTGCATCTGTCCCTGCTTCAGTGGCCAGGCTCAGTGCTGGGCGCTTTGGTGGGATGGGTCGTGGGCTACTCCTATCGCGAGGGTATTCTTCCTGCTGGGCTCATCAGATGGAGACTCCCCGGTTGGGTGCTGGGCTTGAAGAGCCATCGCAGCAGGACTGAATACGAAGGACTGAGGAGGAGACTGGAGGGACAAGGCGACGCTGCGACGGCATCCGGGGCTCAGGGGCCTCAAGGTGAGGGCCAAGCCGAGAGGCGGCGGACCATGGGCCAGCAATTCATGTCGCAAATCCGGGAAGCCTTATAAAAACCTCATTCAGAACAATGCACAATTACAGTTGACATTTGGCTTCTTTTTCCCCCTAATCTAGAGCTTTCTGCATCAATCTTTGACAAACTGCTGGTCGGATGACTGGCGCACGCGCGTACCTGGGCCAGGTGGAGCTGCATTCCCCCCCGTGGCCCGCGTCGACCTCCTTTTCCCTGCCGCCAAGCACGCAGGAGGGTCGATCATCTCCAACCACCTCGAAATCGACAACTCTCTTGAATTTCCCTCTGATTCATCGCGATCGGCAAGCTACTTCTCATTCTGCACCGGAGGTCTCGAATTATTCGCCGCCAAAAAAGTTTCTTCACAGCCGGTCCCTATTCGTGGCTGAATACCTACGACATCCTGGACCGCGACACTGCCGCGCTACATGGCCGCATAACCGACGGCAAACCGCGACATCTCCTTTGTCTAATGGCCTGAACGAGAACGCCTCTCGAGGTTCGATTTGCATACACGTACCTTAACGACCATAATGAACGGAAACGGGCATGGGCACCGGCCCAGCGTCGACGACTATGGCGTCCCCCCACGCACTGGTGTCGATCCCAGCGGGAAGGTCGTCGTGGACTCGTATCGCGCGGACATTGTGAACGGCTTCGAGAAGGATGCATCAATGTACAATCCGGTAGGTCATGCGACGTCTGGCGATCCCCGCGCATGGCTAAACAAATTAGATGAATTCGGAGAGGACGCAGAGTTCATCGCACGTCGACCTCGCCGACCCGATACAGGTCCACCTCCTTACCGAGACCGCCCTGTCTGACAGCAAGGAATACGAAATCCTTTCACAGGAAGAAATCGACGACTTGAAGAAACAATGCGCCTTCATCAACCAGCGGATAGATTCCACACGGTCGAACCTGTTGATCCAGGCGAAGTTTCGAGATGCCGCGATCTCCATGGCCAAGCTGTACTCACCTACGAACACTAGCCCGGATGCTGGCATTGACGAGACGGATCGGCAGGCGGATGCGGAAAGGGAGGAAAGCGAGCGCAGGTGCGAGGAATTAGCAGCAGAGCTATTCCACCTAGAGAAGAAGATCATGGAGCCCAAGAGGAGATTGCTCGAGCATACAGCTGGTATCCTACAGCTCACACACAAGGCGTCCAAGAGGAAAGGGGCAATGAACGACCAGGCGCCAAACGGAGTTCCCGGAAGCCCGGAGAGCATGTACACATACACGCAAAGCCGGAACAGCCTGGACGGGCCCGACGATTTCTACACAGACGACACAAGCTTCACCGGCTTCGACCCACTGGACACAAGGGGACCAAGGAAGAACCCGCTCGAGATCCCCATGAAGTCGCCCATCCGAGAGCAGCAAAGCCAGCTGAAGGAGGAGAACCAGGCCCTGATCCAATCCATTGCCGAGATGGAGAAGAAGTTGGAGGGATTAAACGGTTCATTACGGGAGACAATTGTGCGATTCAATCCCGAGGGCAACGCTGGTTTCGATGGCCCGCCAGATGCCTCGCAATCACAAGGTATGAAGCCTGGGGAGATGCTGTGGAACCAGATCGAATACCTCGAAAGTGGACTTGTGGCAGTGCAAGCCGAGCAGGAGTCGCGCATGAACGAACCCAGAGGTGTCAGTGACAGCAGTGGCGTGGACAGGACACTGATGGAACTGTGGGAGATGATTCAAACGGGCTACACCAGTATCAAGGAGCAGAACTACGATCGTAGGAGGGCGCGAGCAGAAAAGGGGCTCGAGTCCGACGAGTCCGACGACGACGGCATCGATCTTGCCGAATCATACAACGTCCTCAACTTCTCGACAAGAGTACGTTGGCTCTACAGACAAGCCACGACATTGAAGGACCAAAAATCGGTCTTGAAGCGGCAGATCAAGCAACAGCGCGAGCTGAACAACAAGTCCGACGCCGAGAAGGACGCGGAACTCGCACAGAAGCAGGAAGAGCTGGAGCAGAGCCACGTCCTCATCAGCCGCGCCGAGAAGGACTTTGCGGATGCACAGAGGATGCTCTCGGAGACGCTCGAGGACCTGGAGCAAGCCCGCGAGGACGCTCTCCAGGCGAGGTCCAACGCAGGTCCGAGCGAGGAGATACAAACCGAGCTCCGCGAGCGCGAGGCGCGAACGCAGGTCCTCGAGGCCAAGCTTCAGGACATGCAGCAGGAGCTGGCCCATACCGAGGCCGAAAGCCAGAGCACGCAGCAGAGGCTCTTGCAGGTGGACGAGTCCATCAGCGCGCTGAGCACGCAGCTCGACGAGGCGACGCGTGCGCGCGACGAGGCGCAGGCCGCCCTCCAAAGCCGCAACACGGAATACGACGACCTCAATCTGCTGTACGCCAACCTCAAGACGGAAATCACCATTGCGCGCGCGGAGCTCGACGGCGCCTACGGGACGCGTGCCGAGCGCGCGGCCGACGTCGCCGCCAAGCAGACCAACAGCGAGATTGAGCGCCTGCGGACCGAGCTCCGCGCCACAGCCCAGGAACTGGAGGATGTCACCAAGGAGACTCTCGCCTCGGAGCGGGAGAAGATTGAGCTCGAGACCAAGCTCGACGAGGCGCTCGCCGTCCGGTCCGAGGTGGAGGCGGAAATCAGCCAGGTCAGGGAGCGGATGGACGAGGAGATCTCGCGCGCCCGGGAGAGGATCGAGACGCTGCAGGAGGAGCTCGATGGGGAGAGGCTCAAGGCGGGCCGGGGCAGTGGGGACGGACCCGGTCGCGTGGGCATGGGCGCAACGATGCTGAGCGAGCAGTTCAGGACGACGATGAGAGAAGAGAGGAAGAAGTACCAGGAGGATATCAAGGTGAGTTTCGCTGTTCCAGTGGCCACTTCTGTTGTTAAGAGCAGCATGAAACTGACATACTATCAGGAGGAGCGCGCGCGGTATCGCAAGTTGGAAGAGGAGCTCTCACGGCTGAAACGGGCCCAAGGACCGGGCAAGAGTCCCTTGAGTCCACGGCAGTGACAAGGAGATATACGTGCAGCGTTCGTTGGGGTTTCGGCAACACAGCGTTCTATACCTTTCGTTTTGACGTTTGCATTCTAGGAGACCATATTATTATCTTGGTGGCATGGCTGGGATCGATCTGCTGAACCCTTTTGGGACATCAGCGTGTATGCATTGTATAGACGGATGCTGGGGCACAGAAATGATATATATCCTTCAATGGACCTTGTATTTCACCGCAAGCCACATCATCTTATGGAGTGTCTAAAGTATGCGCGAGCATCTGTCGGCAAAAGTAGCGACTTCAATGGGAAGAGAATCATTGTGAAAGAGCAAATTCTTGTTCTGTCTATACTTTGTGCTATCTCTCGATAACTTGTCTCGTCTCCCCTCCATTATATTCTCTCTCCACAGTACATCACAGGCCCCTTTGCCCATGTATGCAAACCGAGAGTCTGGAAAAATCAAGATGCCGTTCCTCCTAACTGACCACAAAGAAGAAAACCGGGGCAGCAAACCCCCATGTGTAAAAAGCAGAGTCTATTGCAGAGAAATTGAAACCAAGCAGAAAAGAAAATCAAGAATCAAAATCAAGGGGGACGAAGAAGCAACCGGATCTTGCCCCCCTTGCCTGAACGCCGCTCAATGATGCGTTTTCGGACGGATGCAGTTTTGGACCGAAGCGAGTGGTCTTGGGACCCTCGCGGATGTTACCCCCAATAAGCAAGATCTGGGTATCGAAATAAGGAAAGGTGGGAAGGTGAGGAAAGGTGGCTGGGCTGGGCTGGCTGGCTATGCGAGCCGTGTCTGCTGGCCCTTCGAGAGACTAATCGCTGAGGTACGCCAGGTCCGCCCAGACCCTCCAGTGCAGAATGCCGACGTGGGCCAGACGCATGGCCAGGTCGCTGACGCCAATCTCCGCGCCGTCGCGCAAGCACTCGTAAAAGTCGCGGGGCATGTTGCTGCCGGGGGGGATCCTCTTCTCCGAGGCGGCCGTGTAGAGGCTCATTCCGTTCAGGCCCTTGTACTCCCGAACGCGGTTGCTGAGGTCCTCCAGCAAACGACGGTGGTACTCGGCTTCCACGTCCAGGAAGAGATCATCGTGGGGGTTGGAGAGGACTTCGCCGAGCTTCGACTCGACCATGGCGAGCATGTAGGAGGGGGCCTCGGCGAAGCGGAAGATCTCGACGGCCATGGGGGGGGCCGCCTCCGCCCAGCGCTTGGCTTGATCCATGTTGGTGGATGTCGACTGGAGGATGGCCACCAGCGACGAGTAGAGGTTGTCTGCCTTCATCTTGGCTTCGCGCTCGTTGACAAAGGACATTTGGGGAGGCGTCGAGGCGGGTGTGAAGGCGCCGAGGGATGAGCGTGGGGACTGCCCATCGCTGCTCAGGGCCATGCTGCTCGGACGAGATCCTGAATTGTGGAAGGGAAGATGCGAGAAGCCGTTGCTGTCCGTGCTGCCCGTGGAGTTGACGGACGACACGCTGGACCGGTTGTTGTCCATGTCCGTGGGGAAATACGCAGCGGCCTTGGCCACCCCGACGAGGTTCTCGTAGAGCCGCATGCAGACGTCAATGTTCACGGCGTCGAGCACGTCGCTGCGCATGCGCAGTAGTCGGTCGTTGTCGTGGATAAAAGTCTCGGGCAGGATGGCGTCCTCCCCTCGTGCGCGAGAAGGTCGCACGAGGCGCGCGACGGCACGGAAGAAGACAGACATGTCGCCAAAGCCCTCCGCAGGCTCCTGGGCGTATTGTCGCTGTGCGCGGCGGTACCACAGCCTTGAGCGCGCAATGTCGAGCCGGCGGGTGGCAATCTTCTTGCTAAAGTTGCGCTGCTCGTAGTGGATCGTCTCCTGGATGAGCGCCGGGCGGAGGCAGCGGATCTGGTGGTTGGCCACGTCGAGCTTCATGTGCTCGAGCACGCTCAGAAGCTCGCGCATGCCCATGACCAGTTGCTCCAGGTTGCCCTCGCGGCTGCCGACGCGGAAGCGTGCGACCATGTTGTTGACCTCATCGTCACGCATAGGGGCACAGTGAGTCTTGAGCACACCAGCCAGCCACTCGGCCAACCTCTCTAGGTCGAGCACACCCTTGTAGAATTGCTGCATCAGCAGTTCCACATTGAACGCCTCGTCCATCAGATCGCGGTCTCGCTTTGGCACGAGCGTCTCGACAATATCCTTGATGGTCCGCAGGAGCACAGGCAGACACCACTCATCGCTGTGTGCGTAGCGGTTGATGAACTCGGGCCGCCTGGTCTCGTCGACGAACATGCCCAGCTGCTCTGTCAGTGTCCTCCAAAAGGCCTGCGAGCGCTCTTGCTTCGTCTTTCCCTTGTCGCCCAGGACGTTGGGTCGAAAGTGCAAGTCAGGGTCAAAGTTGATGTCATGGCGCAGTTTTGAGTTTTGCACAATGCGCACCACGTCGAGATCCGACAGGGTGGCTTTGGTGATGGGTGGCCCGATCGTGAGGTCGCTGCCGACGCTTGAGCTGCCAGCGTTAGCCCTTGCACTATTCGTCCTCCTGCTGCCCGCAGACTGTGTCGCGGCCTTGGAGGGCCTTGTGGATGTGCGTTCCGCTCGTGCTGCGTGAGACAGTTCAGATCGTCTGGATTTGGTTTCGCTCGGCGAAGAGCTGAGACTGCTCGACTGGGCGACTGGTGTGGACACGGTCGTCGTGTTGCCGGAAGAGGACATGGACTGGGTTGCCATGTCTTCCGAGTCGGCTCGAGGCGAGTTCACACCGGACGTGTCTGTTTCGATGCCCTCCATGGGCACTATTCCTTCGTGTATCGACCCAGTCCTCTGTGGTTCCGTATCTTTTCTCGCCGCGTCCGCGTCCGCCGCACTGACGGACGATGTGTGTCGCCTCTGGTGCCCGTCGACTGGGCATCCTCCTTGATCTAGCCCCATGTTTTTGGTATTCTGTTATTTGAACCAAGTAACCGTTTCGATAATGGTGCCTTCCTCCGAATCGTGATCGTACGCGTGGTTCAAGTCCTTCGATTGTTTGCTGTTCGGTACACTGTTCATCAGTCTTTTGCTCATTGAAATGGACGAGGAGGCGGAAGCCGATCTGTTTCGCCCAGGCATGTGCCCGTTGTCCAAGGTAGTACTTGGGCTTGTATGTTTTCTGGGTTGGTCATTCACCCGCTGGGCGTGCCACGCAGGCAGACAGGCACACAACGACGCACGGCGAAACAAATCAGCACGCAGGAGGCAAGGGTAGACTCACAGTGAACAGGTCAGAATAGCTGAGTGCTTGCAGGCCAGCGCACTGTTGTCAATGACCAGAGGCGGTGTAGAGAGCGAGCAGTGAGCAGGGTGGTGGTCGTTGTGGCCAGTTGGGCAGCCACGTCGATGCTGCAGCGCGCACAAGAAATGTAAAGGAGTGGATGAGCGCGGGTCGGGTAGAGCCAGTCAACGGTCTACCGAGTGCGTGCCTATAAGAGAGATGCGAATTCCTGCGTTGTCCAGGGAGCCTTCGCGTTGCGAGGGAGTGTCGTCGTCGTAGGCTGCTGAAAGGAGTGATACAGGCTGGGCGATCGTCTGCAAGCCAAAAGACGGCTTGAGGGAAGGGAGGGATCTCACGCGAAGTGGTTCGGGGAGAGAGAGAGATTAGAGAGTGGGTGTGAGTGAGAGAGAAAGACTCCAAATAGCGGTTAGGAGGCGGGAAGAAAGGGTCGAGGTGAGCGAAGAGAGTCTAGAGAGAGTGTGTGTGAAACTCGTTTCAGACAAGATAATATCAGAGAGAGGAAATCAACAAGGGAAAGGGAATGGGGCTTTGTTGGAAAGGAGTCAAAAGCGAGACCAACCCAGTCAGTGAGAGAGTCATGCATGCAGTCCGTCCTGCGATTCTGCGTAAGGTAATGACAGTTACTACCCCGTACCCAATGGAGACCGATTGGATCTCAATGCAATGTAGGTACATACGTAGTAGGGGCGCAAGCGACTAACTAATTATTTTTTTTTCTCTCTCTCTCGGAGTGTGACACGGAGACGCCTAAAAATGCCACCACACACGCACCTGGCGCATGGTGGCTCGCCGGTGGTGTGTGACTCCACGACAGGACTCCCTCCAACAGGAGACATGAGACTGCTCGTAAACCAGCACGAGAATCAGGTACTGGATGCCGCTCTCGGCAGACTGGACCCAGAAGTTAGAACCCAAACGTGCGTATGACGGGATGGGTGGGTGGGTGGCTCAGGGCGTGTGGCCGCGCAGACAGGCTAGCAGAAAAGGAGGGAGACCCTGCGAATGCAGTGGGATTTATTGAGTGACGGCCCCCACACGCCTAACTAAACTCATACCTGTAGTAATTAACAGGCCCCTACTGTCAGTACTTGTACTAGGCACCGCCGTCCAGTGGCAGCACCAGTCTACCAGAGTCCAGACAGAGGGCCCTGTCCATCCACAAGCGTGCGAGGGCCGTCGGATCACGAAAAAACTGACAATTCAAAGAGGACCCTGCCCCCGTGAGAGCGACTGACTCCTGACTCCTGAGGAATGGGATCGTCCTGATGGCGCACACCACATTGAGGCGCGGCGCGTGCCAAGGCGAGACTGATACCTGCATCCGCGCCCAATCCCCAGTGGCGAGCCAAGTACCCGACACTAGCTGGCTGGCCGCTTGCACCCATCCATATCCATCCATCCATCCATCCACGTCGTCGTTCATTTCCCTTGCCTACCTACCGTATTGTAATCAAGTATGGCAATCCGTCCCTCTTTATGCTGTTTTGGTATTTTGGCCCAGATCGATCCGTCCCCATCGACCCTGTTCGTCGTTGCCTGACAGGCTGGACTTGACCGACGCTCCCCACCCGGTCAGCTCGGGTCATCGAGTCAGCGCACTTGTCGCACGTGCGTGTCGCCGTCTCCAAATTCAGTGTCGGCTGTGCACGCGATGCAGTCGACTTTCGTACAAGAATAATAGCAACTGGTTGGTAATTACTGATTGTCCTTGTACGTGCTGTACAGCATGGCCAAGGCAGCACGCGGGTATCATCACGTTGCATCAGGATCAGCTTGAAATTAAAGCAACAGAAACGAGGCGCAAACCAGAGGCCAGCAGAGTCGCAGGGCGCATGTTCGCTCATTTCTGCCATGCAGCAGCAGCAGGCTCATCCCTTGCCTCACCATCATCAAACTTGTGGTCCTGGCAGACTAATAACTTAGACGGACGGGGAAAAGCAACCCGAAGCATGGCGCCTCGCTAAGTTAGATCCGGCAACTGACACCAGACTAACTCGATTAGTGCAGCGCGTAGCATCGTACCTTTTCCGTAAGGGAGGGCTCGCCAGAATCTTCCATTCTGATTCATCAGTCGCCTCGCTTTCTTCAAGTGTGTTGCACTCGCTTACGACTGGAGTAGTGCCAGATAGGTAAAGTCGTCACCATTCACATGGTCGTGACTCGTAATGGCAGCAGCGTGCAGCCTCGTCAAGCCTCGCACGCAAGCGGTCCCTTGCAAGTAATTAATACTATTATACGTATTATTGTTGTCCAGTCCTCGTATGCATGCATTTCATCATGCGTCCGTCTTCGCTCCAATGGTCACCTTTGGCCAAGGGTTGTTCGCAGATATTACGCATTCGTTAGCCTCGTTCTTGAGTCCTTGACTCACTTCCCCATGCATGCTACGGGCCCTCGTCGGCGTCGTCGCCCAGCCTCACGAGACCAGGCAACCCTCGGCAGTGAGGTCACTCGTGATAACAGAGTCCCCAAAGGCCAAGGACCAACAAAAGGACCCAGTCTGTCGACATGATCGAACTGAAAAGGGCGGGCCTCGGAGAGTGGATATCCGCCCGCCCTCCCCCCTGAGGCCCTGACTGACGTCGCCTGAAGCCACTGCGTGGGTCTCAGCCCAGCGCATCGGTGTCGTTCACGGTTCGACCGTCGACGTTCCCCTTTTCTTGCTTTTTCTGTCTATGAATCGTAACAGTGGTGATTGTTACCTTAGTTTCGGACGAGTTGATTAGTGTGATGCGTTTGACGCCTCACTCCGTCGCGGGGGGGGGAGGTCCCCGTGGCTCCTGTCTGTGGCCCTCAGACATGAATGGTAGACCGCCGTTGATATTGTCTGCGCACTGCGCAAGGCCATGTCCTTTGCCTTGACTTCTGCCTTCAGCGAGACTTACAGGTGATCTACAAAGTTTACCCGCCAGAAGCAACAAGCATCGTCGCCGTGGACAACATGGGTAGCCCGATTGGACTCCGTTGATGCTGGCCGTTCGCATGTCGGGATCAGCAATTGCAAATCTGCGCCAATGCCCCCCTCAGACGGCACGCGGCATCACCAACGATTGATGCTTCTTCACCTGGCTGCGAGCACCTGATAACTATCTGGGCATGGAACAGACTGAAGTCACGGAACGGTTGTGTGCGAAATTGTGAGGCTGCTTGTAATTAATTAAATCACATCGCTCGCTCACCGTTTCCTTTCCAGGCTTCCCTGCGATCCCCTGCCGATCCAGCGCCAGGGTTCCGTTCTCCACCGATTTATCACGTGGAATTGTTCGAAATGACCAAACCGGACGTTTGACGCCGGCTCCTAAGTTACCTAGTCTAGACCCGGATGCCGGATTTGAGAATCGAAACGGGTCGATTCTGCCCGGCAATTGGTGCGACCTTGAAACCCACTGCGCCTCGTAATGATGATATCTGGTGATCAAGTACGTACTTGTACAAGAAGGAATGGTGCGCTGCTGCGAGGCCCTGCGCGAATTGGCCGGCTTGGAACTGCGTGCAGCAGTCCGTCCGTACACCATATCATGTCGCACGCCACCGCTGCAGTCTGTGGCTTTGAGGCGGGCGCCAGGCGGACGCCGCTATCCAGATTCTCGCGTCGCACGAGGCTATCATAATTCATCACCCGCCGTGGCTCAGCATCGGAGGCGCGTGAAGTGGCATCTCTGAGCAAGGCAGAGGCACAGATCAGTCCGCGCTTCCGCCAGCCCAGACGTAGGCATCCATCCTCTGGGGGGCTGCGAGCGTCCCTCCACCGGTCAACGGTATGCAGTAGCCAGATACGCCCACAACAAGCCTGACGGTAGATACGTAAAAGTGCACAGATAGATAGAAGCTGACAGTCGACTTTGTCGCCATGTTCATATATCATTCGGACGTACAGAGGTGGTCCAAATGGGGCTGATAAACCCCCACGTCAGGCGACGTGGAAGGCGTGACTATTGCCGATGAGAGATGCCTTGGTTCAAGAATGACAATGGTATTCAATCTGCTTTTTGCTTCCCATGGAAATAGCTAACGTCTGCCCTTGTGCTCCTCAAACTCCCGGCTCCAAGTCTCCATGGGAGGATGGACAGTCCTCCCTTCCGGATCCAGCGCTGGGCGTGTTCTGGAGTGATTATGATCCCATCTGTGCGCCGGTCTGAATGTACGCATGAAGCATCCCGCCGCGTCGAACTCGGGCAAGCAGAGCTCTAGCTATACGCACGCACCCAGTCGAACGGAGTTGGGTATACCGTTGAGCTTCATGGATTGCGTGGCAACCACTTATTCACATCCTGTTGATCGACCAGTATCTGGCCGGGCACTTTTACAATCCCAAGATCGATCATGATGCGCTTGAGGGCATCAAGATGAAGCCCTTTTCGGCCAGTCAGCAACGTCGCGTGGAAGCATGAGGGAGGGCACTCACGGCCATAAGCAGGCAGCATATGCTGATATATGGACTCAGCCGTTCCCCTATCCGTGCGCATTTCCAGAATATGCCAGTGATGCCGTCCTTGTTGCGGTCCATGATGCCTGGGAAGAAGCTGTGCACGTAGGCGCTGGTGCAGATGAGTAGGAGAATCACGAGCAAGAGTGATTGAAAGTTGAAGAGGGCCGACTAGAATCCTTGTCAGATGCACATTCGACAGATGTCCGAGTTCTCCTTACCATTTTGGCGATCAGTGAGTGCCGTCTAAGCGTGCTTGTGTTGATCCAAGGCTCTGATGTTGATGGTTGTCGTTGTGGAAATGTCACGTAGCTTCAACCCCCGTTCGGGTGCAAGGATAGCCCCACTACAGGGTAGCCAAACACACTCGGGTCACCAAACTGCACAGCTATCGGTCGTTACGCAGCTTGCCTACCTCAGCATCACTTAGACAAAACTACCACAACGCCCACCGATCGCCACGCGTAGCACGCTGGAGATATCGCACTCTTTTCAGTGCATCGCGGTTAAAATATCTTTACGGACTTGCGAGACAAAGTCGGCCGCGCAGCCGCCAAACCGCCATCATGGAGCCACGCGCGCGTGCGGCCAAGAACGTTGGCAAGATGAACTTCTCTGTCAACGACTGTACGTGTCAAAATGGAAGCCATCCGTTTCGCAAGCTCAAGTGCTAACACATCTCCCTAGTGAGCATGATTCTCTTCGCCCACGGAGACGTTCGCGAGCCCCTACCCGAGACCGTCCGCGTATTCGACGAGATCCTGACCGACTTTATGCAATCCATCGCCTTTGAAGCCGCACGCGCCGCCCAGTACTCTGGTCGCCAAAAGATCAAGTATGAAGATTTCGAGTTTGCCTTCCGAAAGAATCCCACCTTCCTCGGAAAGGTGCAGGAGACATTTGAAAAGTCCAAGGAGATCAAGCGCGTCCGCGATATCATGCAAACCGATGAATCCGCACTGGCGAAAGAAGTGGCCGAAGAAGAGAAAGCGCAGGCTCGGAACGCGGGCAAGTCGAAAGCGGCGGACGAGGAGCTTGGAGAGGCCGATGACGACGCTGATGCGCAGATGGACGCCGTTGGCAAGAAGAGATGAAAGGCATCGTCGGGCGTGGTCTCGTGGACTGCCCCGTGGGATATGGACAATGCATAGGTACCGCGCTGGCGTTTGGGAATGTCGTTGCTTTGGGTCGAGGAACAATACCCGGAGTTCAGGTCGATTCTATCAATGGGGACAAGAGTATATGGCTGCTGCTTTGAGGCACTGAACTTGGGCAGTTCAGCCTTTCATCTGCATTTAGCGCAAGATTGATACATTTCACCAGGTCAAGAATAGAAAAGGCTTCGCTGGAAGATGGACTGAAGACGGCATCTCAGTACATGATATGTGCTTCGATATCACGTAGAAAGGCATCTCGCCTAAGATGCCATGCGGGAAGGTGCCTTGGGGACCAGGATTGGCACCTTCTCAGTGTGCCAGATGAGAAATCAGTACAGGTACTCTGAGATACCTTCATCCCACCAGGCAGCCACAACCTGAAGATACACTCGTCGCCAGTCGGCCTTTTCTTCTCTCACAGATTCACGATAGCCTTGCGGGTGTTGAAACCCGCGTCCGGGCTTCGGCGTCAATCCGACGGACGTCCACCATCGGCGCTGTGGGGTTAAACAAGTGCGGCTTTCGCCTACTCCGTATATCGCTCCGACCCACCAACGAACGAGGCGGGTCTCCAATGACGAAGGCTAACTGTGATGTCTAGCTGCAGTTCACGCAGCGGGAAAAGTCTTCGATCGTGCATAGCGGCGATATCGGGCAGAGAAGTGCAGGGTCGGCAGCGGGAGCAAGTGCAAGTCGTCACACTATCGCAACCACGGTTCCTGCTGGCGGCTGCTCGGTTTACGCGCGCAGGCTTCAATGATATTGCTTTGTTGGTGAGATATGAATCGTTATGGGTACTCAACCACAATGTCAGAGATATAAAGTGAGAACAGCGCGGTTGTTCCAAGTCCAGTACCGAGGTGGGAGGTTGGGGTATCGAGGTTCGGAGGTTATACTGCAGGTATTAGCCACATCCTTGACGATGGACCGCAGTCATCGTCCAACTGCATGGCCGGCGTCGTCCGCCAGTGCCTGTGCCTGTGCCTGATCTTCTTTCTTCAACACAATCGGCAGCATGCTGCTGTGTCACGAGTCTTTAAAGTCTAAATTTCGTTGACCAACGAAGACCATTTTCTGTGACTGGCGCCAGACCTTCGCACTTCTCATCGCTCCTGTCTGATATCTATTACACAACAAGCCCCATCTCGGACATGGTGAAGGAATCCGGGGCCCCGCCGCCGCGCTACACGGAGCCTCAGGGCTCATCAGTGGCAGAATCGGCAACACACTTGACAGTCGACGAAACGCAACGCCAGCCTCGCAAAGAGAGTTCGACACACGACGATGGACGGAAAGCAGCGCAGTGGGCTTCCGAATCTACACGACATCTATCCCCGTCACCAGCACCGAGTGGCCGTATGTCACTTGGGCCAGAGTCACCATTCAACAATGAACGCCCTGAACTGCCGATGGAGCAGTCCTTTCTCCAGAGGTTCTGGGCCAGGAACAAAGGACCCGTCCTCGTCGCTACGTCACAGTTCTTCGGGGCCTTGATGAACTTGAGCGCCCGTCTGCTCGAAACAGAGGGAAAGGGCATGCACCCGGTGCAAGTCCTGTTGATGAGGCAGTCCATCACATCCCTCTGCTGTTTGATATACATGTGGTGGATGTCGACACCAGGTGGGCCCTTTGGTACGAAGGATATCAGGATCCTCCTCCTGATACGTGGGCTATCGGGCTTCTTTGGCATATATGGGTAAGCCTGGCATATTGATTTCCCCCTGTGCATATGGGGAATGTTTCTCGATTTTGCTAACATCCGACAGCATGTGGTACTCGATGATGTACCTCCCACTGGCCGACTCGACCGTCATCACGTTCCTGGCTCCGGGTATCGCTGGCTTCCTCTGTTACTTCCTCCTCAAAGAGCCTTTTTCGCGAATCGAGCAGATGGCGACCCTTGTGGCGCTGTCTGGGGTAGTTCTGATTGCTCAACCTCACTCACTGTTCTCGGCTACACCTGAGGACGAGCCCTCCTCGAGCGAGCCTCCCGAGAAAGGTCTCCCGGGGCTTGACCACGAATCCACGCCCGAGGAACGGCTCGTGGCCGTTGGTGTGGCGCTTCTTGGTGTTCTGGGGGCGTCGGGGGCTTTCACCACGCTACGGATGATTGGGAAAAGGGCCCATCCATTGATCTCTGTCAACTTCTTTGGCATTGTATGCACCATCATCTGCCTTGCTGTACTCGCCCTGGCCCCAGCCCTGGACATTTCACAGCCTGCGTTGCGCTGGGTTTGGCCCGCCTCTGCCAAAGCGTGGAGCCTCCTCTTTGCCCTCGGAGCGTTGGGCTTCGTCATGCAGTATCTGTTGACTAGTGGACTTCAAGCTGACAAGTCGAATCGCGCAAACGCCATGGTGTATACCCACATGCTGTTTGCCGTCAGCTTTGACAAGTGGGTGTTTCATCATGAGATGAATCTGATGAGTTTCGGAGGATGTGCATTGATCCTAGGAAGCGCCATCTCGGTTGTCTTGATGAAAAAGCCGAGTCCGCCAAAGGTCGAGGACGTTGAACGACAGCATAACCATAACAACCTACTGGGCGAAGGAGAGAGATCACCCATGCTGGTAGGTGTTGGTGGGAGCAGTGATGATATGCCGCTGTCACGTATTTAGAGATATACTTGTAGCTGGCTTTCAAACTGTATAGACGTGTCAATGACAGCCACCGTGTTTCAAGGTCCTTGCCACAGCATTCTATTGATTAATGCACCACCTCAATCACACCTTTAACATATTATTGATTCTGAGTCTTCAGCATCCCATGCAGTTGTCAGTTGTTGAGGATGCAAATATAGATACAGGGTAGGCTGCAAATGCGATTTAGTCACGTGGCAGGCTCCACACCGCGGAAGGAACGCGCTGCAGCGAACATCTGCGCGGCGTCGAGCTGGCTGGGAGGGAGCTTTCGCCGATCTCAACTTTTTGCAACACGACGGCAACGCCACGAATTCAAGCCAAGATGGTACAAATTAGCGAGGCCAAGGGCAGCAAGCGCAACAATCGCACAGCGGCGCACACACACATCCGCGGTCTTGGCTTGCGAGACGATGGCAGGGCAGACGCTCAGGCGGGTGGCTTCGTAGGCCAGGGTGCTGCACGAGAGGTCAGCCATGGAGCCCGCGAAACGTCTAATTGAGACGCTGCTAACAACTGTGTAGTCATGCGGCGTGGTGGTTGACCTTATCAAGGCGCACAAAATGGCAGGCCGCGGCGTGCTGCTGGTGGGCAAGCCTGCCACTGGAAAGACGTCGCTCGCGCTCGCCATCAGCCAAGAGCTCGGCACGAAGATTCCCTTTGTCCCCATCACCGGCAGCGACATCTACTCGACCGAGGTGAAGAAGACGGAGGTGCTGGCGGAGTACTTTCGGCGGGCGATCGGGCTCAAGGTCCGCGAGACGAAGGAGGTGTATGAGGGCGAGGTCACCGAGTTGACACCCGAGGAGGCAGAGAACCCGCTGGGCGGATACGGCAAGACGATTAGCACGCTGTTGATCGGACTGAAGAGCGCAAAGGGCCAGAAGAAGCTGCGCCTCGACCCTAGCATCTACGAGGCCATCCAGAAGGAGAGGGTCACCGTGGGCGACGTGATCTACATTGAGGCCAATACGGGCGCCTGCAAGCGGGTCGGTCGCTCGGATGCCTATGCGACCGAGTTTGACCTCGAGGCGGAGGAATACGTGCCCATCCCCAAGGGCGAGGTGCACAAGAAGAAGGAGATTGTGCAGAACGTGACCCTGCACGACCTGGATGTCGCCAACGCGCGCCCGCAGGGTGGCCAGGATATCATGAGCATGATGGGGCAGCTCATGAAGCCCAAGTCGACTGAGATTACCGACAAGCTGCGCGAGGAGATCAACAAGGTCGTCAGCAAATACATCGACCAAGGCGTCGCAGAGTTTGTCCCTGGTGTCATTTTTATCGACGAGGTGAGTCTCGAATGGCCAACTGTGGTTCTTGCCGGATCAACTGACATGATACAAAGGTGCACATGCTTGACATTGAGTGCTTCACCTACTTGAACCGCGCTCTGGAGTCTCCCATCTCGCCGATTGTCGTCCTCGCCTCGAACCGCGGCGTCTGCACGATCCGCGGCACCGATAACATCATGGCCGCGCACGGTATCCCCCCCGATACGCTGAACCGCCTGCTCATTGTGCCCACTGTGGACTACACGGCCGAGGAGATCAAGAGGATTGTCCAGATCCGGTCATCTGTCGAGGGCATCTCGCTCACGGGCGCGGCCGTCGACAAGATTGCGGACCATGGCGTACGGATCAGCCTGAGGTATTGTCTGCACTTGCTGACACCAGCGAGGTAAGCTATTCGCATCCAATCCATGTTTGACTCTCGAAATGCTAATTTGACCCCAACAGCGTCCTCGCCAAGGCCAATGGTCGCTCCCAAGTCGATGTACAGGACGTCGCGGAAGCCGAGGATCTCTTTGTCGACGCCCAGCGTAGTGCTGCGGACATGGGACCCGGGGCCGGCAATGAGTATATCCAATGAGCTTGGGTCGGTCACGGCGACCCGGCAAAAGCAATACGCGGTATTTACGGGCATAAAATAGGGTGGCGCATTCGGGAGTTTTCTGATTCAATGGCGTGGGGGCCCTACTTATGATAGAACGATGTTGTGAGATTATTAATGATGTATACCAGAACCATACTCGTCCGTCCCTGTCTAACTAGTTCGACGAAGACCTCCACGGGCAAATTGCGTTTACTTGAGTTGAGGCAAATGCGGTTTCAAGCCAAGTAATATCTCGGAGAATGACTGCTCAGAATAGTCTTGGTCTCAGCATCCAGCCACATCATACGGTACGCCTTGGGCGAGAAGCAGTGGGCATTGTGGCCCACAAAGACAACGACCATGACATTTGACAAGTAATAACAGATCACACCCGCGTTCCTGTCACATATTGGAAGGCTGTCGTCTGAGCGTCTCTGAGAGCCAACTACCAACCTAGACCCCCGCAACGTCGAGAAACTACCTATCTTTGTTCCCTGCATGAAGCACATACCAGCAGTCACGAATTGTGGCATGTCTACATATGAGCCAAGGCCGTCGGAGCCTGGTGGCACGTCCCCATTGTCCTTTTTTCACCCGACGCAGCATTCCAGTGAGCATGAGCATTCCTTCAGTGTGGTGCAGGGACAGCAGACCCATCCGACCACCCAACTCTAAAAATAATGGCACTGTGTGTGCTTCAAGAAACGAAGAGAAAGAAAGAAAGAAAGACAAACGAGGCTGCGCTGGCACATATGACCTGAAAGAGAGCAATAAACAGGGCCGTGAGGTGGTGGCTATGCTGCATGACCAGGGTGGCTCGTGCTGTCCGGAGAACAAAGACAGAGAGTTGGTTGAAAGGGAACCACTATGATGTGAGGGAGGTCGGCTCGCTCGCTTTGCAAAGCGCCCACATTGTGAATGTAAGAATGCACGCACGCTGCTACGTACGTAATTCACAGCAGGATCACCACGTTGCCGCCAAGGTCTGCGACTAACACAGAGAATTCCTCGCAATTATGGTTAATGAAGGGGGCTTGATTCCGGCTCGGTGGCACGCACAAGGTGACAGCTCTGTTGTATTGTTTGATGCGTCGGACCATGGTTCCTGCTCCTCCACACCAGCCCCGGGACAAGCTCAAGCTTGAGTGCACTGTGAGGGCCTTCTGACCAGCACTTGAGTGAAAGCGTCAGTCCAGTCAGTCCCTCAGGCTTGGAGGCGAATGGGGCCTCTGACCGGCAACAAAGGCCGGATCCTAGCACGTCCAAGACGATCAACGAACGGATCCTCAGCCAGGCTGAAGTGCAGGCTTTGCTACTCCGTCATCCGCTGCGACAGGAGCACTGACCCTCGCGCTTTGTTCACTTTGGCCTTTGCCGGCTCTTCCTTGCCTCCTTGTTCGCATCCTGCGGACACCGTCTCGTCCCATTGTACCTTGGTTCAAGCTCGAGGACGAGGTTTAAGAGCTCAGCCCTTTGCTGCTACTTTGCCGTCCGCGATCAAGCCTGGAGCAAAGGAGATCCCTTGTGTCAGGACTCATGGCTGAAGTTGCAGTGCCTTCGAAAGCTCTAATGCCCGTGGCTTCCGGAAGCATCGAGGTCCCAGAACATAGGACTTGGGGCTTGGTTGACGACAATTCCGAGATGGAGTCCGTATCAATGGATGGGAGGGCCAGGCTCCCGCTGGCCAAGAGCTGCTCACCAAAGACAGGCTCCTCGCCAAGCTCTGCTCCAGCGTCGCCGAGAAGCGAGGGCCGTCAACATGGCCACAGGACCATGCACAACAAGGCCGCCATGGAGAGTAACATGGCCGTATCCCGCCGCGTGGAGGACCTCAGGCCGGGTAACATCAAGGCTACAGGTAGAGGGGCCAGTGATGAGCACTGCACTTGTCCTCAGCCCACCAAAGTTCCTCGACCATGTAATTGTGAGTATTCCGTTTGACAAGGCGTCAGCATATGCCTGCCCTGCTCGCTTGCTTTTCGCTTGCTTGCTTGCTGGCTGGCTGAAGGCATATGCGCGGAGCGAGTGTGATTATGAAACTGACCTCGACTTTGAACAGCATTCATTCTGTATCGCCAGAGCATGTCAGCCCAGGTCACCCAGGAGAATCCTGGGCTGTCAAATCCAGAGATATCCAAGATTATTGGCCAAAGATGGAAGGAGGAGTCGGAGGAGGTCCAGAATCATTTCAGAGCCGAGGCGCTCGAAGCAAGTCGCAAACATCGAGAGGCACATCCCGACTACCGATACCAGCCGAAACGAAAAAGCAGCACCGTGGTCACGAAGGACTCGTACACAGAAGAGGAATGTCCAAAGTGCGGAGGTATTCGTTTCGTGAGCACTCCCGTATCGGCGACGTCAGCGTTCAAACGCAGCATGGATGACCATTTGGGTTCCGCAGACGAGGGCAGGCAGTACAGGGCGTCGAGGGATGGGGCACGTTGGCGAGAGCAGTACTCGGCAGATGCATTTGATTCGAAAAGGCGGAGGCTCGCCGAAACAGCAGACTCACGAGGTATGGCGGCAATCAACACGCAGCACCCCCAAGGCTACTCTGCTGGTGCTGGCGGCAGATATGTTCATGTCGACACGCCCGTACCTCATCAGCAAAGCATGATGCCACCACAACACCGTCAGATGGCGCCGCCGCCTCGACCATACGGCGGCCACCCGCCGCAATATGCCTTGTCTGATGCGGCACATCAGGCCACCCATGCCTCACCTCAACATAGAGAGCAGCATCAAGGGCCTGGCGCAAAACAATCTGGGCATGTCGTTGACCCTCGCGACCCGACAATGACGCTGCCGCCCTTGCATACAGCCCTGACACCCGCCACTTCGTCCGCATACGACCAGCTGAAGTTCAGCCATACGCAACAGACTCCTAGCACTGCTGCGAGATCGCGGCCTCACATGGGGTTACCGAATGGCCTGGAATTGACCGACAAGACACCGAAAGAGCAAATAGTCGGCCTTCCCCTGCATAAAAAGCTGGTAGCCACGACCAGGATATCGCTACCCCTACCACGGCCGGAAGAAGGCCGAGGCGCTATCATCGCTGTCGAGGGCATGGCTGGCGCAGCCTTGCGCGACGTGTCCCACGCTGTCGAGAAGGCGTTGATTGTGTGCCAAGAGACTGTAGTGACAAGCTGGTCCAACGACTCCGAGTTCGCTGAACAGTGTGCCAAGGGCGAGAGCATTCCCATGTCGAATGCACTGGCCACAATATTCAAGGATATTCTCGCGTGGCATCGCAAGTCCGACGAGATGACCCGCTTCGTACAGGGTGAGAGCATTGGAGACTCGCCTGCGCGAGCCACGCATGGAAGTCGAGGCAGCTCGCCGCGCACGGAGCAAAGCAAGACGAAGACGCCAGTCGCCCTCGTCAAGGGCGGATACAGCGTGACAATGTCAGAGCTCTTTGCGTGCGCCACGAGCCACGACAAGGACGCCTATAGTCCCGTCGATCACTGGCAGTGGATGGCGACGCTCTGGCGCGGCATCGTGGGACCTGATCTCATTGTGTATGTTCGGATGTGTCCCAAGGACGAGCTGGAGAAGCTGAAAACGGTCGAGTTCCAGAAAGGTCAGGGCGTCATGATGGTCCGTCTTCCATTGGATGGGCAGTTGGACGACGCGACGGAGCGACGGCTCAACTTTGAGATCATTGAATGGGTGACTGACGTGTGGCCTCGGATGTTGCCCAGTGAGAAGAGCAAGGAGTAGGCATGTTGGGGGTGTCCAATGCGTGGAGGCGTTTGATGGCGGAGATGGTCATTCCTGGGGAGTTGTATGAGCGTTCAGTTGGTGTGATTTTGGATCTAGTTGAGAAACGAGGTACAAGTATTCGCATCTAATAAGTACGTAGTATGAAACCTGCGACCACGAGGAATTGAAATCAAACAAACGAACTTGCCCACGTCGTGAACTCGGAGAAGTTGAGCTGTAAATACATGTGGCTCAGCTGGTCGTCGAAGCCACAGGCCTTATCGATAGACCCGGGCGGGAGTCGAGGTGGGGCTGATTTGAGCCAAGTGGCAGAGTCAGGGGCACCTACAATAATACAGCCTATGGCAAGAGCTGCTGGATTTGTAGCCTGAGTTAGTACCCACCTCCAGGCGGCAGCTACCCGCTTTTCCTATCCGTGGACTGGACTGGAGGCGCGCCTTGACCAGGCATGACCGTGTCGGCACAGACGCCATACATTCGTTCTTTGATGCCATGTTACTTCTTTGTCCGCATTGCAGCTGACGAACTCATATCCAACAAAGCCAGCTGCTCCCTTGAAACCGAAAAAAACTTGACGACACCCTCGACCGACCGGCCGACCGATTATCCTCTAGCTGGTGGCACAATGCTGGCTCTCCTATCTACACCTTTACCACCCTAACGCGACGCACATCATGGCAGACCTTCGGGCCGGCCAGGCCGTTCTCCTCAAGAATGGCCTGAAAGGCACAGTCCGTTTCTATGGACAGACTGATTTCGCGCCAGGCATCTGGGTCGGCGTGGAGCTGGAGGAGAACGCGGGCAAGAACGATGGCAGCGTCAAAGGCATCCGTTACTTTGACTGTGCCAAGGATCATGGCATGTTCCTCAAGCCTGAAGCGGTGCAGCCCATTGCACAGCCGCCCGCCAAGGCTCCCCTGAGCAAGCCGTCACGGCCGAGCAGCTTCAATCCTGCGGCTGGTCGAGTCTCGGCAGCAGGCGACGTGGCCTTGAACAAGCGGAGGAGCCTGAATGCGCCTAGTCCAAGCCCTGTGTCCAAGGCGCCTAGGCCATCTAGCATGATAAGGGTGAGGCATACAACCATCTCTGGCAGGGTGCTTTGATGCTAATTGAGAACCAGTCTCCAGCCAAGTCGCCAACCAAGCAGCTTGCGAGCGGGCCGCCAAGCTCCTCAACCTCCCGAATAGGCACTCCTCTCGCTCGCGTACCATCAGTCGGGTCAAAGACACGCCCCCCTGCTGGTGGCACAAGGACGTCTATGGGGCCTCCTGCAGCGCCTGCGACGCGACGGCCAAGCGCTCCAACCACTACAGCACGACCGGGCGGCGTCCCAGCACGGACGCTCAGCGGGCGTTCTTCCTTGGCTGGACCACGGGCTGGGGCTCGTTCAGACACATCACGAAGACCTTCGGCAGATTCTGGTGCTGGCAGGGACAGCGGGAGAGAAGACTCGGCAGACGGAGTTGGCTCCCCGCTGAAAGACGAAGTCGAGATACTGTCGCCGCAACCGCGCAGCCCTGCCGCTACACGATCGAACACAGTCGAGAAGCTCACGGCGTCTGCCAACGGCAATGGGGCGAGAAAAAGTCCCGCGGCCGGACGTGCCCGTGATGCCCCCGGCGGTGCTGCAGCTTCCACACGCGAGCTGGAAGAACTCAGGGCCAAGGTCAAAATCTTGGAACGCAAGCGCGGCGAGGATAGGGAAAAGCTGCAGCAACTCGAAAAAGTCCAGGGCGAGAGGGACAAGTTTGAAAACATCATCCAGAAGTTGCAACAGAAATATCAGCCTCTACAACAGGAGAATTCGGAACTCAAAAGGGAAATAAAGGAGGCTCAAGACAAGTTCCAGTCTATCGAGGATTTCCAGGCCTCTTACGAGACAGACCTGGAAATGGCCAGGTTGGACCGCGAATTGGCAGAGGAGGTCAAGGACTCTCTCCAGTACGAGCTTGACGAGCTCAAGATCCGAGCACAAGAGCTGCAGCTCGAGTTGGAGCTCGCCAAGCATGAGAATGAAGGACTCACCGAAGGCATGAGCTCCGAGGAGAGAGCAAGTGCCGGCTGGCTGCAAATGGAAACAGACAACCAGCGCATGCGGGAAGCGCTTGTTGCGCTACGGGACATAACGCGAGAGACAGAGCATGATCTGCGAGACCGGATACAGACACTCGAGGAAGAGACAAAGGACCTCGGCGAGCTCCGGGAGCGATACGATAACGCGCAAGTCGCTCTCCAACATACCGAGCAGCTTGTTGAGGAGCTCAAACTCCAGCTCGACGACGCGCTTGGCGCCACCAAAACCATCGAAGACCTGTCGGAACAGAATCTTTCCTTGCTGGAGAGGATTGCGACCCTCCAAGGCGCTGTCGAGGAGCTCGAGAGCCTAAATGAGCTCAGTAACGAGCTCGAGGCCAATTATGTACAGCACAACAAGGAGCTGATGACTGAGATCGACTTCAAGGACGCCGTCATCCAGGAGCAGGCTCGTCGCTATGATGAGCAGAGAACCAACCTCAACGATCTCGAGCACACGCTATCCCGCTTCCGTGAGTTGGTTACGACTTTGCAGAGCGATCTCGACGACATGCGCGCTACGCAAGCCGTTACCGAGGGCGAGTCCGAGAAGCTCAACGAGCGGTCGCGTGCGATGCAGGATCTGAACATGAAGCTTCAGATCTCCGCCTCCAAAGCGCAGGCCAAGTCGATTGATCTCGAGTTACGACGCCTCGAGGCGCAAGAGGCAGAACAGCATCTCGTCATTGTCAAGCTCTTTCTACCCGACAGCTACAAGGAAGATCAAGATTCCGTCTTGGCATTCCTACGTTTCCGCCGTCTGGCTTTCAAGGCTGGTCTGCTGAGCAGCTTCATTAAGGAGCGCGTTACCGGGCAGCCCCAACCTGGCCACGAGAATGACAACATTGCTGGCTGCGACGCCATCGACAAGCTTGTGTGGCTCTCGTCCACATGCGACCGGTTTGTCCATGACATGTCATGCTGTTCCGTCGAGCAATTCTCGAAATACGAGAATGCGCTCCACGAGCTCGAGTCCGTCGAGCGTGCACTCAATGGGTGGATCGAGGGCTTGCGCCGCGAGGAGTTCAAGGAACAGAAGTGTGCGGACGAGCTCCAGCGCACCATGTCGCTCATGACGCACCTCGCCGAGGTCCATATCCCCGAGAGCCTCGCAAGCTTCGCCGATGAGTGCCACGCCAAGTCTGTCACCATGCACAGCCAGCTCGACTCTGCAGCGTTGGTCTTGACGACTCTGCGGAACATGGTGCAAAGGGTCATCCCGGCGGCGGGCGAGGAAGATGAGCTTGCCGAGCACTTTGCCCAGAGAATGGACGCTGCCATTTCCAAGACCCGTAGTGTCAAGGTCGCGGCACAAAAGACGGTCCGTTCTCTCGATGAGCAGAAGAAACGGTCGCTGGCTCTGCTTCCCGAGACGCGCGACTATTTCGAGCAAACTGAGCATGCGACCCAGCAAGTGGTCGATCTTGCTCGCCATGTCGGTTACGGCGTGCACAAGCTGATGACCCAGGACGAAGGCCGCACAGAGCCCTTCACCTACATTGAGATACAGGAATGTATCCAACGCCTGGTCCTCGAGGCCACGCTGGCCAACGAGTCTGATATCCTCTCCGAGTATGTCAAGAAACTCGAAGTCGCCGGCAGTAAGTTCAGCGATTTGTCCGTCATGGCAGACGATCACGAGCAAATGGTCGAGTTCGACGTCGGTGCCGCCCCTTGGAAACTCCGCTCCGCGCAGCTCAAGGCTCTCAAGACCGTTCCGCTTGACGCCGAGGAAGAGCTCCGGCGGCTCAAGGAGGAATGCTCCGAGTCTCGACGCACGATTGCTCAGCGCGATGAGAACCTCAGTACTGCTATGCTCAAGATCGACACCCTCGAGGCCCGCATGCGTGATGCCCAAGCCAACTTGGAGCGCATCACGACCTTGCAGACTGAGTTGCAGGCTGCTGGCGAGGAGGTCGCTGGCCTCAAGGAGGAGATTGCAAAGCAGGACCATGAGCTCAAAGACCTCGAGTCGGAGCGTGACAAGTGGCAGAAGATTGCCAGCGATAGCCAGGCCTTTGCCGACACGGCCGATGCGGCGGGCGCCAAGGCAGGCCAGGAGCGTGCCGTTGCCACTGCCCGCGAGATGGACGCGCTCAAGAAGGACATTGACAGTCTTCAGGCAGCCGTGCGCTTCCTGCGCGAGGACAACCGCCGCGCTCGTCTGACCGAGCAGCCCAAACACGACTGGCTTGCGGAGCCCCTCAAGAAGCCTGCCAGTGCCGCCGCGCAGCACAGGGCGCTTGTCGCGTCCGAGGGCCGAGATGTGCTCGGCGAGCTCGTGAAGATGGCTACCTCGTCCACCGTATTCGACTTTAGCAAGCTGCCCGAGGACAAGCTTGCGTGGCGTCCGGCCCGAGCCACACCGCAGTACCACGCTGCGAAACAGCGTGAAGACTACGAGGCGTGGAAGGACTGGCAGTCGTCGGTACTGAGGAAGACGGAGCTGCTTACGATTGGGAAACGTGCCGGTAGAGAAAAGAGGCTAATGGCAGACCCAGCAGCGCGCTTGCAGATTCGGTTGCCCGGCTCTGATGGCAAGATGCTGGCCGGGTCTGGACAACGTGTACAAATCGTCGGATCACAGGAGTGGGAGTCCCTGCAGGGCCGACTGGGCGCGACTGCTTGAGTTGAAGTTCCGTTTGTCTTTGTGTAGTGGGAGCGGATACCCCTGATCATACTGTGTTTTCTTCCTTTCAAGCCGCAGAGTAGCTTTGTGAAAGTGTGTATAGCCATCCATCAATATTCATAATTTGGCATTTCTGTATCGTGACATTTTCTACTATGCTTTCCCCTTCTTCTTCTTGTCCTTCTTCTTCCCACCGCCCTCGTCCGCGCCGCTCGCATTCCCACTGCCGCCACCACCGCTGCCTCCCGCTGCGCCCCCCATGAGGGCGGCCATGGGGTTACCTCCGCCCTGCATCTCACTCATCATGTCCTTGAACAAGTTCTCCGAGACGCCCCCGCCCGTCATCGCCGCGCTCGTGTACGGCAGCAGCTCGCCCATCTTCCAGCCGCGCGGCACGGCGGGCCTGGGGTACGGTTTGCCCTGCTCGGGCTGCAGCTGGCCGCCCATGCGGACGCGGAGGCCGATTGAGTCGTCGTCCGTCGGGTTCTCCCTCAGGTGCTGCGCGATGAGGAGGTACAGGTGGTGTTTGTTGGTGACGTCGGTGCCGGCGCCGGCCTTTTTCAGCCCAACCTTGACCCGTCCCGGGTTCGCCCAGTCCTTGGGGTGCGTCTTGTCCGGTTCGAGGAGGGTCGGGAGACGTAGTTTCGAGCACGCATTGGCAATCTCGCGGGCCAGCGGGTCCTTGACGGCGAGGGCCTTGCCGACGCGGCGTCCCTCGGCGCGGGTGCGTGCGGCGTCAAAGTAGACGGGGTAGAGGCATTGGAAGGAGGCGTACTGGGCGCGGTCGGTGGAGCGAGGGAGGTTGCTGGGTTGTTGGGTGTTGGCGGGCGCAGGGACGGCGGCGTTGCGTGGAGGCGCCGGGGCCTGGGGTTGGCGCTGGCGGATAATGTCGCTGTCGGCAAAGTCGTCAATGTCGACTTCGGAGGGGTCTGAGAGGGAGCGGCTGTCGTCGTCCGAGTCGGAGACCTCCTCGACGCGAGGATGGTGCGACATGGCTGTGGTGTTTTGTGGCGATGCGATGGGATGCGATGCGGGAGCTGGGCTGGACTGGGGGAGGCTCAGAATTGAGAGGTGAGGTTGGATTTGGTGGGGTTCCTTCTCCCTCGTGCGTGGGGTCATCGAGGTACGTACCGTACCTATCTCGGAGAATTGTGGGACAACGACTTCAACATGCAACGACAAACTCCAAGGGCTTAAGACGTGGTGATCGTTGCATTTGTATTGACTGATGGAAATGGTCGAATATAAGTATATACCATATTGTTCGTAATATAAAGGAGAGCGGTGGCGACAGCTCCCTGCCACCGTACTTATGCATACATACATGTATGCTCCAACAAGCAGTCTGTCGTCTCACAGCAATATAATCCCACACCGTAATAAATGTTCCATGGTCCTGGTGTGGAAGGCACCTGGATTCCTGGCAAGCAAAGAGCCCCTCCAAGCAAGGTTACATCACTAATTGTTCTTGTCGATATGGGGGTTCTTAAACTTGGTATTAGGCGGATGCGCATCGACAGGAAATTTGCAGTAAGGGTGCGTGCAAATATTGCCCTTCATGCTCGCGCACTAATGTCGAGGTCAGCATCAGTTCCTCCCACAGATACCCAAAAATCATAGACTCACGTGATGTCCGTATATACAGTCCCAGTTGTCACAGTCTTGACCGCGGGTGCAAGGGTTCAGCCTCGTAAGATAAGCAATTGCATCGAGTTCGTCGTCTGTGGGATCGTAGTCGTGCACAAAAACGCACACGTCCTGCTTCGCGCATGGTCCACGTAGAAAGTGGTTGTTGCATAATTTGTCATTGTCCTTGCGTTTCTTCACCTCCTCGAGCACAGCCAGATTAGGGAAGATGGGGTCGTCCAGGCCACGCGGGCCGGGGTTCCAGTCGGGGACTTCCAGCACTATCCTTTTACTCTGCTTCGCAGCGGTCGCCTTGGTCTTGCTGCCAATGTTGACCGAGCGTGCGGCGAGCGGCAGCGTGATCTTGGGGGGCGGGCTAGCAGCGCGTGGCTTGCTCGCCAATCCGGCCCAGGACGCCGTCGGCAAGTCCTTGGGTGTTTCCTTGGACAGGTTTGGATACGCAGCTGAATCGTGCTGTTGGGGAGCTTGCGGGGGCGGTGTCGGAATTGTCGCGGCTGACATAGGCCGCGGTGAGGTGCCGACGACTGGTGAAGCACTGTGCTCTGTAACGAGGGTCCCTCGATCACCTAACTTGCGCGTGCGAAATAGTTCATTGTCCATTCGGAAGATATTGACGTTTGTAGCAACCAGAGCGGGAGCCGTGGGCACACCCTCGAGGATGCTGACGCGCCGTCGGGTATAGTCGTCGGCCAGGACTTCATCCAGAAAGGGCGCGTAACCGCCATCATGAGATATACCAAGCAGCACCTGTCTACAATTCGAATTCTGGAGGTGCCATCGTGCATTCTCTGAATTTTGGTCAGGTCCATCTGCACATTGACGTAGGGAAGGGGGATTTTCCATACCTCGTATTTTCGCGTCCGCCCGCTCCTTGCCATGGCCGACGTCCACAAAGTCAAAAGCCGCCTTGGCCTGTGAGAAGCCCAGTGTGAAGTCCCTAAAGTCCCTCTCGTTATAGATAAAGCCATCGCGGACCATGGCTCGCCCCAGGCCTTGGACGTTGGCGACGACTTTGGCGGAAATCTCCATCTCGCCGGCATACGTTTCACACTGCTGCGCCACAGCGTTGCGCAGCGCGTACGCTGCCTTCTTGCCGCCCTCGAGGCCTTGTCGAACATATGCGTCGTCAAACTGGCGAGTTAGCGCGCGGGAACGCTGCAGGTGGGTGGGAAGAGTGAGGCGTGCGTACAATTAAGCCATCCCCATCGATCAAGATCATCACATATGGTTTTCCGGTCTTCTTGGCGAGTCAGCTTGTGGCGCTTCGGCAACCTGTGCAATCTTCCTGCGCTCACCTGGTAATATTCTTTTTGACGGATTGTTTTTTCGTATGCTTCAATCTGTTTCTGGAGTTCACGGCGGGAGCGGACCGCGTCATTGTAATCGAGCTTTGTCTCTTCGACCTGTTCGCTCAGACGCTGGTTCTCCGCACCCAGGTTTCGCTCCAACTCATCGCAATACATCAGGACGTCCTGCACACTCAGTCATTAGGAGCCTTCTCATCGTGAGGTCTGACATTGTTTACCTTGATCAGCGTATCTGATGTTTCGCGCTGGGCCTGCATGGTCTTAAAGCGCTCGATGAAATGAGGCACGCCATTTTTCTGAGCCATCGTCTGGTGCGTGACTGATCACAAAGGTCGGGACGCTGGCAGGCGGTGAAGGGGGGAAAGCCAGTGCGTGCAGCAATATCAATCGGCCACCAAAGCCAAAGCTACCTGATATCGGTGGGACGTGATGCGTAATGTCGTAAGGTATGAGCAAAGTTCGAGGAAGCTTTTCAAGTGTGGAGTTTGCTGTTTGCTGGACTGTTTGCTGCTGTCGTCGGGTGGAAGTTAATTTTTCCTCTTGTTCCTGGATGGACCGATCTTGGCATCCAGTCGACGCGCCACTGGTCACACCGATTGTGAATCTGAATGGTTGCTGAGTCGCAGGCCCGTGAAATGAAAGGCGAGAGTGAAGAGCAGGTGAAATCGTGCCGTGAGTGGGATGGATGGGTAGCTTTGTTGAACCAGACTTGGCAGCTCTCCCAATCAGGTAAAGCGCACTCGCCATCGTAGCCGCGCGCCTCCTGGACGTGCACGTCGGGGGCATGAGAGAGAGGGAGAGAGAGAGAGAGAGGAGAGAGACTTGGTCGTGACCCTTTCCCCGTCTGTTGAAGTGCTTTGAAGATGGAGATTCTGGAAGGAGTGCGCTGAAATTGTTCCAAGAACTATTCAATTTATACCCTACTACATTCGCTAGCCAAAGTTCCGCTAACCCCGTGACTGTCTACATAGCCCAAGGGCTAACCGTTAGTTCTTCCCCAAGAGCTCCAGGTAATGCTCAACAAGGCTCTTCACCTGTTCTTCATAGTTTGCAAACTTCCACCCAAAAGTCTTCTCCGTCTCAGACACATCCAGCCGGAGAGGCCTCGAGGGCTGGGTTCCCTCCAGGGGCAGCGTGCCGTCGGCCACCGCCTTGGGGAAGTTCCGCCTAACAATCTCCTTGGCATCCTCCCATGTGGTGCCGTCCAGACCGCCCGAAGAGCAGAGGTAGTTGCGGTTCCCCTTGAAGGCAGGGTTCAATGCGTCGATGTGAGCCCTGGCAACATCGTTGATGTGGACTGTGGCGCCGAGGGACGGCATCTCGTTCTTGTTGTTCAGCAGGATACCCAGGGTACTGCCGTTGCTGCCCTTGCCGACGTCCTCGGGGGTGCGGTTCAGTTCATTCTTGCCCGTCACCATGCTGGGTAAGATGTTGACGACCTCGAATGCCGGCTTCTCCTCCTCGATAAAGCGCGCCGTGGCGGCGTGAGCCCCTGCCTTGGCCACACCATAGGCGTCCATGGCGTTCGCGAACGGACCGTCCAGGCTGGTCGGGGTGTACGCATCATTGGCTGTGGGGACGAATTCGTGTTATTAAGCTGCGCAGACGGGGGGGGGGGGGACGATGGATTGCCTCCACGTACCGGTGAACACCTTCTCCGTGTCGGACGAAATAACGTATTCCCAAGTCAGGAGAACGGCGATGGAAGACGTGATGACGACCCTCTTGATCGTGGGGACCTTGGTAGCCGACTTGAGCACGCCAACCGTGGCATTGACTGCCGGGTCGACCAGGTCGCGCCTGTAGTCGTCGGACTGTAGAAGATGGCGGTTAATGTCTGCTATGGGCATTATGACTCTAACAGAGGGAGTGAACGTACTGGGTAGGGAAGGGGAGAGGCGACGTGGACGACACCATCCGCTCCGTCAAGGACACCGTCGAAGGCGCCAGAAGCGAGTAGATCCGGAACCACGGTGAATTCGACCTGGGTCAGATATGGCTTGATGGGTTCGGTGGCCTTGATCTGCTCGGCTTGCGCTGCGTTGCGGATCACCGCGCGCACCTTGTAGCCTCTGCTGAGGGCCTCGACAAGCACGCGGAAGCCCACATGGCCGGAGACACCAGTGATCTGTGAAGACGCCTCTGGTCAGTATCCAGACACGCACAAGGCGCATGCACAGCGGTAGCCATGTATGGATGGACATACGACGAGGAGTTGCTGAGACATTGTGTTGAAGGCGTGGTAGACTTGGGCGTTCTGTCAGGGCGCAGACGATAGGATGTGATGTAGCTGTTGTTGATGCTTGATTCTAGTGATCAAGCCCATCTGCAACAACGGGCTGGGCGAAGCCCTTTCATCAATGATGAGCGCAAGCAGCATGATGCCTGGCGGTTCCCTTGGTTGGTAAAGGCGAACATTGGTACGAAGCCCTGCGGAATATTTTGTCATTAAATCCGATGCACCTTAGTAAGGTACCTTGTTGATGCGTGGAGGACGGGTCTGGGAAGCTCTTTCCCTTTCCCTTTGAGTCTGTCACTAGGTAGTATGCATCCGAAGGCTCTTTCCCCCTTCGCAGCAAGTAAGAACGGAGCCGGTGCTGAATTACCCTGCGCTAGCGCCGGCAAATGATGACCCCCAAAATGCGGATTTAAGAGTGTATGGACACGTTTCGTCTATGTGTCTGGAGACACTCGTCGCCTGCTTAGCAATAGCATACCGGGCGGCGGGAACGACTGCTCAATTAGTAACGCAAAGGACAGGCCAAGATATCTCGTGGGGCTCACCGTGGTGTGTATCAACGTATTCGTACTATCTCGTTCCCAGTCGTCAAAAACCTCTCTGGGATTTGTTGATGGCTGTGTGATGTGGCCAGCATGAAAACCGGGGCCGGTCCAGCCTAGACTAGTTCCGCCAACTCTCAAGGGTCTCGAGATGAAGTAATCCTTAAAGTTAAACAAAAATAAGTATCACCAATATGTGTGGACTTAGGTTATCCCCGAAAACGCCACGCCAATGGCGGGTGGATAGCAGGTCGGGCTGGTTATCAAATCACCCCGGCTGAATGCACCCGAAGAAGCGCAGACGCGGAGGCGGCCCTCTAAAAGTTGTTATTAATCGTTGGATTCTGAGAAAATGGATCCATGCCATCGACAAGAGGTGTACGCACCAGCTGAAGCTTTGGATGCTTGCTTATCAACAGCAATATCTCCAGTACATCCATCAGGTACACTCGGCCTGTTGCTGCCCGTAGGGATACTGGTTCAGCAACGTCCACACAGTGTCCTCGCCAAATCCACCCCCAAAGTGCCACGGGTTAGGATGTGGATTGTCCATAATCGTCATAGAGTCAAACGGACCGGTGGTGACGGAGAGGTCGTTGAACAGCAGGTCGTACGTCGGATACATGGGCGCCATGGCGGCGAGGTTGTCAGGCGTGGTCCAGTGCGCGGCGCACTCCACGGGCGCCACGTCGTCTGCCCCGTCCGTCGAGGGCGCGCTGTGGGCGAATGCCAACGGTGTCTGCTCGTTGACGGATTTCGGGTGGAATGGATTCGATTCGAGCACGGACGCGGGCGTCGTGGGCAATGCGTCCGCCTGCTGTTGGCTGCTTGGCAAGGGCATGTTCAGAGCCTTGGTCAGCTTGGCGAGGATGGCCTTGAGAACGCCTTGAGCGGACCGCGCAAGGGGATTGCGTTCCTGCATGGCGGAGAAGCGCTCGAGTGTCCATTGGAACTGTTGCAGTGCGTTCTGCCGCAGCGCCTCGTGTTCCTGCGGGAAGACCATGAAGATTGTCGATAATAGTACAATGGCGTCAAAGCTACCGAAGAACAGGTGGTAACTAACGTGGGTTTGATTAGTAGCCATAGCCACAGGCACGATGAACCGAGAGAACTCACTTCCGCCAGTGGTCGGGTGGCAGCCCATGAAACATGCATCTGCCCATCTCCAGAATCTGGAGGCTCGCCTTTAATGCCTCGTGTCTGCTCTTCTTGCGGTGAAAGATATACGGCCGGTGTAGGACCATGAGGTTGAATGCGTACAGCCCGGCAAAGTGATACCGCAAGTGCTGCACCCACGCCGTCTCCGGCTCGTGATCCCACCGCGTGTCCGGGTTGACAACGCGAAGGATGGCCGGCTTCCGCTCCTCAGTAGCCACCATGCGCTCGTGGATCGCGTCGACCTTGGAGTAGTCCTTGGGGCGAGGCCCGTCTTGTTCTAGATCTGCGACATCGAAGAGATGGTGCTGCAGCTCGCGAAGCCACAGCACACTGATGATCGCCGTCGGCGGATCGTTCCATTCGTCTCTGGGCACGACAGACTGCCGCGAACGATGGACTGGAGCTTTCGTGTCGACGGGAGGGGTTGGTAGCCCGTGAGCTCGGTTGATGGTCCCAGGCCGACCTAGGAACGTGGACATGGCAATGTCCCTGTCATCATCAATCAGCCCAAACCTTGTTCACGGCGTCTGTCCACTTACCAGTTGATCAGGATGAGGTACATCTTCCTCCTCCTCTCAATGAGCCATTGATTCTCCAGCGCTGCCTCCGCGCTCCCGTCTCTCGGTTTCGGATCAAGACTGTCCCTGTGCATGCCCAACTCCTGGGCGTCTTTGATCGCAACGGAAATCAGATGCCACTGTTGCCACGGTCAGCCTCGGTTGCACCAGAAAGCACTCGCGTTGATACTCACCGACTCAGTCACGTTGGCCGTGTATTTCAGAAAACCCGCCCTCAAAAACTCGGCCAGAATCGTCGTGAGCGCCAGCCCTGTCTTGCCAAAGAGGCTCACAATCGCCATGCCATTCTCGCTATAGTCCATGGCGAGGTCCTCAAAGGTCATCCCGGCGGCGTACTTGAGCCCCTCCATCTCCTCGTCGCCCTCTGGCACGACGAGCAGGGCCGTGGCCACCATTTGGAAGAGAACGGCCGGAAACACCCGCAAGTCCGGTGTCAGACCGTGTGGACCAGAGGTCGAGAGCAGTTTGAAGGGCAAGGACTGCCACTCCTGGAGCTGGGCATGGAAGACGTCTGGGTCCACGGCATAGTACTGGTAGTTGAACGTGGACAGAAAGATGGTGACCAGCCGGTCCAGGTACCTCTTGGCCGGTAGCTGCCGGATCAGGCCCTTGAACTTTTCGCTGGTCAAGGCTTCCGTGTCGCGCCCTCCCGGGCGACTGGGGACCTGGAAGCGCCCTGCTGGCAACGAGGCTGGGTCGTGCGCTTCCATGTGGCGGAGGAAGCCCATGGTGGAAGTCCCGGCGTGCGCGTACCCCAGCTGGGCCGCGACCGAGGAGAGGGTCGCGCCGCCGCCGCCGTCATGGTACGCTGGCAGGGCCGGCGGCGACGTCGACTGGGACAGGGACGAGGTGGACTCGTTGGTCCCGAGCGACGGGAGTGATTTGGCGGGCGCATCGTAGATACACCCAGACGCCTTGTTCCTCGACGTGCAGTTGGCACAAGGCTGGTTGCGGTCACACTGGGTGAGCAGTCAGCAGCTGTTTGTTCCCCGTCAATCGACGTCTTCATGGCCTCGAGGGTCCCAAAACCTTTTGCTTCCTGCGGTGGCATTCCGTGCAGGACACAACGAGCCGCCGCCTCTTGCGCGCCGGTCGTCTCTCCGGGGCAGCAGTAGCAGCAGCAGCGTGCGCAGGGTCTGAGGTGGGTGGTGGTGGTGGAGGTGTCATTGCGGCGCGCGTCGCAGCAATACGGCGCGTTTCTGCCCACCCACGCTGGAAAGGCAAAGGCGTCTGTCTGTCTGTCTGTCTGTCTGTCTGTCTGTCTGTCTGTCCGTCAAGGACCAGTCCAGTCGCTCGCGGATTCAACGGCGACAGTTGCGTGCGTGTTGCACCTCGGAAGCCTTCATTGCTTGGGCCGGGCAATTAATGAATGGGGTTTTGAGAATTGAAAGGTGAACTCGGACAGTTTCACTCGGAGCTCCAGAGGCTCCAATTCCATGGCACTCGGCCGGAGAGGAGAGGCAGGGATTTGATGGATGGATCGCTCCATGTCGCGCCTTGCCTCGGGTTTTACGGCGGACGTAACGACTGGACGTTGGAGACGAGGAATCGGATAGGCTAACTGTGCCTTGTAGTGTCGTCAGAGACTATTATTATTCAGTCTGGTGGATATATATAGTGACTACTCCTCTAGTCAGTAGGTAATATGGTCATTTACCCAGAATACTACACCCACTCTCGTATCCTGTCGTCTTCCATACACGACACAATGTCGAATACGTACCCCCAATATCCCCAGTAAGCTTACCGCGCGTGCCACTCGCTAATATTAGATACACCTGGCCCAGCCTTGGTTTCCGAAATAGTCACGTTTGACGCATGAGTAAGTAGGTGCGAAGCACTGACATAGATACGTAGGATCTGGTGGGACAATTGCCTAGACACGCGCCGAATCCCAAACCCCGACATGGCCGCGCAATGCAAAAAGAAAGAAGAAAAAAAGAGGCCGCTGCGATTACAGACGATCCCAGATATCCCAACACCAACAGAATGTCAATGTCCGTCCCACCATGTGCCCTCCGAGTCTCTTTCCGTCGAATGCCCACACGCTCCCCGAAATCGCTCAGCGCACGCGCTCCGTGTACGCCTTCCACGCGGCCGAACGGTACCGCTCAGCCTCGTGCTCCGGATCGCCCGCCTTGAGGATGCCCCGACCCACGATCACGATATCCGCCCCGGCAATGCCGATAATCTTCTGCGGCGTGTTGTACTGTTGCCCTTTGCCGTCGCCCTTGACCTCGGCCATGTCGTCGTCCTCCGGCGGCAGCTGGCACCCGGGCGTCATGTGTATAAAGTCATCCTCCTCCTCGCTGTTGAGGGATTCCTGCGAGATGAATCCCATGACGAACTCCTTGTGCTCCCTCGCCGCCTCGACGCAGGCCTTGGTGTACTCGGCGTTCATAAAGTTGCCCTGGCTCGACATCTGGGCCAGGATGAGCAGGCCCCTCTCCAGAGGTGGCTCCTCCACGCCGGCGAACAGCTGCTCGCCCTCCTCCGCGATCCCCCGACCAAAGCGCGGCGAGTGCGCCGGCTCGTATTGCTGCGTCACCGTGGTGACAGATACGATGCTGCCCTTGCGGCCCTCGCTGGCCTTGTCGTTGCTGCCACCCTCAATGTCCTTGGCATTCGGGTTTGGTGAAAGACCACTGGCGCCCTCGTCGTCCGTATCCTCGTCTCGCAGTGGTGTGCCCACCGTGACCGATGTCCTCACCTCATACGGGTACCGCTCAAGCCACCTCGCTGCGGCGTTGGCCAGTGATGTGACTGAAGCCTTTCCAGGCACCATGTTCACATTGACAATGTGAGCCCAGTCAATGATGCGCGCAGAACCGCTGGTGTACTGCAGCTCAACCGTGTTGCCAATATCGCCAAACTTGCGATCCTCAAAGATCAGGAAGCCGTGCTTGCGCGCGAGGGCGGCCAGTCGCGCCCCAGTGCCATGCTCAGGATGAAAGTCCCACCCGGACACCATGTCGTAGTGCGTCTTCAGTACCACAATGCTAGGCCCGACTTTGTCGGCGATCCAGAGAAGCTCGCGTGCTGTCGCGACATCGGCGCTGAGACAGAGATTCGACGCTTTGAGATCCATGAGCTTGTAGAGGTAGAGGCTGAGCGGGTGCTTCACGGTCTCTGCCCGCTTCGCATATGTTTTTTTGAGTGAGGCATGCGCCATGGTGTTTGTTGTGTGCGGGGGGGCAGCCCAAGGTACCTGAGGTAGATACTTAAGCAAGTAGACAGAGCCTGTTCCTCTAATTAAGGTGTAGGTTCCTCTAAAGGAGGTAGGTTCAATGTGTGGAGCAGCTCAGTAATGTGCGGTTTGCGACCCTGTTGAAGACGAAGAAGCCAAGAAATTGTCGAGGTTCTTGTCTTAGAGGCGGTGACGGCTTGGTGGTGATCGGGATTTTTTTCTTATTTTTTTCCCCAGGGTCCGAGACTAGACGTCCTTCCGTGTTGCTTGGAGGCAATGATGGCGCTCGCTGGGATGGCTCTCACTGCTGGGCAAAGTTGCGATTTATGAGTATCAAGTCGGAGAGCAGCGAGGTATGTAAGTAGAAAGATGAGCAGAGGACCGACCGTTCAGTCGCGATTCCAAGGAGAATGTAATCGATGAGACGACTGGACGACGGTTGGAGCCTCCAGTCCCAAGGGGCGGCGCCCCCAATTTTGACGGCGCTGATCCGGGACCCAGCAACAAGGCCTGCAGGCCGGCCAGCTTGGGCCTTGCCAGGGCGTCGGGGACAATGACTGGAGTCCAGGCACTGAACTGGAGCCGACCGGACCAACGAGGGGCGATGCTGACCCTGGTTGAGCCGCAGTGGCTTTGAGGATGATCCAGCAAACGGGGGCCCTGTCGATGATTGAGCCTAGCGGTGGTCCGTGGAGGGAAAACCACCTGATGGACCGATGGTGGCGGGGTTCTGGACTCCAGTCCAGTCCCGTCCTGGTTCGAGAGACTGGAGCTGAGAGGTGAGAAGACCAGGCAGCGAGACAGCTGACGTTCGCTAGGGCCGTCGGGAGAGGCTGAAGGCTTACGACTAGTGAGTTGGAGTTTCAAGCAACGACGACATGGATGCTGAAGAATTCGTTGTTGTCAGGGGGCAGCAGCAGCACGCAAGAAATGAAGCGGAAGGATCGATACAGACAGCATTCATGTGGGGTACTGTCGTCAACTCCCAGGCCCGCCCTCAACTGGCCGACAGCGCTGTCGGCCGCCACTCCATCCTCCTACGCGATGACCTACTAGCACTGCGTCTAGTCCCGCGATAGTTCGATTCCATGGCGCGTCGCTTATTTCACTCCAGACGATGACATTGTGCCCTGACTGCCGTCAAGACATTCAAGGTACGACGACAGAAAGCTCAGGCTTCCGCCGTTCTGCCACCCCACTCCAATTGACCGCCTTTCCATCGCGGTCTGATGTGGCGGCTGGCACCTGAATAGGATTTTGACTGCATCTATAGCCGCATCTCAGGTCTTGACGCGTATCGGCAACACACAGATTATTCGACCTTTGGGGCGCGCAACACATACCCAAGCGGCGACTCACTCCGGTCGCTTTGTTGTTTGCTTACATCTGAACTCGATTCCAGTCACTTCTTTGTGAGTACGTACGCGTAGTGTTCCCCTTCCTCCATGGCAAGCACCCACCCCCAAGAGAGGTCAAATGCAGGGTTCAACAATTGTTGCATTTAGCCATCCATCACAGCGTGCATTAGTCCGGCGGCAGTTGGGCACCCAAGAGGCTAAGTAGGTAAGTGAAAGGCCGTGATCTGCGAACCAGAGTGTCCCTTTTCCTTTTTCTTTCATCTGTTGCGAGCCTGCAGCGACTGTGCCGCAACCATCAGTAGTGATGGGAAAGCCCATGTATACCAAGTAGTCTGGGAGAAGTAGTCACAGTGGGCATCCTATGATTGCATCTTCAACCATGGACTCGGGACAGAGCTCTATCCAGGCTCCAAATGTGACCCGAGTGTCATCCGAGTGTCACCCGATCAGCAGCATTCGCATTCGCAGCATTCGCAGCATTCGCATTCGCAGCATCGCAACTTCAGTGTCTCTCGCAAGGGGATGGCCATGATGTTCTCCCAATTCTCAACTGCGCGCATTATTTCAGAGTGCTCCCACTTTGTTATGCACCTCCCAGGCTCTATTAAAGTGAGGTTGGTCACAAACAATCAAGCCAACACGAAGGTCATCAACAGCTTTACAACTGAGCATTCATTACCGTCGTTCTGTCAATCTCGATCATTCCGAGGGGCCACCACAACAAGCCCCGTTTGCTGCAGCAAATCTGTGAGTAATCTTTACGTTTCTGCGCCTGAACGCAGATGAGGTCCCGTCGATTGATCGGCATTAGGATGCTCTGTGCTGCTGCTTTGCGACGATCAAGGAGACTCTAGGGTTGTTGAATGCGGTTCTGTGCGAACGAAGATCAATGCAGATCCATCGCATCAGTTGACAGTCCCGCAGCCGCCTCCAAACGAGCGCTCTATCGCCCGACGAGCACTGGAGGTCATCCACACAAGCTTGTACCACGCAGATTATGACTTTTGGATTTTGAACGGATACAGTTCACTCCCCGTCTCGCAAGACATTTGAGATCAACATAGACTGGGGATTTATCCACAGCCGCAAAGAATCCCTAGGAGTTCCGGAGCAGTCGCCGTGATAGACTGATTGATAGTCACTTTCCCCTGTCAAGTTCGCAGCCTCCGCGTCAGTGACGTGGAATATGAGGCTGAGCGACTGGTTAGATGAAAAAAAGCACCAGTAGGGAGACATGGTGTAAGGTCGTTTCGCGGTAGATATTCTTGCAAATTCTGGGTTCACTCTAGTTAATTACTATTCGGACTGATCGAGAGGACCCGAGACCGAGGAACTGCTCAGTAAAAGAATCATCCTAGTCGACGCAGCAGGGCATCATCATGCAGCCTGAGGGCGCATAAGTGGACCGCCAATGTCAAGCTTAGCAGCCGGAAAGAACACTGTCGGAGTTTCGACTTGTATACTAGCTCGTTAGTTGCCGGTGGATTATTTATTTCCACACAACATTTCCCACGACATTCCTGGCTTTCAATTTGTTTTCTTCCCCCTGAGCTAGGCGATCCGAGTGTGCCGGTCACCAGACTAAAGGGGTAAATAGTGGAGTGGCAGGTCCCTGAATTTCAGGGGGGCCAAGGCCTAAAAGTAAAGACTGAGCACGGCTACCGTACTCGCGAAGCGCGGCCACTACGTAAGTAGGCTGATCGCGAAGGGCCCGCTTTAACGCCCATCAAAGTCCGCTCAGGGCTCCAGGAAATGGCTTCCAACGCCAAATCTTACCTCCAGTCAGCTCTGATTCCCGCCAAAGATAAAAAGTTGTCGAAACAGACTCGAGTTCCCTTTCCCCTCTGTTCGTCTTGCCTAATAATACCTACTACTCACTTCTCGACTTCCCTTCATATATCCGTTCTTCTTGGGCTCTGCCTGTAATCCACATTCCCTTCCATTCTGGACCATAGTAATATTTTGGCTTGCGTCACCGCGAGATCCGACCGTCGTCGCCCTTATCGTCACACTCCTAATCCGACACGCCCGCCTCGACCCGTCAGGCGTCAGCAAGCTTCGCACCTTCGTAGCTGCACCCACCAACTGCGAGGCTCCCACGATATACCCACGATGGCCCGCCAGACTAGACGAAACGCAAAGGCGCGCGAAGCTGCCTCGTCCTCCGACGACGACGCGACATCCCAGACCGTCATGAACGGCAAGGGCAACGGCTCAGCGCATCACGCGTCGGAAGCCCCGGACTCGATGGAGAAGGAGAATATCTTCCTCTTCTGGCCCAACCTGATTGGTATGCCGCCTCTCCCTCACGTGCCGAACGCGCAGACTAACTCACTCGACAGGCTACGCCCGCATAGTCCTCGCCTTTGCGTCGCTCTACTACATGCCCCTGCACCCGCGCACGTGCTCCTTCTTGTACAGCGTCTCCTGCCTTCTCGATGCCCTCGACGGCTTTGCCGCGCGCTACTTCGAGCAGTCCACGCGCTTCGGCGCCGTCCTCGACATGGTGACCGACCGCTGCACCACCTCCTGCCTCCTCGTCTTCCTGTCCTCGGCATTCCCGCGCTGGGCCATTGTCTTCCAGGGCCTGATCGCGCTCGACTTCTCCTCGCACTACATGCACATGTACGCCACGCTCGTCGTGGGCGGCGTCGACTCGAGCCACAAGAACATTGACAAGAGCCAGAGCTGGCTGCTGAATCTGTACTACACCAACAAGGGTGTGCTGTTCACCTTTTGCGCGCTCAACGAGCTGTTCTTCATTGCGCTGTACCTCCTGTCCTTCTCCTCGCCCTGGGTCTCGCCCCACTTGATCAAGAGTGTCGAGGAGACGAGTGGCGCGCACATTGATCCCGGCTCCCAGCTCAACAGCTCCATCTTGAGCCAGTTCTTCCCCGATCCGTTCAGCGCAGCGGCCCTCGAGATGGCGCGCGCCAACAAGATGGATTCTTTCGTGCCGTGGGTTCTGGTGGTGATCAGCTTCCCCATCATGTTCCTCAAGCAAGTCATCAATGGCATCCAGCTGGTCAAGGCTAGCCGGTGGCTGGCTGACGTGGACGTCAAGAACCGCAAGGCCAAGGGCTTGCCCAGGGCCAAGAAGACGGCGTAAGCAAGCAAATTCAGCCTGTGGACTTGTCTATGGGCAGTACGGTCCACGCCCCGTCACTGAGAATTCCGACTCAGCCCGACACGTGGATCAGCTCACCTCCGGTAGCCGCGACCTTGGCTACCTTTGTATAGCATATAACGGCGTTAAGGGGTTTTGGATTTGCTAGAGGGCGCGGTGTACGACGAAGAACGGCCGCAGCAACGCATCTTTCGAGGAAGGGCTGGCATAGCAGGCCTCGGGAAAGGCACAGCAAAAAGGTTTCGCGGGAACCTGGACATGGAGGGATCATGGGGACCGGGCGCGTCGCCCACAATCTGTTCAGAGTGACAGAATTTCTTTCCAATCGTTACTACTTTTTTAATTACCAGACACCGAGGGTGATTCACAATCGCTGGACTACAAAGAGCTTGGGGGTCCGGATTCAAGTTACATTTTGCAATGGCTAAGATCTTCTATTCTATCTCTCTAATTCTTGCACGCCAAAATGCGTTGTCAGTCCGAAATAACAGGATGCTCCCGAAACGCCAGCTGTGTCTCCAATTCCGTGTCGTTTCGTCGTTGCCTCATAGCAAAATATCAAAGTTCTGGTGTCCAGTCCCAGGACTCTGAGGTGAAGAGCTTCTTTGCCATCTTATCTGCAAACATGGCACCCTCGAGTCGGAGGCGTTTATCGTTGGCCAATGCTCTCGTAAACTTAAAGGTGGACTCGCCCTCGCCTTCGCCGGCCGTCTGCGTGACCACCCAGCTCACATCGCTTCTCCTGCCCCTCCACTCCTTGAATGGTATGCTCACGACGCTTGCGCCGACCATGGCACGGATGTACTCGAAGACAGGCTCTGCGCGGATGCGCGGTCCGCAATTCACATGGTGCCTGTCGACCTGGTACGCAGGGAATTGGCGTAGCGTGGCGAGCAGGTCATCAATGTCGGCCATGGAAGTGTCAGGCACGGCATCCAAGGAATCAGGGGAGAAGTCAACAAGGGAGAGTAGATTCTTGGAGACGAGAAACCGCAGCAGCTGGCCAAGCTGAAACGAGTCGCACGCTGGCGACGAGTCATAGCCTAGCTTGCATTGACGGTCTTTTGAGGAATACAGCTTGAGAAAGTGGCGTTGCACAGAGGCAATGGTGTTTAGGATGCATTCGCGACGGTACTGCAGCTCATCTAGATCAGTTAGTCAGGGGCCAGGGACGTATGTACGGGCGAGGCGCTCACGCTCAAGGCCATCCGGCAGTGTCCACCAAGCCGCCATGGAGTCTACTGCCTCGTCATGGAATGCGCTCCAATGACTGGAGCCTCTCATGATGAGTTCACGAGTCGCATTGTGCAGGCGCATGGGCTGGCCAAGCAACCAAGCCACCAGGATCTTCTGGCGTATCAGTTGCTCGGCTTCGGTGGCTCGTCCGTTTTCATCCCTCATGGGCTTGCCCGCAGTCAGGGGCCACTTGAACTTGTACTCTCCATTCAAGGCTCGGGACAGTGTAGGTGTACAGTCAAAACGATCTGCCGTGATGGCCAGAGTGGTGACATAGGGCATGGTGAGTTTTGTGGTCTTGATAGGCTTGGAATGTATCATCAACAATAAGTCCTCAAAGACATGCTCTCGACCTGCCGCTTTGGATGCCTCATCATCGTCTGCGATCTTGATCCAAGGTAGGTCGACGGCGTCTACTTTCTTAGGGTCCGCGCCTCTAGCTTTCAAAGCATCGTGCGCGTATTCGATGGTCTTCGCTTCTTGGAACTGGGGGTTGTATAGGAGGTTGGTGAAGTACTTTGAGTTTCTCTTCAGCGTTTCAAGAGTCACTCGATACGCCGCCTCGACCTTGGTCTTTAGCTCTGGTAGGGGGAGGGCGGAGCTGCCAGCTCTACGGGCAGCGGCCAGCGCTATCTTCCTGCTCTTGCGCAGCGTGTCGATGGACGTCTCAAAGACCACATCGAGGACAATATCACCCTCGGGGTCGATGTTTATAACCTGATTGCTGTGCGGCGGGTTGGTCGTCGTGGACTTGTGAGCGTCTGCTGCGTCTCCTTCGGGTGGTGGAGAGTCGCCCATACTTTTGCGGTGGTTGAGAAAGACATTGATAGAGTGAAGAAGCTTCAAGATTGTCGGTCCATGGATAGGTCAGAGGTCTGGCCTCATTCATTTCATGGTGTTAAGCCGGTCCACAGAGGAGGGGACTGGAGGAGAGAAATTTTGTCCAGTTCATCAGTGTGCAGTAATGAAGGGTCCAGTCTACTGTAGTCGATAAGCTGGACGAGGGTCACCCGGGGTGGGAAGGTGGAGGCCATGGACGTCACTTGTGCCGCCACAGCGGGTGGCCTCTGCAAGACAGCAGCTAACGTTAGAACGTCACCTGCTAGCGCTGTGGGAGAGTACTCTAGCTAACCTGGACCACCGAGAGCCCTTCCTCCAGTCTGTGTCCTCTGGAGTTTGGACCCTTCCGAGTCGACGCTAACAGTGGATTCCACCAGGGTCGAAGCCAGCGTCGACCAATAGCCAGAGCTGATGCTTTCTCAGGGTGCCAGCGGATCCATGCATACGTCACGGTCGCTCTCAAGCGGATATCATTGTCCAGCCTTTGTCGTAGATGAGTTTGTTCACTAAAGGACTCTCTATGTTTGATGAGATCTTTTGAAATAAACACCCGTAGTTTGCAACGCCTGCCTCACCTACACCCATTCGACCTCTTGAACAAGCATCTGCCGTCGCTACCGCGCGTCGCGACGTTGCATTTGCTCCAAGACTCCAGTCGCCTGCCCGAAAACCCACCTCCACCTCCACCTCCATGTCCACATCTTGGCGACGACGATCCCCAACCAACACCTCCTTCCCGCGCCACGCTTAATGTCTTGGGACCGAAGTCTCACCATCCCAAGCTACGGAGGACCACGCAGCAGGCTGTGATGTTCTTGCAATAGCTCACTGCGTCCGACTGAGACCGCAATGGCCTCTTTGGCGCCGCCAATTCACCGGGCCGCCAGAGCTCTGGCGCGCCATTCTGCACGGCCACTTCACGCCTCTCCAACATCATCAACAGGTCGTGCGAGGTCACGGCCGCCCCTCAGAAGATATGCATCGACGGCCCCAGGCTTCATATGGGTAGACGCGCAGTATCGCTACGCGGCACCGGCTTCTGGTGCCACGAGACCGATGTCAACCCACGCCGAACACCCTCGATCATGCCCAAATCCGCGACGGCATGCTCATAGAAGCGTGCCAGCAGCACGGCGATCGAAGCCCACATCGCACTCTACACGGGGGTTCCATACATACTTCGTCACTCATCTGCCTTCATCTTCCCTACACCCCGACTCTGGCAGGACTGGGCCAGGACACGGTCTACCGCGCGACGCCTCCACGCCCCATACGCAGGAGCCTGGCTCGTCGCCAGCTCTCGCTCCCCTCAATATGCCGAACCGAGATTTGACCGTCGTCCGTATACCTCTCAGGCGGGCAAAGCATCACTTCGGGTCAGCGACCGCGCGCGGCAGCAGACCGTACAACGAGGATACCGACCAAGCAGGCACCATCGACATCCCCGCGTTCGCGAAACGAGCGCCGCAAAGTGTAATAAGACAAAGGCCGGGAGAGGCTAAGCCAGCTGAAAGTGCCTCAGGCGACCCTCAGATATTCTACTTTGGAGTCTTTGACGGGCATGGAGGGACTCAGTGCTCGCACTTTCTCCGAGACAAGTTGCACACTTACATCGAGCAGGCTTCGAGCGACTTTGGATTGCAGAGCACCCTGCGAAGGAAATCTACTTCGAACAACGAGAAGCCCACCAATCCACTGTCCAAGAAAGAGGCCTTTGAGGCCTTGGTCATGAAAGGACCGGACGATGTAAAAGCCGACATGAAAGTGCCCCAACGCAACGAGAATGGTGCTGTTCAGCCCCCCGATCGCACAGAACCGCTCAAAAGCGATGATGTAGCTTCCGCTACTGTCAATGATTCACAAAAGGCCCTGAGGCTCGAGCGCGAGTTGCTCGACGACTACAAAAGCACAGTCGGGGGCTACTTTCGACGATTCATCCCGGACTACTTCGACTTATCCGAAGACAGTGGGCGCTCGCCATCAATATCCATTGAGTCCGTCCTCATGTACGCGTTTCTACGGGCAGATCTTGATTTCGTCGACGCCCAGGCTCGGAAGCCCGACCCAGACGACCCTCACATCAGCGATAGCCCTCTCAACAAAGACGAGATCCTGGGTCTCCCCCACTCGGCTCCATCTGGCCATGAGTCCGGGGGTCATACACGGTTCCAGGGAGGGTCAACGGCCTCTGTCGCTCTGATTTCCACGCCCACACCGGCACCTTTTTGGCACCCAAGCGCACACTCGACCATGCTTGTTGCGCATGTGGGAGATTCCCGCATTCTGCTTTGCGATACAGCCACTGGCTTGGCCCAGCCTCTGACGTCGGATCACCACCCTGGCTCTCCCAGTGAGAGTCGGCGTCTACGGCGTTACGCGCCGGCCGGTTCGATGGTTTCTGGCGATAGTTTCGGAGAGGAGCGGATCGCAGGCTTGGCAAATAGCCGCGCTTTTGGTGATATGCGTAGTAAGCGCATTGGAGTATCCGCCGAGCCAGAGATGACGCGCGTTGACATGGGTCCGGCGCAGTATTCGTTTCTTGTACTCATGAGCGATGGTGTTTCCGGTACCCTGAGCGACCAGGAGGTCGTCGATGTTGTCAAGGACGCCAAGACCCCCGTCGAGGGAGCGAGGAAAGTCGTTGACTACGCGACCGAAGTCTCGCATGATGGAGACAATGCCACTTGCCAAGTCATCCGCTTGGGGGGCTGGGAGCGGCGCTCAGAGGGCGGGCTGGGCAGCATGGGCACAAAGGAGATTCGGGACATTCGCAGAGCTGAAGCCCTTGACCCTAGAGGCCGAAAGCGATAAGCATGACTAAACAGCATTGGACACGGCGTTAAGGCAATGATCTTATGACGGCATCTTCCTGACCACTCGGGTAACGGGGCTGGTATACTTGTAGATACACCAAATAATGAGACAAGCTACTGTCACATTCACAAGAGATGCGCGTAATTGTATATGGTTTGGCATTTAGGTTATGAACACGAATCTTCAATAAAGAAGCATCTTTTCCAGCCAGTAGCTCTTGATGCATAGACTCCTCTGGTTCGAGCCGTTAGTATCTGCGTTGTCCGGGATACTGTTGCCAGTCATGTGGCGGGTGCCCGCCATGGGGAGGCGGTGGTCCGCCGTATCCCGGTGCATAGCTTGGTTGAGGAGGCCCAGGCGGCGCACCGTAACCAAGGGGAGGACCGGGAGGCGGTGCCCCATATCCGTAAGGAGATGGGTTCATGGGAGGAGGTGCGCCATAACCAGATCCGTATGGACCTGGCTGGGGAGAGACCCCATGGTAGCCGCTCGGTGGCGGTGCTTGCTGTTGGTATTCAGGGTTCTGGCCATAGTTGAATTGCTGAGGGGGCGGCACAGGAGAGTTGCGCATCGGTGCGTCGTCGTGGCCATCCATAGCATCCATATCCCTAGTCTTGACCTGGTTCCAGAGCGAGCCAGCCACTTTCCCGTGTCCAAACTTCCCGAGCATGCTCTCCAAAGCGCCGTGAGAGTGCGATGGCCCACCAGAGTGGTCATGAGCATCTCTCGATCCGTGCTGCTGCTGGTTCAAGATGTGGTTCTTGCCGTTGCGCACAGATCCCGAGGAGAGGATGTGGTCGAGCTGGTTGCGGCGTGGGTGCTCATCGGCCCATTTGCGGACGGTGTTGAACATGTCGCGCTGAATGTCCACACGTTCGTCGCGCAGAGCTGGATGGTGGAAAGCCCGCAGGACATCATTGACCACTTCGTCGACAGGAACATGTGTGTTCTCCCAAGCGTACAAGACGCGCCTATAATCATCAGATGTGACGTTGGGAAGACAGGGGGGTTCTTACGGGACGGCATATTGCAAGACAGTGACGGCCACACGGCCAGCACACGAATTGAGGACGTTGGTAAAGTGATCCTTCGCAAGCATGCTGTGGGTTGGGTCAGAGCATCGAGGATTGTCCCAGGGCTCAAGCTGGGATCGCGCGCTGGCAGAAATGAGACCAGATGAGCCCTCCTTCAGCGTCTTGGAGACCTGCTGGATGATGGGCCGGACAAAAGGTGCGAGAAGACCGAGGACGAATGCTGTCAGTGTCTCGCTGATGTGTTCCAACAGCTTCTCGAGGCCAGGAACCTTGGCGATGCCTCGACTTATGGCCTTAACAATCTTGTCCCTAAATTGGAGGATGGGGTAAATCCGCCCAGCCGTCTTGACGGGATCAAAGTCGGGGCTCATGCCAGGCACCATGTTTTGGTTGGAGCCACCACTTGCTCGCGTCCTATTATCGCGCTCTTGCGCATCGGACTGGGCCTGGAGATCGCGAGCCTGGGCTGCGAAACCATCGCCCACGCCGGGCAGTTTGCCCACCAAAGCGATGAAATCAGCTGGACTCTTGGAGCTGCTACCTCCGATGCCGAGAAAGCCCCTCGAGCCATCTCCGCCACCGCTTCGATTGATGCTGACACCCTTCTCAGCGTTCTTCAATGCGATATCGACTTCGTCAACTTCGGTCTGGGTGAAGGTATCGGTAGCTTCACCTATGACACTGTGAATGAAGTCCACAGCGCCAAACTGGCCATGTCAGATCTTGTCTTTGAAGAGGGATCTAAACCTACCGTGCCGGTGACGAGCGGGTATATTCTCTTTCCATGGATCTTCACCTCAGTCTGCGTTCCGCAATGGGGGAAGACGTTGTGGTAACCGAGCTCTCGTAGGGCCAGCTCGGTGTAGTTGCTGTGAGCACTGAAATCCTCGAGACAATGCAAAGCCTGGCCCAGGCAGCGAAGAGCTTCATTCAGGTCGTCCTCATTACCCTTGCGGTCTGAGCCGCTGGTGTACAACCTGCCAAAGTGAATGCATCGTGCAAAGCTGTACCGGATATAGCCAGCGCTCGTGGGCCAGTTTCCACTCTCGTTGCAAATATAATTCTTCATGCCGGTCTTCATGTCAATTTCAGTTTCCACTGGCATGACAGGTCCCCGTAGGCGTTGATCGAACTTGCGAGCATCCAGGCCATCTGCGTAGCCAAGGGGGTTGTCAATGTGCTCTTCAGCACGGTAAACGCCAAGTCTTTCGCTGGTCACCTCGAATTCTTCTGTAGCATATCCAAAGGCCATAAAGGAGAGAACCCAGACAAGGATGCGGAGAGTCTCGGCGTTTACACTCTTCAGCGTGCCAACGTCCAGCGCTTGGGAGTAGTCGCGCAAGAAGTTGCCAAAGTAGACGCGCTTGATTGCCAAAGATGACCACTTCTTCCCATGAAGGAAGGCAATTGTAGCCAATGTATCCTCAATGTCTTTCGGGAATCAGTAAAGACCTGTTGAAAGACACGAACCACACTCACCTCCATGTCTCCAGTTGTGTCCTTCAACCTAGCAGCAAGTCAATATCCAGCCCCGGTGAATCACCCCGACGAGCTTACTTGTGCAATAGAAGGAATGTTGCCTGCTCCGAAAGCTGCAGCCTTCCCAGGGAGTATAATTAAGCAAATGGCGATGGCCAAAAGCAGGCCGGAGCCTCGTGACCAGCCCAGTGATGCCATCTCAAAAAGTAGTCGTTAGGGTAGATCGCAGATATTGATGGTTTGATGGCGGGGTCGAAGGTGTTAGACAACCCAGTAAGTTCACAGGAACCGCCCGTTCAGACTTGTAGAGAAAGTTGAACGATGGTAAAGCTGAAGGTAGCGACAGAGGTATGCTTAATATATGCTTGAGTGGGAAATGGAGAGAGCCTGGGGTCTAAAGTAACACTCATGCAGTGCTCTGAGTGACGCAGTTAATATCCTGGATCAGCTGGTGATGATGCCCACGCCGCTAAGCCTTTCAGGGTCGAGGAACGCGACGCGGCAAGAACCAAGCCCCTGGCTGCGCCTGCGCCACCATGTTGCGCCACGACGGCGCTGCAAGAGATCGCCTAATTAATCTGCATGTGAATTTGGGAAGGGTCTTGGTGCCAGTTTGGATTCACGTTACAACCAACGACGTGCTCTGGTATTCGAAAGACTGATATTACACTACTCCATTAGATGCCCTGGCTAGTTGCGCCTGATATGATTAGAGTTTAAGGCTTAATCATCGCTTTTTGTTAAGGTAAGGTACCTAACGCAAGTACCTCATTGTAGCCGTAGCCTGTAGGTGGTCGCTGCTGTGTAATAGCGCCGGTTAATGCCAGAGCGCAACCCGATGACGGCCAAAGGGTAATGTTGAATACCAGGTACCTTGACCAGCGGTCAGCCAGCCATATTTGACGCATGTCTTCGACCATGTCATGTTCGGGTGATTAAAACAAAGTATCACCTTGTTTTGCCGGAAAGTGGTGCCACAGGGGCCATCGGCATCCGATTGAACCCCTGTCTTGGCCTCCAACAGCCCAGACGGGAATCACTCCACCTCTTAAATTCCCAAAATTTCCCACCTTCTCCTGATCGCATTGTCGATTGCGGTTTGATTTCATCGCGGTTTCGTCCCTACATCATCCAGTTACACCTCTCCCTAGTACCTTGCGTTCACTCTCTCAACCTGATTCACGCAGTGCAATCGATCAGCCGCCCTCACCAACGCGTTCCCTCGCTCGACCTGACAAGCTCTCCGTCCGCTGCATCCGAATCGCATCGTCCGCGACGACCCCCTTCGCCACCATGCCTGGCCGAACACTTCCCACCTTTACGCGCAGCGAGGTCGAGTCGCACAACACCGAGAAATCATGCTATGTGACCATCAAGACAAAGGTGTTCGATGTGACCGATTTCCTCAACGACCATCCAGGTGGCGGCGACTTGATCATGGACTATGCGGGCAAGGACATTGAAGAGATTCTCCAGGACGGCGATTCGCACTCCCATTCCGAGGCCGCCTATGAAATCCTCGACGACTCGCTCGTAGGATACGTCTTGCCCGAGAAGGCCGTGTCCGCGTCGACCCAGAAAGAGTCGCTGCAGAATGGCACCGTTGAAGGAGCCACCGAGACCAGCACGTTCGTCCACCCACGGACCGGAATGTCTCGCGAAGAGGACCTGAGTAAGGATACGGACGCTTCGTCAGACTACAAGAAGCACAAGTTCCTGGACCTGGAACGGCCGCTTCTGTTGCAGCTTTGGAACGGCGGCTTCAGCAAGGAATTCTACCTGGATCAAGTCCACCGCCCTCGCCACTACAAAGGCGGCAAGTCAGCACCTCTGTTCGGAAACTTCCTGGAACCCTTATCCTTGACACCATGGTGGGTCGTGCCCAGTATCTGGGTGCCGGCCGTCATCTATGTCACGTCTATCGCGAGCCAGGGACTCGGTCCTCTAGCAACTGCCGGTTATTGGGTATTTGGGGTGTGCTTCTGGACCTTGATAGAATACGCCATGCACCGCTTCCTCTTCCACATTGACGGGTAAGTTATGCAGCTTTGTTCCGATGAGCATCTCGACTAACCTAGCACAGATATCTCCCTGACAACCGTGTCGGTATCACCCTGCACTTCCTGCTCCATGGCATCCACCACTACCTGCCCATGGACAAGTACCGCCTAGTCATGCCGCCGACCCTCTTTGTCGCCCTCGCCGCGCCGTTCTGGAAGTTTGCGCAATCCGTCATCTTCTGGAACTGGTACGGCGCTACCGCTGCCTACGCTGGTGGCGTCTTTGGTTATGTTCTCTACGACATGACTCACTACTTCCTGCACCACGAGAACCTTCCTCTATGGTACAAGCAGCTCAAGAAGTACCATCTCCAGCACCACTTCCTTGACTACGAGCTAGGCTTTGGTGTCACCAGCAAGTTTTGGGACGACATCTTTGGCACCACGCTCCGCCCTGTCGTTAAGACCAACTAGGCACCAAGGTCCTGCAGATTTCGCCCACGTGTAGTACATGAGACATGCATCGAATGATCTAGTTTGAGGTTAGACTGAACGAGGTTACAAGGGTTTGGCATGGTTCAGCATTAATGAAGGCTTTGTTAGGAGCCTGCTACGCATACATATATATTCACGTTGTAATAAGAAGCCGCGGGCGGCAGTGACCTCCCCGGCCATACCGGGTGGGCTTCATGGTTGTAATTTAATCCTAAACAACTACTTTTATATCCAGACTTGTTCGAGCGACTGGGAAAGTTGATGATTCCACATGCAGTCTAGGTGTCATCTGGAGCTTACAGTACTAGCCAATAACCCATGCCTCCCATGGGCGCTGCGCTCCAATGATCACGTGACATGACTCGGTCTAAAAGTTCTCGCCCCGCCCCACTGAACCCATCTCAACCAACCCGACTCGTCCCCAAGCCTCATCTTGAATCCACTCGACATCTCCGCGACTGCAGTTCACATCGGAACCATTGAGATCATCTGGCTTAATACATTGACTTGATCACAGATCATCATGAGCGGCCTCGACGTGGAGGCGCTTCTCGACGCCACAGCAAAGTCACCAGAACAAAAGAACCCCAACAACACCACGGGCGATCTCATCAGAGACGCGCCCGATCGACGCGACCGCGACCACGACAGAGACCGCCTTCGTCACCGCGACGGAAGCCGGACCCGCGAGAGGGATCCTCGCCGTCGGGATCGCCTGAGCCCGCACCGCAGCCGTCGCGGTACCCCTGACGTTGGCACGCCGCGAAGTGATACAGGCAGCCACAAGAGTAGGCGCAGAAGTCGCAGCCGTGACGACGATCGCCATCGCTCACGACGGAGTAGAGACGGTGATTACTATCGTAGTGGCCGAGACCGTGATCGCTCGCGGTCCCGCTCGCCCCATGGCCGTTACAGACCCCGCGACGACCGTGACCGAAGAGACAGACGTGACAGAGGCTCTGATCGCAACGAGAACGGCCGAGCGCGCGACGCTGAGAAGCGTGAGCCTAGGGAGGATGATCCCGTACAGCCCACAGAAGACGAGCGTGATCGGAGGACCGTCTTCGTCCAGCAGCTGGCCGCTCGCTTGCGTACCCGCGAGCTGAAGGAGTTTTTCGAAAAGGTTGGCCCTGTCAACGAGGCGCAGATCGTCAAGGATCGGATCAGTCAGCGATCAAAAGGGTGAGTTCTCTGCGTCGCCCAGCATGGAGAGAAATGCTAACGTTCAAAAGTGTGGGTTATGTTGAGTTCAAGAACGAAGAATCTGTCGCACAGGCTCTGCAGCTCACCGGTCAGAAGCTTCTAGGAATCCCTGTCATCGTTCAGGTTACCGAAGCAGAGAAGAACCGCCAGGCCCGCAACACGGAGAGCGGAGGGCATCCGAACTCGATCCCATTCCATCGGCTTTATGTGGGCAACATTCACTTTAATGTCACCGAGCAGGACCTACAAGCAGTCTTTGAGCCTTTTGGTGAGCTTGAATTCGTCCAGCTCCAGAAGGACGAGACAGGCCGAAGCCGTGGGTATGGTTTTGTACAGTAAGTACCGACGTTGTTTGGATGGAGACTCCATTGCTAACCACACCAGGTTCCGTGACGCCGTTCAGGCCCGGGAGGCACTCGAGAAGATGAACGGCTTTGATCTGGCTGGACGTCCTATCCGCGTTGGTCTTGGAAATGATAAGTTCACCCCTGAAAGTACTGCCAACCTCTTGCAGAAGTTCTCTGGCCGCGATCAGAGCGGTGGTGGCGGCGGCGGCGGCAACGGAAACTACCAGGGCTCGGCCTTTTCAGGCTCTGGCGGTCGTGGGGGCCAAAGTGCTGCCTTCGACCGTGCAGGTGGGCGCGAAAACGAGAAGACCGGCGGCGCAAGCGCCTTGGACGATACAGATGTCGCCGGTGTTAACTTTAGCAACTACAGCCGAGACGCGCTGATGCGTAAGCTTGCCAGGACTGACGAGGCTGGCAGCAAGGGCAACGATGAGCGCCAGACTGTGAAGCCAAAGGTCGAGACGAAGCAGTTGCCCGTCAACGTCAACACGGCGAGCCGTTGTGTTGTACTTCACAACATGTTTGACCCCAATGAGTACGTCTGCTCCCTTCACGCACATTGACCAGGTATGCTAACGTCACTAGGGAAGAGGGCGACAGCTGGGTCAAGGAGCTGGAAGATGAAGTGCGCGACGAGGCCGAGAATCGGTACGGTCATGTTGTGCACATTTCGGTCGACCCCAACTCTCGGGGAGACATCTACCTCAAGTTCGACAAGGTCCAGGGCGGTGAAAATGCCATCAAAGGTCTCAACGGCAGATACTTTGGCGGGCGTATGATCGACGCTTCCCCTGTTGTGGATGCTGTCTACAGCAGTCTGTTCTCTCGTTCTCGAGCATTTTGAGCTAATGTTGCTGGCCGATCACCGTCAGATCGTAGGACTCTTGCTCAAGGTTAGCAAGTTTGGTCCGCTGGCAACATGACACGGCTAAGAATTGCGACAGACTTTCGACCTCCCCATTCGACAAGACAGTCACCGGGACGCACCCACTATTTGCAAAGCACCGCCTCGAACTTGCAAGCAGAAGGTATCCAGATGTTCGCTCACAGCTGCACTCGCGCCAGAAAGGGGGCCCATGTTTATCGGAGGAATCAACTCACAGGTTACGCCCGTACTGCTACTGTCGCCTACTACTGATACGCACACATTAGGATGCTTCACGACTTGCCGATGGGGCAAATGCTTATACGTCAATAGTTGTTTCCGCCCGAGAGTGGCGCTCCTGTTCTAGTAATACTCCAATTAGTCAAACTTCTCTCCAAGTGATGCCCTGTAAAGTGTGTTTTAAGATGCTTTCCCATTCAGGTGCGTATACCACCAACCATCAGGCATACTCACATCACGACGCAGCTGCGTGAGCCGATGGGCCTGCATCGGTCGGGCGATGGTACTACACTGAGTTCCCCGAGTCTTGTTGATGTGATCATGACGGTCGGTGAATCGTCAGTGCTGCTTCACCGGACCCTTGCTCGTCTGGTCTGACGTCCGCGTTTGCGTCGGCTCAGGTCAACGTCACCACCAAGGCAGCACTCTCATCATCCTACCATCCTTTGGATCTTGTTCATCTTTACGGCGAACAGGATCTGCAACATCTGCAATACTCTGCTGGCACCCGCACCTGCCATCATCCCTGCGGCGTTAACCCCTGACGCTGCTTTCCCCAACTTTGTGCCTCTAGCTTCAGTTGCCTCGACGCCGAGGAGCAACAAGGCGTCTTCGATCCGGTCTTTCGGGTCTTCCCAAGGCGCTGACGGCTGCCAACCTCGACCTCCTGTCAGAGAGCCTCGACACGGCGCGTGGTCGCGTCCTGTGTAACACGAGAAGTTGTTCACACCGCTCACTAAGTAGCCAAAGGGTGAGTTCACAATATCTTGTGACCCATATGATCTTTTGTATCTTCATTCTATGAGCGTTTTCGAATTAGGTACTGTTTCATCTGGTAAGTCTGCTCTTGTTTCTGGTGGAGTTTGCCTCTTTGATCTGGACCCTCATGCTTGCAACCTCAACCTCAGCTCAGGCCCTGTCGTTCTCTCGCACTTGAGCTGTTAAAATCTCTTATTATCTCTCTCTCTCCCTCCCTCTTCTTTCTCTCCTTCTTCACCTCTTTCTGTGATCTTGTGGCACTCTTTTCCGCACGAACAACGTTCCTTACTCGTCACTGGCGACCGAACATCTCCAGCATCATCTTTCTCACCTGGCCACTGAGATATTCATAATTAACCATTTCTGTCTAGTATTCGAGGAATACTCCGCGGAGGCGGTCGTGAGCAAGAGAAGGTGGTGGTCTTGGGTTCTTCAGTTTGGGGCTGTTTTTGGTTCAAGTGAGTTTATCGCCTCGTCTCCTACTCATTCACTCTGCCGCCCCTTGCTTTCGGGCAGGTGACCTGTGAGGCGCACTGCCATTTCCTCAGCATGGGGATTGAATGATGTGGCAGAGATATCAGAGTTATGTACTGACTGAATCAGCGGGTTCATCATCGCGCGCACATCAAGCAACGGGGAGCTCTCCACCAAAGGTTCTCTTCTATCGCATCGCATCCCTGGAGAACCAGCTTCACATTTTCGAATGGCCGGCATGCCAGCTAGCGGCATCAGTGACGCGACGGGCTTCACACACAATCTGACCCAGGCTATGCTTGCCGAGCATGAGCATGGGAAGCGGCAAGAGAACGATAATGAAAGCGAGAAGGAAACCTACAGCAGCGCCGTGTGTTCGGTCGACTTTCACGCCCCGCTGTCCCAGGAGGCGCGCAACGAAAAGGTCAAACAGATATGCAAGAAGCATGTGAGTATTCCTCCTTGTGTGGGCATGGCTTGTCTCGGAACGTTCGACTAACCCAAGGCCACCTAGCCTGCATTGGTCCAAACTCGACGTGCCCAAGGTCTGCTGTCCGACTTGCAGACCACGATCCGTCGAATGCCTGGCGTCTCTGCCGTCGAGGGAAAGCAAATTATTGACCACCTGCGGGAGGTGTCGCAGATAACAAGTCAAGAGACGAGCAAGCTCGTCGACGCCATTGCTCATTTGACGATCGACAGTGACGATACCGATAGGTCGATCGCTCGCATGAGCTTGGATCATAACCTCGTAAAGGCCACGTCCGAAGACACGATACAAAAGTTGAAGCAGGAGCTGGCATCGGAGCGAGACAAGCGCACTGCCGCAGAAAATGTGGCCAGGGAGGTCTCTCAAGATATGGAGACGCTCAAAGGCGAGTTTGAAGAGTTCCGCGTTCGGGTCGAGAATGGCCTCGGGGGGTCGCCAGATACCCAAAATGCCATAGTCAAGGTGGGTGATGGATTGCATTGCGCGTGTCGACAGGCTTCTTGCTAACCATCGTTAGCATCTGGAAGGGATCATATGTCACCTCGAAGGCCAGGTCAACAATCGTCGTTCTCTTTGGGTCATGAAGCACGACGACCCGCGCCACATCTCCAAGGCGATTGGGACTATGGCCGACTCGCTGCCCAAAAAGCCTGCGTTTGAGCGCAGCTTGTCGTCGCTGCGTCTGGCTGGTGCGGAGATGAATGGTATGGCGCAGAAGCTGACGTTCTCACCGAGCGATGAGCGCTCTCCTCAGGGAGACCTGGGTCGTCCGCTTCAGAGTGACTTCCCACAACTGCCACCACGGTTCCCCGTCGGCTTTCCATCGCAGTCTAGAGAAGGCGACCCGGGCAGTTCTCAGATGGCTATGCACAGAGCCCCTTTCACACCCGCGAGCAGCGGACCTGGCCGGAACCCTCCGTCTCGCCCCGGCAGTCGCTTCCAGACATGGGATCACGGCCCTCACACCGACACGCAGCACTCTCGCAGTGGCGCCATGGCCCAAAGCATGACTTCCCCCTGTCATAATCGCAACATGGCCCTGACTCCCTCTCGGCGTGGCTTTGGAGCGTATCGCGGCGTTCCCACGCCACAACCCGACTTCCAAGGTGCACAGCAGCAGTTCCAGTTAGCTGGCCCCTTTGTACCGCAGCATCGCCCAAAGACCTCCCTGGGCAATCATTCGCACGCCAATGGCCACGGTTTGGCACGAGGAGACTATAGCTCCCAGACTGTTGGTCGCAACCGCTACTCCAACACCAACACGCCGCGGCTACAGGACCTCTTCGATCCCTCCACACCTCCTCCGGCCGGGCCGAGCTCTGCCCTCATCCCTCGCAATGCGTCGGTCTGCAGTATGCCCCTGGTGCATCTGACCGAGCGGTCTGTATCTGCCTGGGCAACACAGATTGGCGAGTTCTATTCTGTCATCCGCGACTTTGTCGAGAACCACGCTGGTGAGGCTATGCCCCGTAGCGAGCATGAGAAGATCTGGCGTTCCAACATCTGGATGGTCCTGGTGCGCACGTACATGCCGCTCTCCGAAGCCGAAGCAGCGTCGTACCTGGCCGTCCATCTCACCCGCACCCAAGACAAGCGGTGTCTTGTCACCCGTGTGATCATTGACTACGTGGTCAACCTCGTCTGGATCCCGGGCGCTTGGAAGGGTGCTGACCGGGAATCGACGAGGGCGCTCATCGACCTGGAGCATGACCTGGCGCAGGTGGCTGGCTTGACGGCGGCGATCCGTCAACCCCTTCTGGACCGCCAGTCTGCCATCCTCGACGGCATCATGCAGACCAATGAACCGCGAGGCCCATTCTACACTGCGCGCACCGCGCACATTGCCACCTCCCTCTTGGAGTCCCTCCAGCCTTTGCTCGACACGAATCGCACGACCCCGTCTGCGGCGTACCAGGCACTTCACCGAGTAGCCGTCTGTGCCTGGGACTTGTCTTCCAAGATCCTCACCTCTCGACTCACGTTTGACTTTCGATTCCCCGAGATCGGCTCGCGGTTCAGCTGCCAGAGCATGCTGCCCATCTGGCCCACTGATATCGGTGCCATGGAATTACAGGCGAAGCACTGGAGGGTGGCGCTCGTGACTACGCCCGTGGTGACGTGTCGCAACGACACGGGGAGCAACATCTCGGCCCACTCTGTTTCGCTGGCTGATGTGATTTGCATGCAGTGATGCAGAGGCTGGGGCAGGTAGCCGTTCAGGTATCGATTGCCAAGCGGAGGAATAACAAAAAGCACTGGCGAGGGAGGTATCATTCATTTCGTACTTTACGACAGCACATATGCTGTACATGGTCCGGGTACTATCATCGGAAACTTCTGGGTCCGAAGAAAACAAGGTGGACAGCATTCGATTCTTCCGTTTTGCGTATTTGTTTTGGCGTCTCAAGAGTTGATATGAAACTTACTTACTTAGCTTGCCAACGACATGGGCAGAAGAGCACGGATAATTATCTCAAACAGCATTTAGAGAGAGAGAGAGAAAGGGAGGAAAAGTCACAGTCGGATCTTTGCGGATTAAAAGCATAATAGATGGAAATTCATCGCCATAGGGCTACTTAGTCCCTTTTACTTAAAATTCCGGTGACGGATGCCTCTAGAAGTCCAAAACGCCGCGCTGAAAACGATACAAACGGACCACCTACTGTCGATCTAGTCTCTTGACGACAGCACCGAGGACGACCTTGAGGATACCATCTGCCGTCAGGACCCCGGCCTCGGCAGACCACGTCGCCGTGTCCACCATGTCACGGATGCCCTCCTCCTTGCCAAGGTCGTCGTCCAGCTCCCTCAGCGCCTCTGTGGCGTGCGGGTCATTGCCCACCTGGAAGAACTGCACGCCCATCTGGTAGGGCGGCGCGTCGTACCTGTCGAGCTTCCTGGCGACCTGCTTGATGACCTCGCCCGGCTCATCGTGTGCCTCACCGTCGGTGATGACGATGATGTTGACGGGCTTGACGTCGTCAACGTCGGCGGCCTTTTCCAGCTCATCCAAGTATGGCTTCATGATCTTGCGGAGACGAATACCAGTAGGCGTGCCACCCCGTGGGCTGACCTCGTTGAAGATCTGCTCGGCCTTGCGGCCCGACGTGATGTTGTAGTAGCCGCCATCGCCCTGTCCAGGCCCGCCCTTGCGGCCCGAGTTGTGGTTCAGGAAGTAGAGATCAATGCCGTCCTTGTCACGCTGGGCACAAATGTCGGCGATGCTGGACAGCACGCTTCGTGCCTCCTTCCAGCGCGTGCCGGTCATGGACGACGAGTCGTCGACGAGGAAGACGGTGTCAAAGGTGGTCAGGAAGGCGAACTGGTCATTGTCGTTGGTGACGCTGGAATGTGATATGCGCGAGGCGCGACTAGCTTGGCTGGGCGTCGGCGAGGAGCTGCGTGGAGGAGGGTTGTTGACGGGAGGAGCTAGACCATGGGGGCTTGATGTGGCAACGTCGTACGCTGGAGGAGGCGCATCTACTGATGAGGAGTTAGCACTTTGTTGCCATCATATGACAGCGATCACGACTGACCACTGATGCTTGGTATGCCACTGGACGTGGGCATCTGCGCTCGACGCAAGTTGGCAGCGCCGCGAAAAGGGTTCTGTGCATTGGGTGCCGGCATGGTTGACGACGAGCTGGTAGACTTGGTGTTGATTTGGTCGGGTTGAGCGCCAGAGTTCTTTGAGAGCCTTTTTCTGAAAGACCCAATGATGCTGGACATTGTAATGTATGTTTCTTGGGTTGTTGCGGCGATCTGGGGGACTATGTGGTCCTTGGGGTGAGGTTTGTCGACTGCTGAATCAAGATATTCTCCTGGTCTCAGTGTTGAGAAAGTTGTGAGGTACTTGTATCAACTGGAAGGGCACTGTTGGTTCGACGAGGAAAGAGAGGATGGTTTGAATGTGCCTTGGCTTTGTGTTACAAGCAAGCAATAACTGCAAGGGTGACGTGTTGAATTATGCGCTACTTGCTCAAGGGTCTTTGTTCTCCAGCGAGGACATTCCTTTATACCCGGTACGTAGCAACTCTGTGCGACCATCGCCATCGTCTTGATTCCTCATGATGGAATTGCCAAGGGGCAGTGTTTCTGGGCGACGCCAATCTTGTGGACTGGAGGCGACTTGTGAAGTTCATGTGAGATACCTTAGCTGTGAAGACTGGAGCCCCCTAGCTTATGCTTAGGGGCATATTTGAGTTTAAAGGGGCACTGCCGTTCCCCAGTGACGCCTAGGCCAACTGTAGCTGCCTAGTGCCAGTGCTATAGTGAGGGGACGGGTGGGTCACGCACCACCCGGCGGTTCGGGATCAACTGGCACAGCCACCGAGGCCACCTCCAAGGCTGCAAGGCTCACAGGTGACAGAACACAACCTCAAGTCGCGCCAAGACTCAATCTAGTGACCAGATGCCTGGGGCCGCAACGAACGTCTCATCTACGTTGCCATTTCAGTTCTGCGTGGCTGCACTTTACGTCGAATATCAAACCAAGCTACCCTGAGGCTGGGTTGAGCACACGCCTCTGGGCGTCTGTGCTACGTCCATTGTAGAACAGGGCTGTAATATTAGGAGCCTTGCGAATTTCAATAAACTTCCATAAACATCGTAGCCCTAGCTGGACATTACATAACATTTGGTTTTCGCCGTTCGGTGAGCCCGATGGCTCGTTTTGCCGTCACGTTGAGGGTCGGGCCATTCCGGTTGCCAGCTTCATTGTAGGCGTCGAATCCTCACGATCGGGCTTCAATTTTCGCGGACCAGGGCCGGAACCTGACCGATAAAGTGGGCACTCGCTCCGGGTCGCGCGATTCATCAACGGGGAATCGGACCGGGTTTCTGGGGTCTCGCGGCATCAGGCTCGAAGCGACTGTGGTTTGGGGCCTTTGGGCTGCCATGATGCATCAGGGCTTGGATTGACGGGCTTCAAAATTGGCCATCGCTTAAGAGGGGCCTGGCTGTCTTTGCGTTTCAGACGTGTGAACTTGGCGGTGGCCGATGTGACACAGCTGTTGCACCATGATTGTCATGCTCAAGGCATGCTGGAATACCTAGTAGTTCAGCGGCAGCACAACTGGCCCCGAAGCCACGCAGCCAATTGCCGATTAAACTGCTAGCTAGGTGCATCAGGCACGAAGGTCGCCCCGAAATTGTGATGTGTACACAGCTATCCCAAAGTGTCCGTGCCGGATCCCGAGCGAGACGCTTCTCATGCCCATGGCCGTCATGTCGCCTGCCAGCTTGCTTGCTGCAGGCTGGAGGCGTGGAGAGATGTGAGGAGTCAATTAGTCGCCTTGGATCCTTTATAGTGCTCCAAGGACCCGCCCACCAGCACCTCGAGCTCCCCAGTCCAGTGTTGTGAAGTTGATCTCCAGCTTTTTTTTCTCCTGCCCTTCACCGCGTTTCCGCTTCCTGGTCGATTCCCGCGAAACCCTCCTTCTGCTTCCCCGAACGCGACATTCTCGCAGCAAGACGACAAGATGGCGTTCAGCGGTCGCAAGTTCTCCATCAACCGCCACACTGGCGTCCCCAAGCCCGTCGTGCGGCGCGGCAGCATAGGTGGCGGCGGCGAGCCAGGCGCAAACGGTGAGTCTACATGTACAGGATGGCCTCACTGCCTTGACGAGGTCAAACTCCCCTGCACCAGAAGTGGATGAAGGATGGATGGATAGACATACATTCCGAATCTCACCTTACCCAGCAAAGTCTACCTGTTCTGCGTCGACTTGACGTTGGCACCACGTCAACATCCTGGTGACCCCCTCCCCCACATTGTCTCGGACCCCTCCAATGTCACCTCCGTCACCCTTCGGTGTGATCGATCGCCAACAAATTGAAGTTTGAACCCTGTGAGCAGGATCCGCTGACCTTGCCAAGAACTCCAGTCAAAGGTTCATCGTCAATTCCGCAATGCCCACGAAGGTCACATGCCGCATGCAGGCCTCGACGCCTCGCGTTCCTCCACCGGTGTCGTCTGGTGCACGGAGCGCGCTTCCGAATATGGCTTCCTCGAAGACCCAGACAGCTGGGCGAACCTGGGCCAGGGTGCCCCCGAGGTCGAGGACGACATTGAGGGCTGCTTTGAGCGACCCAAGACCATCGACATCTCCGTTGCCGGCCGCGAGTATGGTCCCACCGCCGGTATTCGACCCCTGAGAGAGGCTGTCGCCAAACTCTACAACGAGACGCACAGAAAGGGGAAAGATTCCCAATATACCTGGGAGAATGTAGCCATCGTTCCTGGTGGCAGGGCCGGTCTGATCCGTATTGCCGCCGTCCTGGGCAATGCGTACCTGTCCTTCTTCTTGCCCGACTACACAGCTTACAACGAGATGTTGAGCTTGTTCAAGAACGTATGTCTCCTTCTGTAGAATGGGGCAACATACCAGTTGCTAAATATCTCCAGTTTGCCGCTATACCCGTGCCTCTATCAGAGGAGGATGGATACCACATCCACCCCGACAAGATCGCCGAGGAGATTGCCCGCGGTACCTCCGTCATCCTCACCTCGAACCCGCGCAATCCCACCGGTCGTGTCGTGGCCAACCCCGAGCTCGCGGAGATCCAGGACATTTGCCGTGGCCGTGCCACGTTCATCAGCGACGAGTTCTACTCTGGCTACAACTACACCAGCAACTGCGACGGCAGCACCATCTCGGCCGCGGAGAACGTACAGGATGTCGACGAGGATGACGTCCTCATCATCGATGGTCTGACCAAGCGCTTCCGCTTGCCGGGATGGCGTATCGCTTGGATCCTCGGCCCCAAGGAGTACATCTCTGCGTAAGTTCGAGCCCCTGCCGCCACCACTTCTCGAAGAACCTGAACTAACACTCCCACAGCATCGGCTCCTGCGGCTCTTACCTCGATGGCGGTGCCGCCCATCCCTTCCAAGAAGCCGCCGTGCCCATGCTGGACCCTACGCTCGTCCAGGCCGAGATGGTCCACCTCCAGCGTCACTTCCGCGACAAGCGCGACATGGTCGTCCGTCGTCTGCGCGAGATGGGCTTCGTCATCAAGTATGTCCCCGACTCGACCTTCTACCTGTGGCTCAACCTCGAGGGCCTCCCCGGCGCCATCTCCGACGGCCTGAACTTCTTCCAGGCCTGTCTGGAGGAGAAGGTCATTGTTGTGCCCGGCATCTTCTTTGACCTCAACCCCTCGCGTCGTAGGGATCTGTTCGACAGTCCCTGCCACCACTTTGTCCGCTTCTCGTATGGCCCGCGGATAGACGTGTTGAAGATGGGTCTCGACGCTATCGAGCGCGTCGTGAACAAGTAAGTTGCTTTCGCTCTTTTGATCAACTGCAGAGTTCCTTGTCTGACTGTTTACAGGTACCGCCGCTCGACCTAGACGCATGAATGTTTGCGATACAGAGAAAGGGAGGGGTCAGATTGCATACAGCTACACTGTAGTTAAATGAGGGAGTCATGACGAATTTGATGCATGTGCCTGGCTACTTATGCACTTAGCCAAGCTCGAACAGCTCATAGAGATGCCTACAGAGACGAGGGGAGAACAATATTTGACGCTGCATATAAACGCTCCGGAGCATGACTGGCATACGATGTAATCAGGTGTACTCCGTATGTGCGAAGTGGTTGCGGTCATGCTCGAGCGGTCCCACCAGTGCTCGCACCAGCCGGACTGACGCAACCCCAGTTGAGTGCAGGCATCACCAAAAGCCTCTAATAGGTTTGCGGAGACAATTACAACCCAATGATCGAATCGACCAACCTTAATCGCGTGCACCAACAAGAAATTAAGATCACGTCGGTAGGAAGCTTGTGTCGGACCGGCTCGCATCCCCTAGCCTGGAAAGACAAGGAAGGGTCATCTCAGCCGCCCTCAAATTTCATGCTCTTCATCAACAACTTGCAGGCTTCCATCCTTCTCGAATCAACCAGATCCATCTAGACTAGCCCAAACCAACCTGCACAAAACCTCACAGAGAAATCTTTCGGCAATTCAGCATCACTTTGCCCTCCTTCGCCGACGCCACCCGCGGTCTCACCATCCGAGAAGACAATCAACCATACAGATACATCCCACGCATTTCATCAGCAAGACCCCTAAGCACGCAATGCTCATCCCCCGCATCATCAGCCAATCGCCACGCCGGCTTCATGTCGTCCTTCAAACCCCACGTCTGTGGCCGCACTGCACGCCGCGGCGGCACGCTTCCAGCAGCAAGCCAGCGGATGATGCTCAGAGCGATGCCCACGGCCAGCAGGGCGAGACCCAAGGATTGCCTGCACCGGGCCAGGGTGTCACGCTGGACATGAGCGACGGGGACACAAGTGCCAAGCTGAGTCAGTTGGGACCTTTGGTCGTCAACAGAGATGGCACGACGGGACGGGTCTCGAATTGGGAGACGATGACTACACATGAGCAGGAGACTACGCTGCGGTTGCTCAAGATGCGGAACAAGGCCCGGCTCGACGAGCTCAAGGCCAAGAAGAACGAGGCGGCGGAATGACTGAAAGTGGTATCGATTTTAATTATATTGCAGCAGATTTGACAAGCGACAAAAACACCTTTCCATCTTCTTTTTATCAGCAGTGCCCTGGATCAGGAACAGCACGCCCTCGTCGCCTTCGTAGAGACATCACACGTTCGATCATTGTGCCTACAAGCACGTAGTATCCCCAGTCCCCGTCTTTATCATGCCAGTGTATCAGTTCCCAATAGGAAACCCGTGACTCCCCCGATAACGCCGTTCTTTCATCTACCTCCGACCTGTAGAGTAATCATGCAACGTGCAAGCGCCAAGTGTCAGAAGGGGACCCTTCACCGGCCTAACCTCCAATTCGCGTCCAGAACAAGGGCGGGGGACTAGCCGTCGGTGCCAGCAGTCTCGGGCTGACTCCTACGGCTGGCGTGCTTTGTGAACTCTTTCCAGAGAGCTGTGATGTCCTCGCTACCCTCATTCTTCTCCACAAGGAGGTTCTTGAGCCACTTGTTCTCGGTCTCGAGCTGCGATACGCGGCTCTCCAGACCGGCGACCTTTTCATTCATCTCCTTGGCAGACTTCTCGAGGGCCTGCTCGCGCTGCTTCTTCTTGATGCGGAAACGGGCGCTGGCGGCGGTGTTGCGCCTGCGCTTGTCCTCCTCGGCGGCTACACGAGACGCCTCCTCGAGGTTGGCAGGGTGGCTGGGAGTGCTAGTAGTAGAGGTGATCTCGGTGGCCTTCCTCTTGTCACCAGCGCGCACAGGAGCCGGCTGCTGGAGCTGAGACGGCTGTGTTGGGTGGGCCTGACCCGGGTAGGCTGGGCCATGGCTGGGTTGGACAGGCTGAAAGCTGTGGGTGTTCTCCGCTGGGGGGAAGGCACCCATGGCAGGAGCCTGATAGGCGTTGAAGTCGCCAAAGTTGAATTCCCCTGCCATGATATGTCAGTCGATGCTCGGGTCACGACAGGCGCCGGCAGCAAGCAAGCGGCAACAAGGTTGCATCACGCCATGCTGACAGTGAGATGAGGGGGGCGACCATCGTCAGATGAGTGACTGGTCGATGCCGTAGAGCAGCAAGGGGGAGGTTGTCCATGACAATCGACGCGTTGATCGCTGCACTTCCACTGTCACAGCGGAACAGGGCGATCAGTAGCAGATCACGGGATATTGCGCCATCGCCGGGATTTGTCACCGGCAGCGGCTCATCCTGACCCATCACCCCCACTGAGACCGCACTCGCGGCAGAGGGCACAGGATGCAACCAGACACCAAGATCTCTCGGATTTAACAGGAGGGAGTTGTTTCTTTGCCGCATAGGCTCGTGGGGGGTTCTTGCGGGGAAAACTGAGGGAACTGCAGTGACAATGACTTTCGGGGTGCTCGGGCCAGATGCTGAGTGAGCAGCGAGCATGTGAGAGCCCAACACAACCGTGAGATATCCAAGAAACGCAGCGACAGTATTGCAGCACAAAGGCAGAAGAGAATCACCCACCATTCATAAAGTCCATGTTTGAAATATCCCCCATAACCGAAGCCGGATCCTCTGCCGCAGCTGTCGCAGCAGGGTCCGGCTTGGCGGGCGGCGCCTGGAAGTCGGTGTTCTGACCAGAGTCTAGGTCAAAGAAATGTGTGTTGGTGAAGGTGAACAGTTCATCGTCCAGGTTGAAGCCCTCATCGCGAGGGGAGTTGTCCTGGGGACTGATAGCGTTCAGGTCTCGGATGTATTGGGACACGTTGGGTGCCTTGCGGCCGTGGTAGTTCGCCATTTCTGTCGTCGTCGTCGTCTGCTTTTTCTTGGGTCCAGGCATTTAAGGTGTACGGTGTCGCAACCTGGGCCGTTGATCGAGTCGGGTTGTGCCAATCCTGCTGATGCCAAGCGCAGTCTGCGAACGCGGCCGTGCAAGGGTTTGAACAAGCAGGTCGATGTGCGCGCTTAGAGTATCGTCGATTAAGAATGGTCCGTCGTGGTGGGAATGGAGTATCGTTTATCGTAATGTCGTCGCTGTGGGTGTGTATCCGACGATGGGTTGGTGATGGGGAGAGGTCAAGATCTTGGTGGCGGAAGGGTCCTCTGGGTTGATGAGCGAGTCTGTCCGGTTCTGTTTCGGTACGGGCACATGCGCTGGGCCTGCAGGTTGCGGCTTTTCTCTGTGACAGCCTGAGCCAGTGGGCCGGATGCGCCCCAACCATTGGATTGCCGTCAGCGCCGAAAACGCACAGTGTCACACGTACGGTGCCTTCAAATGTCTCAGAGGGGTCGTGCCCAGGCACTCTAGGTGCTCCAGACCCAGTGCGTAGCCTGTAGGTACGTACCTTGGACGCTTGCTTACTAAGAAGCACTCAGGCAGAGCAGGGGCCGCCAAAAAGGGCTGTGCGATTGAAAACGGTCATTGCTGTCGCGTTTTCACCTGTATTTTAGGGCTCGGCCATTATTGTATTGACAACAGTTGACATGTTGACTTTCTCCTGGGAACGCTTCTATTCTGCAATTTAGGCAGTTACGCACAAGCAGCAAGTCCGCAGCTCGGGCTCGTTTCGTTGCGACGCTGGTTGTGTGCATTGGTCAGCGACGAGACCAAGACAGCCGGATGCACCGAGGGTTGTTGTTGTTGCCGATTTCGTCAACCGCTTCAAGATCCAATTTGCTCAAAATACCCCGCCAACATGGATGCCTGTTGTGCGCCCCTCGGCCGCCGGGTTTCCAGAGTGGATGATTTCAAAGATGCCCCACGTCCATAATTCGCACTGTGATTCTACTGGCACCGTAATGCTAAGTATCTATGACGATACTCAAAATGGCATCGCTTTCCTCTTGATCATATCGTTTGCTCCGGCAGTGGTGATGAGTCGTGACGTGCCTCTGTTCTACGGATACTGACTACCTTATGCGCCGATATAGATCGATTCCTCTCGTTGGGATCTTTTCTACACCATATACGCACAGCTTCGACCGTAATTTGAAGACAACGCACCATACCACGAATAGGTAACAGTGGGGGGGGAACAACTGATGTTGTGATTTCTAAGCATCTTGACGTGCCTCAGTCCGCATGCCCCCTTTTGGCAACGAACGGAGCCCCTGGAATTGTCTGCTTCGTCAGCTCATGTCAGATGCAAGTCCATCTGCAGCTTGGGTGTTCAAAAGTCCGCTCAACAAGTCCGCCCGCGCAGACGTCCGGCCATGGATCGACTGTGGTGCTCCGCTACTTCTCTAGGAGATGCCACGAATGACATTCACATAACCTTCCCGGACGCTGTTCTTGAATCCAGCTCTAACAATCTTGGGGCGTGAACCGTCCGTTGCGTCCAAGGAATACGTACTGGTGGTCCCTGGGGCCTGGTCTGGTTACCCCGCGGTCTCCCATTGCAAAGTGAAATTAGCTACCCTAAGCCTAACGCGTCACAAAGACCAATTTAGACGCGTCGCTCGTGATGATGTGGTGAACCTTCCGGCCTTCTTCACAGCGGGACCGTCTGTTGTTTTCGGCGCACCCAGATGACACCGATTGCGTGACGCTGATCACTGTCTTCATCGCCATGCCACCCCGAATATCCGTGCCGATAAAAGCACGACTACCATCCACCCTTCGCGTCAACGCTTCTCACCCATCTGTGACCAAGTCTCTTGGGCGACTCTCACGCGAAGCTCTACTTTCCCTCGCCCTTGACTGGCTCGACGAATATGCCATCCAAAATGCGGTACCCTACTTGCTACCTGAGGGAGATGAGGAAGATGAGGATATGGACGATCTGTACCCGCCATGTCGGTCGGTGAGCGAACTGCGGCAACTCTACGTAAACATGCGCCAGCTCAAGGGATCGAAGAGAGATGTAGTCAGCAGGATCACGGAAGGCGACTGGAGGCATGGACTGACATTGTTCCAACTTGCCATGGCAGATTTTGCGTATTTGGACGAGCATCAGACATCCCAGCGATGGTCTTCGTATCAGATCCTGCCTTTACAGCCGCCTACACGGAGCACCGAGGAAGAGGACGAGGAAGTCCTTAAAGTCGACAAAGAAAGCCTCAGGGTGCCGCGCTTTCACCCTGCGACGTTTCTACAGCAACTTCAGGATCAGATCCTGCCAGACGTCAAGGCACATTACCATTTTCATCGAACGGCAAACTTACCTGTGCTACTGCTGCGGATCTTTGTTGTGCATTCTGGGGTCAATGACAGCAACGCCCTCCATACAAAGAGCTCTGGTCAAGAAGAAGCAAGCTTTGATGGCTCGAAAACGGTCTATCTTGCATTTCCAGATGGGGCACCGGCCATATACGTCTCCAGGCCCACGGCCACTGGAGGCACTGTACCCGGAGATTCGAAAAGCTTGCAAACACTGATTGTCGAGGGTGTGCCCAAAGCTCTATCCCGGGCGAGGGAGAGATATACCCTCAAATCAACAAATCTGCAGAGTCGGAACTTGTGGGCTCTGCTGGACAAGAGGGGTTCGGGGCGGACAAATGCCGCGGGCGGAGGCTGGAGTATCTACGTGAACGAGAAAGAGCAGAAAACCCCACTCGACTCTGCTTTGACATTGCCACCACCCTCGAAAGACGATTCAAAGGGGCGCAAGAGAGAATGGCCGATGAGCCAGGCTCAGCAAGAAGAGAAACGGGCCAAGGTTATTGCCGAGGCGAGGTTTGGGGACTCGAGTACAATGGATGATGGTAGAGGCGTGGAACGAGTCGAAGTTGTTCTTCAGGACCCCTTCCCACAGCAAGACCTCACTGGCGACTTGGAAGAGGACGTTGATGGCGGATCAGGAGACAATCCTAGGCGACGAAGCAAAGTTGATACGGTACTGCTGCAGGCGCAGAGTACACTTGACGATGAGGCGGCTGACACCACAACATCTTCAACATGGACACCGCCCGTCAAGATCGCGTTCACTGGTTCTCACGTGTTCGCTGGTATCAGACAACTCGTGGAAGCTGGTATGGTCGACGGCGAGAGAATGCCCGGCTGGATGACGGGGGAGGAAGGTGTGACGATGGGCGTTGTGAGGCACGGGCGGATACGAGGATTCAAAGGCTCTGGTTTATGACACCGCCCAGGTCTACGTATGTATGCTTCTATGATACCCATGTCTTTCATGCTGTTGCTGGCCATCAAGGCGATTCTAATACATCGAACAATTTGACTGTATTCCTCCAAGCGGCCTCGCATACGTCCTCCACGGGTACATCTTTGATCCCCGCGACGATCTTGGCAACGCGCTCAATGTTGCATGGCTCATTCCGGCCTTTGACCATGGCGCCCTCTTCCCACTTCTCTTTCTTGACCGTCTTGAAGCGCTCGAAGATTTCCGATTCCTTCTTTTGGTTCTTCTTGGACTTTTGCTGCTGTTGCTTCTCCGGCGCGGGCCCCGACCCGTTCTCGACCGGCTCCTTCTTCTCGATGAGATATTTGTACCCCTCATGACTTGGCCGAACCTCACACCATGGGCCGTCTGTCTCCAGCATGAGGCGGTCGAGATGGACCTCGCTCACGACGTCACAGTTCTCCTTGGTTTTGAAGCTGCATCCGTTAATGCCAATGTAAAGGCCCAGGTCCATCAGCTCGCGCATTTCCTCGGCCGTGCCAGTGAAGGAGTGAACCACGCCACCCTTTTCCAGTTTCTCAAGCTTGGGGCCAAAGGCCTCCTTCAACAGCCGGACAAAGTCCTCGTGTGCGGCACGCGAGTGCAAAAACAGGGGCAGCTGGGGTTCCAACGACGCGGCAACTTTGAGCTGTGCCGCAAAGGAGTGCAGTTGCACCGTACGAGAGCAGTAATGCAGCCGATCATAGTCAAGGCCGAATTCGCCAAATGCCACGAGGTGTTGCTTTCCCTCACTTCGTGCCTCGGCGAGCAGGGTAGTCAGGTCAGCAATGATGTTGGCAGACTTCTCCGGACATGGCTGTTCGTCTTCCGGCACAGGTGCGTTAGGGTCTGGATCACAAGGAGTGGAATGCTCAGAGGTGGCATTGGCGTGAGGCTGCTTTGAGGAGAAGATTGAAGAGCTGCATGGGTGAATCCCTGCGGTGGCATACACCGTGCCAGCTGTTTCACGGTCAGTTCCAAGTAACTCCAAAGCGCGAGCTGCGACGTACGGAACTCCTCTGCTAATTTGAGCGCATCACGGCAGCTCTTGAAGTCTGATCCTGTGACCAGGAGTTTCACGCAGCCCACTTGTTTTGCGCGGTCGATGACGCCTGCCAGGTCATCGGGGTGTCGTTGCTTGCCGTGCTGCTTGCCCCGGAAGATGGGATCTGCCAGGTTGATTCCAATCTACTGGAGGCAGTGATCAGCCCAAGTTGCAACGAACATGAATCTTTGGCGTGGCACTAACATCGATGTACTGAGGGCTGTAGGTTGCCCCTACAGGCTTGACATCAGGCGTTTGTGAACCCATACGGACGGACTGCGACAGCCGTGAAAATGGAAGGCGTTGACTGACGGATCCCAGCGCAATTCGAGGAGCTGTTCTTGCGAGCATTCGTATTTAAAAAGTTATCACAAGTAGGCCAGTTTATGTCAAAGGGTAAGGTATCAAGCATTCGACTCGCTGGATGTTAGATTTCCATTGGATGGTCAAAATGAGCCAAGGCACTGCCACTAGCATGGAAGCGGATTAGTGTCCTCAGGCGAAGGTACAATTAATCAGCGTCACGTGAATGCGCGACTATGTCATCGTCTATTTGCCCCGCCAAGGCCCGCCTGTATCTGTCACTTGCAAGGGTTGACGCGCTACTGAATTGTGAGAACTTGAACGTTCTGCTTCAGGGAAACGCATGAATATTGTAACAAAACAAGTGAATTGACGTGATTCATACCCCAGAGATATCTGATCGTGCTGATTTGAGTGAGTCATGGCCAGCCCATAGCTCAACTCGGAATCCGAGTGAGGGTTGCCGAGGGGCAGCTGGGTTGCCCTCGCCAGGCTGGTAATTAAATGGGTTGCAGGGCAGCCAGGGCAGTGGACCGTGCATTGATCGAATGTTTGTCGCGCTAAAGAATTGGCGTTCTCGCGTCTGCCACGCGTGCCTTGCATAAAGTACTTCCATCCACCATCGTCCAGGCACGGTTTTCCTCCCTCTCCATCAACAACTCTCACCACGAAACTGTATACTCCCTCTCTGGACTCTAGCATTCACCTGCTACGCCGTTGCCTTCTTACTCTATACCCTGCCACTTTGTGTCTACGGCCAAGTTCATTTCGCTACCACTCAAGCAAAACTTGCAGTCGCCTCGTTGGCGCCTCACACACATCGCGGCCATGTTCGTCAGGAAGCGCGGTATGTACATTTGTTCATCGATAGGATTTGCAGAAAGCTGACAGGAACACAGATGGACGCCAGGAGCGTGTGCAGTTCGACAAGATCACTGCCCGTGTGTCAAGGCTTTGTTATGGCCTCGACACTGAGCACGTTGATCCCGTTGCCATCACCCAGAAAGTCATCTCCGGTGTCTACGGTGGTGTGACCACCATCCAGCTCGACGATCTTGTAGGCGACTTCGCACGTCAATTGGTCATACATGGTATCTAATGTTTATTAGGCTGCCGAAACCGCGGCGTACATGACTGTCACCCACCCCGACTACGCCATCCTCGCGGCTCGCATCGCCGTGTCCAACCTTCACAAGCAGACAAAGAAGCAATGGTCTGCGGTTGTCGCTGATCTCTACCACTACGTCAACCCCAAGAACGATACGCCTTCGCCCATGATCTCGAAAGAAACATACGACTGCGTCATGCGTCACCGTGAGGAACTCGACTCCGCCATCGTCTACGACCGTGATTTCAACTACCAGTACTTTGGCTTCAAAACTCTCGAGCGTTCATACCTCCTCAAACTCAACGGCAAGATCGTTGAGCGGCCCCAGCACATGATCATGCGCGTGGCCGTCGGCATCTGGGGTGACAACATTGAGCGTGTCATCGAGACATACAATCTCATGTCCAACAAATCATTCACCCACGCATCTCCTACCCTCTTCAATGCCGGCACTCCTCAAGCACAACTGTCGTCCTGCTTCCTTGTTGATATCAAGGACGACAGCATTGACGGTATCTACGACACCCTCAAGACTTGTGCCATGATCTCCAAGACTGCCGGTGGTATTGGTCTGAATGTCCACCGCATTCGTGCTACTGGCTCCTACATTGCTGGTACCAACGGAACCTCAAACGGCATCGTTCCCATGCTCCGCGTCTTCAACAACACCGCCCGCTACGTCGACCAGGGCGGGAACAAGCGCCCTGGTGCCTTCGCCATCTACCTGGAGCCGTGGCACGCCGATGTTTTTGAGTTCCTCGATCTCCGCAAGAACCATGGCAAAGAGGAGATCCGTGCCCGCGATCTCTTCTTGGCCCTCTGGATCCCCGATCTCTTCATGAAGCGTGTTGAAAAGAACGGCGACTGGACCCTCATGTGCCCCAATGAGTGCCCAGGCCTGGCTGATTGCTACGGTGATGAGTTTGAGGCTCTGTACGAGAAGTATGAGCGGGAGGGCAAGGGTCGCAAGACCATGCGTGCCCAGAAGCTCTGGTACTCCATCCTCGAGGCCCAGACTGAGACTGGCAACCCCTTCATGCTCTACAAGGATGCTTGCAACCGCAAGAGCAACCAAAAGAACTTGGGTACCATCCGCAGCTCAAACCTCTGCACCGAGATTGTCGAATACTCTGCACCTGATGAGGTTGCCGTCTGCAACTTGGCCTCACTGGCCTTACCTGCGTTCGTCGATTACAATGAGGGCTGCTACGACTTCAACAAGCTGCACGAGACCACGCGTGTGGTCGTCCGCAATTTGAACAAGATCATCGATGTCAACTACTACCCCGTCATCGAGGCCCGCAACAGCAACATGCGTCACCGTCCCATTGGTCTCGGTGTTCAGGGCCTGGCTGATGCTTTCCTTGCTCTGCGCATGCCTTTCGAGTCTCCGGAGGCCCGCCAGCTCAACAAGCAGATCTTCGAGACCATCTACCACGCTGCCGTGACCGAGTCTGTAGAGCTCGCTAAAGAGCAAGGTCCCTACCCTACCTTCAAGGGCTCTCCTGCCTCGGAGGGTATCCTCCAGTTCGACATGTGGAATGTCACGCCCTCTGACCTCTGGGAGTGGGACTCCCTCAAGGAGCAGGTCAAGGAGCATGGCGTGCGCAACTCCCTTCTCGTTGCCCCCATGCCAACCGCCAGTACCTCCCAGATCCTGGGCAACAACGAGTGCTTTGAGCCGTACACTTCCAACATTTACTCACGCCGTGTCCTGGCTGGCGAGTTCCAGGTTGTGAACCCCTGGCTGTTGAAGGATCTCGTCGACATGGGTCTCTGGTCTGATGCCATGAAGAACCGCATCATCGCCGACAACGGTTCTATCCAGAACATCCCCAACATCCCCGATGATATCAAGCAGCTCTACAAGACCGTTTGGGAAATCTCCCAGCGCACTGTCGTCCAGATGGCCGCCGACCGTGGTGCCTTCATCGATCAGTCGCAGTCGCTCAACATTCACATGAAGGATCCCACCATGGGCAAGATCACCAGCATGCATTTTGCAGGATGGAAACTCGGTCTCAAGACTGGCATGTACTATCTGCGTACGCAGGCTGCCGCTGCACCTATTCAGTTCACCGTTGATCAGGCGGCACTGAAGGTGGACGACACCAACGTCGCCCGGGACCGTCCCATGAAGAAGCGTGCCCCTCCCTCTGGGTCTAGCTACATGTCCTCGGTGTCAGCTGTTCCTCGTGCCAGCATTTCCAAGGAAGGCTCCGCCAACGGCTTGACCGCTTCAAATGGGATCCCTACGCCCAGCACAACGCCGCCGCCTGCTCTGGGTGCCGCCACCACATCGCGTGTTGCCGCGTCGCCCAACAAGTCTGCTGCTATGAAGGCAGACGTTGCTGAGGGTGACAGCCCACGCGCGCTGCCCACCGAGCCTGCCGAGAAGGTTGAGGATGAGGAGCTGCGAGACCCCCCAGCAAAGAGCAACCAAGACGAGGATAAGACCGGCGACAACGAGGACCGCGAGCGAGATATCTACTCTGACGCCGTTCTAGCGTGTAAGTTTCAAAGACTATCAATCTCAAGATGAGTACTAACATCGCGACAGGTAGCATTGAAAACCCTGAGTCCTGCGTGATGTGCAGTGGCTGAAGCAGTCGCCGTTCAGCTGTTTTCATATTGGCTACTGCATATGTAATGGATGATGAGATGTGAACGACGGGATGGCAACTGAACTTTTGTTAGGAAGGGCAAACCGAAGCGAAATTGCTCTTTGTATTTCTTATGTACGTGATTTCGACATGATACCGATCGAGCGCAGTTAGCACAGGTCAACTGTACAGGATCATCGGTGCTTGGGATTGTTGATGGAATTCGAGGTCGTTTGGGTATAGGACATAGGGATACTTCGTCAGGTCAATTATGATTTCAACTATCAACGTCCCAAGAGCAGTGAACGAGCGGCCTCCCTCCCGTCATACTTATTAGACGGGACCCAAGAAACACAATGTCTGGCAGAAAACTTTACATCTTCCTTGCCACAGCAGCAGACCAAGTCACCACATCCAATGGCCATATGCGGCTGTAGCCAGTCCATGCGAGACCATCAAGCAAGCTACCCTGGTTGTAAAGCCTGGAGACATTTTCTTCTCAGATCACCCTAGGGTACCTTATGAATGTTCTTGCCCTGGTAAACAAAATCTCTGCGATAACGAAATACCCTGTACCAACCATATCGGCCTTCTTGTCACCGGCGAGGAGAAGGAGACTAATAAGCGGCTTGCCACTGCCGACGTTGGAAATTACAAGAAGGGTGCAACTTGACTGAGACATGCTTGATGTTACGAGGGCGGTAGGTCGTACGGAGTACCGTTAGTACGTACAGATGGACATTCGCCTGTCCGGGTGCCAAATGATGCCACGCTAGGCACCATCAGGAAGAAACTGGACTCGAACAGAAGGCTAGCTTGCGAAGTGTCGACTAATTAGTAAAGGGAGACCATGATAGGATAGGTACGTATGAGCCAGGGCCCATCTGTTCAGCCTCGCGGTCGCTTCAAGCAAGGGGCGTCTGTCTGCAGGACTAATGTTAGGGGCCAGCGAATGGTGTAGCCTGTGTTGGTGTTCCCCGACAACACAACACTGTCTCGGTTGATGAGAACGGCTGAGATGACGCATGGTGCGTAGAGTGCCCGATCCTCGTTGGCATGTTGCAAATGCGTGCTGGTGGCCGACGGCGACAGGTACTTGTGCGTCGTCATTGCCACGAGCGACACTCCATCATGTCCGCGCCGGCTTCGTGGACCTAGACTACGAGCCGTGGCCTGGTCCTCAACGTCGCTAGTGCCAGTAGTACCGAAGCGGTCGGAGCCACGGCGAGCTTGACTGGGTACTTCGCAGCAGAAGCAAGTAGAGAGCATCTAAATCGTGTTGTTGACTTGACTCGCCTGCCGTGGACTGCGCGCGGCCACTGCATCACTGCGGAGTGACACTTGTTGGCCCAATCATGCGTCGCTGTTAGGGGTCAACTGGTAACACCCGCTGGATTTTCCGTACACCAGCAGGAAACGAGCGGATTAAATCTTGACTCATGATCAGGGGTACGCCGTTGATGGCTTGATGCAGCAATCCAGTTCCCTTTCATTAGCAAGAGATTGCAAGTACTTGGCTGGCTGTCTCCGACACTCGAGCCGACGTTCGACTTGGAGGTCGAGTAGAATGAGGACTATGCATGACGACGTGATGGTGGGGCGCTTCTCCGACCTAATCTAGAAGTAGAGCTGCAAGAAGTGAGATATCGGTTGTTTAACTTGTTGATGGCCTTGTATGTTCAGCCCCCGCCACGCCAAGATTCTTCCAGCTGGGCAGCAAGGCAGGGGTAAAGCTTGCTCAGGCCAAGAGTACGGAATAGTGACGACTGAATTATCATTTCTCCGAAGCAAGAAAACTGGCGTTCACAGCCTAAAAAAACGTGGAGCACCTCCAATGCTAGGTGGAATTGGGAGTACCTATGTGAGTCGCAAGCATGCTTTCGCGGGCTACCGACGTGGATGAGAAGTGTTGGTGAACTTTGAAGCGAGAACTGAGGGCGCTCCGATGCGGTGTGGAGTTGCCATGCCAGCTTGCCGGGCAGCTATCGCAGTAGCGTGAGGCTCGAGCCAGGCAGCTTGTTCTAACTTCTGTCTAGCCTGGAAAGCTTTCATTGGTCAATGGGCTAGTCCAAGCAGCTAATGAGCTGGCGATCCCAGCCTTGATCTGTGTCTAACTTTTTTGGCGATGTAACATAATCCAAGACAGTTTGAACAAACAACCGTCGTTGACCAAGAGCGATTGTGCCCAGAGACTATGGTACCGCGGTACAAATTGCATTAGGTCATTAGAAACTGAACCAGGTTCGAATGAGGTTTGTGAGCGTTGGCTGGCTTTAATACGTGTGTTTTGCGCGTATTGCGCCGTGCATGGATGGGCCCGCTATTCGGTCGATCCCTTGCTCAACAAGCTGGGCTGGGAGATGCGGGTCGCCCGCGTTTCGATTCCCGTTTCTGAGCGTCGATGAATATTGATCAGGCTTAATTACCGCCTCATAGGAATTTGAATACTGCCGGGCGGGCAAGTTCGCTCCGTTCTCCGCAAAAGCAGGTTTTAGATACCTATTAAGGTACGGTAGTCACCAAAGACCAGCGGCATGAATGCCAGGCCCACTGCGAGAGTCAGCGGGCCAGATGAGGTTCAACGTCATTCAGGCTTTGGATCTTGTGAACGGTAATAACCTGGCATGGTACGCCAAGTTTGCCTGGGGGTCGGCACCGAAGACCCAGCTATCAACCAACATCCGATTAGTACTACATACGTAGTTGTTGCAGCGTACTAGGTAAGCTGATCGGGTGCTGTCTGGAGTAGCCGCGCCAAGACCACTAAATCAGAGCGATCGTGGAGGTGAGGTGAGGTGGAAGGACGCAAAGGCAGGGGTGGCTGGCCCCTGTTGCGGGTACCAGCCAAGCACTCTAAGCCGCCGCAAACTTGGAAGTCAACACAAAGTGACGACAGCCCTCCATGCGGTGGCAGGAGTTGCTGCATCAACAGATGGCTAGAGGAGAGGGTCAGTCTAGTGACGAAGCCTGCAGAAGTCGTTCCTGCCTTCAGGTACCCGCAAAGTCAGACCGCCCATCATCGCTTAAAGCCCACCCTCCTCCATCTCGTCTGACTCCTGCCTTCCTTCACCACTTCCACGTCCACAACTCCAGCGCAAATCAGCAAGCAAGACTCGCTTCCAAAGTCTAGCCTCGTCTTCGACAAGCCCAATCTATCGTTTAAATCAAACTCCTTGGTAAGTTCAGCCATCCAGTCGGGAGCAACTCCCCCTCAACCTCGAGCAACCTGCCCTATGCGTTTGTCTACGTCAGCTTGGCCGATCGGCTTCGTGATGAGAGGCTGCCATCAAGCGAATCGAAAAATCTCTACCCGATAGGACGTTGCACAATTTCCGCCGTGTCCTCTCAATGTCGTCTACTGCTCGAGTTCACCGCCCGTTGGCGTCTCACAGCTCCTCTGTTTGCATCGCACCATCCTCTTGGTCCATCGTCAGGGCGTGGACAATTCGCCTCGCGTGGACTGCCTAGGACTCGGCTCAGCTCATCTGATCTGGAGTTCTGGTCCTGGGTTCGAATTTACGATGGCTATTTGCCCCGATTCACCGCTTTCACTTCTGCCTCGAGCAGACATCAGTCCTTTTCTCTCGGCTTCCACACTACAGTCTTCACATTTCACTGCATCAACCGTTGCCACTTGGTTCTCCATACAGCCAAACTAACAAATTTCTCAGACAAACTCAAACAGTCAACATGAAGACCGCTGCTTTCGCCCTCTCTGCGTTGGTCGCCGTTGTGGCCGCCCAGGATTTCTCTGATCTGACCAGCTGCGCTGTATGTACCCTCATACACGATGGCAATGGCACAAAACGCTAACAATTTGCAGGCTGAATGTGGCCGCAGCATGCTCAGCTCCTCCAAGGCTCGTGAGCTTGGCTGTGAGGATGCCGACATCCAGTGCTTGTGCCAGAATCCCGACTTCACCTACGGCCTCCGCGACTGCGCTCGCGAGGCTTGCTCTGGTGATGACCAGGAGGCCTTGGTCAGCGCTGGCCTGAAGGTCTGCGCCAACGTCGGCGTTGGCATTACCACCGGCTCTGTAAGTTCGACCTTATCCAGGGCAGTGGAACCCGTGCTGACAATGCCACAGGAGGGTAACCCTACCATCACCGCCACTTCTACCGCTGATGCCCTTGTCACCACCATCACCTCCGATGGCAGCGCCTGGACTACCTCCACCATGGACCCCAGCAACGTGGTTGGCTCGGTCACCTCCGCTCTGGGTGACATTACCTCTTCCGCTGGCAACGCCGCCAGCTCTGCTAGTGACGCCGCCAGCTCTGCTCTGGGATCCGCCAGCGACGCCGTTACCTCGGCTGTGGGATCCGCCAGCGACGCCGTTACCTCGGCTGTGGGATCCGCCAGCGACGCCGTCACCTCTGCTCTTGGCTCTGCCAGTGACGCTGCCAGCTCTGCTAGTGACGCCGTCACCTCTGCTCTGGGATCCGCCAGCGACGCCGCATCTTCTGCCGCCGAGTCTGCTAACCCATCCGAGACCGGTGGCGATAACGAGGACGCTGTAAGTACTGCCACTCCAAGTAACGACTTGTGCTGATGTGTTCCAAGGCTATGCCCGTGCGCACTGCCGCCCCTGCTGCCATTCTCGGCGCTGCTGGTCTGGCTATCCTGATGCTGTAAACGCACCAGGCACAGAATACCACGCTTTTTTACGTTCATGTTGCACGCGTTTTAACACATAATACCCCGAGACCTCTCAACAAGACGACTTGTCCTTGACACATCCTGTCCACGACCTGCTCTCAGCGAATAGGTTGCTGAACAGGTGTCGGGTGAGGACATGAGTTTGAGGAAGGTTGGCGTTGGTGGAAATGAGAAGACCAAATCGCTTTTTCTAACGGCCAGTCACGAATTACACGACATTGGGCCTCGACTTAATGGAGGCTGCATGGAGAAGTCAAGAAATGTGAGACCGGAACAGCGATATAGCACAATCACGAGTGACGGCGGTCGGCCTATTGGTTGAGCGCGTGCTTTGCTCGGGTTGAGTGATATGCGCAGGAGGTTCCGGAAATTACGATGAAATATGCGCGGATGCGAAGGCATAAAGGGGGATTAACTTTCTAGCTCTCCTTCGGGACAGTTCTAATACATAATTTTTTGGTACCACAACGTCTACTCTTGAGAAGTTTTGAGACTGTTGTTTGCCTACCTAAAGCAGTCAACCAGTCTCAGTGTATCGTTTCTCATGTGATTGCGTTGTGACAAGACTCGCTTCATCTGTCCTGCATTTCGACAGGAACCAATTAGTACCTTTCAAGTTCATCCTAATGCCAAATGTAGTTTTCTATGTGCAAAGATTTCGATTTCATTTCATCTTTTTCAACTAGTGAACCATGGACTTCCCAATCTCACTCTCCCATCCCTCCGCGCGCTCAAACCCATTCTTATAGGTTTGGAAATCCATGAGGGCCTGATATACGTCGTCCTTTGTTGTCAACACGAATGGTCCATATTGCACGACAGGCTGATCGAGTGGGGTGCCCGCAACAATAACCAGGCGCGAAGATTTGGTCGCCTCCGGATCGGCCTCGATGTGGACGACGTCACCCTCCTGCTCAAAGACCACGTTGTTGTACTGTCCGACCTTTTTACGGGCGTCGCCCTCTCCAAAGTAGACATCACCCTCGAGGATGTACGAGAATGCGTTCCACGTTTGAGGAAGAGGCTGTGTGACCTTGGCACCGGGCCGCAACTCAATGTCGAGGATCCATACGGGGGTGTAGGCAAGATCCTTGACAGAGTCGATGCCGTGACTCTGGCCAGAGATGACCTTGATGGTGGCCTTGCCGTCGTCTACATCCACCTTGGGAATCTCGCTGGCCTTGAGGTCACGGTACCGCGGCTCGCATTGCTTCAGGTTCTCGGGTAGATCGACCCAGAGCTGGAGCCCGACGTTGGCGGAGCCATCGGCGTTCTGGCGGGGCATCTCAGCGTGGACGATGCCACGGCCGGCGGTCATGAATTGCAAGTCTCCGGACTCAATGGTGCCCTTGTTACCGGCAAAGTCTTCGTGATCCACGGCGCCACTGATGAGGTATGTGATTGTCTCCTGGCCACGATGAGGGCTGTTTTGTGTCAGCTTCATATACAAGACAAGATGGGAGGAAATGGCAGGGTATAGACTTACTGGTCGGGGAACCCGGCACCGGGCTTGATGCTAAAGTGGTCCAGCATCAGGAAGGGGCTGAAGTTACGCAGGTTAGGCGTGCCGATGGAGCGGCGGACGCGGGCCCCCGCGCCCTCATCCTGCTCGACGGCGAGGAAGTTCTTCTTGATGGCGCGTTGTACAGACATGTCGGTGGCCCAGAGATGATGGTCTGACTGAGGTATTGTGGATGCGACCTCTTTTGTGAGGAACTTGTTGGTGATGTCGATGAGTGGCTGCTTGAAGTAGATGGCTAGTGCGCTAATGAGGAGTGCTATGTAGAAGTAGAACTTCATCTGATCGAGTGAAGCAATGCAGGTGTTATATATTTTTTTGGGGAAGGCTGAATGGAATGGTGTAGATGCTGCGAGGAAGAGCGATAGTTGTATCTACTTGAACCAGACTCTACGTAGGGCTCATTGGTCATGCTAACTAACCAAGTACTATTAATCACAGTACGTATGAAGCAAAAGTGGACGGAATGGCGATCGAGTAAAGCCTTACAAAGGTTTACATCAGCAGTGGGGCTGAGGATATCCGCGTTGTGACCAATTAGCAATAAATTTTAGGAATGGCTGATTAAGGATTCGGTCATCTCGCGCTGGCTCTGGTGAACACGATCATCATCGTCGACATACGAGGAAATTGACCTGGATCAAAATTCAACATAAGAAGTTTATTAAAACCGAAAAAAGCACATCTTATGCTGATGCAAACAGGACGGCATTGTACACTACCAACACGAACATCCAGCTTCAGCTCACGCGCGCAAGAACATGTGGATTAACGCCGCAAACAATACGCCGAGTCCGTTGATGGCACCTCTGTCTAGACAATTAGGAACGCTCCATTCATCATCTTCGCAATTCTTCTCATGGCAGGTTTTGACGGCGTGACCGCGCTGGCCGGCGAGATCAACGCCGCCAGCCGAAGTCTTCTCCAGCCAGTTACTGGTTCACCTTGTGGCTGTTGACAGCCTCGCTTGCCTGCTCCTTCTTTCGCGACAGAAACTTGCTCAACCAGCCCAGCGTCTCGTTGCTCACAACAAAGGCCGTGAGGACAGCGGCCTTGCCGTACCCAACTAGCCTGCTACCATCGCCATTCTTCTTGACCTCGGACGAGTAAACGCTGTATACGTGGTCGCGGCCCTCGGTGGCCTTGTTGACAGGGAACCAGACAAGGCTCTTGGTGTCGGCGTAGAGCTCGCCGGTGGGCTTCTTGACGACGGGGAAGCGCTTGTCGAGACGGGCGAGGGTCTTGTCGCCGAGCTCGTCGGCACGCGAGACGTACGGGCTCACATACTGGTAGGGCTTGGTGATGTAGGGGAAGATGTTCGAGGCGATGGTCTTGTAGGCTGATTCGGTGATGGCAATGGAGCGCTGTCCGAGCTCGTGGGACTTGAAGGTGTGAACGCCGTCGCTGATGACGGGGTAGTCAAGAAGATGCTGCTACCGCATTAGCTCCTCTCTATGCAGGAGGGAACGGGCCTTGCTTACCTGGATGAAGGCTGAATGCTGAGTATGGTTGGGCATGTCGCCGTTGACGTGGGAGGCCATGATACTAGATGGACTTGTGCGCGTCTGAAGATGGTAGTGTAGGTGCCAGGTTCGCAGCGAGGCCGGGCCAGGTGAGTCGTTCCACAATGGATTGGATGTTAGATATGAGAGTTGGAAGGTAGGAAGAGGAGAGAAACAGGCAGGATTGGAATATGAAGCTGAAGAGGAAGGAAGTACAGAGCTAAAGAGGACGGGCGGCACGGGAAGCCATGCTGGGCGGCCATACGCCACTTTTAAGAAAGACAAACAGGATTTACATATGATTGCAAGCGACTTCACGAGCCTTTGCATGACCACATACGTGCCTGAGCCCAAGAAGCATGTGCGCCAGCGTACAATGGCGCTGCTCGACTGATAACGCAACGCTCTCACTGCATCTGTCGCAGAAACGGCGGGTATGATTGGGTGAATGTAGGTCCATCAGCCACAGGCTTCACGCTGCATTCCAAGGTGGTTGCGTCTGACATGTGAAAGCCTCCCCTCTCTCCCTTCCCCCCCTCTCAGCTCTTGGTCAACTGTTAGGCACGATGCCCAGAATCCAGGGTTCAATGCGATCGCCAGCTCCTGCATTGCGGCTCCGAAAGCTCAGGCACGACCACCGATGAAACAGCTTGTGATCGCCATTGGATTGGTGCTGTCACCATGAAGCTGCCTAGGCGACCAGATCTGCTTTTAGGTTGCGCTGTCCCATTGGGTGGCATCAACATCCGTCATGGTTGCGTGCTTCTGTATCTGTGGCTGTCGAGGATGTGGTTGCCCGCGCGCGTGTGTTCCTTATCTCATGTCACCGGGAATCCGCTCACGGTTTCACAAGCGAAAGGCTGGCGATGCAAGGTGATGATTGCAGGCGCTGATATGCTGCAATAGTGCCTTGCAGGCGCTAAAGGCCAAGGTACATGTACTACTGTACTCATGTCTGCCATCGATCCCGATTGCCATGTTGGGTGTCTTCATCGCATTGCAATTATGGACGCTGGCCACCACGCACAGCTTAGGCCAGTGGTCCGTAACGACACTCGTTTATTGCAGAGCCGTTGCTACTGCCGCGGCTGCATCACATTCTTATCGTCACCGCCGCTTCACACCTCGGAAGCCAAGCATGAGATTTGATCAATCTTTTCGCATGCGTCGTGCCACGACGCCCAAGGGTTCGGTTTCCATTCCGCTAGCCAAGCTACCCGGGCCCGGCCTTTAATAGAGTGGGTCGGTCGATCGCCCTGCAGCCACATTTCACATGCCAATACGTCGTACAACTGGCAACCTGGGAGAGAACCACCGTCACTGGTATCCGTACCACCAGCAGAACTTTTCGCCCCTCCGCCAAGTAGAGTAACGCCTCGGTGAGGTGTCTCCAATCATCCAGGCATGCCGCGCAGCTTGCCCTTTTGATTTGAGGCCTGTCCGGTCGTGTCAATTTCCCATGCGTTGCGTTCCTTGTTCTGCATTACAGGACAACTAATTACCACCCTTTCCAAGGCATCCACGTTTCGCGCACGATATCGTCGCCATCCACGACGAAATACACAAAGAACGCCGCTGCCGTAATGCACACGTGATTGCACCACACCATGGCCCGCTCGCCCACCGAGAACACCTCCTCTATCTTTCTCGCCTCTCCCTCGCCGATCCAGCCTAGGATGCCGTGTTCCTGCGACATGCGCACCACACCCCAAGTGTCTTCTTTCCCAACGACGCGTCCGAACCCTGGAAATCCAGGACTCGTCTCTCTCGAGAGCGATGTCACACCGGCGTTGAGGAGCGCCTCATTGCGCTCGCCGGGGTAGACGCTGACGACGTCGGCCAGGACGCGCGCAGCCTGGTCTTGCATGGAGATGACGCCGGTAGAGACTTGCTGAAGGTCGTTGCAGGGAAAGTTGCCCGCATGCAGCTCCAGCTCTATGTTGCTGGGAGCATCAGCCCGAAGAGACTCGACAACGTGAGCCGTGGGTGTGGCCCCGACCGAGGCGACGAGGCGACGGTCGCTGGGTAACAACTTTGCGGCGGATATGACGCTGTCCCATTCTATGCGGAGCGTCTCTTCTGCCTCTGCGCGCGTCCGACCCGCGTAGGAGTGGTTAGCGTGGCAGTAGAACCCATAGATGTTGACGGCCGGTGAAGCTTCTGCAGCACGCACGAGCGCGTGAAGAGTGTCGCTCTGGGGAGCCACCCCTGCGCGATGGGAGCCGACATCAAGCTTGATAAAGACATCCCATGGCTGACTCGAGGAAGAGTCCTTTTCCAGTATCGACAGCTGCGACTCGTGATCGACCAGGAGCAATACCCGAAGCGAGGTGCGGAGAGCTGTGAGCTGCGGAAGGATGCTGGGATATACCGGGAGGCCGTAGAGACACTGGACGGGTCAGCTAATCTTGGCACAGATTGCGACAAGAGACACGGCGGCCATACCTCGTCGAGGATTCCCTCGGCCACAAGGGGAAGCGAGCCCTTGATCTCGGGGATGGTAGATGCGACAATGGAGCGGTACTTCCCATTGGCAAGCATCATCCTAGTGAGTTCGAGAGACTGCCTTTCGATCAGCGTGTGGCGCCGACGGGCGGATCACTCGGTGCGCGAACCTTGAGCGTCTTCACATGCGGCCTGAAGCCGAGTCCCATCTTCTCGACATCATCGTGCAGTGTCCCGATGTTCTTCTTCATCACCGGTAGACTGAGGACTAATGCAGGCGAGGGCAGCTCGGAGGCTGGGCGGCCAATGTAGGTCTTGTGGTGCTCCAATGCGTGATCCATGCTGGCTGCTGCTTTCTGATCGTGAGTGGTGCTGAGCAGAATATGCCAACGGCGGGCATGAATAATTCAATGGCGAAGGTACGACAGAACCGTAGGTCCCTAGATGCAGCACAGCGCGATCGGGGGCCCGAACAAGCTCCGCGACTAATGTTGTCCGAGGGGTAATATCGTAAGGTATCTATGGGGCACCAGGGGCCCCGCGGAGGGTCCCTAGGCTCTCGTAAGGGAGGATGTCCTTGGTTGAGCTTCGGAAGCTACAATTTGCGACCCGAGATGTTCAAATGCGATGGCAGTACATACGTAGTACATCTATCCGTAGTTTCGCTGGGAGCCGAGCGAACGGTAATAACGCATTGTCCGCTGACTTTTGCTCTTGACACCGCCGCTGCGTTCTTCCGTCGCTGCAGACGCCGACATCATGAGGCACGTGGAATTTGCATCCCAGACAGCATTCACTCAAGGTCACATGGACGCTATATAAAGTGCCTTGATGCTCTTCCTGCGCATTACCCTCTGGCTGGTATCGTAGTACGCAGCAACTTGTCGGACTGATTGTCCGTGTCGGCCCACCTCTCCGCGGCCAACGTTCCGAGGCGTCACTTTGCACCCACTCGCATCTTCACCACATGCAGTAATCACAGCCTCACAACGCAACATAACATCTCCCACCTCACAAACCTTTCCAACATGCGTAAATTTCGTCTTGCCGTTCTCGAGTGCGACACGCCCATTGAACCTGTCGTGGAGAAACTCGGCACATACGCCAAGATATTTGACACCTTTGTCCGACGGGGTCTGGAGGGGTACATTGAAGATGGAGGCGCCATGGGCGTTGACCTGGAGGTGACGAGCCACCAGATGGTGGATATGGAGGAGCTTCCCAGCTTCAAGGAGGTGGATTGCCTCATGTTGACAGGCAGTAGTGAGTCGCACGCACCACTGCAACTGACAGACGGAAGAAAACTGACGAAATAACAAGAGCACAACGCATTTGAGGACCATCCTTGGATCACAAGACTGGTGGACTATTGTCGTCTGGCGTACGAGACGACGGACATCCCATTGGTTGGTATCTGCTTTGGACACCAAATCATCGCCAGGGCACTGGGTGCCAAGGTCCAGCGCAACGCTGGTGTGTGGGAGGTGGCAGTCGACCAGGTTGACCTGACCCCCGAGGGACAGAAGCTCTTCAACTCGGACAAGCTGGTGAGTTTTGCGTCGATGCCTGGATGAGTAGTTCTCAAGACTGACGGTTCCATCCAGTTCCTTCACCAGATGCATCAAGATATAGTCGCCACACTACCCGAGGGCAGTGTGCTGCTGGGCAAGAGTCCCAAGTGCGAGATCCAGGGGTTCTATATCCCCAAGCGGGTGCTCACGCTACAAGCGCATCCCGAGTTCTCGGAGTTTATCATGGATCAGGTCATGCGCCGGCGGTTCGAGCAGAAGATTTTCACGCCAGAGGTGTACGAGTCGGGGATCAGCAGGGCATCCAAGGAGCACGATGGTCTGAAGGTGTCCAAGGTCATTTGGAAGTTCCTGCTGGAGGACTTGTAGACTTGAAGAGCGGGCACCATGTTGGCTAGGAGCATCCCGCAAAGGGGCTCTGCTTTGGAAACAGATATGATTTGTTGACTTTTAACACGCAAGGTTGACTGACCCCTATTTCGGATAGGTCTCAATGATACCGCCGGCGCGATAAGGTTTAACCTTCCATGTCCACGTTCAAGTCCAGGAGTTGCAATGCTTAGAACAAAAGTCAAATGACCAGTCGGGGCCGCCAAATGGGGCACTGAGCAGTGAGATGGACCGGTTTTAAATTGAAAACTTCAGACTTTTGTTGATTGCAGCGAGTAGACATCGCAGCGATGTGGGCGGGATTATTATTGCTGCCCAATGCTTCCGAGGCTCTGGTCCTTATGTCATCATCATTATCCAAACAGCGAACGATCCTCGTTACGATTGCCTCCCTCCCGTAACGTGAACAAGGAGTGGCATCCATCAGCGGACTACGCGAATCTCCTGAAACAAAAGGTTCGGAATGTTTAGATCATGATGCCGATTTGGATGTCTCTGCGACGCTATACAAGAGCGATGAAATACGAGACATGGACGATCGTGAAGATCCAGTGTACGAAAATAAAAGCAATCTTGAAGATCACTTCGTGTTGTTTCTTAACGTGCCGGCGGGAAAGGCCTGTTGGTTGGAGAAGTCCAGTCGCCGTTCGAGTCTCTTGGTGAAAAAAACGCCTTGGATTGGCGCTAATCCGAATGAAGCAGTCTCCGATTCAGCCTCCAGTCGACTCGTGCCGTTCGACCTGGCCATGTCTGCGATACTCCGGACTGTAGGACTGTCTACCAATCACTTAACTACCACGATGGCTAACGTTAGTGCTTATGGTCGCAAAATAATCCGACATGATGGGTGCAATACGATGGTAATAAATTGTCTACGATGTAAGGAACAGTGACCGAACGCTGCTGTGGCCGATGTGGCCTATCACAGTGGGCGGTGCGCTGCTCGCCTGAAGCCTGCAGCTCATGGCAGGTCCAGTCCCCGTAATTGCTACTAATGGCCCCCGAACGGTAGGTAATATTCCGTCGCATGAAGCCTCAATCGCATTGCTGGATAGTACATGGACCCACTATTAATAGAAGCGAAGCCTTCGTTGATTTCTCTTGTTCGATCTGTTAAACAAGGAGACGGTCCACATATCGGAAGTACGTAGCCTGTCAACGGTGAAGTATACCCATCATTATCTGCGCTGCACTGAAGCCTTGAACATGCGACTGGAATCCCCACATCGTCACATCCACTGGGCCGCTATGGCATGTCGCTGGCCCAGACAGTGAGCCGATGCGAGTTTCACTAGTAAGAGACATCAAATCAGTGCGACATGTCAAGGAAGGACATGTGGCTGTCAAGGTTAAGGTACGAAATATTGATAGATATCATGCTCGGTTGAGCGTCTCTGTCCTGCCCCGACAGCAGGAATGCGCCACGGATACGTTCTAGCCAGTCAGCCGGGGCCAAGCAGCCAACCACCGGTCACCGTCAGAGGCTGGCAGCGGACTACGCCCCACGTACTTGCCCTGAACTCACCTTCATCACCACGCAAGGTACGGAACTACGGATAACCATGGGTGAAACAGCCTGCCGAACCCCCTAAGATGAGCCAGCTTAGCGCTGCGGAGGATACGTCCATCAGCGATAATTCACTATGGGCCGTGTGCACTGACCCTGTGCAGCACGTCACGAATCGAATCTCCAGTCTCCAGTCCGTTTCTCCAGTCGTTGCCTCACTCGGTCAGTGAGCCACAAACTGATCTACTCTCTTGCACCTTTGCAGGCCTCTAGTCTAGTCTTTGCGGAGGCATGATTTCGCTACCAGGTACGAAACAGTGATATCCATCTCAACTTGTCCCTGTCTGTCGACACCGTTCCATCCTGCGCTCAACCAGCGGGACCCCGATTGCCTGCTTATTGGATCCACGTAAATCCGACCAGCTGGCCAGGATTGAGCCTGCCTGCATCTCCTGGGGCCTCCAGACGAATTAACACCTCGTGACGGTCTCATCCCCGTTAGTCCCTGGCGACCTCTCGAAAATTATCACCAAGCACTCAGCAGTGTAAAGTCTGTCAACGCCAACGAACACCCAAACAACCTCACCCATCATTGTTGGCGGAAGCGCTGCCTGGTCGTTTCGACTTAAACCCGGTCGCCCCCTGCGCCGCCCACGTTCCGCGTGCCTGCGTCTCAAGACACTCGTTCCTCCCGCGCAATTATCAAGTTCCGAGACCAGCAATTGATACGACTGCGATCCCCAGACAGCGCGACTTCAACGCAACCTACGTCGAACCGAACCGAGCAGTGCCTGCCTTTTCGGCAGCGGGACGAACGACGAAGCTTAGCCCGCACCTGCGCGACGAGCACCAGTCAGGCCGACCCAACTGCTCTGCTGTCGCGCTGTCCGACGGTGCTGCTCTAATATGCCCTTCGCCAGAGGCCCAAACATGTGGTAGAGAAGAATGTGTATGTCCACGCTCCTCCCTCTCCTTGACTGGTACATGGCCGCGTCGCTGGACGGCGACGCGCCCATGGCAAAAGCCAAGGAGGTCCAAACCCTTTTAACCCAGGCTTGGCGACCGGCAACTGACGTCTTACAGCGCTCTCCGAGATTCGCAATGTTGTGTATGGTTCCCAAGGCTCACTGCGCAGCAAGTGAGTGTTACTGACGCTGTCGCAGACTCCTCTTTAGCAACCCAGTATGGGCCGGTGCCAGCACGGTCCCCACGACCATCATCCGCAACATCACCGCCCTATCGAGCCAGGTAGCATACGAGCAGCGCATCAGCGACAACATCACGACCTTGACGACGACCAACGCGGACACACTCGATGGGCTGATACAAGGCCTCCTCTATGTTCCCGACATTTCAGGCAACGCCGCCTGCGACAAACTTCAATATGATTTCATCCCCCCCAACGTCACCAGACGAAATGACCTCCCACCGACAAACTACAAACTCATCGCGCTTGCGCCATGGTTCAACATGGACTGTACGCACGCCTACCTGTCAGCTGCGCGGCTTGACCAGGTTCGCGGCTTTATCTTCTACAAATCAAATAACTCGACCAACAAACCGCAAGATGTTGACTCACCAGTATGGAGTCTCGACGACAACGGCCAATGGAAGACGCTAAATCAGTTCCCGGTATTTGCTGTTCCTGGCCTCAAAGGCCAGGAAATGATGAAGCAGCTGAGCTTGTACTCGGGAAATGTCAGCGAGATTCCGCACGGCGAAGAAATAACCGAACTATATGGACCGAATCCCCAAGATTACGTGCGGGTTTGGACCGAGCTGGAGATGAAAAACCCCTCCAATATGCTTGCACTTTGGACCTTTTTCCTTATAGCCATTGGATCGCTCCTGGTCATCATCGCGGCCGTATCATTGACGATGCACCTGATTCAACGGCGGAGGCGAAAATCACTCAGGGTCCGGGTCGAGACGGGCGAGGTCGACTTGGAGGCCAGTGGAATCAAGCGCCTCACGGTACCGGCACATTACGTCGAGGAATCCTTTCCACTATACACATACAACGCCGAGCCGGATATAATGAGTAGCAGCGGCCCACCCACGCCCAGCTCAGTGGGCGTGCCAGCCTCTAGCCGTTCCGTGCGGTCCTCGCGGTCGCGCAACAGCCGACGGCGAGCAGGGGACGCACACAGCATCGTCTCGGACATCAGACCGCCAGGCAGCATTCGAAGCAAGCGGTCCAGCTTGGCTGGCTCTGTCGACACGACTGCGACCAACTTCCAACCCAAGTGCCACATTTGTCTTCTCAATTACACCCATCTAAGCACCGTGATCCGGGAGTTGCCGTGTGGGCACATCTTTCACCCCCAGTGTATAGATGAATACCTCACCCAGAACAGCTCGTTGTGTCCGCAGTGCAAACACTGTATGCTTCCCAGGGGCTACAGCCCCAAGATCACCAATGGCATGGTGCGCCGCGAACGCGCACTTCGAAAGCTGCGCGGGCGAGTCGATCTTGAAGAACCGATGGTCGACACAGGCGAGACGAAGATTCGGAGCTGGGCCAAGAAGCTATTTGGTAGGTCGAATAAGTCGAACCAGATCCCGATGACGCCGGTCAAACGCGAAGACACGCCCTTGGAAGCCAATGCCGTGCCCAGCTCTGCTGCACCTGGCGGTGGCGGTTCTGCTATCACTCTACCTGTGGAGGCCGCGACCATCCCTGAAGAATCTGCAGGCGGTGGCGCAGATGATGGCCACCCCATGCAGCCGGCCCCGGCTGCCCGTTCATCGAGACCACGCAGGAAGAAGCCTCGAAGACTGAGCACGCTTCCGACGCAACCAGAGGATGCCGAGATGGGACCCGTGGGCAATGGGCGCAACAGTCCGTCCTCATTCGCACGAGAGCGAATGCGTGCCATTGCCGCCAAGAACGCGCCATTTGATGACCCGGACGCACAGCGTCCAAAATGTAAGTCCCCTGCCTTCCTGTTCATGTCGTCCGAGGCGCAGCACTAACAATGCCTAGGGCTACGCGCACTGGGTCATATCTTCCCGGCGTTATCATAGCGATGGCTGCATTCATTGTTTGTGTCTTCATAGCGGGCTAGGGTTCTTTGTTTGACCATCGACGGCAGGTGGGGAAGGGACAGCATGGCATGGGAATGGCGTTATGGTGTGGATGGCTTATAGTACAGGCCCGAGTAGTGAGGTCCGGTCACGATACCCATGGCAGGCTGGCGTTTGCAGTGATGGGGAGGTTCTGACGAGTCCCATCTATCTATACTATATATATATTGCATAAAGACGAGATGCTTCTTTTCTTCGAGGCCCCCTTCAAGGACCTCTCTTCAAATATTGACGCACAGATTCACATTCAACGGGTGGCGTACTTGGTAATTGATCAATCTTGAACCATGCCGGGTCTGTATATTTCGTGCGTCCAGCTGTCCTGTAATTCCCATCGTATCGTTTCCATGTCCAGAGAAGAAGAATCAACACACGCCTAACGCCAGCTAGAGAGCAACCAAAGAAACGCATCAAGCCCCGCGCGGAAACTGAGGCGCTCTAGTAGCCTCGATATACGGCTTGTTCTTCTTGCGCCCACCCTCCTCCTTCCTCATCTCGATAAAGTTATCCTTTGCGTCTCTGAACTGCTGACGCGCCCGCTGCAACCTGTCAACGCCGCCCTCGATCATGTCCAGGTGGACCTCGAGCGGCAACTGGTTGTCGGTGCCCAACTGCAGGCCGGGCTTGCTGATCCTCTCCTGGAGGTCCTGCAGCTGGGCCTTGACGCCGCGGAGATCGTCGAGGACGTCGGCCACGTAGTCCCTCGCCCCGCTGCGCTCGGCCTCGACCTCTGTCAGGAGATCCAGGTCGCGCATGTACCTCTGTTGCTCCTTGGTCAGGCGCAGGCTGGCAAGGAGATTCCAGACGGCATTGCCGCCCTTTTTCGATTCAATCCTGGACTTGGAATGCTCCGTCAGACGGTGAATTTCGTGGAGGTTCATGTCTGCCTCTTTGAGGTAGTCCAGTACAATCTGCGCGATGCCAATCAGGTCGTCCAGCGTGACGACAATGTCCTCGGCGTACTGGATGTACTGCAGCAGAATGGCCTCGTTGGTTCGTTCAGCCTGCGAGGGCACGAAAAGGGGAAAGGCCCACATGGTGAACTTGCTTAGCACCGAGGGCTGGTTCTCCGGCAAGGACGGATCGAGCCGTGCGATGCGCCGCCTGGTATAGTTGTGCGTGGACAGTATGCTGTCCACGACACCGCCCGCGCGGACGTTGAAGGTATGCAGCTCCGGGTTCACCTTTTGTCCCAGGGTGTGTATGTAGCTGCGGAACGCCTGCACAAACTCGGCGCGATTCTCGAGATCGGAGACCTCGAGGACGACGGTCAGGTCTCGTAGAGCGTTCTCGGTCTGCGTCATCCGCCACGGCATGGGGTACGCGCTCATGGACTTTTGGAGGACGTTCTCAATGGTGTCGTGGTGCTTAGCGAATTCAATGTACTCAAAGGCAGCGTCACCGTCCTCTTGCACGCCGCAGAACGGGAGCGGGAGGAGTGATGCGCCTGGGATGTTGCAGATGGGCGCGAGAGTCCTCATGGCGGAGCGGGTCGCCACCGAGTGCAGAACCAGGACGCCTGCAACGCAGATGTAGCCGGCGAGCAGCAGAGCAATGGGCTTTTGTACGTAGCTGCAGGCGAGTATCAAGGTGCGCATGGCCCAGAGACTCATGTCTTGAAGAATGTCAAGGAAAGACTGCGCTCGTTGCTTGGCCATGTGAGTGTGGCGGTCAGGGGAGTCTTGGTCCCTGTATCGATTGCCCTGGCTCCTGTTCACGTCGCGTCGCCTCAGGCGAGGGATCGGGCTGCCACGTCTCCGTCTCCCATTGCCATCGTCAACGTCCAGAGTGGGCATCCGGAGCTCGTTGTCAGACATTCTCGCCGTCTTGCCGCTGTAGCTGGTGCGAGCACTAGGCGGCATGGATGGTCGGAAGGGCTGTTTAAGTATGTTGTCCGGGTCGTCTTGATGGCGCGAAAAGTCCCGGATGCTATCCTGCGAGCTCTGCGAAGCAAAGGGGCGGTGTTCCTGCGACTGGGAGGGCGGCACGGACGATGGCTCGCCCGAGGAAAGGGGTCGCAGTGAGGTGACGAAGCTGTTGTTGGCAGAGTCGAGGGAGGGGATAATGTTTGTGTCGAAGGAGTCGTTCTCGCCGGAGCCTTCCACCATGCGCCAGGATGATGAGATTTCCGAAGGCTCTCTGGCTTTGCGGCGACGCGACATGAGAGCTGAGTGGCGAGTGGGTGGGTGAGTGAGTGAATGAGTCGTTCCAGATCAAGTCGAGGACCGTCGTTGTCGATGGGTGGTAGTAAACGGGAGATTCAAAGGAGATGTCCCGTATATATGGTACCGATCTGTGTACTTGTTTTGACCGTGCAGTTCATACGCTTGCGGATCAGGCAGAAGCGTTGGTCTAGCTGTTGGCGTCGCGTGGCGAGTTGTTGATGTCGACTCGACAGGGGTTTGAATGAGTAAACTAGGCTACGGCGTCGGCGGTCGCTTGAGATACGCACTCCCACAAACGCGCATGGGGGAGAATTTCGAGGACACAAAGAAAAAGCAGCGAGGGTTTGACCAACACAGTGTCCCTTGGATGTTTTCATGTTCTCGCGTCCACCTTCACGATGACGGGATGATGAATGAGCGATGGAGGCGCTATCGATAAGATAAGCCAGGCGCACGGGACCCTGAATCTTGGCAGCGTGGGTGCACGCTTTGAAGTTCAGTGCTGCACGCGCTGCATCGTGATTCGTGAATCGTGACCAGCCTGTCTCGTGACGGACGTCGAGCATGTCTTTGGCAATCCAAGCCTTGGGTCTGGTTCCAGGTATCGATCATGGATGCCATGATGTCACTGGCTTTGTCCCAAACACTTGGGAATGTGCACTTGGGTCAACACAAACCACCAGCTCTTTCGGCGGATGAGAGTTGCTAAAACCATTCCAGAACGATCCTTAGGCGGCAGTGACGCTTCTTCAAATGCCTCATCTATTCTTTAACATCCCCAGTCGGATTGAACATGATAATGTCGAATCACCAGTCGTTGAAACAAGCGGCTGAGATGACCAGCCTGGGGGGGCCAGTGTTTAGGGTAGGTAAGAGACGGTTTGGCACAAAGGTAGATAACTATCCCAGTCTTCCTGCATTCACTTCCTCGCCTTGTCGAGCCCGACGTGTAGGATGTCATGTAAAAGCAAAAATCACCTCTTCTTAGGGTAGAAGCACCAGTAGAACGCACAGCCCGCAACGAAGCCAACGATAGCGAGAGACCCGTACATCCACACCAGATAAGGATCTTGCGATACAGCACTGAGGGCAATACAGATAGCAGCTGCAATGCCGATGGTGAGCCAGAACAGGGCAGAGACGACGGAGCGAAGCCTGTAGTAGTAGCACACGTGTTAGCGGACGACCACTGTCGCCGTTTCGGCAAGAGGACTGGAAGGACTGGAAGGACGTACGTCTTGGGGGCCTGTGTGAATGCCAACTCCAGACCAGTGATGATGAAGAAGGCTTCAGAGAATGCTACAAGGATATAGCTAGGCGCTTGGATCCAGACGTGGATGCTCTTTGGTGGCGAGTTGTAGATGTAATGCTGCAACACAGAGGCGTAGACCATGGAGAGGGAGGCGGTCATGAACCCGACGAAGATACGGGTCACGGGGTCGAAGTTGATCCTATACTTTCGGAGGAGAGGGTAGACGATGACTAGAGAAGAGCTGTGTCAGCATAGAACGAACGGGATAGGGCAATGCACGGGCGGAGAGCACTCACTATCCAGAAAGGGGATGAAGATGCAGAGCGCGATGGGATCCAGGTTCTGGAGAAGGTCGTTGGGTGTGCCGTGCAGTGCCATCTGACCGGCTTGCGAGATGAGATTGTTCCACATTTGGTTCCAGCAGATGAAGTAGAATGGGAAGAAGAGGAACATCTGAAGAGCATTCAATGTTAGCCCAAACGGTCGCCGACGGGACACCTTGTCAGTTCAAATACATACCTTGCAGCTCCTGAGTCCCGTCCTGACCTCACCAACGTACTCGTCTGTGTACCGTTCTTGGCGGGCGATCGGATACTTGTCCTGGTGACCATGTTCACGGAGCGAAGATGGCTTTGCGTTGTCGAAGCTGCGCTCCTGGATGGCGATTCGAACGGTGCGGACGGCGTCGAGGATGGCGGAGCCCATGGGAGGGACCTTGCTGTACTTGTTTCGTCCGAGGAGGAAGACTCCCAATGACAGAAGGATAGCACTGCACAGGTGTCAGCTCAGCTTGGGCGAGCACTTGTTGGAGAAGTCAATCAAACCGACATGAGAGGGATGAGATAGGCCAGCCAGAAGGAGTGGCGAGCTTCCACCGTGACAGTGATCAGTGGTGACAAGGCCCCAATGTTCACCACCCAATAGAACCACATGAACAGCCGCCCAACAGTCAGCTCAGGGTCAACAATGACCTGCTCTCCAGACTTGAGTCTCTTGAGCACCGGTCCAGAGTTGGCGTATTGCTCAGCGCACATGGGCGTCACGTTGGCTTTGATGCCCCCAGTACCAAGGCCAATCGTGACCATGGCGGCGATGAGCCCACCGAGACCGGCGCCGCTGTTAATACCGGCGGGCGTCGAGGTGGCGACGAGGATAACGAGGCCGCAGGTGTAGATGGTACCGGCGAGGAGGATAGCGCGGTATTTGCCTAGATATTGGTCCGCGACAATGGCGCCGATGATGGTGGAGGTGTAGGCCCAGAACTTGAAGAAGTTGCCCAAGGCGGTTGCCACGGCTTGACCCTTGCCGAGGGCTCCGGGGAGATCTGAACCTGGCGCGTAGGGATTGCTGAGGAAGAAGAATGTGTTAGCTATGTCTGGTGGTGCATCGATAACACGCACGGGGTGGTCTGCACTTACTTGATGTAGTTCTGGATAGGACCACTCAGACCAAAGTAGGTGAAGCGTTCACCGAGCTAGAACCTGCATGTTAGCTGGAGTCCAGTCCTCGGGAGAAATAAAAGGGGAGCGCAGAGTGCAGACGCACCTCGACAGCCAGAATCAGAAGAGCCAGCTTGGGCATCTTGTCGGGGATCCTCCTCAGTGGAACAGGGTCTGCATCACCAGGCTTCTCAAACTGCACCGACTCGGACGTGTTGACATTTTGGATGGTGGTATCGCCACCCGCGGTCTTCTTGGTTTCGAGTTCGACATCCATCATCATCATCATCGAGTGTTCTGCTGCCGATATTCTAAGAAGACAAGGTGATCTGTCTCGGGAGAATATGCCATCACAAGCCGGGCAGAGCGCTGATCTTAAAGCCAGGCGGATGGACGGATTGGACCCAAGACCATGCCCACGCCCTTGGACCCAGTACACTGGAGAGTAGATAACGCGGGGATTACGGGCTGGGGTTTGATTCGCGGCGCTCCGTGTCGAGGGCGACGCCGATCTCACGGCTCGAACCCGTTGCCGATAGCGGTGGTCCGGGTGTGATCGGCCTTTCGACGGACGCCGCCAATGAGAAGCGACGCCGGTGCTCGAAATGGGACTGGGCCGACTGGGCGATCTACGCCACGCCATGCTGTGGTCAAGATAGTTGTGACGGATTTCAGGTCTTGGATTAATCCTGGAGAGTGTACGAGCGCCACCGACTTGAAGATTCAAGTTCTTGTCGGCTCAACAGTCTCTCACCATCACGGCACCCTACAACTTGACATGTCCTCCACCCAGACCATGACAGTGGACCCCGAGCTCCAGAAAGGGCGTCTAGCCATCAAGGCGGAGGACTACCCAGGCTTGGATCCAGCATGGATCGAGATGTGGAATGAGCATGGCGGTGCTGACATGGTCAGGGCCGACGAAGTGACCATTGAAGAGGTTCGCAAGTCGCCAGGAAAATACGGGTTTTCATACCCAACATGGGCAGGTATGTTGGCCTGGCCTCGACTCTCTTCTCAAGACCTCAAGTCAAACAGGACTAGACTAATGCACTTGTCCAGGTCCGGCGGTGCACGAGGTTCGAGATATACAAATCCCCGTGACGCAGCCTGCGGGAGAGATCGCCATCCGGGTATATTCACCGGCCGGATCTGGGCCTTTCCCAGTCCATCTCAACTTCCATGGTGGTATGTGATCCTTCTCCTGATTCTGGGCAAGACTGGCTTAGCATGAATGTACATGTACTCACCGAGAGGAAGGCGGCTGGGTGCTAGGCGGACTTCAAAGCGAGGCGGCCTGGTGTCGACACATGTCCAACATGACCAACATGACTGTCATCGACGTGGACTACAGAATGGGTCCTGAGCACAAGTTCCCCGCTGCCATCTACGACTGCTGGGATGCCGTGAAATGGGTACGTCTGCGCTCTAGTCTAGAGTAGATCACTTGCTGACAGATCCAGACAATCGAGAATGCCAAGACTCTCAACATTGACCCCAAGAGCGTCTCCTTTGGCGGTCTTTCTGCTGGAGGTCACATGTCGGCTGTTTTGGCACACTTCGCCCGTGACGAGGGTATCGACATCAAGCTTAGTCTCATGATCGTTCCCGCGACAGACATGCGCTACTGCAGCCCCAAGATCCAGACACTGGACTCTTCCCACTACCCGTACGAGAGTGCAAGACAATGGAGAGATGTGCCGTGGAGTCCACTGAGTCGTGAACAATGGTTCCTCAAGTACTGGTTGGGAGAGGATGCTGGTACGTGCTGCCTCGGGTTCATGTTGCCCTGCATTGAGATCTTGTCAGGATAGGACATAACGATGAGACTGACCAACATGTGCCAGACGAGCAAGAAAGGTGCTTGGACACCTGGCTCTGCACGCCCATGCTCGCCCCCAACCTCGAGAACTTGCCGCCGGCGCACATTGTGACCGCCGAGTTCGATCTCGAAAGAGATGAAGGCGAAGCGTATGGGGCCAAGATGCTTGCCGCAGGGAACCAGGTGACCATGAAGCGATACGAGGGCGTCCCCCACGCCTTTGCGCACTACAACCATCCGCAAAGAGGGTTGGCAAAGAGCTTTGAGTTTATCGAGGATACGGCCGCGCTGTTGGCATCTGTGCATTATGGACTTTGAATCCTCTCTTTGTCGGGAACCACCTGTAGAGTGCGTACACATATACATTACATACATGACGATGCATGTTCCGAAACCTTGTTTTCCTTGACACAGGATTGAATAAGTGTAGTCACGTCTCTCTGGTGACCGGGACCCCAGAACCTCAACGCCAAAAAAACAGAGGCCATGTTTATGAGTCAACATTTCGATAGTGCCAGCACCCGGACACATTCAGCGATGTAGTTATCCACGACCAAGCAAGTTGGCCGCGGAGAGAGCACAACGCCGCCAATCAAATGCGACGCCGGTGGCATCGGCGTCCAATCATCATCTGCCGGACAGGCCAACGGTAAGCGATAACAATCTGATCGTACGTTGCGCTTATATGTCCAGTGTCGATTTATTTTCGTGCAATCCGGTGCAAGATACTTGTACACTGATCATCGCAACTGACCATTCTCGAGACGCCGATTGAGTTGAGACCAGACCGCAAGCATGGCCAGCGCGAATTCACAAAACGACATTGTCATTGTCGGGTATGGATACTGGTCTACCACCATTGCTCTACCCCAATATTGACCACGGTCATAGTGCGGGCATCATCGGCTTGTATGTCGCCCTCGCTCTCGCCCAGCGCGGCCATGGACGCTCCATCTCCGTCCTCGCCGAGTACCTTCCAGGGGACACGGCCGTGGCGTATACCTCACCGTGGTACGTACGAGACGCCACAGTCTCCAGTCCCCCAGTAGAGTAGAGACGCCGATACTAAGTGATGCCACAGGGCCGGGTGTAACTTCTCAGCCATTTCCGGCACCGATGCCAATGCCATCCGCTGGGACAAGGCTGGATACGAATTCCTGCGGGGGATCGAAGCAACCGTCGGCGACAAGTCTTTCGTGAAGAGGACGCCTTCTACCGAGATGTGGGATGATGTTGTGCCACATGACAAGATCAAGGCCATGTCCGAGTATCTTGAAAACGTGCGTCACGCCACCGGACTTCCATTGATGGCAACCAGCTGACGATGCCTGCCCCCAGTTTCGGATTATTCCCTCCGAGAAGCTTCCAAAGGGTGTCGTGTTCGCCGTGTCATTCACCACCGTCACGATCAACGCCCCCAAGTTCATGGAGTATCTTCATGCGCGCCTGCAGAATGAATATGGTGTCCGCTTCCAGAGGCAGAAGATTGACCACATCGCATCCGCATTCACACCCTCCACCAGGATCGTCTTCAACTGCACCGGCAATGCGGCAAGGTCCCTGGGCGGTGTTGAGGACCCCAAGTGCTACCCGACGCGCGGGCAAGTGGTCTTGGTTCGAGCGCCTAGCGTGAAGCGCAACATGATGCGACATGGCCTTGACCATGAGACCTATATCATTCCGCGACCGGGGACGAGTGGCCATGTCATTCTCGGAGGCTACATGCAGAAGGGAAACAAGTGAGTACTGCACTGTCCTTGGCGTGTCTTCTTTTCTCTGATACTGATATCCATCTAGCGATGGTTCGACATACAAGTCGGAGACCGAATCGATCCTGGAGCGCACAAGGGGTTTAAGCAAGGACTTGCGTGCCGGACAGCTCGAGATTCTCGCCACGGTCGCTGGAATGCGGCCTTCGAGGGAAGGGGGCGCGAGAATTGAGAGGGAGCAAAGAGCAGTCCACGGCCAACAACGCGCTCTGGTTCATAATTACGGCGCCGGCGGTACTGGCTTCCAAGCTGGATTTGGCATGGCGCTCGAGGCTGTGCAGCATGTAGAGGACGTATTGGCAACACTAGATACTGCTCGAACACCTGCCCGGCTGTAGACTAGCATAACATAAATGTCTCAAAGAAAGACAAAAAAAAAAAAAAAAAAAAAAAAAAAAAACCTCGTTCATGTCGAGAGTGTTGCCTGTACAGCTGCGTGGACATGTGGCTTCAAGCGTAGCACATTGTCCAAACCACGCCAAAAGACCGCATCGATTCGTAATAGCCCTAAACGGAGTACCGGAAGTGTCGTGGCTTTGATTCGCAGCTCTCGACGAGTTGTCTGCAGCAATGCTAGCCAACTCGTGGCCTCGGTCTCGTCGCTAGACGTGACTACTGCGGAAAGAAGGGTGAAGCACAATGTCGAGAAGACCGCAGGGCACCATGGAGGCCAGAAGACCTGCATGGCATCTGTCTTGATGCTTTTGATGAATTGGACAAAGTCGTATGCGGCCTCACGCAGTAATTCTGCCACGTTCGGGTCCATCTCGCTGCTCGCCATCGAGTTGTCACGCTGTGTAGCGCTGGTCTGGACGGCTGGCCGAGAAGCAGCTCGTATAGTAAGAAGTCTGACGTAATGATGGCCCAGGCTTTGCACTGTTGCCAGCGGGCTGTCGTTTTCCGAAAGGTTGCTGGGAACAGGGGACAGTGACTCTAGGAGGGGTTCGATGATGGACAAAGCATATCGAGGATCATTTGCGATCTCTTGGGATGCACGGAGGGAGCTGTACAGATCAGTTTTCGCGCGCATGGACCAGGCATCGTAACGTACAAGAGACTTGAAAGTGCCGAGTCTAGAACCCTCGCGACGTGGGAAGAATGAACGAGACAGTCCCATTCCAGATCCGTGCGTTGCGTTCCCTCCCGATCGCTACTTTCCAAAGACGTCACGACCCAGTCATCATCTCGCAACTGTCGAGGGCGTCCGAGGCTCGCTGCCATCCACTTGTCAAGGCAATAGATGACAAAGGAGAGTCTTCTTCGGAGCGCAACCTGCCATGACGGGATGTTCCATGAGCTGGCATCAAGATGAAGGCCAAGAGTGACTGCCACTGCTGCAAGCGATCCCATCAAGGACCCCTTGTATGGAGCTTCGGCCACAAGAGGGTTTGCCAAGGGTCGTATGACGAGGAGGACCAATGTTTGTGCCACACTGATGGTGGGTGAGTGCAAGTCCGGTTGCAGTGATAGGTTAATCAGCCGTGAGAGATCGGCATAGGGAGGGGTGTCGTACGCGAGATCGATACAGAGTTGATCATCGTACATGCTGAAAGGGAAGGCAGCCGCATATGCTGCCGCTAGTAAGTGAACAGGTGACGATGCAGGATCCGGGAGTGCTTCCGTCGAGAAAATAGGATACTGGGGCTCGACATACGTGCGGAAGAGCGACAGGAGTCGTCTTCCCGTTGGCGCAGATACCACTCCTTCGAGTTCGGCTCGCAGTTGCGCATCGGGTATATCTGTATCACCAGCATCCTCCCGTGTCTTGGCGACAAGTGACCGTTTGGACGTGAGGAACTGTACTGGGTACGGATGGGATTGGACCGACTGTATGCTGAGTTGCTTGAAGTGGAAAAAGCCCGAATCGTCAGCGCGATAGCGATGCAGCAGGAAAGGGTCCATGTCGCTACTCAATCCGATGACCTGGGGGCACCCATCTTCCATTTGGTCAATCGTCTGTATTAGCGGAGAGCCGCCGGTGGTGAAGGGCGCATGATGAGCGGTCGTGACATGAGCTTCCTGATGAGACCCAAAGGGACTCATCGCGGGAAGGAATGAATATCCAGACACATCCAGATCCATATGCAACCCAGACATCAATCCATCCGAGTCATGGTAGAGCATCTGCTGGACCGTCTCATCCTGCTCATGCAGCCGATTTGAGAATACGTCCATGCCGAGACCCATTCCCTCTGGACACTGCGCTTCGCCTGCCGTTGACAAGTCGGACCCTGCCGAGTCCTGACCCTTTGTTGGCCTCTTTCTTGGCGGAGCGTCCTGCAGAAACGTGCACTCTGTGCGACTGAGTGCGCAGGCACGACAGGGAGGTGCGTGGTCGATGCGACACGCTGTTTTCCGAGACCGGCAGGGGTCGCACGGCCGTTGTCGCTTGCTCATGTACTTGCGCATCGTCCCGAGCAAGACGAGTAGATGACTGCTCCAAATGGAAACATGCTGTCTCTCAGCTCACAAGGTCACCCGTTCTGTAGGGTAGCAGCATGCGTACCGACGAGCTTGCTTGGGAGGTCCGGTCATGCGTCTTCGGCTGAACCCGATTTGCTGGGTTAGTCATCAGTATAGCGGTCCAGGGGGCTAATAGGTGAGCACCCGGGTGCCCAAATAAGATTCCTTATGTAAGCAGCAACTAGTATGGGGCCGCTAATGTGCGCGCCCAGGCGCGCAGGTAAGACTCCTTATCGTCAGAGGCTTTGCCGTTGAGCATGGCCGAACTCCTCAGTTCCATCGAACTTGTGAAGGAAGGCTGGAGGCTCGAGACGCTTGACTCCCTGCTGTGTGTTTAATGTCATGTTTCTGGGAGATTTTGGGCGTGAAACCAACTCGGAACAAGGCAGTGGCTCATACGGATGTGCTAACAACAGGATCGTATTGGTCTTTATTGGCCTCTACCATCGAAAACCTCCAATCGCCAAGCTTTCAGTCAGCTTTAGGAAGGGCAGCCCGGCTTCGAGGCAGTCCCAGGCCTTGTATAAGGGAAGTTTGGTGGCTACTTATGCTCAACTCTTAGGTATACCACGTCGGCATAGGAACTTCCCCAAGCAGGTGGTAACGTCCGAGCTCCCGATTCTTGTACGCCACAGGATCATGAAGGCTATGGGTACGGATGTCTCGCCAGAAGCGATCGAGGCCAACCTTGGTCGCCGTTGCCTTTGCGCCCGTCACTTCGAACACGCCCGAAGTCACTCGCAGGCCGGTGTCGGTGGCCACTACCTTGACACTGGCAACCCACTCGGCAAGCTCGCCTCGTGCCTGGGCCGTAACCTTGGCTCTGGTAGTAGCATCACCCGAGCTCTTGTAGACGGCATCCACCTTCAGGCCAGCATGATCAGCCAGTGCAGTTGCGGCACGAAGATGTGCCAGGAAGTTGCCGTACGTTGAAAGGATATAGAACTCCTCTTGAGGTTTCTCCTTGTTCTGGTGTACTGTTAACAAAAGGGACACGCCGTACGATCCCTTGAAGAGTTACTTACATCACCGCCGTACGGCCAGGCTCGCGTCGACTTGTTGGTGTACGTAGCGCCCTCGTTCAAGGCGCCCCATGCAATGCCGAGATAGAAGTTGCTAAAGACTAGCTGAATGCTGCACGAGCGGTGTCAACACGACATGACGCCTGACTAGTCGTGGGCTCACTTACGTGGGAAGAAGTAGCGTTGCAAAGGGTATTCCGAGGATCGACGGCTCAGGCTTCCTCTGCACCGCATCCCAGCCCAAGGCGTCTGCCCACGGTACGGTGACCTTGTTGATCCGGACGCTGCCAGACTCAGTCAACCGAAGACCGACATTGTCCCAGTCGTACGAGAACTGAATTCCCGGTTGGTCTGTCTTCACAATGGCAAAGATGTGGTCATCGGTGCCGTTGTACGATCCCTCCAAAACCGTCAGGTCTGAGACTACGCCTCCCGTGTTGAAGAACTTGAAGCCTTCAAAGACAAGACCGTCACCATCTGATGTGATCTTGAGATCATTGTCGCGTGGGTTGACGGCACCGCCAACAAAGTAATTGTTGGAAATGATGAGTTCTTGGAACCGATCTGCTTGCTCGGGAGTGCCGACCACGTTGGCAGTGGTTGACCAGAGAAGGTGGTAACCCAAGAGCATCCCCAGTGATCTAAGAAACCATGAGTCTTTGAGCGAGTGAACATATCCATGTTTTGCTTACCCGTCGCCCTTGGCAACTTCTCGGATGATCTGGTATCCAACGCTCCAAGGCTGCTCACCTCCACCGTACTTCTTGGGGCCAAGAACCTTTAACAAACCAGCGTGCTTGAGGAGGGCTACTTCGGCACGCGGTGACTTGTTCTGCCTCTCACGGAGGCCCGCATCTTTGGCCAGAACAGCGGCAACCTCCTCGGCTCGCTGAATCCAATCAGACCTGTTGTTTGGCTGGGTTGACCATTTTTTCTTGTACTCGTCGTAGACACTGGGATCGATTGCTGGGGTGGGGGTTCCAGGGGCGGCCATGATTGAAAAGTTCGAGTCTAATGGATCTGGAGAAATGCTCGATACAAAATGAAAGAATTGAGTGGCTCTAAAACTAACAAGATGCCCGGAATTCGTCGCAGGGACAATCCATGCCTCATATGAACCTCTTAAGCCCCGCAGGGCGTGATAGTATGGTGAAATGCTTCGCCATCTCGCGTGCTGCCCGGTTGATGTACTCGTCAGTTTAGCGCCCCTGACGTGCTCGGCAGTTGGGAACCCGGAAAGCTCGTCAATTAAGCATTCTCTGACGTGATCGGTCGCTGTGAATACGTACGTGCAAGTGCTGTACATGATGTCGAGTGGAAAAACATAGAAGGGCCGGTTACGAGAGAGCCAGAGAAGGACACGGGAAAATAGGAGTCGCAGATGTCACCTTAGGGGTGAAATAGAAGTGATATACTTTCAAGTAAAACTCATTGAAAGCTCAGAACATGAAAACTGCCTCGCATGTTGATCACGCTCAAGTTGCCTGTAAGTGAGATAGGCTGCTTCAACTCTACCGTGGGAGGTCGACAGCGATACATGAGGAGACCATGGAACCTCTGCAGCTTAATTACAGATGAATCTCGCCAATGTCTGTCTGACCAGAGAGAATTTGCTTACAAGATTCTCGTTTTTGGAAAATGTTGTGAAGTGTCTCCCAGAGGAAGCTCAACAATGCTCTCCTTGATTAACAGATGAACGGTCAGGTACCTGCGGCTGGTGTAAGATTAAACGAGCTTCCAGGAGGCTGGAGAGAGTACTCACCACCCAACTAGACCAGCCAAGAAGCAAAAGACACCCCCTGTTTTCTTAAGGCCGATCGAAGATACGTCGTGGCCATCGGCTATGGCGAAGTAACTAGCTGCGACGAAAAGGAAGCCCAGGACGACAAATACGAAGATGAGGATATATGCAAGATTGGTAGGGAGCGAAGCAATAAGGAATGTAAGTGCAAAGACAGCCCACACTTGTATGTGTTAGCTTACGATCGCACACACAGTCCTACTCGTCTTTCAGACTTACTGATCATGAAGAAGCCCAGTGCGTTGTTGTACTGCGCCGTGTCCTGGCCATAAGCGTCGGCAATTCCAAAGGCTGGAGTCAAGATAGCCGCGTAACCCCCGTAGAATAGACCTTTGGAGTTGGTGTCAGTCTTATTAAACCTTCCCAGCCAAGGGGCGTATGCGCGCAGTCTCACTTACCAAAAGCGCTGAAGACAGTGTAGCCAAACGCGTTACCCGCAGAAAGCTCCCATTGCGCCGAAATGAGCATACCGATTGCTGCGACGAAGAAGAAGTTTGCTACGTAGACGTTGGTGGTTGTGACGCCTCTCCATTCCATGAGACTCAGGGAGAGAGTGGTCAGCGTTGTGGAAAAGGCGCCAATGGGCATTGCCGTCTGGCCTTGGTCAGGAGCTGCTGCTTGACTGCTGCGCAGGATGACAATGATCGAGCACTTACCGCTGCCGGTGGTAGTCCCTTGGGAACTTGCGCAGGGAAAGATACGGCATGGTTGCTTTCGAGCGCTTTGCCATTGGTTGAGTCGACGGTCTGCATGGTGGTAGACATTTCGAGGAATACAGTCGCCGGCATATGGTGTGTTCGCAATCCAGAAAGTTGGTCAGGACTGACATTCAGTCTCAAACGGAGAGAAGAGTTCTGATTTTGTGCCCGTGAAGCTCGTCCACGCCCACAGCCCCTGAATATGTCTGCCGGTGACGAGGCATCGTCTCCAGTGCAATGCGGCGGAAGTTGACTATCCGGACTGGCGCCCCGTCACGTCATCAAATTGTGATCTCGCGTGCGCCGTGGGGGTCAGTTCACCAAAGGTAAGTATCTCATTGAAGTCTGATGAAACCCAACTGGCGGGCTGGCTCGCCCAGTCGATGGATGGGGGCTTTCTTATGCGGAGTGGCCGTCTATTAGATCTGGCCCACGGATTCAAGTGTGCGCGTACCTTGGTCTACATTTGAGCAGATGAAATGGTGCAAAACGCCTAGAAAACTCAATTGTATACCATTGCAAGTTGTCTATCCTGCTAGTTGTGATTGTAGTGCTGGGTCTTCGCCAGACATATCGACGGGCTGCTTGACTGTCACAACCAACCTTCTGCCAGATATACTGCCCGTCTTCAATCTATCCAAGGCTGAGTTCACCGCATCGAGCCCTCCATCTACATACTCCACCTCTGGGAGATGCAGCTTGCCCCCGTCGAGCAACTCGTGCAGCCACTTGCTGAGGTGGCCACCAACCTTCCTGTTGGCATGAAACAGCTTGATTGGCACACTGTGCACCCGCACACTCGGACATGCAGTTTTGGGCTTTCCCGTAAGTGCTACAAGATGAGAAGAACCGTGTGCATGTTGGCTGTGTTGAGCCGCCAGTACACCTTGGCACCAGGATGCAGTTTCGCCGCCGACTGTATCGATGGCAAAGCGCAGCGAGCCGGGAAAGAGACTAGTGATCTCTGTCTTTGCATGATCAAGGTCGGTGCGGTCGATGAGGTGATCTGTGTTCAACTGTTAGCTCAGTTTTCTCTTCTTCATGCAACAAGGCTCATTGACCAGTTCTGAGTGACTCGAGGAGTCTTCGATGCTTGTCCAGATTGGCAACGCCCACTACCCTGAGCCCTGACATCTTGGCCAGCTGGATAGCCACTTGTGCAGTGATGCTCGATGCTGGGCGGGTAAGTTAGCGAGATCACCTTCCAATCGAAATGTGGTCATCAATGTACCTCCATAGACAAGTATCCAGTCTCCTGGCTGTGGTCGAGATTCCAGGGGTATGCCTTGATATATCTCTGGAGCGACGTCTTCCGATACACCTTCGGTGTATTTTCGAGCAACGTCGAGTAGATTGAATGGTCTCCGATTACTCTCCTTGGTGAACAAAACCCCTAAACAGACTCCCAGGGCAAGGCCGGCCGCGACATAGGCTACGCCGATGGATGCGACTCGGAAGGGGTCGATATGACAGGGGATCCGAACCGCGTTGTAGCAGCACACGATGGCAAATTCTTGAAAAGCTGCCTTTCTGAAATCTCTATAGTCTGTCGAGACGGCTAGCACCTAGATGGAGTCAGTCACTAGGGCGTCTTTGCTCGATGTGGGACACTTGACCCATTCTCCAGGCTTGAGCGCGCATTCCTCTTCGACCTCTGAGGCGACAATCTTGCCAACAAACTCGCGTCTATTCAGACTGGGGAGCTGAGGCAGTCCGAAGCCGAAGGCACTACCACGTCAGCGATGACACAAAATCACTTGCACACTGCAGATCTATTGTACTCACGCCGACTTCCAGTCAATGGGGTTGAGGCCGATGGCGTGGATCTCGACCAGAAGATCCCCATATCTCAACTGAGGCACATCACCATCGGCATGAACCTGGTACTGCTGACCCTTCCCGTGAAGCAAAAGAACTCTCTGGCTCTGGGGTAATGATTTCAACGTCGGTTGTCCTACAAGTGGCTGTGAGCTCACAGTTGTTGTCCTTGTTGCGACTGTAGCCATGGCGCTGTATCTTTGGTTCACGGTGTGTGGAATTGTATGAGGTGTGAACGTGAGTGCCCGAGGAAATGCTGGAGTTGAGCTAGGGGTGGGATCTACTGCCCCTTGTTCGACGTAGGTGACATCGAGGGAACAACACTCTGAGAAGGGCCTCATTCACATCGTACGCCTCGTATACTAAACCATCTCCGCAATTGCATCATCAAGATACATCACTGCATGCTCATCAGGGAGGTCGTCTTGCTGTCGAGATTGGGTGGGGTCTGCCACTACCACTGCGCAGTCGATGTAGATACTCAATCATGGACTTGCGTCGGCATCAGTTCTGAAGCCTCGGTGGAAACGCAATAGGAGCCAGATGTGGTACCATCAAGCGCCAGCTTGCCTGGAACTATTGTCTACCGATGCAATTAAACTTGGCGACGAAGATCCTCGCAGAACAGTTGCCCTCGTTGACGTGATCTGATGGATGTGATGGCGCAATCGCTCTAGACACTGTCGTGACGGTGATCCAGCACATTGCTACCCCAGCATCAGCTTCAGAAGCCGGATCATATCATTGGTCAGTGAGACACATAGCAATGGTACTAGAGAGAGAACGTAGCCGAGTAGATGGTTGCATTCAACGCCAGTGAATGGACTTGAAAGCTAGATGCATGAAGAGGGTCAATTCGCAATCGCGGTCGTCGAAGACGCAAACAAAACAGCAGGAGAGAACCTATTTGCATGTAGACTGTTCACGTGTTCTTTGAGACATACCTTGCATTAATTTTCATTCTTCAGCGTTACTTGAGCAAAAGAAGCCATCTTCCATTATCCCAGAGGGCTGTCTGATACTTACCACTTACATCAAGCCATCATCTGCCAAAGCAAGCACCCGCAATGGCAGCTGCAATTCACCCCCTCAACGCGGAGTCGGATCGACTTCTCTTTGCGTAAGTTGCCTGACATGTGAGTCAATTAGACGAGCTCACACAGCGCACAGATACTGGGTACCCAACGTGTCTGGCGGTCTTGTCATCAGCAAAATCCCACAAAACACCAATTGGGACCTCGAAAGCAACATTCGATATGCCAAAGCAGCTGAAGACGCCGGGTTCGAGTACGGCCTGACGCAGATGCGGTTCCTCGCGTCCTATGGCGCCGCCAAACAGCACGAGTCTGTGACCTTCTCCCAGGCTATCCTCGGCGCCACCAAGAGCATCAAGATCATTGCTGCACTCCTTCCCGGGATCTGGGACCCGACGGTCGCGGCCAAGCAGATCGCCAGCATTGAAAACTACAGCAACGGCCGTGTTGCCGTCAATGTCGTGAGCGGCTGGTTCAAGGGCGAGTTCACCGCCCTGGGCCAATGGTGGCTGGATCATGCAGAGCGGTACCGCAGGAGTAACGAGTTCATCCGTGTGCTCAAGGGCATCTGGACCTCAAACGATGAGACGGGGTTCTCCTTTTCGGGTGACTTTTACAAGTACAACAACTACAACCTCAGTCCGAAGCCGGTGCAAAGCCCTCATCCCGAGATTTTCCAAGGGGGGAACAGCGACGACGCGCGGAACAACGCGGCCGAGGTCAGTGACTGGTACTTTATGAACGGCAATGACCTCGACGGCTTCCGCGAGCAGATTGAGGACGTCAAAGCGCGCGCAGCCAAGACTGGTCACACAGTCCGCTTCGCCGTCAATGGCTTCGTCATTGTGCGAGAGACAGAGGAGGAAGCCATCAGCGTCCTTCAGGCGATCCAAGGCAAGGCCGACAAGGAGGCTGTGGTGCAGTTCCAGGAAGCTGTCAAGCAGGCTGGCGCGAGCACCTCCAACAAGACTGGCATGTGGGCGAACAGCAAGTTCGAGGACTTGGTGCAGTACAACGACGGGTTCAAGACCAAGTTGATTGGCACCAAGGAGCAGGTCGCTGAGCGCATAGTCCTTCTAAAGAGTCTCGGCATTGATCTCGTGTTGACCGCGTTCCTCCACTACGACCAAGAGATCAAGCAATTCGGCGACGAGGTCATACCGCTTGTTAGGCAGTATGAAAAGGACGGCAGGGGCAGAGATGTCGACTATGAGATTGAGCAAACTGGAGATGTCTACCGGAAGCGCTAGCTCAACCTCCTTCAGCGAGGTGGTGTCAAGGCCATAATGTTAGATGTGGCAGTAGAAGAAGGGGAGGATAAACACGACGATGGTAAGGCCAGACCAAAGAAATTAGCATGCTCCCGGATAAGGCATTTGAGGAAACTGATATATCATTAAGTACGAGCATAAAGTCGCATATTCCAGTTCAATCTTCCGCATGATTGGGCATTTGTGAGTGCATGTGATTAAAATGTGTAAACAAAGTAAGGTAATTCAGATGATATTCAAACTCCAGCGGAATACGATTCTGAACTCAATGGTCTAGGGTAGTTGTGCGCTCGGCTGGAGTGACTGGTCCACCACGACGGACCTCGGCTTTGGCCATGCGACACCAGGAGCCATGAACCTGCACTAACAACGCCTGCCGACGATGATGTGCAATTGCCTTCTTTCCATATACGCACTCCGCCCACACTGAATGAAACCGCCATGACCGATTCGACCTTTGCCCAGGCGCAGCAACGCGTCGCTGCTCGCCGACAAGCACGCGAGGCGCAAGCCCTGGCGGCTCAACGCGCAGCAGCCTCCAGAGCGACTCCAGGACGACCGGCGATCCTACAAAGACTCCCCTCGCCGATAGCACAAGCCTGGAACTCCATATCGTCCCGCGAGGGCACCCGCCCAGCCTTTCGCGTGGGGCAAGTCGATGCCGAGCTTCTCGACTCCGAGCTCCTCGACCTCCTACGATCACAGGTCGGCGACGGGCTCAAGTACTTTGCGGGCGGACACCTAAAGGACGACTGGGCGGCCGAAATCACACTGTTGCTACGGGCCGTCCTGTTCAAATTGACGATATGGGACCACGACGCGACGTACGGGGCCGCGCTGCAGAACCTACGATACACAGATGCGAGGAAGGACGGTCCCGTGCTCTTTGCCCCGTCAAAGCTACAAAAGTCGGCACTTGGGCTGGTCACGGTGTTTGGGTCGTATGCATGGACGAAGTGGGAAGACTGGCTGCTCGAAAAGGACGACGGCTATGACCAACCGAGCCCTCGAGTCCTGCGACTTTCACGGCTGACCTCGCTATTCTCGACAACACACAGCGTGGCCGCTTGCGCGTCGTTCCTCGTGTTTCTATGGAACGGCCGGTACAGAACGTTGCTCGATCGTGTGTTACGGATGAGACTCGCGCCGCCTACGAGCCAGGTCAGCCGCGAGGTCTCGTTCGAGTATCTGAACAGACAGCTAGTCTGGCACGCATTCACAGAGTTCCTGCTCTTCGTGCTGCCGCTGATCGGCATCAATCGCTGGAGGCGATGGCTGAGCAGAACATGGCGGAAGACGAAAGAGATTATGAACACGGGGTCAAGCGAAGACGCAGAGGCGGCAGGGGAATACGCGTTCCTACCCGAGCGGACATGTGCAATATGTTACCAAGACCAGAACGACGTTGCGACGACGGAGAATGATGTTATGGCAGCGGCGGCGGCGTCGAGTGGCGTTATCGGGTCCGCCAACACCGACATCACGAACCCCTACGAGACCATTCCGTGCGGGTGCGTGTACTGCTTCGTCTGTCTGGCGACGAGGTTGGAGCGGGAGGAGGGCGAAGGCTGGACATGCCTCCGGTGTGGTGAGCATGTCAAGGAGTGCAGACCATGGAGTGGCGACGTTCTCGAGCCGGCAAGCATGAGGGCCGGTGCTGGCAGAAAGGTCGCGTTCATAGACGACGTGGCGGAAGAGAAGACAGACAACGAGGGCCCCGATGAGGAAGAGGTCGAGACACATGACGAGGGTTATTCATCCGAGGGGCAGCATCATAACTAGATCAAGCCACTGTAGGCAGACGACTTAATTTATACCAAACGATACCCACGGGCCACTGCTGCAAGGCTCGGTTTGGAACGTATGTATGTATAGGCCAAGAGCCTGAGCCGCGGAGCGAGCCGTGTATAAATCAACGCTATGCCGAAACCTAACTTCCTAACCTCTGAACCGTACCATATGTCGACCGACTTCCTTCTCAACGCTTCGTGTGGTGTGTCAGCCATTCCAAGGTCAAACGTCCAGTCTCCTGAAGCTGTATCACCGCTATGGATTCCCTTTTGGCTTGTTATTCCACGGCGAACCCGAGAGCAAACCCCACCTCGTGTTCACGAATCTCTTGTTCGGAAAGTCGTAATGCGATGCGACTGAAAGGACGACGGATCCCGTTTGCCCTTGCACCTCCAACACGCCAGACACCGTGATGGCGCCCAATGGGGCTTCAGTGATCTTCGATCCCGCGTGCTTTCTGTAGACTGCCCTAGACGCTATGAGTGCTTCAGTCGCGTTTGCGCTCATCACCTGTACTGTCTCGTTGCTTCTCTCTGGTGTGGGGGAGGCCGGTTTGACGCTGCTAGCAATGTCTCCCAAAGGCCTGACGACTGGTGGTGGTACGTGGAGTTCTACCTTGAGGGGTCTCTGGACGCGGAACAGGTCGGGGGCATCATTTGGCAAATCGGGTACCTGCGACTTGTCGTAGGTCAAAGCGATCTGAGGCCTTGCACGATTGGGATCCTTGCCGGAGCCCAGGCCTAGAGCCCACGCCGCGTCCGACAGCGTGCAGCGCGTCATTATCTTTATATACGTCCAGACCGCCATCGCGGCTGCCGTGGGGTACTGCATCGCTTCCATTGCCTTTACATCGGCTGGGTCCACCATGCGGTCAGCGATGGCGATGCCTTCGTCGTCGATCATGAGCCTGTCTCAGCGTAAGCCTGCGTTCTTTCCCCATTCTCTCCCTGTGCAGGGCCGGCCTTGACTTACCCTCTTACCCAACGCAGGGGTGGCGGCCGCTGAGGGTACCCAATGAATAACCACTTTCGTACCACCTTTGGGCCTTTGCCAGTATACCTAGAGAGCACGGGATGTTTGGCAATGCCTGGTGTTATGCCGTCGGCAAGGAGTTCTGTGTCTTGTCAGTGGGTCGTCGGACGCCAAGCCTGGGTCTTTTGCATACGTTTTACATACTCCTTTGCCTTCTCATCCTTGTCGAAATCCCGGTATAACTTCCACACTGGGTCTGAACCATCGTATAACGGTTGTTCCTCTTGCTTTATCGTGAAGGGAAACGCCAGGAACAGGACCGAGCGTTCGCCTCCTTCTGTGTCTTGTACCAGCTTCTCCAGATCCTTCTTCTCCTTCTCCGACAAGGAGTCCCACTCTGCCTCTTCCCACTCTATGTACGGCCTCAGAACATAGTGGAAGAAAATCTTCCACATTAGATAGTATACCAGCAGGCAGAAGAGAGCGTAGCGTGCCCGCCGCAACAGGTAGGAAGACCATCTCCTCGCAAACGAAGGTTCGGGAGGCGTGGGGAAAAAGACTGGCAGAGGCGCGACGTTGCCGGGAGCTCGTCGTTGAAATGGCCAGAGAGATATCGACCGGACGGGTTGAAGTGATCGTGGGTGGCTTGCGATTCGGGAGGGAGTGGACAGGAAGGACGGCGCTGTCGCCGTGGCGCGCCGCGAGGCTCTTGCTCGCACAAGCATCGCAAGTCGTTGGTTGTGGTAGAGCGCTGGAACAGTATGGATACAAGTACAGAGCGTAGGGCTATAAGAGGGCGAAAGTCATGATCGCATGGGCGAAAACGTCCTTGGTGGGCGATTCAAGTCGATAAACAATGACTTGCTCGATAAGCGTGTGACGACCAAGCAAATAACGTTAACGTTGGAGTCGGCTCTCACGGTCGTCTTCTTCCGGGTATGCAGACTGCCGGACTAACCTTGCGCCGATTGGAAGTCGATACAGCAGCAGCAGGAGCAGCAGCAGCTCCATAACGGTCCGTCCGTCGTGACGTTACAAGCTACGTACCCGCCCGCGAATCCCCCTAGAGTCCTGGTCGGCCAACACATCGAATTTCGCGGCTTCAACTGCCCCTACCGTCCGGAAGAAACGATGAAGCTCACTCTCGGGCTCACTGCGGCCCTGGCTGGTTGCGCGGCCGCCGCGCAGCAGGCCGCCCACGTCTACATGTTCCGTGGCGACGCTGATAGCCACCAAACGACCGCGACACCCTCCATCACACCCAGCCTGGCGCGCTTGATTCTGCTGCAACGAGTGTCGCCGCTGGGCAAGGGGCCCTCGGTCGCAGAGATCCCGGAGAACGTCGATGACAAGACCGTAGCGGACTTGATGAACCAATTCGGCGGACCGAGCGAATCCCTTTTCGAAGACGACACAACGACGCCCAGCCAAGCCCTCATCTTGATTGAGGGGCTCACAGACAGTGAGATGAAGGAGATGGATGGAAAGTTTGGCATGGGTGCCGCTTTCACAATCTCAGCACCCCCTGCGTCGTCGGCGCACGATAGCCTCCTCAAGAACGACATCTACAACGCTGGCATTGCCAGCCAACACAGCTGCAGCATCTCCCAGGTCTTGAACCCCTTTGCGAAGGAATGCTGGAGCGAAAGCGCCGCTGTGGCAAAATACAACGTTCAAAAGGTGGGCACATGTGTTCGCATTTGAGTCGAAGCGACCGATGAGCTAATTGATCTAGGACAAGCAAGTTTTGAAGGAACTGTTGGATCGGGCATCCGACCTTGCGAAGCTTGCCAAGGCGGGCGAGATGGAGACCACTGTGGTCGTCCTGCCCGCCTCTGGCAAGGCCACCAAGTGGTCTGAGGCGGGCCAGGAGTTGCGCCGCCGGCAGTCGCAGGCCGAGCAGGTCATCTCTGCCGTCGAGCGCCCTGCCGAGTCGGACGCACCTGACGCCGAGACCTCGGAAAACAAGCAGGACACCGTCTTCTACCCTGGCAAGGAGGCCATCCCGGCATGCTTCGGATCGAAGGATAGCTGCTCCACGAGCACGGGCAACTGCTCCGGCCGCGGCGAGTGCTCGAACAAGTACGCGAACAGGGACGGCTCAGAGGGCAAGGAGGTCTGCTACGTCTGCCGCTGCCTCAGCACGGCGAGCGAGTCTGGCAGTGTGACGCACTGGGCCGGCCCCACGTGCGCCAAGAAGGACGTCAGCACTGCCTTTTGGCTGTTTGCCGGCTTTACTCTGCTCATGGTCAGCGTCCTGACCCTCTCGATCTCCATGCTTTTCAACGTTGGGGAGGAGAAGCTGCCCGGTGTCATTGGGGCTGGTGTGTCCAAGTCCAAGTGAGGATGACGTGGAATTGTCTGCGTACTCGTGCAATAGAAAGCGAAGCGACGATGAGGGACGCATCGGCTGAGGGTCTGGCGGGCGGGAGAAGCCAAGGGAAATTCTGACTATAATCGCAAAGGGCGGAAGAGGTCCATATGGACTGACATGACTTTGGCAGTATGTACCATCATCAGGTGTAACGATACTTTTGTCGTCATTTGGGCAGAGAGCAAAGATGCTCCTGGTTCACACTACCTTGTCCCGGAAAGTGTTCAGGGTCGGTTCTGTCGTCAGTAGTTTAGCATTGCTTGCGCGTACCTTGACAAATATACAACTGCGATTCTCGAGTAGCCGGTACTGGAGCGCTCAGCGAACTCATCCCGCCTCGACAAGAATGTTGGTCGGCCGCTAAACAAGTTAAACGACACGCAATCAGTCCGTCATTTCTTACACTTCATTGTCAGCAGCGCATCCGAGAAGTGTCAGCAGCTCACCCACTGATTACGGTATATGTACCCGTGAGCTCATTCCACGTCGCGGCCGACTGCCGAACGGACATTATCTATAATGTCCGTCCTTTCCACGACCAGAGGAGAGAGGGTCTTTAAGCAACGCTCCGACGGAACCTTCTTCATTTTCCTGCTCTCGCGGTGGCATCCAAATTGGAAACGGCGTTTGATGGGATAGGCTGCTGGTGCGATTGAGCATTTTGGCGCATGGATTTTCCGTTACTCTCCCTCCTGCCAGACCCAGCCGTTACGCAATCGCCCGAGAGCCAGCTCGTGTAAGTGAAGCTGAGATGGCGCCATCCACGCAGCAATCGTCGCCCTTTTCCGGCGATGAAGCCAACTCTGACGAGAGTACACTTCCCAATGCAAGGCCGCAGCCTTCAACGGCAAAATGGGGAGCCGCATGTGCTTCCTGCGCGACGGCCAAAGCCAAGTGCATCCGATCCAACCCACAGTCTGGCGCCAAATGTGACAGGTACGTATTCCCGAGGCGTTCTAGAACATCCAGAAGAACAAGAGGGTATCGGCAAAGTGGGAGCGCCTGACTGAAACTGGGAGCAGATGCGAACGACTGTTCAAGGACTGTGCAGCGCAAGTGCATCGTCCCCGCAAGAAGAGGGTGGCCAAGCCATCGTATGTGCCCCTAACAATATGAGCCCAGTGCATATATCCAACCCTCTGCACGTGGCTTGTAGCCGGACTTTTGGGCTGGTCTTGAAGTCTCCGGTCTTCGTCCACGCCAGGGTGACGGTGTCTTCCATGTGGCTATCATGACGCTTGGCTCGGCTCACTGATTGCCTTGTCATGTCGAACTCTTATGAATATACCCTGGTGGAAGAAGCTAATATGTCTCATGCAGGAAAACGGTGCAGCTGGAGAACAAGCTGAACGATCTGTACTCCTTATTCAAACATGGGGAGCTGAAGAACGGAGACGTTGATGAAGACAAGTTGGGCACGCTGCTGGACCCATGCGTTTCTGCTACTTCACGCAAACCATCTGCCTCCCCAGTAGACAGCGACAGGGACTGGACGGTACCCAAGGAGTACAACTCTCGTGCTCCGCCGTCATGTATCTGTCGGCTTGACGGCGGCCATGTGCCTCCGATACCAGACTCGGACGAGACACTCCTTGACACCTACCGTCGCGAGCTCGTGCCAGTCCACCCTTTCGTGGTCGTACCAGCTACCACATCGGCGGCGCAGCTCAAAACCGAAAGACCCTTCCTCATGTCGGCCATCAGGATGGTTGCCTCTTTCCGAAGCCTGCGCTCGATGAGGGCGCAGATGTACTACCTCATGCAACAAATTTCAGAGAGGATGCTTATTCAGTCAGAGCGATCACTCGACTTATTGCTGGGAATTATTGTCATCATTGGATATTACCAATATCATTGCTTCACGCACGCCCAAATCAGCAACCTGATCATGATGGCACAGGCGTTGGCTGGAGATCTTGGGCTGAAGAGTATGCCCACCAGAAGCGAAAGGTCAACGTTGATGATGGTCAAGCCACTGGATGTACAACCTCGAACAAACGAAGAAAGGCGAGCGTTGGCCGGTGTCTGGTTTCTCTCCTCTGCACTCGCCCTGGGGTTCGGCAAGACCGAGTCCATGCGCTACACTCGGTACCTCGATCAATGTGTCCAGGAACTTGCCACTGGGTTGGAGTATGAGACGGATGTGATGCTCATGAACCTGGTTCGCGTTCAGTACTTGAGCGATCGCATCTCGAGATTCAATGTCCAGGATCACAGCACAGACGAAATGCCATTATTTTCAACAGCGCAAGTCAGCCGAACTAGCTATGTGGCTGCCTTTCAGGCAGAGCTCGACGAGCTGCGGCAGAAACTGCCCCTGGAACTCAAGGTCAACAGTTGGTTCACCTTTTCTAGCGGTTTCTGCAGCTATACTGATACTGTCCCAGGAATATTGCAAGCCCACATCAACTCGGCGGTGCTCCGCCTCTACGCACCCCCTATCATTGACAGCAACCTAGTCCACCAGATGGCAGAGTGTCTGACAACACCGCCAGATGGAGGCTGCTCGCCTCTCGAAGAGCTGTACCGATCTCGAAATGCACTCATCGACTGGTTCGAGAATTGGCTCGCTATACCAACATCATCATACTACTGCCAGACGACGGCTACATGCTCGCTCATCGTGCATGCCTGCTCTATGCTCGGACGGTGGGCGAAGCTCATCGCTCCGACGAAAGCACACAACATCGACACCAATCTCTCGCACGAGGATCTCCGCGAGGATTGTCATAGCTCCCCTTCCTCTAAAGGCCCCAGCCGCGGCGCGACTTCGGCCCTGACGCCTGCGCCTTCCGACTCGTCCGCAGAGAAAGAGCCCTGTGAACACAACCATCCACTTAGACAGAAAGACTCAGATCCTTCGTTGCCAGTCGCCGTCGTTAATCTGCAATCACGTCTGAAGCGTCAGTCTGGGCTTCATATAGACGTGCCGAGCATTCTCTGCACAATACAAACTCGCTTCAAGCAAGTCAGTACAACCTTGCAGTCGCGGTCTCTTGACCGAAGCGCAGCAGATGATCCCAACATCTGGGGTATGTCGGCGGCCAAGATGCTCATCTTGCGCTCGAAGCTCGAGCAATGGGCCGATCTTGTGGTAGCGGGGACAGAGGCACTGAGTTTGGAAGATAGGGGCCCACACGATGCGGTCATGGGAGATGTGGGAGGGAGCCTAATGGACATGAACAATGCGTTCGCGCGAGACCTGTATGTGCCAGGCTTTGATTTCGGGGCTGACGCATGGGGGGACCCGAATGGGTGGCTGATGGATATGTGTGTCTTTGGTGAGGGAGGTGTAAACCCCTTCGATGGGAATGGTCTCGACTGGGACCCGATGGTGGTGAACTCGGTGGGATCCGTGGAGCATGTGACACATGGTGATGGGCCGCTATACCAAGGCTAAGGAAACAGAAGTTACATGCAAGCTCTGGGTACTCGACTCCGAGACGGATAGTTACCCCTGAGTATTTATTGTTGATCTAGGGTAGGCAAGGAGTCTTGGGGTGATCACGGACAGTCTGGTTGGACGCACACCCACCTGTGACCGAGCCTTATTGACCAGATGTAGACTCAAGTATTAATATTAGAAAGGCCGGATGTGTGTTTGTGACAAGGAACATTCATCTACCCGTGCAAGGAGGAAAGATGCTGTAGCTTTAATAGTCTAACGAACTACTACGTACCCACTTAATGCGGAACAGGCGGGCGGGCCGCCGCACCGAGTCAGTCTCCGTCATCGCAATCACGGACTCACGGCGTCGTCGGCTTCAACTGCTCATCTCTCCAACAGCTAGCGAATGTAGTAAGTTGAATCAAAGGAAGACCCCCAGGAATCCATTGATGAGCTTCAGGGACACGAAAGCAGCCGTTGCCTGCCTCCACTGTAGGAGCCGGTGAGTGACCTGACGCTATGACGCGCAAGGCGCCTTTTTGTAGGGATGTTTGTTGACCAACTGATCTTAGCAAGCGGCGGTGTGACGGAGAAAGACCGCAGTGTCGGACATGTCGAGTGAAGCAGCTGGAGTGTATTTACAAGCAACCCGTACTGCGCAGAGATCCATCCGACCAGGTGGAACGACCAACTTCAGCTCAACATGAAGTCGAGTCCGTACAGCCAGTGCGGAATCTGACACCAACACCACAGGCTTCGCTACACGCTAGCACTGACCTGGGCATTTCGGAAAGACTTGCATCCATCGAGCAGCTTCTGAAAGATCACAATGATCTGCTCGCCTCTCTGCAGGCCCAGAGACATCCCTATTCCCAGACGCCTGCACCGCCTGCGCTGAACGAGACCTCACCGGCAGAGTACGGGCTGAGCAACAGCACGCCATCTTACTCTTTGGATCAACAGAACGGACAGGAACCCGCATTGTCACTGCAGCAAAGCGCCTCCCCTTTCTCGTCGATATGGGCTCGTCCACCGCATCGAGTGAAGCTAAGCCTCACGACGCATGAAGACAGTGAGGGGCCGCCCATCACGATTCCTCTAGGGCACCAAACGAGCGCCAGCAACTTGCTCATGATGCCTCAATGTCGAGCACTGCTAGGAGAGTACCCGGAAGAATTCTTTTTCAAAGTCGAAATGAACCGTCCTAGGGCGTGGGCTGTCCGCACTATGATGGCGTCCGACTTGGACAACTTGACAGACAGTGTGAAAGTACCCTGGGTAGACGGCAACCGGTTTCTGGAGAGCTATTTCAAGCGAGTCCATCCCTTCCATCCGTTTCTGGACCGGGATGAAGTCAGAGAGCTATACGAGGACACCATGCACAAAGGCATTGGTATTGACAACTCCTCGGCGCTTGTCTTGGCGATACTAGCCCTGGGCGCAACAGTGTCCGATGCTGCGGATCTAAAACCCGAGCTGAGGACAGGCGAGGCGTTCATACAGCAGGCGCTGAAGATTCTTTTCGCGTCATGGACGTTCACTTTCAGCGGTGATGTGATCATCTCCCAGGCTTTAACACTATGCTCCCTGTACTTCACCTATGCTGTTGAGCCGTTGATGGCCTGGAGACTGATCCACATGGCTTCCACCAGCATTCAACAGCTGTTTTCCAGGTCTCTATGCATCTCCCGTTGTTCTCCGACTGTCCTCTCACTGACGTAGGGAAACAGGTGTAAAAACTTATTGTCTAGTGAGCCGGAAGTTCAAACGCTCACCCGCCTGAGCTGGGTTTGCTTCATTATAGAGAGGTATGTACGAGATGAAAGCACTCTGTGTGCGCTTTTGCTCCTCGTACTGACCGCGAGATAGTGACATACTTGCAAAATTCCACCAGCCGCGCAGTGGTATAGAGCTCCTCGTCGACCGGCTGCCATTCCCCAACTATGGCGAGATACCTTCGCCCGAGAACCTCTATGCTCTCGCGGACATATCGGCAAGGGCTTTGCTGAACCGCATTCACCACGCTCTATTCTTCACCGACAGTCTGACCATCTACTCGGGCCAATCGTTGGACAATGTGAGCTCATCTCGGATACCCATACTGAATCCCGACGCATCCCATCTGCGGGTGTGTGAAGAGTTGAGCAGGCAGCTGGAGGCCTGGTACGATAGCATACCGGATGTCATCAAGCCTGATCTCAACGGCAATCCAGTTGGGAGCAGACAGACGTGCCTTTTGAGGTTGAGGTACTGGTCAGCCAAGCGCAACATCTTTCGCGCATTCGTGATCTACGTCACCTCAAGGAAGTGGGAGGGAGAAGAGGTTCCCCAGGCCGTACTCGAAATGTGCGAAATCTGTCTTCATGCCAGTCGCATGTTCATCGTCATGGCGTAGCATCTCATCAAGGAAAGATCGCCATATACCTACAGTGTAACACATTGGTGAGTTTCTCTTGATATCACTGTCCCATGACACCACGGCTTACCCCTGCAGCTGCTTGTCCAGTTCCATTATCTTGGCTATTGCAGCGCAATCGCCCCCGCTGAAAGACATGATTGCAGATATTGACAGCATCCACGAAATTACCTTGGAACTTCTGGAGCTTTGGGCACAGGCTGGTACCAGTATCAAGTCCGGCTACCAAATTGCCTCGCTGATCGCAGCCAAACAACTGTTCAAGTAAAGGCCACTCATGGCATTGGGAGGGCATGATGATACGTCTATGGCTTTTCAGTATTGTCCGACTTGTCGATGGCATCGACTTGTAATCGCTAAATCCCTGTAGGGATAGCGAATCGCGTGCGCCAAGAAATCGGGCATGACCAATTGGTCTATTTGGTTCAGGGACTCATCGCCTGGGAAACACATGGTTTCTTCTGCCGCGTTGAGTGACTTCGGACTCGCACCCTGTGGTCTAGAATAACGAGTGGATTCAAAGCATACCGCAACTTGTCAATTGTGACTATCGGGCTAGTACAAAGATCCGGAGCTTTCCATCCTCGACGAGGCAGTTGATGCCAGCTCCGGGGCCAACCTCGGCTTCAAAGTCAACTATGGCTTCCGCTATCCCCACGTCTGACGCAGGTATCTTCAGAGCAAGAAGAAACAGGCTCGCTGGGCATCTCTTCAAGTTGCGCAACCAACATGAAGTGTGTTCCAGCCAGGGCTGAGCTTCGTCGTGCGAGTCTAAGCTAGTTTGAACGTTGCTAAGGTGATTTCACTGCACCACAGCTCTTAGATTATACTCCCTTTAAGATGCCCAATATTTGTGACGGCCCCATGACGCGACTACACCGCGTCTGTGAAACTTGCCAGAAGGGCTTGTCGTGAAGTCTCCGCGACACCACGCCACTGCCACAATTGTGCAATTGTGTGCATGCCGGGGAAAACGAAACATCTACATCTCGGTTCTATGCCGCGCCTGCTGCATGTATTGATTCCGGTCTGGCTCGCAGTGCATGTTGACAGTCACCTCATCCTGTCAGGGACATGGACAACGCAGGGCAGCTGACCAGCACTCAACTGTGAGAGATAGGTAAGGGCACATGGCTTTGCGTGAATGGTTCACTTCTGTCAAGTCTTTGACAGCTTTTGCAAGGTTCGCTCCGGCTTTTTTTCAAAATTGGCGGATGGAAAATGGAGCTCAAGGTAAAGTTAGAACGATAAACGCCTCATCTCGCGCCTTGGCCAAAAGTCGAGAGGCGCGGGGTTTCCTTGCTGCTGCACCACCTCTATCCAACGGCGCAATTCGACGCATCCAGCCTAAACGCATTGGCATATTCAAACTCTACAAGTTTTTCCAATATCAAGCGAACGATGGCCGACGCGACCCAGAAAGAGGAGCCGTGGTGGGCAAGCTTCCCTGAGCCTAAAGCAGCATGCGAACGCATCGAAGCGTCCACGGTGAAAGACATGATCTTGGCAGACAAAGATTCTGGAAAAGGGGCAGCCAGGGATTTCCTTCTGGTTGACGTACGCCGCACCGATTACGAAGGTGGAACGATCGCCACGTCCATCAACTTGCCTGCACAGTCCTTCTACCAAACACGGCCAGTGACATATCAGCTGTGCAAACAAGCAGGGATCAAAAAGATCATATTCTACTGCGGTAGGCTCTCCCCATTCCCTCCGTGTGCCGACTATCACTCACACAGAAGAAAGGCAGCTCGAATGGCCGCGGCCCAAGGTCAGCCAACTGGATGCAGGACTACCTCAACGAGGTCGGCGAACAGGACATTCAAGCCCTCATTCTGACCGGCGGAATCAAAGGATGGGTCAAAACGTACGACGGCGACCTCATGGACTTTTACGACGAAAAGGTCTGGAAGCAACCGCCCAGCTAATTCGCTCGGGTTCGCTCTGTTGAGATGGGTATATCATTCTCATAGTGTAGCGCAGCTTGTGTCATGAAGCCGTTCCAAAGATCAAATGCCCCCTTTATCCGCATAAACGCCAAGTACAATTTTGTGCTGTCAAAATCCCCTCGTAGGCGCCGCCCTATCGGTGATGGTGGTGTTGTCTGTCGTCGCCGCCGATCCTCTCTAGTGCTTCAAGCATGACGACCGAGTTACCGCGAATGACCTAGAAACGTCAGAACCCTGTTCATAAGAGTTGATATGCAGTATCACATACCACCATACCCAGGCGAACCTTTTCGCCGCCGTCCTTCTCCTCTACTGCCTCATCGAGAACCACATTCAAGAAGACCTAAGGAATCCGTCAGACAAGTCAAAGTATTAATCGCAAAGGGATCCAATCCGTACATCGTAGCCGCGGAGAATGCCGATGACTTTGCGGCTGCCGTTCAATTGCACAAAGAGGCGCTTGTCGAGGTACTGTCGCAGATGTTAGCATGTGCCTGTACCGCACGGTGGTGATGTCTGCGCGCAAGTCCGCGGAACAACGCGCAGAGCGATATCACTTTGACGAGGTTCGAGAAAGGTGTAGAACTCACCTTCTTGAGCTCAGGCTGTGCGGGAGGCATCTTGAGCTGATTCTGTTGGATTGCTAGGGGTACGGCGTCGACAGGCACGGTTGCGACGCGGTGACCTGATGCATGTCGAAGCTCGAAAAAATGGAGTCACGTGCCGATAAGATAGCGCATCTCGTTCGCGACTTCAGCAGCCTTGTCGTCACGAACAAGTTCAGGTTGATGCTTCATTCAAACAATCCCACAACATGAGTTCTTTCGGGGCCAAGAGAAAAGCTCGAGTCATAAAAACATCGGAAGATGATGACACCCCTTCCACAGTGTCGTCTTCCGAGGAAGGCAACACGCTGAAAGACGGTAAGTACCACGCCCCAGGCCTTGCGACTTTTTTGCTGATTGAACGGCTAAGGCTGACTGCGGCGCGAACAGATGCACAAAAGCCCACATTCGTATCCAAAGGGAGGAAACCGTTCCGCCAGTCGGGATTAAGAAAGACGATCTCCGCCGCGGATGACGAATCCAAAGACGCTGCACAAGAAGACGACCAAGAAGACGGGCCAGCGGTTGTGCGCCCCAACATCAACCGCAATGGCTCATCGATGCGCAAGAGGCCGGCGGCGAAGTCGAAGCTCTCGTTCGCGGGTGATGCAGGGGATGAAAGGGCAGACGAGGAGCCTGCGGTGGTCAAGCCACTGAAAAAGAACCCAATCGGGAAGAAAGCTATAGAAAACAGTGCAGCGAGGAAAGGGATCGTCTCCGGCGGCTTGCCATTTCGCTCTCAACAAGACGACGACGATCGACCCAGGTACAGCAAAGAATATCTGAGCGAGCTGCAGTCCTCCACGCCCAACACACCACGCGATGTCTCCGTCAACACCACAGATAACGAGATGGACCTCGATCCATCGGAGCTTGAGGGCGCTATGATTGTGGAATCGTCTAGCTCGCCGAAACCTAACACCAAAACACAGATCCTCACCGAAGCCGAGGTCAAAGAGAAAAAGGAACGGAGGGCACGGCTTGCCCTGGAGCAGGACTTCCTAGCAGTCGATGAAGACGAGGACGATGATCGGTATGGTCTAAGGAAGAAACCCGAGACCAGGCTCAAGGCTGAAGACGAAGAACTGGGCGAGGGTTTCGACGACTATGTGGAGGATGGTGGTCTCTCGTTGGGTAAACGAGCCGAGAGGGAGCGCAAAAAGCAAGATCGTAAACAGATGGCGGAGTTGATCTCGGCCGCAGAGGGCCACTCGTCCGATTCGTCTGAGGATAGCGATGCGGAACGACGGATAGCATACGAAGCAGCGCAAACGCGTGCGGGCATGGATGGGCTCAAGAAGGCACGAAAGGATCCCGCAGAAGAACTGCTCAAGGTCCCTTCAAAGATCACGCCGATACCTAGCTTGACGGAATGCATAGGCAAGCTGCAACTGTCGCTCAGGACCATGGAGGCCGATCTCAGGAGCAAGGAGGCACATGTACAGAAGCTGCGCGACGAGAGTGCGCAAATTGCAAAGAGAGAAGAAGAGGTCCAGGCATTGCTCGACGAAACCGGCAAACAGTATCAGAACGCCATGGGGAAGGGAAATCTACAAGATAAGACGGCGCCGCAGCCCGGTGTGGGCGCTGAAATGCTGGGCGAGCGAGGTCTGGAGAGCATGGGCACAACGCCGCACAGGAATGGCGAGGATGTGGAAGTGTGAGAGTTCACGCTGTGGGACTCTACGATTCAATCTGAACAGCCGGACGAGGACTGCCTTAGATACCCACCTCGTTCGCCTTGGTTGCATTGCAAACGCCGATGCGGTTCATCCTCCTGTTTGCCAACCAAAATTACACCACGTTGTCATCTCAATGACAATCTAAATCCACACACGATCAGGCAGCTCTCTTATCAAGCTTGACCCAGAAGTTCGACGCACTCATGAACACCCCTGACCGTACTTTGATGAATCTTTGGGAATCCATGAGCGCAACATCAAAATGTCGCAGTAGCTGCTCAACGTCAGCAATCAAGTCGCACCTCACGACCAACCGATCTGTCAACTCACCTTGAAGACCATCTTGTGCAACTCCATCATGGCAATAGGCTTGCCAAGACAACTATACTTGCCGCCCCCAAATTGTGTGTCTACCGCCGCTTGCATCGCCCTGAGCTCATCATCCTCTGCGCGCAACCACCTCTCACGGCGGAAGGCGTCGGCATCAGGGCCCCAGACTGCAGTTGATCTGCCGACAGGTGAAAGTGGAGAGGTGAAAGATCTTGTGATAGCGTGCGTGGTTATAACTGATGGGGGACAAACATGAACATTGAGAGGCGCGGAACGTCCGCCGAGAACCAGGCGGATGAAACAACAAATGACTCTCTTTCGCGCGAGAGCTTGAAAATCATGGATTGACTAAGTGGGTGTCAAACGATGCTACTGAGCAGCCCGCATGAGCAGAGGCCTGTTAATGGAGATCCTGTCATGCAAGCAGGGTTTCTGGGGGCTGCAATAGCAAGTCAGTAAGCAAGCCAAGATATACTGGAAGGACCAGCAAACACGTAATCGGATGTACGGATATTCTCATGTCTATTTGGTCTTGGACGAAACAAGATCACGCAACACCTCTTCATGTATTGAAACATCCACCGATCTTCATGGTCCCGAGCCAACGGATCAAACCATCTCCCTGTCTCACATGCAGCACTCTCTGCGTTGATTCATCGTGTCCATGCCAGGTTGTCCCTCTCAGACTCTGTTTCTCCCGGGCCACGGGGACCGTGCCGTTTCGTTGCGCTTCATCAATTGTCAAGTCTGGGTCCGGTCGCGGCATGTAACTTCGATTCTGTTGTCGTTCTGTTCTTTTGACCCCAAGATTCTATCCTCCTCGAAGCGGTCCGAAGTTCATGCGCCTCCTTATTCAATACCGCCTCATGCGTTTTTGTCTTTGAAGCCACCATAGACAAGGCCGTCCTCCATGCTGCCAAACCACAGCGCCATCGCGTCTACGAAAAGGTTCTTTCTACCGTACCAAGGACCATGTCCTGTCGTCTTCGGCATCCTGTCTGCCGCTTTGAGGATATAGCCCGGATTCGCAGAGACGGCCAATTGCGTCTGTGCCTCGACCTCCTTTGTACGCTTTATGTATGGCACGACCGTCGCGGCACCCTTCTTCTCCATTGTCTGCAGCAGCCTCACTACCATGTGCGCCATGGCGTTGGCGCCGGGCGTCCATGAGGAGGTGACGTATCCGAAGATGAAGGCTGCGTTGGGCATACAGTCCAGGGCCATGCCGCGCCACGAGTAGTGCTGTCCGGGGTCGATCTCGACGCCATCGACGCGAGGTTTGATTCCATCGAAGAGCTGAAAGTAAAGGCCAGTGGCTTGGACGATGATGTCGGCTTCAAGCTTGCGACCCGATTTGAGGACGACCCCATCTTCCATGACCGTGTCGATATGATCGGTGACAATCTCGCAATTTTCCTTGTGCAACGCCTTAAAATAGTCACCTTGCGGGCAAAGACCTAGCCTCTGCTGAAAAGGCCCGTAAGAAGGGTTGAAGTGCACGTTTAGGTCCACGTCAGCTGGCAGCTGCTTCTTCATGTCGTCCATGAGTACCTTGCGACCGATTCCAGGGCACATGAGAAGAAACTCTGTCGATAGAAGCTCAACCACGCTCTCGACCCACCGACTGGCCGCGCAAGCCCACGTGAATGGCAGGAGAAGGTGCAGCAACCAGTCATGTATGGGCTGCGTCGAGCGCGACAAAACGTAGGACGGGCTTCGCTGAAGTTGGACCACGTGCGCAGCATCCTTGACGAGTTCAGGTATCACGGTAATAGCCGTGGCACCGGAGCCGATCAGGACCATGCGTTTGTTTTTGTAGTCAAGGTCCTCAGGCCACCACTGACTGTGGACCACGCGGCCGCCAAACGTGTCCAGCCCGGTAATGTCGGCTTCGAGGGCCTTGTTGTCGGCATAGTAGCCCATGCAGCCAACAACGAAGTTGGCCCTCATGGTCTTGGGCTTGCCGTCAGCATCCACGTAGAGTGTCCACTTCTGCTCCTCCGTCTTGAACTCGAGACCGGTGATCTTGTGCTTGAATCGGATCAAGGGTTCGAGACCATCCTTATCGACGGCCTCCTTGAGATAGTCGAGAATCTCAGGACCTGAAGCCATCTTGTACGGCTTGGTCCATGGGTACCACCCCAGTCCAAAGGCGTTGAGGTAGGAGTCGGTGCGAAAGCCCGGATACTTGAAAAAGTTCCATGTGCCCCCTATTTGATCCCTCTTTTCGAGAATGGTGATCTGGCGATGGGGCATCCGGTCACGAAGGACGTGAGCCGTGTTGATGCCACTCAATCCCGCGCCTAGCACGAGGATGTCATGCTCTTCAACAGGTGGTACGGACCCCATGGTGAGAGTGTGGGTGAGCGAGCGGACTATGCTCTCCTAGGCGTCAAAAGAGACACAAGAAAGCCAGCGAATGTATTAATGACGATGTTCGATGTGAGGAAATTCTCAGATTCCCACACTCGAGGTTGGTGGTTACTTCCTCAGATTCAGACGAAACCTGTTGGGGCGGTTGTTCTTTCCGCTAGTTGATCGACCTCGGCCTGTACACTGTGCGACATCCCCTCCTCACAGTGTGACCTACCTTACCCTACGCCTCCTCCTTCTCCTTTATGAATCATGATTCACTTCAGCTTCACGCCACCCTCCTCCATATCTTCTTCCTTGATTACCGCCACCTTCGCACGAGATGGCAGCGACACAAGCACTCTTTGCTTTCTACCATACCCTGGAGCAATGAGAGCCGCCTCCGAAGGAATTGATCTCACAGAAGGCGTGGCATACGTATTGGAGTCGTGTTTCTTCCAGTGGGCGGTTCTCTCATTGAGCATCCGAATGGCGTCGTCTCGAATCATCTGCATGAAGCTGTTGAGTGTTGTCTGCCATTGCCTTCCTTGCGGTGTATTCTTCGACCCGTGACTCTCTGGGAAAAGCCAATTTGTGTAGAGATTCTCATGGCTCGGTCGCAGGGCAATGTCGCTTCGTTTCGCCGCGAAGTAGTACTTGCAAAGGCGACACGTGGGCTTGCTGGCGCCAATGTACTTCCAGCCTTGGCCCCCTCGGAAGAAGCTGAGCCGCTTAGCCTCTGGCGAGTGCGCGATCCAGTCTTCAAGGAGGACTTCGCAGTGGACATTCAAACTCTTGGCTTTTTTGGCTTCTTGCTCAATAGCCTCGTCCAAGCCGCAACGAAGAAACGAGGCTGCTTTTTCACGGAGGACTCTTATCTCGCTCGAATCATTTGACATTCGTCCAACGATGTCGTGGGAAGTGTAGCTGCGTTTTCCCGTGGGCAGCGACTTGGGGCGGCTGGAGGGGACATGATGGACCTTGAAGTGCTCGAAGAGGTTTGGCCAACGAGTGGCTGCATCAGCGATACAGTTTGCTGCGTCTCGGTATGCATGCAGGCGAGAAAAGCAGTGCTTTAACTCTCCCCAACTTGACTTCTTACCGAAAGGTCCACTAGGGAAAGTCTTCAACCCTTTGAGGAATAGTCCCATGGCTCTGAAAGATGCAAAGCATGATTCGAGATCTATTCCGGGTCAGCAATTGGTCTACTGATGCAAGGCCGTGGGAGTCTCACATTCCTCGTCGGTAGATTGGTCCAGGTCGCTAATATAAACGCAGCTGACCACCTTGCAGATCCTCTCTCGCAGTTGCGCATCTGGGAGTTCAAGTTAGCCATCCACATGGTTAGCCATCAATACCACGCCGTCCAAACACACCTTTGCCCAGAGCCTGGTCTGCAGCATCCCACAAGTCGCTGGCCCAGTAAATCATCCACTTGATGTACCTCTGGACATTCGGCCTGTTGAAAAGGAGAATACGCTCCAACATCTTGTGTCTCATTACAGTCGACGAGACATCCTGGCTGGCTCCGTCTCGCACGACTCGCAAGAGTGAAATGATATGCTCAGCAACCAAGCTGCCTCCCTCATGGGTGACCTTGTTACAGGCGAAGAGGAACCAATAAACATCATCGTCCTCCATGACGGAAACGGCCGTGATAGAGTCTGGCGACAATTGGTTGTCACACACAAGCGCAATCTTGTAGACAAACTTCTGGAAGAGCTCGTGCTCACTGAGGGGGGTCGGGACACTCGAGTCCGTTCGCACAGAGGTCGTTTCGCAGGATCTTGAAAGCGCTTTACAGAATATGATGGGCTCCCTCAGCCGTTGAAGGCTCTTGACAGCTGCCGGGAGTGAGCAAGGCTATGCCAATGGAAGTATGAACAAGTTGATGAACCCACTCTGTTCCACATTTGCTCCTGGCATATTGGATGTTCAGGGGCGGGGTATTCTTGAAGAATTGGTTTGTGCTGAATTGCAGGATACTATTTCTCGTCCAAGGATGGATAGAGACTCCCAAGCAGGAGTTCATGTCGACAACGAGCGCCCCTTTTTATAGCCAGGGTGCCAGCCATCGACTGCGCTCATTGCACACATTGGAGACCAACACCGCGATCTTACCCTCGACGTCAGTCTCTTCTTTGCTTTTCCATGCAATGCCGTGTCATGGCACCAAGGAGTGCGCAGCCGAGACTTATGCAATGAAAGCTCATGATGTGCCTGCGGTCGCCTTGCGCTGCAAGCAAGCCCAAGCGAATCACATCCATGCCGAAGTTCTGTGCCGTATAGGTGAGTACTACCAACAGCATATGGGGATGACTCAAAGTCGAAAATCAACACGCATGCGAACTACAGGCGACCCGAGTCCGCAGCAAGCCAACACGACATTGGCGTCCCATGATTGGATTAGGCGCATTTCGCAACAGTCGATTGTCTTCTTCCAAGTTCTCTGCGCGGTCCCCAAGGCATAGTGACGATGCAGTTTTAAGCGCCTTCCAGCTATTTGCGAGCACGCGCGATGTGCAACCGCAGCAAGACACGCAGATGCGTTGATCTCGCATGCACGTCGTGATTCGTTGGATGAGGATCGCACCAGGAGGCCGGTCCTGCACTTTCATCGCAAGATCAACTACAAAGATGAGACTGAGACTGATATTCTTTTGAGAAGGGCGAAAGATCCGAGATACTCAGATACATGTTGAGATTGCCTTGAGCATACCGAAAAGTAGGTCGCGCGAGTCCAACTCCGATATGATGTTGCTAACTTGTAGAAGAAGAACGACGACCAATCCATCATGCGCGCCCACGGCATGCGCGCAGATTACTATGGCCCCGATAACCCTGCAGATTATGTCGACCCTTCCCAGATCTCAGGAACTCCTTTCACCAACGAGTTCTCCGCCATTCAAAGCCCAAGTTCCGAGCATTAGCACGACAACTTCAACAATGCCGTTCCAGAGCCTTCCCAGGACTGGAACTGTGAGCAATGTTATGACGCTGAGAATGGGGACGAAGAGGGAGGGCGTGAGAGACACCCACATGATGGCAGGGATCGCGGGGATTTTATGCCACCAGGGGATTACAGTGAGTAACTATTTTTGTTTTGATTTGTTCTCGAAATTATGTCTGGTACTAATGGCATCACTGCAGGTTACACTTGTGACCAGTGCTCAAAGCCATGCAGAGATGAGCGTGCCTTGCAGTACGTATACCGACTGGGAAGGTGAAGGAAGGCGATTCAACTTACACTCGATACATTAGGAAACACCAGCGCAGTCACTCCAAGCGTTACGTTTGCCAGGCCAGTTCAGGCTGTGGTTACAAGTTCACAGACAAGAAGGACCTGGAGCGTCACTATCGGGGATCTCACCCAAGATACGCGGAGAAGCTGGGATTGAAAGATGGCGAAACAAAATGTGACAAGTGTGGCAAGTCCTTCACGAGGAAGGACAACATGCTGAAGCACAGGCAGAAGTGCAATGGCTGATGCGTCCTTGAGACGCTGAGGAGACATGTTGACGATGTGGGATGCACGCACGTTTGAGTAGCATCCTGGTGCTGGGGTAGACCATGCCCCTGGGGAGCACATTACCATCCGTCCATGACTGGACTTGGTTCACATGGTGTTCCCCGGGGCGTGGCAACTATGCCAACGGCGGGCTTCTACCCAAACGTGCGTGCAACCCACGTTCTCGACAGGCCGCCTTTGCGTTTTCAGGCGGCATGATTCGTGGGTGGAGTCTCAGCATGAGCTGCTGGAAGGGAGCGAGAGGGTTGGATACGTAGATAGTGCGCAACGTTGACTGATGATTGCGTATTGCCTTTGCATTGATCCACGTGTGTGTTATTGGGTTCAGTTCGAGGAAAACTATCCTTTGGTCCTGAAAAAGAACCTGCAGCCTTGCGCTCTCACTATTATGTCCAGAAAGATATGCACCAAAACTGACAAGGCTAATTACTTTCCTCTGAAGCTATGGATATTAAGTGAAAAGGCGAGCATTGTAGGCCATGAATAGAATACCACTCCCTGCATCCATGATCAGGACAGATGCATGCAACTCAATCACTGCGCCCATATTCATATCCCTTCCTTGACGCCGCGCTCGCAGAAGAGACTGGAGCCCTAAAAGACAAATTCAAGCCGCGCTCGCCACTATCGCATGGTCATCCGCTGCGTGTCTTGAATGTCCACTCGAGCTGGATCTGGCACTCCCTCTCCTCTGCGCCTCTGGCATCTGCCCAACACGCCCCGTCGTATCCGGTAACTCTTCTCTTGCCTGATGATGTGTCAGCTCAAGGTGTCTTGGGTCACCTGGCTTGAAGAGACTTGTGGGACAATACAAGTGGAGGTATGAATGCCGACGCCACTCTTTGTGGGCTCGTGTTGGGCGATATGGAGATGTCGGATGTAGCATCCGACGGACGATGCATTGGTACGGCAACGCCAATCTCATAGGGCTGTGGATTTGAGCTCGTCGCCGTAGGGTCGTAGAATTCCAATGGTCTAACTATCGTGTGAGCTATCCACTGGCGTTGAGTGGCGACCTTTTGTGAAGTTGTGAAATGGAGCTCTTACGGCTGGTGATGATCTGGCTGGTGATGATCTAGCCGGTGATGATCTGCCCGGTGATGCAAAGCCGGGCCTGTCTGACGAGGCATCATCTCTTGCTGAGTATCTTTCGACAGACAGCAACCCATGGTCGAGCTGTTGATTAATAGACGTGGAAATAGACACGGGATTGAAAATGCACGCAATATGGTAAACTGGAACGGATGGCGAGTTGCGGATCAACAAACATGCTAACATTGACTGTAGATCCCGAATTAAGGTTCACGAGACAAGGCCAACTCCCGGCCACGCCGCAAAGGACCAAGCTTTGCCTTTTGCGGCGACTCACACATCCGGAAACCTGAACCTGAATTTCCGGTGAGACATGGGCGGATACCTTCAATAGCGTAGGGCGAGGGGGGTCACGAACTGGTGGCATCCAGCAAACAAGGAATCATTGTCCAAGAATCGTCGTCGTCATCGCCAGCAGTGAGCTGGGCCAATGCAGCGACATTGTTCGGGTTTCTCATCACGAGTGCGCTGTTTATCATTCATCTCCGGTGCCCTGATTCACACGCCATAGCAAAGGACGACGGAAGCTTCGTGCGCCTGCGTGCACCGCGCTCTGTGAAAACCATCAAACAATCCTGGCATAAGCCTGTTCAAATAGATCAATACCTCGACCCGCGGAGGTAGATTACGTCGCATATCGACAAAATACCGCTCAGCTCAACCATTAGAGCTCAGTCTTCTCGCTCTTTGTCTGCAGAGCATGTAGTTCCCTAGGCTGCCCAGTCGAATCGCAGCTCGCAAACCTCCACCAAGGACCATGCAAGGCGCCCACGACATTGGTCAGGGCCCATCGGATCGGCGCAGGCATGGGCGGCCAGTTGGACCACATGCCGTCCTCAAAGGTGGCGTCCAGGTTCATCAGGAAGAAGGGCAGGACGTCAGACATGCCGGCTTTGGACACCGTCTTCTTGCCCCACGCCTTGAACAGAGCAGAGGCGACTGCCGCGTCAGGTGAGTCAGGGGTCGGTGCATTGGGATGGTCTGCGAGAGCAGCAATGGTCGTGATCTCGTGGTGGAAGTGGTGCTCAAAGGGTTGCTGGAAGGAGTCCATGATGGCCAACAGCTTGGTGGCCGACAGATCATCTGGAGACTCCAAGGTGGAAAGATACAAGTTGAACTCGGCGAGGCCCCCGAGGAATGTTTCTGCAGTCTGTCAGCTGATGCTCTCTTTAATCCCGAAAAGGTCGTTCAATCCGCCTACCATGCTCGTCGTGCGTCTCGGCAAACACCTGCTTGTCGTTCAGAATCTCCTCCACCCTGCTGAAGAGGTTGAGCTCCTCATCATCGTGGTGCGACTTGACGAAGCGGTACCATGTCAGAGCGTAGTTGACAAAGTCGGCCTTGTCGGACTCTTGGACATGGGGCGCTTGCAGGTAGATGCTGTTGTACCCGCGGATGATGGCGTTGTGCAGGAGGCCCATGTGCGTGGCGCCGGTGGTGAACAGATCTGTCTGCCGGGTCAAGTCAGCCGGCCGTCCTATGAACTGGGTTCTTCGAGATTGATACCTTTTTCATCTCATACTGAGGCGTGTGTACAAGTCGCATGGGCGAGTCCGCCCATTGCTGTGTCGGGGCCGTCGTCTCATAAGCCAACGGCGACCGGGAGACGAATCCAAAGTAGGCGATGGACTGGAGAACAAAAAAGATAATTATCCCGGGGCCTGCCATAATTGCAGATTTTGGATGGACTGACCCGTCCAAGATAGTGCAAAGTTGGTATGGTATGTGAGGTAGGTAAAGTGTGATGTGACGTTCAAGTAGGAGGTGACAAAAGGACACGGATCATTGGCTGTTGGTCCTTGGAGTACGTTGTCAAGGGTCTGCCGGCCCCTGGCCCGACTTGCTTTTCAGGCTAAAGAGTTCCATAAATCCAGTCAAACGTGTGGAATCTTGGCGTATTTGTTGTACATGGCAATTCTATGAATCCGATGATGAATGTTTGTGGTCCATGCCACGGTCCTACAATAGCAATGTGAGACCCATCAATAAGTACTATGCCACCCGACAACGCCGTGCCTTGTGTTATAACCCAAGTAGAAATACACCCATGTAAACCCATTCAAGCCCATGCTCCCACAAGAGCCATCGATAGTGCTCCAACTGTGACGGCGCCAAACGCCCTGGCGCGCTTCGTCCCCTTGAGCGTCTTGAAGCTCTTCTCTGACAAAAAGTCCTCTGCCAGCAGCTGGACCAGGCCAGCGTACAGTAACAGACCAGCCGAGATGGCATTCATGAAGCCAACCAAGAGCAGACCAGGCGCGCTGGCCGGATCGTACACACCATTGAGCCCCAAACCTATGGCTTGGCCTATGGGGGTCGTCGTGCCATACGCAAGCACCATGAGCCATGGGCGGAGTGACCCCTTTGGGAATTGAATGGCCGCAATGCGACTCCCGAGCGCTAGGCCCTCAAACGACTGATGGAAGCTAATGGCGATCAAGAAGACAACAAACGCCGGTCCCGTTGCCACGGAAATGGCCATGCCAATGAAGATGCTGTGGAAGAGAATGCCCGCCTCCAGCATCACGCACTGCAGCACCTGTCGGTTTTGTTCTTCCTGGCTCTGTTGAGGCGCGGTCGACTTGTCCACTTGGTGGTTCCGTCGGGTCAGGTTCGCGGTCTCCTCGTTTCGCTCAGAGGGCGACGGCCGGTGCAACTCGTCCGCTTCAAAGTCGAGGTCCGACTCGTCGTCGTTGAAGTCATCCTGCTCGTCGGGCTTCTGCCCATCTCGCTGGCCGATGGGAGTCGAGGTGGGTAAGGGCGATACGCCCGCCACCAAGCCCTGTGTCGATTCCTCGTCGCCTAGCGAGAGGTCGTTCGGTCGGTGGCCGTCTCGACGCGCTGCGGCGAGTCCGCTGACGGGCTCCTGCATCGGTATATGTGTCGTGCTTTCGTTGTCGCTGCCGTCCCAGAAGTCGTGGCTATGCGTGTGCGAATGCCCAGCACCGCGGGCTGTGAGGAACGATTCGACGCCGGTCACGACAATGGCGGATATCATCGCGACGAAACCAGGCAGAGGCGTGTACCCCTCGCTGAAGAAGTAGGGGAGACACGGGTCGGTCAGGGATTCAAATGCCATGGGCAGGAGATGGACAAAGGCCGTCGCGAGAAGGACCCCTGAGCCCAGGTGCTGGCAGTAGAATATGATGCTCGATCGTTTCCGGCCACTCGTCGATCGTCGTGATAGCAAAGGTAGCGCGCAGCCTAGGAACTGTGGTCAGAGATGCTGCTGCTCAGCCCCAGCGGGCCGGATGTTGGACATACATAGAGTACTCAATGCCAGAATGAGGAACAAGGCGGCCACATGCGCGGGGACATCATAATGTCCTCGATCTCGCGAGCCGCATGTCGGTCTTTCAGACTCGTCCGCCTGGTCTCCAGCTCCATGCCGCCGTTGAAGTTCTGCGCGGAGCAGGTCGGTCGGTACGTTGGCCCAGGCATTGTCGGCCATGGCGGCGATCGGTTCGGGGACTGCGGTACGTACCACAGGACCGGTCTGGTCGTGATGACCTTGGGGACGGAGGAGACGAGAAGTAAAAGAATGTTGTCAATTTTCTGCAGTCATGGTCGGCCGGCCTCTTGCTGCTCCAATGCTAGTCCACCTTGAGCAGGGGGCGATAATTATGGCCAGAGTGGAATGTTTGAGAAGAGAAACAAGGGGACCCGCTGGATGGATCTCAAGGTTGGGAGTGCGGACGCTATGCCGCCGTTTCCCCTTGCACTGGAGTCAACTAGCGTCATAACGGCGCAGGGTCCAGCCTGTGGTGACAAAATGCACAGCGACAGAAGTATTAAGTGTGTCTTGTTAGTCAAAGTACTTAGATCAACTTAATTGAATCCTCGAATTGTCAGAAGCCACTGGTGCACAGGCACGAGCACAGTCTTGTTTCCATTGCATTTGGGTACCTGGTAATGAATCGGTGATTGTCCTATCCTCGCCAACTACATGTATCTTATGGAAGCGACGATCAGCGAACTGCTGGATTTGGATGCTCCAGTCCCCGCACAATAATGTCCAGCAAGACATCGTACGTACGGCACGTACCTTAAGGTAAGGCGGACTAAGTAATTTGCGTCGATTTGACTGGCTACCGCGTAGGCCACCAGACATGGCGGGTAGATGCATAATGATTTATCGCTCTAGCCGTAGTCCTACTTCGGCTCCAACACTCTTCACGACTGCGACAAACAAATCACAGACGTACTTATGTACATGTACCATCCAGGGCATGCATCAGCGCAAAGAGGATTCACTGCTGACACGCAACTATGAATAATGTCTTTCCATTTCCAGTATGCCTGAGATGCGGTGCATCGACCCCCGAGCACTCGTGTGGGGAGCTCGGGGAAACACTGGAGGAGCGGGCGCCATGGCATCGGGAGTCGACGAATGGGAAGTGACGCGACAACTCCAAGACGGTTGTTCATCGCTTGATTTCCGGATGTCCTCTACGCTAATGTCTTTGTAACCCACAGAGGTCGGATAGGACCCTCTGTTTACAGATGGGTGCTCCATCTAGCCCACGTTCTGACAGCTGTCACTAAGGTACGTACGTAGGTAGCCACGGAGGGGGCAGCCTATGGCGACCATGACGACCGACGATGCGAAGGCTTTAAAGGCGCGTCGTCCCCTCCTGTGAGGAGGATCGTCTTTGAACTCTCTATACACAGCTACATACCACATCTCACCATGTCTTCCGTTGATCTCAACGCAGTCCTCGCCAGGCTGACCCTCGAGGAGAAGGTAAGCTTTGACAACGACATGGAGCCCTTCTCACGACACCCTTGCTGATTCGCCTCCCCAGGCCTCTCTCCTGGCCGGCGCGGACATGTGGGAGACCGTTCCCGTCCCCGAGAAAGGCGTGCCCAAAGTCAAGACCTCTGACGGTCCCAATGGCGCCCGTGGTGCCTCCTTTTCAGGCGATGTCACCGCTGCCTGCTTTCCCGCGGCCTGCTGTGTCGCGTCGACCTTTGATGTGGACTTGGCCCATCGTATCGGTGCTGCCCTCGCTGAGGAGACGCAGACCAAGGGGGCCCGTTGCATCTTGGCCCCGACCATGTGCATCCACCGTCACCCCCTCGGTGGTCGCAACTTTGAAAGCTTCTCCGAGGACCCCTACCTGACCGGCAAAATGGCCTCCCGAGTCGTGGCCGGATGCCAGGACAAGGGCGTCGCCGCGACCATCAAGCACTTTGCTGCCAACGAGCAGGAGACCGACCGTCTCTCTGTTGACGAGACGATCAGCGAGCGTGCCCTGCGCGAGATCTACCTCAAGCCCTTTGAGATGGCCGTGAAAGAAGCGAACCCCATGGCCGTCATGACTGCGTACAACCAGGTCAACGGCCACCACGCAGACTCCAACGAATTTCTCCTCAAGAAGGTGCTGCGAGGCGACTGGGGGTGGGACGGCCTCGTGATGAGCGACTGGGGCGGCACAAACTCGACGGCGGCGTCGCTGAACGCTGGCTTGGATCTCGAGATGCCTGGTCCGACGCGCTGGCGGAAGCCCGAGGCTGTCGTTGAAGCTGTCAAGAATGGTGAGGTAAGCGAGGCGACCATCGATCAGCGAGTTATACGCGTGCTGGGCTTCCTGAAACGCCTTGGTTGTTTCGAGGATGGCAGTATCCCCGATGAGAAGGCTATCAACAAACCGGAACACCAGTCCCTGATTCGCGAGGCCGGCTCCAAGGGCATCGTACTACTGAAGAATGAAAAGGAGATCCTGCCTCTGTCCCGGAACAAGGTGGCTGGCAAGAAGATCGCCTTGCTCGGGTATGCCAAGACGGGCATGGCTCACGGTGGTGGCAGCGCCTCTGTCAACGCACACTACCGCATCACCCCCTGGGACGCTCTTCATGAGGCTCTCGGCAAGGATGTCGAGTTCTCGTACGCCAAGGGTGCTCACACTTTCCGCTCACTGCCCTGCATTGACGACGGTGTTGTGGACCTCAGCGGCGGCAAGGGCTTCACACACAAGATATACGAGCCCGGTCGCTCCGAGCCCATTGAGGTGGAACACGGACACCCGAACAGCGACATTAGCGTACTGACATTCCGCACTCTTGACAAGTCCGCCACTCTCGAGGGCACCTACACCGCGCCTACGACGGACAGCTACTACTTTACCGTCTCCGGCCTTGGCCCAAGCAAGCTCCTCATCGACGACAAGCTCATTTACGAGCAAAAGGAGAACTGCCGCGACGCCATGGGCTTCCTCTTTGGCGGTGCGCCTGCCCCTGAGATCAAGGTGCCTCTCGTGGCCGGTCAGCAGTACAAGGTCAACATCTTCACGAGCCCACCGGCACCCCAGGAAGGGGTGGATCTTGGCATCTTCGCTGGACGCATCGGTCTGCGCACCGGTCACATGTCTGCTGCCGAGCACGACAAGGACCTCCTGGCCGAGGCCGTCGAGGTCGCCAAAGCCGCCGATGTCGCCGTCGTCTTCACCGGCCACGAGACATTCTGGGAGACCGAGGGCCAGGATCAGCAGTCCTTCCACCTACCCAAGGACGGTAGCCAGGATCGCCTGATCAGCGGGGTGGCCGCGGCCAATCCCAACACCATTGTTGTTAACTCAACGGGTGTCGCCGTGGCTATGCCGTGGCTCAATGAGATCCAGGCTCTGGTGCACACTTGGTTCCCCGGTCAGGAGGTTGGCAATTCCATCGCTGACATCCTCACTGGACGGCAAAACCCCGAGGGCCACCTGACCTGCTCGTTCCCCAAGAAGCTCGAGGACTGCCCCGCCTATGGCAACTTCCCGGGCGAATACGACAATGGCCAGCTCAAGGTCTCCTACAAGGAAGGTGTCTTTGTCGGTTACCGTCACTTTGACCGCCTGTCCCCTGACAAGGTGAACTTTCCCTTTGGCTTCGGCCTGTCATACACCAGCTTTGGCTTCTCAGACTTGTCCGTCCGCCCGGCGGGCGATGACTTTGACGTGGCTGTCAAGGTGACCAACACTGGTGGCGTTGCGGGCGCGACCGCTGTACAGATCTACGTGGGCAGCGCGTCGCCCTCCGCAGAGGACCCCATCAAGGCGTTGGCTGCTTTCAGCAAGGTCTCTCTCCAAGCTGGCGGGGCCGCGACGGTGACACTGAAGGTCACTGGTCGGGACATTGCGTCGTGGGATGAGAAGTCCTCCAGATGGGAAGTCAAGCAGGGCGAGTATAAGTTCATGGTCGGCAGATCAGCTGCCGATGTGGCTTTGGAGACTAAGATGGCCGTTGGGGCCAGATCATACGATCCTTGATTGCCAGATGTAGACAGAGCGAAACAATACCTGCCACTCGAGCACTGCATGAAAATTTGGAGTGTGTTGGTCGTGATGTCGAGTACCTTACCTTACCTTAGGAGAGAAGCGTGGAAGTACCTGCAGCGCCTTCGAATGACGCCACAGCAACTTGTCACTCTCCCCGGCCGTGGCTTGGGCGAGCCCGAGGCGGGTGGGGGAGGTGCTTGGTCGCACTTGCCTACCTTCAGGTCTATGGAAGCACCTAGAAAGTGCCCCACCAAAACTTCGTCGTCAATCCATGAAAGTGCCCGTAGAAGCTCAGGTTGAACTAGAAACTTTAAAGATCCCGCCTGTTTGCGTCCTCACAAAGTTTACGATACCCCATTTCAGCACTTGATACCCCTTGTAGTTTCCAGACAAGCCTACAAACAGACACAAACAGACACACAAAGCCAACAAACATGTCAGCCGACGAGCTCAAGGCAGCTGGCAACAAGGCCATTGCTGAGAAGAACTTCGACGAGGCCATGTACGCTCACCATCTAGACGTCTCTTCCCTGTTACCCAATACTGACGTAGAACAGTGCCAAGTTCACCGAAGCAATCGCGATCCAGCCCGAAAATCATGTCCTCTACTCCAACCGCTCTGCCGCATACGCCTCGAAACGTGACTGGGACAACGCCCTGAACGATGCCGACAAGACCACCACAATCAAGCCCGACTGGGCCAAGGGCTGGGGCCGCAAAGGTGCCGCCCTGCACGGAAAGGGCGATCTCCTTGGCGCCAACGACGCTTACACAGAGGGCCTCAAGTACGATGCCAACAACGCTTCGCTCAAGAGCGGGCTGGCGTCCGTCGAGAAGGCCATGCAGCAGGAGGCTGGTGGTGGCATGGGAGGTGACCCCATGGGCGGCATCGGAAACATGTTCAAGGACCCCAACCTGATCAACAAGCTGGCCAGCAACCCCAAGACTGCCTCGTACCTGAGCGACCCTTCCTTCATGACCAAGGTGCAGAAGCTGCAGCAGGGCGACATGAACGAAATGTCCGATATCTTCAGCGACCCCCGCATGATCCAGGTTATGGGCGTGGCCATGGGTGTCGACATGGAGGCCCGCGATTCCGCCCCCGAGGGTGCCTACGAGATGCCCACGGGCGACGCGCCATCGCAGCCCAAGCCTTCTGCGCCCAAGAAGGCGCCCGAGCCTGCGCCTGAGCCCGAGCCGGAAGACGAGGAGGCCATCGAGAAAAAGAAGCTCAAGGAGACTGCCGACAAGGAGAAGGCGCTTGGCACCGAGCAGTACAAGAAGCGCAACTTTGACGAGGCCATTGCCCACTACACTAAGGCGTGGGAGACGTTCAAGGACATCACCTACCTCAACAACTTGGGTGCCGCGCAGTTCGAAAAGGGTGACTACGATGCCTGCATCGAGGCCTGCAACAAGGCCATTGAGGAGGGTCGTGAGATCTACGCCGACTTCAAGCTCATCGCCAAGAGCTACGCCCGCATCGGCACCGCGTACGAGCGCAAGGGCGACTACGCTAGCGCCATTGACAACTACAAGAAGTCCCTCATGGAGCACCGCACACCAGACGTCCTGACCAAGCTCCGCGCGGTCGAGAAGACCAACGTCGAGGCCGCCAAGAAGGCCTACGTGGATCCGGAAAAGGCCGAGCAGGCCCGCGAGGAGGGCAACAAGAAGTTCAAGGAGAACGACTTCCCCGGCGCCGTCGAGGCCTACACGGAGATGGTCAAGCGCGCGCCCGACGACCCGCGCGGCTACAGCAACCGCGCCGCCGCGTTCATCAAGCTCTTTGAGTTCCCAAGCGCCGTCGAGGACTGCAACCTCGCCATCAAGAAGGACCCCAAGTTCATCCGCGCGTACATCCGCAAGGCCCAGGCCTACTTTGGCATGCGCAAGTACTCGGACTGTGTCGACGCCTGCACCGAGGCGCAGATGGTCGACATGGAGCACCACAACAACGCCAACGCCCGCGAGATTGAGAACCAGCAGCAAAAGGCCTTTTCGGCCATGTACTCGGCCCGTGACAACGAGACGGAGGAGCAGACTAAGGAGAGGCTCCAGCAGGATCCTGATGTAAGTTTTTCCTTGGACCCTCCATTGGCTTCAGATAGACAGTTCCTAACCACAATCCCAGATCATGGCCATCATGCAGGACCCCGTCATGCAGAGCATTCTGCAGCAAGCGCAGAGCGACCCCAAGGCTCTGCAGGAGCACATGCGCAACCCCATTGTCCGGACAAAGGTACAGAAGCTGGCTGCGGCCGGCGTCATCCGCATGGGCCGGTAAGATCGACGTTGCGGAGTAGGGCGTCGGGGCTGCCTGGCATGTAAAAGGTCTTTTTTTCTAGATACTAGTAATGCGATCATGAAGTTCAAAATGCTTTTTGCCAGTGTGGCGTTTTCATCATCTCTCTACTTGGGTGTAAGTGCTAAGAGAAAGGGCTTCCGTGTGTGCTTGTTGTAGGATGGTAATGGTCTTGGAAATTCATGATATCGTTTACATACTGTAATAAATCCTGGCAAGGCTCAACCTGGGGCACCCAAGCCCCGTGCCCAAAACGCGACACCAAACTCCTTACTCAAATAATGTGTAGAACAAAAGGAAACATCACTCTGGCTCAGTGAGCGCCGTAGAATCCACCCATGTGCTGGGCCTCCCACTTGAGGAAATCGCCCAAGTCGTGCTGCAGGTTATACGACAGGCCGTCCTTCTTGACGGCCTCTTCTTCATGCTGCTTTGTGGCCACCTTGTCGTCCTCATCGACCACCAGGGTCACCGGAGAACTACTGTCGTTGCGCTTGCGCGAGGCGCCATTCGAGACACTGCCGTCCTTGGGCTTGCCTTCCATGGTCCACCGCTTGAGGCCCTTGCCGCGGAAGAACTTTGTGGTATCGTAGTCGGCCTCGGGAAGATCGCCCTCGACTGAGGAGATTGAGCTGCGGCTCGACGATGGCGGGCTGGGAGGCCACGATTCGGGGACCAGCTGCCCGTGTGTCTCAAAGCCGAAATCAGCAAACCAGGTCTGCAGGTCATCCGCATACCTGGCGTCGCCCTCATCGTACATGTCCGGGAGAAATTCACCCGCGCCGAGGATGGCCATCTGGAAGGCTGTCCAATCGAGCGTCTCGTCCATGGTCTTGGCGCCGCGACCAAGATCACTCTTGGCAAAGGCAATGGGACCATGACGGAAACTTGGTACGGTGAGTGTGTAAGGCGTACTCTTGAGGTAGTAGAACTCGTCGTCTTCCTCCGCTTTGAGTGTCGGCGTGACGTTCTTGCGCTTCTTGCTTGGCGGGATATTGGGGAGCTCGGCGCAGGGCGGCGGTGTATTTCGCTTTGGGTGCTTTGGCGGCGGCATGGGGAACTCAGACATCTGAGTCATGGGGGATGGAGATCCGAGGAAATCAAAGGTAGCCAGACCGTCGTTCTCATCCTCTTCGTCGTCGGCCTCCTCTGCGCTGGACAGCTCAGGCTCTGTCTCCACGGTGTTCGTCCGACGGCGACGACGGCTTTCAGTGTTCTTAGCGGGGATCGGCGGCTTGTCCTCTTCGTCGGTGGACGTGGCCTTATCATCCACCGTTGCCAAAGCCGGCTCGGACGCGAAGAATGGATTCGCTGGAGAATCGGGCCGTCCAACGATCGACTTGGCGATGCTGCCCTCTGAAGCGTTCTTCTGATGACTCTGGGAGCGGCGAGCCGCACGAGGGGGAATGGCTGGCTTTGCCTCCTCCTCTGGGTTCTTTGAAGGCGTTTCTTTGGCTGGCTCCTCCGCGTCGTCTTTAGAAGTCGGTTTAGTTTTGGGGGTCTTTGGGCCACTGTAGTTCCTCTGTGTGTTTTTTGGAGGCACGGTAGGCCTGAGGCTCGCTTTGCGTTGGGCCTCTGCACGCTCCTTGTTGACTCGCTCAAGCTGCTCCTCCGTCAAGATCTCCTCCACCTCGTGTCGTTTGAAAACGCTCCCTGTGAGTAGCTCGGTGACATTTTCGGGGAGCGCCCACCTCGTCACCTTGGATGGTCGACGTTGCGGTGCGTTGGCGTTTGCGTGTGACTGGCTATGCTGCGCTAGAGGCTTGCGAATGGAGAGCGAAGGCTTCAATGAATGACCATGACTGCTCTTGGTGCTGTCGGCAGTCTTTGGAGTCTTTGCAGTCTCACGAGCTGATCGAAGTGCCGACGACCCTTGCTGTCGCGCTGATGTTTGCCCTGGCGGTGGGGGCGATGACTTCCGAACCTGGATCGGTGGAGGAACTGATCGCGACTTGCGACGCTCGGCCTTGAGCACCGAGTCTCGGCGGGAGCCGCGGCGAGGGGGGATTTCAAGAGGCGCCTCAGCTTTGGGTCCGCATTTTGTGTAATCTCCTTTGTTGCTGGCGGTGAGGGCCAACGGCCTCGGTGCTAGGGTGAGATCTGGATCTGAGCGTGATGAGAGGTCTTGTGACTTGGAGAGAGGGTTGATATCGAGCCCAGCGCCAACAAGGTCATTACCGACACTATCAAAGGCCTGATCTGTCTCGCGAATGAGCTCGCGGACGCCATCTGACCAATCCTTGAAAAGCTGGGTATCCATGTCGGGCTTGCCCTCGGTGCTTGGTTGGTCGAGGCTCACAGTTGGTAGAGTGGTGTCCGGTTTGCTCGCAACCTTGGTGTCCAAGCTGTTGTCGTTGTTTCTTTTCGATGCAGCTGAGTTGTCCGCTGATCCTCGGTGTGATGAAGAGGAGTCGAAGATCGACGAAGACGTAGGACTGGCCAGGAATGTCGCTGGTTGAGGCTTGTTCTGCTTCTTAGAAACATTGGTTTGAGGAAGAACAAAGTAGTTCACATGGCATTTCAGGTTGCCTGGTTTAGCACTGGCTTCGGAGCGCGACCTTGCATGGGAAGTTGTTGATGGGTGGACGTCATTCAGGGTCCTCTTGTCAGGGTCCTGCCTCTTGGCGGCGTCCAGCTTGGCCAGGGCTGAATCCAGCGCGGATGCGGAGCTGAGATTGGAAATGGAGGAAGCCCCTGCATTACTGAGGGCACTGGATGCCTCGGACGGCTTGCGCTGATGTGATGAGCCATTGGCGCCGGGTCGTGGCGAAGGCGCACGCTGGAGGTCTGAGTTGCTCCGGCCGTGAGCGGAAACGGGAACGGTGCCGCCAGACGTCGAGGATCGTCGCACCGGGGGGGCCAGCCATGTGGTCAGACGGCGCTTGATGGGATTCTTCTGGTCATCGTCGAAGAATGACGCACTGTCTTCTTCTTGGAAAGCGTCATCATCTTCTTGGTGAAGCTTTGTCTGGATGAGCTTGCGGAGAGAGAAAGTCGATGTCGTTGCTGCTGCCATTGCGACATCCGAGTCGTCAAAAGTGGGTCGCTGATGTTGTGGTTTTAGATACCCTGAATTTGTGTATGCCGGTGTAAGGGCGAGAAGGAAAAAGAACTTCGAGTCCGTGAAAGTGGTATTCGCGTAAGTGGTTCGTTTGCCAGATCAAATGTCGTAAAGCCCCGGGACAAATAGATGAGGGGTTGTTGTTCGGGTATTCACGAACAAAGAATGTGTTTGTCCAGTGCTTGAGTCGAAGACGTTGTTCCTAAGCGTTCTCTTTGGCCGCCAACTAAGAGATATCCATGAAATGAGGTTCTTCGTGCACGCTCGAATTTTATAGCATGTCACCTGGGCTGAACAAAACTCAGGTTGAAAGCTGTTGACAGGAAAAGGACAAAGGCGTGGAGGAAGAAGACGCCAGACTTAACATGGGATCCAGACACAGGAAGGAGAAATGACGATTCCTGGTCAGCGCGGAGACACATAATAGACTAGAATAGCACAGCCTGCCAGAGGTCAAAGATGGGCAGAGGCCCCTCCAGGCGAGGTGAGTGCCGAAGGACCCTGGGAATTACGAAGCTCGTAGGAATCGACCGGCGGTTCTGCATACCGCATCGAATCCCACCAACTGATATCGCTGATTCTTGTTTGGCGGTCTGGTGCGCGGGACCCGAGAAAGGCTACAACAGGCGCAAAGGACCCTTGTTCAGCGCCGTAGGGCGATCGCCAACGCCGTGAGGCTTCAGCTAATTAGCCTTAGACGACTGAGCACAAGCAACAGCTTACAGCACCTACTAATTCTTACGTACCCTTTGACAACTTAGACTAAGCGGTGATGCTTCCTCTCGGTGGATCCAAGGGTCTCCCAACTTGAATGCCGACAGGGATGAACATCCTCCACTCCATGTTGTGAATTGTGACGTGACTCGCCCAGCAGCGGAGTGAATGATTGGATTGTGACAGCCACCAGCTGGGGAGAATCCCTGCCAGGAAAGACCCCGACTCTGTGGATCGACGTTGTCGTCACTGACGCTCAATCCCTTGATCGACGACATCTTCGAGGTCGAGATGCTCACCGCGGGCTTTTGGCTGGGACTCGATCTGGCTCAATGAGGCCTTTCAACAAGATGCGAATCCCCCCATTTGGTCTTGGCTGTTTAGGGTCCATCCCGAGTTCAACTTGCAATTAAGCTGACGGGTCAGGGTCCAGAGATGGAGTCGGCAGGACCGACGTGTCCAGCGTTTTCCGGCGCGGATCGCACCACGAGTGGATGTTGATCTTCGCTGTCTTCGAAACAACAAGAAATCGAAACGCGGGAGTTGTTTCAAGGTCACAGCACGCGAATCTGCATGCGCACCGAAACTTGCACGTCGATAGAGTCGAATTTTCAATGCACGTGGCCGCAGAACGCTGATCAAACCGAAGTAATGCAGTGATTGCTGGCGATCATTCACCGTCGAATTCGTGTCAAGACTTCGAGCTCGGACTCGGGGTCCGCGGCGGGAAACATAAGTTGTAACGGTGCTCAGTGGTCGCCGTTTGACTTCCCTGGAGACATGAACGTTTCTTCTTGCGTGCTCACTTGGAGATATCTGCAGTACAATGTCGAAAAAAAGGCATGCAGGCACTGTTGTATATGAAGCTTTGATATTCCTTCAAGTCTTAAGGGTTTGACATAGGGTAAAAGGGCCCAGATGTTTGACAATAAGGCTCACAATGTAGCGCAAGAGCGTCATCGAAACGGCTTCTGAATCTCCAAGATCTTCTTCCATTATTCGACGCACAAGTCCAGCTTGCATACCGAGTTCGATCCTCCCTTATATCCCAGCCTTCCACCCGGACACCTTTCTCGCCCTTCCGACGTCGACACTCACAATTCTATACCGCCCTCCCCATCTTCATCGGCGCCCATCAGCCTTTCGTCCTCGTCCCAGTCCTCTCCCGCATCGCTGTCCTCGTCCAGCAGCAACTGCTCCTTCTCTTGCGCCTTCTGTCGGGCTTCCCTAGTAATCTTGTTGTTGATGCTCCCGCCCCAGCACATACCCAGAAGTTTGTGTACAGACCTGAAGAACCTCTTGGGTTGGCTGGGTTTGTTGCTCTGCTTGCCAGCTCGGCGGTCTGCTTTGAGAGTCGGCTTCACCCTGTCGGTACGGTTAAAGGCTGTAGTGGAGAACAAGTTGCTCATGATGTGCTGCTTGATTTGATGGAGTGGGATTGAAAAAGATGCCAAGAAGATGCAAGCCAGAGAAAGTTGTCCAGCTAGAGGCGAGAACTACTTATACCATAGAATGAACGTTGCCATGTCCTATGCCTGGCCACATTCCATCGTCCCGCTTTGTCTGAGGGGTTGGCCAAGAGGCGGCTGGTCGTCAGCATGGGTTGTCTGTCTTAAGCATTCCGCGGGTTGCGTGAAGCGTTGCAGAGTCGGCTGACGATACCATGTTTCAGCGGCAGGTTGTGGAGGCCAATCATTTGGCATGAACTGACCATTGGCTCGAGACATGCACACGCATCGGGGAGATTGGTGAAGAATTATGCCCTAAAGACAATGCTCATTTGTTGGAATCGTAAATGCTGGCCTCAAACAAGAGACAAAGATGCAACGAAAGGGAGTACAATAGTCATCTCGCCTTTGATGCCATCAATCTGACATCTCCAGATCGTCTTCCTCTCCCTGCCCCCCAGCCACATCGCCTTCCTCATCATCTTCGTACTGCACAAATGGCACGAAACGGAAATCAAGAAAACATTGTTTGTCGCCTTCCGTGACCACCATGAGCTGCAGATTGAGGACGCCCTGCCGATCACCTCTCAGACTGACCTTGCTCGCAATGCGCATCGCCTCAGTTGAGTTCTTGATAAAGTCAAATTTGAAGCTCTGCGACCAACGCTCTTGTATACTGAAGGTTTCCATAATCTCGCGACCCCGTGCAAAGTCAACGGCGGAGCTGCCGAGATCGCCCAGGCCGGCCAGGGTAAGAAAAGGCGCCGACTTGGATGTAGTGATGACGAGTTTCGTCGGGGCCGTGGGCGAGATTTCCGCAAAGGAGTCCAACAGCGACCGTGATGGCATGATGATCTTGAAAGCCATGTCGTTGCGGTCGAACGGTATCTCCTCGGGAATTTCGGGCACATATGTGGTCAGTGCCGCCGTTGTTTTGACACCAGCCTCTTCAATCGTCACCTTGAAGGAGTCGCCCTCCTCGGCGTAGAGGAGTGTGCAGGTTCCCGCCAGCCCAAGGGTCTGGTTGCTGAAAGCATCGGGGCGATAGTTTCGTAGGTTGCTGCGGTACGGATCTGCATCAGCCTTTTGCGCCCGAGCTGCCACATCGACTGCGCCGAAAATCTGGAGAACTTCTAACAGAGAGGCAAGGGGTATTTGGAAATTGACAGGCTCGTTGGCTTCGCCCTCTTCGGATACTGGTAGATTGACGCTGTACGTTTGAAACAGTGCCGAGTCGAGGAAAGAAACACCTGTATCGTCAGCACTCGCACGACCGAAAGCTTTTTGCTGCCGTACCTTGCATGACGCGGGCATGGTCGGCCGCAAATCGTATCCCCTGCTGGGTGATCTGGACGTGCACCCTCGGTGTGAAGTTAATACATTTAAGAAGCTGATATAGAGGCCGCGTGGACGTGGCCACCGCCTTGAAAATCGGCTGCGTCTCAGCTGGCATCGTTGCGAGAAGATTGCGGGCGCGAAAAGTGAAATCAACCGCTAAATGCGTTTCTTCGTTGAGCTAAGGTACGCCCTTCTCGTCCCACCAGTTCGGATCCAAGGGGGTTATCTAGACGTAGACTCCGACCGCGCAGAACATGTATACCGTGCCGTATCTAGTGATATCAGTTAAAATAGTATGAACGGGTCGGGGCGAGGTAACGAACGCGATGGCTAGAGATGCGGGAATGCCCAAGAGAGGCACGTTGGTAAAGGAGCGGTCTAAGGCAATTAGCAGACTGCGACTGAAGTGACGAGGCAAGAACATACTCAGTGCAAAGACACCAGTGAGTGAGATGCCAATCAATAGGAGAACAAAGGCGACGAGGAATTGAGTATTCTTTCCAATGGTTGGCAGGAAGGGGCTGCCAGCAGCGGCTTGCCAGACTTCGTGCAGCGAGGAATCCATGTGCACGCTTGGTGAAGCGGAATAGAGAGGCCCTGCTATTTGGAGGCGTCAGTTCAATGGTGCTGGCTGGGACACAATTGCTGCCTGGCCGTGGGGATCGGATATGTGGTGAGGTTGAGCTGAGCTTCGAATTCACGATGGGTCAGGTAGCTGCAACGCTGGCCCCAATTAGGACGATCCAAGTTTAGTCTAGCGTGGAGAAACGCGGCCTGGGGGTTTGGGCCGACGTGTTAGCATTATGTAAGCCGGCGGCCATCGCCAAGTGGAACCCCACGGGCCCCGAACTCCTACGTCCGATCCACCTTCCTGCATCACCGCATCGATTACAGCAACGTCCTCATCATCACCACATACGCGCGCACATCCCGACTGATATGGAGCTCGATCAGCCAATGGCAGACATGGAGCTAGCTCAATCTATGGCAGACAGTGCGTCTCTTTTCATTCATGGGTCCGCGATGATGCTAAATTTCTCCAGGCAACAAGCGCAAGGCTACCGAGCCCCCCGAATCGCCTTCTGCGGCGAAGCGCGTTAAGCATGGCGAAGTCGAGGACACCCAAGCTGTCGAGAAGAAGGGCAAGGAGCCTATGAAGAGGATTCCATTCCCAGAAAAGGTCTGGATATTCATCATTCGAGATATGACTTATACTGACCGTGAACAGCCCGCAGTTATCGAGGAGCGCAATGGGGAAATAGAATTTCGAGTTGTCAACAACGACGGCGAGCAGGACTCACACATCATCTTGACCGGACTCAAATGCATTTTCCAGAAGCAACTGCCTAAGATGCCAAAAGATTACATCGCGCGACTCGTTTACGACCGAACACATCGATCGATTGCCATTGTCAAGAAGCCTCTCGAAGTCATAGGCGGCATTACGTACCGACCTTTCAAGGGCCGCCAATTCGCCGAAATCGTTTTCTGCGCCATCAGCTCGGACCAGCAAGTCAAAGGGTACGGCGCACACCTCATGGCGCATCTCAAAGACTACGTCAAGGCATCTAGCGACGTGATGCACTTCTTGACATACGCGGACAATTACGCTATCGGTTATTTCAAGAAGCAGGGGTTCACCAAAGAGATCACGCTCGAGAAGAGAATATGGATGGGATATATCAAGGATTACGAGGGCGGAACCATTATGCAGTGTACTATGCTACCCCGCGTCCGCTATCTTGAGCAGGGCCGCATGCTGCTGAAGCAAAAGGAGTGCATCCTCGCCAAGATCCGGGCTTACTCGAAATCACACATTGTGCACGCGCCGCCCAAGGAATGGAAGAACGGGGTCAAGCCTATCGACCCTCTCTCTATTCCGGCCATCGCCGCGTCCGGCTGGTCTCCTGATATGGACGCGTTGGCCAGACAGCCACGCCACGGACCCAACTACAACCAGCTCCTTCACCTTTTGAACGACATGCAGAACCACAACTCCGCCTGGCCGTTCCTTGTGCCTGTCAACCGCGATGACGTGGCCGACTACTACGACGTTATTAAGGAGCCTATGGATTTCAGCACAATGGAGAGCAAGCTGGAAGCGGATCAGTACTTGACCCCCGAGGATTTCATCAAGGACGCCAAGCTCGTGTTCAATAACTGCCGCAAGTACAACAACGAGAGCACTCCGTATGCCAAGTCCGCCAACAAGCTGGAGAAGTTCATGTACGCCCAGATCGAGGCGATTCCCGAGTGGTCCCACCTTGCAACATCCAAGTAGCGCGACGATCAAGGGGTGGCTCGCCACCGTCAGCAGCGAGCCACGGGCCCAACGTGGAAATACGTGGAATCAACCTCGCCCACGGGGACCTTGGAAGGGATCTCGGACATTAGGTCCGAACATGTGCAGGCCCAAGGCCGGCGCCTGAATTCCGGGTTATGAAGCGGACGATTTGTATGATTGGGTTGCTTCAATTTGAGCGCGGAGTTCCGGTTACTTTTGAGTATATTTTTTTCGCCTTTTGGAATACCCCGAACAGTGTTGTCAGTCTAGAAGCCCATCACTGTTCTAATAAAGAAGCCTATGATTTAACTGTGCCAAAGCTATCACTCCTCGTCCGACGCAGCACGTCCCTGGTGACGTCTTGCAGCTATTGTCCTCGAGAACTCGCGCTCGAGGATATGTAGAGTGTTTTCGACGTCCTATTGCCCGTTCCGCCACGATACTATGGTAATGGTTCATTGACAATTTCACATGCACGTTGCTAAAGTTGTTGGCGTTGCAAGAATCGCTCCAGCAGGGCAGCGTTGGCTCGGGAGGAAAGGAGTTTTAAACGCCAGTGATGATGGATGGTGTCTACCAAGATCCCGGCCATACCAGCGTTGAGGGTGCCAATTGGAGATTCCGAGCTCATCAGCTACGCACGTACTATCATATTTAAGTAGTATGTAACACCTTGCCGCCATTGCGCAATCTCGCATAAGCGCGTTATGGGCCCCAACCTGCCTCGGGATTACAGCTCTTGGAGTGTGAAATATATTGATTCATCCCAGATATTGTCTGCTGCTTGTGTCGTATGATTAAGGTTAAGGTGATGGTGGGTGGCAGGCAGCATTCTGGTGAGAAAGCCGCCAATTCCGGGCGCTGGATTCGAACAATGGCGCACGGATCCAGCCGGACAAGGCAGGCATATTCCCCTTTTGTCTAGCGCCGCGAATGGCGGCCTAGAGGCTAGCCCTGACAGCGATCCACCCCCTCCCCCCAGGGCCCCAAGAGTCAAGACCCCGCCGTGAGTCCGACGTGACAGACTGGCAATTCAACGCTCCTTTGTTGAAAGGAGCGCATTATACTCTTTGCAAGTCAATAAAGATCCCTCTTGTGGGTTTCTGCGTACCTTACTATATAAAGCAATTTTGAATATCTTGAACAGTAGCGCGGTGTCTGGTCGTCCAGCGCAGAGCTAACACGTAAGGTGTCGCGCTTCGAAAGCTAGAGCCACGAAGTGGCATTGTGCATTGTCGCGTTATCTAACAGTTGGCTGACGAAACGTGCTTGGGCTCGTGCTCCGTACTGCCGACGACTAATACCAAGGTGTGACAGTCTGCATCGTTGGCTGCAGTCTGCTTCATTGTTCATCGGCAGGCAGCGTTAGGGGCCGACCTCACAACTATTAATAATAAGACCCTACCTCACCGAGTGACCCCGGTGCACTCGCCCAGCCGTTGTTTCTTCTGGCGACACATCCCTCATCTTTGCACCAACCAAACCTCTCCCTTCAGAATCTGATCATCCTGTTGGGCGGTATTTTGTAGAATCCCATCGAGTACTTTCTCAACATACCACCAAGTGTCAGCTCACCGCGGGGGCGACCATTGCAGGGCAGCTGACGCTCCTGTCTCGTTGCCTGGGCCGCAGTACGCGCCAACGTCGACGACGCTCTGTTACCAGATTCTAGCCCGCCCTTGATCAAGGCCTGGCCACGCCGCTCGACCTGCATCCTGTTCATTTCTCCTCAGCTCCTTCTCGTGGGGAGCCCATCACGCTGGTCATTTGGTCGCCGCTGCAGCCATGAAGGGGCCATCCATCGAGAACCTAGTGTACCTCCGACTTTTCCCCAAAGCAGGCCCCGCCGACCCTCTGTCGTTTCAAGAATTTGTGACGCGCCACTTGCAACCAGAGGTGCGCGAGGAGTCGGAGGCCTTCTATGGCCACCTACTAACGGACGAGGCGAAACATCCCGGCCTCGACTATACTTCACACAGCCATCGTCGGCGTCTGCAACGTTTCAAATGGCACCGACGTCTCTTCAGAGCCTTTAATGCCCTGTCACTGACGCCGGGCGAAATACTGCGCCTTGCTACGTGGGAAGGCACGCTCTGGTCGAAACGCTTGTTTGAGACAGAGCATGGTATTGTTATTGAGGACACAACCAATATGAGTTTGCCAACATGGGACGACGAACTTGAGCGAGCTGTTTGGCTGCCTGGCCACGGACCTGATGTCGGCTCGGTGCCCGATGACGATGACATGGACGACGAGGACGAGGATGAGGATCTGCACACGCCTCCAGTCGGAACGAGCCCACCGGCAGAAGTGGAAGAGCTACTGGCCGCAGTGGAGGAAGCGGAATATGCTGAGGAGGAGTCCTCGTCTACTGCCCACGAGGGTGATCATGGTGACGGTGGTGATGACGACTTGGACGATGACGATGACGAAGAAGCTCTGCTCAGCATAGGCGAGGACCTGAATGCGCGCCTTCGCGAAGCTGTGGCCCGTAGGGAGGCAGGAGACAACGTCACCACCATGGACGAAGACTGGGAAAGGTGGCTCAAGATGTTCATCGACTCAGGCCTGTTGAACGACAACATGTCAGACAACGAGTTTAGTCAATTCATCGAAACCACCATCACGCCTGCCGGGCTGTTCTCACGGGAAATCATGGAAGCTGGGCGGCAGAACCGCTGGGACCAGGTCCCGGTATACTTGCATAGATTGCTGAGGAGGGCCCTTCGCTTGGAGCGCACTGGATACTGGGAGTTCTGGCCTCGCGGCTTGCATGCCATTCAGCCTCGACGGTCATGGTCCCAGCTGTTGCCACAGCGTGCAGATGGCCCGGCGCCTACTGCGTGATCAGGCCAGAAAACAAACAGCGCAAACCAGCAGGGGGTCTATTCTGGGGTCATTGGGCAGGCGTTTTCATGAGCAAGGCAAATATGACATTACAAGGAATCCTTATAGGGCGGACTACACATAGACTAACGGTAATGGGATCTGGCATCCCTTGATGATCATGAAAAACGAGTCACCTCGGCATTGGAACAGAGCCTTTGACCCAGAATCGTGACGGGGAGCTTTGCTTTTGGATGAAGAGAACGCGGATCGAGCTGCAGTGCTGTGCCGCATGCGCTTGTGCAAAGGGTGTAGGTGCCTAAGACGAGCCAGGAGTCGAGGGGTCCCAACGTCTGCGACTCAACACACAAGCTTCTCCCGGAGTAACAAACGATGGATAAGAACTGGACATGATGAAAATCACTGCCAGGTGCAAAATGCTTCAGAGGGTAAGTTGATGAGTGTATTGGGAGGTGGCCCACATGCCCACTGATACTGCACTGTATCTGAAAGAAAACGCCTGCTCCATGCTTGGAAGATCACCCGCAACATACCTTATGTTCGTACCATCATAATCCATCCATCGCTTCCATGCCATTCATGTATACACCGGGTCGGCTGGGTATCGCCTTCCGGTCACTCCGGTCATAGGGCTGGTGGAGCCGCCCTCGTTGGGTGAGCGCCTGTCATAGCGTCTCCTGTCGTCCCGAAACCTGTCTCTACCACGGGGGTCAAAGCCAGCTTGATCCCGCCGACGGTCGATATCGGCATGACTGCTCGTCCGTCTGTAGACCTCGGGCCTGCGGATGCTTGGTCTGTATCTGCGACCGCCCGAGTCTACGTCATCGTCTAGTTCGCGGTCTAGCTCATACGGGGGCGGCCTTGCTTTGTAACCGTCTCGTACCCTCTCGTCCTTGCGCCTGCGTCGGCGTAGATCCTCGCCGCTCGTCTCTGGCTCGGATGTTTCTTCCGAGTCAATATCTGAGAAACCCCCTCGCTGGGCCCGAGATGCGAGCGGTGGTCGTTGTGGACTCCGCCTTGGACGGGGTGAATCGGCGTATGAGTTCTGTCTCGAGTCGGTCCTTGGCCGCTCTGCGGGGCGACTAGACCCGAAAACACCAGAGACCTTTTCACTTATCATCCCTCTAAGACTGCCTAACGGGCTATTGTTGCTGTGTCGTTTCAAGCCATTACCCTGCGTTTCGCCACGCTGCGACCGCGAGGGTCTAATGCTCGAAGAAGAGGGCGGCGGGTACTTTCTGCCCGGCTGCGGACTGGCTTGTCGTCTCCTTACTTGATGGGCCGGCTGCGGCTCGCTTTCAGACTCATCCGTATCGTAGGGTCGAGGATGGCTATGGCGTCGAGATCCGCTTGTGGGGCGCTTTGCGTTAGGGTCAAGAAAAGGGCCTGATGCGTACGTATTGGAATGTGAGCTGCCAGGTGTTCGATCTTGAGATGGCGACGGATAGTCAGAGAAGCTCTTTCGTCTCTCACGATCATCAGGCGGTGGCTCCCGATGCTCTCGCTGGGGCGAGCGCGCAGGCACACGCACGCCTGGAGGGTTTGCGCTTCTTCCTGGCACGTGGCTGTAGGTAAATGGTCTCGCGCGCTGAGCGCCTGGACGCGCATGCTGGCGTTCTGACGACGAATTCGAATGGTTGACATGAACGTAGGCATATTTAGGCTCGGTGAATTCGGGACGGTCTGATGCCGGCTTCGTCCTGCCTGGCTTTGGCTCCGGTGACGTCTGGTCGTCTGTTGCGCCTTCTTTCGCTGCCGCCTCGTTTAGCTGCGCAGCGCAGTGCTTGTGCCACCGGTCGACTTCGGCGTCTGGCTCTTGAGGGAACACTGTCCTCGGCAGGTTGGGTGGGAAGGGTGCACCTGTTTCAGGGTGCTTCAGGTTGAAGTGTTTGACCGCGTATTGGAGGAAGGGAACGTGTTCGTCCGGACCGAGGAGGATCTCGAGTGACTCCCAGCGGCAGAAGCCCCTAGGTGTGAGAGCAGGTATCGAAGGTGGCGCAAAGTCGTCGTCGGTTGGGTTGAGACTGTGTTGGCAGCCCGTGATCTGCCACATCCAACTTATCGACTTGTGCTCGTTCTGGACGAACAACGCTGGTCGTGACTGTCAGCTGCGGCTCAACGTCTCGAGCGATGCGCCTACCATCATAGTCGCCGCCGACAGCCTTGTAGAAGGCGGCAAGCTTCGCTGGCGTCAGGGTGTACTCGGTCTTGTCGCCAATTTCGAGGGCCTGGAGAAAGTCAGCGAGTTGCTGCGCGAGAAGGTCAGTCGTGGTGCGCCTGACGTACAATGTGACGAGCAATGGCTCTCAGGAGCGCATCGAGCTGCTCTGTGGGACTCTTGTCCTTTTTGAACATGTACTCATATTTGATCTCGGGCCCCTTTGCGGCGTTTTGAGGCGGCGCCTCCTTGCTCGCGGTTGTAGGCGTGGCCATGGTAATATGCTTCGTTGGTGGCTGACATCAGTCGCGGGGTATCGTGATGCAGCCGATATGCGCCCCGCGATGGAATCCTCGAGATGCAGCACGGTCGGAGAGAGCATCCAGTAGCTAAATTGAGGGAAGAGTAAAGCGAAGCAAAGATGAGCTCAGATGATGTGCAGGACGTTGGGAATGATTCGATCGGGCGTCGGAGTGTGGTGGCACAGATGGTTGTCTGAAGGGATGCAGGCAGCTGGCGGCGGAAGGCGGCAGATTCACAGGCAACGACGCTTAGTGAACTGAACCGGGCAGCGCAAGGTCCTGTCACCTTGAAAGGGCTGACTCAACTACCTGGTAGACGCTGTTGGTCGCGATGACAATTGCACCGTGACAAGGTCGAGGTGGGCTGACTCCTCGCATAGTACGCACGTGCATGCGCTGCTTGAACAAGAGAAGGAAGGTCTGGTCTGCTGGCCTTCACCGCCTGCTATTGGGTCGCTGGGCGCTGCAGCCATCCGCGCGAGAACGACAGAGGCGAAGCACCTCGTTGGATCCCTGAAATTCCCGTGACATTGGTCGGAGCTCAGCTTGTTCGCCATCCGGCCCAGGCTGCTCAGCTCATTGTGCCATCTCAATGCGGCATTGGGGGCTGATAGAAGCTTGATTCTGATTTCAGCCCAAGCTCGGGTTGCAATCAGGCCGCCATAGCCAAGATAAGTAGATACTGGATACCCCACAGGCTACGACCCGGGCCACGATAATAGTTCCACCTTTTTCATTTGGTTCTTCTGAAGTTCTGATGACGTGTGTCGACTTTAGTAGCCGAGATAGTACCAATCCAGTGTTTCGAGAGCTTTCAGGGGGGCACATAGATGCATATCGGGCACAGTGGGCGAATGTGCTGAGGAGCAGAGCAACGACAGGCTGATAATAATCATCTATGTATAGGGTTGCACCCCGGCATATACCTTTCATGTTATAAAACATTGAAACCTCATGTCAATATCAACAAATTCCATCTTATCAGCTACAGGGTAAGCCAAGTTCCGCCAGCTTCAGTCACCAAACTGCCTTGTGTCATGTTCCCGGTCCGTTGTGATTCAAGGTACTTTATATTGATACATGACTATGTAAAGAGCTCAGGAAAGTGTGAGAAATTGACCAACGAAAGTCAGGCCATTATTTGATAGCTACTGGCCGGCTTACTTACAACCGGAACCTTACAGAGCTTGACTTACACGGACCATCAAGCGCGCGTAAGTTGAACCCCACATCAGTTAAGCTTTTACCAAACAGGTCTCACCACGCTGTCACAAATCCCATCGCGCCCGAATTTCTTGACATCACCTTCACCACTCGCAACAACCTTCCGCAGTCGCATCGCATCGCACGCGCGAAAGTCTCGGCAAGTATGGACGCCCTCCGATCGGCCGTGACGCCCATCACCCACAACCTGCCCGCGCCCATCCGCGACCTCGGCGAATCCCTGATCGGCGCGCACTGCTACAAGACGCTGCTCCTCGATGTCGCGCTAGACGACCAGGCCTGCCTGAAGCTCGCGATCAGCAAGGGGCTCGGCATTGGAATTGTGGCTGCCTCGTCCATTGTCAAGGTCCCACAGATCCTCAAGCTTGTCAAGTCGCGCTCGGCCGAGGGTGTCAGCTTCCTCTCGTACTTCCTCGAGACGACAGCGTACCTCATCACGCTCGCATACAACTACCGAAACGAGTTTCCGTTTAGCACATATGGCGAGACAGCTCTGATACTGGGACAGAACGTTGTCATCTCGGTCCTGGTTCTGAACTACAGCGGAAAGGCTGGCCTGGCGGCCGTCTTCGTGGCCGCCCTCGCCGCTGCGGTTGGCGCGCTGTTCACGCCCGGTGTGCTCGACGTCAAGGCCTTGAGCTACCTCCAGGCCGGCGCGGGCCTCCTGGGCGTTGCGAGCAAGGTCCCCCAGATTGCTGCCATTTGGTCGCAAGGCACGACTGGCCAGTTGAGCGCCTTTGCTGTGAGTGACCTTGTCGTGGAGGACTGCACCCAAGCTAATTAATACCAGGTCTTTAACTACCTCGCCGGATCGCTCACCCGCATCTTCACCACTCTACAGGAAGTCGACGACAAGTTGATCCTGTACGGCTTCATCTCCGGGTTCGTCCTGAACCTGATCCTGGCCACGCAGATGATCTACTACTGGAATGCGCCGTCTGAGAAGGCCAAGGGCAAGCGCAGGGCGGCTCCCATCCAGGCTGCGCCCTCCGCCACTTCATCAGGGGCTTCCAGCGGGACGCCCACAAAGAAGGGTCCCACCACTCGACGAAGGGGTTAAATCGTTCTGCACCCCATAATTGTATGCCTTTTAATCATGGGGAGATAGTAATATGGCTTCAATTCATTCTTGCTTAACGCAATTATTGTTGTACACGACCCAATTCACTGATGCCATGCTGCTGACGTCGTAGTCCAAAAGTGATGCATATACCCCAAAACTCCATGCCAAATGATAGGTACGCCGACCGAATGACCCATCAAAAACAGAATTCATAGCATCTCGACATCCTGTGATACTGTCGGAGTGAAGCTGAAGAGGCGGCCAGGGGGCTTGGCAGGGCCAGACCACGTTTGCCGCTTCGCACACTTGAGGCACCGCCTCTCCGCGCCCAGGTTGCTGATGGAACAACTCTGGCATACAATTTTCGCACATTCAATGCAGGATGGGTCCTCTGTGTCTTCGACATCCATGCCTTGGTCACCGCCACCTAGACTGGTGCCGCAGTCATCGCAGCATGTTGGGAAGGATGGCCGTCGTTCGACGGATGGTGATGGTGTGGGAGCGCTGCGGATGTTCCAGAACCGATGGAGCGATTCGTTTGCTGAGGGAGGATGGGAGTCTGTCATGGGTGTTGATGACTGACGAATGGGTGCGGTCTGGGACGAGGTCTGCTGCGATGCGCCAGCGTAGAGCATCCCCAGAGTACGTTCTGCGGGTATGATGTCAGTGGGTGCTGGGTGTTGCTACAGAGATCGAGCATACGGTGAACCAGATTGTCCGAGGGCCTGCTGTTGCGAAGGCGTTTCATGGTACGCCCGTGGTGGCCGGGTGGAGAGGCCATGTCCATGGAGGACATGGGGCTGGCGCGCGAAGGGGATGGGGACGACGACGAGGTTGATGAGCACATCTCAGATGAGGAACGCTTCCGCTTGAGAAACATGATGCTGGGATCTGGACGCGATGTCGAGAAATTGATGAAGGCCGCAAATGTATCGGATATGCTAGGATGCTGGCGTGCAGAAAGATCAATTGACAGCTTGGATTAAAAATTGATGATTGCGAAGATGGACGGGAAGGATGAGGTTGGTCGACGGATCACATGTATCCGCCATATATCATCATGGGTCCGTCCCTCTCAACGCGTCGCACGCGCGACGGTCCGCGGTGCCGCGTTGAGTGGTGCATACCCAAGGTCCACAAAAACCGTGGACTAACAATCTTGGGGCGTTTTGCGCTTGTTTCTGTTAGAGGAGCTTGTCGCGCCAACATTTGTTGATCATTCCCTCCACTGGGCATCTCCTTTTCTCGCAAATCCGCCCAGGATGACTTCGGAGCCGCAGCTTTCTGGACGGAGGATTCAAGTCATTGAGGTTACGGGAGCAGGAAAGGTACATTCAATTCTACTCCTGCATAAATGTCAATGTCACGTCACTGTATCTGTACTCAGTACGTACGAATCTAATGCCGCACCCTGATGCTAGAGTACTTTGGCACGACGACTAGGCAAACAGCTTTCGATACCGGTATGCGAACTAGACTCTCTCTTCCACAAGTCCAGAGCCGGTGGCGCACTATCGGAAGACGACGCCCGACGTAGCATCCAGTCCAGGCTCTGGTCGAGTCAAACGACGAGTGTATTCTGGACGGCAAGTACGTTTGTTGTGGTTCCCCCTGAGGGATTCATGCTCAATTGAGGCACAGTCACTGGGTTCAATTGGAAGGACGTATCCTACAGCATAGCGACAGGTATCATTTGTAAGATGAGGTTCATCGTCTGCGCGACTGCTCCCCTGCTGATTTGGTATCCTCGTTTGGCACAGGGATTGATACACCACTGCCATTGACACTATGGCGTGTCATTACTCGCACCATCTGGGGTACATACCTCTTCCCCTTCCGACTCCCCTGCAAAGGGTCGCTGATGGTCAATTCGTACTGACTGTCGAGTACAGAAGTGCTGACCATTCCCGGCGTTCTATAAAGGGAGCTGTTAGGTGATAGCTTAATCGCAATGTCACTCCGAGTCCGAGCGAAAAAAACACGCTAATTGGAGCAAGCGTGTCGAAACAGATTCCAGGTGGAAACGATTAAGCGGCTGGTACGGCCGTGATCGCTTCCTGGCAAGAGTGAGAGATACGCTTCGAGCATCCTAGGAACTCAACGACCTGTGATGCATTCCGTAGTGGCAAGTAAATGCAGAGAATTACTAGTAGGCAACGTCAAGACGTGGAAGACATGGAGCCCCCGAATACCTGGTAGGTACCTACCTACCTACTTCCCACTTGGCTGGCAGTTTTCCATTGCACTTGCCAACCATGCTCGAGGTGACCGGCATCGCTTGCTACTATGCCAGGTAAGTTCAGGCGATCAAGGGCTGACAAGCAACAGAAGCTGAACATTCCGACACCAAAGAAACCAGGAGAAACGCTCTGGGCCTTGTTGTTTACTCAAACATTACTTCTAATATCTTTATCCTGGTTGCAGCAGGCCTCCACCACCCGCTCCAGAGTCCAACCCTCAAGAACTAGGAGCCGGCATGCTCCAGACTTTGCTCACCCTGCTCGATTCCAGGCGGCAAGTTCCCCCGACAGGAGACGCTTGTACTGCCATACACAAGGGCGTGGAGGAATAGATGTTCGACACGTCCCCCAGTAAAGGCAGATACTTGTTTCCCATTGCGAATGCAACGGAATGCCTTCGACAACTCAAGTACGACAAGCAGCGAGGACGCGCGTTCCTACAGGAGCTTCCCAAGTATCTCCAATTCCACTCAACTCTCGATCTCCTACGCGACACTCCCGAATCCCCACGAGAGACATCCGACTGGCATAATCGTCCCAGTGTCGATATTCTGGGAGAGCTCGAGTCTATGCAGGATGAAGATTTCACGGACCAGTGGCAGTTTGACAGACGTGTCTACTCCGTGATCAGGCATGCGCGTGACAGTCACCTTGAGCTTTCTCTCTGCTCGATGGACATATTCCGGTTCCATGTCATGTCAAATGGGCTAGTTTCGGTTTCAGACAATGGGACAAGCCTCCCCGAGGTGTACTTTGTCGATGATATTGAGGCTCTTGAGGAAGGCCAAACGCAGATATCTCCGATCGCTCGGATCAACGGCGAGGACGTTCGCATCTTCCTTGAGCGTTTGGACAGCCCTGTACCTGTCCGGCAAGATCCAGACGCCCACTACAACAGCTTGTTCTTTTCGTTTGCTTCTGAGGCCGCATCGTGGCCCCTGAAAGGTCAACTGGTCCATCTCGGGCGTTTCGAATTCGGCGCAGAATCACTCCATTTTGAATTCCATAACGGCTCAACTACCGCGTTGCCGATTGTGGCTTCAGTGATTAGCCCCGGCCAATTTCTTGTCGATGGTCTCGATAGCCAGACTCTGTATCGTAACAAGTGTCTCCCGGATGATCCGTCGCCCATACCCGATCCTCCACAGGAACCAGAGGTCGATCGCATCGAACAAGAAGCACTGAGTCCCATCGATGGGCACCCAGAGCCGTCTTTCCTAGACAACAACGATCAACCAATAAGCTACAACCTAGATCATGACACGGTGATATTGCATATACCCGTCTTCTCGCACATATTCATCGACCCTAGCTATCGGACCGCCGACGCAATGGCAGACTATGTCAACATCATCTCACTCGCCCTTGACGAAGGCCGAACCAAGCTCATCATTGACATAACTGGCAACACTGGAGGGGACGCAATGAGGGCTTACTATCTGTTCAAGCTGCTGTTTCCTGACAAGGTCCCTTACACTGCCTGTCGTGTGCGCCGAAGCAAAGCACTTGATATGATCACCTACGCAGGCCAGCTAGGGAACAAGAGCGAATTTGATCATGCTTCCCTGCTCCAATACTTGAATTACCCTCACCTTGCCACCCCAGATCTCGAGGAGGGATTTGCCGACATTGGTGCGTTTCTGGGAGGCGAGAATGCCCCTTTCAGCAGCCCCTATTCACCATTCAGCTATTCGAGCCCTGCCTATAATGGCCCCCACAGGGACAAGGTGCTCCAGTTACAGGAAATAATAGGGCGGCTGCATGGTGTCACGCCATTCGATCCCGCCAATATACTGATCGTTGGAGACGGGAACTGTGATTCGGCATGCGCCAAATTCGTCGACTTGATGGTCAACGTTGCTGGGGTCAAGTCTCTGGTGTTTGGGGGCGCACCGCATCGCGAGCCTATGCAGATCATTGGGGGCACACGTGGAGGTAAGTTGATGAAATTTCCATGGATTGAGCTCGACGTGAGCATTTCGCTTTCCCTGTTAGGAGCTGCCCGAGGGCCATCTGACGTCCAGGAGTCACGCGACAACTTGCCTGTACCCCTGGATCGGCTACCCCTGAAATTAGGTAACGGCGTCAGCTGCATCAACTTGGAGAATGTCTATCATCGAGTTGACGAGGAGGTCCCGCTGCAGTTCAAGTATCAGCCCGCCGACTGCCGTCTGTTTTTTACAGCCGAGAACATCTTGGACCCGGCCACAAGGTGGACGGCAGCCAAGAATGCACGATGGGGTGACGGAAGCTGTGTGGCCGGAACACCCAACTTCACGCTACCCCAACCATCCACCACATTGCTCAGTAACAGGCATCATCCCTCAACTAGATCCAAGGATACAAGACCTGCTGCGGCGGGACTTCAGTCGCGGCGAGCTGGGATAAGGCGGGGCACCAACAGAACGGATTACGAGCATATGCCAAATGATACGCGAACAGTGCTGGATAGTGTCCAGGGGCATCCTCAACGTACAGACTCGGGGCAAGGCCCTGAAGTGCGTAAGAACGGCCCCGGAGTGGTGTCCACGTGGGTGTGGGTGGTACTGGCTGTGACTGGCGCGTTCCTGCTTGTCACTATGAGTGCCATGCGCATAGCAAAGGTTTTGAACGGAGGTGATGCGTGGTGAGATTTCGTCTTTTGTGGGTGGAATTGGATTGCCTGACTGGACCGCACATGTCGAACCCTTCACCTCAGGCACTTATATACTTCGCATAGCTTTATCAACAAGCTCTACAATGCATATCATGTCTCCGCTGGATGAACCTACTCAGAGCCTGCTTTTCGGCTCCTCGCCATCTCGGTTCACCAGGGTATGAAACTCTTGGATCAGCTTCCTGATGTCGGGGTCACCTTGTGGCAGGACCTGAGTCATGAACAGGCCGCAAATACCCTTCTTCCGATCAATGAACTGGACATTGTGTGTTAGTCTTGCCTCTCAAGTTTCAAACCCTGCATCACGGACTCACCCAGAACTGATTGGCGGCTCCTCCCCATGTCATTGTTGCCTCTTCTTGCTTGATAGAGCCTGTGTTGTTCGAAGCTGTGTTGATGAGCAGGCCACCCAATCCCCAATCGTAGACCTCCTCGGGACTGTACTCCCCTAGTGTCCACGTTGGCTCTTTCATTGACGCTTCGAGAGCGTGTCTGGACCCTTGTGGGAGTTGTCCCTCGAATATCATGTCCACCGTCTCCCTGCGCAGTAACGTGCCATCATTCACCAACAGAGCGTGCAGGAGCTTCATGAAGTCATTGGAAGAGCAGAAGGCACCTTGGCCACCGAAGCAGTCCTCGGCTCCCTGGTTGAACGGGAGTCCGACGACAGGCAGCTGCCTGAGTTTCCCTGTTCGTCGCGACCTTGCGATCATGGCGGCCAGGTCGTGGCCCGTGTCTTTCAGGGACTGGGGCCAGAAGGTGAAACTTTGGACGCCAAGGGGCTTCCATAGATGCCTCTTGAAGTACTCCTCCAGACTCAGGCCACTCAGGCTCTCGACAATCTTGCCGACCCAGTCGAGCCCCCCGCCGTACACCCAGCCCGACTCTCCTGGCTCCGTGAGCAGGGGTAGATTGAAGCGCTCGTCCACTGTTGCGCCGTGACTTGGCTTAGACCCCCTGTGCTTGTGGTAGCGTTGCAGCTGCTCGTCGTTGAAGTCGTACGAGACTCCAGCGCAGTGTGTGAGGAGATGTCGCAGTGTAAGCGGCCCGCTCCTTGGCGTCAAGATGGGGGTACCATCGTCGTTCCAGCCAGACAAGACCTTCTGTCTTCCCAATACAGGGACAATCTTGGACACATCATCGTCCAAGGCGATGAGACCCTTCTCGACGAGCTGTAAGGCGGCGACTGTCGTGGGCAACTTGGTGAGTGAAGCCAGGGCGTAAACGGTCTGGTCGCCAATAGGCTTCTTGGCGGAGGTCTGAAAGACGTTCCTGTCGACGTTTAGTGAGATGATGTGAGAGCCTAGAGGATCGTAAGCGACGGATGCATGTGTGCACATGTAGTGTCTCGGTTGTTTCATCACATACCGTCGCGGCGCTGGGCAGAGACAGAGGCGAACGGAATGGCCTCCGATGTGCGCAGGACGTTGGCAAGAGAGTCCATTGTTGTTCTTCACAAGGCGATACCAGCGCGTTAAACGAGGGAATGTGAGAAATCCTTGGGCGCACGCTGTATCGAGAAGTTGGAATCCGGGGTGCATGTATAGCGGCAGATGGACCGAGGTTCATGGCTGGGGCATCGCAGTGGGGTTGTTGGTGCCAGGTACATACTCGGTCGGGACGTCGCATGGACAAAACGCACGGCATCCAGACTGTTCATGTTCGATCCGAGGTTCACTCGCGAGATTAATATAGAAGATTGAGACTGGCAGGTTTCAACATTGTTGTTGGCTGACATTGCATCGCTGGAGTTGTCCGCAAACTTGAACTTAAAGTCTTAGACGTCTTAGTACTTGTTGCAGATGGACTACCCTACGGCAGGGTGTCATGGTCCATGGACGGTAGTGGGCTTCGCTAGTCAAGATGTTAGAGGACTGATAATCTATATTTTACCTGTATAAGTGTCCAAAAAGGCCCTCAATCTTTTATTTTGCCTGTCACAAGAGAGGGCGAAGCTTAGTAGCAAAAGATTACACCCTCTTTGACGGACTCAATGTAATGTTTTAACCGGACCGTTGGAATTCAATTCACGGGACAATAGCCACGGTAAGGTAATGTTTACAGAAAATAAAAGCAAGGGACAAGCAATATATAAAGCATAGCTCTGTCTACTATTTCAACTAACTTTTCATTATTCACCTCGTAATTGCACATATCTCGACGTGTATCTAGGTAGGTACGTACTGTTTACCCATAGCCTGTAGCTACCACTTTAGGTTAGTGTGAAAACGGCGCAGTCCCAGATCACGACAGTCAAAGCTCTCGCGCTCATCATCTACATGTAATTGACCATCTCATTATTTACACAAGTACATTCTCACCTCGACACATAGTACCTCATCACCCGCACACCTGACCTCACAGCCAACAAGAAAACATGCTTCGCCGGACACCAACAAGCCTCACCATCACGTCCGAAGACGTCGCCGCCTATGAAGACCGACGCGTCGCACGAGAACAGGCCGCCGCCGAAGCCCAAGCCCAAGCCCTTCGGGAGCAGGGCAACGACACCACGATGAGCTCGAGTAGCCCTACGCCCGAGGAGCGCGAGCGTGAACTGAGAAGAAAACGCCAAGAGCGCATCGGCATCGGCGCGGGCAGACGGCAGGGGCGTTAACCATAACGACAACGACACGACATCATTTCAACAACTACTTTGTGATACCCTCTCATCAAATCACACTCTGGAAAAGGTGTCCATCATATCATCTATGTACATTTATATACACATTCACCACTCTCGAGCCAAGAACGCAAACCACAGCACCGCCATCCACGTCACTCTCCAGGTCATGGTCCACATCTCTCTGCCCACGGTGCCCAGGACGCGTCGCCCGTCGACCTTGCCTCGGCGGTTGTCGTATAGGTCCTCGTCGAGATGGATTCGCGGGCCGGCGGAGGGCCCGCCACGGCGCTTGCTGGACGCCCAACCTGTCAGGCTTGAGGCCCGCGCGCGAGGCGCCCAGGAGGAGCTGCCGGACTGCGTTATGGGGGGCTCCATCTTATGTTTCCCCTTGGAGGTCGGGAGCAGTGGCGGTCCGGCCATTTCATGCTGCTCAAGGGCAAACGGTTGGAGGTTCAGGACGGGAACCAGCATAGCCCGGACGGCCAGGACGACGAGCGAGACGATGATGAAGCCGACATAGCGCATGTACGTATGCAACTGATTGGGCAATAGACAAAGGTGCGTCTGCACCGTTGGTCCCTCGCTGAGACGGTGTCCGTGGGCGTCGATGGGATTCCAGAGACTGAGCATCTGGAAGCCCGGCGTCGGCACGCCCATGGCCATGCTCAGACTCTTGACTGTGATTTCACGAGCCCCATTCGGATGCAGGATCTCGCAGTAGTCGTGGTCATCCCCGGAAAATACGTTGACAACGTTGCCCACCTTTTCAAAGAGCTTCTTCGAATCAGACTCGGACAGGACGTTTTGGTACTGGTATCCGGCAGCAATGGACAGCGCATTTCGATGATCCGGATTGACAGGCTCGGTCTGGCCCTTGGGCGGCTTCGCGGGCGGCCAGTGCTCGCGGCGTGGCCCGCAAGGTGTGCCAGCCGGTCTCCAGAGCGGGACATGCGACAGGAGAATCGTGGGGAGGTCGCCCACGCCTGAGACATCCTTCTTCGCAAAGGAGTTCGCCGCGTCCAGTCCCTCGACCTTGTGCCCGTACCCAACGCTCGTATCACCGTGCCACACTTTCAGCTCCTCGTGCACCCTCTTCCGCTTGATGTCTTGCGCCTTGTCGAGAAACTCGTTCACGGGCCCGTAGATGGGCGTCAGGTCCTTGGCATCCCTGTACTCGCTGACGTCCGCGCTCAGCGAGACAGAGTCCACCGACACAAAAGAGTGGTTCCCTACAACATCCACCCGGTTCACCTCCCCAAAGAACGCCTCGAATCGGTCACGCACGGGGACCTGTACCTGTGCGCCGAAGCCCAGGTCGTGGTTCCCCGGCAGGCTGGCCACCAGCTTCTTCCCCCGTTGCCATTTGCCGGGATGCTGCCCTCCCTCGTTGAAGTGATCGAAGAAGATGTTTCCGAACCGTGCGTACTCGCCCAGCCAGTAGTCCTCGCCGTATTTTCTGCGCCACGTGTCCACCCACTCCTTCTCCTCGCCACTGCGCTGTCGTCCCCATTTCGGATCGACAAACTCGCCTCGCGCCGTGCTCCATTCCCTCCCGCCGTCAAAAAGATCGCCTAGGAAGAATAGGCTGTCGGGCGCGAGGTGGTATTGCAGCGCTTTGTATCCGCGCAGAAGATAGTTGTCGGTGACGAGAAGCGTGAGCGGTGACAATGGCCACGGTCGACCGGGGTAGGAGTGCGGATCGATGATCTGGGGGTCGGCAACGAAGATCAGGTGGTGCGGCGTGGCGTCCTTGGGCTGGTCACGTTAGCATCGGGCGCCATCTTGGATAAGCTGTCAAGTAACGAGGCCTCGGCTTACCCAGTCTTCCCAATGGTCCCAGTCACAGCTTGCAACCCGGCTGTCAAACACCCATCGTTCGCCCCAGAGCAACACAACCATCCACACCCCGACGAGCAGATGCGGAAAGCTCAAGACTCTCCTGGGGGTCAGGTTCACTGCGAGCCTATGGACTGCTCGTCGCCACAGATTCCGCGGTGTCGGACCTCGAAGGTAGTTCCATAATCGAAAAGAAAGGATGCTGATGCTGTGGGTGATCGAGTTCTGGGTGATCGAGTTCTGGGTGATCGAGTTCAAAGTGTCATGACGGTGATGGACGGGCATGTCAACGACGCGCCATGGGGCTGTCGCGTAGCCTGCCTGCCTGTGTCGAGAATGATCTGTCTGTCTGCAGTGAAGTTGGAGGGTACGGAAAGCTAGGAAAAATGAATGAGCGACTGTCAACAAACAAAGGAGGAAAACGAAAGCACGAGATGTCCAGAGCGGGCAATGATCCGTTCGTCAGGTTGGCATCGAAAAGGAGGAGGGTCGTAGTCGTCCGTCGGCTTATGCTCGTCGCGCCCCTTGCCGCGGTTACCCTACATGGCATGACGCAGATGCGGCTCGCAATCAGCTTACCCGGAACAAGGACCCCTAGCACTATGTCCGCCCAATCCTACAAGGAGGAGTCACACTACAAGTGTATTATCCTTTGACGATTTTGATACTGATTTGTGTATCCAATATATCGCGTGCTACCCGTTTCACCTGAAATAAGCTCTCCTCGTACATTCATACCACTACATCATCTCCTTTGCTCAAAGAATCGATCGTCGCGCGCGTCAATGTCCTCGTCCCTCTCGTCCTGCAATGGCACAGCCCCTACTGGCCTTTCCTTCTTCTTGAAACTCAAGAGCCGCTTGAACGCACCCCCAGTAGCTGGCTCTTCTACCGGACCATCCTCCTCATCCTCAGGGCTGTACTCATAGAACAGCTTGGGGACAAGCAGGCGGTAAGGCACTGTGATGCCCGTGGGGTCGCGGGGGTTAACCTCGACATTCAGACAGATATCCAGCCCTCCTTCCAGGTCAATCTCGTGGTTCCCTGGCTTCCGCAGCTGCTTGGTGGAGAGCCCGGTTGGCGTGCGGTGGAATTGTCGCAAAGCCTGGGGCGGTATCTCCCCCTCAGTGCGCTGTGCGCCCATAGGCATAGTCTGTGCACGCCGAGGCGGCTGAGCTGTGAATCGGGACTCGTCGCCGTCTGAGTATTCATCGTCCAAACCACCGCCTCGTAATCCTAGTCCTTGTTGGTGAGGCCTCTGGTGGCGAGGCTCGGCATAATCGTCGTAATCGTCATAATCGTCATGAGGGTGTCGTTGGCTGGTCCGTCGACCGAATGGGAGGAACCCGCGTCTCTCGGGCGGCTCGTCGTCATCAAAGGCAACAGCTGGTTGTTGCCCCTGTCCTCCTCCTCGAGGGTCCGGGTAGCCATTATAGTCATCGTAGTCATCCCAGTGGCCGTTGGTGCCACCATCATCTGGTCGCTTCTGGCTGCGGCTCAGGCGACGACCAATGCTGCTGAATAAGCCGCGCTTCTGTGGCAGTGGCTCTTCTTCCCAATACTCCTGGGACTGGCGAGGCTGGGGCGGTGCATGCCTTCGGTCAATCTCATCATCGTACTCGTCGTCTTCATACTGGTCCCGACGACTTCGGCTGAGACTCAGACGACGCCCAAGACCGCCAAACAGTCCTCGTCTCTCGCGTGGAACTTCCCCATCGTCGTAGCCTTCAGGCGGCCCTTCAGTCCTGTCCGGATACCTGGTGTCCACCTCATCATCGCCCCATTGCCCGTTGATGCCACCGTCATCAGGGCGGCGCAGGCTACCACGTCGCCCAAAGCCAAAGAGTCCTCGCTTCTCTGCCGGCTGCGCTGCTCCCCCTTGCTCTCGATCCAGGGACATTGTTCTTACTAGCTTCTTCGGCCGCACGCCATCCTGCGAGCCACTGCGAGACAGCCGACGAGAGATGGTCCGCAGTAGACCGCCGCCGGCAACAGGTGGCCGCGAGCGGTCCACAGATTCTTTCGGGGTGTCAGGCCTGACCCCTCCGCTCAGCGACAACCTTCGCAGAAGACCGCCTCCGCCTCCAGGCGCTTCGTTGGCGGGAGAATCAGCGGCTAGAAGCGGAGGCGTTGGAGGCGGTGTTGTGCCAGGCACCCATTGCCTTATTGAGCACCAATTGCGGTGTGGCAGCAGCCTCTTGTTGTTCCTCGCTTTGCCGTCAACGCCATGATGGAACAGGGGAATCATGCTCTCGTCGGTCTGCTTGTCAAAATGGTGGATTTTATCGCGCTTGTTCAGCGCGTCCGCCATGATGTCTGGTGGTGGCGCGTTTGCAATGGCCGAAGAGATGATATTGGGCATGTAGCGAGGATCCTTATGCTTGGGCAGCTTGAGCTTGGCATTGGAGTAGAATTGGCCAACAGCGGCCATATTCACATCACCGCTGAGTATCGTGACACGCAGCGACTTGTCGATAGCAAGATCTTGAAGATCTTCGACCACGATGCTGCGCTCGTGCTTGTGGTTCTTCGCCGTCCAATGATCGCGGAGATCGTCCATCACCTCTGAACCGCTGTCGATCTTGTTCAGGGCATTGCCCAGCAGACCCCTCCTGCCCAAGGCTTTGACAGGACCGAGAGCACGTGAAGTTAGGCTGTACTCATTAGCAGACCGTTCGCCAGCAACGAAACTGTACTTACATGTTTTCCAACCACTCTAGCCGGGGGTATGCGATTGGTATCGGCAGAACGACGAGCAGATGCTCAACGTGGCCCCTTCTCACCTCGGCGTACAGCCTGTTCATGATTTTCTCCCACGTGTCGTCCTTGATCACGTCGTCCTCTGTGCGTTCAGTACGACAATCTGCGGCTAAGAGTGCTAGTTTTGAGCCGAGCGACACATAGACACTGCGTGACTTCTCGTTGACATAAGGGCCCGGCTCCGAGCCTAGAATCCAGCTGGGCTCCGTCTCTTCGGTTTCCGGAATGATGCTCTGGTGTTGGAAGAGCATGTAATATTTGAAAGCAACGGCACCCAAGCCAGACAGGACCGGCGAGTTCATGTCCCTGTGGGGATAGGAGCCAAATCCATCGAAGCTCTCCCGGTCAGACCAGATGTTGACCATGGGGATCTGCGAGTTGGCCAGACCAAACAGACCCATGGAAAACCATCGACAGTAGCGGCGGAAATAGAAATCCTCCAGCTGTGCCTGCAACTCTGGTGTTAATGGCGCATTGTGCTTGTTCAGTGGATTCCTGATCTCAAGCCAGTCGATAAAGAGGTCACACTCCTCAGCAACATCATCGTTGTAGATCTGGTCACCGCCACCAACCATTACATGGAACGGCGTGGTCTGGTGATTGTTCAGTACGTCCCTCCACATGGGATCCGGGCCGCTGAGCGCATCCGGGTTCGCATCGAGACTGAAGCCATTGCAACTGTGAAACATGGTGTTCATGCTGTGGCCGCGAGCTGGTACCCAGAAGGCATTGCTTGGTCCCTTGTTGATGCGATAAGCAATGCGTTGCTGCCTCTCCCGCAGCTCAACTTCAATGTTGAAGCGCCAGAATGTGCAGCCCCTCTCAGCATGAAGTCGGAAGCCCTTGACCTCTGCGAATTTGCCAAGCTTCTCGCCATCCATCTCAGCACGCTTCATGCGACTGGCAAAGCTGCCAGGGTAGTCGGAGGAGTCATCCCCAGGCATCATATCGGGCGCACTCCGCGACGTTTCAAAGAGGCCATCGTCGGTCTCGATGTGGGACAGATCTCTACCTTCCTCGAGGTGATCGACAGGCCGCACAAAAAGCGTCTCCCCTCGGCGACCTGTCTTTGGATGTCCTGCGATAGGATCGACGTACTCTGGTGACAGCTCCCCGTTGATGTGATGAGGCGCCGCCGGCAGCAACTCGAGATCCTGGAGGAAGAAGCGCAATATCGGCGGTATTTCGTAGGACGACTCCGAATCGCGGGTCACAATCATAACGCTGCCACGCCAGAGTTCTCTGTCCGTGGCGCCCCTGCTCACCACTGGTCCCGCCTTTTCGGTCTCTATGCCACAGTAGCGGAGCAAGGGACCGCATTCCAGGTACAGCGGTGGCCGAAATCGGGTTGGTCCGTTGAGATCGTTGTGCTCCGGCTCAGTTGTCTCGGTTTTGTGGTGTTTGGACTGTGATGTACCATTGCTTCTTCCACCCTCCCACCACGCCTTATTCTGGTCCTGCGATGAGGGCTTTTTTTTTATCAAATTGAGGGCAGAGCCTGCGAGCTGCCCAACGGGCGCTCGCTGCCATTCAGTCAACCACTGGGGAGGCAAGTACAGCCCATCACCAGGCCCCATGTCTTGCCGGTCTCTGTATAGCATATTGGATATACGATGTTGGCGAGGTTCTCCGTCCGCAGGATCATCCTCCCTCTCCAATTTGCGCCGCCCTGCTGCGTATTGGGGTGTGATGGGATCTTCGTGAGGTTGACCTCGCATCTTGAATACCTCGGGACGAGCAACCGGTGGGAAATAGCTCGCATCATCCTGTTGTCTCTTGTGCGAAGGCTCTGTGGCTCTCCTCTGAACGGACTGCAATGGCTGGTCCTCGTACGCAGGAACAGCGTTGCGCGGCGCTGTTACAGTAGCGTGTCGCTTGAAATCTTGAGGCTCCGGGGGCAACTGCTTATCCCGAAATCGCTGCGGCAGGTGTCCTTGTGCTGATACTGCACTGGGTGGTGCTTTTCTAGGCAAACTTGCGTCCTCCCTTCTCCGTGGCTCAGCGCCAAGCTGTTCAGCTTCCGCGCTTGATCGTGCCCATGGATCCCCCGGTGGCTCTTTTCTGAGCTTGTTGCTGCCAGAGCGTATCAAAGAAAAACCACTGGAAGGCTGTGCCTGTTGCCGAGGCTGCTGCGCGTCCCGCTCGGGGAGAAGATGAATGTCGTCCCGAGCTGTGCGCTCTCGAAAGCTCAAATTCCGTTGCGGGAGCGCGGGTTCGAATGGTTCCTCGGAAGGGACATGGGCGGGCACTCGGCTCTTCGTCGCTTGCTGCGATTGTTGAACAGGATCACGTTCACTTCCTTCGAGGTAATGGCGCCGCGCTGGTACATTGGCCGCCGGTATATGCCGATTGGCGTCGTCTCTGGGGCCTGGCTGGTGCCGATGTGCCGGGCCAGGTACGGAGACTGGAGCAGCTCTCGAGTCGGAGTAGGTTACGGACGGCTTGCGGGCATGCGCGACTGGCTCTTGGATCGCAGGCTCGGGCTCTTGGAATGGCTCAACACCAGCAGCCCGCTGTTGCCTGCTTCTTGCCCGCTTCTCGGCGGCCTCTACGCGCGCGCGCTTTTCTTCCTTGGTCATACTATCGAGCGTCAGCTCCAGCTTTTGGAGGGGTGACTTGGTCAATGCTGACTTTCGTCGACGACCTGAGGCGCCGGCAGACGCTCGTCTTGAATGATCCGCTGCCATTGGCATTTTGGAGGAGCCGTAGCTGCCACCATTGTTGTAGACCTCTTGGTTCCCGGCGTAGTCCATCTCGGCGACTCGTGCAGTATCACGATCCTCATGTGGTTGTCGAAAGCTGACTGGGGGAGCGTTCGAGATGTCGTCAATCCCTCCCGAGGCTTTCCAGTCTTGCTTCATGGGAGGTCTCGCTGATGGCTCGGGATCTTCGGGGACAATGAGTGGGCGTTGGTAGGAAGGCGGTCTGGGAGCAAGTCCGTATGGCGCCACGCTCGAATTTGTAGGAGACGCCAAGGGAGTCAAGGTAGTTCCTGAAGCCACAGTCTGCCCAGAGGCGCGATTGGCGGCAGGTCTGGGATTTGGGTCGAATCCGTGGTTGGGATCAACTAACGCAGAAGAGTTTGGTCCTGCATCATCCTCAGACATGCGCCGGTGCTTGTTGACCTTGGGACCTGGCAGCTGGCCCCAGTAAGGCGTGGCCATGACGCCGACAGGCTGACCGTCAGAAGCGCACTCTCGAGTAGCGGTCGGGCGCCGCGAGCTGTCGTTGGCTGGGTGGCTAGCGGCGGTACAGATGGAGCTGCCCAGGAACGGATGGAGCTGTTGGAGACTCGAGCGAAGAAGCTATGTCAATCGCCGCCCGTATGTGGCTGGCGCTTGATGCAAGTCTGCAGAGTGAGCAACTTGACTGGCTACTGCGCAAGAAGCACAAGCCTCGAGGCAAGACAGAGAGCGACGTACCGTGAGGTTGGGCTCTTCGTTGTATGACGATTGACGAGTGACCCTGTCGGTAAGGGCTGCTTGCGCAAAGGTACCCGTATATACGTATGTGCTCGCAGCTTGGGCTAAGTGCAGGCTGGCAGCCAGCTCCCAGGCTTTAGCCAATGCTGTGCAGACACATGCAACGCAACGTCTGCAGGTGAACGGGTCCGTTGGAGAGCAATGGAAGCAAGGCTGCAAGCCCAGTGGCCAGTTTTCCCGAAATTTTGTTCTTTGTCGAAGGCTGGGCAGGATTCCCGACCTCTGCGGGACAAAAAGCGAGGCTGCGAGCAAGGGCACACTGCTTCTCTTCGAACCGCTGCATACTCGAAGCCTCTCATTGTCCAATCAATTGACCAGATTTCCATTGCTCCGCGGGACCCTCGAGCCTCTGGCTTCTCAAAATTTGTTGGGCTGAAGTGGCGGTCACTCAGGCCCCAGGCGGCTGGACTGGCTGGGGTTTAAAGCGGTGGCTGGGATCATTGCGCGTCGAAAAGCACCGACATGCGCATAATAGGCGTCAGCGTCACACATTGGACCTGGCTTGAATTCTGTCGCTCATAGTCATGACGTGCAGGCCACAATGTCGTTGCCACAATGTCGTTGAATTTGTATTCGAGATCGAGCAAGACCTTCACTTAATTGAGTAGCGATATTTAAGGTTCGACATGCGGCGCCTTCCGCTTCAGACTTGTCTTAGACAGTCTCTCTAGCGCTGTTAGCAACCGAGGCGCTACTACTTGTAATACTGACACCACCCAAGGTACTAGCTAATCACAAGTACCGCGATCTTCAGTCCATGCAGCAATGTTTTGCTATAAGAGGCATACTAAGTACTGAGAGCCATAAGTATCTACTAGTACTCAACGTCCTAAAAAGTACCGGGCCAGAGCTCGCCGCAATCTCTTCCGTCATCAACTGAGAAATGTGAAATCACCATCACTCATGTCAAGCTGTTGATGACAAAGAGTGTAGATGCACAAACTTACAGCAATGAGGACCAACAGGGCTGGCAAAGCCTTGATGAAGAGTGGCTTCTCAAGCCTCTCAAATGCAAGGCCGAAATCAGGGTCAAGGCTCTGCGCGTCCTCAGCAGGATCCGCCAACCCAGCGTAGTAGACGACCCGCGATCTTAGTAGAGTACGTGAGTAGTAATGCTCATCTTGTCCCGACTTGAGTTCGAAATGGACAACTTTCGGCACAACACTGTACAGCACTCGAGCGCGACCTTCACCGGCGGAACGAGCCGCGGGAACATCTTTAGCCAGCGCACACGACGTTGCGTACAAAGTAGGTGACAAGTTGATCTGGTCGTCCTCATTGTGCTCGCCGGGCATTACCCAGGTGTAAGTGACAATTCCGCGTGCAGTTCGGACCTGAACATTGAGCCAAGCTGCGTGTACAACCGCACTATACACGCCTTGGGCCAAGTCGTGAAGATCAGCATCGCGAGGGGTGTGTCTCTGTACAACGTTGAACAGTGGAAGAAGCAAAGTGAAGATTTGAGACGTCACTCGGCGAGCTTCGTGCCAGAACTTCGGGGGCTGCAGATCGACGTAGCGAGACAGGTAATCGAGATTCGCATCAGCGATCATAGTACTCTTTGCAAACACTGGCGAGCAATCAGACGACAGAACCACTTCTCCGTGTAAAGGTGTCACTTACCGCCGTTGTTCTCCTTGTGATCCAGACAGTCCAAGTGAGCCAGATGTGAACTGTCGGACCCGAAAAGGAGGCTTGAGAGTACATTCTTCTCAAGAACCCGCATAACCATGGCGACGACTACATAGCAACGTTTCTCTGGGTGATCGAAGAGACAGTCCCGGTCCTTCCCCGTGGCGTTGAGGTCGTTGCGAGCAATGAGCTGCAGATATCGGCAGAATTCATTGGAAAAACGCCTTGTCCAAGTGATCCCATCGCCAAGTTCTTTCTCAAAGACAGCTTTGACGAGAGTGGTGACAGCCTCAAAGAGGCCCTCATATTGCTTCTCAAGGCTTTGGCTTCCCTTTTGGCCCTTGGGAAGTTTGCTGCCAAAGTTAATCGTCGGCTTTTCGATAATGATCCGCCGAAAGTCGTCCAGCGTGGTGTTCCTCCACTCCTTTACACCATTGATCTCAATGTAAGGCATTTCGGGCACGTTTTGGGAGTACTCGAAGATCAAGTCGAGAGGTTACGTTGAGTACCGGGTTGCTGGGGCGCATCTGTTCGCTGAGGGGGCAAGTCCCTTCATATTCAAGGCCCCCCTACGATAAATCCTAATACAAAGGCAAAAATAGGCTCAGCTTCTGCGCCCTCGCACGAGCAAAACTAGAACAGAGGACAAAGGAGGGCGCGCACTGCCATCCATGGCTGTGGTTCTTTGTTACCGAATTGATCGAGGTTCGAGGTGTGCAGTGAACTTGAATAGCACCAATATTGTGGGCTAGCCGACTCGAATCTACAGATTCAAAAACGTGTGTAGAAGGCGCTTGAATGTTCTAAGCAGAGCACTTTGTGTCAGGTAAGTGTAGAAAGTGAATGGAGGTACGTAGTACTTGAGGTTAAGATGCAATTCTTGCCTGATGTATGAGGCACATAAGTCCGTCTCGCCGGCCGCTTTACCCTCACTGTAGCGGGCAGGTGGGGTTCCTTGCTAGTGGGAGACGTGGGCAGGTGCAATGATGTTAACACCCGAATTTTTTGCGACGTTGACAGACCCTGCGCCGCCCGCGGACTATTACGGTGAGTGCCTTCGAAACTCGCACTTGCATTATCCAGATTCTCCCACTTTCGCGACACCGACCGCCCTACCTCCTTCCTCTCCCTCACACCTAGGTCCTCTACTGCCTGGCGCAAGAGGTTCATCACGTGCGAATCGCCGCCCACGAACTTGACTTTGAACTGAAAGCGACCGAGTGGATCTCGTGCTTTCCATCCCGATTCAATATCATCACACCCTTTACCGACTTCCCCAGCAAAGGCTCCTGTGCCCTCTGAACCATCGAACCCGGCCTCGTGCAAGACACACGCAGACAACAAGCCCTCGAAAATAGCCACGAATTTCGTCATGGCGGCCCCCGCGACAGAGAACATGGACAAACAAGTCGATCTGTCGACCATTCCCGTTTCGCCCAACGGCCAAGACGATGCTGCCGACGCCAAAGCCGACGGCAAGGATATCACTGTCTTCCACGACAAGGACAACTTCAACGTCAAGCACCCTCTCCAGAACAGATGGACCCTGTGGTTCACCAAGCCTCCAAGTGGCAAGGTAATGCTGTCCGGCTCTGGCCGTCTCAACTCGTACTGACCTGCAACTAGGGTGACAACTGGAACGATCTGCTGAAGGAGGTCATCACATTCGACTCTGTGGAGGAGTTTTGGGGTGTCTACGTATGTCAATTTCTATTCTTTGAGCGGGACTTGTGGCTAAACCAAGCAGAACAATGTTGCGCCAGTTTCCGAGCTGCCTCAGAAGGCCGACTACCACCTTTTCAAGGAAGGTGTGCGCCCCGAGTGGGAGGATCCCCAGAACAAGCATGGCGGCAAATGGTCATACCAATACAAGAACAAGTCAGCTGTCGACATTGACCGTCTGTGGCTCCAAGTCATGATGTCTGCTATAGGCGAGACCCTGGAGGAGGAAGAGGACGGCGAGGTGATGGGTGTCGTCGTCAATGTTCGCAAGGCATTTTACCGCATCGGTGTCTGGACTCGCACGATAGGAAAGAGCATTCCAGGTCGTGGCGACGGAGATGTGGCTGGCGGCAAGGGTCGCTCCGGCGAGAAGGGCCGGAACATCCTGTTGAACATTGGCCGCAAGTTCAAGGAGATTCTTGAGCTGCCTGCCAACGAGCAGGTTGAGTACTCCGGTCACACGGACAGTGCGAACTCGGGCAGCACAAGGGCAAAGGCTAAGCACGTGGTCTAAGTGCATGTTACGCTGATCGTATTTGAGGCGGAGCACTATGGCATTGCTCGGAGGAGCGCTGCGATCCTGTCATCGACTTTATGATTTGCACGGTTATGACGCGGGATCAGAAAAGTTCTCATGAGATATCTTGCACGGCTGAGGGGTGGCGTTGCGTGGAAATGGCTTCCCGGGCATACATAATACTGCAATCGACCAAATTCTAGCATTTGCCATCATCGTCTATGCCCCTATCGCTTGGTATCTTTACAATATGCTGATGTACAGTGCTCCAATGCGCATCGCCCATTACATCTCGTCCCCACTGTGCTCGTCCTTAAAGGTGACCTGCACCAGTAGCTTCTTGTTGATCTTGCCCATGGCGTTCCTGGGGATCTCATCCACTATCTTCATGACCTGGGGGATCTTGTAGTTCGCCAAGCGGTCGCGCAATGCCCTTCGCATGTCCATCGGCTTCCACTGCTGCGCGAAATCCTTGTCCAGCACGATGACACAGCCGACCTTCTGGCCCCATTTGCCGCTGGGCACCGAGACGACAGCGGCTTCGGCGACCTCATCCAAGGACAGCAACTCGCGTTCCACCTCGAGCGCGCTGACCTTTTCTCCGCCTGTCTTGATGATATCCGCGGATTTCCTCCCCTGGATAAAGTATAAAGGCCCCTTGGTCCAGTCCTGACTCTGTGCTGCACTGGGCACGGGACGTCGCACGGCCACGTCGCCCGTCTTGAACCATTTGCCTTGACCGTCTTCTCCCTCCACAAACTCGGAAGCCGTAGCGGCAGGGTTCCGCCAGTATTCCTGGAAGATTGTAGGCCCACGGAGCTGGATCTCTCCTGAGCGCTCCTTGCCGGTTTCGGGATCAATCTCCTCGCCTTCGCGGATGATCTCGTTGGTGTCAACGTCGACGAGCCGCGCTTGCACGGAGGGCAAGGGCCAGCCCACACTAGCATCGACGCGATCTGCTGGATCCAGGCCACAAGAGAGCGCCATGCCGACTTCTGTCATACCGTAGCGTTCCAAGAGAACATTGCCCTTGCTCAGCGTGCGCCACGCGGACTTGATGGGTGTGGGCAGAGCGGCCGAGCCGGATATACTGAGGCGCATGTTTTCGGGGCTGACGGCCGCGCTGGCTGCTTGCTGCATCTGTGGACTCATGAGCTTGTACGTCGCAATGAGGCGCGAGTACACTGTTGGGACGACGGTGAAGAAGGTGATCTTGTCACTTGGGATAGGGTGCCCGTTCATAGGTAGGAATGGGGCGGCCAGACGGCTCCATACTGCGTCCGCGTTGAATGGGAAGAGGAATTCTATGGTAGACCCGGCAAGCAAGGGGGTGAGGAGCGCATTGACGGTGCCGTGGATGTGATGGAGCGGTAGGACGTGTAGCAGGTGATCGCTAGGCGTGTATGACCAAGCGCGCAGCAGCGATTGGCATTGCGCCGTGAGCGTGGCTTGTGGTAAGAGGACACCTTTTGGTCGATTTGTCGTGCCAGATGTGTAGAGCATGAGACCTGCCTCGCCCGGACCAGACTCGTCCCACGTTATCGCCCCAGTGTTGGGCCCACCGCCTTGATGTTTCGGTAGCGCGACATGCGTTGGCTTTGAGGACAACTCGGTCTCAAGGACTTGTTCCGCTTTCGTTGCGAATTTGGCCGAGGAAAGAAGAAGGGACGCTTCGCTTTGGTTGAGGATGTATTGCAGCTCTGGCGCGGGAAAAGCAGGTGATAACGGTACAGCAATGGATCGCGCGGCCAAGCAGGCGAGCAAGGTCACTGTTCCATGAGTATGATTTCGCAATAAAGGGGTTGGCCTCGTTTGAAGACTTACCGACGTAGTCATAGCTGTTTTCGACAAGAAACGCCACTCTCTCACCATTCCCATCTTTGCCGCCCCAGGCCTCTTTTAGTCTGTCCCTCGCCTTGCCAACGTCACCCAAGAGCTCCCCGTACGTGAAGCTTCGTCCTGACTTTGCGTGCACTACGGCGGTTGAGGAAGGGTTGTGCCCGGATACGGCCTCCAGTATAGGCAATCTTGGCAGAGTCGTCATTTTCCTGGCATGTATCGTACGGGAGAAGCGTGAGCTGTGACAGCAGCAAGTCAAACGGGCGCGTAAAGACAAGGGCAAAAGGGATCGCAAGGACATGAGGACGGATGATTATCTTAGTGGGGTAGACTTGTTGGGGGTCAGCATAGGGGTTGCCTGCGTTGCGAGGTGGGGTGTGTCGCGTGTGGTAGGATGCGCGCGCGAGGTGATGAATCTGGAAGAGGTGGATTGAGGATCGACTGGGGATTGCCGTGATGGAGCTCAGAATTGGAGACCGGGGACCACGCCAAACTTGCGCCAGGGTGTATGGCGTAGAGACACAGAAGCTGAGCTATGTCCGATTCCCATCAGAATGTAAGGGAATACCATATCCATATATATATACAGTTGAAATTGTGTTTGATGTCATCCGGGTGCGATAGCCATACAACCTGGAAGCCAATGTCCGTTTCGTCCGGAAGCAAGTTCTGGGGACCGATCGGACTGTGCCTATCTACTGTGGTGGGGTAGCATCAAGCCCAGCCCAGCCCAGCTCTGCTCTGGACCCTGAAGATCGCACGTACAAATCTTTACTAAAGGCAAAAAGTGTTGGGAGTATTATTTAGCGACATCGGCTCAGTTATCGGTGCACTTCGCTTCACGTCCGCTGTACAATGGACATTCACTGGTTCGTGGGTTATCGACGGACATCCAACCCGATCTCCGCAACGTCAGGTTACCCTGCGTCGTCCATGACCAGCGCTTCTCGCCTTTGCGAACAAATCTAAACGACCAAAAGCTCAGGAACAGTAACTCTGGATGAAGCCTTATGTCACACACGATTGTACCTGCTGTGACCCCCGAAGCTCGTTGTGTGTGTGTGTGTGCGCGCACCAACTGACAAAGATACACGACATTAGTAGATTGCCGCTTCAGATCTCGTATCTTCATGTTACATTGCACAACTGCTTGTCCATTGCCATGTACTTCAGAAACAATGAAGGAATGGACACGAGATATCACGAGATCGCTCTCATCTGCTTACGGCCGTCGATCAAACACACCCACAGTTGAGGCGGTTGCTGACACCGAGTCTCCCGCTTACCGCTCTCTTCCAGTATGCCACGCGCGATGGACCCCCGCCATTTGGCAGCTCGGACCTGCACAATGCTGCAGGCACACAGATGGAAAAAGCGGTAACAGGCATTTGGTAGACCTCGTGGCGCCCGCCCATTGCTGGTGCAAAGAGGCGGAATCCAACATGATTGGCAAAGGTAACATGCGCGATAGTAGTGCCGCTTTAGCACGCCTTGTCTTTTCGCGAATACACAATATGCGTGCCTCAAGTTTCATCCCCAATACGGATACATGGGAGAAGCTGGACTAGTACGGATACTGGTAGTAATAAGTTGAGTAATATCCTGCCATGGGGTATGACTTCTTGTGAAGTTTATAGGTCTTGGATTCATGCTTGTGCATGGCGTGGACTTATGCCCGGCACCAACAGCTAGATGCGTCCACACGGCCAGCCCTTTGTGGAAGCGAATGTGGCTGGTTTTATCCCAATGTCGTTCTTTAGCATACATGTACTATGTATCATCGTACCTAGTCCGGCGTGAGGTGATGTGGAGTGCCCAGCCGCAGCTCAAGATGACAACAGACCAGATCGCATCCGCGAGTGTTAAGTCTGTCAACTGTTCATCGAAACACTAGACCCCAAAATACAAATAGGATTCGTCGTACTGTCTGTACAGCGCATGACCGCCAGTTGTCGCGGGGGAACCCAGAGACATCCTGGTTAAAAGCAGCAAGGCGCTAAACCATGTTCAGCATCATCCCACCTCAGTCTGCGTCTATCCGTCACCGCTGCCGACATGAATTCGCAGAAAAAGCAAACGTTCAAGCACCTATTCACCGACTTCACCGAGCGGGTAGACGACCTTACTTTTCACTGAAAAGGGCTCTTTCCCTGATCATTTCACTTTCTACTCCTGCTTTGAGGATCTTGGGAGCATCCCATCTCGTCGAAAGTGAGCGACCATGTTTCGAAGATATGCTCTCGGTTTCTCATCCGTGGGACGACAGATGTCGACCATGCAGTCCAACAGCACCACACCCTTGGAGGACGCCATCAGAGCAAAGGCATGTTCAGAAAACAGAACAGACGAGACATACGTGGTCTAACAAGAGACAGATCACGGCAGCTTTCACGCCTTCTACGCTGGAGATATTTAACGACAGCCATCTGCACTCTCACCACAAGGCCATGCAAGGCGTGACCTCCAAGGAGACTCACTTCAGGTAGGCTTGTCCACTCTCATGCGACATGAGTCGTGTCGCTGACTTGGGCAGACTCGTCATTACGTCTGATGTGTTCAAGGCAAAGCGCTCGCCTGCCCGGCACAGGATGGTCTATGCCCTTCTACGTGATGAGATGGCGCAAGAAGGTGGCATCCACGCGCTCCAGCTGCGTACCTTGACACCCGAGGAGGAGGAGAAAGAGAAGGCTAAGAAGGCCGAGGCCGAGGGCGCCACCCAAGCAGCCTCGGAGCCTATTGCTGAGTAACGAGTTGGTGCCCAACTTGTCACGCAATTGGAGACGACTCAAAAACATCTCTGCAAAGAGACGCAAAAAGCATCCGAGCGTCTTACGAGGACGCGGACTTGCTGAATACGCATGGCTAGAGAAACCGCCCACGCATGAATAATGATGATTACATGAATACCTTGGATCCTATGATTGCCCATCTCAAGCAACGTGACAACCAATGCATCTGTTCAATCAAACTGACGGCCCCGGCAGTGAACCCGTGCTTTTCCTTTGCACCATTTTCCGATACACATTTTGCCCCATCGTATTTCCCCTTTTCGGAGTTCCCTTCTGCATTAGATTCCTGAAGTAGGGCAACTGCGACATGGGAGTCGAGCGTGATGAGCTGGGTTCCGCTGATGGTACTGGCGTGGAAACAGCCTCTCGAGAGCGGTTCGGCGCAGGCAACGGTCCCATAGTATGTCTTCGGCCTGGCTGCTGCTCGCGTATGGGGGTCGTGGGGGCAGCTGTCCCTGGTTTTGAAGCCTTGGTCAAAGTATTGTCTTCAGGGCTCGGTCCCAACGGTTGGCCCCCATTGTCCTTGTCGACAATCATACGAGCCCGTAGTTCTCGCACTCGATCTCGGTAGAAGTCCAGAATACGGTCCAAGGTAGACGCCTTCACCATTTGACTTGGTACCCACAAGGGGGCCTCCGTTCGGTCGTTGTAAAACTCCACGGCCCCACGCGTGCCTCCTTGGTTCTTAACATAGGGCAGGTACAGCGTCGTATAGACCCGGATAAAATCGTCCCATAGAAAGTGATGTAGCTTCTGATATTTGCGTGCCCATTCAAGAGTAATGCACGCCTTCAGGAAAGTCGAGAGGGTCCCGCCGTCAACCGTGTACTCGGGGTACTTGTCCACGAAGGCTTCAAACTCCGTTAGGGTAATAGCGGATGCCTGTGAAGCGCGTTTGGTATCGGGATCTGTGACGACTAACTCTGGAATAGCTGACCGTGCAGGTGATAACCGAACGTCCTGACTTTGCAAATTGTCCTTGGCAATTACGACATCTCCCGTTCCTCTCCTCATTGCCGCTTGGGGCCCCTGTACTTCCTCTTGCTGTTCAATGCTTGCGTCACCAGGGCTTGAGTGGCGCGTGGGGCTGATATGATCTTTCCGAATTTTGGAATTGTCAAGTACTTCTGGTTTAAACAGCTTCATTCGCCTTGGTCGCGTTTGGGGCCGCTCAGGCCGCTCACGCGATTGGGTACCCTTACCCACAGGCAGGCTGCTCGCAGGAATATTAGACACCAGAACCGTACCTGGAACCACTTGCTGACTGGGCTGCGCGCACGTAGGAGTGCCAGCGAGCCTGGATCGATCAGGCGTGGACTGCGTAACAGGACTGGTCCGCGCAGGGCTGGTCCGCGGCAGATCCAAAACTTGCGACTGCATGTACTCTTCGCTGTGGAGGATGCTTTCCACTTCGTCATGCGTAATGTATTCCTCTTCGTTGTTCCCGACTGAACTTGGCGGTAGAGAGAAGTTTGGTGCGGCCCGTAGATCAAATCTGCCCTCACCGGATGGTGGCGGTCGAGTTCCAACAGGAGATGATGACCATGGAATGAGTCGCTCTGGCGAAGACGAAGGAATTTGTGTGTTCTGGATTGCCTTTTGCTGCTTGTTTGGTCTAGGGCTGGCCTCTTGGGCCTCGTTATGTGGTTCCTCGGCCTTCCTCTTCTGTTTAGAACCCCTTAGGCGGTGGCTTTTTAGCGATGCAAGAAGTGAAGGCAGGATTTCGTTTGAGGATGGCGCCGAAGCTCTCCTAAAACCATTCTTCTCACGCAATTCTTGTTGCTCAGCAGGTTCCTTATTGAAGCGTTTGTATAGTTCCGCGGGGTTGACGCTCATAATGTCCGTTGCGCCGAGACGCGTGAACCAAGTTCAACGCGGTTGACTTGCGCTCACACTAGCGGCAAAGATTCTGGGATCGAATGGTGTGCTCTTATCAGACTTCGCGTCACGCACGGCCAAATAACTTTTCGTTGTCAGTTTGAATAAGCCACTGGAGGTCAGCAAGGGCGTTTGATGGGAGGGGGTACCTGGTATTGAGATCTAGTCCTACTCGGGGTCCTCCAGGCTCCAGCAGCTGTCGAGGGCGCGGCAGGAGGTGGCGTGGAGCTGCGGCGTTAACGAGGACTTTGCTTTTCGCGGCTTGTAGGTGTACAATGATGTACCTGTCATCAGCCGGCTGCTGCGGGGACCAAACCTGCAACGTGCGTGCATCACAGCGAACCTCGCACCCAGCTGCGAGACACAGCTTGTGACCTACGTTTGCCAGCTCCAAGTCGCGACGATCAGTTTCAGTTTCTCTCCCTATGTAACTGACTTGACGCCATTTGTGCTAGAAGGGCTTCTGGGCCTCATTCCAGCGTTGTTCGAACATCTCTCCCCATTCGACAGGCCGCCTTCTGGCGACACATCTTTCGTCACCGCACTCCGTAGCTCTGGAACAGGGTCTCCCGTGTCTACGCCTCGTACCGGCAGCTCCCTCTCGCGCGTCATCCCCCGCCAAGCGAATGTCTTGAAAACTACCGTCCCCTACGAGTCATCTTTCCCGGCGAGCTTCTCAGCATTCATATGCAGCATGAGTGACAACATCGTCCACCTAGCTTTCCTCAACTGAGGTGTGCTACACGCGCTTTGGTCACGATGCCAGAAAGCCCACCCACCAAGCGCTCGTCTGCTGTGCCCGACACCAGCGGTGCACTCGGTTCACCCATCAGCTTCCGCAACCGCAGGGGCTCAGTCGCTTCTGTTAGCTCCACGATTGATAAGGAACAGCTTTCTTACGCTCTCGACCGTATCCACGATGCCGCGAGCCGTGCCGATTCCTTGACGACCTTCAACGACTTTGCACCGCCCCCGCTACCGACATCCTCGACCGACCCCAAGGGCGGGCCTGGCGAAATCGTCACCCAGGGCTTCAGTGGTCTGTACAGCAGGTTTCGAGAAGCTGTGGGGGTTGGGAATTCCCCCGCCAAGAAAATACAGGATGGTCTGGAGGCGGAGGCTGATCTCGGTGGGCGAGCGTCAAGGCAATCGGTGTCTTCCGCAAGCCGTCAGGATACTGGGCAGAGCGCATCACCCTCAAAGCTATCGCGCCATGATACAATAACCGATGGCGCATCGACCGTCAGTATCCCAGAAGTGCTGGACACCCGCTCAACGAGCTCTCAGCAGTCAAAACCAAACAGCATGAGTCTCATGACCGGACCCAAGTCACAAGCCTCAAATCGCCAGAGCCTGCCGACCAACGCTACAAGTTCCGTCCTAGCCCACCCCCCGGTGCTCTCAAAGGAGGAAAGTGGGCGCAGCAGGCTGGCTTCACAGGACAGCACTGGAGATTCTGCTCGGAGGAGCTTGAGTCGCGTTGACCTTGAAGCCCGCCTAGCGAACATGGATCCATCGCTCTATGATACAAAGGAAGGGAAGTTACCACCCCGGGCTCATCGCGAAGATAGCTCGAGCATTGCCAGCGCGGACACGACTAGAAGCCCCGTCAAGATGGCCCCCCCGCCGATCCCAAGCATCCAGACGCGGCATCTGCGGACACCTTCGGGAAGCTCACTCCTCTCGCCGGACAACATTACAAGAAGACCGACTGCAATCAGCCGCCTCAGCTACAACCGTTCTGCCGGCTCCCGCGACTCGTCTACTGATCGTGGCACAGCAGCAGCAAGCCCCATCAGTATCTCCGCCAATAATTCAGTACACCATGACAACTTCTCCAAAGAGTCCAATTCGCACAAGAAACCAGCAGCTAACGTCAGCTACGAAGGCGCGACTGATCGTCTCTCTCAACTGGATAGAATGCGCCGACAGGTCCTGAACAAAGAGTTTTGGATGAAGGACGATACGGTCAAGCAGTGTTTCTATTGCCAGGTGCCCTTTTCTGCGTTTCGTCGAAAACACCATTGTCGTACATGCGGATGCATCTTTGACTCCAAATGTACAACGGTCATTTCAGGGGATAAATTTGGTGTCTCGGGTACGCTGCGCGTTTGCAAGCGATGCATGGAAGTTATCAGCCGGCGGTTTGATGCCAGCGGCTCTGAGGACTCCGGGGACGACCATGCGCCCGTCTTTTCCAGAATGATGGGCGGTGGACGGTCGCGATCACCCCATGCCCCTGGACGAACCCCAGCAAAGGGTAAGGATAAGGAGGTCGCTATCGCGTCCGAGGGCTCTGAAGATGCACGTCCTATCACAACGCCAATGATGGCGATTCCAGCCACTCGACGCAAGCGCGATTCTACCCACAGGTCCTCGGCGATATTGGAGATCGACGCTCCCCAGCAGCTGAGTAGACCTGGCTCGTCAAGGTCGCTCAAGTCACTTGCATCTGGAAGACCACAGTCCTCGGCCGGACACAAGAGACATCATTCAAAACATGGCTTCTTGGGGCGATTCAAGCCTCAACCAGAGCACAGAGCCCCTTTCCGGAAAGGGATCGAGGAAGAAGCCTCTAAAAAGCCCAAGCTTCCTGCATTCCACGATGACAACATCATTGACCCGGAACTTGCCGACTATATGTCGGATGAGTCCAGCGGCGATGAACAAATGGGATTGTTCACTGCCATGTCGAACGCGGATGCTATGTCGGGCAGTTTTGAGCTTGATCGTTCCAACACGTCAGCTTCACTCAATACAGGCAGAAGACATCGCCATAGGGCAGGCGAAAAGAGCATCAGCGGCTTGAGTGGCAGGGGACCATTTGACGATGTCAACGGACCTGCGAGCCTGATTGGCCATCGGAGATCCCAACGACGGCGCAATCTCAGCAATGTCAGTGGTAGTGTTCACAACCTTCCCTCGCCAAGGCCAAAATCAGGAGTTTTCAAGGGGCCGACAACGTCCACCGAGTTTCCGGTGTTTCTGGATCACCAGGTGACGCACACTCCACAGATTACTAGGAGCGAATCTTTGCTACAGAGAGCACCAAAAGTGGAGTTGAACAAATCCAGTGTTCGCCACGTCCACAGACTTCTCCATCAGCTTCTTGTGGATGACGGCTTCCGCGAACCTGGCCCATGGCAGAAGTCCCTGGTTCCGATCCTGCTGCAAGCCACGGACGATGTAGATCCCGACGTGACTGCTGGAGAAGACATGGACATCAGACACTACGTGAAGCTGAAAAGAATCCCCGGTGGCAAGCCAGGCGATACGTCCTATGTCTCTGGGGTTGTGTTCACCAAGAATGTCGCTTTGAAGAGCATGCCTCGCAAGATTGACAACCCTCGCATTGTGCTCGTCACGTTTCCTGTCGAGTACCAGCGACACGACCAACACTTTATGAGTTTGCAGCCAGTCATTGAGCAGGAGAAAGAGTTTCTGCGAGTGGTTGTGCAAAGAATCACAAATCTCCGTCCTCATGTGCTGCTTGCAGAGAAGGGTGTCTCTGGTGTTGCCCTGCAGTACTTATCGGAGGCCAACATCGCGGTCGTTTACAACGTTAAGCACACAGTGATCGAGGCCGTGTCCCGCTGCGCAGAAACTGAAATTGTTACATCGCTTGATATGCTGGCCCTGCCTGTCAGGGTCGGCCGTTGCGCCAATTTCGAGGTACGAACTTTTGTTAACAACGACCATCCTGGGCGAAAAAAGTCGTACATCTTCTTGTCAGGATGCCGGCCCGACCTGGGTTGCACCATTGCCCTCCGAGGTACCGATCAATCGCACCTTGGCAAGATAAAGTCGATTGTCGAATTCATGGTTTACGTTGTGTACAATCTCAAGCTCGAATCAAGTCTTCTCAGAGACGAGTCCGTCGAGGCACTAGAGTCGGGCGAGGCGTCACTGTCAAATTCGATACTGGCCGAGCAAAGCTTCCATTCTGCCAGCAGCACGAGTGGCATCGGCAGTAGTGGTCAGGCAGCCGTTGTCGACGCGCCATCGGAAATCAACCAGGCTTCCCAACCTACAGCGGAGTCCTCATCAATCAGCGAAAGAGACAGCCAAGTGATAGGTCCACCCGGATCATCTGCGGAGGCCCAAACCACAGTGTCGCCGGAAGCACAGGACAGTGATCTAGCCAGTCAGGTCCCAGATGATGTGCCAATGCCGACATATTACAGCGACATGATTGCTAAATACGAGACGAAAATCCTCTCCGCTTCGCCTTATGTCAAATTCGCCCAACCATACCTGCTGATGAAGGCACGAGAGCAGGAAAGACGACTATTTTACTTACGACGTCTCCTTAATCATGGGATTGAAGCTGAGGAGGAGCCCGTTGAGGACGACGAAAGTATTCAGGAGAAAGCTGCAGAGGAAAAGAAAGCAGAAGAGCCGCAGGCCAATGATGAAGCAGATCAAAGCGAGAAGGCTCGCGCAAATCCAGAAAAGGAAACCTCGTCCGCTGTTGTCCCAACTCAGAGGAAGCTTGGCAAGAAAGATCGAGCTCAGACGTTCCAATTGATCAGACCTGAAATGGTTGAAAAGATTGGCCAGAAAGCCCCGAGGCAAATGATGGAGATCCTCCACGCCGTTCATGATGCCGAGTACGATAAGGCCTTGTTCAATTACAGAACTCAGACGAGACATTGGGAGACCTACATTCAAGGCAATCTTGATCTCTTCGATCCTTATTCGCACCAGAACATTGTGGTGTTGTATTCGGTCATCTGCACTGACACCAAAATTCCATGCACTGAACCAGGTCTGGTTGCGATCAACTTCTACGATGAACAGCGATACGACTCTGAGATGGATCCTGATAGCTCTCTGGGGCAATATATCGAAGACTTGATCTACAGCAAGGACGATATATGTACTGCCAATGGCTGTGAGCGCAAAATGATGGAGCATCATCGGACATATGTTCACGACCAGTCACGTATCACGGTTTTTGTTGAACGACTGCCGGACGCATCGCCGAAACGGGAACATGCAGGCGACATTATGATTTGGACTTACTGCAAACTTTGCCAGAAAGATTCCGATGAAATGATGATGTCTGACTCCACCTTCAAATACTCCTTTGGTAAATACCTGGAGTTGCTGTACTGGGGTCGTGGCTTGAAGATGAAAGACACCGTTCCGTGCCCGCATGACCATCGCCGCGACCACATCCGCTACTTTCGCCTGGGAAATTCCCGGGTTCGGATACACTGGGATCCTATCGATCTTCTGGAGATTGTCGTCCCTCGCGCGCGCATCACTTGGAAGGTGGCGAATGACCTGAAACTCAAAAACGACATTTACACCAAAATGGAGGAGCGTTGGAACAGGTACATGACTTCAGTCAAAGCCCGTCTCAAAGGTATCCGCATCGACAGCGTGCTGCCGGAGAAGGCAGATGTATGCAGAGCCGAGGTGGATAGGCTGGCAAAGAAGGCCAACGAAGACCAGCCCAACATTGTTCATGAACTGCAGGAGATTTACGTCAACACAAAATACTACGAGGTGGTCCCCTTCAACAAGATCACCCGGAGAATGTTGGAGCTCGCTGGCGAGTGGGACACGGCTTTTGCCAAATTTGAGGCGGACTTCCTGGGCGACAAGGACATGAGACAGCTCACTATGCTTCAGCTCAAGAAGATGTTTGCTGACAATGAATCCAAAGACTCGCTTGTTTCAAATGAGGGTTCTGGGTCGGTCGGCGATAGTGACGAGCCGTCCCAAACCTTTACGGAGCCAGATGAGAAGAGCACACAGCCTACGGATTGCACGGACAACACCAGCATGGAAGCTAGTGCAGCATCGACGGTCAACATCGAGGACCATGTCGCTTCGGCAGAAGACGAGAAGATCTCGATTCCCGCCGAAGGTGCAATCGAAAGAGTTGATGCCCTGGACTTGGCTGGCTCCCCTGTCGCTACGAAACATTCCGGCAGCGCCCTTCCGGCAACGACGGAAAACACCGCGGTTCAAGCCCCTGCAGTACCTGTCTTTGCCATAACGGAGGTCCCCAGACCGTCACCTTCGCCTCAGGGAACGGACAGATCTGTGTCAGAATCACCGTTGCCTACTCTCACGCTTGGCGAGATAGTTGACCAGAAGCGGCGCGAACAGGCTTCACAATCTCCCCAGCTCGGTCAGTTGGATGGAGTCAGTATACCATCACCTCCCCCTGAGGGGACCAAGACGTCTATGGAGCGCCGCAGCAGCCGGCGCTCCGGCACCGCCGTCTCGCCACCATTGACACGCAGCATGACCCAGCCCGCTAGACCATTGCCTAGATCGCAGTCGTCTTCTGGTAAAGCAAACGTTCTCAGGGACGGGAGGACAGGTGCCGCGGATTCACCGCCACCAGAGCAGCAAGCCGAGCCGTCGATGAAAGTGGATAAGAAACTTTCTGAGCGATTAGGGCTTGCAGCCTTAAAGAACCGTTCCAAATCAGGGCAGTCGAGCATCCCCCGCCTGGTCTCGAAAAAGAGAGACTCCAGGGTGTCGACGCTTGCAAAGCACTTTGAGCAGCTCAGTCGAGAATTTGAACGCGAGCGCATCCGTGATCGTAAGAAGCGCGCCGACACTTTGAGGACGCCTCGGGCAATGCTGCCTAGAACGTCAACAAAGGCTATCATTGAGGTATACGACGACGTCAAGGAGGCCTTCGGTGAGCCGGCACAATCTGCTGAACAAGCCCCTGAGAAGGCACCAGACAAACTGGCCCGAGATGAGGCACCTGAACCTGCCCCCGCTGGCGGACCAGCTGCGACCGCTGGGCCTCAGCAGGACCATCCTATTCTCGGAGACGGAGCTTCAAGTCCCAAAAACGTAAGAAAGGAAGAAAAGGTCGAGGCAGAGCAGCTATTCACAACCCAGCCTAGCCAAGGCACAGCCTCCGACGATGAGGCGGGCGCCAGTGACGCTGAACCAACAGTATCGGACGACTTTCTGCCTGGCATCAAAGAGATTGCAGACTCTCTGGAGCCGAGCACAGAAATCCCCTTGGAACTGCCGAAACACCAGCGGACAAGTTTGATGAAGTATCTGACAAACTTTTGGGCGGAACGGTCCGCCAGTGGGTGGCCTGCTTTGGACTATCCTGTGACGGGGAACGACCACATATTTGTCGATTCCGACATTATTGTCCGCGAGGATGAACCGAGCTCGGTCATTGCTCTTGCACTCAACAGTGGAGACTACAAGGACAAGCTGACCCAGATCAGAGGTGAGGCGCATGCTTCTGCGCAACAGGAACATGCGGATGCGGTCGGTTCCAAGCCCTCATCGATGTCTGCGTCCGAAAAGGCCACCGAGGTCCTAGACGGGACCGAGCTTGAGAAGAGTCTGCTACGTGCCACGGGCACCCACCTCAAGTACCAGTTCAAGGATGGTGCATCCGTCATGACCTGCAAAATCTTTTACGCGGAGCAATTCGACGCCCTGCGCAGAAAATGCGGTGTGGCAGAGCGTATTGTCGAATCATTGTCAAGATGTTTGAAATGGGACTCCAAGGGCGGCAAAACCAAGTCTGTGTTTCTGAAGACATTAGACGACCGACTGATTCTCAAGTCACTGTCACCTGTCGAAACATCGGCCTTCCTTCGCTTCGCTCCTGGGTACTTCAGCATCATGGCCGAGTCGCTATTCCACGACCTGCCGTCTGTGATTGCGAAAATGGTCGGATTCTTCCAAGTCCTCATAAAGAATCCAACAACTGGGGTGGATGTCCGGCTGGATCTGCTCGTCACCGAGAACTTGTTCTACGACCGCTCGCCAACAAGGATATTTGACCTGAAGGGTTCCATGCGTAACCGCAAGATCCAATCAACCGGTGAACAGAACGAAGTTCTTCTCGATGAGAACATGGTCGAGTTCATCGCCGAGTCGCCTCTTTTCGCGCGTGAGCACTCCAAGAAGCTGCTTAGGGCGTCCGTTTGGAATGACACATTGTTCCTGGCCCGCCAAAATGTGATGGACTACTCCCTCATGATCGCCGTGGACGAGGACCGCAAAGAGCTTGTGGTGGGTATCATTGACTGCATCCGAACATACACCTGGGACAAGAAACTGGAAAGCTGGATCAAAGATCGGGGATTTGCAGGCGGCGGCAGAAACAGACCCACGGTGACGAGTCCGAAAGAGTACAAGAACCGGTTCCGAGAGGCCATGGCTAGGTAAGACACACAAAGGCGTTCAACCCAAAGAAAAAAGCTGACACATCCAAGGTACATCCTTCAGTCGCCCACATGCTGGCACTTGTTCAACTACCCCAACTATCCACATTATTCGCGGGCCCGCTTCGAGGACGATAAATGAGCAGAGCAGCAGGGAGACAGCAAATGGCGCGTAGACATATTTCATAGTAGACATCCAGGGGCCAAGTCGGCAAGGAATTATGAAGCTCATGATAATGACAATGAGATGCGCCTCTTTGGCAGTACGTATTTCATGGCCTGTTGTAGCAATCTATCAGTTATGCAATCGATGTTTTCAGAGACGGTTTAGACTACTGGACTGGGCGGAATATCTATTCGAGTCTCAGTAGAGCCGTCAAATGGATCTCTGAATTCCCAAAGCTGTTCCTCTAAATCAATCACTAGCGCTGTAGTCTAGATCACATTGATCAGTTGGTGAGTGCTCAGCCGCAGACGGTGGTGGGGCTGGCGCGCTCTACTCCGTACACCTCTAGGTGAATGAAGCTTGATCCAGCCCCAGATCGACATAGATTCATCACCACTTCACCATGAGCATTGACTTGAATTGGGAAACGCTCACCTCCGGCCCCGACGGTGACGCCCTCGCTGAGAGCATTCGCGCCTTTATCCACTCCAAATTCCAGACCATTCCCCTCCCGCGGTTCATCAAATCGGTACATGTGCATGGTTTCCACTTCGGCAACATACCACCGTCCCTGGAGCTCAAAGATATCACAGACCCGTTGCCAGACTTCTACGAACGACAAGAAGGCGATGATGAGAGCAGTGAGGGAGAGGAGGAGGAAGAAGAACGGCCGGTGAAAGGCAAGGCAAGGGACACCAGAGGCCAAGCTGGACAGGATCTGCGCAGTCCATTTTTGGGCACGAGCACACCAGGCATTCTAGGTGGACCGGGCTTAAGTTACTTCCAAGGGCATCATTTTGGTCCTCACACAGGAGGGACGCATACACCTCTTGCGGCCGTGGTGGCGCAACGGGGAGGCATCAATTCCTGGATGGCGGGTACCTCGACTCCAGTATCCCACCATTCGCGAAACCTGTCGCAGAGCAGCATATCCGTGGAGGAAGGTCGACTAGGCGTTCTGCGGGAGAAACACAGCGTGAGCACGCTGGCCCCCACCGGCAGCGCCAATACGTCCCGGCCACCTACGCGGGATGCGGCACATTTCGAGGAGGCCATTGAAGAGGAGTACGATGACGATGAGCATCCTGAAGAAGAAGGGGCCCAAAGGCGGCGCGAGGCGAGGGTGGATGACGTCCAGGCTGTATTTCGGATCAAGTACGCGGGCGATATACGACTGAACCTTACGGCGGAGATTCTACTCGACTACCCGATGCCTAGCTTCGTGGGGATACCGCTCAAATTGAACATTACGGGCTTGTCTTTTGACGGGGTGGGAGTGCTGGCGCATATACGCAAAAGAGTGCAGTTCTGCTTCCTGAGCCCCGAAGACGCCGCAGCTGCGGTGCCTCCTGGCGAGCAAGACGAAGATCTCGACACTGGAGAATCAGGAACACGGTTCGGCGGTTTGTTACAGGAGATCAAGGTGGAGAGCGAGATTGGAGAACGAGACGGCGGCAAAGCGAGTCTGAAAAACGTGGGCAAAGTGGAGCGTTTCGTATTGGAGCAGGTCAGACGTATCTTTGAGGAGGAATTCGTCTATCCCAGTTTCTGGACGTTCCTTGTATAGCGTCTATATACGGCTCTACGATGTACAAATGTAGTCAGGCGTGGGAAGATCACGTCAGAGTGGACCGGAAGCCATTGTAGGCTTGCTGGATATCCATCTCCAGCTCTCGCGCTTGACCTTCGCTCAGTTCCTCTGTAGCTTTCATCTGGTTCAATGTGATGAGCCACTGGACAATCTTGCCCCGGTTATCAAAGTCCTTGTCGGTGACTTTGTTGACGGATTGAATGACATCCGAGAGCAGTGGATGCAGCTGGTCTTTCGACAAGAGACCCAGCTTGACGGCGTCAAGAAACGTGATAAATTCCTGAGTCGCTTCCAAGATGAGAACACCGCTTGTGTTATTCGACGAGGAGGACTGTTGTTGTGGCTGGCTGGGCGCGGAAGAGCCAGCTGTCACCGTAGTCGAGGGCATGCCCACCCGCAATCGCTCGGTCGCGCGAGGCACTTCGAGCTTTCCAATAATTAGTTTCGTGAGCCACAGTAGTACAAGAAAAGTGTGTACGAACCTCCCATCGTGCCTTGAACTCCTCCAGTCCCTGAAACTCCTTTGCAATCGTCTCATCCGCCAGCAGCGCCTTGTACTGCCTCAGGGAACGCTCGCAAATCTCAGTGTACTCGCTCTCGGGAACCGCGTCTTTCAGAAAAGCCTTTTCGAGCTCGTCCAAAGTAACAATGATGCTGAATAGCTCGGCAAGGGATTCTTGCAGATCGCGCTCGGCGCGCGTTGAGGTCAGCTTGACCTCCTCGTCGAGATTGATGGTCGCATTGAGGGACGTGTTGGGAACATAGCTATGCGGCGTCGGCGCGTAGCTCTGGGGTCGGGGGATCATGGCGGGTGATTGAAATGAGACATCGTCCCAATCGTCACTCGTTCAGAGGGAGTGAAGGAAGCTGGTCGCGATACTTGGGGTGGGGGAGCTCCTGGCGGGGCCTGTTGACAGCTACGTCGGTGGCAGAAACTGTAGACCGCCTGCCGCAATCACTTGCGCTATCGATAAGATGCCGCGGAAAAATTTGGGAGGATCTCTCTGCCTGGCTAGCTGCCTATCTGCCATCCCGCGATGGTCTGAATTTATCGCTTTCTGCTTTTCTTTTTGCTGACCCAACCAATTCTCCATTCGCGCCCTCAGGCCTACCGTCATCATGGGTCCAGGCAAGAAGAACGCCAAGGCGACCAAGAAGTTCGAGAAGAAGCACCTCACAGGTGTTCTGGACAAGCGCAAGGCCAATGCCAAAATCAAGCAGCGCTACCAGATGAACGACAAGAAGAAGGCACGCAACGCCACCGATGCTGAGTATCTCAAGGGTCCCAATGGCAAGCCTGTGGATGCTCCTACGGGCAGTGTCATTGGAAAGGGCAAGAAGGTCAACGACATGAGCACAGACGACTTCTTCAATGGAGGGTTCGAGGAGATCATCTCGCAAAGGAGCAATGGGAAAAAGAGGAAGCGCGATGGCCCCAAGGAAGAGACAAATGGTCAAGCTGATAGCGATTCGGATGATTCGACCGGTGCACAGCCTGTTATCAGCGACGATGACGATGATGAGGATGGCGAAGACGACGACGAGATGGGCGCCATGAGTAAGCAGACCATGGACGATCTCGCGAAGAAGGATCCCGAATTCTACAAGTTCCTGAAGGAGAACGACCCAGAGGCGCTTGATTTTGACGACAATGCCGACCTGGCCGAAGTCGACGAGCTCAGCCAGGATTCAGCTGCCGAGGACGAAGCCGAGGAGGAAGAACAGCCCAAGAAGAAGCGCAAGAAGGCCAAGAAGGCCCAAGAGGCGACTGTTGGCAATGAGCTGACCAGAGAACTCGTGGCTTCCTGGCGCAAATCCATGGCCGAGACGCATTCGCTTCGTGCCGCCCGCCAGACGGTGCTCGCCTTCCGCTGCGCAGCCCACCTCAACGAGGACGAAGACGAGGACTCGCGCCCTGGACGCTGGACCATCAACAGCCCGGAAGTCTTCAACGACGTGCTGCTCCTGGCCCTCAACGAGATCCCCACCGTCATGAAGCACCACCTCCCTGCCAAGGAGTCATCCTCTGGCAAGGTCTACGTCCAGACCGAGACCAAGAAGTTCAAGACACTGTCACTGTTGCTCAAGACCTACACCACCTCGATCATGCACCTCCTCAGCACGCTCTCTGACGACCGCACCTTGAAGCTCACCCTTTCCGCCATTGAGCCTATCCTCCCCTACCTCCTCTCCTTTAAGAAGCTCGTCAAGGCTCTCGCCAAGTCCGTCGTCAACTTCTGGGCCCAGCCCTCGTCGACAGAGTCCACGCGTATCACCGCCTTCCTCGTCCTCCGCAGGCTCGTCGTCATCGGAGACAAGGGCATCCGCGAGACGGTGCTCAAGAGCACCTACCAGGGTCTCATCCAGGGCTGCCGCGTCACCAACGCCAACACGATCCAGGGCATCAACCTCATGAAGAACTCGGCGGCTGAGCTCTGGGGCATCGACCCCCAGGTCGGATACACCACCGCCTTCACCTTCATCCGCCAACTGGCCATCCACCTCCGGAGTAGCATCGTCAACAACAAGAACGACTCGTTCCGCATCGTGTACAACTGGCAGTACACGCACTCCCTCGACTTCTGGTCCTGCGTGCTCGCCGAGCACTGCTCGCCCCTCAAAGAGGCCGAAGCCGGCAAGGAGTCGCTCCTCCGGCCGCTCATCTACCCTCTCGTTCAGGTCACACTCGGCGCCCTCCGGCTGATCCCCACGTCCGTCTACTTCCCGCTCCGCTTCCACCTCATCCGCTCCCTACTACGAACATCCCGCGCCACGGGCACGTACATCCCCCTCGCGTCGCCACTCCTCGAAGTCCTCAACTCGGCCGAGATGAAGAAACCACCAAAGCCGTCCACGCTCAAAGCCTTTGACTTCTCCGTCGCCTACAAGGCACCGAAATCCTACCTCCGCACGCGCGTGTACCAGGACGGCGTCGGCGAGGAGGTAGTCGAGCTCCTGGGCGAGTACTTCCTCCTCTGGTCGACGTCCATTGCCCTGCCCGAACTCGCCCTGCCGCTCATCATCCAACTGAAGCGCTGGCTGAAGCAGGCCCGCTCCAAGACCAACGGCAACAAGAACCAGAAGCTCGTGGCCTCGCTGGTGCTGCTCGTGCAGAAGCTCGAGGCCAACGGCAAGTTCATCGAGGAGCAGCGGGCCAAGGTCGACTTTGCGCCCAAGAACCGGTCGCAGGTGGAGAACTTTCTGAAGGAGTACGATGTGGGCAAGACACCGCTGGGTGCCTATGTCATTGGGCAAAGGAAGCAGAGAGCGCAACGGGCCAAGATGCTAGAGGAGGCCCGGAAGGAGGATGAGAAGAAGAGGAAGGAAGAGGAAGCCGCTACCAACGCTGGCGAGGATATGGACAGCGAAGCAGATGAAGATGAAGACGCGGAAGAAGACGATGAGGAGATGGGGATGGACGGGGACATGCTCGAGGTGGATGAGGATGAGGAAGACGAAGACATGTCCGATGAGTAAACGTCATTCAGCATATCAAATATAGTAGCTTTCACTTCATCAAGTTGTTTCAGTGACAAGAATATTCATCGTGTTGCCGTGGTCCAAGCCCTCAAAAGGGCGACATCGATACCGAACAATGTGCATCGTACAAACGCCAGCCAAAAAACCTTGATCCAGTCTGATTCCGATCCGTTGCGCCAATCTCCTGCGTCATCATGCGCAAACGCCTAATTCTCGTCAATACCAAAAGGCAATTCAAAGGTCACCAATTCCCTCCCACGTGAGCTGCTCCGTCCCGCTGGTCACATCCCTTACAGTCATGCCTGTAATGTTGAGCACCGTCATTTCCACCTCATCCTCCGACATGACCTGCCCTGCCGACTTTTGTCCCTCTAGCACGTCGTACAGACTGTAAATCTGATCATTCTTGGCTTCCAGCTGTTTGAGCAGGTGGCGTATCGACTCTGCCATGATGAGGCGTTCACGACGGCCGTAAGCCTTGTCGGAGCTGTTGTACTCGAATTGCGCGCGTGTTAGCTCCAGCTGCATGTGCTGCGCTTCGTCTTCAAGAGACTTGATGACCATGGCAAGCGCATGGCCAGGATGATGAGCCGGACGCATAGTCGCATCTTCACCAAGCCCGCGGTCGGTAACAGGAACAGGACGAGGAACAGTGACACGCTTCTTGCCGAGCACGAGGTCTGTTGATGATATGACGCCGCGGTGGGACGTGATCCGACTGCAGACGGTGCAGTTGCTACACTTGTGCTCACAGAGGTTGTCCAGGACGCGGCGAGCATCTTTTGATAGGGCAGGGCAGCTGTCCTTCTCGACACCAAGTTGGCTCTCCGCAGTTGTCTCGACCGCAATGTGCTTGGAGCTCTGGGAACCGCGAGAGTGTGAGCGCTGGTGCGAGTGGCGGCGCTGTTCAGACCCGCGGCTCTGACTCTGGCTTTGACTTGTCACTTCGTGAGTGGCATCCTTCTTCTGTTGCCTCTTGCCATCCTTGGCCTCTTTACGTGGCTTGAGCAGTTCGGGAAGTGGTAGCGAGGGGTCCTGTGTGGTGTTGTCAAGGGAAAGCAGGCCGGTAGATTCGTCCATGTCTACAATGGGCATAGATGTGCGCTTGACTGGCATCGAGGCTGTGCGGCGTTTGCTGCTCTGGTTAGGTAGCTGCGACGTACTCTTGCTGGCCCGCACGGGGTGCTCGGGAACCGCAAAAGCAACCTTGTTCGCAGCCGTGCCGGCTGTTGATGTCTTGCTCAATTTGGCCCTTTGTTGCTGAGTGTGGCTGGTAGTCTCGTGCCTCGTCGATTTCTCCGTGCGTTCTTCTGTCATATCCACAATCGCCGACATCCTGTTGGTGTGTTCCGTAAACTCGGGTAACGGGGGCAAGTCTTGCGTCTGGGTGTTCTCCGGCACAGCTCCTGTGTCATTTCTTTCGACGGTGATATCAGGTAGGAAGAATGCTGAAGTCATGTTGTCGTCGGTCTGCTCTTCGAGACGTGCCGAGAAGTCCTCCTTAGGGATGGGTCGGCAGTGATCCAATTGTCCCTTCAGGAACTCGACATCTTCCTTCAATTTCAAGTTCTGGTCGCGCATCTCAGCGATACTTCGCTCAAAGCCTGCATTCTCGCGGCGCAGGGTCTTGTTCTCGCTGTAGTAGTTCTCGTTGTGGCGAACAAGGCTATCGTTGTCGGTCTGGAGCGCAATCTTTTCCTCGTCAGAAGCACGCATCTGCGAGCGGAGATCGTCAATCTCTTCGCGGGCGGTGTTAGACTGAGCAGCATCGGGGTTTGCGCGAAGTCGTGCGTTTTCCTCCAAAAGATTCTGGTTGGCGGTACGTAGTGACCGGTTCTCGTTCAAGATGGACTGATACTGACGGCGCATTGTGTCGTTGTTGGAAGTGAGCGATTCGACTTCCTTCTCGAAGTCGGCAAGTCGATCCTGCAGGTCATTATTCATGAGCTCGAGTGCGTCGTGCTTGTCTGCCATCTTCTTGTAATCATCGCGGATTTGATGATTTTCACGGCGCAGTTGTACTGTCGACTCCAGCTGTTTGTGTGATGTCTCCAGCTCCCTCTCTCGAGTAGCCAACTTGCGCGTGAGCTTGTTGATGTCTTCGCAAGCCTCCTGCAGCTTTCTGACAGCGCGGTCCTTCTCCTGAGCAATTGACTCATTCTCGATTTCGTTGATCGTGTTCTTTCGCGCTGCCTGCTCGAGGCGTGATTGCAAGTCAGCAACCTCGACTTCCAAGCCTGTGGACATTAGTAAGGTCCCCACACATAGTAATACAGCTGACTTACGGTCCTTCTGGTCTGCTAAGTGTTGATTCATGAACTCCGCATTGCCTCGGCTCCCAGATGCTGGTCGTTTCTTAAGCTCAGCCTCAAGGCTCTCCACCTGCTCCTGGAGATTCGAGGCGTACTCCTGTACCTTGTCGTAGTGTTCCTGAAGAGAGACAATCTCTTCGCGGATCATGTCCATGGACACGAATATCCTCTCCTCATCCTCCGGTACCTCCAGCTCGTCCAGCTCGGCATGGTGAGCCTGCGAGCGCCTATCCCGGCTGTCATGAACCTTACCATTCTTCACGAAAACAGGCACGCCATTGCGCATGGACCCGCTGAAGCGCAAGGTTCCAGTGACAAAATCACCGAGGTGTGACACATCAGGCATGAAGAATGAGCGCACCACTGAGCCGTCGAATGCAGATTCATTGGCTTGCTCAGGCGACGGGGGCACCGCCGTCAAGCTTGACTTGGCCGACGACATGCGCGGCGATCCATTCTGCCGCTTATCCCCCTGCTCTTGCGGGCTTCTCGAGCGCCTGCGCATTTCCTCCAACGCGTCGTGTATGGAACTTCGCCGTTGCGACTCGTCGTCGTTAGCCGTCGACTGGCTGCGGTTCTGAACTTTGGAGAGCGGACTCGGGTGGCGGACATTGGTTTTTGAGTAGTTCTGGTACTGCGCAGACAAGCCCTTGGCCGGGATCAGCAGCGACGACATCTCCGACTCGTCCTGCACGCGTGGCTGCATCTGGGCACGCGTTCGGTGCGTCACCTGCATGACGTCCTGTGTCGAGTCATCGTTGTACTTGAAGGCTGGCGGCTTGTTCTCCTTGGACTCGGAGCTCATTGGCCTCGTATCGGTGTCGTCCTCGAATATCTTGTCTCTGGGCATACTGTAATAATCTGGAAATCGCTTTGCCGCGGACTCGTATTTAATGACTCCCTTGCGCGGTGCAATAACACGCGCGATATCCTCGTTGAGCTTCCTTGTCGATTCGCCTTCTGGGTCAGAGAAGACGGAGGACAGTGTGACGGTTCCGTGCGATCCGGTTGAGGAAGGGGGTGAGTTGAATGGGTTGTCGCGGTTTGTGTTCATCTCTCTAAGGATGCGGGATCTGTACCGCGTTGCAGTGTCGGCGTCCATCGCGAGGACGTCGTCGCAGAAGACGCGTCGTCGAGTGGGAAGGTTGGGTGCGATCAACGCGTCGTGGCAGGTGCAGGTCGACTACCTAAAGTAAGGTAGTGGAAGTCGATAAACAGCAACGAGATTGAAAAGACAATAAGGTTCTGGTTGTGTGCGTTTTTGAAAGAGCGCGTCACATACTTGGCAGACACTGACACAAGCAATCGGTCCTGGAGGTTGAGGTTCAGTTATAAAGGTGCAGGGATCTTGTTTGGTCTCAAAGTAAACAAACCGTGTGTGGTTTAGCCTTGACCAGCCACGCCCACGATTCGTTCAATTGGAGTCGATGTGGGGTAGGTGCACGCCAGAAGAGAGTCAGAGTCCAGACACCTGTTTGGTGCGCGCATTGCAGCAACGCAGGAATTATTTTCTCCGTCGCCTTACAAGGGCCAAGACGAAGAAAAGTAATTCAACATTGCGGGTACATGAAGAATACTGATACTTCTGATCAAACATTGGGAGATGCACTCACATTCTTGTTTCTTCCAAAAGCGCACTGTGACCTACCCTACATGCATGTCCTTATCGTTAACGACGATCAGCCAGATATTAGCCTCGCCATGCTGCCACGGTGGGAACACGTAGCATCAGCTTACTCCTCTTTCAACAACGAACCTCATACTGTTGATCAAGATCACGGCGCAACATTATAGATCATTCTCACACGGCACGCTATCTCCTTTGCAGTATACTTGTCTTCTAGATCGATTGTTCGAAGGGTTGCTCTAGCCAACTCTGCACAGCAAAGCATGCCTACCCTACAGGCGTGAAGCATGCGCGGATAAGAGTGCTTTTCATCCTGTCACTTGCTGGAACCTGGACCATCCGCCATTCGCGATATCCTGCAAGTCGAGTCACATTCATGAGGTCTTGGCCGCTTTCAGCGGCCCTTTTGGGCGTGGCTGTCGCTATGGAAGAGCCTTTGCCGAAGACTCTTCCAACAGAGGTGGTTCGTTCGTTGCCAACCAGTTTCCTCGACTTTGCTCCCTCCGCCCGGGCTGGAAATAAGCACTCAAATGTACAATCACTGGAAGATATGTTCAGTGCTCTCCAAGTTCTACAAGGGGATTATTATGACGCAGACTACGGAACTTGGCCCACTGCCATCGACTGGACCGCTGCCTTTGCTCAAACTCTCCTCAGTGGAGCTTTGACAACACTGACAGAATCTTTGGCATCATTTGAGCCTTCTATCAGTTTCGCGCAAAAGGAAAATCTCCTCATGTCATACTTTCACCAACTTGTGGGATCGTACTATGGCCAAGATACCTTATCTATACGGGGTGAGGTAGGGTTGTTGTTCACCCTATGCGCAGCGGAGAACGAGACTGATCAACGCTCCTTTAGGCATACGATGATATACTATGGGTAGCTCTTGGCTGGTTAGAAGCCGTAGAATTTGTGTCGACGCACTCAGCATTGCACTACCCACCCAATACCACAAACTCGACCGACCATCAATGCTTGCGCCAAGTCTTGCAAGACCTGCCCTGGCACGGCCACAGTTGGGTCCCATCGTTCGCACACAGATCTCGCATTTTCTGGGGTCTGGCCTCACGGGGATGGACTGACGACTTGTGCCATGGCGGCATGGTGTGGAACCCGAGGTTGAGTCCATACAAGAACGCCATCACTAACGAGCTGTGGATCTCAGCGTCTATAGCTATGTATCAATACTTCCCCGGGGACAACTTTACTGCGCCGTGGCTGCAGCAGAGCGCATTCCCCGACAGGGACCCAGCTCATCTAGCTGGAGCGGTGGAGGGATACAAGTGGCTTGTTGGGGTGAACATGACCAATAACCAGGGGTTGTTTGTGGACGGCTACCACATTGACAGCCGCAAAGCGAACAACAGGGAATGTGATCTGCGGGATGAGATGGTATACACTTACAACCAAGGTGTGATACTCACAGGCCTGCGAGGACTCTGGTCGGTTACTGGAGCCCCGTCATATCTCACTGATGGGCACAGGCTCATCCAGGCGGTCATCAACGCTACCGGATGGGACTTTACTCGGAGCCAACCTGTGGACCAGTTTCGTTCTGGTTCTCTGCCGCCGTGGCGTGGCATTGGCCGAGCGGGCATTCTCGAAGAGAGGTGCGACGCCTCTGGTACTTGCTCTCAGGATTCTCAGACGTTCAAGGCCATCTTCTTCCACCATCTCACGGCCTTCTGCAAGCCGATCGAGACGTCCAATGCCCACGGCATAGACCAGAACCACACCGCAGCACTGCACAAGGGTGCGTGCGCTGAATATGTTGCCTGGACCAGGCACAACGCCGTGGCAGCCTTGGGCACTCGCATCGATGGCAAGTTCGGCATGTGGTGGGGACCAGGGTTGTTTGGTAATGTCATGGCCACCAAGAGCAGCGACGGCATTGACCACGACGCTGCGAATACGACGGACTACAGAGACGAAGGCACGCCTGTAGATCGCATATGGGGAAGGGAGCCATGGTCTCCTGGATCCGAAGGCGTCCTCAGACGCCAGGGCGCTGCGACGATACAAGAAAACACAAACGTGAGAGAGAAAGTGCTGAGTCGCATCCGCACCCTTGCTGGGCGACCACCCAAAGAAGGGAATGATCCCAACGCTCGAGGTCGTGGTCGGACTGTCGAGACGCAAATGGGAGGGTTAGCTGTGCTGCGAGCGTACTGGGTCCTGTCGCGTTCTTCTGAATCCAAATGAGCGTAATTAGAGTACGCGGGTGCGATGTGATGTCCGCTCCGCGAATGCGAGTGCGGATGCGACTGGAACCGCGACACCCCCATTAGAGGTGGCGTTGATTTCACAGCCAAGGACCGCATTCGCTTCAGAAGCATCTAATGAGGTCAGAGTCGCAGAGAAAGCAAAATCATCATGACCCGAGGCGGATCAATCGCTGTATATCTATACCTGCTCGAGCTGTGGACTGCGTGATGGGCTGCACAGATTGCACACTCGCATTCCTGTTCATCAGCGGCCAGTTCTTAAGAACTTACCACCAATAACATTCGTGCACCGGCTTTTCCAACGCATTACCGACAAAGATCATACCGTGCCTCGCAAGATGTGAGTATTCCTGCAGCGCGCACTACGCCATCCGTCCTGACATGGGAAGGGGTAACTCGCACTCCCGCGCTGTTGAGGACGCCGATAGCGTGTCGTCTGGTTGCTCGAATGCACGCAGAGCCGAAAGACAGGCCCGGAGAAAAGAATGTCGCGCAGAGCGTAAAGAGCGGCGCGCTCAGGGCGGTTGCTGCTCCAGGAAGAGGAGCAGACAAACGACGACAGACGTCACGACAGAGATGGTTTTCGAATCCCTGGAATCGAGCTTATGGAGGCATGGAAACGCCGCGCACAAACGGGAGACTTTGACAAGCCAAGACGACCATAATGCAAAGCAGCAACTCGCGGGTAGTAAGCCTGCAGCAGCCGAGTTGCCGCCTCCAACATACGAGGAGGTCATGGTGGAGAGACGGCAGAACTGACACGTTGGGAGCGAGGGCGATGCCGCGATATGCCTTGTCACAGACCGACAGGTGGTGGCACAGAATTTCACGAAGCCTTTCCTCCAAATAGTGCGAGTTATGATAGCGGTCAATTGCGTAGTACATGTATCGAGCTTCAGTGTCTTCACTATGGATAGTACTTATTTTTTGCAACAGCTGCTGCGCGGAGTCACTGTTGAAGACCGCACCCGGGCAAATCACGTAATATGCCATGCGCCATGGTTGGGTAATAACTTGGGTTGCCGATTTCCGGTGATCACCACATGGGCAGGCTCATCCAGGATGATCCAGATTCCAGGGTCCCGAGTTTGAAGGAACCCCACGTGTGGCATCTGTTGTGCGTGATCGCGTGTTGCTCGCAACTAGTATCAGTCTTGCAGCCGTCCGCCCACGGAGGCCCAGACTAGGAGGAGCAGCTGCGTCCATTTTAGTGGTCCAAGTCTATCGGGAAGCAGCTGTGAAGGGCACGAATGTCATAGAAAAAGCGACTTTGAACCACAGGACGAAGCATTACAGATGATGCGCCGGGCGAGACGTCATGGGCGTGGTGTTGGCGCGTCGAGCTAGAGCTGTCGAGGATTCTCGCAGCTGATGGCAAGTCAGCTTCATTAGAAGTCCACTTGGCAAGGGCCGGGGTTCTGATGCAAAGGGTCTGGTCATGGCAGATGGTAAGACAGAACGTGACTTAATCAATTTGGAAGATATAAGACAGCTTGCTTTATCAGAAAGACACCTGCGCGCGCCGCAGACAAGGTGGTGAAGTATCGAGGAATGCAACGCCATCTTTAGTAAGGTCTTGGTGCATTAGTATACCCCTGAAGTAGCGTCTTATTAATGTGATTGCATCGGTACCTGCAGGCTAATACTTGACAGCCTACAGCCTGTCAGTCATCACTAACAGGAATAGTACGGAGTACTGTAAGGTAATTACTGAACGGTGAAGCCGTGGCACTTGTGCGGGGCACGCACGCATTGCGGTCTGGTCCATCTCTCCATTATCGGTGCGCTGCCAGTGCCAGTGTGGGCGCCCGCATAGGATCACAGCACTCCGTCTTCGGCAGATCCCACGACAACTGCATGACCCTGCCAATCCTTCCGTGTCGTCTCGAGTATATCTGAATACGCTGGATCTGTACTCTGCGGCTTGTGAAAATGCTCGAGCGTTGAATTCTTTCTCTTCATTTACGTCTACAGTCATTGCCCGACATGCCTTCGCTTGACATTTTCAACGAGCACCCGATAGCCCCGACCAATGGCGTCAGCGGTATCGGACCGGTGTCCGACACTTTTGATGCGGAGCTCCTCGAAAATGCCAACGGCAATGTCCACAAAGTCAACGACGCACACTCCTCAGACAGCGACGACCCTCACGGCGTGACGGAGATGAACAACAAGGCCAGGTCACGAGCCAATGGCTCGCGGCGCCCACACACGCCAACCAACACCATGGCCTTGACCGACTACAGCGTCAACCCATCCACGCCCTCGGACGAGAAGCGCCAGAGCATCAAGGAGATTGTCCCCGAGGACTACCTGCTGCCCAACGGGCATCCAGATGTGCGTGCAGTCAACTTGACCGTGCGGTCGCATCGAACTGGACTAATGTTCACAGTACCTTCGCCTCATTGCCAGCGCAACCTCCCGCGTCTACGAAGCATGCAAGCAGACCGACCTGACTCACGCCATCAACCTCAGCAACCGCCTCGAATGCCAAGTCCTCCTCAAGCGCGAAGACCAGCAGCCAGTGTTCAGCTTCAAATTGCGCGGCGCGTACAATAAAATGGCACATTTGGACCCCAAGAAGAGCTGGCGGGGCGTCGTCTGCTCGTCAGCGGGCAACCACGCCCAGGGCGTAGCCTACTCCGCTCGCAAGCTCAGAATCCCCGCGACCATCATCATGCCCGAGGCGACGCCTGCCATCAAACACTTGAACGTATCGAGACTTGGTGGGCACGTCGTGTTGCATGGGCAAGATTTTGACGCAGCCAAGGAGGAGTGCGCGAGGCGGGTGAAGGAGGGTGGCCTGATCAACATCCCGCCCTTTGACGATCCGTATGTCATTGCTGGACAAGGCACTATCGGAAACGAGCTTTTTGGTCAAACAAACATGGCCAAGGTCGATGCTATTTTCTGCTGTGCAGGAGGCGGTGGCTTGATAGCCGGTATCGGACTCTACGTGAAGAGAATGGCGCCTCACGTCAAAATTATCGCAGTGGAAGCTTCAGAGGCCAATGCCTTGGCGCAGTCCATGAAGGCTGGACACCGTGTGGTGTTGAAGAGCGTTGGACTCTTCGCCGATGGCGCAGCCGTCAAGACATTGGGCGAGGAGACGTTCCGCATCTGCAAAGAGGTCGTCGACGAGGTTGTCGAGGTCTCGACGGATGAGATCTGCGCCGCCATCAAAGACATGTACGACGACACACGGTGCAGCTTGGAGCCGGCCGGCGCCCTGTCCATTGCTGGCCTGAAGAAGTACATGCACACGCACCCGGCCAGCGACCCCAAGAGGCAGATGATTGCAGTCACGTCCGGCGCAAACATGGACTTTGACCGTCTACGTTTCGTCGCCGAGCGTGCTTCTGTTGGCAGCGGCAAGGAGGCTCTGCTTCATGTCCGCATCCCCGAACGACCGCAAGCGTTCGCAGAGCTGGTCGACACCATCATGGGCAGCCCGGTCACCGAGTTCTCCTACCGATATGCGACAGAAGACATTGCCAATGTTATCTTTGGTCTATCGCTGGTGAGTCCCCCCAACGAGCGGGTGAAGGAGTTGAAGAACATACTTGGCCGCATCCGAGAGGAAGGCTTCAACGTCGAGGACATATCGCAGGACGAGCTCGCCAAGAGCCACATGCGGTATCTCGTTGGCGGCGTTTCCGGCGTGCAGCACGAGCGCCTGTACATGTTCAACTTCCCGGAGCGGCCGCGTGCCCTGGAGAAGTTCCTGACGGTGTTGAGGCCCCGCTTCAACATTTCACTCTTCCATTATCGGAACTCGGGCGGTGACATTGCCAAGATTCTCACCGGCATCATCTGCCCAGACGAGAATCTCGACGAGCTGGAGGATTTCCTGAGAGAGATCGGATACCCATACGAGGACTGCACGAACTCGCGGCTCTTCAGGACGTTCTTGCGACAGGAGAAGTTCGTGGAGGAGGAGGAGGAGGAGGGGGATGTGGTGGTAGATGGGGAGAAGAACGCTTTCTAGGCTTGTCAACGTTTGAGGAACTGGCGTTTAGGCTTTGCTTGCATTAACTTAGTAGACTTGTTGGGCGTGTGGCGGCACATGGAGGTTTGACAAAATAATTGGCTGCTTATTAGTGTAGAAAGGTCACCGCGCACGCACGTCGTCCGCAATAGAGAGCCGTGCCAGGCTATGATCATTGATGCTGCTGAGAACAAGGCCCAGTTCGTCCTTTCAACGTGTCCCCCGGGGAAGATACCTGATTCAGTTGGGCAGGCGGTTTCTCATGAGATATTGGGGATGACAACGCATCAGGGTGAACACCGTGTCATTGCCTCTAAACATGCACATTCGCTACTAATATATATGCATAGATGCAAAATATTATCAGCCTTTGTTCCACGAATGGGACTCCGCTTAACAAGATGTCTGGCGCCAACCATGAGGAGTGCAGCTGCCTGTTTCAGATGGAACCGCTGGGGTATCGTGAAGGATCTACAGGGACCAGTAGTGTGAACTGTGAACGTCACTTGCGCGGGCAGGCCCACGTGAGTATAGGCCCTTTAGAGCATTCGAATTTCGCGCAGCAGTAAATCGAGCCTTGAGAATTATGTAGCAAGCACAACGTCCTGCATGAGGTCGATTATCAAACGCGACAAAAGCGCGAGGGCTGGTTGTTTGTTTGCTTGCTTTCCTCTTCTAGGTTTCTGTCACCCCACGTTGATGTCCGGAGGCGGCTCGGCGTGTTTGGCGGGACGCTCCTGCCCGCTGGAGCTGGATCATGCGCGCCCCACGGACGTGGACCGCCGTTACAACTTGCTGGTGACCTGAGCTCTAGGTCCGCCACCCTTTCATTGTCTACCATTCATTATCCTCCAACTTGGATCTTCCCTCGTGTCACCAGCTCCTCGCTCTGTGTCATTGCGAGAAAAAAAACATACTTATTCGCGCCTCCAGTAATCCCCCCAACCTGGTTTTTTCGGATATTGTCTTTCTGTCTTCCTGCTGCGTTTGTTTGACGGATTTTGGGTACGTATGTTGAAGCTAGAACCCCCCCATGCTCGCTTGTCCTCCGTCATCGCTTTCTCACGCGGCGGGATGTCTAGGTCTCGGTATATGCCCACGCGACGACACTTCTCGGAACGCCAGCGCCTGTCGATTGTTACGATTTGACTGTTGCGAAACCTCAGGTAGCCTCACTTATCCATCGAGCCTCTCGAGTATCTGGCACATGAGCTACGGCCGTCGAACGCAAACACGCCAGACTGCAAGCTGGAACACGAGCCAGACGTTTTTGGTCGGACGCTGACCCTCAAACACACGAAAAACCCGTTCGAATTCGCTTGCTGCTCTCCGGGCACAGCTCCTTCGCAGCTTCGACGAGGAAGTCATTGCCGGCTGGCCGACACGCAATAGCTCCGGCGGAAATTCCGCCCCAGGCGGTGCGCATCGTTGGAAGCAGCTTCGAAATAATTATCGAACCCAGGCGGAAATACACAGGCGCCTGGAGGGACCTGCGGCTCTGCGGCTGCGTTGTTCATCACCGGTTCGGCCTCTCCTCGCAGCTCTGCGGCAAGGTCCGCTACCAGATGATTTGCAGTTTCTGGACCATTCACAAACAGACGCATGTCTGCCAGCTCAAGAAAGATGCGGAGGACGCGCTCACCGAGCTCCCCGTCTCCATTCCGGGCTCTGGCCCATCACCAGATGGCAAATGCGGGATCCAACCCGCGTGATAATGTCTCCCTCATTCGTTCTTTCAACAATGAGAACAACCCCTCGCGGCCGATGCGACCATCACCTCTGACAGCGTCAGTCATTCGCGATATGCCACAAGACCTCGTCGACCGCATACGCTCGTTCCCGTTATTCTTGTCGGCGCCCGAGGAATTCCTCCTGGAGATTGGGAACAACTTGAAGCCACAGATCCACGCGATGAACGATCACATCATCACAGAGGGGGACGAAGCCAAGGCCATGTACTGGCTTGTGCGCGGTGTTGTTGCCGCCACCTCCCGCGATGGCGAAGCGGTCTACGCGGAGCTCAAGCCTGGCTCGTTCTTTGGCGAGATTGGCGTTCTCATGGACGTCCCCAGGACGGCAAACATCATTGCGCGTACAAAGTGTCTTCTCCTGGTCCTCAAGAAAGAGGACCTGCAGGCGGTGATGCCCAAGTTCCCCGATATGGAGAAGGAGATTCGGCAAGAGGCGCAGGAGAGGTTGAACTTACTGAAGAAGCGACATCAGGAAGTGGGAGCCAAGAACCAGCCTCCTTCAGGAGATATATCGGCGCGCTCGATGGCTCCTGGTGAAGTCTCGAAAGGGGAAAGCGGTTCATTCAGGGACGGTGCCGTCATCAATTCGAAGAAGCGCAAATCACCGAGTCCGGGGATCATCGAGGATCCCTCGGCGGGTAGCGCAATTGGCAGTGGCTACGTACAGATCAGGAGAACATTGAAGGAGTTACCGTTGTTCTCGGCGTTGCCGGCGGATACTCTTCACTTCCTGGGGCTCAGCGTCCAACCGCGCGCATACCCACCTTTTACGGACATTGTTCATCAAGGAAGCTCGGGAAAGGAGATTTACTTCCTCGTAAGAGGGGAGGCAGAGGTTATTCACGAGCCGCCAAAGGAACACGCAGCCGAAGGGCTCAAGAGTCTTTCCCAGATTCAGAAGCGACCGAGACTGAAGGAAGGACAGTATTTCGGCGAGGTCAGCAGCTTGGGTCTGGCCCCTGGACGGACAGCCACTGTGCGTTCCATCACAACTGTGGAATGCCTCATGGTGCCCGGGCATGTGCTCGATGAGCTCTGGAAGAGATGCCCGCCGACCATCAGGTCGCAGGTTGAAAAGACGGCCCGTATGCGGTACACTGCAAAGGACGACGATATCGAGATGGCGGACTATGACAGGAGGGAAAAGCTTAGCAAGTCTGACCCCCCGACACCCACATCGCCTCACCGATCGGGACCGCATGTAATCTTCACGACACCATCCAAGCCGGGGTCACCCGCGAAAGATGAATTTGACAAGATCGAGCACAAGGACCCTGACCCGTTCTTGAGCGTGGACATGGAGAACTTGCGGAACAGGAGGAGGCACTCCTTGGCACCACCGACATCTACAGGCGATGCAACATCACCACTGAGCAATGGTAGTCGATCACTCGCCGCGGACACGTATTCCAATAAGTCCTCCGGGGCTGATACACCGCCAGATGCCAACATGCCCGCCAAGCGTGTCAAAGTCTTGCCTAGGCGACCTCACAAGCTAGCCAAGCCCACCCTGTCAGACGAACTCTTGGTGAGGGTCTTCTCATTTGCGGACATTGGAGTTCTCTCCCGGCTTTGCCAGATCAGCAGTCACTGGCAGATGCTTCTTAAAACATCACCAGACATCTGCAAGAATGTTGACCTGTCGTTATACAACCGCACGGTCACAGACCAGGTGATCGTGCGCACACTGGCATCATTTATAGGAACACGTGCGGAAGTCGTTGACCTCAACAACTGCTTCCACCTGTCTGACGAGGGGTTCTCAACGCTATGGAAGACGTGCGGCAAGAACGTCAAGCGATGGAGGATGCGGTCCGTTTGGGATGTTTCGGCGAGCCAGATTCTTGAGATGAGCGAGAACGCGAAGGGACTGGTCGAGGTAGACTGGAGCAACTGTCGCAAGGTTGGCGACAACCTGCTGGGCCGTGTCGTTGGCTGGGTAGTACCCGAGCCTCCGCCTGCCAACCGGCAAGTCATCACGTCGAGCTCCAACACCAACAACGGCAACGGAAACAAGGCCAAGACTCGGGCGCAGGCTCAGCACCAGCAGAAAATGCAACAGGCTCAGCAACAGAGGCAAGCCAACATGCCTCCGCCAGGCACTGTGATTGGATGTCCCCAACTCGCGCAGCTCAATCTTTCCTATTGCAAGCACATAACCGACCGCTCAATGGCTCACTTGGCCGCTCATGCTTCGAACCGCCTGGAGTCGCTGTCCCTCACACGATGTACCTCCATCACCGACGCAGGCTTTCAGAGCTGGGCGCCTTTCAAGTTCGAGAAACTCTGGAATTTGGGGCTTGCCGACTGCACGTATCTGTCCGATAATGCGATTGTGGCGCTGGTCAATGCTGCAAAGAACCTGACGCACCTGGACCTTTCGTTTTGCTGCGCGCTCTCGGATACAGCAACAGAAGTTCTTGCTTTGGGACTGCCTAAGCTCCGCGAGCTTCGCATGGCCTTCTGTGGCAGTGCCGTTGGCGACGAAAGTCTCCAGAGCATTGCGCTGCATCTGAACAACCTTGAAGGCATTAGTGTGAGAGGCTGTGTTCGCGTCACCGGCACGGGCATCGAGAGTTTGCTGCGGAACTGCCCCAAGCTGAAGTGGATTGACGCAAGCCAGTGCCGCAATTTGGAATCCTGGATTCGCACGGGCGGTGTTGAGCGTTGGGGCTACGATGACCGCTGTGGCAAGCTCCCCGAGCCGCCATCTCCGACGGAGAGCAGACCGTCAAGCATGAGCGTTGCGCCGTTGACAACACCAAATTTTGGAGGAATCGAGTTTGCCAGGTGGCGACAAAAGCGACCTGTGCGGTTCATTATTGAAAAGGGGACAGACTGTCTGCGATGATGATTACATGGAGTATCTGGGCCGGACACCACATTTTTGGACATCTTTTGCATACGACCGCATATCGCTATGATTTTCAGACGAGGACGGAGAAGGGCGGCTATTGTTAAAGGGTTGTTGGGGCTTTCATTGTGTTTGGGTGACTGTTACTCCTGGCATAGATCATCTGGGGGGCGCAATGCGCATGATACCCGTTTTGGATAGTTGTGTATGTTTGGGACATGTATTCGCAGCATTGCAATTGTCGGCGTCACGCATTGCAAATCATCAATGAATTTTATTTTTACTCAGTTTGCTGTCATCGGACTTTGGAGTCAAGGACGGGGTTAATTAATACGGCGGCAGTGATGTTGTCGACGATACCGATGACGAGAATTTTCCACATGATTCCATTCACGTGACGCGGACTTAGCTAAGCTCACCTCGGACCCCGAGAAGACGTCACTCTTTGCACGTAAACCGATATATCTGCTCCTCCTCCCCACAGCATCATCAGACCGTTTCCTTTGTTGTCACCAGAATCCATCGACATAACACATCACGATACAAACGATAAACCGCTAGAGTTGGACTCAGCAATCATGTCGTTCACACTCAGCGTTCGCCAGGGCCCTGCGCGCCTGGCGCAGCGTCTGCCCGAGCTGTCGAGGACAGCTTTCCGACCGGCCGTGCGCAACTTCCATTCGGCCAAGCCATCGCAGCGCATCGGCGCCAGCTTCTTCACCTCGCGCATCACCGCCCAGACTGCCCGCAATGCGTTTCCAAAGCAGGGCGCCCGATTCTACCAGCAGCAATTTGGCACCGCGGCCGCGCCCAACCGAACGCGGCAACTGCTGGTGGGCGGCGCCATCTTTGGAGGAACCCTCGTGGCGATCAACATGGTCTTCAACCGCGAGACCCGCGAGGACGGCGGTATGCCGCTGTACGAGCGCGAATACCTCAACAACACGTTCCTGCACACCGGCCTCGGCATCGGCATCATTGGCCTGACGGCGAGGCAGATGATCAACACTGGATTCGTGTACCGCATCATGGTGACGAACCCATGGGTCGTGGGTCTGGGTGGTCTGGCTCTGAGCTTCGGTACGATGATTGGCACCCGATCCATCAGCCCTGACAAGTAAGTTCCCATGCATCACTGACAGTTGCGCGTATGAACATGAAGACTAACAATAATAGCTACGTCCCCAAGTACGCTCTCTGGACTGCCTTCAACGCCACACAAGCCGCCCTGATCGCCCCCATGCTCAGCATGGTGCACCCTGCCCTCCTGGGCCGCGCTGGTCTCTACACCGTGGCCATGATGGGCGCCATCTCGATCGTCGGTGCCACCGCCAAGCAGGAGAAGTACCTCTACATTGGTGGTCCCCTCCTGGCTGGCGCCGCTCTGGTGATGGCCTCTGGCTTCGCTCCCATGCTCCTGCCCGCCACCGCCGTCCGCACCCTCGCGTTCACCGAGAACATCTGGCTGTACGGCGGTCTCGCCGTCTTTGGTGGCTTCACCCTGTACGACGTGCAGAAGATCCTGCACCACGCCCGCCTTGCCGAGAGGGGAATGATGCGCAAGGACGCCGTCAACGAGAGCATCTCGCTCGAGCTGGATTTCTTGAACATCTTTATCCGCATGGTGCAGATCTTGGCCATGCAGAACAACCGCAAGTAGAGGAGTGTTGGACGGATGGGTTAATGTATTATACCACTAAGCGTTGTTAAATTACTCCGCTCTTGAATGTGATTGGGCAGCAAGATAGGCTTATGTATTTCGTGTGTAGCTGGAAACCGTAAAAAAGGTAGTTTAAAACGTTTGGGCTCCATGATTATTCCTGCCTATTCTAGGAGTTATTTTTACGGTCTTTTCTACACACTACCATCCGTCGAGAAATTAGTATCACCGAATTCATGCAGATGTTTGATATGTTCATAACTGAAACCATTGATGTTGAACGTCCACACTCAATTCCTGATAAGCGCCGTGCGCCACTGACTCATAATGTCCAGCCGGATATTTTCATCAAAGCTCCCGTGCAGGATGCTCATACGGCAACCTTCCCATACCCTAATAAATGACGGCTCGCATAATTCTTGTACCCATGACCCTATTCCACATCGTCTGCCCCAGACCTTCCTGGCCCAGTCACTCCAGCGGTGGCAATTTCCTGATAAAGTGACTTGGGCACTCGTAGCCCCCGGGGTTGTTGTGCAGATACTTTTGGTGGTACTCTTCGGCGGACCACCACTTGCCGGCGGGCGCGAGCTCGGTGACGATGCCGCCGTGCCACCACTTCTCGTTGGCCAGCTGGGTGATTTCCCGGGCGTCCTTCTCCTGCTCCGGGTTGTGATAGTAAATGGCGGAGCGGTACTGTGGGCCGGTGTCGGGCCCTTGACGGTTCAGGGTTGTGGGGTCGTGTGTGCGGTAGAAGAATTCGAGGAGCTGGCGGTAGGAGACCTGATCAGGGTCGAAGATGATCTGCGCCGCCTCGGCGTCTGGATCTTTGTCAGTGTATAGTTACATGAAAGACTTGCAAGGGGAACGTACGGCCAGTCCTGCCGCCGCACACGGCTCTGTAGGAAGGGTTCTCGAGGTCACCACCAATGTAGCCGACCTTTGCGTCCAGGAGGCCCTTGCCCTCAAAGGCCTTTCGGTACAGGTGTTCTGTGCCCCAGAAGCATCCGGCCGCGACGGTGCAGCGCTGGGCGTTCTCGGGGAGCGGCGTGGCGGACGCGGGACTGTCCGGCGCAATGGACAGACGGTTGGACACGGTGAAGGGGCGCACGATGCGCGCGAAGAGGTTGTTCGACATGGTGGCGGCAGCTATGATCGCGACAAGCACTGAGAGGAAGAGTGTCTGTTTGAAGTAGAGCTACATACGTCGGGGGGATTGGAGGTTCAATTTCTATATCTACGGGCTCCAGTCGCTACTAAATCAATCAAGGGTACTAAGATATGGAGATTGACGATGAGAGTCGTGACGTGATGCGCTGACCGAGCCAGCGCCGAGGGCCGCCACTGTCTTGCAGAGGAAAATTAGAGTGGAGAGCTTGATTCCAAAGCACCGGATTTCGGGGCGTTTCTTGGACCCCTCAATGACTAAGCAGCGGCTACCTGCAGGGGTCCAAACGCCACAGGCACAGCCACGGCTTACTGTGAGGCCCTGTCGCCTCGATTCCAGCCCAAGACCTTGCATGACGCGCCTGCGCTTCCAAATCATTGAGACGACCGTGTCGCTATCCCGCGAGGCAAAGCTCCCGCTTCTTCACTTCGACACGGTCGGTTCTACGTATCATTGCAATTGCGAGGCTTGTTCGAAACGGATATTGCCCACCGTGGAACGAATACTTAGACAGCACTACAGGAGGTTGGTACAGGTATGATAGCGAGCTTGCAACTCTTCACGTCAAATTGGCACACGTACTATCTTTACAATTTACCCGCAGCGTCCAGCCTCAACGTCTCGTTGAGCTGCTCCCTCCCCTTGCAGTTCTTGAACGCAAAGCTGGCCGCTAGCTCCTCGAGCTCCTCCTCCGTCTTCCCCCTGAACAGCTCCGCCAGCTCCCAGCCGGCGTACTCGCTCATCAGGCACTCGCGCACGACACGCTCGACATGGCGGTCAAAGTTCCAGATCTTGGGGTACTTTTTGTTGCGAAACGGCTCGGGCACCGTCTCGCGCAGTCCGTTGACAAAGGGCTCGTATAGGTGCTTGACGCCCTCCTTGTTGACGACGCCCCAAAAGTCGAGCCCCAGAGCCTGCTTCTTGTCGACAAAGGGCTGGATGAGCTTCATGTACGGCGACGAGGGGTCCACGTACACCATGCCCTGGTACCCAATGTCCTTGTACAGCCAGATGGACCAGCTGATGCTGTCCGCGGCATAGTTCTTGAGCTGCGCGCGAAGTAGGCCGATGCGCTTGGCGTTGATGGCCGCTGCCTCCATCTCGCTGCCTGCGTTCTGCGCGCTGGCGTACACGGGGCCAAACTCGCCGTTCCAGACGGGCACGTTCTTGCTGCGCATGTACTCTACCTTGCGGTCGAGCTGCTGGCGTAGCGCCTTGTTCTGCGCGTCCGTGCCCTCGTACTGCTCGCTGATGGGGAATCCAAGCATGGAGTAGTCATGGATGGCGTAGACGGTGTTGGGGAGTGTCTTTTCGGGGAAAGCGCGAAAGTCCATGGCGTACGTGTTTCCATCCACGAACAAGATGTGATCCGGGTCGATGGCGCGTATGGCCCTCTCGCAGCGTTCGTACCACGCCACGAGGCGCGCACCGTGGTGTCCATTGGTGGCCTTGTAGGGATCTGCGGGTTCGTTGAGGGGATTGTAGCCTGCCACATACGGGTTGCCCTTGTAGTGCTCCGCGAGGGCCTCCCACAGCTGGATGGCGCGGTCCTGCAGGTCCTTGAACTCCCAGAACATGGCGCGCGAAAGACCAGAGTCAGAGTGCCAGTCCTGGTTCTGGCCTCCGGGCACAGTGTGCAGATCCAGGATGGTGTAGAGGTTGTGCTTTGCACAGACGTCGACGATACGGTCTACAAGCTTGAAACCCTCGGGCCTGATGGTGCTGGGGTTCATGTCGTCCATAAAGTGGCGGTGGTTGATGGGGATGCGGATGCAGTTGAGCCCAAGGGAGGCAAAGTAGGCAGCATCGTCGTCCGAGAAGAAATGGTGAATGAGGCGGTCGAAGAAGAACTGTGACCTTGCCTCGCCGAGGACCTCTGCCATCTGGGCGCGGTGCTCGTGTTCATGGCCTGCGTAGCCTGTGATGAAGTTCTCCATGTTGAGACAGCCGCCTACACCTGCGCCTTTGAGGATGACAGTCTCGCCGGCAGCATTGACGATGCGACTGCCGTCGACTCGCAACATCTTACATGGGTCTGACGACCCGCTGGCTGGGATAGAGCCCATTGTGGGAGAGTGTTGTTTGGTGATGGGCGGTAGGGGGTAGTTTGGAGAGGTGAAGAGATGGTGGTTTGGCATGTCCCTCGAGGGCTTCTTCTTAAGAAGCCTTTCCTACGTGAAGAGCATGAAATCACGTGCGAGATTCAAATGGAATGATGGGGCGACATCGTCAAGCCAGCAGTACTTGACCGTTCATCGTCTTTGTTGACTGGAGTGTTACGAGCGATACTCCCCGAGGAGGCCCCCCTTGATGCTGATCATTATCCCCACACTCTGGCAGTGGCTAGGAGTCTCGGACAAGATCATTCATTCAATACGCTGCATTTACCCACTTGTTCAGGCTCTCTTCGACAGTAGACTTCCATGGCACGACCTCGGGCACCTCTGGCGCCCAATATTGCAGCATACCCAAGCCCTTGTACACGGCGTCCCCCCATCTGGGAGGCATCTGCATCCCCCTTTCGTGAGCGGCTAACAGTGTCAGAACGCTGCGGCTACAACACTTGATCATAAAAAGGGTCCCGTGATGGCGATGCGCCAGTCCAGGCTCGTTCGACCGAAGCCGATTGACGTGTGCTTCCAACCCTCTACGACCCATCTCCCTCGTCCTCTCGGATAGATGGTGTTGTCCCTCGCCCGGGATATTGAGGCAAGCCATCGTGGTGGCCCAGTATATGAGCTCGAAAAGATTCACAAGGTGACACCGAAGCACGGAGCGACAGACGTCGTCGTCAGCAGCGTCGGTGTCGTGTACCGAGAAGATCTCTGGCAGGCTGGCCGCCCACTCCTGGGCTTGGGCCTCGTACTCGGGTATCATATCACAGAGAACCTCGAGGAAGGTTATGGTCGAGGGATACGTGCTGCGCAGTGTGAGGATCTCGCTACACAACCTACTGTTGAGCCTGCGCAGCGAGATCTCCGCCAGGTAGAACAGCCACGCCTTCCTGGCCCTCTGCTCGTGAGGTTCGGGCACGGCCCCAGGCGACAGACTAAGCTGGGGACCCGGCGGCGTGGGGAAGAAGGGCGGATAGAGCGTGCTGCCCGAGTGACTGACGCCAAAGTCCGGCAGTGACAAGTCTGAGCGTAGCTCCTGTTCGGATTTCCAGGCGGACCAGTAGACGGCTTGCTCATGTGTGTCCCGACTTCCCATGTCCATCTCTTCTGCCGAGAAGTCTGCGTCCGCGTGCGTCTGTTGCTGGGCCCTCGTGAGGAACGGGAAATGCTGGCACGCAGCCAGGGCCTGTGCAAAGTACCGCCACGCAAAGATGGGCTGGAAGACGGTCATGCAGTAGACGCCCGAGAGGAAGAGGCACTGCGCGCCCACAATGTCCGACGTCGCCAATAGGGTACCTATCCGTCGTTGTGAAGCTTGGAAGAAGGCCTGCCCGTCCACGTAGGCGGGCTTGCCCGGCGCTATGTCGGGGGTAGGTCCAAACGGGGCAGAGACGCATCCCAGGGCGGCGATGATGAGGGAGAGGCATGATCCAGCCGACCAGTCGATGCCATCGTCAAGGAACGCTCGTCGAACAAGCCTCCGAGTCAGGGGCTCGTCGAGGATTGGGTTCTTGCAGTGCACAAAGGTGAAGAAGTTGTCGAGGAGGTGGTTCAGCCGTGCTGGATCCATGTCGTCGAGGGAGGTCGACCCGGTAACAGGGGGCGTACCCACGACACTGCTCGGAGAGTAGGCCCCAGGGACAGTGGAGGCATGAGGTGCCTGGTTGTGATCAGAGAAGCATGCCCAAGTGACAACCTGCTCCACTCGTTCCGGGAGAACACTGCCAAGAATGAAGTCCTCTGCGTTAGGTCGTTCATGTTCAGGTCGATTGGCGCACGTCTCGGGCTCTTCTAGAGGCCTGATGGGCGGCAACACAGTATCCTGAGACTCCTTTTGGTCCTTGACCAGCCTTTCCAGATCATCCAAGCGCTCGAGAATCTTGAGGCTTGCAGGATCAAAGCTGGACAGATCCGTCGTTGACTGTATGCACGTAGCCCCGACAGACAGACAGTAGGAACAGCTGGGTTTCCTGTTGTCGCATTTCGTCTTGCGAGCTCGACAGACTTGGCAGGCCGTGTTGGCGCGCTTGCGAGGGTAAAAGGCCGTGCCTCGCGCTGCAGGTCGCTTGCCAGGACGGCCTCCAGGCTCTTGATCGTCTACCATGCTTGACTGAATACTTCCTTTTGAGTCGAGCTGGGCCGACAATCGACAGTGTCGTCGATGGTGAGGTCGGGGAATGTCGGTGCTAGGTTGACTGGGGAAGCTAGGGAAGTGATATATAGATCGCGGAGTGTCGCTTTCGACCCCACATTGTATTCCAAGTTAGCGCAATGATGGAGGGCGCTATCGAGATGCGACTCATGCCAAGGGGGGCCATCGGGGAGTGTCGCTCTCTGGAGACTCCACAATCCCTCATGCTCTCCACGATCTAGGCCACGCGCCCTCGTGTGAACCCCAGATCTAGGTCTGGAGTACCCAGCGGCGTGGCTCATTGGCCATTTGACCTGTCCAAATGGCTCGTCTGATCGTACCATGGTGATACTATAAGTTGACGGTCTTGTCCAGTGCAGCCCTGGATGAAAGAAACGCTCAGCTCAGACCAGCAGTGGGAAAAGACAAGATCATCTCGACAGCTTTACTTTCTTTCTACCCTCCTTTCAACCTTCTCGCGGTCTCTCTCATCGCATAAATCACGGACACCATGGCTGAGCAGATCAAGTCCTCCCCTGAGCCCGAAGTGGCCGGCATCGAGGATCAGAAGATGACGGCTATGCACGTCGACCACCAACTGGAGCACGATCTGACTGTCAAGTCGGTGTTCAAGCATCACCCTGCCCTCGTGTGGTGGTGCTTCTTCTGGGCCATGGCAGGCGTTGGCTGGTCAGTCTCCTCCTGGGTGATAAGACAAAGATACACCATCGCTGACGCTTCACAGGGGCTTCGACGCTCAGATCAACGGCGCCGTGCTTTCCGTCGCCTCCTTCCGCCGCGACTATGGCTACATGCTCAATGGCGAGGCTGTCCTGCCCGCTGACTGGCAAGTCGCCTTCAACACGTGCAGCAGCATTGGTCAGTTCTTTGGCGGCTTCCTCTGCTCCTACGTGGCCGACCGGATCGGCCGCAAGAACAGCATGTACATTGGCGTCCTCATCGCGACGGGCGGCATCCTCGGCGAGATCTTCTCCCGCGCGAACGCTGCCTTTGTCGTGTCCAAGCTGATCCTCGGCTTTGGGCTGGGGTTCTATCTGACGCTGGGACCGCTGTGCACATCCGAGATCGCGCCCGTCGTGCTCAGGGGCATGGCAACCGCGGGCGTCAACCTGGGCATCGCCCTGGGCCAGCTACTCTCCAACGCCGTCATCAAGGCCTTTGGCGAGCGTGAGGACCGCTGGGCCTATGCCGGGCCCTTTGCCACCCAGCTCTTCTTCTGCCTCTTCCTGGGCACACTGCTGCCCTTTGCCCCCGAGACACCGTGGTACCTCGCCCGCAACGGCCGACGCGACGAGGCGATGCGATCGATCCGAAAGCTGTACGGGGAAAAGGTGGACGCCGAGGCCAAGCTGATCACGCTGGAGACGACCATCAGGGAGGAGATCTCGTCCTCCTCTGAACAGGGGAGCATCGTGAAATGCTTCAAGGGCACCGACCGCGTGCGCACCATGATCAGCACCGGCGTCTTCTTCTGCCAGCACTTTGTCGGCATCGTCTTCGTCCTCGGCTACTCGACGTACTTCTTCCAGCTGGCTGGCCTGCCCACGGCCCGCAGCTTCGACCTGGGCGTCGGCGTCACCGCCTGCGGTGTGGTCGGCAACATCTGCTCCTGGTTTGTCGTCAACTCGTTTGGTCGACGAAAGATCTTTGTGTCGGGCATGGTCATCCTCACGAGCCTGCTTCTCCTGATCGGGATCATGGACGTCGTGCCCACGAGTGCCGCGCAGTGGGTGCAGGCTGCTCTCACGGTGATCTGGGCATTCTGCTACTTTGCCACCATCGGGGCCATGGCCTTTGCTATCCTGGGCGAGGCCAGCAGCACGGCGCTCCGGGCGCCCACCATGGCCCTCGCGACCGCCACACAGGCCGTCATGGGCCTGGTCGTGAACCTGGTCGTCCCCTACATGGTCAACCCGGATCAGGGCAATCTGCAGGGCAAGGTTGGGTTTGTGTTTGGTGGCCTGGGGGCCCTGGCTACTGTCTGGGCTTGGTTCTACGTGCCCGAGCTCAAGGGGAGGACATTTGATGAGATTGACACCATGTTCCAGGCCAGGGTTCCTCCGCGCAAGATGGGATCGTACGTTCTACACGGCGTCTAGGGATCTTTGGGCTCCAAGCGCTACAGTAGTAGGAGGAGCAGGCTGTATAAGATAGTTGTAAATGGTGTGCCTCTGTAGTCAAGGGTAGTTGAATCAGCTACAAGAACTGTACAGCATGCTCAGCGGCGGCACTTCTCGTCACGCCTTTTCTCCACCGGTCCTGGCTGTATCCTTGGACTCGGCCCTGTGGACGGACCCCTTTTCCTGAACCTCGAGATGCGCCGTATCGGATTCCTTGGTCAAGTCGACCCTAGCCTTCCATCCCATGTACCACGGCCCATCAAAGAGCTCGTCCATCCGCTCCATGGGGATGCCCTTGGTCTCGGGCGCCCAGAGGCCGAGCACGATGAGACCTGTTGCGCAGACGCAAGCCCAGAAGACGTATGCGCCCCAGATATCCAGACTCTGGAACATGTTTGGCGTCGTGCGCACCACGGCAAACTGGAAGAACCAGTGGATCATCATGTTTGTGGCGTAGCAGACACTCCGGATCCGCGTGGGATAGATCTCGGTACCGTAGAGATACTGCACCGTGCACAGGCCAATGGACCATCCGGCGGCATACACAAAGACCGACGCGATGGCGGCGTCCGAGGCGGCCTTGTTCTCCGAGTCCTTCCATAGTGCCATGTAAACGGCCATATAGACGTGCGTGATGCACTGCAAGAACAGGCCCGTCATGAAACAGCGACGCCTGCCGAACACGTCGACGAGGCCCCAGGTGAAGATCATGGTCATGACCAGCTTGACGGCGCCGTAGGCTCCCGACGTGACCAGCGACTGGTTTTCGCCATCGACGCCTGCGTAGCGGAAGATCTCAGGGATATAGTACGTGATACCGTTACCGCCGCTCCACTGGGCTACGGTCTGCATGATGGCGCCGAGGAGGAAGCGTTTCCGGTATGTTGGGACGGTGGCAATCTCACGCGCAATGTTCCAGATTGAGACACCGGACAGGGCCTGCTGCCTATCTTGGATCTGGCTGTCGATCTCGGCAAACTCCTTCTCCACCTCGGGGTGCGAGGCTGACTTGCCGCGCAGCCTGGCGAGCACGGCGAGTGCCTCCTCGTGGCGGTCCTTGGACGCCAGCCAGCGAGGTGTATCGCGTAGGAAGAATGAGGTGAGGAGGGCAAGGCCGACGGGTATCAGGGGTACCGCAATGACGATGCGATATTGTGCCGGCGTCGAGGCCATGGACTTGTTGGCGCCATAGCTAATGAAGAAGCCTAGAGTAGATAGATGAGCATCGTGTGAAGAGTCAAGGGACGTGGATCAGGAGGGCGTACCAAGCATCAGCACCGACAGGAGCACAACCATGTAGATCGACACGACCATGCCCCTCGACCTGGCTGGGGCAATCTCGCTCAGGTACAAGGGCGCAACAACCGTCAGACCACCGGCCCCCAGGCCACTCCAGATTCTCGAGGCCAGCAGCAGCCCAAGGATACCGCTGGAGAAGACAGTGACAAGGAGGCCCGTCATGTACACCGAGCAGAAGATCTGCCAGGTCCGCAGACGTCCCACGCGGTCTGTGAGCCCCAAGGCAAGGATGGAGCCTATGGCAGCACCAAGGACGCCCAGTGAGGATATGTTGGCCTTGCGGTCGGCGAGGGCAGCCGCAGTGCCTGTCCATTGGTCTTTGGACATGCCAAAGTCGGAGATGAAGGACTGCATGCCCTTGGCGCCAGCGAAGCCGCCTTCATCGTAGCCTTTGAGCAAGGAGGTCAGTGACTGTGGTAGGGGATGAAGTGAAGAGGGAGGGACCACATACCTTTTGGGATGGAGCCAAAGGCAATGACCACGATGGTCAGGTAGTAGTAGAACCTGTCCCAAGCCATGCTGATAGTATGATGTGCTGAGAGAGAAAATTTCAGGATGGTCGATGAGGAGAGAGGCTCGCGTTGCTCGTTCAACTCTGCTGAACTCGGGGATGGCTGACTCCTTTAATATAGTCCGACAGACCACCCACCCCCTTCCTGGACGAGCCGTCTTGACAACAGCCTCTTGATAATGAGTGAAGACTGCCTGCACCGGACCAGCCAGACAGAGAGAGACAAGGACACAGAAAATAGCGATTCAGATAGACGCCCCCCACAAAGCAATGCTAGGCGGTTGTTGTTACCCCAGCTCCAGTCGCGATGTGTTCGATATGGGGCCCCAGAGGCAGTGTGGGCTTTCCTGGCGCGTCATGGTCCAGAAGCACGATGGACAGCTGAGTGTGAGAGATTGCTCCCCTCATTCCCACGCCCACGGAAGTTGACCGACGAAGCTAACGAGTCTTTTTGCCCTCATCGCCGTGATATCTCCACTGGCGTCGCTCGGTCAACTTCCGTCACCGTGTGCGCACTGTGCAAATTGCCAGTCTTCTGGTCCTAATTCCATGAAAACTCGCACTGTGATCGTGCTGGTTCTAGATCTGGTATGACTAGCGCAGCATATCTCACACTAACAGTTTTCATCCTTCACACAGAGTAAAAGTGATAGCGAAAGTTTGTATAGGTTAACAGTCCCAATGCGTCAAACTCCATGCAGTCAACCAAGGTCTACCTTATCATGACATCGTCAACCAACTCCCACCGCCATGCCCGCAGCGGGGATGCTGCTCAGAGGCTAAAGGAACCGCATGACCAGACCAGGTTCCTACCGGACACAAGACTGGACCGAACGTATTGCCTTGAACGTCCTCCTCCCCCATAACGGCCTTTGTCCGAACGGCGAGCGCGGCATGGCCATTATGGAGACTGGTCGACTCGACGATCCACCTCATCAGTACGGACATTCAGCGAGATGTACGAGGCAGGCATACTCCGCTCCGCGGGAAGACGACATGTTGTTGGTCTCGCGGCTGCCTCGCTCCCCCTTGGAATTCCTTCTTCACTCCATGTCCCTCCTCCTCGATATCTGCGTGTGACTCCCCCCTCTACCATCCTCCTCAATGGGCGCTGTTGCACCTACTTCTCGACAGCGACCGCCAAGATGAGGCAGGACGATGCGCAGACGTCGGGAGCCCAACCCTTCTTCCACCAGGACACCAAGGCCGTGGCCTTGCGTCTGCTGTCCGCCCTCCGTCGTCCGTCCCAGAGGCAGACATCCGTGAAGAAGTACACGGTGACGACGACAACAACAACGACGACGGCGACACCCCAGAAGCCGGTGAACCTGCCCTCGCCGCAAATACCCAAGGATGCGTGGGACTCCCACATGCATGTCATCGACAACAGATACCCCCTGGCCCCGGACGCTGCGTACCGGCCCAACACGTTCACCGTTCACGACGCCCAGCGATTCGAAGCTGGCGTCGGCATACGCAACATTGTCCTCGTGCAGCCCTCCATCTACGGCCACGATAACAGTTGCATGCTCGATGCCCTCCAGGCCCTCGGCTCGCACCGGGCCCGGGCCGTCGTCGCGTTCGACCCCGAGACAACCTCCCACGAGCAGCTCCTCGCCTGGCACGAGATGGGCGTCCGGGGCGTCCGTCTCAACATCTGCTCGTACGGCAAGCAGGTGGAGCCGGGTGACATTGAGCGTCTGCTCAGGCAGTACGCGGACGCCGTGCGCCCGTTGAACTGGGTTGTGCAGGTCTACATCCCCATGGCCCTCATCTCGCAGCTCGAGCCCATTGTGCCCACGCTCAACGTGCGGTTCTGCATAGACCACCTCGGCCAGCCGGACCTCGACGACGCCACCACCTGTGATCCCTACCAGATCCCGGGCTTCGCGTCGCTGGCGAGGCTTCTGCAGGGCGGCCACGTCTTCGTCAAGCTGTCTGCCCCATACAGGCTGAGCAGGCTCGACGACCAGCGCGACCTCGAGCCCGTGGCCAAGGAGGTCATCCGGCTGGGCGGGAAAAGTCGCGTGGTGTTTGCCACAGATTGGCCCCACACGCGGTACGAAGGTCTCGACATTAGACCGTGGATAGAAAAGGTGATCAAGTGGTGCGGTAACGATGGCGTGCTGGTGGATAGGCTGTTCAGGGGCAACGCGGAGGATTTGTGGAGCGTAACGAGACACGTGTAACGAAATAATGCCAGAGAGAATCATAATGCTTTAAAGTAAAGGAGGTTCAAGTTCATAGGGCTGTGGCTTTTCAGCTTGCCTTTTGTCGCCCAACTCGAGTAATTTTATTTGGCTAGGCAGGGTCAAAGTTGTGTATGGTACCGACCCAGGCGCTCAGCGGCTCGAGGGAGGACATGGCTTCATACATGCTGGGCTCCATCGCCGTCGTATCGGACGGCCCAAATGTATCGAACCCCCCGTGTTGCTGAGAGCCAAAGTCCGTCGAAGGGGTCGGGTTGTTGGTCAGGGGGATGCCATGAAAGCTATTGGATCTATGGGCCGCGTAGAACGGGCTCTGTGCCGGTCCCTCTGGAACTGCACTGGTAGGGTCCGGCGTCATGTAGGCAGAGGACTTTAGGCTGATCCCTAGAGAGGCCAGCTCCTTATTGATGAGATTGAGAGCTCCGCCAATAACTAAGAGATGATAAGTACGGAATATTAGATGGATCGTAGGGTTGAGGTAACTTACTAGGACTATATCGCTTGACCTCATTCAGCCCCCTGATGCAGTAGTCAAGGCGTTGCAGTGCCTGGTGGTCGTTTGGAAAGGCTTGCACTTGCAGCAGGTATATGGTGGCGGCAATGTATACGCTATATGACAGGGACAGCACGCAGTAGTTGGTGCTAAAGGTCTTGCAGAAGAGGTTGAAGATGGCGATGATGGACGTCGCCGAGGTCACGCAGTCGATCAAGTACTTTTGTATCGGGGCTGGATGCTCGGCATCCTTGTTAACCCGTGTGAGCACTGGTCGGTACAGGAGGATCCTGAATGTGTGGTATAGACAGCTATTACAAGGTCAGCACAGTGGACTAGAGATCAGCGGTCAAGAAGCACATACTTGAGAGTCACAATATGTGACGGTGGCGCCATCGCAGGCAGAGACGTCGCGTCGAGGCGTAAAAAGGGCGGGAGCATGTCCCACCACTGTTGCAGCGCAGCTTCCTGCGACCGCACACATTCGTCGACCTCTTCTTCGGTATTCTGCGACATGGGGTCATACATGTGCACGAGAATCTGGTTGAAGATGACGGACAGCTGGCACATGCTCGTGAAGCACGAGGCCGAGTGCGCCGGTGTCGGTGGGTAGCTATAGGCCGGGCCAGCTTGCATGCCAAAAGGCGTCCACGGGTCGTTTTCGGCAGAGTCGTCAACTGTTCTTGTGTCAGAAGATTGGCCACAATGGTGATGCACGCCTGACAACACTCACACATGACATGGGGCGGCGAGACAGCTGAATGCTGCATCGACGGCGCCCTACCAAGGTACAGACTGATCATCTTGTCCCAGAAATAGCAGCTCCAGAAAAGCCGACGCCGAATCTCGGCTTCCTCGTCGCTCATGCTAGTGTTCAAGACCTGCGTGCCATCGACGCAAATTCCAAGATGGTCTATGAGGCGGAAGGCAAGACCACTGTAGGTCCACGCTTGCGTTGCGTTCCCAAACCCGCATTCCTGCGCGCTGAGAAGGAGGAGCGTCTGAATCGTGGGGACGGTGACGATGCCATTGCTGAGCTCCTCAAACACGAGGGCCCTTGCATGCTTCCCGAAGACGACGCCCCCTTCGTAGGACTCATCCAACAGCTGTCTTGTCGCGGGGTCGCTTTTTCCCCAGCGTATCGAGTGCGAAAGCATCGCATTGAGCAGTGTATGAGAGTAATAGGGGCCCAGTGCCTGCATGTCACCTACAGCCAGTTAGTCTATCTCAGCTCCAGACAGGCAACAAGAGGTCAATGGGCGTACGCGTGAATGCCGGTCGATAGACAAAGTTGAACAGAGGCTGTATCCAGCACCAGTGCACATTGAGAAGGTACTGAAATGGCTCCTTTGGGTCGATCGCGGTCAGCTTTACAATCACACGGGGCACAGGATGAAGATATGTTTCTCACTGGAATCTCTGAGAGATTCTCCAATGCCCGTTGCTGCCAGGCGTTGGTGACGAGGCGCTCGCGCCTCTGCACGTCGACTTCTGTCAGAGGCAGGAATCTGTTGCCCGCACCGCCTCCAGTGCGGTCGTTGGGCAGGTGGAAAAAGCTAGTAGCTCCTTGGTAGACGACGCCTCCCTTGTCGTCGACCTTTAGGCCGCGGAACCTGCGCTGCACATTGAGCTCGTCGCCAGGCACGCGACTCGACGACGGGGCATCGTGCGACGCAAAGGATGGTGGGCTCGAATGAGACGATGACGGGTGTGTCGAGATGGGAGATCTCGAATGACCAGAGATGTGGTGCCCCGCCAATTGGTCCTCAAGCTCCTTGATGCGTTGCTCGAGGCGTTGGGTGTAAGATAAAGTCGGATTCAACTTGTAGACGCACTCATCCTTTCTCGATGCACAGCGGTTGCACACGGGCTGCTCCCCGCCGCATTTGACCTGTTGAGAACATTGGCTGTCAGCACCTGGGCCTGTTCACGCACGCAACAACTGCCGGTCGATCCCTGTAGCAATCGATGGCTCAACTGGCTGGCTGGATGGCTGGCTGGCTAACCTTCCGTCTTCGACATGGTTCGCAGGAGAATGCACTCTTCTTTGTCGCTTTGGCAGAGGTCGACATTTCCGGGCGACAGTGAACAAAGGAAAAGGAAGGTGAAGCAAGAGCAGCAGACGCTCGCGCGGCGGAGTTGGCGCTTGGAATGAGCGACTTCGCTCAGTGAGTGAGCTCGATGCGAGCTTGCTTGCGCCGGACCCGGCAGCACGTAGTCTGGTAGGTCATTAATTAGAGTTGGAACCATCAATCAGCTCCGTTGCTCGCTCGCTCCAGTGAAGCGCGAAAATTCCCCGCGACGACCGCCTCATTTTGACCCCACTTTCGTGGCTTAGCGGGTGAACACGGAAAAACTACTGTTGCGCGCCCCGCCAAACCTATCGCAGCAGGAAGCCGTGTGCGGCTCCGCTATTTCTGCTAAGGACTGTTAACGGCTGCTTCAAGAGCTCAGTCGTCTCTCGACCTTCCTTTGGATCCAGGCACCAATTCCCGTGTTCACCCGCCTTTGGACGGACAAGACATGTTACTACCACTTCTAGAGCGCTTCTAGCGCCTCGAGGCTTCAATGTTCGATCTATCGCAGCGTGGGCTTGATGAGCGCTACACCTGCAACGTCCACGTCGCGAACCGCACTCGGTCGTGGTCGGGAGCTGCTCGGCAAGTGTCCGCGGGCTTTCTGTCGCTTGTAGCGAATTGTTTTCGTGCAAAACGGGCAATCGTGGATTCGTGAGTCTTTTACCGAAGCGTGTGAAGACCTAGAGGCGCAGGAGGACGACTTCTACAGGTCCATTCACAGCACACAGAAACCGACTGAGACAGACTGCACGCGTCAACTTCCGGCTATTCAGGGACTCGTATGAGATTTACTCCTTTGGAGACGCATCCCCTACGCCTAGCTCCAGCATTGTGCTCTGATGGACTGCGGGCGAATGCCGGGGTATAGGAGTCAAGCTAACTCCCTCGATACAACAATTGGTCCAATCAGTCTTGAGACTTGACAATGGGTGCCATGAACTTCGATGAGACGTATCAAGTGTGGTGCACGGTCGGCCTATATTCGACGAAGGAGTCCATGCAGCATGACTACAAGATCACTCTGAGGCCCCAACATCCTGGTCCATGAGCTTCAGGCTAGAGTCTAGAACTGGTCAGGCAATGCAGCGAGTGGTGCGTGGCTGTCGTCTCCTGGAGGAGCCCGGGCCCTACAAGTGTTTGAGCCTTGGGGAGTATCATGAGCTTGCCGTTGCGGTTTACCACCCGGTGCATTGGACAAGGCTTGCCGTTGCAGCAGTGCGCATTTCGAAGGGACTCGGTCAAGCTAAACATGCTCACGAGGAGATCTTGCGGGATTGTGCTCTCGGCGGCTTGTTGGTCATCGAATATAAGCCACCATCGACGGGCTTACAGGATAATTATTGGCAGACCACGTTATTGCCATCATCCGTGGTGCTGCGTGGGCGACAAGGTGCTGGGCCCGAGAGACGGCTAAATGCCCATTAACCGGTGCCTCTTGTCAACGCCAAAAGCTGGGGGTTGAGGCGGCTGGCCAGAGGCTGCATCTTCCATTGGCAATTGGCAGCCACATCATCAGCCTTACCCCTGTTTTTGGCATCGCAGCGTCGGGAAGAGGTCCGTTTTTCCATCGCTGCGACTTCCGGCCCCCTTCCCGGCCTAGCGTTATCAGGATCAAGTCGATGGCTTGATCAACTGCGGGCTGACGCCCGGGTTCCTGGTGCTGCGCAGGGATCAAAGTGCAGTCAGTCACCAACACAGGTGTTTCACCGCCCGTTGGCAACAAGACTTGGATTGTCGCTCTTTTGAGAGCCATCGCCATGCAAGGACATCCGCTTCCGACAGACTGTGACCCGGGGCAAACCGCCATTACGCCCCACGACAACATGAATTGAGGAATGGGACACGCATATTCATCAAAATCGGCAGGGGAGCGTGCTCTCGAGCGAGGGTTCGACACGCTTCCCCAGGAAATGCGTCCGGGGTAAAATGGGTCACTCCTCCGACCACCCGCATGGACCCCAAATTGAGCTTTCGTCTGTGGCTTTCTCCCGCCCTCCACTACGGATCACGAACGGCTGAAAGTATTCACCGGTGGGGTGCATCGGGCCCTGGCAGCTCGAGTGAGCAGTCATACCGTTTCAGATAAACATACATATCCCTGGATACTCCCTTGGTCTTGCCTGCGGATCGTCGTGCTCCTCGCGTTCATTCATGTTCTCCTTCACGAACACTGGAGTGACTTAACCGCCGATCACTTGAAGGGTCTAATAGCATTGGCTTCCCATTGCCGCCGATGGCTGTCAAGGAGAGACTGTATCCGGTGCAGCGCATCGAGTCGCTCCCAGACGACGATGGGGTGATTATCCTGGATTCAGCAGCGAAAGATCTTCATAGCTGACCTACCTGTGCGCACAGAAATATCTGGACACCGTCATTGTCGACGGCAACGAGGCCTTTGAGGAAGCCTTCTTGAAGGAACCGCCTCGAAGATTCGCAAGCGGACAGCTGTGGCTCTTTGCCTTCTCTGCCATCGGTTTCCTATGCAGCACCATGAATGGCTATGACGGCTCGCTCATCAACAATTTGCTCCAGAACCCTTGGTTCAAAGAAAAGTATGGGGTCCAGAACGATGGCCTGTGGGCTGGCATCGTCTCGTCCATGTACCAAATCGGCGGCATCGTCGCCCTACCGTTTGTCAGTCCCTGCGTGGACGGCTTTGGTCGAAGGGTAGGCATGCTGATCGGTGCTGGCCTGGTCGTCGTTGGCACTGTCATTCAGGGCTTTTCGCACGCTCCCCCTCAGTTCATGGGTGGTCGCTTCCTTCTCGGTTTTGGCGTCGCGATTGCATCGGCGGCTGGGCCAATGTACGTTATCGAGATCAACCATCCCGCGTACCGCGGTGTGCTTGGAGGTGAGCAAACTGACGATACGTACGGCAAATGTATACTAATCATACCTAGCCATGTATAACACCCTTTGGTTCAGCGGCTCCATCATGGCCGCTGGCGCATCGCGCGGCGCCCTGAACACCGGAGGCGATTACTCCTGGCGTCTTATTACTTGGCTCCAAGCCCTGTTCAGTGGCATCATCGTCTTGTCCTGCATGTGGATGCCCGAGTCGCCACGCTGGCTGTACGTCAACAACAAGAAGGACAAGGCCAGGGAGATCCTCACGCGGTATCACGGCCACGGCGACCCACGATCGCCATGGGTAGCCCTCCAGCTGCATGAATACCAAGAGCTGCTCAACATGGATGGCGCCGACAAGCGCTGGTGGGACTACCGTGTTCTCTTCAACACGGGCGCCGCCCGCTACAGACTTCTCTGCAGCATCTCCATGTCAATCTTTGGGCAATGGGCAGGGAACTCTGTCTTGAGCTACTTCCTTTCGTCTGTCCTCGACACTGCTGGCTACGAGAATGAGATTGAACAAGCCAACATCACCCTCATCAACAATTGCCAGCAGTTCGCCTTTGCCATCCTCGGCGCCACACTGGTTGACAGGATCGGTCGCCGACCATTGCTCCTCTTCTCCTTCTCAGCGTGCACAATTGTCTGGCTTGGGATGACAATCGCGTCGTCACAGTTCCAGGCCTCCTATATGGGGGACGATGCGGATGGCAAGGCCTTGTACGGCAATCACGCAGCGTCCAAGGCCGCGTTGGCCATGATCTTTGTGTTTGGCGCCGTCTATTCCGTTGGCATCACGCCTCTGCAAGCCTTGTATCCATGTGAGGTCCTGTCGTTTGAGATGCGCGCAAAGGGAATGGCCTTTTCGAATCTCGCTGTCAATGCCGCGGGCATGCTAAACCAATATGCCTGGCCCGTTTCCATGGACAAGATTGGGTGGAAGACGTACATTGTCTTTACAATCTGGGACGCTGTTCAGGTGATGGTCGTATATCTACTCCTCCCCGAGACCAAAGGCCGCACTGTGAGTGAACCAGTCCACAATGATCCAGCTTCCTGTTGTCAACTAACACCATGCAGCTTGAAGAACTGGACGAAATCTTTGAGGCAGACAGGCCTGTCAAGATGTCGACGGCGAGGAAGGAACTTGCATTCACCCGTGCTGGCGATGTTATTGAGATCAAGGGCGTTTAAAAAAAAGGCTTGTCACAGATCATGACAGGCTTTGGCCACACCACAACCTATCCATTCTTTATTGTAGGGGTAGTTTTCATATATCAATAGCGTTGTTATTCTAGCAGTAAAAACTCCTACCTTTTCTCAGTGCGACAATTGAACAATAGGACATTGAATGGTTTCTTGGAAGCAAAACGAAAAAAAAAATTGCTTGTGCACCACTCGCCTCGGTTACTGTACCTCAGTCTGGCTACAGGGTACCGGGTACACAAGTATCGCCAAGACACCCCCTGTCTCAGCGGCATCACGTTACTACTGCGCCGCAGGCGGCTGCCCAATCTCCCACAATCGCGACAATTCTACCTACCCATTGCACTCAACATCCATCATTTACACATCAGGCCTCATCAGCAATCACCGCCCGTCATGGCCATCACCGAACGCTCTGTCCCCATGGCGCTGCTCTTCAACCACGCCAACGTCGTCCTCATCATCTACACGGTGTGCCCCTTTCTTTTCCTGGACTTGAGTGGCGTCAACGTCTCCTTTTTCATCGCGATCCTACTCGGCCTCGGTCTCATTGTGTTCCTGGTGTACCGTACGCTCGCATGTCTTCGTATCTGCGCGTCGAAAACAGACAAATTGGACATTCTTTTTTACCAGGACCGCAAGGGCAGCTTCGCGATGATGGTCATGGGGAGTATATGGGCGTTTGTGGCCTTGATGGTCTTCTCCACCAGCGTGATCGATATTCTCCTCAAAGGAGAAATTTATATCCACTTCGGTAACTGGGCCAACGTCGGTGGCATCATCACGCAGTTCATTTTTGGCGTATTGATCATGGGGTCGCCTTTCACACTGGCGGGCTTGTTTGGCTGGGCTGTCACTACTGCGGTGCAAGGTTTGTGGAGGATCAGCGCGCCCTCGGAGGGGAGGGAGGCGTTGATGAGAGGACATGACGAGTGGGATGAGTGGAAGGACAACCAGGGCTGATATCGACAATATGGGATGATGTATGCGTGTATTTGCCTGACCGACGGGGTCCTTTTAAGCTAGCAGACATTCGAGCGACTCTCCTTTGACCCACCGTTTGATGTTTGCAACCTGCTGCTCATACCATCTACCGAGGGAGTCCTCCTGGACATAGCCCATATGGGGCGTCAGTAGGACCCTGCTTCTTCCGCCACTTCCCCAGTCCTGAGTGCGCCAAGGACTGTTTTTAGGTAGCGGCTCGACATCAAAGACATCCAAGGCGGCACCCGCAATCTTTCCGGCTTGAAGCACGTCAAGAATGTCAGACTCCACGACGAGGGGCCCGCGAGACGTGTTGACGAAGAGTGCCTTGGCATGCATGAGCTCCAGATCAGACTTGGTGATGATGCCTCGTGATCGGTCCGAGAGAACGAGTTGCAGGGTGACAACGTCAGAGTTCTTGAACAAGTCCGTTTTGGAAACAACCTGGAAGGTCTTGTTGCCGCCCTCGTCTTGAACGGGTAGTCCACAGCCCTTGGCTTTCTCATCAGCAGCTTCTTGTGTGAGGTTTGTGCTCCAAGCTAAGATCTTCATGCCAAAGGCGAGATGCATGATGCGCGCCACGCTCAGCCCTAGCCTTCCCAAGCCCACGACACCCAGCGTCTTGCCTGCGAGTCCGATTGCGAAGTCCGTTTGCCAACCCCCGGCCTTGACATTCGCATCATCGGCAGCAATATTCCTCGCCAACGCCAGGATCATTGTGACGCAGTGCTGAGTGGTGCTATCCGTGCTAGCCCCTCGCGTCCCCAGAGCGTTCCGCGTGTTGCTAGTACCGGCTACCGGGATGGACATGGACTGAAATGAAGGAAGATGAAGCGCTGCATTTCTCTCACCCGTGGTCAGGAGGAGTCGAAGATTGGGCAGTTGGCGAACTAGATCCTCGGGAAAAGGTGTTCTTTCCCTCATGGTGGCTGGATCCGTTCAGTATATGTACCGACGTTGTTCTCCATACAATTGTTACTGACATATGATGTTATAGTGCTGGAGCCGTTTGACGAGCTCATCTTTGGCATGCTGTGGTGTATCTGGATGAGAATACGCTGGCAGGGTATCGCGGAGGTGCGTGACTTGGAACTGGGACACATCGAGTGAGGAGAACTTGCTGACGGCAGCTCCTTGGTAGTCGTCCAGCACTGCAACCTGGTAACGGGCCATCTTCTGATAATGGGAAATACACCAGGCTTTTTGCTTGAGATATACAATGAAAAGATAAGATGCAAGATGCATGTGGACAACAGGAAGACGGCGGGTGAGCTTATAGCCGAACAGTGTCCGCGTGCACCGAGTGTGGGGTAACAGTGATTTACATGGCTCGGATGTCCGACTTACATCAAATCAACCTCGCTCAGCTGCTCGAGAGCATGCTACGTGAGGCTTACATCTTGCTAGGCATTCTCATCGCACCGTCCAACCTCACGACAACACCATTGAGCATAATGTTCTCAATCGCCTGCTTCACCAAGCTGGCAAACTCCTCGGGACGTCCACTCCTCCTCGGGAACTCCATCGCACTCTCCAAGCTTTTCCGGACCTTGCCACTCATCATGCTTGTCATGCGACTCTCGAACAGACTTGGCGCAATGGTGACCACTCTGATTCCGTGCCGCGACAGATCGCGAGCCATGGGCAAAGTCATGCTAGCTACAGCGCCCTTGGACGCTGAGTAGGACACCTGCCCCTTCTGGCCGTCAAAAGCCGCCGAAGACGCAACCATGATGACGACGCCTCGCTCGCCATCTGGTTCTGAGGCCGGTTGCGAAGCGATGTGGGGTAGCGTCTGTCTCACAAGGTCAATCGTCCCGCGGAGATTGACATTGATGACGAACTCAAAGTCGTCGAGGCTGAAGGGCTGATTATCGCGATCCAACATCGTCGCGGGCGTAGACACGCCGGCCGCAGGGATGACACCTCCGATGAGTTTGCCGGTCTCTCGGGCCCAGGCAACAGTGCCTGAAACAGCGGCACTGACACTCTCGGTCTCGAGGACGTTGCAGGTGAAGAAACGACTGCTGGGACCGAGTTCCTTGACCAGTTCCTGGCCGTCTTCTTCGTTCATGTCGAGGATCGCGACGTTGCCGCCATGGCTGAGTATTTCCTCCACGCAGGCTTTGCCTAGGCCGGACGCGCTGATGACATGAGCCCTGGCCGCAGCATGTGATGGGACGGATGGACATACCCGCCAGAGATGATGAAGGTCCTACCTGAGATTTTCATTTTGGGCGTTGAATACTTTTGAAGTATTGACTCGAGTGGCCGGAAGCGGGATACTGGATGTTGGAACTGGGCGTGAGCTTCGATGTTGAAGGATGAGCAGACAATTCTAACTGCTGGGCATGTAAATAAGTGACTTGTCTGGGCCGAGGTTAGTAGGGCGGAGATGATTTGACTACCCTACATGCTGCTGATTCGCGACTTCGCGAGGTCCATCGGCCCATTGTGGATCATATGCCGCCGCTGGGGAGGTAATCATAATACGTAAGGTAATATGATCCTTTGTTTGACCCAAGCCGGTGTATGGTCGTGTTGGTATGTATCTTTTATATGATGATCATGGCGCAAAGCCTCGCGAATATATTCGGTACAAATAAGTGTCTGGCCGCTAAATGACCACGAAGGCACTTACATGATGCGTGATAGAAAGACGATGGTACAGGTTACCCTGCCGAATGTACGGATTCTGACCGCCAAAAGCAGATTACGTAACTGGCGACCCCTGCGAATGAGCCTCGAATGACGGAGATGACCGCCATTCGCGACATGAATCGCACATGCTCAATTGCGGCCCGATAAGCTCTCCATCGACTTGCTATTACCTGGTCGTTTAATGAAATCTTTGAAATCGCCCTGCGATACCTTCTCAGTGCCTTTCCATCACAAGTGAAGCAACATTCTGCATGCGACGGCCCTACAGCTCCGAAGACTCGCAACAATGACGAGGCCGCGTAAATCATCAGGCGCCAGCGAAGAGAGCGGCGGCACGGCGCCCGAGCAGGTGAGCTTCGCCATACCGTCGCAGCGATGCTTTTGCTGAATAACGTGTCACAGGAGCTCGGGAGCATGTACGATTACCTTGCCAAGATCATATTACTCGGCCCCAGCGGCACCGGCAAGTGAGCGCAGCCCGCGATAACCGCCCTGACGAACCGAGTTTAACATCGACAACAGATCATGTCTACTGCACCGCTTCGTCAAGAATGAATGGCGCGTCCTGTCTTCGCAGACCATTGGGGTAGAATTTGCAAGCAAAATCATCAGAGTCGGCACGGGCGCCCGGCGGAAACGAATCAAGCTACAGCTCTGGGATACGGCCGGCACGGAGCGATTCAGATCTGTATCAAGATCGTACTATCGCGGTGCGGCTGGCGCCATTCTCGTCTACGACCTCACCTCGCACACGTCCTTTCGATCGCTACAGCCGTTCCTAAACGATGCACGAGCACTTGCGTCACCGAATTTAAGCTTGATGCTGGTCGGGAACAAGCTGGACCTAGCAGAGGACTCTCCCGACACCAACCTGCCGCCTTCCACACCGGGCAGTCTAGCTTCCACATCAGGCGGCACATCTGGGTCCTTTCCGTTCTCAACAACACCGGCCGCATCTGGGTCATCGCTCAGGGATTACAGCGGGTCGATCTCAGCAGGGAGCCAACAACGAGCGACGGTCGCACCCGAGGGACGCGAAGTCTCGAGCGCCGAGGCGAGTCGCTGGGCAAGCACGGCAGGGATATCAGTAGTGACCGAGGCAAGCGCCCTCAATGGCGAAGGTGTGGATGAGATCTTTGGCCGACTGGCTCGAATCATCCTCACCAAGATCGAGCTCGGGGAGATTGACCCCGATGACCCCATGAGTGGCATTCAATACGGCGACAGCGGCGGGTGGAACACGGCCAGCGATGGCGGCAGCATCAAAAGCACAATGACCGGCGCCACTATCGACGACGGAGGCATCCCTGGTCTGCGCAGACGTAAGAGAGGCAAGAGCAGAACGCAGAACTGGGGCTTGAGGGAGTGGGAAGAGGTTTTCACGTTGAGCAGTAATCGTCGACGAGGAGGTGGGTGCTGCTGATGAACGGGCTGGGCCCAGCTGTGGCCCAACTGTGGGAGATGGGGAGCGCACTTGTTGGGCTAGATGTGCAACTTGCTTCTGTTCTTTTGGCGAGCGTGTTTGCTACGATCAATTTCGACGTCCTTTACTCTGCCGATCGATCTCACCTGCATCATGGTAGTAATCAATTAATGAACCACCGGCAAGTACTTTGAACACATAAATCTTGCGACTGGTCCTGGTTCCCGGACGCTACCTTCTCGGGCGCTAGGGCGGACTTTGTAATTCCTGCGGCGCGGTGTTGGGAATTTCCTGGCCAGCGAGCCAAATTCTAGTGACGATTGACTTTCTCGGCCGGACGTGGCGCTTCAAAGAGAAAGCTTCCCGCGCCATGCCAAGCGCTGACGGCGCCAAGCCACGCGCGATATTTGTACGGCTTTCCGCCCACGGTAAATCTATCACCACTTGTTGGTCTGTTGTAGACACGGGGGTTTATAAGACCGTCCGTATGTACAATCGCGGGGAGCACAGAACATGATGTAAGTTGGGACCCCACACCGTTTACAGCCGCCGGATGATGAGAGAAGGAGCAGATGGCTGTGTTTGCCGTCAGAGGCATGCGTTCTTCGGCGATGAAGAGCTACTATCCATCTCACCAATGATCGATTTGAAAGACCGCTTTCCAATAGATACTAGTTGGCGCTCTCCTTGACAGACCGGTGATCGCCCGGGTGAACAACCAACACGGAAAGGGAAAGAGCCCCTCATGACCCCGAATCCTAAGTTAGAACGCGGGGCCCGCTTCATACTTTCGGAGAAGGAGCCACCACAGGCGTTCTCGTACAAGCAATAGCAGGTGCTAGCCTAAAAGACCCACGGCCATCTTATTAGCCTGAGGGTATAAACCAAGCCTTTCTCTGCCTCCTTGAATTCGCTTTCTCATTCTTTCCCTACCTTCTTCTTACACTGCACTCGATTTCTGGCACAGGACGTGGTTCGTCTCACACGTCAGCATTATGAAGCCAACAAGCACCGTTGCCATTGACAAGAACTGGCAATTCAAGGAAGCCAAGAAAGCCGACTCTGAGTACCTACCCGTTGGTCAGTTTCCTACCAACGTTCACCTCGACCTCCTCCATCACAAGCTCATTCCCGACCCCTACATTGGCAAGAATGAGCTCGAAGTGCAGTGGATTGGCGAGACCGTCTGGGTCTACAAGACCACCTTCACAAGCCCTAAAGACCTAGGCAAGTCCCAGGCCTTGCTAGCTTTTGATGGGCTCGACACCTTTGCCACCGTGGAGCTGAACGGACAAAAGGTGGCCGAGACTGATAACATGTTCATCCCCGTCGATGTCGACGTTACCAATGTCCTGAAGAACGACGGGGGCGAGAACGAACTGGTCATAACTTTTGACAGTGCCTACCTCCGTGGCTGGAAGCTTGTTGAAAAGTACCCTGACCACAAGTGGGGTTGCTGGAACGGCGATGTCTCGAGGCTCGCCGTGAGGAAAACACAGTACCACTGGGTAAGAGCTCTGGCAATAATATTGTGACCATGGCTGATCAAAGCAGGGATGGGACTGGGGCCCAGCTCTTCTATCTTGCGGTCCTTGGAGACCTGTCAATCTGCACATCTTCGAATCGCGTATCACCGACTTGTCCGCGAGGATCAACGTCCCCAAAGACCTAAAGAAGGCCGAGATCTCGACTTGTGCTCTGGTCGACGGACGTGCTGCCACTGTGAAATTCGACATTTCTCTCGACGGAAAGCAAGTCGCTTCCAAGACGGTCGATGTGGCAGACGCTGCGCGTGCCAAGTTCACTATTGAGGACCCTGAGCTCTGGTATCCCATTCGTTATGGAAAGCAGCCCCTGTACACATTAAAGGCGACTCTTCTTGACGGGCAAACTGAAGTTCATTCTTCCGAGAAGCGAATTGGTCTACGGAGGTCCGAGCTTGCTCAGCGCCCTTTGAAAGACCAGCCCGGAACCAGCTTCTTCTTCGAAGTCAACAACATTCCTATCTTCTGCGGCGGCAGTGACTGGATCCCTGCGGATAACTTCATTCCACGCATCTCCAAGGAGAGATACTATGACTGGGTGAAGCTCGTGGCCGATGGCAACCAGTTTATGATCCGAGTCTGGGGTGGCGGCATCTACGAAGAACAAGCATTCTACGATGCCTGCGATGAACTTGGCATACTGGTGTGGCAGGACTTCATGTTCGGCTGTGGCAACTACCCAGCATGGCCGGAGATGCGCGCCTCCATCAAGAAGGAGGCCGAGGAGAACATCAAGATGTTGCGACACCATCCTTCCATCGTCATCTGGGCCGGGAACAACGAAGACTACCAATACCAGGAGAGCGAGAAGCTCACATATGAGCCGGACAACAAGGATTCCGAAAGCTGGCTGCAGACTGATTTCCCGGCTCGTTACATCTACGAGAAGATCTTGGCCGATGCGTGTGCTGAGCTGATTCCCGATACGTACTACCACTTTGGAAGCCCGTGGGGTGGTAAGGATTCTACCGATCCGACGATTGGCGATATCCACCAGTGGAATGTTTGGCATGGCTCTCAGGAGAAGTATCAGAACTTTGACAAACTCGTCGGACGGTTCGTCTCCGAGTTTGGCATGGAAGCGTTTCCTTCCGTCAAGACAATTGACGCCTTTCTCCCGAAGGGCAAAGACGATCCTGACCGCTACCCTCAGTCCTCCACAGTCGACTTCCACAACAAGGCTGACGGTCACGAGCGCCGAATCGCCCTGTACTTGGTCGAGAACTTCCGCTATGCGCCAGACCCCTTGGAGCACTTTGTCTACTGTACGCAGCTGATGCAGGCCGAGTGTCTTGCCTCGGCCTACCGTTTGTGGAAGAGAGAGTGGCGAGGTCCTGGGCGGGAGTATTGCGGTGGCGCCCTGGTCTGGCAGATCAATGACTGCTGGCCGGTCACTTCGTGGGCCATCTGCGACTACTACCTCCGGCCCAAGCATGCCTACTACACCGTTAAGCGTGAGATGGCACCCATTTCCATTGGCATGACGCGTCGCGAGCACAAGCACCCCAAGAACAAGTACACTCGCGTGGATATCGAGACCAAGATTCAGATTGAGATCTGGGGCTCGAATCTCCAGCTCGAAGACCTCAAGGTGGACTGTGTTGTCAAGGCGTGGGATGTTGAGACGGGCGAAGAGACCTTCTCTAAAGAGGTTTCTTCGGGCATCGAACTTCCTGCCAACCGCTCCACGGAAATCATCGCCATGGACGTCCCAGTCGAGAAGAAGGACGCCGGGCTGGAGATGCGCACCGTTGTCGGCGCGTACTTGTACCAGAACGGGAAGCAGATTGCCCGGTACGTGAACTGGCCCGAGCCCCTCAAGTATGTCCACCTGCAAAAGCCGAAGCACCTCAAGACGGAGCTGTCAAGCGATGGAAAGAGCGTGTCTGTGTCCGCTGAGTTCCCCGTCAAAGGTGTTTCTTTGGAATGTGAGGATGACGACGTCAAATTTGATGACAATCTGGTGGACATTGTTCCAGGGGAGGTTGTTACCGTTGGTGTCCAGGGGGCAAAGAAGGATACCAAGATCACGACCCAATACTTGGGCATGTTGAGCTAGATCTAGAGCCTCGGATCAGATTGCAGAACAAAAAGTACTGGGACATTCTTGTACAGCCGCTGAGCGTCCGCTTCATCGTGAACGTCGTAATGATTGATCGGGTTGGTAAAGACGAAGCCTCAGACACGCCGGGCCGATCCGGTAGGCGATTATTAGCGCTCCGTAAGCGGTAAGGCGGTCAGGGGCTGGCTGGACGCTGCACACACTGGCTGCCACTGAATTTTCTGCCGCCACCAAAGGTGTTGCTCTCTCCATCTCGACAATTCGTCGTTGAGCAAGCAACCAACGCGCTCTTGAGCATCGCGCGATTCTCTCATAGCGTTATTGGCGTTCAAAAAAAGGCCAGCGCGTCCCTGCTGTGGCCCAAGTGGGCTATGTGATACACAGGGCCTCGCGACGCCGTACAAACGCTGCCTCAACTCATCCTCCTGGCTGGTCCCTCCAGAGTCCAGTCGAGGAGACACCAACATCGCAGCGTCCATGCCCAGCCACTCGTCCTTTGACGGAACCTCACCACGAGTCTTCCTTGTGAAGATCTTCCTCGCGAAACACGTCTTGTGCGACGCGTGGGAAGTCGGCTGGCTAGGCGAATGAGCATCCTGTCGAGGAACCCCTCGCAAGAGGCAACCGAGAGGGATGCTCGTGCTGCAAGAATAGATTTCTGGGCCATCATAGTCCATGCCCGTCTGGCTCTTGATGCCATCTCACACGGGCGAGGCTCCAGGCGCTCCTACATTTGTGATTCTGATGTGTTCCTTTTTTGCATCAGCTCGACGTGAAAGCCTCTGTAATTACCCACTACGGCGCGACCCATGCGATATTGTGCACACGCTGATATCCAAGTGTTTTCAGCACACCATTCCCAGCGTGTGTTTTGAAAATGGGATTGTCTGTCGTGTTCTGTGTGGATAAGGTACTAGACTGATGCCATGCAACGCGGCTCCGGCGGCGGATGTGCCAGAGACGACGTCACTGTTGCGCTCGACCTCACCTCAGTGTCTTTGCAACAATGCATTAATACTTGATTCTGATTGTCACCCGTGAACGCCTAATTCCCTACTCACAGGGCCAAACACCAGCAGTGCGTAGTACTGCGTATGAAATGGCACCGCAAAAGTCCAAGTTCGGCCATCTGCCTCTCAGCACAAGCGGTCCGGTCGACTGCGCCTTGACGGGAGCTGCCCTGCTCAACACGCCTGCCTTCAACAAGGGCTCGGGGTTCCCAGAAGAGGAGAGGGTCAAGTTCAATCTCACCGGGTTGCTACCCCAGGCTGTTCAGACGCTGGAGCAGCAGGCCGAGAGAGCATACGAACAATATGCCTCCAGGCCAGACAATCTCGCCAAGAACACGTTCCTGACCTCGCTGAAGGACCAGAATGAAGTTCTGTACTACAAGGTCTGTCCGCACCTTCCTTTCCATCTAAAACGTAGCCTGATTGGTCAAAGCTTCTGGAGGATCACCTGCAAGAGGTGTTCAGCGTCGTGTACACACCCACCGAAGGCGATGCCATCCAGAGGTACTCGAAGATCTTCAGGAGGCCAGAGGGTTGCTATCTAAACATCAACCATCAGGAGCGCGTGGAGCCGGATCTCGCGCAATGGGGCAACGCAGAGGACGTGGACTACATTGTCGTCACAGACGGCGAGGAGATCCTCGGCATCGGCGACCAGGGCGTGGGTGGCGTCCTCATCTCCGTGGCCAAGCTGGTTCTCACGACGCTCTGTGCCGGTCTCCACCCGTCGAGATGTCTGCCCGTGGTGCTCGACTGTGGAACCGACAACGAGGAGCTCCTTTCTGATGAGCTCTACCTCGGCCTCCAGCACAAGCGCGTCCGAGGCCAGAAGTACGACGAATTCGTGGATACCTTTGTCAAGGCAGCGAGGAAGCTGTACCCCAAGGCCTACATCCACTTTGAGGATTTTGGCCTCAAAAACGGTAAGCCCCCTTTCACAAGAATCGGGGAACCGCATAACTGATCAGTGCATCTCTAGCGAGGAGATTCTTGGACCTGTATCGCCCCAAAATGCCGTGCTTCAACGATGATGTACAAGGAACCGGCTGTGTAACTCTCGCCGCGATCATGGCCGGCTTGGATATAAGCGGCCTCCATCTGAAGGATATTCGACTGGTTGTATTTGGCGCCGGATCGGCTGGTGTGGGCATCGCAGACGCAGTGAGGGGTGCCATTGCCACCGAAGGTGGTATCAGCCACGAAGAAGCCGCGAAGCAAATATGGTTAGTGGGCAGCAACCTCGGCTGGTGAATTAATCTTGGCTGTGATGGATGACTGACAAGCACAGGCTCATTGACAGACCGGGGCTACTGACCACTGATACCGAGGTGTCCGATGCTCAAAAGATCTTTGTCAAGGACGCCTCGTCTTGGTCCGACAAGTCAACCGATCTCCAGTCCGTGGTGGAAACTGTTCGACCCAATGTTCTCATTGGTACATCTACAGTACCCGGAGCCTTCACCGAATCTGTAGTCAAGGCAATGCACAAGAACGCCTCGCGACCCATCATCCTGCCTCTATCCAACCCAACCCGTCTTCACGAGGCAAAGCCGGAAGACCTCCTCAAGTGGACTGACGGCCAGGCTCTGGTAGCCACTGGTTCACCCTTTGATCCCGTCAAGGGTCCCTGGGGTGAGAATGGCAAGGAGGTCAGCATCGAGGTGGCAGAATGCAACAACAGCGTCGTCTTCCCTGGCATTGGTCTTGGCGCCGTCCTGTCGCGCGCCAGCCGCGTGACGGACAAGATGCTCGTGGCGGCCGTGCATGGCGTGGCAAGCATGAGCCCCACGAAGAAGCGTGATCAGAAGGCGCCCCTGCTGCCAGACGTGCTCGAGGTCAAGAAGGTCAGCGTGCGCGTGGCCCGGAACGTGATCCAAGCCGCGGTCCAGGAGGGCGTGGCCACTGAGAGGGACATTCCTGAGGAGGACGATGAGCTGGACGAGTGGATTCGGGAGCAGATGTGGGAGCCAAAGTATAGGCCATTGCGATATGTCGAGCCACGCACAGCGACGAGGGCAGCCAAGGGTGAGCTGAAGAAGGCGGGCACTGTGGTGAGAGACGATGTCTCCAAATGAGCTTGCATAACCAGTCAATATCAGAGTTCGGCTTGGTATACCTAAGATCCTCGTATATCATTGTAGACTCATAAATCGATCCCATTGACTGCGGTTATGCCCCAAGAACATATCGTGAGCAGCAGTGGAGGTAATGGACTGCTTGATATTAATAACAACATGGAAACGCTCATAAAGACCCTGGATTCCGAGGCCGCCATAACAAGGCTAGATCACACCGGCTCTGGCCGCTTCGCCAGCATTGTCAAGAACGACATCCTCCATTCTCTTCTTGCCCTTGCCAAGGCCGCCCTCGCCAACACCCATCCGCCTGGCTACGTATCGTTGAGCGACCACGCCGACAGACAGACTCAGAAGCTCCTCGATCCACTCGGCAACCCACTCCCGGGGATCGACGCCACCACTGGCGACAATTTCGCGAATCTCGTCAGGCAACTCATTGAGATCAGTCGGAGTCTTGGACTCCTCTTCGCCGGATGTCGGCGTCAAGAGAGCTGGTGCATCAAGCCAACGCACCCACCGCGAGGGAATAGCCTGGCTGACAGTGGCATAGTGTATATCGTGGACGGGGTCGAGGATGTAGACGGCAAAGCAGACCTCCTCTTCAGCCTGGTCTTTGACCGCAGACGCCTCCTTCTCTTGCTCGGCAGTAGCACTGCCGGCGAACAGCTTCAGCTCACCATCCATGGAAATGGCCTGCACGGACAGGAATAGGTCCGAGGTGCGCACGGGGTTGGTCTCGCTGACGGCTTCGGTAGCCCTGATCTTGGCCTCGTCGATGCCACCGTGCGCAGCAAAATACTCAGCGGAATAGCTCTCGGCACTGGCACGGCATAGCTTCGTGCCCTCTGCCAATCCCTTGACCAGACCCAACTCACGCGGGGAATCGACCTGGCGCCACCAAGGCCCGTCGTGCCAGCCAGCCGAGCCATCGCTGGATCGTCGCGAGGCGCTCTCTGCCCCACGCTGAACGACCAACAGATCTCCTCCCTCGACTTGCGACATGACGCGCGCGAAGACTCCATGAATCAATGGGTCCAGCGAAGGGTATCCGACGAGGTCATGGGTGATATGAATCAGGAGTCGTTCGTGTGACCCAATTGGGGGTGCCAGGGTGTGTAAGATGTTCGACAACGTCGGCATGGCCATGTGGCGAAGCTCATCACCTGGTGCGCTGTTAGTTCTGCATTCAGTAACAAGACTGGTTCTGCCGTACCATAGTGACGGATGGCTCCCACGTCGATCTGGCGGAGGCCCTTGACTTGCTCCGCCCATTTCTTGGCTTCCTCGTTCTGCTGGATCTCCTTGTACGCAGCTTCGGCCTGTTTCATAGCCGCATTGGCCGTCGCTGTGGCTGTAGAGATCCATCCCCCAAGCCATCCTCCACCGCTCTGCTGTTGTTGTGGTTGCTGGGCAGCAGGTGCTTGCGCTGTCTGCTCGACGGGACCCTTCTTCTCTGCTTCGTGAAGCTCTGAGCTTGTGGCGCTGGGTGTGAAGCTTGCCCTCAGACTCCTTGCGCTGTCTGTCGACTTTCGTCCGACGGCGGCAGCAGAGGCCTTGTCGTCTGTGACGGGGGGCGTCGCAGTCGACCGCTTGCCGGGGTTCACGCGAGGGGTGTGTGGTCGGGAAATAGCTGCTTGCTCAGGCGGGGACGCGAGCTCGGATTCGAGGTCGGCAAAGAGATCGTCTGCCTTGCTCTTGGAGGCCGCTGTTTTGGAAGTTTTGGATGCTGCGCCAGAGGGTTTCTTGGTCTTGGCGTCGTCGCCAATGCCGGAGAAGAGCTCGTCGAGGTTGTCGTCGGCGGCGGGCGCCTTGGTTTTCTTGGAAGCCATGTTTGATGGCGCTGGGTGATATCTGAAGGCGATCAGTCAAGTGGTGCGTCTTATAGTTGCTCTCTGTCAATTCAAATGGTGACGAGGTAGCCAGAGTTGGGGTGTGCTGTTGTAAATTCTAGTGTTGGAACGTTGGAGCTGTCGTGGGTAGTGCAGCAGCATTCCCAGCAAGGTGCATAGATCAGCCGCTTGGGCACCTTGGTTGACGTAGACTTGTAGCCCACTCTTATCACGTGTTAAGCCTTGGGAGTCGCGATACTGCCAGCCACCACGAATCCATAGCTATGAATCTTAGTAGTGCTAGAGTGGCAGCGACCTTCGACCCAGAACTTCAAGATCCTCAAACTTATGTTTCAATCTCTTGATGTCGCAGCAAATGCTCAGGTGAGCTCAGTGCAAGTCAATGTTCAAAGGCATGGGACTGGACTTATAGCTGCGTCACGGGAGCTCGGGGTTGGAGGCTAGTCCCAAGATGGAAAGGCGAGGTACGGATGTGTGACGTGAGTGGTCAGTGGGAGGCGTGGGCAGCTGGCAGAACTCCGGACAAAGGGGCTCAGGGGAGTCGCTCACTGTAAGTGCCAGTGGACTAGCCCGGCTGGGGAGGCTGGATCAAGCCAGATCGATACCCGGCCTGGACGTCCGGCGCTGTCATTGGCTGTCGTGGCCTTGGCGCACCCCACACTCATGAAAGTTGAGTCGGTCGGCCGGTATTGTGAGTTATCCAGGCTCGAGCGCTCATCAGAGTCAAGGAGAGAGATGAACCAGCCTGCTCGCCATCCGAACGACTGTGAATGCTCACGTCCACCCTCTTCTCCCTCGTGTATCACGCACCAGCCCCTTTTCTCTCACTGTCACCCAGCTCTGGATACATACCACGCAGCGACGACACACTGCAAACACACGTGTTAGTCGCCGTCGCTCGCCTGCCAGCAAATCTCTGCGTAGCCTCGCTCCGTGTATACCACGCCAAAGGCAGGCTGACATCTCACCAACACCATCAATTAACATTCACACGACCCTGAGAGACTCTGCGGCACACAGAGAACACTCGCCCACTGGGAGCTTTTCATTGGTCCTTCTGCTTCTCTTTGTTCCCTGGCCCCTTGTTCGCGTCGACGTGGACTGCCCGTCCCGTTCAAGATCCATCCAGCGTTACCAATTCAAACGTTGGCCTCATCACCAGCACTGCCGACGGCTGGCGCACGTCACGACATGACATGTCAAATTCCCATCAAGGTGAACAAGGTCGTCGACATTCTTCTGTGAATTCGACCGCCTCCGCAATCATGGCGGAGAAGCAAGAGGGCCATTACCTCACCAAAGAGGAATGTGCGCCAAAACAGGATCCCTTTCAACATGAGCCAGCCAAGCTCATTGTCTCCCGTGAGAAGCCGCACAACTGGATGATCCAAGATCGCGCAGAGCGTGAAGGCGTCCTACTTGACGCTCAAGGGGAATTGATCCCTGATACTGCTCGGCAATCACAGTCAGCGTCACAATCGCCAACCCTTCGCAGGCAGTCTCGCTCGTCAGCCTCGTTCTCACGAGCTTCTGCTGAGATTGGTGAACCGAACAGCCCCAGCAAAGGCGGTCACACCTTACGCAGGAAACCTCGCGTCAACTATGCCCTTGAAGCTGAGCAGATGGAAGATGGACCCATGGTGCCGAATTCGACTTCATCAAGCCGCCTCAAAAGCCGTGACAATCACTCGGAGGTCGAAAATTTCAGACTGAAGCAACAACAGCACGGGGCACTGGTGAAGCAGGAATTTAAGCATGAGCCAGAAAAGCACACATGCTCCGATCTCTGTGAGCCAAAGAAGGGGCAGCCTCAGCGCATATCCTGTAAAGGCGCGATTTCGATGCTTTCGATGCCGTCTGAGCCCATCGAGCGGTACGAGATTTACGGTGACACATATCGTGAGCTCCACGGCAATCGCAGGCTCTTCAGCGAATACCGACCTTACATTATTAACTGCCAAAAGTTGATCAAACCAGCATCAGGCGGCTGTTTCTACGTCACATGGTTTGGCATTGAGGACCAGAAGTTGACCAGCATGGACTGGAACCAGCGATCAACTCTGCTGAGACTTGCTGTTGAGCCAACCATTACCAAGGGATTCTGCGACGCCGATGTTCCACCCTGGGCATTGGGTCGCATGTCTCGACGCGAGGAACTCCCAGGGCTACAGTGGAAGTCCATCGAGCCTAGAGAGTATGGCTTCCCCTGGGGTGAGATAGATGCCCTTCCCCAGAACCATCCCGTCGAACCTGGATCCACGTCTGAATCCGCAACCAAAACATCCACCCCGACGCCCATCGATCCAGAACTAGCAGAACCTTCCGGCAATGGAAGTCGTGCCGCGACCCCAAACAGCACTAACACGTCAATCAATGCCGAGCAACGTCCCGCAGCCGCGCAAGAACGGGACCAGAAGCTGTTGGGGAGCAAAGGATCGTCACCCAGCCACTCCCGGCCAAATGAGCAGAAGAGCGTAGAAGAAGCAGGGGGGGGGGAGCACAAGCCTCAGGCTGAATCTGAGCACCGTACCAAACAGGAATCACCAGACGCCAAACTTGTATCGCCACAACCGTCCGAGATACCGCGCGTACCTTCTTCAAGCGACTCAGCTCTAAGCACAGACCTGAGCGACGAGCATATTCGCTCACAGCTGGGGTCACTCAGATGGTGCGCAGAGCAGCCTCGGCCACCCAGTCCGTGGGGTCACTTGACACCGTATGTTTGGGGCGAGTACTCTGTTTATCCTGAGCAAAAACCCCGACCTCAGGAGGAGGATGCCGCTAGTGACGAGCAGTCCCCCGAGGAGAAGGAGTCCGGAAAAGACAGTGGCATTGACCTCGATGCCGTCGCCGACGACATGATAGACGCGCAGGGTCCTCCCACTGAACTGGCAACGCCTGCGCTCAACACTCCGACCCGCGGATCGCCGGTTCTCGACGCTGGTGAGCTCACATCGTTCAATTCTCCGGTCATCGCGGCGGACGAGGTGGACAGCAACGATACGTCCGAGTCGCAGGAGGCTTCCGTCGCGAAATTGAAACACTACAAGCTCCGCAAAATACAGGACGTCGATGTTTTTCTCAGCGCGGCCGAGGACTACCAGGACAAGTCCAACGAGGAACTTCTGGCTCTGGCCTACGCACTGACGGACTGCATGAACACTTGGCAAGAGGAGTATGCCGAGGAACAAAGGCGGGTAGACGACTGCGAAAATGCAGAGCGGCGCCGACTGGCTGACAACAAATACGAGACCCGCACCAAGGACCTGGGACAAGAGGGCATCAACTGGGAGGAGCCTGACTTCCAGGTCAAGGGTTACAAGGCAAAGGCAAAGGAGGCTGTCGTCACCGAGACGCGCTACCTCCAGGCCCAGGACCGCATCATGGCCAGCGCCTATGGCTTCGAGTACGATCCGCATCCGTCCAAGATTGGCAAGCAGAACCCCGAGATGCAGCAAGCGGGCTTCTCCACGCGAGGCCGATCCCTGCGCAACCAGCCCAAGCCCACCGTCAAGGCCACCGAGACAGAGGGCGTGACTGGCAAGAGGCAGCGCAAGCCTGTGCAGCTGTTCGAGCCGGCCGCCCATGATGCGAGCCGCGCTGCCACGCCCGTCCCAACCTCGGGCCGTGGGCGCAGACGCAAGAATGCCGACGCTGATATCGTCGACGGCGGCGAACCGTCATCTAGCTTCAATGGCGGGAACAACTCGGATGCGGAGACGCCAGGTACTGGACGCCGCAAGCGTGCGGCCCGAACCAGAGTGCGCAACGACGATGCCGACTCCATGATCCAAGATGAGCGATATGAGGCGCTCAAGCCTGCTGCAGCTCGTCGCAACAGAGGCAAGGTCACCATCAGGGCTGACCACCAACCCTCTGTTCGCGTCAGCAAGGCTGATGGCCGATTCCTCATCACCTTTCGACTTCCCCAGTCTGACAAGCACAGACGACCCTCGCTGCCTCTCAGCGACAACGGCGAGTCTCGACCGTCCACTGCCGACTCAGCCGCCACTGTTGAATCAAGCTACTCATTCAGGCCGAACCGTCAAAAGCGTTTCCGCGCTGCGCTGGAGGACAACCCTGAAAGCGCCACCGCGCCTCCCCGGAAGAGAGTCCGTAAGGCTGGCCCGGATGTTGGTGACCGGGATGAATACATGGAGACGGTCATCCCACTTCCCGCACCAGACTTGAGTCAGCAGAGCCATGCCCCGAAAGCGCCCAAGATCAAGGTGCGTCGTGGTTCCAAGGGTCCATCCCCCGAGACGCGCACAGGCACCCCAACGTCTCAACCCACGACGGAGGGTGGCGATGACTCGTCTAAGGAGTATCGAGCCATGACCAAGTCAGAGAAGATGTCCGCGTCCATGAAGAGTAAGTTGGTATTTTTCTGTCTCGGACCCGTCCAACTAACAGCGCTCCAGACCGTTGGGCCAACGGGAACATGGCTGGTGCCGTCGAGAAGCGCAAGGCCACGCTCGCAGCCAAGAAACTGCAGCAGGCCGCCGCCGAGCAGCGAGTCGGTCCTCTCGCCCCCAAGCCAAAGGGCAAGCCGGCCAAGAAGATGGACCAAGTGCCTCTGCCCGGGGAGAATCCAGCCTTCATGCATTCTCGCCCCGTGTCGCAGCCGCCACCGCCTGCCCATCAACATCATGAGATGCACCAGCCTATGCATCACCAGCTGCCGCCGCCGCCGCAGCAGCAGCAGCAACAACAACACCATCATCATCAGCCACTGCCTCCGCAGCAGTATGCGGTCCAGCCTCCTCCGCACCATGTGCAGCAAGCCATTCCCCCCCACTATCCTCCTGAATATGCTCCCGGTCACCAGCTTGGCCATCATCAGCACGCCGTACATGGCCGACCTACGCATGCGCCTCCACCGGGAATGCATCCTGCCCAAGCCCAGCAGAGCTTGCCTCCCGGCTATCGACCGTTCGGTCACCACGAGTACGCACCATACCGGGGATAAAAATACCCCGATTTGAAAGACAAGTGTTACTTTGCAAGTGTCAAACTACGCAATAATCATAGCAAGGCGAAGAATGCCTAAATCTACTCATGTCAGAGACATGTCTTCACTGCCCTCGACCTGCAATCCCATGTACAAACAACACAACCCTCCTGGTTAACCCGTCTGGTCGAGGCCCAGGAGAGGACGAAGCGAGCACGCACGCACGCACACGACACGCAACGAATTGGAAACTCAGCAGCAGCCTATTGTCTACATTGGCTTATTTTGTCAGAAGTCTTTCTCTACTGACTACTTGCATCATGGGGTGTCAAAAGGCTTGACACCGAGCGATTCTTCTGTAGCTCCACTCCAGGCTCACTATGCTTTCATCACCATGGGCACTGCGAGGGGGCTTTATCAATGGCGTTCAGGAAAGGAAAAGAGCAGCATTTTTTACTTTTGGGGGCCTCAGTTGGAATGAATAGTATACGCGGGCAAGATAGTAATACCATGTCCGGATCTTGCATTCACCTCGTTGTCAGTACATCTTAACTTTTTCATCCTTCTGCCCGTGCAGGCAGTGGCGCACAAGGGGCTCGGAACATGCCACCTACACACGACGGCTACGATCACACGCGAGCAGAGGTATTGAAGTTTTTTGTCCTTGATGTGATGCCCGATATGAATCACCCTTTACACGCCGCGACCGAAATGCAAAGCCCCTTGCCACCTCAGGAAAAGACACCCACTTCCCAATCTCCAAAGACCCGTCTGCTGTCCATCCATCCCTTCATTGCCCGGAGATAATTTCTCATCTAGAGGTCGTAAAACAATTTTTTTTTTTCGCGGTGGAAGCATCGACGGGTTGTGGTGGACTGAGGTTGTGTTGGGGACATAGAAAATTCGTGGCTTTCATCCTCTGTGTATCTCCATTCGCCGTTTCAATTTCGCTATCGAAGAAGACCCCCTCCTCACATGACAACACCAGAGTTGGAGGCAATACGCTGTCAGAAGAATTAGCAGGCAGATTCGCGGCCGACGAGGGAGTGAAGAGCAGAAACTTACGGGCCACAGCTCAGCAGCCTCCTTGCCCACGGGTCCGGTGATGGCCGAGCCCTTCATCTCACCCTTGGGGTTGACGATGACACCGGCGTTGTCCTCAAAGTACAGGAAGACACCGTCGAAGCGCTTCCAGGGCTTGGACTGACGGACGATGACGGCGGGGTGGACCTTCTTCCTCAGCTCGGGCTTGCCCTTCTTGACGGTGGCCATGACCATGTCACCGACACCGCCGGCGGGGAGGCGGTTCAGACGCGCACCGATACCCTTGACGGAGATGATGTACAGGTTACGGGCACCGGAGTTGTCGGCGCAGTTCATGACGGCACCACTGCAGGACACGTATTAGCGACTGTTGGTTTCGTGGGTTCTCGGGGGAGATCGGATTCGTCGTCCAAACGTACACAGGGAGACCGAGGGTCATCTTGAGCTTGCCACCGGGGGCACCACGCCTGGGAACGTTGTCAGTATACTCTGTTCGTTGCGGCGTGTGGTCTGCAGCAGCAGAAGACACCTGACGGCTGGCGATCCCGACGATTGACGATGCGACACAACTCCTGGCCCAAAATTTTCGACGTTGTGAGACCCCACGACAGCGACAAGATTCAGCAAAGCGTAATGTGGACAAGCAATGCGCCCTCCTCCTCCTCTTTCAAAACGTGTGTGTGCCTTCCCCCTCCCTCAAGGCAATTATTCCACCTCTTTTGCATCGTCCATCGTCGCGAGATAAAATCGCCAGTCGTCGTTGTGGTCCAGATAGAGCAGCGGCGGCACTCACGAGGTCTTGGCCATTGTAGCGGTTTGTGTGTTGTGTTACTTCGTGGGAGAAATAAAACAGGTGCCCTCGTCTGGGATGGTATTGTCGTCGTCGGTGCGGTGGATTGGCGGTTGGCAGGCAGTTTTTCCGGGCGAAAAATTACTGCGGCCAATCTGTGGGGGGAGAAACCCTAGAGCTGAGCGGACGTGTGCGCACGTGATGATGAGTAAGATGGTGGTGGGGTGTCGGAGAGCTAGGATGACTCAGCATCGGACCGTCGCTCGGGATTTCGGACTCTTCACGTTATGTATCTCTCACCTTTTCCTGTCATCAACAAATGACATCCACGCGAACACGTATGAACCCTCAATTGGTGCTCTTCTCAGAATTGCCCTTTCCAGGGGCGCCCTGCCTACATAGAGTGCCGCCGGAAGCTGCTTGTGTACATGTATCGACATGGGTCCTCCACGGCGCGAAGTGCTCCCGGCTCACGTTCAGCGTGGCGTCAACATGGAAACATGCATCGATTCAGCGAATGGACAGTGCGAACGTCAGATAGCGTTGCTCGTTCCAATGACAATGAGCGTTCGCCATTCCATATACTTAGAAGGCCCAGGTCATCACGGCTGCGAACTTGGCACTACATGTACACTGGTTGTGGCGAACATGTCAGGCTGTGACGTATCCGGCATTCTTGAATAACTCAACAGTCTCGGTCTGATCGAAGCGGACATACATCGTCCCGCATGGCTATATCTCGACATAATCCCATTGTATACAGCAACACACAACTACCACGTGGTCACGCGTAAGGTAAGTCCATCCAACCGTGGGGGAAGTTCATGAATCCCGTTTCGGAGGGTCACCGTTGACAGTCGTAGTTGAATGGCCGTTGACTTGCGATTGCTGAGTGTCGTTGGATGCTGGGGTCGGCGCATCGTTTGTTGTTGCTGAGTCTTGTGTCCTGTTACTCGTACTGAACCTAAATTCAACCCCCCTCCCTGCGGGCCAAGGATCTTCCGTGCTACTCATGTACTGGCCCATCTGGTAACTGCTCATGATCAGCAGCTATCACGTCTTGACTCTGATAACGTACGTTCCTGGCGGGTCATCGTTGCCGCTTCGAGGAGACATGGTGAGTGTTTGCCTAAGTAGACAGATACGTATATGCTTCAGGGGTACAGGCTGTTGTCCTCGCAGTTTGCTGCTGTGTCGTACAGTCGGGTTTCTGAATTAACTCGGTGAAAGCAACGAGTCTTTTATACCTATTTGGGATATGGCTCCCCTGTCAGAGAGTTGCGCCATGACGTCTTGGCCACCACGAGACTTAGACCGGTCAGTGTCGTGTAGGTGGACATTCTGATATGAACTGCACTGCCGAGACACGCATTGTGGTGGCGTGGGAGCATCGACTTAGACCTCGTCAGAGTCCTTGTTCGCATGCGCCATGCAGCAGACTATGGCGTGGAACATGCGAGCTGAGGTGGGTTTTCCCCTTGGCCCGGCACGCTCATCTACAGCAACCCAAAGCGCGCCAGGTCATCCGACCATCCCCGGTCCCATGCCATCATGTGATGCAATTGGGTTGACTCCAATTATCCGGTCTAGTGGTGGCTTTTGTCCATGCAAAGACACAGCTGCTGCAGCCAACAACCACAAACTGACCAATTCCGTCCCGCGTCCAGACCTATGTTGCATTGCATGCTGCCAACGTGGCCAGTGAGGGACATTTTGACCATCGAAATCCCAAAATGCGGCTCTGCGAGACCAATGATTGCGCCGTATTGCGCCTAGCAAGTCATACTGGCACTTCGGACAGGCTTCAAGGTCTGGAGAAGCCGATCATTTCATTTACCAGCCGCGCAAGTCGCAGCGTTGCAGCGCGCAACTCCAGGTCGAATTGTGGAAGAGGGTGTTGTGCTTCAGTCGAGGATTGGGGGAGATATGGCAGTCGGAGTTACGGTGCTGTCTTGGTATGTCAATATCGCCACAGCAAGGCAGGAGCCAAGTGATGCGATCCACGCTCTCTTCTTCTCGGCGTGGGATCAATGACGCCAAGGGCGGAAACGTTCGAAGTTATGTCAAGAGTAATGTTCCAGTCGATCTTCGTCGACAAGGGCAGGGTCATACGACTGAACCTGTTGAGCTGGCATGTATGCATAGCATGGGGCCAAGGGCGGCAATTGTATATCGCTCGGTGCGCACTTCGCGCATAGTTTCGTATAGTCCAAAAGAACACGCCGTACGTTTCATGAGGAAGTGCTGCAATGCGAATCTTAGCATCTAATGACCACCATACAGAAATGCGCTCATGCAGGCTCGTATCTGAGCAATGATATGACCATCTCTCAGGCCAGGTATGGTGTGTTATCAAGGAAGGGCCTATAGTGATTTCACAGTGCCACAACTAATAGCATGTGAGACTAGGGCGCGTTAATGTTGTAGGAAAACATATATAACAAACGCCTGGTCGTCTTGGGCTCACTATCATACGCGTGCAGAGACGCGTACAACACTGACCACAAAGACAACTGAGGTTGGGTGAAAGTGCAATTCCGGCGCCGGGCGACTTGGAACGGAGCCGTGCCCCACCGGTCACTCGGCCCCACCCCGGGACCGGTCGGCGATATGTGCTCGCTGTGCATGGCGCCAACTGACTGGGGCGTGTTCTTTGCTGAATGCTGCCATACATCTCTCTCCGATACTTTAGTATCCGCCATTCATAATAGGCTTGATCGTGAAGTGAGCGTGCCACCGGCGACGCCGGGCAACTAATCTTACATAGCGCTCAGGCTCGGTCAGTGGTGGGGCCTTCCTCGAAGACCAGTGGGGATCCGGTCGTAGAGCCTACCCTACGTCGATCAGAAGCGAGCAATAGAACGTCAAGAACATGCGCTATAGAGATAGTAATTCCTTCACAGAACTACGCGAGGGAATTGTTAGGACCGTCATCTTCAAATTTAAGCAGTTCATCACGACTCATAGTGTTGGCGGCGTATGGATTAAACAGTGGTTAAAATTTAAAATTTCGCAACGATCTGCCAAAAAGTGATATTGGACCTATTTACACCGGGGTTTGGGCACAATACCACGACTGGTACGGAGTATACATGATTGTACTACAAATTTAGCAGGTAAATCACGCCTGGCTACAATTGGCAGTAATTCTGTTGTTCTTCACATGACTTTCAGACTTTTAGGCAACGGGTCGCCTTGAGCTATTTATGCCATGATTGGCAATTTATTCCCCCCGCCCTCCGAACGCATGCATGTGAAAGAGTGCCGTTAAGACAGCGCCTTGAGCAAGAGCGAAGCCTACCAACATGGTGACGGTATCCAGGGGTGATTCTCCGAGACTTGATTCGCTAATAGTATTCCATTGGTTTGCCTATCTGTAACAAAGCGTCAGTTGAAACGCTTGCTTACTTACTATTTGTCACTACGTACTACGTATACCAAGTACAGAAGTACCTTACCTAGTTAAGGTTAGGGCTAAGTACTTAATAATAGCAGTCAGCACGGGTGCGTCATGCCGTCCGGAGCCAACCGCCTGCAGATTCCTTCACGGCACAGTCACGATTCTGTCCTGCGCCATGTTTCCGCCTTTTCCGTCTATCAACCCGCCCTGACTTGAGCATGACTGCATGCTCATCTGTCCCCCTCGCGTATCGCCGAATACACCGGGTGCCGTAGTTTGATATGCCGCACTCGTAGATCGAGGCTCTGCTGCATAGCGACGTCCGTATTTCCTTCTCCCGCGCCCGCGCGCCTACCGCCACACAGGTCGTTACTCAGATCTGATCCAAGTCGACCGAGACTCCAGTCGCCCGCGATTCAAGCAGTCAAGGGCGTCGACTGCGCTGGACCAGACACAGCTGCGCCACACCGAACCGACCGATCTCGCCGCAATGAGCTTCCAGCACGCGACGCCGTCCGTGTCCACGGGCGACACCAACCCCTCCAACGGCACCCCTCAGCCCCAAAACACCATCGCCAACCTGCCAGGGGGCCGACAGTCTGGAAATGTGACAGTCTATCAGACCTCGGGTCCCGACGCCTACACGGATCCCATTCCTGCATCCGACGGCTCCGGCCCAGCGCTCAACCCACGATCCTGCGTCACCTGTCGAAGGCGGAAGGTACGCTGCGACAAGCAGATGCCGTGCTCCAACTGTCGAAGAGCACTGATTCCCTGCGTCTTCCCGGCCCCTGGACGTGCGCCGCGACAGCCCAAGCCCAGGGACCCGAATGCAGCGCCAAGGTCAACAACAAGCCAGCGTGAGGTCGAGCTTACAAAGCGACTTAGGAAGCTGGAAGGGATCGTCGAGGAGTTGAGTGGGCAGATCGAGGTCGAGTCAGGGAGCAAGGGGCCCTCTTCTGCAGGCTCGCCCAATTCCCCAGGCCATCCGCCCCTAAGGCGGTCCACAGGCTCCGGCTCCATGTCGACTCCTGCCGCGATGGTCTCAAACACCGGCGGTCCTGAAGGTGATAACTACATCGAGCACAGCGTCAATGGTCCGAAAAAAGACATCTCCCATCGTCTTGGCCGTCTGGTCCTGAACGATCACAAGGGGAATACACGATATGTGTCCAACCTCTTTTGGTCCAAGCTGAACGACGAGGTGAGTCATACGACGAGAAATGAATAGTTTGACTGCCTGAGATGACTGACATGGGCATAGCTTGACAGTTTGCGCAAAGACACTGTACGCTTATCGGATGGCGATGCCGATGAAACAGATTATGAGGATACCCCCGACTACTCGCCCGACGGCACTCAAGGACACCTTACCAGTGATGATCATCAAGCGTTCATATTTGGCTACAAGGCGGCAGACGTGGACCTACTTACATGCCACCCCCCAGCATCTCATGCACCTCAACTGTGGGCGACGTATCAAGATCGGGTCGAGCCGCTTCTCAAGATTCTCCACGTACCCACAATGGACGAGATCATGAAGGTGGCGCGCCAGACACCCGAACGCCTCTCGCGGGCCCACGAAGCACTGGTCTTTGCCGTCTACTTCAGTGCCGTCGTGGCGATGGAGCCAGGCGAGCTGCTCGCTGAATTCAATGCTGACAAGGAGACCCTCTTGCGCCAATACCGCTTCGCATTGGAGGTGGCGCTCGCCAGGGCCAACTTCTTGTTCACCTCGGAGCTTGCTGTGCTCCAAGCCTTTACGCTCTTTCTCATTGTGGTGAGATCTGTGGATGATAGCCGCTTCTGCTGGACACTGACCGGCTTGGCCATCCGGATCGCCCAGGGCATGGGCATTCACAGAGATGGGTCACAATTCGACATGACACCATTTGAGACAGAGATGCGTCGGCGCGTTTGGTGGGCCATCCTAGTGCTCGACCTTCGCTCAGCCGAAGAAGTCGGCTCGGACTTGGTCGTCACCGAGAATGCATTCGACACCAAGATGCCCACAAGCATCAACGATGTAGACATCTGTCCCGAGACGAAGGACATGCCTAGGGCCCGCCAAGGGCGGTCTGACACGGCCGTGGCTCTTGGTCGATATGAAGTCCTACTGATATCGAGACGGTTCATCGGTGAACTGCCCATCAAGGCCACCCATATCAACCTTGCCGAGAAGGAGCGAATTCTCGTGGAAGCGTACGAGCGCGTCGAGCAGCGTTTCGTCAACCGGTTCATGGACCAGAACGACCCACTATGGTTCCTGGCCTCCATGATTGCGAGGATCATTGTCTCCAAAATGTGTCTGAATCTCTATCAAACCACAGTCTTCCCTGGAAACGACAGCGCTGTCAGCAGTGTGCCGGACCAAGACACGATCCGTGACCGCGTCTTCATTGCAGCCATTGAGGTGGTGGAAATTGGCAACAGACTTCTCTCAGACGAGAGGTGCAGGCGGTACCGCTGGCTTTTCGCGACCTACACCAATTGGCATGCAATCGCCTTCAACCTGATCGAACTCGGTCGCCGACCGTGGTCCGCACTGCTCGAGCGGTCGTGGGAGGCTGTGCGGATGAACGACCTAGACCCCGTGGAGTTGGCCAAGCACAGCGGCCATGCAGTCATCTTCCTGCCCCTGCGCAAGCTGTTCTTCCGCGCCCGCCGGCACCGCGAAGCAGAATTGTTGCGACTTCGGTCGGACCCGGAAGCAGCGCGTCTCCTTGACTTGGCCGAGCGCACAAACCCAGCAACAGCCCGTTTTGGTCCCACCCCTGGCAACGAGAGCAGGATGGACGAGGTCCGACTCAGGTGGTGGGACTTGGTTACTGTTCGGCCAAATATCGCACAGACCAGTCACACGACAAACACATCAGTGATAGGTATGCCCTTGGCGCGGCACGCGAACAATCCGATGGGCATGTCGATGGCATCCCAAGCGTCTGGAGCGCCTGACCATCAAAATGTAGCAGCGATGGAACTGCTTGACGATATCATGGCCCAGCCCAACCCGAACCTTGCTACGCTCTGGGCATTGGGAGAAGACTGCTCGCAGGGAAACAAACTAAGCTTCTCCAGCGCCACAGGCACACCACAGCAGCACGCTATGCAAACGGGGGAAAGCGCCCTGCGGCGGCAAGCCATGGCGCTGCAGGCTCGAGCTGCGTCGCAGGGCCTGGGTGTATCGCAGGACCAATACCCCCCGCAAAACATGTGGGACGAAGCTTGGGATGCACTAGGACCGTATCAGCCGTCGCTTGTTGATCAAGGCATCGGGCCCAATGAGGACCTGGACATGCTGGATGGCGACTTTGACTGGACCGAATGGACGAGCACACTTGCGACGTACGACATGGGCGGGATGCAAGGTCACCCAGGACAAGGTCCAGTGGCATCCCACGGACCGCTGTAGCACCACTTTTGGCGAGATGTATAGACGGCTGGATACGTTGAATGAAGCCATGTACGTTATGTGTAAATGCGATATGGAGTAAACAAACCAGACAACAATAGCATAATGTCTACCTTAGTTGGAGTATCGGCTATTACGTCCTTTGTCCACGAGCGGGGGGTGTCGTCATAGTAAGACTTCCACGACTCACGATGGAGTTAGGAGGTCATATCATTCATTCACAGCACGTCCGAGACAACCACAAGATTGGACATATTGGTCACATTCCAGTGCAGTAACCATGGACAAACTCGAAAACAGGAACATTCTTATTACCGGAGCCTCCATGGGCATCGGCGCGGCCATCGCTCGCCATCTCGCCGCCTTTTCGCCCAATCTCATCCTGCTCTCACGATCACAGACAAAGCTCGACGCCTTGTCTTCGTCCCTCCGCTGCAAGACCCTCACCTACGCCGTCGATGTGCAAGACTACGCCGCTGTCAGCGACGCTGTTGCATCAGCCGTGAAGGAGCTGGGCACCATTGACGTCCTCATCAACAACGCAGGGCTGGCATTGGGAGCGCCAAGCCCATTCCCCAATCTCACGATTGAGCAAGTCACGCAGATGAACGGGACCAATGTCAATGGGTACATGTTTGCCGCCCATGCCGTTCTCAACGCGGGAGGAATGTACGAGAGGCCAAGCGCGGGACCATTCTCAACGTCACGTCTACCACGGCACTTGAGGTCCCGCCGTTCCCCGGCGAGTCAGTCTACCACGCCAACAAGGCACTGCAGGAGGGCTTCACCAACGCGCTGCGCGTCGAGCTGACCGGCACCGATATCCGTGTCCTCGCCCTCCGACCAGGGGTGGTGGACACGCACTTCCACCGGCAGAGAGTTGGCTACGATGAGCAGATGCATGACGAGTTTGTCGAGGGGTATGAGCCCTTGGTGCCCGAGGATCTGGGCCCTGCCGTGGAGTACATGCTCAAGAGCCCGGCGGGGGTGAGCGTCAAGGCCGTGGACGTGGTGCCCAGCGCGCAGAGGAGCCTGGCCAGCTTTGACAGGACGTGGAACGACAGGAATGACAAGAGGTGAGACAGGAATGTGCGTGTCTGGGGCGGGGGGATATATACAGCTAGAGAGAACCCACGTTCCGCCATGCCGTTGTCCGTGATGTGCTGCATCCATACACGCATATACACACACCACGCGGTCCGTACCTTTTACGCACCGTTGTTCTAGCTCTCAACATCATGATGGTCCAACTCCCCGTTTTGGCTCTCGCCCTGGGCTTGGCTAGCTCAGTGATGGCCCTGCCAGACCCGCGAACCCTCAATGATATTGTCGCGAGGCAGAATGCACCCGTCTGCCGTCCGCCGTGCGAACCGGACGAAGAATGCGGACCGTACACCGACAGCCATGGCAACACGAGGGACCTTTGCTATCCAGCAGGCTATAATGGTGAAGGAAAGGACTAAAAGCAGCCTACAGGATCTGGCGGATGAGATGGATGAAAGGGTGGGCCACTTTCTGACTGACTGGCGTGGGTTGACTTATCTGTTGGACATCTATCGACATCGAGGCGTCCGTCTGTCTATAACTGCCAAATGTACATAAGCACGTCTTCTCGACTCGATTAGAGCTTACTCTCTCTCTGTGCCTTGAACTCTTTCTCTTCCCGCAAGGCCTCCTCGCGCCTTTTTATTTCCACCTCCGTAGGCCCGCCCTTGGCAAACCGCACATAGACCACATGTTCCCAGTCACCACCTCGCCCAGAGCCCTTCAATTCCGGGCCCGGCTTGTCGAGTCCCAGGACGATACGTCCATCGCTCTCCCGTATGAACAGATTATGCGGGCTCATGACTTTGTCTCCCCAGGCGATTTGGCTGGTCGCATGCTCCCGTGCCCTCGGCGAGTCCCCCGTGGGCACCCTATGGATGTAGTCCAGCAACGCCTGTCGCTGGCGTGTCGACGTCTCCAGGTCCGTGGCCGTGTCGGAGATGAACCGCGTTAGATGCCATGCGAGGTAGGCCTGGGGTGGGAACATGATGATCTCCTTCCTTTGCTGCCTGGCGAGGAACTCCTGGGCGGGGGCAAAGGTCGCCGCTGTGTGCTCGACGCCGTCATCTGGGGTCGGCACGAGCATCTCGGACGGCAGTGAGGAGGCAAGTGGGAGCAGATACAGGTACATTTGTGTGGTGAAGCGCTTGGGCACGTTGGTTGGCGTGATCCATCGTGTCCACGGTACCAAGCCATCTGCCTCTGGGTCAGCACATGCGTGATTTCTCACATCATTAATTCGACCGCCTGAGGATTCAGGAAGCTTGAGGAAGAGAGGGAGACTCACCTGTGTCAAGTGTGCCTCCTATCGAGTCCACCCAGTCGGTGAACCGGATCTGGTTCCCGTGGATCCTCTTCCGAGCACCCTCCCTCTCGTCAGCTTGCACCTCCACGAGCCCATCCCCATTCTTCTTCTTGGCCAGCAGGATGCCCGTCTCCTCAAACGTCTCGCGAATCGCGCCAATGCGATACGCTAACCCATCTCTGTGTCGGCCCTCACTGCCTTCTTCTGGGATGTCACCGTCATGGTACGGGTCAAGGTTGCCGCCGGGGAACACATGAGCCGAGGCAAAGGACGTTGATGTCTTGACGCGGTGAAGAAGCAGCACTTGGTTGTGAGGCGAGAGAAGAACTACGCTGGACGAAGGACGTGGCGACATGACCTTCTTGGCTGTGGATGTGGACGATGCAGAGCGGCGAGGCATGGCAGCGGAGGTGGACGGTGCTGAGCGCGCGGGCGATGCTGCTCTCAATCGGATGATGAATGAGGTGCGACTGAGCAACGCTGGCCGCCAGCGCGTGCTCAAAGACATGGCTACGGTAGCGGAAATCCGGGGTACATCTGAGCGTATGATGAACCGAGCCGATGTATTGGTCTGCCTGTCTGGTTCTGGTGGCACGTCCGATCCCGTTGCGGGGGGGCCGACGCGTTGTGCCGAGGTCCTGGGTCCACCACCACAAAGACCCCTGGTTAAAACACATTCTCTCAACCCAATCTTTGACGAGAAATGTGACGATTGGAGAATGAATTATGATGATGATAGTGTAGTGGTCATAAGTCGTAATCTGTTGCTACAGAAAAACATTGTGTGGTATCCCAAAATCGAGGTGCCTGCTCACGCCTCATAACCTCTTCCTCTCCTTGCCGCGCAGGTTGACCTTCCAGAGGCAACATATACTCCTTGACTCGCACCATTTCTTGACCTCTGCGGGGCTGACCTCACCGTCGTGCCCTATCTTGCCCAACTGTCCGGTATTGAGCCACAAGGTCAACTCCTCTATAATAATGGGATCGTAGAGGAGTATCTTCTCGTACCACGATGGGAAATCTGGATCGGTGGACCGAGGGGCGGACGTCACAGCTCTGGCGATGCTTCCAAAGAGTGCCTCTTCGCTGTCATCGGGGGCAATAGCCAAGCTAACGTCTCCCTCGCCGTCGACTGTGGAGGCGGACACGTCAATGTCGCGTGGCGGGGAATCAGCTTGCACCGGTGATGGCGATGGCGAAGATGACTGTGAAGGTGACGACGAAGTCAGGTTCTCCTCGCCGTCCGACTCGGAATCTGGAATCTCAACGATCTGTTTCGCAGGCTGCTTCTTCTGTGCAGGCGAGGTAGCCTTCCCCGCTGTGTGAGGTGCCCTGACTACCCTTTGCGGGCTCTTTCGTGGTTTTGACAATGCTGCCTTGGCAGGACTTGATGCATCTTTCCTTGGGCGTCCTCGCGGCCTTTTGGGCGACTCGACGGCTTGCGCCGACGGTGGAGGGTCCTGGGACTCGCTTGCGCTGACGCTTATTTTCCTCGGCCTCCCTCGAGGCTTGGCAGGGCTGGTGGCACCTTGTGATGCGCCCCTCGACGCGAGTGGCTCGCCGACTTGTCTGGAAGTCGAGAAGCAGTGTGAGCCCGACGGAGTAGCGGATGCCTGGCTCTTCCAGCACTGATCCAGCAAGGCAATCATGTCTGGTCTCTTATCCAGTGTTTTGAAGCCATAGCTCTTGACAGTCTGTGCCAGCCGGACGTCCGAGTATCGCTCGAATCGTGGGCGAACCTGCTGCGGGACTGACAGGCATTGCTCGGTGGACGGATGCAGTTGCGGTAGAGATGGCTCAATCGAGGACAATTGTGTAGTGGTGGCCGTCTCCTCCTTGCGTCTTTGCATGTCAGAGCTGATCGATAGTTGGCTACTTGAGAACGATGAATCGTCGCTGATGATTTCCACGGGCTGCTTCTGTGTCATGTCATCTGTACGCTCTGTCGTTATCGCAACGTCAGCACCTTCATCCACAGCGCTGTCCGATGGTTGTCGCCTCTCGACCGGGTTGTCTGCTTGGACATAACCAAACGGATCATCATCGTCTGCCGGTTCGCGCAATGCCAAGGTGCTGTCGTCGGCCATATCAACGAGCAGCGAGTGGAAGAGCTGGCCGTCAGCGTCGCGGTGACCGGAGCGCCAAAGTTTGGGTCGCTCAAGAGATTCTATAGGATCACTCTTGAACGGATCGCTCATGTTGTCAAGCTCAAGTTGGGTCGAGTTTTTGATCGCTTGTTGAATGTCTCTTAACGTCGAAGGCGACTGCTCTCTCGCCAACTGGCTCGATGTACCGAATAGAAAATCTTGCTTGGACACCTCTTTTAACGCCGTCTCTGGCGATAGCAGAAGACGCCTCGGTAGCTCAGCCTTCTTCTTTGGTGCCTTGGCGGGCTTCTTTCGTTGTTTGCCGTTGCCCTTGGCGTCGCTCGCTGCCCCGCGCTTTACCGTGCCGTCGGGGCTGTCAAAGAGATCCATTATCGTTGCAGAGGGTGGTTCTTGTGCAGCCGGGTCAGGCTGTCTGTAGGCTGCGGTGGCCAGATCGGTTATCGTGCGTGCCTTTTTCTTCGGCGCACTCTGCTTCGCCGGCGACTTCTCCCTGGTAGGTGATTTCTCCTGTCGACTGTTGTTCTTCATTTGCACCAGTTCAACTAGCTTCCGCTTTTTCATGAAGCTCGAGTGCTCTTCGGACACGGTGATGGCATCCCTGTCCATCTCTTCGTCGCAGCCATAGTTCCGCACCATGGTGTTGAAGTCAGCTCGATTAATTCCAGCGGCCGAAGAGCTGACCTCCTGAACCAACGAGACGTCCGACGGCCCCTCGACAATATCCGCCTGAGGCTTTGGCGGTGTCCAGTCAAGTCTGCGTTCTGCTGCACGTTCTATAGACGGAAAGTGCTCCGCCTCGGCCTCGACTTTCGGGGGGTCCGCCGGAGACGTCTCCTTGCTCTGAAAATGGCCGCTCATAGTGCCCGTTTGTTTCCTCGACCTCTTTGCGCGGGATTTTGCCGTTGCTGTCTTGGCGGCCACCAAGTTGTCAACTATTGGGTCATGCGCGAGGACATCCTCTGGGGCAACCAGCGAAGTGCCCGCCGCAGCAGCATCACCGGCCTCATCCTTTGCTCCGTCACGGCCGGTGTGTTTTGCTGGAGGGCTGGCGACATATTTCCTCCACGGCTCTTCTCGAGATGGCGACCCAGTTGACACGGACGGCCTAGCCTTTGCTACAGATTCTGGGCCTACTTTCTTCCCTTTCGCAGCGGCTGCGGTGGTGGTGGTGGCCTTCTTTGGTCTTACTGCAGCCTTCGCGCGTGGTTTGCGTGGCTTTTTTTCTGAAGGCCCAGGTGGTGGTGGCGGTGGTGGTTCTATCTCAATCACCGACGCATCTGGGTCCTCATTCCTCCCTGCGGCAAGTGCGGCCTCCCAATGGTCCCGCGCACTCGTGAAAGATGTCACGACTCCCTCAGGGATCGGGGTAGCCTTACTGCCACTTTTGATGGGAGGTCGGGATGAAGCTTGAGATACGAGTTCGCGCAACGATGGTAGGTCGTCTGGGGAGGAAGGTTCACGTCGCGATGGCGCCCGAAGTGGTGACGAGAGAAATACATCGGGAGAGGTCATTGCGCTGATCGTCGTCAGCCGAGTGCGCAGAGCGCATCTCGGACTCGTGTAGCGCAGCAGTCGAGTTATCGTGTCGGTCGGTCTGTCATCAGCAGGGCGTCGGCTGTTCTGGCCGGGGTTGCGACCGTCATTGACGTCTCAACTGGAGCTGCCCTTGAACATCGAGGAATGGGTTGGTCCTGCACTTCAAGCTATCCACTTGGTGGGGCTCAGCTCGGCCGACCGTCACGGTGGCAGCGGCACGGGTCGCGCGAGACTGCCGCGCAATCACGTGGGCTAAGTCACCTGACCGCACAAAGCCCTCGCGGCCCCACGAAATTGCGCTGGACCACACCAAATTCAGTCACAGCGAACTTTTCGAACATTCCACCCCAGCGCTGCCAAATCCACCCCCAAACGACACGTTCAACCTAATCCTCACCAACTCCCCCCAAATCCGACAACATGGAGAACGACCGCGGCGAGATTGTGGACCTGTGAGGATGGCCATTGTCGAGGAAGATGGAGCGAGAGTACTGACAATTTGCGACAGCTACGTCCCCCGCAAGTGCAGCGCCACCAACCGCATCATCAAGGCCAAGGACCACGGCTCCGTCCAGATCAACATTGCCAAGGTCGACGAGAACGGCCGCGCCATCACCGGCGAGAACCACACCTACGCTCTCTGTGGCTTCATCCGCGCCATGGGTGAGTCCGACGACTCGATGAACCGCCTCGCGCAACGGGACGGCCTCCTCAAGAACGTCTGGAGCGGGCAGAGGATCTAAGCGACCAAAAAGCAATGAGGGAGGAAGAGTTGGGGCGGCGGGGCGGAAACGATTTCACGACCACGCCGTTGACGAAATGAGATTCTGGGGAGTCGGTTATGGAAACGTATTCCCGGAGGAACAGGTGGCAATAGAGTTGGCTTGCATCTAGCATTTCCAATTCAGGGCGTTCGGCTCGATTTCAAAACCACAAGCTCTTTCCACGTCCGCTGCGATATCGTAACGATTCATGGGCACCCGGCGAGCAAAGGCCCCTCGGACAGCCAGTCCCTCTGGGGGTTGATCGGTGGTCGAGGGGTCTGGGACTACTTTGATAGTCTCCGAGCCGCAGATTGACGGTGGCCTGCAAAAAGCCGTGGCGGTCAAGTTCCTAGCCATGGTACAGATACGGGTCACACAAATCCTCGGCGCTCGCTCAAACTGATTATGTGAATGGAACAGATTCTCGCTTAACCACTAGCTACACGTGTGCCACTACTTCTCAACAGCCAGACCTTCCTTGTACGCGCTCAGGGCCCTCTCACGAACGTTCTTGTGCTCTACAATCGGTTCGGGATATCCATTCTTCTTGGCGATGCCGCCAGCGCCCCGGCCGTAGGGCTCATGGATAGCCTTCCCCTTCACATCCTTCAGCTCTGGCAGCCACTTGCGAATGTACTCCCCATCCGGATCGAATTTCTCGCTCTGCAAGAGGGGATTGAAGATGCGGAAGTATGGCTGGGGGTCGACACCGACACTGGCACTGAAACCCCAGCCGCCATTGTTACTCGCGAAATCGCCATCAATCAGGTGCTCCATAAAGTACCGCTCGCCCATGCGCCAATCGATCAAGAGGTCTTTGGCCAGAAATGATGCCACGATCATGCGGCAGCGATTATGCATGTACCCAATGTGATTGAGCTGGCGCATCGCCGCGTCGACAATGGGGAAGCCGGTCTTGCCTTCACACCACGCTTTGAAGTGGGCCTGGTCGTACGACCATTGAATGTTGGAGTACTCCGGCTTGTACGGCTTGTTCATGCTGACTGACGTTAGTGGGTATATCCTGGGAGACAGAATCAGACCTTACCAGACGTGAGGTGCGGTGGCTAGCACATGTTTGTAGAAGTCTCTCCACGCAACCTCGCTGATCCAAGTTGCGATGCCCTCATTGCCCCCGTTCAGCTTCTTCGTCTTGTTGCGGTCCCGCGCCGTCCTAACGGCCGTCCTCGCGCTCAGAGTGCCGGCCGCCAGGTGCACCGATATATTCGACACGCCATTGCCGGCTGGGATGTTCCTCCCGGCTGCGTATCCCGAGATCTTTTCTTCGCAGAACTTGTCTAACCTCTTGAGGGCTTCATGCTCACCACAAGGCCAGAACGAGCGATACCGCTTCTTTTCCTCGTCGTCGAGTGACTTGTTCTCGGGCAGGTCTGGTATGGGACAGTCAAAGAGCTTCGCGAACTGCTTGCGAGCAACATCTGGATTCTTGCTTGGGGGATCGAATAACTCCAAAAGATCGAGGTTCTCGTGGATGTGTGCGACCCAAGCCCTGAACCAAGGCGAGTACACGGCGTACTGCTTGCCAGAGCCACTCGTGAGCTCTCCAGGAGGAACAATGCAGGTATCGTGGACCACCTCAAAAGCTTTCCCGTTCTCGGAGAGATCGCGCACCAGGTGCGTCTCGCGACGTAGCTCATCCACCTCGTACTCCATATTGGCGTATAAATGGTTGGCGCCCCATTCCTCGAGCAGCTCTAGGATCCGATCCGGGATCTTCTTGCGCTGCTCCACCGTCTCGACATGGAGCGGAATGTCGAGCTTGGCAAGATCGGCCTTGAGTACCTCGAGGGTTCTGAGCATAAAGTCAACCCTAGGGGGCGAGCGCAGATGCGCCTCGTAGTCTTGTGGGCTAACGAGGTACATGCCAATCAAGGGGACGCCAGCCTCTTTGGCCTTTTCGCTTGCGAGCGCCAGCGCTTTGTTGTCTGTATGCCTCAGGTCCATCTTGAACCAGTGAACCACGGCATTCTTCACCTTGACGCCCCTCCGCTCGTCCGCCGTCTCCTCCAGGGCAGCCTGAAGATCCTCGATAGGGCGCGGAATGTCTCCAGTGGTGTATGCGCGAGCGCGCTGGTTGCTCATCTCAGGAGGGTAGTACTTTCGGATGACGATCCCGTTTCTCTCGGCCTCGTCGGCCATTGGGTGATACTGGCGCGAGCCATTGGCCTTTGAGCTCTTGGTCTCCGTCTTGGCCTTCTTGCTGTCGATTGCATCTGGCTGTGGAGAGGATGCAGCCTTGCGCTTCGCAGGCGCTTTACGAGGAGCCATCGTGGCGTAGAAGCTGGTTGTGGTGGATTGGCGCAAAACGCAAGAAATTGGCTTGAACAAGACGCGTGCTCGCAAAGCGATCATTTTACAGCCACGTTTTGGCGTCCATTGTCGCGTTTCTTTTTAATTCCTGCCTTCAATGCCTGGCGGCTGGCCCGTGTCCAGTCGTGAGTCCATGACGTCTTCGGCGCGGCTCTAGGGGCCCTAGGCTCTAGCCTAGCCTCTAGCCAGGGAGGGAATGGTCCCAGAGGAAAAGGCGCCAAAGCTGCAACCTTACTGACAACCAAACACGTGATTTGTAGCGATAATCAAAACAAACTCTGGAGATGGTAGATTCGGTTCGCGACGACATTTTGAGATCCCCGGGCGTGTTCATTGTCTCCCCCTGCAGCTTTTTCTCTCTCTTTTAGCTGGAAGCCCAGCACAGATTTGTTCTTGTTTCGCTGCTTAAGGAGAGAATTTGGGTGTGCGACTGTGCCCGCGTTCTACGACAGGATTGGAACCCAGACTCGAATGCATTACAAGCAACGAAGATATCTCGCAATGGAGCTGGAATCGAAATCAATATTTTGAAGATTAGGACCCCAGAATAACTGTGTCGTGGCCGTCGTCTGCCCTCAAACCTCAAGTAGCCAGCCACCTATCCCTTGCGGTAGAGTCGCGCAGGACCATAAGAGCTTCTATGAGATCTGTTGTTGGGCGAGGGCTGAGGCCAAAGGCGCGCGCCCTGCAACACCACCACCACCGATGTTGCAATCAGGGGAAAACCGCAGAACACTCAATCTCGACGTCCGTGTTGTAAGGCAGAGTCTTCACAGCAACGCAGCTATGATATCTCTGGTCAGTTTCATTCCACGGTAGAGCTGAACGTTTGGCCTGGGCCAGATAGACTCACGTTCTGCAAGGCTTGACGTCGCCCCAGTATTGCATGTACACCTCATTCATGGCGGCAAAGTCGTCCATGTTGGACAGGAACACATTCACTTTGACGGCATGTTCGAGACTTGTACCGGCAGACTCCAGTATGGCAGAGAGGTTCTGTATAATGTCATGCTGTGGCATGTCAGTTGCTCAAGTTCCATCAGCCAAAACGCATCCGAAAAGCACAACGTACGGTGTGGGCCTTCACATCACCCTCCTTGATCTTCATGGTGTCCTTGTCAAGCGCCACCACACCCGAGCAGAAGACCATGCCATTCGCGACAATGGCTTGATTGTAGATGCCCGGGAGGGCCTTGGGCGCATTGGCCGTGTTGACTGCAGTTTTGTTTGCCATGGTGCTCGTGTGTCGAATCGAATGTGAGACTGATCATCCTCACGAACTTGGAGTCATGGCTGGCAGGGGTCGTTTTATGACCACGAGTCCACGACTGGTCGTAGCATCAACTGTCGGCACTTCGTGCATCTTACGTAACTATACCTATTACCAAGCAGTGTCCATCAAATATTTCCTTTTACCGTAACGGCTGGCCACGGCAAAGCATTGCAGGACTAGAAGACTTGAGTGCATGGGGCAGAGTGGTATGAGACTTGGGAAGCTAGGCGTTGCTAGCTCCGGCTCTTCTCTTCAGAAGTGCGCAATTACTGACAGAGATGGCTACTAGCCGCGTGGATAAGAGATTATCCTCCGACATCGGAGCCCAACGGCGGTTCAAACTTCACACTTCAAAGTGACACAACGAAAACATCCACCTCACCTTTGCTAAAGCCTGAGGTGCAGTTAAGCCTTGAGACTCCAATCACTTGTGCTTCTCCACTTGCTACTACAGGCGCAATTGCGGTCCTGTATCACAGATGACCCAAGCTTCTGTCCCCTCCCTCGGCTGCAGGAGGGAGTGAATGTTGATGATCCGCCCGGCCATCTTACATCGTGGGACTTCACGGGCCGCAATTCGTGTGGGGCATTTCTCCGTCAAGGTTGCAGAGTGATTGCTCATACATGTATCCTTTGCAACCTTCGACAGAAGCAGCGTCAAGTACTTGCACGCACATCACGCACACTTGGACAACTGGCTTGCCATCAACCACAGAAGCCCATCATGAGCAACCGTCAGGAACACGAAGGCGGCGCCTCGACACTTGACTTTGTCACGGTCGATGTCTTCACCACGCAAAGGTATCATGGCAACCCTCTTGCTGTTGTGCTAGTTCCTGCGGCTCTGAGCGAACGACTGCCAAAGGAAGCAAAGCAACGCATTGCGCGTGAGTTCAACCTCTCGGAGACGGTCTTTCTGTATGTGCCCGACTCTGCGTCGACCACCAGCATGTCTGTCGACGGACAGAAACCCCCCTGCCGGGCCGACATCTTCACCACGGAGACAGAGTTGCCCTTCGCAGGCCACCCGAGCATTGGCACCGCCCACCTTATCATGAACCACTTGCGCTGGGACACCAACGCCCTGCAGCTCAAGGCCGGCATCTTTCCCATCAGCCGACTCCCAGGAAGCGATGCGCAGTCGGATTCGCCCGACCCGGTCCAGATCACTGTCGCTCACGACCTGCACATCCATTCGCGGACATTGGCAGACGTCTTGCAGAGTCAGGTCGAGCATTTGGGCAGCCCCTCGCGGCAGAGAGCACACGACGCAATTGCCGCTTCGCTGAGCTCGGACGAGACCGTTCGCGAAGCGGAGTTGAAGGCGCCTGCCGTGAGCATCGTCAAGGGCATGACAGCTCTGCTGGTGAAATTGCCCAGTCTCGAACACCTGTCTCGTGTATCGACAGCTTCTCGCTTGCATTTCGACGAGGCTGTTCAAAGCCTTCTACTCGATGCGGGACCATGGGGAAGCAGCTTCTGTTACCGCTACTACTACGTCCCTATGGACGGAAGCGACAGAGAAGCGGAAAGCGATGGCAGGAATGTAGACACGGATCGCAAGTCGGTCGAGCATATAAGGGCGCGTATGGTCGAGCTAGCATCCGAGGACCCAGCTACAGGTTCTGCAGCCGTTACTCTGGGGGCTTACTTAGCCATGCAGGAACAGGCTGTCAGAGACATGACCAGGTTCGAGATCACCCAGGGGGTAGAGATGGGGAGGAAGAGCGATATTGTGGTCGAAGTCAAGTCGAAATTGGAGAACGGCCTGGCCAACATCGAGGAGATATCGCTCGGGGGCAGTGCCGTTGTTGTGATGACTGGTGCTGTCCAACTCTGAGATGGAGCCAATGGAACACTGTTTCATTTCACAGGACGTCTTAATCAAGATGAATGGTTTCATGATTCTTTTGCAAACTCGAAATACACACGTGCTGCTGCAGCCCGTTCATCGCACCAGCATTGATGTGTACGCAGCACATGTTCACGATAGTTACGTCCTCCATTGATTCTGAATCCAGAGGTCCATCTCGAAAGGCGTTTCCACAAGCGCTTTCTTGCTCCCATCCAGGGCCACCTGCTCCCTCCATGGGGCCTGGGATCCACGACATCGTCGTGCAGGGCTCCGAGAGTCTCGATTCACGCACCTTGGCATGTCATTACAGTCGAGCCAAGCAATGAATTTCCTTGACACAGACTTTTCTCCTCTTCTCATTGAGCCGATGAAATCCGTATTCAATTATTAAGCTTAAGCATTACTAATTGACGTTGCGCTCTCGGCCCTCAAGCAGCACCGAGACCGGAGGTGCATCTCCAATTCAACTGCAGCAAGTCTCCGGCACTCAACATGTATTAAGCGTCAAGTCTTTCGTGACGCTGGTACGTCGGAAAGCGCCATACCCCAACACAAAGCAGAGATCCAGTTCAAACATCAAATACCAGCAAACATGGTCGCCTACGTTGTGTGTCAAATGTCGGTCCACGACCCAACCACGTATCGAAAATACACCGACTTGACGCCTGCGGTTGTGAAACGGCATGGTGGTCGATTCCTCACACGTGGCGATCCCATCTCGACCCTCGAGGGCGAGGCGTTCAAAGATCGCATGGTCATCCTGGAGTTCCCGAGCGAAGAAGCAGTTCAAGCATGGTACAAGGACCCCGACTACGTCGCGGCCATGAAGTTCCGCCACGCAGCGTCCGTGGGCAGCATGATAGTTCAGGAGGGTCGGGGAAACACTGAGAATCCCGAGCCTAACGTCTGATTTTACAGACAGGCCGTTTGTTATGGGAACTGGAACATGAAGGCATCTTGGAACCACATTACGAGCAGACATATATGAGAGCCAAATATCAAAGGATTCCAGATATAGTGATCGCACATCTTGCCTCTGCCAGCTGCGTACCAAAGCAGAACATTGGCCATAGTTCACTGGGCTAATGTTGGGTTTGCATCTTGAACCGTATATGAGTGGACATGAACCATCCTGTCATATGTAATTACTGAGCTCCAGGACATGAATAGCACATTAGTAGAGAAGTGCATGGCAACCTGTCGTATCGCCAACGCTACTAGCAAGTACTCAACTCCACGCAGGAAACTACATGTAAGTACGCAATAAACATGAAGACAGCAGCTCGGCTAGTCCCGGCTTAGACGTTCGAGGTGGCACTTCAATGGGCCATGAATTACAAGCCCGTGAACACGAAAGTGGAAAAACACAAATCGTTGCGACCGACGCGTATCGGTCTGTTCCTTTCCACTTGCAGCCTGCAAGACGGTCCGAGATCGGTCTCGATCTATTTTGATCTGCAAGGCAACTTTGACCTCAACTGGAGCCCTAGGATTGATAAGCGACACGTCTGAGCTCGTCGCATTACGTAGGGTCTCTAGGCGGCACGAAATCAACCTCCAGAGTGGACATAAGAAGGCACTTATGAGCCCCTTGAGATATGGGCAGATGCGCATAGGAGCCTGCCGTATATTTAGCAGGGCTTCATTTACCTTCCCGCCACGCTTCAGAAATTCCTACATTCGCCCTGCGAACCCAGTTGCGAACACAATGACTTCCTCCGGCAGTGCCGCCATGACCGCTACCGCGGTTACGCAACAACAGAGCGACTTGGTCCTCGCTCAGGTTGACCTCCCTGAGTTGCAGGCCCACCAAGTCTACGTCAAGGTGGAACTGGCTGCTTTCAATCCCACCGACAGTATGTCTCTCGTCAGTATACTGCAACAACGCATCAGCTCAACTCATCATAGGACTCGCGTTCGATCTCCAAGCGTTCGGGGATGGGGCAGTACTGGGCTGTGACTTTGTTGGTACCGTGACGCATACTCATCCCAGCGTCGAAAAGCTGCAAGTCGGTGACAGAATCGCCGCTCTGGTTTGGGGAGGTGAAATCAAGGGACTTGGAGCGTACTCGTGAGTGTTGTCCGTCACTGAGCCCCCCTGACATCCGTACTGACATCTGCAGAACACACTGCATCGCTGATGAAAGGCTGTCTTTCAAAGTGCCTGCTAGCATTGGACACCACGAGGCCTGTGCCATTCCGCTCGCGATGAACACTGCCTATCTGGCTCTTTTTTCCAATACAGCGTTGAATCTTACGCGCGACACTCCTGGCTCTGGGAGACCCATCCTCGTATGGGGTGGAAGTTGTATGGCGGCCTCCATTCCAATATCTATCAATGTACTGTGATGCTGACGACTTTTACAATAGCCATTGTTGGATATTGCGCCATTCAACTAGCCAAGCTCCACGGCTACACTGTGGCAACGACGTGCAGTCCCCAAAATTTTGATTTCGTTCGGAGTGCGGGAGCGACTCACGTCTTTGACTACAGAGATCCTGAAGTCGCAGCCAAGATCCAGAGCACGCTTCCCACACTTGGCCATGTCTTTGACACGATTGGCTCAGTTGACTCTTCCTCGACTGCGGCCTCTGCCTTGAACGGAGGCAAAGGGGCTCTCTGCACAGTGAGGCCGGGCAAGACTAATACCCAGGATGTGCCAAAGAGCGTCACAGTCACAGACGTGTTTGTGTTCACAGCATTCCCAACGCCTCACACCTATCGCGGCACTGCGCATTGGCCGGTGAGTCCTGCTGCCCTGACCTAGCTTCCACCTTCTTTGGATTTGACTCTGATACCGCTCCAGGTGATGATGGAGAACCACCAACTCAGCGCCGAGCTGTACAGCGAACTTCCGAAACTGCTCTCAGAGGGTCTAATCAAGCCTCCCCGTGTCAAGACGATTGGGAAGCTCAGCCCAACCGCAGTACTGGAGGCAATGCGACTCAATCGCGCAGGGAGTGTTTCGGCCGAGAAACTGTGCTTTGAGGTCCCCGATCAATGATGGTTCGCTTCATGTTCTTTGAGCAGTGCAAAAGATGGAATGCATCTTGGACAAACAAGATTTGAAGATTGGTCGGCTGGCGCTAGTGCCATATTAGGCTAGCGCGGCAGCACACGCCTGCTCGAAGCCTGACGGACAGCAGGCAGGTCAGTCTACGAATTCTGACAATAGACGTGGTAGCGAGCTCTGAAATAATTCAGACTATGCCCAGCTCAACTCCTTGATATGATTGTATCACGCGTGGAGCTGGAGTCCCGGCGACAAAACTGGTCTTCCTGTGACCCTGCAACGTCGACGTCAACGTCAGCTGACTTTCCACGTCACGCCTGCCAGAGCCCAGACGCGGTGGCTGCCTTAACTCATCTTGACGACTCACTCCCACTATCCTCCATTGCACTTGCACAACAACCTCAAAGGACGACATTTATCGTCCGAGACATCTGTCTGACCTCGTTGCGAGACTGGTGCTCTTGCAAGTGACGCTGTGTGTCGCGAATACACACGGACGGGACCTCGCGTGTCTCGTACTAAAAGCACGCCCATAGGTCGTGGCTTTCGCACAAAGGCTCGTGCCGCATCGACAGCACCACGTGGTATCCGCAGATGCACAGCGCACCAGCATCCATTGTCAGGGATCCTCCGTCATCTGAGTTGTGAGTCCTGACACCTGGCAATCCCAGGCATCGTGGAAAGAGCAAAGGCCTGAGGCAGCGGTGAGCGTCGCACAGTGCTGGCTGGTGCGGGTCGCGACGCGAGCTGCTTTGACAACTCGATGGTCATAGCGTCCGGACCAGGAAATCTCGCGTGAGAACAGTTCATGCCAACTGCCAGAGCCGGGCCCAGCGCTCATCACCGACCATGACTGCAAGTGCAATGTGGCAACCGCTACCTCTGTCAGGTCGCTCTGACCTGCCGGTGCTACTTGCATCATTCGAGACGGGGACGACAGCGTACACTTTGCGTGTCACAGACCTGGCCAACCTGTGGATCGATAAGCTCGACAGGAAGGCCATCTGTATGAGAGCGTGGTCTGAAGAAGCGCCAATCGATCCTAGCGAAACCTCGGAGAACATGGCAAGGCTACTCGAGATTCTGAGGGCAGCAATCAGTCCTGTGCATACCGAGGACGCCAAGGCAACGTTGAGCCTCGCCGCAGACGACGAGGCCCTGATTCTCAAGGCGCACTGCCCTATACCAGGGCTGCAGCCCCTGAAATGGCCCTTCAAATTGTCCAAAGCTCCGCCTTCAGAGCTTGCCACCTCTTTTGTACTGCCTCTTATACAGGCTCAACATTCCCGCGACCGTGCGATAGAGTCTCTGGTGTCCAAGATTGCACAGAAGGATGCAGTGCTCACGAAACTGTCGGACAAGCTTGAAGCAACCGGCACAGGTCTCGAACACGTCTTTCACACCTTGTCTGGGAAGAAAAAGGTCAGCAGAGCTACTGCAGAATCCAAAGTCAAGGGTCTCGCACCGTTTGATCTTGGTGCATGGGAGAGCGAGTTGCACAAAGACGAGTCGCCCGAGAACATCCAAACGCTGGTGCAGGATGTGTTCGCACAGCACACTCGGTACACGTCGCTCAACTTGGATAGCTCTCCAAAGCTGGACAGCTGGTGGCTGGATTTGAGAGGGACTGTGCAGTTGCCGCAGCGTACAACGCCCTCTGTCCCGGAACAGAGCAGACTGAGAAGACCTGCTTTGACAGATCCGCCTGAGCCCGAGGAAAACAGTGCCGACGACGATGGGTTTCAGGTGCAGGCTACGCCTCCTCATCTTGCCACCTCGGCATCCAGGAGGATCGATCAAGGCGCGGGGGCAGTTGAAGACGACGCATCAACTGCTAGCGAAGGTGAAGATGACTCTGGTCGCGTCAGAAGGCCAAGTACGCCTGTATCAAGATCACCAAAGGCCAAAGCTATGGTGGCTGGACCGCGTCTAGGCGCAATAGGGAAAAGACCCCAGGCAAGAGCTGATCGTTCACCAAGTGGTGCTACAAAGACAACGGCAACTCTGGCTGGACAAGATACAGCGGCCTCCGACACAGCATCCGACGCTAGCGGTAAAGATGGCGAGAGCGCCAGAGCCACCTCCCCACCTTCACAACGGCCAACGCAAAGAACCCCAGTCAAGCCCCGTTTGGGACACATCGTTGGTGGTACGAAAAAGGCCACGCCTGGGCAACCTGCTACTGAAGACGAGTTGGGGCATGTCGATAAACAACCAGGCGACAGAGCTCCCTCGGGCCGACTAAAGCTTGGCATGATCGGCAAGGGTAAGGGTGCAGAAGCTACGGCAAAAGCAAACAGTACATCACCGGGTGAACGAGGCCGAACCGAAGCAAAGGAAGTCGATTCTGCCCACAGGGAAACTTCTACGGAGAGGGCTGATAGACGGCGAGAGGAACTCAAGCGAGAGCTTGAAAGAAAAGCAGCGGCTGGGCCTGTCAAGAAGAGGCGCAAATTTTAACCAGGCTCGTGTCACTTGGCAACAATTGGCCTGGGAGTCGTCTCCCAAGATCACCGATGACACAGCCCCCTTGAGAGAAGGCAGCAGCTGCTGCTGCAGGGCATATTGGATTTCATTAGTCGATGCAGTTGCAATTGGTACGCATTGATTCGGTCCGCCTTCCGTCATTGACGTGCACTCGTTCCTCACCAGGCAAACATATGAAGCCGTCAGATGCAGATTGTATGAGTGAACCCACTGAAAGGGGCGTCTTGTCTGGCGTGTGACATACAACGTATTGTTGTCTCATCTGCAAGGGTGGTAATCTCTAGGCATCGATCGACCTAGTCAAGCCTCGAGGGCATGCACCCGAGCTTGCCAAAGAAGGGCCCGCCGCCAAGAAAGATACACGTCACATGCATCAAGGTCTATGTGGTTCTGTAAACCTGTCCAGGACCTCAGGTGGCCAGGGTCAGGGCAAGGGATAGTGCAGATGCAAACTTGCGCCAGATCCCTGGTTCATTGATAGCTCTCAATGTCCCAAGAATACCAGGGCTCTCGCTACTCTCAGAGGCGTAGGCAATTGGTCGGCTCATCCCGTCTCCAGCAGACCAGCAGACTGGACTGGAGTCCGCAGACACCACCAGTGTCTGTCGTCGACAAGTCACATGCAAACCGCTACTTTGGTCCACACACAGTAGCAACGGCACTGACAATCTTGCGGAGTCTCGGCGGTATCCAGCATGTTGATCACCACAAGGAGTGTGCGGGCGTGGGAGACAACTGCCCTGTGGCCGCCGCACTTGTCGAAAACTCGCTAGTTTGGAGGTTACAGCGGCTTGGGAACGGGTATAGTCGTAGTCCACTATGGACGGCAGACCTCGGCTCGTGCCGTGGCTCTGCAAGTGTTTGAAGCTAAACTAGCAGCTAATCTTCACTTGCCAACGCAGAGATCTACCTCGGAATCAATTCCTACTCAACGAACCAGACCGGACCTTTGCCTCGCGCAAGGCTTTTGCTGGGTGTAGGAATCAAAGAGAGGGTGACTTGGACTCTTTAGATTTGAGATGGCCTATCCTGCACAGGCGAAAGTTCCCTCCGTGGACTGGCCTTTGAGCGCGGCCTTGACTGCGCACACACCGACGACGCACGACCAACGGCCAGCTGGAGCCGCAGGCTGTTGGTTGAAGGATGACCTGTTGGTCCCTTGTGGAACCAACAAGGTGTGCTGTGGATCTCTCAATCGTATGCTGCGTTGAATCCTCGTCCCTCCCTGTCCAGCGGACTTTGTTCTCCTTTGGTAATGCATATTGGCAGCTGCATGTGCGACCTGGATTGAACTGGCCACCAATGGCCAGCTTCGATCTGTCAAATGCACCGCGTGCAGCTGTCACTGTCATAATCAGCACCGAGACGGCGGCCACGGCAAGTTCACCCACAGCTCTTGGCCAACGAGCCGCTGCCATCACTGCCGGAGGGGGTTTTCACGCGGGGTGCTGGGAGGATCTTCAGGGAGGCCAATTGTCAACACGGGTGAACATTTGGCCTTTCAACGCCCGCGAGTGCGGCATCTGCGGTACTACGCCACCATCAAACACGGTACCTCATTTTCCTCGACGAGTTTGGCCGGCGTGCAGCCTACTTGGATGTGGCCAGGTTGACGGTGTCGAGTTGATCTGTCACTTTGATACTGGTGAACTTTGTCTCGGGTCCGGATGTCTGCGTCAGCCGGTTTGCATGGGATGGATAGGCCCTACGCAGATCATCAAGCTAGTGTCGGCTCCAAGCATGCATGCCACCGCCTGCGACGTGCCGAGCAACCATTGCGAAGCTGTCGCGTGGTCAACTGCGCCAGATTACCTCGCTATCCGCGACGGCTCTTTGCAACATGGCCAAGTCAATGCGGGTCTTGACTACAATTGACTATGCTGCGTCTTGCTCTGCACCGAGGTAGCCATCGCGGGACCGCGAGCCATCAAAACAGCTCGCAATAGCAGATCGACAATGACGCCCCTAGCACTCGGGATCCTACTCTAGAATTTGCACGGAAGCTGCCTTGTCGCCCCGGACTCCGGGACTCCAGAGTTGCTACCCTTATGCGTTGTTGTCGCGGAGCCGGATCATAATTTCCACCACTATCGTGGTCTTCTGTCTCTGGTGACTGCACTGACCCCTGTCGATATGATCTGGTGGTGCATCCGTCTGGCCCACTCGCGAGCTGCGTTGCCCAGTACAGCCCATACGTGGCATACGGTCGATATTAGTCTGCGTTTGGTGGTCTCACGACCTTGGCGGAGGCACGAACTGGCAGAACTACGCCCTGAACCGCCGCGAACCTGTTGCAGTGCTTGGCCTACAACCAGATGCGCGGGGGAACGAGTGCGAATTCCTTTCCTAAAACATGGACCTTTGCATGCACTTGCACATGTATATGCAGCTCGTCCAGCGGCGTGTCGTGCTGTATGGGGCATCGTAATCTGTCCCGCAAAAAGGCTTTACGCAACTATTAGTAAGGGCAGAGAGAGGAATTGTGGTTGTACGAGCCTGAACAGTGCATGCAGAGATGTAATAACAGTGACCACGGCATCTACATACCTCATAATGACCCGGGTTGCCACAGATGTTGCTCTTGACTAGACGACGTATCGAAGTTATGAATGATTCCCCAGGTCAGGTCCCGAATTCGGCCGATGTTGGAGATCATTCAAGGTGTGCATCTGCTGCTACGCTGTTTGTCTTGCTGTCGACGTGTCGCAAAAGGTCCCCCTCCCTCCTTTTTTGGTGAATCAGGGGCACTTTATAAGTCAGTGAGTGGCACCTTGCATCCCAAAACATGACTTAGAGACGGCCGTTACCACCCTGGTCCTGGTCCAGGACGGGAGATCCTTCGTCATGCAGCGCTTGGCGTCCGTCCATTCATACAATCCCTGTCATGTTGACGGACGACCCCTTTACTGGTCGGCGACCTAGCCGCATGTCCGTCCAGCAGACGAAATAGTAGTATCGAGTGAGGAAGTCTATTGCTGGCGATATCTTGTACATGGATACAAATGACACAGATCAGGTCAAAAAAAGAAGAAAGCAGTATCATCCAGAATTACCACGCTGTCCAGTGTCAAAGATAGATCCGCCTTTTATCTTGTCCTGGTTTTCCCCCCCTAAGACGCCGTTATGACCAGACCTTGTGGCGATGGTATCTATGCTTGGACAAAATGCAAGAAGAAACAAGACACCTGGGTACAATCAATCGCAAAAAAGAACCTTTATCATCCAGCGCCCGAGCACGTGTAAACGAGAATCCAACCTCCGGTAACACTAGTCACGCCCGTGCCATTGTGTACACAGCTGTGGAACGAGCAGCCTCTTTCGACCGCGGCAAGGGGCCACGTGTGTTGCCGTCGTGGTTGAAACGAGCATGATCCCGTGTGTCAGAAACCTAGCGTCCTCTCGTGGAACGACGAGCTGGGACCTGTGCGCCGTGCTTCATTCAAATCGTAGATCAGAAACGCGGCCCCTGAGGGTCCCAGTCGCAGAAGCTATGCGTCATGGTAGGGTCGAACCCGGCCGTCGTGACAGGCATCGCCACGTGCGTGTCGCCGGGGGCGTGGTAGCCCATGCGCATGTCATGATGATCGTAAGAGAATTGCTGTTCGGGAGCCAGGTGCTGTGGCGGATGGGGGCCCGTCAGGAAAAGGTTCTGAGGCTCCATCTCAAAAGGAGACTGTGTAGGCTGGTGGATGATGCCACTGCCATCGCCCATCATCATCGCATACTTGTCCGCTGTGGAGGGGCCCTCCAAATGGTGCGTCTCCATCCCGATGCCCGGGATGGGAGTTGCAGCAGGCGAGGCCTGGCTGAGGAGGGTGTTGTGGTAGTAGGGCATCTCGGCGGGCGACGAAGTGCGAGGAATGTAGCCCGACCTGGGTGCCATTCGAAGCCCTGAGCGTGGCTTGGTGACGCGATAAGCACAGTAGCCGTTGCGTGACGCTGCCACGCTACCGGGAACCGTGCCTTGACGAAAATAGTAAGACGATTGGGGGGAGGCGGCGTAGGCTCGGTCCCTGTTTCTGATGGCCTCCGATTTCTTGTTGCGGTAGCGCGTCGTGCTTTGGACGCCGCTCCGAATGGCCTCGTCCGTCAATGTCCATTCCGTCGAGCGCTTTTCGTTGCTGCTACCAGCCTCTTGCGGGGATGCTTGACCCATCTCAGGGGCCATGTTGACAGCGGCGGCGGCCGCAGCTTGTTTTCGGTCACGTTTGGTGAACCCCTGCAGCGATCACAAATCAGCATCTTGCTCCTCAATCTAGTTTTGGTCTCCGTGTGACGCCCCGGGGGAAAGTATCTTGCTCCTTGTTACCGAAAGCTTTTGCTTGGCGACTTACTGCGTTCATACTGAGGTTGTGGCGGATGCTGTTTTGCCAACCTTTCCCCTGGCGCTTGCACTTGTCTGTGTTGCTCTGGAACCATGTGTAGAGGTCCTGCAGCGACATTGAATTTCCCGGCGCGCTCTTTAAAGCTCTGTAAATCAGCTGCGCGTAGGGTTCCTCCGGCTTGGCTTGGGTCGTAGAGACGGAGGGCTCCATGGGTGGTTCTGAAGCCCGCCCTGGGTTTGGTTGTAGATCGTAACGGTCGACTAATCGACAAACTGCGTCAGCTTCTCATCCAGAGTTGTGGCAGGAATCGAGAGGTATCCTTACCCATTTGTGAATCAGGGACGGACGACAGATCACCAGTCATGGCATCAAACTCCGTGTAGATGGAGTCGTCTACCGGATCAAGGGGCTCAAGATGCCAATCTGTACCCTCACCAGGGTCCGGGTAGATATCGTATCCACTGTTGCTTCCAGCCTCAATGTCAGAGTCAGCGCTGCTGCCAGGGTAGCACTTGACTGCAGAGCTCCCGTCGGCTGACGAGGGGGAGGAAGGATTGTGCTCTCGCCAGATACTCTCTCGGGCGAGCCGGTCGTTTATCCCGTGGGTGTGGAAGCTGGTTCCAGTAGATGAGCAGGTAGCTGCTGGCGAGGCGGGTGAGAAGTTTGAGGGTTGCGTCGTCGCGCCGCTAGCGGACGTGGGTGAGTCGCCGTACCCGAACTGGTGCAAGTCGTCTCTCGCACTGGAGCTGGTACACCACATGTGATTGTTCCTGAGATAGTTGTAGTGGGAGGTAGATGCAGGGGCCAGAGGCTCTGGTTGCCGAGGGGAGTTGTGGCTAGGATGAAGCGTCTCGGAATCGAAGATGGGCATTGGCGCTGAGGTCTTCGAGCTATGAATCGGATGGAGCTGGTGTCGCTGGTGATTCTGCTCCGTGTTCTGCTCGATCTGGCTTTGACCGGGCGCCGCTGGTCTCGCCACAGTAGACGCCTGGCTCAGCGAGCCCTCGCCTTGGGATGGTATCGTTGGTGTCTGCTCAGCAGCTTCCAGTGACTGTGCCAGATAGGGCTCCACACAACGGCCAAATTCTGACGGGGAGCATGATTGCTCGCCAGTTTCGGGAAGCAGGGGGCTCGTGTAGCTCTGGGGTTGGATCCCATCCTCAGAGCAAGAGGGGCTTTCCATTTTCAAGAACATGACGGGGGCGGAGAGGTTGACTGGAGGGACAGGACTCAGAGAAGCGTTGCTTTCGACGCCCGAGAGTGTTCGTCAAGTGTATCAGAGTGGCCCACGCGTTCGTGTCTCTCGCCTCCGGGCAACGGACGAACCCGTCAGTTAGGCAACGGTAGGAGAGGATGTGTCAGTCTGGTGATGATGTTGCCTGTCGTATGTAACCTGTCGATGCCGAAACAACGTGTTATCCTGGCCATCCACTCAACGGGAAGGCTTGTAATTGTCTTGTCGCTCTCAAAAACGCGGGAGAATGACGGGTATGCTAGACTAGAGCCTTCATAGAGCGAGTCACGGCTCTGTGGGATGCGACGGAACAATGGGTATGGTCCGTATGGATGGCAGTTTCTGTGCTCCCCCAAGGTGGTCCAGGTGAGCTGACGAGAAATTTGGGTGTCGCTATTGACACAACGACGACAACAATGAGCTGAGGCAAATCCAAAAACACGAGTCTGGGGTCGTTTGTCGTTTTGTGGACTAGTCCAGGTAGATGACTGCGACTGCACCACCCACGGTCGTCAAGACTATGTAAGAATATTAGATGAATCCGGAAGCCAGCAGAGAGAATAGAGTAGCTTCTGGGGATTCTAGTCTTTGAATGTCAGATATCAGATATCAGAATGATCAAAGGAGACGTAGCAAGCGTAGTCTAAACCAGAGGACCCAGGTACCCAGGGGCCAGGGGACCAGGGGACCAGGTGTCCGCGGGTGTAGCTTGCCCCTAACAGCACGGGGTGGGTGGTCTCCCGTAAAACTTGAAGCCTCTGACCAGTGCTCGCTGGCCGTTGGCTCTGTCCGTCCATGTTGAGCCCCAGGCTTGGCTTGACGATCGGTAGATGGACAAGCGCAGCGGTCAAAGCTTTGGGGAAGCCGCACGCCCAATGGCTGCTTGGGCAGCTGTTTTGCGTTTGTGTGCGTGCGGCGTGTCTGTGTATCTTCTGTGCATACAGCTTGTGTGCGTGCGTGGAGAAGCAGGCTCTCTTGTGCACTGGGCCTCCACTGCCGCATGGGGGCTTGCTGAACCTGAGTGACGCTTGCCTATGAGTCGGAGGGCGGTCCGTGCCAGGTGAGGTGACGGGAGCTACTACAGGAGACTGGACGTCGGTGTCGTCCCAGGACTGGAAGTTAAGCTACGTGCATATATGCACGCCAGGTAGTGAATGTATGGGCCACCCTGCCCAAATGCAGCCCACCCCCCCATGTTGGGTGCTGCTCGACGCGCAAACAGTACTAGCGCTCGACTGCCAGACACAGCTGAAGTTTGTTTCTAGATGTGTCGCTGCAGACAGGCGGTCTGATTGCGTCGCCGCGACCTATCTCGGAGAGCGCACCTGGAAGGATTGGTGCGCATCTCGGTCAACGCCGAATTGGATCCGTGCTGCTTGTCAAGAGCCTAGACATCGCGTCCGCATAGGGCAGTGTCATGAGCATGCTCTCCTAGATGCTATCTCACGAAGTAGCAGGGCTACTAGCTACCAGAGCCCATGCGACCTTTCGAGTCCTGTTGTAGAGGTCGAGTCACTAAGTGCCCTGGCGCGGAGCTTCCCAGGCTTCGTTGACGGGGAGAATGAGCTTGACACCCTGTGAGTGATCGCCAGATATGGAGCTCGTCGCAGCCAGTCTCACACAGCCTGCGCGTTCAAGTCCTGGCTGGAACTGGAACAGATGGTTTCCAGTATCAAAACACTCATGTCACTTGTCAGAGACGCCATTGCCGTTTGTTGCTCAATCACGGGGCTACCCGCATGGGCCCTGATGCTCCCTGATCGGGACGTTGCATCGCGCGGCAACACAGCCTAGATGGAGCGCCCTAACATGGCAAAACTGTTGTCTCATTGTCCAACAAGGGTAGCATGAGGCTGGCCTGACCCGCTCCGTCGAGGTTGTCCTGGTCGTCACAAGCTAGGTTCAACAAGGGCCAGGTATGTTTCAATCTCCTTATTGTGGAAGTCGGGCGGATGCAGTACTTCTTATGGTAGACGCCACGTTGTTCGGAACGAGCTTGTCTGGAGCGAGCGAGACTTGGGTCAATGTCATCGCAGGCACAGCTTAGCCGCGCCTGTCCTCGGTCTGTCAAATGGGCGGCCGTTTTCACCCAAGTGGTCGATTGCAGCCATAAAGGTCGCCAGAGCTTACGAACAAGCCAGCGGACAAGCAGGATGCGTCGCAAGAATGGGCCTCGCCAGACAAGCACCGCCCCAGCTCTGGGCTTCCAGAATTCCAAGATGTTCCACAAGCCTGCGACAAGCGCCATTTCACCGCCGCAATCCCGCCGCTGGCAACGGCGCGCTGCGACAGGCTTCCGACATGATGCTGCACACAGCATCGTCTTGTCTCTGTCCACAAGTTGCCGCCAGGTGTGCGTGGCGGACGCTGGACGCTGGGCCGCGGGCACCTTCAGAGGCTGACTGACATCCACCACCGTGACGCAAGAGTACTTGAATCACGGTGACACAAATACAGTCTTGAAATCTGGTCAAGCCCACTCAGGCCTTGCAGGATCGCACGGATCCGTGGACGGTTTGAAATTCGGGGCCACAAGCATATTACGCCGCGATGCAGCAAAGAGCCTTTTGTCTTCCAAGTACCACCTCGGTTAATTGATCCGCCCTCTAACAAGTCTTCATTCACTCTGACCAGCGTCGAGGCCGTTGTTGGCACCAAGCTGCAGGCGAGGCCACACTGCGGCCATGCGACTTACACAACCTCCGTCGCAATGACCTGTTGGTCATTTCCTGTAAAATATCTGCACAGGACACGTCAGCTATCACATCAATAACCGGAGTATGTCTTAATGCGGTCCATACCTTCTTGAACTGAAAGTGTAGTTGTAAGATGCCCTGTGTGGAAGATCAGCTCCATGCACGACAAGGATTAATGGCATATGCAGAATGCACATCCGCGGATCAGCCCTGCGCCGCGGATCCGCCCAATGACAAGAAACCGTAGTATTGTCAAACTCAAAGGCACCGGGTGGAGCTGCCGTCCGGGCTGCACGACGAGTACCACTTACCTTATCAAAAGAACTCTTGAACCCTCGATCCCGCTTGGCGCTATAGTCCCATTCTCGATCCACGATACGGAATGCAATGTCCTCGTATGGCGGGCCGGCAATGAAGCGAATGAGACACGTGTCCTCCTCGCCAGCGGCCGCAAAGGATTCGCCGCGCCGTCTCCCATGTTCGCGAATGATCTTGAAGGTGGGCGCCTTGGTCTTGTCGATAAGTTCTGGGTAGAAGATGTTGAACTTGTAGCCTTGCACGACCTTGGGGGGCGGGTTGTCCTGGTCATAGTGTGTCTGGTTGTACTTGTTCCATTCGTACCCCATCTGCACACGGTTGAAATATCGAGGCTTACGCGGTCGGTACTTGTCTGCCCATTGCGGCTGCGCACCAGTCGGCACGGCCTCTTCCGCGGTGAAGACCTCCTCGCCTTCTTCCACCCCGCGTGCGACCTCCCGATCGTACAGCGCATTCGTGGTTTGCGAGAAGTCCCCGGTCTCTGACTGCGAAAAGCGAGATGTGCCGGGAGGGGCTTGCGCACGATCCTGTTTCGGCGTGGGCGCTTGAACGGCCCCCGAATCGACCTCCTTGGGATTGTTCGCGGGAGTGCTGGTCGAGCCTGACGTTCTGGGCGCGCTGGGCAGCACAGCGCCGCGCTTCTTCAACCGCTCTGCGCGGGCTTCCGTGACAGCTGCGAAGACCTTGTTCAACGTCGCCTTGGACTTCCATACGGCCAAGCTCCGCAGAAGCTGCTCCCAGTAGTCCGTGTCAATATCATCGGTGCTCTGCAGCTTCGCCTTGATCTGTCCCTCCAGTGTCTCGAGCTGTTCATAGGTTTTCGGTGCCAATATTTTGTCAATGTCATCGGCCACGCTACTGACGACCCGCTCCTCGTTCTTCTCGGGACTGAGTTTGGCCATCTGCTTATCGCACAGCGACTGTAGCGCTTGCCAGTACTCCCGATTTTTCGCGTTTGTTTCCAGTACGTGGTACGAGGCGATGTCGCTTTGGAGCTCCTTCAATTGCGCCGCTGTGAGGTCCTGCACGATCTCAGAGGGAGAAGGCAATTCAATATCCAGATCCTGGTCCTCATCGTCGAGGATATCGCGTTCAGGGTCGATGAACTTGAGACTGAAGGCGAGGTAATCGATCGGTTTGGCGCGGCCCTCGCGCACGCGAATATCAGCTTTCGTCTTGGACTGCTTCAGAACGAACTTGTCCTCGTCAGCCACGAATTTCCGTGACTGTTCGTCCTCGGTCATGTGCTGAGGTGCGCTTCCACCGCCGTTATAGCCGCCCCTGTTGCTCTTTGTTGGCCTGGCATTCTCTGTCCGTGAAGTTTTGGTAACGCGCGTACTTGGGTCAAATCGGGCTGCCGTTGCGTCGCGCTTGTTCGGCGACCGGCGGCCCTCGATCATTGCTCTTCTTGCGGGATCCATGGTCTGGATGTCGTGAATAAGGGGTTGGAAGGAAACAACGTCCCGGCCTAATGGGAAGGTATTGATTGATTGGGTGTATCCAGCGACAGGTGCGGTCGACGATGCACGTGACTGTCGCCAGCCTACCCTACAGCTTCACTATCTCCCCGGTTCTGGTCTGCGTTGATGCTATCATGCCTTTCTAGAAATAGCTGAAGGCGCTTGTTTTTTTGTTGTCTTGAAGGAAATGCAATCCTTCTCGAAAAGAAAGCCACGGCTTCCTCCGCGAGTCCACTTCGGGATGAAGTGGTCGATGGGCGGATCGAACTACAGGGCATCAAGATGAATCCAGACTTGATATAAGGTGGTTTCCCACAATTTTCAGTATTGACCATGTTCTCATTAGTATCTTATGCCCAAGGTAAATGTAGGCCTTGTCAAATCGCCCACAATATGCGTATGCTCTCGAGTCTCGATCCATTCGAATCATCCGCGCGCGTACGATGGCCCGCCTGTAACCTGCCCACATCGTTCGTCTTCCAAACCTGACAAGAAAACCGCATAAAAGTCTATAAACCAACATCCTCCCGTAAATGTATATGCGCAATGTCGACGGGAAATTTGACCCCGTGAGCGTATATGCCAAAATGAATCAACTCGCCCCCCTCTCAACGACGTCCCGCGTCTGGTTCGAAGGGCCTTGTAAAATAATGCGACAAAGAAAGCACATTCGCAATGCTCTTTACCAATCAGGAAGTGGCGTGCAAACGCTCATCCTCCACCTCCTGTACCACTCGCTCCATCGTCATTCGGCGGTCCGGATTCAGCGTTAGCATCTCCGCAACGACTCGTTCTAGCTTGTCTCTGCTGTCAAGTTTCTCTCGCGCGTCAAAGACCTCGGATAGCCAGTCCCTCATCTGGTTCGCTGCTGGTTGCCCATTGCCATACTGCCTGTGGGGAATATTAGGGTTGTTGATGCCGGCGATCTGCCAGTATAGGGGGCGAGCGTGTCGCCGACGGGCGCGGCTGTCGGGGAATGGGATCTTGCGCAGGACATACAGCATGGTCACACCGAGCGCCCACACATCTGATGCTGGGCCACGTAACTTCTGCCCGATAAACTCAGGCGGGACGTAGTACGGTGTCCCACCGCCAGAGGGCGCCGTGGCAGCCGGCGTCGACAGACCAAAGTCGCAGAGCACGGCGCCTCGGTCGGGCGAATAGAGAATGTTGGCCGGCTTGATGTCGTTGTGTACGAGGCTGCGACCATGGAGATAGCTGAGAGCCTCCCCAATATCTCGCAGGATGCGGACGGCGTCGCTCCGGGTGCCTTGGAAGTAGTCGCTCGTTTCATGGCGCCATCGAGGTACGGCTGTAAGGTCCTGTGCGTCGACATGTTCCATGTACAGTGACAAGAAACGTGCATCACCGCCATAGTATTTGACAATGGATCCATGTTGGAGGTCTTCTTGGCTCTGGCACTCCCTCATCCACATGTCGGCCTGGCGAATAACATTGCGCTCATGGACGTAGGCCTTATCACTAGGATTGGGCACACGTGTCTTGAGGACTTTGACCGTAACAATGTCGTCTGAAACGTGTGAGTGGGAGGCGGTGAATACAGCAGAGAGCGCTGTGCTGGCTATCGGGTCATGCTTGGTGAGTTGGTACTCGTCCAGCTCGCAGACTCCGGACACAGCCACCGTCTCTCCTTCCCTGGCATCTAGAAGGGCTTGACTGTTGGTCGGACCTAACTCCCTCGTCTCCCTGTTGTTGGGTAGTGGAAAAATGAGGGAATCAGCCGTTCCACCGCCGGGCCTCATGAACATGATAGCGCCGTCATCGAGTTCGTTGCCGCGATCTGACGTTCGGCGCTTAACTCGTTTCTCGTCGTCCTCTGGCGTCAGTGCGCGTTTCATGCTGGTGGTTGAGACTGTCTGGTCAGAACCGGAGATGGGTGGTGATTCTTCCGGCTGCGTTGGAAATGGCTGGTAGATGGTGACCGGTCTCTTCTCCAAGATACGAAATTCTAGGACGGCACGATGCCCGACACGAATCCTCCATGCTCCAGGATGAAGTGCTTTGGCGAGTCCAGGGTTGATTGTACGGCGACCCTCGCCGGGTGGGCTCGCTAAGGGGGTCTGTGATGCCTTCTCCAGAGTGATAGGTACATCTGACTTGTTCAACAGCACAACCTTGTCGCTGGCCGGGTCATAGTACAGTTCGCACCACAAAGGGGGCCGTAATGACTCCTCTCGGCCCTCCCCGGGAATTCTGACCGAAAATTTGATGTCCTTGGACGTTTGTGTGACAGCGAGCACCTTGTGCTCAGGCTGATCAGAGGTTGCGACTTCAGCACGCAGGGCCAGCCATTGGCAATTATCATTGCCACTGGGGCCTTCTGTACGGGTATTGTGTAGCCTTGTCAACGGACGGACAAGCAGTCGAATATTCTGCCGGTGATGGTGCTCCTCAAGCTGCAAATCGTCCAGCGACACGGCCTCATCATTGATGGGCAGTTGAGGATCGTGCATACGAATGCTTCTGATTCGAGCATCCATTTCAGATTCCGACAGCGGCTCCGTCCTTTCTTCCGAGCCCACGGACGGCTCAACTCTGTATTCGACCGTCATGTCTGAAGGGGTGACAAGCGGACACAGTATTCAACAGGGACATGTGTATCGGGGAAGTTGGTGACCGGTGGCAACAGTGAGCGAGCGGGAGTGATGGGCCACAGCTGGCCCCAGTAGGCCGTTAGAGCTCACTAGGCTCTGTGAATGATGCGATGAGGGAAGTTTTGGGTGCGTAGAGTCCGGCTCAACCTAGGGGAGAAGCGTTATATAGGGCCAGTATATGGTTCAGTTTGTGTAGATGGCGGGGGAGGGGAAGTGTTCCTCCTTGGGGTGTTCCAGGACTCAGGAGTCCAGGATAATGGTTGTTCGTACTCCAGCAGGAGCTTGAGCAGCACTAGCAGTGTGAAATGAGTGAAGAGACAGACGTCAGCCGCTGCTGGGTCGAGCAAAGGACCACTACAGATGATGACCGTCTCAGCCTCTCCGTCGAGTCATCAGGATGGAAGAGAAGGGAAGGCGCCTGCAGCTGGCAGGCAGCCGGACAGGCTGCGGGACTGCTTGCTAGGATGCATGTCAGTAGGTTACCGTCCGCGTGCTTGTCTCAGCGGCGTCAGCGCGTGTACCTTTACATCAGCTGCCACCAGCGGACGTTCATTCAAGCCACGCGAGATCCGCACGCTTTCAATTGAGTTACAGCATCTGTTGATCGTGGGATTGACTCTCGGCCATGTATAGAAGGGCATCGACAACGCCACGACGTGGAGCGGGCCGTTCTTAGCCCTGAGTTTGAACCTTGGCCTTTGAACGGCGAAACCGCCTTATCCTCGGGCCTGTGGCAGCCTTGACGTAGGGCTAAGCCTCCGCAAGCCTCGCTGTCGCTGCTGCGCCTCAACGCGCCACCAGGAAGGCATCACGTGATCGGTTTATCAACATTAGTCACGTGAAGAAAAATGAATTATGCACTCGACCTAGAGCTTCTGCTGCAGTTGCATAAAGTTGCACAATCTATTCATAAGTTAATTATTGGACACTGGCACGCTGGTGCCACTTCGAGTGCATAAGTGGGTACGCGAAATCCTCCATGATTGGACTTTAAGAGTGCGCCACCATAGCGCTTGCAGCATTGTACGAAATCCTACAGGCAGCTCCCCTCTGAAAATTCAGAGCTCTCTGTGCATCTTTGTGTCAGCCCCTCTCATTGTGCATGGTAAGCGGCTGGGGGCCAATGCATGTGAACCCGTAATAATGCAGGCTACAGCCAATGGAATGCCGACAACTGCAACATCGGAATGATCCTTGCTGCCCTTGGTTTGACTTTCCGTCCGTTGGGTATCCAGCCCACACCCCGACACCGCAACACCAGCGACTCTTGTTGTTCAGTCTCTCAACCAGCCTGCCATCTCACCCATCACTGCCTCAGTACCATCCTAGACTCACTCAAGGGCCCTCACGACTCCGTCCATATCCACTCATACACAGAAGACGACGTACATGATGGACCGTTACTACTCGAGCAAGATCTGAATGATTGCCTGTCTCTCGCTACCGAAAGATCAAGGCTTGACAGTTCTGCCTCCACTCTACCACCCCTTCACCCGTGAACCGACCTGACCGTCACCGAACCTTTGCAACATGGACGACCCAGGCCTTAGCTGGCCTGCGTGGAAGTTTGGGCTGAAGAGGGCTGACCTCTTCACCTCTCTCCACGACCAGTACAATACTTTTACCTTCACCCTCCAAGACCCCGAGGCCTTCCACGCCGATGTGTCCGAGATCTCGCACGATGCCCAGACGACCGAGGAGTTCCACCGCATGATGGCCGATCGACGACAGCAGCGCCTCCTCGAACTGAACGAGTCTTTGGAGTCTCTAGCCTACGAAATCATCGGCAACCCCAAGCTGATGGACTCGGAGCACTGGACGTTTGCCCTGCAGCTCTTCCGCACGAAGTCGTTCGACTCACTTGTACGATACTTCGCCAGCTACATACCGAGCGGACTACACGGTGCCCAGGAGGCACGCTCGAACCACTCCTCTTATTCCGAAGCATCGAGTGTCTCGTCTACCAGCACCGACGCCAGCAGTGTCGACGATACCACCCACTCCGACGACGTTTTCTGCACGGGTCCCGTCATGACCGAAGAGCCGTCTCATCTCGATTCCGCACAATACACACGACCTGGCGTTGACGCTCCTCTCTCGCCTCCCGAATCCGAAGCCACGACTTGCGCGTTCGTCGACGATGACGACGAAGCGGTCTTGTGCTGCGATTCTACATATGCACGCTCGCGGTCCATGTCGTTCTCTGGCTCAGAATCGTGCCTTCTCGATTTCAGTCGACCTATCCTCCACGATGACGATGAAGATCACGATCATACCTCGCAGTCTGGCAGTGACAACACTGCCCCAACGTCCGTATCGGACGGCGAAGAGGTTCGCTCGTCGATTGATTCTGTGGATGGTAAAGAACTCCATTACTCTCACTTTGAAGATGAAGAGGATGATGAACTTCTTACCGCACAGTTCCCCGAAGATGCCTTTGACGTCTACGACGCGGAACAATACATCTCTGAAAATACCCCCACCGAGTCCGACACCCCTACACCGAGACAGGATGGTGTGTCGACCAACTCGTATATCGACTACAAGTCGCTCCTCAGCCGCCGGCTTCCTTCGCCTCACCGACAGACGCGACGCTCACCGTCGCCGTCATCGAGAGCACACCGAGATGTGGGGTCGTCCCCACATGAGGTGCGGAGGAGCCCAGACGAGGCACACAGCAAGATCCAGAAACCGGTCCCCGATTCCATGCGGAGAAGAGTCAAGGGAAGGACATGATGGCCGGGAATATCTGTACATATGTGATCTTACTGTACTTATCACGATACTAATGATACCAAAACATGAAAGCACACGATAGCCTCACGTCGCGTAGTCCGGTCGTGCTTCTACTCAGCTGTGAGTGTTCATGATCACGCAGTACTAATCACGGCGAGCAATCATTCAACCAACTCTCAGAGCAAGAGTCACGCCAATATGACTTCTTGTTAAGACTGACGTGGCCGTTGCTATTGGTCGGCCGCTCAGTCAGGTGTCGTTGTGGGCATTTCAGCATCGGCGATGGCGCAGCACGCGCCATTCCATCGACGACTTCGCGTTTCGCTGGTACATGTTTCCGTGCGAGCGTATTTCCAGTGTTGACGATACGTGCTTGTTCGACTCAACCGGGTATGTAATTAGTCTGTTCATGTACGCTGACAGTACACAACAATTACAGCAGTGTTTTCCTCCACCACTTCTCTTCCTCATCCAGCCAGATCTTGGCACTGGTGGGCTTGTCGAGCATGTGACCGTCGTGGTCTACTTTCACAAGCGCCACGTCCTTGCCCCTCCTCTTCAGCGCCTCTTCCATGTCCGTTGCCTGGTTCATGGGCACGACCGTGTCGCATTTGCCATGCAGGATCAGGAGTGGTGCCGCGACTTGGTTGACGTGATACAACGCGCTCCGCTCAGCGTATCGCTTCTTCTTATCCGCCTCAGACATGTTGAGCTCCGAGATGGCGAGCGCGTCTGTGTAATTGTACTCCAACTTGTGCGTTCCAGCGTTGAAGCTGTCCAGGTCACAGATGCCGGAGACGTCGACAGCCCCTGCGAAGGCGTCGGGATGACGGCTTACACTTTGGAGGGTATTATAACCTCCTGCGCTGAGCCCCGTGCAGCCCACGGCACCCGCGCGGACAAGACCTGCCGAAACAAGGTGATGAGCTACCTCAGCCGTGTCGTCTGCATCGATGATGCCCCAGTTGCCCCATAGAGCTTGGCGGTATGCTCGGCCATGCCCGGTGGATCCATGGTAGTTGAGGAAGAAGACGGCATAGCCACGCGAGGTGAAGTACTGTGTCCGGAACATAAGGCCAGGTCCGTAGTGACCCGTCGGACCGCCGTGCGTGACGATGATGAGAGGCGGAAGCGCATCTGCATCGGCCACGTACTCTGGGTTCTTGGGAAGCCACAGGAACCCGTGAATGTCGCGCGCGGGCGCAGTCACGCTGGCTCGGATGCTGAGTGCTTCGGGACGTGCGATCCACTTGTCAGATATGCCGTGGTCGACAGACTTGCGGACAACCTTGCTGCTGGAGGGATCGTTGATGCTAATGATGCGCACAGTTTCTGGGCTCAGGTGGCCGCTGAAGATGCCGACGACACTCGTATCGCTCAAGCGCGTCATGCGATCGTACTGAATCTGGCTGACATCGTCCTCAGGGGCGATCGACTGCCATGAGCCTGTGTCCAGATCGATGGCGACGACCTTGCTAGTAGCGTTGAAGTACGCTGAGGCGACAAGTGTCTTGGACGAGAGAGGCGCATATGTTCTGCTGCCGGGAACCAACGCAACTCTCCAAACTCGGCTGTTTCTAGCCCCCGTAGTGTGACCTGCTGTGCGCTCTTGCAGCCAGGGGTCAGACGGAAGATTTGCCGATAGTTGGCCGTCTCCTTGCAGAAGAAGAGCGTGCCATCGGGACCCCAGTGAGGTTCGGCAACACCGTCCAGAAGCCCACCTCCAATGAGCGTCATATTGGTGACCGTGCCAGCGTCAAAGGATGCCCAATATAGCTTCGCGCCGTACCAGGGCATGTAAGGATGGTTCCACTCGATACAGGCTATCTTGGTGCCATCGTGGGAGAACTCGGCTGGGTAGTAGAAGTCTGCGCCCTGTAGGATCCTTTTGACTTCCTTCGTTTCTGTGTGGATGGCAACAATGAAATTCTTCGTTCCCTCCGGGTTGTCTATGGTGTGGTCCTCTTGAATCGCAAGAACCCAATCGGACTTGTCATTTGCGCTAAAGTCCGAGTATCTGAGGACAGGGTCGCCCGTCACGTCAGTCACCTTGCCAGTATCAGGATCCAAGATCTTGACAGTATTATCCTCGGCATTGGAGAAGATGATACGTCCATCGCGTAGGGCATCGAGAGTCCCGCCGCCATAGTTGTAGACTGTGTTACCGGCGGCGTACTCGGCAGGCAAGACCTCCTTGACCTCGCCCCTGACAACCTCGACGACGGCCATTGCGCCATTGTCGCGAGACTCGACAAAGTAGGCGCGGCCAGTCGTGCGCTTGACTTGTCAACGCGCGTTTCCTAAGGGTTCATGTCCAAGAATGCTTGCTCACCGATACGCGAGGAGAAGTGAGTTTCTTCGTCTTTGAGGTCACTAGATCTTGGGTGATTGGGGAGTTCCAATTGCCATGGTTGGCGACTGTCTTGCGGGCCATTGTCCGTCTTTGAACGGATTGTGAGGTGGTTCAATAGGTACACCGTAAACCTGAACAATTTTTGGGGTCAAGTTACACCGAGCGTGTGTTCAAAACCAAGTGGATGAGACGAGCGATGCCGTTACATGTAGAGAAGCCGAGTGAGGAGACTGAGGAGAGATTGATGGATCGAGGTGCCGCCAAAGCACATGCATGTGTTGATCAATCCTTCAAGGTGCAGGTGGCCTACGCGCTTGGAGATGCGCCTTGAAACGCAGATGCGGGCAGCAAGCTCCTCCGATCAAGATTGAATGTAATAACCTGCGAGACGACACGGGAGGCCTGCAACTCGTTCTGCCACCCTTTCATGTTTTCATGTTCATTGCCCCTGGCTGGAGGACATGTGGGAAAGAAAGATACCTCAGTCGACGTGGTCCTACAGCTGATCTACACCTGTGATCGAATCTGAGGATCGGGGTAGCGCTGGGATCAACTCTAAACATCACGTCCATCGTAAGGACAATAGGGTATGAAAGGCAGAACATGTAAGTTAGTACTTGAGGTACGGTCGTTCGCCCAGTGCGATGGTGATATCGATGGTCCGTGCTCTGTCAAGCAGGGGTCTGTCTAAGAGCACGCGACGCGTCGCTGCCCACCGCGCCGACGATGTCACCTACATTGACCATCACTCACGGCTTATCAAGCATAGTTTGCACCTTGTCCCTGAATTGCAGTATTGACCTCCGAGCAGTTGACGATGGCTCCTCCAAGGCGCCCGCCAAGGACCATTGAAGATATACTTTCCGAAGCCACTGATCGCGAGGTTCGCATGATCTTGAAGGGTCTTTGCCTCGACAATTCGAACCTACTACGCGCTGATGAACAATTCGACTGGCTGATAGCCGAAAGGCCTTTCAATCCGAAGACATGCGTGCAGTGCGATAGCACTTTCATCGAGAGGGACAATGGCCCGCGGAGCTGTCGATATCATCCGGGTAAGCAACCTTTTTGATACCCAGTTGTTAGCATGTCATGGTCTGGTGAAACGAAAGCTCATAATATTCTAGATGGCCCCATTCAAAATCATGATTCATACGTATGGGATGATATGCATTGGCTTCAACAGGAATCATACGCCACAGACCTAGAATTTGCCAGTTCTTATCCTGATGGTTATGACCACGGCTGCTGCGAGCGGCCGTACTTGCAAGGTCGGGGGTGCAAGAGGGGACGTCACCGAGCTCGAAGAAGATATACTAGCGTTCTGGCCTCGGATGAGTCCATTGATTCGGACGGAAGTATCAAGATTCTCTCGGACGACGACATTGACTCGGATGACGACAGTGGCTCTGACTCGGATGACGGCAGTGGCTCTGACTCGGAGGATGATGAGGATTCTCACGGCTTTGAAGATCCTGGGAATGAGAAGAGCGATGTCAGCAATGGAACTGATGGCAATGGCATCGAGACGACGAAGTCGGAAGGGTCCCCGAGTGCACTGAAGAGGAAAAGAGGTTCTGCAACGCCTGCTGACGAGAAAGGTGATGATGCGAACGATTGCAAGTCAGAAGATGTCGACGACAGCCTTGACGCTGCGCTACTTCGACACAAGCGCACCTGCACCAATCCCAAGTCATGTCAGGGGGAGGTTGTCCAAACATAGCTGCAATCAGTCGCTCGATCTTCCTGTCTCAACGTGAAGCCATGTATAGTCGTGGATACGGCCATCGAAGGCAAGCCGCGAGGTGCTTTCCCGTCTGAGAGACAGGAATATAGTGGTTCGACCAAATAGGCCATAGAAGGCATGCAGTATGCCTTCTTGAAAGAGATATTGCGGGCCGCGAAATCCGGGGAGATACTGAAATATCACGACGGTCCTGGACACTTGGACATGGAGCGATGACCTTCCATTCGTCACCGGTGTCGCGCGGAACACAACACGGCCCCACCACCGATGTCCCGGCCGAAAGTCTAAGCTCAGGCTTCGGCCTCTGTGGAGATTTCTGGTGTGATCGTTTACATGTACAGATCGAGGAAACAGATCCTAATCTTGCGCAGGTTCCTTGATCTCTGCTCTCTGGTGCATCTGATCTGGTTCGCGCCTACGCCAGGCGCCACAGAACAGGAACTGCTGCTCCGTGAGTTGCTTGAATCTGGATTTCAAATGCACTGCGGAGCGTCCACTCCGGAGATGTCGCGGTACAGTACGTAGCCACTAGCTGCTAGTCTAGCACCGCGTGCGGCGTACCGCGTCTGTCACGCACGTGCTGCCGTGGCTTCACTACCAATGACATCAGTGCAGGCCCAAGTCAAAGGGGTATTAGCAAAGCCCGAGCTGAGACAAGTGAAGCGCCGCGACATCACGATGGACTTCAACGATGGGTGCACAGGCAAAGGCGACGATCAGTCAAGTACTGCATTCTGATTGATGGCTGGCATGATGGTGGGCGACACAATGACAAGCCTGTTTGCACATGCGCGTTTCGATAGTTTGAATGGGGTGATGGGGGTCTGCAGGGGTTGGTTGGAAAGCCTTTTGAACCCTACAAAGCTCGATGCCTTATTGATTTGGCGGCACAAGGTCAGTGCGATCTTCCTCAGCGCGTGACGGCGCGACGAGATTTCGACTGGTTGACAGACCATCCAGACTTCAAAGTGCTGAAGGAATTGAATCGCCAACCACACAGCCGAGGGGACTGGAGCAGCTCAGCAGCATGGGGCCAAGCCGCCAGCGGTCTAATTAATAATAAATGTGGTTGGCTGTATGCGAGCCCCTCATGACGTCGAGAGGGTCTTCTTGGCGGGCGTCATGCGACAGCGCGCCGTGGTTCCATGACAAGCCACTAGCACACTCTTCGCTCTAGTTGCGAATTCACTGGCACGCACATCGACCCTGTCTTGCATGTCGTATCAATCTCATACCTCTTATTAAACTGACTCCCGTCTGAGCTGTTGTCTGGTCAATGTGGGCGCGCAGTCGGAGCTTGTCTGGCGCTGGGTTGCTGGTGGGAAACAGAGGGATACCAGAGTGTCGATCTCCAAGGCAGAGGTAGCCAGCCTACAATTGGCCTGGGTCAGCCGTCGACGTAGTTGACAGGGGAGGAACGCAACGGGATCACGCATAGACTCACTAAGTTAGACACAGCTCTTTATTAATTTCAGGAGGTTGGTTGGGGCTTCGATCACCAAAGCCTACTGCCGGCGTCATCTATTCCATCACTACGCATCAGGCTTGATGCAAGCCGGGAGGATCCTAGATCCAGGTCCCGGCGAGAACAACTGCCTGGATCGATGAGCCCGCGAATGAATGCTAGCGTCCGGGATGGTCTAGAACCAGTCATTTACCAGGTCGGTGAGGCAGAATGAAGCAGCCCGCTCCATGTCGCGCTGAATTATTCCAGTACTCGTACGAAGTAATAAGGTAGGCATTGATGACTGGATCGTGCCGGAACGGCGCAGTGACTTCATCGGGGACCGGGATCAGTCAAGCATGACGTCCCAGAAAGCCATGGCAGTGGAGGTCCGGAAGGCACCAGGCTCCACATCGCGCTGCCTGCCTTGCCCGTTGCGTCTGGCTTCCAGGCCTTGGAGACCCCTAGTCTGACACTCAGGCCGCTGAAAGGCTGGGCTTTACAGGCGCCCTCTGCTTTCTAATAAGCTGGGCAAGCAAGCAAGCACCCACGACAGGCGCCTTCCATGATATCGCTCAACTCTGGTCTTTTCCTCCGGCCTGGATCCTGCGTAGCCCTTCTCAACCTCTGGTCATCCATTTCTCCCTCATCAGCACCTGGAATCTCTTCGCTCCTCCGTTTCAAGATCGTGTCGCGCACTATTCGGCCCAGAAGCACTGATCTCTAGTGATTGCCGATACCGCGCCGTTGCACACACACGCTCACAAGCAGAAGAGCTCATTCGCAACCCGGGAGCTGACAGCCCAGGGAGAAACGTCGACTGACCCCGCAATCGTCATCGAGCAGCAGCCGGATCAGCAGCAACCTGATCTTCATTTTTCTCCTCCGGCTGACGACACTCTGTGACACGGCTGTGCTCCCTGCCCCGTCATCGTTTCCAGACTTGGTTTTCATCCCCTGCACTATCTGCTCCGGCAGCCATCAGTCCGCGACGGAATAAGGACTCGCTGTTGAAACAGACGCACGCCGGCCCCTCCGTCCACCTGGACTGAACAAGCTTTGCGACTTCAGCGTATCACAACTCCGTACAGCGGTCTTGTTCTACTCGTCCCCTTTTCTCCGCGGTTTGTCGCCCGTCTGCGACGCTCACCCAAGACATGTCCACCATACAACAACTCAAGAATTTTATCCGTCACGGCATGTATCCCCATCAGAAGCCTGTCGCTCTAGTGTTGGCTAACCCCCTATAGGGAAACAAGCGCGGAACCCAGAGGAGTCTTCGCGTAAGAGCAGCCCCCCTCAGCAGCCAAAGCCAGTTCCCGCCGAAAAAGCCATGCCTCCCAGCGAGCCCATCCTGGGCCACCCGGCAGGCCCGCCTATTCATCACGAAGCCTACTCGGAGGCGCCAGGAGATGGACGGAACCGTGTGGCCCAGGCAGGTCACGCTGCTGCTCACCAGGCTGAGCCCGCCCAGGACGTGTCGCACAAGGCACAGGCCAAGAGCAAGCGTGTCGACGAGGCCAACCTAGCCAAGCTTGTTGCTGAGGAGAATGCTAGCAAGAGCAAATTTCCGCGATACCCTGGGCTCGAGCGATACGACTTGATTGAGAAGATGGGTGACGGCGCCTTCAGCAACGTCTACCGTGCCCGCGACCTGACTGGCGAGTACCAAGAAGTTGGCATCAAGGTTGTCCGGAAGTACGAGATGAACAATATGCAAGTAAGTTTACAACAGGCTCCATTATCATTGCACCATTCCCGTCCTTTTTTGCTCTGCGTCTTCCGTCTTCCTTCAAGCGTTTGCTTCTTTTCTCAAATTACTTTACCAACGATGGGGGTCAACCCCCCTCATAGGGAAACAACCATCTTCATCCGGATTTCAAGAAAGTCCCGAAAGCAGCCGAGGTGCGAAAACTTCCTTTCGTCAAAATGGAGCCGTTTGGCCATCCCTTCCTGTTTTCGCCCGTCATGTCACTTCCCGCAACCAGGGATGGCCGCCACACTTCGCGAAGCCTAAGTACTAACTCCTAGCTAGCGTTCAAACATTCTGAAAGAAGTCCAGATCATGCGCCAACTGGACCACCCCAACATTATCAAACTTCTCGAATTCTCCGAATCCCGGCAGTACTACTACATTGTACTGGAACTGGCCCCTGGCGGCGAGCTCTTCCACCAGATCGTCCGCTTGACGTACTTTAGTGAGGAGCTATCACGACATGTGATCGTTCAGGTGGCCAAGGCGCTTGAATATCTGCATGAGGAGAAGGGTGTCGTTCACCGGTGAGCACTCCTGTTTGGATTCGTTGTTTATCTTTCAAGCTGACTGTTGCAGTGACATCAAACCCGAAAACATCTTGTTCAACCCGATCCCATTTGTTCCCTCCAAAGTTCCCAAGCCCAGGCAGCCCGGTGACGAGGACAAGGTCGACGAAGGCGAATTTATCCCTGGTCAGGGAGCTGGTGGTATTGGCCAGATCAAGATCGCCGATTTTGGTCTGTCAAAGATTGTCTGGGACAACCAGACCATGACGCCATGTGGCACTGTTGGCTACACAGCCCCTGAGATTGTCAAGGATGAGCGTTACTCCAAGTCCGTCGACATGTGGGCCCTGGGATGTGTTCTGTACACGCTTCTCTGTGGTTTCCCGCCTTTCTACGACGAGAGCATCGAGGTGTTGACGGAGAAGGTCGCCAAGGGCTCGTACACGTTCCTGTCACCATGGTGGGATGACATCTCCAAGTCTGCAAAGGACTTGATCACCCATCTTTTGACCGTCGACCCTGAGAAGCGCTACACTATCACGGAATTCCTGGATCATCCGTGGATCAAGGCCACCGCTGCTCCAGAGCCCAAGCCAGAGAAGCCACTGCGGGCGTTTGATCCCACAAGGTTTGAAGAGCCTGGCAAGCGTGCCGACTTCCGATCTCCCGGGGCTATCAACCTTCGCGAGGTCTTTGACGTCGGTTACGCTGTCCACAGGCAAGAAGAGGAGGGTCGGCGGCAGCAGGCTGGCAAGGGTGGCGCTGGCCGTTATCTCAATGCACTCGATGAAGAGGAGGAGAATGGTGGCGAGAAGATGCAGGTCGACGGCCAGGACCAAAAGACCCAAGGACTGGAACAGAGCATGCGCAAAACCAACATCCGCGACCAAGAGACGGGTCGTGGCCGTGAGCGTGAGCGTACCGCCAACGAGAAGGGGTACGGCCAGCACTCGGCAGCCGTCACTGCCGCCGCGAGACAGCAGGTCCGTGATCGCAACCGCGGCAAGGGTCCGTTTGAGCTCAACTTGGACAATGCCACACTTCTCGGTAAGCGTGGCAAGAAGATCTCGGCTTAGACATCCCACAACAGGGCTAGATGATGGTTGGCGATGGATATCATACCACTGGTGCACGGAGTCTTAGGGATCGCGTTTGGGAATTTGATGCGCAGCTTTTGGGCTTTTCAACGTGGGCGTACATGGTTTTACGCTTGAACGGTTGCCCGTCGGGGTCGATTGGTCGTGGAAAGGAGGAGCAAATGCATACTTGGCTGGGTGTTGGGGTCTCGCTCCTCTTTCTTGCAACATTGGCGGTCAGAAATGTCTTGTCGAGTTATAGCGCCGAATGAATCAACTGATTGTATATGAGACCACTAAATTCTAGGCCTTGCGTTTCTTGCTTGGAGGCTCGCTATCGCCGTCGCTATCGCCATCCTCGTCGTGCTCTTGCAGATCGTCCTCTGGTGCATGTTCATCGCCAGAAATGGAGACGACCCCTTGGTCCCTTGCATTCTGGAGAACGTAATCCGAGTACGCGCTATGCTTCCCAACCGCGCATGGTTTGCTGTCATATTGGCCGCCGCAGCAGCCCCATGAGTACCCTTCCGGATTCTCTTCCATCATATCCTCGTCTTCGCTAAGCCCTTCAAACAATAATCGTCTGTATCAGCCCAGACCTCAGAGCTGTGATCTACAGACACCACTGCGCCGGTCAGCATTCCGTCATCGCCAACCGTGGCTGTAGACCATGAAGCCCACCGGATGGATGAAACCGGCAGGCATCCTCAGGATTGTTGCTCGCGTCGAATGCTGCCTTGCACCGTACGCAGATCCACGGCTGTAGTGTGGCAGGCTGCGACTGCAGTGTAGCGTGGTGTTTCAAGGCCTTTGTGAGGATGGAACTGTCGCTGCAGAGAGCGAGGAGCGTTGCTCGGACTTGGTGGGGCGGTGCGTTCAACAGCGCAGTCAGAGATGCAGCTGGACTCCGGGTCTGAGTCATGGTATCCTTCAGTCAGTGACTGCCAGGGAGGAGAGCAATATTGAACTTTGCAAGGACGATCCCAATGTGACGCCGCGACGCGTGTGCTCAACTCAACTGTAGGCGGGTGAACTTGGCGTGTCTGAAATTGCTGCTAACCCTGTATTAATACATCCCCCTGGAGTCTGGGCAAACGTGACACGTCCCCCAGCATGAGGATGGCGACTGGGATTGAATCACGTGGTTGAATTAGTCTCGTGCTACTATGTATCGTCGATCCCATCTTCTTGCGTAAGTGTATGTATGTAATTGCCAATATGCGCGGATCCGCCGCTCATGCTGGGCCCTTAGATTTGTGAAGAAGAGGACAATAGAGTAGACTTATAATAACTACCGCGCGGAACATGACACAATGTGTGGATGCTGTGAACAATATATCCGTTACTCATAATTTTGCATATGTACGATCCAAAGCGCGAAGTGGTATGCTGAGCCAAAGAAAAATCCAGAATAACCCTGGTAAGATGGTCTTACACCAAATAACACCCTACACCTCGAGCGCCTTCTCGTTCACCACATCCTCTCGGTCGCTACCTTCGCGATGATGGAGGGCAGACTCAAGAGAGGTGTAGATGACGTCCGCCTTCTCACTTCTCTCCTCACCATCACGCGCAAACTCCCACTCGGACCGCCTGAAGCGCTCCATGACCTGGTCCGACATATTGAGGAACCTGAACTGAAGGCCCTGGCCAATGTACCTGCGCAGCTCCATCTTGAGCTCAATTATGGACAGACAGCCGGTGATATCCATAAATGACACCATGCTCATGTCCAACACCACGTGTTGCAGGGCCGCCACCTCGCCGCGGATCGGCTGGATGCCCTTCCGTTGCCGGATACGGGGGATGCGCTTCATGTCAGAGACGTTCCAGCTGCGGTCGGCCGATTTCATGTCGATGGCTGTGACTGATGGCTCGTAGTGCACCTTGACCTTTTCTACAATGGCGGCCTTGAGACGCTCCGCGTTGGGGAAGAGGAGGTCGTCCGTGTAGCGGACGTAGAAAGCCTCGGGAGGAACGTCGAGGGCATCGAGCCCCGGGCTTTGCCTGGGGACGCTGAACACATCGCCGCTCTGAACCTCAATGTTGGACAAGCTCTTGAGACCCGGGAAGGCGAGGCGAAGAAGCGTCACGACAATGTTGAAGCCGACTGCTGTGCCGAGGCCGATCTCGGTGGTGGTGAAGAGGGTCACCCAGAAGCCGAGCATGGAGGCGACGAAATCGACAAAGGACATGCGGTAGTAGCGGTAGAATAGACGAGGCGGCGACACGAGGTGAACGACGGCCATGATCTATTTGGAGTGTTAGTTCAAGGGGGGCTGTGGCGGCTGGAAAGGTTAGGGGACTCACAATGATGGCCGACAGGGTCGCCTTTGGGATCCAGTACAACGCAGGTGCAAGCTCGTAGATGGTCAAGATGACGAAGCCGGATGTGAATAGGAAGTTGACGGGGCTTTTGACACCGCACTCGGAGTTGACAGCGGTTCGAGACATGGCAGCGCCAGCTTCCATCTGTTAGCATTGTGGGGTGTTTGATTCAGGGGTAAAGGGGCAGACTCACTGGTCATGGCACCAAAGAAACTGTTGACAAAGTTCTCGATACCTAGGAAAACGAGCTCTTGACTTTTGTCAATGGTATAGCCGTTTCGCAAGCCAAAGGCCTTGCCGACACCGAGATGTTCCACGGCCATGGCGATCAGGGGCGCAAACGCACGACCGACAACCTTGGACAGAAGCTTGGTGTCGTGCATCCGGGGTCGCCAGAGGCCTTCCGTCTGTACCTTTGTCACCTTCCACTTGTAGTTGTCCTCGCCGAGACCGCGGTTGACCAGGTAGGAGATGAGTGTGTAGATGATGAGGACGACGACGGCTCGGCTCGTGCAGAAGAGCTTCAGGTACTTGTTCTTCTTGCCCCATCGCTTGCCGACATGTTCTAGAGCGACGAGGATGAATATGCAGGTGAATCCAATGGCCAGTGTCAGAGGTTTGATCTTGTCCAGATTGCTGAGGATTTCGCGGATGATGGTGGCGGTGCCGGACCCGACATCAAGACCCACGAGACTGTCGACCTGGCCGAGCAAGATGACGAGGGCAACGGCCGAGATCCAGCCGCTCAGGACAGGGGCGGAGACAAAGTCGAGGAGGAACCCGAGCTTGAGGAGACCGATAGCGATGGTGTACACGCCTACCATGAACGCGATGGCGGAGGAGATGGCGGCCGCTCCGTAGCCCTCCTTGGACAGGTCGGCAACGACATCTGCTGTCAAGAGACCGAGGATGGACGTAGGCCCGGTGGAAAGTTCTGTTATCTGATTTAGCGCTATAAAGCTTGGTCTAGGGTCGAAGTCTCACCCTTTGAGGTTCCCAAGAAGAAATACAGGGCGGACGGGATCCAGCAAGAGTATAGGCCGTGCACCGTTGGGATAGTAGCAATCTGTGCGTACGCGAGACCTTTTGCTTTTTTAGCATTCCATCTCAGAATGGGAGAGTTTAGTTGGGCCCGGGGGGAGATTTGAATGTCATGGTGTTGAGGAGGGGGTTCCTGGGACTCACCTTGTGGGATGAACATGACGCCGATCGTGATACCCGCGATTATGTCCTGTAGAAGCCATTTCGGATGGTAGTGAGGAAGCCATTGTACGACAGGGAGCTTCTCGACGAGGTAGTCGACCGTGGCGGTGGGCAGTCTATGGGTGACAGGCCCAACCCAAGACTTCCACTTGTTGAGGTTTGGATCCGTGCGGTACGACTGGGCCATCCTGCCCTTTGTCTTTGTGAACCAGTTCATGATGACTGTTTACCAAAAATTGAAAATCAAAATTGAAGATGGTCTTGCAAAGGCTAGAAGAACAGGACCTGCTCCTCTCTTAAGACGGACTGCCAAAAGCACCACTTGACTTGAGCCTCCCTCTTTCCACGCTGCAGACTACTCCAACGGACGGCGAGAGGAGGCTTTCCAGCGGATGCATCTACACCGAGGACTGGACCATGCGAGGGCTACTACTTGCAAGCATCGGCGGCTGACTTGCAGTGTGCACGCAAGATGGAAGGGTGTGCAACCACCATCGCCTTGGGAGCGTGCATGGCCCGGACGCGCTGGAAGCTCGAGAGCAAAGCATCTTTGCACTTGATTGGAGAGATCGCTGAATGATCAACTTGGTCGACCTCTTGTCACCGTAGCATTACATCCATGTACATATACAGAAGCCGATGCTGTAGGAGGGGATATCTGCGTGCCTCCCCCTCCTCCTTTTCCTCCTCCTCCAAGGAGGGGGGTGTTCGCGCCGGCCCCCTCTCATGTATGTTTAACCATCCTCCAAGAAAGCCTTGATCGATCGCTGCAACGCTGCTGAACCCTAAACCCCTCTTTGCTATACATGAGTGACCAACGCCGAATTGCGAGCTAGTCACGAAGGAGGAGCGGTCCACGCTGTGGTAAGACGGTACGGGAGTCCAGGTTTGATGCTGCCGGCATATACTACGCTATGCACATACCCTTGAGGGGAGTATGTAAATACGTGGATCTCAGTTCTTCTTGGTGTGTGCTCTGGTTACTAGTCAAGACGGCAGAGGGCTCTGTGAGTCCGTCCACACTCGCCAGGCACGGATTCCTCTGGCCATGTCAGGCTAGGAGATTCAAGTAATATCGCGGAGTGAGTAGCTCGCTTCCTGCGCAAGCTCACTAGGCGATATCATGCCATGGACTATGTTTAGGATCGTCACTGCGTCAGTGAGGAAACATATCTGACATGTACCGACATGCGGCCCCGTTGTCACGCATCCGGCCATGATGACCCGGACCTGTGCCCACACCGGTCAATGCTGCGTTGTTCAGGCCTCCTCGATGTATTTGTGAATTTCGAAGCAGCCGAGTGTTGTGGAAACCTGGTTATCACGGGACAGGTCGATCAATCATCCTCGAATTCCACCCCCAAAGACATCTTACCTTGCCGAGGGTAGGCGTCAGCATGTCGTGTGCCGCATAGCCGGGCGGCAGCTGCAACGAAAGTCCCCTCGTTCTCGAGGGGCTACGTATATCCACTGCCCATCAGCAGTACCTACTCAAGGACTGAAAGGTCCTGATTCCTGATCTATCCCGTTGTGGCTAACGTTCCGATGCCGAGCCTTCCCCGGATTTCGCAAAGAATCCATAGCGGGCTTATCCGTTCCTTGGCCTGGCCACTGAGAGGAACGAGGTGGATTATTAAGGGCTGGACACTAGACCGGGCACAAAAGTCACAAGGTCTCGTGGAAGAAATTCCTATTGGTAGGAAACCAAGCTTCTCTGGGGGTGGCGTTTCGCTAGTCTTTAAATTCCATGGCCCCTGTGCGATTCAGCAAGCCACCACGCGAGCCAGGGTCCAAAAGGCGTGGAAACTGCATATAGGAAGCTTCGAGGGCCTTTTTGTGGCTTTGGCCCCAGCGCCAGACCCATTGCTGTGGGCGGTGATAGCAAGTATCATTCTTGTCTAGAATGCTCAGACGCTCGGTACTCGGTACTTACTACTTGACATGTACGTTGGTCATCAACCCGGCCCGTCGAGGCCGAGACGCAATGTCTTGTTTCAATGCATGCCCTCATGTTTGCAGGAGAAATATCGCATGCATCTCGGAGTCTCGTATCTTTAACAAGTGACGACAGTGCGTACTCGCTGCCTATTATACGAGGTGTTTCTCAACGACCACCTGGTCAAAGGGGACATTGAAACATACCTGACCCATCGAAATCCTTCGGTCTATCTGACATACATGCCGAACCTCCACCGCCAATGTCAAGTGTTTCGCTGGAATCAAATCAGGGGGCTGGATTGGTGCATGTGCCGGCATGGGCCTATGCATCTATTCTACATGCAGGATCAGCTCCGCATGAGCATCCCTTGACAGCATGACATGGTAAGCCAAAAGCGACCGGGTTTCAGTGAACACGCATTCGGGCCTCGCAAGTGCATACAGAGATAGCGTAAAGTCTGTGCTTCTTTGAGTTGGCCAAGTGCAAGCATACTCATGGGGTTTCCGCCTCACAATGTCCGGTTTCAGTACTACTCAAGGGCGCCGCGCATGTAAGTCGTCCTGCTACTGTCTACATAGTAGTTGTTGTGCGAGTTCAGCACGATATATGTATTGCAATTGCGAGGAACCAATACTTGGCACTTGTGATTTTGCATATACCGCAACTTTCTGACCTAAAAGGCGTACCCAGAGTGGAATGTAGGTAATGGCCAACTTCGGATTTTGAAGAGAAATGATCGACAATGACTGTTTTGTTGGGTTTTGTTAATGTCCTTAGCGACAGGTCCTGATTTCTTCCAGTCGATATTTTGTTAAAAGTAGCGTCTTACTGTCCGAGGACGCTTAAAAGTTCTTCCTCCACGCATCTTGGTTGTGTGGATCTCAGGTCTAGGCTTTCGCATTTTCAACTTCAGCATCACTAGTATGGAACATTAACAAAAATTGGCACTAGTGGTCTTCGCTATAGCCTTGATTCGCTATGGAACAAGGCAACGCGTGTGCCGGGCAAGAAGCGGGGAGACATACCGCAAGGGTCGACTTGAGCTAAAGCGTCCCATTCCATATTCTCGACAAATACCCAAGTTGCTTCCGGAGCAATTTGGGGCAGATATATTTCTCGTTCGACGCCAATTTAAGAACGGTATCCTACGTACAATGTATGCAGTTTGCTTCGACGACGATTCCTGCAGGGCCTTATGTACCTGGTGACATGACTGTGATCGCGTCCATAGCACGAGGTGCTAACAGCGGCTGACATCCTTTGATTTAGCGTGCTGATTGATATGTCTGCATTCCTGGTTTCGAGGGGCACACAGAAGAGGGCACAGAAAGCCCAGGCGCTCACGCTAGCAGTGGAGGCGATCATCTTGCACACGTAGCGCTGGGGCGAGCGGGGTTGGTTTGCCCAGCTAACTTGGATTGTCAAGGTGTTCACATTCGGCCGCTCTAAAGATCGCCGACATGAATAAATGCATCATCGACCGGCTCCCCGAAGTGGAAGCTCACCTCGGTCCGTCTATCCCTTGCTACTACTCTGGTATGACTGTGTTAATTCTCTACTCATAAGTCATGTAAGAGGGTAATCTAGTGCTTGTGCCTACAACTTCTGTCCAAAAGTACGTACGTACGCCCGCTCAGTGGACGTTAGGTACATGCAGAGTGCATGTACATGAAGGCCGAGTGGAGAGCGAGGAGGCCCCACTTGGACGGAAGCTAACCCCGCAACCGCGGCGGTCTAAAAGTGGAGACACATCGGAGCTCGGCACACCCACTGCGGAGTTGTGCACCACCAGTCCACCACCACCTCCATCATCGTTTTGCCTCCAGATTAAGCTTGATGTGCATCGATTCGGACGGGAGGGGGATTCGGCAAATTCTGTATCTTTGTAAACACCGATCTTTCGCCGCGATGGGTGGGTGGTATTGCGTCTCGAAGAGTCGAAACCACGTTTTGCTGCAACAGGGCTGCCAAAGGCATCGTGACGCGGCAGACAGAAAGACAAACAGACAGGGGGCGTGGAAGCCTGCTGCGTGCGTGCGTACGTACGCACAGGCCGCTGGTGTACCTTCAAGGGTAGGCCCAGGGATTGACGTGTCCGCGCATAATCTCGGTGGACTATATTCAATCCATGTAATCATGTTAGCCTCCAAAAGGACCTGCTTGTTCTGCGTGCGTCTCTGAGGTGACGAGAGGTGACCACACGGGGGGGCTCACTTTCTCTCACCGTTCTTCTTGGGCGTCGCAATGAATTCCAAGCGTGTGCTCCCTCCTTGTATCGGTGCTGTCTGCTTCGTATGGGCAACGACACAAGACCATGACGACTTGAGTGAATATAGTTGCATTGAACACAATGGCATGCTTGCATTACAAGTTTTGCTCGCCTTAGATATAGGTTTTCCCCAGCAATGAAACAGAACCCATAGGCCACTCATCTATCATGGTGAATGAACTCTTGTGGCTCAAGGCTGGGTGACCTCGTCCTTCTGGTTGTCCTTGATCTGGTTCCAAAAGACATCGCCATTCTCCCTGTCGTCGGCAAACATGGTGTCGAGGACCATGCGCTCCGGCGTCGACAGCAGCCACTGCTCGAGGGAAAAGTCCCTAAAGGCATCCGCGCGGAAGACCTCGAGCATCTCAATGTCCTCGTCGCCAATGTTCTCGACGTAGTGGCCGTGGTTGCGAGGCACGATGCCAATGTCGCCGGCGACGTAGTTGAAGGTGCGCGCCTCGCCCTGGGCGGCGAAGATGGTGACACGCGCGCGGCCCTTGATGAAGAAGCTCCACTCGTCGGCGTTGGGGTGCCAGTGCATCTCGCGGATGGCGCCGGGCTTGATGGTGACGTGGGCCGAGGCGACCGTCTTGGAGAGGGGGAAGTTGGTGCTGTCCGCGATGCGCACCTCGCCGCCCGAGACGACCTTGGGCGGCTGGTCGAGCAGCCGGTAGGTAAAGTTGTCCTTGGACTTCTTGACGTACTTGCCCGTCGGCTTCTCCTTGTCGATGGCGCCCGGCTGCGAGCCCTGGAAGATGTACTTCTCTTTGGCCGGCAGGTGCTCGAACACTTGCGGGTCGAGGTGGAAGTTCTTGGCAATGGCGCTCTTGGGCGTGTGCGCCAGCCAGTCGGTCAGCACAAAGGTGCTCTCCTCGCTGAACTTGCCGCCGCCAATCTCGCCGGGCGACTCGAAGACGAGCAGGAACTCGGTGCCGTTCTCGCCCAGGCCCTGTAGCGAGTGGGGGACGCCGCTGGGGAAGAACCACAGGTCGCCCTCCTTGAGGTCGTCGACAAAGGAGCCGCCCTCGTAGTCGAGAGCGGTGATGCGCACCTCGCCCGCTAGGACGTACGCCCACTCGGCCTCCTTGTGCCAGTGCAGCTCGCGGATGGCGCCCGAGTCGAGGCGCATGTTGACGCTGGCGAGCTCTGTGCTCGTCGACAGCTCGCGCATCGTCGTCTGGCGGGTCCAGCCGCCCTCCTCGATGCGGATGTGGGAGTCGGCAAAGCTCCAGCGCATGTTGGCCACGTTGCCGTGGTCGGTGCTGGGGGGCCGCACGAGGTCGGGGTTCTCGCGGCTGCGCTCCCAGTTCCACGGTCCCAGCACGCTCGCGCCCTTGCCGTTGCGCCAGGGCAGCGGGTCGAGGTCGTCGCCAATGGGGTCAATGGCGCTGTCATAGGGATCGCGGTGCTCGGGCGTGTAGGGCTTGCCCTTGCCCGGGGTCGCCTTGGACTGGAGCCACTTGTCTGGCAGCTCGAGGCCGTTGAGGAGGCGCTGCTGGGGGCTGTCAAAGTGAGGCAGCGCAGAGGCTACGCCGGCGAGCAGGACGGGGCGTGTGAACTTCATGCTGGCGGCAATTGAAGTGAGTTGGCTGTTACATGTAGTAGTTGGGAGCTCAATTGGGGAGGAGGAGGGCAGGAGGAGCTGGGCGACGCGGCTTATAAAGGCAGCACACGATGAGAGGAGACTGGAGCTGACCAAGAGCTGCCGTCATAATTAGCTATACAAGTCGGCATGGCTGCGCGCTCATCGAATTGGTGACAGAGAGCTGGCTGGTCCTGGACTAGCCCGTCATCGGCAGACTCCAAGTCGTCTGGCGCTGGGACAGGGCCACAGGGACTTGAACAGAGCCAATCGTCCGAAAGAATGGAGCGAAGAAGCCGAGAGCGGGAAGCGTCGCGTCCCCTCACCAGCTCTCGGGGTAGCACAACTGCGAACGATCAGCGGGTGGGGTGAGAGCTGAGTATGTGAGGAGGAGGACATGGAGTCTACGCAGGAGTACGTAGGACATTGACGCTGTGGACACCGAACCATATCCGATGGAGCCCCGACGGGAATTACGCGTACAGCAACGGCTGGCGGCGCTAAGCTGGCTGAAGTTCGGGGTTGGACTGGACATGGGCTGGACTGGAGCCTGGAAGCCCTGGACGGGGTGGCTTATAGCGCTGAGACCCCGGCGGCATAGTGGAACATGAAACTTCGCACGCCAGTCCAGCCCCCTGGCCGGTGTAGTTACAGTGATGACTGGAGGGGTTAGGTGTACTGACGACTGCTGACTGCAGCGCCCAGAGCCCCAGACTGGACCCGTTCATGGGCTGCCCGATCGCCTGCACTCGCGCATTTTCAGAGACATGGACTGGAAACCGTGATGTGTTCCCGGCCATTGACTTTCGCTCTTTGACGCGGATCTCGGTCCATCCTGTTGGGAGTGTCCATGAACTTAGCTGCAGAGGATCGTCGAGCCATTGAGTCGCGTGGGCTCTTCATGAGTACAAAGTATATACTACTTGTACAGCGACGTCGGCCGTCTACAGTTGGTGTAGGCCAATTATTCGCCCGCCCATCGTCCCCACCAGCGTTCAGTCTCGTTCGACAATTTGATCGCACACGGGCTCATCCTTGACTTCCAACTCACTCCGTCCCTTTCACAACCTCGCGTCCCTGCCTCTCTGCTACTCGGAAGTGTCATCATGAGCTCTCGCGTCAACGGCGACGAGCAGCAGCCCTTACTCGGTGGCAATGGCACCAAGGCACCCTCCACCTCCCTCGTCGCGCGATGTCGCAAGGTCCTCAATGCCGAGATCAACCGCTCCTGGGCTGACCTCGTGCTGCTCCTCTGCTACGTGGTGACGGGGCTGCTCGACAGCGCTTCCACTCTCGTTTGGGGCGCCTTTGTCTCCATGCAAACTGGTGCGATGAATCCACAGTCCTCGCTCAAGGACAAGACAGTGCTGACCACGTAATTATAGGAAACACCGTCTACGTGGGCCTGGGTCTGGCCTCCCTCGCCTACCCGCCAGTGACAACACGTCTCTTCCGCTCGGGCATCTCCCTGCTCTCCTTCTGCGTGGGCTCCTTCTTCTTCGCACGCTTCCACCGCTACTTTTCCCCCAAGCGTCGCTGGGTCCTCTGCGCGTCCTTCCTGGCGCAGACACTCCTCACCGTGGCCGCCGCCTGTATCGTCACCTTCACGGATGCCCCCGAGAGCCCAGACACGACCTCCTGGAACATCCTCCTGCCCCTGGCGCTGGTGGCGTTCCAGAGCTGTGGGCAGGCGGTCACCAGCCGTGCGCTCAAGTACAACGCCCTCACCAGTGTCGTGCTGACCAGCATCTACTGTGATCTGTTCTCGGACCAGGACCTGTTTGCCATGAACAACGTCGAGAGGAACCGGAGGGCGGCAGCGCCGCTGCTGCTGTTGGCCGGCGCCGTCGCCGGTGGTCTCTTTGCGCATAGTGCTGTAGGCATTGAGGGTGCCCTCTGGCTGGCTGCCATTATCAAATTCACCATGGCCGTGACCTGGTTCTTCTGGCCGGTTGAGGCTGATGAGTAGGAGCATTGGCTCACAGCAACATAGATAGATACAGGGTAGTCCGCTGCCCATCACACCTGGCTGGCTTTGGCGCCTCGCTGGATGATGCACCGATTCTGCTGGCAAAGTGAACTATCAAGGTTCAATCTACATACCAAGGCTAGAGTGTCTCATGTGCATTAAAGGATATTGAGGCAGTTCGAAGATATGATTCAAAGTTGTGCCCCGAGTTTGTCCGTCCAAGTGAGTCCAGTCCGTTGCGCCTCGCGGGACTGACCCGCCATAACCGGGAGCACGCGATGTGATTGGCCAGAATTGACCTGCGACTACCCAAATAGGCACAAACGCTATTGCTTTACCTTCGAGGCTAATGACCATCCCCTGACCACATTTACTACCATTGACAGAAAGTTCGAGCACGTTCAGCGATGAGCGGGAGAAATACATTTTTTCCAGAGACCGCGATTCATTTCTAGATCATTGTACGGACTAAATTGCCATGGCAGGATATCGCTCCTGTCTTCGGCTGTTCTTGAACCTCGCCGGTGTACTTCAAACTTGCCTCCAAGCTTCCATGTCTTCTGGATGGGAGCTGTCAGTGTATGCTGGGTGTAGAGAGAGAGAGGAACTGGGCATTGGACAAAACTAGATTGGATAGACAATAAGAATGGGATCGGAAAATAAGGTGGTACTCAAAAAAAAATTGACTTTACTATAAGTATAATGCCATGATGATGGCGTTCATTGATAGATTATAGAACTGACGACCTGTAACTGACGAATGGTAGATATAAGAAATGTGCAGCAGGCACCCAAAGAATACATACCAAATGACCCGCAACAGACTTACCAATGAGCTCTTACCTTTACATAAGCACAGCTTCAATGAAACCCCAGAGTACCTTCGCACGACCAGCGCGACGAGGTCTCGGAGTCGTTGCAGTTGAGGGTGAAGTCTTCTTCCAGAGCAAAACCCTCATCGGGATCAACCTCCGCAGCCAGGCCAGCATCGGCAAAAAGGCCTACTGTGTCAGGGTAAGCCGTCGTAAAGGGCACCCAGAACTCAAGGGTCATGACTGAGCCCACAAGCGGATAGCTCAGTCGCTCTCCACGCTCAATCATGGCGCACAGCACCCAGCGCAAGTCGTTGGCGTGGGTGTCCTGGCGGTGGTGGTTGATCGTGGCAATGGTGAGCTCGCGCACGTACGCTGTGGCGATCAGATTCGCAATCGTCGCAAGCGACAGTACCTTGGCCTGGTCAGCGCCCATGTGAGTGATTGCCAGTGCTTCAAACCCACATTCAATGTAGCCAATCTCCACCACGCGCATCTTGCCGTCGGAAGACATGACGCTGAAGAGGTTGGGGGCGTGTCCGGATCGCAGGCCCTGGGCGATGGCCCAGCCTCGGACCACGTCTTTGGCATGTCCAGGACAGGCGAGGACGATCCTGCTTGGCTTTGCGCCAGGCAGGCCGTGGCACACCATGGCAGCAAGCCCAACAACGGCGTAGGGAATATGAGAGAACACTCTGGCAATTGTACCGACCAGCTCCACCACCACCTGTAGCTCCATCGGTGAATGGTCCTCCAAAACATGGCGGCTTCTTCTTAGAGGTGCAACGACAGCCTTGGTGGTCTGCCGGCGAGCTTTGACTGGTGCACCGACGGGTCGACGGGGGATGGATCGTTGGGGTACAGTTCCACGAGGTACAGCCGCGCATTTTGTGCCGGAAGGAGGTCCCTTGGATGGAGCGTGTTCTTGAATCGCCTTATTCGTGTGCTGAGCCCAATCATGAGCGTTGTGGGGGACGGCAACGTCGACAACAGGGCGTGGCTTTCGGGCACGACCTCGACGGTTCTCCCGAGAGTCGATGCCACACAGGAATGCGACAGGCCATCGAGCGGCTGCGCGCAGTAGTGCATGGAACGATATCTTACCCATCCTCGAAAAACAAGGCGAGGATTGGACGGGAGCGGGTGGGAATGTGTGTTTAAGGTTGCAAGCAGACTGAGATGGTGAGCGAGCTTGAAGTTGGTAGCTGGTAGTTTATCGTGATGAAGAAAGTGAATGCATGTTGTCGGAGTGAAGACATGTTAGGCTTTCAAACTTCGCAGCCTATCTTGTTCGCGGAAGGCTGTGAACATGAGCGATATCGTGGTTGTTCTTATAGAAACCAAGCATCACGAAGACAAACTGCGTTCTCTGTTAGTGAACAGTACCAAGCACGTGTGAGGCCAGCGGATGACATGGCGGAACAGGCAAGGACACGAGAAGACGCTGATTCTTGAACCCAAATGTATGATCGCGCACGCCGGGCCTATGTGTCGTCTACATCCTGACGAAAGCTGTTCCCCAACGCCGGTTAGTCCTACATTCCCAGGCCAGCCCATGCTCTAGTTCGCCCGAGTTCATAAGTCCTCCTCCACATCCATCTCCTCCACGACGCCGTTGTTCATGCCCGTTCGACCGTCTTTCTTGGGCACAGCGGCCTCCTTGTCGATCATTTGCCGCGACACCGCAACGATGTTGTCCTCGATGAGCTCGCGCCCAACGTCCTCGAGATGCTTCTTGGGGTCCAGCTTGCCGACGTAGCGCGTCTTAAGCTGCTCCTTCGTTAACTCCGTTTCCTCCTTGACTCGCTTCTCGTAGCCATCGGCCAAGTCCACCAGCTGCTTCAGTCGGTCCTTGTTCTTGGTGCCTTCCGCCTTGAAGTCGTTCATCTCAAGAGCCTCGGTCCAGACATGCTTGTGCAAGTTCATCAACATATTCTCCTCCAGGCCTGTTTTGCGGTATTGGATGCCAATCGAGTAGTAGTGCCGGTTGAGTCCATGGATCAGAGCTTGGATCGATGGCTTGTTCAGGTGCCCGAGATTGCTCGTGCTCTGACGGGGCTCCTGTCCCATCATCAAGAGTTGTGGGTTGATCAAGCGGAATGCGTCGATGACGACCTTGCCTTTGACCGACTGAATGGGGTCCACGACCACAGCGACAGCTCGGGGGTTGAGCTGCTCGAATGACTGTTGTGTGTTGATATCGACCGACGAAAGCCAGCATCCGAAACCAGGATGCGAGTGATACCAGCCTACCACAGACTCAGGCCTATGCGTGTCAGTCAGTCCAGCTCAGCAGCCATCATAATGCCAAGTTATCCTTACCGGCCTGTTTGCCTCAACATGTCCATCATCTTTGTCTGGAACACCGGGTCGACAGCCTCTACACTGACACCGGTACCACTCTGCGGCATCGCGAAAACATCCATGACCTTGACCGTGAAGTCGTCCACAAATTCGCCCAGCATCAGGCCCATGACTTCCATGGGCACACCAGCTCGGCCGTGTCGAAGCATCTTGAGAAGAGCTAGAGAGGAAATGTAGACTGTCTCGGAGTTATCGATGAGGCTCGAATTGTCCTTTGTCGGGCGTTAGCTATCGCAAATCTTGGACGTGAGAGATCGCAGCTTGAAGGGAGCTCACCTGGCCAGGCGCAGGGCCGCCACCGAGACCGCCGCCTCCAAGAAGATGCCTAAAGCGCTCCATGATGTCTTTTTCTCTGTTTGTGGTGTGGCTGGTTGACAGGAGCTGTCTGGCGGAGGAGATTGGTTGAGGTCGTCAAGTAATTGCGTAGAAGGTGGTGGTGGAGCTTGGAAGTGCGATGATCAGCTTAGGCCGATGCCGTTGACGCCAGTGCCTGCAGCCTTGAGTGTTCTTGGAGCTGCTAGTGGGTTGCTGAGTAAGTTTACACCAGTGTGGCGGTCGTTGCTGGCTGCCGCTGCAGAGGCCAATCAGAGAGACTGCTTAGCCACATGGGCACGAGGCTACGCAGCCTTGCTCCCCATAATTAGGTAATCTGCGCCAGCTGGTGTAAGAGAGCGCGCCGCCGATCTCAGTCAACCCTTTCTGTCCACCTTCCCACCCGACGTCTACGAGCACCCTTTGCGTGCATTATGCTCGAACCGCAACCAGATTGCCATCGATAGAACCGCGACAAGCATTCATCAGCTTTTTGACACTCGGACCAACATGGGCGACGACGAAGCCATGACGACCCAGCTGGGTTCAAAGGCTCTGAACAACGACTCGTCTCCAAAGAAGGTCGCCTACTTTTACGATTCGGACATTGGCAACTATGCCTACGTCACGGGCCATCCCATGAAGCCGCACAGAATCCGTCTCGCGCACAGCCTAATTATGCAGTATGACTTGTATCAGAAGATGGAAATTTACGTGAGTGCCGCCCTTGAAGGTGTATGCGTACAGCTGCTGATGGCGCACAGCGCGCGAAGCCTGCCACGCGCGGAGAGATGACACAGTTTCACACGGACGACTACATTGACTTTTTGCAAAAAGTCACGCCCGACAATATGGATAGCTACATGCGGGAGCAAGGAAAATACAATGTTGGCGACGACTGCCCGGTGTTTGATGGCCTTTTCGAGTTCTGCGGTATCAGCGCTGGTGGCAGCATGGAGGGAGCAGCGCGGTTGAACCGCCAGAAATGCGACATTGCGGTCAATTGGGCGGGTGGCCTTCACCATGCGAAGAAGTCAGAGGCAAGTGGCTTCTGCTACGTCAACGGTAAGTGCTGATCCGCCTGCTGCGAGGGGTTTGCTAACGATCGGTAGACATTGTCCTCGGCATTCTCGAGCTCTTGCGATTCAAGAAGCGCGTTTTGTACATTGACATTGACGTGCATCACGGCGACGGCGTGGAGGAAGCTTTCTATACGACCGATCGCGTGATGACGGTCTCCTTCCACAAATACGGCGAATACTTCCCGGGAACGGGCGAGCTCCGTGATATCGGAATCGGACAAGGCAAAAACTACTCGGTCAACTACCCACTACGCGACGGCATCACGGACGAATCGTACAAATCTATCTTCGAGCCTGTGATCGATGCGGTCATGAACTATTATCAGCCCGAAGCTGTTGTCCTTCAGTGTGGTGGAGACAGTCTCTCGGGAGATCGGCTGGGCTGCTTCAATCTGAGCATGGACGGCCACGCTAACTGTGTGAGCTTCGTCAAAAGCTACAATCTACCAACTCTGGTGCTCGGCGGCGGTGGCTACACCATGCGCAACGTTGCCCGTACCTGGGCTTTTGAGACTGGCGTACTTGTTGGCGCCAACATGCAACGAACATTACCGTACAATGAGTATTACGAGGTGAGCGCTCCAGATCAGGGCCTGGTTTGAGCCGAAGCTGACGATGATGCACAGTATTACGCTCCTGATTTTGAGCTAAACGTCCGATCCTCCAATATGGAGAACTCGAACAGTCGCGAATACCTTGAAAAAATAACAGCACAAGTTATCGACAATCTGCGCCAGACTGGACCTGCTCCGTCCGTGCAGTTGCAAGACGTCCCACGGAAACCGTTTGGTGGCATGACCGACGAAGAGGAAGCAGAGCTGGACGATTTGGACGAGGACGAGAACAAGGACGTCCGCATGTCAGAAAGACAGTGGGACAAGCATATCGAGAATGGCGCGGAGTTCGAGGCGAGCGACGATGACGAGCACGCCAGGGCCAATGGCGCTACGCGATCCACTGAGAAGAAGCGACCGTTTGACGATCACCGCGAAGCAAACGGAGACGGTGTGAACGGCAAGCGGTCGAGGAGTGCCAATCAGGATGATGAGCGAGCTGAGCAGCCGCCTGCAGACGAGGTCAACGAGCCCAACGACCCCAACGATGATACCATCGACGATGTGGCCATGCCAGAATGCCCAGTCGAGGAGCCTGAGACAGAACCAGCGCAAAAGTCAGAGGAGCCTCGAGAGAACGCAAACGACACCAAAGAGGCCACGCAAGTCGACCAAGATGGTGACGTTGGCATGGACGACGGGGCGCCTGCAGAGGAAGCCGTCATCAAGACAGAGGAAGGCGAGGCTGAGGCAGCCGCCGCGGCAACCGCAGACTCCGCTACCTCGGCCGATGGCAAGCCAGAAGAAGCAGCTAAAGTCACATCCGAAGCCAGGGAGGAGCCAGAAGCAGAGGCTAGCAAACCTGCAGAAAAGCCCGCGGAGACGGAGGAGGCAGCGGACTCTGCTAGTAAGGACGCGATTGAGTCCAGTGCTATGGATGTCGACCCGGAACAACCGAAGACGGACGAGGACAAGGACAAGGGCGATCATCAGGAGCCCGCCAAGGAAACAAAGGAGCCTGAAGATACAACGGCCGCCAGCTGAGACATGTTAGAATTGGCATACAGCGTCCCGTCACTGCTTTGGTTTCTGGTTTTCGGTTTTACTTTCTCTCAATGTTATATACTCCAGGGCTTGGGGTTCTTGCATGGCTTGAACATTACGATGGGTATGGGAGTTTGCGGCGCAAAAGGGAGGGGCACGCGAAGCCAGTAGGGAACGGTTGAGCTAGGCATCTTGCAGTCAATTATTAATCGTACTATGGAGTCTCAGGAATTGTACACCTATCGCGGATGGTAAACTTGGCGTGCATTCCTACGGTGACAGCAAGCAGATGCAGAGGTGAATAGCCACGTATGATTTAATGGCATATATCACTAAGTACCAAGTGCACAAAAGCACAGGCTTATTTACGGCCTCGTGCAGCTTTCAGACCTAATAGTGCTTGCAGCCTAATAGCTATTCTCGATATTGGACCCATCCCAACAGGGATATTGATCAAGAAGACACATTATAACGCTAGCGACTTTGTCGAGAGAGACACATGGACTTCTTGTGAGCGTCTAAGTTAGAGCTGTCGTCCCCCACCCTCCTTTAGCTTGGACCCACGCTGTCCTGCAAGGCTGCCAATCTATGCGGGGCACCCGCCGCGGCATTGCCCAAAACTTCAACTTTTTATCACCGGAATTCCTGACGCGACTCAAACTCGGCGCCGCCCTTCCCCAAAGGCCCAACGCATATTTAATATCCAGCGCCTTTCTTGCTCCGTGTACTTGGGCCTCGGTAGAGGCGACAGCCCTTGTCTCGGACGACACCACGCCGATCTCGATTCCCCTCCCTGACTCATCTCCAACGACACACACGATGCCTCCCGCGGTAAAGGAGGAGGGCAAAGCTGCCAAGCTTGCCCTCATGAAGCAGATGCTCTACGACAAAGTCCGCGAGACCGGGCGCGAGGACGACCTCTTCACACAGGAAGACCTGCTCGCCCTCGATGTGATTCCCAATCGCGACATGGTCTTGCTGGCCGAGACGGTGCAGGCTCTCAGCGATGACAAACTCTTCGTGACGATGCGCGAAGCGGGAGGGTCCTTCTCGTGGAAATGGCGCGACGCGCAGGAGGCGCACAAGTGAGTGGGCGGGAGCGTTCATGTGGGCGATTGGCAGAGGATTGACATCGAATCGCAGATACAAGCAGTGCACGACGGAAGAGCAGAGCATGGTCTACTCGTTGATTGATGACTCGGGCGGCGATGGCCTCTGGTCGCAGACCCTCCAGCGACGACTGAACATGCACGACACCGTCCTCAAGAACGCCCTGAAACAGCTGCAGACCAAGGGGCTCATCGTCCCGTTCAAGAACGTTGAGCATCCGAACAAGAAGATGTTCATCAAGGCATCCATTCAACCGAGCGATCGAGCAACCGGCGGACCTTGGTATACCGACCAGAACCTGGACGAGGCGTTCATCGAGGAGTTGCAAAGAGTCGTCTTTGACTTCATTAAGCGTCAGAGCAGCTACATCAGCCGGCACGGCCACGATTCAAGAACGCAAAAGATGCCGAAAAAGGGTGTGATCAAGGGAGAAGACCGGGGCAAGAAACGGGCGGCGAGCGAAATGGAGGAGCCGGCTCCCAAGGCGGCCAAGACCACGGCCATATCAACGCCGAGGAAAGACGTGCTCTTGCCGTTGCCTGCTGGTTTCACGGGCTATCCCACCGTCAAGGATATTGCGCGACTTCTGTCCTCCAGTGGTATTACGAATAACACCATCTTGACCGAGATGGACGTGAAGAAGCTCGTCGACGTGTTGGTGTGGGACAACCTGATCGAGCCGATACGAGTCGGGGGCAAGACTGGCTACAGAGTGTCGAGAGTCGCCAAGCAGTCTACGCAAGGGTGGGCAGGGCGCGAGGACGGAGTGGACGGCAACCCAGAGCCGTACATCAGCCCGTACACAGAAGCTCCGTGTGGACGATGTCCTGTCTTTGAGCTGTGCGAGGATGGAGGGCCCGTCGGCCCGAGCAACTGCGAATACTACGCGAAATGGCTTGGGGAAGAAGAAGAAGCGCGGCAATGACCACAACAGAACATGCTTAATAATTCCATGTACATTGTTGGCACGTCGGTTGGCGAGCATACTGCCTCGAGTGGTTGCCATGGGAATGCCCATGACCTTGGGTATATTTGAAATGTAGCGTCTCCTGGCCACAGATGGAATATGCGGTGCCCGATTTGGTGTTTCCGACTATCGGTCTGATATTTATTACACGATGCCTCGACTCCTCTGGAAGGGAAGGTATGCCAATATCCTGACGACAACAACCTTCGATCCATTACGCTCCATCTACCTTAGGCAAGGCCAGACTTCACGATAGTGGGGCGCTTGCCGTACTTGACGGCACCGGAGCCGGAACCAGTAGCCTCGAGCGCCTGAACAACGTCCATAGAGCCGTCCTCCTGGTCGACCTCGCCGAAGACGACGTGGCGACCGTTCAACCATGAGGTGACGACAGTGGTGATGAAGAATTGGGAGCCGTTACTAGACTTCGTTAACATATTGTTGTTCGGCGAGGAACGAGCACACTAACGTGTTGGGGCCGGCGTTGGCCATGGACAGAAGACCGGGCTTGACGTGGTTGAGCTGGAAGTTCTCGTCGGCGAACTTCTCACCATAGATGGACTTGCCACCAGTGCCCTGCATTGACATCAGTCCAAGCTTCTTCATGGTGTCTGTTGTCGCTCGCCACGTACGTTACCACGGGTGAAGTCACCACCCTGGAGCATGAAGTCGGGGATGATGCGGTGGAAGGAAGAGCCCTGGTAGCCGAAGCCCTTCTCGCCGGTGCAGAGAGCGCGGAAGTTCTCGGTGGTCTTGGGGACGATGGCGTCGTACAGGTGGAACTTGATCGTGCCAGTCTGCTCTACAAACGCAGTGTCAGCATAGGGTCGGGAAAGGCGAGATTGCGCAACTCACCCTTGACCTGAGAAGTGGGCTGTCCACCCTGCATGACTGGGCCCTCCCAAGTGATCTCGAAGAAGCTATGGCATGTCAGTGACATTTCCTTTGAAGACGAAGGCTGGCCATGGTCCTCAGGCGGCGCCAGAGGGGGGGGCTGAACTTACACCGGGGGCTTGCCGCCAGTCTTCTCCTGCAGAGGCTTCGAGTCGCTCATCTTGATGGTGGTGGATGTGAAGAAGCGAGGGGCTTGTCTGGAGGTGTTTACGGAGAGAGGGAGAGAGAAAGATTTCGACGCAGGCAAGCGAATGGCCTGGCGGGGTAGGTACTGGAGGGGTCTCATCGTTGCTGGCATCATGGCGGCGGAGCTGGAGGGGCATGTTAGCTTGGAGGCTCCAATGGGAGAGAACGGATCAAGGGGAAACTGCGGGGCTGGCGGGGTCTGTATGTAGAAATCGTGCAACTCGTCGCGTCTGAGCTCTGAGCACCGTGACAGCAGAGGGTTCGAGCCATTGAATCGGCTCCAAAGGGTCGCAGGCATCGTGGAAGCTTTGGTGCTGCGCAAATGACCCCAAACCGAGTCCTGTGGCTGGTGAGGGGTGCAGTGGTTGGCTCAATGGCTGTGGAAGCAAGCAACTCCATGTCTCTGAGGCTCAGTCACAGCTGGCTGCACCAAGGCTCCGACCGAAACCGAAGTCTCACGCAACTATCAGTTGCGACATGCGCGTGGTTGTAGCATGCAGAGCTGGCGAAATGCGAGTCAAGAGGGCGCGACACGTTCGACCAGTCAAGGCATGCCCCCCATGCTATGCAGCCGGCTGTCGTGCCTCTGGAGGCTACCTCTGCCCGTCATCTCCAGCATACAGTCGACTGGAAACTGACAGGAGACGCGAGCCGCCAATGGCGGCACCCAGACAGGGTCCATGGTGCGCAAAAAGTGCATTGTCCGGGGGACAGTGCATGTTGGTCACCGACACCGCTTGCCTCCAACCCATTGCGCTGCAGCCTGGCGCTGAGCCCCTGATCTCATGTGCATGCCTCGAGGCGATAGGGTCTGCGTGGGACGGAAGGAGAGCAACATTGACATACTTGTTGGTAATAATACACAGGCGGAAGCTGCTCGAAGGGAATGCGATGGTTGTGATGGTACAGTTGATGAAATAGTGTACAGTTGTTGATGAATCAAAGGGTAAAAGTCGAGAAAAGTTCTATGACCCTGAGCTGTCGTCAAAATAGTGGCCTGAAGTCTCAGGTCCACAGAATTTGCTAGTCCGCTGGCCTGCCAGGGTGGAGGCGCGATTGGGACGCGCCTAATTCTCGGGGTTCCGCGCCAACGGGACCACAACTCCGGGGACATCGAGTTCAATGTTGGTAGGGCGATGTGCCTAATAATCAGGTGCACAGTTCAAATCTGATTTGTGGTCTTTTCGGACATTTGAAAATCCATAGCAAAGTTATATCTTTGCGTATTTCCCCTAAAATGTTATCGGGACACAAGCTCCTAGTCCTTGGACCTCCAAGAGTGCCGTTGGGAGCCGGCACTTGAGGATCATGGTGAACGTCGATAGCGAAATTGTATGGTCAGCTGAGGACCTGGAGGCAAACCCTTAACGACAATGAAAGTACCAGATAGCCCAAATACATACATGAAATTAAATACGTGATTACCGGCCAAGATACCGAAAGACGGAGAATACGTGCTTGAGATCCGGAGTGCTGTAGGGTAGCTGTGATGCCCCCGCCAGCATGCCAGCGCCATTCACGTGACTTTCTCCTGAACACTGCTTGGGCGCTGACGTTACGGATCGCAGCCAGGCGTTGGTGCTATTCAACACCGTGGCAACGAATAGGCCTCTAGCTCGCTGATCGAGCCGACGACAACCCTGCGTCGCAGTCGAACCGAACCATAGCATTGATACAGCAACTGCACCTGCAGTTGTTCCATCAGCACAATGGATTTGAACGATTTGAAAGACACGGTCTCCAACCTGACCTTGTACGACCTCAAGGCAGGATTTAGGAAGGCGCAGAATGGTATGTCATATCACGGCCGCAGCACCTCGCGCTGCGACTGACGCGAGTGTAGCCGTCATGAATTATACGGAAATGGAGGCAAAGGTATATCCCTCTCTTGTCTGCGCCAAACCGAAACATTGGGCTGACCCGGCGAAAGGTGCGAGAGGCGACTAATAATGAGCCTTGGGGAGCGTCGTCAACCCTGATGCAAGAAATCGCCAATGGCACCTTCAACTAGTAAGAGCACTCGTGGCCAAGCGCTTTTGGGTTGAGCTGACACCTGCAGCCAAACTCTGAACGAGATCATGCCCATGATCTACCGCCGATTCACCGAAAAGTCCGCCGAGGAGTGGCGGCAAATCTACAAGGCCCTCCAGCTTCTCGAGTTCCTCATCAAGCACGGTTCCGAGCGCGTCATCGACGATGCCCGAGGTCATCTCACGCTGCTCAAGATGCTACGACAGTTCCACTTCATCGACATGAACGGAAAGGACCAGGGTATCAACGTACGCAACCGCGCCAAGGAGCTGGCAGAGCTGCTAGGCGATGTTGAACGGATCCGAACCGAGAGAAAAAAGGCAAGGGCAACAAAGAACAAGTACACCGGCGTCGAGGGCGGCATCGGAGGCGGCTTCTCGAGCGGGGGAGGCAGCCGCTACGGCGGGTTTGGCAGCGAATCTGGTGGCTACGGCGGCAGCTCTACCGAGTTCGGTGGCTATTCTGGCCGCGTGTATGGCGACGGGGGTGGCTTTGGAGGCCAGGAGCCCAATGACTTCCGCAGCGGAGGCGGGAGGTCAGATCGTTTCGAGGAGTACGACGAAGACGAGGATACCAGACCGGCGGCCAGCTCGTCCAGAACCTCCCGCCGGTCTGAGCGATCTTCCAAGAAACCCTCTGCTGAGCCACCCAAGAAGAAGGAGCCCGAGGTGGATCTGTTCTCTTTCGATGACCCTGCTCCGGCCACTTCTGCGCCTGCGCCATCAAATGGATCTGGTTTGGCGGATTTCGGTGCCTCCAGCGGAAACACGGGCGCTGCTGCTGTTTCTGCCAACGACGACGACGAGTTTGATGATTTCCAATCCGCCGCGCCTGCCCCAGCCCCGGCAGCATCTGGCTCCAACGTGCTTTCACAACCACTATCACCACCGTCCGCACAGAGCACCGCGCAGTTTGCTGCACCACAGCCCCAGTCTGGACCTCAGCAGGCCAACCTCAACAGCATGGTGAACTTTTCGTCGATATCGCCGGCACCCAGTGCGTCAGGCACGCCTGGCGCCAACTACTCGGCCTTCAGCGCCCCCGTGGCGGCACAGCAACAGGCGCCCAAGTCCACGAGCTTCCAGCCCTCTGGGCCGAATTATTTTGGTGGCATCCAGTCGCAGTCATCCGGAGCCGCACCAGCTACGGGCATGGCCCCGGCCAGCACAGGCATGTCGGGCTTCTCGTCTGCGTCGAATGCCGCACCAAGTACCATGGCCAGCATGAAGCCAGTAACAAGCCCTGGCGCCAAGCCGGCCGCTGCGCCTGGGGGCGGCGACGCATTTGGCGCGTTGTGGGGCAAGGCGAGCGCTGGCATCAAGAAGTCCAGCACGCCCACAACAGGACCTGCCATGGGCCAGCTGGCCAAGGAGAAGAGCAGCGCTGGCATCTGGGGTGCCCCGTCATCTGCGTCTCAGCAGCCATCCGGCAGCGCACAGCCTCAAGGCGGCTCCGCATCTGACGACTTGCTTGGATAGATATATGTGGCGGATGGGTCAAGTCGGATTACGGACGGACTGCGAGCGTTAACCTTTGGCAGGGGGGAAGAAAACAGCGTGTTTGGATCCATGGAAACAGTCGTGAGCATATTAATGAGATGCTTTAGATTAGGCGTTCCCGGATCATCGAGAAGCAAGCCTCCCTCATCGTTGAGCGAACATGAATTCTGGATCAGCTTCCAACATCACCCATCATCACGTGAAGGCGACGAGCTGTCTGGCAGCACACCACTCCTCGATGGTACGAGCCACACGAGAGAAAAACAAGCCTTTCATCTCGCCCATTCTGCGACCGGCTTCCGAAACGTCCCAGGCAGGAACAGACCAGCAGCATACGCACATGTGGTGCGTCGCTGCAAGCCAATCGATGCCGATTCACGGGTCTTGTCGTCGGCCGGGCCCCATCTGCGCGGCTAAGTCTTTGCTGGATCTGCCGACGTTTAGCGCCCAGCCAATGAGGACCCCGGTCGCAGGCTGCATCGCAGGTCAAGCGCCGACGATCCTCAGCCTCGCCATTGGCCCAGTGAGCGCCTACACCACTAATAACTGCGTGTGGATGTCGACAAATGCTCGACAGCGACTGTCGTGAAACGGTGCCCTGAACATGCATCCTGCTAGATGAGGCTGGCAGCAAGATCCAGGTGCTGTGTAGCCAACAGGATCGCACCCGTCGAGACGTGCATGTGTGTACGTATCTTGCGGCCCTGACCTACGTGCCTCAACTCCCTCTTGGACTTCCTTGAGCCCTGAGCGTCCTGAAACATGCGCGGCTACTGAGTGCTGACTGGACTCACGAGTGTATCCATTGACGCCGTTGCTACTTCTGGCATCAGCCGAAGCTTTGTCTCCCCAGCACGCATGGGACGACAGACTGGAGGCATCGAGACGACATGGCTTGGTATAAAGACGCGATCGACATGCCTCTTCAACCGGACCTCTTCTCTCCTCTCCTCATCATACCAAACAAAGCCTTACCTACCAAGCTCTTTTTCCTATCTCCCTTTTTCCTTTTCTCTTTCTTTTGTCCTTTCCTATCTCTGGGTCTGGGTCTGCTGCTTTCACTGCTGTTTCACCTTTGCAAGTATAACGAAAACAACCGAGAGAAAACGTCCTTCTTTGATTCACGATACCACCGAGATTTTCCACAAGTACATCACATCACATCCAGATTCAAGTCTGACGAGGACTTGCTTGCCATACCTGTTTCTTTTCCTCGCCTGACTCCTGGCGAGCCACTTCATCACCATTTCTTCCCCGGCAGCGTCAGCAACCGCTTCGTTACCCTTCTACTCGAAGCATCTCCCCTTGCGAACCGCCAACGGCACCACCAGACCACGCCTCTCGCTCATCACACCCGCGACACTCTTCAGGATGCCTTCTGCTCCTGCTCTCGGCGCCCTGGGCATGACCTTTACCGTCATGCGCATCATGGAGGGCATTGCGCTCCTCACCATCATCGGGCTGTCTGCCAACTTTATCAGTGACGCCGTCAACGCCGGCTACGTTGCCCCTCCTCCGCTGGTCGGCACTCTTGTCGTGGTACGTTTCTTTCTTTTCTGCTGTTCTTTCTTGTCTCCGGCGCTCTTGGCTGACAATGCCCTTCCAGTCCTGTCTGGCCACTCTGTACATTGCCATCAGCTACATCCTGTACTACGACTCGATGCTGCCCATGCTCATCGCCACGGGCGCCGACGCGGCGGTCCTCATCATGGTGATTGTCGTGGCGGTGCTGCTCGGCAAGCCCGTCAGCTACCTCCAGTGCGAGTCGTACCCGTCCAAGGGCAACACGGCCAACTTTATCGACTCTGTCTACAGCAACGTCAAGAAGACCAACTCCAACGTCTTCCTCTGGGTTGACCCGGACAAGACGGCCTGCTACGAGGTCAAGGCGGTCTGGGGCCTGAGCACCGCCCTGTGCATCATGTTTGCCATGTCGGCCATTGTCTCTGTCTGTCTTTGGCGCCGCATCAAGGGCCCCTCGTCGGAGGCTCCCAAGGACCTCGAGTGAAGGTGCGCCCGTGGGGGCAAGGAGGGCGTGGTGGGACAGGCTGCTGGTCCGAATGTGCTGCGAAAGGGCCGGAGTCTGGGCACCATGGCCGTGACGGGGCAAAAGGAGCGCAAGCTCGCATCGCAGGGTTCCATGTCGTCGTCGGCGGCGTCGTCGTCTTCTGGCGGGTCGAACGTCCACGATTCCTTGCCCCTGCCTGTTCCTGTTCCCGTTCCACGACTGTCCCCGCCTCCCACGGCTTCTGGGCGACCGTCAGGTTCTAGAGAGATGGCTCGTCCGGTTGAGAGCCTGCCTCGGCTTCAGATCCCACCGCCACCGCCTATCCCTGAGGATCCTTCCCCTTCTCCTCCGCAGCCACCGCCAAAGAGTCCGTTGAGCCCGCTGCTGGCGAGGGCTCGGTCGAAGAGGAGGACCATCATGTCTAGGGTGGAAGGCTGGTGGGATCTGGGGTTGCTGGACAGACGGCAAACACTGTTTGGTAAAAAGGGTTGACATTAATTGGTGGACTGACACGAGCACGGGTGGCTTTTCTGATATGTCTTGGGAGTGATAATCTTGGATATTGGTTCGGTATTCTCGGGCGGTAATTTTGATTGAAACGTAAGGTACCTATATAGACAGATTCCTATAGTTCGAAAAGGAGTTTTACTGTGTTTGCTTGAATGAAATGTACTTTTCTCTGTGCGTGCTTCATTGTGCCCATATCTTGTCGCGTGGGGGGTTGCCACTTAGATGACCTGTCGGCTTGTTTCATGCGTAAGGATTGGGCTGGATATATCATATGAATCCTTTGAGGATCATCGACAGATTGTACCCGCAACATCTGCCGGCTGTAGCCTCCCAGATCCTCCCCCAAAGGCGCCAAATTCCTCCCGCGAGTCCCGCCCTCACTAAGGCTGTCAGGCTCGTGCCGGTCGGGGTTGGGGGGCATGTCACCTAAATAAGGATAAATTACAGCCAGCGCTGCAGCTGACAAATTCAGGCACGGGTCCAGACTGGACTCCAATCGTCAAGCAAGTGCCGATCGACTCCAGAGTCCACGATACCTTATGCATGATACGCCTTCTCAGCCCTGTCTCATCCATCCACCTCACTAATCACTACCTCCTGAACGATTGAGCGATTGAGCGACGGAGTGCAAGGACGTGACCTACATCCTTCTCATCGCAGCTCACTCACCTCGAGCGCATTTGCTCGTTTCTCACATGATTCAACGCGCCTCGATCGCGCGAGTGCGACGACAGCGATAAAGACCAGACAACAAGAACAGTACAGCCTAGAACGACTAGAGACGCCATCATGTCGATGCTCCGGAACTTCATGTCGACAAAGGTCCGCTCCAATGCTGGCTGCTGGACCTGTCGGCTGCGCCGGAAAAAGTGCGATGAGAAGCGCCCCGTGTGCGATGGCTGCGGCTCGCTAGAGATCACCTGCCACTTTGAAGACGAGAAGCCGGACTGGATGGACGGGGGGCCCCGGCAAAAGGAGATGGCCGACAAGATCAAGGCGCAGGTGAAGAAGCAGGCCAGCCAGCGGCGCGACCGCAAGTACATGGACATGCTCGCGACGGGCACGCGTAATGTGAGCCTGACGCAGAGCGATGGTGAGCTGGGCACGCGCTATCGCGCAGAGAGCAACACCATCAACACTGTCAACGGGAACGGGAGCGACGTCGTCGATCCTCACCGACCGAATCAACCGAGACCGCAGGAGTCGTCCGCAAAGCCGCACAACCCCAGCAGCCTCACACCGCCCTCGAGTCAGACCAGCGGCGGCTCACCACCCCAGGTCACCTGGACGAACCAGCTCTTCAGCCACAAGGGCGCCCAGGAGGACAACGGGCCCGATGTAGACGTCCATTTCATCATGATCTACCTCGACTACGTCTTCCCCTACCTCTTCCCCTTCTACCGGCCGCCCATCCTCAGCGGCGGCCGGGGCTGGGTGCTGGACATCCTCCAGCGCAACAAGTCGGTCTACTACACGGCCATCTCGCTGGCCTCGTACTTTTTCGGCGTCATCATGGCCAACGGCGACGCCGTCCACGCCGAGTGCACGAACCGCATGGCCGACAAGCTGCAGGAGCAGCTCCAGCTGGGCCTGCGCGAGCTGCAGAAGGAGATGGCCGCCATGAACGCCCGCAAGGCCAAGGCCGCCCTCCACGAGCAGCTCATCGCCATGCAGGCCATTGTCCAGATGGTCGTCTTCGAGGTCGCCACCGGCAACGGCGACAACTGGAAGATGCACCTCGACGCCGCCATCGCCCTCTTCTTCCAGATCCTGCCCAAGCCCGATCGCTGGGCCGACACCCTCCACAGCCTCTACTCGTACCTGTGGCCGCCGCCGTCCATGGGCGTCCGTCGTCCCTGGAGCACGAACCAGGCCGCCCTGCGTTTCTTCACCGCCAGCCTCATCAACATGGACATCATGTCCAGCATCGCCCTCGAGCGGGCCCCGCGGCTGCGCCACTACCAAGAGTCCATCATCCCAGCATGCTACTCCCGGGAATGTCGCGAGCACGCGCAGACGGCCGGTCCGCTCTTCATGGACGAGTTCGTCGGCCTGCACAACTGGATCATGCACATGGTGGCCGATGTCGCCACGCTGGACGCCTGGAAGAAGGAACAGCAACAATCGGGCACCTTGTGCGTCGATGAGCTCGTGTCGCGCGGCCAGGTCCTCGCCGACGCCCTCCTCACAAGCCTCGGCTCGCTTGACGCTGAGGCTGAGGCGGCGCCCCGGCAGACAGTCCACGCCATGATGGCGCTCGTCGTCCAGGACCCCCTTCCGGAGATGGGCGACGTGGTGCCGTCCGAGGTCAAGGACTTTGGCCCCCTGATGGCCGTGCACAACAAGATCTGGCTCCACGGGGTGCTCCTCTATCTCTACACCGTCGTTTTTGGCTGGAAGCCCGAGCAGGAGGACATTAAGCACCACACGAGTCTCATCACCTGCGCCCTGGCCGACATGCCCCGGGGGTCGTGCTTGCGGGGGATGGTGTTCCCCTTCTGCGTGGCAGGGTGTCTGGCGCCCGCCGAGGACGAGGACAGATATAGGCAAATGGTGCAGAGACTGGGCCCGCTACAGGTGCTGGGGACGGTGAAGGAGGCGTCCGAGATCCAGGAGAAGGTGTGGTCGTGTCGTGGCCACCTGGACGAGACGTTTGACGTGGCCAAGTGTTTGCGGATCTTGGGTCACAGGTCGCTCTTGATTTAGCAGAAGCGTGCGTTTCTATTTTCACTTTTTGAATGGACTTGGAGCGATGGCAATAATAGGTTCAGTGTTGATTTCCCCAGCCCCATGGGCGGTAGTGTATTTGGATCTGTACAAGTGCCACCGCAAGGCTCGATTTGACCAACTCCTCAGCTTACACCGGCCTTTCATCATTTACTTTCTTTCGATCGAACGCACACATGCAACGTTAGCCACAGCAGACGGTCGGCTCTCTGTTGCCACTGTTCGAATGTGTCCTACGCTTCATGTCAGCGGAACTGCTATCAGGAACGAGGCAAGGCGATGCTTACGAGAAATCGATAGTCTCATACTGGAAGATGTACGATCCGACCAAGATACCAAGGAAGATGCTGACAAGAATATAGACATTGTAATACATGGCTATAGTCCAGACTATTAGCACGCATAGACATACGCCTTTCGAGAGGAGCCAGCCTACCAAGAAGCATGATGAAGTACGCCACCGTGAACTGAGCCGTGTGCAGAATCGCGCGGATGCCCTGCTGCCAGAACGTCGGACGGAAGGGCGGAATGGGACCAGCAGCCCCAGCCGCGCCCGCGATAGCACCGTCCTTGGCCCCGTCGTCCGAGGACCTCGCGGCCGCCGCGATACCGGCGTGCTTGGCCAGATGCTGCCTGGCGAGATACTTGTCGAATTCCTTGACGCCGCGGCGCAGCATCTCGAGGAAGATGGCGAGCAGCGCGATGCCGATGCAGGACCCGGCGAACATGCCGATGGACTTGATCTGCCAGTCGCTGCTGATGAAGCACGAGTCGATGGTGTTGTAGTTGATCAGCATGGAGATCTTGCAGGGCCTGCCATCGCCTCCGCCCATGTCCATACCGCTCATGTCGTCGTCACCGCCGGTCTCCATGGCCGCCGCCGCCGTCGCCGCCGCCGTGGTGGCCATATTGGCCATGGTGCCCATGGTGCTCGTGGCGCTGTCTTCCATGTGGTCCATGGCGTCGTGGTGGCGGACAACGTGGTGCAGGATGTTGGCGACTTGGTCCATGTTCCGTCCTGTGAAATTGGTCGCTTGGGGAGGGCAGGGTTTTGGTTTGCTCGTTCAAAGTGGTCGTGAAATTTGATCGACCGAGGTGCTGAGAAAGGGGCCCAGGCGCCTTTTAAGGTTGAACGCAGAGCCTCTTCGCATCCAAACCCTCATACATCACTAGCGTGCCTCTAAGTATGCACTCAAAGGTCTCTTATTAGTTCTAGTGTCCTCATCTTGCGGCTTCAAGCTGATACAAGGCTGCTTCTGACTTGCTGATGGTGTGCTCATGGAGGAATATCGAGGCCGTTTGAGCAAGTTTTCCCTGCCTGGTATCAGCCCACACAACAGGGGTCTCAGCTAGGGCCCCCAAGAAACCCTGCCACCTATTGACTTTCCTGGGCTTTCTCTTTTGATTTTGCTTTTCTTCACATCCCATGGCGCATGTTGAGCGCAGTGGGCTAGTGCCACTCCATCGCCGGTGGCAATGGTGTGGGCTAGCTTGCCCGCGAAGCATCAGACAACGAATGATGGGTTCAAGGCAAAATGATGAAAGCCCAAGTCCTTTCGAGTTTCGACAACACTTGCCGTCTCCTGCCACAGTCGCGCAACCTAGGATAGCAGAGTTTCGTCTACATTAAATAAGCCAGACTGTTAATAGTAAACTTGCGCACCGTATCCCCTTATCATCTCGTGCATGCAAGCCTCGTCGCGTTTACATTCGGTGTACAGAATTCACGGAGCCGACGTCTTCTGGGCGGCCCGTCCATGGTGCGGCGGACTATCTGCTCAAATCGATGAGCATGCTTCGGGTCAGTCAAGTCGAGCATCCCTTCACTCCCCCCACGCAAAACAACTACCAACGCCCGTTGCGATCTCGACCTCCCCGACTCCATCCACCACCACCATAGCGAGGGCGACCGAGCCACTCGGAATACGAACTGTTGTCCCGTTCTCGACTGATCCCCAGCTGATCTGCGACGTTGATATAGCCCTCGCTCTCGATGCCCTTGTCCCGCCTGATCTTGTTGAGACCTCGAACGTCAGGGCCTTCCCACTGGGACCGACACATGGGACATGTGACCTTGCCGCTGCCCCCCTTTGTGCGTGCCCATGTGTCGAAGCACTGCTTGTGGATGTTCTGGCCGCACGCTGCTCGACACCACACGATGGCCTCGCCCTTCTCCTCCAGCTCCGAGAAGCAGATCGGGCAGTCTCCATCGATTGGCTTGCGCTTGTCTGACTGCTGCTCCTGCTCGACCTCGGGGTCCTCGATTGGCGGAGCCCCAGCAAGGATGGCGTGCAGCTCAGAGTTCAAGAGTCCCAGCTGGTAGACGAGGTTGAAGGGTGCGTTGAGTACCTTCTTCATGACCTGAAGTGTACATGTTAATCTCTTGCTCGTGACTATTGTCTGGAAATGTACGTACAAACAAGATGTGTTTACACTGTTTGCCCTTGCTTGCGTGTGGACAGGTACATGTTGGTCGATTATCAATGATGACAGTGTAGATATTGCCAGTCGAACCTGTCAGCTCGACCATCTCGGCGGGATACTCCTCGCTGCCCGTACGGGCCCGCGACAAGACAAAGAAGCGCTGGGCGATCGCACGATCATAAATGTCGTAGAATGACTGAGGAGGCTGAGGCCGGAATCTACCCGGCCGCTTCTCCTCATCCTTCTTCCGCTTCTTCGTGGGGGGAGGATCTAATGGGCCCTTGTGAGATGGTGCTGACTTTGCTGTTGACTTTGATGACGACGACGAGGAGGGCTGCGAAGTCGCTTTGCGCTTCGAGTTGGTTGGTTTCTGGTTGCCATCATTCCCTGTGAGGTCGATAGGGGCTTTTCGTGAGCCCTGTTTAGCAGAAGTTGACTTTTGTTGCTGTTCGAGGGCCACTGCTTGTTTACGGGCGCGCGTCGCACGAATTGCCTCCAGTCGCATGGCCTCTGCAACCTCCTGTGCTCGCTTGGACATAGGCCTAAGGGTCTGTGGAAGGGTCGTTGTCGCTCCTACGCCACCCATGGTGACAACAATCGATGTTCAAACCAAAGAGTTACGGCTAGTATCGTAGGAAAGAGACAAAGAGGCGACTAGACGTATCAACAATGTGATTGACGTTGATGCTGTGATGAGTTTGGCGGGAGCTGCCGGTTAGCTGGTTCGCCACTCACCTCCTGGATGACACGTAGTCACGTGACTCTATGATTGTTGTAAGCACCTCACAGGAGTCAGAACATTCAGTTACTTTAGCTTGTTCAGTACCTTATCGTAAGGTACCTTATTTATATATATCTACGAGCGGAGTGTTACAGCCAGTCGTGACAGTCTTGCGATTAAATGGTCAATTTTCCAGTGGCTAGCGCAGGGACATATACATCCCAGCAGCCTCCACGCAGAGTGCATCGCTCATGCAAACTCAGCTACGAACCGACAGAAAGCAACCAGAACGCCCAACATCAGGATATGCCCCGTAACTCATCTCTGTACATGAACAGAACATATGCCGTCCCACCTACCCCCAGCAACTCCGCCGTCCGGATACTCGTACCAGCCATTATCTGGTTGCTCCTCCAAACATCCAACAAAAGAAATGCAATCAGGGTCGTGTGTAATATACGTTTGTACGTAACTCATCGCATGCATGGACGTGTCATGCATGGATCGTAATGTGAGGGGATGGAAGATGGTGCGACGAACGCCGGGTCTATGCTTGAGATTTCGAGTGTGTATATGACAAGGGAGAGAGATCGTGGATGTCGGCGATGTGACATTCACCGACTCTGGTGCACTTAGGGCTGGCGGTTGAAGTCTCTTGGTGGGAGAGGGGGGTTTCGCGATGGCTGACTCAGACGGCCACCATTGGTACGCCCAGGCTGCTCGGCAGGCACCTTGCGGTCTTGGCTGGGCTGTCTGGGGGCGCCGGAAGAAGAGGCTGGCGACGTCATGCCGGGTACGAGATCCGTCACGGCCTGGGCAATGACAGCGACGACGTAGCCACGGAGCTCACGGTCTTCGCGCTGATCCTCCTTTTCCAAGCGAAAGCGTTCGTCCTTGCTCATGTTGGCCCGGCGCGAGGCCTTGATCTCGTTGAGAATGTAGAGTAGCACCTCCTCGGGACATCGGTTCCGGTTCTGTGAATGCTCGGACTTGCGGACATAGCGCCGCGTGACATCGGTGGCACCGTCGATTGAGAAGGCAATGCAGTAGGACATCTTCTTGCCCCAGCCTTCCGTGTACAGTCGCGGGTTGTCCCAAGCCTCTTCGCAGGCATCGACGTGAATCCATCGTTTTTGGTGGTCCGAGTAGACTTCAGTCCAGACGTGGTCTTCGGCATTCCAGACCCAGCGTACTCGGCCACCGACTGCGCGGCACAACATGCTGAAGCAGTTGGACCACTCGCCGACCCGCCCTCGACGGGTTTGCAGCAAGCGCCACACATCACCGTAGCGGGGGAACCGCTCGTACGCCCCGCATGAGTGTGACGAGCATCGGTACAGTTCGACCCTCAGCGCACCGCACGCACTCTCCTCGGGCGTTGGTGCGGTCATGCCCTGTGCGACGGTAGGTGAAAGACATGTCTGGCAAGGAGGGTTGTTCACCCATGTGAAAAATGATCGTTTGAACCATCTGTTACTGTTAGCGACGGAGCGAGAGACGCAAGAGTCCGAAGACAGCGCTTACCTTAGTAATGCACGAATAACGCAATCTTGGTATCCCCATTCCGGCCGTCGACCATCGCCCATACTCTCAGCCTCGGCCTGTAATACCTGGCTCTCTTCCTCGGCTTCGCTGTATATCCTGTCGAGAGGGATGATCTGGAGGGCTTCGTCCAGAAGTCCGGGGTTCTCGTACTTGGTCGGTGTCAAAGACAAGCTGATGAGCAGGTTGCGGAGCTTTTGTGCCTCGCGGTCGCTCGCGTCGGGGGCTGTGGGGACGATGGGGAGGTGCCGTAACGAGGCGTAGGAGGGAAGTGCCGACCCTTGTGATGTTGAAGGACGGCTTGATGTTGTGGAGTTGGACGCTCGCAGGTTTGCGCTTGATGCTCGCTCGGAGAGGCCATGTGCTGGCGAGGCATGGCGGGAGGATGCGCGCAGGTCGTTCATGCGCTTGTCGCGGAGTAGTCCCTCGAACTTCACCCGCAGGTCGTGAGCCCATTCCTCGCCGTAGTCGTTTGGGCCAGAGGCCCCAGCGCCCATTGGGCTGCTGCGACCCGCCATGCTGTTGATAGGGTGGATGGGGGTGCGACGTCAGCGAGGTCGGTCAATCGGTGCGTCGTCGAAAGTATCGAGAGGATGAGGTTCGCTCGTTGCCGGCGAGGATATACAAAGAAGATGACAGTGGTAGCCGTTGCTGAAGCGAGCGACCTCTGATTGCGTGGTCGGGTCGTGTGTCGTAAGCCTGCAGTCGTGGTTGCCACAGTCCGAGAGTGGGAGCGGGCAATGTCGTGAGAGGAGCGTCGTCGTTTCGAGGACGGAATTGGAGTGATAGCAGACGTAAGTCAATTGCGCAGTTCAAAACGTGGGATATCGCTTCATTGTCGCATTTCGTAGATGCGTTTGTCGGATCGAGTGTGCAAGGGGATGAACAGCAGGTGGAGGACTGGAAGTGGAAGGGACTGGACTTGTTGCCGCAGATTGCGTGGTGGTTGCGTGGACGCCAGCCTGGAGGCGTAGACACAGCACTGAGCAGTGCCGTCCAGCAGAGTCAAAGACCCTTAGCCTCCGCTCCCACAGAGTGGTCCTGGCGAGGTACGCGTCAGCCTCGGGGCGGACCAATCAGAGGTCTTCTGTGGAGACGGGCCTCGCAAGTCCAGTCTCTGGTTCTGAATGTGGCGCCACGCGGATCAACCGACGAATGCGGGAAATCACCTGCGAGATCGAGGGGCTGTGCGGTCCTCCTCAGCCACTCCAGTCTTCAGTACTGGAGTCATCAGCCAGCGAAGTAGAGGGGCACAGTTCATGTTGTCTATCGCAGCCACGCGCAAGACCTACTTTCTTCACACTTTGTTGAGGTTAAGCATTCTCCTGGCGATAGTATCAAGGTTCCTTTCCCCAGCTGCTAAGCCATTCCGCGATGAGAATAATGGCGCGCGGCCAGCAGGTCCACAGATATCCTCTCCAAGCCAGACCAGCCTATCCATCCCTATCCACTTCCTTGGACGGAGGCTCCAAGAGCCGGACTGCGTATGTATTAGACTACAAAATTGCGCGGCCCTCGTGGTACGGACACCCGGCAGGATACCCAAAGGATTGCCTGAAAACGCTGACATATGATCGGGCTCATGTTCACATCCGGAACATGGTTGATAACCCAGGAAAATCATCACCACATGAAGCCCAAGGGTTGTCGAGACTCCATTCGGTGACACTGTATGGTCACGCCTGGCCTTGAAGGTCTTGTGTGCACATGACAACTGGCAACATGCCGCGCGGCGTCCCATTTTAAGTTACCTCACATAATTGTCTTCCATTTCCCATGTTCTTTATGGTTTTCGATTTCCCCATCTATAGCCTCGTTAGGCCGCTCACAAACCAACAGTACGTGGGCCGCGTCATCCTCGTCGGGCAACCCCCGACTAACGATTATAATTACAGCACGTGTATCCGTAGCTTTATGGTGCTTCACACTTCAACGAGTTTGGCTAGGGGCGTCAGCCAACTCTAAAAAGTTTCTGAGCAGGTGGTGGCAATCTGGGGCGACTTTCCAGTTTCAGAAACATGTTGAAACAGGGCTCACATTCAGCTGCGGTGGATCCTAGGATCTGCGAGTTCACCATCTGCTCCAGGCCGCCACAGAGCTGTCCTGTGCTCATCACGTAGGCACGTACAAGAGTCTCACAGAGCGCTGGTGCACGTGTCGATCGCACGCCTGTTAGACATCGTAGTGACGACGCCGCCGGTCTCCATGCGATGAACAGCCGTGTGCCCCTCAGGGTGTACGGTTTTCACCTAATCCAGGCGATCAAAAGTCATAAAGAGCGCGAGGAATATGCTCAAGATAAAAGTCCAAAGGTCGGTCAACCTTGTCCCTGTTGAGGACGCGCAATGTCTAGTCTACTGAGAATTCCTTGTGCATATCCACATCGCCATAACGCCCACGTACATGCACAGCAGTATATACGTACATTTTCCAAGACAACAACGACAACGACTCCCACAAGCCGCGCACTACCGACCTCACCTCTCCCACGGCTCCCCGGCGATGAACCTGTCTGGCATGTCCACATCCCACAGCGGCCTCTCCACCAGCACCACCTCGGTCTCGCTCAGTGCCACCACGCCAAAGACAGGTCGGTACTTGTAGGTCATCCACCATGACTTCTTGTGCGAGGTGGGCTGCGACAGCTCCCCGCTGCTGCCCTCCTGGCCGTTGCGTGCCTGGACAAGCTGGCCGGCGGCGGCGTCAGCTGCCTCGTCATCGCTGTGCACACCCTCGTGCTCGTCGTCGGAACGGGTCACGTCGTCCATGTCAATGTCCTCGTCCGCGGCCCCGTTGACGTGGCGGCTGATGCGGTGCGGCACGAGGCTTCTCTGAGCCATCTTGCTGCCCGCACCCGTGGCGTACCCGGTGCGCTTGCGCTTCATGCCCGCCGCCTCGGCCTCGCTCTCGGGTACGTCGCTCGGCTTGGGCAGGTCGAGGCTCGTGTCCAGCATGCCCAGGAACGACACGCCATAGATCCATACCCGGGTATCCTGCCAGAAGCAGCCCTTGGCGAGGTCGAGGAGATCCTGGAAGGGTGCGGGGAGCGCCTTCTTGGGGTGCCGTCTCGACCACGGCGTCAGCGAGCCTTGCAGGGGATGGAAGAGGTTCACCGTCCACTGCCCGGTCACGCCCAGTAGAATGTAATCCGTAGCCCCGTCTTCTCCGGGTACTTGAGCCGAGAAGGAGAGCACGGCTGGGGCCGCTGGCAGTTTCGGGAGGAGCTTGCCGTTGGGATTGCGGGTCCAAGTGTCGCTGCCCTCGGCCACAGACTCTTCCTCACTGTCCGAGGACTCGCTCCCAGAAGAGGTCTGCCCTGGCTCGCCGTTTTTGGCAGCGTCGCCGTCCTGCGACTCGGCGTTGAGGACCCATGTGTCAATGTAGCCCGCAAGGTCCGCCGTCGCCAGCATTATCGAGTCGGGGCTGAAGACGGTGTGTGTGATGGTCCGTTCATAGTTGCCCATGCCGCCAATGCGAATGTAGCGCGGCACGCTCCGTTGCAAGCGGCGCAGCCTTCGGATCGGCCCAAGTCGGATGTCGTCCTCTTCACGCTCAACCTCGACCACGCGGACAGCCGATCCCTCACTAACGACACAAAGCCATTTGAGGTCGCGCGATAGTTGCAGTTTTGAGGCACCCAGTTTCCGGAGTCGTGCTGGGACCTCCACCGTCGACATCTCGAGATCGGATGGCTGCAGGACGTAACCAGGCTCCTCGACTGTCGGGAGGTCGATCTTGAACGCCTTTACATCCGTCGAGGTGGAAACGGCGAGGAAGGTGCCGCACTCGCTGATGGTCGCATCGGAGATGTTGGAGTCACCCTTGATGATGATAGTCTTGAGGAGTTTGCGGTTTTGACTGAGATCGAGATCCTCGTCGGCGCCGCTTATAATGTCATTGGCGGATTTGTGAATCACCCAGATGTGCACTTGACGTTCCCACCAGCTCACGACGAAGCGACTGGCCGGCGCAGAAGCAAGGGGCGGTTGCTGTGGCAGGCTTGACAAGATACGGTGATTCTCCTTGCCCATCTGCTTGAGAGGCATGACAGCCAGATTCGTGTCAGGACCTGGATGGATTAGTGACCGTGGCCCGGGGACGACTGCAAGTTACTCACCTCCCGACACTAGAACGCTTGTCGGACCACTCTCAAAGGTCGCTAGCGACTTGACGTCGTGCTCGTGATACCGGCGACCCCAGGACTTTCCCCAGCGCTTGTCCGAGGAGCTGCCTTGCTTGTACAGGACTGTTTTGCGGTCCATGCCGCCACTGAAGATCGTCTTGCCGTCAAAGGAGACAGCCAGACTGAGAATGTCCTGCTTGTGGCCCTGGATGCGCTGCATCTGCGTGTACGTCTTGCCGTCGAAAAAGGTGAGGTGGCCAGTAGAATCACCGGACACAATGTTGCCGTTGGCTAGGCATTGCACCGCCCACACAATCGTATTGCTGGCGCTGCCGACCAGATCAGCGCCCACTGTCATTCTTCGCAGCATGTGCCCGTTTGTGATATCGTAGGCGCGCACGGTGCTGTCGGAGCAGCCGACGATGGCAATCTTGCGGGTTTGAAAGGCGACGCTTACAATCTGCGCCTTTTTGGTCGGCGAGCGGACGAGGACACGCTGGAATCGGAGGTCGCCATCTTCGGTCGAGTAGATGACGAGCTCACCGTCGTTTGTGCCCACCACGAGCTGCGAGTCGGCCTTGCCAGCCTCGGCCGGTATGGCAGCCATACACCAGATGTGACCGTGCTGCCCGCTCGCGTGTCGTTTGGGCCGGCCCTTTTCGAGATCCCACTCAGTGACTGTCGAGGAATACCCAACGCTGAAGAGGCGCGACTTGCCGAGGATTGTGCGTCCGTCGCTGACTTCGGTGTCCGGCTCGTTCACCCAGACAAGACTCTCGATACTCCTGTCTTTGCCGCCCCGGAGGATCGTCTCCTGCTGCCACGCGCCGTTGGCTGGATTCCAGATCTCGACGTCGCCATTGGCGCGGCCAACAGCCATACGAGCCAGGGCGCCATGCCGGGCAGAACGGGTTTTCGTGTGCGAAAAGGCGATCGAGTTAATGCCCGAGGGCTGGAAGGGTACGAAGCGACAGCGATGAACGTCCATGGCAGCGGAATGGGACGTTTGCCGTGTGCTTGTTCAGTCTGTGAAGCGCAGCAGCATCAAGATTTTTTTTTTTTAGGCAAGGTTTCTCCAGATTTGGCCTGGGCATGGGTACATGCGCTGCTAGCGCCTTGGAGTCGCCGTGGCCCGTCATGCCCCTCCCTAAAGTCCTCCGGCTCCGGGCTGTCATGTCATGCAAATGCCCCTCATCGCGCGGTCCCGTCATTCTTTCATCCCTCCTCCATCGTCGTCGAATGCCCATCGTGTGCCAAGCAGGGAATTGTGTGTTGATGGTCAATTTGCATCGTTCGACAAGCTGTGGTTCTCATGTCTGATATCTGAGGACCTCAATCTACTACTCTCAAGGCACTCGTACACTCTCCAGTCCCCTCTGCGAGAATCTGCCGGACCATCATGGATTTCAACAGCACCTCGCCATATCCCGAGGGGGTCATCTCCTTCCTCGACACTGACTTGTACAAATTGACGATGCAATGCGCCGTGTACAAGTGCTTTCGAGACGTCCCTGTATCCTACGCTTTCACCAACCGCACCCCGGACAAGAAGCTGTCACGCGCTGCGTTCAAGTGGTTGGAGGAGCAAATACGAAGTCAGTCCCAAGTTCGCCGGGGCCAATTGACCGACTAACAAAATCTCAGAGCTCGGAAATATCTCGCTGTCGAATGAAGAGTACCGCTTCCTCCAAACGCACTGCGACTACCTCACCCCCGAATACCTCAATTTCCTCAAAGACTTCCGCCTCGACCCTCGTGAACAAGTCAAGGCCACATTCAAGCCCGTGGACAAGGACACCGGTGCCGACGACGAGCTTGGCGATATCGACATCAGCATCAAGGGTGTGTGGGTCGAGACCATTCTGTACGAGATCCCTATACTGGCCTTGACGTCGGAGGCATACTTCCGTTTCATGGACACGGATTGGAACTACGATGGCCAGGAGCAGACAGCGTTCGAGAAGGGCATGCGGCTCCTGGAGGCGGGCTGTATCACATCCGAGTTTGGCACCCGGCGCAGGAGGGATTACCACACGCAGGCACTGGTCTTCCGGGGCCTGGTCAAGGCCTCCGAGAAGGCAAAGGAGCAGGGTTACCCAGGCAAGCTCTCAGGGACAAGCAATGTGCACCTGGCCATGCGCTTCAACATTCCACCCATTGGTACTGTTGCACACGAGTGGTTCATGGGGACTGCTTCCATCGTGGGCGACTACACTACGGCGACCGAGGAAGCCCTGAGGCGATGGGTGAGCTGCTTCGGACCCAAGCTCGCCATCGCATTGACGGATACTTTCGGTACCAAAGAGTTCCTCAAGGCCTTCAGCAAGCCCGTGCGGCCGATTGACAGCAGCTTCCCGCGCGAAACGTTCCAGAAGGAGGACGGCACCCCCAAGACGTATGCCGAGCTCTTCACCGGCGTGCGACAGGACTCTGGCGACCCCGAGGAGTACGTCAAGATCCTGCGGGAGTACTACGACGGGGAAGGGATCAAGGACAAGAAGACGATTGTGTTCTCGGATTCTCTCAACATTGATCGCTGCCTGGAGTACAAGCAGGTTGCGGACAAGTATGGCTTCCATCCGACCTTTGGTGTTGGCACGTTCTTGACAAACGACTTTACCAACTTGAAGACGGGGGCCAAGTCGGTGCCCCTGAACATTGTCATCAAGCTGAGCTCGGCGGCGGGTCGCCCAGCCATCAAGATCAGGTATGTCGTCTCGCTCCAGTGACTGGACCACCACTAACATAGCCAGCGACAACATTGGTAAGAACACTGGGGACAAGAGCACCGTCGAAAAGGTCAAGCTGGAGCTTGGGTATGTTGAACGCGAATGGGAGGGCGGCGATGAGACATCGCGCTGGGGCAAGGAGGGCGAGAAATAACTACGCCGGGTTCGCGCATGATACCCATCTTGGATAGCCGTAGGCTGTGGATAGAGGACAAGGTAAAGGTAAACTATTAGAGGTTCATACCAGGACGCATTTGCAGCGGGGCATTACATGCTGCCACCTTCCACTCAATATGAGTTCTTGACGTAGTTTTGGTGAATTGATCTATTCGAAGCCTTTGAACTGTGCGCTAAACCTTTCTCTTAAAGCTTAGGCAATCAACGAGCATTCTTTTGCGGCCAGCTTTCTTGCCGTGACCGCTGACCTCCTCCTCATACGCAATCTTGTCGGCGTCGACCTCGTCGCCCCCGCCGTATCGCCTCTCCAGTTCTTGCTGCTCGCCAATCTTCCAGCCCCGGCAGACAAACGTGCACACCGCCGCCGTCATGAACATGAAGCCGGCGAAGAGCTGCGCGCCGAGGTACGAGCCGGTGCCCTCCACGATCTGCAGGGCGATCGGCTCGCTGAAGACGCAGGGCAACGCGATGAAGAGCCACAAGATGTTGAGACCCGAGGCGACGTGCCGCAGCCCCAGAACCTCGGCCGTCACGGGCCCGATGGTGACCCAGAACGTGCCACCGACACCGCCACCCAGGATGGCATAGACGATGAGCGTGGCATAGTGCTTGGCGGGGATCCAGATGGCCAAGGACAAAATACCCGCCACGAGTGTCATGAAAGAGGCCATGGTGATCCTCCCCGTGCGATCACTGAAGTAGCCGACCAGCGGGCGGCCCAGCCCCTGACCCATGTTGTACATGGCCGACACCAGCGCGGCCTGTGAGGCGTTGAGACCAATGTAGTTGGCGTAGTTGGCCAGCGAGAAGATCATGACCACGTACGCCAGCATGCTGAAGAATCCGTAGCCGAGCAGGAGCAGGTACTCGGGCCGCTTGAACAGCTTGACGTCGAAAGCCAGCTGGGTGGCGTTGAGAATCTTGTTGCGGTCCTTGACAAGGATCGTGCAGATCGTGTTGACCACAAAGGCCACGATGCCCAGGACACGGAACGTCCACGCCAGCCCCAGGCTCTGCAGCATGGCGCCCGTGGCGAAGGAGTAGATGAGCCCGCCGAGACCAGAGCCGCACGTCGAGAAGCCATTGGCGAGCGAGCGGCGTGTCGAGAACCACTGGGGCACAATGGGCACACTGGCGACGAAGAGGAATCCCATGCCCACGCCGAACATGACGCCCTGCGTGAGGAACAGGTGCCATATCTCGCTGGCGAAACTGGCGCAGATGAGACTCGCCGCCTCGAGCACGACACCCAGCATCATGGTGGGCTTGGTGCCCATGGTGCGCACGCCAATCGTGGCCACCGGTGACGTGAGCAGGGCGCACGAGATGGACAGGGAGCCGACAAAGGCATACTGCAGCGAGGTGGCGCCCGGGTAGAGATCGTTGGCGAGGTAGTAGGCGAGGAAGACGCCGTAGGAGGAGTTGAGGCCCCAGGTGTGGGCGTTGATGACGGCGACACAGGCGCAGCAGACCCAGCCGTAGCCGCCGTTGGGAGGAGGGGGTGGTGCGTTGGGTCGCGCCGTGTCCTGCTGCGAATCCCCGGTCCCTGTGGTGGTGAGACCGGGCTGGGGTGTTATCGTCGCCGTCTCCTTCTCGGAGAGGGTTTGTGGTTGTGCCATGGCGTCCAATCCTTGCTCCACCACGCTTTGCTTTGCCCAGGAGAGTGTTGGGGGGGTTTTGATAGAAGAGAGGGGAGGTTAGATCGAGGAATAATGTAAGGTTCTTTTTTCTTCCCCTTCTTTAAGGGTACGTAACGGAAAATAGCCGAGCGCGCTCTGAAACTATACCGTATACCGTAATCCTCGAGATGGGGCCATGGGGAAGGAAAAGTCTGTTGGCAAAAGGACCAAGCTCGATGCAGCTCGGTTTAAGCGTGCAGACTGGGACCCCTCATTAAAGAGCATAAAGCAGTAGTAATGAATAGCATGACCCCAATTTGGAGCAGATATTCATTCGAGACAACACACAATGCCACAGAAGAGCTTGGCAGCCTCTGCTTGCGGGAGCTGGTGGTCGGTGTTACGAGATAGGGAAATGTGCGAGATCATTGGAAGCTCGCGGAGCCGGCCGTCGGCAATGAGAGCCACTCCTTTATTCCCAGGCCTTGGCGGATTTTGAGACCAACTTGGATGAAGGGGTACAGCGGCGGGTCCATGCTCCCGATTGCACTTCTTGGACTTCACTGTGTAGGGTAAGATAGTGCAATTGAACTGCTGCACTGAATATCGGTAATTATATCCTCCACAATGAAACTCATCACACTCCCATCGCAACCATTGGCACTCATCACATAACGCTATTCCTCAGCTCTTTGGACAACCAGTTCCTTAGGCAATGCTTTCCTTCTTGCCACGCTGCTCGCGGCCCTTGTCCGACCATGGGAAGTGAATGACGGGTACGGTGAAGAACGAGTTGCTGCGCGGATCGTTAGCATGATTTTTTCGGGCAATCTGCCATCAAAGGCCTTACCTGCTGTCCTGGATTCCGGCCAGAGCATTGTACCACGCCAGGAAAGCGGCCAAGAAGCCAAAGAAACCACCCGCCTTCTTCAAGTTCGTCGCAGCAACCTCGTTGCCCATGTCTCTGGCGTAGTTCTCCACCGACAGGCACAAGAAGGCAATGTCGAGGGTGAAGAAGAGCAAGAAGAAGGCGACGGTGGAGCGAAGAGTGCAGACGAGCAGAATTGTCGTGAAAATGAACCATCCGGTCAGGAAGAAACCAACGGGAGAGCTGGTGTCACCTTCGTAAGGACCGTCTGCTTCCAGGATGCCCCATGGCGAGGGCGTCAGGAGCAGGCCGTACGCGATCCAAAATCCACCATAGGACGACAAGGCAGTGGCGCCAAAGGTGTTGCCAACAGCCATTTCCCTACACAGAGTTGTCAGCACTCAAGCTCGCCTCTTCATTTTGTTCCCCCAACAAGCACTTACCACATGCCAGCGAGGAGCTGAACCAGGCCACCATATCCAAAGGCCAGAGGCACGACGACAGAAGGGACCGTAACGGAGCGCGCCTCCATGTTGATGGCCGAGAGCACAAAGGTCGTCAAGGCGAAAGCGCTCAAGCCAAGCGGGGCTGGGTTGGCGAATTTACGGTGCTCGTAGGGCCTGAACACGCCAGGGTGCAGTGAGGCACCCTCGGCAGGCGCGTAGCCATGACCCCATGATGCGAGGTCGCGGCGCTGGTGCCAATTGTTCGAGTGAGGCGCCTGAGGGTCCTGCGATGCGCGCGGGCCGGTGATGCCGTCGTGCTTCTCAGTCACCTCTGGGTGCTCGGTTCCATGTGCGGTGGCCATTGTGATGTGTAGTTATCTGTTCGCCCAAGGATATAAGTGGTCAGAAGGGGAGCGACGTACGGAGCAAAAATGTCGACGATGGGGAGTGGGACACGGGGCACGACAAAGAGCAGGGCGGGTGGTCTTATAGAGCGCACCACGGCCCATTCGTCCGCAAGCAGGGGACGAAACCCCATGGTGCTTCTGTGGGCAAGCTTACAGTAGCAGCGCGATGAATGGTGGTCCAGTGCTCCATAGTAAACTAATAAGGCGATCCCTTCACTTAGGGGCACTGTTGCGCGGAGAAGCGTCCACTTTCCTGGGGTGATCTCAAAGGTCTCACTCATGGCGTCGAATGGGGTGACGGAGAGGTGGGCCCGGACAGCCGGCTGATTTCGAAAAGTGATCAGGGTGCATTGAACCGTGCCGATGCCGATGATGCCATGCAGGGTTTCTCTGGGCGTAAGCGGCTTCAAATGAATGCGCATGGGTGCGAGCTACTACGTACGTACCAGCCTAGGTTTGTTAATCCCACGATTGTCCAGAGAACAGAGATGGTCCTGAACAGAACGCATGGGTTTTGTTTTGTGTCATATGCAGAGACAGTCATCTGTCTGAGCTGCTCTCCGATGCGGCTGTCTTGAACATCACGCCGTGGTTGGCTGGGGCGTTGGCGTCTCTGGAGACACGATTACCTACGAGACCCCCGAGGACTGACGCGCTCGGGACAAAGGAAGTTGGGAACACCGCGACGCTGACGTGACGACCTTTGCCGAGTCCAATGAGCAATCAGGATGCGCTGGCGTCCCTTGCGGCGCCGTCGTGGTGGTGGCCAAGGTGGGACTCAATCTGGAGAACGCAGTCTGTTGTTGGGTGTCGGTGCGGGTAAAATGGAGTCGTGGAGTCGCGGAGAAGACCACCTGGGGATAGTCTCATCTTACGACCGCACGCACTCCGTACCCTGATTCATTTCCTCCACAGTCGGCATTGGGCACGGCTTCTCACAGAATACAGACCGCTTCCCAAGAGCTGCTCTCGTGTTGGGTTGCCTGCAGCGCTTCGACAAGGGCGGTTTGACAAAACGTGCGCGTAGCTTCGCCAGAAAGGTACGTAAGTAAATAAATAAATGACTTGTTGATTAATAGTGGCCCGAGGCAAGCAGGCGTTTCAGCTAGATTGATCGAAGGACAAATGCAAATGCAAATGCAACACGGACAAATTATGGTCTCCGCGCGCCCAACACTTACTTCACTTGGAATCGCCGATGGGCAGCTTCTCCCCCAGTCCCCCTCATATCTGGACGAAAGGGCACACCACCCATCTCCAATCTCCATGGGGAGTCCTTTCCGCATTCGAATTTCGAGGCCGTCATCCCATCCCAAGATCCCCAAGCCCCAAGGGCCAAGGCGCTCCATGTCGCCGGCAATGACGTCGCCCCGCTGGCCGATCTTCCATGAAGGCGGCGACCTTATGCTGTGAGCCAAGGCTTCCCTGACGACAATGGCTCAAGTCGCATTCCAAGGCCTGTTGACCGTCAAAATTAAACTCAAAGTTGTATCCAAGGTTGCGGAAATCGGACAGCACCCACGTTGGCAGTGTTGCACGCTCTCCAATTTCTCGGAAACGTCCTGGCCACACAGGTGACAGAGCGACTAGTCTTTACTGTGGAGAGTTGAGGTGTTCGCGTGCCCCTTGACAGTGCATTTTGTAATGGTGACGCACAGCGAAAGGGTCACGGTGGCCCAAGGTGAGCCACGTCCGTCTCGGTGAGGAGACCTCAAGCACCGCTCACCAAGGGCCCAATTGGCCTCACTCTCGCACCCGTCTTGTTAGGACTTGGGTATATTCGTGCTTGCTCGCATTTCGGTTGCGTGCACTGGTTCGACATGATTGGCTTGGATGGTTAGTTATTCAAGCCGGCCGTCCTCATTTTGGTCGCACCCATTGACCCGACTGGCGTCGGCCGAGGCTGTGTCCACTGTCCCCCGACCTGCCCGCCGCTCCAAGGGGCGACTTTTGGAGTTTGCTCCACGACATGTTAGCCGGCGTGCTGCTAGGCGTTGCTTGGCTTCTGGTGTATGTTTTCTTGTGCAAATACTGCTCATCCAAGCAGCGACCGTAGCAGCTGCAGTTGCCATGCCCCAGCCGTGCCGCTCCTCAAGGCTCCGTGTTGAGCTGCACTGCAAACATGTCGCAAGCATCACCAACATTACCGCCTTTCTTTTCAACTGTTCTGGTTCAATGGCAGACGCAACGATCCCGCCTGGCCGGATTGCATGTCCTCTGGGCGTAATGTACGCGTAATATTGATGACAAGTCCGCATCTAAAAAAAAAAAAGTCAAGCAAACCTTTCGAGCAGCGTTTCCACATTCTCACGGTGCAGCCGACCTTGGACTTATAGACAACGCAGCATCGACCCTCCACAGACTTGAAACAGTGACGGCCCGGTTATATGAGCTCAAGGTTTGTTTCAAGAGGCGACGCTCTTTGGTGATTGGCGGCGTCGCTTGTTTCAACCTGGTCGCGTGGCGACTGATGCCTGCTTGTCGGCGCAACCCGAATGATCGTCGCCACAGTCGGACGCCGCATCACAAGCACACAGCTTCATCTTGCCGGCAGTTGTGAATCTCAGCTGCCTGGTCCAAATGCTCACCGCATCTCCAATCCACACGAGACGCTCTTTCGCGCGCGCAACCCTTACGCTGGGAGTGGCTGCCATGATCGTGCACGTAGGGCTTTGGCGAGCTACCTTTAAAGTCATAGGGCTGAGCTCGTGTAAGTGCCAGTCAGCGCCTGTCGACAACGGTTGCTTATCACCATTCACATCGCCAACACACCTCGCAGACTGTAGCTCGCCTTGGTTTCTCGTCCGTATCAAGCATGAAGCGACTGCGATCGGTAAAAGTTCCGGACAGCGCGACAGCGAATGTGACCATGATGAATATGTGAAGGAATTATTCGCAGGTCTAGGGATCCAAGGTGGGAGGAATCTCAGATGAAGGGGCCGCCAAATTTGGAAGTTTAACCATATTCGACATGATCAATCAGGCTCGCCGCTGATCGCGCTCTTACGACGATTCGCATCACTAGAGTTGTTGTCGGGAGATCCGACATTGTTGAAGCTGGTGGTTAGCAGGTCGATACCGTTTTGGGACGGCGGTCTCGGTACGTACCGCTCGCGCCCACCGACTGACTGGATCGTAACAGCAAATCGGAGTGCCCTACGAATCTGACACTGGAGAAATTCTGAAACAAATCCATTTCCTGAGCTCTTGCACTCTGTTTGCGTCCAAGAATGTGGGCTCGACGGCTGGTGCCTTGCTTGTTCAATGCAGGAACCGTCTGCTCCCTCGCCACAGTACCACCCACCCAGATACCACGAAGCTGACCCCCTTGGTCGTGCAGGCTTGATATGCCGACTGAAGGCCATGGAAAACCATGTTATCTTATGCTTCCATTGTTCGGTACTGCACGTCAGCCAGGGATCGTCCAGGACTTGCCGCTGCGCCATGATGCTGACCTTGAACGTCTGCATCGTATATATGCGATTCTCTCCTTGCTGATCGAGTCAAAGCCTTCAATCCTCCCTCTATTCAGTGTCAACTCACGCTTGTGTCACAACTTACATGCTGTTTGAGCGTCTTGTCATTCCAACTTCCATCGGCATCTCTTCTCCAGGATACGCACCAGGTACGTACGTATGGCCCTGCAGAAAGCTGTCTGTATATCTACAAGATCCCATGACTGACAACGGCAGTATCTGGCTCTTTTTGTCGTTGGGTCACTTACCCTTGAAGATCAACATGCCCTGGGGAGCTTTACAACAGACGAAGCTCATATACCGGTGAATCTTCAACTGAGCATGCCATCTCGTCGGCCTCACACAAACTCCCACCATGGGTGTCTCCAGTGCAAGACAAAGCGCGTCAAGGTAACTGTCGGCAAGAAGCTTGACATATGTTCACCACTAACAGCTACAGTGCGACCAGTTGCAGCCCAAGTGCACACGCTGCAGTAAACGGGGCTCGGACTGTACGTATCGTCACTTGATGACTGCGTACAATCCTTTTCAACAGCAAGACCCGGACACCCGCACTCAGCAGGCCCCCATGTCACAGTCGCAGCACCATCCTATTCAGGCACCTCGACACCAAAGGTCAGTGTACAGACCGTCCAAAACAACCGTGGCCGCCATGGGGGCCGCTGCCTCTATGGCTGCCCCCAGTGCCTCTTCATCTTCAACAAAGATCACACCCCCAACTCCTCTTGTCAAGAAGTTCTATGTCAAGCCGGAGCCATTAACGCCCGTTGCCAGTTCATCACTGCCTTTCCACCCCGAGGTCTATCAGCTTCAGAATCCGAGCTCAGCTGCGCACACGGTGCCCTTGACACATATACCACCACCACCACCACCACCACCACCACCACCACCACACCCGCCGGCGAATCCAACCGACGCATTCTTGCTGCACCACTATACCAAGACACTGTCTACGCCCAATCTAGGACCTATACTCGAGTCGGAGCATTTCAACACGCTGAACAAGGCTATACTAAGCCACACGCACAATGTCTCCGCGCCCTATGTGCGCCACGTCGTCCTGTCCTTCTCGGCACTGCACCTGGCCTCTCAACAAGCTACCCACACCACGAGCGACCCCTCTGGACTACTTCTCCCACGTAGAGACTCTGGATCACCATCTGAAGGCTCATGGCTGCACATTGCCCTGTCACACAACGCGCAAGCATTGGCCTTGTTTCTGCCAGCGATCCAGGCTGGAATCACCCCAACTACGGCAGAGCCTCTGCTTGCCGCGTCCGTGGTCTTGGTAGCTTGCCAACTTGCGCTTCCAGCGGCAGACCCTACGCGACGCACGGCTTTTGACCGCATCGACCTGCTGGCCCAGGTCGCAGGCTTGTTCCAGGGAACAAACCACATATTCTTGTACAATGGCCACACAGCCATGTCAACCCGCATCAAGACTGAATCACCCACGTCTTCGGGGAAATCGTCCTCGTCCTCATCCGAGCTCTCTTCTTCGCCCTCGACGGCCAACGACATTCCAAAATCACCTGGCGACAACGTTCCCTGGGCAGAGGCAGAGGCGTCCGTCCACTGCTGCATTGGCGCCATGAACGCGCTCCCTCCCGCCTCCACGGATGCCGAGAGGACGCGGCGCACCGTGTTGCACCATGCCGCCGCCAAGCTGATCCGGACGTTCTCTCTCATATCGACGTCCCAGCGCAACTTTCACGTCTTGTGCGTGTGGTTCGCCATGGTCAAGAAAGAGTTTGTCGGGCTGCTGGCAGCTAGAGATCCGTTCGCTTTGATATTGCTAGCGCACTGGTCAGTGTGCAAGACCAACATGGACGGCATCTGGTGGGCGCGAGGGTGGCCCGAAGCCGCCGTCTCGTCCATTGACGAGGCACTGGGTCAGGATTCGGAACATCGAGGCTTGCTGACTTGGTGTGTCCGGCAAGTGCAGACGAGACAAGAGAGTCTGGCGTCTGCGGTCGCGGCGCATACATTGCAGGAGGGATATGCAAGCTCGTCGCAATGGCTGCCGACTCATCAGTATCTCTCGTAGGAGTAAGTGCTCCATGTGAGAAGAGATGGGCAGCCGTTTCTTGCGTCCAGGTTTGACGAGACTTTCCTGCTTTCGCCTCTGGGGGTGCATATCGTTCTTATCTTTGGTGTCAGAGGAGGTGGCATGTTGCTAGGTGCTGTTCAGTTCTAAACACTTCTTTTCTCGAGCGAGAGCGGATATCATGTCTTTCGAATCAACATGTGGAATTTTACGGATATACACGAAAGGAATGAAGCCACGAAGCGACCGGAATTTTCAGGGGCTCTATAGATAAAAGTCACGTCCTTTTCAATAAACACTCTCGCCACGCACAATTTTCCCCTTAACACTTGAATAAGACGTAGAAACGGCAAGCACGTCTAGTTGAACCATGATGTAGCCGTCTCCTTCTTCATACGCACTGTCAATGATAACCTGGCGCTTTCATCTTCCTTTCATGCTTGCATTACACTTTTCTGCTTCGATAGTAGCATGCTCGCCAAACTTTAGATAAAATTCTTGACGCTTTCTGAGTCTTTTTGATTTCATTTTGCACTTATCTGACCATCCTTCTTTTCTGGAGCCATGTCTTCCGCTCTCCCCTTGCCAGTGTCATCAGCCCTGCCCAGCCAGCGGGGGCCGGCCTTTCCACACCGGAACATTTCAATCTGTCTCATCTTCTGTATCATGATGGCCGTTTGTGGCGTGGTACAATTCATGAAAACACCTGTCAAGGAGCATGTTGTAGTCTCGCTGGCCGAAAGCTAGCTGCTGGGCGGTGGGCTCGTACGAGAGCACGAGCAGGTGAGTCTGTTTTCTTTCTTTAACCCATTCGATGGCGACTGGTAGGCACAGCCAGCATCGCTGCAAGCGACCAAAGTGATTGGAGATGCTGAGACTACTGAAGATGGTGCGTCTGAACTTAGCGACACCCTTCTTGAGGGGGGGGGGGGGGGGGGCCCCGGGGGGGGGGGGGGGGGGGGGGGGGGGGGGGGGGGGGGGGGGGGGGGGGGGCG